TTCAGCATTGCGGCCTCCTCTTTATTTCCTACTTCCCCACGCTTTTCTTTATCTTTCTCACCTGCTGCCTTTACACTTCCTCCACGTTCACCCGCTTTTCTCCCCCTCTCATTCTCTCACTCTCCCTCTCCCTCTCCTTCGCGCTCTCACGCTTTCCGCGCCTCCTTTGAAAAGAGTGCAACCTTACAGGACTCAACACACCCGCCGCCTTGCACTCTGTCCTACTCTTGCGCTTATGCCACACCTTCCCGGTCTCCTCCTTACACTCCCATCTACGTCTGTGCTTCTTCGACTTCGACGCCGAACACTGCTTTTCTCACTTCCTTCCTGGTCCCTCGCTCGCACGCTTCTTCCTTGTCCTTACCAACAACCTCGGCACGACCCGCCTTTGCGTTCCTCGATCACTTCATTGCCGACCCTGTCTCTTCCCAAGCTACCGCTCCCTTGTCCCTCGCTTGCTCCTGTCGCGCTTGCTCTCACAAACCCCACCTCACCGTCGAGAGTGCAACCTCACGGGACTGAACTTGGTCATCTGCCTTTGTCTTTGTTCCGCTCTTGCGCTTACCCAATACTCGTCTCCGTCCTCATGCTTCACGCCTACGCCTACGCTTCCACCCCCGCCTCGACTCACTCGCCTTTATGCTTCCTCCACCCTGACGCGCCTTCGCCTCCTCTCACTCTCCCTGTTCTTGATTCTTACGCTTCCATTTCCCTACACCTATGCTGCTGTTGTTAGTCAAAGCTCGCATCACTGATTCCATCCACACATTCCCAGCTGAGTCCTCCTGATCGCGCTCTCAACTACCTTCACCTGGACTATCCCGCTTTCTTTGCCCTTCGATCTTTCGCTTCCCTTCTTTGACCTCTCTCCTTTGGCCTCTCTCCTTTGACCTCTCTCACGCTTCTTCAACATACCATCCCAGGAGAATATTGTTTGTTTTTGTTGCTCCTTTACCTTTTCTTCTGGGTCTCGCTCATTGCTCTTGTATTTACCCAATACTAACGCCACCTCTCCTGACTCTTGCCTACGCTTCCTCTCAAATCGCCTCGAGCTGCTGATCATCATCATCATCACCACAGTCGCCCATACGCTTCCCCCTGCACTACAGCTGCGTTGGAATTGAGTCTGTTTCTGTTTTCACTGTCCCCTAGATACAATTCCCTCTCACTTCCTTGTCGTGTTTTGAATAATAATAATTATAATGATAATATATTCCCCAGTAGCGTAGGCACGCTTGCCTTGCTGCTTTCTATGCCTTTACAGAAACCTGCCTTCGCTTGAAGCTCTCCCAGACGCTTCGGCCTGTACCTATGCCGACTACTTGGTCCTTTCGTGAACTGTTCAACGTTCATGTGCTCTGACTATACACTCATCTGCTGAACGCTTACGCTCTTGAGGCGCTGTTCTTGTTTTTCTTTACTCCTCATTCTCTTCGGGGTTTCCTGCTTGCTTTTCTTGCTCTTTGCTCTCGTCGCTGATGGTTGGCTACTTCTCTTTCTACACACCTCACACTTTGTCCAAGACCAGACGCTTACACTGCCCTTCCTTGTCTCAACCCTTACGCTTCCTGGCCTCACTCACTTAAACGTTCCTCCCCGGTTCCCTAACCAGTTCCCTTAAATGCTGATTTAACAAACCGATTTAACAAATCGAGTCCTCGTGCGACGCGCTTTCTAACAACCTCTAACTCAAGTGCGACGCGTAGAACCCTGCACACTCTTCAATAAAGTGCCTCAACAACTAACTGCGCTGCTTTGTTTTCTTTCGATTATGTTCTGTATCCGTGGTCTTCTTCTTTGGGTATTTCTTGATGTGCGTCGCTTTTTTGGCTCAGAGTTTCTCTTCCTCGACGCTGACACTAACGCTACCCACCAGCACCACCCTTCCAAAACGTGCGTGTGATCTCTTCAACTTCTTACTGCGCTTACTACATGGTACTCAGCAATGCCCTTTGAGCACGATACCTTACCGCTACATTTGCGCGTCCTTGACCCCCTCCACTTTCGTCACTTGCTATCTGCCCGTGCACTCACGTGTGTAGTGCCTGTCTTCAGGTTTTTCTGTCTGAGTTTGTGCTCCTCCATAATTCCTTCTTAATCTGTCCATGAATGCGTACCGACTGAGAGATTTGAAAACTCGCGCTGATCGGCGCTCGATCTCGCCGGCCCGCGAATTCTTCAGAATCACTTGATCTTGAATTAGTAGTTCTGCTCTGCTTGCAGTCGGAAGTCGATCTTGCAGTCATTCGTCTATTCACCATCATCATGGCGATTCTATATAGGCACGACTCTTGTCTGTTAGTTTAGTTTCTTCTTTGCGCTTCGTCTTTCTTCACTTGTTTGTCGCGCCTTTGTTCTTTTTCTTGTCATCTGTTCTTCCACCTACCCAACGCTGGCTCTGTTCTGCTCTGTTGCGAGTTATAAGTCGCGCCTTTGTTGTTATATTTATATGATTTCTGCCCTTACTCTTACCGAGTGCGTTGACACTTTCTCTCCTTACTTTCGGTCCTATTCCCGCGCTTCCAAGCCTGTCAAACTCCTCCTCTTCATGCTTCCTCGCTTTTGTTCGGTCAAGTTTCTTAGACGTGTCAGGCGCGTCTAACTTTACGCTCCTCAACCGAGTCTCAGCCGAGTCTTTCACTAACTACTACTAAGTTCCCGGACTTTACTTTAGATAAACTCTCTTTAGATAAACTGTCATTCCCACCTGCTGAGTCCAGATTTCTATGGGCACTACACAAACCGCTACACAAAGCCAGTCTCCGAGAGTGTGTCAAGCCCGTCAATAAACGTTCTGTTTCTTGACCTCCACACTCCTCCTCCTCCTCCTCCTCACCTCACCTCACGCCGCACCTCCTCTTCAGCTCACCTCACGCTCCATCGACGTCGACGCTGAATTGGCCTCCTTGCCTACTCCTCCTCTTACCCTCTTCGTTTCTACACTCCTCCTCCTTCATGCCGGGGGGAGTAGCAAAAGCCGCTGCGCAGTTATGCAATTCTAGTGAGGGCCAAGTGTGCTCCAACAGTGTACTAATTCCAAAACAGAATTACGCTATTCAGAAATCAGCTGAACTTGGTCACCAGTCTTCTTGCCCGTTCTGACTGCTCTCCGCAGCCTTCTCTCAAGCGTGGCAGTTTGGATATTGACGGACTTCCAACGCTGACAACCGAACTATCCTCTCCAAAGAGACTGCGATCACAGCTTTCTCTTGATATCGCAGCAGCAGCCATGACTGACGACGAATCACTCGTTAACTCGCCCCGCATCCATGCCAACAGTGCGGCGTATGAGGTTTTGTCAGAAGGAGACAAATCGGAGATTTCCGAGCCTGACGATGCTGACCTTTATGATGAGGAAATCGTTCCGTGGTTTGAGATAACTCCCAATGACTCGCCCGACGACAGAACGAGGTCTACTGAGCCCGTCATCCAGAACGCCGACGAGATGACGAGTGCCACCACAGTCAAGAACGGTAATCATCATCCGGTTCAAGATCCTGCTATCTACAAGAGTTCTTTGGATGATGATCCGGACGATGGCAACAGGGATCCAAGTCTGTCTCAAGTCGCACCTGTCCAATCTCAGGTGATTCGTTCAACCAAACCTCCAAGCCTCGCTTCTGCAACTCCCCAGCGCCTTGGTAACGCGGGTCTCACACTCAAGACTAGAAGGTCTCTGAACTCAAAGACTAAAAATCCACCTATCTCGAAAAAACCACTTGGCTCGGGATTGCAGCTTGAGTTTTTATATTTAGTTGAAACGACGAGTGGCCACCTGACTGAATTGTCCGCATTTAAGAGGAGCTGGGCATGTGACGGGAAATCATTAGCTTTGTCTGCAGACGTGTTGGCAGCGAAGGCCATCGTCACTGGTGATTTTTCCGGGTTTGGTGACGAGGAACCCGTCGCATTGCCGTATGTCTTAGCTCTCACGACTGACCCTGACTTTGATCAGCTTTGCACGGATCTGATCGATTCTCTGGAAATAATACTTAAACCAGATAGGAAGTTAAAAAAAAATGATTGCGGTCGATCCGCGTTTGGATTGTCATAGTCTTATTGATGGGCTAAAATGCGCAGCTTTGTTTCGGAAAATATACTTGGCTTTACCTGAATCTACTAGTCAACATAGGTCTGCACCTGACTACTGGGGGGCATTCTTTCTAAGACAAACCTATCCGGACATCGCGAACGCGTTATTTGTACAAGTTCAGCATGAGACTCTTCGTCTCTACAAAGACGAACCCGTTCCGCAGAAAATAACTGGATTGTGAGTTGTGCTATGTACTCACTTGTCAGATACTATCATACTAACCAACATACTAGCTACGCCGGCAAAAGTATCGACGAACTGTACAACCTGACCTTAGCCACAAACTGTATTACCTCTTCAGACGCTACGGACTACTATATTGCTTATGTGGTTCGTCAACGGCTAGCTGACCAGGGTGTTGGCGATCGTATCTTTGTCACCGACGTCACCACTACTGATAATCTAAGAGATTGCAACTTCATCGCTACTGCAGCTAGTTACAAATCGGCAGACGTTGTGAACCTATTATCAACCAAAGGTGGCACGGTCGTAATCCCAGTCTGGCAGTGAGTTTTATGTTCTTGTCTGAAATTGTCCCTGTCACTAACAAAAGATTTTGTCTCTCTTAAAGTGCGAGTGCTATCACTCTCTTCGTCGTACGATTGAATTCGCACAATGCGAATCGAGCCAAGCTATGCTATCAAGTGGCAGTCATCGACCCGACGTGAGATCTCTGGCAGAGTAAAAAACCCATGACTCAAACTCATACGTGCAAAACGATTGAGAATCTCGTCGTGCGCCTAAATACGCTCGCGCCTGCTGTTGCGGCGAAATACGAAGATCAGTTTTTACCCACCGTTCTATATTGGTCAGTTCCAACTCCAATTCAAAGCTGTGACTCGAATGACTGTGGTCCAATTGTCGTCGGATGGCTCGCTTTTCTAGCACAATCTGCGTCCGGGTTTGAGAAAGCTACTGAGCCTTTCAGTCCATTCAGTGGTCGTCAGATTAATCACGGCAGAGGCATTTGGGGTAGATTTGAAAGAGTAAGGATGTTTACCTGTCTCTATCGTGATTTTTATTGGAACGAATTTCTATCAGCGAAAAAAATTGAATTTGAGAAACAAAATGGGACGGTCAGCTCTTCTCAGTTCAGTTCTGAAGCGTTTGAGGCTTTTGAGAATGAAAAGACTAGAGAGATTATGCAGCAGTTCTCAAAGAATACTACTATGGCTCAGTTTACATGTCATATCTGGGAAGCGGCTAATGAATGAGGAAGAGGAAGAGTGAGTAGGGATGCATGCGCTGGTACTTCGAGTTGTTTGAGCTGTTTGTTAAGCAAGAGAAAGTTGAAGTGAAAGTCTCGGATACTGGGTTTTGGCTTATAGCGTTCCCAATAACTACCGCAGCTGCTTCATTTTCACTAGTCATTATTTGTATCATTTTCGGCGCCTTTGGTCTTCTGGACAGTGGGACAGCGCTCGTTGGATCGCGGTAGTAGGAACTCATTACACGGCTACTTGGCCTCCGAAAAACTATGGTGAAGGGAGTCACTAGGCATCAAATGGCATAAAGATGAGATCTGATGACTCAATATATTCGGAATAAAGACAAAAACAAAAGGCAAAGACAAAAACCAAAACCAAAACCAAAAAACAGAGACTCAAAGGATGGATGGCCATGAACTCATTCTGATATACGACACGAGCTATTACACACGCGACAATCAAGCGACAAAGCCCGGTGAACGACGATTTACTTCGCGCGATTCTGTACTATCTTTGATCTTCGGCGAGATATAAACAAGCCTTGTCTCGCAAAAAAAGATCGAAGGCATTCCGATCCCGAACAGTGCAGAGGCCAATGATTCAACATTCAGTGATGACGATACAGCAGGGAAGAGGGAGTAGACAGACAGTAATGTTACATCTTTAGGCAGATACCGACGTGCAGTTCAATGAGACGACTTCAGCAAGGCTATTTTGTACAACGTCAAGACAGATATACAAGAAATGTAAACCACTTTTCCAATGTGATGTTGGGGTATCAGCCTGAGCAGTAGTCGAAGTAAAGTAAGAGCTTGAGAGAAGAACATGGGATCAGAAGAGCATTATACGTACGTTGGCTAATATATAGTGAAGCCTTGATGACCACCGATTGGAGATCTTTATAACTCTAAATCACGATCATATGCAGTCAAAGCAGAGACCCGGACTCAATTCTAGCGGTGGATTCGTCGCCTAGTTGATCCTTATTCTTCGCTTCGCCGGTACGAGGCGGAATTGTCGTATGCCGCGTTTGAGCGCATCGTATTTATGAGCGTCGGGAAGGCGAGAGAAAAGGAGCACGCTCGCCTTGTCAATATGAGAGTGGTCGATGCCGTTGCCTCTCGCAGTTGGTTTGCGACAAGATGAGCGAGTGCGTGTGCGTCGGATGATTCTGTCGGCTATCGTGCTCGGGAACGCTGCAGCAAGTTGCGATGCAAGAGAAGGGTGGACTTTCTTCGTACCGATAATCATTGTTGGTGGTAGGGGCAAGGTAAAAGTTCTTGCTGAGATGAGAAGGCAGTGAGAGGTAGGGGAGAATGCGAAGAGAGAGTCGGTTTGTGATTGCCATGGCGCGTTGTTCAGCAGTCGAGGTCGGCATTGTAGTGAGAACAGGTGGAGGTCTTTGTGACGTTTAAACAATGGTACACAAAACCCTGAACTGCATGCAAGCCAGGCTCTAGCGTGGACGGGTCTCGAGAGTGCGTACCGTTTAAGAGTTGTAGCAAACGGTTGGGGTTCGGCAGAGGCTATGAGTCTTCAGGAACAGACTTTCGTTTAGTCATCAAAGCCACTAAGACGAATAATGGGGCAATTCTTCACAGCTCTGTCTTGGCCTCGTCATCGGTCCTGAACGCATAACCTCTCACTATTAGATGAAGGCGAGCAAGGTGTTATTTTTACATATTCGATAGATTCAGCCGCTTTACTTCAAGTTCATTTTGTTCTGTTGGTGATCGACTCAATATGCGTAAAGTAGTCTGGACGCGGATCTATGTATTAGTATCCTCTCGGCAGTCCGTTTTGTAAGGCGCGGCCTGCATCCCAACCCGAATGCATCGACAACCAATGAATGAGCTTGCAGCAGTGCCACATGCCGGATGACAATGTATAAATTGGGAAGTGTCGCCCGAACGAGATGGCTGTCGCTCTCGCTCTCGCGCTCGCTCGTCGGCGGCCGCATGTCACTCCGGTTCTGTCTGTCTCTACCACGGTTCCGAAATCTACAGATTGAACATAGAAAGACTGTCGTGATTGCAGGCCGTGATGAACGCGCACGGCATCTGGGTGGCAAACAGAAATCTTTCTATTCCGTGTTAAAATTCACAATGGACGCGCATGGCTTGTGGAATAGGGGTTCTGTAGGGCATCGCACGTGCTGGCTTCGATCCTTCAGGATCCCGATCGGAATGAGCGAGCGAAAGGGGCCACAGACACCACTAAATTGGCCCTGCATGCATCTTGGCCTTCTCTGCGGGGAATTTGTTAGGTAATAATGACGAGATGCCGTTTGTTCTATTTGAATTCTCCAGCTCCACGCTCCTTTATTACTTCGAAGTCTGCTCAGATTCATGGGCCATCAGTCGATCGTCCGGCTTGGCGTCGTCTCCTTGCGAATGCTTCGGAGGTTTGCTACCTATCACTATTCCACGTCCGCCGCTGCGCACCACCTGAGCTCGGCTCAGCTCCCATCTTCAGAGGACGCGTGGACGGGACGTCTACGCTCTAGCCTCATCCAGCCTAGCGTGAACCGATGCGGCTCAACGTTTGGTCTCAGATGTCTGTCCCTTCTCTCCCCAGACTTTGAGATCCTCCTGCCAGCTGCTCGGAACATTCGACTAGTCGACGGCTGGATACCGTTTGCTCGGGTGGGATGGAAGAAGATAGTCTCATAAAAGGCCACTAGAAAACCCCATGCCGCATACACACTACTCACCGGACATCGGTTTGCCGATTCCAGACGCGTCGCGTTAGATGCTTCCCTATACAGACTTAAACCTTGGCAGATGTTTTGAAAAAAAGGAACCTCGAATTACGTTACGTTATCTGCTTTTTAAACCAAACCAACCACCGTCTACGAGCGTGTCGATGCTTCTTCTCTTCACCCCCTTCCTCCTCTCTTCTCTCCTTCTTCTCTTTCCTTTGCCAAAGCACACGTCCATATGGCAGTCTACCCGACCATGATTTTGCCAAAGCGCGGGAAAGCGTTCGTTTCTGTCGTCGTCGCGGTCCTTGTCGCCTTATCGCTTTTCCTTCCACTCCTAGGTCCTTCCCGCGTTTCATTCGAGGCCTCCTCTTCCTCTCTTCAGTCTTCCAGCAGTCACGACCCCTTAGCAGATATCCAAAACTCCACCCTTGGGTTCGGCTCCCTCATCCTCCTCTCGCTTCCGTCTCGTACCGATCGCAGAGATGCAGTCACTCTCATCGCGGACCATACAAACATCACAATCACCAAAGTTATCGACGGCGTGCGCACTGAGGACATCGATGAGCGCGCCTATCCGTTCGGTCCTGGCTTAGACAAGCTCCTTACAGAAAAGTACCACGCCTACCTCGGTAGCTGGAGAAGTCATATGGATATTTTCCGATACATCGTCGAAAACCGAATAGAGTCTGCTCTCATCTTCGAAGATGATATTGACTGGTAAGCCCGTGTATTATACAACTCTCGCCCAGCAGAAAGCCCCTATCTAAGATCAAACTAACGCCATGCTATATAGGGATATTAATATCAAATCCCAGCTCACTTTCTTCGCACAGTCACTCAGAATGTCGCCACTTCGCCGTCCATACTCAACCTACGAGCTGCAGCATGCTCCCTACGGTCTTGACTGGGACATGATCCATTTTGCTAGCTCTGAAATCCGCCTGGCCCCTCCGCCCAGAGATAAAGCCTACGTTACATACCAGGACCCCTACCGCGGTGATCTCGAAACTGTCAACAACGGCTGCACCGGCAAGTACTTTTGCTGGAAGCCACTCCTGCGGAGTACAGATGCCTGGGACAATAAGCGCTCGATCGTGCCGACCTACAACTCCGTCGGCCTTAGTGCGTTTGCCGTCACCTACCGGGGCGCCAAGCGTCTGCTATATTATCTCTCTTACAAAGAACTCACCGACACTCTCGACCGCTCAATAGCAAATCTCTTCATGAACGGTGATCTACACGGCTGGTCTGTTATCCCCCCCATGATGTCAGAGTGGAAGCTGGACGGAAAGAAAGACACCAACCTTCGGGTTCTGGCCGCCGACCACCAACCCGGCCTCGGAAATATGGAAGGTCACAGTGCTGGACTGAGTCAGAGCGTGCGGAAGCAGATGGCACGAGACCTTGAGATTGATGATTACTGGGAGAACGAGAAGGATCATTGGTCCCTTGTAAATAATAACCCCCCACCAGCTCCAGTTCCAGCTCCATAGCCGGTTGCCGTTGCGGTCCCGCAATAATTCCTGCATCAACTATTTATTTCGTTTTGTGCGTCGCCGAAAGGTGTGGTCTACAAGAGGAAGCCATCCACAGGACTATTTGCTCACATATGAAACATCGTCTGGATTGGAGGAAAAAACAACGGAGAAGAACTGAACGTCATCAATCTGTTCAACTCATTACTTGGCTGAACGTGCTCAGTCTCGATCGGTATATTCTATTTTTCAGATGGCGTTTGGCTCACAGAATCGGTGTATTCAGAGATTTTCTCAGATCAGTTTGGCTATGGTTTTCTTCATGTCTGTATATGCTAGGTGCGTTAAGCTACGGTAGTTTGGCGCTCAATGTAACAATATCATCCGTCCCAAGTTTGTGAATATAAATAATCAAAGCTGTAACTAACATTTTGAAATAACTATCTTCACCTTATGCTTCCCGTCGTGATTTTACGTGTAGATTAGGTAGCTGGAAAGCAGAGAACGATTTATGTGATATTATGTTAATAAATGAATCTATAGTACTCAAATCAAAGTAAATAAAAGAATGCTGTCAACTGATCCTCTGGATTTCAGTCGGAATTATGCAACAAATTAGAACGACACAGTCACTTTTCGTGCACCTGCTGATACAGGAATAACAAACTCGCAGTCAGACTCTTTGGAAATTGCAATTTCGGCACCGTCGACGGCAGCTTTTCCGGTCTGATCCACCGCAACTATCTTCAGCGACCAGGCACCCAAAATATCCTCACCAAGACTGACCACCTCAACTGCGAGCTCAGACTCAGTAATTGTGAGCTGGAGCGTTACTTTGTCTTCACCGGCAGTGTTTTTCCAGTCTGGAATACTGACAGTCTTTCCCTCCACCTTTCCGGACGCGTTGACAAGTAGAGTGAAATTGCTGGCCCAGTCATAGTCCACCTTGTCGTCGACAGAACCGCGAACAATAGCTCCCGCAGGTCGCAGCAAAGCAGGAATCGAGAAGAAGTCGTGAACCTCGTTGACGAATTTCCCGGACGACCGCATCTTGCCGTCAAAAAGACCATACCACTTGCCTTCAGTCTCAGGAATGTAGTACTGCACCTCGCCTTCGCCGGTGAAAACAGGCGCCACAAGAATTTCCGAACCCAAGAAATACTGTGTGTCAACAGTCCATGATGAAGGGTCGTCCGGAAATTCCAGGAATGTGGCTCGCAGCATAGGAGTTCCTTTCTGGTGCGCAATACGAGCCTGAGAAAAGAGATATGGCATGTTTGTGTGCTTGAACTTAACAAACTTAGCAAGCACCTTATCTGCCTCGCCGGTAGAGTCAATGAGCCACGGAACACGGTAGCTGTTACTGCCATGAAGGCGCGAGTGTGACGACATGAGTCCAAAGGCGATCCAGCGTTTGTAGAGAGCAGGATCCGGGTTACCTTCAAATCCGCCAATGTCGTGAGCCCAATAGCCAAATCCAGAGAGAGCCAAGGAAAGACCACCACGAAGGGTCTCAGCCATGGCCTCGAATGTAGAGTATGGATCACCTCCCCAATGGACAGGGAATCGCTGAACACCTGCAGTCGCAGACCGAGCAAATACTGCCGCCTCATTCTTGCCAAGCTTTCGCTCTACTACCTCGAACGTGGCCTTGTTGTACAGAAACGGATAGTAGTTGTGCATCTTCTCAGGATCAGATCCGTCAAAATAGACAGCGTCGCCGGTAGGAATTCGCTCGCCAAAGTCGGTCTTGAAAGAGTCGACGCCTAGGTCAATAAGTTTTGCAAGCTTCTCCTGGTACCAGTTCCACGCATCAGGATTCGTAAAGTCGACGAATCCCATACCAGCCTGCCAGAAGTCGTACTGCCAAACGCTTCCATCGCCGCGCTTCACAAAGTATCCCTTGGCAGCACCCTCGTCAAAGATCGAAGACTCTTGCGCAATGTAAGGGTTGATCCATACGCAAACATGCATGCCACGGTCCTTGAGAGATTTGATATCACTGGCAGCATCCGGGAAGTAGTCTTTGTCAAACTCAAAGTCGCACCACTCAAATCCCTTCATCCAGAAGCAATCATAGTGAAAGACTGAGACTGGGATATCACGCTCATCCATGCCGTCAAGAAATCCCTTTACAGTCTTTGCGTCATACTCAGTAGTGAACGATGTGCTCAGCCACAAGCCAAACGTCCACTTGGGAGGCAGAGCAGGACGACCAGTAAGCATCGTGTACTTTTCAAGAATCGACTTTGGCGATGGTCCATAGATGAGGTACATAGACAACTGTTCTCCAGGAATCACAATGTTGAGACGGGTAGTGCGTTCCGACTGGATTTCGTATGAGATGAGCGAGGAGGAGGGGATGAAGATACCGTATCCTCTAGAGGACATGAAAAACGGAATGTTTTTGTAGGTAAGCTCGGATCCCGTACCGCCGTCATCATTCCACATGTCGATGCTCTGTCCATTCTTGACAAACGGACCGAAGCGCTCTCCGAGTCCGTAGATCTTCTCACCAACCCCCAACTGCAGCTGATAAGTGACGTATCGTTTACCACGATTGGGCTCAGTGTAGTTGAGCTTGGGGTGAGCCGCAGTCGTTCCTTGCTTGACGTATCCGACAGACCGCCATCCGAGCTTGGTGAGAAGAGTCTTCTTATCTGCGCTCTTCGCGTAGAAATCCAAGTTGAATGACTTTGAGCGGATGTCAAGCTCTGCCGACAGCGGGCCCTTGGAGAACGTGGCCGACTCATCTGTCTTAGATACGTTCACAGGCTGAGTTGATTCCGGCTTGCCGTCAGGGAAGAGTTCAAAATGAGGGCCGAGGGCTGTCGAGGTCTGAGACTTCCAATGGGTAGACGAGAGATAGAGAACATCATCTGCAGGAGACGTGATGCTATGCGAGAGAGTGGGGTTGTTGAGAGTATCACCACGAAAGTTGATGGGCTTCGAGCACTGTGAGGAAGAATATGGTTAGCAGTCTGCAACAGCTCATACTAGTTGCAACAGCAGAATATCGGACATACAGTCACGGCGTAGAGCTCATCTTCAGAGACTCGAGTCTTCAGAACTTCGACGGCCCAATCGATGATAGTGTCCGGGGCGGGATGCCAGCATCCATGAGAGATCTTCATGATTGGTGTTTGTGGTGCTTCAAGGGATTCTAGGAGGGGCGAGAAGGCGGGGTATACATTTTATTATAAGCGTGGGGTGCGCGTGGAGGGTGCGGCTAATCGGTCCCAAAGAGGATTTATGGGCTAGCATTACCAGACATGTCTTGTGGGGACGGGTAGTGAAGAAAACTTTAATTATGAGCTTCCCCCCAGCCCCCTCAGCGAGAGCAGAGCCCTGGTGTGATTAGCCTAATAGCACAGCTCATCAGATGATGTTTATCAAACAGCTTCGAAGCATGAGCGGATGATGGTCCGCTCGTAATTCGGTCGAGCTCCGAACACGTTCCGCCATGCTGTTGGAGTCATGTTTACCTGTTCTTACCATCAATTCTCGTAAATGACAGTATAATCAGTTCAGATATTATAAGTCGTAGTACAGTGTTCAAACACGGCTTTGGTCTATAATGCTGCAGTGGTCTTGTGGTGTCTGCAAAGGGGAGTGTCGGCACAGTGAATGACGTCGATGGTGGGGACGCGGGGTCGGTGCCTGAACCGCAAAGCCGCGCCTATCGATTCCTAATTAAGCGAATCCCAGCTGTTCTAGCGTGGGGAAGGAGGGCGAGCCGGCAGTCCAGCCGCCCAGATCTATCCGAAGAGCTCTACGCCTCTGCCACCTAGACCGAGGTTGCAGGCATCCGAAGCAGGCCCGCGCATGGATTTATCCGCTGACTTTATCCAGGACGGCGTAGTAGTCGATAACTTCTAGTGAAAATCGATATCAAACAAGGAATTTCAGCTCGTTATGCAAGAATATAATCAACTATTGTCGAAGTCAAGCTTTATGTAAAAACGTCATCTCTTTCAACGTTAATTAATTCTGACTGTGTATGGTTTTTTTAGTTCTCGTCTGGGAGATCGTCCCGTAGCGGCATATATTTGAGATTATCGCAGAGGCAAAACATACCAGGCCGAGTCGGATACATGTGGCGTGTAATCGTCATACGTCCAGTCCTCCGCACCTCAATCAACCGCATAGCTATCGACGGTATCATGCCACACCAGCACCAAACTTTCTAGAGCTGTCGGAACTGTTCTTTTAGAATCATAGGCTGTCATCGGGTCAGCAGACCATTAAAGAAGTGACTGCGCGTCAAGACCTAGTTGCTCCAGTTGTGTTTCATCCACGTGGTAGCTTTTAATGTATCTAATAGACACCTCAAAGCATACATAAGACAATATGAGCTGTATTGAAAAGCGTGCTTCAACTCAAGCGGCAAAGACTCCCAAAAAGGAGCCGGATATTAGAATGTTGCCCCACACATTTTGGCTTCCGGAATCACGTTCAAGCAGGAGTTCCTGGCAAACTTTATTTTGGCCTGGGGTTTGTTCGCACTTGACCATCATCCACTTCAGTTCTGTTATCTCAAGTACAAATGAGGGAGTCTATTTAACAATTATAGTGTTTATGATGACTCTTCAGTAATAATAATAAAGGAGAGAGTATCTTACAGTTAGCATCCTGTAAGGGAATGTACAGTGACGAGAGCACAAAGGCCCGGGAAAAAGCAGCTAGTATAAAACTCTATTTGTTAGACTCCCGGTGGAGTCTGGGGGCCCCGCTTGTCCGCTGACTCTCAGAGCGGTAACTGTAGACTACGTAGACCTCTCATTTATAAACATTAGTCCCCCCGCCTTCTCAGATGTCACTCCCTCCTTTGTTCTGGACTACGAGCCAACTCTCTACACGCCATCATGGAGCCGACTAGCACCTCCAACCGATCTGAGACCGAGCTCGCAGACCTCTCCACGCGCGACCCACAAAGTAACACTGTGCCTCTGCAAAGCCCTTACGCTCAAAAGTTAAACGCGTACACCTGGTTCTGTAGTACATTCGTTGTTGTATGTTATTCTTCAGACCTGTTTAATCATGCAGTTCAGCTCAACTGACTTTTTACCGTCTTTAGGTGGGATCTCTACTATACGGTATTGACTCGGGTATCGTCTCAACTACTATCTCGCATGAGCAGTTCAAAGACTATTTCGCACCCTTTACTTGTATGTTTTTCTACACTATCTCAAATCTCTGAGGAGGTTCTCTGTTTCTGACTTGTATGTTTTATTTTTTAGCTTCCATTAAGGGTGCCGTCGTCTCCACCTTCTCTGGTGGAGCCTTCTTTGGCGTGTTCTTCTCCGCCTGGGCCGCTGACAAATGGGGCCGCAAACGCACCATAATGTTTGCCGCCTGCTGGGCTGTTGTGGCGGGAATTATTCAAGCGGCCTCTGTCAAGGTTGGCATGCTGATTGCCGGCAGAATTATTGGCGGATTTGCTGTTGGTATCATGAATATGGTGATCCCAGTTTATAATTCTGAGATTGCTCCGACTTCAAAGCGTGGACTCATCACTGGTCTTCACGGTCAATTTGTGGGGTTTGGCTTTGCTGCTGCGAATTGGATCGGCTTTGGATGTTCCTACTCTAATACCTCTTTTCAATGGCGATTCCCGCTTGCGTTCCAGTGCGTCCCTGCTTTAATCCTCCTCTGTGGTCTACCCTTCCTTCCCTACTCGCCTCGATGGCTTCTCGAGAAGGACCGTGCAGAGGAGGCTTATGCGATTCTCCGCAGACTTCATGGAGAGAACAATCTTGCAAATCCTGCATACCAGCGTTACTTCGACGATGAATTCGAGCAAATGAAAGAGCAAATCAGATATGAGCATGTCCTAAAGTCAGGCACTATGAAAAATCTGTTATCTAAGCCATCAAATCGGAAACGTTTGCTTCTTTCGATTGCTATTCAAGTCTTTGCTCAGCTTTCTGGTATCAACGTCGTGAACTACTATCAGACCGATATCTACGAGGGAGTAGGAATCACCGGCCATACAGTTACTCTCCTGGCGTCCCTCTACGGCATGGTTGGCCCGGCATTTAACATGCTCTGTATTTCTTATGTCGATCGATTTGGACGCCGTTCTGCATTATATATCACCGGTGTTGCCATGGCTGCTGATCTCGCCATTGTCATGGCTCTTACTGCGAATTACTCTGGGACAGATAACAAAGTCGGACAAGGCTTTGCTATTGCTTTTATCTTCCTTTTCACAGCCATTTACTCTCTCGGATATAACTCTATTCACTACATCTATGTTCCCGAGATTATGAATCAAGAAGTTCGAGCAAAGGGCACTGCTGTTGCGGTTTGTTGCAATGTCATCGTCAACATCATTTTCAACCAGATCTCGCCTATCGGTTTTGCCAATATCGGATTCAAGTACTATGGTGTCTTTATTGCTCTCAACTGCGTGGGCGCTATCATCGTTTACTTCTACTTCCCAGAGACCAAAGGCAAGTCTCTCGAAGAGATCAATGAGATTTTTGGCGAAGAGGTTGTGACCAGTCAGTTTGGCTTGGAGGAGATGGGAAAGGTTGATCATCGCGATGGCGCTCAGGCGCAGCACCGTGAATGAGCTCGCTATTTTCTTTCAGTAATGGTAGTATACTTTGCACGAGTCATAACGTTTGTGTATTAAGGTGTCTGTTGCTAAACTTGTTTGTTTTTTGAGTTATCGTCGCGTCAGTGTTAGGATTGTATCAGTTATCTTAATAATATGTTATTCTGTATTTTAAAATCGAAGTTTCAGCAGTTGTTGATAAGGAGGCGCGGTTTGCCTATCAAGGATTGGCATGGTTATATCAAAAGTTGAGCTCAGAGTCAGCGCAGTTATAATGATTCTTTCAGGCTAACTTAGCTAGATAGGGTTTGAGTAAACAATTCTTCAGGCTGCCTGTATCGCGTGTACAGCAGGTTGCTCAGACAAAAGGTTCAAATTTTAAACAATTCAACTAGATCTCGTATCACTCTAATTGATTTTCTCTATCTGCGGAACTTCTTGCTCAAAATCTCTGCACCTGTATGTTAAGCCATTGAACGTGGATTTGATATATTTGAGTTTTCGGTCAGAGCCTCGACGCAGCGTTGACAGGAAACATCAAATATAACAACAATACCCGCAGGCCTTCTCGTGACGATATACACTGTCAATATACATATCTATGGAGCGAAATCCCAATTCATATGACCAGTCAGTCTACAGAGAAAATTAATTATGACCAATATAGGTAGCAATCGACGCCTCGAGCTCAATTATTTATTCTCGCATTTTTTAGTGTTATGAAGAAAGCCGTTTGATCATTTGGTGACATAATGTCTAATTCTATTGTCTAAATATTCTTTAACGTAACACCATTCTGATAAATAACAATATTTACATCCGCATTTACACATAAGCGTTTGCTGCACCAAATCCTGTATAAAGAAACCTTTCCGACTCAAGTCCAATTCCAGGCTGATCGCCATCCTGACTTGCATCCACCGGCTGCGAGGCCGCAACGCCAGCGTCGCGACTATCGAAACCCCACCCTTGAATAGAAGCACCTCCCATATAATCATTTGATTCAAACATCGCCAAACTTGCGGCGAGATCGTCGCCAAACATAAGGGCATCATCAACAGCCGCTACATTTTGTGAGGTCTGCGCTTGATGTTGCTGCTGAGCATGTGAATCTTGTGAGACATATGATGGTACGGCATCATTATTCGAGTAGGCTTGAGAAAGCTGGTGACCATAAGTCATGTAATTATGGATTTGCTGCTGTTGTTGTTGTTGCTGTTGCTGTTGCAATTGCTGCTGCTGCTGTTGCTGTTGCTGTTGCTGATGTTGTTCCTGTTGCTGTAGCTTTTGCTGCAGTACTTCTTTTTCTTGCTGCATCTTCTGTTGCAGCCTTTCAGCACCCCCAACAACCTCGTGTCGAGCATAATCGACCAAGACACGGACAACGAGTCCCGGCTTATACGCACCGTAATAGGTACTGGAGAGCTTTTTGATCCATGCGTATGTCTTCACGAAAGCCTGATATAGTCGATGAATATCACACACAGTGCGATCATCATACTGGAAGGCCATATCCGGATAGAGCCATCTCTCGTCTTTCGAATCGTCCTCCTTTGAACTCCCAGGAGGCACCGGAGGGATCACGGCTCCAGCCGGGTTGGCATAGTAAGCTTTGAGAATGCCATTCAAAACGAGTGCGACGGGGTAGAGGAAATTTCGGAGAGAGAATGGAACAAGCAGCCATTCAAAGCCATTAAACAAGCGTGTATGATTCAGACAGGTAGCCATTGTATCAAGCATCTTGAGAGCACAACGTAGTCTAGCACGTCTGAATTGCTCCGCCGATTCTATGTTCTTCGGCGCGAACGACCGCAGAAGAGACAACTGAAGACGTAGGAACAGCAGCTGGATCAAGAACTTCTGCATGAGATTGTATGAATCCTGAGGACCTGACATTGCTGCGTCAACTTGTATGAAGGAGATGAGAGACTGGAATGAACTGAGATATGACTCTTCAAAATCGTTCATTTTCGACATCATCTGATCAAATTCTTCGTAGGAGAGAACAAATCCTGGACGCATCAGTCTGCCAAGGATACCGCGCGCAAGTAGAGCCCACTCAATATGCGCATGAATAAACGGCGTAGAGATATGCTCATATTGTGACACCGAGTCGCTAAAGTTCCTGATTGCGGTGAGAGAAGTATCACACATTTCCAAAGGGATGGAGAATGGAAGGGTCAGGTCCTGCGACCGATAGGTGTCGAGAATCACCATCTGCGACCACAACATCCGCCACAGATCTGCGACATTATGAGGCATACCGGGAAATTGTGAGGGATCACGATGAAGACCCATACTCATACCGACTTGGCAGAGCATACCCAAGAATCCCGCAGCGTCAGAGCCATCAGATCCATCACCATCTTCCGGAGCGACAATCTGATGGATACGAATGCAGATCAAGACCTGTGCGACGAGAAGATTGGGCTTGCCCATATAGTTCGTCTCTCTCAAACAAGACCAAACAAAGGCCTGGAGTCGCGGACCAAATAGGACAGCATGTGAGTCATCAAAGCCGGCGTCAGAAGGCTTCCATTCTGGAGGAAGACAAAGCCTACCTAGGCGAAGCATCACAGCAAACAGAGCAGCACCTCTCATGTCGTTCTTACGCGTAGACATCCAGAAAGGCTTTGCATCCCTTTTTCCCTCAGTGTCGCGTTCGTGGATAGCTAGCGATTTTGCTTTCCAGTACTTTGTCATATCAGATCGGAAAACAGCGGGATTGACGACAGGAAACATGAGATTTGTAGACTGGAAAAACCTGTCGATCAGAAATTCACAAATCGGACGCAGCTCAAGCCTTGGAAAGAGGTCTACCGGATCCGCACGCACGTTGAAAATCTCATCCACGTACGCCTTCTTATCATCGGGAATGTACGTGAGACTTTGGATCGCTGTATCGTGCGATGTGTGCCCTTTCTGAGGACCACTAGCAGGAATAGTCTTCTTCTTTTTGTGAGCTGCAGCTGCAGGTAAGTTTGGCTGCTTGCTGGAAATGAGCTTCTTGGCTTTGTCGACTTTGTCAAGAAACACCTTTATGAACTCATCCTCACGAATCGCCGCCACACCTGAGAGAGGGCCGAAATAGATCAGTCTATTTTTCTTGATGCTCATTTCCGGAAGCAGTACACGCATATCCATAGCAGATAGTGGCACCGGCGCGGACCCTTGGTGCTGCTGTTGTTGCTGTTGCTGTTGCTGGAGTTGCTGCTGTAGCTGTTGCTGCTGCAATTGTTGTTGCTGCAATTGTTGCTGTGGAGGTTGCTGAGGTTGTGCTTGTGCTTGTGACTGTTGGAGTTGTGGCTGCTGTTGCGGTGGTTGCGATTGAGAATCATTGATGAGGGTGTCCATTCCCGGGATAGCAACGCCAGAGCGCGATAGCTGATTTAACATTTTCTCCATGCGTTCCATTCTCATTTGGAGCTGAGTATATTCTGGCGTAGCTCGTGGGTCAGACAGAGGGACAACCGGCGTAGCATGGACTGTATTGGGTGCAGAGGAATAGAGAGGAGGAGGGTGAGGCGCGACGGTGGGCGCGGTTGTTCCCACTTCTGTGAGCGTCGATGAGTTTGGTCTCGTTGGCGAGGCAAACACAGGCTGCATACCTCGAGAAGACAGGCCATCTGCCGGAGGAGGAATAGAGATAGGAGCAGAGATATAACCGAGAGGCTTAGGGGCGATAGGAGGAAGAGTGGCCTGTGTCTGAGAACCAGGAGCACCTGTTTCAGTAGCTAGTCCCGGTGAAGCGGTTGCCGTCGAAGATCGTTTCTTTGGCTTGTAAACGATATGATCAGCTGCCCATGGTCTAGCTACATAGGTGCATAGAGCGACGGTATTGTGGACGACGCAAGCTGAGCAGGGCTGGTTTCGATCACACTGTAGGAAAATTTTGTTAGCTCGGAACCGTCGTCGGCAGATTGCAAAGATCAATCACGGCTGGAAAGAGACTGCAGGCATACCTTGAGCTTTCTTTGACGGCAGATCGCACATACAACAGGCAGACGCCTGCGCTTGCGGACGGGTTTGCTATCCGTTGTGGACTCATCCGGAGAAGACTGTGTGTTGGTCGGAGGCGGCGAGGCGGGGTGGAGAAGGGCAGCGAGAGAGGAAGGATTGCCAGAAGGAGGCGGAGGGTCGGTGGACAGATTACTTTTTGGCCGACTCATTTCATGCCTGATAATAGAATAGTTTCCGAGTGTTTGTCTATCGCTGCTTCCGTCGAATGTGCGTGCCGGTGGATGTGGACCTGGAGTGCTCGTCTGGACGGAGGCAAAGTTTGGGGAAGGGGGTTGCTGGACGGAGTTTAGAAGTTAGTTTTGCAGTTTCTCCAGCCTGCAGAATGGCGCCTAACGCCGCGGAGAACACACCGACGAACTGTTTATTCTTTTTATCAATCAGATAATCAGATGCCCGGCTTGACTTATTATTATTGTAGACCTGCAGAAATATCCTAATTCCCTTATTCCAACATTTCGTCCACTCTAGAGGCCGAGGTAAGACCTTTGACGGAATCCATGCGACCAATGAAACCTCTTCCGAGCTCTTGCCAAGCCTAGACTAGACCGATGACTAAGAAACATGTCAGCTTTTTGTTCAGGCGGGTCAAATGGTCGGGTTTGTCTCTGTTTGTTGTGATGCCCAAATAAGAAAAATCAGGTGTCTGCACTTTGTCGTGCTGCGTCAATGCACGATAAAGCAACATGATGATGCACACTTCTGTTTACGTTTATGTTCATCAATATTAGATATTATTCATATTATTCCGACCATACAGCACTACTCCGAAAAATCATAAAAACCCAACCAGAAGCAAACTAGCAAAGAGAAGTGAAAAAAACTAAAGAATCATTCAGCAAAACATGACAAAGATGAAGATATCGCAATGGTTACTGTGCTGTGGTCTCTCGCCGATCACTGAAGTGGCCCAGCTCAAAGTTAGACTTTACACGATCAGCACGAGACTCTCGCACACCGTATCCTCGTGATCCAAAGACTGCACGAATCCTAGCACCACGATGCTTGTAATGAATCATGTAGACTAGTATGCAGATCACAAATATCACTGCTAGAGGCACAACCACACCGATAGCAATTTTGGCAGAGCGCTCCAGACCAGAGTGATAACTGCTATTGCCGCTGTCATCATCCTGGACATTGTCGGAAGGAAGACGGCTGATAGAGTAGAGCGCGTCGGAAACTGAGTCGATTGCTCGTAGTATTGGTCCGGACTTGGTGCCAGTGTGGGTTGCGTTTGAGTCAGATGGAACGACCGGTATGATATTGAGATAAAAGTAGCCCTCGTAGTTGACGGAGGTGAAGTTCTCGAGGATGGTGAGAGGATAAAATCCGTAGGCGTTGGTAATCTGGCCGGTCTCAAAGATGAGGTCGTCATCATCATCGATAGATGTCAGGTTTCCGAGAGCTCTGCCTTGCAGCTTTACGCTCACAATATCATCTAGGCCGCCGCCAAAATAGCTGGGATCCCATGTAACAAAGTAAGTCTCTCCGACAACGAGTTCGGAAGCATTGTGCGGCGTGCAGAATGGAACACCGGGAAGATCGTCGTCTGTTGTGGGCAGGCGTTCAGCCCAGCACCCGAGCACAGGGGCAGCAGTCTGATAGAATATCTCGTCAGAAGCAGATGGTGTGGGGGAAGGATTGAGGGTAATGGTGCCAGATACGACGGCCGTGGTATCGTATGGTATGCCGGAAGAGTCCAGAGAGACCCATTTGGAGGAAGCCGAGGATGCGGTAGTCGGTGTCGGAGAGGGGGAGACAGTAACGCCAGCGTAGACCGAAGGTGTGATTGTGAGCACTTGACCGTCAGATGTTGTCGTCCAGGGGCTGAGGGCAATGACTGCGGTGGCCGCAGACGCAGCGTGGACGGCCGAGGAGAGCGCGACGAGAGCGGACAGAAGAAGAGGGAGCGGCATCATTGCGAGCATCGGCAAGCTCTGCAAGCACATGAGAGTTGACGACGACAGAGAGAGCAGCAGGCAGAAGCATCTGGGTATAAACAGTAGCAGTAGCTCAGTAAACTTATGTATCATCACTGCGGCGGCCGGACGCGGTCTCGACCGGGGCCGGCGGAGCAGGAGAGCTCAGTAAATAATTAATGTGGGCGCTGGGAGGGCCTAGTAGAGCCGGCGGGGCTGCAGAAGAAACCCCATTACCCTACTAAAATGTCTGAGCCGCACGTCCAGACCGCGTCTTAGTCCGTTCCCCATCTTTGGTCCGTACTAAACAATGATAGTGTCCTGTTTTTATTGATCAGAACTGGTAGCTGCAGTAGCATGATACTCATATCGGCTGAGGGTAGTTAACTCTTGGCAGCATGCAGCTGCAGTATCTACTTAAGCTGCCTCTGATGCGTCACTTCAGTGCGCTGCTCCACCACATCCACAATCACTACCCATCGCTGTTCACCGATTTGTTACAATGCTGATCTCTCTACCTTCGCTTTCTCTGACCCTCTTTGCTCTCGCTCATCTCTCATCAGCTCAAGAGCATGGCGAATCTGGTGCTCAAGAAATGGGCCCCATGGCTTTCTTGTGGCCTCCTGATCGCGAATGGTCTGACGATTATGACAACACCTCACCCTGCGGATCTGCCACCGGCGCACGCAACCGTACTGATTTTCCGCTCGAAGATGGTGCGATAGCGCTTGTGATGCAAGACTCGACTTGGAATATAGAAATAGCCATTTACTACGGTAGCGATAATCCGACTTCAATCTCTCAGTTCACCGATATCTTGCCTGAGATTGCTTCGCTCGAGGCTGGACACAAGTGCTACTATATCGAGGATCAGAATTCCTCCGTTACTATCGGTGAAAATGCTACATTTGAGATCCGCTACACCGCTGTTGATGACTCGGTCAATGCTACTCAATATGCCTGCGCGGATGTTACTTTTGTTTCCGTCGCAACTTTCAACGAGACTATTCCGTGCTTCAATGTCAGCTACTCCGACTACAGCGACTCGTCTTCCTCCTCTTCTATCTCGTCCGCTCTTGAATCTCTGACCTCAGCAGAGTCCGCCGCTAAAGCGTCAAGCACTGCCGCACCTACTTCCTCGGGTTCGGAGTCTGCCTCCAGTTCGTCTGCCGTGACCTCCTCGTCCGCGGCTTCCTCATCTGAGGCAGCATCCTCGTCTTCTGTTGCGGGAGCGATGTACAAGATTATTGACACTGGAATGATAGTCGGACAGCTCGCAGCTCTGGCCTTCTTCTTGGTCTAGACTGTGTATAGTAGTATTAGTAATTTAATTTTTGCGATCGTATTTGAACCTATTCTTGATCAAGTAACTCGGTGAGACAGATGCAGATGGTGTTATCTCTGCGGTGGGGATTGATCATCTGATAAGATGTGTTCATACGCGAAACCTAAAATCTCGAAGAACACGCCGAGAACTCGCACCAGCTGGGCCAGATTGTCTCGGTCTGCACCGAGAAGATGTTGCTGGAAGTGGGTCTGTATGCAAGTGATTTTAGTGAGTTCTTGGTTACTACGGAGATGGAGAGAGACTATCACTTGGGAGCAACTAATGACGACAGCTGATATCCTGCTCGCTGCGGATTTCAGTATCTCGTCCGGATATACTCAGTCAAGGCCTTTCTGTGCTACTCTTTTATCATGATCTGTAAATTAGATGGTGTAGTTCTCATGTCTATGAGGCATGAACCTCAATATAGAAATCTCTTTGTTCAGCGACGAGATCTGGACAGCGTATGCGCGAGACGGATGAAGCCCACTTTACAGTGGGCCCCTCCTCCAAGAGTTTATCCCCTCCTCCAAGAGTTTATCCCATCTCCCCCGCCATTAATCATACCCAAGTCAGCTCACGTTCTAACAAAAAGCTGTTGATGTTATTCCGAGTATTTCAGTTCTCGTTTCTCAGCCAGACAGCCATTTACTCGCCAGATTTGATCGTCATTCCCAGAATGTTACATAAATCATTACAAATCAATCCGTTTCTGTCGTATCCGAACCCCCGCACAGTCTCAATTCCCGAGCGCTTTTCTACGTCTTCTGCCCGCAGCGATGCTGTCCTTCCTTGTTTCCAACGACCGATATCATACATCAATTGATTTGATATAATCGGAGTGCCATTCATTTGTCGTAACCATCGCATTCTGACCATCTTCCCATAATGCCCATTGCCAAGCTAGAGTCGGGCGTAGAGTTGTCCTACTCTGATTCCGGAGTTCCTAATAACTCGTCTTCATACGACACGGTTATAATCTGCCATGGAGTTGGATTCAACAAAGGTAAAGTGCAATCACATCGAGCTTCATTTGTTGCATAGTTGCTGACCGGATACCACTCTTATTTTCTAGAGGCCTTCTCTCCTCTGTTTCCTTACGCAGCTCAGAACAATCTTCGAATCATTCCCTACAATCAGCGAGGTTACGCTGATTCGACTCCACTGACCCCATCACAGCTTGAGATGACAACCGAGGATTCAATTCCGCAATCTGTTGACTTTGTTCGCGATCTCATCGGGTTTATTAGCTACGTGAACACCACTCTTGTGGTGCCTTCTAAGCCAGTGATTATCGGATGGTCGAAGGGTACTGCTCTGCTGATAGGTCTCGCTTCACCGGGATTTCTTCCTGCGGACGAACAGAAGGCTGCTCTCTCGACTTTTTCGAAATTGGTTTTGTACGAGCCGCCTGGAAGTGTGTTCGGTCTGCCGTTGACGAAGGATTATACCGACGCCATGTCGACCGTCATAACCGGAAACGATAAGAACTCGCTGAATGATAACTTTGGCAACTGGATTTCTGGCTTTTACGAACCTGGGGAGACCAAACCATATGCGACCTCCCTCACCACTCTTCCTGCTGAGTATCTTGCTTCGGCGAATGAACCACACATGGTCAAGCACGGATTCTACTGGAAGCTGGCACTCTCAGCGGATGACCAGTACGAAGTGACAAAATCGGCTTTACTGAATGACAATGTGAAGATCGGGGTCTGTAGAAATGGAAAGACGGCTGGCTATCTTGTCGCGGCTGCTGATGCTGCCGCGGCTCTAGGCGCGACTACCAAAGTTTTGGACGAAGGAGGAAATCATTTTGCGTTTGCTCATGAACCTGAGAAGTGGCTGGGGCAGATCTGGAAATTTGCGACTGAATTATAGGGTCGTCAATGGTCTTTGTTGTAGTAGATAGAGAAATAGCATTGAGTGAGTCGCAATCATAACCTCCTAGATCCGAAAGACTTAAACCCTATCTTCTTACTTCCGGACACTCATTTTTCCGTTCTCATCTTGCAAACACCCTACAGGGTCAATTGCACCCTATCTCGATAGTACTAAGCAGTATTCTCTTTGTTGATTTCTATCCGATCTCTCTACGAGAGTCATGATGTGTAGTGGCGTTTCCTTTCAGCCTGCGTGGAGTAGCTTCCCGCTGGGACAGCTTATCGGACAGCGCTCCCTTTAAACTCTACTTACTCCCGAATGCCCAGTCCGCCCACACACAGACCCGCAGGCCTCTCTGGCTCTCCCTGCACCTCGACAAACATTTTCGTGCAGCTTTCTCCGTTCTTCTTTTTTGTCAGATAAAGTACTACCTAGCAGTCATTATGAAGCCAATCGTTTTTCCCTACACCCAAAAGCCGTACAAGGAGCTCGTCGAGGCCAAGCTTGCGCAGCGCGAGTCGCGCATTCCCAAGGAATGGAAGATTGACGTTGACCTTTCGCCTGCCAATTTGCTAGATGTTCCCTCGACCTGCGGTCTGTTGACCGACCGCGAGCTTGAGATTACCGAGAAGTACGACTCCGTTGGGCTTCTAGCTGAGATTGCAAAGGGCACTTATACCTCGAAAGAAGTTACAATTGCGTTCTGCAAGCGCGCGGCGATTGCACAGCAGTGCCTGAACTGCCTGACCGAGATCTTTTTCGATAAGGCTATCGAGCGCGCGGAATGGCTGGACGCCGAGTTTGCGCGAACCGGAAAGACTGTTGGACCACTTCATGGACTCCCCATTTCGTTGAAGGACTCGATGTCGGTTGCGGGCGAGGACTCGGTCGTCGGAATCGCTGCCTACTGCTTCCAGCCTGAGAAGGAGAACAGCGTTGTTGTCGATATCCTCATCAAGCTTGGTGCTGTCATGTATGTGAAGACCAACGTCCCGCAGAGTATGATGGTGCCAGATACCGACAACAATGTGTTTGGAATCACCCGCAACCCAATTCACAAAGAGCTCACTGCTTCGGGTTCCTCTGGTGGCCTCGCGGCACTCATCAAGTTCCGTGGCTCGCTCCTCGGCATTGGAACTGACGTCGGTGGATCAATTCGTGTTCCGGCATATACCCATGGCGTCTACTCGCTCAAGCCTTCCAGCGGCCGCGTGCCGTACCACAACGTGAAGGGATATCTCGAGCCTGGTGCCGAGACTGCTGGAATTCTGTGCGTCAACGCGCCTATGGCAGTCTCTGTGCGCGACTTGGAGTTTGTCATGAAGTGCATGTCGGATGCGGAGCCATGGCTATATGATCCCAGCTGCCAATACTTGCCATGGAACGAGCCCAAGCCGCTTGATCGCAAGCTTTCGATTGGTGTTATTCGATTTGACACCGAGGTTCAGACTCTTCCTCCTGTTGCCCGTGTGCTTGACGAGACGGTCGAGAAGCTCAAGGCCGCTGGACATGAGATTGTCGAGCTCGAGCTGTATCTTGCTGACGAGATCTCTGCGAATGCAGTCGACCACTTCAAGGTCGATGGTGGCGCATTTTTGCTCTCGCAGCTCGAACTCACTGGCGAGCCTCTTACTGTGGCTAACCAAAATGGTGGTCTCTACCCTGACGTCAAGCGTGGGCTCTCGGATTTTTACGCCTACAGCTCTGCGCGTGCCGAGCTACAGCGCGCCTGGCTCAAATACTGGGAGGAGACCGCGAGCAAGACCAAGTCTGGAAAGCCCGTCGACGCCTTGCTGCTTCCCATCCAGTCATTCCTTCCGCGTCCTGAGGGCTACATGATGCGTTCGCACTTCTCGCGCACATGGAACAACCTTGACTACCCCGGACTTATCTTCCAGGCGGGTAAGGTCGATCTCGCGCAGGACGACAAGGAGATGCCGGCCCCGATCACCGATATGGATGCCAGAGTGCAGACTACGTGGGCGAAGGATGTACGTGGACGGTACGACGGGTTCCCGATTGCGCTGCAGTTGGTGGGCCAGCGCCAGATGGAGCCTAAGCTGTTCCAGACGATGTCCGAGATTAGTAAGGTTTTGTAGGGCGAGTCATGTAATAAATAGTAATGTAAATTGATATCTACGAATAGAAAGAAGTAGCAAAAAGAGAAACAAAAGGAACGGAGTAATTCAGGACAATAGGGCAGCGCTCAATTAACACCGGCGTTAATAGTCCTACTTCTCGAGACCAAATTTGAGATTCGGACGGAAATACCGGCGTTTGCGCAAATATGCGTAGTCATCTCAAGTCCGGCCTGCGCCGAAACCTTATTTGTGGGCGCACCTTCCTCCTCGACATCGCCCTCTTCCCTCCTTGGCTTGACTCTCTTACGCGAGGCGCGATTCCTGCTGCTGGCCTTTCTTTACATTCTACTACCTCTGGGCAGCCTGTTGGATTCAGACAAATTCGGGGGCATTGCCAGGGCCGAGTGTTTCTCTCCTGTCTACCATGGACGTCGCGCATATCACAAACGGCTCGAGCCAGCAGCAGCAACGGCAGCAACAGCAGCAGCCACAACAGCAGAATTCCTTGCCGCCCCCTCTTCCTCAGCACAGTGGCTCGACTATCAATGCACCATTGGATCGACTTCCGAACCCGACTACGTCTATGAGCTATGTTCTTAACTCGCCAGTGTCGACAGCTCCCAGCATCTCCTCATTGTTGCATCAGCAGCCAGAGCGCTTGAGCCCTCAATCGCAAACTTCATCCCAGCAACAGCCGCAGTCCGCAAATATGACTACAGCAAAATCGATCGGTGACCCTGCCCAGGATACACAGCATCAGCAAGGGTTTTATGAGTTTAGTAGTTCACGAGAGGAGTTGAGCGATCCAAAGCCTCCAGGGACTCGCAAACGCCGACGTATCCCCGTCTCGTGCGCCGTCTGCCGCCAGCGCAAACTAAAGGTATCTCCTAAATTCTATATATTTTGTTTCGCATTCTGAAACAGTGGGTGTCTTCTATATTTTTGCGGGATCTAACTGAGTCAATTTTGATTTCGAAAAGTGCAATCGCATGCAACCCTGTTCTGGATGCGTCAGGCACGGTACCGTAGATCTTTGTGTCTACGCCGTCAAACCATGGATCGCGCAAAATCTACCAGGCGCAGTAGCAACAATATCACCTTCCTCATCGTCGTCCTCTCCCTCCTCTGTTCCTGCTACTCATCTTCCGGATAATTATGGCTACTCGGCAGCCATCCCTGGCACGCAAACATTTTCAATGACCCGATCTCCTGGGAAAACATCACAACGGCCATTGACTGATAGTCCGATGCACCAACAGAATCAGCAGCATTTGTCTGAACGGCTTCCGGGATTACAAAGATCACCGCAGCCGGGGTCTGTTGCGTTGCCGAGCTATTCCAACTCTCAAGTCTCTCATATTTCGAATCAGGATAGTTATAGGACGGCAAGTGCCGTACAGAGCATTCAAGACGAAATCGCGGGCGTTCAGAAAGCTACGAGTGGACTATCAGGTGGAATGGCTCCACTTCAAGAGTACAATGAGCTCAAGAATCGGATGGAGCGTTTAGAGAGTATGATTCAGAGATTTGGAGGCAGCGGCGGTCAACTTCTACCGGGAAACAATAATGATCATTCTATCAAGCTTCCGCCTATCCGTGACGATCTACAGTCCTCAGCCTCTGAGGGGCCGGCGGTGAACTCGGAGAGCCCACGGACTGGCGCTACGGCAGGGACAGCGTCCCAGCCATATGTGTTCGCACCGGAGCCTCGATTGCGGGCACATGTTACGGTGAAGAAGAACCGATTTTCATTCCATGGTCCCTTTACTGCTGTGACTGCATGCAAGCACGATGCTTATCTAGCGAAGTATATGGCGTGCGATGACATGAAGAAAGCAAAGAGTCCCTTCAAGAAGATGCTGAAAGAAAAGAAGCATTCTGCTGGGAGGCCCGGGAAACATGAACAGCTGGCGCCTGAGACTGAGGAAATGATCCGCGAAACCCTGGACACAAATGCAGATCTGGCAAAGATGTTTCCAAGACTAGAACATCGAGATTTATGCGAATATCTCATTACTCGGTTCTTACAAACGATCAACCTGGTATTTCCGATCGTACACCCGACCTCCTTCCGAGCGGCTATGATGAAGTACTGGGAACAAAAGTGGAAGTTTCAGAATGGGACTGCAGCTAAGCCTGCTCCCACCGACACAACCTCCAAGGCTTATGCGATGGACAAAAAACTTCATAAGCTCAACAAATGTAGCTCGCAGCGCAAGGAGCATATGCGCGGAACGGCTCTCATGGCGATCTTGCTCAAGCTCGGACGGATGGCTTGTGGACCGAACTGGACTCCGTCAAAGGCAGGATTTGACGACAAATATGCGCCTCTGTTTGAGTATCGTCTCAAGGACTTTGCGTGGAAGTGCTTGAATGAGACTTCGTATCTACAAAAATCAGATTTCGTCGCTCTGCAGGTGCTTCTTGGTATCCGGGTTCATAATATGCTGGCGAGTGAAGTTACAGAGGGGCCCGATACTTGTGATTCTGGCTCCTTCTCTGGATTGCTTTGCCAAGTTGCATTGACTATGGGCCTACATCGTGATCCTGATCAGTTCCCACAGGTTCCTCCTGATCTTGCTGATGCATGGAGGATAATGTGGGCCGAGATACTGTCAGTTGATACTGATCGATCGCTATGTATAGCTGTTCCTTTTGCGATAAGCACAGAGATGTCAGATACGCTGGTCGATAAACTACGCCCGTTCCAGTTAGTTGCTACGGCTAGCGAGCAACCATCTGTCCACTTCCTACACTGCAAAGTTCAGTTCAACATGCTCGCGCGAAGTATATTATCGCGCCTTCTGCTGCCTGATTTGGAGCTCCAAAAGACGGAGTTTGATCAGCACATGGCATGGTTGTCGGCATTTGAAGAGAAGAATCTCAGCTCGTTTCAGCTACTTGTTGAGATGATCAATGCTGATACAGATCCTGCTGTATCAGGCCCACAAGATTCATATGATTTGACCCAGAAGTATATTCTGCAGTTGCAATTCTTGCGTCTGCAATTATCGCTTCTACGAAGCTATGCTCCAAAAGATGAAGCAGAGCAAAGAAGGGTCTTTATAGATCGGCTGAGATGCGCTGAGAAGCTTCTTGATACAATCGTGACATGCACTCGTCGGCCGCAGTTGTTTTCAGGATTCATGCCGCTGATTATTCCTCTGTCGCTGCGACATTTTCCAGCACATTTGATTACTATTTACATTGGGATTTTACGACAAATTGGAGAGCAGCCAGCTTCGGTTGCAGGACTGCAAGGTATAGTTACGGATGAGAACTGGCGGACGCCGGATATGGCGTTTAAATATGACGATCGAACGGTTTGTGACATCAAGAGACTGTATCAGACCGCTAGCAAGATTTGCAGCTGGATTGAGTCCGAGAGTGAGACCAACTACTCTGCGCTACGGATGTTTCCGTTGGCAAGGACATATCTGGAAGCGTGCAAGGACGCGATCAGCAAAGGAGGCTCGTCAGCTTCAGTGTCTTCAAACCAAGAAGCGTCAAATGAGATGCCGTTGACCGAAAGTCCAAATGCGGGTCTGACTGACGACACCGGATCGCTGGTGTCGCCAAAGGAGGGACAAGACTGGGCCGACGCGCTGACTACGTTGGGACTCGATCCGGCAGAGGACACGGTCTCGTTGATGGGTGACGGAGCGATTGGAGAGTGGTGGCATGACTGGAGCGTTGCGGTCGAGGATGCATTGTTTGACGATATGGATATCGAACATATGCCGATAGGAGCTGGAGTTGTATGAGACATGTAGTAGGAGTTCATGATATGCGTTCTGAACAAATAGTTAGGAGTTCATTGTGTTTCCGAGTGCAGTAGAGTCCGAGTAGGGTTTTTACAATATTACACAATATGGCCCACGATACCCTAAACCGCAAGATGGAGGGGGATGCTTGTAACTTTAATTTAGGCTATTTCTACCGACGAGGTCAACGCAGGCGAAATCTAAAGCAGTTCGGGATTCTATCTGCCGTGAGAAATGTTTCTATAGAGAGATAGCGTAGAAAAGTCAATTGGTGAAGATGTGAAAGTCTACGTTACTGATGCGAGCTTTTTGTCAAAAAAAGGATGATTCATATTTTTACATTAGAAATTATTATGTGTAATCTAACAATGCTCTCTAAGATATTAAGTAAATTACATGGCGAGGTATCCAAGAACGGCAACGACGGCACCCAAGATTCCAGTGGTAGGGAGAGCGTTTCCAGCAGCACCCGCAGTGCTGGAAGAGGCAGCGGCAGATGAGGTAGCGACGGCGGAGGAGGAGGCAGCAGCGGTTGAGGAGGCGGTTGAGTTGGAGGAGCCTGAAGCAGTGGAGGAGGCAGCAGCAGAGGTAGCGGTGGAGGAGTGGTGGCCCGAGGCGGAGGCTGAAGAAGAAGACGAATCATCATCGGTCTCGATGCCGGCAGCCTCCTCAGACGCAGCGAGCGAGCCTAGCCAGGCGTCGGTGGAGATTCCAGTCGCGTTGACGCAAAGGGAGGACGAGCTGTCACCGGAGAGGGTAAGAGTGACATCGGCGCACTAATTGATGGTCAGTATTGTCTTTCTGGACGATAGAAGTGGTAGAAGAGAACTTACGTTGTAGAGTTCACCGTCGTCGGAGAGGTAGATGACCTGGATGGTACCGTTTAGGCTGTCTCCGTCCCAGAAGTCACCCTCGAAGTCAATCGAGGGAAGGCAGAAATTGCCAGAGCCATTGATCAACAGGGGGTCGACGATAGTGTAGTTGAAGCTGTCAGCGTCAACACAGTCGTTGCCAACGCAGAAGTTGACCTCATAGCCTGAAGCAGCGTGCGAAGAGGTAGTAGCGATTGAGACACTGCCAGGGTCTAAGCTTGAGCGAGGAAGGACTACACTGTTCTTTCCTCCGCAGGGGCTGGAGGTCTGTGTTTCGTGGTTCGCACCGCGGGATTCGGGGAAAGTGAGGGTGAAATGAGCGAGGGCGGGTGCGGCCGAGAGCGCGAGAGTAGCAGCGATGGTGGAGAAATGCATTTTGAATGTTGTTGTGGGATTGATATGACGATGGAGGACTACAAGAAGAACCGGGCAGCTGCAGGAGTTCTTATAGTCGAGCCCGCAGCAGCCGCATATTTGCTCTTTTTCCTGCCCGTTTTCCTTTATCTCTTTCTACGATCTTTTTCGGGTAATTTCCGTCTTCCTCGAGCCTTCGTCCACCACAACAGACCGCATGCGAGGCTGTCAGGAATACGCCGGTCCCGTTTAGGAAGTATCAAGCCACCGTGCGGCTTACAGCACCGCCACGGAATGAGCAAAAAACGAGCAAATTTCCAAACTCTAAAAGACCCTGCGCGAGCAAGTCTCCGCCGGAAGTGAGAACGGACTGGGTCGATAGCGATTGAGTCGAGATCAGATGCGGGGATCAGATAGGTGTTGGTCGAGAGATATTCAATCTAAAAGAGTCGCAAAAACTACTGAAAGCACCAGCAATGACGAAATGATGTATTTTAACAAAACGAACGAAAACCCAAGTCTAGAACCATAGCAAAATCAAAAAACCAATACTGCATCATCCACTAATGGGCCTCAAAACTAGACGCAAAACGTCCCAATAGCAGTTCTCCAAGAAGGATTCCACCGAGAATCGAGAAAAAGTAGCCAAGGTTGAAGGACATGGCAGCAAGCATGAGGAGATATGAGATAGCGGAAAGGAAGAACTGAATGACTGAAAGCGGGACGTCGATCGAGACTCTCCACGGCCGCGCGTGTGTAAAGTCGAACGGTCTTGGGACTTGGCGACGCTGCTCTGCAGAAGTTGAAGCTCCACTTGCTGCGACGTATTTTTCGAGATCCGAGTCCTCTGGCGGGCTTGCAGCTGGCACTGCGTTCACGCGCGCCCGAGCGACGAGGTAGCGCTCGGTACGGTGCTTGATGACGTGGGTTGCTCTGTAGATGACTGCGAGCACGATGAGGAAGATGCAAGCTCCAACGTACTGGCCGCGGTTAGACGGAGTCCAGCCAGTAGCGAGAAGGAAGTCCTGGCTGTTGGCGTGGAAGGACATGCTGGTCATGTCCATTGAGCTGCTCGTACTGGACATGTCCATTGAGGATGTGGTGGTCGACATATCCATGTCCATTGTTGTTGAGGTCGAAGACATGTCCATGTCCATGTCCATCGAGCTGGAGGTAGTCATCGCCATCGCTGTCGACGTCAGAGAAGAGACAGCCGAGGAAGTGGCCGACATGACCATGGAGGTGGTTGACGATAGCAGGCTCGACACTGTGGTAGACGCGGCCATGACCATGCTGGTGGTGGAGTCCATGTCCATGTCCATACTTGAGCTAGTGCCCATATCCATTCCTGACATATCCATTTCGACTGTAGAGGTGGTTCGGATGTGAAGACGATAGAGAGATGAAAAGCGGTGAGCGAGACGAACGGAAGGAGTTGAAGCAGCCGAAGAGATTTCTTTTGAAAGCCCGCCGCAGCCCAACACTAAACGCGCACAACAAACAACTGCTCAGCGGCTCAGGCCTTTTTATCCTCTGCTATTTTGCTCGTTCTTTCCGCGCAGATTGTCTTTTTCCCTCTCTGCAATATAAAATGTAACTCATATTCGCGCAGTATTCCAATAATGTACATCTCTTAGCTCTCTGCAGCGCAAATCAGTCCACTCCGGTCGAGACCTTCCCTTTTGTAACTGTGGCAGGTTATTTGCTCGCCCTTCGCTCGTATTCGCGTTGTGGCGCAGGTGAGCAAATATCGCACAAAACTAGTCTAGTGCGGCTCATGCGGCTCGGTTTGTGCTTTATCGGGACAAACTTTAATCATTTGCTCGCCTCAATCCAACCCGCCGAGCAGACCCCACCGGCTCCCTTTTTTTTGCAGCTTTCTTGCTCGGTTATCTCTCTTTTTTGCTCGTCGCTGGTTATTTGCATTGCATTTGCTGGACCGCTTTTTTTTTTCCGTTTCTACTAACCATCTAGCTGTCTTCTTCCTTCTCGACTCTCCCCGCAGTGTCGCTATGTCTTTGCAACTACTGCCCAGAGACTCTTTCGCGAATGAGCCAGGTGGAAGCAACTACACGGCCACCAACGGCCCTTCCTACACGAACCAAGGCCAAGGCCAGTTCAACCTAGATGGCACTCCGCGTCCTGGATACATCGCGAAGATGTACTGGGCTGTCATCGGGGCCGTCCTTGCCTTTGCGTTCTTGCTCAGATTCATAGACCTGCTTCTTGCTCACCAGCGGTATGTTACTTCCTCCTCTCAGAATGAAGAAGATGGAATACATCTGCTAACGAGCAATACCATCTCCAATAGACTGCGTTCTCGTTCTGCAAAGCCGCGTCTGTTCTTCATTCGCGCATATGCCTCGCTGACCGTCGTCGGCCGCGTTCTATCCTATCCTACACTTCCGTGGATTCAACGCTTTCCCAACCTCGTCCATTTCCCTTCCACTGGTCGTCTTATCATGGCCCTCTCCTACTTTGGCCTTCTCATCGGACTCTGCTTCTACAACCTCCCTCGATCGACCTCTGCTGAATGGGAGCAGGCAGGCTACAGAGCAGCATGGCTGGCAATTACCCAGATTCCTCTCATCACCCTTCTATCTTGCCGTCGTTTGACCGTCATCGCCTTCCTCACCGGCTCCTCATCCAGCGTCTCGCTCAACTTTTTCCACCGATGGGTTTCGCGTGGATTTTTCATGATTGCTGCAATCCACATGTTTTACATGATGAGATATTACGAGTCCTTCAACTATCTTTCTTACCAGCTCAAGACGGACCCCATCACTAAAGATGGTCTGAGGTCGTTCTGCATTTTGGCTTGGATTGTTATCGTCACCAGCGTGCGTCCTATCAGACATTACCTCTTTGAGCTGTTTTTTGTCAACCACATAGCATCGGTGATTGCTTTCCTTGTCATTCTCATGAGACATACTCCGACCTACGCGCATGTCTACCTTTGGATCTCGATTGGCATTATTGTCGCTGACGCCGCACTTCGCTGGGTGCTGCTTTTCATCAACAATGTTTCAACTCGAGGACTTAAGTACCGTGCTACGATTACCTCTATCGCAGACACAGACATGATGAAAATTAGTATCCCTATCGCCGGTTCTGCACGACTGCTCCGCTGGAAGCCAGGCCAGTTTGTCAATCTTTCTTTTCCGACATACGGCCCTCTCATGTCTCATCCGTTTTCGGTGATGTCGACTTCTGATGATCAAAGCCTAGAGTTCATCGTCAAGAAGAAGACCGGAATCACCCGCTGGATTCACAAGTCTGCGGCAGCTCGCGCTTCAAGTTTTAATTCCTCGCCCGAATCCTCCTATGCTTCAGACTCTCTGCGGTCAGATAAACGAGGATCGACGTCTTATAATAGTGATGCAGAGATGCAATCAACTGCCATGTCATCCCTAAGCGGATTGACGCTCCCGGTCTTGGTCGATGGTCCTTATGGAGGCTCTCCTCGAGACTTGAAGCAATTTGCGTCGGTCTTGAACGTATTTGCGGGAGTCGGTGCTACCTATGGACTGCCGGTTGCTAGAGGTTTACTACTAGATGCTGCAAAGGCAAAATCAGTTGCGCTGAAAAACATCGAGTTAGTCTGGATCGTGAGACAATATGCTGATGTGTTTGCGTTCAAGGAGACTCTGCAGCTGGTGAGTGATGCATATGACCTCTGCGACAAGTCAATACAGCTCTCCATCCGTATCTTTGTCTCTGATATCTCATCCCTTCCCGCTGACGGCGAAGACGAAGAGAAATCAACCGAGAACTTTCCTCCATGTGTCACCATAGTTCCCGGCAAACCTAACATCCGCCACGTTCTTGCGGATGCTATGACTACGGCGTCACCGTTCGGAGAGCTGGCGGTCAACGTCTGCGGTGGACTGCGATTGGCTGCGGATGTCAAGAACTCAACTGCTATTTTGCTAGATGCTCGTGCTGCACATACTGGCAGTAACGGTACTGCCCAGAGCTGCTATGTACATGTTGAGCAGTTTGAGGGTTGATTCTTTTTTCTTCCAAAGATAGCACTTTTTTGTTTTTTTTGCGTTTCATTGAGGAATGAGTAAATGGGGTTGTCTTTTGTCTTTGCGTATACGGTGCATTGGGTTGCTTCTGGTTTGGGATTTGTATATAGTAACATTACATACAGTCTGTTCTACTACTTGCTAAACTCTTTCAGCACTCTCTCCACTTCCGCCACGAAGTCCTTCTTAAACTCTAGGTCCTTCGTCCATGACATGTGAATTGCGTTGATCTCGCATGCGGCGATTTCCTCCATCGTCCAGCCAGTCTTGCCTTGTACATCAATCACGACTTTCTCCTTATATCTGCACATATACGCTGGGTCATCACTGTTCAGGCAGAACGGAATCCCGGTCTGCTTTATGAGCTCTAGCTTTCGGAACACTGATTCCGGACCGAGGTGCTTTGAGTAACCCATTGGGCAGAGTGTGAGTCCGAGGTTTGACTTCTTTATCAACTCCAATAGCTCCGGATTATCGGCGCAGTTTAGACCATGATCGATTCTATCTGCGCCAGCGTCATATTTCGGTGTCAAAAACAACTCAGTGGGACCATCGTGGTTGCGAGGACCTCCGAGTTTCGTAGCGACGTACGCGATGTTTGCATGGCAGCCGGGCTGGTCAACGTCGCAGTGGGCTGTGATCTTCAATCCTGCCTTACGAGCGGCCTCAAAGACCTCGTCAAACTTCTGCGGCGGATGGCCGTCCTCGTCTGAATCGAGACCGACGCCGATGATGTCTTTCAGGTATCCACCATTTACAGCTGCCTTCCATGTCTCGATCGCGGAATCGGCGGACATGTCCCGCAGGAAGCAGAGGATGTACTCGATGCGCACATAATCCGGTTTTCCCTCATGCAGCTTCTTTTCATCCTCGCGTGCTTGCAGGAGGCCCTGCATCACTGTCTCCAAGGGAACACCGCGGGACGTGTGTGCCTGTGGGTCAAAGAAGACCTCGGCGTACCGCACGTTCATCTTTCTCGCGCGCTCGATGTACTCCGCCGCCATACCTCTAAAGTCTTCAGGCGTAATCAAGACCTCCATAGCACCGTAGTAGTTTGCCAGAAATTCGCGCAGGTAGTCACTGCCATCCTGGCCTTCCTCGTAGTCGTAATCAGCAGGATAGAGTTCCTTCTCGAGGACAGACAGGGAACTGATATTGTTTGGAAGAGCGATGTTGTTACGCTGAGCGCAAAGCAAACGATGCGCTGGTGAAAGAGTTCCTTCGAGGTGAACGTGGTGCTCACATTTGGGCAGGGCGTGTATAAAGCAGTCCATTGCCGGTGGAGTCGGTGCAGGAGGGCGATAAGCGATATCGTGGGGGACAATGGATTTATTAACTGCTGAATGAGTTGGGACGATGCGGCTCGTGCTCCTCCAACTCTATTCATCGCTGTATACTCTTCCACAAGGTGAGTATCCTGCAGCTTCCTGCCAAACTACATTGCAATACAAGATGTTTAACAGCTTAGAGGCACTTTGCAACTCTGACAATGAAAATTCAACACAAACTGGACATAAATTGGCAGTAGAACGAGGGCGCCAACTCTGTCCCCATTATAGTATAAATGTACTCTGTTTATGCGAAGTCCCTATTTTGGCATCATATACACCTCTCATACAAACCTGCTTTTCTCCCAAGCAAAAAGTTCTCTGCGGCGCTAAAATTATTTTTCAACACAAAAAGCTTTCTCTGATCTCAGCATATTTGTGCAGAAACCACTTCTACACTCAGCATAGTGTATATTCTCTTCTACTCATTATTGAGTCTACTTGTACAAGATGGTAGCCAAGAAGGCAACAAAGAAGTTCAACAAGAACCACCTGAAACACACGCTCGAGCAGCGGAAAACGGTTCAGGCATTCAAGAAGAAAATTTCAAAGGGCCACAAGAAGCCCAAGCACCGCGCCGACGAGGAAAGCTATGTTGGCAAAGACGCGAGCGAGAAGAAGGCTACTCGCAAGAGCTCTGAGCCTGCCCTTGGAGACAAGAATGCGTCTGAGTTGTTTGCGACTGGAATCGAGGACGACGTCGAGGATGCGTTGAAGACTGCTTCTGGTAGTAAAAAGTCAAGGGCCGCTGTTGAGGATGATGCGGGCGACTTTACTCAGTTTTTGGATCAGGAAGATCAGGATCTTTTGCAGGACGGTGATGACAGCGAAGACGACGACGGGCAGGAACCAGAGGACGAGGAGTTGCTTGCTGGTGAGGATTCCGACGACGAAACCGAGAAGCCTGCGAAGAAGTCCAAGAAAGCCGCCGCAGCTGCAGCTGATGATGATGACGATAGTCAGGAGCTTACGCGTGCGGACGTTGCGCGCTGGAGAAAAGCGCTTGACGAGGAGTATTCGTTACGAGCGCTCAAGCGGGTCGCTATTGCCTTCCGCGCTGCGGTCCATGTTGGTCAGGACGATAATTCTGCTCAGAAATTCAAGTACACAATCACCGATCCTCAGGTGTACAACGATGTCATTATGCTCACTCTCACTCGGCTTCCAAATGTGCTCCAGCACCACATTCCAATCACCGAATCACCTGCCGGTCGCAAATCGGCGGGCCGAAAATCAGTCCCGCTCAACAGCAAGAAATATCAGCAACTGTCGCCGATCCTGAAGTCTCTGTCTGGAAACTTGCTGGTTTTGATGTCTGGACTGACAGACTCGAAGACCATGGCAGCAGTGTTGACTGCTGGTGACCAGCTTCTGCCGTATTTTGTCGGATTCAAGAAGTTTGTGAAGGAGTTCATCAAGGCGGTGGTCGATATCTGGAGCACGGCTACCGATGAAGGTACGCGGTTGATGGCGTGGGCGGTTATCCGCTCTGCTGCGGAGTCGGACAAGAGCATGCTCGAGCTTTGCTTGAAGGTATGTATTGTACATGCTGTTAGAAAGTTTTGTGTCTGGTAGCTAATATTTATATAGACGTCGTATGCGGGCATGGTGAAAAACTGCCGTCATACTAGTGTGCACACGATGCCAATGATTCTGTTTATGAAGAATACGGCGGCTACCTTGTACTCGCTTGATCCGGAGACGACTTATCAGACTGCGTTTGATTTCATTCGCCAGCTTGCTATCCATTTGCGCAACAGCGTTGTGCACAAGACTAAGGATTCCTACAAGTCTGTGTACAACTGGCAGTACATCCACTCGCTCGATTTCTGGAGACGTGTGTTGTCGCTGCAGTGTGATGTCGATAAGGAGGCTAGCGATGGAAAGGAGAGCCATATGCGACCACTCATCTATCCCCTGGTTCAGGTGATGCTCGGAGCCATGAGATTGATTCCGGCGGCGCAATATTTTCCTCTGCGGTTTATGCTGTTTCACTCTCTGCTTGACCTTTCGCGTGACACTGATGTGTACATCCCTCTGATGCCCGCTATTACGGAGCTGTTGACGTCGACGACGGTTACAAAGTCTGGAAAGCCGTCTACTCTGCGTCCGTTTGACTTTGAGCACAACATCCGGGCAAACACTGCGTACCTTGGTACGCGAATCTATCAGACCGGCGTGTGCGAGCAGATTGTGGAATGTGTAGCAGAGTTCTTTGGACTTCATGCGAAGAGCATTGCGTTCCCCGAGCTTGCGGTGCCGTGCGTGCTGACGTTGAAGCGGTACGCTCGTCGTCGCGACCGGATGAGTTCGTTGGCTGACAAGTCCGGCCGAAAGGGCGGCAAGTCGCATCAAGAGAATTACAGGTTCCACAAGCAACTGCTTGAGGTGGTTGAGAAGATTGAGGCCAACAGCAAGTACATTGAGGAGAAGCGGAAGAATGTTGAGTTTTCGCCTACGAGTTTTGAGATGGTTGACGCGTTTTTGAAAGATATCGAGTGGGAAAGCACTCCGCTGGGACAGTATCTGACGGTGCAGCGAGAGGTGCGGGAGGAGAAGATGCGGATTTTGAGAGAGAGTTTGAAGCATGAGAAGGAGGATGGAGAGGGACGGGGTGATAACGAGGAGGACGTGTTTGAGGACGAGGAGGATGATGAGGATATAGATGATGAGGCTATGCCTGATGCGCCGGATAGCGATTAGAAAGAGAGAGTATAAAGTGTCTGATAAGTGAGTAATATAAAAGTCTTTCTTGTTTATGTATGATATTCTATCCCAGCATTTTGTAGAATGCTTTATATGCATGGTCGATGTCAAAGAGCAACTGCCGAGCCTGATCGTCTGTGATTTCATCCGTAGCTTTCATTGAGTTGAGTTTGATGAGCCATTCGACGATTTTGGCCCTGCCGTCGAAATCCTGGGTAGTGACAGCGTTGAGAGAAGTCATGAGCTCACCAAGGAGCGGGTGAAGCTGATCTTTAGCTTTATAGTTCAGTTTGAGGGCGTCCATGAATGTGATGAAGTTTCCGGTGGCATCGGCAGCGGCACGGGCAGAGGAGCCGCCTGTGGGTGCAGGGGCGGGCTGTGGGGTGGAGGACTGTGTGGGGTAGTAGGATAGTTGCTGCTCTGGTGGTTTGGAGACGGGATGCTCTACTGTAGCCGGAATGCCCACCCGTAGTCGAGCAATAGCTGATGGGTAGCTGATCTGTATAGTAAATCAAGGTTAGTAAGAGGAAGTGGGGATGGAGGTGAAGGTATCGTACATCATATTGGGCTTTGAATGAGTCGAGATCTTTAAATTCAGCGGCAACCTCGGCCGACTTCAAGATTGTGCTATACTGAGCCAGCAGCCGCGAGCATATCGGAGTGTACTCCTGCTGTGAGATTGTGTCCTTGACGTATGCTTTCTCGACAAAGTCGAGGGTGACGATGATTGCGTAGATCTCGGCCAGCGACTCGTAGAGGTCTCGCTGGGCGGGCGTGCGGTAGAGCCGGGCCTCCTCGTCGAGGGGGATGCGAGAGCGGAGGGCGGCCGAGGACACGAACGAGGCGGACGAGTACTGCGTCGGTGCGTATGGCTGCGTCATGGTGCTGCTTATCTGCCTATATTGTGAACATGCAGCGAGCGAATGCGGAAGCCGAGCGGCCATGGAGGAGCGGTGTCTTATTCTGGGTGCGGAAGAACCGAAGAACCCGAGGAAGCACGCGGCTGTGCAGATGAGGCAGTAGCGAGTGTGACAGCGTGGCTTTGGCTTCTTCTTTGCGCTCCTCCTTCCTACCACGCTCGCTGTTCTCTCCTCCTCTTGTTCCTCTTCCCCATCTTCCTGCTTCTCTTCGCACTCTCCTCTACCTCTCCTCTTCCTCGTACTCTCCTTGACAGCTCAGCCATGGCCTCTTCAGAGACCTTGGCCGACCGCTCCGTCGTCAAGCATCTCAAGGAGGAGTTTGTTTCCGGCCTAACTGGCGGCTCCATCCAGGAGATCAACATCGTCACCCTCGTCGCCCTCGTATGTCTTTTATTCCTTGTTCTCTTGTTCTTTCAGTTCTTCACATCTTGTTTTGGCTTGTTTACTTACAGATCACTCGTCTTAGTCCTCATACGCCGTCTGGTGTGCCCTGCAGACGCGCTTTGCTTTTTTCGCTCGCTCCTCCTCGTCCTCCAGAACCCCCTCGCTCCCTGCACTCATCGTCGACTTCTTCCTCAACTGGGTCCTCCTCCTCTTCTCAATAACAATATACGCCTCTCATCCCTTTGCATTAAACCTCCTCATTCTCGCCCCCGTCCTCGTCATCTCACTCGGCTTCCGTTCCCTCGTCGCCGTCCGTCAGCGCACTACCCAGACCATACTAAAACGTCGCGACCGTCAGATCCGCAACGCTGCTGCCGCCTCAATACCATACGATGTTTCCGACAGTTCAGCGAACTCACTCAACTCCTCGCTTTCTAATCACCTCATCTCCACCGATTCGCAGTCGCCAGCAACTTTTGTCTCCTCCTCGCACGCGCCCCTGACTTCTTCTACCACAACCACCTCCTCATTCTCCAACTCATCGACTTCTGCCCACCACCCCCTTGTCTCCACCTCCCCTTCCTCATCGTCATCTTCTTCTTCGATCTCATCAATGTCTGTCGACGCGTACCTACCAAGAAAATCCTTCCTTACCACCTACCGCGCCGGAATGATGGTGATCACGTGCATCGCTATTCTTGCTGTCGACTTCCGAATATTCCCCCGCCGCTTCGCCAAAGTAGAGACCTGGGGCACTTCGTTGATGGATCTTGGAGTTGGAAGTTTTGTGTTTTCTATGGGCCTTGTTTCGGCGCGCAGCCTGCTAAAAGAGAGGTTTTTGAAGACAACTCCCGGAATCGGCGAGCAGCTCGTACGATCAATCAGGCAAGCGGCTTCGGTTTTGATCTTGGGTCTGCTCCGCTTGATCCTTGTCAAAGCTATTGACTATCAAGAGCATACTTCCGAATACGGCGTTCACTGGAATTTCTTCATGACCCTCGGCCTGCTACCACCTATAGTCACTTTGCTCAACTACTTCTGGTCCGGCGTTAGCTTCTCCTCCGCTCTATCCCTTCTCGTCGGCATCATCTACGAAGCCTGTCTTGGTTTCACTCCTCTCACCAAGTTTATTTTGACTGCGCCCCGAACTGGACTGCTTTCGATGAACAAAGAAGGGATATTCTCTTTCTTTGGTTACCTTTCGATTTTCTTGGCTGGTCAGACTACTGGATTCTATACCCTACCTTCATCACCAAAGTACATCAGATTCCCATTCATTTCGAGGATACTAGGAGTTGGATCAGGATCTTCAAGCGGCTCTATAAATCCCGTCGTCGCGTCTCGGCGGTCGATGCTTGCTTATCTGATAGTCGCAGGCCTAGGGCATGCGGCTCTTTTCCAAATCTGCACAAAAGGGCTAAACCTTAGCGTTTCGCGTCGGATTGCCAACCTTCCTTACGTGCTTTGGGTTACATCATACAACATCATGTATCTGCTGATGTATCTCCTCGTTGAATTCATCTTCTTTCCAATCTCCGATCACGCGCCTGTCAGTGAAGTCATCAAATACGAGGAATCAGTCCCATGGGGTCTCGAGGCAGTCAACGACAACGGACTTGCCATATTCCTGCTGGCAAACATCCTCACCGGTGCTATCAACCAGGCAGTCTACACATTGAACGTCAAGAACTTCAAAGCATTGCTCTTGCTCGTCATGTACTCTGCTGCCTTGGCTGGCACAGCCGGATTGATGAAAGTCAAAGGGTGGAAAATAAAAATATGAAAGTTTTATTCTCTCTTACCATTTTTGGTGTTCTTTTCTTTTATTTCATTGTTTTTCCCGCACAGTCAGTATCGCTAGCGAGGGTCAGCTGGCTTTAAAAGTATCATATCTCTGTTTCTATATCTTTCGCCCTTCATGACTTGTTTTTCCTTATTTCCATCTGTAATCATCTTGTATGTATTTAGGAATTCCTTTTCTTTTTCTTTCGATTCGATTTTATTCTTCGGTTAGTCTTTATTATTCCTGGGTCTTCTGCGTGCATCGTTTTAGTGTGCTTGTCCCTTTTTTACTTCGTCCTTGTTTTTGCAAAATACACAACAGGGCGCTGCAATAGTTCATTTTGCAGCACGACGGTCGGTTTTTCGTTTGTTCTTTTATCTTTCTCTTCTTTTCTCACTTGATCATCGAGAACTTTTTTGATGATGCTGCGCGGAGATCCCGTATGTACAATCTCCATTGAAATTTGTGAATCAATCCTGTTGGTTTCGATTATACTGTATATTACTCCAAAAAATGTTAAAATATTGCATACCAAATCGGTTTATTAGTGAGTACAATAAGTATATATATAGCTACAGCTGACAACTAACAAGTGCCACACTCGACGGTGAGCGCACCTATACATTACTTTACTGACCACTTTGCCAACGGCAACGGTATCACCAGAGCATTTCACCAACGCCAACTCCAAGGAAAAGAGAAAAAGACAAGAACGAATACCGGAAAGCAGACAACAATCAGCCGAGTAAAAGGAGACTCAGCGGATCATCATCACTTTGGCAATGTCTTTTCCTCCTGACGCCAGCGATCCACCCATCACCGCGCTCGAAACTTTCTTGCCAATCTGCTCAAAGACCTTCCAGAACTTCAAGTTCTCGTCACTGGCAACTGTCGCAAGCGTAGAGCCATCAGGCGACAACGCGCTTCCGAGGATACGCGTGTCATGGCCCTGGATCTCGCCGTTCTTCACAAGCGTGGGATAACTCCAGATAGACAAGTTGTTGTCTGGGTAGCCATGGCTCGAGACGATCTCCTTGTACGTTGTGCTCCACTGCAGAGACGTCACTTGTGAACCCGCATCGATGGAGTTCACTCGGGCGCCGGTAGTGCCGTTCCAGAAATGGATCTGCTTATCAAAAGTACCACCACCAGTCGCGAGCAAGTTGAGCTGCCACGGACACCACGCCAATGCCTTGACGGCTGCCTTGTGGTTGGTCTTGGTAAACTTGGGAGTGCTCGAGCGCGCGTCCCAAATGTTAACAAGATTGTCGTTGCCTCCACTCGCAAGCTGGCTACCATCCGACCGCCACTGCAGACCGCAAACCTCCGCCTCGTGGTTGACAAACTCCGACACCTTGTGCTGCGCAATGCGAACATCATGGTTCCAGATAGAACCATCGCGGCAACCAGATGAAAGAACATGTCTATCCCACGACATAACACCCACTCGTGCAGCATGACCTGTCATCGAGCGCACCTTTTCTCCTTCTTCCACATCCCAAATTTGCACATCACCATCCGACAGACCGACGGCAACATAAGCACCATCTCCCGACCACTTGAGTCCCGAAATGTAGGTATCCGGCGTTGTGCGCAAGAGACTTGACACGCTTCCAGACTCGGCATTCCACACGTAAAGGTCTCTGTCCAATCCAATAGCAACCTGGTTATTGCACGACCAGTCAAGCAGGTTGAGGTAGTAGTCATCCCGAATTCCTGGAGCATCGAGAATACGCTCAGCATTCGTGGGAAGACGACGACGCAGCTGCGCGTTGACGGCCGGCTTAAGAGGGCGGTTGTATTGGCTGCGAAGATCGATAGGCTTCTTCGACTGAGGGGCCTCAGGCTTGAAAGTGAGAATACGCTGGTTAAGCGCAAATCCACAAGCCTCGGCAACAGACGACTGATACTCGTAACTGTTTGTTGCCGACGAAGAAACGGACGATCTGGTAGAGCCATTGCTGCTGCTGCTGCTATTGTCATCCTCTAGCTTGGTCATGGTGGTAGACGAGCTGCTCCGGCTAGGAATAAATCTGTCGCCCTGAACAGACGCCCGGAAGATCTGCTTCTTGGCAATACGCTTAGGTGTGTTTGCGCAAGACGAAGGACCAGTTCCGACCAATGTTGTATCCGGCAGATAGTTGTCAAGCTTGAGAGGCGAGGGAATCTGCTTGTGGATGCTAGTCTTTGGGGAATTGCGACGAGATCCACCAAAGTAGGATGACGATAGAGCTGCATAGTTCCGGGGAGTAAGAGGCGAGGAATCCAATCGAGATTGGCGGGGAGTGCAGTGTGCTGACCGACGGGTCTTGACAGGAGTGCTGAAACTCATCTTTCCGTTTTTTTTTTGTAAATTTAGGGAAACGGTTTTCTTTCAAAGTGATTTGCTCGAATAGGACCAGCCTGAACGAAGAAATCGATAGTATAAAAAAAAGTGGTTGTAGAGAATCGAAGACAAAAGGACAAAGACCAGCTTTGACGATTTGTAAATGTAAAAAAGAGAAAGAAGAAGAGAAGAAGCGCTCGAGAGTGTAGAGAGAAGAGAGGTGAGGAGGAGGAAGAAAAGAGAAGAGGAGAGGGAAAGAGAGGAAGAGGGTTAAGAGGCGGGACGGCGCCGCCAGTGTTTACTATTGAGGGTTTTCCACTTTGGGACTAGTAATTGGTTGCCACGACAACCGTTAATAGAAACCCTAACGCGCTCTGCTCAATGGCAAAAATTTGAGATATCAGCTTTGAATTGTTTCTCGTGTTTGATGCTGCTGCTGTTGTTGAAATAGGTCAAATATGCGATGACAAGCACCAGCAGCTCGTCTTCTTTGCCTTCGGGGACGTCAACTCCGCTCTCGTCAGTGGTCTCGTTGCCACTTTCGCTTCCGTCGCGCGTATTCTCTCCTCCAGCAGCTACTCATGCTCTCGACCTTCCAGCTATAAGGCAGAAGCCGTCCACAGAGGATCTTGTGGGGGTACTTAGCGCATATGCTCCGAAAGTTGGCTCGAACTTTATCCAACAGGAAGTCATCACGCCTACCGGATTTCTTGACTGGCTCACAAGACTGGTGGGGTCTGGTTTAGACTGGTTACCGAACGACGACGACCGCGATATCGTGCTTGACCTTGCGTCGAAGCGGATTTCGGAGCAGTGCGGGCGTGCTGCTGCTCCGAGCATGACTCGTGAGTTTAAGGTCGGTGGACTGAGTCGATCAATTATGCTTACGGAGCCCAGTTTGACGGCAGACTCGCTGGGACTCAAGACTTGGGGTAGTTCGCTTTTGCTCGCTCAGAGAGTCGCTGATGGACGGCTGATGACGGCGCTTGGTGACATGAAGAAGCGGGTACTGGAACTTGGTTCGGGGACGGGCTTGGTGGGCATCACTTTTGCCGCGTTGGGGTACTCTGTGCTTCTTACAGACCTGCCCGGAGTAGTGGCTAATCTGAGCAATAATCTGCAGTCGAATGAGCAGCTGTTTTTAGATGAAGAAGGTGGGGATGACTGGGATTATGCAGTGGAAGAGATCGACTGGACGCGTCCTGAAGACTCAAAGGCGTATAAACGACGCGAGAGGTTTACTACCGTCGTGGTTTCGGATCCAGTGTACGAGGTTGGTCAGCAGGTTATTTTGGTGAACGCGCTGCGCAATTTCCTAGACTTTGACGATGCAGATGCAACAGTCATCGTGCAGCTGCCACTACGAGACAAGTTTAGCGACGTGCGATCGCTCCTGTACAGTCTTCTTGCTGAGGAACTTGGGCTGGTGCCTGTTGTTGTTGAGAAGGAGGCAGGCGTCGATGATTTTGGACAAGGCATGTATTTATACAGTGTTTGGCGGCTTAGACAAGCCGTAGAGACCAAAGGTCTTAAATCAATAGACTATAGAGAAATAGAATGATTATACGCCTCCATACAATTTTAAAAATAAGAAAAGGAAAAGAAGAACAGGATAGTGCTATCTGCGTTTTGGAAAGGGGTCGGTGTTACTCAGGACCACGATGCCTTTTTCTCTGGAGATGTAACCCTTCATTTGACCCTGGTAGATCATGACTGCACACCAGCACTCGACCTGCTCGTCATCAACATCGATGCCGATAGCATGCAGTCCTTCTCTGAAGGTCGCGACCGGCATGCGCGAGTTCCTGTCCTTTGCGCGATAGACCATTTCAAAAAACCGCGGACGGACAATCGCACTGCGGGTTTTGAGTAAAGTGAGGTAGAGTCTGCGTTTGATGAGTGTGGCTTCCCGGGCTGCAAGATGAGACTCGTAAGCGCGGAGGTCGCCGCGGCGGACGGCGGCGAAGAGCGGTTGGTAGAGTCGAGCGAGATCAGGGAATTGGGTCCAGACTCCGGCTTGGGGAAATTGACGACGGAGGAGGAGATGAGTCGGTATGAGATATAATAGTATACGTTGCTGGTTTCGGATAGATTTGCGGTGGCAGAGGTTTAACGCTGCCGAAAGATGTTCTTCGGCCTTTTCGTAGTCTTCTTCGACGAATGCAAGGATGCCGACGTAGTATCTGAAAGTGACAACGTGAGCCTTTGGGTATGTCTCCAGCGGAGGAACATCTCCGGCGGCAGAGCTAGAGTTGAGAACGCGCAGTGCTGATTTTGCGAGAGAGAGCACGCCGAGCTTGAAGTAGACTTTGAAGAGAACAGAGAGAACAAAGTAGATGCCTTGTTTTCTGGAGCTCTCGAGCGGCGAGTTGCGGTCATTCAGGCAGACTGTAAGTGATCTATTGATCGTTCTCGCTGCTTCTTCTAGCTTTCTCTCTTGCTTTTCTGTGCTGGAATTTTGGCTGTTGCTCTGGTTCTGTAATATTGTGTCTGCTTCGACGGCAATATGGCGTAGCTGTTGCGTGATGGTGTAGAGAACTGGTAAGATCCAGTTGTCATTTTTCTCCACGACTCTATTAAAAAGCCTGGTACGGACATCGCGTTAGCATTACTGACTGTCTGATAGATAATAAAAGAAAGGCATACTGAGTAAGAGTATTCTGTTCACGGTATGCCAGCACCGGATCCCGTTCGATCTCATATAGATACGCGACCAGACAACTTCCAGAAGCAATAGCCGCCCAATCTTTATTTTTGACTGTGCTGTGTGCAACTGTGCTGATATCAGACGCCGCGGAAAAGGACGAGAAATTGCGGACTGCAGAGAGCAGGTCTTTGTTGTCTTTGGAGACCAGCAGCGCAAGATCGTGGCCGGATCTGGTTTTCACCGCCCGGTTGAGCTTGGCGAGGTAGGCTTCTAATGACATTGTCATTTTTTGGTATTTTTCCTTTTGATTTTGGCTCGCGGTTGAGGTTTGCTGGTGTTGAATCGAGATGAGATGAACAAAGAGTTGAAAATACAAACAAACTGGCGGTGGATGAGATCAGGTGCGGCTCCAGAGCTTGAAGACAGTGAAACTGGCTGAATGACCGTCTGTAATTTACGCCCTGCTCTTCGGAAGCAGATGATTCTTTATGAAATATAGAAATTGTGTTTGAAATGTTTACTTTCTTTGTTTTATACTGCAATAAATGCGAATCATAGTCTACAATGATCTACGGTTAAGAGTTAAATTAAGCCAAAGAACAAGCGCATTTGGGAATATCATGGCGGGACTCACACCGGTTCATTGATCAAGACTATAAAATAAAATCAAACACACAAAGAACACCGAGATCTATACGTCAAGTATATGTAAAGTGAAGACTCAAAGAGTCAGAAGAACAAAAGAAAAACATCACAGAGCTCATAGCGATCATGTTGACTCAAATCGATAGGATATAACAACGATAGAACCACTAGTCACGAAATATAAAATTACGACCTTATTAAAAAGGCTCGATCAAACAAACAACAGAGCACAGAATAAAACAGACAAGAAAGTACTTGATCTTGTTCAGCCCCCACAAACAGCCGTTACCCAGCGCAGCAACAGCATACCACAGCCGGACTGGGATCATGACCGCAACAAGACCGATGCAGCTAACAATTATATAAAACACCGGTCCAGGAGATGGAACTGAGAAGCAAAAGCGTGGCTTTTTGTAGCTGCGGTTGTCGTGCCTTCGGCGGGGTGAGGACGTACTCTGACTAGAGTTCTCGTCTTGAATAACTCGCTCATCGTAAGTTCCAGACTGACGAGCATCTTGAGAGGTCTCTGAATTCGGTAGATTCTGGATATTATTGACAGATCCAACAGGCTGCAGAACAGGTGGAGCAGGTGTCGAGGAGGACGAAGATTTGAAACAGCAGCTATTTCTTATCGCAGCAAGCACAGAATTCGACTTGCGTTTAACTGAACGCAGAGGGGTATTCTCGCTCTTTTCCACGCACTTCTCATTTGCATTACTTCTTCGCTTCATGTTGGGTATATTCTGACTGCACTCAACAACAGTTTACAATATTCAAAACCGAGCCGGGCCAGATCAAAATCATTACAATCAAACCACGTGACTATATCTCAAGATGATGACTAAGTGCGGCTCAGGCATCGGGCTAACGCCCAGACGCCTCGACATTATCTCCGGCTTTGTTCCTCCCTTTCTTACTCCGCACTCCTCCTCCTTCTCTTCTCTTCACTTGATTCTATTCTGCTCAGCATGTCGGTCTTCAACATCGACGATATAGAACAGGCTGTGCGCTCCAAGCTCGACAAAGCGACCTGGGACTTTTGGGCCGGCGGCGCGAACGATCTTATTACGATTGCGGAGAACAAAGCCGCCTATGAGGAATATCGCATCAGACCACGATACATGAGAGACGTCACCAACGTCTCGACCGCTCCTAAAAAGCCTCTCTTTTCTGGATTGGACTTTACTGTTCCTATCGGCATTGCACCGTCGTCTATGCACAAGCTGGCGCATCATGAGGCCGAGGCTGCCACTGCTAGAGCCGCAAAGGCCCATAACTGGCCGATGGCGATATCGTCGTACTCTACTCTCTCGCTCGAAGACGCAAAGGAAGCAGCCGGAGACTCGCTCGTTTTCTTTCAGCTTTATGTTTTTAAGAACCGAGATACCTCGACCGACCTGGTTCGGCGCGCGGAGAAAGCGGGGTTCAAGGCGGTGCTAGTCACCATTGACTCGCCGTTCCTGGGCCTGCGATTTGCAGAGGCCAGAAACAAGTTCACCTTGCCGCCTGGTCTTGCGCCTGGGAACTTTGCCGATGGAAGATATGCCGGGCCGATTGACTTCGCCGTCGACAGCAAGAGCAAGAGCAAAGGACCGGGCAAGAACGACGCGCTCAAAGACGGCAAGCCTAATATAGTCGATCCTGCGCTTGTGTTTGAGGACATTAAATGGCTCAAGAGTATCACCAAAATGCAGGTCTGGTTGAAGGGAGTGATGACCGCTGAAGATGCAGAAGCTGCTGTTGCCGCTGGTGCAGACGGTGTCTGGGTTTCCAACCATGGCGGACGCCAGCTCGACCAGTGCTTACCGACCCTGCATGCCTTACCTGAGGTAGTGGCAGCTGTCAAGGGTAAAATTCCTGTCCATGTCGATGGCGGTGTTAGACGTGGGTCTGATGTGTTTAAAGCGCTGGCGCTGGGTGCTGATTTTGTTTGGATCGGAAGGCCGGTGCTGTGGGGACTCAAGTATGACGGACAAGCGGGTGTCGAGCTGGTCGAGCGGTTTTTGGAGGATGAGCTCAAGCTGTGCATGGCGCTGTCTGGAACCGCGTCGGTTAAGGATATAAACAAGTCTTATTTGACTCATAGAGGTCCAACCTGGGCCAGGCTATAGTTATAGACGACTTTTGAGGATCTAAACAATTACTTATTGGATATAATACACGATTGCTTACATATCTAAAACTCAAAAGTAATCCATCCCGGCCATGCTAGTTCATCGCGTACAATGGCGCGTAACCGATCAAGCACAAATCTCTCTACTTTACCCACATTCTTCAAAACCGATCCCTTCCCATCCTGATCTCCAATCTCAGACTCGACCTTGATATTCCGCAAAACCTCAAAGTGCCGTGCCGAAGGGGTACTCATCATTCCCTCAGACACGCTACCCGTGCCGCCGTTGCCGCCAACGTCAGATATAAAACTGAAATGTATCCGGCGAGAGATGTACGTCAAGACAGCCATCGCGTCGACTTCAAAGCCGGTAACTGTCAGGCGGACTGGTAGAGTCAGGAACCCGGGTGCGGGGTAGTTTAGGCGTAGAGTTGCGGTGAGCACGATTCGCATGTCGCCCTTATACAGCACGTGAATCAGAAACTGCAGGTCTTCCTCGCGAACCGAGAACGGCGGTGGATCACCACTTGTGCTGCCACGGTTGTTGCTGCTGCCGTTTGTATTATTGTGACTCTGTCCGTGGTTGTCGGCAGTATTACTCCTCGCAAAGCTATCGGGTGTGCTGCGTTGTCGAGGATCCCTGCTTCGATTCAGATCACCTCCGAAATCATCGTCCTCGTCATCGCCGTCCACGATCGCGTTTTCGGCTGAAAGATCGCCTTCATCTTCGCTACTTAGAGAAGAAGGCGCATTATGGCCCATAGTCTCGATCTGCGCGTTATTCCACATGTCATCATCTTCGGCGTTGCGAGGCAAAGGCTCGAAAGTAGGCGACAGTAACGCCGCAGCGGCAGCGACTGAGATTCCGGGAAAGTGGTGAAACGAGCTCTGGATCGGTGGTGAGCGGATAAGTGGCGGCGTGAGCATTGAGTGGAGGAATGGCACATTGTTGTTTATGCTGCTGCTGCTACTGCTGTGGCTGGCGTTGTTGCTGTCGTTGGTGTTGGTGTTGTTGTAGGATGTAGATGAGGATGGCTCAGAGACTGAATTTGACTGTGTGTTTGTGCTGGTGTTTGTGAATCCTGGGTTTCGGAAACGAAGACTAGGTCCGTATGAGTTGTTGTAGCTATTGAAATTTGATGTTGAAGAGGACGCTAAGCCTGCTGAATAGGAGGGTGCAGGTGTGTGGTTTTGTGAATCATCTTGCGCTCCTCCCTGATGCTGCTGCTGTTGTTGCTCTTCATTCTCATCTTCATAAAACTCCGGATACGGATCCCCAATATGCTTAATCTCAAGCTCCGGCGCCGACGACCCGAGATCAAAAGCGAGCACGCTGACGTTGGCGATGTATGACGGCAGCGGGATGCGCTGGAACTGCTGGTGGAAAAAATCTCTGATGTTGTTTGACAGTCGCGCGTGTTCTGCTGGACCCAAAGCGTTCCAGTTCACGTCTATCGACATGTTTTACTGGATTCTCGGCGCGCTGCGACGACAAAGTGCGGATGGCGGTGTGGTTCGGATGTGGTGGTGTTGGGGTCGGTGATTTTGGCGATGATGTAATGTTCGTGTGTAACTAAAGCGGCCATTGAGTGCAAAACCCTACATTTATTTAAAACCCTACGACTCCACACTGAAGATAATGCAATCATCACCTATATTGGAAATAGATTGAAGGGCTGCTGTTCAAAATACTGAATCGTTCTATATCGTACATAGCTTAACTAAATGATAAATATCATCAGTACGGCTTAAACCGCCTGCTCTTATCCTTCTTCTTATCATGGTCTTTCTTGTCCTTGCGATCACCATGCGAGCCATGAGAACCATGATGCTTCTTGGACTTTTTGCTTTTCTTTTCACTCCATCCTCCTTCATCCACCTCTGGCACCTCAGGATCCGAGCTAGTGATCTGCCACGTCTTTACCACACCGTCCTCTCCTCCGCTGAGCATCAATCCGTACGTCTCATTTACGCACGCACACCGCACGACCTCATTCGCATGCGCACCGTCACACTCTATCCTGCTGGTAGGCAGAACCTCACCAGTCGAACTATCCAGTTGAATGAGTGCTAGTTTGCTCGTAGTGTTGCTACCAACGGCAACGTACCCGCTTTGCGTGTTGACGTCGATTATGTATTCGCATCCCCAGCTTTCTCTCACGTCGCCGTACTCCTTTCTCTGCATACTCTCGTCTTCTGACTCGTCGTCCTTATTTGTCTGCTTGTGAACACTCCACGTCTCGATATGCGAAGCGGCAAAGATCGCATCGTCGACACCAGGTAGGAAACCTGTCAGATGAACCGACGCGCCGTTATGGATCACCTGAGCTACTGCCTCGTCTTCATCCGCAATCGATGTATCGTACCGGGTAATCAAAGCATCTGTGCCCGCTGAAAGAAGAGAGTGTCGAGTTGTGGGGTGGAATGCAAGGACGGTGACATCGTCGTTATGAGAGTCCGCGTACGTCCGCAGCGGCGACGCCGGCGAGCGAACATCGAAAAGAACTACCTTCGCGTCCTGCGACACAAGCTCTGTTCCGGCAGCAATCGTATTCGTGAGCGGCGAGTACGCCAGCGAGAGCAGAGGCGAGCCACAGCTCATGCTCGCAACTGCCTTTGTACTCCGCAGATCCCACACCTTCACGATCCCGTCCTCGGCAGAGCTGGCCACGATATTTGGTTGATCTGCAAGCACTGATACGCCGCTGATGTTCTTTACGTGCGCGTTTAGGATCTTGCTTGTCTCTTTTATGCTGCCGCCATCGCGAGATCGCGTGAGATCAAATATTCGAAGCGAGCGGTCGGAGAGAGAGGCGATGGCTTGCGTCGACGACAGGAGGTTGAGCGAGTAGATGTATTCCGGGCCGTATGACACCGAGCTCAGAGGTAGCGACGGCTTCTGATATGTCAGTAAGGACATGTTTGTTCTATTTCTTACTGTTTCTTGTAGATATCAAAAGACGAGAAGTGCAGAAGCCAGAAATATTTTTGAACCCCCTCAGGTGCGGCTCACTAAAATCCCTTAATCAACCAACGCGTCGCTACCACGCTCGCTGCTCAACTTCCTCTTCTCTCACCAACAAGAACGAGCAGAAAGAGATATCCACAACATGTCTGACAAGCCCTTTTCCGCGCCGGTGACGCTGATCAAATACATGCAGACGCAAGGAAGTTTTGTGCTTGCAAGACCGTTCCGCTCGCCTGTGAAGCTCACGCCCGAAAACCGATCTCGCAAGATCGCAAACACCCTCGACCCGCCTACTGATTGCTCAGACAGCACGCAGTCCTCTCCTTCGCGGCATTTTTTATTCCAGACGTCGCCGAACTTGGAATCTCCTACGCCGTCGCTTGTTAAAACTAGCAGGTTTAGAGAGAAGTTTCTTAGTCCTACTAATGGTTCCGTTTTGTGCTTATAATCAGCTTTACAGCGACGCGTATAAACGCACATTCACACGCTTTGACTGACTCCTAACGACGTCATGTCTCTGTTTTACTGTCTAGAACGCAAAACTGTCGACCCGATCCTAATCAAACAAGAATCCTCCCTAGATCTGACCCTCCGCCACGTCCGCACCCGTCTGCAACAAATCTCCCAAGCCGAAAAACACGAACGCGCGACAGTAACCCTCCCATCCGGCGCTACAATTTCAGAAGAAAAATCGCTCGTCCAGCTAACTGACAAGTGGCGCACTGCATCCCAAGCCGCTGCGAAATATCTCTTTGAACTCGCGCAGGAACGGGTTGCGAAGATGGGCGGCGTGGCGGAGTTTAAACGGCGGACGCGGAAGCGTGGGTTCGACGACGACGATGACGACGATTATTACGGCGAAGGCGGGAAAGAAGCGCAACTCCGGAAACGGCTGGGGTTGGAGGGTAATGAAGCTGAGTTCCGCAGGCTGAGAGATGAATATGATTACGACGTTTCGATGCACCAGATTAAAAAAGACGAAGATGAGGACGTTGCTACCGGCGGAGGAGAGGAGGAGTTTACGATGGAAATGATGCTCGAATCGTTGAACGTCGAGTATAGCGTTGTGTTTCCTCGAGAGTGAGGTTTTTACTGTTTTATGTTTGCTCTTTTTGTTTTAGCTATTCTAGCACCGCTGTTGCTGTCTTCTATTTTGCCCTCAAACAAACGACACGAACTTTTATATCATTATAATATACACGTACACAACAAAAACCCAATGACTTTGAATGCTATATACTAATTCGGCACTTGCAAATTAAACAGAGAAGTAATTACTTCTCCTCGCGACCAATGACCGTCAACAACTTATTAAACACGCTGTCGAGATCACCCATCGCGTACTCGGGCTTCGTAAACACCTCGTCAACGATAGTAGGCGCGAGCACCACATTCTCTCTGAACGCAGCCGGGTCAGTCTCGCCATTTCCATTCGCGGTAGAGTCAGGAACCGTGAACTTGCCGTTACTCGGATGGAGAATGGCAGTCACGCCGATCCGCTCCTGCGCTTCGCCATCAGTCTCGTCTTCGACCTCGTCTGCCGATTCAGCGCCGGCTTGGACGTCGATAGCCGACGCGATGATCGCAGACGGTCTGTGACGGCCACCGATCTTGACCGAGTCTGGCGCAGAGACGGTGAATGCCATCTTATCGGTGTCGAGGAAGGTGAACCGCTGGCGCACACCGCCAGGTAATGAATGCACAGCCGCGATCGGCTTCGGGTGGACGAGCACGTGGACAGGCATGCTGGACGCTGTCGAGAAGATGTAGAGGTTGGCAGCGATCGAGCGAGCGCGATGGTTAGCGCGCGAGGTCACGACGTGGTTGACAGCGACGGCAAAGAAAGTAGGAGCCGCGGCCGTGGAGGCAACGCTGGATCCCGAGACCGTTGACGACGAGCCAAAGGCAATCAAGGACTTGGAGTGCTTCGGTGTGTAGCCTACTTGCGTCGACCAGGCGATCTTGTCTTGCAGGATGTCGAAAGTAGTCACTCGCGTAGGCGAGAATGCGACGATCGAAGTGCCGAGCATTCCCAGGCCTCGAATAGGGCCCTCGACAATTCCTGACAAAGTACGCACAATCTTGAACTCTTCGCCGCTGCGAGTACTAGTGCGGCTCGTAGCGGGAACAGAGATGACATGGATCAGAGATCCGATGCCCATCAACAGCACGCTTCCGTCAGCAGACCAGCTGAGCACGACCTCGTCTCGGTAATCTTTCTCCTCCTGAGCGCGATACGCCAGCGACGAGCGTGCGACACCGGCCGCGTATGTAGGCTCCATGATTTGACGCGTAGACCACTCGACCTGACGCGTTTTCACCTTGGGAAATCTAGGCCGCCAGAGCTTTACACCGCCGCCGAAGCAAGCAGTCACAAATGCACGTCCCTTGTGGTAAGTAGCGGGAGCGGCCGCGAGGGCAGCAACGGGGACGTTCTCGCCCATCGGCGATCGGACACGAGTTACCAGACTCCACGCGACCTTCTCGTTGTTTCCAGACGACGACTGTCGCTTCGACCAAAACTTGAGCACAACGCTAAGATCAGAGCGCGAAAGAAGGCCGTCAATCGGCTGGGTCACGGTCTCGTCAACGGTGGCCATCCAATCCTTTCCTGCGCTGAGTTCGAGCTGTGAGACTTGTGCGTCCGCAATGGCGTCTTCAAAGAGAACTTTTCCGGTCTGGAGCGTCCGCGCGACCACATGCGTGCCAACCTGCTCGCCCTTGACAGCGTCGTAGATCTGCACTTGGGCATTCGTGGCGGTGGGGAAGTACCAGTAATTATGAGGCGCCGACGGAGTTGTAGTCGAAGAGGACGACGCGGCGGTGTCGATAGTAGATGGGTAGAGAGCGTAATTTGGAATTGCACTGGCCCCGGCCTTGGCGATCGCGTTGATTGCAGCCTTTGTGAGCTCGACAACCTTAGACTGATTGGCTAGGCGGAGAGAGGCAGAGGTCGTCATTTCCGTTGAGGAACTGACGAGGGCAGCTGCGGGAGATGATGGGGACAAACTCGGAAATACGGCTTTGACGCTCGAGACTTGGAGACGAGCATCGAGATCGGTTGCAGCAAAGACGACGATGTCGTCGGAGTTGTCACCGAGCGAGACTGCGTAGGTGGTAGAGGTCTTGTCGACGACAATGTTTGTGATTGGGCCAGGAAGACGGGGGAGGAACTGGATGTTGCTGGTCTCGAGCTGCCAGAACAGAAGCACTTTCTCGTTTCCACCAGATAAGAGATAGTTACCATCAAGAGAGAACGAAAGAGCTCGGACGGGAGAGAGATGCCATTTGAAGGATCTGATGAGGTAATTTTTCGCTTCACTGGTTTTATAGGTCAAAGTACGAGCGAGCTGCTCTTCAGAGGCCTCAGGATCAACATGGGGGTAATAGAGATCGATCACGCCAGAAGAACCACCGAGGGCGACGATGCCAGAGTCCGAGACAGCGACGGTAGTGGAAACGCGTTGGCGGTAGATCGACGCGCTGATGACGGAGGTTTTGTAGTCAGGGTCGGCAAATTTGCCGACGGTGAGTTCCTCTGATTGTCTGCTGCGGCTAGAGGACTGGAAGATGAAGTGCGTGCGGGCGTGGGAGAGCGTGAGAAGGTGGACGTCTCGGACTTCGAGGAGTGATTCCGGCTGGGACTCTTCGGAGGGCTCGTCTTCGGTAACTGCCACTCGGACAAGGGAGATGTCTGTATAACGAATTAGAGAGGGAAAATAAATACAGATGGATAGTGAACGAAGATAGAGCTTACTCTGATCACGGGCTCCGCTCGAGACAAAAAGTACAAAAACTTTTCCATCTTCAAGGACGTCGACAATTCTATGTATCCGCTCGACACCGTAGACGGTGAGGTCCACCTTGGTCGTCGCGTTTGCGCCCTCACTCCAGTTGACATGCTGAATCTCGCCCGAGCGCATTGCAAGCCAGAGCTGCGGGTATCCTTCACTCGTAGGGCCGGCGGCGGAATCGAGAACCAGATCAACGACATTTGCAGCGTCAGCGATGGGGACGGCGGCTATGCAGTGATGAGAGGGAAAGGAGTAGAGACGAATCTCGATAGAGGTCAAGACAGCCAGGAATCTAGAAGAGTTAGCAAAGAGAGGATATACAGACTATGAGAGATCGAGAAGACGCATACCGATGGTCGTCAGAAAACACAGGAGGGATACTGGAAAGAGCACTCGCGCGCAAGCTGGACACCTTCCACCCTTCTCTGTTCGAGTGCTTACTCCGCTTACGGTGCTGTGTCCGCTGCTGCAGCAGCTGCGTGTTCTGTTCTGTTGTCATCTGTTGATAATAGTGAGAATCGTAGGTGAAAACGGACCAGAAGACGATATCTGGTGGATATCTGCCGCTGGGAGTTGTCGCAAATTTTTAATTTTTTGCTGAAAAAAAGTGAAGAAAGTTTAACTAATAAGGTTTATAAGCGGCACGGAAAGTTTGTAAGTGATTATGTCATATTATGAACAGCTGCAGCGCTGGCGGTCGCGTGAGAAGCTGTGCTTGCGGATTTTGAGTAGAAGTGTTAATTTGGAGAGAAGTGGAATGGTGAAAAGATGATATAACAGAGCTAAACAAGCAATTGCCTCCAGTACGGCGTGTAGAGGGGAGGTGGTCTAGTCATTTAATGCTGGTGCGCTTAGAACCACCCAACTGCATACTAAATCTACGTACACTGCGCCCCAACTTAATCCAGGACCCAATTTCTCCGAACGGAGTCATGAACAGATACGACCAAGATAAGAAAGAGGCCCCGGTTCCGCTCCTGCTCCAGAGCTTCTGCTTCTTCTCTTCCTCTTACTGCGAGTAAAGAACACAATGACCTCCTATCCTATCTTCAAGCCAGTCTTCCATCTCTACATCAACGCTGAGAACAGCGAGGTCGTGAGCACGTTCGAGAACGGCCGGCCAGGCAAGCGGAGTATGTTTAATCCATAACAGGAAGAACCGGTGGTTTCTCTGCATGTATATTGACTCTCCGCCATCCTCCAGTTTTTGTTCAGATTCACGAAGGATACTGTGACTCGACCGACGACCACTACCCGTTCAACATCAAGATCACGTCCGGCACGAACTGGCTCTTTCTCTCGCCCGACAACGTCCTCACGCTCGACGTCCGTCTCCGAGCCGAGACCGAGGACGGCCACGGAGTGTACATCCACTACGAGGGCTACACTAAGCCGACGCCGGCCATGAATGCCATCTTTGACGGCTCTGGCTCGCACATGGAGTTTGGCGAGACCGAGTTCTTTATCAAGCCTGTTATCGAGACCGATGCGCCGAAGGAGGGATGGGTGAACAACAAGTACCTCATTGGCAAGGGCCGCTTTGTGCGGAACGAGAAGGGTGTTATGGGTGCTGAGTATTATATCTCCATGTGCCAGTAGACAGTAGATCTTTGTGTCAATTATCATTGATTGTTCATGCATTAATGCATGATGGCCTTTAGATGGCTGTCGAGCCATGCTGTAGGGCAATGCTATGAGCGCCATTCTGCTACATCATATAGATCTCTTCAGTCAATTCTTAATTATATACAATAATTCTTCTCTTATACATTAAAGATTTATCAAACAACTACAAACAAAGCACACAAAGTACAAAAACAGCAGTCGAGATCAGATCCGTAAGTTCAATACTAAGCCGCGGCTAACCTCGGTCGGAGGCTCTGACGTTGATTCCACGCAGCAACTCTGCATATTTGACTCGTCACTTTTCTCTTTCACATTTTCTTCTTCTTTTCTGCTTCTTCGCTCAGATTTCCTGTTCTGGAGCCTCAGCCTGTCTCGCCCGGCTCTTTAGTCATCGGTCGACTTCCTCGTGCTCGCAATCCTGCTCCGTCGTCGACCAAAAATGATCGGCTCCGCGGCAAAGTACCTGACTCCCAAGCTCCCGCCCTATCCTGGCCCCTACACCGTCGGTTCTGTCGAGGTCGAGGTTCCGGCTCCTTGGCCTGCTAAATACGACGCTATCGGGACCGCCGTCGAGACTCTTCTTTTTCGTGTCTTTTACCCAGGTTCCGTCACCGCAGATGGCGCTGCCGAGGTCCATCCTTACTGGTTTCCCGGTGGCAACCGCGACTACATCAAGGGTACGTTTCATTATATTGTTCTACTCTATGTTTCCATATCAGAAATGTTCATAGAACAAGACTAATAATATATTTGCAGACTATGTCCAGTTCCTCGGAAAATCATCCACCATAGGCTCCCTTCTTGCTCGCGTGCCCTTCGTCGCAGACGCAGTCCTCCCATGTCTCGCAAACATCCCGCTCCTCGCTCCCCCTTCCGGTCACAAATGGCCCGTTATCGTCTTCTCTCACGGTCTCGGAGGCACCCGCAACGCTTACTCCCAGTTTTGCGGTTCCATGGCCTCGCATGGTGCCATAGTCATCGCTCCCGAGCACCGCGATATGTCGGCGCCCATCACATATGTCCGAAATTACAAAGACAACACATACTCCGAGATTCCTTATCGACGCATGATGGAGGTCAACGAGACTGCTCGCATTCTACGTACCTTCCAACTCACTCAGCGGGTGCGTGAAGTGGTCTCTATCGTCAAGGTCCTGCTCGAGCAGAAGATCGATCTCACGCCAGCATCTACAGTCAACAGCCGCGAGCCTGTTTCTATCAACCCCATAAACTTCAACTGGGACTTTGTTGATACGACGATCGAGAAAGTTTTGTACTCTGGTCATAGTTTTGGCGCCGCTACAACGATAGCGGTGGTTAAAGGCGTCCACCACCTGCTTGATTTCTTGTTCCAGAAGCCAACTGACGCAGTCGCAACCAACAATACCGGTAATGAGGAAGTACCCGACTCCATAGATCAAGAGTATGATCCAAATGATCAGTTTCTGCGTCCACACCCCTCAGCAGGAGTCGTCCTCCTGGATCCCTGGCTGATCCCGGTTTATCAAATGATGGGCATTCCGCTTACTGTTCCCGCGGTTGCCAACATGTCTCAGTCTTTTTATGGTTGGAAGTCAAACATGAACTTGGTCTATCAGCTCTTGTCAAACTCCGCCGTCCCTGAAAAAATCCGGCCAAAGACCGACACCGGCGTGCATTTGTTTTTGACCAAACCCTCAGTCCATCACTCGCAGAGCGACTTTGCGCTTCTCTTCCCAAGCTTGACAAAGTACGCCTTCAAGCTCCCTGAATGCACCTTCGAGACGCAGACCGCGGTGATGAACATGAACGTTGCCGGTTGCGTAGAGTTCCTACGAGAGTACGCTGGGGTTCAGTTATTCGACGTCACTGGCGATGCAGATGAGGGCCTTGTGCGCACGGAGAGTAAAGAGCATGAGGAGGGTTCGACTGAGACTGTTAGTACTGGGTATCTCGTCGCTGGGGGACAGATCAAGGGTTGGTCGAGGCTTGATGTTGAGAATGATATTACTGTTGTAGATATTCTGGAGGGTAATACTTAGAGTGTATATATTGTTTTTGATTTTGTTTATATCTGGTTGTTTGTAAATACATGCATTATTCTATTCCTACACACTACTTCAGTGCATTTCTTATCCAATCCCATCATACAGAACCCTATGACGTAGCGTATATCCTACAGCGTATATCTGTAGGGTTTCTGAGCGTTGTTAATATTTCCTTATACCATTACCTCTGATACTTCTCTGATACTACTCTGATATTTAGAAATGCTGCTTTTATCATTTCATCTTAGACTTAGACCAAAAGAACAAGAGAAGCAGTCGATAGTAGACGAAGCAAAATCATCACTGCTAAATGTAGGGCAAACTCAATTCGCGCGGCTCGCATTATCTTCAACCCACAGCTTCCGCTCCCATCAGCACCTTCCTCAGTCTCGGAACGCTGCAAGAACGGCCATGTCTTCTCTTCTTTTCCAGACAGTGCTGCGTAAAAGTACCGTGCAGCAGTCGCGGCTGTATTTGGTGCGCTTTATGGCGTCCCAGGCCCCGCGGCCACGGGCGACTCCTCCTTCTCCACCGCCCAATCTTGTTCCACCACCCGCATCTCGAAATATGAAAGTTCGGTATAACCGTAAGCAGGCTATCCGGCTGCTCATGAGTATGAATAAATGTGTTTGACTGTTTATTTATTGATTATGCTTGTGTTGTTAACCGTTTCGGTAGTCATCTCGGTCTGCGTCGGAGTCGGCACTCTGCTCGACCAGTTATTAACCTCTGATCTCCAACGCAGGGCTGCCAAAGTCCTCAGTGACAAAGGCCTTACAGAGGGAACATCCACAACCCAGCTCTCATCTCTTGAATCTCCCGAGTACGCAAATGCTTCTGCCACAGCCGAGGCCTACGCCGAGCTCACTACGCTCCTCGGCAAAGAAAACGTCTCTGCTACGGTCGACGATATTGCAAGTCACGCCGACTCGGCGTGGATTTCGCATCACGCGGCAGCCGGTCAGGCGCCTGGGATTGTCGTATTTCCCCAGTCGACGGAGGAAGTATCGCAGATTCTCAAAGTGTGTCATAAACACAAAGTTCCCATCGTTCCGTTTTCGGGCGGAACCTCGCTCGAAGGTCACTTCATCCAGACTCGCAACGGCGTGACGATTGATTTCCGAAGAATGGCCTCAGTTCTCACGCTTCACGAAGAGGATCTCGATGTTGTGGTTCAGCCCGGAATGGGATGGGAAAACCTGAATGAGTACTTGAAGCCGCATGGTCTTTTCTTCCCGCCTGATCCGGGTCCCGGTGCCGAGATCGGAGGTATGATCGGTACAGGTTGCTCGGGAACTAACGCAGCTCGGTACGGTACTATGCGTGAATGGGTTCTCTCTCTCACGGTTGTGTTGGCAGACGGAACTATCGTCAAGACTCGACAGCGACCGCGTAAGTCCTCAGCTGGATACAATCTCACCAATCTGATCATCGGTAGCGAGGGAACGCTAGGAGTTGTTACCGAGGCGACTCTTAAGCTTGCGGTTTTGCCGCAGAGTACTAGCATTGCGGTTGCGACTTTCCCAACCATTGGCCAGGCTTCGAAGACGGCGCAGGATCTCGTGCGGCAGGGTGTTCCGGTAGGAGCGGTCGAGTTGCTGGATAAGGAAATGATGCAGTGCGTGAACCAGGCAGGCCAGACTACGCGCACCTGGCGTGAGGAGCCTTCTTTGTTTTTGAAATTTGGTGGTACGAAATCCGGGGTGAAGGAGCAGATAGGGCAGACTAAAGCGATCGCGAAGCAGAACGGAAGCAACTCGTTTGTGTTTGCAAGCTCCGAGGCCGAGTGTACCGAGCTTTGGGAGGCGCGAAAGGAGGCGCTATGGTCTACGCTTGCTATGGGTGCCGACGAAGGAATGACGTGCTGGACTACGGATGTTGCTGTTCCCGTCTCGCGACTGGCGGAGGTCGTTACGAGTACCAGGGAGGACATGGATAAGTCCGGAATCAAGGGTACGATTGTGGGACATGTCGGCGACGGAAATTTCCATGCCTTCATTTTGTACAATGACGCCAATAAGAGTGTTGCCGAGGGCGTCGTTCATAGGCTTGTTGAGCGTGCTATCGAAATGGAGGGTACGTGCACTGGCGAACACGGCGTTGGAATGGTGAAACGGCCATACTTGCAGAGTGAGTTGGGCGAGGCGACCATCGATACGATGCGGAGAGTGAAGATGGCGCTCGATCCTTTGCGATTACTGAACCCGGATAAGGTAGGTCACGATGTAGTATCTCTCGTTAAAGGTTTTTTGCTAACAACCGTATAGGTTATAAGTATCGATCCCAAGGAAGTTATGCACAAGCTAGACTAGTCTGTCGGCGCAAATCAGTTGAAATGAAAATGTATACGATAGCTAGTTTATTAATCTTCTACCCCTCTCTCAAGTTCCTCCTCCAGTTTTTCTTGTTCCTTCTTCTCTTTCCATAGAGTGTAAGACCTTGGTTCTTTAATCGTAGCAGCGCTTCCCAAAACATAACCCTCATAAGCAGGGACTTCAGGAATCTCAGGAGGCTTTGCGAATGCTTTTGCCTCGTTGGGGTCCCGTTCTGCAACTGATAGATCTATCGTTGCATCTTTGATCCTCGCCTGCTTTGCCTTCTCTATCTTTTCTCTCATCGACTCTGGCTTTTGCTGTGGGTTTTGATCATCATCGTCGTCGTCGTTGTCGGGATTAGATCCTGATATCTGTTGGTCTTTTGTATTTGTTCGTAGCCTCAGTTGCTCCAGAGACATGACTGCATCTCCAATCTCGCTGTCTGTGACCTCATCCCGCTTCTTCGCCTTTGCCTCTAAAATCTCCTCGAGCAGTGCTATACTTTTCTCCCACTCTCCGTCCCCATTTCGAAGATAGGCTATATCCGGCCGCGCCCAGATTGCTTCGGAAGACAGTTGGGCGCGGTAGATCATTGAGGCTTGGAAGTGGCGCTTTGTGCAGTATTTGCGCAGGTAGGAGGATGGGGAGGTTGGAGAGATGCCTTTGGATTCGGTTGTGTATTCGATTTGGGGGGAGTCTTTGCCGAACTGCAAGAGTTGTGGTCAGATAATGAGAATCTCAAGATTTATAGTGGTAGCAGTAGACATACGACTTTCTTGGTAGGTTTTAGTGGACATATTGGGTATCCACAAGTGTGCAAGACATTTCGCTCGGATACAATATCGTCATAGTATTCTGGTGTCAGAAACCGTGACTGTCATACTTGTAATTAGTCCACACATTCACCTCAAAATAAAAATGAACTAAAAGCCACGCAACATACAGCATATTTGAGAAACTCGGGATCAACAGTCTCAGTCATAAACTCAGTCAAAAGAAGCACGATTGTGTTTGCCTGTCTGACGGGCAACAGCCCAGGCGCCACATATCTGCGCAAAACCGAGTTTGAAAATCGGATCAGCGGGGAAGGCTCTGCTGTGTTCTCTGTCATATCTGCTTATAGCTGTGGTGATCGAGATTGAGGTGGATTAAGGCCATGATATTTGGGACGAGGAAGATGAAAAACGTGGAAAAGTTGATAAGCCGCACTGTGAACTCCCAACTCGTGGATATCAGGAATTGGATCGAATTTCCAGACTTGCTGCAGACTCATACTCTTGTCTATATTCAGAAGCATTTCAGAGTGATTTGTATGAATATTGAGAGACTCTGAGTATTATCAGATTTGTTTGGTTGCGGATGTGGATTACTGAAATCGCATAGAAGCGACAATCGAAGCGAGAAAGTGGAGATATTTGCAGTCTATAACTTCAACAGCTACTCGCCATAGCACGGTAGCCTGCATATTGTGCTTTTGTTCGTTAAGAATTGAGTAATTTATTCAGTTAATTTCTTCTGAATATTATTATAACTAGAAATACACCTTCAATCATCCAAAGAAGCCGGTTCTTGCAACCTTGCAAATATCTGCTCGGGCGGTGCCTGTAGCAATTAAAACGCAAGTCACCCAAACAGACCATAACACATACACATACCCACTAAATCCACTCCACTTTAATACTCACCATCAACTCCATTGCAGACTCCAGTAGCTTAAGAAGTAGTAGTGAAGATGAGCTCCGGCTTCGGGAGATAATCAATCACGTGACAGGTTAAGGGTTGCAGAGGCCGAAGCAATTTTTATAATTTTCAGTTTTCCTCACGATATTGCCAGAACCCGCAGACTCCGTGCAAGTAAAAGACGCCGAAGAAGAAGATACAGGAAAAACATGGCTACGATTGAGGAAATTCGCTCGGAAAAGTCGCAGCTCGAGCTTGCGGGATTGAAGGTTCCCGATGTTGTGAAGCAGTCGCTCAAGGCTACTGCGCAGGCGCCGGTGGTCAGCCATGTCCTCGGCCTGTTTGACGCAGTCTCGAAGCGTCGGGCTGCGTTCGGACTCAGCACTCCGCCCAAGTTTGAGGACTTCTCGCGTGAGGTCGAGAAGGAGGTGTTGACCACGTACTATCTGGTTCCGGGCTTGCGGGCGGATGTCAACTACACCTCCTCTGTCAAGCCGATGTTCAACGTCATGCAGTCATTCGCTGTCGGCAACGGTCGCGACAACTCGTACTCGTTCGCTGGCATCTACGCGACCAACAATGTCTTCCTTCGTGGATCTCTGGATTCCGAGAGAGCGCTTTCGGCCCACATCGTTGGCCGTCTCTCGCCCGCTGTCGTCGGTCGCATCCAGGCTCACTCGTCTGAGCGCGGCACCCAGGCTGTCTACGAAGTCGATGTGCCCTTCGCGGACTCTATGCTGTGCCTCCGCGCGGCGAACCCTTCGCTTCTCGACACCAAATTCACTGGCATGTCCTCCTTCAACTTTGCCCAGTCGATAACCTCCAAGCTCGTCCTCGGTGTCTCGGGTGTGTGGCAGCGTCAGAGCCCCGACTACCCCGCCCAGGCCGGCTTCGACGTCGGCGGTCGCTACGCTTCAGACAAGTTCGTCGCTTCGGGTTCGATCTCGGCCCAGGGAATCCTTGGCCTGAACTACCTCCAGAAGTTTGACGAGCGAATCCAGGGTGCTGTCTCAACCAACATCGATCTGACCGGCATGGCCGCTGCCATGGCCGGCGAGAGCCCGGACTCTGCATGCACCACCACTGCTGCCGTCAAGATCGACGGACCGGACCAGTCCACCCTCCGGTTGCAGATGGACTCGCACTGGAAGTTGGGCTTTGTGATGGAGCGCATTGTCGCCGACACCATGCGTATGACCATCGGCTCCGAGCTCGACCAGGCTAAGAACACATGCAAGATTGGACTCGGCCTGCAGTTTGAGAGCCAGAGCGAGTCGGTCGAGGCCGTCATGCGGGAGATGCAGACCATGAGCCAGGAAGAGACGAAAAAGTACATCACCGTTCCACCACAGTAGATTACTCGCCATTGATTATACGATGTTCTTATTTTCCTAACAAAAATGGGTTTCCGGGTTTTTGTTTGTCGTTTTTCTGTCATTTTGTTTGTCATATCGTCACGTACATAGTAGCGTGTTTGTATCTAGTAGACTCTTCCCTTTTTTTGTGTAATTATGACTCTCAGACTGAAATACTGAATGCTTCTCTTTTCTTTCTTCATTGAAAAAAATGTTCCTTATTACGTCACCAGCAAAAATTATCGTCAGGGGTTTGTGTGGATCCAAGTGCGCAAACGTCGTGTGCATAAGAAGCTTAAAATGTAAACAAACGCGAGATCGCTGTGGAAAAAGATTAGACCTCGTCTGCTGCTTCTTTATCAGAGAACCTTAGGGGATATTTATCGCGGGTTATTGTTGTATTTGCATATTATCTAGAAGGACACACGATCTATGGCTTTGAATCAGGAATTGCAGCAGCTCTCCGGCTTGCTCGAGGCTTCCCTCAGTCCGGCGACTGCTAAGCAAGGTAGGCAGCAGAGAGCTCATGATTGACTGTCGACTCTTCTGATCACTGACACGTACTCTCTTCTTCACAGCCGAGCAATCTCTTCGTTCCGTGGAGACTCAGCAGGGATTTTCGATTTCGCTTCTCAAACTCGTGGCATCGGATCAATTCCCGGCTTCAGTCAGACTTGCAGGCTCGCTCTACTTCAAGAACTTCATCCGACGGAAATGGACTGTATGTAGAAGTATGCCAGTTCAATATCATGGGATATTCTTCTGACTGATGGAATCCAGGACGAGGAAGGAAATTATCTGATACCCATCGCCGATGTCGAGGCGGTCAAAACCGAAATTGTGGGCCTTATGATTTCTCTACAGGGCCCAACTCAGATCCAGCTCGGCGAGGCCATCAGCATAATGGCAGACAGTGATTTCCCCGACCGATGGACTACATTGATTGATGTATGTGAATAGCAATTGTGCTTTTGTCGTATAGCAAGAGTTGGCTAACATTCTGATCACTGCAGGACCTTGTCTCTCGACTGACACCAACTGATGTATACACCAACAATGGCGTTTTGCGAGTGGCTCACTCAATTTTCAAGCGCTGGCGTCCCTTGTTCTCTTCCAACGAGCTTCTTCTAGAAATCAAGCATGTGCTGGAAAAGTTCTGCGTTCCCTTCATGAGCCTCTTCCAGCAGACCGATGTTCTGATTACGCAAAACGAAGGAAATAAGGAAGCCCTGATTCCACTGTTTCAAAGTCTCCAGCTTATCCTCAAGATCTACTTTGATCTCAATTGCCAGGATATTCCGGAGTTCTTTGAGGATAACAAGGATGTCCTGATGGCTCTAGTGCTCAAGTATCTACAGTACAACAACCCTCTGCTCGTTACCGATGTAAGTAAGATCCAGGAAGTTACCTACTAAGAAAACAATTCTCACACTCATCTAGGATGAGGACGAAACCGGACCTCTCGAAGAGGCCAAGTCGATCATTTGCGAGCTGTTGCAGCTGTACACCCAGCGCTACGATGACGTCTTTGGAGAAATGCTTCCACCCTTCGTCGAAACTACTTGGAATCTCCTGACTACCATCGGCCTCGAGCCGAAATACGATGTTCTAGTGAGCAAAGCATTGGGTTTCCTTACGACAGTTACAAAGAATCAGGACCGTGCCCAAGTGTTTGGATCACAGCAGATTCTTCAACAGGTGGTTGAGAAAATCGTTTTGCCAAACATGTCGTTGAGACAAAGCGACGAGGAAATGTTTGAGGATGACCCGATCGAGTATACCCGACGCGATTTGGAGGGTTCCGACAGCGACACTCGTCGGCGTGCGGCTACGGATTTCCTGCGCGAGCTGAAGGAGCGATTCGAGGGACTTGTTACCGAAGTCGTCATGTCTTATGTTCAGCACTATCTGCAGACTTACAACTCAGACAAGTCTGAATGGAGGGCAAAAGATACTGCCGTTTATCTCTTTTCTTCTGTGGCAGTAAAAGGAACAGTGACCGCCTCGGGTGCGTCTGCGACTAACATGCTGCTTGACGTTGTTGGTTTCTTTTCGCAAAACATTGCACCTGATTTGGTTGCCAGTGATACCCACGCGATTTTGAAAGTCGATGCCATCAAGTTTATCCATACATTCCGAAACCAGCTGACCAAAGCGCAACTGACGGAGGCGTTCCCGGTTCTGTCGAGCATGTTTTTGGCACAGGATTATGTGGTATATACATACGCTGCGATCACGATTGAGCGAATTTTGTCAATCAAGCAGTCTGGACAAAACAATGTTCTTCTGTTTGATAAAGACGATGTTGCACCAGTTGCTGAGCAGCTTTTGACCAACCTTTTCAGGCTGATTGAGAAGGGCCAGACCCCCGAAAAGTTGGCGGAGAATGAGTTTTTGATGATGTGTTTGATGAGAGTGGTATTGACGGCAAGAGAGTCAATTGCTCCTTATTCGGAGATGATCATGCAGCATCTTGTCGGAATAATCACCGAGACAAGCAAAAACCCTTCGAATCCAAAGTTTACACATTACATGTTTGAGACGGTTGGAGCAGTGCTTCGCTATGCGGCTCCGACTAAGCCCCCGGGAACATTCGACTCTGTTCTGTTGCCGGTGTTTATGGGAATTTTGGGTCAGGACGTTACAGAATTCATGCAGTATGTGTTCCAGCTGTTGTCCCAGCTGCTCGATGTGGCTCCGACCAATGCACCTTTCCCGGATGGAATCGCGCCACTTGTTCGCCCAATTTTGTCACCGTCGCTATGGGAGACCAAGGGAAACGTTCCGGCGCTCACACACCTGCTGATTTCTATTCTTGCCCGAAATCCCGAGCTGTTCGTGCAACAGAGCTTGATCGAGCCACTTCTTGGAGTTTTCCAGAAGTTGATTGCTGCTAAAGCCAATGATCATTATGGATTTGAGCTTCTCGAGAGTATCCTATATAATATCCCGGTCTCTAACCTGCGAACGTACTTGCGCCAGATTGCATTATTGATCTTGCAGAGACTACATTCGTCTCGAACAGAGAAGCTGGTTGTTCGTGTTTCTCATCTAGTTTACTTCCTATCGGCTACTACCAACCCCGCAAAGGAGCTAGGCCCCGATTTTGCAGTCAGTCTATTAGACGAGGCGCAGCCAGGAATTTTCAGTGACATCTTTGATGCGTTTGTGGTGCCGGCGACGCCAAAATTGCATTCGGCGGTCGATAAGAAGATTGCGGTAGTCGGTCTCACGAGAATCTTATTCGAGTCTGCCAAGTTCAACTCACAATATGGAGCAAAGTGGGCACGAGGTGCGGAGATGCTTACCACTACGCTGCTCTCGGGAAGTTTGGTTGGCGTGTTTGACGGGCCAGTGATTACTGAGGCTACGATCGACCCGGTTGGAGATGAAGAGGTTTCTTTCGGAAGTTCATTCGCGCGACTTGCGACTGTTGCGGTGAAAGTAGTCGACCCTGCTCCGGATGTGTCTGATGCGAAGAAATATGCCGCCGCAGCTGTTCAGCGCGCGACCTCAGGTGGTGGAAGTGTAGCCCAGCCGAACTTGGGCAGCGTCACTCAGGAAGTGGGACAGTCTCTTACGCGGTTAGCGGGGATGGCATGAGTATAGATGGCGATAGACCGCAGGAGAGAACGATTAGCATAAGAATGAAGTCGAAAAGCGCGTGAACGAGATATTCTGTGATGTATGACGTTACGATATAGCTTCTAAGAGGAATATGAATTGCATTTACCTTATATTAATCTACCGCAGTTGCTGAATTACTTCACAATAGTTCCTATATTCATCATTACGTAATAATTTTTGGAACTGATTACTAACAAATGTAAATCTAAGTGCTAAAGCAGATAAGGTTTAAACAGCAAAACGTTTGTGCACTGCGCGCCGCTAACAAATTTCTTCCCAGCAATTAAAAGTAAGCGTGGATCAACTCGCGGTCAACTACGAAAGACTTCTTCTCTCCTGTCCTTCTTGCCGGATTTATCTGAAAATGATTATTCCAGTTCGTTGCTTCTCTTGCGGCAAGGTAATTAAAGCTGTGTTTGGTGTTGTTTCTGGGTGTGGTTTGTACTTACAAGCGTTGTATAGGTTGTCGGCGACAAATGGGAGACCTATTTGCAGTATCTCCAGAACGATATCACCGAAGGGTATGTACTAGTATTCTATCTTACGCAGTGTACTGGTAGTTTTGATGCTGACCTGCTTGTTTGTTGTATAGTGACGCGCTGGATAAGCTTGGTCTGAAGCGCTACTGCTGCCGTCGTATGATTGTGAGTATTTACCGTCTTATTACAGTCTCCTCAATGTTCGTACTAACTTTGACGTTTCCATAGCTTACTCACGTCGATCTGATTGAGAAACTGCTGCGCTACAACCCGTTCGAGAAGAAGGAGACGTACTAGATAGACTAGACTGGCTCTGAGGTTTGCGCTGTGCTGCCACATCAGTACTTGCCGAGACTCAAAACAGTCGTGGTAATAGTACAGAATAGAGGGGTGTGGCAACACCGGCAGTCTCAGAAGTGTACGATATTATCATATGAAGTGAGGGGATCGCATAGATCGTGCATCATCATTAGCAGCAAATCACTAGGTGATGGTGAGATGTACTCGATCATGATCCCGAAGTTTCACAGCAAATGCGAGAAAAAGTTATTCATGGAGTATTTACTTTTTTTGTTTTCCGGCCAAGATCTTTTGACATTCGGTGTTTGAATTTTCTTTTTATTTAACCTTGCGTAGTCTGAATTCATGACGGTCTACAATATGAAATGCTGTGGCGGTGGCTACGTTATGGAGTGGAGGGGGGATATAACGCCGACCACTATACACAGCACACAATGAGTGGATTACCTACAGATAATCAAGCTACTCGATCAAGGAAACACGATCATAGTTGAACCAATTCCAATTTTATGCATGAGAAAAATACAAAAGTAAACACAATGATGAACTAATGAGAGTCGAGCATCAGTAAAAAGAAAAAAACCATCCGTGTCTAAAGAAGCAAGGAGAGTGAGGATAAGTAAGAAAAGGATAGTTGTCGTTACTCTTTTTTTTGATCGTTAAGATAGGTATGTTGTGGCCAAGAAGACTGTTGCTTCTTTATGGTAGTTTTTCACGCTGTAGTTATTTTCGGTGGTGGTGTTGTTCTCTCACCATTCGTACTCGCCGGTTCCCTTCCCAAAAATGTAGTCCTTGCCATTCACATTGACGACTCCATCTTTGAGCACGCACTTCCATTTGTTTTTCGTCCTGCTAACTCTGTCGTAGAGACAAAGCATGAGCATACCGCTTTCTTCGCTGTCGTCTTCGTCGTTCGAGTTCAGCTCGTCTTCCGAGTCGTCAAGGTCGGAATTGATCGCATCAGAGTCGTCAGCGTTGGCAGCTGCCTTTCGGCGGGCGGCCGAAGTGGAACCAAGACCCAGGTCGTCGTCGTCTTCCTCGTCTTCGTCTTCGTCGGAATCAGAATCCATAGGACCGTCAGCTTGGCAGATTGTGAATGTGATTTCCCTTGATTTTCGTGAACGCTTGATAGATATGCCTGATGGTATCGATGGATCCTCTTTTGCTTCTGACGTAGAATCCGACTGTTTCGTCTTTCGCTTGAGAATGTGTAGCTCTAGCAGCCGATCAACGTCTGCTGTGCTCATCCCTTCTTCAATATTGTGTGTCGCACCATCTACCTGTGCAATTCTTCCACCTCCAGGAAGCATTAATCCACCCCCGAGTCCGTCACCGTTGTTGTCTTCCAGACCCGCTCGCTTCATCACGCCTTCGATACTAGCATTGGCAATCTCAGTCGGCACTTTCTCGTCCCGGGCGAATTCTTGGATGTGCTGGGCTGCGCGCATAGCTGCCATTGCCGGGTTGGAAAACGGCTGGGGCACTTGTGAGTTGATCATGTTGCTGCCGTAGATCGAAGCGTTGTTTCCAGACGGTGAGGATACCTCGTACTTGACATGAACGTTGTCGCCCAAAGCCCCAAGCTGCTGCTGCTGCTGTTGTTGATGCTGTTGCTGATACTGCTGCTGCCCTGGCATCTGAATCTGCGGCTCGGGATCATGGACTGGTTCCGGATCCCAGGGAAACCTGCCCGCACCCGCGAGCGAGAGCCGTTCTTGCCACAACAGTTGTAGCTCCCGAAGGGTCTCTTCGCTGATTCCTGAGTCCTCAAAGTCGAGCCGGGACGCATTGATCACATCCTCAATGACATCACGGTAGACATCACCCTGATCACCGGTTAGCAACCCGCTACTGATCCACGACACAAAAAAAGAGACGCAGAGAAGGAACAAGGAGTGTTTGCCACCGCCGCCCACCCACAAGAGACCGTCAAACATACCACAAGACTGTTAGACATAGCTGGCCAATTGAAAGATTCAGGAAGAGCTAATCCACTGTATCCAAAATTATAGGCCCTGCAGCGCTGTCGCAGTGATCCAAACCGAAACTGTGGGGAAGATGGTATTTATAGGAAGGGAAGGAATCGGGGAAGGAGCAAATCAGCCGAAGCGACTCTTGTCAGAGTCACGTGATCGCAAAGGCGGCAGCTCAGTGTCTGCTTCGGCGGAGCTGCTGTAGAGTCTGATTGCTAGAGTACTGAATATATACAAGTTATTCTAAACTATTAGAATTATTTATTGTCAATTGCTAAACCAATTCGCTTTAAAGTAGGACTATTGGAAATATGTGTGGTGTCGATAGGGTAGATCACGTGACTATTAACCGACCCAAATTGCCTCTGAGGCCGATTAAACACGTATCCGAGTTTGATCCATTCGGTCTATCAGCTCGCAAAACTACACGTTTCCGGGACTTTGAATCCCAGGTTTCTTCGATTGGAGATAATCTTTCAGTCGAGGTTGTCTATCTGCATTTTGAGGGAGTATAGCGGTGTTTGAAAGATATTTCTTGCTCGCATTTGAGTACAGGTAACTGGTATTTGGCATCCATCATAGATCTGATGGATATTGGCGCCCGCCAGCATAATCCCAGAACAACTCTCCTAAACTCCAGAAGTCAGTTTTATAAAGACGAAGCCAGGGTAGTTGCTTGATTGTCATTTGCAATTGTCATTATCAGTCGGGGCCAAGCATGGTGGCTAGTTCGCGGACGAACCATGGGGCCTGTAAGCTTCTCCCTGCGTGTTCTTTTCTCGAATGTATCGTGTTTGCAGATATCTAACAATTCATATAAAGATGCGCTATTTGCATTGCTGATATTTATGACGACGTCGTGCGTGATTGGGGCCGAGCAGATAGTATTCGATGCAATGACTACTAGTCAAGAAGGCGGCCGAATCGACGAGAACGATGTGCTGATCGAGGAAAGCAACCCTGCATCAACAGGCAAAGATGAAGAGATAGTATTCAGCGTCGAGGGAGTTGATAACGGATTACCGCCGATGCCTCTGATTACTGGTGTTGGATCTGACGAAGAAGGAGAGAGTTCTGAACCGCTAGAACCGGTCAGCGAAGGTGCGTGCTGATTAGTTTCGTTTGATCTCTTGTAGAATGGATGCTAACTATGATTGATGACCATAGATCAGAAGATGGTCAACCGAGCCATTGAGATCCTGCGCACCCTCGACCAAAATTCGCGGAGTGGTCGTAGCGATGTTGGTGCATCTCTCGACGAATCGCTGACGCCCAACATGTTTACAGTTTTTGCAAGACTGCTGCGATCAGTTGTGATTAACATCATTGACTTTCTGATTCCAGTCTCGTATGAAGATCAAGAAGCGTTTCTGGAACATACACAGACTGATGGAACGCCGAATAGCTATTCGTTGTCGGACGAGGGTCCGTCGACAGCGACCGAGGAACAACCGCAGTCATCCCAGACAGAGTCGGAAGAGATACCACCGGTACAGGTCACAGACACACCATATGATGGGATGTCGCGAAAAGAACGGTTGCAAGAGGCCATGAACTTGCTCAAGTCAGCAGCGGAGTACAACAACACTGACGCGCTCTATCTGCTCGGAGAGATGCACTTCTACGGCAACTATTCAACGCCGAGGGCGTATTCGAAAGCTACAGAGTATTACCACAAGCTCTCCGAAGTCAGTGGGAACGCGACGGCTCAGAATATGCTGGGATTTATGTATTCGACTGGAATATTTGGCGATGTGCCGCGAGACCAAGCCAAGGCTTTATTGTACCACACTTTTGCCGCCTATGGAGGCGATACGCGGTCTGAAATGACACTTGCGTACAGATATCATGCAGGGATAGGAACACCGCGGAACTGCGAAAAGGCGGTGTTTTTCTACAAGCGGGTTGCAGACAAAGTGATGGCGTATTGGCGAAGTGGGCCACCAGGAGGACGCACACTCGATCAGCATACCTGGAAGCTTGCGGACGATCACGGTGGAGTCTACGGAGAAGGAGCTAGTCATAGCTCGGTAGGCAATCCGCGTAAGCGGTATTCCCCGGCATCGGACTCGGCCTCGCTTGACGACGTGCTGGAGTATCTGCGATACATTGCCGATAAATCCGATATCGCGGCGCAGTACTCGCTCGCTCGATTCTATTACGAAGGAACGCGAGTACTGAAGCGAAACTATGCAGAGGCAATGAAGTACTTCAAGCTAGTGGCGAAGCAGTGCTGGACAAAGGACGGCAAGCTGCTTCCAAATATTTCTAAAGTTGCTGAGCTGTACGCGGGAAGGATCGCTGGATACCTGGGCCGAATGTACTTGCGAGGAGAAGGGGTGCCTGTGGATGCGGCAAAGGCATTAAAATGGTACAAGCTGGGTGCAAAGGCAGGGGATGCTGCTAGCTTGAATGGTCTTGGGTATATGCATTTGAAGGGACTGGGAGGATTGAAGGCAAATGCGGTGAAGGCAGCAGAGTATTTTAGAGCAGCGGCAGAGCGAGATTTCGGCCCGGCTCAGGTGAATATCGGGAAGCTGTTCCTGGAGAAGCAAGAGGTTGCGATTGCGACGCAGTACTTTGAGCATGCGGTCCGACACCGGCATATCGAGGCTTACTACTATTTGGCGGAGATGTATAACCAGGGCCTAGACAAGGAGCCTTCGTGTGGTATGGCCGCGGTGCATTACAAGATTGTTGCGGAGAAGGTTGAGGACATACACAGTCCGCTGGCATGGGCGCACGAGCGGTACAAGGCAGCAGACTACGAGAATGCGCTGATTGGGTTTATGATGGCTGCAGAGCAAGGATATGAGAGTGCGCAGGCAAACGTCGCGTATTTGATTGATCGGGACAAGTCTGCGTTTAGTCTTTCTACGGTAGTCGATTATCTGCTGGGATACTTTGAGACGCATACGGATGAAGAGATTGCGGAGGATGAGCGGATCGAGAAGCTTGACCGGTTTATCGACGAAGTGGCGCTGATCTATTGGACGCGAGCTTCGAAGCAGACCAACGTGGACGCGACGGTTAAGATGGGCGACTACTATCTGAAGGGGATCGGTACGCAGAAGGACAACGAGAAAGCCGCTGCGTGTTACCAGTCGGCGGCAGAGTTTCAGCAGTCTGCGCTTGCGCTGTGGAATCTGGGGTGGATGCATGAAAACGGGCTTGGTGTGGAGCAAGACTTTCATCTCGCTAAGAGGTTCTACGACCTGGCGTTAACGACTAACTCAGAGGCATATTTGCCGGTGACGTTGGCGCTGTATAGGTTACGTCTACGGAGTTTCTGGAACTCATTCACGGGCGGGAGCGTGAACGGGATTGGCGTTGACGGCGGCGAGGAAGATGACGAAAAAGAAGACGGAAAGGACGGCGACGATGAGGCGGAGTCATGGAAAGCTCGGGAGCAAGCCGGAGAGCAAGCCGGCGAGGAGTCGGCCCCGAAGCGCTCGTTCTGGGATCTGTTGAAGCAATGGTGGGATCAGATGAACGATGACGAGTACTTTGATGACTTTGTGCCGGAGGACGAGGCCGACTCGGGCGACGGGCCGGGCGAAGGTGGTGGCAACTACCAGATATGAAGGGTATAGGGGAAGAGGGACGGAGCACGTTGTGGGCACGTTGCTGGCACGTTGTTTGTATGATATAATGGCATAGGAAGTATCGCCCGCTCGCTCTCTTGTTTTCGCTACATTTGATGAAACGCGGGAGCCACGTTATAGCGAAAGCAAGCGAGCGCGCGAATGAGAGGCGAGGATTAGCGTTGGTCGATTAATTGAGCAAAGAAGAGAAATCTACGCTGTCGAGAGGTGCAAAGGTCTCTGAAAGGCAAAGGAGCAGACCGGGATGGGAACCCTGAAGCCGAAGTCAAAGTTGACAATTTGCCGATTTAAACGCCCGGGTTCCTGAGCCCAAATTAGAGCCCGTGCCCGATCGGGTAAGCAAGGTCACATGCATGCGGTTAGGGCCACTCAATCAGGCACGTTGCCCTGGCGACAGGGTTTGATCACAAAAGGAGTCACGGCTCACACGAGTCCGAGATTGCATACGCCATTTCGGGGCTAGCGGAAAAGGTACCCGGCACAACGTGGCTCGGACCGGTACCTTAGTTTTGATGTAAACACAGCGAGGAGAATGGGTTCTTCTTCTTCCTCATTCTCGTTCTGGACCTTCTCTTCCCTCTTCGCCACTTCTCTGTCGTCCTCTCGCGCGGTATCCGCCTGCTTCCTGCCTTTTAAATACCCCCGTCGGCCCGGTTCCTGCAGTCATTCCTTTCTGCTCGATACGCGCGCCTCAGTCGTTCCTTACATTCCGGTATCCCTTTCGTTCGCGTCGCACTCCTTTGCTCGAATCGAATAGCGCATCCGCACACCTTCCTGACGACTCTCGAATCGCACTCACCGCTCTTTTGCTCGCTCTTTCCTTTCAGAAATTACGCGTATTCCTGATCTTTACAACATATTTCTATCCTTATTCAATACGCGATTATGATTCCCTCAGCCGTGTTTATCGTCCTCGCCGCCGCGCAGGCGCTCGCGTTCCCGTCCACCGCACACCACCAACACCAACACGAGCACGCCGCTCCCGCTAAACGCTCAACCCAGACTTGCTCCTTCCCCGATGATTTAGGACTTGTCGCTGTTACGCCTGATTCCGACAACGGCGGATGGGCTATGTCCCCTGATCAGTACTGTTCCCCTGGTACCTGGTGCCCTTACGCGTGTCCCCCGGGACAGCTCATGGCCCAGTGGGATCCCGAGGTCACTTCTTACGTCTACCCCGGCTCTCAATACGGTGGTCTCTACTGCAACGACGATCTTACTGTTTCAAAGGGATTTTCTGCTAAGGATTACTGCTACGACGGTGCTGGAACAGTCTCTGCGATCTCCACATCTGGCGACGGCAATGTTGCGTTTTGCCAGACCGTTCTTCCCGGTAACGAAGCCATGCTCATCCCCACCGATGTTGGCTCGTCCGACACCACTCTCGCTGTCCCTGACACGTCATACTGGGCCGGCACTGCCGCTCACTACTATATCAACCCTCCCGGAGTCTCGACCGACGACGGCTGCGTCTGGGGATCCACCGCGAACCCGTACGGTAACTGGTCGCCATATGTTGCTGGCGCAAACATGGACGACGCCGGCATTACCTACGTCAAAGTTGGCTGGAACCCCATCTACCTCGAGGAGGCTACCCCTTTTAGAGATGAGCTTCCTTCATTTGTAAGTTTTTGTGTGTTTGTACTACTTTCCGTATCAGGCAGCTGCTAACATTTGTTTCAACAGGGTGTCAACATTACCTGCCCCGATGGCGGCTGCTCGGGTCTGCCTTGCGGTATCAACCCTGCTGTTCACAGCGTCAACGAGTGCTACAGTGAGACCAGCCCTGGTGCTGGAGGAGCTAACTTTTGCGTCGTTGGTGTTGAGAAGGGCAAGACTGCCTTGATCACTGTCTTTGACTCTTCCGGATCTTCTGACTCGTCGTCGAGCTCGTCGTCGTCGTCGTCGTCGTCTTCGTCGTCTTTGTCGGCTTCGTCGACTTCTTCTTCGTCGTTCTCGTCGTCATCCTCGTCGTCTTCGTCTTCTTCGTCGTCTTCGTCTTCTTCGTCGTCTTCGTCTTCGTCTTCGGTGGCTACTACCTCGGAGGCCGTGAACGTGATGGCTTATGCTGCTTCTGCTTCTGCTTCTGCTTCGGATGAGCCTTCGACTGTTTCGAGCTCTTCGTCGGAAGAGACCTCTATCTATGTTGCTCCTAGCACCTCTGAGGTTTACTCTACGTCTTCGTCGAGCAGCAGTTCGTCTTCGTCTTCGTCGACTTCAGAGTACGTTGCGCCTACCTCTTCTGAGGTGTGGGCAGAGCCCAGCTCGTCTTTTGACGAATGGGACGTGCCTACCTCGTCTTCTGAAGAATGGGATGTGCCTACCTCTTCTTCGGTCTATGTTGATCCTACGACGAGCTCTTATGTGTACGTTGAGCCGACTACCAGCTCGTCTGTGTATGTTGAGCCTACTACCAGCTCTTATGTTTATGTCGAACCTACCACTAGCTCTTATGTGTACGTCGAGCCAACTACCAGCTCGTCTGTGTACGTTGAGCCCACTACCAGCTCGTCTGTGTATGTTGAGCCCACTACTAGCTCGTCGGTCTATGTTGAGCCGACTACCTCTTCATCGGTCTATGTTGCGCCTACCTCTTCATCAGTCTATGTTGAGCCTTCCAGCTCATCTGAGGAGGTTACGATTGTGACTGTGACTGTTACGAGCTCGAATATTCCCCAGGCGTTCTACGTTGCGAGCAACACTTCGACTACGGTTTCGTCTACGACGTCTAGTACTCCTAGCAGCACTACTCTGGCAGTGTCCACTACTAGCAAGAGCTCGAGCTCGTCTCACAAGGCGTCTATCTCGAAGGTTTCTTCGATTGCGCGCACTGCTCAGTACCAAGTTGTGTCGTCGACTAAGCGGTCGAGCTCGGCTGCGCCAAGTAGCACGTCTTCGTCGTCGCGTCACCACCACCACGCTCACCGAAGCTCGTCGTCGGTTTCTTATGAGGGCACGACTACTATTGTGGCGACGGCGACGTCGTACGATATTGAGGCGGTTGCTGTTGCGAGCACTACGAGTTCGTCGGCGGAGGCAAAGAGCACGGTTGGCGGCCTGTCAGGCAACAAGAACTCAGACAACGATAGCGGCAGCAGTAGCTCAGGTGCGTCGTCGTTGACGGTGTCTGCGGGAGCTGCAGCGGTCGCATTCGTGCTAGCGGGCGTTTTGATTGTATAAGTACTAGTGCGCGTCTGAGATGAAAAAAGCTGACAACTTGGTTGCTAAACGGAGTTTTGTTATGTTATGATTTTTTGTTTGCTATCTATGTGTTTTCTATGTATGATGTTTTCGGCCTTTATGATATTTCAATGATTTTTTGTATACCAAGGTGGGATTGAAAGAAAAGAAAAAAGAAAAAAAAGGAAATGTCCGTCGGATGAATCTATGTATATTTTAAGTTTTTCAGTGTATTCAAGAAAGTTTTTCTGTGGGGATGAAAAAAGGCCGGTCTGATTTTATTTTCGTTAAGTGTACAACAATCTTTGTTCTTCGTCTGAATGAAACCAAAAGTTTTATGAGAAATGACGAGAGGACGGAAGTAGAGTTGGGTGGAGCAACGGCTGATATGGTTTTTGTGTAGGCGACCTGCTCGTACTTGGTGAGTACGAGTGTACGTGTGCTGTGCTACTCTACCAATTTGTTGCTATCTCTTCAATATTACTACTATTTACTGCTTCTATATAGCTATCTGAAATGTAGCTATCTGAAACTACATGATTAGCAGAAAGACATCTGCTAGAACCTCGGCAAGATGCGAACAGCCGGGAAATCTGCAATCTGTTTAATTAACCTCCGCTCAAACGCTTTTGTTTACAATCGTAACGAATCTGGTTTAGTCGTCTAATTTCTTTTTTTGCTCCGACAATGACTCACAGTCACAAATTAACTGTGAGTTATTGTGATCTTGATCAAACTTTAAGTTCTATGCTCATCTCGATTAGAATCAAATCTGTCTGATATTGGCTGCTAATTAGTCCTCCTCCTCCTCGTCTTCCTTATCTGAAGATGCAGCTGCAGCAGCAACTTTCTTCTTTCGCCGCTTTTTCTCCTCCTTTTTCCGCTTCGCCTCCTCCCGCTTGTCTCTTTCCGCTTTCATGTGCTTCTTCTCCACCGCCTTCAGCTTCTTCTGCTGTGTGCCAATCTCGTCTCTCTCCGCCGGCTTCCTCTTGAGCTGCTTCTTCATCTGCTTATCGGCCTTGCCCATCCTCGTCATCCACTCCTGCACCTCGCACCCACTCTCCCGCATCACGTTCACCACAATCTTAACCGCCTCCACATCCTCCTTTGTAAAAAACGTAACCGCCTTGCCCGTCCTTCCTGCGCGACCCGTGCGGCCGATGCGGTGGATGTACGCCTGCGCGCTCTGCGGGACGTCGTAGTTGATAACCACGTTCACCCCGTGCACGTCGATTCCGCGCGCGAAAACATCGGTGCAGATAAGCACCCACACCTGCGCCTTCTTAAACTTCTCCACCACAGCCTTGCGCTGGCTCTCTGTGCGCTCGCCGTGGATGACGTCGACGTTGACGCCGTCGTAGACAAGTTCGTGCATCAGTGCGTTTGCGCGCTCGACCGACTGCACAAAGATCAGCACCGGCGGGGGTAATTCGCCGCCCTTGACCATCTGGCGGATCGCGACGAGCTTGCCGGACTCGGACCCGGCAAATACGAGCTTTTGGTCGACCGTCGCGGCTGCCCGGCCGGGTGAGATGAAGATCCGGAGCGGGTCCACCATCAGGTTCAGAGCCATTGTCTCGATCGAAGACGGCATCGTCGCGGATAGGAAAGTCTTTTGTAGAGAGGACTGGCGGGTTTTCGCGATCGTCGCCAGGATCTGATCCGTCTGCTCGGCAAAGGTCGTATCGAACAGTCGGTCGGCTTCGTCGAGAACTAGATGGCGCAGACTGTCGAGACCAATCACGTTCAGCGCGCGCACTAGGCGTAAAGGTGTGGCGATCAAAACGTCGCCTGGCCGTGGTCGATCGCTCGAGTCGGAAGTAAGTCGCGCCAAAAGTGATTTAGAGAGTACGTTTGCTTTCACACCTGCGCGGCCACTGGCGGTGAGGATTGTGAATTGCTCAAGAACTTGTGTCGCAAGCTCTTTTGTTGGCACGAGAATCAAACCCTTGATCATCCCTGCTGATGAGCTCTTCTCGTTCTCGTTCACTTTCCGAATAAGCTCGACCAATGGAAGCACATAAGCCAGAGTTTTTCCGGAGCCGGTAGGCGCGCATGCTAAGATGTCGCGATCATGTAAGATTCCCGGGATCGCCTCCGCCTGGATCTGTGTCGGCGTCGCGAACCTGATCCGCGAGAGCAACTGCTCCGAAAGTCCAAATCGTGGACCTAACTCTTCAAACGTAGTTAGCGGCTGCGGCACGTCGCTTCCTTTGATGTTTGATTTGCGGTACGGAATCGTGGATTCGATCTTTGCAAACTTGGGCTTCTGATCTGTATCGTCTTCATCCGCCTTGTTCTTCTGCTTCTTGCTCTTGTTGTCATCATGCTCGTGGGATGGTGTCTTTGTATGAAAGAAATCAAGCTCGCGGACTATCCTCTCGCTGTCATCAGCCTTCTTCTCTTGCTACATCGAGAAACGCTGTTAGAGCTCGTTCAAAGAACAGGATAAGAAATACAAACAATGTCAATGAACAAACCTTTTTAGTAAAAATCTCTGAGTCATGGTCCAATTTCGCCCCTCTCGACAGAAGCCTAAAAAAATCCATTTCAAGCAATATCTCTTTATTATTGCTCAATAGCCCTCCTTTTCTACCCTCTCAAGATCAAGATCAACTTTCAACTCTCAGCGCAGCTCAGTCGCGGTTCTGATGTTTTTTCTTTTTGAATTTTTTTCTTTGGGAGTTCTGGGAGTTATCGGAGATTTGCCATGAAAGTCATGTTTAGAGGCACGTGACAGTCACGAGAACGGATTTGCTCGTGGCTGGGAATTCAGCGCGACGCGTATTTTGATTCCAGCGGTGGGCGTGAGGAATCGTGATAGGACATATCTGGGCTCGGATCGGAGCTGGCGGCGGTGATGATTGAAGAGGTGCTATTGGAGGTCGTGGATGTGCGTTGTATGTGGGGGATGTTTCTGCTATCTGATAATTGCTATCTACGGTCTACTATCTGAAGAATTTCAACATTATGCAGGGCTATCTCGTCATTCAGATACTACTACGGCTGCTGCCGCTGCTGCTGCTGCTGTCGCAGTCGAGAGCGAACAGCGACGTCGGTCCCCGTCTTCCCCACTTGCTTTGCCATAAGAGCAGATTGCGATTATTTTCATTTATTATGACACCTCCCGACGTGCAAAGCGACGAGTGACGAGATAGGGATCGTAGAACGCGACTAGGGATGGCCAGCCACCGCTCGTCTCCTGCCATACTCGACCCGACGACGAGAAATAATTAGCAGAGAAGTAGTGCCCCATCGTACTCAGATGTTGAATTGGAGTTATCTGGCTGGCCTTAGAGACCTTCGGTACAGAATACGTGCAGAGAGCCGACGAGCCAATAGAGCTCAGTCGCTCTTCGATGGATTGGCGTCGTTTTCTTATCGATGGTCTCATATTGCGACAGATCAGCTGTCACTGTTCGAGAACTGTCGGGAGACTTTCCCCGGCTCATCTGCCGGTCTCGTGAATGACTTCTGCTCTACTCAAAGTACCCGACCGAGGAGATGTCTCTGCGCCGCACGAGGATATAGTAGCCTATAATCACGGTTGTTTTACGAGGACCAAGTCTTGCCCAGACATGCTTGTAGCCGCTATTCGAGCTGTTGATAAGCGTCAGAACAGGTGAATCAGATAAGAGCAGGAGACAGAGAGATCTACTGGCCGGCTACAGGTATCGTATAGCGCCGGCAAGAAAAGACCTCTGCGTATCCCAGAATTGCGCAATCCGTACTAGCCGAAACCTGACGTTTGTTCCGTCGAGGAGGCGCATTAGGCTGTCTGTCTCTGGTGGCTTCGAGAGCGAACTCGGCTCTATTTTTTCATAAGACGTTCATTAATTGATTATTCCGGCCTGCACTTGATGGAATTCAATCATGATAATCAACGGCTTTGAACATAGCTGAAGATACACCCGCACATGAACAGACCATCGGTCAGAGCAAAAGGCCCGGGTTATCGCAGCAGTCCTTGCACCTGCGTTAAAAGTGGGCCTGTGCTATTGGGCTTTGCCGGTGGCTTGTGTTTGTTCCGCTGCGATAGGTGCCAGCCCGCGTCCCCGCACAACCGTGCGGTGCGTTGTTAGTTCCGACACCATCACTGTATTTGGAAACTGCAAACTAACCACCGTGAAGTTACAAGTTTGACGTTCACCATCTTTCACTGTGTGAATTCATAAAAGGACTTGTTATTAGGAAATGCGAATCATCGGTAGTTACGTATCGATAGCTATGAACCTGCACTGCAGAGCTTCCAAATCGACCAAGCACCATTGGTCCTATCTACTGTTCTATAAGCTTTCTAGCCCTGATACCCTGTTTTCTTGGCCTTTTTGATATCGATAGCGTCATTAGGCCTTGCTATCGCCATCATCACGGGTAAAGAAAATTCTCATGCGAGCACCCGGCTGGTACTGTATACTTAAGTCATGCGATACCCGGTCTGCAATGACTCTCTTCTGCTTCATACTTTCAAATCTTCATTGCCTGTAGCGAAAGCATGGCTTCCTACGCTGAAAAGACGCATTCTGTGAGCGTTCTTGAGCTCTCTCAGGACGTTGAACTCGACGACGACTCGCAATATGCTTCCGAGAAGAAGGCCGGCTCCAAGGTCCGGTCCAAGTCTGTGGACTCATCTGCCGACTCTCTTCATCGCGAGAAAGTCGTCGCGCGGTTCCGACGGATGAACAAGGTCGGGGATACCGGCGATGAAGATGTCCTTGCTGATCGCGCGTCGCAGTATCTTTACGATCGTCTGCTTGAGACCTCTCTTGACGATGCGCTAGAGATCTTGAGGAATGTGCTTGTCGAGCACTACGGCGACGTCAACTTCGACCACAAGACCTACGAAAAGATTGAGCGTCTTGTTGCCGGACAGGACGTGTACGAAACCGATATCGACACTTATGAGCTCGACGCGCGTCTGGAGGCTGTCGTTATCCACTTCCACTCTCCGTACCCCGAAGTTCGTGCTGTCACCGACCCGTTCGATGATCCCTCGATTCCTGTCGAGACTCTGCGTGCCTACATCATTGGTGCTATCTGGGTTGCTGTTGGCAGTTTCATCAATGAGTTCTTCATCTTCCGTCAGCCTTCGCTCAAGCTTCCCTCGACCGTGATCCAGCTCCTCTTGTTTCCTTCCGGCAAGCTGGCGCAGCTTCTTCCTGATTGGGGGTTCACTGTCCGCGGAACTCGGTACTCTCTCAACCCTGGTCCCTGGACTTTGAAAGAGCAGATGCTTGCAACAATCATGGTCAACGTCGGCTCGCAGTCCTCAAACTGGATGAGCATGGTCGTCGCTCTCCGCCACAAGCTCTTCTTTGGCTACAGCTGGGTCGGATTCGGCTTTGCCTGGACTATGAACTTTGCCAGTCTGTTCTTTGGCTACGGCTTGGCGGGAATGATGCGCAAGCTTGTCATTTTCCCTGTCAAGGCTGTGTTTCCCAATGTCCTGCCTACGCTTGCGCTTAGTCGGGCGTTGGTTGTCAAGGAGACAAAGACGTCGATCAACGGATGGACTATCACCCGCCAAAAGTTCTTCTACCTTGTGTTCACGGCCTCGTTCTTCTATTTCTTTGTTCCGTCGTTTTTGTTCAAGGCGTTGAGCGTGTTCAACTGGATGACCTGGATTGCGCCGCAGAACAAGCTATTGGCGATGGCGACGGGTTCTTACCTGGGAGTTGGAGTGAATCCTATTCCGACATTTGACTGGTCCGTTATAAACTACGGAAGTCCTCTTGTCTACCCGTTCTACGCCTTCTTGAACAAATTCTTGGGTGTGTTGATTACGGGTATCGTCATGATTGTTCTCTACTGGAAAAATCATCGCTGGACTGCCTATATGCCGCTCAACGTCAACACGATCTACGACTCCACCGGAAGTAGCTATAACCTCTCGAAGATTCTGGATTCAAACCACAAGTTTTCTGAGGAGCTTTATGAAAACTACTCGGCGCCCTATATGTCGGCTGGAAATATCGTGGGCACGGGTGGCTTGTGGGCAGTCTATACCTGCACGTTTGTGTATGTTGTGATTTCGGAGCACAAGTTGCTGTGGGAGACCTTGAAGATGATGTGGGTTTCTATCCGCCATCCAAAGCGCTCCTCGCTCCAGGATTTCAACGACCCGCACTCGAAGCTCATGTCAAAGTACTCTGAGGTGCCTGACTGGTGGTATTTTGCCATCTTCTTCATCGGCGTCGGGATGGGCTTTGCGGCGATCTTTGGCTGGCCCACGACTGTTCCGATCTGGACCGTCATTGCGATCTTTTTGTTCAACATTGGCATGCTAATGCCTACTCTTGTCGTCCTGTCGCGAAGTGGCGTGTCTATGGGATTTGGAGCATTTTCTGTCATCTTGGCGGGGTACATGGATCCAGGCAATGCAATCACCAACATTGTCATCCGCATGTGGGGGTAAGTTCTATCACCTCGGCTCTGCTAAACTTGTTCTGCAAAGTGCATATGCTAATTTCTTTTCATATTATAGTTATAACATTGACGAGCAGGCCGAGAGCTTCATTGGCGACCAAAAGATTGCGCATTACTCGCGCATCCCGCAGCGAGCAGCTTTTCGAGCGCAATGCTTGGCCACACTAATTCAGTGCTTCTGCTCGGTCGGCGCCGTCGAAGCGCTTTTCCACTCGGTCAAAGATTTCTGCACGACGACGCAGAAGGATAAGTTTGTGTGCGCGTTCCCGCGAACTGTTTACTCTGATGCGATTATGTTTGGAGTAGTCGGGCCGCAGCGGGTGCTGTCGGATGTATATCCTGCGCTCAAGCATGCGTTCTGGATTGGGGCGGTGATTGCTGTTCCGTTTGGGCTTTTGCGGTTGAAGTTTAAGAACAGATGGACCTGGTTTGATCTCCCGCTTATTGGCTACGGCACGATTTTCTGGGGCTCGACTTATAACTTGGTCTACTACATCCCGGGCTTTTACTTCTCGTTCTTCTTCATGTACTACATCCGCAAGCGCTACACGGGATGGTGGTCAAAGTACAACTACATTCTCACGTCTGGATTGTCGGCCGGTGTTGCGTTTGGTGGCGTAATCATCTTTGCAGCGCTGCAGTACCCTCAAGTCTCGCTTTCGTGGTGGGGCAATAGCGTGTACGCAGCCGGAGTCGATTACGCAAGAACAGCGGCGTTGAAGGAAATCCCAGAGGGCGGATTCGGCTTGCCCGTCGGCAAGTTCCACTGAGTTCTGTTTGCCTTTTGATGATGCGGAACAACATACTCTTTTGTTTGTGTGATTGGTTGGATCTGTTTGTAGTTTCTGTTTCAGGGTTTAAGATTTGTTTTTGTAGAGGATGAAGAAGATATGACTCGTTAATTTGAAGATGTTTTCCCCATATGAAGAGGTTTGCCTCGTCCAATGAATACCGCATTACTTGCGCATACGTCAAACTGTGAAAGATAAGCACGGTATCTAATACATGTGATAGTAGTGACGTCTAGAATGACTATAGCAGACGGTACATCTGATTAAATGAAACGGCAGTCGGCAAGGCAAAATAATCAGATGTTGGTCGTGCTCGTGTTCATTCTTCTGGATCTGGACCCAACCTTATACGCCAGAACTCTATCACATGCAGCCAGGAACGGCTCTTTTCCGCGGAATAGATGAAAGGCCCTTTTACTAAGGATCTATGCGCTGCTCTTGATTGATAAATGGGCTGGCTGGACGAGTATATTGCCAAGAGACTGGATGTATGTAAGGTGTCGGACTTCACTACCGCAAGTGCATATGTACTCTAGACTTTCAGAGCTGGGTATTTTAACGTCTACGGGATAATAAGTGATATTCGTTGGAGAAAGGGATTTATGCTGGTAAGCTAGTGAATGCTCTATCGGCCGCCTAGATCCCGCCCAATCCTGGATATCGCCATCGTCGCCTGCGACGAGGTGGCAGTACGCGATTCGATTGCCAGCGTGCTGCGGAACCGCAGTCGAATTTAGAAGCCAACTGTCAGATACAGTACCTGGAACGACGATCATCATTCACATACGCTTCCAATTGACATGTTTCTATGAAGTAGTTGCTCGAGCAGCATACCAGAAGAGCAGACAGAAAGCATCACGTGATGTGATACCTCTAAAAAGCGGACTAAAGTTGAGTTTATTTCTAGTTGAGTTTTAAAGATTTTTAACTACGCCAAGCGAAAGTGCCGCGGGAAGAAGCGCGGTCTCTTTGTTTGCTCGAGTCGGTGCCTGGTCTGCTCATCCGCGCAATATCGAGTCAATTGCTGGTTCGCGGACTCTGTCTCTGTTTCTGTGTCTAAATACACCTGCTGTAGCTGTTTACAGTGGCTTCTCTGCTGCCAAAAGGGCGAGGAAAGAGCACCCGTTGCCACTTTCGGCTCCATTTAGGTTTCTGACGTCCTCGAGATCCAGACCGCGTCCCTTAGCTTCCAGTTAAGCATAGATAATCTTGGTCTTCCTTGGCTCTTCGTTCTTATACACATAGGCTCAGGGGATTATCTCGGTCTAGGCCTCTGAGCTATTATTCGCATACGTCTCCTAGATAGATCTCCTTCTAGCTTGTCGCCACATTTTCTTTCGTTCGGTGTAGGTTGTTGGCAAGCTGAAAATCCGAGGAGACGATCAAGGTTGGGCTTATACCTCATATTTTCGGAAAGTCTGTGGTGGTGCCATCAGCTCCCAACAACTTCCTCTCCTCCTTCTTTTGCTTCTCTCAGGCCATGAGGACGTCGCTGTCCTGTCCTGTCAACCTTCATTCTTCGTTATCTGTGCCAAAAGCTGCCAAAATGTCTTACGATTTGCTGCCAAACGTGCTACCGCACGGCTGAGATTTGCTGACTCTCTTCGCAACAGCTTCTCGCTTTCCTTTCCTTCTGCATTTCATACTCTAAACTGGTAAAAATTTTGCCTCCGTATACCTTGGCACCCGACAAATACTTGGCCAAAAGCTAGACGGTCGCCGAGACCAGACGGCCTACGTAACGCGCTACCTGGGACAACTTTTTTCCTCTTGCTCTATCTTCCTCTTAGCGACGTCCAGTCTAGGCTTCCTCGATCTCAACTCTCTCGTTATCGTTGACGGATTTTTTTTTTGCTGTCTTGGCAATGGTTGTGCTCTGTATTAATACCACTGGATTTCGCATGCCGGAAGAGAAATTCCTCGTCTCTGATAATCTGATAACGGCAACACTATGAAGTTCACATTCGTTATCATTCTTGTTGTGCTCTATGTCCTCACTATCTTGACCGATGGTGTTGACGCAGCAACCACGAAGAAGAAGAAGAAGAAATTGGTTCTCACCGCCTGCGAACAGACCTGTGTCAACTATGTCGCTGCCATCAACTCCACGACCGGCTGTCTGTCTGAGGCTTCGGCGTCCTCTTCCTCGTCGGAGAAGAAGCTCGTCAAGCGCAAGGAAGCGGCCTTGTCTACCGAGCTTGATTACACCTGCGCCTGTGTCGACGATATCTACCTCGGCTCCATGGCTCTTTGCATCGATCAGTGCCCTTCGGGGTCGCAGGAAAAGACCTGGAATTACTGGACCAAGCTGTGCAAGAAAACGTACAAGACTGAGGTTGAGGAGGACTACGATTACTACTTGAACTTGGCTGAGGATGACTATGTCCTGGGAGGATCTTACGAGGGCGCTACGTCGGTTCCTGATAAAATTAATTCGACGTACTTCTACTGGACCTACCGCACCAGAGATGCTTACTACCAGAATATCAGAGTCTCTGTGTTTTACGGGTATGTGCAACTCACTCTCGACATTTCTCAACAAAAACAAATAACTAACACTTTATGATACAGAAACGCGCTCTTTGCCTTTTTTGGTCTTTTCATGTTCATCTCCGCTGTCAACCGCCTCTTCTGCCGTTTGCTCAACGTCGAGAAAGGGGCTCCTAACCCGATTGTCACCGCGATCCGGAAATACTTTGTGCTCCCCGCTGCATTCAACGGCAAGCACGCGGAGAGCAACAAGCTTTTCGGCATTCCCTTCAATGTCACGCCTATCCGCTGGGTGTACGTGATGGTGACGATCTACAGTATCCTGAACATCGCGTTCTGGTGGACCAGCGTGGATATCTTTGAGGGAAACACAAACTACGTCAAGACGAGCTTGCAGCGTACCCGGTATCTTGGTGATCGTGCTGCCGTTATTGCTACAATTTTGTTTCCTTCGCTCTACATGTTTGCTGGGCGCAATAATATCCTGCAGTATATCACCGGCTGGTCATACGAGACCTTCAATGTCCTGCATCGCTGGACTGGACGGTGGATGTTGATCCAGGCTTCTGTTCATGCTATGGGCTATTCCGGTGTCTACCTGATCAACGGAGGTCACGAGCTCTATATGGAGAAGATCTGGTTCAAGAAGAACATCATCTACGGAATTTGCGCTACATTCATCGCCGGTGCGCTCATCGTCCAGGGAGCTTATCCGCTGCGCCATAAGTTCTACGAGGTCTTCAAGTCTATCCACGTCGTGCTTGCTGCTGCCTGCCTCGCGCTTACCTACAAGCATGTCAACGCTTACGGCTACTTCCCCTGGGGCTACCAAAAGTACATCTGGGCAACCATCGGTCTCTGGCCCGCGGATCATTTCCTCCGGCTCTGCAGAATCGCTTACTCTGGTCTCTGGACAACTGCCGCGGTTTCTGTCATCGACAACGCGGTCGTGATCCGCGTCAAGCCTTTGATCCCGTGGAAGCCGACCCCGGGCCAGTACGCGTACCTCTATGTCATGCGCCACAATTTCTGGGAGTCGCATCCGTTCTCGATCGTCGGCAAGGAGAACGGCGAGTACATCTTCGTGGCCAAGGCCGAGCAGGGCATGACCAGAAAGCTTCACAACACAGTCACCAAGAGCAATAACCCCGACCACAGAGTCAATGTCTGGGTCGAGGGATTCTACGGCGAGACTCAGCCCGTTCATCGGTACAACACCGTTCTTTTGATCGGCGGTGGTATCGGCGTCACCGCGGTTGTCGGCTACGCGCTCGAGCTTGCTCGCAAGCCTAGAGAGGGACAGCATGTTATCCTGTACTGGATCGTGCGTGAGGAAGAGCAACTCGGCTGGATCAAGCAGCAGATTGACGAATGCGCCGCCACCGGCCGCGTCGACCTCCGCATCTTCGTCACCAAGGGCTCTCCTTCCCCCATCGCTGATCAGGAGAAGCAAGACAAGAGCTCGGTGAACAGCACCTCCGACTCCGACAACGAAAAGAGTCTCTCTGTCTCCTCCAACTTGACCGACTGGTCCGAGAGCGTCAAGTACGGCGTTCGTCCGGATATGTCGGAAATCGTCTCGACCACGGTGCGTGAAGCGCCCGGAAGTGTTGCGGTCTTGATCTGTGGACCGCCAAAGATGTCTGATAACTGTCGGCGCGCGGTGACCGAGAACGTGGATAAGGGCGCGGGTAGAGTTGAGTACTTTGAGGAGGTTTTCTCCTGGGCTTAGTTAGAGTGGAGTTGTCTTTTCTCAATGCTGTTGTCGTTGGTCTGGTGGATTTGCTGTTTTCGTGGTAATCTGTTTTGTGTTTTGTTTAGAATGATGAAGTGTTAGGTAGATGTTTTGAATTGCGTATCGCTGTGCATGAAACATAAAAGTCACGGCTGTTGTTTCTTAGATTAGCAAGCTCGCAGGTAACAAGCTAGTAACAAGCACCCAATATATATTTCACAAGATATTAGCCTATGTGTTGTAGAGATATAGTCTATGTGCTGTAGCGATATGCTGTAGCGATATGATTGAAGGGTTAAATGCATTAACTATTAATACTATCGATTCACAATGAAAGCTATAGACAGGTAGAATATGGTGGCCAGCGACCTCTGTAATTCATGATTGAAAACCTCCAAATTCATCACCGCCATCAATCTGTACGCTTGCTAGCCAGATCTCTGGGTTGACTCGTGTGTGTCTTCACCGGTGCAGCCTGACGATATCGCTCGTAACTGGTTCTGCCGCTTTCCTGTGGTACGGGGGGGGGGGGGGGGGGGGGGCATTGACATTCCTGATTCGAAAGTCGGAAGAGGAGTTTGAGGCAGACGCAGAGGTAGATGCTGTTAAATTTTTGTTCTCTCTCAAAACGTTCTTCCACCTGTGCGCTCTGAGAGCAGGAGTGATCGAGCTTTGTTGAATGGTATTCATCTCCGCTGACGCAAGAGGAGATGCTTTTTTGAATCTGTATGATTGAGCAGAGCGGTCGAGCATTTGCCGTACCTCGTCCTCCAAAGTAGGAGGAGGAGTCGGCATCTTTGCTCTTGTATGTTGCTCTTGAACCAAGCGAGCTGAAGCCCGTCTCGCAGAACTGGCTTTGGATGAGATTTTCTCCTGTGTGCTGTTCGCCGAAATAGGAGGAGACGTGCCCGGGCGAGTCCTTGAGTCTTGTGATCGAAAATATGCTTCAAGGATCTGCTGCTTTTGCTGCATAGTAGAGGGGGAAAGCTCCACGCTGTTTGCTCGCTTAGCTTTCTCCAGTATAGAGTGGACTGAGTCTGAAATCACAGTACTGACGTCTGCTGAGCTGTCCTGAGACGCATATACAGACCCGCTCTCCGATTGCGAGTTGCTGTGTTCTTCTTTTGAGCAAAAAAATGCTTCAATTGCCTGCTGCTTTTGCTGCATAGCTGTGGCGGACAGAGCAGGTCCGTTTATTATATCTGAGAGCACAGTGCTGACGTCGGCTGAGCTGTAATCAGGCGCATCTACATACTCGCTCTCCGAGTGCGAGTCGCTGTGATCTCCTCTTGAGGCACTTTGAAAGTCCGCCTCAGCAGATGGATCAATTGTGGCAGCCTTTTCCACTGGGGCATCAACGGTCCTGGTTTCCGAACGTATCCTCTCTTTGTAAGCAAGAATACATAGCTTGTCTCGGAGATCACTCAGCTCAGAATCCAGCAGATCAAAGTCGCGCGCATGCTTATCCTTTGGCCGACTAGGCCTGTAGTCTGTATTCACATCAACCGCAGATAATATGCTATCTGCATCTCCTGGCGGTAGATTGAGATCCTGTAAAACTTTCAGTCTGAGATCGATTATGCCGGGTGTGGAGTCGCCGCTGCTTCCGCTACTCGCGGTGTTGGCTTCTTTGAGCGGAGTCGGTGGAATATAAGGCATCTGCTATCGCTGTTTCAGTATAAGCTTCTTTATCCTAATCTCTTGTTGTTAGCCATAGAAGTCAGTGATTTATCTCTTGAGCGACTTGGTATGCGTGCGAGTGCGATTATGAGATGGCCGTGCTAGCGGGTACTAAACAGAAAGCAATCGATCCAGACCTGACCAATACGAAAGTGAACTGTAGTGTACTCACATATCTTTAACAGCGACAGAATACCAGATAGTTAACAGAAAACAGATAGCAGTCAGGGAATATGTTGTTGCGAAATCTAGCTAGCTGAAGAAAGTAAACAACTCTCCGGCAAATAGTTGGATACTAAAGCCCTTCAAACCCTAAAGTACCCACATGATTTGTAGGGTCTGACTAATATATTGAATGGCCTTTCTCAGCTTGTTTATGTTTCTTCTCAGCAGAAACTCCAGCACAGAATTCCAAAATGTGTTTTGCAACACAGATATGAAATAGTGTTTATGAGTGGGAATGTCCGCCTTCTCGGTGTAAACCATACAGCTGTGGATCTGGCTTGGTACCAGACTTGCCAACTATAACTACAATAACCCAACTACCCGTCCCTGACTATATTACTTCCATCAATTAGCTTGTATTCATCAAGCTTTAATTGATTATATCAAAAGGAGTTGTATCTCGACAGCCGCTTGACGTTTTGAGGGGAAGCCAACTCTAAAAGTAATACATCCACCAAGGTTGATACCATCACCAAGGTGTATCGACCCCGCTGCCGGAACTCATAATGTTTGTTCGATTCAAAGACTTTCTGGATAAACACATGCTCTATTTGTCAAGTGGCTCATATATGACTGTGGTGCTAATATTGATATATTAAACCTTTAGCCATGATTCCCCACACTACACTGTGCAAATCTATCTCTGTACATAAACCTCAACCTCCTAGCGACCAAACGTGAAAGGCTGTCTACACAGCGGGCAAGTACTCGCGTTCGCGCTCTGGAACCACTTAAACAAACATCCAGCATGGAACTTGTTCTTGCAAGTCTGGCACTTCTTGCTCGGTAGCGAGCGATCCTGGTGCAGAATCGAGTAGCAAATCGCACACTCGGTAACGCCTTCGAAATGGAGACTAACGTTTCGTCGGAAGAGCGATAAGGCGTCGACTATTGTTCCGTTTTGAGAGGTGATGACTGATTGTGAGGCAAGAAGCCAGGCTCGCCATTGGTTCTCTTTCACTCCCACACGTTTGATGCCGTCAACGTGTACGTCGTGCAATGGGAAGCTCGATGGGATCTGTACCACCATTCCCATAGTTTGCTCGTCGATTGTGTAAATAGCGGCTACCTCTCGCAGCACGTAATTGACCTTGACCTGAATATTCTCGTCGTCGGCAGCGACGCCCGACTCAGCCAGGCGGTTCTGAACCGAGTGAAGCTCGCTATCAATAAGAGCTGGCGAGAAGTACTGCTGCGTGAACTTCTCAACCGCAATACTAAGCTGACGATTACGGATCTCAGACCACCATTTTCGCACAATCGACGGTAATTGGTAAAGACACATGTAGTAGATATGCAAAAGAACCCACTGCAGCTCGCGCGTCGACGAACCCATATCTTCGTCCGGATCAAATTTCGCAAACGGGAACTTCGACACATCAACGGGTTTGCCAGAGTCCAGAGAAAGTAAGGATGCGAGCAGGTTGAGAAGTGACTCAATATAGTCACCTTCTTTCAAGCTCATGATGTATTTCGTCTTCAGAGCGAATGGCTGGAATATGTTGTTAGTATATAATTACCTCTTAGAAATATATCAGAACGTACCGCATGCTCCAAATACTCAAATATCAGCTTCCAAGAGTATAAATACGTCCTCATTTGACAAGTCATCCCCGCAGCCAAAACGTCCTCGAGGACAAAGTCGCCCTCGACAGCCTCGGGAACGCTCATCACGAACGACAATAGCTCTGCTGGGATTTCAATATTGAACACTCCGTGTGTGTCAAGCGCTGCCTCAACGGCCAGGGACTCCTGCAAAACTGGGATTGCTCGTCCTGCGAGTTTGAAAATCGTTCGTTGCAGCGGCTCTGACTCGACTGCCAGAATGGGGTATAGAGGAACTGGGTCCGCGATCTTGTCACTCGGGATATCGAGAATCTGTCTAGACAGCGCAGTGTCGCATAGCAGCCTCGACTGTGACCGCTGGCTAAGGTTGACAGAAGCCGCTAGTATCCTGAGCAGAGCATCCGAAATATCGACATCTTCTGCCAGCGCGTCCGCAATATCGTCGTTCTCACTTTGGAAAGACTTGACGCGGACGAGCACTTTCAGACTGTGATACAGCAGAGGAGTGATCTCTTCGCTCTCAACCTGTTCCTCGCAGATTCTCAGAGACTCGACCAAACAGCCTAGGATCCTGCTCCAATGCTCGCCATACATTTCCTTGACAGTCGGCAGCATCGCTGCTAGCAACTTTGTCGCTTCCGCCCGCAGTGGAATGTTATCTCCTGATCCTTCTGGCAGCATATCAAGCACACGGCGCAAAAGCATGATCGCTCTCTGCGGAGGGAATAGAGTGACTGACTCGTCCAAAACATTGCAGACTAGACTATTCAGAGTAATCACCTTTTCCAAACCAACTGAGGCAATCGTAGCAGGCCGCAATCCTAATATGTCACTTGCAACCTCGTTTCGGAGACGATCGGTAGTCGTCATAGTGCCAATGTACTTGGACATGCCCTCAAAGAAAGCAATGCTGGAAAATTTATCCTTTGCTCTGCGCAACTCGAGTTTGTCAAACAGGGCGTCTGCATCCTTTGACGAAAATTCTGGGTCCTCCGCTAGATAAGCGACCAGAGACTCTAGAACTCTAGCAGCATAGAAACCAGGCGTGCTGCGTGCTCTTGTGAGTTTTGTAATCTCAGACACGAAATCGGTAATGAACTGGACATCATCTTTAGAAGTCTCGGGAAGCACCTTGTCATCTGCTGTACCGTCAATAGATGATTTTTCCAGCATCGACAGCGAAACAAGACCACATTTTGTCTCCAAGAGATTGTTTGCCTTTTCTGTGATGAGTAACAAGCCGTCAGAACCATTTGACAAGTTCTGGATGGCAAACAGAGGAGGCACGACTCCAGAGCCATATGCGTTAATAGAGTCCTTCGCAAGCTCGGCAGTCTGTTGGAGCATTAGGAATTGCTCTAATTGATCTTTATATGGCAGAAACGAGAAGATGTCAATTTTCTCATTGAGCTGAAGCACGTAGGATGCCATCCGGTAAAGTCTCATGTCGTTGCTTGCTGTGCCGAAACTGAAGGAAATTTCTGCTGAATCAATGTCAACCTGGCCAGACTCAGTATTCGTACACAGATACATTGTCCCGCCTAGGCTGTTTAGCAGAGAAATAGACGGTGAAAGCGGTCTCGAAAAAGCAACATCAATAACACTGCGCCATGAACCGGTAGGAAATAGTAACCTACGGGCGAGCGATGGCTTAATATCCGATCCAGCGTTCTCCCACAGCGATATACTCCGTGCCAGCAACGAATCGCAGGTCGGCTCAGGATTAGTCTCGACATCGCGTAAGATGGAGTTTGCGAGTGAGTCGAGAAGGCCCGAGGACTCGCTAGATTTGGACAGGTTGAGCTGGCCTTCCAATCGCTGGCGAATGGCCTTGGCTGCTTCGGAGGAGTCGTCGGGCGACTCGGTGATCTGCCATAATCGAGAGGTGAAGCGTGTTCCATCTTCAGTTCCGATGAATGCAGCGAGAGCGGAAAAATTCTTCTGTGCAACCTTTAGAAGATTTTGGAAGAAGACAGTCTCGTATTCAACATCATACAGGGACTCTTTTGCCAGATCTTTGAGAATTTTGACGGCACAGTCAGGAGAAATAACTTGGCTGCTCAGTAGACACTCGACAATCACATCCCAGTCTCTCTGCTTTCCGTTCTCAAATACCGATTCCGACTTCTTCGCAATGTACTCCTCCAAAGCCTCTGATCTTGTAATTTTGGTTTTCAGAGGCTTAATTTGCTGCAGAAGATACACCAAAAGATCATCCTTTGTCTCAACAAACGACGAGGCCAAAACTGTACTTAATATAGATGCCCAGGACCGTGCTGTGTGGCTTGCATCATCAATACCAAGCTCAAAGGCCAGCCAGATATTGATCAGATGAGTAGACGATGCCGAAGATATTATGCTCGGGATCGTGTCAATGACGAATTCATCCACGATTTTGAACGTATCTGCATCGCTTTTAACCAGCAAAAGAAACTCTTTGAGCAAGGCCTCAAGCGCAAATGCAGAAAGAACGACAGCACCGTCGAGATTGCGTACCATGTCGAGAGCGGATTTGATGACTGTTCGGATCGAGCTAGAGAACTCTATGCGTTCAGAAAACTCGGCGGGGATAGTGCCGACGCGCTTCGCCAAGCTGATCCAGCGAGCTACTTTTGACTTGAACGCTGTTGCGTCGGTGTCTATGGGATTCTCGACCAGGGTCTTGATGGACGCCACGATAGTTTTCCAGAAATCAATAGCAAGCTCGTCTTTCTCTGGAATCACGTTGCGCAGAAAACTGCCGATCGATCTTGCAACTCCGTCAGTTGCTATCTTCTTTCCAAAGCTTGATTCAGCAGCGATGTATTCCTGGAATATCTCGAGAGCCTCGTTGAAAGCGGAGGCTCGAACGTCAGCAGAGTCGGATACCGTAAGCACGTAAGCGAGCAGAGACAGATACGCGTCGGCAGCTGCGTCGACTGTCATACGATTCTCTGCCATCATGCCATTCTTGAATGCTTCCGAAATATCGGTCATCGAGATCGACTTGGGATCGTTGATGTCGAGCGTGCTGGTGGGAAGCTTCTCGATAAGCAGCTCTATATGCTGCCAGAACTTGGGGCCTGAGAATCTACTTCCTTGGGATATGAAAGATAATAACAGGCTCATAGACGGTTCACCAGATTCGGGCGATTTATCCCACGACTCGGGGTAGACTAAATAATCTCCTGTCAGCTGGGTTTCGTCTATGATAAATGGAGGCAAACGTACATCTTGTCACTATAACCAGACACTCCAAAAACTCGGATATAGCGCCGGTCGAGATATTCATAAGTCCATTAGCAATCAAATACTGGCCAATGAACTTCTTCTGCAACGGCTTAAGCCAATCTATAAGATGTTAGAGACCAGAAAATCGAGAATGGGATATCTCGCATACGCACCAAAGTAATTGTACGTCAGCTGCATGATCAGAGTAAGACAAGCTCTAGCTAGATACGCGTCGGAACTAGTTATAGACTTCCAGACCGTGTCGGACGTGATGATCTCTGCATAGTCTGTTTGCTGTTCCTGAATAGCCTCTGGGGCGGTGATATCCAAAAGGTATGAGAAAAGGGTGATCCCTGCTGATATTTCTCTGGTGACTCGGAGTTCGAGATCGGTTTCGCTGAAATATTTCTCGTCCGCTAGATAGGAAAATTAGAGCTGTGGCTTCGCAATAGTAATAAGAAGTACTCACAAGCACTATGCGTATCCTTTGCTGAAATAGCCTTCTTCACAAACTCCAGTAATTGCGCATGAAAAAGCTGGAAAACCTGCTTTCGCTTCTCTTCTGTAGCGAATACAGACTCGAACGACGACACGGCTGCTCTGGAAACTGACTTGTCGCTGTCGTATATTCCGCCAAGCCATGGCCCGATTGAGTCTTTGAGGTACCGGGCTGATTGCCGCTGGAAAAGCTTGAAGAGGTCGCCCTGAATCTTGTGGGCGAGCATGCGTTGTCGCTTGGAGAAGTCGACGGCTAGTTGGGGATAGAATTGGACCTGAACGATGAAGCTAGTCAGCGAATTATTCTCCCTTTCATACTAGCATTTGCACATACCCAAACTATCAGAATCGACTCATCTATCTGATCCTCAGACTCGCTGATATAAGCCACCAGATTGTCAAGCGCTTTCTCCTTAGTCTTTGGGTCCCGTTTCTGGAGTCCTCTGAATATCACGACGAGCTGCGGGTCGTAGATAGCCGAGAGATCGATGGAAGAGGCAGAGTTGTCCGCATATTGATTGAACTCTTGATTCGCTTTCTGATCGCCTTTTGAATGTTTGCTAGAATATCAGATCAAGAATTAGAATCAGTGGTTAGCTGTTTAGTAAGGATTTTGCTCACTTTTTATCTCCGCCGCGCGGATTATTCTTGACCTTGAGCTTTTTACTCATCTTCAGTGTTCTGCACAATATCAATAGTCAAGTATATAACTGTACACGACCAAGCAATTGTCAATACACTTAGAATTGCGCCGGCTGCTTAAGAGACGATGTAGTTCAGGTTTGGTTCTCCGATGGACTGAAATATGACCAAAGCTGATCTTCAAACTTTAAATTATTTTGAATCCAAAGTCATCGTCGTCATCGTCGGGCTCCCAGTTGCCGACAGCAGCGACCGTAACTGAAGCTGATTCGCAAATCATGAAGTATGTGTTTATATGTTTTGATTTACTAGAGATGCAGATCTAATTGAGTAATCCAGATTCTTTATCGATGATCTTCCGGTTCTGTTTCCGTATCCACGGATCTATCCAGGTAAACTACCCACCGCCTCTCAAATCACAGGTCGAAATCTAACATCGCAACAGAGCAATATGCGTACATGTGCGATCTGAAACGGACGCTGGATGTTGGAGGAAATTGTATTCTTGAGATGCCTTCAGGCACCGGCAAGACTATCTCGCTGCTCTCTCTCACAATCTCGTATCAGATGGTAAGTGCATGTGCAATCTGATGATCTGCGCGCCCACGACGCTGACGGTGATTGTAGTTCTACCCCGAGCGACGGAAGATCGTGTATTGCTCACGAACAATGTCGGAGATCGAAAAGGCACTGACAGAGTTGCGCAGTCTGATGGCGTACCGTGAGAAAGAACTAGGTCGCAAAGAACCCTTTCGCGGCTTAGGCCTGACCAGTCGAAAGAACCTATGTCTGCACCCTGATGTCCGACGAGAGAGGAAAGGAGCGGTAGTCGACGAGAAATGCCGAAGTCTGACGTCGTCGTTTGTGATGGAGCAGAAAAAAGCGGGCAAAAATCCAAAGCTGTGCGAGTATCACGAGAATCTATACGAGCTGGAGCCTCATAATTTGATCCCTGAGGGTGTCTGGACTTTTGATTCGCTGATGCAGTACTGTGAAGAGACCAAGCAGTGTCCGTATTTTACAGTCCGGCGAATGGTATGAAGCTCTCACTCTAGTATTATAGGTCTAGACTGACAAATGATCTAGATGAGTTTCTGCAATATCGTGATTTACTCTTTCCATTATCTGCTCGATCCGAAGATTGCGGAGCGCGTCTCCAAGGAGCTCTCAAAAGACAGTATCATTATCTTTGACGAGGCGCACAACATAGACAACGTCTGCATCGAATCGCTGAGTATAGACCTAACGGAAGGCACGTTACAAAAGGCATTGCGCGGCGTGAACGAGCTCGGGAAACAGATCGACGAGATGAAGGCGTCAGACTCTGAAAAGCTACAGGACGAATATCAACGGCTGGTTGACGGACTGCGAGAAGCAGACGAGGCTAGAGAAGAGGATATATTCATGGCGAACCCGGTTCTGCCAGATGATCTACTGAAGGAGGCTGTTCCGGGAAACATCCGGCGCGCAGAGCATTTTGTCGCGTTCCTGAAGCGGTTTGTGGAGTACCTAAAGACGCGGATGCAGGTGCGACATGTGATTTCAGAGACCCCGCCGTCGTTTCTGCAGCATCTCAAAGAACTCACGTTTATCGAGCGAAAGCCGCTTCGGTTTACGTCCGAGCGACTGACGTCGCTGATCAGGACGCTTGAGCTCACGAATGTGGAGCAGTTTGTTGCGTTGAAGGAGATTGCCATGTTTGCAACACTAGTATCGACGTACGAGCAAGGGTTCATGCTGATTTTGGAGCCGTTCGAATCAGATACTGCGACAGTTCCTAACCCGATCTTGCACTTTACCTGCCTTGATGCGTCGATTGCGATCAAGCCCGTGTTTGAACGATTCAGCTCAGTAATTATCACCAGCGGTACGATCTCGCCGCTGGATATGTATCCCAAGATGCTCAACTTTGAGACGGTCTTGCAGGAGTCATACACGATGACTTTGACGCGCCGCACGTTCTTGCCGCTGATCGTCACTCGAGGATCAGACCAGGTCGCAATCAGCTCACGCTTCGAGATCCGAAACGATCCAAGCGTCGTGCGGAATTACGGGAACCTGTTTATCGAGTTTTCAAAGCTGACGCCGGACGGCCTGGTCATCTTCTTCCCGTCTTATCTCTATATGGAGAGTATAATCAGCATGTGGCAGACGATGGGCATCCTGGACGAGGTGTGGAAGTACAAGCTGATTTTGGTGGAGACGCCAGATAGTCAGGAAACAAGTCTTGCGCTGGAAGCGTTCCGGACCGCGTGCAGTAACGGGCGGGGTGCAGCGTTACTCTGCGTCGCGCGAGGGAAAGTCTCTGAGGGAATCGATTTCGATCATCACTACGGACGCACTGTGCTGATGATTGGCGTGCCGTTCCAGTACACCGAGTCTAGGATTCTGAAGGCGCGGCTGGAGTTTATGAGGGAGAACTATCATATTCGGGAAAACGACTTTCTGTCCTTTGACGCGATGCGACACGGCGCGCAGTGTCTCGGACGCGTTTTGCGGGGTAAAGATGACTATGGAATCATGGTGTTGGCGGACAAGCGGTTCTCGCGGAAACGCAACCAGCTGCCGAAATGGATCAACCAGGCAATCATGGACTCGGACGTGAATCTGTCGACCGACATGGCAGTTGCGGCGGCGAAGAGTTTTCTGCGGACGATGGCGCAGCCGATGGATGCGAAGGATCAGGAGGGAGTGAGTGTGTGGAGTTTGAGCGATTTGTTGAAGGTGCAGGAGGAGCAGCGGATGGAGGCGAAGCAGAAGGCGGAGGAGGAGAAGAAGATTAGGCCGGTGGAGGAGAAGATGGATGTTGATGAGGAGGATTATTTCGACGATGAGAATGATGAGTTTTATGGGTTTACAATCTCGGATGACGAGATGCTGCTGGAGCTTGATATTTGATTGTCTGGGTAGAGTCAGAGTATGTACACGACGTAAATACAAGGTAAATACAGATACGATTTCATTTTATTGTGTTTAAACCTAAATCGCGCCTCGCTCCTCCCCTATCTCATCGCGATCTCCTATCCGGGATATTTGGATCCAGGACATATGATGTTTGGCGGATACCATCAGATTAAGGAATATGAGGACTAAAATACTGTTAATACTGTGATGCTCTTTGCACAAAATACCCAGACTACAACCCTCGATGAACGCCTACACCAACATCACCTTCCTCACCACCGGCGCCTCGTCCAAAATCTCCACCGCCGCAAACTCCACCGGAGAAACGGTAATTCTCAAAATTTCCTCTTTGGCAGCCCAGCGTGTGCCGCATTCTCCTCTGCGTGAGCGTGCGCTGTTGCGCGCGTTGGGCGGGCGGAGGAATATCGTTGCCTTACTCTCCGCGTTTACGAATGAGGATGATGAAGTCGTGCTGGTACTTCCTTTTCTACCGGTGTCGTTGTCTGAATTTGCATGTAGGAATGCAGAGGTAGCTCTCAAAAGAAGTATCACGCGCGACATCACGGCCGCGATTGCGTATCTGCATGAGCGCGGGGTTATCCACCGTGACATCAAACCGCAAAACATACTCCTCAAATCCGCGTCCGGGCCCGCGTACCTCACCGATTTCGGCACCGCGTGGGTGGCGCCTTCTTCTGATCTTTGTACAGCTGCTGAATACGGACGCGCATCTGTAAAAGGTGAAGCTCCGCGTGAGAAAGTGACGGATGTGGGTACGGGCGTATATCGTGCTCCGGAGTTACTTTTCGGGTATACCGCGTATGGCGCGGAAGTCGATCTGTGGAGCTGGGGATGTGTGCTTGCAGAGGTGTATGGAGAAGGTAGGCGGATCTTTGAAGTGGACGATGAGCTGAGTGAATTTGCGCTCGTGCGGGCGATATTCGAGACCCTGGGCACGCCGGATTTGGAGTCATGGCCTGTACGTCTCTTTGTTATATTATGCGCAGTGGATCTTCTATTTACAAAGTTCGTTCTAGGAAGCTAGGAAGTTCCCCGCGTTTTCAAAGTTCAGGTTTGTTGGATACCCTACGAAACCACTGGCGCAGGTGCTGAGGACTGCGCCTGAGGAGGCGGTGGAGGTGGTTGCGAGTTTACTGAGGTATGAAAGTAGTCGGCGCGAGTCTGCGAAAGGGCTGCTTTCGATGCGTTTGTTTAGTGGGTTTGTTTGATAGAGATGTTTATTCAGTTGAGAGCTCGCTCCGCTGTACACATTAATAGCATTGGATACACATATACTTCTGCTGACTGCTCTAACGGCCCTGTCCAGGCCAGAGCGAACCAGCAGTCTTTCCGATATACCCTTTGACCCCCTGCACATCCAAGCTCGGCGCACTGCCAATCAGACTATTGATAGCGTCCGGCGCTCTGTAGGCGATATCCATCGCGAGATCCTTTGCTTTCGCCAACGCGTACTCTGCCGCGGGCTGGTCGGCCATCTCGGAGTCCGGCGACGGCCGGCCAAAGTACGAGTCAGAGGAGATGGCGGTGGCAGAGTCGAACTGCTCGTGCAGCCGGTTGAGGTCTTTTCGGCGTTCGTAGTCGCGGGGTTGGTTGCGGCCAAAGTAGTCGTCTGAGGAGATGTGGGTTGTTTTCTCTGCCTTTTTGGGTGCTGTAGACGACTCAGAGGATGAAGAAGCAGACTGGTTCCCGAGAGACGAGGCGGTCTGGCCAAAGCGGAGAGAAGGAGCACCTGCTTTTCGAGGCGCCGAGCGCGGGATCGCGCGGACGGGTGTTTCTGAGCTTTCGTCTTCAGAGAACGAGACCCACGGCGGACTCTCGTATCCGGGCGTCGAGTAGCCGGAGGACTTTAGCGCGCCGAGCTGGGCAGCGCCTTCGACGTTGCTGTTGTAGGGGTTGTGCAGCTGGCGGATGAGGGCGGCGTCGGCCTCGGCGATGGCGTTCTTCTCGATGTCCTCGAAGGAGAGGTCGTCTGTGGAGATGCGTTTGGCGGAGACGGATTTCTTCCTGCGGGTGGAGGAGGAGATTATGGATTTGGGTGCTGTGCTGGAGTGCTGGATGACTGACTTTGGCTGCGAGGAGGAGGAGGTGGTGGTGGTGGTGGTGGTGGAGGAGGAGGTGGTGGTGGTGGTGGTGGTGGAGGAGGAGGGACGGGTGGAGCGGGATACTGGTGATGAGACAGGTGATGAGCCGTTGTCCGGGGTAGAAGAGGCGGTTGAGAGCAGTCTGCGGGTCGCCATGAGGAGGAGAGGAGTGTAGTCGAAATAAACAACAGCAATAACAACAATAACAACAGCAACAACAACAGCAAACAACAGCTATATCGAATATCTCAACCGCAGAAGCAACTTTTGTCGACCAAAGTGGAGATCAGAAATTCGGTAAACCGCTCGACCGCCGACCCCGCGTCTGCTCGATGCTGGGAGGTACCGTCTTTTAGCCCTCGGTTTCTCGTACCTGTTTATTATATAGTATCTTATGTAATCCACACCACCGGCCATTACTAATGTCTAAAAGAACGCGTTTATAGGACAGAGAGCAATCTAAGAGATACACAAGAAGAATACTAAACAGTCAAAACATAAAACATTAAACAGCTACAATAAACCCAGATGATATGTGCTATGTACCAGTCTATCACTGATTCAAATAGTCCCTCATGATATCAGACAGTTTGCTCGCCCCGGTCTCGAGAATATCCTTGATATTGCCCAAGTCGTCGCCCGCGCCGTTTGCAATCTTCGACGCGAAATTCCGCGCCACGCGCTCAATGTCTGCAAAGTCGCCGTTGCCGTCCCCGCCGGCCTCGTCCTCGGCCTCTTCGTCGCGGCCAAAGTACGCGGCGGATGAGATCCCGGACGCGCCGTCGAACGCTTGCAGTCGCGAACGCGCCTCCGCCTGCGCTTTCGAGTCGAACTGGTTGCGGCCAAAGTACTCGTCTGATGAGATTGCTTTCTGCGCGCCGAATTTCTTGGAGCTCTCGCCGGATGGCGTCGACGCCGACGACGAAGCGGTCGATGACTTCTTCGCCGACGAAGCGGACGAGTCTGCTGCCGCGGCCGATGCTGCCGAGGCAGTCATGCCAAATCCAAGCCGGGCCATACCCAGGCCCAATCTGTCAGTAGACGAGTCCGCTTTCGACGACACAGAGCTGTAGGACGGTGCCCGCTCGCTCTTTGGCGACTCGGCCTTTGTGCTCATCGCGCGCTCTTCCTCGACGTTGTAGCCCAGCGTGGCCGCGCGCTCGGCCTCCTCCTTTGCGTTCTTCTCGGCCTCGTCGAAATCAATAGCTTCCGTGGTGATTTTCTTGGCGACGACTTTCTTCTTTGTCAGCACCGACGCGCCCGGGCGGCGCGTGGCGCTCGCGTTCTTTGATCGCAGCGCGGAGGACGAGATGATTTTGCGCGCCGGCTGTTCTTCGCTGTTGCTGCTACTGCTGTTGTCGCCCCCGCTCGCCGAGACCGCAGGTGAGGGCGTGCGGCCGATCGACGGCGGTGTTGAGGTTCTCGACACGGGCGTGACGGATTTCTTGATGACCGGCTTATCCCACGAGGCAAAGAAGTCGTCGTCGTCTTTCTGCGAAGACGCGTCCGCAGCCGCGACCGCGCTCGAGTCCTCGTCGAGCACGACCTCGTCCGGATAGATGCGCGCGTCCTCGGCCGCGCGCCGCTTGAGCTCGTCTTTGTACATGACCGCGGCGCGCGACGTGTACGTCGTCTTTGCGTCTTTCGAGTTGAGCGCCGAGGAGCCGCCGTTTTTGGAGAAAAAGTCCCGCGCGGAGGTGTTGCCGCCGACTTTCATGAGCCGGAGTTGGTCCCAGGACCAGGTGTCGAGGTTCGACGACCGCACAAACGAGATGTGCACGCCCAGGTTGCGGTGGATGGCCGAGCAGTCTAGGCAGAGATAGATCGCGAAGGGGACGGAAGTCCATGTCGGGTTTTTCGCTCCACAGTCGAAGCAGCTCTAGATACAATTGATCAGTCGTCATTCTTTCTTTCAACCATAGGGCTTCTCAGTAGTAGGGAGGCCAGAAACAACACCAGAATAAAAGACAAACTCACCTTATTCCCTCTCTCCGCGCGAAGACGATCAAATATGGCAATCGACTGCTGCTTAGTCGCCATTCCAGACATTGTGAATTTCTTATTGATCAACAAACTTGTTTGCGCGCAGCGGATGAAGAAGACTCGAGGAGGAAAGCAGCGATGCGGCCGAGTGGCTTTTGGTCGGCTGCGCGCATCAAGTGGCGGCGCGGCGATGTGGGGTGGTTAGGGTGTATCTGTCGAATGTTGGGGCTGTAGCTTCTGAAGTGAGTATTCCTTAGTTGATGTTGTTTTATGATTATTGTGATATTGGATATGGAAATATTCAAAAGAAGTTAATAGAAGTTGTATTTGTGTAGTTGTGTAGTTGTATAATGGTGAAGTTGTATAATGGTGGTGGTGCAGCATGGAACACGTCTCCGATATCAACCTGATCTCTGGTTTATATCCGCCATTCTTCTCTAAGTCTCCCTGAATGATTTCCAAACAAAGATCTGCTATTCTTATAATATTCGTATAATTAGTTATATAACTCTCATATAATTCCCTTCTAATCTCATCGACTACTAAGAAGTAACTACCATAAATAGACCATAATCATGTAATATTTGCGGATTCCAATCTCAAGTAATAAGACCAAATATCAACTAGGGAAAAGTATGTATTGAGCGTAAAGACTCGAGAATAAACAAACAGAAGGAGCGTCCCTATTATAAGGTGGCGCTGGACAAATGTGAGGTCACAAGACAAGAAGTGGCTAAAGACAAACTAAAGATAACAAAGTAGAAGTAATGTAACGCTTCTCAACACATACTGAAAAACCCTTAATAATCAATAACATAATCAGTAACAATAAACAATAATAATCAATTACTCATCACGAGTGCAGTGCAGAGCACATACACTACATAATCAGTACCATCTCAACTCCCGACCAGTCCACCCACCACCTCTCAACCCACAAATCCTCTGCACATACAAATAACTCTCTCCATCTCTCATCGCCACCTCAGCAGTTGCCCCTGTTAACTATAATCTACATCTCAGTATAGATTGAAGAACTGAAGAGTTCATGGCCTCTGCGCTGCGAATATTCTACGCCGCGTCCAGCGCGGCTGCTCGAGGTCGTGTATCAAAGTGATGAGGTGCATTATGTCTATAAACCGAGATACAAGATGAATAAAGATGGAGATAAATAAAAGAAAATTAGAGGGAAAGTGAGATAGAAAATGCGCAATTAAAGAGATAAAAAGAACCGAAAACAAAACAAGAAAAAACACAAGCCATACCAACAGCACATAAGAACAACAGAATAAACATCTATAAACTCACTCGTAAACAAACATCTTACTCATAATCATAAGCAGACTCAGGTCATAAAACAGCCATATCCTTACTCTCCGACGACACAGGACTGCTCTCCAACTCATCCTCAGTCTCGATCGCCTTCTGATTGCCCGTAACCCCGACCTTCAAAAACACCGACGCAATGACGCCCACACCGCTGATTCCGCAGCCAAACCAGAACGCAGCCTTGTAGCTGTCATATGTACGCTCGGCGCCCGTGTGCGTGCTGTAATTGTACGCCGCGTCAACGGCGGTGGAAGAGGCTGCGATGCCGATCGCGGCCGCGAGTTGCATGACGGTGTTGAAGATGCCTGCTGCCGTCGACTGCGACTCGGGCGGGACGGTGGAGAGGGTGTGTAGGTTTGCGACGTTAAAGCAGAGGTCTGCGCCGACGACGGAGAGACAGATTGCGGGGAACGCCATCGGCCAGTAGCTCATGTGCATCGGCTGCAGGGCCCAGAGCAATGAGGAGCCGAAGAAGGCGAGGTTGGCGATGAGCATGAGGATGCGGCCGGGGATGATGTGTAGCGTGAGCGCGGCGATGATGTTGACGATAATACCCGCGACTGCCTGCGGGATCAGGTAGGCGGTCGTGAGAATCGCGGAGGCGCCGCGGACGTCTTGGAAGAAGAGGGTGAGGTAGTAGTTTATCACGCCGAGGAAGTTCATGAACCCGCAGGCGACGATGAGCATGCAGAGCGCGAAGCGCGGGTACTTCCAGATGTAGAGCGGCATGAGCGGGTGCGCGGCCTTGGACTCCCACGCGACAAAGACGGCGAAGAGCACGACGCCGACGACGAGCAACGCAATCACGTAGGGCTCGCCCCAGCCTCTACTCGCGACGCCGGACTGCGTGAGCGCAAAGACGATGACGACGAGCGAGACGGTCGACAGCGATGCGCCGATGTAGTCGATCTTTGCCAGCGCGGCCTTGGTCTCGGTCCAGTCCATGGCTTCGTCCGGCGGGACGAGGAAGTAGACGACGACCGCGAAGAGCGCGTACTCGATCGCAAAGAACCAGAACGATGCGCGCCAGGAGATGAATTGCGAGCAGATTCCGCCGACGACAATGCCGATGACAAAGCCGAGTGGTGCACCTGCGCCGTAGGTTGCCATGACGCGGTTCTTGCGCTTGCCGCTCGTGTAGGTGGCGCCGAGGATGCCCACTGCTGCGGGGATGGTTGCCGCGCCGGAGAGACCCTGGAAGCCGCGAAAGACAAAGAAGACAATTTCGTTCTTCATGAAGCCGCCGATAAGCGTCCAGAGAGTGTACCAGGTGTATGAAATAAGGACCATGCGCTTGCGGCCGATGTGGTCAGCGATGCTGGCGAGCAGGAGCACGAACGAGCCCGCGGAGAGCGAGAACGCAGAGACGGCCCAGGAGAGCTTTGCGCCCGAGAGATCGAAAGAGCGGCCGATGTGGGCGAGCGCAATCTGCGAGGCGCCAAGGTTGGAGGAGGCAAGAGCGGCGCCAAAGGTGAGCGCGATGGTGACGGCGATTTCCTGGGCGGTGGACCTGTAGACCGGGGGACGGATGTCTGAGTAGGGAAGCGCGCGATAGGCGGCCTGGGAGAGCTGTTTTTCGTCGGCGACAGCCGGCGGTTGTTCAGAGTCGGGTTCTGCCATGATAAACAAAAGATATGAGAAGAAGGGAGATGAGGAGAGGTGCAGATGAGAGAAGAGAAAGAGGAGGAGAAGATATATAAGGAATATGAAGCAGAGCAGATATGGAGCAAGGAAGGTTATCTCCGGCGATAGGGTTTTGTGATCCCATTGTGGCCGGCTCGCTTACTCAACGGGTCATCGCTGGAAAGAGACAATCAGCGGATGCGACAGGATTGACAATCAGATGACTCTCGGAGACAGACAGGGACGAGACTGGAGTTAATCAGTCGGAGCAGTGGGATTGCAGGTATTATCAGCCTCAGAAGCGGTCTGCTGGCTGGCTGGTGTCTGCTATCTGATCTTTGCTGTCCTCGGCAGCTGTTCCGTTAACCCTACGAACAGCTGTGGTCGACAACCCAGTTTGCTACAATAATTGACTATAATCCATAAACAGTGCTGGAATACGTCTTCTATCACTACTCTCTACAAGCACTCACTCAGAAACAGCGGTGGTGGCAAGAAGTGGCAACCCGGAGATTAATTCGTTCGTTGTCTGTGCTCTCGGCCGCCATCCGAGGAAGATCACGACTTGGACCGTTCTGTCTCTGCCGGTTTCCTCTGCTGATCTGCTTCTATTCTCTATATATCTGTATTCCTAATCTTCTTCTTATTAATCAGGGCCCAGCTCTGTCTTTTGTCTTTGGTCTTTTCTGCTATTTGTCATGTTCTTATCTGCTTACGACCTGTTACCGCCACAAGACCCGCTGCTCACTTCCACTCCACTCCACTCCTCCACCTCACCACTCAACTCCATCTTCACCATCACCACCTTCACCACCCTCATCACCTCCCTCGCCCTCATGCCTCCTCACCGAGTCCCGTTTGCTGCAGGCGTCGTTCTTCCCGCGCTCGCCCGGCCCGACACCAGGACCAGCACCGCCCCGCCCAACCACGCACTCAAGCAACTGCCCTCCCCGCAGCACATCGCGTCCTCCATCGCCAGATACTCCAACTGTCTGCCTCCGTCACTACCTACTGTCTACCTGTCTACCCCTTCTTTCTGCTAATCTTCTGTCTCAAGCTATCGGCACCTCCTCTAATGGAACGCGCCCTGTCCTGCCTCAAGACCTCAAACTTCCCTTCCCCGCCCCTGTAGCTCAAGGCATATCATACATCAATGGTGACTTTATTACAAACCAGACATGGATACACTGAGCTAACCATCTTCTGCATCTTGTCTGTTTCTTTGAATATTTAGGAGGCACCGCGATCAGAAACAGTAGTGCTACATCTGACACGCGCCTGCGTGTGCCCGAGACCGTGGAATTGCTGGACGATATAGTAGAAGAAGACGACGATGACGATCTCGCAGGTGCCGACAAATCCGGATCGACAAAGACTGCAAACCGCAGCAGCAGCCTCTCCGCTGACGAAATCACCGAAACCGATCTCAACAACCTGCCCGAGACCTCAGTAACCACCGCCGCCGCGTCCGACACTACTAATAAAGAGCAGCAGCAGCGGCCGGTCGTGGTCTCGGTCCAGGACGACTCACAGGGCTCGATGCTGAACGTCTCGTCTTCGTTCGAGGTCGACGAGAGTCAGTTCGCTAGAGATGAGGAGGAGTTTAGTAAGTTGCTCACGGCAGAGGCAAGCGCGCTGCCTGAACATCCCGCGTCTTCTTCTGCATCTACATCACCTCCTCCCGCGCAGCGTTCAAAACGAGCTCCTCCCTCCTCCTCCTCCTCCACCTCCTCCTCCCCACCTCGCCGACAACCCGTCGGTCCGTACGTCTACACCTCCTACACGCCAATCACGACCCCCCTCGCAGACGACGACCTCGCGTCCGAATACCGCAAAATCAACCACGACCCGTCCGAGCTCGAGCGATACTACGGCGACATGACGTTTTCAGAATGGGCCAAGGCCGGCGACGAGCTTGTCGAGCGCGCGGCGGGACTGATCCGGCGCGCGGTCGAGATCAGGAAAGTGAAAGCGGAGGCGCTGGCGGTGCTTGAGAAGAAGATCGATGAGCATGCGAGGATGCTGGAGGAGAGAGCGGAGGGGATTGCTACGGAGAGGGAGAAGATCCGGGTGCGTGCTGTGCAACTTATCGACAACCAATAACTACATTCTGTTTCTTTGCTTCTGCTGCTTAGCTTATAACTAGTTGTCTCCTCTCTTTTTTTGCGATATTGTAAAAGATATTTTAGACCAATGAACCATTATTTTACTTTTATTGAGGTACTGTACAAATGATCGGCCCTTGTAGCTATTCGCTGTTTCCCTTCTGCTATCCCTCCACCTGTCTGACTTTATATCATATCAGACAAACATAAACGCACTTTCGGAGACCAGAGAAAAGCCAAAGGAAAGATGAGATGTGCATAAAATAATTTAGTGAGAGATGTGGGTGACGGTGATGGGGAGACGCTCGAACTATATCAAAACTGTTAGATAATGCAACCACAGGCACATACTATGACACAGATAAGACTTACGCCAAGCGACTTGAGGAGGTCCTTGGTGTCCGAGTCAACCTCAAGCTGTCCGTCGGGCTGCTGCGAAAGATCAAGCGCAGAGACCTCGGGAACGTACTGATCCTTCCGCTCGCGCTCCTCCTCCTGGAGCTTGAAGGAGATACCGCGGACGGGTCCCTTCTGGATACGCTTCATGAGATGGGTGGTGTAACCGGCGATCTTGTTACGCAGTCTCTTGGAGGCAATGATGGCGATCTCATCGGTGAGACGCTTGTTGACCTCAAAGTCGGTGGTGAGCTTGGGGTAGTAGCGCTCGATGATGGCCTTCGAGGCTCTCTTGACGGTTTTCGTGCGGACGCGACCCTGTGTGTTGTTAGTGTTATTCTTCCTTATAATATCATTGATACAACAGCATCTATCGCATCATTCAAACATCAAAGACGCACCATTGTGTAGTATGTGCTGAAGTTGTTGCTGAGGTGAGTGTGAACAAGAGCTGCTGGCCAGAAGTCGAGATCCGCAGACCGTCCGGCGTAGCACTTTCCTCGCCCGCCCCGCGTGACTGCTTTTCTCTAACCCTACGTGGCTGGTGCAAGAGTGGCGCAAGATGTGGCGGGGCACAGTAACCCTACACTGTCAGCAGCGGGCCTTGTGTTGATGGCGCACCTTCCACAGGCACCCACCAAATCACCGGCTCTCCTCGTCTGCCTATCCGCACTTCACCACCAGAACGCGCTGTGCTGAGTTCTGAGACTGAGAATGACGGTCATCCATCGCAAACTCACGACCGCGGATCATGTTAAGGCGGCCGAGCCTGGTGTCAAGTATGTATCGGTGTTGTTGTCGCGAATTGATGGTGGTCAGGGAGGGGCAGGGAAGGTCCTGTGTATCTGTGCCCAGGATAGCACAATGACCTGTGATTTTGAGCAATGCAGTATTCTGGGTATCTTCCTCGGCTCATCGCTCTCGCTCACCCCCTCCAACTATCTCATCTCCACATCTCATCTTCACACACTAACTCTCTCTAGATTCCACTGCGACGTCTGCGCCTGCGACTGCACGCACCTAGTCCGCGTGCGCTGCGCAGTCTGCCAGGACTACGATCTCTGTGTGCCCTGCTTCGCATCCGGCGCCTCGTCCGGCACCCACAAACCCGACCACGACTACTCCATCGTCGAGCAGCATGCCTACCCGATCTTCGTCGAGGACTGGGGCGCCGACGAAGAACTCCTGCTCGTCGAGGGCGCGGAGACGCTCGGCTTGGGCAATTGGCAGGACATTGCGGATCACATCGGCGGCCGCACAAAGGAGGAAGTCGATCGCCATTACCTAGACGTCTACATCCGCTCCGAGAGCTACCCGCTCCCGGACATGAAGCGCAAGTTCTCAATCACGCCCGCCGAGTTTGCCTCGCGCAAGAAAGCAAGGCTTGAAGCGCGCCGCGCGCAGAACGCAGTCCTGCCCCCGCCGAAACAGAAACCGACCGCGTCCGTGCCGTCGTGCCACGAAGTCCAGGGATACATGCCCGGCCGACTGGAGTTCGAGACCGAGTACGAGAACGACGCCGAGCTGGCGGTTAAAGATATGGTCTTTGATCCCGACGATGGCGAAGGCGAGGTCGATCTCAAGCTGACAGTCTTGGATATCTACTACTCGCGGCTGACGTCGCGCGCGGAGCGCAAGCGCATGTTGCTCCAGCACGGGTTGCTCGAGTACCGCAAAGTGACTGCGAACGAAAAGAAGCGGACGCGGGAAGAGCGCGAGCTGCTGACCAAAGCCAAACCGTTCGCGCGCCTGATGACAAAAGAAGACTGGCAGCAGTTCAGCGACGACCTGCTCTCGGAGCTCACGATCCGCAAACGCATCGCCGAGCTGCAAGAGTATCGCCAAAACGGCATCCGCACGCTCGAAATGGCGCAAAAGTACGAGCGCGACAAGACCCAGCGCGCGATGATTGCCCGCAACTCGATCGGCCTCGGCTCCTCGCTCGGATCGGTCTCGGGCTCGCGCTACGGATCGAGCACGCCCACCGGCCGCGGCGGTCGGGATTCCTCGGTCTCGCTCGAAAACAGCGGCGGCAAGTCCTCGTTCCGCAAACCGGCCGCGAACCCGCTCGACATCTCGCACGCGGCCGATCTCGACCTGCTCTCGCCGGCCGAGCAGCAGCTGTGTAGCCAGATCCGCATCCTGCCGAAGCCGTACTTGGTCATCAAGGAGACCTTGTTTAGGGAACTTCTGCGTACCGGTGGTATTCTGAAGAAGCGCACGGCGAGAGAGTTGATCAAGATCGATGTGAATAAGACGGCGAGGATTTATGAGTTTTTCCAGAATCAGCGGTGGTTGAGCTGATGTGGTGGATGGGTTGCTTGGAGTTGGTTGTATGATATCGGGTTGTAGTTTTATGTTGTAACTAGTTTTACAGGAGTTTTATATAATGGCGTTTACCATATTCATGCATCACCTCGCATGCAGAGTTTCAGTAGATAATAAGGTGTAGGTAGCCTATATAACTAATTGCATATAAAACTACCTCCCAACAACACAACAAACTAAATGAACGAAGAAAACTGATAATGAAATAAATAAATGAAAACATTTCGCCTGTGTATTTCCGATTCAACCAAATCCCATAACTATGTGACAAAATAGATAAATAAAACTGTAAATGAACAACGTAGAAAACGAAAGAGAAAGAAAAATGCAGTTGATCAGAACGTGAGTTGAACGACGTGATATGAACTATGATTCATTCGAGTGACTATCCGATAACACTACCAGGACCGGGTCCAGAGTTACCCAACGTAGTACCCAACCGACTGTCAGAGTATGTCCATCCGCCAAACTGCCGCTGCACGCTCTCAGACAGGTAATCGTCCACCACAGAGTCCGTCGGCACCTCGTTCGTGAACTCCTTGTCAAAGTTAGACGTGTCGGTCGCGGACGCGACGCTCGGCTTGAACGGCGGCGGGTACTTCTTGCCGAGCAACTTCTTCCAGTCGATTTCCACAAAGAACTTGTGGTTCTTGATCTCGGCCGGTCCGTTGGCGCCCAGTCTTTGCTTGGGATCGCGGTTCAAAAGACCTGTTAGCAGGCTCTTGGCGTCTTTGTCCATGTCGTCGGGGAAGCGCAGCGGGTCTTGCAGGATCTTGCGGTACATCTCGTTTGTGTTTTCGTCGTAGAACGGAGGGAGGCCGGTCAGCATCTCGTACAGCAGCACGCCGAGCGTCCACCAGTCGACGGTCTTCGTGTAGCCCTGTCCGAGCAGGAGCTCGGGCGCGAGGTACTCGGGCGTGCCGCAGAAGGTGTTTGTCTTGTCGTCCTCGCGCATGTTTAGCTTGCAGAGACCGAAATCACACAAGGCAATGTGCCCGGTGTAGTCGAGCAAGATGTTTTCGGGCTTGAGGTCGCGGTAGATGACGTTGAATCCGTGCAGGCACTCGAGCGCGCAAAGAAGCTCGGCGGTGTAGAAGCGCGCGCGGTTGAGATCGAACTTGCCCTCGCGCTGGAGATGGTGGAAGAGCTCGCCACCGTTGATGAAGGCGAGCACAAAGTAAAGCTTCTCGGGGCTCTGGAACGAGAACTTGAGCGGGACGATGAACGGGTTGTCGATCTGCGCGAGCACTGTCCGCTCGGCAAGCGTGTGGTTGACTTCTGATCGCGAGACGATGTGCGCCTTGCGGATCGTCTTGAGCGCATAGATCCGGTTGGTGTCCTTCTTGCGGACCTGCATAACTTTGCCGAACGAGCCCTTGCCGACGACCTTGAGCAGATCAAAGTCGTCGATAGTCAGCGCCGCCTTCTGATTCGGCTTGTACTGCACCGTCAGATGAACTTTGCCCGTGCCCCACGACACAGCGATGCTCTCGTCGCGCTTGCCGGCGCTCGGATCGAGCTTCGGAGTGAGCTTGCACGAGCCAAGAAGGATGTCCTCCTCGAGTTTCTTGGACTCGCCGTTCGACGACGAGCTTGAGTTTGCACCGTCCTTGCTGGTGAAGAACGCGCCCGGGTTGCGGACGTAGAGAGAGACGGTGAGGGTCTCGCTCCTGCTGACGTCGAAGTTTGCGGTCTGTTCCCACTTTGGGTTTTCGATTGTGCCGGAGTGGGCGTCGAGGATCACCTGCGTCTTGTCGAATTCGAGGACGAGGTAGGGAAGAAAGTGGCGGGAGGTCGAGCTAGAGGATGAGAACGACGAGGCGGAGGATTGGCCGTGCTGGGCGTGCGTGTAGGAGGGCGGCAGGGAGAGGCCGGCGGCTTCGTGGATTGTGACGATGAGAAGGCCCGGGCGCACGGTCGAGGTGGTCGAGGGTTGTGATCTGTGGCCGGGCGAGAAAGAGGAGGAGGAAGAAGCAGCGGAGGCGGAAGCGGCGGAGTCTTTCTTTTCGGAGGGAGAGGTGTCTTCGTGCTTGCTGGAGAGGTAGAAATGATGGTGATGCTTTGACTTTGACTTTTCGGATTCCTTTTCTTTTTCTTTTTCTTCAAAGTTCTGGGGGGTGATTGTAGATGTAGAGGACGATCTAGAGGAGAGGTTCGAGAGATGGGTCTCGCGGAGTTCTAGAGAGAGGGTGGGTGGTCAGCATAGGATAGAGGGGAGGAGGGAAGGAGGGGAAGCGGGAACACCGGAGAAAGAAGCGACGCACTTTTTGTGAGTTTCCAGGACATGATTGCGGGAAGAGCAGCAGAGCGGCAAGAGGAGGATAATAAGAAGCCTGTCTCTGAGCAGAGAGGAGATAGAAGAGGTGAAGAAGAGGAAGCGGAGGAGCAGAGGAGGAGAGGAAGATGGAGAAGAGCGGATGAGGTTGGTAGAAGGAGCAGGGGCCGCTGGTGCGCCAGTCGGCGGTGGTTTGAACCGGGCTGGTTCGGTTCGGGTTTCAGTTTCAGCCGGCAGTGTCACCGTAGTGTCACACCGCCAACTATTGACGTCAGTGATGTAGATATAGACATTGTGCGATAATTAGATGATATTTTAGTTGTGGATAAAGAGATGAGTGTGTTTGTATTTATCTACAGTTTGTATAAACAGCAATGAGTGCGGTGTTGTGGGTTTTTGTGGTTAAACCAGCTCGAGGCTGTGGAGCTATGAATAGGATCAAGATCAAGTAGCTGGCTGTTGTTGTTGTTGTTGTTATCTGATGTGTTGTTTTAGTAAATATTTGTTATCTTTTGTTTTCAATGTTCTTATCAATAAACAGCAGTTTTTGGATATTCTTGAATACAACAAATATTCTATCTTCACTGCCAAATGCGGCAGGTTGGGTTGGGAATAAGAAGAAGAATAAATAAGAATAATAAATAAAAATAAATAAAAATAATAAGAAAATTAAAAAATAAACCGATTTAATCCCACTCCTCTGACGCCATCAGCTCACCAAACCTCCATCCACCCTCCTCTTCCCCAGTTCATGCCTCTCTTCCTCTCCCTCAGCGGATTCAGAATCTACCTGCCGTCCTTCTCTTTCAGACAATCCAGACTACTCCTCTCCGTCGTCGCCGCCTTTGTCATCTTCATCCTCCTCGCAGTCACCCTCCACCCCTCTACAGAGACCGACAATCACCCCGTCTGGACCACCCCTCCCCAGCTCAAACTCCCGACCGCACAGGACTCTCTCGCGGCCGGTTTCGATCCGTTGAGCAACCCAGTGATTGCTAAAGAAGTAGCTGCCTTCCGATTGCAGTACGAACAGAAAGCTGCCGGCATTGAGCTCGACGACTCGCTCATCTCTCCCGTCGAACGACAGCAGCGCGCCCTCCGCAAGCTCGCTGATAAAGTAAGGGCCGACCGAAAGAAAGCCGTTCAAGAGAAAGCTGCCAAAGAAGCCGCCCAAGCCGCTGGTAATCCCAATCCACCGCTATCCACCGATCTTCCCGAAGACCAACCTAGTTAATTCCCAATCACACTCCCCGCAGACATCTCCATCTCTGACGATCTACCCGAGACACCTACAAACATGTCGTTCTCTGCCGCCGGACTCACTCTCAAGAGTAAAGTCAAGCTTTCCTCGGGGTTTGAAATGCCCGTCCTTGGCTTCGGCGTCTACCAATCCTACGGCGAGGAGGTCATCAATTCTGTTTACCATGCTCTCAAAACCGGGTACCGACATATCGACTCTGCTACTCTTTATGAGAACGAGCGCGAAGTCGGTGTCGCTGTCAAAAAGTGGATCCATGATACCGGCGGAAAGCGCGAGGATGTCTTTTACACGACAAAAATTTGGGATACCGATCAGGGTCAGCTTATCTCATATTCCTTCCTTCCTCTTCTCTGCTAATATGTCCCGTCAGGCTACAAAAATGCAAAAAAAGCAATCAACTGGTCTCTTCGACAATGCGATCTCGGTTACATCGATCTCTATCTCATTCACTCGCCCTACCCCGGCCGCCAGCTACGCAAGGAGACCTGGCAAGCAATGGAAGAAGCCGTCCAGGAGGGTAAAATCAAATCGATCGGTGTCTCAAACTACGGCATCAAGCATCTGAAAGAGATGGAGGAGTACGCGACCATCAAGCCCGCTGTCAATCAGCTCGAGGTACATCCGTTCTTGACCCGGAAGGAACTAGTTGAGTTTTGCCAGAGCCATAATATCGTCGTCGAAGCATTCTGTCCAATCACCCGAGGCTTGAAGTTTAAGGATAGCAGGGTGCAGGCTCTTGTGCAGAAGTACAAGCGGACTCCTGCTCAAATTATGCTCAGGTGGAGTTTGGAGAGGGTGAGTAGTTTATTGCTTTCTAACGACTGGCTACAATACTGACATCTAGTTTACACAGGGCCTTGTTCCGCTTCCCAAATCTTCGAATCCCAAGCGCATCGAGGAAAACTCCCAGGTCTTTGACTTTTCTCTCGAGCCTGCCGATGTCGAGTCTCTCATGACAAAAGAGTACTTTATCGTTGATTGGGATCCAACCAACGTTGCCTAATCTCTAATTCTTTCTAATGTAATCTCACGAAATATTACTATTATTATCTTTATTGAATCCTTAATGCAGCATAACTTTTACTCTAAACCATTCTTAATCTAAGGAGTGATTCCCACCACCAATCTCCCATTCTCATTCTTCAGCACAATCCTCTTCAGCAGCTCCGCTCTCGTAACCCCTCTCGTCTCCTTATTCTGCTTCAACCGCTTCGCAAGTCCGCGCAGCTGCAGCCCCTTGTCTGATTTCTTGACCATCGTCAAAATGTAATTCTGCAGCGTTTCCTGAGCAAGTTTCGAGCCCGTGTTTGACGGAACCGCGGTGCCGTTCGCGGCCTTGACAGTCTTCTTCGGCTGCTCGGACTCATCCTCAGAATCATCCTCAGAGTCGTCGTCGTCCTCCGAGCCCGCGGCGGCGTCGGCTTTCCGCTTGTTTGACTTCTTGGGGGACGGGGTGTCGACTTGCATCTTGCTCGCTTCTTCAGCGGCGGCTTTCGCGGCAGCAGCAGCAGCGGCTTTTTCCTCCTCTGCCTTCTTTGCCTGTTCGGCCTTGGCCGCAGCTTCCTCCTCTGCCTTCTTGGCCTCCTCGGCCTTGCGCTGCTCTTCCCAGCGCTTCAATTTCTTTTGCTTCTTGGTCAGTTTGCTGTCGTCGTCGGCAGAGGCTGGGGTCTCGGTTTTTTCTTCCTTGGTCTCCTCGGTCTTGGGTTCTTCCTTGGACTCTTCCTTGGGTTCCTCCTTGGGCTCCTCGGTCTTTGCCTTCTTTTCCTTCTTCTCCTTCTTCTCCTTCTTTTCCTTCTTCTCCTTCTTTTCCTTCTTCTCAGTCTTATCCTCAACCTTCTCCTCAACCTTCTCCTCAACCTTCTCAACCTTATCCTCCTTCTTCTCCTCCACCTTCTCTACCTTCTTCGTCTCCCCATTCTTCTTAGCGTTCGGATCATTATGCTTCGGTCCCTTATACAGCGCCTTCTGATACTTCTCCGCCTCAGAGATACAGCTCGTATGGCTCTGGAAGTCAAGCCCTGCACCATCCAAAGTCAGCAATACGTACAGACAGCATCATCTAAATAACTAAAAACGCACCCTGGAAAGTAGTCTGGCAATCAAGGCAGGTGAAGTACGCGCCCCGGCACTGCTGACGATGCTTCATCAGGTTCTTCTTTGTAATAGTGTCATTGCACACCTATATAACCAAACTATCGTCAGCCTCTTCTCAATCACAGAGATAAAAATTATTTCATGCTCTTATCATGTCCGTTTATAAACAACAGACTAGGCGTCGTTCAAACCGGATCAAAGAGAGAAAACAATTCGAAATCATAAAACAAATCAGTTGAAGAACTTACCTCGCACGAAAAGCTAACCATCTTGCAAACTACCAGTCAAGAATACCTCAAATATAAAATGTATTTCTAGAAAAGAGTATAGATATCTATAATCTCTGTACTTTAGCAGTGGAGTATAAAACACAGAAATAAAGTCGCAGAAACTTTTCTAGAAAGTAGAAAAAAAGGTCAAGAGCTTAAAACTGTTTCCAAAAAAAATTTCAAGATTTGGGAGTTTTTGGGGCCCTAACCCGCTGGCCTTTCTTGATGTCTCTTAAAGTCGATAATTAGCAGGAAGATTTCAGTAACTAGAGGATTGTTGTATTGTTTGAGTGGAGAAGTTGTTATTTGTTTATTATCGGTTTGAAATATAATAGTTTTAGATTGGTGCGTTTGAGAGTGGTTATTTGGTGGTGGTGTATGCTAATCTTACGTATTGGATTCACTATTATTCAAGACAATCACTCCCTCGGCATCATCAAAGGCACAGGACCCGCCGGAACCAGCTCGATCTTCTGCACGCCGGAATACCCCTTCTTCAACTGTTCCAAAAACGTCGTCTCCTTGAACACGGTCGGGAAGTCATAGTACAGATGCATGAGCCAGTTCTGCAAGTGCGGGAACTCGTACCGGATCATCTTGATGTTGCAGCGGAAGAGGGTGAAGTACGCGGCGTCGAAGCGGATGATGGTCACGTACAACCTGATGTCGGCTTCGGTCAGGCGCGAGCCGAGGAGGAATTCGCGGCCGTCGGACAGGATTGTTTCGAGGCGCTCGAGCGAGGCGAAGAGCGGGTAGACGTTTTCGTCGTCTTCCAAAGTGTTAGCAACAATCGCAGGGAAGAGATAGAGGGTAAATAGACTCACAGGCCTCCTGCGTCTGCGCGAATCCGGTCTTGTAGACTCCATTGTTGACGGTGTTGTAAACCCACTCGTTGATCTCGTCGATTTCGGGTCGCAGATCTTCGGGGTACACGTCAATTGCAGCTTTGTCCGCCGGCAAAAGTTCGTTAAATGCAGTGTTGAGAATGCGGATGATTTCGCTCGATTCGTTGTTGACGATGCTGGATATATAATTCTGAGGTTAGAACGGCATCATCTGCGGGAAAGAAAGAGGAAACTCACGTCTCGAGTTTGCGATCCCAGAGCATGGGAACCGTGAATCGCTTGTCGTAATCCGGGTTTGCTCTAAAGTAAAACTCCCGCAAATACGTAAATCCGTAATAAGGATCTTTAGCAGGCGAATTATCAACCTCCTTGAAATACCAGCCCTTCTCTCCAAGCTCCCAATGCAACCACACCACATCGACAAACTCCTCAAGACCCTTCAGCTTCACCATTATCAGCGCGCGGTGCGCCCACGGACACGTCGCGCAGACGTAGAGCACGTAGCGGCCCTTTTCGGGCGGGAAACGTTCGTGGCCGGGCGCGATCACGTCGCGGAAGGCGGACGCCTGGCGACGGAATTTGCCGTCGGGATCGGCTTGGCCGCTGCGTTGGTCGGCTTCGATGCCTGGGCCTGTTGCGGTGGAATCGTCGGGGAGGGCAACCATGCTGAGAGTGTGAGTATTAAACACGAGCAGAGAAGAGAAGAGAGGAGTGAAGACTAGGTGATATTACAGCTCGAGGCCGCTTATTTGTAGCCCCGGCCGTCGGGATACTTGTCTTTAGCCCTGAAGCATATCTACGGCAGATCTATGTGGTTATGGCATATCACGACACGGTTTAAGGGAAATATCTCGCGATCAGAGCGTGGGGCGCGTTGATTATGGATCGCTCTGTAATCCGCTCGGATGATTAATAACAGGCTCTGCTGCGCTATCCGACTAGAAATCCGAAGAGCAGAAGGAGTAGTTGTATGGCGGTATTATTGCTGATTTCTGTATTAGCAACCATAGAGTGACGACTTGTAGATAAATCTCTTTTGGTTGGAGGTATCGAAATGACGTCTTCAGTTGTTTATAATCAGCCGGCGCAGAAGGTTCGACCTCGGCATCCACTGATGACCTCCAAACCATCTTAAAACAGCAGACATCCCAACTACATCTACAATTGCCCCTCACCGGCTCACCAGCTCCTGCTACGACCCAAATGTCCGTCGAGCCTCTCCGCAAGTTCTTCTCCGCCGCCCAATACGCCGTCGTGGGCGCGTCCACCGACACATCAAAGTACGGCAACAAAATCCTCAAATGGTACGTCGACCACAGCCTCCCCGCCACAGGCGTAAACCCGCGCGAACCCACAGTCTACGGCATCAAATCCGCGCCGTCGCTCGACGCGCTCCTCAGCCAGATCGGACCAAATGCGCAGCTCTCGGTCAGTATCGTCACGCCGCCGCGCGTCAGCGAGGAGGCGGTCAGGCAGCTGGCTGAGATCGGACAAGATAAGATTAAGGGCGTGTGGTTGCAGCCGGGCAGTTTCGACAAGTCGACGCTGGCGGCTGCGGGCAAGGATCTGAATGTTATCGCGGGGGGAAGATGTGTGTTGGTCGAAGGTGAAGCTGGATTACATGCGGTTGGGAAGCTGTAGCCGTTCTCTCCCTACTCATGATCCTCACCACCATCTACGACCACCTCCGCCCGCATCGCGATAGTAATAAATAAAACTTCTCAATCAGATGAAAAATATAGAGGAGTATTTAATACAAAAAAAAAGAAAAAAATATCGAATCTCCGGAGCGTGACTCGAACACGCGATTTTCAGATAATCGATTAACCATTACAGTCTGACGCCTTACCAGCTTGGCCATCCGGAGCTTAATAATTTAAAAAAATTGCCTGGTTCAACATAAACCCCAGGAACTTCAAGCAGGCGGCAATTTGTGTTTGCTGCTAGTAGCGGAGGTTTGGTGCGTCGTGGGATCTCTTTAGACAAGTTAATTGTAACTAATGTAATTTTAAAACTGTGACTTCATGTGAAAAGAGTGAATTAGACTAGATATGGGTAGAAAGAGAGATCAAGCTGCTGCTCAAGAAATCAACACCACAGCTGAGGGCACATACTTTAAACCTTATTCTGTATAACAAACGCGCGCAAGCAGACGCGTTCATATAAACAGAACACACAAGCCTCTGTTCTCACCCATACACCTCAGCCAGACTGCAGATCCACATGCGCGCGTTATGACCGAATTAATGGCAAGGAATGGCATGGACGGTAAAACCGTGCTTATCCGTGCGCGCGGGCGGGGGCCGGTGAAGTGTCCTGTGGGTTCGCCTGTGAGCCCGTTTATACTGGATCGGCCGCTGGAAGCGATTGATGTTGATCCGAGGAGAAGTGGGCGGACTACAGCGACCGGGGTCGGGAAGAATGGAGTGGAAAAGGATGGAAAGCTGCTGTTTTGGAAGATACTGCCGAACGAAGAGAAGTTGGTTGTGAAAACACATGCGGTGGAGTGGTTTGTCGGCGGGGTGCTCCACAGACGATTTGGATTCCAGCACGAGACCGTCACGCATGCAGTGTTTACTTATTTCGAGGACCCCGCGAGACCAGGGAAAGCACATCCGCCGGTGAACATCAAGGGGAGACTGAACATCCCGAATCCAAACAGACCAGCGCAGATGTTTCAGAAACGGGCAATCGTCATCTTCATCCACGACTTTGCACACATCTATTTCGTCTCGGGAGCGCATTATATTGCCAGTATCCCCTTCGCCGTCCGTCAAGTACTAGCAACCGACCGAGGCTTGCTTATAGAAAGAGCGGTTCCCGAACAAGATGCAAACCTGTTCCCCTCGAGCTTTCTAAATCCTGCGTCGATTCCACAGCATAATATCCCCAGTTTGCAAAACATGCCGCGGTTTTTTTCGCTATCGGATCCGTTGATGGAGTTGGGGCTTGTTACCAAGATGTCTGGGTATGGAAGCTCTTTGTCTGATGCTCAGTTTGCTGCCTCTGAACACCTTGTGTTTGTGTCTGATCGGATACAGCGGCCTCCTCAGCACGCGCTGCTCGCGGCAACATACGATCCTTCCACAAAAATGCTCAATATCTATCAATTTTCCTACGTCTCTAACGACGGCAACGCTCCCGCCCGTCGAAGGACAATGTCTCGACGGAGGTCATCTATGCTGCACTCACTCAATGAGGACATCTCAGCTGTCGACAGCTCTCTTCCTCTCGAGACGCCTGGCAATCGACGGGTTTCGGCTTCGAGACACGATACCTCGCTGCAGGTTGACCGGATGGGTGCTGCTGGACTTGAGATACCAGATGGGGTCAGCGGCGGGTCTTCGACTGCCGGGCTTTTCTTGTCGTGGTGGTACGATGTCGAGACGTTGAAGCGCGAAGTGGAGTTTTCGCTCATCGAAGCTTTTCCTTTTGATTGTGAAAGTGCAGAGCGAGGAGTTGATTACACGGATATCAAGGCATTCAACTTAGTTCATCAAGATCAGAAGAAGCAGACGCTATGCTTTTTGAACAGGGCCGAATCAGTTTTGTTTGTTCTCACGTTCTCCTTAGAGGGTCATCGTCTGCGATTTGAGAACTCGACCAAACTAAACGCTCTGGATGCTGCGCCTCTTTGCGATACAACCAATGTCTCGGCGTCTTTATATTCTAGACGGCCATCGATCTTCGTCGTTGTTCCGGATCGTACAGCAGCGATATTCGATCCCATATTGCAGCTGTGGTCTCCCCAGGTTGCCTTGCGAGGCGCAATTCTATCGGTAGATCAGATCTCGGACGCAAAGGTCTCAATCCAGATGATGAACACAGAGATCTACGAGACTGAGATCGTTCTCTACCCGCGGCCGCTATACATTCAAAAGGCAGCACAGATTATCGAGACGATGATGACGCCTGCCCAGCAGGCTGTCTTTGAGTTTTATTTCTCTGCCGCGTTGCATCGCTTGGAAGCGATCAGTGACGAAGTACCGGTACACAGCGACTGGAAAGCCTTTGTGATCTCCCTTCTCGTATTCTGGATCGGTCCCGGATCGACGCTCGAGATGCCTTCGAGCGGGACCGAGCGCACGTTTGAGAATTTCATGGAAAGACAGGTAAATGCTACTGCTTTCAACACCAGTCCGACGCCGTACAGCTCTTGGCCTAAACTAGACCCAACGTCTACTTCTGCGCAGAAATGGTTTCTGGCCGAGTATGTGAACGAGGCCGTACTCCTTGCCAACGAATTCAAGCAGCAGTACGCGCCCGACGCGTCCGCTTGCTCGCCAAACACACGTGCATATATCACAGTTGCTCTGCACCTCTTTGTCGAGGAACTCAAGCTAGATATTGTGTGCTTCGAGGCGAAAATGAAGATTTCTACGCTTATGGGGCAGTTGGTGCGGTGGTTGGGGTGGGATGATGAATGGCGGGAGGCTTATATCACGTCAGGCGTCACGTACGACGAAGGTCAGTTCTGAGCTCTCTTAAGATTAAACAAGAGCTATGTGACTAATATGTTCTCTTACAGTATGCCGCTTTCCTTCACAGAAAATCTTGTCTAGTCCACCGGGTATCTTTAGCACTATGTACGAGGTCCTGACAACGTTCAACGTGCCTCCAATGCCTACGCTCTACGACCTATATTCACAACAGGAATGGGATCCCGCAGCAAGACCTCAGCTGACAAACAAATACCTAACATCGCTACTCCCACGATCGTCGTTCGTCTCGGGCATGTTCAAGATCCTGGCCAATCCCGCCAAGGAGTCGATTTATCGCGACATCATCGAGTACATTTTCTCGTCAATCGAGATTCCCAGCCCATCACCCTCCACCAGATCCGAACGAACTCTGCTCCCAACGCACGCCACGACTACTAACCGCGGCCGTTTACTCAATGACGAGATCGAGCGGTATCCAGAATGTTTTGTGGTGCTATTCCGGGAAGCGATTTTGTGGTGCCAGGAGAATACGCCTATTGAGTGGGGTGTGGATCTGCTTGAATTTATCGGGCGGCGGGATCTGAAGAAGTTGGTGGAGACTGCGGATCAAAGCGAGCAGACTCTGAGTCAGATCACCGGGCAGCACCGACGCAATGTGAGTATTTGTCGTTGCTATTTTACTGTAGAGAAAGTTGCTGACTTCCTGATAGCGTGGACGCGAACATCCGCGAGAGATGGTACATATTGCGCAATCTATAACATTAGATACAGACTCAACAGGTCCGTGGGATGGATCACTAGAAGCCGATCACGCGCTTCTTTCTCGACTCATATTTCGAGAGGACAGACGGTTATCTGAAGTCCAGAAGATGCTGCAGACCACGCGAATGCAGTCCGAAAAGTTCGAGTACAGTCAACTGTCCTCCACTTTCAACGAAGCAGATATGCATTCTGCGCAGCAAGAGCTTGCAAGAATGGTTGGCACGCGCACGTTGGCGGTACCGGTTGGCCGGGGCGCGATTCTGTATTGTGCGAGAGTGCCGTTGATGACGGAGAAGTTCCCGATTCCAAAGATGAATTTCAACATTTTGATGAAACCTAGTATGGCGACGATCACTGTCGACAAGCACTTGCTGACGGAGGAAAATATTTCGTGGGGATTGTTTCACAACGGCGTTGCTGCGGGTTTGAGTGTTGCGAAGGATGCGAAGGAGATCACGGGATCGTGGATAGTGTACAACAAGCCGGCGGCGCTGAGTTCGCAGCATGCCGGGTTCCTGCTAGGTCTGGGACTGAACGGGCATCTGAAGAATCTAGCAGAGTGGCATATATACAACTATCTGCGTCCGAAGCATACGCACACGTCGATCGCGCTGCTGCTGGGAATGTCGGCGTCGTATCTGGGGACGATGGATCCGAAGATGACAAAGGTGCTGTCGGTGCACGTGGTTGCTTTGCTGCCTTCGGGGTCGGCGGATCTGAACATTATGAGATCGATGCAGACGGCGGGGATTATGGGCGTCGGGCTGCTGTACTACAACTCGAGGCACCGGCGAATGAGCGAGATCTTGATATCTGAGATTGACCAGCACAATGCGTCAGGAGTGTTGCGATCTGCTCACGGGAACCGGTACTCAGATAGCTCAGCTAAGCAAGCACAGAGCAATATGCAGAACGGCAGTGCGACGGATGGATCAGACATCTCAAAGGATGAAGGCTATCTGCTTGCGGTAGGGTTTGCACTGGGCTTGATCAACATCGGAGCCGGAGCGGAAGGAAGCGAGATTGGCAGTCTGACGGACTTGCATCTGATGGAACGGTTACTGGCGATCAGTACGGGGACTACCGGGAGCAATGGCGGAGGCGTGAACGGGTCGTATGTTGGAGGGGGTGGCGTTGCAAGCCGGGCGTCTACGCAGAAGCATCATCTGCTTGATCGATGCGCGTCTGGGAGTATCATGGCTCTGCTGCTGATATATCTCAAGACGGAGAACGAGGGAGTGGCGCAGAAGATTGACGTTCCAGAGACAGAGATGCTGTTTGAGTATGTTCGGCCGGATTTGCTGCTGCTCCGGACGCTTGCGAGCCGGCTTATAATGTGGAGCACGATCGGTAAGGACATGGAGTGGATCATGACGAGCATTCGACCATTCCTGCGGACGCGTGCGAATCTACAGGATATCGTCGATCTTGACAGTGATGATCTGCCGCTGCTGAATATAGTCTGCGGGTTATGCTTTGCAATGGGCGTAAGATACGCGGGGTCGGTTGATGCGCAGGTCAAGCAGACGCTGATTTATTACTTGGATCACTTCATGCGGCTGTGCTCGCTGCCGGCGAATACGCACGACCAGCGGATGACGAAAGCAACTGCTCGGACATGTCAGAGCGTGCTGGTGCTCGCGGTGTCGGTGGTGATGTCTGGGACGGGGGATATTGATGTGATGCGGCGGATACGGAAGCTGCATGGAACGGTTGACGCGTTTGTGAGTTATGGATCCCATCTGGCGAACCATCTTGCGCTTGGCATCTTGCTGCTTGGAGGAGGGGAGTATTCTATTGATACCGGAGGTACGAGGAGCAGCAGGCCGGCAGCTGAGACTGATGGGTCTCCAGAGCCAGCCAGTGACGAGAAGCGAGCGGATGGGGATGATATGGGGTATCTTGCTACGGCGGGACTGATTATTGCGCTATACCCGCAATTTCCCAATGACGTGCTAGACAACCAGGTGCATTTACAAGCATTCCGTCATTTCTGGACGTTTGCGTGTCAACGGCGGTGTCTTGTTGTTCGGGATATTGAGACGTTGAGCCCGGTGGTGATGCCAATTACAGTCAGTTGCAAGAAAGACAGAGACTCTGAGGAGTTAGTGCAGAGACAACTTACGGCGCCTTGCTTACTGCCTCCGCTGGACACGATAGCGTGGCTGAAGACGACGTCGCCTGAGCACTGGCCAGTGACGCTAGACTTACAAACCAACGAAGCGCACAGAAAGGCCCTCTCTCAGAGCTTGACGATATACACCGAGGACCGCAAGAGCGGGCAAGTACGCCGGCGCAAGGACGGCGCGGTTCCGTTTGGCGACGTGCTGCGCGGGCTCGGGCCACCGCTGCTGGGAGAGATGGCGGCGGGGACGGGAGTGCCGGCGCGAGGATGGAGTGAGGAGGAGAAAGTGCGGGCGTACGCGGAGACGCTGCAGCGGGGATGGAGCGGGCTTGCGCCGGCAGTGGAGGGGTCGAGCGCGGTCATGAAGTTGCTCGAGGTGGGACTGCATAGTGAGATGGATCAGGCTGAGAAAGCTTTGATAGTTCCCCCTGGAGGTGAGATTTGTTTATCCTGTTTTGATATTTTTTTTTAATCTGCGTTACTTGTTGCAGACTGCTAACTTCGAGATAGTGCACACGCGACGGCCTCAGATTGAGTCTACGAGCGCCGACATAGCGGGGATGCTAGCAGGATTCATAGAAAGCCCCACATCGGTGGACGACCTCTGGAATGTTAAAGTGGCAGTCGCGGGTTTCCCCAGATGGGCAGAGTCAGCGGGTGCGCTGGAGGCTGTCTCGACAGACTCGACCACTATCAAGACTACGGAAGCAGGACGGCCGCTGGTATTCGTGCCGCGCGAGACGGTCGAGAGATTGAAGGTCGGTATATGGCGAATGCGGCAGATGGCTGCGGACCAGAATTGATCATATTGCGGATGTATATATATCATTATCAGGGAAGAATAATAAACTGTTTTATTGCTATCGGTTTACGTTGTTCCTGACCTGGCTGGCGCGACGCCGGCCGAGCGTAGGCAGGCGTGCGGCTCAGGAAGCGGAAGGGCCGAGATGAGGTGAAAAGTCAAAGTTGGTTTCCTTATCTCGGTGTCGCTGCGATCAACATGAAAGAGCACGGCTTTTGCCAGATATATCTGCGATTGAAGTAGTAAAAGAAGGCGTGGAAGCAGGAACATTGTTACAGAACCAGGAACAGCGAACTCGACCGCCACCGAACGCCATCCAGCAGCGAGCGGGAGGCAGACGATGATCTGCAAAGTCATCGTCGGCCATGTCCGACGATTCGGACGATTGCGACGAGTGCGGCTCAGGCGAAGCCCGCGACAGTAAACACAGAGGACGAGGCAGAGATTGGAGAAGCCACCGCAGACCAACCGACCCCGGACTTCCGAGATATGGAAAGCAAAATTTTGCTGTGGACTTTGGCTCGGATTGGGATTCGGCCTGGTCGACGACCCCTGAACAGAGGGTTCGGGGGCAGCAGAAGGAAGACTGACGGCTCGGCTGAGCCCGTAGTAAACATATCCCAACTCTGCTCTGTCTGGGAGGTTAGGTCCCCTCGACGTCCGTTTGGCCCGCAGACGCGTGCAATTCGGATCGAGTAGATGATTGCCGTAGTCAGGAGTGCATTAACTGCAATCTCAAGCGCGCTGCTCGAGGGGGAAGGCAGCGCGGCCGGGCTGGGGGAAGTCGAGGAAGATGACGTCGCTTGTGGCCGGGCTTCGCAGTCGCCCGGCGCAGTGGACGAGCAAAGGTTTTTTCGTTTACACTGCGGGCGGCATTCTCGCTGCGAATACTTATCGATAGAGGTCCCTCCTGTCTCTTGTCTTCTCTTCTTCTTCTCCTCTATCTCTCGTCTCTCGGTCTTCGACACCGCATCACCACCTCCGCCCTCCGCACGCGTTCTCTGTAGGGCAAATCAAGTCATCAGTCCCCGACTTGCTCTCTCTCGCTTCGATCGTCCCCTTCGCCGACGATCCTCAACGCTGTTCTGCAGATCTCGCTACTCAATTATATTCCTCTGGCACGAGACCGTTGCCATAGCTTCTATATATAACGCAAATTCATAAAGATGGTCAACTTCTACCAGACCTTTCCTCGCAAAGGAAAGAACAACCCCGTGATGCGCCGCCACTCCTCCTCCAGCGCCATGCGTCCTCTGCTCGTGGTCTCCTCCGCCTCGGCAGACGAGGACACCGTCTACGACGACGACGACACAGTGCCTATGTCGCGCTCCCGCACAAGTACGAGCATATACGATGCGCCGTACTGGAAGTTCCTCGACGACGAGACCGAGGAACTGCGACGGTTCAGAACTACTTCTACTTATGCCACTTACAACAACTTCTTGTTCGAACAGGCTGGCGAGTCGGCTGAATACCTTCCCGATGTTGGATACAGACGTAAGTATTTCTCTCGCTACAATCAACATCGACGTTATGGAATTGTCTATAGAGATCATATGCTGACTTGTGTTTAGCATGGCTTGCTGCTCTCGGTGGATTCAGCGCGCAGTTCTGCTCGTTCGGCTACATGAACGTCATTGGCGTGTTCCAGACCTACTATGAAAACAACCAGCTCGCCGACCTCTCCCCTTCGACCATTTCCTGGATCGGATCTATCCAGACCTTCATCCTCGCTCTTGGCGGTCTCTTCGCCGGCCGTATGTGTGATATGTACGGTCCGCGATGGCTGACCATCCCCGGATGCATCTTCCTGACCGTCGGTGTTTCGACCACTGCGGTGTGCACGGAGTACTACCAGTTCATCTTGGCCCAGGGTGTTTGCTCTGCGTTTGGCGCCTCGCTTCTGTTTTACGCTACCACGGCCGCAATCACGGGATGGTTCAGCGTCCACCGTGGTCTTGCCTTTGGAGTTGCTGCCTCTGGTGCTTCGTTCGGTGGTATCGCTCTTCCGTTCCTGTTCGACAGCGTAGTCAGAGCGTACTCTTTCAAGGCCGCAGTCTTTTGCGTCGGCGCGCTCTTGTTTTTCTTTGCTGCCATCGCCGCCATCGTCACCACTTCGCGCATTCCTCCTTCCGGCCACGAGCCTTACCAGTTTGTGCACTTTTACCTCAAGCCGTACCTCGACCCTGTCTTTGCTCTCGTCACTCTCTCGCTCTCGCTCACTTACCTCGGCTTGTTTGTTCCGTTTGCGTTCATTGCCTCGCACGCGTTGTCGAACGGAATCACACAGTCATCTGCTTTCCACCTCGTCGCATACCTCAACGCCGGATCGTTCGCCGGCCGTCTCTTCAGCGGCATGGCCTCGGACAAGATCGGAAAGTTTTCCGTCTTCTTCCTCGTCACCTTGATGTCTGGCCTCGTCGTCCTTCCCTTCTGGTACGTCGTCAACGAGGAAGCCTGGATCGTCGTCGTCGCCGTCTTCTACGGCTTCGCCTCTGGCGGTGTGCTTGCGATGTACCCCGCGCTTGTCGCGCAGATCAGTCCTGTCAAGGAAATCGGCACCAGACTTGGCTCGTTGAGTGCTGCGATCGCGTTCGGCGCTCTCGCGTCGCTGCCTATCGCTGGCGCGCTCGTTAGTAACAATAATGGCAAACCGGACTTTTCAGCTATGCAGCTTTACGCGGGAATCGTCATGATTGCTGGTGCTGGTATGGCTATGATTGCGAAGGCCAGAGGTACTCGTGGTAATTTGTTTGCCAAGGAGTAGTCTTTGTTCTATATCTTTCTATCTTCTCTTCTACGATCGCGAGCTATTTCGGCTCGTTCATTTTCACCTTTTTCTATTCTTTTCACTACTTTTTCTTCAATTCGCATCTGGGAGTTCTCGGTTTATTTATGATTTATATAAATGATGGTATGGCTTAATCAGTTTATATGATCTTTTTGTTTTGGGAAGTTCATGATTCATGGGTTTATTTGCAGTTTCATCGTTTTATGACATGAAAAGCCATTTCTTTTTCTATTTTTTATTCTTTTTTGTTTATGCTTTTTTCAATATTCTCCTAGTTGCAATCAATATATAGAAGTGCTCGATGTGTTGTTTTAGTAGATAGAATACAAGGCCGACTTGGTCAGCATCTATGCTTAAAGACCCTGAACTGAAGACCATTGTAGCACCGCACCAGTACATAAGCATATATCATAGCTAGGCCTCGGCTCTACACGCCCAGCACAAACTGATATCTATTTTAATCGTACGCAATTCTCATGTGCAATGACGATCAAATCACAGGTATTTTCTAATCTGCTGTGGGGTACAAGAAGGTGAAGGAGCGCAGGGCGAACAGTGCGCCGGAGGAGAGGAGGGTCGCCCGATTAGGAAGGAGGCAGGGCGCCGGAGCTGGGGTTGGCCCAGAGCGGCCGCTGTTGGCTGCGAGAAAAGCTGAGAGTTGTGTAGATTATCTGAAGAAAGACAATAATACTCTTATAACTTGAATATCTGTTGATTGTGAAGAATACAAATACAAAATCCTCTCTGTTTGCTTCAAATACAGAAAAAAGACTTTTAATTGAATAAGACGAAAGCCTCGAAAGCCTAAGGAAAGCCGCCGGCGACCGCCACCGCGCCGCAGGGATCCTCATCCTCAGCCCTGCCTGACGTCAGCCACCGCCAATCTTTATCGATCATCGTTGATGTGCAGCGATCATCGGCTTATTTTGCGGTGGAGGTGGTGCTGGGCGTGGGTGGTAGATGGAGATTTGATAGGAAATAATGGCTGTAGAAGTGCTGTCTCATAGATGGAGATTCTGATTTTTATTTCACTGCTGCTCTGCTACTGTCGTCGCTGGAGATCAGTTCTGGATGCTGTCCAGGTCCCCAAAAGGTGCCTCGACCCCTACAGTTTCCTGCATCCTGCGCTTGAACCACATGTTCCAGCCCTACGCGTCTGTTTCACCGGAACTCCCGTCTAGCAACCTGGCTCGCGCACGCTCAAACGTCATCAAACTCACTCGCTTGTCTCGAATCTTCCTAGTTTTCCTGGCTATCGATAGCCCGCTGGCTTAGCGTCATGTGCCCGACGGTCGTCGCTATACTTGAGCCGTGCAGCCCATAGCTCAGGACACTCCATCGGGCCTGCGGTAGGGTTGGTGATATTACGCGTCCTCTGCCGCGCGTATGCAAGCCCAGTCTTGGTTATATATGTTCTGTTTGATCCTGCCCTGCCTTCACACTCTACTCATTACTCCTGCACCTCATCGGCCCGCATGTCTGCCGCTGATCATCTCCCTGTCGCAATGCCTGCTCCCGCCATGATCCTCTCGCGACCGTCCTCTCTCCGCTCGGCGGACTACCAAACCTCGCCCGTTCCGTCCTACCAGTCTGATACCACCGTTCTCGCGCCGTCGATGTTCAGCCTCGACCCTGAGAAGCAGGAAGGACGCGAGCTCGACACTATCTCGACCACCTACGAGACATTTTCCGTCGATCGGCCTGCACCTGCTGCGATTCCGCCCCCGGAGGTTGGCATCAAACGTATGCTAGCTGCTTTCTAAATCGTATATCCAACCTACTAACACTCGATTTAGCCTGGTTGGCTGTGCTCGGAGGTTTCTGCGCTCAATTCTGCTCGTTTGGCATGATGAGCATGATTGGAATTTTCATTGCCTACTATAGAGTCCACCAACTCGAGCATCTCTCTACCTCCGCCATCTCCTGGATCGGCTCCATTCAGTCCGGCGTCTTTGCTTTCTCCGGTCTTTTCTGCGGCCGCATCGTCGACATGTACGGACCTCACTACGTCACAATTCCCGGTCTGTTCTTCATCGTGATTGGTATGATTGGAACCGCGTTCTCGACTCATTATTACCAGTTCATAGTCGCTCAGGGACTCTCGTGCGCGATCGGAGCCGCGGGACTGTTTTACGGTACTACCTCTGCAATCACCTCCTGGTTCACCACCCGTCGCGGCCTGGCGTTTGGAATCGCGGCGTCGGGTGCGGGCGTGGGCGGTATTGGCATCCCGTTCCTGCTGCAGTACATGTTTTACGACTATGGCTCGTTCAAAGCCGGCGCGTGCACGCTCGCAGGAGTGTTTTGCTTCATGGGCCTCGTGACTGTCTGCGTTACCACCAGCCGCGTGCGTCCTACCGGACGACAGCCGTACCGGTTCGTGCGGTTTTACGTTCGGCCGTTCCGAGATCCGATCTTTGCCTTGTTCACGCTCGCGATGGCGCTGATTTATCTGGGAATCTTTGTCCCGAACGCGTATTTCTCTACCACCGCGCTACACTACGGAATGACCACCGCGCACGCCTCCTACCTCCTCTCGTTCTTCAACGCCGGCTCGCTCGTCGGCCGCATCGTCGGCGGCTATCTCTTCGACAGATTCAGCAAGTTCCTCGTCTATTTCTGCTACGTTCTCATGGGCGGCCTCACCCTCCTTCCCGGCTGGTACCTCGCCACCGACGAGACGCGTACGATCGTCGTCTCGGTCTGCTACGGCTTCGCCAGCGGCGGCATGCTCGCCCTTTTCTCGGCCGTGATTGCCCAGATCTCGCCCGTGACCGAGATCGGCACGCGCGTGGGCGCATGCAACGGCGCGCTCTCGATCTCGGCCCTCGTCTCGCTTCCGATCTCGGGCGCGATCGTGGGCATGGACGCTAACTACCATGGCATGCAGGCGTTTGCGGGGTCGACGATTTTGGCGGGGAGCGCGGTGTGTTTGGTGCTCAAGTTTATGGTTGATGGCAAGCGCATCCGGGCTTCGTAAGCTCTCAACGCGGGAAAATTGTTTTTTCTGTCCGTGGGTTGTATTTATGATCCTGCGGGTCCTTTTTTCTTGAGCCAGACCCTGGATAATGGCACCGCACATCTTTGGGTCTGCGCTCTCTGTGATTACGCGTGATGCTACAATCACTAATCCGTCGGCGTGCGCAAAGACACTGTGAATCGTTTGTTTTCGCGTCTTGGGGATATTGCTAGCGACCAGATAGCTGATACATTGAAGTGGTGCTTGCTTTTTTGGTTTAGAGAAGGTTGTCTGTGTCTGCTGTTTCCCGTCTGCCGTCGATGTTTGTGTTGCAGTTGCTGAGCTGGAGAGCTAGTGCCTGTGATTTCTGTGTGAGATTTATTTTCGTTGCAAGGAGGTGTGGTGAGTGAGTGGGCAGTGGAGTTGATTGAGGAGGGAGAGTCGAATAAAATACTTAAAACCCAATTGCTCTGTCAGATTAGTAGATACGTATAAAATCAGCTACTCGGTAGATACTCACGATAACGACAGTGGTAGAAATCAAGGTGGAAGGCATCGGGTAAGGGTATTCTCGAGGTATTCAGAGGATGAACAAAAGACAACTCGGTTCAAGCCCAGGTGCAATGGAGATATCTCTGCACCTGCCGATATGTACAGCCTGCGGGGTGCAGTACGAGAGCTCGACGGCTCCCGAGACATGTTTGATATGCGATGACCCGCGGCAGTACGTTCCCGCGACCGGCCAAGCGTGGACGACGCTGGGCGCGATGCAAGTCTCGACGGCGGGGTACCGCAACGAAATCAAGCTGGTGGACCCCGAGGAAGAACTCGAGCTGTATTCGGTGTGCACGGTGCCGAAGTTTGGGATGGACCAGCGCGCGCTGCTGATGGTGCGGGACGGGGGGAAGAGGAATGTGTTGTGGGACTGCGTGTCGTTTCTGGACGCGGAGACGGTCGAGAGGATTACTCGGCTCGGCGGGATTTCGATGATTGTGCTTTCGCACCCGCATTTCTACGCGACGCATGTGGACTGGGCGAGGACGTTCAAGTGCGAGGTGTATCTGAGCTCGATGGATACGGATTTCCTGATGCGGCCGAACGCGAACGACGTGCAGCGGTTTATCAACGAGGATATTTTCACGGTCGAGGGAGACGACGAGCTGTCTGTCGTCAGGGTGGACGGGCATTTCCCGGGTAGTATGGTGTGCGGATGGAAGGGAAGGCATTTACTTGTCTCGGACTCGATATCGGTCGCGCTGAGTGGAGTCGGTAGACGGCCGAGGAGGGCAGGGACTACGAGTTTTAATTTCATGTGGAGTCATTGTAATATGGTGAGCCCCCTCTTCTTCTTTTTTCATGCTGTGAGCTACTGACAGAGAATATGCACGGCAGATCCCCCTCGACGCCTCGGCGATATACTACATCTGGGTGGCGATCAGGGACATGAAATTCGATGCCGTGCACGGGCATCGTGATGGATTGACGGTGAAGCCGAACGCGAAGGAGCGGGTGCTGGAGAGTATGAAGATTGTGTTGGAGAAAATGGGGTGCTGCGACGAGTTGGTCTTTGATTTCGAGGCTGAGGAGGAGTATTTGTATTTTGAAGTGTAGATGCTGTGTATTTTTATTATTTTTGTTTTGTATTATTTCTGTTATTTGTCGATAGATTTGTTGTAAAGAGTTCTGGTTCTAAGTTATAACTACAGGGTTGAGTGGATGACTATAGGTGACGTCATCGACCTCCGGCCCTATGGCGGCTGGCCGGGTCAAAATCTGGCACAGACGCGTCTTCGAATTCGACGCGTCCCTGAGCAGCAAAATGACCTCTCTCTTGCCCCCCGAGGCCGCACACGATTCACTAGAAGACGCTCAGGAGTCACTGAATGAATGGGCAGCGCCTTACAGCTGGTCCTTTATCAAGCTTTGATCGCATCGGCATAAGGGCCCTTCGAAGAGGCTTACAGTGACCTTTGCTTGCGACTGCGCAGGCCCCCAACCAGTCGTAAAGGAGAGGTCGCTGCGAAAGGCGTCGAGTAAGAAGACCAATTGTCAATACTCAGTCCTAGTTGCAGAAACCCCCACCGGAGAATGGTGCGTCTCTCACCGGCGTGATCCAATATATGCTGAGCATAACCACGCTGTCTGCAATACCTCTGTTCCTCAAGGTTTCCACTGCGATCCCACACCCGAAGACCTTGCTTTGATCTCGTCAGGCGTCGCTGCAGGGGCCGACGCGTCAGTACTTCTATCAATGCTGCATGATCGTCTACTTTGGGCTTCTAAGAAGGATGTTCATAACTTGATGGCCGCTGTCAGACGAGAAAGGCTCAAACCCAAACCCTATGACCATATCACTGCGATAGGACCAGCTCAGTCTCCATCTAACTTATCTGACCCTCAGCTCACTCACCTATACTCAACTTCCAATATCAAAGAAACGATGATTGAATTCTCGCTCGACCTCCCGATCTGCAACACCTGCGGAGCGCAGTTCGGCACCACTTCACCTCCCAAAACGTGTCCCGTCTGCGACGACCCCAGACAATGGGTTCCGCCGTCAGGACAATCGTACACGACGCTCGGCGCGCTGCAGACGTCAGAGGAGAAGTACCATAATGTGATTGAGCCGGATAGCAACGATGCGGATTTATACTCAGTCTACACGGTCCCGCATTTCGCGATCGGGCAGCGCGCGGTGTTGATGGTGCGGGACGGGGGAAAGGCGAACGTGCTTTGGGACTGCATTTCGTATATCGACAGCGACACGGTGGACAAGATCACCGCGATGGGCGGTATCTCTGCGATTTTCATCTCTCACCCGCATTTCTACTCGTCGCATGTGGAGTGGGCGCGCGCGTTCGGGTGTAAAGTCTACATCTCGTCTTACGACAAGCAGTGGGTCATGCGTTCGAGCCCGGACGACCAGGTATTCTATGACGAGGACGTGGTGTCGGTTGAGGATCAGGCGAAGGCGGATAAGCTTACGATCGTGCGGGTGGGAGGGCATTTTCCTGGCAGTGCGGTGTGCTTGTGGAAGGAGACGCATTTGCTGGTTGCGGATTCGATCGGGATTGTGCTCAGCGGATTGGGGGAGAGAGAGCGGTTGCCAGGGACTATTACGTTTACATTTATGTGGAGTTATCCAAACATGGTGAGAGACTTTTCTTGCTTTTACATCACGAAGCTCGGCTAACAATTTCTAGATCCCGCTATCGCCGGACGCGGTATTCGACATATGGAAAGCATTGAAGCCGTTTAACTTTGAAATCATGCATGGCGGATGGGCAGATAAGGTCGTTAAGACGGACGTCAAGAAACGACTGCTGGAGAGCTGTAAAATTTTCGTGGAGAAGATGGGGTATACGCAGCATGCTGTGTTTGAGGAGGAGCTATAGCTGCTGTCTTGAAGCGTGAATAAAAGCCTGTTTGTATTCTCGAGATCGAATCGCAGAGTTCAAGAGATGGAGTAGGGAGCATATTTCCAATACCCCCAATGCTTAGATCCAAACACCCACGGCACCAACACCGCTCTCACAAACCACGGCAGCGGCGGGAACCCTTTATACTTTGGCGGCGTGTGACACCGCATATACACAAACGTCGTAAACGGGTCCGACTTTGTTTTCGAGTACTTGTTCAGTCTGGCGGTCATGTCGGTCAACTCTGCTTCGGAGAATGCTCGTAGGCGTTCAGGCGCGAGATCGGAGACTTCGTCGGCGAGGTGCTGGAAGATGATGTCTTTGTGCTCTAGTAGAATCTGTTGCAGTTCTTTGGCGTCAAAAGTCTCTGGATTACGCTGCATCGCGAGCGTGCGCTCGGCGAACTTGGTGCAGACAGAGTGGATGACTTTATGCTGCTCGACCTCGGCCGAGAAATCGAGCTTGGTCATCAAAAACGGGAACATGACCTCGTCCTCAGACTCGTGGTGGAAAAGCAGCGACGTTGCCCATGTACGAGCGTATCCGAGGAAGTTGCCGAGGTCGGCTAAGGGCGGGTCGGAGAGGTGGGTGAGGATGTTGTCGAAGCCGTGCTCGAAGGTGAGGTGGATCGCGCGCATTGCGAACTGGGGTTTTGCGTAGACGTCGTCTGGGATCGCCATTGTCGTGGATGCGGAGTCTGTCATGGTGAAGCAGAGAAGTAAGGTGGTCTACGAGAATAAGATCGAGGTCTACGGGCTTGACTTATATACAAATCACCTCAGGCCATATGCTGACGAGGTCAGGAGATTTCGGGGCCGGTGGAGTTTAGGGTTCTCCGTTATGCAGTGGACGAAGTTTAAACCTCGTCTGTTACTTTCACCTCGTGATTATTGGCGGAAGAAAATAGCATTGGTATTATTATCAAGCAAGGCATTAAACAAAACACCGACTCAGATTAGCAAACAGAAGAAGACACACTACTTGGAGTATCTGAACTCGCGGTTCTGGACATCCGTCAAGTCCATAAACTCGCGATCCTCCACCATCTCAAACTCCTCCGGCCGCGACTCGGCATCTCTGCGCTTGTTATCCCAGATCACGAGCTGTCTCAGCCCGACGCTCATAACCACCACGGCCGACATTGTGACAATCAGCGCGATCTTTGCCGGGTCGTATGCAGGCGCGTCGCCGTTCTTGAACATCTGCGGGCCGATGATGTTGCCGATGCAGAACGAGATGAGGATGATTGCGTTGCGAACCGCGCGCTTGGTGTAGCCGGCTGTGTTGGCGCCGGACCAGGAGTAGACGACTGGCAGCATCGCGGGGCAGAAGTTGAGCAGGTAGACGCCGAACAGGCGGCCGACTTTGTAGTTGTCGGCCAGGCCGAGGAGAAGGCCTGCGCCGAGCACGGAGGGGATCGTGATCAGACCCATGAAGAGGGCGCGTTCGCCGGAGAACGAGGCGGCGTAGGTGGCCACGAGGGTAGCGATGATCGACACCGCGCCCGAGGGCATCTGGATGATTGTCGTGCGCTCGTTGGAGTACCCGAACGTCTTGATGATGATTGACGAGAAGTTCGAGACCGCGCCGTTGTCGATCATGGCGAGCAGGGTGATGAAGAAAACAGGCCAGGTGTAGATGTCCTTGAACAGCAGCTCGCGCACTTGCTCCCACTTGAACGTCTTGTTTTCGACACCGGTCTTGTTTTCACGAACGTGCTCGATCGCAAGGACTTTTTCGCCGCGGGTTAGGAAGCTCGCGCCCATTGGGTTGTCGGGGAGGAGGAAGATCGTGGCGATGCCGACGACGACGGTGAGAAGGCCCTGGTTGTAGTAAGTTAGCTTTGATCAGAGAGTGAAGATAAAAAAGAGCGCACCATGAACAAGAAGAGAATCTGCCAGTTGTCGAGACGGGTAGAGTTGACGTGCTGGAAGCCGTAGGAGATAGCAGCGCCGATGATCTGAGCGACACCGATCTGCATGTACCAGAGACCGGTTCTGCGCTGCTGCTCGGGCTTGGTCCACCACATGCCGGTGATGAGGACAAGGGCGGGCGCGACGCAGGCCTCGAATATTCCAAGCAAGACACGGATGACCATCAAAGGCGCGTAAGTGCGGCACGCAGCGTGGCATGCGACGACGATACCCCAGAGCGTGACGTTGACGCCGAGGTATTTCCCGAGCGGGAAGCGCTGCATGAGGTAGGTCGTGATCGGCTCGGAGACGATGTAGCCGACGTAGAAGATGGTGCCGAGGTTGGAGTACTGCGCGTTTGTGAGGTTCTCTCTGATGCCCATGACGGCGGCGTAGTTGAGCAGGGTCTTGTCGAGGTACTGCAGGAAGTAGATGAACATGAGGAGCGGCATCAGCCGGAGATCGATTTTCCAGCGCAGACGCTTCTCGTCGATAGTCTCGACCTCGACGCCCGCGTCGCGGGCTTCGTGCAGGAACTGGTAAGCCATGTCGGCGTTGTTGACGGTGATGCCTTTTTCCGGGACGGCATCGTCAGCCGCGGCGGAGATTGTCTTTGTCTCTGAGATGTCGTTCATTGTCGGACTGCTGAGGGAGACGGAGGAGGGGCGGTTGGGAAGTGGAGACAGTAGAGCGACAGGAGAGGTGGCGCAGGCGGAATATATAGAGGAGCATTTTCTGCCGTCATGTCAGTTCATTTGATTGACATCGCGGCAGGCTTTCCGCAACCAGTATCTGGGCGTTGTCAATTGATCCTTGAAAGGTAATTAGGGTGCCCAGTGCGCAGATGACATGATTGTGTCCTTGTGTTTATCAGAGCAGCTGGGAGGAACGGACTTCCCAATCGAGTCGATATCGGTCGGATGCGCGAGCGAGGAAATAGATTTTCGGAAAAACGTCAGTTTCGATGCGAAGTTTGCTCTTATCGCCGGTCTTCGTCTGCCTCTGTTTTCTATTTTCTACACGCGCGCACACAGACACTGAACAGTTACCGAAGCCACCGCAGGCTAGCAAGCAGACACCCGGATGATTCACCAAGAACTCGTGAATATGACCGGATGCGACGACGCTGCACAGAAGAGGAAAAAGGCAAAAGACTGAGTCAGGTCTTATCGCAAAGTCAAATATGTCCGAAACGCAGTCTTATCTGGGCTCAATCCCGCCTTGACGTCTTTTATCTGTGCTGGTTTCCTAGTATGTATTCTTCATATTTTATAAATCAATATATAGCTTACATTACTATTATTATCACTTCTACCTCGTGATAGTATCCTCGCGAGATCCACGAAGCGGATAAACCACGAAACCACGGCGTCTGTGGCGCAACCGCGAGGCGGCGCCACTGTCTGCGTAGTCTGCGCACACAGACCACCGTCTCTTCTTTCATCCATCCCTTTGCTGGCCTGGCCTGTTTACCTGCCGATTGTCTCCTGGTGCTTGGCTGCTGGTCGGGTGCGCCGAGATACCGCTTTTGATGGCTACAGATGGTCCTTGCGCCTGACTGGTTTCTCTATGTACAGCGAGAGGCCCAGGTGTGCAGGAATTGCATGCGTACTGGCAAGCTTATTGATGTCCACCAGCAGCATTCAAAATACGTTCTGGGGCTAGAAGAGAGTATCTAGCATTTTGACAATTCATCTCTCGAAGTGGAAGTTAATTATACAAAGAGACACCGTATATTGAATTGAATTGAATCGAATTGAAGAATGGAATACAAAGGATGGCGCATTATCTCCGACGCCGATAATATGCACTATTCCAATTCCGGGGATATTACAGTTTAGAAAAGGAGAAAAACATGCGGAGCGGAGAGTTTAGTGTAGGCTTCCAATTCGTGCTTTGAGGAGGTGGTGGAGAGGTATTGTGCTGGGTGAGTAGAGAGAATTTGCTTTAGCTGCTTTGCTGTGCGGTAAGAACACCACGCTACAGAACCGTTGGCGAAACGACGAGAGAAGAAAGAGATTGATCGTGAAGAGGTGTAGTGTTCATGTATCTCACAGTCTATGGCAGAGAAGAGAGAACAGAGAACAGGGAGGAATATAGATAGCGATTACTCACAGTCAGATACAAGTTACTGGCTTCAACGGACTCCTACTCAGAGATGGCCACGTCCACAACTCCAAGTAGTGTGTCTGTCTGCTTGAGAAGTAATCAACCGTACACAATCAATAACTATACGATGTCAGCTTATAGAGGTAAATGAAGCGTAGTACGGGGGAGCACATGTGCGGTGTTAAATCTGTCAGGGAAGTAAAGTCTGTAGCGGTAACAGCGTAGCGTATTCCGCGCGTGGGATCTGAGACTGTGAGATCCGAGACAGTTTGAAGTAAGATTGTTGATTTTAATTGTCGGCAGATAGTAAATCAAAAACTAGAATACGGACAATCATGAACCATAGAAACAAGACGAGAAGAGAACGTTGAAGCAATGCGGGTATTTATTGAGCTTGGGACTTGGTTGGGAGCTTCCAGACCGACGTACGCTGGCAGAGAGTCAGAGACAGAACAGAAGACAGAGCAGTATCAAAAGAGCCGGCCGATATTCAAGAAAGTCATATAGTAGAAAACCAGCATACAATAAACACCCAGCACACTAAAATACAAGATAAAGATGCAGAATCAGTACACCTGCTAACTCTCGAGGTTGATTAATGTGGGGATTGGCGCGGCGTATGTATTCGAGATTAGATAGCGCTCTAATTTACTGGCGACTCATTCTGCCTCCGGATGACAATGCCCTGTTTCTTCATATAATCTGTCACTATTATCTCTTCTAATTGTTCAAAATAAACACCTCTCTACTTCCGCTTCAACAAGTATGGAATCTATAACGTGTTAAAGAATGAGACAACGCAGCGATAGGCGTACTTGGCCTCCGGCACACGCAAGATAAGCACCGCCGCACCAACCTTGAATGTCCAACTACTACTCCTCGACTCCCTTCTTCCTCACCACTCAATCCTACGGCGACGCACTGCGACAATCATGTCTCCCTGGACGTCTGCTGCGGGTGTCGACGACGACGATGACGTTATTCTGCCAGCTACCCAGCCAGGACCGCATTCGCGCTTCGCGGATACGATCAAGAATGGGAAGCTTGTGAGCGTGCAGGCCGATCCTGATTTCGATGTCGAGGAGGCCGAGTTTTTGGATTTGACCTTGCCTGAGCCTGATGTGGGATTTCGTCGTATGTATTCCATCTTGCAAGCTTTAGCTTTTCTTTAATCAGATTACTGACGCTTATTTTGTCTATAGCATGGCTGTCTGTCATTGGTGGACTTGCCGCCCAATTCAGTTCGTTTGGATACCTAAACATCGTCGGCGTCTTCTTAGCCTACTACAAGACCCACCAACTTGAGGATCTCTCACCAGCGACAATCTCGTGGATTGGGTCAGTCCAGTCCTTTGTGTTTTCCCTCTCCGGCATCGTCTGTGGCCGCGCATGCGACATGTACGGTCCCCGAGTCCTGACAATGATCGGCACGTTCGTCCTCCCCGCCGGGATCCTGCTGACCGCGTTCTGCACGCGGTGGATCGAGGTGCTGATTGCGCAGAGCGTGATTGCGCCGTTTGGCGGGGCGATGCTGTTTTATGGCACGACGGCGAGTATGTCGAGCTGGTTTGCGAAACGACGGGGTATGGCGTTTGGCATCGCGACTTCGGGGTCGAGTATCGGAGGCGTGATCTTGTCGTATATCTTTGACCGTCTCGCCACGCACAAGAGTTACAAGCGTGCGATTTTTGCTCTAGCAGCTATTGAGTTTTGTGTTGCGGCCGTGACCATCCCCACCTCGTCTTTGCGCATAAAGTCCGGCAACAACGCGCGCCGATCGTTTGATTTCCATCGCAACTTCATCCGCCCATTCGAGACTGAGCCCGTGTTTGCGCTTTTCACGCTCGCAATGACAGTTATCTACCTCGGCATCTTCGTGCCCTACGCCTTCATGGCCACTCACAGTCTCACGCTCGGCGTGCCGCTCGACCGCGCGATGCACGTCGTCACCGCCATGAACGCAGGCTCGTTCTTCGGCCGTATCGCAGCAGGAAGTATAGCCGACATCCGCGCGCACTCGCGCAGGTGGCAATTCCTGACCTTTGTAGGCGTCACCAGCTGCGCCGCGCTCGCGTGCTTCCCGCTCTGGTTCATGAGCACGACAGAGTACTCCGTCGTGTTCACCGCGGCGATCTACGGCGCCGCCAGCGGCGGCATCCTCGCGCTGTATCCGGCGGCCATCGCGCGCATCTCGCCGTTGCAGGAAATTGGCTCGCGCGTGGGCGCCGTGAGCTCGGTTATGGCGTTTGGATCGCTTGTGGCGTTGCCGGTGGCAGGGACGATTATGGGGAAGTCTTCTGGCGGGGAGGATTTTGGCGGGTTGCAGATTTATGCGGGGACGGTGTTGGCGGGGGGTGCGTTTGTTGCGTATTTGGCGAGTAAGAGGGTTGATGAGGGGAATATTAGGCTTGAGGATGACAGTTGATGATGATGATAAATCTATGTTTAAAGTCCGTTGCAACAAGTAGGCTAGGACAGTTGATTGATGTATCTTATCAGGGAGTTTTGCGTTTTGTCTATTTTTTTTCTTCCTGTATAAACTGATATGACTTGATGATCAATATATTGATAAACTGCTAAACCAGCACTCCAGATCAAAACACCTTGTACCCACCAACCTAATTCCAGCAATTAAAGAAAGAAAGAATCACCATGACTGATTCAAAGCAAAACTATAACCACAATACAAAAACTTGATAAAAAATAATAAACAGAAGTAGTTTAGTTGAGGACGTCATCAATAGTCCAAACCTGACCATTCCCGACTCTCTCCATCTTGACAACGTTCGCGGCCTTCTTATCACTGTGGACCGTAACCTTATCGCCCGCAATCTCGTACCAGAGATCGCTGAGGCCGCTGCCGCACTTGGACTTGTGGCCCGGCTGCTGGAAGCTGTAGCCAAATACAACATGGCTGAGCACGAACTTCTCAATGTTCTCGAGCGCCCGTCGCTCGTCGCCGTGAGGGCCGGCGTTGGGCGAGATCGGATCGGCGTCGGGCGCATCCTCCCACGGCTTACGCGGAAGATTCTGCATGACGCCGTTGGTAGGCGCAAGAACTAAGGTGTCGAGCGCGGGGTCTTGTAGTCGGTACATGAGGTTCTCGGTCTGACGGGTGAGACCGGCGAAGATGCTGATATCGCGGTTGACGCCCATGGCGTCGGTGAGCAGCAACTGCACGCCGTGGCCCTCCGAGTGCACTTCCTCCTCCGGCATCTCGCCGTAGAGAACGTGCTGCTGCTTCTTCGTCGCGAGCTGTTTCTGATCGAGCACACGCTCGGCGCGGGCGGCCTGTGCCTTGGCCTCGAGCGCAGAGCTTTTGTAGAACGGCTTGAGGGCGTCGGGGTCGTTGGCCTGTGGGAGGTAGACGTCTGAGCGCAGGTTTCCAACAAGAAGCTGAGCTGAAGCGGCGGCAGTAATGGCCGAGACGGTGAACAGTGTGGAGAACTTCATTGTGTGTGAAGTATAAGTCTGATATGATAAACGTATCTGCGCTGATGGTGGTGAAGCAAGCAAAAAGCGGCGAGCGGCCAGCGTTGCGTCAGCAGCGGGTCTCGTAGTACAATGAGGGTACGGGTTCAGGGTAGGGTTTGTGTGCCGGGTAATCAGCCACCGGCGGATACTCGAGATTTAAGGTTTTTTATTAGGTCGCGAGGCGATTGCCAGGATCCACACAATCCACCGCGATATCGTCGACATTGTCTGCCTGTTCCTCCTTCCGTTCTTATTTCGCGTCTTGTTTTGGGAATGAACAGTTTTGTACAGTAACTGCGCTTCTTGCAGCGCGTGCAGTGTGTCAATCAGCGGCTTTACAGGTCCCCGTCGTCTCAGTGTCTGTGTGTATGCCTCTTGCTTCTATCTCCGGTCGCGCGTCTCGTGCCCCAGCCCGACCGTCTTCTTCTCGCCTCGTTCTGACCCTCGTTCTCGCTCAGCTCAAGCTGGATAGACTGCGCCGATGGCAGCTAATCGACAGCAGCCGGACTTTGGCCGGCTCTATGCGCAGGATGGCAACCCGCCTCCGCAGTCCCAACCGCATCCGTATCAACAGCCTCAGCAGCAGGAATCGCAGGTCGGCGGATACGCCTACTCTGGCTACTACCCGCAGCAGGGAATGTACCAAGATCCCTCGTTCGGACAACAGCAACAGCAAGAACATCAACATCCACAGCAGCAGCAGCAGCAGCATTTCTCAAACGTGATGCCGCCGCGCTCGCAGCCTCCACAGCAACCTGACGATCAAGCTGCGTTCGAGCGCGATCTCGAGAACCTTGCCTCGTCGACTTTAGGCCTCGATCCCGCTTCTAGTAACCATGGAGGTACCGGCTCAGACGATCTTCCGGCAGATCATAACCTTTGGGCGCAGTTCCTCGACTCCCAGGCCGGTCCCACTTTCGACTGGGATTCAACCGCCCAGGCGAGACCGCCGTCGCAAGGTGCTCCTCCGAATCAACCACCTCCACCGGTTCAACCTCAGTCTCGGTCACAGCAAGCTGCTTCTCACCCCCCTCCTCACCAACAGCATCAGCAGCAACAACATCCAGAGAACCAGAATTTCGACTACCAGGGAACCGACATGGCGTTTTCGCACTCAAATGGCGGATTCGATATGTTTGCACCCCAGCAGTTCAGTTCTGCTCCTACTCAGGCCGCGCAGCGGCCGCATCAACCTCATTTGCAGCAACAGCAACAAATGCATATGATCCCGCAGCAGCAGATGCCGCAGGACCAACACCAAGGTCTTCCATCGAGGTCGGAATCGGCGCCGGCGCGTGAAATGCAGTACATGGAATCCTCTGGGCCAATGCAAATGCAGCAATCCCAACCTTCTCATCAACAGCCGCAGCATTCGCCGCAACAGTTCTACGCTCCTCAACCCCAGCCTGCACCTCCACAGCAGCAATACTACCCGCAAGAAACCTACAACCCCAACCAGGCACCTATGCATCCTCATCAGCAGCAACAGCAGCAGCAGCCACCGCAGCCACCGCAGCGAGTAGGAAGCGCCGCAAGCATGCATTCGACTCCCAACGTATCGACGGCGGTGAACCCTGCGCACATGGGCCTATACTCTCCGTCGATAGCGCATCAGCATTCGCAAAGCTCGCACAATACTCCTCAGCTTACTCCCAAAACGACGCCGAAACTGACGCACACGTCGTCTTTACCACCGAATCTCAACTCTGCTCATGCCGTCGACTTTAGTTTGCAGCAGCAGCAGCAGGCTGCAACGACCGCCCCGCTCTCGGCTCCTGTGCATATCCAGCCAGCTCCCAAGCCTAAGCTGAATCGGAGATCTACAGCTAAGCGCGAGCAAACCCAGTTTGCGTCTCCGTCTAACGGGAGTGCTACCTCGAGTCCGTCGACCCAGATGAACCAGCAGTCTCAGGTAATGCAGAATCAGCAGTCTCAGCAAAATGTCGTGGGCAACTTCCAGAATGATAACTTTGTGCAGCCACCGATGCCTCATATGTCTCCTGTGCTAACCGAGCCACCTCGGAAGCGCGCGAAGAGCAACGTGCCTGCTCAGAGCCAATTTATCCAGTCGGTACCACCGCAGCAGCAGCAGCAGCCTCAGCAACAGTATCAACAGGAGCAGCAGCAACACACAATGTCCAACTCGCCACGGATGAATTTCAACTTTGCATTAAACACTGGTGCAGGTTCAACACCTAGCAGTGCATCATCCTCGCCTGTGATCATGCCAGGAATGATTCCGCGACGGTCGTCGAAGGTTTCGATGGCGAAGAAGAGTAATGGCAACGCTAACTCGCCTGCGATTGTGCTGCCGAATAATCTACCGCCTCCGCCTGATTTAGCTACGCAGTCTGCGCCGATTAGTGCTGCGAATTCATATAACGCGTCGAGGACTGTGTCCACGGGTCCAAAGATTGAGCCTGGTACAGAAAAGAAGGACGAGCGAAAAGGTAATTGTTCTTCTGTCTTTACTATTGTTGATTGGTCTAACATACTGCAGACGTGACATTCCCGACAAAACTTCCTGAGCTGGCTGGGAAAAGTAACGATGAGATACTAAAGGCCATGCTCGCTGAAAGTGATTACGTCGATCCTCCCATGACACGGAGCGAGTACATTGCTTCTCTTGGTATCCTGCCTGAGCTCGTAACCTCGGTGCCCTACAATCGTCTCGAGTACTATGCCAAGTCCTCGATTCCAAACAACAAGCCACCCGAGGAGTTCGCCAGAGATGGTATAGCTGCTGCGATTGCGTCTAGACTTCCGCCGTTTGCTTTACATCCGATCGAGTATAATGTTCTGAAAGACGGCGTCAACCACCTGCACGTGACGACTTACCTGAATATCCGAAACGCCATTCTTCAGCTATGGCGCATGAATCATCATGTGTCAGTCACGCGCACTGAGGCCGCTGGCTGTGCTCGAGATCCTCGGTTTTTCGGACTTGCAGAGGCTGCGTTCGAGATTTTGGTTCGACATGGTTACATCAACTTTGGTGTGATTGACATTCCCCGCTGTCGGAATAATTTTCCGTATCCGTTGCCCATTCCTGAAGTTAGACGACCTCGACTGAGGATATTGGTGTTGGGCGCGGGTGTGGCTGGTCTTGGATGTGCGAGACAGCTAGATGGACTTTTCAAGCAGTACGACGACTTCCTTACTGGATATGAGGACGCACCTGAGATTATAGTGTTGGAAGGACGCCAGCGGTTGGGTGGTCGTGTTTACAGTGCCCCGTTGAAAAAGGATCCGGGTGATGAGCGCATCCACAAGGTCGATCTTGGTGGCCAGATCGTGACCGGTTTCGGCAACGGGAATCCAATGAGCGTGATTATCCGCAAACAGCTTGGAATTGCATGCCACGAACTCAAAGACGCCGGCGAGCTTTTCGACGAGGTCCCTGGTGGGCCGGTGTCTGCCTCGCTTGATCGGAGAGCGGAGAGGCTGTTTAACGACATGCTTGATCGGGTGTCTGTCTACCGAGCGAAACCGATCCCACAGCATACAGTCGAAGGTGATGTTTCACTGATCACTGCTGGGAAGGATCCGGTCGGCGACGGCGGGCGCACGATTGCGCGAATGGAAGCGAACGCGGTAGAGCTGCCGCCGCTCGAGCATCCGTTGTCGGATTCTTCATCGCTCTCGAATACGCCTACGGCTTCTACTATGCAGTCATCAGCTACATCTGCAGGTGGCGCTTCAGGTGAGGATCATTGGGCGGCGGGCAAGTCAGGATATGGCAAGTCGGTTGCGGGGCAGACGCCACTTCGAAATAAGCTCGAAGATCTGGGCTTTGTTGTTAACAAGGGTGGCAATACCGACTGCCAGTCCGCTACTGAGCCATTACCCAAGGACAATTCACCAAGCCTGGGCGCTACTCTTGATGGACAGCTGGAGCTTGTGCGGAGGTTGACTGATTTGACCGATCAAGACCTGCGATTGTTGAACTGGCACTATGCTAACCTGGAATATGCGAATGCTACCGCTGTTCACAATCTCTCGCTTGGATCTTGGGATCAAGATGACGGTAATGAGTTTTCTGGAAAACACACAATGGTCAAGGATGGTGGATACATGCAAGTGCCGCGAGCGCTGTATCTGTACCCGTCTAAACTCGATGTGCGGTTCAGAAACATAGTCAGCGAGGTCGCGTACGATACCACAGCCGGTGACGAGAGCCGCAAGAAGTACACAGTGACACTAGCAAGCGGCGAGAGAATCTCAGCCGACCGAGTCGTGTGCACGGCTCCTCTTGGTGTGCTGAAAGCTGGTTCGATCGCGTTCAAGCCCGAGCTTCCGGTGCATAAGCTGAAGAGTATTCAGAACCTGGGGTTCGGGGTGTTGAACAAAGTTGTTTTGGTGTACGACCACTGCTTTTGGGACACGGAGAGCGACTTGATTGGCGTGGCGCGTGATCGAAACTCGGGAGATCCGTTGGATCAGAATAGTTATGTTGCGTCGAGAGGGCGTTTCTACATGTTTTGGAATTGCTTGAAGGTTGTTGGGAAGCCTTGTTTGGGTAAGTTTCTCTTTTGCTTTGTCTTTATTTTGTTTTGCGGAGGTTGACTGAGACTGTCAAGTCGCTTTGATGGCTGGATCGGCATCGTATGAGACCTCGCTTCAGTCTGAGGAAGTCGTCCTACGCGACGCGCATCACGTTCTGTCGCGCATGTACCCCACGACCGTTATCCCGCATCCAACCGAGACGATCATCACGCACTGGCACATGGACCCGATGAGTCTAGGATCATACTCCTTCGTCGGTCCGAACGCGACTGGTAAGGACTACGATAACCTCGCCGAGCCCACGTGCGACGACACACTCTTCTTCGCAGGCGAGGCCACCTCGCGCACGCACCCTGCCACCGTGCACGGTGCTTACTTGTCCGGCTTGCGCGCGGCAGAAGAAGTCTTTCGCAGTATCGCGGGCGGGATCACGCTCGCGAGTCCGCTCGTCAAGCCACGGCCGAAGCCAAACCTGCCGCTGCAGACCGAGACCGTGACCTTTCCGCCGCCGCCAAAGAGCGCGTACGTCGGCGACACGCCGCCGCCGGTTCCGAAACCGGTGGTGTTGCCGCAGATTCCTCTTGAAGAACTTTTGCTTGCCGAGCAGCGCGCAGAGAATAGCGCGGGCTCCGCGGCGGCGTCAGGAATGGGGCCGGGGCGAAAGCGTAAACCCGGTGCTGGGCGTCCGCGTGCAAAGACGAGCAATATCGGCGGCGCGATGTCTGCGGTGCCGTCTGGGACTCCGGATGCGAATTACAAGATTTCCGGAGCGGCTTACAACCCGTCTGATGCGGGATCAGGACCGTCATCGCAATATCCTCCGCTGCATCAGTTGACGCGGCAGGAAGGAATGCAGCACCTTGCTCGATCGCGACAGCTTCGCGACGCACGAATTGCAAAACACAACACGGAGTGCACGCGCGCGCTGTCTCGCGCGATCGGCCACGAAGAGCCGTTGAAGCCTGAGAAGATGCAGTTGAACCCGTTCATCATTTTCCAAAAAGTGCAATGGGAAAACGTGCGTGCGGAGGCCGACAACAAACGCCGTGCCGCGCTCGGCGATCCGATCGCGAAGGCGACGATGGCCGACATCCGCGGTCTGCTAAGTCAGCGATGGCGGAACCTGAGCGAAGAAGAAAAGAAGCCGATAATCGAAGAAACAAACCGGAACCGGCTCGAGAACGAGCGCCGGATGAAGGAGTACAAGGAGCGTCTTGCGGCGTACGAGCTCAAGGCGAAGAACTTCAAGGAGGAGTGGTTGAAGAATAACGTCTCAGAGCCGGACGAGGAGGAGAAGCGCGAGATGGAGCTGGCAAAGTCTGCGGGGGTTATTTGAAAAGCCTTGATGGGATGAGCTCAGTGGTGATTGCATCAGTATATCTAACTTTTATTTTTGTGAATTATTATTACTATCTTCTTTTTGATTTTTGATTTTTGTTCTTGGTCATGACAACGTACTATTTCCTTATTTCAAAGCATTGGTCGATTTGTTTCCTGTGTGCTTTATCGTGTTTTTTTTTTGTGTCTGAGAATCATCGGTTTCTTTTCCTCGTGTTTGTATTATTTCATATTTTAGGGCCGCGCTCTATTATTCCTGTGATTCTAGAGCCTACTTTTGTGATCGTTTCTTACCACAATTGTATTTGTATTGTATACTTATTTGGTAAACTAGTCTTTAGTATATATTCATCATTCTTTGGTAACAAGTCTCGAGTAGGAGAGTTGGGAGAGTTCAGGCGTGATTAGAGTTCGTTGTGCTCACGCGCGTCCTTTATAAACATCACAAACAAACCTCCCGACACGCGTGCTTCCTCATCTCTCTCTCAGACCAAGATAACATCACAGCGCAAAAATGTCCACCCAGTCCGGCACCCAGCGCAGCTCAGCTACAGCAAGCGAAGGAAATGCGTATTATCCCATCACCCAGATCTATAAGTCTCCCCATTCACTCACCACTTGCAACCACAGCTTAAGCTAACTCTTCCGCGAAATATACTAGCCCGCCTAAAACCCGAACTCGAAACCCTGACGCTGCGATACGAGACGGTGCGGGAACAGGCTGCGGAAACGGTCGTGCCGGTTACGGTGCAGGTCCAGGAGTTTGTCGCGGAGGTGGAGAAGGGGATTATGATTGAGGAGCAGCAGATGCGGCAGGCGTGAGGGAGTGTGGGATGTTATATTATTATGATGTTGTGGTTGGGGGTGTTGGGGCGATGCGTTGGTTGGAGGTGTGCGGAGATTCTCGGGGGCTGGTCGTTTCTGAGAGCAAGCATCTGATTTCATCTTCTCCGCTTGACAATCTCTCCACTGGCTGTTTGAACAACAAAGTCCAGATACGCATATCAAGCATACAGCGAAGAGAGATTCAGCCATCAATATCTCCAGCTCTGAAGTCCAGAGACCGAATCCGGCCCCCTCAACGAGTTCGACTACAAAATAGTTGGTCCGCTAATGGACACTCAGCGACACTGCCTTAGTCTTGTCAGTCGTGTCGATGCAACCACGTCACGATCAAGCAGCAAAATGTACAAAACTAATGATCTATTTATGATAAAATGTATATATTAACCTTCTAAATACCTTTAAAGATATATATGCCCCCGAAATCCAGGTACTTTTCACTTCTGCACACCACTAATTACCAACCTATGATCCCGTAAAACAACACAACAGAATAAATAAAAGTGAAAAAAAACTTTTTGGAGCACGCTGGAATAACACCGAACAATGAATGAGCTGTAAACAAAATAATAAAAACTCCGGCACACAGTAAACAAAACATTATGAATGTGGTAAATGCAGGGTTCGTATTGTACGAATGGTCAGGAAGACACGGTTAATTGTCTTCGTCGTCGTCGTCTTCTTCGGCTTCGCTTGCGCTCTCGCCGTCGTCTTCGTCTTCTTCGTCTTCTTCGTCGTCGTCTTCATCATCATCATCGTCGTCGTCGTCATCTTCATCTTCCTCATCGTCATCGTCAGAGGACATATCTTCGCCCGCGACTTCGCCCCACGTGATATAATCGCCCTTGATCAACCGTCCAGTCTTCTTCAGCATGAGTGGATCGAACGGGAAATACCCCTCCAACTGCTTCATCTCCGACTTTTTCGCACCCGAGATCTCTCCCGACGCCGAGGCTTGATCGTTCGAAGACACGATGACCTCGTACTTTCCCTCCGCGGTCGGCGACAACGTATGCGTTCGGCGGTCGCGCTTGTTCTGCTCGATGATCGAGAAGCAGTACGCTGCGCCTTCGCGCTGAGCGACTTTAGCAAATGTCATGACAACGTGCTTGTTGCACCATTTCAGGGGGTTGAACCGCGTGTTTACGATCCGCTGCAGAAGCTGCGGGATCTTGCTGATCCACTCGCTCGCGTTGCCGTCTTCGACCGTCGCCATGTCGTCGTCGGCGTTATACTCCTCCGCCCGGAGCTCGACGTACCGGAAGCAAAAGATGTAGAAAAACCCTTGCACGACGGAGTAGAACATAGTAAAGCGCGCCATGTCGACAGACGCTCGCGTGCCTGACTCTGCCATGCTGTCAGACGCGCTGGGCACTTCGAGTTCGCGCTCGTCGATATAGCGCGCGATCCAAGCAGACAGAATAGAGACGACAAAGTACAGCTGCGAGCGGGACACGGACCGGCTCCGCGCAACATATGACGCAAGGTATTGCATGGCCATCTGTCGCTGGGAAACGGGACGGACAGGGTCCAAAGCCAGCTCGATCAGCAGAGCTAGGTACGCTTCGGTGCATTCAGTCGCGCACTGAGTGACTGAGAAAAACAGGTATTGGATTGCGTGGGTGCGGTGGGTGGGGAGCAAGTAGGTGGTGAAGTGAGAAAGCAGGGTTGAGTAAAGTGCAAGAGAGTCGGCTGGATCCGAATTCGGATCATCAAATGAGCTCTGTAGTTCAGAGATGAGGAATGAAATCAAAGCATCGAGCTTATTCGACATAGCCTTGACGTTGGTGGGGTCCATATCAGCTTCTGGAGTGGCAATCTGGTTTGACAAAATGACGTCGTCTTCCTTATATTCGTCCTCAACAGGTTTCTTGGCCTTCACTGCAGCCGAAGCCGAGGCTGACCAGATCGACGGTTCTTCAACGTTATCATCGGCATCATCGTCATCGTCTTCTTCCTCTAAATCTCCGAGCTTGTTTTCCATATCAACATCGAGCTCGACGGCACGTTCGAGAATGACGCCCCACACTGCGCCGCGTAACTCCGGCACGTACTCCGTCACCTTGAGGATATTCGACACGTAGCAGAGGAGCATTGCCGAGTCGTCGTATTTGAACGGAAACATCTTGACGATAGCGTTTTGTAGAACAGATGCAGAGGTCGGCACGAGATTGACCAACACTCTGAGCAGCGAGTGCCACCGTTCGCCGGCGCCCTCCGATGCAGTGCTGAATTCGCCAACGACACGGGTAGCTACTTCAGAGTACCACTTCGGCATGCTCGACACCAGGATCCCCACGAATCGACCATGAGCACTGATCAAAGCTCTAAAGGACTGCCTCTGTGTGGCAGGGACGCTGGAGATATCGGCGTCGAGACCTTGCAGGTTAACGATCTCGCGAATGAGTCCGACGCAATGCTTTGACGACAGATGATCCATCTGGGGAATCAGAGCCGATATTATGTGCACCATCTGGCCTGCCGAGAGACTTGCCGGGGTGAAGAGCGGCACTGCGAAATCGGCTGCGATTGAGTTGATCAGGCTTGCGTTTCCCTGCGCAAAGACTTGTTAGCTCATTCGGTTTGTTTGTACAGTGTCCAAAAAAACAGAAGTGAGACATACTCTCTGCAGCTCGTTGATTGCATTCGTGACAAAAGCGTGATGCATCCTCCTTGCAATTGCCTCCTCCTGCTCGGTAGGCATAGCGCGCGTGCTACTACTGCTGCTTCCGTCGCAGTTTTCAGCAACGAGAGCATCAGCATTCAGCGCGCGCTTCTTACTCCGATGTCTTTGATCATTGAACCCAAGTCCGTCTTCGTCTGACTCGGACGACGAAGGAGTCATCGACAGTGTTTGAAAATGTTTTCGTTTTCTTAAGGTCTCGTGTGATTGTGACGAGCCCTTTACAGCGACAGACGGTGCTATCGATTGGGCAAGCAAGTTCACCGGCAATGGGTCACGCAGTGAAGCAACCATTATCGCTTGACCTCTTTTTGCACTACTTTTTAGGTAGAATTCTCGCACGGTGGTCGCGGGAATCAAGGTCAGCGTATGGCGGTTGGTGGGAAAAATTACAAGGAAGGTCGCGAGGGGTAAAAATTTTAGGACTGGGAGTTTGCGGCCGGGTAAAGTCACGGAAATGTCACGTGATTGAGATGATCCAATATCATGACATATTTGCCTAATTCTGATTAGATCTGTGAGTTGTAAAATTGTATTAATACTTTATCGTTTAGTCTATTTCGATGATTTCGACTTTTGGAGGTCGTGTGTCTGTCACCGGCCTTGCTTCTGGTTGTGTTGAGGTCTCCTCTTTCACGGTTGCGCTGCCGTCCACCTCGTCGTCCTCGCTATCGATCTTAATCGCGAGTCCCTCGTCGATAGCGATAAACACGTCCTTCTTATCATCCTCAAACATTCCTGCCATCTCATCATGTAGCCATTTCTTCTCATCCTCTGTGTCATCCGGCTTCAGCTCATCGTAGTACTCCTCCGTGACTTCTTCGTACTCGTCCTCACTTTGCTCCTGTTCTTCCTTCTTCATCTGCTTGAGCTTTTCAGCACGTAGCACGGCGGCGTTTAGCCGTAAATCTCGCCCTCGCTCACTATTTGCAACCCTCGGCGCGCTCTTGTTCGTCTTGCCACCTTCTAACTTCTTCCGCATCTCCATGTCCCCACCGACGTTCACCCCCTCGCCTTCAAACTTCCGCTTCCGTGGCCGCCGCCGTCTAATTATCCTAGTCCGCCGCGTTCGTGTGATCGAGCCACCACATAGGTCATCTGGCATATCGTGCTCCGACAAGGCAATCGACTGGACTATTTGCGAAGAGCCCAGTTCGCGCCCGCGCGAGTATAAACCTTCTCCTGTATAGCCTTTCGCCTGTAGTTCTTGTATCTCTTTCATAAACTCGTTCCGTACCGCCCAAAACGCTTTCGAGTGATTCATCTGCTTGTTGTGTGCCAGCTCATGGATCATCACGCTCAATACCTAAACCGCATCCTGGTCAGCTCTCACTAGATCGCAAAAAGCAACCGTCACGAGCAGCAGATTTACCTGTCGAAACCCCAAAAGCTGCTTACTCGGTCCTCGCAGCACTAATCTCACTTTCTCGCCAGCATTGTAATTAATACCCCAGTACTCTCTATTGTAAGGACACTCCTCTAAACTCGTTATACTGAGCGAATGCTTCTTCATGATTGGAAACACGATCGCAGCGATATGATTCAGCAGCTCTTGGCTCTGCGGCGGCGACCCGGGTAGGGCAGTAATAAATGTTATTCGCTCATTCGGATGCTGTGTCTTGGTATTATACCGCGTTATCGACAGTGGCATGTTCTTGTTCCCGAGATTGTTTAGATCTTACGAATTCGTCGCGAGTGCGATTATCAGATACAAATAATTATAGGTCACGTGATATCGACATGTCGAGACGCGTAAAACACGTTAGATCACAGCGCATTTGAGCTCCTCCGTTTTCTACGCATTATGTCTTGTATATTGTTTTGAAGGTAACTTTAGTTTATTTTAATTCATTCACAAATTAATCATCACACTTAGAAGACAGCGCTATCAAAGCCGTTCATACGGACCGTCTTCGTCTGGGTAAATTCCTGAATTCCCCATTCGGCGCCAAATCTACCGATTCCACTATTCTTCACTCCTCCGTGCGGGAGAGTAGGTCCATCGTGTACAGTCTATTAAACAACAACGTCAGTAATCAGTCATAAGCGGGAGAAAAAAGAAGGAGACGCTCACCATTCCGTTGATGTGCACAGCACCGCTGTCGATCTGGCGCGCGATCTTCAGGCCACGAACCATATCCTTAGTCCACAAACCAGCTGTAAGACCATAATCGCTCGCATTCGTAGCATCGATCATTTCCTGCACGGTGTCCATTTTCTGAATGTAAACAGTTGGCCCGAATGTTTCATCAGTGTAGATCTCCGACTTTGGGTTCACGTTCGTCAGAACCGTAGGGGTTAGCGTGGTGCCTGTCAAAAGGTCGAGATTGCCGTGAACCAGCTCGGCGCCCTCGTTGACAGCGTTCCTGACCATCCCGTTGATCCGTTTGGCGTAGCGCTCTGCCGCCTGCGGGTAGCCGCCAAACGCCGGCTCGAGCTGCTTTGCCGTGATCTTGATCTGGTCAATAAGCTTATCATACACGCTGCTCTGCACAAACACCCGTTCGGTACTCATGCAGATCTGACCCTGGTTCATCCACGCGCCAATCAAGATCTGCTTAGCCGCCTCCGCAAGGTCGGCGTCTTCGAGCACGATAACGGAAGCCTTGCCACCCAGCTCGAGTAGGATCGGCTTCAGGTTCCTCGCGGCCTCGACGCCAAGTTGGCGGCCGAGAGCGGTCGATCCGGTGAAGTTCACTTTCCGGATCTCGGGGCTGGAGATGAGCGAGCTGACGATGTCGGCGGAGTCTTCGAAGCGCGAGTGGACCACGTTCAATACACCTGCGGGGAGGCCGGCGTCGATGAGAGACTGGGCTACATGCATATGAGTAGCCGGGGAGAGTTCAGAGGTCTGATGTAGTTCTTAGAATCTTAGTTGAAAAAAAAAAGTCAGAGAAAGCAGGGAAGACATACCTTAAAAACAGTAGGACACCCAGCAGCAATCGGGATAGCGAAGCTGCGCATGGCAAGAATCGACGGCGCGTTCCAGGGAGCAATGCCAAGCACAGGTCCGACGGGCTCACGAAAGATGATTGGGAAACAGCCATGTTCGTCTGAAACCGGGATGGTGGGACGCAGAGCGGATGCGAGGGCTGTTGACCATTCTTTCACGTGGGCGACGGTCATGTCGTAGATGAAGGTAGCGTAATTTTTCTGTATTTCCACAATGTTAGACTGATTGCTGGTAGAAAATGGATCTATCTGATACCAACCTCTGGACAAGATTCAAGCATCGAAATCTCAATACCCTCCTCCCTGCGCTTCTCCAGCAAATCCGCCGCCCCTCGCAATATATCGCGGCGATCCTCGACCGAACTCTTCCTCCACGCTGGAAACGCAGCCTTTGCCGCTTTCGCTGCCTCGAGAGCCTGCTCGACGGTGGCGCCCTGCGCGTGGTGGACTACGCCGTCCTGGCCCTTTGCGATTCTCGAGCTCGAAATCACAGGGACCAGACGACGCGCGGCGGCGGTGGAGGACGAGACAATGTGTTTGCCGTTGATGTAGAGCGGTACGATAGTTGGTTTAGTAGCCATGTCATTAATCTTTGTAGAAGAGAGAAGATGGGATGGGGACGTGGTGATGGGGATGGATGCGGCGACAGATAAAGGGTTTGTCTTGGAGGAATTGCGGGGGCGGGGTCGGAACTCGGGAGCCGGGATAGGGCGGAATAACTGCTCCCCGCAGGCCACGTGAGACCCTGGTGCTATATTCTCCACACTCCGGGTCTATCGGCACTACGGATTTGCTTGGTTGATGGTTATACGATTTGTTGATTGGAAAGTGAAAAAAAGGTACAGAGAAAGTAGCTGGACGTTGCTGTAGAGATTCAGTGAGCTTTGCGGTGGCTATTGCAACCGCAGGCAGACTGTAGTAATAGACAAGCAGAGAGAAAGAAGAAAGAAAAGATCATACAGATCCAAAATATGACGAAGCCCAGCAGTAAAGAGCAGACAAGTAGCAACAGTCAAGAGCAGCACTCCAATTTCCAACAAACTGAGCAGTACTCTCGGAAACCGACCAGTGATGATGTCACGGGCGGCACCAGCAGACAGAGATTCAGAGATACGAGCATGTGCCCAGTATCACTTCCGGCTTCTCCTTGCGTCCTTCCTTTATTCGTGTGGAGTTGAGGTACAGCCTAACAGTATTCCTATCGTCCTCCACCAGTATAGTCCCATGACCTCCGTCAAGCACCACGAGCAGGTGCTCTATAATTACCGCGTTACTCTTCTAGACTAGACGTCATAGTCATCTGTCTCCTTCTTGTATTCTTCCCCTCTTACCCCGGAATTGTGGGGCCGATGGCATTCGAGCCAACGACCGGCAGCCGGAGCTCCGGCACTTTCGATCCTGCTAGGCCGGAATAATTGTCCATGGTCTTCGGAGAGCCGTTTCGGTCGTCAGCCAGTAGCGTTCTTCTCTGGCATTGTGGGGTCAATGACTTGGTCAAGCACCAGCAGCTAGGCCTTCCTGGTATTCGTCCCCCTTACTGTTGGCCCATTGACTTTCGTACGTAAAACGACATTATCGGCGTTTGCTACATACTAGCGGTGAGCAAACTTGTCAGATTTTTACGACAGCAGCATTGGACATACGTGCAAGAGAAGTTCAGGCTGTCGACTGAACAGGAAAAAATCTGTTAAAACAATTATATTCATGCGACCTTGACTCTATATGTACCATACCCACGCTCATATGAAAAAGTAACCACCATCTAAAAGAGCTTACATCAAAAACCGCAATATCCCAGTATCCGCAACCCCATAAACACCATAAACACTCAAGCACGTTCACCAGCCAGGAACGCGCGCGACTAAAAGCGCCTTGAGCTTTTCGGCCGAGTAGACGTTATCCTTATCAGCCATAGGATCCTCTTCTGGCGACTCAAAGCTGAACGTGCCTACCAAACCGGCCAAGAAAGCCTTCATCTGAAGCAGCGCAAATTTCTCGCCAATACAACTGGAAGGGCCCTTGGAGAACGTCATCAAGTTTTGCTCGTCTGTAAAAGCGTCGGCGTCGCTTTCCCTCTGTTGCCATCGCTCGGGGCAGAATTCGGAAGCATCTGGGTCCCATACTGATGGTTGTCGGTTCAACAAGTATGCGTCGACATAGACTGTCGTCCCCTTTGGGATACGGTGGCCGTCGATATAAACATCCTTCACTGCCTTTCGATATATAGTATCACTCCTTGGAGGCGCAAGCCGTAGCGATTCTTTCAAAACGCAGTCAAGAAAGCGTAGGGAAGTTAGGTCGCCGGCAGATGTTATTGACGCGGCACCTCCAGGAAATGCGGTTCGAATTTCGTCGCGCAGGCGGGATTGGATCTCAGGATAGAGAGTCAGATACCACAGGGTTCTTCTGATGCCGCCAATAGTGTCGGACTGCATCGCTAGTACTATACATGAGAGTCAGTCTCCGAGTTCTCCTCTCAAGACGTGGAGGCGAAAAAGAGAGGGAGACATACACGAGTAAAACTGCGCAAGGAAATTATCCGCATTCCACTCCGCAGCATCGTGCGCAAGCAGAAAGCTTATGATGTCGCTACTTGCGCCATCACTGCCGACAACATCCTTATATCCGTACTTTGAGTCGTGCAGTGCGATCTTTGCATTCGCCGCGTCGCGCACAAAGTTATCAATAATATTGCGACTACCCCACCTCATAAACTTAAACATGCAATGGAGAACGGTTGTGAATGTTGCGGCTTCTGTCGCCAGTTCTCCGAAAGCCAGCGCGGTCTTGCTCCCGGGTTGCTCGAGAAGGTCAAAGTGTGCGCCGACTAGGGCCTGGCAGGTTGAATCGGTGAGCGATCTGGTGATGGGTTCCTCGAGGTCTAGAGAAGTGTGCGCACAGGTAGGATCGAGTTTGCTGTCGACAGCAGCGACTAGCTTCGACGAGTGCTCGATAAAGCCGGGGGCTAGTCTGTTGATGTTGTCTTTTGTGAATGCAGGGAGCAGACTTGATCGCATCAAATCATGCGCCGATGCGCCGTTTGTGACGAGGATTCCTTTGCCGGACACGCGTGAGAGAAAAGAATAGGGATTGTTCTGCCTCACAAACGAATGAGCTTGCGAGACGAGAACCTGATAAACAGACTCCCGAGAGATTGGAAGAACAAGCTCTCGGGTCGACGGCAAATTATTGATAAAATCAGACAGCGCAGAAGACACTCGTAGCATTCCGGCTTGGGGAGCATCCCGCGAATACGCCAGGTTTGTAACTCCGTCGTCGAGTTTTGCTGGAGCGCCGTAGTGTCCATAAAAGACCTCGATCTTGCTCGGCGACGGAATGTCTTGCATTCTTGACAGGTAAGGGAAGTAGATCATATTGAAGAACACGGCACGGTGGAAAATAAGATAGCAGCGACGGAGAGGTCGACACAGAGGGAACACGGCTAGAAACAAAAGAACTCCGATCAGTTTTCCGACGGTGGGAACTCGCCAGAAATCGATAATGTCCGGATAGATATTGTACATCTCAAAGAGTAGCATATACACCGGAAACCATGTTTTTACAAACGCCATGGTTATATACGCCATGGTTGCAAAGAACAGCTCTTCCCTCTTTCACGATGCTGGCTGAACAACTGAAGAAGCGAGCGACATGAGGTATTTACTGATGAAGCTCGTACGTCAAATCTAGGTTTCAACTCGGATTATCACATAACAGCTGACGTAACAGTTGCCTGAGCAAGATGATTAGTCTATAAGCTGATACTGTTTCTTACACCATGTAAACAAAGCAGTTCCGCGTTCATAATCCAATCTGAATCGGAGCCTCTTTCGAGTTGGTTCTGGGGTTCAAGCTCAAGTCAGGCTCGCTTGGCGGTTGGTTGTCGTCTAAGTTACCAGATTCGGTTTAAGTTAAATATATTAGCGATGAGATAGTGACATTGATATGTTGTTCTAGAGAGTATTTCTTCAACCGCACTTGTGAACATGGTAAAGGCAGCTCAGGCTGTCGACAGGATAAAGCTGATCTGGTTCGAAAAGTTGTATAAATCATGCGTCCTTGACTCTATGTGTACCATACCCACGCTCATATGAAAAAGTAACCACCATCTGAAAGAGCTTACAGCAAAAACCGCAATATCCCAGTATCCGCAACCCCATAAACACCATAAACACTCAATCAAGTTCACCAGCCAGGAACGCGCGCGACCAAAAGAGCCTTTAGCTTTTCAGCAGAGTAGACGTTATCCTTATCAGCCATAGGATCCTCCTCTGGCGACTCAAAGCTGAACGTGCCTACCAAACCGGCTAGGAAAGCTTTCATCTGAAGCAGCGCGACTTGCTCGCCGATGCAACTAAAAGGGCCCTTGGAGAACGTCATCAGGTTTTGCTCGTCTGTGAACGTGTCGGTGTTGCTTTCCTTCTGCTGCCATCGCTCTGGGTAAAACTCAGAAGCATCTGGGCCCCATACTGATGGTAGTCTGTTCAACATGTACGCGTCGACATAGACTGTCGCCCCCTTTGGGATACGATAGCCGTCGATATGAACATCCTTCACTGCCTTTCGAAATACAGCATTACGCCTTGGAGGCGCGAGCCGTAGCGATTCTTTCAAAACGCAGTCAAGAAAGCGTAGAGAGGTTAGGTCGCTGGCAGATGTTATTGACGCGGCACCTTCTGGAAACGTGCTTCGGATTTCGTCGCGCAGGCGGGATTGGATCTCAGGGTAGAGAGTCAAATACCATAGCGTGCGCCTGACGCCGCCGATAGTGTCGGACTGCATCACTAGTACTATATAGCCGAGTGTCAGTTGCATCATTGCTTGCAAAGTGGGAATGGGGAGACATACGAGAATAAAACTGTTCAAGGAAGGAATCGGCAGTCCACGCCGGTGCATCGTGCTCGAGCAGAAAGCTCATGATGTTTGCGTTTCGGTGCTGTCCATCGCTGCCGCTAGCATCCTCATATTTCTGCTTCGAGTTGTGCAGCGCGATCTTTGCATTCACCGCCTCGCGCACAAAGTCGTTAACAATGTCGTGGTCGCGCCACTTTGTGAACTTGAGTGTGCAATGGAAAATGACTCGGGCTGGTGCGGTGCCGAGCAGCAGTCGTTGGAAAGCGGTCGCGGTCATGCTCTCGGGATGCTCGAGTAGGTTGAAGTTATCGCCGACGAGAGCCTGGCAGGTTGAATCAGTGAGCGAGCGGGTAATTGGCTGCTCGAGGTGCATTGATGTCGTGGGATTGCTGTGGTCGAGTTTGTTTTCGATAGAGACAATCAGCTTTGATGTGTGCTCAAGAAATCCAGGCACAAGTCTGACGACGTTGTGTTGTGTGAATGCGGGAAGCAGACTTGATCGCATCATGTCATGCGCCGATGCGCTGTCGGTGGTCAATACACCCTTGCCGAATATACGCGCCAGTATAGAATAAGCAGAGATCGACCTGACGAACGACTCGGCCCGCGAAACAAGTACTTGATGGACAGAATCGCGAGAGACGGGAAGAATGACCTCCCATGGCCGCGCCGAGGGATAGAATGAGGCCGACACTCGTAGCAGTCTGGCTCGCGGTAGCGCTTCCCGTGCATAAGCCATGCTGGTGACGCCGTCGACGATGCTCTTGCCGTCGCTGTAGTGGCCGTGGAAAATGTTGCGTCCCGTGCTGGGAGACGGAACTGCTCGCGCTTTTGAGAGGAGCGGGAAGTAGACTGCATTGTAGAACACGACCCGCACAGACGGACACAGATAGAGGAAGATCGCAGTCGCGAGCGCTCTGATGAGAAGATGGGCGGTCACTTTCCAGACGACATTCAAGAAGCTGTAGACGATCCAAAGCTCGGACAGTAGCTGGATTACCGGCAGCACGCGGAATATCAGCGCCAAAGTGTTCATTTTTCGCTGCTTCTTCACGATGATCCGGAAGTGAAAGAGCGCAGCGAGCTATTTGTGTGCTTATCGACTTTAGGTTTAACACCTCGGATTATCTCATAAGAGCTGACATAACCCTGCTTAAAAGACGCTATAAACCCAGCTCGCGAACCACCGCAGTCCAAGCAGCTGTCGCAGACGAGTCCGAATGCGAGGCTCTTCGGAGTTGATTGAGTTGATGAGTTGATTCTGGGGTTTAAGCTCAAGTCAGGTTTGCTTGGCGGTTTGTTGTTGCTTTCCGGCTTGGCTCGCGGCGATGAGCTGTCTTTATGTAAGATGTTAGTAAGTATATTGAAGTCACGTGGGATTGCTGACAGTCTGCCGGGTCTGGCGGGAGAGCAGAAGAAGTGCTTCGATGTTGCTGTTGTTTGTGTTGGTCTGGCTGTGAAGAGGTTTAGAGTAAGATAGATCAGTTTATTTTGCTGATTAAGTCTGAGATATCTGTATTCAGAGAAACAACAAGTATCGAGACATACAAGGCTGCGGTCCTCCATTTTACAGGCATGCAAATGGAATCTACGACCAACCACCAGCTCTCCAGACCTGAGATAAAGACAAACAAACCAATCTGCTCTCCTTTTAAGACAAACTTGTCTTGGTTCGTTAAATACTCGCGAAACCTCGACCGCGTCCATTTCACCGCTATTAGTTCCTCCTCCACACACCCACCCCGCCCCTCCTCTGAAGAACAAACCGGCAGAGCTCTTCAATAAATCCCTCTATTCCTCATCCTTAACCCCTCTCTTCTCTTCTGCTATAATTCTCACAAACCTGCAGGGCTGCAGTGGCCGGCCCGGGGACCCCACGCGCGCCGGACACAACGCCGACCGACGTGCGGAGGCCGTCCGAGGGTTAGGTGCTTTTACTGCCGTTTTAGGAAGTCCCCCGCAGTCAACTCCGCGACCGCGCAGCGTATAAGACCTCGGACTGCCCTCGCTTCTACTGCTTCTTCCTGTCTGTTCTCTGTTTGGTTTCTCTTGTTCTAGACAGACTTGCCGTTTCTTCCACTTAAGTTCAATCCACAACACATCATCAAGCACAATGACTGGTTTCAGAGTAGTTATCGGCTCCGACGACGCCGGCGACGGATACCGCTCGCTCCTCAAGGCCGATCTCGAGGCCAACCCGCTCGTCTCAAAAGTGATTGAAGTCAACAACGCGTCCAAGTCCTACGGCTCCGTCGCGATCGAAGCCGCCGAGCTCATCGCAAAGGGCGAAGCTGACCGCGGCATCCTCATCTGCGGCACCGGCCTCGGCGTCGCCATCTCCGCAAACAAAGTCCCCGGCATCCGCGCCGTCACCGCGCACGACTCGTTCTCGGTCGAGCGCTCGATCTTGAGTAATAACTGCCAGATCCTGTGCATGGGCGAGCGCGTTATTGGAAAGGAGCTGATGCGCAGACTGGCGAAGGAGTGGTTGACGTACACTTTTGATCCCAAGTCGGCGTCGGCTTCCAAGGTTGACGTTATCTCGAATTACGAAAAGACTCATTCTCTGAGCGCATAGATTGCTGATTTTATATAGTATCATATCATTCATTGTTAATAAAAATGTACTCTTGCGGGCAAGGCTAGAATAATGTAACGCTTCATTAAACTCTGATAATTCCATTCAAACAACTGTCCTGCTTTCTCACCCATGCCCAACATATCGATATTATTTTCATCTACAGCTATCAAACTCCATATAAACCAATTATTATAATTATTGAATATAATTTGTAGTTCCAAGAACTGATGCACTATTGAATACAGATGACAACAAACGCGCGCAAATAAAGTTGCAGAGTTATGCATTCGCCTATGCAGACCCCTCCAAAAGTCCCTCGACCATCTCGTACACCGCCCACGCGCCCGGATCAGGCGGAATCCGCCCGTCGTCGTCTCCGCCAGTGACATAGGTTGCGCGGCCAAACTTGGGCTTCATGTCCCACGTGCCCTCCGCGGCATTCTTGGCGGCCTGCACTGCCGTCGCCAGGTCCTTGGATTTGTAAAGCGAGTTGCAGAACGGGATCAGCACGTCCATCACCGTGCGATCGCCTTCGCGCGCAGCGGTATGTGTCATGAGAGACGCAAGTGCCTCGTGCGCGCACTCACCCCAGATAGCAGGCGTCATCTCAAGCTTCCCCGCCGTCGCGCGACGAGTGACTGCCGTGGCCAGCGCGGCAACCAAGATACCAAAGATAGCGCCGAGCGTGCCGCCCATGTCATCGACCGCCTCCCCAACCAGCTCAAGCGCGCCCAAGATGCTATTGCTCACGGGTTTGGCGTCGAGTAATTTGAGGATCGCGGTCGAGACCGCTTTGACGCCGTCGCCGCAATCGCCGTCGCCCATGATCATGTCCCATTTCGTGAGCGAGGGTTCGCTATCGATAGCGCGCGTGCACGCCTTGCGCAGCATGCTCTCAATTAATTTCGAGTCGGCGGTGAAGTCCGGACGGTCAACTTCAGCAGCACTAGTGGTCTCCTTTGCGACTCCGTTGCTTGTGCCGTTGACGCTCGCGGCTGAGCTCGCGCGGTAGGGTTTCGGGAACGAGGGCGCGGTGGTGGGCGCGTCGAGGTATGCGATGACTTCGGCGGTCGGCACGCCAAGCTCGGCAGCGGCCTTGGTCAGGTTCAGGAGCGTGGCCGAGAACCCGGGTCCGTTGAGCGAGGACTCGAACGAGTCCGAGAAGACGCGGATCGGGGCGATGTCCCATTCCTTCTTGAGCACGTCGAGGGTCTGGTATGTGATCGCGCCGGTCTCGAGAGCCGAGAGCCCGCCAAAGTTGTTGATGAGCAGGACGACGTCGTCGCCCTTGTCGAACTTGACGTACGCGCGCTCTTCGTCGTTGGGATCGACGAGGTACCGCACCATCTCGCTCAGCAGCTCCTGGATCGTCGGCAGCGGCGACAGCTTTCGCAGACCGGGCTCGTTGTGGATGCCCATGCCGAGAATCAGGACGTCGTCGGGTAGGGTCTCGTGGTTTTGACGGCCGGGAACGTGGCAGTGGTCAAGCGAGGAGCCGATTGTCACTGTGTTTGCGTTGATGGCGGTGCCGACAGCGACGGCCTTGTCGAACGAGACGCCGGCGGCGGCAGCTCCTCCTAGCACTTTTAGGACTAGAAAAATTGTTAGCTAGTGCTCTTTGTAAACACGAATGAAATTATTGAGAAATGGTAGACTCACCGAGAATGTTTCCAGCCAGACCGCGACGGCCAACAGCGCCGGTACGTTTTCTTCCAAGCGCGACATCATCGGTAGCAGCCAAGATCGCAAACTGCTTGCCAGGGTACTTTGCTCTGACTTTCTCCAGCGCGAGTCCGAAATGCAGCCGGTCGCCGGTATAGTTTGTGATAACAATAATACTACCCTTATCGCTCGGCACGCTCTCAATCCCAGTAACGACCTGCTTCGCGCTCGGCGAGCCAAAGATCGGACCGTTGACAGCAGCAGCGAGCAGGCCCTTGCCGACCAGTCCTGACCACGCGGGCTCATGACCTGATCCGCCGCCGGACACGATCGAGAGCGTCGAGGGGTCGTGGGCGGGGTCGTAGACGACGCGGTCGTCTGCGATCAGACGCAGGGCGGGGTTCGCCTCGACGAGCGCGGTGAGGTGCTGGATGACGAGCGAGGGCGCGTCCGCGAAGAAGTGCTTTGTCGACATGCTGTTTCTGTTTTCTAGTGAACGCACAGCTGCTGCTCTCAACCGAAGCAGCGACCGAGCCGGTTCTTATAAAGAAGCAGCCTCGATCCCGTCCTCGGCACCGCAGATTCGCCCGCAGAGCTGAACGGGCTCCTCGCCGGAATTTCCTATTTCATCGGGGCCGGTCCGCGCCTGCTCCCCGCGGCTCTCGCGCCGGGCCGGGTTTATCCCCGCGCTGTGTGGGGGGACAAACCCTACTCTGCGGGTTAGGGTGGTTGTGTAATGGATTATGTCAGAACCCTACCCCGATGGTTGCTGGCATCTGCGACTGGCTCTCTACCTGTCGGCCGTTGCCGCTGCGAGCACAGTTAAGCTGTTATCGAGCACATCGCTGCATGATTCTATATAATCAAATCACTGCATTTCTTTATAGTCAAACCACTGCATATTGTTTATTGTACATATCCACTCTATCTAAACGCCCACCTCTCCTCGTATTATAAACAAAAAAACACGTTCGCTCACTGCTTTTTCCGCACATGCGTCTGCACATGCGCCTTCAGATTCGAGCTCTTGACAAACCTCTTGCCGCAATCCGGAAACGTGCACGCAAACGGCCGTTCTCCCGTGTGCGTGCGAATATGCCGCGTGAGCGTGACCTTGACCGTAAAGCTCTTGCCGCAGCCCTCGTACGGGCACGAGAACGGCTGCTCGCCCGTGTGCAGCCGGATATGCGAGTTCAGACTGCCTTTCTGCGCAAACGTCTTGCCGCAGCCCGCGTAGTCGCACGCAAACGGCCGGTCACCCGTGTGTGTCCGAATGTGGACGTTGAGGTTGCTGCGGTCCGCGTAGGTCTTGCGGCAGCCTTCAAAGTTGCACGCGAACGGCCGGTCGCCCGTGTGTGTGCGATTATGCACAATCAGCATGTCCTTGCGGCCAAACGACTTGCCGCAGCCGGGGTAGAGGCACGCAAAGGGCTGCTCGCCCGTGTGCGTGCGGATGTGGATCGTGAGCTCGTCTTTGCGCGTGAACGTGCGGCCGCAGTAGTCGAACGTGCACAGAAAGAGCGGTTTCGAGGTATGAGTCCGGCTGTGCCGCGTCAGGTGGCCGCGCTCGGCAAACGACCGGCCGCACCCGTCGACCTTGCAAATAAAGCGGTACTCGGCCGCGTGCGTGCGTACGTGCACCATCAGCTCGTCCTTTCGCGTAAAGGACTTGTCGCAGTCCGACGCGGAGCAGGTGTACAGGCATTCGTTTGTATGGCGGCGGTTGTGCCGCGCGAGATGGCCTTTTTGCGCAAACGACTTGCCGCATGAGGGGAGAGAGCAGTAGTACAGCTTTTGCGGGTTGCCGCTGCCGATATCGGACGCGGTCGAGGTCAGGGCGACTATTGAGCTCGAGGAGTCGATCGGCGTGGCCGTCACGGTCGTGGTTCCTGAAAACCTGGCGAGTTTCCTCGGTCGGTCGTGATCCGCGTTGCTGTCGTAGTCATCATCCTGCTCATCCTCCGTGTTTTGATAATCCGCGTCCTGGTCGTCGGTCTCCATACCGCCTCCCCCGCCGTCGTCATCGTACTCATGGTCTCCGTGCTCGACATCAGAGTCTGTGCCATTGCTCCCAGCCGACGAACTCTGCTGCTCGTTCCGCGTAACCGTCTCGATAGCATCACACAGCGTATCAAGGAAATTATTCGCCCTCAAAGCCGGCACCTCCTGCTGCTGGGCTCCCTCGGCAAGTTCGGACTTTAGCGCCCGCTTATCGATTCCCGCCGCACTATGCGCGACCAGCTGATAAGCCGCCGACGACGGGACCGGCGCGGAGGGACGGATAGGGATGAATGCGCGTTTTGTCACGCGTCGCTTGCCGCCGGCGGCGGTGGTCGCGGCGGAGTCGATGCCGGTGGTGGTGGGAGGAGTTGGGCCGGCGGGGGCGGTGGAGGGTGGTGTTGCTGCTAGCATTGTGTGAATCGCGGGGATTGGGGTGGTGCTGTGATGCGTAGGATGAATAGAGCGTGCGTTTTGTGGTATGAGACGGAGGTGTGCGGGGATGCTGTGGAAGCAGGAGGCTCGGTGGAGTGCCCGAGTAAGACCTTGATAGAGGTGAGCCCTGCTATCACGTCCGGCTGCCGGCTAATTAGAAAGCGCGAGATGCTCCTCTGGGCTTTACGAGAAATCTCCTGATCCGAGAAGAAGTCCGTCGGAAGTAGAGCAGGCGAGAAGTAAGAGAGAAAGAAAGAGAGGGCGTGGGCGTGGGTTGGAGAAGAGTAGGCGGTGGGGAGGAAGGGAGGAGGAAGTGGTGCGCATAACCAGGCGGTGACAACGAAAATTTTGTTAATCTTTCTCTGTTTGTCGGTCTTGAGTATTTCTTAATTCCCCCTTTCTTTTGATTGTACAAACTATACAACAACTAGAATTATCTAAAGATCTACATGGGTCTTTTCTATTGTATCTATCAGGTTATTTCGTAGCCATCGCCCTTCTCGCTGGCGACGGAATCGAACCGGGCTGTGTGGGGTACGGCGCAGTCTCGTCTGGCGCGACCCGGAGAACGATCAGATCTGTCGGGTAAATGGTTCTCGACACCACTTCGAAGTTCATCCCCCCAACCGCGCCCGGGATCTCCACCAGACGATAGAAGGTCCTGGCGTAGATGTTTGTTAATGGTCTGAATGAGATTGTTTTATTTGTTTGCTTCGGGATTGGCGATTGCGGTTAAAGTGGACTGTGAATCCCGCTCGAACGCTGGCACAGAGGCACGTAACCGACTGGGTAAATTGACATGACGCGAGCCATTGTTATCTTTCCCTCTGCTTCATCCCGCGCTCTTCCTCTTATAGTATGAAGATATCACTCTACGTTTGGCACTGTATGTTAACCGCGTCCATAGACCGTGCATTAATCGTGAAAGTAAAGTGTATGAAAATAGAAACGAAATTACAAAGCCATGCAATAAGAAGACAAAAGACATCTATGCAGCGAAAACATCAAATAATTACAAAGAAGCGAAAAGATACTAAAAAAAAACCTAATGGGAAGCCTTCTTCTCCAACGACTCAGCGCCGGAAGACTCAATCATGTCCTCCTCGTCGCGGGCCATGATGACCTGCTCGTCATCAGAGTAGACCGCGCGCTCGAGCAGGTTCTCGTGCGGGGGCCAGATCCACGAGACAGCGAGGTACGAGACGAACGCGGCCGAGAAGCCGTAGAAGTAGCCGAGCTTGTAGAGCTTCTGCATGCCGGAGACGACGTGGATGCTCGAGTTGACGTTGGGCAGGAAACCGGGGAGGAGAGGGACCCAGCCGCAGCACCAGGCGACGGCGGCGCGCCAGTTGGTGCCGTACTTGTTGTATCGGTAGATGCCGTGCTTGTCGTAGAGCGCCCAGGTGTCGAGCTTGCGCTTGCGGATGATGAAGAAGTCGGAGATCATGATGCCGCAGATGGGCGCGAGCCAGATACCGTATCCGTTCATGAACGCGAGGAAGGAGGTCGCGGAGGTGAGAATGTCCCAGGGAACAAACGCCCAGGCGCCGATGACGGCGACGATGTACTGGCCGCGGCGGATGTTGATGAACCGCGGGAACAGGCAGTTGAGGTCGTTCGCGGCCGAGATCGAGTTGGCGGAGATGTTTGCGAGCGCCTGCGCGAGGAAGAAGCCCGCGGCGCAGAAGAACGCGGCGGCGCGGCCGCCCTTGGAGGTCCACATGTCGATGAACACCAGCGGATCCCACTTCTGCTCGCCCCACATGATCTTGGAGCCAGCGGCGCCGACGACGCCAAAGAAGGCGATCAGGGTGGCGGTCGCAGGGAGGGCGATGGCCATGGTGTAGGAGTGTTTAGGGCTGATTGCGTAACGCGTGAAATCGGGCGCGTTGACGGCAAGGGTGGCCCAGCCGGCCATGTTGGAGTAGATACCGGACATGAAGACCCAGCCGAGCTCGGATCCGTGGACGAGGTTTCCGGTCTTCCAGATCTCGCCGTCGGTCTGGGCGATGGTCCAGCCCATGATGCCGAAGCCGATGATGGGCACGGTGATGGCCTTGACGGTGAAGAGGAAGCGGATCTTGTGGATGGGCACGTAGTGCAGCGGCAGGCAAAACAAAAAGTACAAAAAGTACGAGGTCATGAGCTGCGTGTCGATGTGGGCGGAGGCGGGGAGCCCGTTGGAGACGTTGCGGAACGAGGGCCAGATCGCGTAGAGCATCGAGCGCACGCACTCGGCGCCGGAGTAGGCAGAGATACCGTACCAGAAAGTGCCGACGATCATACGCATGGCGATCATGAGCAGGGAGAAGTAGTAGCCGAACGCGGCGCGCGAGAGAACTGTGAAGGAGATGTGGTACTTTGCTCCGAGGTAGCCGTTCACGGTGATGACGGCCGCGATGAGACACTCGGCCACGCAGACGTTGACCAGCGCGATCTTCCATGACATGCCGAGCGACATGAGCGACGAGGCCTTACGCCAGCCGGAGGGAGTGAAGTTGTCGGAGATCCAGTAGGAGATGACTGGTGAGGTGTTAGTTTCTGTAATAAAACATTAAAGATACGATAAAAACACAAGACATACAGTGCCACCAGTTCCATGTCCGCTTCTCGGGAGGAACGGGGTCGAGATCGACGTTGGAGGCGAGACCCTTCTCGTAAGTGTCGAGCTCGATACGCTTGACGAAGCGGTGCCATAGCCCAGTAGACTCGCCCTCGTAGCCGCCCTGGACGCCGTAGCTATCGACCGCGACTTCCTTTGACATTTCTGGTGTGGAGTACTACTGCTCGATAAGACTGAGGAAGTAGAGCGAGGAAATGTCACTGATGGAGACGGGAGGAGGGGAGGGCCAGGCCCGGGATATAAATACCAAGGCGGAGAGCGTCCGCAGCCGATACTGGCTGATACGGACGGACCATGCGCTCGATAGTTAGGGGCGACAGAAGGCAAACCGCCCGCGACGGAGGCAGATCGACTGGGTTTGCGTCTGCAGCGCGTGCAGGGCCGGGAAGAGAGTCGAGAGGACGGGGGGAGGAGGTACCGGACGGGGCCGGGTCAGATTGGGTTTTGAACTCTAAATGGGTGGGTGCGAGGGTACCGCAGTTTCTGCTTCTCGGCTAGAGATAACGTTGTTTGAGTGGTTCCGATGTGTCTCCGCCGGTGTTAAAAGAGCAGGCGGCAGAGTAGATTGTAGCATAGCCAAGCGTAGAAAAGGTCTATAGAATCCTTGTCTATGTCTCGGCAGGAACCTCTGCTGACCTGAGCAGAGCAGAGCTGCTGACCGCGACGGCGAGTCATCCGACCGGAGAGTTGCGCGTAGAGTAGGGTTTGGTCTCGAAACCGACTAGTGACTGGGCGGTGAGCACCGGGCTCAGCGACCCCGTGCTATCAAGAGAGAGCGGAAGAGGGAGGAGAGGAGAGGGAAGAGAGGGGAAGGAAGTAAGAGAGCCTTGCTTCCGGCTGGTCGGGCCCCGCCAGTGCGCGCGCTCTGGTGTTTTGCGCGATAGCAGGTTGATGATATGATAATGATAGAGCACAGATACGATAAGGATAAAGTGAAGAATATAGCTATCGTGGACTCAAGACTCTTCTCACGTCTTCTTCTTCTTCCAGAGCAACAGAGCATCGCGCCATCAGCAGAAACCAGCCCGACTGAACAGAGATTTGTCGTCACCACCAGAAAACCAGCCCGGGCTTCGGCAGACGGCGGCCGAGGGTGGGATGAGGATGGCAGCGAAGGGTTATTCCGTTCTGGGAATGGTCCACAGCGGCAGACGTGAACACCGAAAGCCACGTTTGCGCCATCGAGTGTTCGGGGGCCTAATCAGGCAGCTCCTTGCCCTTGACTCGTCTGCGGTTCTTTTCTTTTTCATATGCTGTTTTGACTCAGTTAAGAGCAGTGCCAGTACAGAGAGCAGTGTGTTTACTTGTTTACCAGTGTAGATTAGTGGGGGCAGTCATCGTCGTCACATTATACACAAAGACCGGGCTATCATTGGCCTGGCTGGACGGCCCACAGGCCCCTCGATAGCAGTCCTCCAGCTATCCGCACGAGACCAGGCCGGTGACGCATCCTGATAACTCGCCATCGATGCGCAGCGCGAGTGATTAATGGTGCGCTTAATCCAATTTTCCCTTTCTGCGCCTCGATCCTTCCTCTGGTCCTGGGTGGCGTGCACTCTCCCCTCGCGTCGTCATTTCGTTTGGTTGAGTGCGCAAATAGCAGTGGAGATGTAGTGATATAGTTGCGAGGCGTATGCAGACCGCGATACTACGAGTTGCTATTCGACGGCGGAAATGACATTCGTGCTCTCCTTCTCTGCTTCTGCTTCCTCTTGTTCTTTCGACCGAGTCCTTATATCTTACTTATTTCTTGTTTTCAATAGAATAACTATTATACAACATCAGTTCACATCTATTCTACCAGAGCAGTCTATTCTATATCGACGATAGTAGCAGAAATGAATCTGACCCGCCCGGTCAAATTTGACATCTCGCGGTAAAGTCCGTGTCTGACCCACCTCCCAGAGGTACGAGGACCCAGACGCCATCTTCTCATCTTACGTTTCTTGTTCATTTGCACGTCTTCTTTATCACAGGTGTAAACTGCTGAATAGTTGGATATGCTGTGGTTTTGTATATGAGATGAGGTACTCTTCTGTTTGAGAATATGGTATGAATATAGTATCGTGTGGAATAGTAGAAGGCAGGTAGATTAAGGCCACGATAATAACTATCGACAACTAGTCTCCATCCGACCGTCAACCTTCCTACTAAAGACGAACGATTGCTGGGCTCCGTTTAGCTAAAGCTACCGCTGAAGCTACAGCTGACGCTACAGCTGCAGGCTGGCCAAGAGCTAACAGCAACGACGGGCAGGAAAGCAAAAACGCCACCGATTGAATCATCCTCCGTTTCGTGAATCATCCATCCGCAAGACGACGCCTCCGCCTCGCGACGTATTAAAACTGTCAGAAGTGAGAATCAGGTGAAGAGAAGAAGGTCTGCTTTCTTATAATACAAACACAATACAGAAAGATGATGATGACCCCGCCAAGCACACGCACACGCCCGGCCGCGGCCGGTCTCTTATCGCGACGAGCACCGGCCCGCTCTCTTCTTTGTCTGTGCGCGGCCATCCTATCATTACCGGATGCCCACCCCATCGCGTGCGGGTGACCGGCTCCTCATTCTAGCGTCAAGCAGCCATGTGAGCTGAGCCGATGATTCATCGCTCTTCTTCTGCTTCTCCTCGAGTCCCAGCCCGACGCGTACCGTAAAAATCAAGATATGTCAACGTCCAAGTGTCTATGCTCGATCGCAGGAGCTCAGGCAGTAAATTTTGCAATCATTCGCGCTTGAGCTTTCTCGCACGGACGACTGTTTCTTCAAAAGATATCGTGTTCGTGTCGTAATTACTGTGCAAATTATTATTCCCTGCTGTCTTATTTGGCGTGTCTGTCGGGTGGGGGGATGAGTTGGGAGAGGGAGGGACGTGGGAGGGTGGTGGTGGTAATCAGATCTACTGCTCCACTTGACTCTGCTCTACGTTTTGCTTCAATACAATATCATTATATATTTACTATTAATTATTATTTATCAGTAATATCTCACTGAAAGCTGACGACGTAACAAAAGCAGAAAGCTCTCCTCGTCCTATTCCTATCCTCATAATTACGCAATACACCACCCCTCCCCCGCATCATCACCGTCCCCTCCTCTAGAGCAAAACCAAACCAAACAAAAAAGAAAGAGAGAAATATCTGAATACCCCCCGCAATAATCTCCATTGACTACAGAACAATCCAGTGAATATAGATTCATAATAAGTGAAGACAGTAATCTACAGCATCATTTAAACTCTAAAACCCTCGAACTTCTCTGAAGCTGCTCTTTTGTTCTTGTCCCAAATTTTTGAATTTGTGTTTTTTATGGCTTTTGTTCAGATCTGGTTCTTACTCAAGTCCACCACACCACTCCCTTTTTCATACTCCAAATTCTTTTATCGTGTTTAATTGTGATCTTCCTGTTTGGTGATTGAGGAGGAAGATAGAGACACCGAACATCAAAATCACAACAAAAGATGAGCTCCCGACACCGCGACAGTAACCACGACCACGACGACGAGAGCAGACGTCGTCATCAACATCGCCATCATCATCACAGCAGCAGCAGCAGTCGTGCGCGAGACTCAGAACGAGAAAAAACTACGCACAGATCGCGAGCGCCGGACGAGCGCGAGGAGAGATCATCTTCTCGTGCTGATGAGTCTTCTTCAAAACATCATCATCGACATCATCATCATCATCATCATCATAGATCGTCAAAAGATGAGGGAGAAGAGAGAGAGGATCGGGGTAGTCGACGCGATCAACGCGAGGATAGTAGGAGCTTGAGTCCAGACGAGCGACGTCGGAGGCGGCGCGATGACGAACGGGATCAGGATAAGACTGGAGGTGGTGTTGAGACGGCGGCGTTTGTACATCCGTCGCGCGCGGGGTTGGTGCCTGATGCGAGACCTTTGGTGGTGCCTGACGCAAGAACCTCGGAGAGTCGTGAAGAAGCGTCGCGCCACCGTCGTCGTGACGATCGGTCCAGCTCGCGGCATGACGAACCTCGCTCTTCACGATCATCTGCAACTACCTCTAGAGCGCGAAGCCCGAGACGTGCGCTCGCAAAGTTTTCTGAATCGCCGCCGCCGATGCAGTACGAGGTTATCAACGAACGAATGAAGCGCGAGCACACAGACACATACATGACTTCCTCCTCCGCCGCCGCCGACGACGACAGCCGGTCTCGCAACCCTCGCTCTACTTCCGCCCACGGATCCGAGGGCGAGCCCGAAGAGCGCCAGCTGCCAAACTACGCGACCTCGGGCGCCTTGCTCGGCGACAAACTGTACAAGGGCGTGTCGCTGCAATACGCCGAGCCGGATGACAGCCGGAAACCAGACAAGTCGTACCGGTTCTACGTGTTCAAGGCCGGCGAGATCGTCGACACCGTCAGACTTGACCAGCAGTCTGTCTACCTCCTCGGGCGGGACCGCACGATCGTCGACTTGCCGCTCGATCACCCGAGTATTTCGAAGCAGCAGGCGGTCATCCAGTTCAGGCTCGTGGTCGAGGAAGTCGGGTTTTTGGGCGAGACCGAGGACCGCGTCGCGCCGTTCGTGTATGATCTGGGGTCGGCGAACGGGACGATGGTTAATGGCGAAAAGGTGAAGGAGAGGGAGTATGTCGAGTTGAAGGTTAAGGATATGCTAACGTTTGGGTTGTCGTCGAGGGAGTATTTGCTCATGTGTGAGGACGAGGTCGAGGAGAAGAAGTAGGTCATAGAGTTAATGTATATTATGCTCACTGTACAACGACGCATCACATTATATTTTTCTGCTTCCGCGTTCGCTTCATAGGTCGCGGTAGTTTCCCATCGATCCCACCACCATTCACACTTTCAAGCAGCGCCGGCCGCACCAAAACGATACTAGGGTCAACATGCTGCGCGACCAGATCCGACGACAAGCGCACGCCGCTGCTGACCGATCCAGTGATCTGATCGAACGTACGCTTTGCCGAAGTTTCAAGACTATGCGCCGGCGCAAAGTCGTGCGCGGCCGCGGCAACTGCTGCTGCTGTTGATGCGGTCGGCGACGAGGCGGAGGTTGTCGAGGCGGGGCTGACGGTGCCGTCGAGGCTGCTTTCTGCGCTGGGTGAGGCGCCGTGGGTGCGGGAGGTTGGGGTGTATGAGGGTAGTTGCTGTGGGCTGGTGTAGAATTCAGATCTACTAGAATGGTACTGTGGGTTTCCAGTTGTCTGCTGGGACGGGTAGGGTGTATGTTCATGAGCGTGCGAAGCCGGCCAACTCTGGACCTGACTCTGAAGACTCCTGATCTCTCTCTGCAACTGGGTATTCGCCTCCACGAGAATCACCGTGCGCGCATACTGCCGCTCCAGCAACTCCAGCACAAGCTGCACCGGCACCACGTCCGCCGACGCCGGATCCGCGCGTCGCACCGCCACCAGCCCTGCCTCGAGATCGTCCGGCGTCGGCAGCGCAGTCCACGAGCCGTACTCGTTCGACGGACCGAGAACGTGCTCCATCGCGGCTACCGCGGGAGCTGTCCAGCTCCGCAGCGGGAAGTTTTGCGTCGCGTAGGCGTGCACAGGGCGCGAACAGTCGTAAGACAAGAACGGCGCCGGCATCCTGGATACAGCGCAGAGAAAGCGGTGATCAGCAGCAGCAGGAATATATCTCGGCTTTCTTTAGACTCTTTAATTCACCAACCGCAAGAGTTCAGATCCGCTCGAGAGCAGGTTCTTGACGCGCAAACATGGGTCCTCAGCTTTTGTGTTGTTTTCTTTTCTGCTTGTGGTTAGCAGTGGGATTTATACCGGGCGGAGTCGCGCGTGAGCACGTGATGGGGTTTATATCGAGCGAGGCCACATCAGCAGCAGCGTCTGAGAAAAAAATGCGACTACAAAACAGACGAGATAACAGATCTTTCTTTGAACAACTATCTCATCTTCAATATCTACGATATCAACAATACACACAAAATGAGGTGTTTTGCAGGCAGACGCAGGCAGCAGATCGTCTGTGACATGCCCGTGACTTCGTGACTCAACGTGACTCACAAAACTCTAAAATCCTGGCTGAACGGTCTCCGGCGCCCGCGCTCTCGTCGCCAAACGACACGACGACTCTCGCGCCCCCTTCGACGCAGGAATAAAGATCCAGAAAAAGACAGTCGCTTTGTTGTCTTTGTTAAAAGGAACAATAGCGCACGTTTAGACTGACGAATCATCACGAACGGGCGATAGTCGTTACGGGATTGTGTGCTGAAGTTTGATTTTCAGTGTGTGGTTGTGTGGACTGGACATTTCGACGCAGGTTATACATCTAGAAACAAATCACGGACTCGATGGCTGATTTGGACGTCAATGGTAATCTATCATTTCTTTGATTGCTTTTGCTGCTTGCGCATTTACTGACTGGCAATCGCTCTAGCACCGGCGCCAGAGCTAGCGTCTACCTCGTCGCTGAAGCGGAAGTTCGCATCATATGGCGCTCCTACTAAAGCCGGCGGCAGCCTCTTACAGCAGTTTATTACCGTTCTTGAAGCGTGAGTGTTTTTTATTGTATTTATTTGGAGAAGTATGGACCGGGTGTTGACTGGTTGCGATATAGGGAAGATCCAGACGGGGTGATACTGAGTACGAAAATCATCCCTCGACCCGCGATACCCTCCTCCTCCGTCCGTCAGGCACCCAAGCGGACGCGCGCGTCAGAAGCAGCAGCGGCAGCGGCAGCCATCGCAGCCGCCGTCGCAGCCTCCTCGACCGACAACATCAAAGAAGAAAAACCAACGACAGAGACCGTGTCCATCCTCGAGAAGCTCAGACTAGGCGGCTACCGTCCGACCGAGGACTCGACAGGCGCAGATGCGGTGGTGGATGAGTCTGAGGCAATTCAGGATCTGCGGGATGACCTGAAACTAGCTGCCCAGCGTGTGATTGCGACGCTCGCGCCGTCGTCGGAGATGTACCAGCGCATCGATCGGTTTTTCTATTACGCAGAGTCGCTGTTTGCGAGGTGTATCAGGCCCGCGGGGAAGGAAATCGAGGCGCTGGTTGAGGCCAGTGCTGCTGCTGATGCTGCTAATGCTGCTGCTAAAGCCGCTGCCGCTGCGAGCGTGGGCGAAGACGGTCTAGCTTCTGCGGCCGCGACGACGACGACGATAGACGAGCGCGGGGAGGACAAGGAGGTGCTGTACATGGTGAGCCAGCACGGCCCGCTATTCTCGTCGCTCTCGAAAAAGTCGCGGATAGATCCCCGCGAATTCGAAGTGCCCGCGTTTTTCAACACGACAAAGATCGTCCCGCTGCGGCCCGGGACGGCGACCAACCGCCGGCTGGGCATGCTCTCGCCGTCGCCGTACCACGCACTAACCGGCAGCGCGCCCGCGGTCGCGGCCAAGCTGCGCCCGCTGCTTTCAGACTTTACGCACCCGGTGAACGAGCCGCTGCCGACGGCGCGGTGGATAAAGTACGACGCGTACTCGAGTTTTGCGCCGACGAAGGACGAGGTGCAGACGATTGTGAGCGGGGAGACGGCGGCGATGGTGTGGTATGATCGGTATGCGAGGAAGATTCGGCGGCGGCAGGAGGTGGCGAAGAAGAGGGCGGAGTCGAGTGTGCCGGAGACGCCGGCGGAGGCTGGTGCGGGTGAGAGTAAAGGAGAGTCAGAGACGGCGACGGCGACGGCGAGTGAAGCGGTCGAGAAAGATGGAGAGAGCGAGACAGTTGGAGAGAGTGGGGAGAGCGGAGAGAAGAACGAGGGAGAAGACGACAACAGCGCGATCGATCCTGAACTGATCAAGGACTGGCTCGAGTCCGAGTCGAGTCGGGAATACGACAACGTGACGCTGACGACGATCGCGTCGTGGCTAGAGCGCCTACAAGAGCTACAAATCGAACGATTCAAGCAACCCCCGCCGGCAGCACCGCTCGTGATCCCAGGCCACGTCTACCAAAACCCGCAGCAGATGATGCAGATGCAACTCCAGCAAGCGCAGCAGCAGCAGTTCTACATCGAAGGCCCCGCGGTCTCGCAGGAGGAAAAAGAACTCGTGCGGAAGGTGCAGTACGCGCTCTCGGAGATGGTCAGCCAGCTACCTCCGTACCTGGTCGCGGACTCGGTCTCGCGATGGATCCCGACGCTGGCGAAGAGCACGGTCGGTAGTCTGCCGCCGGACGCGTCGGCGGAGATGGCGGGGTTGATGCCGGCGGGGCAGCAGCAGCAGCAGCAGCAGCAGCAGAGTCCTGCGGGCGGCAGCGGGCGGAGGAGGAGGTAGGTGGAGTGAGGGAAGAGTGTAATTTGTTGTATTTATGTTTTAGTATACGGTGTATGATTAGTTATGAGCGCAATAGAGGAGTTTGAAGATATCTGAAGTGCCTGAAGTGCCTGAAGTAAGCAGCGCCGCCAAACGAACAGCCAAATCTTAAAGTTGAGGGGTTGGTGCAGCATAACCGCACAAACATCACTCACTTACACCACAACTCCACAGATCTACACACAAATAGAGCCACAACAATCAAAAGCGCAGGGCAAAGCGAGCAGCGCACGAGAACAGAGCGAGCGCAATCCCGAGGAGAAACCCATTTTGTTTTTTGCGTCTTTTGCCTTGCGACTCTCTGCATATTATACTCTTTTGGAAATATACATCTTCCTTTAGCGATACGTTTAAAGGCCGGCAACGAAGAAAAGAAGGAAAGAAGGAAAGAAAGAAACGGTATGGGTTTGATTGATTTGTTTGAGTGGAGGGGGGGGGGGAGGTGGTGGTGGTGGTGGTGTCGGAAGTGCATCGAGGATGTGTTGACGATAACCGCTGGTTCCACATCGTCGCGTTGCAAATAAAGAGAGAGAGAGCTAACGTATGAATTCATATTTCTAGACTCTTTTTTCCATTCTCTTTGTGTATTTTAACTAGATCCTACTCTACCCATCTCGTGCTGCTTTTTCTGCACACTTGCTTGATTAATTCCCCGAAATAATAATGTCTGCATTGAACGTATGTTGCTCGTCTCTTGTGCTTTTTGAGAGGATGGATATGCGTCGGGGGGTTTGAATTGAGGAGAGAGAGAGAAGGAATGAGAGGGAGGGAGAATTGAGGAGGAGGCGGGGAGATGCGGATGTGGGCGGTATCAGGCAATTGGGTCTTGCCTGTATTTGACGATGACGATGACGAAGAAGAGTCTGCGACTATGAGCACTAACACCACCCCCCAGGTCTTCCGCTGGACCGCCCTCGGCGCGGGTGTCATCTACGGCGCCGCGCACAGCTTCTCAATCACCTCTGCGCGAAAGGCCAAGCACGCGGCCGACGAGTGGGCGCACAAGGAGGCTCTGATTGCGCAGGCCAAGGCCGAGTACGCAAAGCTGCACCCCAAGCCTGTCGCTGCTGCTGGCGCCACTCTCGATCTGTCGGATCCTAACTTTGACTACGCGTGAGTTTTCTTCTTCTTGTGATGGTGTGAGGATGGAGTGTGCTGATGGAGTGAGAATATAGCAAGTTTCTGGAATCTGCTCTTGCCGAGTAAGGAAGGACTCACATTGACGATAGAAGAATGAGAAAAATGAGAGAAAGAGGTGTTTTACTTTTTTCTCTGATGTTTGATGTTAGGAACAAAGCATGTTGTTGATTTTGATTCGATAGTGAATAGTATTAGCTGTACACTTTTCTTACACTCCCTATTATAAACCAAAAGACTATGTAATTAAATGTAACTAGACTATGTGCTAAACTATGTAACAAGACTAAACCCGCAACCCAAGCAATCCCTCGACAAAATCATACATTTCATCATACTTCGCCGCCGCCCACAACGGCACATCCGCCGCCCCGCGCGCAACCACCCGCAACCCCAGCACCCCGACGACGAACGACGACGCTGCAGCGGCATGCACGTACATCATCTTCCTCCGCGGCCAGCGCAGCCACTTTGCCCATCCGTAGCAGACGTGGTAGGACGCCAATCCGACGAGGGCGGAGTAGAGCAGCAAGCCCGTGAGCGCGCCTCCAGGCATCCTGTCGAGCCCGCGCGCGATGTAGCGCAGCGAGATGGAAGCCGAGTCGCCGTCGACCGCGAGGGGCGCGACGCGGCAGGCGACGACGTGGGCGGCGACTAGCGGGAGGAGAAGCACGCCGGAGAAGGACACGCGGGACAGCTTTGTGCGTTTGGCGTACCATTTCCGGTCGCGGAAGATCTTGTGTAGGCGCAGGATCAGGCCCGAAGTGACGTGGACCGCGAGCGGGGCAAAGACGAGCACGGGCTCGAGGAGAGGGGAGTGGTAGACCACGCGCGCGAGGACGATCGCGTTGTCGCCTGCGTCGATCGAGGTGGTCAGCGCGGGGGTCGCGATGGCGGTGGTGAAGTGCAGGAGGAGGAAGGCGGAGAACGGGTAGGTTGAGTACTGGTGCACGCGGTAGAGGTATCTCCGCCAGAGACCCAGACCCGCAGGAGGCGCAGGAGACGGACGTTTAGCAGGCGCCGAGACCTCCGCCTCGTCTTGCTCTGAGGGTAGTTTCAAGCGGCCGTCGTCGACTGGGGGTGGTGGTGGTGGTGGAGAGACTATCGGCGACGGCGGCAGCTCGGTCAGGATCTCGACCGGCGGCAGATCAAGCGAGTCGATCGTCGGGATCTGGTGGTGGTGGTGGTGATGTCTGCGACTCATCTATTGCTGCTATATCATCCGACTGTTCCAGAGTATGAACAGCAGATGAACCGATGTGATTCTCATCGTTCTTCTCTGGATCATCATCGCGGTCAGGTGACTTGGTCGTGCGGCTCGAAGGTGAGCGCGGCAGCCAATCAGTGCAGTGCAAATTACCCCGAAGCAGAGAAGCCGTTACTCTACCATTTTACCGTTGCAGCAAAAACACAGCAAAGCTTCAACTAGTTCCTATCTCTCTACTATTAACAACCAAACAAATCTCAGAAACACCCCGCAAAAGCGAGGAACTAATCGACGCTCCTCGCCCGGGGAGCTGCACCGCCACTTGAGTTTGCCCTAACCCGCAGCAGCCACATTGGAGTTGTTTACGACTTATTTTATTTGCTGAGCGCGGGAGCTTGTTTTGGGGACGCGCGCCCGGGTCTCTTCTGTTTCTCTGTGTGCTGCTTGTACTTTTCTGTTCTTACAACATACAATACATCGTTAAATACTACTGAATAGAAATAGAACAGAGCACAATAGAGGAGATAACACAGCACCACGGCGGCAGAAGAGCACCCCGCGCGCTCCTCTCATCGCCACGTTGTGAGCCCTATTCTGCCCTTACCCAATTCCTCTCCTTCTCGCAACCTTAAAAATTTGCGGCCGATGCCGTCTTCGTCTCTACTCTTGTTTGTGCGTGTTTGTGGTTCTGCGGTTGTTTGCAGAGTATAGTTGAGAGTGAGTGATGATGATTAAATGGTTGATGGAAGTAGAAGATGATTGAGTACTGCGAAGAGCGGTGGAAATTGATCGAGGTCGGCGGTATGACGTAATTGCTCTCTCATCTCCTCCTCCTCCTTCTTCTTCCCCCAAACCCATCCCACTCCATCCTCAACCACATCTCTCCATCATCTTCCCTCCATCTCTTCCTTTTCACCTTTTTCTCTCCTCTCACCACCTCCCACCCTCCTCCTCTCACACTTCTCCCTCACCGCTTCATCTCATCCGAATCCACATTAATAAAACTCAATTACGCCCTAACCCGAAGATCTCCCTCACCTCATCGCCCCGATCCGCTGATGTGGTTTACTACATCCTGACTCTGGTGAGGAGAGCTATTCTTTCCTACAGCTAACGATAGAATACAGTATAGACGCAAAAAAAAGAGAAGAAAAGATAAGAGGAAGTATTTTTTGAAATATAGTAGACAAAACATAATAAACATTTAGAAAAAATCATTGAAACGCTGTAAGTTGAGAGAAAATAGAAAAAGTACATAGCTTTTCTACATCACATTTGTAAATAACAGTTTGATATGTGACGACAGTGCTACTAAAGAGTAATAAGTAAGTTACAACAAATGATGATAAAAAACCTCTTTTTTCTCTCCCTCTCTTTTCTCTCCTCTCCTCTCCTCTCTTTCACTTCCTCTTCTTTACTGGTATGAACATTGAAAAACAAATCTTTTCACGCCCGGCCCGCCTCCGCAGCAACCGCAGCCGCTCCCGCCACCCCGTTCTTCTGCAACCACGAGATCCGATCCCAGATCTCGTGCTCGGTTCGCGACGGGAGCAGAACCGACAGCTCTTCAAATCGCAGATCGCGCCGCGTAATCAGATCGTCTTCTTCTGCAGTCCACTGCTTCTTCGTCGTCGTGCTGCTGCTGCTGTTCTCGCTGCTGCCGTTCGTACTCGGAGACGATGCCGCAGATTTGCCGTTTACTTCCTTGCCGGCGCTAGCAGCCGACCCCGGCGACAACGACTGCTTTCGCTGCTCGCCCTCGTCGTCCTCCTCCTGCTTCTGTACCGGCGCCGAAGAAGCCTGGGCTTGCTGCGGTGCTTTTTGGTCGACCGTCCCGTTGCTTTGCAGCGACGACAACTGGTCACCACCCGTCGATCCGTTTCGCATATGCGTAGCCATCTGCTGCGGTCCTGGCTGTTGCTGTAGTGCTTGCTGTGGGGGTTGCTGTAGTGGTTGTTGTAGTAGCTGCTGCTGCTGCTGCTCTTGTTGTGGTGGCTGCTGCTGTGGTGGGGGAAGTGGAGGTAATGGCTGCTGCTGTAATTGCTGAGGCATCATCATCAGTCCATGCTGCATGATCGGCTGCGCCTGCACAAGAACATGTGGCTGCTGTCCCATCATCATCCCATTCTGATATCCCTGCTGCGGAGGCGGCGGACCCTGCTGCATATACGGCTGCTGGTAGTACTGTGCTGCTTGCTGCTGCTGCTGCTGCTGCTGCTGACGCTCTTTCTCCGCCACGTACTCGTTCTGCGGCGCCATCAGCGGTCGCGTCGTCGTCACCGGAATCATCGTCGGCGATCCGTTAGCCCCGGGTCCATACTGATACTGCGCAGGCCCCGCCTGCATCTGCATCTGCATCGGACCCTGTTGCTGCGGTCCTTGCTGCGGAACTTGCTGCTGCTGCTGCTGCTGCTGCTGCTGCTGCTGAGGCTGAGGCGGCAGCGGCGCCTGCTGTTGCTGTCCCGCATGCTCACTGCCTGCCCACGCGGGCGCCATCATCCTCCCCGCTCCCACGGACGGCAAACTCACGTTCTCTCCCGCTGGAGTCCATTGCCCAGGCGAACCACCGCCCGCAGAGCTGTTGCTGTTGCTGCTATTTCCTCCGCCGGCACCGCTCGCTCGCAGCGACCCGGACATCAATCGTCGCCATCTGAACTGACACGCGTTCGGTGTACGCCCGGGGACTATAAATATTATATTGTTAGTCCAGGCAGTCAATAAATGTGGATGCAACAAACAATGAAACAGCAACAGCGGTTTGTGGTTCGCTACTGGCGTACGGCGTCATCGCAATCGCGTAGGGTAAGGGCTGACGGTGGAGCAAGATTTACAAAAGTAACGCAAAAATGCCAGCCGACAAGCCCTCCGCCGAGCGTGAACCGATAGACAAGCAATAAAAGTAGAAAGTAGAAATAAAAGCAAAAAACAAGACCACACGAGCAAAAAGCAGATAGAGAGCGAGTGGATGCGGTGGCGGGCAGAGAAGGCGGATGGTGCAAGAACAAGCACAGCCAAGCCGCGAGCAATGAGGAACCACAAAAGCACAAAAAGCACGAGATAAAGCAAGCAAAGGACTTTAGAAACTTACAGTGACCGGCGATGTCCTTCCATCCCAGCTTCTGCTCCTCCTTGAGATGGCGCAGAAGAAGGTCGTCGTGCGGGTCCCAGGAGGTGGGGTTGCGAGGGACCTTTGGCTTCTTGCGGCCGAGGGCGTCGAGGTCGGGGGTGGACGCGGACGAGACCGAGGTCGAGGAGCCTATTGAGACGTTCGAGCCCGTCGATGAGGTGCGTCTGCCGAGAGCAAGCAAGGTTAGTAATCCGATGACGACTTCAGATATGATAGGAACGATCGCGATGATGATAGCGAGGACGATGGGGTGATGGGCAAGAGGCGGGAAGGGAGCGAGAGATGGGTGTGGCTTGCGAGGCAAACGACAGGACACATACGTTCGAGGGGGACGCCGTTTGGCAGTCGACGAGGTCGCGGACGAGACCGAAGACGAGGAGATGGATGGCGAAGAGATGTTGGACGCCGACGGCACGCGGGCGTGCATCTGGTCCGGCTGCTGGGGTTGCTGCTGGGGGTTTGAGGTTGGAGCGATGGCGGGCGATGGATGGAGCGCGAGCTGCGGTTGCTGCTGCGGTTGCTGTTGTTGTTGCTGTTGTTGTTGCTGCTGTTGCTGCTGCTGCTGCTGAAGCTGCTGCTGCTGTTGCTGCTGGAGCAGCTGCTGGGGCTGGGATGTGGAGAGCTGCTGCTGCTGCTGCTGTGATGGCTGCTGGGGGTAGAGCGAGTGCAGAGGCGGTAGCTGTCGCCCGGGATGGAATGCGGGCGCGAATTGAGCGTCCGAGAGTATTCCCAGCGGCGGCGGAAGACGGAGGTCGTTCTGAGGAGTGCCGGAGCCGGACATGAAGACGGGATAGAAGACGGAGAGGGTGCGGAGGGTGGTGAAGGGCGGACGAGGGTGGAGGCAGAGAAGAAAGAAACCAGCAAAACGACGGCGGACCAAAAGGCCAAACCTCTGCGCCTGAAACCCTTCGCCCTGGTCGCTTGTTCTGGGGTCGTTTGCACCCGCACCGCCTGCTCTCGGTGCTCTTTCTTTTCTGTTGTATCTCTGCTTGTTTCTTCATGATATATTCTACAAAAACAACTACAAATCAACACCCACAACAATCAACATCACCACCATCTCCTCCAGCCGTACCCGCCCGGACCTGGCGCCCTCCCGGCACAGCCACGTCCGTAGGGTTAGGCGTGCGGCGCAGGGTGGCGGTGCGCACATCTGCTCATCTCGGCCGCGATGAGCTCTAATCTGGGCTTCATCCCACCTTCAGAGTACTCTTTGCTGTCCCGGCACCGCTGCTGCTGCGCTGGGGTGCTGTGCAGTATCAGAGTGCGTGTGCTGTAGAGAACTAGAGCACTTGTACATCACCAGCAGACTGCTGTCTTTCCTCTGCCTGCGTGGGCCGGCTCTTTATCCGCTCTTAAGACATTATCGCCGCCTGACCAGCCCTCTGAAGTATGTGATATCTCGAGCCTCGAACACCCGCCCGCTTCATTCCCCATCTCCATCTCTCCTCCTCATTCACCTCTCCTTCTCTTCATCCTCCTCTCCTCTCCCTTCCCTCCCCCCTGCTTCTTCTCCCCTCCCGCGCCTCTTCTCTCCTCCTCCCCCGGCTACTCTGCAGTACCACCGCATTCTTCGGGTTAGGGCCCAGACTGACCAACCCCCTTCCGTCAATTTCCAGCCTTCTCTCCGCTTATCTTCCGACTCTGTATTTTTGGTATAAATATAATTCAAAATATAAACAAAGAAAAAGTATATGATATGTATATATAGATATATGAAACACTGCACAATAAAAACTCACAACAAGCTATAGCATCAGCTAACTCGTCTACACCACCTCGTTGATGATCCGCGCCGCCTCCGTATACGTCCGCAGCATCTTTTCGCACTTTTGCCGCTCCTGCGCAATCGCCGCGTCCTCCTGCAGCAACTCCTCAAACAGCGCCTCCTTGTACAGCTCAGACACAAGCCGGTTCTGGATCGTCTCCTTGCTGTAGTTCACAAGCAGATGCATCACCGCCTTCGGCACCTGGTCCTGGATCGTCTCCCGCACAATCGAAAAGTACGAGTTGATCAGCCGGCGGATCAACTCCGTCTCCAACTGCTCCCGCTCAGACAGCGTGCCTTCTTCCCCGTTGATCGCGCCCAACGTGCCCGTCATCCCTCCGTGCTGCTGCATGAATCCCGACGACGACGACGGCGACGGCGACGCTGACGACGCCTGCGCGTTCGTCATGCTCATCTGCTCAAACTCCCGCGTCAAATCCTCGGACGCATCCGACTGCCGCGCGCCGTGCTGCTGATGTCGCTGCTGCTGCTGCTCTGCCGATGGAGTAGAGGAACCTAGATCCGCACGAGTATGTGAGCTTGATTTACTTCCTACCCCATCGCCATTCTCACCCGCACCAGCTCCAACACCACCAGCCATCGTCGTCGCCGCAGCTTGCGCATGATGTCCATGCTCTTTCGAAAAGAAAAAACTCATCAACGACGAGTTCGAGTCTTTCGCGCTGCCATTGCCGTTGTTATTGCCATTGCCGTTGCTTATACTCTGACTCATCGACGCCTCGCTCGCATTCGAATCTGCTCGCGGCCGCTGACTGCTGCTCCTACTACTCTGACGCTGATGCTGATGCTGATGATGCTGATGCTGGTGATGATGATTATGGTGCTGTCCTTCGACTGGGGGGGAATGCTTACCATCCGCCGCTCCCTCGCCGTTCAATACCGCCTTCTTGACCTCCATCCGCTCAAGCTTCCGCTGCGCCTCCCGCGCCTTCTTCTCCTTCTCCTGTCGACTCGACAAAATACTCGACATCGCCGCCGCCGCGCCAAGAAAGTTCGGGTGCTTCGTGTTGATGTACGCCCGCTGAATCGCAATCAGGCTCTCAACGTACTTCGACGTAGGCCCCAATCGCTCCCGCAGCAAATCGCTCACAACCTCAATTATCTTCGACTGCAGCTTCGGGTACCGACTCAGCTCGTGTCCGCCACAGGTATGACAGATCTTCATCAGCTCTTCGTATACCAGCTCCACGCATCGCTGCGAAGGCGGATCCAGCAACCGGATCTGCGGCTTCACCAGTAAATCAAACGCAAGCTCCGGCACAAACAACGACGGCCGCGGGCCCGTCGAGTTTCGGATCGCCGTCCGGATATCGTGCACCGACAGGTTCGACGTCGGATCAATCTGGCCCAATTGTGTGCCAAACACATCATTGTAAATGTAGTAGATCCGCGCTCCTCCACACAGTTCCTTCAACGAAATATCCGACGACGTACCATCAATCGAAGCCACAAAACTCGTCGCAAACTTTGTCATCAACTGAAGAATCAAAACGCCCTACAGAGAGTTAGAATTTTCCATTCAGCTCAAATAATCAAAAACTGTTGGCTCACATTATTTCCCGATCCAGTCATCTGCGGCTCTCCGTACGACGCCAACTCCTGCTGTGTTTGCCCCATAAGCGTATTCAACCGCGCCTTGATATCCGGCAGCTTTTCACGGATATGTGCCATCAGCGTGTTATTCAAGCTCTTGGCCAGGTACTGCGTGCCGCATCGGTACGAAATATTCCTGTACGCCGGATGGCTTCGGAAGAAATCCTGCTCGGCCTGCAACGAATCCTGCAGACTCTTGTTGACCTGAATATCCTGCTGTGACCGGTTCACGACTCCGATGAAGCCCAGCTTGAGCGGGTATACCCGTCCAGACAGAATATCCATCGCGTTCGTGCCGTGGTCCATCAGATCAAGTTTCGTCAACACGCCAATCGTTCGTCGGCCTTGCGGGTCAACCTGGCGGGCAAGCTTGAGCGACTCGGAATTGACGAGATCGACGTTTGCTGGCGAGACTGCGAGAATGATACTGTTGGGTTTGGTAATGTATTCGCTGATCAAGCCACGCGTCTGCTTCTCGATATCGGTCGGCTGATCACCGATGGGAATCTAAATCTATGTTTTAGCGTTCCGCAAACTTCTTGTAATCGAGAAAATCGACACAAACCTTGGTCAAACCGGGCAAGTCCACAAGCGTGAGATTGAGCACATGAGGCGAGAAAATCTTGAGATTGATAGGCGTCTTATTGATCCCCTTGTTGTTACCAGCGATGCGCACCGTATCATTCTCAATCTCGCGCCTGACCTCGGTGAAGTCGTAAAACTTGCGTCCCGGCACATGCAAGAACTCGGCCCACTCTTCCTGGCGCGGGCTCGTAGTCCGAGTGGTCGCGGTCGAAAGATCGCCGGCGGGATCGTAGGCGGTCGTGGACGATGGCGCGGGAGGTGGTGGTTGAGAGAGCGTGGAAGGTGAGGAGTACGGGATGTTGATCAGCTGGAGAATAAGAGGGCGCCGCGTGACGATGCCGGTGCCGCGCGGAAGGAAATCCTTGCCAACTAGAAGAATCGTCAGCAATCAGCGTCCAAATCAGTTGCTTTGGTCTCGTCTACTGTCCTGTGATCCAAAATAAAACTGCTGTCATAGAAGAGCAGAGCATCTGGGCGGGAATATTGATACAACGGGAAGACCCGGGATTGCCATGTAAACAATTTCGAAACCGCACGGCGCTCTTCGCTCTGCGCAGCAACGACGGACAAACAAATCCAACAGAAACAAGCAATTCCAGAAACCAAAAACACATAAAACAAAAACCACCGGGGACACTAACCCAAGTTCTCGAGCACCGAGCTCTTGCCGCAAGACTGACTGCCCACGACAACAACCTGCGGAAGATCGATCGTGTCGGTACCGATGGTGTTGAACACCAGGTCCTGCAGCTTGTTGACGACCGGGATCAGGTCCTCAAAGGTCGAAGTCATGTTTATCCTGTGTGGTTTAACCTGGTTTGTATGCTTCCGAGCTGCAGAGGGCTGATTTGTGCACGGGAAGAGAGCAAAGTCGGGCGAGGAGAGTGCGAGAAGAGTCGCGTCCGAAGTTCACTGGCAAATTTAGAGTTTTTCTCTTCCTTCTACGGCAGCCCTAATACACCTTCTGTAAACAACCCGCTCGTTCCTGTTGTTTGTTTACTCTTGTCTTTTATATCAGTATCTTCTGTAGAAAAGTAGATGAGAATCTGCTGTATTCTGGTAAGCATCTGACAATAAAGACGTTTGGATATGTCCAGATACCACCAAACCCAGGCACGATTCACATCACCTCCAAAGTTAAGCCCAAGCTCGTGGTTGTCGATCACGCTCAATTATTCCTATTTTAGAAATACAGCATTCACAGTCTACGGCTCTGCACTGCACAAGAGATATGACTGTAGATTGATGGTGTATATATACATGAAAGGAAGATAACCTAGCCTCTATTCCAGATAAAAGAAATTCGCCCCTGCAGTCGATAATGTCAGCATATTTCCTCTTCACAGAAACACAAACACAGAACCACATACCGACAAGTGTAAGTCCATACAGCCTTGCCCATTCTCTCGCCCCCGACGTCCTGCGCGTCGTCGTCGTCAGCGCCGCCGCTGTATCCGTCTCGCTCAACTTCTCTTCTGTGCTCTCATCCTCAAATCCCCAATGCATCCTCGCGCCCGGCGGACGCGGAGACTGCCGTGTGTCTTCCCGAAACAGTAAAAACACATATCGATGTCTCCGAGGCGGCGCCGCGGTCTTTGATCCTGCACTGCTGCTCCGGCTCGGACTCGTGCTTCCGTCGACGTTCGTCACCGTCGACGGCGACGAGATCTGTGTAGATGAGCTGGTGATGACGGCCGGCACGTCCGGCGGCACGTATTCTAGTAAATGCTGACCGTTTTTACTGTCAACCTCTGCTGGCTCAAGCGTGGATCCCAGTGGAGTAAGCTGCACTCCAGAGATCACCAAGTGCACAAAGTGTCCCTGCACGAGTCCTCTCCCCGCCCCATTCTCTGTCTCCTTCGCACTCTCGGCAGCAGCTGGGATCTGCACGACTGCATCTGGATCCGTCATCACGATTGTGTACTTTGGAGCTTGCGAAAATATAGAGGGAGAGGGCGCCACTTCGGGTTCGTCGATAGGGGTTATGGTGAATCGCGGTTGATCTTTGGCTTCGCTGTATTTGAGGGTGTTGCCCAGTGCTGCGTGATGATCATTTTCGTAATCAACCGAGAGAAGACTTTATGTAGTTCATTGTCAGTTTACTGCAATATTTCAATAAGAATAATAGAGTGGAGGACTCACGCCGAAGGAACAAAGCTGTCGACCACTACATGCATCAAGAAACGTCAGCAGTCTCACCCCGCCACAAATACAGACAGAAAATTCTCACCATCCGGAATCACCCTATGCTGTTGTAAGGATTCCAATATCGCCTGGCTGATCGTAGCCTTCAATGTACACCGCAATCGTCAGTTCAAAACCGCAATCTCCGAAGAGGAAACGCAAGGAAACGAGATAAAACGTACCAACCGCATTCGATGTATCAGTGGTCCACCAGACCTGTAGAATCCTGCGTCGCCGTCATAGATTGAGCTTCTGGTGTGTAAGATGTAACTCCGTGTGAGGCCGTGTCCGACTTGACTGCATATTCGTGTCGTGAAACTACTTCCTATCCTCGAAACCCCCAATTTCGACGCCATCTTCTTCTTTCTTTCCCACTTCTCTCTCTCTTTGCTCGAAACAAAAGAAAGACAAACCAATGAAATTTAAAGAACAATCAGCGCATAGTCGAACAAACTTATAATTGTCAGTCCAAATAACGCCAGAGCAGAGCGACTTCAGAATCCAAACAGCAATGCGTTCACCGATGTTCTTTTTTGAATTTTTCTCGGTTCGGACTCAACGTTCGCTAAACTTTATCGACGTCATTTCTGCTGGCGATAAGGATTTGCGTTGGGAGGTTTGCTTTTGCTCATTTTACTTGCTATTTAGCTGTTCGGGGCATCTAATGAGTGATTGATCCTTGAAAAGCAGTTTATTGGCCGATTATTACCTTAAAGAAGACTGAAAACTATGAACTATGACACACTGAAGAAAAGATGGAAATCTATGAATGAAGCTGTCCTCTACACCTATGCTGATATATCCTCGCCTCCGCTAGCTGAATTTCGGCCCATCCACCGCATCTTCTCCAGCTCTGCTTTCACCTGCTTTAAAAGCTGTTCGTCGTTTGACACACTCTTGTTGACCTTCTCCTGCATCTCACTCATTTGCTGCTTCATAGTCGTGAGCTTCTCGGTGTGCACAAGTTGAATTGCCTCATGAGCCTCAATCAGCTTCGCCTTCTCTGCAGACATCTCTGAGAGATTGTCACTGAGCGACCTTATTTTCAATTGATCTTGTGCTCGTGTTTCCGCAATCTTCTGCACCTCACTCTTGAGACCATTGACGTCCTCTCGGAGTCGAGTATTAATGGCCTTCGTGCTAGACGCCAGCGTCTCGTAGCTCGCCTCGGCCTGCAATCTCTTTTCCTCTTCCTTTGCTCTCATCTCTTTTTCCTTTGCCACCTCCCGCTCCAGCTCGCGAATGCGGCCGCTAACCTCCTTCAGCTCTTGCTCTCTCTCCTGACGTATCTTACTCTCACTCTGCGCTTTCGTCTCCAGCTCGGCAATCTTGCGGTCTCTCCGGTCCAGGATCTTATTAAACATATCGTTCTCATGCCGTATACGCTGGAATTGCTCCATATGTGACTCAAACTTGCGCGAGATTGCTTCCCGCCGTTGCCGCTCCTCCTTAGCTCTTTCTGCTTGCAGACTCCGGTCTCGCTCTAGCGAGTCTATGATGCTATGTAAATGCTCGATTGCACGAGTCGTGCTTGTATTGCTGACCGTCATCTGTTGCTGCTGCTGTGTGCTTCCGCTCATTGCGTGCTCATAGCAGATCCGGTACTCCTCCGGGCTGAACTGGTACGACATCCGTTGCTGCTGCTTGTTGTTGCTGGAAGCACCGGTCTGTGGCAATCCCTGCTGTTCACCATCGTTGAGGTCGGGTGAGCTGAGAAGAGTGGGAGAGTTTGACGAGCTGCTGATAGGGGAGTCTGAGAGGGATTCGGGAGAGGTGGACCGGCCGAGAGGCGGGAGGGTGGCCTTTGGCAGTTGCTTTGCGATCGACTCGAGACTCATTAGTTCCAGACTTCGTTGGGCTGTGGGATGGAGAATAAGAGTAGATGGTTAGCAAGAGTAGATATATGTGGAAGTTGAGTGCTGAGTGCTGAGTGCTGAGCGCTGGAAGAAGCAAAGCGGCAGAAAGAAGCAGCTTACCGATCTCACTTCGCAGAATCTGGATTCGCACTTTATCCTTCTCGGGGTGTGAGTTCTCGCCATGCGGCTGCTTTTTCATCCCCTTCATCCCTTTGAGTAGGTCGACCGTCGACGCCGACGAGTGCATGACAACGTTTGTAAATTGTGGTGGGAAACGGAAGGTGAACGCGATGCAAGGGGCGGGTGGAGGTGGGGAGCGTGTGAGCGAGCGAAGGGGGAGGTGATGTGATGTGATGCAAGGGGACAGGCAGCGAGTCGAGGGTTATATAGAGGTCGTTCTCTAGATCCTCGAGCTCTTCTGTTCTATCGCAGAATAATCAATCTATAAACAATATCAAACAAACAGGAAAGCAGGTTTTCGCAGGGTTTGGCCTGTGGAGATGCACGCAGAGCCTCTGTTAATGTGGCTGCGGCGTATTTTGAATTTTCTCTGTCGGTTAGGGGCGCTCTTCTGTGTGTATGATTCTGATGATTGCTTCGTCGCAAGTGCTGTTGTTCGTGTTTAATGATTTAATATTGTACTTTCTATCTACTAATTCAATAAGCTATCTTCATTTCTCCTCTCTCCAGCAATTGCCGGCGCTGAGGTCAAAAGCAGCAAATCTACCCCAGCAACCTTTGTTTACCTTACCAGCATATCCATCCAACACATCCCACAGTTACGCCACATCGCCGCATAACAGTATGCAAAACTCTCTTTTTTTATTTACATCCGTCCCAATCGGGCGGCCGACCCCTGACGCGTGCTGCATGGTTTTTGGCATAATCTACCTCAGAACACTGACATCATCACTTCTTATCAGATATTACGCACTTTCATTCTATACAATAGCAAAACTCAAACATAGGACTATAATACATCATCAAATTACCGACTTAACGTATCGCACACATACATGACTGTGAAAAAAAGAGAGGTGGATCCAAATAAAACAAACCACGCCCAAAAAAGACAATCAAACAAACTACCACTCCTTTTGCTTTTCGGCTCACGACATAATCGCCTTGTGTATCCGCATCAGAACCTCTTCCGCCGTCGCGATCTCACACGCAACTCCGACTTCCAATCCAACCACCCCTGCAGAGCTCGTGTTCCAAATACCGTTACACTTCTCCGCGCGCTGATACGCACTTCCGGCTTCTCCGCTGCTGCTCGCGTCGGAAATGTACGCCATCTTCCGCTGATTCTTGTCCCGGAGATAGATATCGATCGCGTGCTTTTGCTGCTGGTACACTATCCGAAACTTCCGCGCACTGCGAGGAAGAAAGTAAACCTCGCCGGCGTCAATCATGCTCGCTGCCTTCAGTATCGGCAGCGTCGCGTTCAGTAAAACAATCAGCGGCTTCAGACCATCATTGTCCAGCACATCCTGCAGGAAAAACTGTATCCGCCGGTGTGGACTGTTCTTATCCAGACTGAGCATCATTCGCGCCTCGGCATCAATCGAAATCACCATCGTCAACCCAGGTGCATAGACAAAGCTGATCCGGCTCAACGACACTTCTTGCACTTCCAGAGCATACGACTCTAAAGTTCTGATGAAGTTCACCGCTCGTTCTATCCGTCCTAGGCGATCTAGCATCAAGTTCAGTACCTCAGAAGCCGGAGGAACGCTAAACTTTAGACTGAACTTGCCGTTCACCAAGTCGATCTCGACATCGGACGAGCTCGCAGACACCGACTTTAGCGCAGCCGACGGCTCCATGCTTCCAGTTACGATAACCGTACTCTTTTCAGACGGCGACGCGGCCGGTATAAAATCAAGCTTGAATATCGACCGGGCCCATGAGAGCTTCGCAACAGAAGAAAAATCAAACTGTAGGGAGGTATATCCGAGTTCAGAAGACGACTTGGACGAAGGTCGTATTAGCTCGTACGAAACCTTTCGCTCTTCCATGCATGAAGCAATAACGTGGAACGTAATTCTTGCCGACGCTAACGTAGCCAGCTCTGCAAGCTTCTCTGCCGAATACAAAATCTCCAAAGCAGCCCCATCAATTGCCTCGTTGAACGCAATCCTCCAGCCACTGTCAGCAGGCTGCAATTCAGTGAGCCATAGATTGACAGCACTGTCCGAGATCGTGACGACCACGAACCATGCCGGAATCCAGTCCCGTTGCCGTATCGTGGTGATCTGTCGAACTCCTGTTCCGTACTTTTGCCGGATGTCTTCGGCTCTGATGTTTGACACTTTGACAATCTCCCAATCCGCCGCTTTCGCAAAGTCCTCGATCTCTCGCTGTACTGACAAGTGCCGTAGATTACAAAGGATCTGTGGCGCGAGGTTCAGATCTGTCTGAGCATTCAGAGTCTTCTCTGCTGATTGTATCAGGTCTGTTGAGCCCTGAAGAATCATTCGTCCCGTCAGATGCTCAACAGTCAGGTACGTCGTCGAACTGGGTGTTAATTCAATCCGAAGTTTGAGATCATCAACCGGAACTATTAAATTCGGAAGAACGGAATGTATCGGTGATGCAGTGAATACTGTGTAAATCGTATGTAGAAGTTGCTGGATGTGGACTATCAGCATCTGCGATAGCGCTTTCTGTGCCGAAATATCGTCTTGATCAATCGAGAACGTCTCATGCGGGAAGTCACGAGGAAGCCATCGCACTCCAAGTACCCGCGCTTGTAATATTCCAAACTCCGCTACCGACTTGCGGCCCGGCAGTTCAGTCCAGTAGTTGATCACAATAACCTGTCGCTCCGGAAAGTGGGTTATCGAAAGGGTTCCGGCCCATATTCCTGATGCCAACTTTCCAAACTGTTGATTTAATATTAAGAGCTTGTAGGACAATGTGAAGTTATCTGTATATAGTTAGCCACGCCTTGCTCATCAGGTGCAAGAGGAATATTGTCACATACGCAAATAATCATATAATTCTCTCATTCCTTTTGTTGCCAAAATCTCATTTCCAACCCTCTCTAACGTCATCCGGATTGCAGGAGTGACAGTGGACTCTGGCTTGAATATAAATCTAAACTCAATCAGGAAAAACTGTGCGTTTGGCTCCTCGCTCGCGATCCCTAGATCAACCTCGAATTCACCGTCGACTGTAAACGTTGCCCGTCCGTCTGCGATCTTGAATTTTCGAAACTGTGGCGGAAGACCTTTGCTGGAGGATAAACGGAGGGATAAGAGGACATTGAGATCGTGTAGAGCGTCGAGGATTTGTCGTGGAGTGAGTGGCTTTGGTGGTATAAAATTAAACTATTGGAGCATGAGCGTTAGCCAGGTCTCCAGTACAGCATGCCAAAAATGAAATCAAATCAGCGTACTGTAGATAACCGCGGCTCTCCAACGACAAGGACTTCCAAGGCAGTTGCAATGTCTGGATTTCGTAACCTGATTATAGCCAGCGGTGGTTAGCACGACCACACATCAACTGAACATCTGCAGTAGTGAAACAACACAACACAACACATACCGAGCACCACCGAGTCCATGTTTGACCATCTGCAATTGCATGACAGCATTACTGAAGCAGTTGGCTTGGCCGTTCAGCCACGCTACCACATCAATAACTTTCGAGATATCCTTCGCACTCTTAGCCCACTGCCCGAGAACCAATAGTTTGATAAATTGCTGTCGCGCGTGTATCAGAAACGTAAACAGCTTTCGCTTTTTCGTAAAATCGTTCGAGGCTGGTAAAGTGTCGAGCAGATTCACTAGATCCGTATATGTATTTTCCACCAGTTTTGTTACCACGACCGACAGTGGGATGAAATTCTCAGAGATGTGCGGGATCGTCGGAGGCTGTGAAACCATAGCCTTTGACGACTGCACAATCTCCTGAGACTCCGTCCCGCCGACGCCGCCGGGATGATTTGTGACGCTCATCGTAGAATACAGCACACAGGGCCTGGCCGAGGCGCCAGACTCGGGGTTAGCAAAAACGCGGGCTGCAGCGAACGAGAGAAGAAGATGTCAGAAGAATGATCCAGCTGTGCATATAATAGTCTGACCACGACACAGTCGCTTTATCGCACTCCAACAACAGGATCCGGGGTCGCTGGCAGATCTAACCGGGGAGTGAGCTTTGCTGTCGACAGAAGGGTTCGTTCGTGATCGTGCGAATTCTTCGACGGAGCGCGCAACTTCCCCAGCCTCACCGCGGTTAGGGTCCAGACCAGTAAATAAAAATCATCCACACAATAGCATCGCAGCCCGAACATCTGCGCAAGTCAACTATCCAGAGCGGGAGCATAGTCCATGCACATAATCACTACTGGAACAGCAGTCTACAGCTTTATCTTTTGCTGATTATCTATCCTGCGCGATGGCGGAGCTCACAGTTGAGCAGCAGATCGATCAGCTGAATTCCGCTAAACAGCTCGTATCTCAAGACGCCTCCTTCTACCCCCAAATCATCAAGGGCATCCTGCCTATCGCGCAAAAGCCAGAGTCTGCCCTGCGGTTATGGAGCGCTTCTTTTTTGGCCGAAGGATTCTCGTCGACTTCAGTAGACCAGCTCGAGAAAGAGCAGCTCGCGCTGTCGTGCTTAGACACGATCGAGATCCTGGTAAACGACGATGATCTGCAGGTGCAAAAGCGCTCAATTCCGTGCGCGGCCTTAGTCTACCCTCTTATATACAGCTACGTGTGAGTTCTGGTTCTATTATGCTTTCTTTGTAGTTTCTTTTCTCTGCTGGCAGGGAGCAAAGACAATGACTGATGCCGAGCTTAACCCTTTTAGTTGCACACACAAGACAGCCGACGACGTCTGGAACAAGATGCTCGCAATCAAGCTGAGGGTGATCGAGCTATGGGACAAAGGCCACGTCGGTCTCAGTCTGGCTTGTATAAAATTCGTCCAGCGTATCGTAGCAGCTCAGACTGCGGGAGCCAAGGATCCACGGGTACGTAGACTTTTATTGATTCCGTCAATAGCGCTTGCTGGGCTTGCCCGACGTTTGCGCCTGATGGTGCTTTCCTCTTCTGTCTTTTCGCGTTTGCTAACAGAGATATTTGCAGCTCGTGGATGCGTCGGATGCTTCTCTGACTTCAGTGCCGCTCAATCATCCGTTACTTCATCTGAACAGCTTGGAGGCTGAGGGCCAAGGCTACCTGGACCGGTTGCTAGACGTATTCTACGATCATGCTATGTAAGTTCTACCGCATACTTGAATCTTCATTTACTACTTCCAAGGACGGTCTATTGATACTATTTAGCAACGAGTCGATCCTCAGCGCTACGCTGTACGCGCTCGGCGTACTCTTAAAAACTCGTTCAACCACTGTAAACAAAATCCTGACACGCATTCTTTCATTCGACCCTCTGTCCGCCGACTATGCCACGACAAATCCTGCAAAGCTCAAGCTCGAGCTGCGGTGTATCGAGAAGAACTTGCGGATTCTTTTGGGAAATATGATGAAGTACGTACATCTGACCTCTCAAAACTTTTTTTGAATCTTGCTGCTAATAGTGATGTGTTTTAGGACTCCTGCGATTTCTAGCCAATATGGACCTCGGATACACCTGTATTTGAACCAGCTGATGCAATTCAAGAATCTCTCACCCGAAGAAATCACTCGTAAGCGGTCCGCAGACTCCACAATCGACAGTCCTTCCAAACGACCACGAACAGACTCACACAGTCCTCCCACTGAAACCGGAGTAAAATCCTACGCCAGTCTGTACACCCTGATCGACACAAAAATACCCAGCAGAAACTTTGACGTCAAAGCGCTCCCGCTCGACGTGCTGGCTGAGATTGCTCTTGCTGGGATGACGGCAAATAGCCCGCAAGTCGTCGACGCGGCCGTGAAGGCGGTGCAGACACGGTACAGCAAACTCTACCCGCCTCCGAATATCATCAAGATCGAGGACGACGGAAGTCTAGAGAAGTCGATCGAGCAGGCGGCAGCTCCGTCGACCGCGGCGGTTATTGATCCGCCATATATGGACGATGACGATGACGACTACGAGCCTGACGAATATGAACCTCCAGATCCGATCAAGTCTGCTTCACCCACGCCAGTGCCTGCGAGTCAGCCAGCATCTGCACCTCCTGCACCGGCTATAAAGTACGAGGAAGAAGAAGACGATGACGATTACAACCCTGAGGCCCTAATTGATCAATTCCAACCCGTTGTTGCCAGCAAGCCACCGAATCCGCAACAAGACGACGCCTACATCAATGAGTTTCGAGAGGATTCGCCCGAGATGGACGCACTTGCGCTAGCTGCCCGGGAGCAAATGACCGACGAAGAACGAATTGCAACGTTCCAGGACTGCATCGAGCGGCTGTTTCTTGCCGGCGAGGACATCGAGCGCACGATCTTTGAAGACAACGAAGCAAAGAAGAACGCCAAAGATCTAGCGGATCTCAACAGCGTCGGCCTGCGAGGCGATATCTGGGTGGTTTTGCTCGCGAGATTGGGCACGAGAGGGATCCCTGCCGTGCAGACTGAGGGCATGTCTGAGAGCCAGATCGAGCAACTTAGTGACACTATGGCGCGGCATATCAGGGAGAAGCTTTATGAATACGTGATTGCGAATTTCCGAGAGCGAGTGGAGGTCGCAATTATGTGGCTCAGTGAGGAGTGGTATAACGACAAAATGAAGCTCAAACAACAGCAGCAACAGCAACAGCAAAAATGCGAGACAAAAGCGGAAGATGAGGATACCAAGCCTGTGGGCACCGACGGCACCCTTACAGCAGAGAACTCGGCATACATCATATGGACGATGAAGATCATGGACAGCGTGATCCCATTCCTAGACGTCAAGGACAAAGTTTTTTTACGGTTCTTGTCAGATTTACCAGAGCTTACCCGGGACATGTTGTATAAGCTCCGGATTTTGCTGAACGATCCTGATCGTCAGAAGTTGGGCAGATTTGCGCTACAGTATGTTTTCCCACTTTCATATAGTTCTCAGAGTTATGGACTGAAGGCTAATAATCTTTTTCACCGTGATTTAGGTACCTGGGCAAGCTAAGACCTCCGGTTCGGGAATACTGTTCTCAACTGCTAGAGTCTTTTGAAGGTAACGAGGTGAAGCCAGCCGCCTAGCATTAGAAAAGGAGGACGGAGGTAGTTTACAAGCAGTTGAGATGTATAGTAGTTTAAGAAATTAATTAATCTCTCACAAGCGAGGCGGAAACCGTTCTCGTAACCGTTTTCCAAAATATACAAACCCGATAGCCATAGCACCACATAAGCCCAACGCCAAAAATCCCAGCAACGAGCAGCCCCATCCATGGCCGAGCGAGTTAAACAGCGGAGCCGAAACCAAAGGGAAGAACGCACCTGCGGTCATTCTGAAGCAGTTTCCCGCAGCCGTAGCACTCGCAGCTAGACCGAATGGCGCATATGCCTCGATCAGATAGGTCTGGATCGGGATCATACTCGCGACCATACCGAGGCCGAGCGGGAACATCGACGCTACGACTGCAAACCAGTGGACTCTGTACTCGACCGCCCATCCGTACCAAAACATCGAGACGGGGAGGAGAATGCAGGAGAGAAAAAGCGGGCGAAGGCGAAATTCGGGTTCCCGCTTGCCGCCGTTCTTTTTCGTGAGGTAGTTTACTAGTTTGTCGTTTGTGTTGCCGACAGTGAGGATGCCGGCGAGTTGGCCGGCTCCCATGCCTAGATAGCACAGACCGACGATACCAGGACTGAAGCCGTATAGGTCATGGTAGATTCGGGGAACTGTCGTAAGAAAGATGTATAGAAATGAGAACGCGATGGCAGTGTACAAGCCCAGAAAGGTAACGCTAGGACAGGTACAAAGCAGCGCGAGCGGTCTTGAAATGCCAAACCAAAACACCTGGCGATGCGTCCGCTTGTTGTTGATTTCATATACCGAGATCAGCTCTGGTCTTTGCAGTTGCTTTCTCAGTTTTTTAGTCTTATAGTGTAGCAGAACCGAAGGGTTCGACTCCTCGGCGAGGACGAAAAACAGCAAGGATACGGCCACGCCAAGTATGAGCAGCAGCCGGAAACACCAGCGCCAGCCGACGTTCTCGGTCATGAAGCCTCCTATTATTGGGCCCAGGTTGGGACCCATAAGCGGTCCTAGTGCAAATGCAGATGAAACCTCTTGATAACGACGACGTTAGTAGACGCTCTTATGCTGCGATCCGTGTAGTCGGGTGGGTACTCACTTCCAATCTTCTCTCTTTGGAACATATCAGAAATAGCACCTCCTCCAACAACCATGCCAGCCGAACCCAGAAACCCGCCCATGAATCTGCACGCAAGAAATGCACTGCTAGTTCTACTGAGCGAGCAGCCGAGATTAAACATTGAAAAGCAGAAATTAGAAGCTAGAATGACGTATTTGCGTCCATAGAGCTCACTTAGCGGCGCATGAAGCATCATCGGACCCCATCCGAACCCAAGCACGTAGATAGAAATCAAAAGCGTCTGCCGTAAAGAACTGGTCTCGCCAAACTCAGCAATGACATCACCGACGCCGGGGGCAAACATGGTTGAGGTCATCGGCAGCATGAAGCAGGAGACGATGATTAGGATCATTGTTTTCCATTTTCTTGATAAAGGCCAGTTTTTGGGATTGAGCGGGTCGTCGGGGCTTTCCCATCCAACTAAGCCGCTGTCAAGATCCATGAGTAGCGGTGGAGACCGCGGTGGCGGGGAGGGCTCCCGCTTTTCAGGATCTTGCTGCTCCCCAGAGCGCCCTGATTCGAGACCGCTGTCGGATGCCGAGGACATAACGAAGCAGATGAAGAACAAGAACAGGAAGAATTTGGTCTCATTTCCAAGCCAGAAGCCTCAACAACACAAACACACAGAAACTTCAGGAACAGGCAGCTACGAACCAGCTTATAAACACGCGATCTGCGATGCCAGCGAGAGTTGGTCTCGAGACCCAGAAAGGCGGGGAACGGCGGTTTAAGGTTTGGTTTAAAGGGGTTTGTGCCGGACTTAGGCTTTTACGCCAGGCTCGGCTCCGAGGATGCTGACATCGGATTTCCCGCTTGTTACGTCAGCGGCCTCTTTGTCTTGAGTTCGCTCCTCTTGGCTCTGCTTGGCTCTGTTCGGGGAGTCTTGTTTTTGTCTTATTCTTGACTCTTATTTTGTGTTGAATAGACAGTTACTTGAAAGGGGTTCTACTAGCGGTGAATTATAACTATCATTCTTGAGTACAATATAAGACTGTCGGATATATCAAAGCAAAACCATCCACCAAACGAAAAGCCACAAACTATTAAATCAACAGCTCAGAGCTTGAACATATCCCGCAAGTTCTCATTCCTCTTCTTCAACGGACTAATTGCTTTTCCAGCGGTGAATCTCTGCGCAACCGGAGCTGCAACCTTCGGAATACCAAAGCCAACCACCTTTGTCCGCTTCGGCGCAGTTTGCTCAGTCTCCTCCTGCGCGGCGTCGAACAATGTAGGCGGTCTCGCGACTCCCAATTTCCGCTTCTTCTTCTTTTGCATAGCAGCTGAAGTTGTGGGGTTGCTCAGCTCCTCAGATACCAGTGCAGCGAGACTGGCAGCGGTAGAAGGCGCCATAGACTGCTTCGCAACAGGCTTGCGGGTCTTCTCTGCGCTGACTGTCGTGTTTTCATCTGCATCGACCGATCGACCTTCGGTCGCACTCTCCTGCTCTGTATGCTCCTCGCTCTCGTGCTCAGAAAGTGGTGCACTCTCGGCTTCCTTGGTCATAGCCAAACGCATAGGCTTCACACCGATCATAGACCGGCGCGCGGCTCTAGCGCCTTCGGCTGCATTCGAATCTACAGGACTCAGTGGTGCAATAGAAGTCTGTCGAGCCAAGAAAGGCGTCATTGAAAATGTGGATTTCTCAACAGGCTTGTCTTGAAGCGTAGTGCTCTGCTTGCCACGCTTTTGACGAGCATCTTTTTCAGTCTCTGGAGTAAACAACAGTCGTGCGGTCGGTAATGCAGGAGCTGGCGCATTCTTACCGCCTTTCTTTCCTGCGGCTGCTGTCGCCGTTGCTGTTGCAGATATCTTGAGCTTGTTCTGCGCGGTCTCAAGCCTTTTCTGTAGAGCAGCTTGTTGATCCTTAACCTTTGAGACTTCCTTTTGTGATTTCTCCGTCAGCACTGTTTGCTTCTCTAGCTGCGTCTTGAGTGCCGCAACCTCGTCCTTATATCTTTTCTCCATCTCCTTAATTTCCTTCTTGTCCGATTTATCGGTAGCTTTGCACTCGTTAGCAGAGTCCGCACCAAGCGCGGAAACCTGCTTCTGGAGCGACTTGCTCTTTGACTCGAGCTCCTTAACCTGTGCCTTCAACATCGTAATCTCAGACTTTGCTTCAGCCAGCTGTTCGTCCTTTGCCTTGCCCTTCTCCTCTGCGTCCCTGAGCTTCTTCTCCAGTGCCGAGGTTTCTTTCAAGCTCTTTTGCTTGCCGCTAGCAGAGTCGCGCACACTCTTGAGCTCCAAGTTCAGCCGCGTGACTTCACTCTCCATCTTCAGTTTCTCCTCCAAAAGCGCCTTGTACTTGTACTTCTCCTCGAGCAGCACGTTCTGAAACTCGTGAGATTTCTCCATCTCTGTCGCAATCTCGTTCGAGTCCGCAAGAAGCTTCTCCGAAAGCTCCTGCGCTCGCTGTGTCGCGGCAAGTAGTTTCTTCTCAGTCTGCTCCAATCTAGCAGATATCTGACTGTTTTGCAAAGAAACGCTGTTTGCATATGCTTGCGACTCTGCCAGCTCTTTCGAGATCCGATCGACTGATTTCTGAAGCCGGCTAGACATTTTCTCGTAGTCTTTCCTGGCCAGCTTGATCTCGTCCCGCAGTATCACGTTTGCCTCCTCCAGCATAGTCTTCTCTTGTTCTAGCTTAGTCGCCCGTATTTCGCTCATCCTCATCTGATTATCAAAGTCGCACTGCGATACAGCGGTCACTGAATCGCTGTGCGCGATGTACTTTGCAAGACTTGTCTGTTGCGATTCTTGTTAGCCATAGATCAATGAAACAAGAAACAGTCATTCATCTTACTCTACTCAACTCCGCTAAGTCCATAGTTGTCATTGTCGTGAGCAGATTGAGTATTGTATGAATAGTCAAACGAGTACGGGCAGCATTTGTTTATGTTTTTGTTTTCCCTTCGCAGCCTCAGCCGGGTAACTTTGAGTCCGTCGCCCGGTCAACCGCAGCGCATCACCGACTTACGTCACCATATTAATTTACCCGGACTATATCACGTGTTTTAGAGGGGCCGCGTTCGAGGCAGATGGTGAAGGTACGTGTTCAAATCGCGCTCGAGCCAGAGAAGGAGCCTATTCGATCAACAGATTCTCGCAGGATTCGCGGACAATTGGTTTAGAAAACAGTTCAAAAGAAGGACCTCCACAGTATGCGGACGATTCAATTCTGTGTTTTGCTTTTGGCGGCGCTTTTTGCGTGCGTCGTGAGTGCCGCGCCGGAAAGGGACTCGACATATATGGACAAGCTGCTCAAGTCGAGCTCGATAAACCCAGGCCTGATCCGGCTGACGGACAAGAACTTTGGCGACGTGATTTCCGCGCCGCGAGACTATGCTGTCGTTGTCTTGCTCACGGCCGAGTCGCCGTCAATGGGATGCCAGCTGTGCCGGCAATTCGCACCGGATTACCATCTCGTTGCGCAGTCGTGGAGTAAGGAACACCCCAAGTCGGGCGACGGGTTGTATTTTGCCGTGCTGGATTTCGTGGACGGACAGCGGACGTTCCAGAGCTTGGGATTGAAGACTGCGCCGAATGTGTGGTTGTATGGACCTACTGTTGGTGAGAACGCTGGGCCTGCGGCTCCTATTGTCTACGAGATTCATGGAGTGTACGTTGATCTACCCTCATCTTCATCTGGCGAGTTCTTTTACTAACCCGCTTTTCAATACAGGGTTGACATGCCTGGCTCAGTTGCTCGGTTCATTGAGTCCCACGTCCCTGGAGTAGGCATCACGATCTACAAACCAAGAGATTACAGCAAGATCGGCCAGGCCGTCACCGGCCTCGTTGCCATCGGCCTCTTCATCCGCTACCTCTACCCGATCCTCAAGCCCTTCTTTGAATCGCGCACTCTCTGGGCGGGTATCTCTCTCGTCGCAATCTTGATGTTCACCTCCGGCCACATGTTCAACAACATCCGTCACACGCCCTATGTCGCGGGAAACAAGGAAGGAGGAGTATCCTACGTCGCCCCAGGTTTCCAGCAGCAGTACGGTTTCGAGACGCAGGTTGTAGCCGTGCTCTATGCGTTCCTTGCCTTTGGCGCGATCTCCCTCTCGATCAAGACGCCGAGAATTAAGGATAGCACAAGACAGCTGTTGTCGGTCTTGACGTGGGCGACGATCATCTGGTGCTTGTTTAGCGCGCTGATGTTTGTGTTTCGGATGAAGAATCCTGGATATCCGCTTTCACTTCCTCCGATGACAAAGTGAATGTTACTTAGATCCTAAAATAAGAAAATAGAACCTCTTTATAAACTATTAAGCATATGGAAAGTATGGCACTTCGTTATCAAAAACTACAAAGTCTACTATACACTGTACCCTGCTATACGACACCGACCCAATCCAGAAAGAAAATAAGAATACAAATCGCATCTCAACGATGATAAAAAAACAGATTAAAAGGCGGTTCAATGCGTGGGAAGGAAGGAAAGGGAGGAAAGGAATATATACAAAGATCCCTAATAATAATGTCTGTCGCTCTCAAAAATTAGTACTTCACCAGAAAATCTGTGGACCGCAGACTAATCTGCTGAGCTCTGGTCTGGCCGCGCGTCATCGATCTCGTCCCGTAGCATGACGTCGTAAAGTCTGTAGAGAGGCCCGCTGGGCTCGACGATGCTGTGAGGTACGAGTTCGAGCGCTAATGCCATGTCCTCGGCAGTGATGATGTTGTCATCATCCAGATGCTGGAACTTGCGCTTTCTCTCCTTCGAATTATTCTCTGTAGGTTTCCGGTCGCTTTTATTCGCGGCCGCGTCTTTGCCGGCCTGGCTGTCTTGTGCAGCAGGCGTGAGCGATACAAACGGCAGATCAGATACTTTCTTGTGCATAGTCGGCCGCACTCGGTTAAAAATCTGCTGCAGAAAGTCCCGTAGGTGATACTCCAGCCCGGCAAGGATGATATCCGGCACCTCGTCTGAGATGCCATCGAGTAAGCCGTGCTCGTACGCGATGCCGAGCAGTCGTGTGCGTAGGGCGTCGGCGTCTGGGAGTTCGTATGATTCAGAGGCTAGAGGTAAGTGGTAGCTTTGAATAATGTCTTGGGATATGTCTGAAAATAAAAGATTTGTTAGTAATTATTAAGCACAGTGTGGTGGAATGCTCGCGTACTTGTCTTTGATTTGTCTTTGTCGTTGATGACAGGAACAGCAGGCATCTTGGCCCGTCTGGTGAGGATGATAGTCGATGGTATCGGTCCTTTCTTTCCCGCGTCCTAAACAAAACATAATCAGCTCAGTAGACAGGAAAACACTCAAGTTCATAGCAAAACATGTAAACCTACCCTTGTGATGGCTTTTATCCGTCTTCGTTCTCGCGGGGTGAACCCCATGATCTCAGATTTCAGTCTGGCCATAATCGGATCTCCAGACATCCTCGATCTCAGCGGTCCATCTTTCCTCCGTGTACTCCACACCGGAAGTCCGTTCGTCGACGGCGGCGGATCACGCAGCGAGTTTGCGAGGTTCGCCAGCAAGAACTGGTTATGCATCCGCACCATACTCTTCTCCAAAATCTCCCCGAGCTCCTCCTCGAGCTCCGTCCTCGTCAGCTTCCCAATCAGAAAATTCGTAATCACTTCCCGATAACGCGCCCATTTGTCGCCCAGCACGCGCCGGAAATCGTTCATCAGTGCCTCGACCTCGATCCGACGCGCGGGTCTCTGGGGTTTCGACGGCGTGGTGTTTGTAGTTCCGCCGCTGGCGGACGCCGCCGGGGTTCCGCTGGTCCCGCTTATTGACGCGTAATGCTGGATGCCATTGTTTTTCTTTGAGCCAGGTTGCGGTGATGCGCGTGCTGAAGATGAACCGTTCACTGACGAAGCCATGTTTGATATTGAGGGGGTTCGAGAAACTGGCTGGGCCAGCATCAGAGGCCTTCGGTGTAGTCGTTAATACCAGTGATTCTTCCAAAAGCATGCCATTCTCTTTGCTACTACTTACTATATTAAACAGATATTGTAGAGATGTGACCGAATTGATTTATCGAATTCGTGAAGTTCAAGATGGCTGGGAGATTTCAAAGGGGTGGGTGGTTTCTCGCTCCAAACTCCACCACCGCGCAACAGCAATCGCCAATTTCAATATTCACAGCAAGAGTGCAATATCAAGCACTGTGTATTTCTGGTCACCAACTGCGAGATCGCTCGGAATCAGAAGGCCATGTTTGGTGCAAGCAGACAGGAGTATCTGGTGCTGATATCAGATTCGGAGGCGATGCTGTGAGCCTCACACTCATAAACACCTGATTTCGTTGCATTTAGAACCCTATCAGCGGTTCGCAGGTCCCTCTTCCTTGTTACAATGCGAAGATATACGGTATTAGCGGTTCATTATGTATTATAAAACACTCTTGAATATAAACAGTAGATAACAACTGCACTATAGCGAAAACTCCAGCTCGTTTCTAACCAAAAGCCCGTGCTCGCTCAAATACTGCTTTACATCCGACACCTTATACTCCCCGCGATGGAACATGCCCGCGCCCAACGCGGCATCCGTCGTCGTCTTCTCAAACACCTCCAGGAAGTGGTCCGGCTTTCCCGCACCAGACGAGGCAATCACCGGGATCGAGACCGCGTCCTTGACGTCCTGGATCAGCTCGAGGTCGAAACCAGAGTTCGTTCCGTCCTTGTTGATGCAGTTGAGCAAGATCTCGCCCGCGCCCATCTTCTCCATCGCCGTCACGAGCTGGATCACGTCCATGTCTCGGGTTTCCCGTCCACCTTTGACCGTGCACTGATACCACGCGTAGACCTCACCGTTCGGACCGGGAGTCGCTGTCTTGATCACATGGTGCGTCGTGGCATCAGGCGAGTCGACGTACACCCGCTTAGGGTCCACCGAGATGACGACCGCTTGAGCACCGTAAGCCCTGGAAATAGTCTCCATCGCGGTCTTGCCCGTCAGCTTTTCGCCGTTGGCGTAGAATTCTTCGGCCGCAAACACGGCGTCGCTGCCGATCGAGACCTTGTCGGCTCCCGAGCGGAAGTACGTCGACGCGACGTCAAGCGCGCTGATTTTGGTCCCGTCCGGATCCACGATGTCTCTAATACCACCGCCGATCGTGAGCGGCACAAACACAGTCTCGCTTGTTTTCCGCAGAATCTCAAGCATGGGGGTGTCAACCAGCGGACAGTTTCTAAACGAGGTGATGTTGAGGAACGTGACCTCGTCCGCTCCTTCGAGATAATACCGCTCGGCCATCTCGACCGGCTTCCCGAGGTTTCTCACTTGTCCACCCGTGCTCGCCGTCGCGCTCTTCTCGCGAACGTCGTACTGGTCTCCCTTTGTGACCACAAGATCGCCATCGTCATTTGTCCGCACGTCCAGGCACGCGATAACTCGTTTCGTCAATCCGGGCTTGACGACCGCGCCCACCGCCGCCTCGACGGCCGATTTCGAAATAACCTCGCCTTCCAGAAAGGCGCGGAGGACTTTCAGTCCCGCAACACCGCTCTTCTCCGGGTGGAACTGGGTCGCAAACACGTTGTCTTTGCACACCGCGCCGACAAACTCCTCGCCGTTGTAGTTTCCAGTAGCGACCGTCCACCCCGCCGCAACGACCGCAGCAACACTCGCTCGGTAAGAGTGCACATAGTAGTATTTGCTATCCGGACGCAATCCGTACAACCCTTGCTTATCCTCGTCAATGACGGCGGCGCTGTTCCAGCCGATATGAGGGACCGACTTGTTGGAGTCGTCGAATTTCTCGAGTTGGGCGGGAATAATTCCGAGGCCCTCAACCCCCGGAGACTCGGTCGAACCTGTAAACAGCGCCTGCAGGCCAACGCAGATACCCATGATCCGGCGTCCGGAGGCGATATATGCCTTTAGCGGCTCGACGAACCCTCTCCGTCGAAGATTAGCCACCGTGTGCCCGAAGTTTCCCACGCCGGGAAAGAGTAGAATCTATGAGCACGTTAGCACTGCTTACTCCCAATTCTGCTAATTCAGACGTACCTGTGCCTCGTCGAGGCCGTCCTCCGGAGTCTTGATCCATTTCACGTCGTAACCCAACTTTGCAAGCGCATTTTGCAGAGACCTCAGGTTCCCGCTCTCGAGATCGAGAACGTAGACTGTATTCGCAGTCATTTCTTCTTCTCTGTAGCCTCTATTTCTAATCTTTGACACAAAAGAAGGCTTCTGCGCCAATTGAAAGAGTATCTATGAGAATAAAAATTGGTTTCTTGAAGTCGAGGTCAAAAGTTTATAGCCGGTTAGAGTCATGAAATAAATTCAGTGCGGCTTAATTACACCCCAATTTTGAGAAAAGTTGCTGTGTTGTGAGTAGAGTTTTGGTGCTTTTAGAGCTCACTTTAATTGATTCAATATCAGAAGTTCGCGGTGCAGAAAGCCCTAGTTTATTAATCAGATCTACGAGGAAGATGTAGTATTGTTCATCATATATGTATCATTAATCCGTTCAGAGTGTGCCCTGCACAGCTCAGAGCCCAGAAGTCCCTCTCAACTTTGAGTAAAAGCTATCAATGTCGAGATAGGTTCCCTTCAACCACCTCCCAAACTGCTGCTCTGAATCAGTCGGCACTTTGAACTCCCGCCGACTGTGCAGCACCCGTCTGTTCATGAACAGCGCGATATCCCCCGGCGCAAACTTCTCTTCGTACTGCTCCCTGCGGTCGTTGATGATATCCTCAAACATCCTGTATGCTCTCAGAAACTGCCGAAACTCGCCCTGCTGCGTCAGATCCGTGTGCTTCTCCAGCGACGAGCGCGAGATCATGTGCTCGAACGGACCCTGGAACGGGGGCGAGTAGTTTACGCATTTTATGCGCGCGCGCGGGAGCGAGGGGTGGCCTTCTTTGTAATACGGATCGAGCTCGATCAAGGGCCGCGTGTGCATGTAGTGGTAGCCGTCGTTGTCGTAGTGGAACGTGATTGGGAAAGTGGCAAGAGCGAAGAAGGCGGCGGGGTCGCGTTCGAGAATGAGGTAGGCGGCGCGGAAGGAGTCGGCGTAGACGGACTCGCCGCCTTGCGCGGAGTTTTCGATGCAGTGGAGGAGTTGAATGCCTGGAGGGGACTCGTAGTAGAGTAGGTCCATGTGGAGGGGGAGATTGACAGACGTATATCTAGATGAAGTCTTAGCTGGTAGAAATAATAATGCAAAGTACACAACACATTGACTCACGCGATATTTTTGGCATTCGCAATTGACCTGACGTTCCAAGACGTGCCATAAAAGGTCTCTTTGATATACCCGATCTTCCTCGCGACTTTCTCCACCACAATCTCTCCGTCCGCGTCCTTCTCGGCCGCCGGCGCACCCTTGACAAACGCCAATCCAGAGCTGTAGAGACCCAAGACGACATCATCAAGCGCCTCCTCGTTCTCTAGATAATCTTTATACTCCCTCACCACCAAATTCTCCTTCAGCGTTTTCTGATGCCAGAAAATCTCTGGCCGCGCAAAATCCCAGTGCTTGCTGAACCGCAGCACGGGAGATCCGAAAGTCTTTAGCTGCGACACCGGATACCGACTAACATGATCCGGCTGTGTGCTCGCGCCCCAGGTGATCTCGACGCAGTGCTCGGGGTCGGCGACGGCCCTGCGCGACTTGATGTAGGTATCGGTCGGCAGCTGCGCGGTCGAAAACGACTTTTGCTTGCTCGACGGGTCGACGCAGGACGGACAGGTGCAGGCGTCGCGGAGGAAGATGTTGTCGAAGACGGTTTCGTCGGGGACGAGTTCTTCGTCGGGGGGGTTGCTCGGCGCGGTGCTGATCTGACGTAGACTGCTGCTGCTCAGTAGATGACGAGGAGCAGTAGTCCGTAGATGTTTTGCTATATGCCGCCTGAGCATTGTTGTGGTTCTATCAGAGAAGGTGGTGAGAATAATTGCGACGCGATGAGCTGATTCAATGCGGAGAAGAAGCCGAGGCGAGCCGCAACCAGCTCATTGTCTGCGATGAGCTCAGATATCGACTAAATACAAATACAAATTACTCTTCTTTTCTACTTCTGCTTGTTCGACTTTTGATACAATTGCTTTAAATATAATTGAAAATCTACACTATCTGATATTCGCCTGCGACTCCGTAATCATCGACGCATCAATCTGCTTCAATCCCGGCCCCAGCGCAAGTCGCACCTTATTCCTGTACGTCGACGGATTCTCCCTCTGGATCGGGTTTCCCTCAAAGTACACCGTCTCGAGGGATTCAACCCCCTTTAACTCGGCCTCGATCTCGTCAAACGACGAGATCTTGTTGCTCGACGCCCACAGTTCCTCGAGATTGCGCAAATGCGAGAGGTTTTCGACGTGTTCGATCGCGTTGCTCGTGATGTCCAGGATGTGCAGATTCAGGTTCTTCTCAAGCCCTTCAATCTTCGTCAACCCGTTGTGCGAAATGTAGAGCTCCTCAAGTGCTTCGAGATCTTCTAACCCTTCTATCTTTGTAATCCGATTCGCCTGGATCGACAAAATCTTCAAATTCTTGAGCGGCGACAGATTCGCCATCTTTGTAATCTTGTTCTTGCCGACCCACAGCTGCGTCAACGACGGCACGCTATCGAGGTTCTCGAGCACGCGCAGCCGGTTCCCGCCCAGCTCGAGATTCACAAGACTCTGTAATCCGTCGAGGTTCTCGATCTTGCCGATCCTGTTTTGCACAAAGTAGAGGTTCTTCAGATTCCGCAGGTGCGACACGTGCTTGATCTTCCTGATCTGGTTGAAGCTCAGATCAAGGCTCTCGAGATTAAGCCACTTGCCCTCGTCCTCTTCGCCTTCCGGTCCCAGATTCGCGATCCGCTCGATAGCATTATCGTACAGATCAAGTTCGACAAGACTAGGCCCGACCCCTTCAAGCCCTTCGATAAACTCAATCAGATTCTCGCGCAGACAGAGACTTTGCAGCCGCGTGAACCGGTCGAGACGGAGGGCGGGGATCGATGAGATCCGAAGCTGGACGAGTTCTATCGAATCGACGTCGTTGGGCAGTTCGTTGAGAAGATCTTCGTCGGCGTCGATTTGTTGGCCGGGAACAATGCGGTGGTTAGAGTCTTCCTCGTTGTCGGAGGAGGGGGGTGAGAGCGGTGCGGAAGAAGAAGCAGAGATCATTCTGATGTGGTTGGAAGCAAGTTTTGTAGATGTTGGGAGATTATTGTGACGTAATAAATCGATGAAGTTGTATTTTCTGTATCCAAAAGTAGATCCAAAGTACTGTCCAGCAGAATATTCTCCTAAAACCTCGCTGATCCAAGAAATAACCCAGAAATTAACCAAAGAAAAGGAAATCGAAATCGATAATCGAACGGCTGTCAACTTTTCAATCCCACTTCAAAAACCCTAAGCCCACATCCGACACCCTACATCAACTCCGTCGACAACTATTTTGTCTAATCGATAAGCAGGCAAGTTATGATCCATGTTTGCCCAGTTCCGAGGTCAGACGCGGCCTGCGCAGATGTCTATAGAGGAGCTGGTCAAGGCTGCCGAGGAAGATGATTCTGTTTTGCAGGTCTTTGTTATCAGACATGGCCGGACGCCTGAGAATGACCGGCGGATTATCCAGGGACATATGAGTACGTCTCGGCAATGCTTCAGGCACCGACTGTGCTGTATCAATTCTATCTGTACTGTGAATAGCTTGGATACTGACATATGCATCCCAGACACATCGCTGAACGAAACCGGCCAAGATCAAGCCAAAACCTGCGGCACCCGCGTCCTCACTCACGTCCCCTTCGACGCAATCTGGTCCAGCGACCTCCTCCGCTGCCTCCAAACCCGCGATCTCGCCCTCTCCTCTCACCTCACTTCAATCCCACCCGCGCATATCCACGAAACCGACCTGCTCCGCGAGCGCGGCTTCGGCGACCTCGAGGGCTTCAGAGCGAACGTCGCGCTCGAGATCTTGAAGCAACGCGGCCAGACTTTTGAGACCGCGGGGGAGAAGATCGAGATCTTCCAGGCGAGACTGGCAATGGCATGGGACGCTATCCTAGACGAGGCGTTCGAGCACGGGTTTAAACGCGTCGCAGTCGTCACCCACGGAGGAAAGTTTCTATTACCAGCTCATACACCATAAGCAATATCAATGCTAACAACTGCCTACAGGCTCAATTCAGAGTCTAGTCCACCTCCTGCGCAAGCAGCGCGGCTACAAATTCGCAGACTCGATCCCGACAAACCGCATCTCGGGCCTACTCAACACCTCCATCACAATCATCAACGTCACCCGCTCGACTAAGGATAAAACCATCAGCAGCGGTGCCATCGTCGAGTTCAACAACGCGGAACATTTACGTGATGAAGAGGATGCTACGTCAAGTGGACGGGATAAAGTCGTTGATAACTTTTAGATGCTCATTAGATAGAAATAATAAGAAATGCTGTCGATTTAGATCTTTGCTCGGAGAGAGAACGGTCTAAATCGGACGCTATATATATACAAGAATGTAAATGATCCACACACACAAAATGACAAAAAGAAAAGCAAGTTATGCCCGAATCACAGAAAATAACACAAAAATCAGCCAGTAACTTTATATAAAATCGTACACAAGTGCCTTACACTCTGCACACAAAAACATCTATACACACGAGCAGGACAAAGCGATATAGATATAGTATCAAAATGCAGAACATCTACATATCGATAGTCTCGCTAAACTCAAGAATCTTGTCGTCTCGTATGCCGTCGATGCCAGGGCCGCCGTTGTATTTACTGAAACTGTTGTTTTGCGCAACGAGGACCAGGCCTGAGACTCGGATGCTCTCTATCAAAGCTGGGACCATATTCTATACACTAATGTCAGCTTGCTCACTTTTATAAAAACCCACAAAGAAACTTACCAGTAATCGAGAGTCGCAGATTAGACCCATCAAGTTATTACTGCTCGCAAACGCGGTAGCCTCCCTCATCGACCCACACCGTCGATCCTCGGGTTCCTTCACCGGCAAATCGTGCGCGCTCACAAACTTGACCGAATCCTCAGTCGCAGAGATATCGACGCAGAAAAACACAGGGTAGTTAGGCTGCTTCCAGTTCAGCACCGTGCACACGTTCGGATGGTACGAGCTGAAGATCAGCGAGCGGTTGCGCAGGATGGTCGACGACGGGTTTGCTGCTGCTGCGGCGGCGGCTTTCGGTGCTGTTTCTCGGCGCGCCTTGCGTGCGTGATCAAAAACGACGTTCAGGATCGCGTTGACATGATCGTTCAGGTTCAGCATCGCAGACGACACGTTCAAGTACTCCTTCTCAACAGGCGTCGGGTACAAGATCGCCAGGTCCAGACTGACGTCGATAGGCAGTCTAGCCAAGGTTTCCTCTAAAGACAAGTACGACCCCTCCAGCAAGTCACAAGCTTCTGAAGCCTTGTGCACGAACCTGATCTGCTCTCGCTTTCTTGCGGTTTCGGGATCCCGCATTCCTAGAGCTTCAAACTGCTCGTAGGTAAGATTGCAGATCGGGACTTTGAACTGAGCGACCTCGACCGTCCAGAACGGATAGACAACCGGTATCCTATCCTTGGTAAGCTGCACAAACACTTGCGCATAGCATCCCGAAAGTGACGAGGCAGTGACGAAAGAATGCACCTGCGAGTGCGGGATATGATGGAACCCCGAGCTGGTTGGAACCGCGCCGCCAGACGACAGCGATAGCGCAGACGAATAGGAGTTGCTCAAAAGCCCGCTTCCGGCCGTGCTGGTGTTTGTGCCAATCACAGAGGCAAGCGAGGAAGGCGCCGAGGGCTGGTCGATCTGGCTGGTTGATTTCCAGTATACATCGTAATTGGTGATCTCTAACGGCGTGCCGGAGTACGGCTTGATGACTATGAACTTGAACGATATATCGCCAATCACATGCAGCCGAAGATCAAACAACGGCAAAGTGCATGTACCGACTCCCGATGCAGCCTTGAATATATGAGATAGCGCAGTAGTTTTCGCTATAATGCGCGAACCAAAGGTCGGAAAGACCTCGAAATCGATCGAAAACTCGTCAAGGTTTTCGATCTGGAATGATAACGTCCGGCCGTCGTCAGCCAGAGGAAGAAGCAAGCTGCGAGGGATGACGTCGAGTAGCTTGGAAGACACTGTGAGTTTAGAAGCAGGAATGTTGGAGTAGAACCGAACTGGGGGTTGGTTGGCGACAACAGACGAATTGATCGAACCGACTCCCTGGCCGCCTGAGGAGTACTCGGCAGTCGATGCGCGATGGATCGAGGTGGATGAGGATGGAGAGAGAGCGGATGGAGAGATAATCGGTGCTTCAAAAACAATTTCGATAAATGTCTTCTTGTCTAAGAAGTTATGGCCGTATCGTCTGAGTGGGAGGATTGGCGGTGGCAGCGATAGATCTGGGATCGCATCCACATCCGACATATCGAGATCCATCTCTAAAGGCGCGCTATCGGACGGAAAATCATGCTGAGTGATTGTGTTTGACAGTTTCGCTGTCTGGGGAAGTATGCTTTCGCGGTTCAACGAGATACCCTGTGACGTCTGGGCATTGATCAAAAGCTCCATGCAGTCAAGATGGCCTTCCCATGCAGCATAGTACACAGGCGACAGGTTCTTCTTGTCGACAAAGCTAAGATCCGAGCCGGCGTCGATGAGCGCTTTGACGGTAGTCAGATGACCCTCGCCAGCAGCGTAGAATAATGCTATCCATCCATTGAGCTTGTCGACAGTGTTGACATCGGCACCATAGGCCTTGAGCAATGGGATAAGCTTGCAATGACCCGCCTGCGCGATCAAATGTTGAGGGTACAAGCCCTCGGCATCTGCGAAAATCGAGGCATTATGTTGAAGCAACATTTCTGTGATGGAGTAGAGACCTCGCTGACAGGCAACACTGAGCGGGATGTAGTCCTGTTCACTCGCGGGATCAACGCGGGCACCACATTCCAGAAGCTCGGCGACGCATCGGCTGTGATCTTGTGCAATGGCAAACAGAAGCGCGGTGAAGTTGTCTTGGTCGAGGGCATCGATCGGCGCACCAGCGGTGAGCAGCGGCCTGATCATTTGCTCGCGGCCGTGGATGCAGGCGTAATGGAGAGGAGTGCGGCCGTAGATGTCGGCAGCCGAGGCGTCGACGGTAGCTCGGTCTGGCTGCGAAAGTAAGAGGTCGAGGATCACGGTTCGGTTGGAGATGGCGGCCTCGTGTAGGATTGTGCGATCGTTGACATCGTCGCGGGCAGAAAGGTCGACGGCACCGGTTTGATATAGAGACCGCAGAGTGCTATCGGACGCATCACCTGAGATACTCTGGAGAAAGACACGGGTTATGCGCTCAGAGGCATCCGGCGCTTGCTGCAACTTTGAGATCCATTCGCCGATCGCAGCCTCGGACTCGCGAGAGACGTTGCGCAAAAACTCCATATCAAGCTCCTCATTCGTCCGTTCGATCTGCGAGACATCGGCAATCCTATGGTCGAAGCTGACGTCCTCACCTTCAGCCCATGCTTCCAGTTCGAGGAGACTTGTTGTCGCTAGATCAGAAAGCTCTGCGATTTCTTCGCGGTGGAAAACGGGTTGGACTTCGACTGCGGTTGAAAGATAGAGCTCTTTTGTCTGTGATTTGGACCGCTTGTCCCACTTTTTCAGAACTTTTGAGAATCCGGTTGCGTTGAGTTCGACGAATTGCTAGATAGTGTTAAAAAATGACATCAAAGACTGCAAGGAGGAGTAGGAAGTACCTCAAGTTTATCGAGATCACGGTGGAATCTCGCAAAGCCTTCGTAGAGGGCGATAAATGTCGCCGAGGTTTTCACGACGGCACCGATCTTTGACTTTGCAGTTTTCTTTTTTTCGAGAAGAGCGGCGAGGCGGAGTTTCAACTGGAGGAATTATTAGCATGATGCGCAGATTGAGCGGGGTTGTTGAGGTGGAGGAAGATGTACCTCTGCTTCTTTTTGAAGATAGAAAGCATTGACTTTTTCGAGTTCGCGCTCCTATAGAGAGACAGTGGTCAGCAGTATGCTCAATTGCGGAGAATAGAGCAAGCAATGATGACGTACAAGACGGAAGAAGAAGGTGACTTTGTGGGCCTGCAGAGCCGATTCGATATTAGACAGTCGAGAACTCGAGGATTGCGAGTCGTCTGTTCCCAGCGATTTTATAAGCTGGATGATGGTCGGGTTAGCGAGAGAAAGGAAAGAGAATGAGAGATGATAGAGGGAGAGATCATGCCTTCTTTAAGCCTTTGTAGTTGATGAAATAGCTCGAGTACTCCGGCAGCTCAAGCTGACGCTTGGCCAGGTACTTGCCGAATTTCCTAGAAGGAGGTTAGGAAGAGGACAAGCGAGGGGAAGCAGAAGAGGGAAGTGTACATGAGTAGGGTCTAGGAGTGCGCGAGAATTGAGACTGGATGGAGAGAAGGAAGGGGAGTGGGGACTGAGAACAGAGAACTGAGGCTTTAAGGACCACAGTACTGCTCGCTACTACTCGCTGACGAAGACGGACTCCACGAGCGAGAAAGAGCAAAGGCCGAGCAGACGGTCAATTGCGACTGGGGACCGGCCGCGGGAGGGAAACAATACACCGCACAGGCCCGGCGGTCGGCGGTCGGCGGTCGGCTGCCAATAGAGTCGTGCACGAGGTACGGACAGCGGCGATGGATGAGCAGCAGAGAGAGAAGGAGGAGGAGGAGAAGAGGAAGAAGCAGAGACGCGCGCAGAAGGCTTTCAGTCTCCGTCCGTCTGTTCTCCGGCTGCTTTGTCTGCTTAGTCTGCCGTTTGTTTACTTTTCTCTGTTTTCTCTTCTTCGACACCGAGTCCGCAGTTGATGGCCGCCCCGCCCAGGATCTTGAATCGCGGTGATGAGCAGCAAATTGTCAGCGACCGAGGGATTGGTACACACACCAGCCACACTCTTTCCGGCCAATCCTGCAACTCTCTGCGCCCACGGGACTGTGGCAGTGCGCGCTCGGTCCCCTGCACAGCCTCGTGGGGCTCACTCTAATTTACGCGACGCAGATCTCTATCGACTCTTGTCTCTTTGCCTGTACGGGAAATACAAAATGCTCTCTTTCTTACACCCTTCCTCACCCTCCTCCATGCAACTAACCCTACGCCAGCGCCTTCCACTTCGAGTCCAGCGTCTCGTCCCCATCGTCGTCGTCCAGCAGCGCAGGCTGCGCCCGAACTCCCCCGCCATCTACCGGCGAGTGAATCGGCTTCCCGCTCGCTCCCACTCCGCCAAACGACGCATCTGGCATATACTTTGGTCGCGCTGGCAGTGCCGGAGGCATCTTCTCCACATGCCGCAGCGGCTGAGCCGTCACATTATCGCGGTACCCGCCGCTGCGCTCGAACCGGTCCTGCGGCGCGCTCCGCATCGCAGTCAGATCAGGCAGCGCCTTGCTGCCCTGGCTACCACTGCCGATGCTGCTGCCGCTGCCGCTGCTGCCGGGCCGCGGTGGAAACGGTGGGGGCGTAGCTGAACTCCCCTCTGTGCGAATCCTGTTGATCTTTGGCAGCGACGCGCTCGGAAAATCGCCGCGACGGGCTGTCGTTGTCGACGGATGCTGCTGAAACCCGCCGCTTCCCGTGCTGCTCATGCTGCTTGTCCGACTGCTTGTCCCGTTCGTGCCCGACCTCGGACGGCTGCCCGCTACACCGCCTGAAAACGTCTGCAGCGGCGTGTCGAGGTCCGTGTCTCCCAGCAACCCGCTGCTGTCCATACTTGCGCTTATCGTATTCGCGCGTCGCGGGGGTAGCGCCGGCGGAATCTCACTCAACGGCGTCGGATGCATGCTGTGGCCCGCAAGAGCTTTAGGCTTCTGCGGTATAGGCGGTCCATGGCTGCCCGCTGCGGCGCTGTGCATGCTGACTGTAGACGGCCGGTGTGCCTGTTGCGGATTTCCACCGCTGCTCTGGTCGATGCTGATAAAGTCTGGCTCGTTCGTGGGCGAGAAGGGGTTGGCGGGCCGCTTGTGGTTCAGTATCATGTTTTGCTGAGGAGGCATGATGTTTGCCCGCGCAGACTTGCCACCTTCAAGCCACCACTTTTGCTTGTCCGTACTCGGCGGCGGCACTATAGATAAAACCAATTAGCATACCAACTCCAAGAACAAACATCTGTCTGACTTACAAGGTCCCCCACTATCATCTCCATCTAAATCCAACAACTGTCCAACATATCCTCGTCGTTTAGCATACAGCTCCTGACTCAATTTCTCCTTCTTCGGCCTGTCAATCGTATACACCGTCGCCGTAAAGGACGCATACACCGGTCTATGATCCGAAAACCTCAAACCCGCACTGTTGTACGCAATCTGCCTGATATTCGATCCCCTCGTCAGCACCCGATCCGTCCACGCCGGCACCCGCGCTTTATCCGAGCTGTCGTAGTCATCGCTGTTGTTGTCAAACTTGTACGTCGGATTGAAGTTTATCGGCGCCTCGTTGTAGTACGGGAACGCTTTTCCAGCTGTCATCTGCAGATTCAGTTGATCGTACCGATACAGAGCATCAAGATCGTCTTCTTTGATCCGTCTTCGAACTTCCTCGTTCGGTAAATCGATCCGGTAGTTGAAATCACCCAACCAGATCACCATGTCATGATCACTCAGCGTCTTTCCGCGCGGGAACCGGATCCCGCTCTTGATCGTCCTGAAATCGTGGTTTCGATCTTCGACGTTCGACAGTCCCGCCGCCAAGTGCGACGTGATAAAACACAGCTTGGTAGACGCAAAGTCGCAGCTGAACGCAACGCCTCCTTTGTTTCCCGCCATCCCTCCCATTCCCGTCTTCTTCACCGCGCCATTGATGTTCCTCACGTTCGCCACCTCCGACGCCTTCACGTACAGCAGCAGCGCAGTACCTACCAACTGTCCCGACCGAAGCAAGACGTAGTTATCTCGCGCATTCAAGTGCCGCGACACCTGATGCTCCCAAAACTGTCTTTTTCCCGGGTCCGCACTCAGAATCTGGCCAGGCGTCAACTCGACAATCTCCTGGAACGCAATCACCACCAGATCCGGACAGTCGAACCCGGAATCATTCGGAAATAGCCACGACGACAGATCGCCATCGTACAGACATCCATTCAGATTAAACGTGCCCGCAAAGATTGAGATCTCTCTCGACGACGTGTACTCGGCCCTGCGCTTGCTAAGCTCCGCCAACACATAATCGTTGATCGGGTCATGCAGCAACACCACTTCCTGACCCTCCAGTCGTCCCAACAGCATATCCATCGTGTTTTGCTTCCCCTTATCCACAAAGTTATTAATGTACATCCGACTCACGGACTTTGTCGCATCCGCAATCGCGCCCGCAATACTCATCTTGCCCGATCTCGTGAAACTCGTCTTCAGCGCTCCCGTGCCCGCGTAGATCTTTGAAAGCTGATCACCGTTGTCGGCCCACAGCACCGAGTGCCGCCGTTTGAGTTCCTCGTCTAACCGCAGGATCTCGGTCTTTTCCGCAAAAAGCTCGAGCGCCTGCCTCGAGATTATCTGCTGAATCAAGTTCGTACGATCAAGACAGTCCAAGCAATTCGTCCTGAACGCTCCCGTCTGCTCAGCAACAACAGCACGCACTTCCATATCATACAAGAAAAACCCAAACTGCACCGCGTCGTCCTCCAAAAACCGCAGAATCTTGTTGGCAGCAATGTACCCTGCCTTTGCCGTCTCTGAATGGAAATCGAACCGCGTCTCGCGCAGCTGGTTAGCGAGCGCAACTTCGGATGCTAGCTTGATGTGTTGGCGATAGCGGTGGGTGAGTTCCTGCTCGCCTGGTTTGGCGGCAAGAAGGTTGACGATGTGGACGGGACCGTATTTGGTGACGAGAGGTTCGAAATGAGCCATGAACGCGGGCTGGGTTGCTTCGAAGGCGCGCGTGATGTTGACTTTGGCGCTCAAAAGCTGAACATCTTGCTCCCAAAATACTATAAGCAGAAATGTTGTTAGAACATATCGTCTTAATATCAAAATAAGTAGAATGCATACTCGGAACACTGCCTCGAATCTGAGTATATGAAAACAGAAACTGCGGTGTGTACAAAATCGTTTCCGTTTCCACAAAATTAGCCACGTTTCCCTCGTCGTCGACTCCTCTGGCATTGTATCGCGTTCCGGCCCTGCGGCAGCCTTGCCGGGAGATGATTGTCAGCGACGCGGGGATACCGCCCAGTCTCGTTGGCACCGTCTCTGCGAACCCGCGGATGACCGAGGTCAGGAATCTAGAGCTATCAAGTGCCTCTTTTTCGTCCAGTTGCAGGTGTGATCTGAATTTCACGAGCTCGGAGATCATGAACGAGTTCCACATAAACGTCTCATCAAACCCTTCGATGTCAAACGTCGGCTCAGCCGACCGCGACTGCAGTCTGCTCGTGAGATCAAAGTCGTTGGAGTAGTAGAACGACCCGTCGGTGAGAAGCTTTTTCAGCGACGCGCAAGGATGCTCGATCATTCCCGAGTTCGAGCTCACGGCCGCGCCGCCGCCGGACGTTGTCGCGAGATCAAAATTGTCACCGGGGTAGGTGCCGACCGAGTCCAGCGGGTTGCCTGCCGGGTCGAGGGCAGTGAAATCCCAATTGGCTCTCGACACGCAGTAGAACTCGAGCCCGTGGATCCGGTAGACGGTCTCAACCTGAGACACCGGCTCTGCCACTTTCGACGCGCCCGTAATGACGGCCAGGAAAACGTCACCGTCGACCGCTATCAGTCCTAGACAGCCATAGCAGGGCAGCGAGGACAGCGACCGGTACTTTGAGATATCAATGGTCTCTTTCGGACTGAAGTCGACCAAGACTCGCGACCCTTGACTTGCCGAGCCGCCGTTGTTTGCGTTGTCGTGATACTGCGCTTTCTCGGACCCGTGTGACTGATGGCTGCGGTCTGCGTCTGCGTCGCCCGCGTACGAGAAGGTCAGCGCGTGCTCGTCAGTCAGAAGAAGCAGCGTTCGCGGCTGGTCTCGGAATAGGATGTGCATCGCCATTTTCCGGCCCCGAGGATGCGCTGGTGTGGTGATATCAGAGAGAGATTTGGGGGCTTGGAGGATAATCGAGGCCGACGAGACTGCAGCACGGTCGCTTGCGGTCGGTGGCCGTGAAACCTTAATTTTTGGCGGAGGCCCTGGGCTCTGTCGTAGCTTTGAGGTGGATTGATCTACAGTGGGTGTTGAGAGAGAGCATTGGATTCGGGAATGATTGCTGGGTGGTGTAAGAGTGCAATGAGTGTTGTTGTTTGATTACTGTCAAAGAGACTGGTAGTCGGGTGCGCTGGATGTTTCTACTGACATCAATAGTCATTTTTTAGCAACCCTTCAGCTCTTGAACCATTCAGCATCAACTGATACTCCAACTTCTATCAGATGAATAGAGCAAGCTAGAGCACTTCATGCTGTTGTATATGCAGTGGATGTAGAATATGATGCTATTAACATGATAATATCGTACAGCGATGATGACGTAAAACAATCCCGTAAACCAAGTAATATACAATGCAGAGAGGATAGTAACTGAACCGAGTCTGCTCTCGACCTAAAGTCGAATCTATATAGTTCCGATATAGAGAACTGTAGATTGTCGTCAGCGTGATGCTCATCGTTATATCAGAGGGAGGGATGAGAGTCAGTGGTGGGGTACATACCGTTGTTGCCTCTGATAAAAACGTCTCCGTACTCGTGCTTCAGTTCACCGTCGACGTACTCTTCTGATTGCTCAAGAACGATGTTCATATATCCATCGACACATTGCAGGTCTCCTATGTAGGCAGCGCCCAGCTGTTAGCATCTGATCGAACCGATATATTGACCGAGTGACAAGCAACAGTCTGCGATCCAACATCCGCTGCACCACCGATCATACATCGCAGCGCTTCACAAATCAAATCATCAACACTAACCTTTGTATTCCACGCCCGAATTCAGCTTGACAGACACCTTTGCGCCGATAATCTGAGAAAGAAAAGCAGAGGGGTTATTGCTCGGAGCCTCGGGGGTCGGGGTTCCTGCAGGAGAAACGGCACTGCTCATGGCGCACAGAGTAGCTGGATTATGTAGAGATAAGCGTAGATCTGAGTGTGCCGACGGCGGAGTGTGTGTTTTTTTGTCGAACGAGAGAAGAAGCAGGTTGTGGAGCGGAGAGGCAGCGATGGTAAAAGGAAGAGAAGAAAGTCGATGTGGTTGAACCCGAACCCTGGAGGTAAGGTTTGTGTGCTAATTGCTGCCTGATCCTGATCCCTTGTTTATCTGCGGTCTGAATATAGACGTTGTTGGTATCAGTAAATAGAGGGATTTCTGTATATTAGTATAGTATTATTTTTGTAGGCAGATACTGCTTGAGTCTGCGTACATCTTGAGAAAAAGAGTGTTGGGCGACAACTTCCGGTCTTTGGGATCTGCGCCGCACCACAGTCGAAGTTCACTGGCGATTCAGATCCCGGCCTGCTCTCTTCCCCCGATATTCCCTCTGTTCCGAGCGAGTTCTGCTTTTTAGTCCAGTCCCGCTTTGGAGAAGTATTGTATTTTTAATAGCTGTAGATTTGTACAGCTAGCGAGCACTTACTTTTGTGTCTTGTGCGCAAATTTGGCAGGGAAGAGGTAATGGCAGATCAGATCAGCAAGGCTCAGGCCAACGGCGACGGCAGTAAGAGCGCTTCTAAGAAACCTCGCAAGTAAGTGCACTTTGTGATCACGGTACGGATATGTGGCTATTGGCTAACTTTTAGCCTGGATAGATGTGCACCTCGTCGAATCCACTTTGCTCCACTCAATATTCCTCTCGAGCAACGACTTCAGACACTGGCGGTTCTATGGTAAGCCATACATTATCCCATACCCGAGATATATATCAATACTGACTGCAACAGTCACACTATCGCCATTCCATTTTGTCTTGGCTTATTTTTCCTATGTGTCGCATTCCCGCCTTTCTGGCCATTCGTCATCGCCTACGTGATCTGGATCTTCTGGTTCGACAAATGTCCTGAGAACGGCGAGATCCAGACTCGCCGCTCTCCGCTCGTTCGTCGGATGCCACTTTTCAGACTATACTGCAACTACTTCCCCATCACCATACACAGAGAGGTCGAGCTACAGCCGACCTTCCCGAGCCAGCTTCGCGAATCAAGCAGTGCTCTCGAGCGGTGGATAGCAAAGCTGCTGCGGATATCTGATAAGGTTATCGACGACCCGAGCGAAGGCGAGTCTGACGAGAGCAGTAGCTCGTCGCCGGCTAACGGGGACGGTAGCTCGAGCGCGAGCGAGTCTACAAGCAGTCTCGCGCCAGAAATGGGGCCTCGATACGTCTTTGGCTATCATCCGCACGGGATCGTCAGTCTCGGAGCATTCGGAGCTATTGGTTCCGAGGGGGCTGGTTGGGAAAAACTGTTTCCTGGGATTCCTGTGTCTCTGCTCACCCTTGAGACGAACTTCCGGCTACCTGTATGTATATTTATTTATTATCACCAAATTGCAAAGACATGGACTGACTGAGGTACACAGTTTTATAGAGATTACCTGCTATCGCTAGGCATTGCCTCGGTCTCGCGCCGCTCTTGCAGCAGTCTTTTGAAGCACAATCAGTCGATCTGTATCGTCGTCGGCGGCGCCGGCGAGTCTTTGTACGCTGAACCCGGTCGTCTGGATCTTGTGCTCCGGAAACGACGAGGGTTCGTACGGCTAGCTATGCAAGACGTGCCGGCGGTCGACGCCCCGCCTACGTGCCTGGTCCCGATTCTGAGCTTTGGCGAGAACGATGTGTACGAGCAAGTTGTTGGAGAACATTCGTCGCTGCTGTACAAGTGCCAGACGTTTGTGAAGAAGGTTGCCGGGTTTACGGTGCCGCTGCTGCACGGCCGGGGTGTGTTTAACTACGACTGGGGACTGATGCCGTACCGGCGGCCGATTACTCTTGTTGTGGGTAAGCCGATACCTGTTCCGTACGTGGCGCATCCGACGGAGGCCGAGATCGCGGTCTACCACGATTTATACGAGCAGGAACTGCTTCGGCTGTGGAAGACTTACAAGTCAAAGTACCAAGTGGACTATAAGGGGAAGGGTATGGAGAACATTGAGTTGAAGATAGTTGAGTAAAAGCAGAGATTGATGGAGATGAGACGAGATGAGATGAGACGAGATGGGCGGGAAGGTGAGAAGGTTAACATCATTAACTTACATTATTACTGGTGAACGCTCGTATCTGATCGAAATGGTCAGGTACGTTGATCCTCAGTGCTCCGATATCTCGGTTTTAAGTACTCTATCGTTGAATGTTTTTGCCGGCTAATTGAATACCTTGCACGGGGTTTTGTATTATTCTCTTTTGATTGTTATATTTCGCTGCAGTAAGTTCTGCAGAAACAAGCTGTGTGTTATTCATAAACCCAGCAGTATTCTCTTTATAAACACAGGGCGTTTATCGCTGTCGTCATCTTCATAAACACAGTGGATCTACTGTCCTATACTTGATGGAGATATAAAAACTAGAGGCAACATTAGGCCGAAATTCGAAGAAATGCGCCGGCCCGTGGACGAGATCGCCATGCTCTGCTCCTGCTCGGGATTCAATAGACTCATATTCCATCAAGATAGTCCAGAGAAGTCGCATAAGATGTCATTGTCCGTGCAGCAGAACAGATATCTCATCTCTCAGCAATATTGCCTTCTTCAAGAACAAAAGTAGATATACGCTGACACTCCAGCGGGCTTTGTGCTAACTCTGGGTACGGTCAATTAAGGTGCAAACCCGCGGTACCTTTTTGTTAAGCGACTTCGAAAGTCGCGGAAGGTTTGGCGATGGCGATTCTTAAATAACCTGGTGGTCCTCCGCTTTCTCTTCTTCCCCAGAATATTCCTGCTTCTCTGCGGTTTGTTTTGATACTCGTGTTTGCGTGTTTCTGTAGTCGAGACTCAATTCCCGGACCTTGCTTCTGTCTCCGTTCTTCAGACACGCTCTGGCAGACGACCTATTCCACTTCGGACTGCCCGCGATCTGACTCCATATTCTCTCCGGCTCGAGAAAGCTCAATGCTTCTATAGCGTCTTCTCGCTGGTTATCTCACTTATTCTACAATTGTGAAATCATAGGCATTGGGTGCTACCTTCTGGTATCTATCCTCTCTTTATCCCGGCCGTATTCGCGCTATCAACCATCAATGATGCTAACATTACCGCCCAGGTACCATCTTCTTTGCCCACCCGCTCCACCGACATCTTGCCGTCCCTACGAGAGCTTATCTACCTTGTCGTAGCCCTTCCTTCTCTTTCATATCTCTTTCCTGGCATCTCCTTTGTGCAGGCATTTATCGCTGCATACGTCTTTGTCAGATTACTAGCGGTTTATCGATCAGTCTATCGTCGTGACTCGAAGGCTCCTAGCAGTGCATCTTCACAGTCCACAATGCATCCTTCAGAGTCAGAATTACACAAGGAGGTTTGTGCTTGTTTGAGTCTTTGTCTAAAGTCATTAGATCACTCCGTGGTTTGCTGACATTCATATCTTCATAGGCTGGAAATGTCCTGTTCAGCCATCAAGATTACAAAGGCGCAATTGATGAGTATACCAAAGCGTACGTCAGTTTATTCATTACATGATCGAAGCTTAAAATGACTACTAACAATACCAACAGAATCATCAGAGATGCGTCTAATCCGGTGTACTTTACCAACGTAAGCTCTCGCTTCTGCGCCTCAGACACTTGTCTTGCCATTGAGCAATCGTGCTGATCTCTTTCCACAGCGCGCCTTATGCCGGTTACGGGTATCCAGCTTTGAAGATGCCCTTGGTGATTGCGAAAAGGCTCTTGAACTTTCAACAAACAATAGTAAGATTCCTCCGCTATACAACATACACTCATGTGACCTGATCTAACGGCTCTTTTCTCTTGAAGTGAAAGCAAACTTTTATGTAGGTTGACGGCAATCTTTGAAGATATTTGGACGCCTGCTAATATAACTGATGTGAACAGAAAGGACAAGCGCTATCAGCACTGAACCGTCCTAACGAAGCTCTCCGATCCTTCACAAAAGCCTACGAACTTGCCCTCCGAGAAAAATCGCCGTCTACGCAAGCGATTGCGCAGTCAATACTGAACGCCAAGAAACTAAAATGGGAGGTTCAAGAGGAGCGAAGACTTGAGAAGGAAGCCGCGCTCCTACACGAGATGATGGATATTCTTGAGTCGAACTATGCGAAGCGGATATCTGAGGCGCTGAATGACGAATACGCGGTCGAGCATGAAAAATTGGAAAACAAAGAGTTCCTCGAGTATGAGCGCGACGAAAAGATAAGTTTGCTACGCAAGACATTTGAGCGATCGGACGCAAAGTATCAGAAGCGCGAGGTGCCAGACTATATGATTGATCCGATCTCGTTCAACATCTTCTACGATCCCGTGATGAGCAAATCAGGCCGATCCTTTGAGAAGTCTGTCCTTTTGGAGCATCTGAAGAATAACCCATTTGATCCGTTCACGCGAGAGCATTTGAATGAAGCTGATTTGCGTCCGAACCTTGCCTTGAAGGCTGCCTGTGAGGTGAGTTGAAATATTTTAGCGTATCTATGGTATCAGATGTCTAACGGTGTTGTTATAGCAATTCTTGAACGAAAATGGCTGGGCAGTTGACTATTAGTGAGACGTAGTAACTCTTGCTACAGTTTTGATTACTCTTCTACCAGTACTCGGAAGTTTTTCTATTTTTTTTCTTGCCTGCTGCTCTTCGATTAGTCTATCTTTTCGCTTCATGTTTCTTTTCCTATTCTTACGAGTTGCAGTTTTCACCATCATTGTACAAGTGCAACTGAATCGCATCCACGGAGTTTCGCTTTATTCTTGTTCCTTACGCTTCTTCTTTTCCATATTCTTATGTATAGTCGACTAATGAATCACGATTGAAATCTGCGTTGACGCGATAGACCTGTAAACTCTAAACCCGACCCTAAATTAGTTTCGCGTGCACCACGCGTTGTAGTCCCTCCCAGGCAATCCTTTGCTGTAGTCGATCTGTCTCTCTGCGCTGCGCGATACGGATGACGACAGTAGCTGGATATTACTGAGAGTGTGCGTTTGACGCACTTCATAAGTACTTGTTTTTGGGTTGATAATAGATTGTCTCGTGTGCGCGTGAGCGTGGTTGTGGGCGATGGCGCACGATAGTCTTGGACTGCCTGATTCTGCAGACATACGCAGGCTACGACGGGGTTTTACACACGGGGTGAGATCTGGTTCTATCAATTTGTGTTTAACTATTGAATTTTGGCTGACGTATGTGGCGAGACGTAGGTGAGCGAAGTGGATGAGGACGAGGAGTCTCAAGATGTTACGCAGCCGCCAGATCCAGCGTCCCCAGCGCCCTCGCTATCGACAACAGATCCAACAACGACCACCACCCACTCCGTCAGAAACACCAGAGGTACCGCGGCGGTTGCCGATTTGACGCGGCGCAAGAGCGAGACGGTATCGATAGACTCGTCGAGTCCGGCGTCGTCCTTGCATGTTATCCAGGACCTGCATCTTATGGAGACCCAGGCCGACGCTTGCTTCCACGAGATCCCGGACTCGGAGGATTTGAGTAATGCGGTCTCGCCATTCTTTCAAACAAACAGCACACAATCTCTTGAAAAGCTGTCAGTCAATCGCTCGGCTACTATCACGAATGGCTCGCACAACACGCCAAAGCATAATCATGGCAAACCTACACCGCAAGATCACCACAAGCTCGAAGAAGTGAACAGCCAGCCAGAGCACGGCCATGTCGAGTACTCGTCGCCGATGTTTGCCGAGTCTGCAAAGAAGCGGACATACCCGATCGAAGACGGCCTCGACGACATCCCGTTTGAGGAAACGCCCGCGCAGTCGCGCATCGTGAACTTACCCGACGACACGCCGTTCCAGGACGCGAGTCAGACGCCGACGCTCGCGGCGCGGCGGAATCTGTTGCTGAATAATAACTCTGGCTCGCCTGGAGTCTTGCGCTCGCGACGCATTACAGACGATGTGTTTGACGGCGAGTTCGAGGCCGGGCCTGTCGAACTCGCGCCGGGTGCTCTGCAGTCCAAAAGAGCGATGGAAGCGTTGCGGAGGAAGGAAATCAATCTCAGGAAAGACAACTCGAACGGTCGGCGTCGTAAAAGCCCGCGAAAGTCCGCGCGCGCAAAGTCCGATGACGAAGAGGTCGAGATGATCCCGCTCACTCCTGCCGTGGGTAACAACCCTTTACCAGCTACTGAAGAGCCTGCGTCGGGCGAGGACGGACTTTCATATGTCTCGGCGTCTGATAACGAGGACAGGAAGGACGCGCAGCAGGATTCACAGCAGATTCTGGAGGATACGCAGCCCGTTGCTTCACTTGCTCTCGAAGAAAAAGACGCGGCCGAGCGATTTCTCAATTTTGAGAACGGCGACGACGACGATGATGATGAAAACGAAGAAATAGAAGAAGACGACGATCGTGATCTCGGAGACGAACACACGGCTGACAACGATATCTCGTCCGAGACCGAAGACGAAAAGGCCAAGAACTTGTTAGACGCGGAGACGCAAAAGATTATTGACAGTCAACCTACAGATCTTGGGACGAACGATATCGACGAGATCAACTCGGCTGGAGCGCTGACTAGTACACCTCCATATATCCATCAAACGCGACAATCTCGAGCAACCCGCGCCCCGTCACAAAAGCAGCAACAATCTCTTCTACATTTCCGACGCGCGACCGCCGACGCACCGAGCAACCCGTCAATCTCCCCGATACGAAGTCTACGGAGCCAAAATTCCGAACCACCAGAATCCTCTCGTGAACAGGCCGCCGATCTCGAGAGCGCGGCGGCTTCAGGGCAGCATAGGAGACAGTCTTCCGAGCAGTCTGTGTTGTCTAAATTTCCGCTTCGTCGGAATACGAAAGCAGCGTCGGCGTTGCCTAAGAAGGGATCTGGAGTGGGGAAGCGTGATATATTTGACTTTTCTGCGAGTCAGGATAGTCCTCAGCAGCAGGACAAGAAAGAGGAAGATGAGGATGAGATTATCCAGCGACGCCGAAAAACACCAGGCTCGTCTCCAGTCAAAAAGCCGGAAGCTGCGGTCAAGATAGTCCGTCGACGAGGGAAGTCTCTGGCCGGAGATTTGTCGTCGTTGGTGTATCAGAAGCAGCAGAAACCCATGAAGAGACTCGAAATGCTGGCCGGCGGTGGAGGCAGTCGAGTGTCGTCAAAGCGGGCGAGACGAGATGGAAGAAGCAGTGCATCGAGATCACCGCAGCGGAATAAGAAGACCAGGACCGAGACGGTGAAGATTCAGCCTGTTGAGATTCCAGAGACGGTCGACGACGAATTGCTAGGTGATGTATCTACGAAATCGGCATTACAAGCTATGGAAGTAGACCAGCGGGACGAAAGGGAAGGGCCGGAAGTCTATGCAGATGACGGAGTAGGCGATCAAGAAGACTACGAGGAGGAAGATGAGGAGAGCTCGGGCGATGACGGGAAGGATGACGAGTACCTTGATACCGCAAACTGGTCGCCCTCATCAGCGCATAAATACGCGCCCGCAAAGAAACGGCTTCGCAGACGGACTACCAGCGGCGAGACTGGTCCGCCCGAACCACGACAGCTATCAAACCCGAAGCCGACGCGCGGAGCTGCCGAGGCTGATGCCAGTCTCGCGCCGATACGTGCGCCATATCGCGTGTTTGCGTATTGGCAAGGTATTCAGACGGGATACTTCCCGGCGACGCTTGTCATGCCGCCGCGAGCGACGGATCCGAATCGGTTGAAGGTGCGGTTCGATGACGGCACGACGACGGATGTGTTGGTTAACGATATTGCGAGTCTGGATTTACGTGCCGGAGATGTCGTGCGCGGATACGAACTGGACAAGGGCTGGAAGAGGCAGCTTGAGATTGTAAGGCTCGAGCGCGAGATGCAGCGGAGTATGAACTATGATGCGACAAAGTCGAATGAGGAGAAGACTACTTGTGTGCGCGGGTATCGATATGTTACGGTTCGGAAATACTACCCGAAGAAATCGCAGTCGGTGGCTCCATCTTCAGCGCAAAGAGCCGGTGCAGAATCCGCAATCGCAGATACCACTGCAGACCAGTCCTCTTCTCAGCAGATCACGATCCCGCTCTCGAACCTATACATCCAAAGAGGCAGGCTCGAGCCCTTCAGATCCCGATGCGTACCCGCCGAAGTCGCCAACATCCTCGACCGGCCCGACCTCTCGATCGAGCGCCTGATGCCAGTCTCTGCGCTTCGCTCGTCGCCGCTTGCGCCGGTAAAGACGTTTCGCGGGACAGGCGGCACGACGCCTACCGGTCGCAAGCAGGTGCTGCATAGTCACTTGGCAGGCGGCGCCGGGAACTTGGTCGCGCAGCTGCTGGAGCTGTATCAGACGCGGAAGGAGACGGCAGGTGCGTTGGTTTCACCGGCGAGATCTGCGACTACGATCTTTGCGGGCTGCGCGTTTGCAAGCACGGGGCTGAGCGAGAGCGAAACGCTCAGCATCGAAGACCTCGTGACGAGAAACGGGGGGATTTATCTCGACAATGGTCTTTCCGAGCTGTTTAGACAGGAAGCAATGACCTCGACCCGGTCCGGCACCGTGCCTGGATTCCGCATCCGTCCGCGGAAGGAGATACTCGACTCGCTCGACTTTGTCGGCGTGATCACGACCCCGACCGCGTCGCGCAAGATGAACGTGACGCAGGCGCACGCGCTGGGCTGGCCGTGTCTGCCGGCGCGGTTTATCGAGGAAAGCGTGGCGAAGGGCAAGATGTGCGCGTGGCGGCCGTTCGCGATGGCGGCGCCGGCGAGCGTGCTCGAGGGGTTTCAGTTTGATTGGCTTTGGGGACGGTCGATGGAGGAGATTTATAGGCGGCGCGTGGGGATTTTGGCGGGGAAGAGGGTCGCGGTTGTGATGTATAACCTTGATGATCGGTCGTATCTTGTGAGTGCTTTGTTTGTTTTCTCTTGCGTGTTGCTCAATTGCTAACTGAGTGGTGCAGGATAGCGTGATGCATGTGTTTACATTCATGGGACCTGACCGGCTAGCGTGCGTATCCGATCTGACAGGTCTCGCGCAGCTCCTCGACCCCACAGCAAAGCCCTTATCGGAAGCCCAAACAATAGCATACTCAATTTTTTCCCACATACCCGACGACGTGGCCGTCGCCAGCAGCAACGACGACAACGACAACAGCGACAACGATAACAGCAGCGACAGTGTATGGTACTTACCCCACGCCTCCCGTCGCCAGAGCTGGGACTACATCTGCATCTTTGTCGACAAGCTCGAGACCGTGATGCCCAAACTTGCAGAGCTCTCAGAGGACACGAGACGCGGCGCAAATTTCGTCGATAAAACTTGGCTGTACAAGCTTCTCCAGGTCGATGTCGATGTCGAGCTTGCTGATTGATTAGAGCCGTGCTTCTACGTTGGATTGGTTTTAGGAGTAGAGTGTATATTGTGTAATATAATAATGAGGAATACTATGGCACACATTATTTTGAAAGGTTATGCGAGAGCATATGTGAACAAACCAGAACAAAAGCTCAAATAAAGCAGACTCAAAAACACCAGAAAAATGTTCATACATATGATATGAATACAAAGAAAAAAAACCGAGTAAAAGAGATATATAAAAACAACTGCACTACTTTTCGTCGCGAACGACTTCCTCGACAACAGAGTTGTCCGAGTATATTTTCCTAGTCGTGCGCACTGTCGACGTCTTTCCCGACGCGTGATCGTAAGACTGCGTGACGGCCTCGGACTGGCCGACGAGCTTTGCGTCCGGCGCCGGCTTGTCGACTTTTCGCAGATGATTAACCTTGTTAAACTCGCTTTCGGCCGTGGCGACAGAGATGAACGGTTTCAGCGACGCAAAGAGCGTCGTCGGATCGACCAGGGTTGGCGCCGCGGTGTCGGCGAGAATCCGATCGAAGACGTCGTCGACGTGCTCGGACTCGACCGCGGCCGTCTTTTGCAGATCCTGGTTTTTCAGCATGCGCCAGTGTAGGTAGTCGTCGTATTTCTCAAACAGCCGCGTGCGGCCGGGGGCATTGAAGTCCGGGAACGAGCCATCGTGGTTGGGGAGCAGGCAGCGCCAGACGCCGAAGCTGTCCCAGACGCCTTTTCCAGCAAGATCCATGCAGTTCTTGAGCTGCGCGTCGTTGGGCGACGGGTACGCGCGGTCGGCAAAGTTGAGCGGCAACAGCATTGAGTGCGCGGTGGGTTTCTGGGTCTGTGAGCGTACGTTCAAGAGCGAAGGCGATGCAGATGGCGATGGGGTGGTGGCGGACGATGGAGAAGTCGAGGAGGACGAAGGCGATGGCGATGAGCCGGTTGGGAGTTCGGAGGCGGTTTTAGAGTTTGACTCGGCTCTGGCAAAGTCATCGCTTCTGCTGTCGAGCACTCGGTCGCCGCCGCTCTCGACGCTGAGGCGGTCGTAGAGCGAGCTGATCGTTCCGCGGATCTGGTCGACTTTGCCGGCGGGCTCCTGCGAGAAGTGGTCCCAGACCTTTGTGCGCGCGCCCTGGCTCTCGAGGAACATCGACCGCCGCAGCTCGCGGCACCAGGAGCCTAGCGCGGCTAGCGGGCTCGATGGCGGCGAGGAGTCGAAGGTCGGCGTCGGGGCGGCGCCGTGGGCGGCAGGGTCGTAGAGGGGCTCGGGGAGGAAGCGCTGGATGGGGGTGGAGCGTGGATCGACGTTGTCTGAGAAGAAAAGTTTTTCGTAGCGCTCGATGAGGGTGTTTGCGACGCGGATTTTCTGCTGCTCGATGCGCTGGCGCAGGGAGGAGGCGGGTGCAGAGGAGGAGGAGGAGGAGGAGGGGGAAGAGGAGGAGAGCTGGGGGAGGGTGAAGAGGGAGGAGGCGTTGAAGAAGGACTCGTCCTCGAGGACGGTGTTGTGGTTTGTAGAGGCACAGCGCTGCTGGAACTCCTCGAGGGAGATCCTGCGGACAGTGCGGTCTTTGTTGAGGTCTTTCATGGCGAGGAGAGGGAGGAGAGCAGAGATATGAAGAGAAAGAGGATGAGGAAGAGAGAAGCAAGACAAGAACAAAAGAGGCGATAAGAATCCTTAAATAAACCAGGAACCGGCCGCCGAGTTCGCGCCTTTTGAAGGAGCCGATGGCGGTCGGTCACGCGTCGGATGCGTGGCGGACCCCGCAAAAGAACCCTGATTTCTGGTCCACTCGCGGTTCCGGCTGGGTTCGCGGACTCGGTCAGGTTATCTGCTTGTTTGTTGGTGATTTATATCCGGGTTTTTTATTGTAGAATATACTGCGAACAGAGGTATTTGTGTGGAAGTAGTCGGGGAGGGCGAAGTCACATGTTTTGGGTCATGCTACTCTGATGTCATTGTCGGCTGACATGAGTTTTGTTTATGGAGGAGGTGGGAATAGTTGATATACAGACAAATCTATTGCTATTGCAATTATTGTATTGTATTGTGTTGTATTCCTATTGTATCTTTACTTTTTTGTTATTGTACTGTATTGTACTGTACTGTATTATACTGCAATTAGCTACCTATTGTTCGCAATGTCGGCGGATCAACTACCCCGCCTCCCCTCCCTCGAACTGGGAAATCGCGGGGTCCTCGACAACCTCACCCAAACACCATCCATCCCTGCTCTCCCCGGAAAACCCTCATTCGCGACACCGCCGCCTCGAGCACTTTATCCGCCCCCGCCAGACCCATCGCCAGCGACCTGATATCCTCGCCATCCCACATCTTCACCTCTCTCTCCTTCGGTGCCGTCCAGTACACGTCTCTGCTCTGCACCGCCCGTGTTTCTGCTACCCCCGGCTCAACCTCCATCTCCACTAGATATCTGTAGGTCTCGTAGCCTTCCTCGATCTCCTCCAGCGGCACTCCCGACTGCCTCTTGCTGCCCTCATCAAGCAGTGTCCGGTTGACTCCCCCTCCCACTCCCCCTCCCCCTCCGACTCCTGCATAGGCCGTAATCAGATTCTTCTGCGCTGCAGCCTGTCGATTCTTGTGCGGCGAGTTATTCTTCCGTCCGTCGACCTTGCCTGCTGTTGCTGTCGTATTCTTCCTCTTCACCGCTCGTACTCTCCTTCGCTGCTCTTCCTCGTCTTCCGCTTCGCTCTCGGACGCAATCACAAGTGGAGGAACTTCCGTGTCTGTCACGAAGAATGATCGTCGTTTGGGTACTGTCGCGAGTCGGGGATTTGTGCGCGGCGGAGGACGATTCACGTGTACGTGAACCGGTCTCTGTTCCTCTTCTTCCGCTTCCTCTTCTTCCTCCACTTCCTCTTCTTCCTCCACCTCCTCTTCTTCCTCCTCTTCCCCTCCATCGTCCTCCTCCTCTAAACATCTCTTTTTACTCACAACCGCGCTATCCGGCGTCATGTAGCCCCCACCCCTCCCCCTAACCACACTCATCGGCGTCGAAACCGCCCGCACAAACTCCGCCGACGTATCAGGAGTCTCCAGACTCGGCCGATTGATCTTGTTAATCTTCGCCGCTATCCAAGGGTTATACAACCCCACATCCGGCGCTGCCGCAATCTCGTCTGCCGCATCGCTTGCCTCGCGCGAGTTGTCGGCCGACGTGTCGAGTGCTTCGAGAACGGCAGAGTTGTCGTGCATCGAGGTCATCCATGTTTCGTCTGCGAATCCTGTCTCTGACGCTGACCGTGATCGTTGTTGATCTGTGCCGTTTTCTATAATCTCAATCTCCATCTCTTCTTCTTCTTCTTCTTCCTCCTCCTCCTCCTCGATTCTGTAAACCTCCTGCACAACTGCACTCCACTTCTCAGCTACACCCTCCTCGTCAAAAAACAGCACATCATCCTTCCCCGGCTCCACATTCACATCATAACAGCTCTCCTCTGGCGGTGTCTTGACATTACAATAAATCAACCCACGGTACTCCGAGCTTAAAAACCTCTTCGTAACAGACGACAGCTTCTTCGCCGTCGTCAGCGCGTTCGACAACGCCCGCCCGTCGACCGCGTAGACGACGTGCTTAAAGTCCTTGCGCGACGCAACTTTGCTCTCCTCTGGTGTCCGCGTCCGTTTCGGCAACACCGCCTCGATCACCCAGCCGTCCGGGAAGGTCCGTTCGACGAACTCTGAACTCTGCGCAACTTCTCTGCCCAAGCAACTCGTAACCGCATCTTTCAGCGTCTTTCCGCCCGAAAACACAGTAGGTGCAATCACTGATTTGACGATCTTTTCGGTGATCCGCACGCCGCGGTTCAGTAGCGCGTAGGAGATCAGAGTACTTCGGATCGTCGCGAGCGATTTCTTTGAGGTCTTGAGGAATTGCTCTCGACGGACGGGTAGGTGGTTGAAGATTGAAGAGGCCTGGATCGTAGTCCCTGGAGGTGCAGATATTTTTCTGCAGCTAGACACCACAAAAATTAGCTCCTGAAAAGATACAAGCACAGTACTAGAGATCTTACCTTACTCGAGTCCCGTTCCTCTGTACAGTCCATCGTTCGGCGATAGCCTCCTCCCTCGTCCTCGTCGTGATCTCCATCCTCCCCGCCGCCTCCGCCAAACTCGCCAACGCCTCGCCTCTAAATCCAAACGACGCCACCCTCCCGTTCTGCAGATCCTCGAACCGCTCAATCTTGGAGGTCGTGTACCGCAGACACATGAGCTCGCGGTCTTCGCCCGGAGATATGCCGGACCCGTCGTCGCGCACGAGCACGTGGGCAATACAGGTCTGGTCGAGCTCAAGAACAATGGATTTTGCTCCGGCATCGAGCGCGTTGTCGACAAGTTCTTTGATTATGGACTGCGGTGTTAGAATCACTTGCGCGGACGCGAGACTCCGCACGGTCGATGGCGGGAGTGTGCTGATTGTCGACATGTTGAGCGATCTGTCTACAGAAGAGTTCTCAAGTCCTCAACAGTCAGCCTCCTCCCTTCTTATTCACAGCAAAATATCCACTCTCTATTGTCGTTCACCAGGATTCTCACCGGAGACATCAAGATCTCAGCAGCGGTTCACAGCGCGCGTCACGCGTCGCAAAGTTTAGAGCTCGTTCGATTAAGCTTCAACTTTAATTTACTACGCGCGTTTTTGTTTGTTTACATACTCGGCTATGCTTCCAGACCTCCGCGCTGCAGGCAGCAATCAATATCCTTGTTTCGCGTTACTGTTCTTCGCTCTAGATTTGCACATATTCACATCACCAGAAAGCCTTGTTTTTTTCTAGTGGCTGGGTCGGTGGTCATTCAACACACAAGCGATGCAAGCTCCTATAAAGCTCTCTGCAGCGCCAGAGCCGAACGACGACATAGATATCTGGCATCAATCCCCCAGCGAATGGCGGCGGTCTCAGAGTCTTGAGCAGCGGATGGCGCGTGCAAAGGGTGTTTCTGATGTCAAACAGTCGAGACGACGGCATTCAATGCCGGTTCCAGTACGTGCAGCAACGTCGCGATCAACGGCGGCGGCCGGCGCTGGTGCTGTTAAACGGCGTCAAGAGAGCGTCGCGGAGCTGAGACCGAGGAAGAGGCAGAGACATTCGATAGCTACGAGCACTGTCTTGCAGAACAGTATAGACATGCACAGTTTATTCCCGCCGATCGGCACATGTGCAAAGTCGGCTTCGAGCGACAAGTCCGTGAAGACGGTGGAGAGCATCGAGGATTTTCAGCCGGTGCAGCAGACGAGGCGGTTTGGTGCTGATCTCACAAATATACCGAGTAGCCCGCCTGTGCAGAGGAAGACGGAGACGGCAAAGATAGACGGAGTGCTGGGATATACCTCATCTTCACGGCTGCCACTACAGACAAATGTCGGCGGTAGAGGCGCGTCAGCTAGAAGCGCGCAAAGAAGCAGCAGAAGTAACATCGCATCTAAAGAGGACTCGGAGATAGATTTACGCAAGAAGATAGACGAATTCCTGGGAGCGGTGATGGCAAGCGAACTCAACGCACTAACGCGCAACAGCACGACGATGGTCCGCGTGCTCGTGAACGACGACACACCCGAGGACGTGAAGGAGCAGTGCCGGGACTACCTCAAAAGACAGGACCAGATGCGCAAGGTAGTCGAGAGCTCGATCGACCGGTTCGGGGTGCAGATCGCGGCGATGAAGGAGATGCTGGCGTCGTGCGTTACGTTCTCAAATAGCCTGGCGCCGACGCTGACGCAGTACCTGCCGCGTGCGGACGCGCAATCTCGTGCAGACGCGGATGGCAAAGCAAGGCGATAGATTCATTGTATTCATATTCATTAGTTTTGGGAGCTAAAAGAAGCAAAGGTCTTGGGATGGCGAAAACAATTACTGCGAGTCTTTTAATAATACTTATACTAATATCACCACAACACAACGCGTTCAGAGCCTCTTCCGCAGCTCGAATCCCTGACATTCAACAACGCGCATCATCCCGCACTGTTGCTGTTCCTCACCCACATGGGCTTCTTTCGCCTCCGAGGCGAGGCCGAGAAGCCGCTTCCATGCACTGCGTACTTTGATCCCCCACGTCGCCTCGCTTCTAGAGATCCGACGATTAGCCGACGCGGGCCGCTTTGCCGATAAGCTTCATCCGTTGCTGAGTAATTTCTTTCTAATATGCATTACATAAACCATTACTCACCAACCCTACAGACTTACCCTACACAGCCTTAAAGTTCAGGACCAAAGTTAGTTAAATACCCAACCTCCTCGCCTTTCTTCTTCTTCTCTTTTTCCTTTTCTCTTCTCTACGCGCAGCAAAGACAGTACGGCTGAGAATTGGACGTTTAATTACTTCCTAATCTGTGTTTTAGCTGTGATTTAAACCTAACAGTTTTTTGCGCTGCGCAGACTAGAGGAGGTTTCTTCTCACTGCTTCTATAAGAACCCGACTGGAAGTCTGCATCTTTTTGCAGGCAATAAAAATTTGATGGTCGGGTGTCAGAGTAGCTGTACATTTACTTTAATAATAAACTGTTTGATGACCCATTGATTCTTGAGGAGTATTCACAATTACAACCAGTATACACAAAACGACTATCGTAATCAACACACTATTCCTCGTCCTCATCCTCCTCATCCTCAGGGTGCTTCGCCAGCGCCTGCGCGATCTTCAGTGCGTCTTTCATTTCGTAGTGCTTCTTCCGCAACTCCTCAAACCTCCGGTGTCTTTCCTCTTCTGTCTCGGTTGGCTCTGTGTTCTCGTCGTTGGCCTGCTCTTCTCGCTCGTCCGCGGCCGCAGCGCTCTCGTCGACTATGATCCGCGACTCTTCGCTCGGCACAGCAGCGTAATTCTCCTCTGGCTCACCCAAATCAAGATCTGGCACGTCCGAACTAGGCTTCGCGCCCACTCCGTTATTGATTCCGTTTAATGTCAGGTTGATTATCTCGTCATTGTCGTCGTAATCCACCAGATCTGACGGATCAACAGAGGCAGCGTATGGCGTCTTTGGCTCGGTAATCTTCATCGTCGCCGTCCGCTCCTGCTCGGTCAGATAGATATTCGCCTCATCCCACTTCAACCTCGCCTCCTGCCTCTTCCTCGCCGTCTCCTCGTCCTCGCCCTCGACCGGCAACAGCTCTTCCGGCGGCTCCGAATGCGGTGCATGCACCAGCGGCGCGCCAGACGTGTGCCCGCGGTCAGCCAGCGGATCCACCGCCGCCGGTTTCTTCTCCAGCGGCTTGATGTTCATCATTGACCGGTCGCCGTGCATCGCCGCATTGCGCTCCGTGTTTTGCAGCAGCAGATCGCGATCGATCGGCGGAGGCGGCTGGTGGTATCGCTCCGGAGGCGGCGGGTTCTTGAGGATGCCCCGTGGGTGCACGGTATCGGCGGAGACTGGTGTATGCGACATGATGATCCTGTTCTCTTTTGCAGTTTTCTCTCGTAAAAGCAATTCTGTAGTAGATAAATGAAGAGAGAAGAGAGTAGAGTAACAGCAATCAGGTTCTTGTGGGCTCCTCGCGAGATTCCCTGACAGCGCGACCTATTTTTTATGCCCGCGCATGTGATGAGCTCATAGTTACCTAATCATAGTCACGTGAAATTGTTATCACGTGACGATACTTGGGAGAAGAGGGAGCTGCGAAAAAAAATTTTGAGCGGTGAAAAGTCCCAACAGCGGCAAAAACCTCTTTTTCTCCTTCTTCACGAGCAGCAAATTTCTTCTGCTGTCCTTTTCCTGCTGTTTATCAGTCTTCTGTTCCGTCGAGAGCAGTGAAGCCAGCTTGGAGAAACGATGAAGGTTACTTGGAAAGATATCGGCACTGTGCCAAATGCGAATGAGTACGTCGACCTTCGTGCAAGGGTGGTGAATGATATTGAGATAGCAGGTCTCCTGTTCTCTTCATATGTTTGCCTCTCTCTGTCCTTTGCTGTTATTTCGATTAGAGTGTTTGTACTCAACTGTTTTATGTATAGGTTCTTGGATGTTGTCCTCAACCGAACTCAGCGCAAAACCCCGACAGTTATCAGACCCGGATTCAAGATTTCACGAATCCGAGCCTTCTACATGCGCAAAGTTCGCTACACTGCCGGTACGCTGTTTTCTCTACCCTGCGATTCTGCCATATAGATTAGGTGCTAACATTTGACAATGCAGATGGTTTCACTGAAAAGCTCCAGGACATCGTAGACTCGTTCCCCCGTCTTGATGATATCCACCCATTCCACCAGGATCTCCTGAATACTCTCTACGACAGAGACCATTACAAAATCGCGCTCTCGCAGCTCTCAATGGCGAAGCATCTCATTGACCAAGTCTCGCGCGACTACGTCCGTCTGCTCAAATTCGGTCAGTCGCTGTTCCAGTGCAAGCAGCTCAAGCGCGCGGCTATGGGTCGCATGGCTACCATCGTCAAGCGTCTCAAAGATCCATTGCTCTACCTCGAACAGGTCCGCCAGCATCTCGGCCGTCTTCCCGCGATTGACCCCAACACCCGCACGCTCGTGATCTGCGGCTACCCTAACGTCGGAAAGTCGTCGTTCCTCAAGTCGATCACCCGTGCTGATGTCGACGTGCAGCCGTATGCGTTCACGACCAAGTCGCTCTACGTCGGCCACTTTGACTACAAGTACCTGCGCTACCAGGCCATCGATACGCCCGGAATCCTCGACCATCCGCTCGAGGAGATGAACACGATCGAGATGCAGTCAATCACTGCGATCGCTCACCTGCGCTCCTGCATCTTGTACTTTATGGATCTTTCCGAGCAGTGCGGATTCTCGGTCGAGGCTCAGGTCCACCTCTACCACTCGATCAAGCCGCTCTTTGCCAACAAGACCGTGATGGTCATCATCAACAAGATCGACGCCATGCGTCCTGAAGACCTGGACGAGAACCGTCGCGCGATGCTCGACACCATCACCGCTGAGGGCAACGTGGAAATCATGCAGCTCTCGTGCCATCTCGAGACCAACTTGATGGAGGTCCGCAATGCCGCGTGCGAGAAGCTGCTTGCGGCGCGCGTCGAGCAGAAGCTCAAGGGCACCAAGGTCAACGACGTGCTCAACAAGATCCATCTTGCTGTGCCCATGGTCCCGCGCGACGGCGTCGACCGATCGCCTTTTATTCCCGAGGCCGTCAAGTCGATGAAGAAGTACGATCCTAATGACCCCGAGAGACGTAAGCTTTCTCGCGATGTCGAGGCCGAGAACGGTGGCGCTGGTGTGTACAACATCAACCTGAGAGACAAGTACATGCTCGAGAAGGACGAGTGGAAGAACGATATCATTCCCGAGTTGCTCGACGGTAAGAACGTCTACGATTTCCTTGACCCCGAGATCGGCTCCAAGCTGCAGGCTCTGGAGGAAGAGGAGGAGAGACTCGAGGCCGAAGGATTCTACGATTCCGAGGATGACGATATCTTTGAGACCGAGGAGGATGCCGATATCCGAATGAAGGCGGCCTGGATCCGCGAGAAGAAGAAACTGATCCAGAACGAGAACAGATCGCGCAAGAGTCTGCGCAACCGCGCCATCATCCCGCGCTCCAAGGTCCGCAAGACGCTCTCCCAGATGGAGGCTCATCTCGACTCTATCCACGTCGACCACACCGAGGTCACCGAGCGCGCTCGTGGTCGCGCGGCGGAGGAGAAGGCTTACGAGGCGTCGATCGACGAAGGTGGAGTTGACACGATCATGCGCGAGGCTGCGCGGTCGCGCTCGCGCGGTCCGGCGGAGTCGACCGCGAACGAGATCCAGAGCTCGAGATTCGACGCGGGATTGGGCACCAAGTCGCTGCGTGCGAAGGCCGATAGAATCGAGAAGATGCATAGACGGGAGCGGAATCGCCTGGGTCGCGCGGGAGAGGCGGATCGACATGTGGCTGATACCAAGCCGAAGCACTTGTTTGCTGGTAAGAGAGGTATCGGCAAGACCTCTAGACGTTAAGGAGAGATCTGGTATAAAAGTTGGATTTTGTTTGTTTGTCTTGTTTTGTCTTGTTTTGTTTCGTTCATGTTTGTTCTTACTTTTTCTGGATGGGATCATTTCATGTGCTGCGCTCTCATGTTTTAGCTTACTTATTACGGTGACATACACCGGCTCTGCAGCACAGGCAGAGAATGCTGATATAATTGCACTTGTTTGAAAAATGCTGATCAGTAAACGAAAAAAGCGTGAATAAAGGCTTGAGTTCTGATATTGGCCTTGTTTTGGAGGTAGAAGAACAGAGATCTGTGCTGTATGTATCCGTGCTCTCGCCTCCACAACAGGCGGATGCGCCAGGGTTCTCGCGGGCCTGTCGCCATTATCTCGCCTCTGCGTCATCGTCGAGCTGCCATAAATATCCACCGTCGAACATTCTATTCGCGCATAAAGCACATTCAGAGCCTGTGTTCCTGCCCGGACCTGTGTGTGTTTCTAGGCATTGTACCCGTGAAGGAGCAGTCAATTGCGCTGCAGTTGTGCCAGCAGTGACCTCGCATCTCTGTGTGCTGCGAAGACCGTGTTTAGTCTCGCCTCCGCTTGTGCCGGATTCAACGAGGAACCAACGGCAACGCCACTGCCTGCACTGCTCTACTTCCTTTCTTTTACTCAATCGCTCTCTGTGCTTTGGAAAGGCTTCGTGGAGTTTTATTTGACCTGCCCGGAGCATACTTGGTGCGTACAGAAATACACCTCAACCATGGCCTCCAGAATCGAACGCGTACCGGTATCGCCGCCAATACAGCAATTGCAAGATCTGTCGCTATCGGACGAACCCCAGAAACAGTCTGGAATTGTGACAGAATCCAGAGAGAAGACCACGCTATCTTCATCCCTGCAGGACCTGATGCTCACCGGCCAGCAAGAGCACTACCTCAAGAAAGAGCTGATAAGTCTCGAGATCGAGCACGAGATTGCAGGTATCAGCACGCCCAACGCGCTCGCTCGCTTCGGCGCCCCGTTCCGCGACTCGGCCGCACAGTCGCCGCTTAAAGCCAAACGTTCGAGCGGACGGTCGATGCTCGCGAGTATGGGGCTGGCGCGACACACGCAGATTACACCCGCCGAGCTTGCCCATGCGATGCAAGCCAACGAGATCCGGCCCGAGGACTCCGAGTTCCCGATCTTAAGACACGTGTTTATCAACCATGTTCGCAATTTCCCCTTCCTTGACTCGACGGACGAAATCGAGTTTTGGCAAAACAAAGTGCAGACGTTTTGGGAGACGTTCTCCGCAAAGCGGATAAGTTCGACCGATGACCGCACGGAGGAGACAAAGCGCCGGCGACTGGCGTTCAAGATTCAGAAAATGATCGAGATCATGATGTCTTCGGGCATCAGGACTGCCTCTGGTTTGGAGAGAGGTGTTCACACCGACGACTCGGATTTGGGAACAACAACTACTACGGGTGCCGCGTCTGCTGCGCATGAGACTGGCGATGCAGCGCACGTATCAGCAGACGAAAGAGAAAAGTTCATGACCGAGAACGCGATCGACGGAAGACCTATCAACGGCTTTGATATCAACGTTGTCGGTGTGCGAACCGTATATCAGCGAAAACGGGTCAAGAACTCGTCGCATTTAGTAAGCACCTTTGCTCCTTTAGCTGTGTAGTAACCAGATACTAATCGATTCTGTGTAGGAGTTTATTATTCGGACGCGTGTTGATGGTCGCGAAGCGTTCGTTTCCAAACGGTATTCTGATTTCCGCGATTTGCACACAAAGCTGCTGCACGCTTTCCCGGAGAAGAGCATCCCCAAAGTGCCAATGAAGAACAAATCTTCGAGCACAGTCACAGACGACAATCGGCCTCACTCGGCACCGATGTCTACAATGTCGTCGGACGACGAGAAAGGATACGATGATAGCGATAACGAAGAGATTGAGACCCCGCTATCCCCGCTCCATAATCACGCGGAGATTCTGGATGAGGATATGAGTCCTCGAAGCTCGCTCTCTCATGTTGCTTCCGATCTTTCTGCAGCTTCATCCTCCGGCGCTTCGTCGGCTTCCCCGCACTCCAACGGGGAGATTGAAAGTCCATCGTCTCCTCGTCCTGCCAGCGTCGGCAAGCATTCAACCGTCAAGAAGCTCTCGCGCAAGCTCTCGATGCATTCTCTTGCGACCAAGCGTGTATCCGAGTCAGTACCCTCGCTGCCGCACTCGCCACTTTTGACCAGCCCTAGCCAGAGCGTGATCGACAGTAAACTGGGCCATACGCGCACAGGCAGTATGAGCAGCGACTTCCGCCGTACGAGCGCTGAGATCTTGCGGCTGCGGTCGAGTAGAGAGCTACACCTTGATGCAGCAGTGATTGGCGCCATAAAACTACTGGGAGAATCGCAGCGCCTCTCCTTACGCGCTTTCTTGCGTTCGTGTGTGGGAATCTCAGCAGTTGCCGAATCTGAGATCTTTCGATCGTTCCTGCTTGACCACGGGTTTTCCGAGTCTGATTTGACGCCTGCCGAGGTTGACGATGTCAAGCGACGGATGGAAGCCGACGAACAACGCCTTGAAGAGCAGTTCCGATTTTTCCAGATCGCGTCCCAGCGCGCGCGTGAGCTCGATGCGTACATTGCTGATTTCAAAAAGGAGCTTATCCAACGAGACGGACTGTCCCGATTCTTTTCCGAGATTCGACAGAAAGAGCGCCTGGCTGATCTCTCGCCTCGGTATCAGAAGTTTGTCGAGTGGGCGCGGATCGAGATCGCGGCTACGATCTATCACTTGTTTGTGGGTCAGGATAATGCTTCGGATCTACTGGCGCAGACAAAGAGAATCCATCGACTGATGCCCTACGCGGTTTTGAAGAGCGTGATTCGGTTCTCGAATCCGGTGTCGATGATGAAGACCGTTCTCGATCTGTTTCTCGCGCAGCCGTTTGGTCAGAAATCTCTTTTGCAGCGAATTCTCTACATTGCACTCAGTGAAGATCTGAAAATGCAGGAGAAAGCGATTCAAGTTGTCAGGAAGAAGATCAACAACGAGGCGCTTTGTAACCGGATACAGAAATATGTCGAAGGCGATGAAGCTCTTCGCGGGCAGGTAGACTGGGAGATCAACGAGGAAGCAGTCGACGTTATAGTCGCAATCGCAAAGACGGACGCGATCGATCCCCCGCTTGATGTCGCTGTTATCGGCAAGATTATCAATTCGTGGATAGCGTGGAATATCGCGGTCGATGACGTGAACGCCGAGGTTGATGACGATATCAGGTTCTTCTCAAATCTAAAGTCGTTGCTGAAGTTGATGATTAGGAAGAGAGATAAAGATATGATTCTGTCGCTTACGGGAGAGGTGGGTTCTCTTATTTTTCATGCCGAATGATTTTTCTGATGCTAACATGCTTCATCTTTCACAGAAAGTCACGATGGATCTCATCAAGGATGTATTTACAATGTTTTACGAACCTCTGGTCCGGGTCTACAAATCCGCCAGTGTCCACCGGTCTGTAGGCGACGTTGCAGACTTTGTCGACGATCTGATAAAGACGGTCGAGGAATGTGATTCCGAAACCACAGCACATGACGCCAACGTGCTCGTGCAGAAATTCGTCGATCTATGCGAACGCCATCAAGAGTCGTTTTACCGATTTGTGCACGAGGTCCATGTCAACGACAATGGCCTTTTCACGAAACTCATGTTATGGATCGAGGAGATTCTGCAGTTTTTGCGCGAAGGGCCGGACTCGACTATTGACATGAACGAGCTATTTATCCACTCGACCTCGATACCGTCAGTAGTCGACCCTGATACCGGCGAAACAATCGTGGTCGATCGGGAGAAACTACTGGCGGAAATCGATGCTATGATTGATTGGAACCTGAAACGGAAGCTATGGCGAGAGAAACGCGTGCGTGATCGACTACGGCAAGGAAAAGGAGTGCGCGCGGACGTGAACGACGACAGTGACGACGAGGAAGCTCAGGATGAAGCGGAATGGCGGGCGACGTTGCCATCTATTCTCCGCAGCGAGGATTTCGGTCTGCGCGGCGACGATCTGGCGCAGTTCGAGGTCGACCAGTCAAACATCAGCAGCGAGGAGGACGAAGATGAAGACGAGGATCTGATGGATCCGATCGAGTACGAGCGGCGGGCGAGAGCTAGACGGAATAGGCGCGGGGGATCGAATGGAGAGCCGCCAAAGCCGGACTTGGTTGAGATCCCGAAGCTGTTAGGGCCATTTGTCGAGCGGTTGAAGGTTGTGCTCGCATAGAGCGAATGGCATTGACTTGATGATAATGTGTAGGGTGTCCAGAGTTTTTTTCATCGCTAGTTTCTTTCCTTTCATGTATTTATTGTTGGTTTTTCCCGGATTTTAGACGTGTTTGTGTTTTATTTGTATCCAGTTGTATTTCATTACCCAAATAGAGAAATGAATCAAAACCGCAGTAAACGAAAGCCAGGCGTTGGGAGTTTAAGAAGACCTCGAAACTCCCAACTGTCAGCTTATCCCGATCCCGCTGCTTCCACCGTTCTTCTGTCGTACTCCTCGCTCGTTCAACCGGTGCCGTCAGCAGTCTGATAACACTTGCTATTTACTAGAATCGCAACATGAAACGAAGAGCAACTCACGCGGGATCCTGGTACCTCGGCGACGGTGATGATCTCGACATCCAGCTCACAGAGTTCCTTGACAACGTGCCTTCTGCATCGACTGAGCACGGCCCATTCCCTGTACCCGGTGCTCGCATTATAATCGCTCCGTATGTGGTTTGTTTGTTGCTGGTTGTTGCTGTGTGCTGAAGTGGTCGTGTGATGGGTGATGCTAATCTGCGGGGTGGATCAACAGGCATGCGGGATACTCGTACAGCGGGCCTACAGCTGCCTGGGCATACAAGGCATGGGACGTATCGGGGCTGTAAGTCACTTGAGATTGGTTTAGCAGCATATTAGCTTTAGCTAATGCAGTGGCATAGGAAACGTGTGTTTTTGCTTGGACCCTCGCATCATGTATATCTCAAGAGTTGCGCACTATCGCAATGCACTGAGTACGAGACGCCGTTGGGGAACATACCGATTGATACCGAGAGTATGTCAGGTTTCTTTATCAAAGTGGAAAAAAATTCTATTCTGACTTTGGACTTGTTTAGCGATTGAGAAGTTGCATAAGGGTGGTGAATTCCAAATGATGTCTAAATCGACAGACGAGGACGAGCATTCGCTAGAGATGCATTTGCCATATATTTACAAGATCCTATCAAGGTACACTTACTCTTACTCCGTATATTGTTTTTGACTACGATACATTCTGACACTGGTTCTAGTTCGAAAGAAGGAATGCGTCCACTGGTACCAATCATGGTCGGCTCACTCAGCGCCAAAATGGAGCGCGAGTTTGGCGAGATCCTAGGTCCGTACCTAGCCGATCCTGCCAACGGCTTCGTCGTGTCTTCGGATTTCTGCCACTGGGGTTCGCGGTTCGGATTCACAAACTACGTCGAGGACGCAGACTGCTCGCGCGTGCGGTCGTTGTCGGGCTCGAACCAGATCAGCTCGGATATGCCGATCTACAAGTCGATTGAGATTATGGACTACAAAGGTATGGAAGTTGCAAGCAGAGGATCGCATGCGGAATGGACGACGTATCTCTCCCGCACAAAGAATACGATCTGCGGACGTCACCCGATCGGCGTGGTCATTGCTGGGATCGAGGCCTTACGTGAAGCTGGAGTAGGCGAGTCGGATGACAAGTCTACAGCCGAACCGGCTGGAGAGGAAGACGCGCAGAAGGACCAGTTTGGCAAGATCTACTGGGTCCAGTATAACCAGAGCAGTCACTGCAAAAGGCTGTCTGACTCCAGCGTCAGTTATGCGAGCGGGTTTGCAAAGGCGTGACTGTAAAAAGCTTGCGCTCTTGTTTTGCTAGTCCCCGTGTTCCTTTTCCGGTGACTTTGGTTTTTTTTGTTTTTTATGGTATAGGCGTATAGGGGATGTTTCGCGTTTTTTGTTCTGGTCTGCACAAATAATGATTACGGTGAAGATAGGTCTGGATGCGTTTGTAGCACGCCCACAAACTGTAGAGAAATCTTGCAGACCCTTACTAGTTTGAGTGAACGATAGTCCCTATAAAGAATAAAGCGCAAGCTTTTACTGATCAGAACTGGTTTGTTTGCGCCGTCAGAGAATCGAGGAGAAGGAGCGAGTCTGCAGCTCGACCCTGATACTCTCTTCGTCGGTTTTCTCGATAGTATATGCTTCCATCTCGCGATTGCTCACCAAAGACAGAAGTCGCTGTGCTTAGCCAAAGCCTCAATCAATTATTTACTGAAAAATACCTTTACCACGCAAAATAAAGAGAAACATGTAGAAAAGTACGAAATCGCAGGCGCGTTGTATGTGATTACTTGTGTCCAGAAAGAGAAACCCCAACCTGCGAGACACGCGCCGGCCGAACCAGAATCCGCATATATTTCAGCGCGCCCGCCCGTTCCTCCTCTCTTCCCTCTTCTCTTTCTCTCACCGTGCTCGACTTTGGTCTTTGCACTCTCCCCACTACGATACCTAGTCTGATCCTACTTTTTGGTAGTAGATCGACACTTCGGCTTTCTCTCTCAACGGCAACACCGTCGGATTTGGATTTGAGAGGCTTCGATCCCAGTCCTCTATCGCATGTGTGGACCCCTCGTGGAGACGCACCAGAAGGCAGCCCATACTGCGAAGGCAGTATCCTCAGAGAGTAGCATATACCAATGTAGCGATCTCTGAGGATATCTCATGCCAGAGCAGGTTGGGATAGCATTCTAGAAAGCAGCCCATATTGCGAAGGCAGTATCTCATGCCAGAGCAGGTTGGGATAGCATTCTAGAAAGCAGCCCATATTGCGAAGGCAGTATTCTCAGAGAGTCGCATATACCAATGTAGCGATCTCTGAGAATATCTCATGCCTCAGCAGGTTGGGATAGCTTCCTGTTGCATCTTTGCGAGAGTAGCTCACTCCGATTCGGGATCCGCGCTTGCGCTTTCCCAAGGGTGGGCTGCGCTGTGCCATGCATGCGAGAAAAGGTAGGGGAGAGAAGCCTACTCAAGCCAAGCGGTCTGGTTTATGACCTGCATGCGCAGATACCGGGTGAGTGCGCCCAAAGGTACTTCCATGCCGTTGTCGGCCCAGTCCCTCTGCGTGGCCTGCCTGAACGCGTGGGGATCCTGCCGGTCAGGATCGGCGCGGTTGGTCCGGGCGGCCAATCTGATGAGCTTCTTCTCTAGCCAGGTTGCTCATTTGGATTTAAAACGTCTTCGTTGTCGCGTCTCTGATACATATGCGCTGGTAAGCTGCGCCGTCGCAAGGGAGCCCCGAGGCGACGGTTGTTGAAGAGAGTCCGCATGACCAAGCGGTTCAAGCGCAACGTTGACAAACCACCAATACGGAGGCGGTTCATGACTGTCTCTTGGGTGAAGTCGGGTTTTAGTGGGTATGGCGACTTTGAGAGAGTCGCAGAGTCCCACATAACTCTTGAGCAATCTTTTCAGTCCTGTTCAGTCTTGTTCAAGAGTATGCGTAACGCATTCTTCCCGATCCTGGCACCAGTCGCTTTATGCGCGCTCTTCCTGTCTCTGCCTGTTCTGTAGCTGCTGATGTGCTGATGTTATGCTGCTGTACTGATAAGTTGTTGTACTTATATATTTTAATTGAGGACTTTGTCCATCGACTGATGTGTGGGAGAAGTTCGTTGTTGTACTTATATATTTTAGCTGGCGATGAAGCTGTGTGATATTGTGAACTTGATCTTTGTCAACCGACTGATCTGGGAAACAGTTTAGCAACTGTTCATTGCGAAGATGGAGGGAGGTAGGCCTTCGTCTTGTATTAGCTATCCATTGGCCGGAGATACAAGGGCTGAGCTGAACTCCTTTCTATTCAATTTGACTGTTGCTAAACTCCTATCGAACGATTTGTGGGACAAGTTCCGGACCCGTTTATTGCGAATACGAAAGATGAAAGGTCTTCGTCTGGTGCTAGTCATCCATTGGCCGGAGGCACAAGAGATGCGCTGATCATCTCTCTATTCGCAGTAAACCGTTTCCCAACTTGATCCCACAGATCTGCCGATTATGGTCGTCGTTTTTTATTGTACTTGTATATCTTTGCGGGGGGAGAGCAGCTTTTGTTTTGTATTGAGGTATGAGAGCGCGCAGGGCGGTTCCGTATTGGAAAACCAAGAAAGAAAAAAAAATAAACCTTCATATTTTGTTCTATATCTCATTGATAGACAGTAGGCGTGTAGATCAAGTAGAGTGAACGTAGCAGAGAAGGAGGGGAAGAGTCTGACGGTGAATCCAAGCTCCGCTACTCTTAAGCGGGCGCGTTGTTCCTCCGTGTAGATCTTCGATATCGACTCTCTTACTTCGTTGTAGATAGATGACTTCTAATATCTGGTAAGCGTTGGTGAGATGATGATGATGATGATAAATCTCTGTTTCAAGTCCGTTGCAATCTCTGTTTCAAGTCCATAGCATTGGTGAGGTACCTGAACAAATAGCGACAAATATAATGTAAAACTTGATTCTTGTTCCAATAAACCAAATATAACAATTCACATAAACTAAAACACCCAAAACCCACAAAACGCAAAACCCGCAATGCAAAAAACTCATCAAACCGTCTCTCGATCCTCATTCACGGAGGTGCAAGACTCGCAGTCTTCTGGCTAATCTTTTTGGTTTCGTCACCTAATGAGACCGCAATCTCAACCCGACTGACTGATCTATTTTTGGTAGCCATAGCCCCTCGAGTGTCCTCGGACCAGTTAAGAAACAGTATCTCATCCTGCACTTTCACAATATCTGTCGTGATGATGATCTTATAGCCCATCTCCTTATACCTCAGACCGAGCGAGAGCGTTTTCGGAATCGCCTCGCCGAGGCCGACGAGGGTTACTACTTTTTTGCTCTGTCCCTTTTTGGACTTGCTAGGGGGAGCGTGCAGACGCTTGACGATCTCGTTCGAGCGTTTGAGCAGGGATATGAATGGGGATCTGGCAATCACGTAGACGACTCCGGCGACGTCGTATTTGACGCCGTCGTGGAAGAAATCGGGCTTTTCTTTCTGAATGTGCAGCGGCGCTGGTCGTTTGCAAACTTGATCTGGAGTTAGCACATGTTTTCAAAGCCTTTTGATCTCATAGATATACGTACTTCGTGGCATGATCACTCGAATACTCTTCCAACAAGACAAAGGAAAGGCTGGGGATGTGGGACATAAGCAGGAGAAAGGACATCGCCACGAGCCCCGCGTCAGAGCAAAGCGCAGTTCGAGAAACTCAAATCGACGCGCCCAAAAATAAAAAAAAAGGTTTCGCGAACACCGTTTTGTCCTCTTCCAACAAAGTCCGTCCGGGTTCTCTGATTCGAGCTGAATATTCTGTTTCCTGTACTTGTATTGAAAGAACACCGTCAACAATGGCGCAGCGGAAGCTGCAGCAGGAAATTGACCGCGTGTTCAAGCGCGTGGCCGAGGGCGTGCAGGCGTTTGATGCGGTGTACGACAAGGTCATGACGACTACGAATCAATCGCAGAAGGAGAAGTTGGAGCAGGTACGGCTTGTTCTTTGCCTGGTTGGGGAGTTGGATACTTGTTTGTGGGAGAATTTGGAGTGCTAATTGCGCAATTGGTGATGTCTAGGACTTGAAACGCGAAATCAAGAAACTGCAACGTCTGCGAGATCAGATAAAGACATGGATGGGCAGCAATGATATCAAAGACAAGAAATCGCTGGTAGACCAGCGGAAACTCATTGAGACGGTATATATCTTTTTTATCTTGAACTCGGATTTGCGAGTGTTACTATAAATTGACTAATACTGACGCCGTCTTTCGCGCGACACAGCAAATGGAACGCTTCAAGGCCTGCGAAAAGGAAATGAAGACAAAAGCCTACAGCAAAGAAGGTCTGAGTACCGTCCGGCTGGACCCGCGCGAGCGCGAGAAGATGGAGATGGGCAACTTTATCACGTCGATGATCGACGACCTAGATCGGCAGGTCGAACAGCTCGAGGCCGAGCTCGAGACGCTGCAGGTGACTATGAGGCGCGGCAAGAAAGACGCGGCGAAAGCGGAGCGGTTGGCGGAGACGGAGTACCGGATCGAGCAGCACAAGTGGCATCAGAGCAAGCTCGAGGTTATGCTGCGGTTACTAGAGAACGGCGATTTGGAAGCGAATCAGGTCGCCAACATCCAGGAGGACATCAAGTACTACGTCGAGTCGAACCAGGACCTTGACTTTGCTTCGGACGACGAGATGTACGACTCGCTTAACCTGGATGAAGAGGACGACATCTACGGAATGCACGACAACGACCACCAGTCGCAGGACGCGCACTCGACCCACGGCGAAGACGAAAAGAAAGAAATCAACACGCCGACAGTGCCGCTTCTCATTGCGAAAAAGGCAGAGCCGACCGCCGTCCGCAAAGTGTCTACCAAATCCGCCGCCCCGCCGCCGCCGTCGTCGTCGTCTTCCTCTGCTCCCGCCGTACCTCCCCTGCCTCACCTTCCAAGCACATCCAGCGTGCACGCGTCGACAATCACCAGCGCGGCAATGAAGCCCGCGCCGGCTCCCGCGCGCCCAGCAGGCGAGAGTCTGAAATACGCGTCCGCGGCCGCAGCTGCTGCCGCCGCAACCCCCGGTCTCGCACCACTGCCTCCACCGCCGTCTGCCGTGCCCGCATCTACTGCAGCTGCAGCGAAGACGGTGGCGGAAAAGACACAGGCGCGCGGCTCGTCCACGGCGTCGTCGCCGGCTCTGTCGTCTGCGACGGTGGCTACGAGTACGTCGAGTGCGTGGCAGAACGGGGCTGCTGCGGAGCAAAAGAGCGAGGGTGTGGCTAGTAAGTCTGGCACAGGTTCTGAGCGGTCGAACGTGTTTAGTCTGAAAGATATGGAAGCAGAGTTGAGCAGGGTGTCTGCCGCGCAAGCGGCAGCAGCAAAGTCGGCAACAACAGCATCGGCAGCTGCAGCAGCGGCGGCGGCAGCGAAGGCGAATAACGAGGATCTGCAAGCACGGGACAAGACGCCAGACCTTGTGCGGTCGAACTCGAGCGCGGCCGCGTCGGAAGAAGAATCGATTTTCCATCTTCCGGCGGGCCTGCAAGACCTCGTGTCTGGATACGAAGCCGCGAAGGAGAGACTACAGAGTGCGGCGACGCCGGACGCAATGAGCAAGATGGTCGAGGTCTCGTTCGCGAGCTGTCCCGAGGCCGTGGACGCGACGAAGCCGAAGCATTACCAGCCCAAGACGCCGTTTCCGACGTCGGCGTACTTCCCGCGGGAGCCGCTCGCGATCTTTGACGATCCGCTGCTGTACGAGAAAGTGGATATCGACACGCTGTTTTACTTGTTTTACTACAGACAGGGCACGTATCAGCAGTACCTGGCAGCGCAGGAGCTCAAGAAGCAGAGCTGGCGGTTTCACAAGAAGTTTCTGACGTGGTTCCAGCGGCATGAGGAGCCAAAGATCATCACGGACGAGTTCGAGCAAGGCACGTACCGGTACTTTGATTTCGAAGGGACGTGGCTGCAGCGGCGGAAGGCCAACTTTGAGTTTGAGTACCAGTACCTGGAGGACGAGATATGAGTGTCGATGTGATATAAATATGATATAAATACTTGCATTATGTCACTAAGGCGAATAGTAAAGTCGTAGAAGGTAATTAGGCAAATGTAGATTAGAATCAGGAAGTGGTTCCAAACCCTTGCCGCAGCTCAGCTTCCCCTGGCCAAGCGCACCTCCTTCTCGCCCTCACACCTTCCCACCCACCGACTCACCAAACCAAGTCTGCAATGGCGCCCGCAACCACGAACCCGATCCCGATCGACGACGCCGACATCGAGAGTACGTTTTTTTTTGTGTTTTAGAAGCTGTGTTTGCGTTTTGCGAGTGGGTAGGAAGTGGGCTGGGAGAAGGAGAGGAGGCGAGGAAGCGCGATGTGCGATGACGGAAGACGCGTTTTTTCGTCCTGCGCGCGCGCGTGTTTGCCACTTGTTCGCGCTCAGGGCGTGAAGGTTGCTGAGAGAATAGTTGAAATTGGTGTTAGTTGACGAACGGTGCTAATATTCTTTTACGTTTCGTTGTAGTGGATGATAAAGAGCGGATTGCGGAGGAGAACATTGTTAGCGAGAAGATCATAAACGAGGGTAAGTCTTTCTATTCACGCTGCAGCTGTTTCACTACAGCTGTGACTGAAGACGCTCGATCTTGAGAGGAGAGTGTGCTGATTTTTGATACTGCAGAGTACAAAATCTGGAAGAAAAACTCGCCGTTCTTGTATGATCTGGTGATCTCCTCGGCGCTCGAGTGGCCCACGCTGACGACGCAATGGTTCCCCGACAAAGAGACGTGAGCGGTCTTATATTCTTTTGTAATGTTGTGTTGGAGATACTGACGATGTGTTGTTTGTGGTGATAGACACCCGGGGAAGAATTATACGACTCATAGGTTACTCCTGGGAACACATACGTCGGGATATGATCAGAATTATCTGCAGATTGCACATGTGAATCTTCCGAATATGGATGAGCCACTTGATCTACGGCAGTACGATGAAGAGAAAGAAGGTGAGCCCAATTTTCCAGACTTATTTTCGAACAAAAGAGAAAGAATGGGCTAACGAGGATAGAAATCGGGGGACACGCACAGTCAGAGTCGCGGCTCACGATCCACCAACGGATCGTGCACGAAGGCGAAGTCAACCGCGCGCGCTACATGCCGCAGAACCCCGACATCATCGCGACGATGAGCGTGTCCGGCGACGTGCTCGTGTTTGACCGCACGAAGCACCCGCTGCAGCCGACGGGCGCGTGCCGGCCGGAGGTGCGGCTGGTGGGCCACACAAAGGAAGGCTACGGGTTGTCGTGGAACTCGCACAAGCAGGGCGAGTTGCTGACGGGGTCGGAGGACACGACGGTTGCGTTGTGGGATATTAATAACTACAGTAAGGCGAACGCGCGGTTGTCGCCGACGAAGCAGTTCACGACGCACACGGCGATTGTGAATGATGTGTCGTGGCACGCGCACCACGACAGTTTGTTTGGCTCGGTGTCGGATGATTTGACGCTGCAGATCCACGACACGCGGTCGACTGCGGCGACGCCGGTGCAGAAGGTGCAGGCGCACGCGGAGGCGGTGAACGCGATCGCGTTCAACCCTGCGTCGGAGTACATTCTCGCGACCGCGTCGGCGGACAAGACGGTTGCGCTGTGGGATCTGCGGAAACTGTCAATCTGCCTGCACTCGCTGCAGGGCCACAACGACGACGTGACGTGCCTGCAGTGGTCGCCGCACGAGGAGACGATTCTGGCGAGCGCGAGCCACGACCGCCGGGTGATTGTGTGGGACGTGAGTCGGATCGGGCAGGAGCAGACGCCGGAGGACGCGGAGGACGGGCCGCCAGAGCTGCTGTTTATCCACGGCGGACACACGAACCGGATCAGCGACTTTTCGTGGAGCCCGACGATGCCGTGGGTGATGGCGAGCGCGGCGGAGGATAATTTGCTGCAGGTGTGGAAGGCTGCGGATTCGATTGTGGCGGTGGATGAGAAGGATGTGAGCGCGGCGGAGCTGGAGTAGTGTATAGTAGACGCAGATTAATGTATTTCTGTTCTATCTGTTCTGTAAACGTATTGCCTGTTTGAGGCAGTAGGAGGGAGGTCGCGTTAAGGTTTGGGTTGGCAATTACCTTACATTTACGGCCAGCGGCAATCAGCCAAGTTACTCTACACTACACTCCAACTACACTACAACCACAACTAAACAATCAGCCCTCGACAAGACACAGTTTCTTTCATTTTCTATATTGAATAGCAGATACTCATCCACCGATTGACTCGAAATGACGACAGCAATGACGACGCCAGCTTGGTTCAACAACTACATCGATCCCTCGACTGCGGTGGTAAAGTACGTATCCTCATCGTCCTCTCCATCGTTCTCTATGCTCTCGTCCTTTTTATAGAATTTCGTTCTTTTATAGAATAATGTTGCTGACATAGCTGTGCGGGTAGGGCGACGAAGAATACGTATCCTGTGCCGGCTTCTTATAATAAGGATATCGTGTTGAATACAAAGGCTGTAAGTGTGCGGATGTGGTGAGATGAGAGGAGGGAGTGGAGCTGACGGGGTGTAGAAACATGCCAAGGAGCTTGCGGGGATGCCTCAGGCGATGCAGGATGATTTGAAGGTGAAGGTAGGAAAGACAAGACACAAGATATTTCTGAAGAGAGAGAGGAGAAGGAAGCTGACATCAATGACGATATATAGAAAGCATGGGAAATCGCCCTCGCGCCCTCAAAATCCCTCCCAATGAACGCAATAATGTCCTACTTCTCTGGCTCGTCCCTGCAAATCTTCTCGCTGACCATGACCTTCATGCTGTTTTCCAACCCAGTCAAAGCGATCGCGGGCGTGAACTCGACGTTTGCGCGGTACGAGTCCGAGGCGACGTACTCGCGCATCCTGCAGGCGAAACTCGTGTTTATCTTGATGAATCTCGGGACGATTGCGGTCGGGGTGTGGAAGATGAGTAGTATGGGGGTGTTGCCGACGAAGAGTAGTGATTGGCTTGCGTGGGAGAGTCAGACGTCGGTAGGTTCTTTCTTTTTTCTTCTTTCCTTTTTCTTTTATTTTTCTTCTTCTTTTTTTATTATATTTATATTGAAAGAGGAGTGAAGAGTCACATACTAACTTATATGATGTCTAGGTACTTGAATCGTCGGTGGTGGTATAAGACGGAAAGAGAAGAACGAGAGAGTGTACGATAGATAATAATGCATTATTGCCATACTTATTGACAGAGTAATACTGCTCCCGTAAGATATTATTATTACTTGCTCTCAGAGGGTATAACTGTAGCTATACAAAGTAGATGGTATTCATAGTTGTGTAAATAGTGTTGAAAATCAAGTAAATAAGGAAAGAAGCACGTGGTGCGGCGAGCAGCTTGAATTTATTCCTCACAAAACATCCCGACCGGCATTAAAAAAAGCAGAACACCACATCGATCGACGTCGTCACCAGCCGTTCTCTGTCGCAGTTTTCAGTTGTTTTTGAGATTATTACAAGAGTTGAGAGAGTAGGTGAAAGGAGATTTGTTGACTTGGACTGAATTGAATTGAGTTGAAGAGAAGAGAAGTGAATAGTCAGGACGAAATTAGTTTTCGAAATTGATTTTTTCTTGCGGGTGGTTTAGGATTTGTTGATCACTATCTGCTGATCTACAACGGAGGATATAACAAGTGAAGGACATCAAACATCTCTAAAGAGATAAAACTATACAACACCAAGTCTATTGATCAACAAGAAGGAGCAACAAGAAGATGAGCAGACCACCAGGCCCCTCCGCACAGACTATCTGGTATGTTTACGACTATGCAGCGATCTGGCGTGACGAGTTGCTGACGATGGATGTTGTGTTTGTGTAGGAAGAAGATGGCGTTTTTTTGCGTGGGCACGATTGGGTGTTATATAGTTGTGAAGGGGTATGTGTGTTGAAGAATGAAGAGTGGAGGGAGGAGTACTGACGGGTGATAGTCAACTGAATGAGTACCGACGGGTGCGTTACGAGAACGAGCGGAGAGGTATGTAGTATTCTTGACTGTGATTGTATTGAAAGTACAAGTCGATGAGATCAGACAGCTGACGGACAGAATAGCACGCCGGGAGCCAGGCCACGAGTATCAGAAGATAGCCGAGGTGGAGAAGCGGAGCGACGGGGCGGCGAATCCGAGCTCGGAGGAAGTGAATGATCCGAGTTTTGGGCGGAAGCGGAGTGACAAGTCGTAGTGGAGTCGAGATCAGGAGATGGTGCTGTTTATAGTATAGTTGAATACAGAGGTCTGGACTACGTGTGATATGAGATGAAAAATAAGAGCAGAGTTAAAGAGTGAGAATGGTGAGCTAAGGGTAGAGTTAGAGCAAGAGTTAAAGAGAGAGTTAAAGAGAGAGTTAAGGGTAGAGTTGTTGGTGTTGGTGTTGGTGTTGAGTAGAACCGAGAAGGAAGGCGAGGGCGAGGTAGTACCACTTTGAGTTTGTGCGGCAATCTAATCTTATCAGATCGAGGGGTCGGATCGTCGGGAGGGCGGATGAGTCACGCTGTTAGCAGAGAGTAAGTGGAGTGGTTAAGAGAAGTATAGAATAGGTAAGGTAAAGTAATGTATTGTAATAGTATTATACAAAAGAATATGCAAAGAGCAGCATGAATTAGGGTGAACGGGAGCTCGGAGTTCGGGAGGCACGAAGCCCTTGGATTATGCGATGGCGCCACTTAAAGCAGCGCCGCACGCATCCGAGCATCCTTATGAGTAAGATGTGGTAATGAGATAGAACAAGAGAAGAACAAAAGATGATAGTATTGACCGAAGAACACCGAGCGCCAATAGAGATATAAGAAGACTAGTATGAGAATGTTGTAGATAGTATAGAGGAAGAGGAGGAAGCTGCCAGCAGTTTCCAGAGGTGCGCTTATGGGCAGTGTGGGCTAGTCGCGAACTTGAACTGACTCGGTGTTCTGGAGATGTTAGCTGAGAATACTAAAAATAAAACAGGAGTAACAAAGAAAAGACATACGAGTCATGGTTGAGGGTAGATCTGAGAGGAAGGGCGAATGGAAGAGTGAATCCAAGTCCGATGTAGGAGATCATGAGAAGGCCCATCTTGCGGGAGGAGGCGGAGGAAGTGCGGGAGGAGAAGGATCTGGCGAAGGCGAATGCGGACATGTTGTAGTATATGAAGATGAAGTAGAAGTAGATGTAGATGTTGAAGTAGTAGTAGAAGAGTAGATGTAGATGTAGATGTAGAGCAGAGGCAGAGCAGAGTATTTATATCGCAGCCGCTGCTCTGCTGTTGCATCGCGCCATCTTGGCTCTACCCCAAAACTCTCTCTCCGGGGTTTGGCTCCCAGAATAGTAGTCACGTGGTGTCTACATTCCAGCCAATCACCGTAACTCTATTTCTAAGCTGCCTTGTATATGTATTATGTGTTGCTGTACGTGTGTATTAGTAATAGTCATGTGACTATTATTACTAATATGTTAGTCATGCGTTGTTATGAGCTGTTTTCTGCATAGTAGTAGGAGTAGTAGTGGCAGTTGCTGCAGCAGTAGCAGCAGTATGAGTATTGAATACATTACAACACTGAATACATTGCAGCATTGCATGACATTGAATATCACAGATCAGCTCACTAATTCACTCATCACTCAGCCTATGCTGAGCACGCAAGCAGAGCAGACGCGTCGCTTTATACTTATCTCGGACTCTGTTGCCCGCAACGGCAGCCTGGTCCAGCCCAGGTCCATGCCAGTCCGGGGCTTCCGAGCTCTCGTTCTCGTTCTCGTCATCGTATTCGGCGTCGCTGCCTCGCCTGGCTCGCATTGTTCTTACTACAACTGAAGATAAAAATAATTACAAACAGTTCCTTACTTCCGGCTAGGCAGAATAGTAGCAGAGCACAGAGAAGAGCAGAGCACAGTCTTGATAGCGACGCACTGCCCGAACAGGCAATTATCTCCTCTTAGTCTATCCTACTACTCTCTATCTCTATCTCTCTCTTGTTTTTGTTGTCGTTCTGTGGCTTTGTCAGACAGGCCTGGACAATGCAGCCACGGCGTTCTAGTTCTGTCCAGTCTAATCCGCCGTGCAGAGGTCGCGGTCGAGGTCGAGGTCAGGTCGAGAGCCATCAGATTATCTGATTGTGAGCGATAAGAAACAGATCACAACAAGTGCGCGCTTCTGTTAGTGCAATAGGGTGCTCACAACTCACATCTAGTCACACTCAGTCACACCCAAACGCACCGCAAGATCGTCTCTTCTTGTGCTTGTATTTGTGTTGTTGTTGTTGTTGTTGTTGTTGTTGTTGTTGTATTATTGTTGCTGTTGTTGTTAAGAGAGCAGTAAAGCAAGTCATTGCTGTTATCTGTTGTAGTTCTTCTCTTCTCTTCCACATCTACACCTCCTCTCTCTTACTACTCTTCATCCTCACTACCTCCTCTCAGCCCAGACCCGATAAGCCTCTGTGACTGTGACCACCCGGCGCCACCACCGCTCCGCTGCTTCCTCCTGCAATCAGCCAAAAATGCCCTCTTCCCTTCCTCGCGACCCTCTTCTCTCTTCCTCCTCCTCTTCCACCTCCTCCTCGCCCTCACCTCCTCCCTCCCGCCCCCTCCTCGCCTCAATGGGCATCCCCGAAACACTCGACGACGACGCCCTGCGTCCCGTCCCCACCATCCGCTCATACTCTGCCATCAACAACCCGCTCGCTGACGAGGCCCAGGGCATCCTCGACGACGAATCTCCCCTCCTCTCGCCCTCCTTCTCCGCCGCCGATGGCCCCGTCGTCCTCCCCAAGGGCCGTATCGGCCGCCTCATCAACTTCCTCCGCGGCCCGCGCCCCCCGCGTCCCTCCACCGTCTCCCTGCTCTACCCCCCGATCCAGCTCTTCCCCATGAAGCTCGGCCGGTCTGTCCGCAAGCGCACCCGCGTCTCCGCCATCGTCCTCTACCTCTGCTCCTGGTTCCTCATCTTCGTCTTCCTCTCCCGCAAGTCCCGCTTCTCCCCCCTCGTCTCCTCCGGCGAGGACATCGAGCTCCTCGAGTGCAACAACAACCCCCTCTGGATGACCCAGAACTACCACGCCTGCGGCCTCGACGCGAAGAACTGCGACCCCTTCTCAAACACAACCCTCTCCTTCCGCTGCCCGTCCTCCTGCGCCGGTGCCGCAAAGTACTCCATGTCCGCCGTCGGCACCGAGAACGTCATCTACAAGCCCTATGTCATCGGCAACGAAGACGGCTACCGCGCTGACTCCTTCATCTGCGCCGCCGCCGTCCACGCCGGCGTCATCTCTCAGCTCAACGGTGGCTGCGGCAGAGTCATCTTCTCCGGCCCGCGCGACGAGTTCCCCAAGTCCTCGCAGAACGGCGTCGAGACCATCGAGTTTGACTCCTACTTCCCGGCCTCCTACGTCTTTGACCGCTCCCTCGTCGCCGAGAACTGCCTCGATCTCAGATGGGCCATCACCGGCGTCAACATCGCGCTCTCCGCCATCTTTGCCTACTTTGTCTACTCCCCCGCCGCTTTCTTCTGGGGAATGTTCATCATGGGCTTCTGGACCATCGTCCTCGCCTCCGACCCTCCTCCTACCAACAAGCTCCCCAACCCGGGCGCAGAGGTCATCTCCATCGCCTTCGAGCGTCTCCTTCCCACCGCCTTCATCGGCTATGTCATCATGAACGTCGCCATCCGTCCGCAGATGACAAACATCCGCGCGCAGATGACCAAGGCCGTGCTCTGGGTCGGTGCCTTCTGGGTTGGCGCTCTCAACAACTACACCTTTGACGAGCTGCCGCTCGACCGCTTTGTCGCCGAGGACATCAAGAACCTTCCTGGTGGCATCGTCGCCATCACCTTTGTGTTGCTCGCCATCTTCCTCGGTGCTTGTGGTCAGACATTCACGATCTGGAAGAACAACAAGTTCTTCCCCTACCTTGCCGGCTACTCGATCGTCTTCACAACCTTGATCGTCATGGCGCTCGTGCCCGAGGAGACCCTCCGTATCCACCACTACATCCTCGGTCTGCTCATCCTCCCCGCGACTGCCTTCCAGAGCTCAATCTCGATTCTCTGGCAGGGTCTCGCGGTGGGTATGTTCCTCAACGGCGCAACCCGCTGGGGCTACGACTCCATCCTGCAGACCGAGTACCAGCTCAACCGCGGCGGACCGCGCAACACCGACCTCGCGCACTTCACCACCAACGCGACCAACTTTGACGGCGACTGGGTCGCGTGGGACTATCCGTACAAGTCCCACGACGGAGCCAACTACACCGGCTTCAGTCTCTTGATCAACGACGTCGAGCGGTACAGAGGACCACACATGAACATCTCGCTCATGGAGTTTTACAACATGACCAATCTCGAGTACCAGGGATACAACTATAACTGGTACTTTAGAATCGGAATGTACTCTGATGAAGGCGAATGGTCCGGTATGTTATCCCTCCTTTCTTCTCTCCTTTTTTCTCTATCTCTTGCTAACAACCTCATAGACTACACAAGAGCCGCCACCGCTCTTGCCCACAACGGCAGCTGGGTTGATCCCCAGCCCGGCCCTTCATAGACTGGAGCGCTCACTGAGCTGTGTATAGAGATTCTTTTGTTTTTCTTATAGATTTTCTTGCTGGTGTGTCGATATGAGTATCGTCACCTCTTCCTCTTTTGTCTACGCGTTGTGCTTTCCCTTTCTATATTTTTAACGACTGGGTTTTTCTTTTTTTTCCGTTTTTTTTCCTCTTTTTCTATTCTTATGACGATAGCATTCGTGGGGTGGTTGCATTTTTATTTATTTATTCTTCGGTCTTGAAACGTGGGTGATTTCTATTTCTTCTTTTTCTCATTTTTTATTTTTATCAGTCATCTTGTTCCTCTTATTACATGTATTGGTTTGGCTCGGATATGTTTTTCACTGATTGCTTTTAGTAACTAGTATATATTTCCATACTTTTATCTCGAGGGTATGCGATGATGATATACTATACTGTATGTCCTTATATCTTCGACGGTTTTCTCCTCTTCTTTGCTCTTCCTTTTTTCTTCATACATATTCTTTTGATCTTATGGGATTCTGGCTGCACGCGACTTTCTTATCTTATTTTATTTTATCATTTACGAGTTACTCTTTTCGGTTTTTTTTATTGTGTGTGTTTGTGTTTATGCTTGAAGTATGGGAAATTTCTACCAAAAAATTCGATGCGGGGTGTGAGATGAGAATGAGAATGGGGTGTGAATGGTATGAGAGTTATCAACACAATATATATATCCTTTATCACTCTGTCTTGTGTAGTTACCTCGTAGATCTTAAACTAGTCGCAATGATGACGATAAGTGAAATACGATAGATGAAGTATATTTATACAAAAACAATGAAAAGCTCGTCTCTCTCTTTTTTTCTTCTTATCTCGTCAAAATAAACACTCCTTCGTTTCTCATTTCGTTCTCTTACAATTCATTCGATGCGCGCACTCACATCAAATCCGCCATCGCGCCAGGCATCCCACCGCCCTCCTTCGCCGCGATCTCAAAGTATCCATAGATGGTCGTGACCGCGAGCAAGATCGCGGTTCCGCTCCCGAGCGTGCCGAGCAAGTCCGAGGTGACGCTGAGCGCGCCGATGCACGCGCCGCCGAAGGCGGCAGCGGTCGGGATGATCTTCTTGAGTTCCTTGTACATCGACTGCTCTCTGTGGCCGGCCATCACGAGGCCCTGGTCCTTGAGCTGCTTCGCGACGTCGCGGGGTGACGAGCCCGAGATCTCGATCCAGGTCTTGGAGAAGACGGCGCACGCGACGAGAATGAAGGTGATGTACACCACCGTCTTGATCGGGTCCGAGAGCGCGTCGGTGATGTTGAGCGGCGGCTGCATGTAGTACGCCAGTCCGGAGACGGCGTGCAGCTGGCGCGTGCCGGCGCCGGCTTCCCACACGCCCACGAGGCGGACGAGGAAGTTGTCGGGGAACCGGTTGAACAGGATCTGCGAGATGATGAAGACGTTGGAAGTCAACGCGGACTGCAGCATGATCGGCAGGTTGGACGTGTAAAACAGACGGACGGGGTAGGTTCCGTACGGTCCGCGCGCGCGGGTCGACTTCACCGGGATCTCGACGCGGAAGCCCTGCAGGTAGACGACGACGAGGAAGACGGCGACGGTGGCGAGCAGCTGCATCATGTTGGGCAGGTTCTGTCTGTAGAACGCCTCCTTGAGCGCGCGGCTCTTGTCCTTGCGCGTGAAGAGCAGGTGCACGAGACTCACGACCGCGCCCTCAAATTCGGTGCCGCGGCCGGTGTTGACGGTCGTGGGCGAGAACGCTTTCCAGACGATTTGCTCGCAGATGTTGGTCGCGATGAAGAGCGAGATGCCGGAGCCGAGGCCGTAGCCTTTCTGCAAAAGTTCGTCGAGAAGGATGACCACCACGCCGGCAAGAACGAGCTGGAGGATCAGAAGAAGACAAACGCCGGCTCCGAGCTCCTTGGGGGGACCGTACATTCCGGTGAGCACATACACAGTAGCCTGTCCGACAGAGAGAATAATAGCAAGGACTTAAAAGCTCGTTAGCCCCCAATCGCCCTTATATCTATCGAGAAAACACTTACGCTTCTGAGCAGTCTGGTAAAGCTCGCGATCGCTCTTAAGATCGAGGTTGACATCAATGATGTGGGTACCTCCGAGAAGCTGAATTGAGAACAATTAGATCTAAAACTATGAGGGAGAGTGGGTGGGGTTTCTGCTTACCTGGAAAACCATGCCCGACGAAATGATAGGCGAAATACCCAATTCCATCAGCGTTCCCCGATTACTGGCAAGCATCATACGCAACCAGTAACTACACAGACGATTGAGATTAGACGACCGATACGGACGATCCAAGAGAAAGATAAACAAAGAAACCTACAGAGGATCTGAGCTGTCGGAGGAGACAATTCCGTAGAGACTAGAGCAATTGTCCGGTTAGCAAACGTTCGCTCTTTTTGTAAGAAGAGACTAGGAGCGGTGTAGAGTGAGGACAGCGGAAAGACTTACGGAATCTCACTCATGACCAAGAAGATCAGAAGAGTGACGCCGGTCCACATGAGACGCTGATCGAAAGGAACCTATTGCGCGAGACAATTCACAGTTAGCATACAGTCTTTCTTCTACTTTGCCCACTCGCGCACACTCAGCAATCATGAACACAGCTTCTGTAAACATCCACATGAATCCAATCCATTCCAGAGCAGGCAGGGCACGGGACCGCAGATGAGGCACGAACGCAGAGCGGACAAAGAAGCTTAGCACCAGCAACAAGAAAGACACACCTTGCGCTCGGGGGCCGCAACCTCAGGGAGGATGGGCAGGAAAGGCTTGACCAGGTCCAAGAAACGAACTGTTGGAATCGCGGTTAGTGGTGGACGAGAGCAGAGAGGAGGCTGTTTGCGAGCTGATTGCGCAGTCCAGAGACGCAATCACAAGCCAAATCCGACGAAGAACACAAAAACAAAGAGAAAGACATACGACCACTCATTTCTACAACAGAGAAATAGCAAACAAAGAAAGATACGAAAAGTAAACAGAAACCGGGAACTGCGTCTGGTCGGTCGAGAAGAGTCAAGGTCGCGGTGGAGCGCTGAGCGCAGTGGCCGCCTGGTCTCGAGGGCAAGGGCTTTGTGACTGCTGATACCGCGGTTTACTATGGTGGATGCGCGTACCCGCAGCAAAAGGACACCTCACTGAGGACGTGAGGCTGAGCACGCAGCGCAGTGATGCTGCGCACGCATTCACACGCGGCCCTCAGCTGCTGACATGCGCGCCCCTCCACAACCTCAGACCCAGCTGCTCGCGAGAAAGCAGCAGCAGCAGCAGCAGCACCGAATCCCCCGGCACGCAGACTGTTGAGCTCCATCGCGTCCTCCGCATTCGCCTGCAGCAGTCCACGGGTGCCGGAACTCCACCGAGCATCAAACCAGAGACAACAATGGCCGAGAACGAAGCTGATCCAGTCGAGGACGCTGCGTCGGCGCCTAAGGCACCTCCTGCGACTCCCTCCTCGCCTGCACCATTCAGGTCCTCGCCGCCAGCAACGCCCGAGCCTGCTCCTGTTGCCAATTCAGCCGCCGCGCAGGAATCTAAATTAGCGGCGTCGACAAAGCCAAAGGGATCGGCATTGACGTCGTCGACTCTGACGCTGGAGGAGCGCAAGACCCCGTTCGAGCAGGCACTCAAGGCATGGAGTGACATCAACTTGACCGAGCTGCAGAAACAGCTCGATAGTCAGGGCCTCGAGATTGTCGAAAACCAAAAGGTGTCGGTCGTGGGACGAAAGGAACTTGCGTCCAAGACCAAAGAGTTTCGAAAACTGCCAGACGATGCAAAGCTCACTGAAATCAAGAGTCTGCTCAAGGGTAGGTCGACACTGCTTATTCTCAGTCCTTAACTTAGATTACCACACATGCTAACAGCTTTATTGCAATTGTCTCAGCCTACCAATTGGAAATCGACAATCTCACCAAACGTGGAAAAGCCGCCGAAAATGCTTTCCTCAACACCTACCGAGTGCTCGCCGAGGCTCCTGATCCGTACCCTCTCCTAGAGGCCACCCTAGATTCGCTGATGGCCGGCGACGAGGCCGCCGCGCTATCGACAGAGAACGCCAGGCTGAAGTCACAGCTCGCTCGCTACGCAGACTACGACGAATTGAAGGCCAAGATCGCCGAGACGGAGCAGAAAGTGATCGACGTGTCTGCTCAAAAAGTGTCGGCCAAGGAAGCAGAGCTGCGTGCGCTACTGGACGAGAAGGAGAGAAATTGGAAACTGCGGGAGGAGGATCTCACTCGTCAGGCGCAAGAGGCTCGCGAGCAGGTCCGTGAAATGCGAGCCACTCACGCTGTCACTGAAGCCCGTCTAGTCCAACACGAGCAGAAACTGGATGAAGGCGTTGCGGGCAGATTCGCTGAAGCCGAGTTGATCGCCGCCGATCTGGAACGCGTGAACCTGCGCGCCCTGCAAACCGAGCGTCGGAACCTCGAACTTCGACAAGAGCTGGAGAAGTTGAAATCCACGATGGGCCAGGGTGGCGGATCGGAAGAAGAGAGGGCGGAATGGAAGCAGAAGATCGACGATCTGCGCAGCGAGAACGCCGCGCTTGGTCGGAAGATTGACGCGCTCAGGGAAGAGGCCAAGACGGCCTCTGATATGGAGGCGAGAACTCGCAGGATGCTAGAGAGAGATAATGCCCGAAAGACTGAGGAGGTTGAGGGACTCCGAAAGAGATTGAAGAGTATGGCTGACTACGACGACATCAAGCGTGAGCTTGACATTCTAAAGGTAGGCTGTATCCCCACTTTTTTGAAATCAGGTCAGAGCTAACAATTAGCAGTACGTCGAGTTCTCAGCCGAGGCCGAAGATGATGGCGACCAGTGGGCTACCGAGTCCAAGCCTGACGCGCACGAGGAGAGTTTAGAGCAGCTGTTGCTTTCCCGAAACAAAAAGTTGAACGCAGAACTTACCACGCTTCGCGTTGCACACAACGATGCCACGAAACGTCTCGCGGCGGTCGAAGCAGACCTGTCGTCGACAAAGACCTCTCTAGAGCAGAGCCAGCACCTGAACAGAAAGCTGGAGGAAGACTTGACGTCTCTGCACGAATCGACGACCGGCCTGAATTCAGGGGCGATGTCGGTCGCCTCTTTTGCACAGTCTCGACGATCGGGACATACCGGCGGCGCCGACACGGCCTCACTGCTCGGAAGCTCTCTGCGCGCGGGCTTGACGAGTATTGTTCCCGGAGGAGCCGACGACGACGTACGATCACAGGTCGGCGGCAGCGGCGCGATCACTCCCGGCGGTCGCTCGTTAGATCAGCATGTGGCCGATCTCACGATCCTGCCAATCATCACACAGCAGCGCGATCGGTTCCGCGCGCGCAACGCGGAGCTAGAGCAGGAGCTCAGATCTGAATACAGTCGGATTTCGGAGCTGCGGTCGCAGATCGAGCGGTTGCAGAAAGATAACGTCGCGCTGTATGAAAAGACACGGTATCTGTCGACCTACAGAAGCAATTCTGCCGCGCAGGTCAACGCTGGTATCGACGAATCGAGCTCGTACGGACGTGATTACGCAGAACATATCTCTCCCTTTGCGCAGTTCCGGGGCCGCGAGCAGGAACGGGCGTTGTCGCGCATGGGACCGCTCGAGCGCGTGATCTACGGACTGACGCGAGTTGTGCTCGCAAACAAGACGTCGCGCAATATGTTTTTCTCTTACCTGGCCGGCCTGCATCTGTTCCTGATGGGCACGATCTGGTATCTCGCCCTGGGCGAAGTCGGCAAGCACGACAACATCACCGACGCGCCGCCGTCGCGGGCGGGCGAGGTAGAGAGCGGGAAGAGCATGGTTCTGAGCGAGCCGGTCGAGGCGGCGATAGTGGGCCAAGACAGCCCGGTCCAGCAGCAGGAAGCGGTTGCGGGAGCGATTGTCGCGGCAGTGCAGGCCACGGCTGCTGCTGCTGCGACTGCCACCGCGCAGGTTGCGCAGGCGGTTGCTACTGTTGTCAGTGGCGGCGGGGCTGCGGGCGAGTTTGGCGCGGCTGATCCTGAGGGTGAGACTACGCCTACGATGCCATAAGTTACTACAAACGCACAACACACAAGCCAAGCTCTTGATCTTCCCAAAATTGGAGCGATACGGAAGGTATCGCAAAGTTATAAATGAACCGCCATGAATCCGCGACAAAATTTTCGACAAGCGATATGTACAGCTCATTTGTTTGAACATCCTGTACATCTATCTATACGAAAAAACACAATATAATATATATAACCATAGTTTTAGAGACGTTGAGTAAATACAAAGCACGTCTTTTATCTATTGCATTACATCGTTCTGGTAAATTACATAGGACTTGATGAGGACTATGATCGGTAATCGCCGTTGATAGTCACATACCTGTAGTAAGAACGCCAAGTTAGCAAAAAAAACATAACTGGTAAAAACGACAAGGATCTACTCACTCATGCGACAGATCGCAAGTCCAGAACCGAGCCGATTTACCCCCTCCAGTGCCGAGCGTGACGGTAATAGTCAGCTCCTCGTTCGCCAAAATCTCAGACGCGCGAGCCTCGTCTACGTTCTCGGGCTCGCCATTGACGAGCAACTTGAGCGGCGCGGAGCCGTCGGCGGGAACGAAGGAGACGCTTGTTTTGTCGGGGTTGACGTTCACGTCCGAGTAGCCGATGGCGCAGGTGATGCGGCCCCAGTTTGCGTCTTCGCCGTAAAGCGCGGTTTTCACGAGCGAGGAGGTGGCGATTGTTGAGGCGACTTTCTTTGCGTCTTGGAAGGATTCCGCGTCCTAGATGTCGTTAGTTAGACTTTCTCTTAAGGAGATATGTATGGAGTAGGGGAGGTAGGTACCTCGACATTGATGGTGACAAACTTGGTAGCGCCCTCGCCATCGCGAACAATCAACTGCGCGAGATTCTCCGAAAACTCAGTAATCTCCTTCTTCAAAACCTCGTACCCCGCAGACCCAACATCGATAGTCTCGCCCCCCGCCGCACCATTCGCGAGCGCGGCGATCGTGTCGTTCGTAGACATATCGCCGTCGACCGAGATCGAGTTGAAACTGCGCTCGACCGCGTACTTGAGGATCGTGCGCAGGGCGGTCGGCGCGACGGGCGCGTCGGTGACGAAGAAGCCGAGCATGGTCGCCATGTTGGGATGGATCATGCCAGCGCCTTTCGCCAGGCCTGCGATCCGGTACTTATTATCCCCGACGGTGAACTCGGTCGACATCAGTTTCGGGAACGTGTCGGTCGTGCAGATTGCTTTGGCGGCCGCCATCCACGAGTCGTGGTCGCTGCCTGCAACCTCCACACCGGCAGGCACGCCGTCGAGGATCTTCTTGAGCGGCAGACGCTGGCCGATCACGCCGGTCGACATCACCAACGTCTTACTCTCGCCCGCCGCCGGCGCGCTCTTCAGCACCGCCTCGTCAACCGCCGAACTCATCGCCCACGCGTCCTCGATCCCGCCTTGTCCCGTGACCGCGTTCGCGCAGCCGCTGTTGACGATGATTCCCGTGATCCCAGACCCTTCGCACGAGTCAAGGATGATCTTCGACACCTGCACCGGCGCGGCCTTGAACACATTCGTCGTGAACACCGCGGCGGCAGAGCACGGCTTGGCAGAGTACAGCAGCGCGAGATCGAGTTGCTTGGGATCTTTCTTCACGCCGACGTAGGTGCCGCTCACGGTGAAGCCTTGCGGGTAGGTGCCTGATGTGGCGATGAAGCGGGTTTTGTCGGGAACCACCCGCTTGCGGCCGGTGCTGTAGGCACGGGCGGTCACCGTTCTCACGATACTGGCGAGGATCACTTTCCGAGCCATACTACACCACACAGCAATTAGCACCTGAACATACTCTGTACAAACTACAAAAAACAAACACAGTCAAAAGTCCAATTGCTCGAGCAATACCTTTTCAAACCAACGATATCTGTCGATTCAACAGAATTTCAGGGGATTTCTATTTGTTTTGCTTTTGGGCGAAAAGATGAGCAAGAGAACAATATGGTAATTTGACCCTAACCTTGGTCGAGGCCCAAGAGAGCAGATTCTCCGAGTTTTTTGAGCAGGTTTTCCAAGTAGAGATTATATCTGAGGATTAGTTACTATAAAATGACTATATAAGAACATGTATTATAGTATGAGAACAGGAATTGAGTCGCGGTGCAGGCTGCAGGCTGCTGAGAAGCCGAACAGGAAGAAGCGGTGAACGCGTGAGTGAATCCAGGGGTAAAACCAACTAAAATCTCAACGCGTCTAAATTGAAACTCGAGCAACCGGTTCTTCATGAAGTAAACCCCAGCACGTTCCCATTCTCAGCCAGACAAAGCTCTTATTCTTTCTTTTTGGCTTTGTACGTGCTCTTGTTTTGCGATTGCGGTCTGAGGAGCACACGATATGCTGCTGAAGACGCAGTTGCTGGCTGTGAAGTATGGCGCGGAGGAGAAGAACGGTGGGAGCCGAGATGGAGGTGGGGAGAGTGAGTCTGAGGAATATGAGGATGTTGAGGAGGGGGTTGATGATATAGCTGAGGAGAGCGGTGGTGATGATGATGAGGATGGGGATGAGGACGAAGATGAAGAGGAGGAAGAAGAGGAGGAAGATGCGAACGACAACGACGACATCCAACGACAAAGCAGTGACGAGGAAGTAGATGAAGATCCAGAAGACGAAGCCAACAACCATGAAGACAACAGCGACGACGAAGATGAAGTTGAACACGAAGATGAAGCAGACATACCACCCGCCGGACCCACAGAGAAAGCAACTGAAGCGGCAGATAACACCCCACAAAGCCAACCCGCGACCGCTCCACAAAACGAACTCTCCGACCCCGATCTCCGAGACGAAGAAAACGAGCGGATAATGGACATGATCGAAGAGCTGCAGACGCCAGCGAAACGGCGCAGACTGGAAAAGGGAATAATCGCCACCACCTCCCGGCGTCAAAAGAAAGAGGTTGCAGAGTTTGTCAAGACCGCCACGCTCGACGGCGCAGATGGGTACTTTGACCAGCACGCGCAAAAGCCAGCGCTGTCGACCCACTCGCTTTCGAAACTTCCCGCGATATCGGCGCAGGAGTACGTGCTCGCGGTCAAGCAAGCCGATCTGGCGTTCGAAGAGCAGCGCGAGATCATTGCGCAGGCGCACGAAAATATATTCTCGCAGCTCGCGTTCGAGCTGTCGCAGGGGTTCAACCTCATCCTGCACGGCCTGGGATCGAAGCGCGAGCTGGTGATGGACTTTGTGGATGAGTACCTGGACGACGTCGATATCCTGGTCGTCAACGGGTACAACCCGTCCACCACGATCCGCGAGGTACTTGCCTCCGCGGCGCCGTTCCTGGTCGACGATTCCAAGCTCGCGAACGCGCTTCCAAAAGCACCGTCCGAGGCTCTCGCGGTCATCATGAATAGCTCATCAATCACGACACCGTTTCCCTACACTTCCTACCGCCCCAAACTCGTCATCGTGATCCACAACATCGACGGCGACCCCTTCCGCAACAGCAAAACCCAAGCAATCCTATCCCAACTCGCGACCCACAGCGCCGTCAGCATGCTCGCCACCGTCGACCACGTCAACGCGCCTATGCTGTGGGACTCGGCCAAGTTATCGTCGTTCAGGTTTATCTGGCACGACGCGACCACGTTCGCGTCCTACACCGTCGAAACCTCGTTCGAAGACCCGCTCTTGCTCGGCGGCGGCTCGGGTGCGGCCGCGGCTACAAACTCGGCTACGCAGGGCTCGGGAATCAGATTCGTGCTTGAGAGCTTGACTTCCAACGCCCGTGGCTTGTACCGCGTCTTGATCTCCAACCAACTACAAGCGATCGAAGACAGCGCCGCCGACCCTTCTTCTTCTTCTGCAGCAGCGGGTCCAGCCAGATTCGGCATCGAGTCAAAGATCTTGTATCAGCAATGCTCGGAGGAATTCATTGTCACCAACGAACTTAACTTCCGAACCATGCTGACGGAGTTTTACGAGCACGAGATGCTGGTCTCGACGAAAGATCAGCTGGGGACAGAGGTTATTTACTCGCCGTTCGATAAGGAGACTTTAGAGAGGTTGCTGGAGGATGATATTCTCAATCAATAAGAGGGTGTATGAATATGAAGTGGGTTTGAGAAGATTGCTTGTATTGTATTATAGAACAAAAATGATGACATGCACTGATTTTGTAGTCAAGTGTATACAGATATATACCCAACAGGTACCAAAATATTACTCAAAAAACATAGATTTTTATAGAAGCCAAAAGTTAAAACACAGAGATATGACAACAAGAAGCTGGGCAGTACGGCAAACGATTATATAACAAGCTGCCCAGATCATAGCAGGAACAAAGCAAAGCAGAACAAGAGAGAATGATGTGAGATGAATGCTTTTTTCTCCCGCTTGCTGGATTTTCGAGGCGCCAGCGAGCAAAGGAGCTTACTAGTCGCTCACAGCCGAGTCGCGAGCAGCCTGGTCCGCAAAAGCCTTAGCCGCCAACTCCTCGAGCTGCTCCAACTCTCCACTGTTCTCGCACATGCTTCGGAAGATCGAATCCGGCGTCTGCAGCAACGTATGCGGCTTGGCGTACTCCTTCACCATACCCGCGTCAAGCACGAGGATCATATCGTAATCGATGATCGAGCGCAGTCGGTGCGCGATCGTGATGATGGTCGTATCCGCAAACTCCTCCCGGATCGTTTCCTGGATCTGCGCGTCGGTGTTGTAGTCGATCGACGCGGTCGCTTCGTCGAGCAAGATCACCTTTGGCGAGCGCAGAAGCGAGCGCGCAAGACACATCAGCTGCCGCTGGCCCTGCGACAGGTTGCCGCCGCCCTCGGTGACCGGGTTGCTGAGGTCGTAGAACGGGTTCACGCGCCGCTTGTGCCGCTCGGTGACGCTCAGCGAGGACGCGTCGCCGACGGTCGGGATCGCGTCGATCAGATGCACACGCAGCAGGGATCGGAACACGTCCTCGTCGCTGTACGCGTCGAACGGGTCCAGGTTCGAACGGATGGTCCCGCTGAAGAGCGTCGGGTCCTGCGGAATGATTGTGATCGACGACCGGAGATCGTACAGACCGAGTTTGGCGATGTCGATTCCGTCAATGACGATACCACCGGTCTCGGCTTCCAGGAAGCGGAAGAACGCCGACGCGATAGTGGACTTGCCTGCTCCGGTGCGGCCGACAATGCCGATCTTGTTGGTCGGCTTGACCTCGAAGGTGACGTCCTTGATGACCTTTGGCAGGCCGGGAGCGTAGCGGAGAGAGAGGTTCTTGACGCTGATGGCACCCTTGCTTGGCCAGCCGGCCGGAGGTCTGTAGTCGGGGTTGATCTCTGCCGGTTCCTGGTCGATGTACATGTACTCGTCAATGCGCTCGACAGAGTTCATGTTCATCTCGTTCATGGCGTAAAGCCAGACAAACCACAACAGACTGTCTGTGAACATGACCGCGTACGTGAGCGACAAACCCGCCAGCCCGCTATCGATCTTCCCGACCGACAAGACAACAAAGATTCCCGCGATAAACGACACAAGACTGCCCGCGACATCGACGCGGAAACTCATCCATCGGTTGCACGCCCACACGGACCAGAACGGGCGGTTGTTGTTGTCGATGCGTTCCTCGTTCTCCTTCAGGAATCTGTCTTCGTAGCCGTACGCGCGGATCGTCGTGACTCCGGTTAGAGTCTCGCCAAAGTGCTGGTAGATGGGCGAGCGAGTGACGGCATCCATACGCTTGAGCTCGCGAGACGGAGCCAAGAAGAAAGTGACAATGAGGTAGAAGAGCAGGCCGATGAACAGAGCACCAAACAAAAACATCGGCATGATCAGCGAGACGATTACGACGATGACAGCAATGTTAAGCACAGCGTGCGCCAAACTGACAAACACGGGCGCGATTTCCTGATCGGTGATTTCCATATCCTTTGAGAATCGATTCATAATACGACCGATCGGCGTAGCGTCAAAGAAGCGCGGCTTAGCACGCATGATCCGCATAAGCAATTTCTCAAACAAATGCTTCGACGCATGCAGCGATCCCACAAAGACAATCGCCTCGCGAAGAAAGCACATGATCAGGTACGCAATCGTGTACAGGCCGTACACGCCCAGGTAGAACTTTGTGGACCGGCCGCCAATGTCGGTGATGGCCATCTCGCGGAAGGAAACGACCTGGTCGCGAACGCTGGCTGCCTTGTTTGCACCGGCAGACATCAGCGTCATGACTGGGATGTTGATTCCGTTCTTGGCCACGGATTGGATACCGGCACCGACAGCTTCGGGAGATGGCATATTTGCCGCCCTATCAGAATAGTGTCAGTCAAGGAAGATAAAAAAATAAATTAGAAGAACATGGGACCTACCAAACGCGAATCCACCACGACTGACCGACGTTGAGATATTGAAACACAGCAAAAGCAGCGGCGGTAATAAGCCAGAACTTGTAGTTTCCAAGCGCCTTCAAGTAAATAAAGTACACAGACCACTTGACCGTACCAGTCTGCTGCGACTCCGCCAGCACAAGCTTATACTTCTTCTTATCCTTACCAGGCACAGGCACGCCCGCGCCCTCCATATTCGCCACAACCGCCTCGGCTTCAACCTCAGCCTCGACCTCGACCGCGGCCGCGATATCGACCTGCTTCTTCAGGTCCGCGACGGACTGCGAGCGCGAGACGGAGCGCGAGCCGGCTTTGCTGGCAGATGCGCGGATGAGCTCGTCGTCGCCTAGGAGGCCAGAGTCGACGATCTCTTGGGGACCGCCCTGCATGACGACAGAGCCCTTCTCGAGACAGATGACGTGGCTTGCTCCGGAAAGAGTCAGCGCGACGTTGTGGGAGACCAGGATGACGGTACGACCGACCATCATGGGACCGGTGATACAGTTCTCGTAAATCCAGACGGCGGTGTGGGAGTCGACGGCACTAAGACAGTCGTCGAGAAGGAGATGCTTGGCGGGCGAGTAGAGCGCGCGAGCGAGCGAGATACGCTGCTTCTGTCCGCCGGACAGAGCGATACCGCGCTCACCGACCTCGGTCTCGTCGCCGCCTTCGAGGATCTCAAAGTCACGCTTGAGTCCGCAGGCCTCGACGACGGCAGTGTAGCGGCTCTCGTGGAACTCGTTGCCGAATGTAATGTTGTTCCTGACAGTGTCGTTCAGAAGCCACCTGTGAATTAAATAATTAGCCTGAGGTTTATAGAGGAAATGTAGTGTAACTTACGCTTGCTGAGCACAGTAGGCAACCGACTCGGACAATCCAGTCTCACGATCGACAGCAGCCTCGTCACCAAACTTAGTAACACCAGGCAAGAAGACGTTTCCACTAAGCAGCTTCATCTCTCCGAGCAAAGCCATCAAGAGCGACGTCTTGCCGGATCCGGTAGGTCCGATAACCAAGTTGAGCTTGCCCATCTCAAAGCTGATGTTCAAGTTCTCGAGCTTGAACTCGTGCGCGTTCGCGGCGTTGCCCCACGAAAAAGTCGCGTTTTCAAAGCCGATAAAGGAGGCGGTGCCGTTCGGCTTGCTCTTGAGTTGGTCGTACTTGTCGGTCTCGGCTTCTTGCAAGAACTCGCTGATGCGCTCGATCGAGGTCTTGGACTGGAGCATGTTTGTAAACATCTCTGCGAGCTGGTCGAGAGGGATGCGCATGAGGTTGAAGAGAGCAAGAGCACTGAATGCGATGGGGGTCGACATGGAGTGTCCGAGAACAAGGGTGTAGAAGCCAAAGGTGACGAGGGTGATGAGGATAGGAGCGCCGTACCAGACGATGGACGAACCAGCCCAGATGAGGAAACGCCTGTAAAGCATCTTCATCTCGTCCTTGCGGGCTTCGTTGACGGTGTCGTAGAAACGGGCTTCCCAGGCAAAGTACTTGATAATCTTGATACTGTTGAGAACCTCGTTGGTCTTGTGCACGCGCTTGTCGGTCATCTTCATGAGATCGGCCTGAGCCTCGCCAAAGATCTTGGAGATCCACAGGTGGACCGGCAGAAGAGAGATCAGCATGGCTGCACCAGCGATAGCACTGACGCCCAAAGTCCGGTAGAGCAAAGCCAGAGAAAGGAAGATCATGACAATGCCGCCGGTCAAGAAGTGAAGGTAGGCGACGACCTCGCCGACCTTGAAGGCATCGACAGCCATCAAGTTGATGATACCACCGATATCGGTCTCCTCGGTCTCCTCAGAAGTCGTACCATCCTCGTTCTTCTCCGAGGTGATTGCACCAGCCTTGCGTCTGAGTGCCTTGGCGTACAACTCACCGATAACGATAGCACGGATGCGGATACAGATCTGGCGGCCGTTCCAGAGCGCCTGGCCGTTACCCATCGCGTTCAAGAAAGAGGAAAGAAGAAGGAGGAAGATGTAGAGCCAGGCGACGTTGCGAGGGGTGGCCTCGGGATCCTCGACGTATTCGAGAATGACGCGCACGACGATACTCGGGACGAAAGCAAAGAGCGAGTGGAAGCACGACCAGCTGACGGCAAGGATGAGCTCGTACTTGAAGTAGCGCAGCAGACTGATGACGAACGAAGCGGTTTTCCTAAACAGATGTCAGTGACTATACTACTTTCTATCAAAGACCATGGGGACTTACAGCTCCTTACGGAAACCCTTCAAGATGTTGGTCGAGCGATCGCCCTCGCGCAAATCCCAGACATCCTCGATCGTCAAGATCTTGTTGTATCCCTTCCAGATAATCGGACCGACCCACTCGAACGACATCTTTGACGCGATCGACGCGAGCGGCTCGAGGTTGGGATCGTAGCCATGTCTGGACTCGATGACGATCGGCTTGCTGGAGGTGTTCATGTTGAGACCAAAGATGAGCAAGATGGTGGTGAGGATGAAGTCAATGGCAGAGGAGTAGTCGATGATCCAGTTGCTCGGGTGGATTACGGCGGATCGGAAGGTGAAGGCGGCCTCGGTCCAGGCGTAGATGTACAGAAAGATGATGTGGGCCCAGATATGCGAGGGGACGAAATCAACCGACTTGGACAAACGGAGGTTTACGAGGAAAAGCGTGTAGACCTGTTCAGCAATGTTAGAGATTGAGTAGGAGGGGTTTCATAGTGATAGGAAGAGTGGATACCCAGAAAAGACTGCCGATAAGCGCACGAAGGCCGTAATGCTCCCAATCCTCACGAGCGGGGCGGTACCACAAGAGACTGGCGATGGCGAGGATATGAAGGGAGATTTCACAGAAAAGAACGAATTCCTCGGATGCGATGCGCAGACCGCTGCCGCGAGGGTTGACAATCATGACCTTGTGATCATCTTCGTCGGCGATGAAATCATGGTTCGGCTCGTCGCCGTCGACGTCGTTGTAGTTGATGCGACTCGGGTCCGCGGTCGCGAGTCGGTAGATCTGGTAATCCTCTGCGTCCTCGTCGTCTTCGAGAAGAGCAGAGTCGGGACCTTCGTCGGATCTGTAGAAGGGATTGTGACGATCGTCGTCGTCGACGGTCTGGTAGGCGCCGGGCCGGCTGCTTTTATCCCACCAGGTCCAGATGGTGTCGGAGAAGAGGAAGGCAGCGGAGAGAGCTACGGCGGCTAGAGGGAAGAGGATTTGGAAGTATCTGGAGGAATTGTTAGGAGAGGCTCGAGTCGGGCAGATGAGAATTAGGCTATCTGTGGAAGTGCGCGCGCGACCACCTGCTGTGGAGACGAAGCGCGCAATTCAGGGCCAAAAAAGAGACACAAGAAGATAAAGATAAGGAGAAGGAATACTTTTGTCTAAAACATTGATTGAAGTCGTCGACGACCCAGATGGGGGAGGGGCACTGCAGAGCGTCCATGAGGACGAGTGCGACTGATAAGCGGGATAAGACAGGAAGAGATTAGGGTGAGTCGACGTCAGGAACCAGTAGGCCGGGAGGGAAGAGCGGGAGAGGAGAGGAGAGAGGGGACCGAGCAGGACTCAAGCTCAATTCTGCGAGGTCAAAGAAGAGACCGAGCAGAGGAGAGGAGTAGAGCGGGTTGGAGGAGGAGGAGGAGGAGGAGGAGGAGAGGATGGAAATCAAAGGCCTCGGAGGGAATTGAGTATTTGAGTGAGGGCCGTGGCTTGCGAGCAGGTTGGGTCCGGGTTCGGAATTAGGTTGGCTTCCCACGGGCCACGAGCAGGTTCAGCAGAGCGATAGCAAATACAAGAGGATGTGGTTAGTTGCAGACAGACCAACTTGGCTTTGGTCGAGGTCGAGGTCGAGGTCGAAGGGCTTGTGCACAGTATATTGCTCGGGGTGGTGGAGAGAGCAAGAGCACACAGCTATGGCCGCGGGTGGTTTAATCTACGAGCAAGGTCCAGGAGGTCTGTTCAGATTAGTTGATACTGTTTCTTCTTTCCTGTCTTTTCTTAACATCTTCACGATTGCGACTCATTCACAACAGTCTCTCAGCAGTCGACATGGTGGAGCAGATGATGATTTACCGGCGGAAGGCAGAGAGAGGAAGGAGTACGGCAGCTAACAGTAGTTAAGAGCCGTACCTGGTTCCAGTTATCTATCGCGCGCAGGCCGCCTGATAACAGCCAGGAGCACTTTGACCAGCCATCCCATAACCAACCAACGCGGTTCTAATTCAAACTGCGAAGAGATTGCAGTGCTCTGTGCAGTGGATAAAGAGAATGTTGTTAAGCGACGGGGTCTTCTCTTGTTCATCTTCATCGTATAATCTATCATCATCCACATTTATACAGTCTCATGACTCTGACTCTGAATCTCTTCCAAGAAATGTCCGTTTACAGACCGGCAACTTCTCAAAACAGCTACTGAAGAAGGGCCGGGTCAGGCACCTCCTGCTGCGACCCGGATTCTCGCTCGAGTTGTTCATTGAGCTCTTGAATCTTGAACTCTTCGTGAGCTTATTCGGTCGATATCCTCCACTCTTTTGGTTGCTGCTGTCTGCTCCGCTGTCTGCTATCAGCTCTTCTGTTGCTGAGCACTGTGAGACTAATAGCTACTCATTGTTGCTATACCCTACTTCTCTGTGACTGTCTTAGAACTTGCACTCACTATGTCATTGAGGTGATCTCTATCAGTTATAGATCCTCAACTCCTATCGAACTATCTTGATCTCAACTGGAAGAGTAACTTTATAAGAACAGCTACTCTCTCTCTATAGCATATACATAGGATATGCACAGCACATCTCCTTAATACTGATATATCTTGATACTTTATATTATATATTATATATTGATATTTATATTTATATTATATTTAATCATAACAATGCCCAAAAATGCCTACCGGATCTAAAGTCTACCCTTCCAAATCCGACTAAAACTAAAACAAACACTAGAAAACAACGATACAATGAAATTATACGCGCTCCTTGATCGTAGGAGTCCACGACTGGAACTTTGGCTTGACGGTAGAGTATGGCACATAAGCGTCCGGGGTGCCGGTGCCGTTGTGGATCCGCATCGGCTTGGGCACCTTCTGGACCGAGGTGTGCGCGGCATCGAGAGCGTTTGGAGGGGTGTCGACGAGGTAGCCCAACCATCCGTGCCTGGGTTTGTTAGATGTTTTGTTCTGAATAGTGTCGTATAGCAAGACTTGACATACCAGCCAGGCTCGAGCTGCGAGACGTCGTAGTACTTTTCCTTGTACATAACCCATCGCGTTCTCACTATTCCATCTTCTGTTAGACCATGCTTTTTCATCCTCATTCTTCCTTCTCTTTGTATATCTTACAGTGGATTTCATCCTCGTCCTTGTTCTCGTAAAACTTGTTGCCGAATCGCTGCATGATATCACTGTGAGATTACAACCATTTGCTTCGCTGCCACCAGACTACTTACGTCAACTCCAACAAGACTATACACAGAATCAGTTAGCACCCTCTCTCCTCAAGATCTCACAACCACTACTCACGTTCCGGCCTTGGTGTCGCCAATAGTCATCATCTGCGCCATGTACTCCTTAAATCCAATCCGGTACGCGTTACGGATAGTGCGGATAATCGACGACGACATTTTTTGAACCTCTTTGTGCTATTCAGTGGATCTATAGAAAATGCGCTGGGGGTTGTTAAGAGCGCAATGTCGCGAGAATCGGCTTTGGAGTTCTTACTCTTTCACTTGTTATTGGCTGGGAGGATCGGTGACAGCCAGGTAAAGTTGCCAGTTGATGACCTAATCTAAGTGTATGGGGTCACGTGACTAATTTACTTGATTTATAGTGAGCCTACAACAGACAGCAGCGAGCCAGAACAGAGCCAGCAACAAACTTGCAGCTATTCTGCGGTTGTAGCAGCAACAGTACTTGCAGTCAAAGTGACATGAAAATCTTCTAATCGGAGTTTCCCGACGATGTTTACGCTGAGAAGGTTGAGAGCGGTGGTGAAACTGCTTACACTTCTGCTGAGGGAGTCGTAGAGGAGAGATAGACCGTATCAGGCAATGATTAAGGTTCGCTCGCACCTCCTTTGGCGGGCCTCGAGAGCGCATTCAGGCTCAGCTCCCTCGACCCGAGACTATTTGCTCTTCCTTTCAACTCTTTTCTCTGGCGCACTCGCGAGTTTTGATTCGCAACCGTTGTGAGGATAATGTGAGTCTACTTTCTGTTTATATCTGTGTTATGTCGTGTACTGCTCGATTGTGCGATATGGACTGAAGTGGACACTGCTCCCGAAAGATACGAAACCGGTATCTGTCTTGATAATCGCACTCTCTGCTTTACTACCCTCTGCCCAATTCAGCTCGCTAACAACGCACTCTTCTTTCCTCCTCCAGAAAGATGGCTCAAACCGCAGCAAACCGCTCGTTCATTGCCGTGATTGGCGACGAGGACACCGTCACCGGACTGCTTCTGGCCGGCACCGGCCACCTGACGGAGGATAAGAAGAAGAACTTTTTGGTCGTCGATAACAAGTCATCGGTTGACGATATCGAGGCTGCGTTTGACGATTTCACTGCTACGAGAAAGGACATTGCTGTTTTACTTATCAACCAGCACGTACGTACTATACTCTGAGAGATGAGAGATGAGAGATGAGAGATGAGATAATGAGAGGCTAATCAGAATCATGGTCTAGATTGCGGAAAAGATAAGATACAAGCTGGATGCGTACACGAATGCTTTCCCTGCTGTTCTTGAGATTCCCTCCAAGGACCATCCTTACGGTATGTTGGAGCTGTGCTTTATCATTGCATCTGGCTTCTACACTGGCCTCTGCATATCTGTATATGTATACTAACTACTCGCAGACCCCGAGAAGGACAGTGTCCTCAGACGCGTGCGGAGATTGTTTGGCGAATAAGCAACAGCTTAGATCTAATGCGGGTGGTTGTTTTAGGTGGAGGATTGCTCACGCCGGCTTGTTCGTGCTCTCTGAGATATCATATACGAAGGGAGGATATCAGTGGTGGTGCTTGTAAAAAGGCAACTGTATCATAAATATGTTTAGGCCACTACCACTATCTGCTGTGAGCATGGTAATAGTATAATTGATCATCTATTTAATCTTAGCTAGTAGTTAGTAGTATGTTGAATAGTAGAGTAGTAGAGAGCAGTAGACACCAACCCCTCGCTAACACTTAAGCAACCACCGCAGTCGTCCGTCAGGGGTGAGCAACTAACCCGAAGCCGAGACCCCACAACTCCAGCGCAAACACGGTCTCGAACTCGAGTCGGCCTTTCTGATCCTCACCGCCGAGCCTGTTCTCGCGAAGTTTTGAACTGACAGTTGCCAACACAGCAATGCCCATTGCCAACACACTGCTTCTCTGACCGAAAACAATGCAGTATTACATCTCGAGCTCGCGCGCGCTCCTGCCTCGTGTGCTCGACTCGCGCGCCGCGTCCTGGATCACCGGTCGGTATGAAAATCCCCTTCTGCGGCCTCCGTACCCAACCCACCCCTGCTGCTTCTCTCTCTTCCTCTCCTCCTCTTCGCCTCCCTGACCTCTCTCTAGGTACGCCTCCGTCCTCATCACCCTCCTCGCCCTCTCCCTCTCCATCGCCACCTTCCTCCCCACCATCAGGCGCCTGCCCGTATTCTCCCGCCCGCGAATGCCATGGACCTTTCGCTCTCGCGCCCGCTCCGCCTCCTCGCGCGCCCACAGCTCCCGCAGCCAGGGCTCCCACCAGTACCTCAACGTCGACAACGCAAACAGCATCGGCGGCCTCATCCAGATGAGCTCCAGCGACGCCAGCGCCCTGGATCAGTCCCGTCTGAGCGCATCCTCGCGCTACTCTGACGACGACGACGACGACGATGAAGACGTCATGTCCCTCTCCACCCGCGCTAGCTCGCGTGCTTTGCACAGGTTCAGTGAGGATATCAATAGCACCGAGCTATTCCTCATCGCATCTAGAGGCTCGACCGCCAGAAGCGTCCTCGAGAAACTGCTCCTGCTCGTCCTCATCGTCGGTCACCTCAGTCTCATCCTCGCCAGCAGACTGCTCCCCGGCTTTGCCGATCCCAGTCTCGATCTGATCCTGCGATCCGGCAGCGCCATCGCGTTCTGGGTACGCCCTCTTCTTCTATCTCATCTAAACATCATAATTATTAACACTTCCAGCTCTATGCCTTCGTCCTCTCAACCCTAAGGTCGCCAAACCACAACCTAAACGGCTGCGCCTACAAAGCCTCCGTCCACCTCGCGATCTTCTACGCAACATCATGGTGCTTTGTCGCCGTGCAACTCTACCTCGAGGCATCCTACGCCGCCCCAGTCCTACAGTTCCAGCTCTCGGCTGCCGAGTTCGCCATCATCACATGTCTCTGCGGCATCGCGCTCGCGTCGCCTCTGGGCGATACTCCCCCATACATTGAAGTCCGGAAAGGACTGCAGCCGTGGAAGGAGAACATCTCCTCGCTGTACTCCCAGCTCACGTTCTCGTGGGTCAACGATCTCATGAGGAAAGGCTTCACTGAGCCGCTCACTCTAGATGACGTCTGGGATCTGTGCGATGATCTCCGATCGTCTGTGGTCGCGCACGGCTTTGAAGAGCAACGCAAGCGCCATTCGTTCTATGTCTCGATCCTGGTTTACTGCTCGGCCGAACTGACCGCGAGTGTCATCTGGACTTTTCTCTACGCCCTGCTTACTTTTATTCCTACCATCATGGTCCAGGAAATCCTCACCTACCTCGAGACCGGCGCCCGGTCTACATCTATCGCGCTCGGATACGTCGCGTTCTTGTTCCTGGCTACATTACTAGGCTCCGTCGTGAGCGCTCAGTCGATGTGGGGTTTCAGAAGATTAGGGATCAAGATCAGAGCCCTGCTGGTCTCTGAAGTTTATAGTAAAGCCCTGGCTCGCAAGTATGCCGTGAACGACGCAAGCAAGCCCCCCGGCTCGGCCAGAAGCTCAGAATCGGCAGAGCAAGCAGCTACGCCCAAACCTGACATCACCGAAGATTACATGACCACAGGATCGATCATCAACCTGATGGCGATCGACTCAAACACAATCTCAGAAGCCGTCGCGGGCATGCATCAGCTCATCAAGGGAATCGTGATGATCGTCGTCTCTCTCGTGTTGCTGTACCGAAACCTAGGTCCCAGTTCGCTCGCCGGCGCAACCCTGATGTTTGGTCTCTTGCCCATCAATTATTTCTTCTCGAGAGGGTTTGGCAAGATCCAGGGAAACCTGATGGCAATCACCGATAAACGGATTCAGAAAACAAACGAGGTCTTGCAGAGTATCAAGATCATCAAGTTCTTCTCGTGGGAGTCGCTGTTCACAAAGAGGTTGATGGAGATTAGGACGAAGGAGATCAAACAGTTGCGTAAACGATACATTCTCTGGACTTTTGCTGGTGAGTAGCCCTTCTTCAAGCATGGTAACAGACCAGCTAACTTATCTCTTTAGTGATCATATGGTTTGGCTTCCCGACTCTAATCACATTCGCGACGTTTGGATTCTACACACTAGTCGCAAAGCGCGAGCTCACTCCCTCGATCGCATTCAGTTCGGTCGCGCTATTCAACCTGCTCCGGACCCCGATGGACAGACTGTCGAGCATGGTCGCCGAGCTCATTAACGCTAAAGTCTCAATGAACCGCGTGCAGAAGTTCATGCTTGAGGACTCGACCGGGAAATACGAACAGCTCTCATCCGAGCGCGACGACAGGTCGCCCGAGATCGGGTTCCAGAACGCGTCCTTCACATGGGACGTCAACCCCAGTCCCGAGCGCTCGAGGGGTAGCTTCCAGCTCGCGAATCTAAACATCCGGTTCGCGGTCGGCCAGCTGTCGGTGATTGTCGGACCGACCGGGTCTGGCAAGTCGTCGCTTTTGCTGGCGTTGCTGGGCGAGATGACGCTCATGAAAGGTAAAGTCTTTCTTGCCAGCACCGCAGGGAGCGATGGCGGCGCTTATGATCCGGTCTCAAAACTGTCAAACTCTGTAGCGTACTGCGCGCAGTCGGCTTGGCTCTTGAACGACACAATCAGAGGAAATATCCTGTTTGGCAGCAAATACGAGTCAGATAGGTACGAAACCTGCATCGATGCCTGTGCGCTGCGGCGCGACTTTGAGATGTTGGAAAAAGGCGAGTTCACCCAGGTTGGCGAGAAAGGCATCGCTCTTTCCGGCGGCCAGAAGCAGCGAATCTCGCTTGCTCGCGCGCTCTATTCGCGCGCCAAACACGTCTTGCTGGATGACTGTCTGAGTGCGGTTGACGCGTCGAGCGCGCTGACGATTTACGAGGAAGGCGTCACCGGACCGTTGATGCACGGCCGCACGTGCATCCTGGTCTCGCACCACGTCAATCTCGTGCTCGGCGGCGCGAGCTTCGTCGTCGTGATGAAGAACGGCGGGGTTGTGTTCAGCGGGAGTCCGAACGAGGCGATCTCGCGCGGGATCATAAAGTGGGATAAAGCGCTGCTGAAGACGCCTGCTGCGGCAAGCACCACGTCGGAGGATGGTGGTCTTGTGGCTGCTGCTGAAGCGGCGGGGGTGCAGGCTGTGGTTGAGAATTCGCTGGCTTCGTTTGAGTTTGGCGAGGAGAATGTGTTTGAGCGCGGGATGTCAGACGAGATTGCGGCAGCAGAGGAAGAGGATGATGATGAAGACGATGAGCGGCGGGCGCTGCAGGCCGAGGCGCAGGATATCGGACGAGTGAAGAGTGAAGTCTACTCGCGCTATTTCAAGGCCATGGGCTCGAAGCTGTACTGGATCGCGGTCGTGACGATCATTTGCGTGCATCAGATTGGTAACGTCGCACAGTCGTGGTGGATTCGCGAGTGGTCCGAGAACGCGGAAGATGTCGCGCTCGAGGTGGATAACGGCGGCGAGACCAAGACGAGCGAGAGCAGTCTGGTGTATTATCTGCTGATCTACGGACTCATTTCGTGTATCTACATTCTGCTGTCGTTCCTGCGCGAGGGAATCGTCTTTTACGGAAGTCTTGTGGCGTCAGTTGATATCTACGAGCGGCTGCTGCACAGGGTGATGAAGGCCACGCCTAGGTTTTTCGACATCACGCCCGTGGGCCGGATCATGAATCGGTTCTCGAAAGATATAGAGTCGATCGACCAGGTCATCGCTCCCGACCTGCTTTCGTTTGCGCACTCGGTACTAGCGCTCGTCGTCGTCGTCGTCCTGATCTCCGCGATCGTGCCCGTGTTCCTCATCGCCGGCGTCGCGATCGGCGTGATCTTCTACTACATCAATCTGTACTACCTCCAATCGTCGCGCGAGCTGAAGCGCATCCAGTCCGTCACGCGGAGTCCTATCTATCAGCATTTCGGCGAGACCCTGGCCGGGCTGTGCACGATCCGTGCGTACGGGTGCGAGTCGCGGTTTGCGTATGTGAGTATGCTCAAGGTTGATACAAACAGTCGGCCGTATGGCGCGCTGTGGGCGTGTAATCGCTGGATGTCGCTCCGGATCGAGGTGACTGGAGGTTTGGTGTCTACCTTCACGAGTGCATTTTTGTTGCTCCGGCAGGGAACCGTGGACGCGGGTCTGGCGGGACTGTGCCTGACGTTTGCAATCACGTTTACCGAGAACATGCTCTGGCTCGTCCTTCTGTCTGCCGTGAACGAGATGAACATGAACTCTGCCGAGCGCGTGGAGGAGTACCTCCAGCTCGATCAAGAAGCCCCCGACGTGGTTTCCGACTTTCGGCCCCCGAGCGGCTGGCCGCTCAAAGGCGCGATCGAGGTCTCGGGTCTGTCGCTGCGGTACGCGCCGGACCTGCCTTACGCGCTGAATAACGTGAGTTTTGGCGTGGATGCGGGGTGGAAGGTTGGCATCGTCGGACGCACTGGGGCGGGAAAGTCGTCGATGGCGGCGGCGTTTTTCAGGTTCTTGGAGGCCGAGGAGGGGTTTATCAAGATCGATGGGATAGATATTTCAAAGATCGGGCTGCAGGATTTGAGGAGGGCGCTTGCTATTATTCCACAGGGTATGTCCTCTTTATTTGGTGGGAGGGTAGAGGTCAGTGGTGCTAACTAGAGCGATTTAGATCCGACGTTGTTTACAGGTACACTGAGGTCAAACCTTGATCCGTTTGATCAATATTCAGATAGTCAGATATTTGAAGCGTTGCGTCGCTCGCACTTGCTTTCGGACGACCTCGCGAACGCCGACGCCGACGACGAGCACGACTCCACCAACGGTTTCTCCTCGCAACAAATGTTCCACAATCTTGACAGCGCCGTGACCGAGAACGGGCAAAACATCTCGCAAGGCCAGCGCCAGCTCGTGTGCCTTGCGCGCTCGCTGCTGAAAGCGCCGCAGATTATCATCCTCGACGAGGCGACTGCGTCGATCGACTACGAGACCGACTCGAAGCTGCAGGTGACGATACGGCAGGAGTTCAAGGACACGACTGTGCTGACTATTGCGCATCGGCTGCGGTCTGTGATTGATTACGACCGGATTATGGTCATGGACGCGGGCCGCGTGGTGGAGTATGATCGCCCGTATGAGCTGCTGCGGCAGACTGAGTCGCTGTTTGCGGAGATGGCGAGGAGTTCGGGGGAGTTTGAGGAGCTGGTTGAGCTTGCGCAGAAAGCGGACGAGGAGCGGCAGATAAACAGTGCTGACCCGTTGTCGCAGTGAGTGAGTGAGTGAGTTGAGTGTCGGTTGTTGGTACATAGATGCTTTTTATAGGTTCTTTTTAGAAGGGTATAAGCGCATTACTGGTCTTCATCTGTATTATTATTTGTTTTTGTTGTAAAGCTCGAGGAGAGCTGGCTTGTATATACATAAGAAGCACGTTATCAACGAAGGTACGACCGCTGAATGCAATCTTACGACTCTATATCTACCAATCTCATAGAACCAAGCCCAATCTCCCCCAATATACGACACCCGCGCCCTCCACCTACCATCAAATCCACCCCCCCTCTCATCTCATCTGCCCAAAAAAGCCACAGCACAACCACGGTCGTCCGGCAGCTCTGCGTACCCGCCGAGAACGAGACAAGCGAGAAAAAAAGGCTCAAAAGGCTGTCTATCGACCGACTTCCGGAAACGGGAAAGGGCAGCTGCCTGTTTAGGCCTAGCGCTGGAGAACACGCAGGCCTGCGCTTCCCCAAACGAGCCACGTCTTTGCTGCCGGTGTCTGTCTGTCTGTCTGCCTGATGTTCTTCTAATAAGCAGACTGCATCTGCATTGTCGCTGTGAACAACTTTCTCCTCGAGCAGCATCTTCGTCTTCAGTTGAAAGGCACCCGCAGAGGCTCGCCGGGGTACAGAAGTTACACGAGACCAGTCGGGTTAGGGCCGACCGTTTCTAATCCGGAGGCGATAAGGTTTTCTGAACAAAGTTTATCGCAGAAGGTTTGTTTATCCACCGAGAAGAAGCAGAAGAAGAAGACCACTTCGTCGTCGTCCCGCCCCGAGTAACTTTCACTTCTCCTCACTTCCTCCTCTCTCCACCGCCTCTTTCACCTTTTAAACAGTATCATACCAGCAGCAACAACAACAATGGTCGCCGTCGGTCCCGTTCTTTTCTCCTACGCCCCCACCGAGCCCATGCCCGGCACCGTCGCCGTCGCGGGCGAGTTCACGTCGTGGAAACCAATTCCGCTCGGATTCTCCGAGTCGGCGAACCAGTTCCAGGTCGCGATTACGCTCGTCGCGGGAAAGACGTATAAGTACAAGTACGTCGTGGACGGAAATTGGATCCTTGCGCCTGGCGCTGAGACTGGTATGTGATTGTGATGATTCTTGTGTGTGCGTGCGTGTACACGTGCTGGTTTGTTGCTGTTGGTGTTGTTGTTATCGGAGTTGGGTGGTGTGGAGGTGGTAATTGCGAGAGATTGGGATAGCATTTGGTGTACAGCTGAGGGGACAAGTATTATTGCACATGCTAACTCGCGTTCTTCCGTTCTGTAGCTTGGGAAGGCGGTATCGAGAACAGCGTCGTTCACGTCACCGAGGAATTGTTCTACAAGCTTACCCCAGCCGAGCCGTTTGTTCCTGCGCCTGTTGAGGAGACCCCCGCTGAAGAAACACCCGCTGAAGAGACACCTGCCGAAGAGACCCCTGCCGAGGAGACTGCTGAGGAGACCCCCGCTGCGGAGACTGCTGCTGAGACCGCTGAAGAGCCTAAGGAAGCCAAGGAGGACTATGTCATGGTGAGCTCGCCCACCGAGGGCGCTGAAGCCGAGAGCAAGGTCGAAGAAGCCAAGGAAGCCGTGACTGCCGCCACCGAGACCGTCACCGAGACCGCAGAATCGAGCACTGCGGCCGTGCACGACAAGGCCGTCGAAGTTGCCGCCGCAGTTGAAGACGTCGCGAGCACAGCTGTCGAGACCTCGACCGATGCGGTGAAGGCCGTGGCCGAGGCCGCCGAGAGCGCGCCCGAGGTCGCGAAGGAGGCTGTCGAGGCCGCGAAGGAGACCGCGGAGACTGCGGCGAAGGAGGCGACTGAGGCCGCGAAAGTGGCTACCGAGACCGCTGCGAAGGTGGTCGAGTCCGTTGCCGCGCCGGTGACGGCGAATTCTGCGTCGTTCACCACCAGCCTTGCTAATGCTGCCGGCAGCGCGGTGAGCGAGGCCGTCGAGGCGTCGCAGTCTGCGACCGAGGCCGCGAAGGAGGCCGCGAAGGCCGTCACCGAGGCTGCGTCCAGAACAGTCACTGCCGCGCCGTCGGAGATCTCGAGCGTGCTTACTGAGAGCACGAATATCACTACTCCCGACGCTACCGCCGTCAAGGAAGAAGTTGCAAAGCACGTCCCAGAGTCTGTGCCTGAAGTCGTCGCCGCCGCGTCGTCGTCGGCCGCTGCTGCTGCTGCTGCTGCTACCCCCGTTGCTGCGCCCGCGCCCAAGACCCCCGCTGTCGCAGAGGAAGTCGCAAAGGCTAAAGACGTCGCGGTGCCGATCCCCGCCGACGTGCGCCCGTCGATCGAGCCCGCTCGCGCGCCGGGAATGTCGACCGGCACAAAGCAGAAGGAAGAACCCTCGTTCTTTGGGAAAGTGTACGGGTTCATTTCGCAGTCGTTCCTCGGAAAACTGTTCCAGTACATTTTCTCGATCTTTGAGCGGAGCGCTTAAGCGTATCGCTGTTGTGAAGTCTCGCAGGAATTTTGTTCTGCGGGTGTGTATATGGCGGGTGGCATATCTCATTTAATCTTCTTCATCTCAAGATGCTCTTTTAATATCTTGTTTTAATACTTCCAGGCTGACATAGAAGTGTCTCTTTATCTTCTTTTATCTCATCCTCTTTTGGTGCGTTGCTCGGCGGCGGTTGCTTCACGAATACCATGTCCCTTACTCTTCTTTCCAATCCGCAGGTGTTTTTTCCCTCTTATCTTTCCTCTTTTTTGCTTATTTTTCACTTCTTTTGCTATAGAGTCATGGTGTTTCAACGTGTTTTCTTTTGTATTATTATCACTCTTGTGTTTTAATTTCTCTTTTCTCGTTTATACCTCGTCCGACGTTTTACGATCTTCTTTTACTTTTTCTCTCTCGACATCTTACTTTAATATCTTCTTTTTGTGTTTTATTTTGTTACTATAGAGATACGCTGATCACGTACTCTCATCTCTCTCTCTCGACGCCGTTGCTAAGCTAGTGACGTTCCCCGGCCGGGGTCACTAGTTTCCGGCTATCTTTTTGTTTACTCACCCCAAGTCACTCATTTATAGAATCTGTTTGTGTTTTTGATTAGTTTAATAGATATATATATATATAATATGTCAAGTATGGCGGCTGTGGAGTTGTAGATACTTTAGAGGTGTAAGTTTGGTTATTAGATCAACTTATTCAAGATTATGGTAACGTACAGAAACTTCAACGACGAAAGAAGGAAAGAAAAAATACAAGAAATAGTAATACACAAAAAATAAACGCATGAAGCTCTCTACTTGAACCGGCCTGCGTTTGCAATCATCCACTGTTTTATCTTGCGTCCCCGCAACTTTACAATCAGCGACAACTCGCCATCCGACCGCAACGAAGGACTCGGTGCCGCCGACGCCGACGCCGACGACGCGATCGCTTCACTAACTTGTGGCGGTAACGGCGCAGGAATCGGCTGCGCGGGCGAGTTGTGTGGGTTGTGGTGTCGGGCGGCGGCGTGGTGCGCGTGGTGCTGTACTGGTGCTGGTGCGGGCGGGGGATGGTGCGCGGGCTGTGCGTGGGGGAAGTGCGGTGCCGCGTGGCGGGTGCGGCGGGTGGAGGAGCCGTAGTGGAATTCGCCTTCGTCGGAGGTGTCGAGTTGCGGGGATGGAGGGGTAGGCTGCTTGATTGCGCAGGGCAGGACGGAGCTGATGAGCGGGGTTCGGAAAGTGCGCATGGGCTCGCGCAGGTCGGGAAGCACGATGCCGCCGCGGCGACCGACAGCCCGTCCTTGTCTTCGCTTCCATCTATTTTCGCGTTCGCTGTCTTTGTCGGCCTTGCCGAGCTCGGCCTCGGTGAGCTCGTAGAGCACGGGCGTGTAGTCGCGGAGCTGGTGCTTGGGCCGCACGAGGTCCGTGATGGACGGGCACAGTTCGCGTCTGATCTCGTCGTCTTCGACCGGGCGGCCGTCAAATGGATGGCCGACCAGCAAGAGTGATTTCGTAAAGAGCTGGGTTTGCTCGCGGATGGCGTGGGAGATGGCGGTGAGAAACTCGGGGGGAGCGAGAGCTCTTGGCAGAGCGTGCGGGCAAAGTCCTCTGGGTTGTTTTGCGGGTCGTTGATGTCCCACTCAAACTGGTCGACTAGATTGTGCTGGCCGACGGTGATGTCGAGTTTGATCATGACGCGCATGTCGTCGTCTTTGTAGGCCGTGTAGGGTAGTGAGGGGTCCACTGTTTTCGCGACGGAGGGGTCAAAGATGTGAGGCTGGAAGTCGCTAATCTGCTCGGAGATGGCGCGGACGATCTGGGGCACGTGGTGGAGAGGGAAATTGTAGTCTTCGCAGAGGTTTTCGGAAAAGATGTCGAGTGGGATTGCGCGCTCGTGCATATTCCAGGTGAATGTGTCGCGCAGACGCGCTTTGTCGAATTCCATGTCGAGACGGACGGGGACGAGCATTTCGTCTGCCTGGGACTGGCGGTGCATTTCCTCGCGGGATCTGCGTAATTTAAAGGGATGGTTAGTATGAGATGGTATCAGGATGACAGAATAGAGCTAGGGGGATGTAGTACATTCGCAATTCGCGGGAGATCCTGCCTAGTCTCCGTCGATCGCGGGGACCGATGATTCCGGGCTTTGAGGAAGTGATGCCATTGCCGAAACCGAGGTATCCCTGGCCAAAGACGGCGCCGGGGTTGGTCTGGCGGATGGGTCGAAGGGATTCGTAGTACTCAATCTCCTGGCGCTTCTGGCGCAGGAACGCGATGTGTCTGTCGGTGTGATCTTTGAATGCTGCGGCCTGGAGGGCATCTCTGGTGACGTATTGCTCGTAGGCCAGTTCTTGTGTGGTTTTTGTGCGCTTGGTGGGTCGCTGGTCGGACTGTTGGGGTTGTGGTTCTTGGGAGGGGAGTTGTGAGTCTGGTGGGGGTGGTTGGTGTTGTGTCTGCTGTGAGGGTGTTTGTGAGGGCAGCTGCTGGTCGTCGGGGTTGTTTGCGAGCAGGTTGGCGGAGTCCTGGCGAGTGATGTCCGGTTGGAGCTGGAGTTCCTGCTGATGATGCAGTTCTTGCTGGAGTTCCTGCTGCTGCTGTTGTTGTTGCTGTTGTGGCTGCTGCTGCTGCTGCTGAGGCTGGAACGGAGGAGTAGCATTGCTGAAGGCACCGCCGAAAGACGGCGTCGTCGAGCTGACAGCGTTCTGCCCGTCGGTCAGCCACGGGGCCGCGAGTGGACGCGACATTGTGGAGGGATGCGGGAAGAGGAAGCGCAGAGGAGACTTTGGCTGAGGAGGAGTCCGAGTCCGAGCCCGGGTCCAAACGCAGGAGGCAGAGGAAGAGAAACAATGCCCGATTCTGGAAGTCACCTAACCCTCCTTTCTATGTCGTCACAAGAAGTTTTTCTTCCTTACTTCTTCTTCATACAATAGTTTACTGTTAAGATACACGATTGTTATAAAATGGCTGATTCAGAGGAAGGTAGGTTGAGCATTGTCAAGAATCAACTGTTATCTGTACACCTGCTAACTCCCCCAGTTGACTACTCGCTCGCAAACCCCGACACCCTCACCAAGTACAAGCTCGCGGGCGAGATCTCCGGCAAGGTGCTCGAGAAGGTCAAGGCCGCCTGTGTCGCCGGTGCGCTTGTCATCGACATCTGTGTCCTCGGTGACAAGTTGCTCGAGGAGGAGACCGCAAAGATCTACAAGGGCAAGAAGATCTCCAAGGGTACGTCGTCGATCATCTCTTCTCTACTCAAGTAGAGCAGACAAAACACCTGCTAATACACATACACATCCAGGAATCGCCTTCCCCACCTCCATCTCGCCCAACAACATTGCAACCCACATGTCTCCCCTCCCCGGTGAGCCCGAGTCCGAGCTCGCGCTTGCCGACAACGACGTCGTCAAGATCTCGCTCGGCGCCCACATCGACGGCTTCGGCGGCATCCTCGCCGACACCATCGTCGTCGGCCAGTCCGGCGAGATCACCGGCCGCGTCGCCGACGTCTTTAACGCCGCCTGGCTCGCGTCTGAGGCCGCGATCCGCTCGATCAAGGCCGGCGCTAAGAACTGGGACGTGACCGACAACGTGCTCGCCGTCGCCAACGCGTTCGAGACCAAGCCGCTCGAGGATATGCTCTCGCATTCGCAGGAGCGTAATGTGGTTGATGGATCCAAGAGAATCATTCTCAACCCTAGCGAGGGCAAGAAGAAGGCTATCGACTCTGTCACTTTTGAGGAGGGCGAGGTCTGGGGTCTTGACATCCTCGTCACCACCGGTGATGGAAAGGTGGGTTTTCTTTTCTTCATTAACTATAAGACGGTTGTAGAATAATGACACTAACGCAAGTACAACAGACGAAAAAGTCCGAGGCCAAGACCACAATCTACAAAAAGACTGGCAACACCTACAGTCTGAAGCTCAAGTCCGCCCGATCGATCTTCTCCGACATCCAGAAGCGCTTCGGCCCGTTCCCGTTCACCACCCGTGCTCTTGAGGAAGAAAAGAGCTCGCGCATGGGAATCCGCGAGTGCACCCAGCACGAGCTGCTTATCGCGTACGACGTGTACGAGGACAAGAAGGGCGAGACCGTTGTGCAGTACTTCACCACTGTTGCGCTGACAAAGAACGGAATCATCAAGATTGCGGGCCCTGCGACGCCTGATCTGACCAAGTTCAAGACCGACAAGGTGGTCACCGACGAGGAGCTTTTGAAGGTTATCTCTGCGCCGCTCAAGACCAACAGCAAGAAGAACAAGAAGAAGAAATCAAAGACCACTGCTGCGGGCGAGACTACGGAGGCTGCTGAGCCTGCTGCTGCCGAGTAAATCTGAATTTCTGGCTTGTTTTTGAGTACATACGAATGAGGAGTATATATACCAACTAAAGTGAAGAAGAAAGAAAGAAAAAGTGGAAATAGTGTATACAAACTTTGCAGGATCGAGCTCATTTTGTTATTATAGTATTACCTAAAAGTTGACTTTGTGTTTATATGCATCTGTGTTGATCTACATCGTAGTTGAACTGAGTATACTGCGTTTCCATCCAAATACAAAGCCCACTTACTGGACAGAGAAGCAGTCCACAGAAGAGCCAACGAATAGACCGTCACGGAACTGGGCTGAGGTTAGGTGAACTTACACAGATGTAAATTCTTCCGCCGGTCGCCCTGCTCTCTTTTTGGTTTTATAAGAGTCGCATGAGAAGCGTAGACGTTAAATCCAGAGGACGGACGGAGTTGGGGCGCGGGCAGAGGAAGAGCGCGGATTGAGGACCTGCCGCTCTTGCTCGGGTCTGGATGGTTTATTCCTAATACGGCATCTTTCCACAGCGCAGCTTGTAGGCCCTGAGCGCGGCATGAAGATGAGAAGTAGATGTATTGAACAGTGTAAAGAAGAGTAAATACAAATAAAACTACTAAATAAGAGCAAACAGTGCGCTGCTGAGCAGTGTTGCTGGGCCAGCAGCAGGGCAGGGTCCTGGGGCCCCCTTCGATGATTAAACCACAACCAGTTTTTGGTCTGAGCCATATTCCATCCATCCAGCACACTTCCTCCTCCTCCCCGTCGCTGCTCCTCCGCCCGCCTCTTTCTTCTTATTCAACCCCGATCTACTCGCCAATTATCCTCTCTATGACTGCCTAGTCCGCTCTCTCCTTCTCTTGACCCTTTTATCTAGAAGAAAAAAAAATCAACCGTCGCATGCGCATGACCCGCTGCCCTCCGCGCGCCTCTGCCTGCTCAATCTAGCCAGAGCTGCTGTCCCTCTCATCCCACCTACTTCCTCATCTATCTCTGTCGACCACTGCTTCCGCAATGCCGCCAAAGCGCAGGAGTCTACCCTCCGCCGCCACCGCCGCTGCTGCTGCTGCACCTGCCTCGTCCTCGCCGTCGACCGCGTCTCGTACCGCGACCCCCGTCGCGCACTCTCCTGAATCATCCACCCCGACCTCTGCTCGCTCGCGAAGGACGACCAACCGCGTCTCTGTCCCACCCGTCCGTGTCCCCGACTGGCAGGAACCCGAGCCGACAGCGCCCGCGCCGACTCTGACCGGATTCGCGTTAGGCGTCCTGCCGCCCGCCAACCACGCGGCCAAGGCACGCAAGCGCGTAATCAAGCCTGTCCCCGGCTCGGCGGCTGACTGCGCGGCTGCATATGTTGAGACGACGTCCGCGGGCGCTGGGTCTTTGCGGAAACGGAAAAAGGCGCAATCGTCGCTCGCGGAAGACTCGTCTACGCCTTCGTCGAGCAAGTCGCCGCCGCTGGCTGACGGATCGACCGACAACGACACCATCGTCGTGTCATCCGCGAAAAAGACTAGCAAGGCCAAATCAAAGTCATCACGCAGCAAAAGTATAGAAGGTACTGACTCTGACGCGCTGCACGACGGCGACGCGTCTGAAGGGCCGAATGATTACGAGAATGGGGGTTCGTCCGCCAGATCGAGAAAGACCCGTGCGAGCAGATTATCAAACACTGGTCGTCTCAATGGAACCCCGGTTGCGCACTTATCAATATCACCGCCGCTAGATACCGCAACAAGTGAAACAGACGAGCCCGCCGAAGACGAGGAGGAGGAAGAAGAAGAAGTTATCATCACCGACTCTGAATCGAGTCCGCCACCAACCTCCAGCGGCACCACCACCACCAAGATTCTGATTTCCAGAAACAAAAACGCGCAACCGCTCTACGGCGCCGTCAAATCCGCGAGCGTCGACGCTAATAACGAGACTAAGATCAAGCTGAAATTTCAAAAAACCTTTGACGACTACTTTGTCAAGAAAAGCACCGAGCGCGAACGACCTGCAAAGACAAAGCAGAGCAGTGTCCGTCTTATCACTTCCTCCTCCTCTTCCTCGCCAGCGCTCGCGATCAAGCCTACAAAGATGGCGCTGCCACCACTCCGATTCAAGACAGCGACTCCGGAGGTGCATTATCTCGATGTTTCGAAAAATACAGCGGCGAGAAGGAGGCGGTTGACGAAGAAACCGCCAAGGGCGCAGGGATACCAGTTGACTATGCCGCTCACGCCCGATAACTTTAGCAACAGCCACCGAGGACGCGTGCCGATTACGGAGGGGTTGACTGGAGAAGCTGCTGCGAGACAAGCTCAGAGTGAAGAAGTTGAAGTTGTATTAACGCCGTCGGCTGCTACTCCTCCACCTCCCGAATCTCCGTCTATCACCCCCGGCCGTACACGAGAGAAGGCCAGCGCTCGGGAGGCGGCTCGAGAGTCGGGCGCTTCTGATACTACCGCTCAGACCGAAGAAGAGGTCAAGGAAGCCACGACCAGTAAACCCGCTGAACGGCGGGCAAGCCGATTATCGGCCGCACATACAGTTGATGATACCACAGACGATCCACCTGCTTCAGAAACCCCCGTTCTTGCATCGCAGTCATCTAATAACGCAAATGCCGATACCGAAGTGACGGGCACTCGAAGGAAACGGTCAGAGATGGAGCACACGCCACAGCCTGAAGAGCAGTCTATCAGGCGGCAGAAGCGCGTCAAGGTTTCGTAAGTACCTTTAACTGTTGGATTTGATTCTATTCCGACGCTAACAATGATATTCTTACTGCAGACCAATAAAGAAACGCTACGGCCAGCGCGAAAACGCATTCGGCTTCGGCCCAGCAGCGCCCCTACCGAGCACCCGCGCGTCAGCCAACTCGGCGGTCGACGACCCCGACGATCCCACAAAGTTCAACGACGATTTCTGCTCTGCCTGCGGCGGTATCGGCCGCTTTCTGTGCTGCGAAGGGTGTCCGAAATCGTTTCATTTCACGTGCACGGATCCGCCGTACGACGAGTCTAATCTACCCGAGGGCTCGTGGTTTTGCAAAAGCTGTCATGCGAAGCGGCATCCGCCGCCGATCATGCCGCGGGGTCTGTTTGCGGAACTTATAGAGCAGATCGAGACGCGGAATCCGGCGTGCTTTGTGTTGCCGAAGGAGATTAGGGAGCGGTATGAAGGAGTGACGTCGACCGAGTTTGGGGAATATCAGGACGTGCAGGATACGAAGGCTAAGCGACCGAGGTATGCATACTTTCTTCACAAATTTGTGAGCATTCTGACTAACACGATACAGAAACGGGTTCATTGAAGAGCCGGATCCGTTTAGATTGACGGATAAGAACGGGAAAGCGATCCTGTGCTTCAAATGTGGTCTTTCGGCACTACACGACCGGAAGATGATTAGCTGCGACTACTGTCCTCTTCATTGGCATCTCGACTGTCTAGATCCGCCTATGAGCTCGATCCCGACGATTTCGCAACGGAAATGGCGGTGTCCTAATCATGTCAATCGAGAGCTGGTGAGTTTTGACGAGTGTTATTTGAGGTAGCTGTTGTTAACAGGAGTTGTATAGATCAAGTGTCGCCGCCTGCGAAATGCAAAGCTGGTTAGCGTCAGTCTTCGTCGCGGGTTCATCAACAACGGCGACATCGAAGTCGAGAACGAATCCTCCGACGACGACGGCAACGCAGCGGGCAACGAAGTACTAGTCAAACCCTCGCGACTGCATTTCTTTGACAACTGGTCCGAAGACCCGTTCAACAAGACCTCGGCCTTCGACCGCCGCAAGATCGCGACCTACACGATCAAAGACGAGGAGCAGAACGTGGTGTATCGAGTGTCCGAGCGGGGTCTCGTGCTTGATTTCCTCGATAAAGTGAATCTGCTTCCGCACACGCGCAAACGCGCGCCACGACCGGTCCCGCTCTCGGAGCTCGATCGGCTTGTGGTGCTGCCGTATCAGGAGCGGGAGTTTGTGCGGAACCTGGCGTATTTCAATCAGCAGTTCACGCCGGAGGCGGTCACGCGGCAGAGTATGTCGTCGCTGCTTGACGCCGCGCTCGCGCTCGACGACACTGTGTCTCTAGCATCGAGCAACGCGAGCGACGACGAGGAGGGTCCTGTGAGCACTACTGCCCTGGAGACTACATCGCGGTCGAGCTCGACAGAGCATGAAGAGTCGTTGAGTGCAAATACGGCGGCGACGGAGCAGGTCGAGACGGAGGAGGTGATGGAGGATAAGGAGACGTTGCTGGCGATCCAGAGGTTGATGAGAGTTAAGGGCAAAGACGCATTGATGAAGTTCTTACTTGGCTAGTTTTCTTTTTTTCATTCCAATCTTATATATATTTTTATGTCCATACGAGGAATTTGTATGCTGTACTTTTTCCATGTTTCTACACTTGCCTTCGCCTCATGTATCATCTATGATGTATCCCCCTTCCCTTCCCGACCATTTCCAGCCTCTCATTTTTTTTTTTTTTAATGTTGCGGTTTCCTTTTGCTGTCGCTGTCGCTGTTCAATTCGCTCGGACGTATGGTGCAGGGAGTAGTTTAGCAAAGGTAATTCGAATATTTTAAAAAGGGCGTTGCCGTATTTGGAAATTAGTAGACTTGCGTAGTATTTACGGTTATTTATTAGCTTGGTTATAAATAATGCGAATAAGTGATAAAACCAGAATCATCCGAAGAAATACAACAAAAGTAGAAAGCAACTGACAACTTTTCAAATAAAAGTAAAGCAATTTTAAGCTCAAAGACGGTCGAAGCGTCGATGTCTGACCGCAGGCAGGCGCGTTAAACTGTCGTTCTTATCTCTGCCTTTGATATCTTCACTGCTTGCTAATCATCGTCAGTCACGGTTGACTAGATATAGAATTACTCATTTACTGTGTTCACAATTCGTGGGGTTAATTTACTTATTTGTCGGAATTCTCGGGTTTTGAAAATGGCTCCTACTATTACTTTTGTCACCGGTATGCTATCTCTATTACTTCCTCTCTATTCCCCCCTCCCTCTCTCTCGACACCCTCAATCCCGCACAAACAATGACTAACACCACCCCTCTTTTCCCAAGGCAACGCCAACAAACTGAAAGAAGTGCAGGCAATAATGTCAGACAGCGTGCCGTTGACGAACAAATCGCTTGATCTTGACGAGCTGCAGGGCACGATTCTCGAGGTCGCGGAGAAGAAGTGTAAGGAGGCTGCTTCTATTGTGAGTTTTTTGTTTTGATATTGTGTTTGAATGGGTAGAGTGGGCGACTGATTGACTTGGTGGTAGGTCGAAGGTCCCGTCCTGGTCGAAGATACCGCGCTCTCATTCACCGCCTACGGCGGTCTCCCCGGTCCTTACATGTACGTCCCCCAACCCCCCCACCCCATCCTCCTTAAATTCTCTTCTAACTTCTTCCAGCAAATGGTTCATGGAGAAAGTAGGTCACGAAGGCATCAACAACATGCTCGCGGCGTACGACGACAAGTCCGCGCAGGCCATCTGTACGTTCGCGTTCACCGAGGGGCCGGGGCAGGAAGTTAAGATTTTCCAGGGCGTTCAGGATGTACGTTACTTCTTGTTTTGTGAGAGAGAGAGGGAGAGAGGGCTGATTTGGTTGTGTAGGGAACTATCGTGCCGGCGCGAGGACCGGTCGGGTTTGGCTGGGATCCATGCTTTCTACCAAACGGATACGACCAGACGTAAGTCTTATCTTCCCCCCATCCATCTCTTAATCTTCAATACTGACCTTCAATTCAGATACGCTGAAATGCCAAAGGCTTTGAAAAACACGATTAGCCATCGTTTCAAGGCTTTGATGCTGCTCAAGGAGTTTCTCTTGGCTAGAGAGTAGGTTGGTGTAGAATATAGACTGGTTTTTGTGGGAGGGGATTGTAGATAGGTTTATAGAAATGGTTGTATATTCTTAATTAGTTCGATGGTTGACTCTATTCGTCGTCTTCCTCGTCTTCTTCGTCGTCTTCTTCCTCCTCACTCCCCTCACTCTCACTCTCACTCCCACTCCCACTCCCACTCTCACTCTCACTCTCACTCTCCTCACTCCCCCCATCCTCCCGAGTATTATCAATCACCCACTGCTTCGCCCACTCGACAATCCGCGCGCTATTCGCCACCACATTCTCCACACTATTACTCTGCAGCTCAATCACAATCTCGGGCGCATACGCCTCGCGCGCGTCAGTCAGGATGACTTCCATGATTTCCGAGTCCATGTTGTCGTCGAATTTGGTGCCGGTGTAGCCACTTTTTAATTTCATGTCAGTTTTGTTTCTCGTGAGTGAGGAGATGGTAGATAGAGAGAGAGAGGGGGGACGTACCGCTCTTTTAAGCGATCGTAAAGACGGGTCGTGTCTGTTCGCATGACGACGACGAGGTCAATCAGACTCTCGGGGAAAATGTCGCAGACGTGCCAATCGATTATCCGACCTCCTTTTTTCAAATCAGGTCTGATCAACTCCACAAGCTGCCCTCATTCACATTAGCTCTGATCCCAACCACCTATCAACAGACACAAACACAAAAAGAGAAAGAGAGAGAGAGACCTTATCCTCATTAGCTATAACGCTATTCCGCTCCTCATCGCGTCCGTCTTGTAGTTTGTTGTCGGTGATGAACTGGTTTATCGAGAGGTAGGTGTACTCTGGAAGCAACTCTGCCAGACGCTTGCAGTGCGTGGATTTGCCGGTTCCCTAGGTCAAGAAATTCGTTAGTCCGTGTGCAGTAAAAAAGGAGAAAGAAGAGGGGAGGGTACCGGTGTGCCTGTGACTATGATATTTGGTAAACTGCGCATGGTGCTGTGGATGGAGGAGGAGAAGAGGATGAAAGGGAAGTCGAGATAAATTTTACGGGTTTGGGAGTTTTATCAGTTCAGCAGGTCTTGTTTCCTCGCCATTTTCTTGTTTCTGTGTTTACTGTGTGTATTTACAGATACTCTCTTTCTTTTACACATCTTCCTCCTCTTCTTCTATTCTATCCTATTCTATTCTACTCTGCTCAATATCTAGTTCAATCAACAGCACTCACAACAACTTCATCTTCAAAATATACACGACCCCTGCGGCTCAGTACGTTGGTTTAGGGCTCGAACTGCACCTCCTCGAAACGGACATCTCCGGTCTTCCTCCTCCTCTTCCCTCTTCCTATCTGCACAATAAGAAATAGAGAAGAAATGCCGATAGCGACATACAACCTCCCTCGCGCACTAGACCCCGTGCCCGCCACGCCCCTAACACCCACCTCCTTCGCCCCCTTCGGCGCGGTCGTGTCCTCCGCGCAGCAACTCCAGACCATGACGCAGATTCCCGCAAACTACGGCACCGCAATCAAGCTCGCGAAAGTAACCCCCGTGACCAACAACTTTGCGCGCGCGCCTAGTAAAAAAACAGCGACGACGAATGTTAATCTGTTTAGGAGTTCGGTGCCGGTGAAGTTGATTGAGCGCACGGCGGCGGAGGAGGGCGTGTATCTTACTGGTGTGCTGGAGCGGCATCCGTTTTCGACGCAGACGTTTTTGCCGATGGGCGTGGATGCGCGGGATGTTGCGTATCTCGTCATTGTCGCGGAGACAAAGGCGGAGGGTGTGTATTGTGCTTTATTGGTTGGAGACGAGGGCGTGGGCTGAGATGTGGTTTATAGATGGATTACCTGATTTATCGACGCTGAAAGCATTCGTTGCGATGGGCAATCAAGCTGTTACTTATGGCCCAGGTACGTCCCTCTCTCTATCTTCTCTCTATTTTCTCTTTATCTACAGCAGACTCACTCACACCAACCACAGGAACATGGCACGCCCCCATGGTCGCTCTCAAAGAGGTATCCACCACACTCTCCTGCACCCCATCTCTACGCAAGCTAACACAAACCAGGTGATCGACTTTGCGGTCCTGATGCACGAAAACGGCGTCCCGGACGAAGACTGCCAGGAAGTCTACATCAACCCGCGGGTGCCGATCAAGTTCAGTATACGCACCGCCGCGGTCTCCGGTATCTCTGCAAAGTTGTAAATAAGCTGTGGCATAGCCGAATCTATAATAAATTATTTTACTGTTGTAAACTAATGCACTCAAATAATCAAAACAAAGAAGAAGAGAAATAAGACTACAAAGACTTGCTCTTGGGCACGTCCACCAAATCGTAAAAGATCTGATCCAACCGGCTCACCGTCTTCTTCTTATGAACCTGCGCCACCGGGGCAACGGGCTCGACAGCCGGAGCAGCTTCGGCTTCAGCCGGGGGAGGGGGGGTTGATTTGGGCTTGGGGGAGGAGACGACGATTTCGATTACCTCTGGTGACCGGAGGACTTTCTTGACGACGGCTGTTGATTGCATGTTAGTAGAGCGTAGAGAAGAGAGATAACAACGACTTGACTTACGTCGGGGAGGATTAAACGTCAACAACTCATAAAAGTTCTCAACAACCTTCGGCTTCTCAACCTTCTTCTCCACCTTCTCCTCCTTCTCCACCTTCTTCTTCTCCGCAATCTTAATGTTCGACAAATCAAGATGCTCGCGCTCCTTAATCACCTTATTAAGCTTATCGATGCTGCCCGCAGAGATACTGCCCAGATATGCCAGCACGTCGCCCTTGAGTATTCTCCCCTTCGGTCCGCTCGCGGGAATCTTCTCCAGCGCGTCCGCGACCGAGATATGGCTCGCTTCGAGCAAGCCCAGAACAGACGGAAACAGCACCTGCGCGGGATCTGCTTTCTTCGCGCCAGCAGCAGAGGTCGAGCCGCCGGTGCTCTTCTTGGGCTGCGCGGGGGGAGATGGAGGAGGGGGAGGGGGAGTAGGTTCTTTCTTTGCGGGAGCGGGAGCGGGAGCGGGTGCCGCCGGGGCTGCTGCTGCGCTCATGTCGACCGGAGCCGGGATCTCGAGGGACGAGATGTCGTCTTCGGGTTCGGCGATGACGCCGATCGAGGTGCCGACCTTGATTTCTTTGTCGCCGTCTTGTTTCTTTACTATTGTCAGTAGAGGAAAGGAGAGAGAGAGAGGGGGGAGGGTGCGTACATAGATCTTGACTAGGATTCCATCATCTTGAGCCTCGACAGCCATCTGCGCTTTATCCGTCTCGATCTCCAAAATCACGTCGCCAGCACTAAACGAGTCGCCTACACACTACATCAGCAAAAGAGCAATCGTCAGGAATAATAAGAAGAATACACACCCTCTTTCAACTTCCAGGACGAAATCCCGCCCTCGGTCATAGTCGGCGACAACGCCGGCATTCCCAAATTCGACGCCGCGCTATTCAGCGCAGTCATTCTAAAATCTATCAAACGCACTCAGTTAACATCAACTTGTACATATAATCGCAACATGAATGAGGAGACTGATGCATACGTCGGCAACAGGTTGTCGACCGGCCGGCAAGCGCGGTTCTGCGCACACTCGACACGGCCAAATTTCTCAGCATAGACATCAGCAGAGGTACTCTGTAGAATAGAAAGCAGTTTGTGTTTGCAATTGACCAGCAATTGTGCAGTTGATACAAGAAGAGAAGGGAAAGAGGAAAGAGAAGATGGCGGTGGGATGAAAATCGGGATGCTGCTCGTTTCCCGGTTGCAACCGGTGCTTCGTTCGCCCACCCCCACTCGCCCAGCGGCTACTTGCCGGTTTCAAACCGTGAACCGGTTCACTTAGGCACTCTTCTAGTAGTTCTTCTACTTTTATGACTTTATTGAGACTATATACACTATTTACATCCTACTTCTTACTCTTACTTTTACCCCCAGAAGCATCGACAATGACCTTCTTGTAGCCCTTCAGCAACCTAATGGTCTTCGGCGTCGTGAACTCCTCCTCCTTCTTATCCCCCTCCAGCAACTCCTCCGGCAACGGCTTCCCCTCCGCAATCAACTTCTTGCGCTGCTCCTTCTCAAACCTGCGTCGTCGTCGCTCCATCAGAATAATATCGTCGCCGCTGAGCCCCTTCTCTGCTTCCTCGACACTCTCCTTACCAAACAGCACGTCCCACACGCGACCGTCGCCCCAGAACCAGCCCTGGCGGTCGACGATCCAGGGAATCCGTTTTCCCTTCTCAAACAAGAAGACCATAAACTGCGACCGACTCGCGGTGCCGTAGAGACCATCTCCAGTCCAGACCTTCGTCCTTCCTGCGTTACGACCGCGGTCGATTTCCGATAGCGGGAGCGTGATGACCGGCGACGGCCGGCGGGGAAGGAGCGGGTGCACGACGAACCGGACGTGGGCTTCGAGGTCTTTGGTCGCGGGGTAGTAGTACATTCTGCGGACCAGGCGGGTCGGGAACATGAAGAAGATGACGGCGGTGACGGCGGGGAGGGCGAAGATTGCGAGACTGACGAGCGAGCGGAGGCCGAGCCAGACCGCGTTGTGGACGGGGGGGAGGTCGTCGTAGTTGCTGTTCTTGTTAGCTTGTAGTAAATACAAAGTAAATAGATATGAGACTCACTTGATGAAGATGCTAATGCTCTCCTCCATAGCCCACTCCACAAAAATCAACCCATAAACCGCAAAGACAAAAGCAAGCGAATACAGCGCGACGAAATACAACCGATGAGGCTCCGCCTGATACAGCAGCACCTCCGGCTCCGGCGACCGCTCCAGCAGCGTCATTAGCTCCCTGAACGACAACTTCTTCGACACCCGCGGCGTGCGAATCAGATGCAGCTGCAGCGTCGGATACGACTCGCGCGACAGCGGCCATTTGGGAACAACCCGGTCAGTTACCGCGTCTACGCCTTCCTCGACGATTTCGTCGCGGTCGGGCGTCATTCGGAGTCTGTTTTCGCGGGGGATCGGCGCGGGCGGGTTTGCGCGGGAGGCGATGTAGGCGGCGTCAGTGGTGGGTGTTGGCTTTGGTAGAGAGGAGGAGGGAGGAGGAGGAGGAGGAGGAGGAGGAGGAGGAGGAGGAGGAGGTCGGATCTTGTTTGTCTTCTCGTTCTTTTTGCTGATCTCCTTCTTGCTCTCCTTCTTGTTCTCCTTCTTGTTGCTCGTCGACGACGAATACGCACGCGTCCATTGCAGCAACGAAAACACACTCCGCTGCTGCTGCAAACAAGAACCTGCTCTCGCCCTGCCACTCCAACCCACCTCGTTCCCGACCACGACCGCGGCTCTTCTTCTAACAACACCGCCACAGAGCGCAATCGTCGATACTCGCATACACAACGCCATCTGCAGCACTCTTCAGCAGTCGTCAGTAGAGTATTATCCACAATTGCTCAAGATTGTGGCTCGATAATTCATTTTGGCGCAGGTGCTTCGAAGTTTGATTCTTCAAAGAACGAGGGTTTGGGCTTTAAACTTTTTCTCTTTTTTCTTGTTTCCACTTTGATCTTGTTCGTCATCCTCTGATCTGCTATTCTCACCAACAACAAGAACAGCAGCTACAAGAAGAACAGCATCAGAAGAAGAACAGAAGAAGACATGAACCGCGAATCCTTCCTCCCCCCATCAACACAAGGCTCCAGCAGCGCCGCCGCCGCCGGCCGCGCGTACCAGCCCACGCAGGCAATCACCTACCTCTGCGCCAACTGCGCTGCGCCAAACACACTCACCCGCAGCGATCCCGTGCGGTGCCGCGAGTGCGGCCATCGTGTGCTGTATAAGCAGCGTACTCGGCGGATGGTGCAGTTTGAGGCGCGGTGAGAGAGAGAGGGAGAGGAGATGATATAGCCGGCTACTCATGAGTGAAGTTACTTATGAGGGACAACATACTCGTGAGAATAGTGACAACAGTCAGGCTAAACAGATTATGACGTTTTATTGTGTATTTACGATATATCTCGGTGTTTATTTCGGTGTATCTCGGTTTCATCAGGTCACAGGTCTTAAAGATCCTCGCCACACTTCACGGTCTACACAAGCAGACCGCTAATACAATACTTTTCTCAATAGAACTCATTAGTAATTAGAGCAGACATAGAATACAGTACAAAAAGAAATCTCATACTAGAACAACAAAAACTAAAACACTAAAACACAGATCAAAACAGATCAAGACAAAGGTCACACGCGCAAACATCACAAACTCCGGCGTTCCAATTCAATATCCATACATATACTTTTTGACCCATACAAACTGACTCCTGGCATCTCTAAAATCACTAGCAAGCCTGCCACAAAACAATAATTCCCACAGTAGCACTCTTCTGCTCATGTCATGATCTCATACTCCTCTGCTCATGTTATGATCTCGAGTGGCTTAATAATAGTAGATAGGGTACCTCCGCTCCGCGCCCTTGGCCTGCTGCGACGTTTGTGAGGGACCCGCCGAGGAGTGCTGCGGAGGAATCTGGCTAGATCCAAAACCCACATTTGCCGGCGACAGAGGATACGACGGTCTGGTCTTGTCGAGGCTTGTGCGGAGCGAAGAAGGAAGCCCGCCCGGCTGCGGCGACGCGTTCTGCACGTACGAAAAGCTGTCGGCTGGGCGCACCATCGGCGCATAGTACGACGACGGCTCAAACGGAAGCACAGACTGCGACTGCAGATAGAGCTGCGCAGAGGCGCTGAGGTCGTGGTGCGAGTCGGACGACGCGCGGCGGACGGCCATCGTGCCGTCGCTCGACCGCTCGATCGCGGCCGGCGGCGCGGGCTCGAAGGTGGTCCGCAGGCCGGTCGCAGGATCGGTCGACGAGAGACGGTGCACAGGGGCGGAGGGCTCGACTGAGCGGGCCTTTCCCGCGCCAGACTTGACGCTCGGTCGGCGGCCGCGGCGCTTGACGCCGGTGAGGGGATCGATATCGGAGTGGCCGCCGTCGAGGAGACGCATGACGTCGATGTCGAGCGAGTCGAGCATGTTTTCGATAGCAGGGATGGTTGCGGCCTCGCGCGCACTGATCAGAGAGTCCTTGGGCGCAGAGGAGCCGGCGACGTGGCCGGCGGTGACTGCGACGGCGAGGGTCATGGCCGCGGGGTCGGCGGCTATGAGCTTTTTCGCAAACTCAGATGCGCCCTCGGGGAGAGAGGCGAGGAGGGAAGCACGCTCAGAGTCGGAGTGCAGGCTATAAGACATTGCGCACTCGCGGAGAAGACGGGAGTAAGCCTCGAGGTGCTGGGGCAGCTTATAGAAGACGGCCTTGCCGTCGGCGTACGAGTTCCAGAGCTTTGCGGTCGCGGGCCAGTCGACGACGCCGCCGGGGGGCATGGTCTTGAGGAGTTTAGCAAAGAGCAGGCGTTCTTCGCGGGAGTAGACGGGGATGACGGCGTAGCGGCACTTTTGGCGCTTTGCGAGGTAGCCGTGCTTGAAGCGGAGGGAGGGGTCGAAGGGGAGGAGGCCTAGTTCCGCGCGGGAGACGTCTGTGATGGCGAGGTTGATTGTGTTTGTGTCGTCTGGATGGTTAGAGAGAGATGATTAGAGAGATGATTAGAAGAAAATAGATAGAGAATATAAGAAGAAGGGGAATACCTCTGTCTCTGGGAATGGCATCAGGGTCGATGCCATCAGAAGCGGGGAAGACCGAGTCGGAGACCATGAAGATGGTGTTGAGGGAGGGTCTGCCGACCTTCGGACCGTTTGGCTTAGGCTTGTTTTTAGTGCCAGGCGGTCTGCCCATGCGCACGCCGTTCTTTGAGAACGTAGGCGGTTTGGGGGGCTTGCTGCGACGGGGGTGGTCGGTGGACATGGTGGTGATGGGGGGTGGAGATGAGGGTGAGGCTCGTGTGGGGAAGTGGGCGGTGGGTTATATGAAAATGTGCGGGCGAGCGAGGAGAGGAAGGAGAAGAGGCATACAGAGTATGAAAGAGGAAGTAGAAGAAGATATAGAAGAATATATAGAAAGAACAAGAGAACAGAACAAACAAAGCAACAGAGATCAGCATCGACAAAGGCCCACAGCTCGCAGCCAACGCGGGGAAACCTGATCGAACGAAGAAACCCTAAAACACTGATGTCACGGAACAAGGCCCGTTGCTGACTCTGCTTCGACTATCTACACTTCGGTCTTCTATATCAATATCTTATCATATCTTATCGTATCATATCGTATCATATCGTATCGTATCGTTTCTGCATCATGCCGGACTCAATCAACGGCGACCTCTACGTCCGCAACCTCGCCGCCTTCGTCCGCACAAACGAGCGTTCTGTATGTCTTCTCTTATTACTTCACCTCCTCTACTCTTCTCACATCGTATACCAGCTCGCCTCCAAACACCGCCCCGGGAAGCGCAACCTAGACGCCTCCGTCTTCTCCTCCCCCCTCAACTCCCTCAACATCCCCATCACCCGCTCCCGCGCCGCCCGCCTCTCCCTCACCCCCCACCACCTCTTCTACCTCCTCCACCGCTTCAAAGACCTCGGCCTCCCCGTCGGCCCCCTCACCGTCCGCCTCGAGTTCGTCGACCAGTCCTCCTCCCCCTCAAACTACATCTCCTTCCTCGACGACTCCCTCCACCACAAACGCTCCTTTTCCACCGACCAAACCTCCATCCAGTCCTCCTCCTCAGTCTTCTCCTCCATCTCCGGCGTCTCCGCCATCTTCTCAAACCTCTCCATCAACAGCAAAGAGAAAGCCAGAGCTTCCCTCGAACATGACCTGAAATACCTCTACTCCTCCTTCACCGTCCTCCCCTCCCTCCGCCTCGCCCCCGACCGCAAAGCAAAAACAATCGACGGCTTCGAAGAATTCCCCTTCGACCGCGCCGTCCCCCTCATCGCATTCAAAAACCTCTCCTCCCTCGAACTCATCGACGTCGACGTCCGCGCCTTCTACGGCTGGGACGCCGTCTCCGAACGCCTCAAGTCCCTCTCCGTCAAGCACAGCCAGATCGACGACCCCGTCGACCTCATCGTCGGCCTCGTCCTCGACGACATCAACCAGCGCCGCAAGCGCTCCCTCGATGATATCCCCGCCTACACCACCGTCGACGCCGACGAAGGCCCCGAAAACCTCCTTCTCGCCCGTGTTGTCTCTTCAGAAATAGGTAGTAGCGGTCGACGTCGCTCCCTCTCTCAATCCCGCAGCCGACGACCGAACCTCACCGATGACCTGCAACAGCGCTCGCGATCACAGTCCACCCCCCGCAGCGCCCGCCGTCTTCGCTCAGACTCGATCTCCTCTGTCGCGTCCTCCCTACGCTCCCCATCACCTCCAACCGAACTAGGCCCGCTCAACTGGCACCGCCTCCGCATCCTCTCCCTCGCCGACAACGGCATCTCCTGCATCACAAACGAGGCCATGATGCCGCTCACCGACTCCCTTCTGTCGCTCGACCTCTCCTCGAACTTCCTCGTCGCCATCCCCGCCGCTCTATCCTACCTCACCTCGCTCACCTCGCTCAACATAAGCTACAACCTCATCTCCTCCCTGCACTCCCTCGCGCACCACCCTCTCCCGGCAATCACCGTCCTCAACCTGCGCGGAAACAACATCGTCTCCCTCGCAGGCCTCGACCGCATCCTCTCCCTCGAACGCCTCGACCTGCGCGACAACAAACTGACCGACCCCACCGAACTCGCGCGGCTCACGGGCGCGCCGAATCTCTCAGAGATATGGGTGCTGGGTAACCCGTTTGTCAAATCACACCACTCCTCATACCGCGTCACTATCTTTAACCTCTTTCGACAGACGCCGGGGTATACGGACGACATTCTGCTTGACGGAAGTTTGCCGGGGTTGCTTGAGCAGCGCACGTTGGCCGAGCGCGCGGAGGAAGCTGTTCCGTCGCCGGTCGCCACACGGCACGGTAGCAATGTTATTTTCGACGAGCAGCCTCAGCAGCCTGTTAAAAAAGAAGACAGCGGGGATTTGCTGCCAAAGTTCAGTTTCAACTTTTTCAGGTCCTCGCCGCCGCCGCCGCCTGCAGCACCAGCAGCAGCAGCAGCAGAGAAAGTGAAAGATGACCGCGACGAAATGCCACCTCCTCTCACCGCCCCGCGCCCGATCCGCACCCACCCCGCGATGCGGATCGCCAACTCGACCACCCCGACCGACAAAAAACCTCGCAAAAAAGCCGGTCGAAAGAGACTAGTGGACCTCGACCCCGAGATGAGCGGCGACGACCAGCTGAGCACAAACACGGCCGCGAGCTCGGTGAAGTCGCTGGGCAGGAGCGTGTCGCCGCCGTTTGCGATGACCGAGTCGGAGTGGACTAGTAAAGGCGAAGAGTACCGGAAGCGGATTGAGGCGCTGCGGAATGATTTTGGGAGCGGGTGGTTGAGTGTGTTGAGCGAGGAGCTGTGATGATGATGATTATGTTATGCATTGGTGTTGTCTTTTGTCTTTTGTTTTTGGTGTTTTGCATTCTGTTTATCTTCTAATGACCTTTTTCTATTTTAATATTGCATTGTGACGAATTCTTTTCTTTTATCTCTATCTTATCAGATTGATGACTTTAATCTTTATTTTCTACTTTATTTCTAGACTTGTTTTCTTACTAGTTTTGATCTTGGGGGTAATATCTAAAAGTTTGGTTTACTTGTGTGCTTGATTCAAGCTTAATTATATATAATACTATTGTTACTGCACTAAACTACAGTTTACTATAGTATTATGAGCAACAAACTAATTACTATAGAATCCACATGTCGAAATTAGGAAAGTGTCGTCATATTACGTAACAAATTACTTATCTCACTTCACCAAGCCGCTGCATCTCATCTCCACGCCCCGTCAATCCGCCCATCAAGACCACCAAAGAGCCAATTATCGCGGCCTCGATCTGGTCCGAGAGTACACGTACACGTACACGCACACGCACATGTGCTAGTCAAGGCAAGATGTTCAGGATCCAGACGCTGAACGGGGTGACGATCAACGAGTCCGAGAACGCAAACATCTCGCTGCCGCAGCGGCGCGGGTCTGCGTTTGAAGCGGCCGAGCGGGATCGGATTATGGCGCGGGAGCGGATGAGGCGGTTGAGGCAGAAGAGGAAGGAGGAGGGTATGTGTGCTGTTTATAGATTGAGTGAAGGGGAGGGAAGGGAATGCTAACAGGAGTTATGAAGCACTACTTCTCTCATCGCTGAAAAAGATATCTCCAACAAACGCCGCGCTCCTGACCGCGACCCCAAAACGCACACCCTCGGCGCGAAGCGGTGGCAAGACGACCTCGACGTGGAAGACGTATTTCACAGCAGACGAAGTGGCCAAGCTGCTCGAGCTGGGCGATAAAGGCTGGGAGTGGGGACGCATCGCGTTGTTGCTCGACGGGCTCAAGTCCGCGGAGGAGGTGAGGAGGAAGTATGAGGAGATTAGGGGGTATAGTCGGATATGAAATAGTGTGGGGGGGGGGGGAATGTGGTTTGAACCTGGGAAGACGGGTGGTTGGGTGGGCAGGTATCTGCGGGCGGATATGTGCTGCTCTAGACTGCAGCTCCCGCGACGCTGGCTCACGATGTGCTTCAAGAGCGCAGAGTACTGCCGATTCTGTGCACTGAAGACATTGTCGCGACACTGTCGCAGCGTCTGAGAAAGTGCTTGCACCATCTGCTTAGAGCACAGTACAGATGGTGCAGCTTGATTCCCAATAGCTCTCGATAGTCTTCATGTGAAGAGCTAAGTGACAGAAAAAAGCACAGTTTGAATGAGGGATTGTCTTTGTCTCTTTGAAAGAGATGGTGGTCGGAAGATCACCATAGTTCAAGGTGATTACTTTGAAGTGGTATTTTAGCAGTCTACACGCGGAAGAACTTGATAGATAGCGAAAAGAGAAAGCAAAAAGAGTCGAGTGGTAGAGAAAAGCACAGTTTGGATGAGAAGATCACAATATCTTTCGAAAGTGATTGGTGGCTGGAAGATCATCATAGTTCAGGTGATTACTTTGGAGTGAAATCTTGGAAGTCTACATGCGAAGAACTTGATAGATAGCGATAAGACTCAAGTGACAGAGAAAAGCACAGTTTGAATGAGACAATCACCATATCTTTTTGAAAGTGATTGGTGGTGGAAGATTACCATAGTTCAATGTGATTTGGAGTACATGGGTTTGGATTATTCTTAAAGCATAGTCTACATGCGGAACTTGATAATAGCAAACGAGTTCAATTGAACGTCGATGAACTTGCAAATAAGTGATGATGAACTATCTATAAACAAAACAGAAAACAAACACGCGAGGTAGATATACAGTTTATAAAATGGAAATACCAAAACAGATCATGAGAGTTGCGTTAATAAAAAAGAAAGAAGACTACTCGACAATCTCCTCGTCCTCTTCATAGTCGTCCCAGCGCTTTTTCAACTTCTTCAACTTCTGATGTGATCCGCCGTTATCAGAAGGACTAGCCGCCGTCGGCGCCTCGTTGACCAAACTGGTGAGCGTGTAATCCCATCCCTGCGTGAGCGTCGTGACCTGCGAAGCCGAGGCCGCGAACGTGGTGAAGGCCGTCCACGAGGTGGCCGAGTACAGCGGTTTCGTACCAGTCGCGGTCACGGTCGAGCCCGGCTGGGTCTGCATGGGCGCGTACTTTGTGAGCCAGGTGGCCTGGTCGATGTAGGGCACGTCGAAGGAGTTTGTGATTGCGGTGCCGGTCGCCGCGCCCGAGGTCGTCGAGCCCTCGACGTAGACGGTGTCGGGCGGGTCGGTGTCGCCGCCGTCGGAGGGCTCGACTGTTCCGGACATGCCGGTCAGTGTGAACCGCGGGGTGTAGCTGATGACGTACCCGGGTCCGCCGTTGACGAGCGAGGTGAGTTGGAAGTAGAAGCTGCCGCTGGCGGCGGCGGACTGGGAGATGGTCGCGGCGTAGCTGTCGTCGAGGGTCGAGAGCGCGACGGAGGCGGCGAGGGAGAGGAAGCAGTTGATGTTGGAGTTGGAGCCGGTGCAGAGCAGGATTGTGACGGAGGTGAGGGTGTCGAGCGCGGGATCGTCGCCGTTGTCTTTCCATTTGATTTCGACGCCGTCGGAGACGTCGAAGCTGTCGCCGGCCTCGGGGGATGTGAATTTCATGGCCGCGAGCGCGTGCACAATGAAAAGTGCGAGGATGAGAAGGGAGGATAGAGGAGAGGCCATGGTGGGTGTAGGGGGGCTGGGAAGGAGGAGGAGGGAGGAGGAGGGAGGTCAGAGGCAGGGGTGAGGCGAAGCACGAAGCAGAGCGGAGCGGAGCAGAGCAGAGGCAGAGACACACTCGCTGGACCGCAGACTATCAGAAGAGCACGACGAGCAACGAGGAAGAGCTGCGAACTCTTGAAGCAGTGCTTAGAGGAGAAGAGATCAAGAAAGCGGGAAAAGTGGTGAAGAGCGGGCAGGGAAGGAGGGCGGCGAGAGATATTTATAGAGTTAAATAGTTTGCTCCGAACAGAATAAGAACGCGCAAGCAGGTTTGAGCCGCGGTTTGTTGTTGATGTGTGCGGAGGGATTACATATACAGAGTAGAAAGAACAACAACAAGCAGATAACATATATCTTTTACATATACAGAAGTAGTCACTGAATACCATGCATTTATCTAAACATCTTCTACATCTGATGGCATCTTCAAGACGTCGTCAGCACAGCGGGTTTGGTGGCTTTGCTGCCGGGTAAACTTCTCAGCTCAGTCCCGAAAACTTCAACGGTTCTCTTTCTACAGACTACTGGATACAGCGACGATGATTTACTTAAAAACAATACTGAACGTCATCGACAACTCGGTGTGTATCTGTTTGCTTGTCCTGTCTTTTTTAGTTGTATGGACTAACAATGTGTCGTAGGGCGCCTCGCTCGTCGAGTGTATCAATGTCTTTGGCAAAGGCAACAAGTCCGCCGGCAGAGTCGGTCAGTATCCATCTTTCCCATGCTCTTCTACATTCACAGCACACTAACAATCCTCTTCACAGGCGACAAAATCGTCGTCGTCGTCCAGCAACTCCGCAGCGCCCGCCTACTCTCCCAGAACGCCGCCAACAGAGTCCAGCGCGGCGACGTCCGTCACGCCGTCATCGTCCGCACAAAGAAAGAGTGGACACGGCCGGACGGGACCGTCGTGCGGTTCGACGACAACGCGTGCGTGCTTGTGAACAATCAGGGCGAGCCGGTCGGGTCCCGCGTCATGGGCGTCGTCGCTCGCGAGTTGCGCGAGAAGTATTCGAAGATTGTCGCGTTGGCGCCGAAGGTTATCTAAGTGCAATTGGTCTAGAAGTAATTCAAGAGCAATTCAAGAGAAGGAGAGAGTCGAGGATGGGCACGTATATAATGGAGTTAAGTTGCTGATTATCTAGTATGTGCACGTTCGATTGTAAATACATATTTCTTTTTATTCTTTATACGATCAAGACATTTGAACAAAAGCAAAACTCCATGTAACGAATAGACCACTAATGTACACTATAACCTCCGTGGTTTTATAAGAGATAATACAAGATCTCTAATGGAAGATCTTGCCGCAATCAACACATACATAGAACAGCACCTGGATATACGTTAGTCAAAAGCACAGTCTGACACAGAAGCACCTGCACTCACCATGTTTGTCTCGGCTTTTCGCTGCTGACTTTGGAAAAACACTGCTTCTTTGTGGTGGCAGCGGGGGCATTCCTTGTTTGATCGGGGCTGTATCTGTGAGTATATAACAAATCAGACAGCACTGAAAACAGTTTACATACCAGAGTAGGATCAGTTCCAACATCAAGCGTCACGCCCGCCGTCTCACTATTTCACCATATTAGCCACAATCATCAGACACACCTCAACTCAACACTACACACACCTGACATCAGCCAAGATCTCGTTCCGGTAGACTCGCGGATCACTCGCGAGCTCTTTGTAAGGGCAGTTACGGCACGAGTACAGAAGCCGCTGGTTCAGCTTGTCTTCCTTGGGATACAACATGTTGTTGCTGGGTGTGTTAGTATATACACCAACTCTCTAAATAAGAAACGCACACAACATACCACTCCATGCAGAATCTAAAGGATGCCATCGTTGATGAATGCCTCGATGACGGATATCAAAAGAACGAGATGGAGGTCAGTCGGATAGAGTTCCAACCTGTGCACGTGATACCACCACAAATGCGGCACAATTGACTACAACACCTTCGCTTTTATGCCACCGCAAACCACACTCAGATTTTCATGGTTTTTCGGGTTTTTCGTCAACCCTTCCGCCCGCTGCCCGACTCCGTCTGCTGTTCACCTGCTTTCGTTGGGATCGTTCTGTGCTCAATTCGTTCTATTTCGTATTCTGGTGTGAAAAGTATTTGTTTAATTCAGTCGAAAATGTCTGCTTCGCTCATCGCTCGGTCGTCGCTCCGGACAGCTGCTCGGGCTGCCGTCAGGTATCTCTACTATTCTTTCTGCAATGATGTCTGCGATTGTCTGCTAACAAACAATTCCCAGACCAATCTCAATGGCGCCTGTCTACATGGCCTCCCGACACAACAGCACATCGGTCGACCCCAAGATCTCGACCATAGTAGACCAAATCTCCGGTCTTACCCTTCTCGAGACCGCCGACCTCGTCTCATTACTCAAGGTACTTCTTCATTCTAACCGTTCTCTTCTTTAATCTCTACTGACTCACCTTTTTCAGACCCGCCTCAACATACAAGACATCGCCATGCCTGCCGCCGCCGCCCCCGCTGCCGCCGCCGCCCCCGCCGTCGAGGAAGCGCCCGAGGTGATTGAGAAGACGATGTTCAACGTCAAGCTCGAGAGCTTCGACGCCGGCGCCAAGCCCAAGATCATCAAGGAGGTCAAGAACTTGCTCGGCCTGAACCTGGTCGAGTCCAAGAAGTTCGTCGAGGCCGCGCCAAAGGTCTTGAAGGAGAACGTCGTCAAGGAGGATGCCGAGAAGCTCAAGTCTACTTTGGAGGCTTTGGGCGCGAAGATTGTGCTTGAGTAGGCTACAAATAGATTTCTCTTTTTGTCCTGTCGTTTCTCTTCACCTTACACTTTCGCTGGCTTATATACACCGTCGGCGAGTCTAGAGTATTTATGTATATATTGAAATTCTTTTAATCAAACTTGTACGATTCTATGCACCTTACACCAGTGAAAAGTAGAAATCTATAATCATATTTAACTAATATACACTCTCCTATAAACCACTTCTTCACACTCCACTCCTTCACCCTACTTCTTCTTACCCAGCGACGACGCAATGTTCGTCGCCTCCTGGATCGAGCGCGCGATCGTGCTGCGGATCTTGCCGTCCTCCATCACGAGCAGACCGCCGATCGTGCACCCGCCGGGGGTCGACACCGAGTTGCGGATCTGCGCGGGATGGTTGCCGTCGAGGACCATGCGCGCGGCTCCCTGCATCGCTGTTGTATGCTGTGTTAGTAGATTGTAATTGTTAAGGTCAGACAGAAACTAGAAGGGCTTACTTTGAGCAGCGAGCTCCTGCGCGACGGCAAACGGAAGGCCCATCATGACACCACCATCCGTCATAGCCTCGAGCATGACGCACGCGAACGCGGGTCCACTACCGCTGAGCGCGGTGCATGCGTCCAGGTGTTTTTCCTCAAGAAACACGGCGCGGCCGATTTGCGAGAAAATCCACTGGATCGTCGGCTTGAGCGAGGGCGAGGGCGTCAGCTTGAGAAGGTCGACTGATGACGACGAGGGAGAGGAGGGGGTCGGGAAGGAGATTACGGTCATTCCTTGCCGGATCTATAGATAGAGATTAGCTATGGGTGTCTGATATTATCCGCGACAGAATAAGAGTGAGGAAGTACCTTGCAAGGAGTGTTTGGCATAGCGCGAACGACAATGGTATCGTTTCCAACAATATCCTGAATCTGCTTAATCGTCGTGCCCGCCAACACACTAATCAGCAGCTTCCCTCTCAACGCCTCCTCCATGCCCTTACTCGACAAGATCTCCTCCGCGAGCTGGGGCTTGCACCCCAGAATCACGACGTCCGACTCCGCGACCGCCTTTGCGTGCGCATGCAGCGCGACCTCGACCTTGCCGCCATACGTCGCGGTAATCCGGTCCGCGGACTCTTGTCGCTTCACGCACGCGATGAACTTCGCGGGCACGGGAACGTCGGCGGCGGTCGAGGCCGCGGAACTGAGCGAGTCGAGCACGCCGCTGAGCACGGCGGAGCCCATTGTTCCGCACGCAAGCATGCAGAGCGTGTAGTTGTTCTTAATTGCGAGTTCCTGGATTGGCATTTTGCGAGCACGTGGTCTATAAGAGGAGGGGAGATGGTGGAAGAGGAGGAGGTGGTGAGTCAGGTTGAGGTTCGAGATTTCGGGAAAAAAATGGATAAGGTTTTCATTTAGCTCTAATTGGTTTGCGGGTGTTTTGTCAATTCAGCTGTGTTTTGAATCTGTTTTGGTATTTATATAAAATATAAAGTAGAATTGACTGTTCTATAGCAGAGTAACTAGTTTTTAGTAGATTTTATGAGGTTGAAGACCATCAATGGCTATCTGCCGTGTTTACATAGACAAACTCTATTCGATCGAAGAACCTCAACGCTGCTCAACCCGCAAAGTGAACTCACCCAGTCCATCGCCATCTTCTCTTTCTTTCTTCTCGATAACAGCCACACATCCTCGCAACACCTCAACAATGCCAATGATGCCCGAGCTCGAAGGCGCGGATCCGGAAATCAAAACATCGCTGCCCGCCGATGTCATCAGCTTGCTGCGATCTACCCGTTTCGTATGACTTCCATGCGCTCTATCTCATACAAAGATATATCCGTCGCTGACTATTTCTACATTCTAGCTCCAACTCGGAACTTCTTACCACGACTATCCTCATGTTAGTCTGATGAACCACACTTACCTGCCCGAGGGATCGGCGCTGCCGTACGATTCGGACGCGCTCATCGTCGTCACTACTGAGCGACAGACAAAGAAGTTCTTCAACATCTCAGCCGTGCGCACTCCACCCCTGATCCCAGCGCCCCTCGCAGGCCTCTACTAACCTCCCCTTCTGTCTGTTTATAGAACCCCCGGGTCTCGATCCTCGTCCACGACTGGGTCGCAAAGCAAACAAACCCCGTCCCTTCGAACGCGGGCCCGAACGGTCTCACGCAGTTCCTGCTCTCGATGAACCAAGCCGAGCTGTCGAGCATATCCGCGACCCTGAACGGCGTCGCGCGGATAGTCACCGACCCCGAGGAGGAGAAATTCTTCAAAGAAAAACATCTCGCTGCGAATCCGACCGACGCGCGCACTTTTATCGATACGGATGATTCGGCGCTGATTGTTATCAAGGTGTCCAGCGCGCGCGTTGTCGATACTGATAATAACCTTGTCAAGTGAGTCTATTTTTCTGTGAGTGTCGTTAAAAACTCTAGCTGATGACTTTTTATCGCAATAGGTGGAAGGAACCGGGCGCTGCTTCTACTCCCGTGTCTTCAGGCCAGCAGAACGGAGCTGCTACTAACGGTACCTCATAAGACTTTTAATCAAAATCTTCTACTGTATCGCAAAATAACGTCAACGATTCTATTTTACAAAGAAGGCATCGAAACGACTGTACAGTAAATGACCCAATCAAACCAATCAAGTAAACACAAAAACACAAGCAAACTCCAATCGCAAAGATATAATCACACTCGCTACCTGTTAATCGTATGCAGATAGGACTCGTCCATTTCCAACTCGTCATCGTCGTCCTCGCCATCGTCGTCATACGAAGGCGCCGGCGGCCGACTAAGCCGACTGCCGACCGAGTCGTCGAAATGCGACGAATTTCGCGGCGGCGCAGAGTATTCTCTAGTCTCGAACGTGTCGTCCATATCGCTGCCGTCGTCCACGTCGTCCGGGAGCATACCCTCTGCCGCCTGCTCTTCCTCGTTCTCGACACTATTCTGCAAGATCCGCAGCTCGTTCATCGTCATCGTCACAAACGGCCTGATCTCGTTCAGCTCCATCGCGCCGATATGATCGAGCTGCATGTACGTGTACTCCAACCCCCGCAAACCCGCGCGCACTTTCGCCTGGCGAATCTCGCGGATGTCGCGCAGCAGGTTGCGGATGACATGCGGCGCGGACGAGAGGTCGTCTGGCGCGGACTCGAGCACGAGCTCGCCGACCTCGATCCACTCCCAGGGCAGCTTGTCCGAGAACCGCGTCATGTTTGAGGCTTCGGCCTCGTAGGCCTTTTTTAGGTTGTCTTCGGACAGCCACGCGGGGGAGACGATGTTGCATCGCGATTGCTTTTTGAGGATTATGGCGACCCAGAGGGGGACTTCGACGCGTCGCATGGGTCTCATTGACGGTAATTTTAGCTGGAGAGAGTTAGCTTCAGCAGTTCTGCAAGTCAAGAGCTCTGAAATACGAAACAAAAGAACACTTACGCCAATCAGATCCACAGAATCAAGCGCCTGTCGCGGTATTATAGTCACTTTTGTATTCTCAGCCAGAAAAGATATCTCAGACGGCAGAAACGTGCCAATCTGCTTCGGCGGGAGCGCCATTATGCAACGACAATTCGCGGTTGTTCTGCTGTGATGGTGAAAAAAGAGGAAAGGGATGAAGCGGGACGCGAAGAGACGCGTCTGAGCGCGAGGCGACGGGGGAGGTTCGCGATGGTGGGTGGACGGAGGGGGTAGGTTTGATGCGACTGCGGGCGAGTCTGATACACAAACGAATTCACTCTTCGGAACCAGAAACAGGCTGTAGATGTTGTTGTAAGAAGAACAACTCTGAGCAGAGCCGGTGGTTGTTTGCAGACAGCCAACAGTGGTAATCTGATCACAACTCCCCCTGAAACTGTAATTGTCTACACCTCCCGGCCATCTGCATCTCCTTCACCACCATCAGTCCTAGCTGTCTTTCTGTGTCTCTGCGTTCTGCGACTGACTCGATTCTCAAACAGCAGACAAGCAGATCCGCATGGCGCTCTACGTGCTTCTAACCGCGCTGCTGCTCCCACTCCAATGCATCGGCCTCCTGCTGTTCGCCAAAGGGTTCTTCCCTTACAAACCCGTCTTCCATGGCTACGCTCCAATTGAGCCCGACGCGCCGCCTGCTGTTTTCGATAGTATGATATTCATGCTGGTCGATGCTTTGCGGAGGTATCTTGACGTGATTTTGGTTGCTAAACTCGAGCTGCGCTGATGTTCGCATAGTGATTTTGTGTTTTCGAATCAGTCGACGATGGAGTTCACTCAGAGGTACGCAGTCTCCACGAATTCCTCTCTGCCATCCCGTTTCTCTAACAGCACTTTAGCTTGATTTTATCCGGCACCGCCATCCCATTCACTGCCCGCGCCGCCCCACCAACAGTCACCCTTCCGCGCATCAAAGGCCTGACCACGGGCTCGGTCCCGAACTTCCTCGACGCGGTGCTCAACATCGCCGAGTCGGACGACTCGTCCTCGCTCAAGAACCAGGATAGCTGGCTGGCGCAGGTCAAGCGGCGGCAGATGCAGACTGGTCGGTTGGTCATGTTTGGCGATGATACGTGGTTGAAGTTGTTTCCAGGGATGTTTGAGCGGTCCGATGGCACTTCTAGTTTTTTTGTCTCGGTGAGTGGTGTCCACAGGCGAGTGACTTGAGTGGTTTCAATTAACCTATTTCTTTCTGTTTTAGGATTTTACAGAGGTCGATAACAATGTCACTCGGCATTTAGATGCAGAACTCGCGGCGACCGACTGGGATGTCATGATCCTACATTATCTCGGCGTTGACCATATCGGTCACAAAGGAGGCCCCGACAGGTAATCCTCAGCCAATTGCTTCCTTGTCTGTGCCTCATAACTGACAATTTTGGTGTTCAGCCCATTTATGCCGCAAAAGCTCAAGGAGATGGATGATATAATCCAACGGCTCTACACACACGTATCCAACAAGCTCGAAACCGACGGCACCTCTACGTTATTAGTTCTCTGCGGCGACCACGGCATGAACGAGCTCGGCAACCACGGCGGCTCGTCTGCGGGCGAGACCGCGGCCGCGTTAGTCTTTGCGTCGCCGTTGCTGGCGAAGCTTGAGGCGGATAACAGAGCGAGCGCGGAGGGGTTTGGGAATGATTATGAGTATTACTCTGTGATTGAGCAGAGTGATGTCGTGCCGACTATTTCGGGGTTGTTGGGCAATCCGTTTCCGATGAATAACATTGGGCTTTTCATTCCACAGTTTTTGGGGTTTTGGAAGGGTGAGAATTGATGATTAGCTGTGCTGGTTAAAGCACTCTTACTAACTTGTGATATCATACAGAGTCAGAGCAGCTGAATCTTCTCAAGCAGAACGCCGAGCAAATGTATAGGATTCTAAAAGCGACCTTTGCCGAGCTCAGTGTGCCAGTCACGACCACGAACCTGGACGCGCTGATGAAAGGTTCGGATGTCGAGCGTATCCACGGACTATGGCATACAATTCAAAGTCCCGATTTCATCGACTCCAAAGACTCACGATCAACGCTCTACAGTTTCCTCGAGACAGGCAGGAACCTGCTCGCGCGGACTTCGAGTAATTACGACATCCCAAGCATGCTCATCGGGATCCTCATCATCGCGTGGATCGCGGTGACGCTTTATCGACGGGCAGTCACGTCGACGTCTTCTGACTTCGTCACCAAAGCTGCGTTCTCGGTCATCTTGCTCGGTCATGGACTCGCGATGTTTGGAAGTAGCTTGGTTGAGGAGGAGCAGTATTTTTGGTATTGGGCGGCTAGTGCATGGTTCATTGTTCAGTTTTCGGTCGCGTGAGTTGGCACCTTCCTTCTTTCTTCTTTTTCGTTGATTAACACGCGTTATCAAGTGCTCGATATAAATCTCAGCGAGCGGCAGTTTGCTGGCTTGCCCTGAGCGCCGTGATGTTCGCGGTCAGACACTACCACCACACCGGCCAGAAATTCGCCGGTTCGTTCGACATTGCCAGTTTCCTTGCTCTTGACTTTTCCACCAGCTTGCTCTGGCTTTTGATTATAGCCGAGCACCTGCTGATTTTTAAGAACCTCCAGTTCTACGTTTTCACCGAGACGGGCTCGATCGCAGGGTTCGTGTGCTCTTTCACGCCCGTCGCCAGCTTGTTTTCGTTCAAGCTCTCGATGGCGCTCGAGGCTGGGGAAGCTGTGCCGAGGTATTTGATTGCTCTTGTTCCGGTATCGATCGGTGCAGAAGGATTGAATAAACGGGCACAGGCGGCCTTTCTTGCTTTCGGGATCTGTCTCATCTTCCACATTGTCTCGTCTGTGTGGAATCTGAAGAAGGATGCCTTCAAATTCATCCGCGGCGTGTTTCACATTGTTGAACTGCTGCTAGTGCTTGAGTCGAGCACTGTGAATATTCCTATTTTCCTGCTCTACGGTGCCGCGCATTCGATCCTGCGTCGCTACGCTTCGTATTCGACCTCGACGTCCATGTCGATAGTGCTCACCGGCCTGATCTGGCAACAAGTCTCATTCTTCGCGTCCGGTAACTCAAACTCGCTTGCGTCCTTGGACTTATCGAACGCGTACAACGGAATCTCTGGATTCAGCACCGTGCTCGTCGGCATCTTGCTGTTTATCAGTAACTGGGCCGGTCCGATCTACTTCACGCTCTCGACCGTCGTGCAACTATCGATTTTCCAAACGCGACACAGCAGCAGCAGCAGCTCGGCCTACTCTTCGATCGAGGAGCTGGTTACGACCGACTACCTCTCCGTGATGCACGCGTTCCACGCGCACTCGCTGCTCGCAGTCATGCTCGCGTGCTTGATCTTGCGCTCGCATTTGTTTATCTGGACCGTGTTTTCGCCTAAACTGCTGTATACTGCTGCGTGGTTTATACTACAGCAGGGCGTGGTGGATACATTTGGAGGACTGGCGCTTTCTATCATTGCCGAGGCCTTGTGAATGTTTACTCTATAGAATCAAAAGTTCCTGTGCATAGCTTTTTGTTTTGTTAGACGTTGGTTGTATCTATTTCCTAATAAAGAGGTCGAAACCCTACAAGGAAGCGTAAGGGTTTAGTGTGCAGGCTCTTTAAAGGCGCCGAAAAATTCTCTTCCTCTTTGTATTTATCTGGCGCAGACAACTATCGCAGCTTCCTCTTTCCAGCAGTTTATTCTAGATGGTTTGACTTGCGAGGTCAATGTCAGGTATGTCTTGATTCTTTGCCTGTTTAGAAGACGTCGTCGGGCCCGCACAAGCTTGCTCTTCTTATATGATGACAAAACTTTTGTGTTTGACTCTTAACGAGATGGAAGCCACAAATGATTTCTCAAGACTACAACGGTATCTGATTTAAGAAGAGAGCAAGCTCGTGCTGGACCGAACGTCGCGCATGCTTTCAATTGATGGTGGAAATGCTAACGAACCGACAGAGACGCTCGAATGCCTCCCAAGAACAGACGCAATCTCAATGCGCTGTACCCGGATCCCTTGCCGGTGAAGGTTCTCTCGCTTCCGCCGGTGATCCCCCACAACCCGGTCTCGCTCGCGCAGTACATCTACGCGGTCGTCGCGCAGCCTGTTCTCGCGGGCTTCAAGCGGCCGCGGCGGTTCACGGGCTCGCTTGAGAAAACGTCGGACGCGGTGAGCTCGTATGTGTCGAGCATATACATCGAGTCGGAAGAGGACATGCAGGGCCTCTGGCGCGCCGGGTTTTTCGGAAAAGGATCGCAGAGTCGGAGTGACCCTACATGGGAGCTGCGCGTCGTCAAGAGACTGAATGTACCGGGCCGCGAAGGCATGCTTGCGCCTGAAGAATTAACGGCCCGCAGACGAGAAGCTCGGAAGCGGATGAAAGAGGAACGAGCACTTGCCGAGCAGGCTACTGCTTCGCCTGAGAAGATCACGACGGTAGATGCGTCGATAGTCGAGAAGACTGAGACGGCGAGGCCGAAGAAAGAGCGCGCGGAAGATGAGAATTTGCTCGATGGGCAGGGAAACGTGAGACGTCTGGAACGACTCGAGATTACTCCTCAAGAAGCATTTTTTCTTACGTACGCGCTTGACGTGCTGGACATTTACGACGATCACACTGGTGTATGTTCTTTTGCAGTTTTTTCAGTTTTGAGAGACGAAGGTACTAATGCAGAGTCTGTAGGATCGGATATCTGCGCCCCATCTTCTAGGGCTACTGATGCCAGACTGGAGACCAGACAATGATTTCATCATGAAATACGTAGTCTACCACCACTACCGTTCGCACGGCTGGTGTATCCGCAACGGCGTCAAGTTCGGCGTAGACTACCTCCTCTACCGCCGCGGCCCGCCATTCTCGCACGCCGAGTTTGGAATCATCATTCTCCCGCACTACAAGGACGAGGCGCGCAGCGAGGCCGCGCAAAGACGCGAGTGGGCCTGGGTCTCGGGCGTGAACCGGATCGTGGGCGGGGTGAAGAAGACGCTGATTTTGTGCTATGTCGAGGTGCCGGAGTCGATTGATACTTGGCACACGGTCGAGGAACTGTTGACGAGGTATAAAGTGCGCGAGGTGTCGTTTACGCGGTGGTTGCCGAGCCGAAACAGAGATTGACGAAACAGAGATTGATGATGGTGTATTTTGCATATTTGGAGTTGGGTTTATTTGTCTTTGAGGACGGAGTATATAGATCAGGGAATTAATTAATGATAATTGTATTCAAAAACGCCTTTTAATCATGACAAGATACACAAACAGCAAAGTAAATACGAAGAATACTATACATCTAAACCCACACAAGCGCTAAACCTCGCCCTTCCAAGCCTTCTCGACGAACCCGCAGCCCCTGCCGTTCTTGGATATGCAAACATAATTCTTCTTGTCGGGCAAAACACATTTCTCTTCCGAGTCCGGGAACAAGCACGGACAATCAATCGGTCTCTTGACGCAGGATAACGTGTCTTGACAGACGTATCCCTTGCACTCGACTACCCACACCCTTCGTTAGTACATCTTCAACCTCACAGCAGCCGTGATTCACTTCAAACAGCAAGATGATTCACTTCAGCACAAAGATGATTCACATACCGGTCTCGTAATTCTGCTCGTACCACTGCGGACTTCCCTGCGAGCTCCCGCCGTGCTGCTGCCGATGATGGCCACCCCCGCCGCCGGCCGCGCCTTCAAACATATGTTCAAAGAAATCAAACTGCGCGCTCGCAAGCAGCGGCGCCTGTAGCAGCAAAAGCCCTAAGAGTAGTAGTAGCCGCATTTGTCTTGTATCTCCTGCTTTGAGTGTCTCTGGTGGATAAGGCAAGAACGTGGATCAATTGCGCGAAGAAAATGATCTCGCGATATGCGCTACGTGTCGTCAATCGAGGAAGAAGTCTGCCAGAAGCATAGTCACGTGATCATTATGTAATATAAGGGTATTGTGCTGTGTATGATGTAAAGACATAGAGGAGTTACTTTGAGTGGAGAGATATTCCATCCACTCAACACTGATCTCCCGCCTGCCTGATTTCTTTGCGCATTTACAGGAAGTTGTCAAAGAGTTGATACAATCACACAAGCAGTAGATCAGCAGCTGAAGATCAAAAAAAGAGAATGGACGCCGAGATCGAGCAGCAAAACGCGCGCATAGCCAAGTTCGCAGAGCTCACGCAGGCCACTGCGGAGGACGCACGCAAGTACCTCGACGTAGCTGCCTGGAATCTTGACGTGAGTTGCTGTTGGTAATTGTGTACGTGTGTGTGTGGTCTTTTCTGACTGGGTTTGTTGTATGGAATAGTACGCGGTCGATCTCTTCTTTTCATCTGGGGGTGAAGGGCCCGGCGATGCAGATGTGGATGAGGAAGAGAACGACGACGACGACGACGACGCGGTGCTTTCGGATTTCCCCAGCGCGACTCCAGCGAGACCGACAGAGCAGACTCTTGGGTATTATATTCCTGTTCTCTAATCTCTTTTGCTATGACTACATCGATGGAGCGGTGTCGAGGGCATCTCACCTCGAATTCCTGCAACCAGTTGCAGACGCGTGGTTTGAAACCCGCTGCTCTCAGCTCAGCTCAGCAATCACTTCAAACCAAGCCCTCTTCCCTCTCCACGACCTTCTATTGCAAATCAACCATCAGCTAACCGCTCCTATTCCCTTCTCTCCAGCTCCTCCTCTCTCTCCTCCCTTCCTTCTTCCGACCGCCACCAGCACCAGCAGTCACCAGCAGCCATGTCCGCCGCCGACCGAGCAAAGCGCGCCGCCGCTGCCGCGAACCGCGTGCGCACCCTCGCAGATCTGAACAAAGAAAGCTCGCCCGCGCACGACGACGACTCGGACGAGGGATCGAGCTATGGCAGGGCGTTCGGGCGCCGTCGCGAGGATCTGTTCACCGGGGGCGAAAAGTCGGGGCTTGCGGTGCAGAACCCGGATGGGCCTTCGATTCCCGAGCCGACGAGATTAGTTAGCAATATCCTTAGCAGGGCCGAGCGGTATGCCTTTCTTTCTTTCTTTCTTTTGTCTGATTGAGTGGTGATCGTGGGATCTAACGGATTCTTACTCTTAATAGAGGTGGACGGGCACCAGAGGCAGAAGAAGCACGCCCAGCACAGAGATTCTACGGTTCAGGTAACCCATCCTACCTTACTCATCTCATCCCCTGACCTCCATTGTCGCTAACAATTATATCCACAGGCCACGTCCTCGGCGCAGAAAGCTCACCGGCACCCGCATCCTCGTCCGCCACTGCCGCGGCATCGGCCTCCCCCGCCGCTGAGGAAGATCTCAACACGCCCGTCACACGGACGCTCACCTTCTGGCGCGACGGATTTACGATCGAGAATGGCGAGCTGATGGCGTACGATGATCCCGTCAACCAGGAGATATTACGCGCTATAGATGGAGGGTGAGTTTCCCTCTTTTTCTTGTTTAATCATTGCCCTCTTCATAACTAACGTCATGCTCTCCCAGCCGCGCACCACTACACCTACTAAACGTCAGACCAGGCCAAGCTGTCGACATGCGCGTCGAGCGCCGAATGAACGACGACTACGAGCCGCCCATGCCCGCCGGCGGCGGTTTCCACGGGAAGGGATTCACTCTCGGTGGTTAGGTAGTTTTATGTCATCAATATAACTTATATATATAGTGTATTTGCTCTGAAGCGAGTGTTGTTTTAAGTCAATGTTATAGGTTTTTATGAGGTGACTGTCCAGCGAAGATGTCGCTTCGTAGGCGTATAGTAGTAGGTGCCGTTATAAAGACACGTTTGATATCGATTACATGGCTCTAAAGAACGAGCTACTGATCATACGTGCTGTAGATTGAGATAAAATATAGATTCAAGGAAGGAGCACAGAAAACTACCAAATACAGTAACACAAGCAATATATATATAATATAGAGTATAATTCACCTCACATTTTCACTTATCCGCTCTAGAACTCAGGAGTATCATACAACCCATCCGGATCCTTACCGTACAACTTGACGTACTCCTGATGCTTCGCCCGCAAGTGCTTCAGATACGAGATAATAACATGACTATCGACCGCGACGCCCGCATTCGACTTCGCCGCGCCCTCAACAGCCTTACACGCCACGCTCCAGCGATCGGTCGAGTTGAGGACCATCATCGAGAGCGGGGTGGTCGTCGTGCCTTCCTCGTCGTAGCCGGACACGGTCACGCGGTCGAGGTTCGGGTGGCCAAACATCAGACCCTTGAGCTCGGTGGGGTAGCCGTGGTAGTTGAAGTGGATCGGCTTGTCGGTCGTGAACAGCGACTCGAAGGCTTGAGTCGAGAGCGCGTGCGGGTGCGCACCGTTGGGCTGCAGGATCATCAGGTCGGTCACGTTCACGACGCGGACGCGCAGCGAGGGAAGGTGCTTCTTGAGCAGCGCCGCGGCGGCGATGACCTCGAACGTGACCTCCATGCCGATTCCGACGAGGACAACGTCCGGATCGACGCCGTTGTCAGTCGACGCAAACTTCCACACCGACGCTCCCGCAACGGTATGCGCCTCGGCCTCGTCGGCGCTCAGGAAGACGGGCGTGGGCGCTTTCGAGCCCACCATCAGGTTCACGTAGTTCTTCGACTTGAGACAGTGGCGGATCGTCGACAAAAAGCAGTTCGCGTCAGGCGGGAGGTAGATCCGCGCCGCCTCGGACTTGACCTTGATCACCGTCCCGATGAACGCCGGGTTCTGGTGCGAGAATCCGTTGTGCTCCTGGCGCGCCCAGGTCGAGGTCTCGATGTAGTTGAGCGAGCCGATGTCGCGGCGCCACTTGGTCTCCTTCGACATCTTCATGAACTTGGCGTACTGCACCATCATCGTCGCGATGATGCCCAAGAAGGACTCGTACGACGGGAACACGCCCACGCGGCCGGTAAGCGTGTAGCCCTGCATCCATCCCTGGCAGCAGTGCTCTGACAAAATCTCCGTCACACGGCCGCCCTTGGCGCGCGTCTCGGGATCCCACTGGAAGTCGCGGTTGGTGTGGTTGAAGACGGCGTCGAGCTTGTTCGACACCAGCTCATCGGGCGAAAACAGACGCAGGTTCTTGGGGTTCTGCACAAACGCAACGTCAAGGTACTCGCCCACCGCCTTCATGCACGAGTACTGCGTGCCCTTCTCCTTTGCGAGCGGCTTCCAGTCCGGAAGCACGAGCTCGGTGTAGCCGTTGTAGGTCTCCTTGAGCTGACCCATGCGCTTGGCCGGGTTCTTGGGTACGATCGAGAGGATCTCGGGAATGGGCTCGCCGGCCTCGGTCAGGAGCGAGTTGTGGTCATACGAGGACAACCACTCCTTGAGCAGCTCGAACTGCACCTTGTCGGTCTTTGCTTCCGGCAAAGGAACCTGGTGCGAGTGGAACGAGCCCTCGATCGGCACGCCGTTGAGCATCTTGGGACCAGAGTATCCCTTGGGCGTGCGGAGCACAATCATAGGCCAGCGGGGCTTGACGATCGGCTTGCCCGAGCGAGCAGCAGTCTGGATCGACTTGATCTCTGCCAACGCCCACTCGAGCGCGGCCGCGAGCTGGTCGTTGATGTCGGTGAGATCCTCGACGATGGTGACCTGGTAGCCGTAGCCAGAGTAGAGCGCGATCAGCTCCTTGTCGTCGTTTGTGCCGGGGATGGTGCGCTCAGAGATCTTGAAGCCGTTGGCGTGGAGGATGGGGATGACGGCGCCGGACTCGGCGGGGTCTATGTATTTGTGCGAATTCCAGGCACTGTCGACTCATCTTGTTAGTCTATAGAGCAGGAACTGAGGTAGAAAAAAGAATACGTACGCTGCAAGAGGTCCAGACTCTGACTCACCATCACCGACAATGCAGGTAACAATGAGGTCAGGCTTGTCCATGATAGCACCATACGCGACAGCGAGCGAGTATCCAAGCTCACCACCCTCATGGATCGAGCCAGGAACCTCGGCGTTGATGTGCGAGGGGAAGCCGCCGGGCCAGGAGAAGGACTTGATGAGTTTCTGCAGGCCGGTCTTGTCGGCCGAGTACTGGGGAATGAAGGCGCCGAGAGAGTCCTCGATCCAGAGATTGGCGAGGATGGCGGGGGCGCCGTGGCCGGGGCCGACGACGTAGATCATGTCGAGGTCGTACTTGACGATCAGACGGTTGAGGTGGGAGTAGACGAGGGTCAGGCCGGGACATGTGCCAAAGTGACCTGGAGGTAGAGGTTAGTCTGACTGTTCAGTTCTCAGATATAGTGGTGATAAGTGAGATCTGCATTGGGTTCGGGCAAGAAGACATACCGAGAAGACGCGACTTGATATCGTCGGTCGTGAGCTCGTTCTCGAGCAGAGTGTCGCTCTTGAGGAAGATCATAGCCGAGGCAATGTAGTTTGACAGCGCCTGGAACTTGTGCAGAGCGAGGTGCTCGTCTTTGGGGAGGAAGTCTTTGTATGCGGGCTTGACCCCGAGATCAAGGACATATTCAGGAAGCAGGGACGGATCGGGCGAGGGATTCGCCGCCTCGTGGATCTGGATCATTAAAGAGGCCATGGCTGCAGTGTTCTCTGTCTGATAGGAGAGAATTGAGGAGAGAGAAGGGGATGGGGAGGAAGAAGAGGACAGCGAAGAAGCGGACGGGGGCAGGGAATTTATGCAGATCGAAGAGATGCGCGACACAGCGTGCGGCTCGTTAGGCGAGCAAATTGAGTTTTATTTTGTGTCGTGTAAAAAACATCAGCCCACCGCGCCGCTGTCTTGACGTCATCTGAGGAGTGCAGTTTACTGTGCAGAGGGGGCAGATTAGAGAATATTTGCATAGATAATCAGTTGTATTGAACAATAAACAAAGATATAAACAAAATCACTCTTATCTGTATTATCTAGATATCCGCATTTCTTAAGCGGAATGAGGTCTCGCAACGCCCGCCTAAACACGCATTGTGATCAGCGCGCGACACGACCCACCTTCCGCCCCTCGAGCATCAGCATCAAGCACCGGAAACCAGCCAACCGCCATTCCAACCCCAAAACAACAGACGAAAGACAGAAAATCGAGCCCCTGCGTCCAGCGCCGGAGCGTCGAGTTCGATTCACGTGTGTTCATGGACGACGTAGGCTGACGGCTGACTGAGCTTCCGGCGTTCTTGCCCGTCTCGGGCTTTACTTGCGCTGCAGCAGCGAGCGGCCGGTCATGTGCTCGGGCTGCTCAATGCCCATAACAGCAAGCACGGTCGGCGCAACGTCGCCCAACACGCCGCCGTCCTCGAGCGACCACGTCTCGGGCGCGTTCGCCATCACGAACGGCACCTTGTTGGTGGTGTGCGAAGTCTTGGGACGGCCCTCGGGCGTGATCATCTCCTCCGCGTTTCCGTGGTCGGCAGTGACAAACAAGACATAGTCCTCCTTCACGCAGGCGTCGTAGATCGCCTTGATGGCCGCGTCGCAGTGGGTAACGGCCTCGACTGCGGCGTCGTACACGCCCGTGTGGCCGACCATGTCGGGCGCGGCGAGGTTGCACATCACAAACGGGAACTTCTGTTCGCCAAGACGCTTAGCGACCTGCTCGGCCACCTCGTGCTGCGACATCTTCGGTAGCAGATCGTAGGTCGCGACCCTGGGCGACGGCACCATGTCGCGCTGCTCGAGCGCAAACTGCTTCTCGACTCCGCCGTTGAAGAAGAAGGTGACGTGCGCGTACTTCTCGGTCTCGGCGACGTGCACCTGCGCGACGTTCTGCTTGCCGAGCCACTCGGCCAGCACGTCGTCCATCTTCTGCGGGGGGAAAGCGACCGGGAACGGGTAGTCGGCCTTGTACTGCGTCATGGTCGTGATCGAGAGGTCCTTGGGGATCTCGGTATCGATCGGCGACGAGTCGACGCCAAACAACTGGGTGATCTCGCGCACTCGGTCCGAGCGGTAGTTGAAGAAGAAGAGCGTGTCGCCGGCCTTGATGCGCGCGTCGTCGCCGTTCACGACAAGCGGCTTGATGAACTCGTCGTTCTCTCCGTCCTCGTATCCGGCGTTGATGGCGTCGATGATCGAGTCCTGCTCGACCGCCTTGCCGCCCTCGGTCGACACCAAAGCCTTGACCGCGATCTCGACGCGGTCCCAGCGCTTGTCGCGGTCCATGGCATAGTAGCGGCCGACAACAGTCGCCAGCTCGCCCACGCCCAGCTCGGCAAACTTGTCGAGCAGCGTCTTCATGTAGCCCGCCAATCCCTTGGGATCAGTGTCGCGGCCGTCGCCAAACGCGTGCACGTATACCTTGGGCACGCCGTACTCCTTCGCGACCGCGAGCAGCTCAAACAGATGGTTCTGGTGCGAGTGGACTCCACCGTCGGAGAGCAGACCGAGAAGGTGCAGTCTGCCAGAAGCCTTGGCCTTCTCCATCGCAGCCGCGATGTTGGCAGTCTTGCCAAACTCGTGCTTCTTCATCGTCATGTCGATGCGCACGACGTCCTGCCAGACAACGCGGCCGGCGCCGATGTTGAGATGGCCGACCTCAGAGTTACCCATGAGACCCTCCGGCAAGCCGACGGCGGTCGACGAGGCCTCGAGCTCGGTGTAGCCCGGGATCTTGGTGAAGCCGTCCATGGTCGGGGTATCTGCGTTCTCGATAGCGTTGCCCTTTGTGCCTTTCTCGGGCGCGACACCCCAGCCGTCTATCGAGATGAAAAAAAAGATGTTAGAGGGTGTGACTTGGATGATTTGATTTAGGAGCAGGAAGATGGCAAGCGCTTACCGATGACTATAAGACAGGCTTTCTTGTCGACAGCCATTGCGTAGAAGTCTAAGAAGTTAAGAGTGAGAAGAAGATTGGGGAGATAGATGCAATTGCGGTAGGCAGCAGGCAGGGAAGATGGTAGATGCTGAGGAAGAAGAGAGAATTTGACTTTTGACTCCGTTGACTCCGACGATTGGCGGTCTAATTGGCAGCAGCGGGCTAAATCACGTGCCGGGTAAATGCTTAGTCATGGATTTGTAATAACCCGTATAACCAATGCGATTCCTTTTACAGCTAAAGAAGAAGCAGACAAGACTGAATCAGTCTCGAATACGCCGGCAGATGCGAGAAGTCGGGGCCGGAAGAGAGAAAAGAGCGGGAAGGACAACGGCCGACGACCGAGTCACAGCCGGGTCACTGGAGTCGAGCGAGCAGAAGGGCGAGGCGACAGAGCCGGAGAAACAAGAGTCGGAGGTCAAGTCGACGAGGCGTTTTCCCAGGCCTCGAGTTGGGTGTGGACGAATTATAAAAATCATGCTATTAATCAGGCGACATTTATCAATTTCCTGCATGTCTCTGCTGCTTATCTCGTCCCGTGGCTCTTGGGTTCCGCATTATTTGGCTGGTTGTTGTCGTCATTGCTGCTGCTTCGAGGCAGTGACGGCATCTGATGTTGTACACTTGCAAGCAGTCTGTCTGTCAACAGCATGATCAACGAGAACTACGAGCAATTCAACCAATTCGCAAAACACCAGATATTCATCACAATCACACCCTATCAGTAGAGTAGAGACAGCCAGCAGTGTAGCCAGCATATTGCGCTTGCGGGTGCGGGTATCGGTCTCGGTCTCGGTATCGGCTCAGTGCCGGTCCAGGTGGCCACCCCAATGTCTTTCACAACGTCCGCTTGATGTCTCCCTCCGTCGCTGTTTATCTCCCTCCGCCGGTTTTAATTTGATCAGTCTTTTTGTTTATATTACTACTCTCCATTAATCACACAAAACAGCTTTTTCCTTTTCTTTTTTCGTATCTAATAATCTCGCTCGAACCAAGATTGATTTAGACCGGCAGCGGGAACTGCGACGACCACGCGGCAATCTCAGCGTTGAGCGCCTTGATGTCGTCGTTGCCAGCGACAACAGCCTCCTTGAAGTCCTTCAACTTGTTGGCCTCCTTCGGCAGGCTCTTCTGGATCTCGCTCGCAATCTGCACCGCACGGTCAATGTAGCTCACTATCCGCTTGAAGTCCTCCTCGCCGAGACCACGGGTGGTCATCGCCGGCGCACCAATGCGGATTCCGCCAGGCACAAGCGCAGACTTGTCGCCCGGGATCGAGTTCTTGTTGAGCGCGATGTTGATCGCCTCGCAAACGGCCTCGACACGCGCACCGTCAATGCCCTTCGCGCGCAGGTTCACGAGAACCATGTGCGAATCAGTGCCGCCAGACACAAGAGTGTAGCCCTTGGCGTTGAACTCCTGCTCGAGCACCTTGGCGTTCTTGAGCACCTGCGCCTGGTACGCCTTGTAGTCCTCACTCTGCGCCTGCTTCAGCGCAACCGCGAGCGCGGTGATCGTGTGGTTGTGGGGACCGCCCTGGTGGCCGGGGAACACCGAGAAGTTGATCGCGTTCTCGAGCTCGTAGGGAGTCTCCTTGCCGGTCTTGGGGTTGACCGAGCGCACGCCGCGGCGGAAGAAGATCATCGCGCCACGGGGTCCGCGGAGCGACTTGTGCGTGGTCGTAGTGACAACGTCGGCGTACTCAAACGGCGAGGGGATAACGCCGGCGGCAATCAAACCAGAGATGTGAGCCATGTCGACGACGAGGTAGGCACCGACGAGGTCGGCGATCTCGCGGAAACGCTTGTAGTCAATCAGACGGCAGTAGGCAGAGGTACCGGCGACGATGATCTTGGGTCTGAACAAGACGGCGGTCTTCTCGAGCATGTCGTAGTCGATGATTCCGGTCTCGAGGTCGACGCGGTAGGGCATGGTCTCAAAGTAGGTAGACACGGCCGAGATCTTCTTGGAGTCGGTCTGGTAGCCGTGCGAGAGATGGCCTCCGTGGGGCAAGTCAAGGCCCATGATGCGCTCATGCGGCTTGATGAGCGCCTGGTAGACCTGCAGGTTGGCAGGCGAGCCAGAGAGAGTCTGCACGTTGACACCCCACTTGGCCGAGTCGAGGCGGAAGGCCTCGAGAGCACGCTGCTGGCACAGGCGCTCGATCTGGTCAATGTGCTGGTTTCCACCGTAGTAGCGGGCACCGGGGTATCCCTCGGAGTACTTGTTCGACATCGGCGATCCGAGCGCATCAAACACGGCGCGCGAGGTGAAGTTCTCGGACGCAATGAGCACGATGGACTCGCGCTGGCGCTTGATCTCGGCGTCCTATCGGAAGTTGTTAGCACCACATCACCACCGACAGAAGCAGCAAACAATAATACACACCATGATCTCAGCAACAGCGGGATCAGACTCCTTGAGCGAAGTTTGCATCATCTATAAGCACACGGGGGTTAGTTGCAATTCGACGGTAACGACCAAAAGTGACCTGATGTGACTCACGTTTTTGTGGGTGTCGGAGAGAGCGTACGACATGGCGGAAGCGGTGAATGTACGGAGCGAAGTAAGTCTGCAGATAGAAGATTTCTGGAGTAAATCGACCGACGAGCGTTAGTCGAGTTGTGGTAGACGGATGTGGAGAAAGAAGGAAAAATCTTCGAGGGAGGAGCGGAAGAGAGGAAGAGAAGTGTAGCGCAGAGGGAAGAAAAAAAATTGCGCTTAGTGCTGGTGAGGCTCTTGCGCGCTCACTTTTCCTCGACTCTTGTCGCGATTCCACTCTGATCTCCAACGACGCAGGCTGCGACGATTAGAAAAGAACAGGACAGGAAAGGGATAAATACCTGGACGAAGAGGCTGGAGCGCGAGGCGGCAGAACGCAACATTTGTTGACGGGGAAGAACAATGGGCAGGCGAGAGGAAAGCAGGCAGAAGCGGGAGAGAAGGAAAATAAAATAAATAAAAATAAAAAAAACCTTAAGAAAATTAAAAATTCTAGAGCCCGGACGAGATGGCGGAAACGTGGCACCAGATTAGTAAATAAGGCGCATTTAAGGTGTGCAAAGTTTAAACCGGGGCTCGATCCACCCGCGATGAGGCCAGACTGTTGCAGTCAGAGAGTCCATGCGGTGTAGATGGTGGAGGTGTCGCCGTGACGTCATGCAAGAGTGCTGCCTGCTGCGAGAGAGTGCGAGAGAGTGCGGGAATGTGAGTGTGGTTGTTGTTAGGTGGCAGAGATGGAAGGTGGGTTGTGAAGGCCACGGGAGCTCAGCGGGGCAGAGCAGGTGAACGTGCCTGGAGACTGGCGAGATCAGATCAGGCTTGGGTCGACCGGCTGCTGATGCGGCCATAGTCATGCTCTGCAGATGCGACTGTCAGCATGAATCTGCAGCATAATGAGATATTTGAATCTTGGCTAAAATCCTCAAACATATTCTGGAAAGCAAGGCTGCTACTCTTCGCGGCAAACCGGCATCAGATCGAGAGCACCTTCCCTCCATCCGTCCGAGGCCAGTACCTGTAGCAATGGCATATGTCCCCCAGCGAGCAATTAGTACCAGACAGTCAGCTAGAAAGAACCAATAATTATCACATTAAATGTACTCTCTATATACCAAAGTCCCACTTCAAACATGACTGTAATCTGTTCTACTCGGCGCGGTGCTGCCGGCTAAGGCGGGGAGGTTCGCGATATATTAACTGATTACCCCTCCGCCGTGGACACCGTAAACATTACAATATTTATATCTCACCATCTCCCTCGTCTCTCTTCCTCTTCTCTTCTATTGTCATCTGTGTTTTTTCTGAACTATCCATCAACTTCCTCCTAAGGAATAAGAACTGCTGCTCTGCTCTGCATTTGATCGATCGTCGCTGGTTCGTCATTCTATCTAGCTTGAATCGACACCCCCCTCTCTCCTCAACCACCTCAAACATGCCTACCACCAGCTTCCGTCTCTTCCAGAAAGTATTTGCTCACTTTCCTCTGCTCCATTCACTTTTCCCTCCCCTGCTAACACCTTCCTCTTCCAAAAGCCCCTCATCGCCACATGCTTCCCCGCCGCACGACTCACCCAACCGAGTACTTCCCCGCACGCCCGCCGCATCCCATCATCCACCACCGCAGTTTTCACCCGCAACTCCTCCTCCGCGCTCAAGCAGGTCCTTCGCGACGAGTCAATTCCCGCAAAGCGTGAACTTTTTAAGAAACTCAAGACAGAATATGCCACAAAGTCGCTCGGATCGGTTGACGTCGCAGCCGCAGTCGGCGGCATGCGCGGCTTGAAGTGCATGCTTTGGGAAGGCTCTCAGCTCGACGCAAACACCGGCATCAGATTTCACGGCAAGTCAATCGCTGAATGTCAGAAGCTTCTACCAAAAGCACCAGAAGGAGGAGAGATGCTCCCTGAAGGTATTTATTCTCGATATATGTAGTCATCTCTATGTCTCTGCTCACAGTCGTTGCTAGGCATGTTTTGGTTTCTCCTCACTGGAAATATTCCCACGGTCGAACAAGTCCGAGGTCTCTCTGCGGATCTGGCAAAGCTCTCAGACATCCCAGACTATGTAACTACCCTTCTTGACAACCTACCGCCGACCATGCATCCCATGACGCAGATATCAATTGCCGTCGCTGCCCTGAACCACGACTCAAAGTTTGCAAAGCTATACGAATCTGGCAAGCTCTCAAAGGCAGACTACTGGGAGCCCACCTTTGACGACGTGATTAGTTTGGTTGCAAAGCTGCCTGTCCTAGCAGCTAAAATCTACCAAAACACGTATCGCGGCGGCGGCCCGCTGCCGGCTGAGGTGGATCCATCGCTCGACTGGGCGCGCAACTTTTCAAACCTGCTGGGCGTCTCGCATGATGCCGACTTTGTCGACTTTATGCGCCTCTATCTCGCCCTGCACGGTGATCACGAAGGCGGGAATGTTTCCGCCCACGCAACCCATCTCGTTGGCTCTGCTCTCTCGGATCCGTTCCTCGCCTACTCTGCAGGTCTCGAGGGACTGGCCGGTCCACTCCATGGACTTGCTGCGCAGGAGGTTCTGCGCTTTATTCTCGACATGAAGCAAGGGCTGCCCGAGTCTTACTCTGCGACTCATATCGAAGATTATCTCTGGAGTGTTCTCAACTCTGGGCGCGTAGTGCCAGGCTACGGCCATGCAGTTCTGCGCAAGCCCGACCCGCGCTTTGAAGCACTGATCGAGTACGCGCGCGCGCGCCCCTGGATCAGCTCTGGCGACGCAGTCATCAGACTCGTGCTCGAGACCTCGACGGTGGCGCCCAGGGTTCTCACCAAGCACGGCAAGACAAAAAATCCGTACCCGAATGTCGATGCCGCGTCGGGTGTTCTCATGCACCACTTTGGGCTCACGCAGACTATGTTCTATACAGTCGCGTTCGGTGTTTCGAGAAGTATTGGTCCGCTCACGCAGTTGATTTGGGATCGTGCTCTGGGATTGCCGATTGAGAGACCGAAGAGCATCACGATGAAGACCGCGATGGAGCTTGCCAAATAGTTTACAGTAGAGCCGCTAAAATCAATTTTCTAGCTCTAGATAAATATCCATCAACCACTCCGGATCTAGAATCCAGACAGACGCAGTAATTAACTCGCAGGCCAAACGCGGCCAACGTCATAGCTCATGCTGTTAGGGTATATCACGTGCGACATAATTTGTGGGGAAAAGGGCACAGTGGACAGCTATTTGGCGCAGAGGCGACGATCCGTCGTTCCGCATGCGACGGTCTCGGCTCAATTTGCGCTATGCGGGTGCAGATCGCTCAGGAAGTCGCTCTTGCGGCGGAAACAAAGGTACTGCAAACCGCAGACGGCAGCCCAGACGACGCACTGGTGTATACCCTCGACAGACGCAGAGGCGAGAGAAGGCAGCAACAAGACCAGGGCAGGTCGCTGGATAGACCGGCAAGACGGCGGTACTATTAAGACCTAACCCTTCAATAGTCGGCTGCGTGTTTCCGATAGCCAATCAGAGCACGGCGAGACCCTTAGCCGACAGCACTGTGTAGCGCCGCACCAGTCAGCCGCCGCGGATGCTGAGTCAGGAAGGAAAAGCCTAAAAACGACTGTTCCCAAATAAAAGACTCCTCCGCTGGCTCCTCTCAGCTCTCGCTCGCTCTACTCTTCTTCTGTCTATCTCCTTCCTCTCCCCCCCCAATTCCCCTTCCACCACCTCTTTCTTCATCTCAGAAACCAGCTTTCAACATGCTGCGTTCTTTGCCGAAGCTGTCTTCGCGTCTCGCGTCGAACGCGACCCGCAGAGCCCTGCTCGCGAGCACTGGCACCTCTCAGCTCAAGTCTGCGATGGCTTCGCCGCGCTTCCCGCTCGTCTCGCGAATGCTCGCCACTGCTGCCGATCCCGTCCCTGGTGTCGTATGTGTCCCCTTTATTCCCTGTTTTTGGCCTTGCTGCCGTTTCCTTTTTTCGTCTGCTTGTCGAATCAGTTTGTGCTTTGTCCTGCGCGTGTGCGACTTTGCTCTCGTTCGTGGCTTGCAATGATTTGCACACGGCCGACAAAGAAGTCTCTCCTTTTGAAGTTCGTCAAGTACTTTGCTGTGCTGCTAGACGCCATCGACATCCATTTTTTCTCAGTCTTGACGTCAATTTCATGTTTTCCGCTGAGCTGTGGCCCAGTGCTCAGTGCTCTAGAGAAACTTCCTGGTGTGTGGTTGGCTGGTCTGTTCTTGTGTCTGGGGTCCTCGGCGTGTGCACGCGCTACGTGTCCTGCGGCTGCCGACGTTGCTTCGAGCACCTAGGCATCCGCTAAAGCCGATAGCCTGGGCAAGAGAATCAATACGGACCGCTAGTGGCAAATATCTGCACAAAGTCACATAATTGATCTCGTGTATTCGAAATCTCTACGCTTTCGTGCGCGGTCGATTGGGGCGCGCTACGCTCTCGCGGCTACCAGCGCTTCTTGTCGGATGCGTGCGCGCCGCTGCTTTAGTCTGGTCTTGATTGGCTCGACTGCACCGAGTCAAGTGACAACCCTTGCCCTCGTGCGGCTCCTCTGACGCACAGTGCCGGCCGGAGAAATTGATCCGGACAGAGCAATGACGAGACAGAACACAAACTGATTCAGCAAGCAAACAAAAAAGATGGCTGATAGAGTATTTTGAGCTAACTTTTGACATCATTCAGGACCCCAATGACTCCTTCCTCGATGGAAACTCCGCAAACTACATCGACGAGATGTACTACGCCTGGAAGCAGGACCCAAGCTCCGTCCACGTCTCATGGCAGGTCTACTTCAAGAACATGGAGGCCGACGGTGTCCAGCCTTCAAAGGCCTTCATCCCGCCCCCGACCATCGTTCCTCCTCCCAGCACTGGCGTCCCCTACGTCGTTGCCGGTGCTGGCCTCGGCGCCAGCCCTGATGTTCTCAACCATCTCAAGATTCAGCTCCTCGTCCGTGCCTACCAGGTCCGAGGACACCTGAAGGCCAAGCTGGATCCTCTTGGAATCCGCAACGTGGAGATCCCCAAGGAGCTGACCCTTGAGTACTACAACTTCAGCGAGGCTGATCTCGACAAGGAGTACTCCCTCGGCCCCGGAATCCTGCCATGGTTCGCTACGTCGGGCAAGAACAAGATGACTCTCCGTGAGATCATCGACGCGTGCGAGAAGACCTACTGCAGCTCGTACGGTGTTGAGTACATTCACATTCCTGACCGCGGAGAGTGCGACTGGATCCGTCAGCGCATCGAGGTTCCTACTCCCTACGCCTACACTGCCGACGAGAAGCGCCGCATTCTCGACAGATTGATCTGGTCCACCTCGTTCGAGAGCTTCCTTGCCACCAAGTACCCCAACGACAAGCGTTTCGGTCTCGAGGGTGGTGAGACGATGATTCCTGGTATGAAGGCTCTCATCGACCGCTCCGTCGACCAGGGTGTTACCGATATCGTCATTGGTATGCCCCATCGTGGTCGTCTTAACATGCTTTCGAACGTCGTCCGAAAGCCTAACGAGTCCATTTTCTCCGAGTTCTCGGGAACCGAGACTCCTGATGACGAGGGATCCGGTGATGTCAAGTACCATCTTGGTATGAACTACCAGCGCCCTACTCCCTCGGGCAAGCGCGTCAACCTGTCGCTTGTTGCCAACCCTTCGCATCTCGAGGCCGAGGACCCCGTCGTCCTGGGTAAGACCCGCGCGATCCAGCACTACAACAAGGACGAGGGCACTTACACTACCGCCATGGGTGTCCTTCTCCACGGTGATGCCGCTTTCGCCGCCCAGGGTGTTGTCTACGAGACCATTGGTCTGCACAACCTGCCCGCTTTCTCGACCGGAGGAACCGTCCACATCATCGTCAACAACCAGATCGGTTTCACCACCGACCCTCGCTTCGCCCGTTCGACCATGTACCCGTCCGACCTCGCGAAGGCGATCGACGCCCCTATCTTCCACGTCAACGGCGACGACGTCGAGGCCGTCAACTTCATCTGCCAGCTTGCCGCTGACTGGCGCCAGACGTTCAAGAAGGATGTCATCATCGACGTTGTCTGCTACCGTCGCTACGGTCACAACGAGACCGACCAGCCGTCGTTCACTCAGCCGCTGATGTACAAGAAGATTGCCGAGACCAAGGTTGTCATCGAGAAGTACGTCGAGCAGTTGATTGCCGAGAAGTCTTTCTCGAAGGAGGACATTGACGAGCACAAGAAGTGGGTCTGGGGTCTTCTCGAGGAGTCGTTCGCCAAGGCCAAGGACTACGTTCCCGAGTCGCGCGAGTGGCTTGCCTCGCCCTGGGACGGATTCAAGAACCCCAAGGAGCTGGCGACCGAGATTCTGCCGCACGAGCCTACTGCTGTCGACGATTCGCTGCTGAAGCACATCGGTACCACGATCTCGACTCCCCCCGAGGGCTTTGAGGTTCACCGCAACCTGAAGCGTATTCTCGCTAACCGAAAGAAGAGCGTTGACTCTGGTGAGGGAATTGACTGGTCGACCGGTGAGGCGCTTGCCTTTGGTTCGCTTGTTTCTGAGGGATACCACGTCCGTGTTTCGGGACAGGATGTCGAGCGAGGAACTTTCTCGCAGCGACACGCTGTCTTGCACGACCAGAACTCTGAGACCACCTACACTCCTCTCCAGCACGTTGCCGAGGACCAGGCCGCGTTTGTGATTTCGAACTCTTCGCTTTCTGAGTACGGTGTCATGGGCTACGAGTACGGATACTCGCTTACTTCTCCTGACTCTCTCGTCATGTGGGAGGCTCAGTTTGGTGATTTCGCCAACACCGCGCAGGTCATCATTGACCAGTTCATTGCCTCTGGCGAGGCCAAGTGGGCGCAGCGGTCAGGAATTGTTTTGTCGCTTCCTCACGGATATGACGGACAGGGACCTGAGCATTCGTCTGCTCGTATCGAGAGATACTTGCAGCTCGCGAACGAGGACCCGATGACCTTCCCGGATGAGTCTAAGCTCGAGAGACAGCACCAGGACTGCAACATGCAGATCGTGTACCCCACCACTCCTGCCAACTTGTTCCACATCCTTCGTCGCCAGATCCACAGACAGTTCCGAAAGCGTAAGTTGTTGTTTTGTGTTTGATTTCGATATGTCAGGATTACATGCTAACTTTTGATTACAGCTTTGATTCTGTTCTTCTCCAAGGCTCTTCTGCGTCACCCGCTTGCTCGTTCGAAGCTCGAGGAGTTCACCGGCGAGTCCCACTTCCAGTGGATCATTGAGGATCAGTCCGTGGTCCCCAAGTCTGAGACCAAGCGCGTGGTTCTGTGCTCTGGCCAGGTTTACGCCGGTCTGCACAAGACGCGCGAGGCCAACGAGATCAAGGACACCACGATCATCAAGATCGAGCAGATGCACCCGTTCCCGTGGGCGCAGCTGCGCGATGCGTTGAACGAGTACCCTGCGCTCGAGGACATTGTGTACTGCCAGGAGGAGCACATGAACGCCGGTGCGTGGACGTACGCGTTCCCCCGTCTGCAGACTCTACTGAAGGAGACAGACAACTACAAGGACCTTTCGATCCGGTACGCTGGCCGCGCGATGTCGGCGTCTGTTGCGGCTGGTAACAAGCACATTCACCAGAGCGAGGAGGCTGCTCTGTTGAAGAGCGCGTTCGGTTTGTAGAGAGACAGGATAAGAGTTAAGAATATTTTAAAGTGTTTGGTTCTTTTTTTACAGAAAAGAAGCCGAAGGTAATAGATGAACGAATGGGTTTTTTTTGGGGCGGATTGAAAATAGGTAATTGCTATTGTTACTGAATATCACTATCATTGTTTTCCACAACAGACTGTATTTCGGATTGCTGCTGTCTTGCTGCTATCTCCATCTGCTACTTGCTGCTATCTCCGGTAGAATGGACCCAGAGAATGTGGGGACGTTGCGTTGCGTTGGTGCCGGCAGAACCTGCGCCAGATCGGGCGACGAGTAGCCGCGGGCGCCGGATAACCGTTCCCCACTTTATTACGTGATATAGTAATGATTGATTACGTCATGCAGCCATTGTTTGGACGCAGGAGTCCGGGGCACGAAAACGATGGAGGAAGGCCAAAGTCAGCTGTGCAGTGGCTCTTTTACTGCTGGACCAGGTATAAACAGCTCGGTCTGCTCTTCTCTGCTCTTCTCTGTCTGTCTGTTGGCTCCTCTCTGCCTCTGCTCTACCTCGTCAGACATGTTCGCCCTCCTGGCTCTCTGCGCCCTCTTCCTCTCTTGTCTCTGGGCAGCGAAATGCGTCGTCGACTACTTCCGCGACCCGCATAACCTGCGCCAGTACCCGTCGCTCACACCCCTCTGCGCTTTCACAAACCTGGGCTACCTGCTCTACATCTACGGCGGCGACTTCCGCTCCCGCCGCATGCACGCCCTGCACCGCGTGCACCCCGTCATCCGCACCGGGCCCGCCTCGCTCTCGTTCGCGGACATGCGCGCCATCAACGACATCTACGGCCACGCCACCCCATGCAAAAAGGGACCGCTGTACGAGCTCTCGATGGGCGCGCACGCGAACCTCGTCGACTCGGTCGACCACGCCGAGCACGCGCAGAAGCGCAAGCGTCTGTCGAACGCTTTTGCGCTCAAGAACCTCGAGCGCTGGGAGTTCAAGGTTGTTGATAAGTGCACGCGTCTTGTTGCGCAGTTTGATCGTATCTGTGATGACTACCGGCCGCGCGAGACGCTGCAGGGCGAGAAGGACGCGCCGGTTGTTTCCTACCGCACCTGGACGAATCTGTTCACGGTCGAGGCTATCGCAGACATTGCGCTTTCGCAACGCCTTGGCTTTCTCGAGTCTGGTACCGACCTTATTCCTGCAGAGGAAACAGACGGCGCTCCGATCTACAAAGCACACTTCATCGACGCAGTCCACGGGTCCGGCCGCGTAAACACCCCGATCGTCTGGTCCGAGGAGGGCTACAAGATCTTCAAGCGCGTGCTGAATTACTTGAATCCCCAGTTCCGACGCCAGATTCGTCTCGGTCATGATTTTGATAATATTATTCATTATCTGGCTCGCGTTCGTCAGGAGCGGTATGAGCGGGGGGAGAAGTTGGATGATTTCTTTACCTGTCTGATGGAGGATCGGGAAGGCAAGCGACTGAACCTTGATCCCAAAGAGGTTCGTGCTGAGGTCAACATTATCAGTGAGTCTTTTTTGTCGCTTTATTATATGAGAGAGTAGTTATTGATCTGGTATTATAGTGAACGCGGGCTCCGACACAACCGCCGTGGCTATGACAAACGCCATGTACAACCTCCTCAAGAATCCCGACAAGCTCGCCAAACTGCGCGAAGAACTCGAGAAGCTCAACATCCCTTCCGACACTATCGTCCCCCCCTACTCAATTGTCCGCCACTGTGCCTATCTGCGTGCCGTGCTCGACGAGTCACTGCGCGTGCTCCCCCCTCTCCCGCTCGGTCTCCAGCGCGTGACGCCACCTGAAGGAAGCTCGATCGCCGGCCGCTGGATCGCAGGAAACACGGTCGTTTCCGTACCCGCGTACTCCGCCCATCGCGATCCAAACATCTTTCCTGATCCGGAGCAATTCATGCCCGAGCGCTGGCTAACCGACTCGGCGAAGAGTTTTTCGCAAAAGTACTTTATCCCGTTCAGCATGGGCAGCCGGGGCTGCATCGGCCGAAACATCACGTATCTCGAGCAGCAGCTGCTTTTGGCAACACTAGTCCGGCGTTATGATTTTGCGTTTGCGGATCCGAATTTCGAGCCGTTTTATGAGGAGAGGATGAATCTTTTGCCGGGCGATATGCAGTTGCGGATTCGTCGTCGCGGCTAATGTAATAACGACAGTTTCCTCTGCGTGTTATGACGAATAGCCAGCAGTCATTCAGATGTATTTATCAGTATTCAACAATAGTATATAACTTTGAATCTATCTTGTATAAGGCAACCCCGTGGCCCATACTTTGTGCGCGTCATTCAGAAGTAGCCCGCAACTACCAAATTAGGAAATTCGCAAACACACGTGCCCTCTGAGTACTAACTTATACCGCCCACTTCCCAACTTCCTCTTCTCTTCTTCTCTTCTTTTCTTCTTCGCCATCCACCGTGTCGAGCTTTTGTATTATTTGTGGATGGACGGTCGTTTCTATATTTTTATTCTCTGTGTATATTCTTTTCTCCCCAACCATGTTTCCCCTCCCCCTCTACGTCTGGCCTCTGACTTTCGTCGCCGCCATCATCATCCATTCCGAACTCACGCGTCTCCGCACCCGCATCAAAGGCTTCTCAGGCCCGCCCGGCTACCCGATCGTGGGCAATATCCCGCAGGTCTCGCGCAACGCGTCAGAGCAGTACCGCAGATGGGCGGCCAAGTACGGGCCGATTTACCAGATCTCGCTCGGATGCGTGAACGTGTTGGTTGTGAACTCGGCGGAGGCGGCGAATAAGGTGTTTATCAGACACTCGAACGCGACGAATTCTAGACCTATGTTTTATACCTTTCACGGTGTACGTTTCCCTATTTTCTTTAACATTTGTCATTCTATGGTGTATATACTAACAGTCACAGGTCGTGTCGAAAACCGCCGGATTCACGATCGGAACCTCGCCGTACTCAGACTCGCTAAAGCGCCGCCGCAAAGCCGCCGCCTCTGCACTAAACCGCCCGGCCGTCTCTTCCTACAGCCCCCACATCGACCGCGAGACCCGCCACTTCATCGCCGACGCCTACAAGCTCGGTCGCGGGGGCGAGGTAGGTATCTACCCGCTCCCGCTGATCCAGCGGCTGTCGCTCAACCTCAGCCTGACGCTGAACTGGGGCGAGCGCATCGAGTCGATCGAGGACCCGCTGTTTAAAGAGATTACGGAGGTTGAGGAGTACGTCTCAAAGTTTCGCAGTACGACGGGGAATCTGCAGGATTATATCCCGCTCTTGAGATTTAATCCGTTCAGCAGGTCGACCGCGCGTGCGCGGGCGATGCGCGCCAGACGCGACGTCTACATCAAGAAGTTTAGCGCCGAGCACGCGGACAGGCTCCGCAACGACTCACTAGACACGTCGTGCATCCAGTCCAAGATCTCGACCGACACGGAGGCCAAACTGACCGAGCAAGAGCTGCTCTCGCTCTCGCTCACCATGGTCGCCGGCGGCCTTGACACCATCACGACGCTGGTGTCGTGGGCGCTGCCGCTGCTTGCTTTGAGACAGGACATCCAGGCTAAAGCATATGCCGAGATCCGCAAGATGTATCCCCGGCCGAACCAGATTCTATGCTCGAGCATGGACGATCAAAAGTGCTTGTATGTGGTTGCGCTCGTGCGCGAGCTGCTGAGGATGTATACCCCGCTACGGCTAGCGCTGCCTCGCGAGACGACGGCCGAGTTTGTCGTCGACGGCAAGGTCATTCCACCGCAGACAGTCATCTTTCTTAACGCCTGGGCGTGCAACATGGACCCAAAGCTGTGGAAAGACCCGTTCATGTTTCGACCTGAGCGGTTCCTGGACAAAGACGGAGCCAGTCTGCCGATCTACACCTACGGCCAAGGCTCGCGCATGTGTCCCGGCTACATACTCGGCAACCGCGAGCTGTACCTGCTGTTTATGAGACTTCTTTCTGCGTTTCAAATCTGCGCGGATGAAGACGAGCAGGTCGATTGCGATCCGTTGACAGGGCTCGATGATCCTGCGAGCTTGGTCTCGTGTCCGAAGCCGTATAAGATCAGGTTTGTTGCGCGGGATGCAAAGGCATTGGAGACGGCGCTCGGGTGATCTCTCATCTGTTTATCTGTCTCTCTGAGTTACTGTGGACTGTTCGATTTGGAGTCTCTGGGCGACTGAGTGAGTATCTCGTCGTTTGCATAAGTGTCAGTAGGCATGTGCTTGAGACTCTGTGATGTCTCTGTTTATTGGCCATTCAGTAGGGAGTGGCCAATTCTGTGATTTTTACTATGGGACTTTATAAAAGTAAAAAACCAAAAAAAAAATTCATTACTTCTCATCAAACAGTGGCTACGCCTAAAATACCCCCAAAGAAAGATACCACGTAGAAAAATTCAAAGCACACTCCTATAGATATATCCAGATCACTTCTTATAGCACCGCACATGCACCCCCTTTGCGCTCGACATTGTCAAATTCGCCTTCTTCAGCGGCACCCCATTAGGCTCATCAGGATCCGTCGTCTCGATCGTGTCGAACTCCTGCGCGACGCGCGCGAGCGTATATCCCGCCTCTGTGAGCGCGTACTGCTGGCCCAGGCATATTCTCGGCCCGCCGTTGAACGGGAGGTATTCCCAGTGCCAAGTCTTGCCCTCGGCCCAGCGCTCGGGACGAAATTCCATTGCGTCGTCGCCGTATAGGTCTTTGCGGCGGTGCATGCAGTAGACAGAGTAGAAAACCGCCTCGCCTTTGCGGATAAAGATCGGCTCTGTGCCGTCCTGGCCGCCGCCGCGGGGTAAGAACGTGTGCTTGTTTGCGATGCGGAAGTTCTGCGGCACCGAGGGATACAGTCTGAGGATCTCGTTGAGAATGTACCGCAAGTAAAGCGAGTTCTTGAGCGTCTCAAAGTTCATGGGAAGCTTGCCCTCCGCGCCTGGATGGTCGCCGAACCGCTCGAGGATCTCGGCCCGGAGCTTTTCAAACACACGCGGGTGCCGCGCCAACTCATAGAACGCCCACGTGAGCGCGCCGGCGGTGGTGTCGCGGCCGGCGAGGAGGATGTTGAGAAGTTGGTCTCTAAGCGTGCGCGGGTCCTGCGTTTCCTCTGCGAGTGCGTCGAGGAAGACGTATCGATTTTCCGACAACGAGATCTTTTCGTTACTGTGCCGTTTCGCGAGCGCTTTCTCGACATAGTAGTCCACAAACTCGTGCACGATCATGTTGTTCTCGCGAAACTCGGAGGTGTTGACGAGCCAGTACAGGCTCTGGAAGAGGACCCGCATCGAGAGGTATTCCTGGACGTTATTGAACGCGGCCGCGAACCCGCGCTTGCCGCTGTCGGACGCGACTCTCTGCGCCGTCGTCGCCGGCCCGTTATCACTCGCGGCGTCGTCGCTCAACACAAGCGAGTTAACCGACTCGCCAAACAAAAACTCGGTCGCGGAGTCCATCGTCATTCGGAACAGCAGCTCCTGGATCTCGCATGACTCTGTGGCAGAGTGCGGCATTGCCTTGAACAGGTTCGACACATGGCTCTCGAGCTTCGCCACGTCCGAGACCTGGTGGCGCGAGAACTGCGGTCGCAGCAGCGCGCGCGAATGCGACCACCCTTCGTAATCGAGCGTAAAGATGCCGTCGCCGAGGGTTGGGAAGAAAGCCTCGTACCGCCGACCGAGGTCAAAGTCCGCAAACTTCGTCGCCAGCACGGTCTTTATGTTTTCGGGATCGACCGTCTGCAGATTCGTGCGAAACAGCATCGTGACTTCAAAGTTCTCGCCCCATTTGTCAAACGTCTCCTTCAGGCTCTCGAGAACGGTGTGGTTACGCAGCGAGCGCAGCATGTGGAGGAAGTAAAGAATTCCAAAGCGGTCGCCTTCGCGAGCATGTTTAGCCTTTACTACCCCGTGCAGACGGCGGAAGCGACGAGCAGCGACCCAGACTTCGAGCTTGCCGTACAAGTACAGCCCGCTCAGCAGCAACACGGCCGCGGCAATGAAAGAATGCAGCATATTTTGAAAGCAACACAGAGCAAGAACAGTAGCTACAATTGCGTTGCAGAATCAACGGACAAGTCACCGCCGAAGGAAAGGAGGTTGCTGACTTTTAAATAAACCAGCTTCCTTTGCCAACCCCGCAGTCGCACGAGCTAGCGGCCGTGCGGCTTTCGCTTGGATCTGTTGGTGTACGTTGCACCAGAACAGCGCAAATGCAAACGTTTACTATGCGTGCGTACAATTCTGGGTCAATGATCACGAAAGTCAGACATCTGGTCACCGCGGCTCACTCTGGACGCGTGCGCCGCTGATCTGCGTTCAGCGCGAAGAAACTTATTGCAATTCATTTCATTTGCTCAACAAAATACCAAATCCACGCCGTCATTTCGACCTATAAAACATTACAGATAAAACTTATCATCTACAGCCACACATCCAGCTCCGCCCGGCGGTATTCGGGCTCCGTCCCGCCGTCGACCGCGGGATAGTACGGCACCATCGAGCCCGCGCTCTGTACGTACGCCGAGTTGTACATGCGCCAATACGGCGCCCGCACCTTGCGCGCAGGGTGGAACAGGCCTGCCCATGTGTAGTTCATGACGATGCCAACCCCAACACAATTGCGCACCGCCTCGATCCCGTCCATGATCCGGTCAATCACATGCGGCGAGGTCTCAAAGATATTTGGCATCAGCAGATTAAGCATATGCACCATCGTGTCCTCGACCCCTAGTCCTATACAGCCCAGCGCAAGATGTCTCACCACCGTCGCCGCTGTCTGTCGATGCACCTGATCACGATCCGTCAGCGCGTCTTCGAGCAGCGGCGCGACCGCGTACACGTAGTCCTTGGCCATCTCGCCGATGTACTCAAACAGGAAACTCAGCGACTTGAGCACTCCGTTCTGCACATTCAGCTCCGGCACTCGATACTCGTTCATCAGCGCTGGCAGGACCGTGAATGGCGCACACGTCTCCGCCACAATTCCAATCGCAACCGCAGTACACACTCGTGACTGGCGCTCCTGCACGCGCAAATTGTTCAGCAGCGTAACCAAAACATCCTGTGGTCCAATCGCCTTGGCAATATACCCTATACGTCAAATCAATAATTAGCCTCAATAAAAAGACAAGAAAAAAAGAATCTTCTGCACTCACCGAAAGTGTTGTTGGCTGCTCTTCGGATACCCTTCTTATGCGCCTTCAGCATATCTAGCAACTCAAAGCAGATGCGCATCCACTCCCGCGCGCTGACATACTCTGCTCCGCGGTCCGCAATCCGTCCCACAAGATCGATCGTGTTCTCCTGCACCTTCTCATGTCGATTTCGCAGAATCGGCGTCAACCGAGGCAACAGATCGCTGATCGGAGGTTGCATGTCTGCAATTCCGACCACAGTCACCATACTTCTCAAGCCACCGAGAATCGAGCCTAGCACTTCGGGATACTCTTCGCCTAGGTACTCGTACAGCACGACTCCAAGCTTGCCCATCAGCACGTCCTCGCCGCAGTTCTTCATCACCGCCGCGATTCGCGTAATCAGATCTGCAGACTGCTGTCGGACGGTCGCGGACTTGTTGTTTAACCGCCACAGAATCGTCGATACAATCTGCGGTAGATACGGCTTCGTGCGCAAGCCGAGCGCGTTCACGACCGTGCCGAAACCGTTCAACAGAATATTGTCCTCAACCGTTTGCTCCTGGAACGCATACAGAATTCCATCAATCAACCGCTCCTCCAGACGTTCCGAAATATCTGCCGCTCCGAGCGCAGCGATAACTTTCTCAATAGTCTCCACGCCCATCTTGCGGTACGCCTCGGACTCGTCCTTGAGCACCACCACGATCCGCTCAACGATCTCCGACACTCCGACCTTCTGCGCAAGCTCGACCGTAGTATCGACAACCTGTCTATAGTTTCGTCGATCGAGCGCCATTCGTCGCACCCAGAAGCTCTTGAAGAACGACGGAAGCACTTCGTCGCGCAGATACTGCGCAGTAACTCCTTCCGTGGCCGCACATTGCTGAACAACTCTGAGAACAATCTTCTTCATCTCCTCGTCCGGCGAGTTAAACTCTCGTAGTAAGACCACCATGACCTCCTTCGTGTAGTAGTTTGCGTACTCGGGATCCATAAGCGGAATAATGTAGCCGATACACTTCAAAAATGCAGCAAGGCCCTTTCCGCGATGTCGTCGGATACCAAGCCATAGCGGCTCAAGCACAGAGTCAAACGACTCAATACCATAAGGCGCAGCTGCTTCAGCAAGCGCACCTAGCGCCAGCGAGGTCACCGTACGCACCTTGGCCTGCTCGTCAGTCAAGCAAGGCGCAATACAATCAACAAGGCCCTTCAGATGAGGCAAGACCGCGCATCCCATCAAGATCGCAATCTGCTGCACGATCTTCACACCGGTATGGCGCGCCTGCCAGGACTTTTTCGATCCGCACACGGCCTTCAAGAACGGCAGCAGCGCCGGGATCCCGAGCGCAGAGGCCACGACGGCAAACGCGCGTGCGGTAGTGTTGCGCACAAACTCGTCGGCGTGATCGATATCCGGTCGCATTGTCGAAATCATGTGCGCAAGCCCGGCCGCCTTGGCAAGGTTCGCGATGATCTCGCGGCCCTCGGCGCGCGCGTAGTAGTCTTCGTCAATCAGCAGCGGCTCGATGACGACAAGGATCTTGTGCGTGAATGGGCGCACGAGGTCGTCGAGTTTGTAGAGCACGCGATCAATTACCTTCACGAGCAAATGTCGCTCTTGGTCCTCAAGCGTGCGCTCCATCAGCAGCGGCAGGATCTGATTGAACAGAGCTTGCGCACCAAACTGTCGCGCATTATCGGTGATCTGGCGCAGCGCGGTCTTGCGCATAGGCGGCGTACCGTTCTTGATCTTCAAAAGCAGCTTCATGATCTTCCGCTCCTTGAGTTCTTCAAGCGACAAATCGGTGTCAGTGCGACCATCGACCAACTTGCCAAAGTACTTCATATCCTCCTCCTTGAAAAACTGTAGCTCGCCAACACCAGGGATGTCCGTCGGCAACTGCTTCGCCATCGCGCGACTCTGCGCCGTCGTGTCTTCCAGCATCACAAACCCGCCTCCGCTCCCAGTCTGCGCCGGTGTGGCGAGAAGCTTGCGCGCAGGCGTGCGTATCGGAACATAGCCAGCCGGTGGTTCAAGAATCACATAGCCCTCCGACGGCAAGAGTATGTCGAGCTCCTCATCCGAAATCATCCCCGCGACCGCAAACCCCTGTCCTCCGCTGGGCCCCACAGCATCGCCCACATGCATCGGCGTCTGCATTCCAAGCGCAGTCTTGCCAATCGGCGTCGCATCCACCGCAGGCGCCTGATCCCACCGCGACCGCCTGCTCGGCGTGGCCTCGACCTCGTCCCATCGCGATCGCTTCTTCGTTCCCGCGGTTCCGTTCCCATCCACGTCGCCACCTTCAAGCTTGATATCCAGCTTAGCCTCAAGCTCTTCCTCCGTCTTTGTCGGCAGCGCATCAGCGCCCACCACGTCCCATCTGCGCTTGCGCGCCCGAGGTTTCTCGGAAATCTCAGCGGACGCAGGCGGCGATTCCTGTTTCACGGGTGGTGCCATCACGAGTAAATGGTCTTTTTTCTTCTGACTTTGTTGCTATACTCGGACTGAACGAATGAAAAGAGTTATCTGTCAGCTTCGATTCTGGCTGAACCCGTACAGTTTTCTTTCCCACTGATTGCAGGGCAGCGTGGTCGATGAGCTTTCGTGAACAAAATATCGAAAAAGTTTAAATGCGCTTATTTAAATAAGGGTTTAGTGGGCATGTCTCCAAGATCAGTCCTGGATATAACCTCTTATTGCTACACAATGATAATAGAAATTGGAAAGTTCGGTGGGTGGGGTATTTTACGCTAATGGATTAGAGAGCAATGATATAGAATAAAAGAGTCTAGTTGATAAAGTTACAGTACATTATACATTCAAAACCTCATGTCTCGGCCGTGCTACTACCATGATCGCCGCCGCCATTTAGCTGTAGCTGCTGCTGCAGTTGCTGTTGCTGCTTCGCCAGCAAGTCCTTATAAGTCTTACACGCGCTGTCAATCGCCTTGAGCGTAATGCCAACGTACCGATTCACGCGCTCCTTCTCCTGCTCGAGCGCGGCCGGATCTTTATTCGCAACGCTCTCGATATGCCGGTCGACGATAGCCTGTAGTCGCACTTTACTCTTCTCCACCGACGCCGCGAGCTGCGCGACGCTCGCGGCCCGCGCAGGGTCGCCGGAAAGAAAAGCTGCCCAAAAGTGGTGGAGAAACTCGACCGCAGTCGCGTGCGATAGCTTCATCTCGCGGATCACGGCCGCGTCCGCCGCCGGGGTTTCGGCGTCGGCCGTCGTGTTTTTCTCTTGTTCGGTATGCCTGCGGTCGACGATCAACTTGAAGACCTGGGTCTGTGCGTGCGTGATCATCGACGACGACGGGATCGTGGAGGTCAGTAGATCGTTTATCGGGCCTTTGGGAAGCGAGTTTTTCATATTCCGCAGCAGCTCGGATGCCGAGTGGTTGTTCTGGTCCGCGCGCAGGTCGGACGAGTCATCGCCGGACTTTGCGATGCCGGAGTCGCTCGACCGGTGGAGATGTAGCTCTACCCTGGTCGCGGCAGCTTCGGGCTCCAAGTCCTGGAGCTGTAGTTCTTTCTCCTTTAGTTTTTCAGTCTCTTCCTCGGGTTGTTCGGCCTCGCTGTTGTATTGTCAGTTTGTGATGCTCAGTCCTGATATTCAAAATCAATATGCTCTTACTTTTGGACAATGTCAACAATTCGTTGACTGAGCTCGTTGAACGTCCGTATGATTGACAACGCATCTTTCTGTGTGCTCGGGCGCATAGTAATATCTGGCTGATTACCCGCTTTCTACAAAAGAAAAACAAAAGTTAACAAACCTTCTCCATCATCAGAAACTAGCTCTGAGAGTCCATACTTGACTGTCATCTTCTTCGTTTGCTTCAATGTCGACAAACCTCATCACTTTGGTATTCTCATTCTCTCTCTCGCGCTCTTCAGCAGTCAGACCGTCCTGGTCTAGATTAAGGTACTTATCCATGACAGCGTCGACCGGATCGTTCACGCTCAACCGCTCGCCTCTAAGTTTGCGGCACAAACGTGAGAGGAAGAATCTAGACCAAAACTCGGTTTCCTTCAGCGGCGGCACGTTTTCCTGGTACGCTCTGTTCACGACCGGGTACTGACGGAAGATATCCTTGATCTTGTCCGGCGACAGCGAGACTTTGACTTGCGCCTGTCCGGTCTCGGTACCGGTACTGTTCGCCTGCGTCGTACTCACAGGCTTGATCGACGCCAGCACGTTGTAAAGCCCGCGATTCTGCGTCCGAACGAGGGAATGCATCCGCAGCAGGGGAATTCGTGTTCGCCAAAACTCCTCGGCCGGAAGACTTTGCTTGACGACCGCATCGAGAAATTGCTGCTGCAGCTCGCTGTTGGACTTTAGTAGACTTTGCTGGAGTTCTCGGTCGACTAGAAGTTCGGCGTCGCTCATTCCCTTGTTCTGGGGAAGAGCACTTGAGGAGGACTTGCTGGCGTCACCCGCGGCTTTCGTTGGTGATTTGCCATTTTTTGCCGGGGTACCCACTGATCCAGCAGCAACTGCTGCTGAGTCCGCTGCTGCTGCTGCTGCGGTTGTCGAGGCAGACTGCTGCGCTGCCGAGATGGCGGAGGAGAGAACGGTTTTGAGAGCGTCGAGGTTGGCGCGATTAGGAAGCTGGAAGACGTACTGCGCGTCTGCTTTTGTTTTGATTTTTAGTCGAGCTTTTGGATGTGTAGCCGGAGAAGCTTGTAGACCTAAAAGTAAACGGATGAAGACAATAGATCAGCCCAACTAGACATCGTAATCAGGCGAATCGTAGTGGTAAAAAAGAAGACGTACTCGATAGCTCTCCAAGCTGGATAACAATCGTATCACCAGAAGCCTCGACAGAATCGTCACGCGCAGCCGCTGGACGCCATTCAAAAACCTGCTTGATGGACGAAACAGTTGCGATCCCTTTCTTGCCCGAGTGCTGGGCTGGCACCGTGAATGGTGCTTGCATTGCGCCTCTCGCGCTGGGTGATTGTTTCGCGCCGCGTTTTGCTGTGCAGAGTTGCTTCTCACTAAGCCGGAGTCAAACTCCTTCTTCGCACGGTGATGATAATCAGAAGCGGATCTGCGGTGATCTGGACGGAGGACAGAAAGATTTGCGATGCTGATAAGTGAAGAGAGCGAGCAGGACAGAGATCAGCGACTGATTCCTCGCTCAAAGAGCGTGCGGCTGATTATTTTCCAATTCCAATTTAGCTGGTTGGCCCAACTTCTGTTCGACTCCAAGCTCCCTCTTTGTCTCCTTCTCTTCCGTGATTTCTTCGGCTTGCTACCTACACCGATCTCGTGAATCGGCGAAGATCAAGGAGATTCTGATTTGCTGAAAGAAGGAGGACGGAAGAAATGGCAGACGACAACAGGTATGCATCCTGCGTGATTGACAAGCTTCGCCGATGCCCTCGTGTGCCTACGCATCAAGCGCATTCGTATTCTTTCTCAGAGAACTAACGCATCAATAACCACCTCTAGATCAATCAATAATGACTGGCGCCGTCGAGATCAGCAATCTCGATCTACCTTCACGCCCCAGCAGCAGCAACAAAAGCAGCAGCAACAGCAGCAAAAGCAGTTCAGTAGTCAATACACCCCCGTTCGAGGATTCAATAGCCGCGAAGTCGAGGATTTCTTGAACCGGGAATATACTGCTGCTCTTGAGCAGGCGCGCGCAAGTGAGAAGGAGGAGGACGTCAAGAACAAGACGGTCGTGTTCCAGTCGGATGGCAAGGGATGGACTAATACTACTCCAAAGGGTTCAGCTTGGACACAGCGAGGTACGCCGTCGTTCTCTCTTCCGATCTCATCTATGTTTTCATATACTGACTTCCACTATTTTTTAGGACACCTCACAGCAAAAGGAGCAACCGTCTTAAGCGAACTCCGCCGCGGCGTGCAGAATCTACCGGCAGAGTGATTTCGCTCGCGCATCAGCTGCAAAGGACGAGCGAGGGCTATTAGCGGGACTTGTAAAATTATATGTGTGTGGTTTATAGTGGGTTATTGTCATGAATCTTTTTTTTCAAATGTCTTGGATAATAAAGCGTTTGAATGTACCATATGTGCCGTTGTCTTTCGTCGATGACGTGGCTACTCTCGGATCCAGATATACAAGGCGACCAACCTTCAAAGCTCTGATATCCATCCATATCACTAAAATCGATAAAAAAAGTACTCTCAATCTAACTATACTGCCCGACCTGCGCGACTAAACCGTCTGATCCCCGTATCATGATCGTAGATGCCTCCACGCAGTTGGCCTACACCCCGAGTCTCATCACATCTCCTAAATCCCCATCTGTTGTCGGCCGCAATATCAGGGAGCGCTGAAATCGAACAAATACTGAGAGCCTCGTATGTCTGTCCACTTGTAGCTCAGCATTTGCAGTGTTTGACACCGCGACGCGTAGGCCTAAGGACTTGAAGGCGGAAGGGCGGTGCAGGCGAGCGCCCGAGCTGAGAGAGTCCACTGGATTTGGAATCCAGCTTACCTGTATTCTATTATAAGGCTACAAAAGAACCGAAAGTATTTGAAGTATCTTCACGCTCACATACGTAGTTCACGGAGGGGAGAGGCAGAGAGCGGGAAGAACTGCGCTGATGGCCTGCGACTATACTTACTTTCGCTTGACACTAGCAAACTCGGTTTCGGCAACGGCATATATAGCCTACGTATACTGTTTGCTGGACAGGCAGAGATAGAGTATGCTGGGGTGTGAGCGCTGACGTACAGGCGGCCTTGCGATTACTCAGGGCACGAAAGGGTGGTAGTGAAATGTACGCACTTGTTTGTAGATCCTGAACACGTTGTCCCTCTGCTCTTTTACAACTGTGAATGAGAAGATGGTAGACAAACTGGAAAAACAAAGAGAAGCAAGACGTTTTGTGATAGAAAAAGGAAGAGGAATGAGACACATCTCATTCAGATATTCAAATTCTGTTACCATCAGTTGAAAAGCCAAGCGTGCATGGGCACTCTCTCGCCTTTGATACATAATCAACTCCGAGTATCCCTGCACGCAATACTGTTTACCTCGAAGCAACTGCGCCAGTATATCTCTCGGCTGCGGCACGACTTCAGACCACGGCAGCATCCACATCTGAGCTCGACGGCTCAAAGTTATCGTCTCATTTCAAGCCATCAGCGCAAGTTCTCTGCTGTTCCCAGTTACCTAAAGATATCATTCCCACATCAGAGTCCGAATGTAAAATGACGAGACCGCCGTCATCCGTCTTCATTATTTGCGTGGTTGCCTCGAGCTGAGTAGACCGAGTGCGTAGATCTGTGGCGTTTGAAGATTGAAGCTGTGAATTATACGCGAGTTTCACATCGCTTTTTTTACTGTCCGGCTGTTCCGTCCGGTTAGTCTTTGGCTTAAATCAAAGCGCGAGGCGGGTCATACCTCCAACTGCTCCTTCACTCCACCCTCTTTCCGCTTCTGACCAGGTGTAGGTGTGCTAGATGCCGTATACGCCTCCTGCGGTAGCGCGGTGACAGCCAACATCGCGGTCGGCGCGAGCAATCGATCGCTGACGAACTCGGTGTATGTAGCCCTTGCTTTCAACTGCGATTCCATGTCTGGGATCGGAGTCGAAGAGGCAGTGTAGAGGTCCATTTTGTACGTTGTGTGAGTTTGTAGTTTGTAGTTTGGTGTGTAGAAGGAGGATGGTAGCGACTGATATGTGTGGGGTAGTATCGCAAAGGTATATAGGCACGCACAGTCGTGTGATCTGATCTCATGACATCCTCCGCCTTCTTGCCTACTCCACCACCAAGCGACAACTAACGACACCTTCAAAGCAAAGCCGAGGTTATCCCGTCGATCTCACCAACGTCCCTCGATCTGCTCCAGATCTGGGCAGCGTCGCGCACTCGGTCGTCACGCTCCAAACTCACGTCAGATCGAGGTTCCCGTCGCGCCGCTGACGATGGGTGCGCATGCGTCGCGCGTGTTTTGAAAGAAAGTGTTTGAGTGAGTAAGTCGCAGAGGACTATGTGTAGAGTAACAGCACAGAACAGGAATTAGACAAGATAGGTTTTAGCAGTGCGCGGATTTGGAAAAGTCAAGTATCAAAGTCAATGCACTGGCGCTTTGATGGCTTTCCCTGAGTTCAGGAGAATCGCGAGTAACTGGATATTCAGACGGAAGAGCATGATGCTGGTCATAGATACACCATGAACTGAATGACTTAACAGAGATACTTAAATGGTTATCGCGAACAACAGCTCTCGCCATCTCTCTCAAGATACACACCCCATTTCCCAACCGGACCATCCACCGCCCAAACCATAACTTCCACATAACCTTACTTAACCCCCCTCCCGCCGTCTAACCATAAACTCACAAACTTCTCTCGTAAACTCATTCATACACTTATAACTTTACCATTTAAAAACTCATAAAAAGCACCCGTCCTTCGCTAGCTAGTTTAGAGTTCTATTCTCCCGTGTCTTGCTGTGTGATCTCCTTTTAGGCAGACAAAAGGACGATTGGATCAAGGTCGATACCGAGATTGATCAAAACTGCGGTAGGTTAAATTGATTAACCTTTCCAGTTACCTTTTCTCTTTTGTCTTTCATCTCCTCTTTCTCTTTCTTATACTCATTATTTGTTCGTTTTTAATTAAAAGTAATACCACCCACACAAACTTGCATCTGCTTCATCCATCCTCCTAACAAAGATTCCTGGCACGTCGAATTATAAAACGAGAGTAGACTATTAGATCAAACGGAAAACAAACAAAACAAAACAAAACGGCATAAAAACGGCAACGAAAATGAAAACATCAAAGACAAAACAAACGAAAACAAACAGTAACATTAGGGATATAAGAATTAAACGAAATAAAACCCCGTACATCAACATCATCATCCATTTTCTTTCGGCTTCCTTTTTCTGTGTTCTCACTTCATCCCATGACAAAGGTTCTTACATGTAAAAGAAACCACTAGTAAAACGAACTTCTAGTAAACGAAGAGATATAAAAAAGAGAGAAAACAGTGAGTAGTTCAAAAAGTTAAAACTGAAAAAAACCATATACATTGACTATCAATACACTCAACATAGAATAATAAATAAAAAAGTAGAACAACTTCTTCTGAAACATAACATCAATCTAAGAATGCTTGAATGAATTGGCACACTCTCTCAAAAAAAGAACACACATATTCATGCTCGCACTCTCTCACATTCAACGACTCGACAACGCACACAGCACACTAACATATCCTATCGTAGCACACCAAATAAATTTCTCATTGACTTTTCTTCATCAGACTTCCGCTGCTCTCTCAGCGGTAGACAGCCTGCGCCTGAGGAGGCTGCTGCTGCTGAGGAGGAGGTTGCTGCTGCTGGAGTGGATGCGGCTGCTGATGAGGTGCAACCGCCTGGGGTTGCACAGGCTGCGCCTGCGGAGGCGGGCCATGGTCTTGCGGTTGCCCGCCTTGTGGATATTCGTTCGGCGGTCGCTGCTGCATCACCGGCTGGCCGGGCTGCGAACCCTGCGCGTGCATCGGCTGCGGCTGCGGCTGGCCCTGCTGGGGATACTGCTGCCACTGGCTCGGATACTGCGGGTTCTGCTGCTGCGGCATCTGCTGCGGATAGTAGTGACCGTAGTCTTGCGGCTGGTTTGCAAACGCAACTCCCGACGAGCTCGCCGCGGGTGGGTAGCTCGCCATGTTGGCGTAGTGCACCACGCCAGGGTATGGCCTGTAGTTCGGATAAATCACGTTGCCACCGTGGACTGCAGGCTGAGTGGCTTGCACGCGGTACAAGTTATCGTTATGGGCCGGGTCCTCGGGTGGCGGCGCACCAGCTCCGTCAGAGACCATCGAGCCCCGATAGTAGTGGTCATACATATTGACCGGGCCCTGGCCTGGAATCACCGCCCGCTCGAGTCCGTTCGATCCGTCGGGTGGTATCCGGAAATTCTGACGCTGCGTGAGCTCAGGCGAGATAGGCAGGTCTCGCAGGAGCGGGTTCGTGCTCGGGGTTGAGAAGTTGCCCTGCATCACATCATCAGGCTTGTAGTACGAGACAAGATGGTGCGGGCTGCCGTTGATCAGCACGCTCATCGTCTTCTTGATGAGACCGCCTTCCTTGAAGCCGTACGAGTCCACGAGCGAGCCCACGAGCGCGCGCTCGGCCTCAGGGTCGTATCCCGTCGTCACGGTCGACACCGCCGACGGCATCGACATCTTTGCCGGCCGCGGCGACTCGCTCGCCGACACGTCCTGCTGGTCTTCGAGCGCAAAGTTCGAGCTCTCGCCGTTCGCGCCGGGAGTCTGGTACGGGTCCTGGCGTTTCTTGCGGCGGTTACGCTTGGCAGCGCGCTTCTTCTCGCCCGGAGCAAAAGGCTTCTCGAGCTGGCGGTAGACAAGGAAGTTACCTAGTATGCGCGAGGGCGACCACGCGATGCCATCGGTCCACCGCTTGATGCCGGAAGTGCCTTCGTTGAAGATGAAGATGTTGCCGGACCGGATGAGGTCGGCGCGCTCGCGGTCGTGCGGCCTCCGCGAGACGTAGTGCAGCAGGCCCTGCATACAGGCCTGGAAGAGGATGAGCGCGTCGTGCGTTGTGGAGACATAGCCGGTGTATGTGGCTGAGAGGCCCTGGGGACCGGCGGCGCCTGCGGAGGGCGGACGTCCAGTAGCCGGCGAAGGGTTGACGACTACTGGCGTGGGGTCCTGCTTAGGGGTAGCAATCTGGGGCGCAGACATGATTGTGCTTTGAAACGCTGTGAGATAAATAAGAGGATTGTAGAAGAAAGCTGTAGATTAAAGCTGGGGGAAGGAAGGAAGGTTAGCAGAGAAAAAGGTAAACAAGAGCAGAGTGCGCCTGCGCCGTCAACAAGCTCTGAAGTTTATAAAAGATAAAAAGTTTGATTCGACGCGTCCAGAGGAGAGCCGAGGGCAGGCGAGCGGGCGATAAAATACACCGGCAGAGAGGGGACTTACAGCAGCTTCTGAAGAGGAGGGTGTATGGGAGAGCGAGATAGCCAGTGTGATTTGCGCGTGGGAAGGGGAAGGGAGGAGAGGGTGAGGTGACTGCGCTAGTGGTCGGAGAAGTGCACGAGGAGCGCACGCCGGAGGATCAAAACAAAGGTGCAGGCAAAGATGACGAGTGGCCGAGAAGACGCAAGAGCAGCTGCTGAAGGAGAAGCTGGGTGCGAAAGGAGACGCGCCGGGGGGAGGATGGCGGAGGAGGAGGAGGGAGGAAGGAAGGACGAGGAGACCGACGGAAGAGGTGAGGAAGGCGCTAGACACGAGGCGGCGTCGGGGGCGGTCAGAGGAGGAGGCCTGCGAGGGGGTCTGCAGGACAGAGGAGAAGAAGTGGAGAAGGGCGAGGGGGCGGAAGAGAAAGAAAAAAAGAGGCGGAGGAGGAAGGAAGAAAAGAAGAAAGCGAGAAGGAGCTGGAGAGCAGATGAAGAACGGTGCGATTTTACGCGGTGATGCGAATAAAGAAGCGGCGGCGATGAGCAGGACTACTGTGAGGAGATATAGTTTGAATGTGCAGACCGTGGTTTAGGGTCAGATACCTTCCCCCCAAGCGAGTGGCCGCCACCGCTACTTCCCGGTACGCGCCCCGGTGCTGTATCTCGCGGTCGGCAGCAGCTTACCTCGGCCGCCGTTCTACAACTGCTCGTGACGAAAACAGCAGGATAGAAAATGCGTCGATTTTTGATGCTCCGGCGCACACCGCGGACCCGACCAAACCCGCTGCAGGCGGTGGGGTCGCATGTCGCCGGCACAGGTTACGGGCCTGCTCCGTACTCCGAGAGTATCCAGAGACTGCAGGTTCTGGTGCCGTGCGCGTTGTTACCCGTGACGTCACCTGAAATTTGCAAAAGACCTCAATGCCCTCAGCACGTGACTTTAGCCGGAGGGTGCTCGTGTCCGGACGGGATGGCAACGGGCCGGGCGGAGAGGAGAGAGGAGAGGAGGGAATGATGAGAGGAGGATGAGGAGAAAGAGGGAGCAGGTGCTGAGAACGTAGAACTGTTGATGTTGCTGCTGTGTTGTTGTTACTGCACTGCTAACTATGCTTGCTGCTGCGTAGTCTGCCTAAAACGACCGCTGCTCGGTGCACACCACACTAAGGCTTTTCTACGTTAGCGCTGCTGGTCTTCCGTGTTTTTGTCTCGCTCCCGTCGCGGTCTTCCTCCAACCTCACGACGACAGTGACATGCTCCGCCGCGTGTTTGGCTGCTCTGCTCGACCTCGTTCTTCCTATTCGCCTGCCCCTCCGCTCCCTCTCGCCGGCCCTCCGCTCTCTCATCGACTCCGGTATCGGCCTCTCCGCTCTCTCATCGACTCCGGTATCGGCCTCTCCGCTATCGCTCGTGTTGATGCTCATGCTATGCTCTGCTAAACGACTCTTACTGCTATGCTCTGCTATGCCATGCTTCGATGGCTTGCCCTGCGATCCGAGCGCTGGCTTCTTCTCGTTCTACTCATCCACCCCGCGCTTTATAGTTCGCTCTCTTGACTCTTGCTTCAATTCCTTCTCACTGAAGCTGGAGCTGGAGCTGGAGTTAGAGCTCGAGCTTGCGCCCGTGCCTTAAAAGCTAGCTAAGGTCGTGGACCCAAACCTGACTCTTCTCTTCCGAGGCCGATAGCGCGGAAACACGCTTCCTGTCGGGCGTGTCTGAGGTTGTCAAGTCTAAACTATAAACGAACGCCATGATCGTACGCACCTGCGGGGGGTGGCAGCCAAAGGGTGATCCTGCCCAAAAACACTCTGTCCTTAAATGGACCGATAAGGATAAGGATTTCTGCTCGGCCGCCCTCCTCTTCCGGCTAGGACTGGCTACTGTATATTGTCAGTGATTACCTCGTTCCCGTGATGGTGTACCTTAAAACTGGCTTAATCAATCTGGCTGTCTGCTCTGCTCTGTCCTGTTCTTTAAAGCCAATGGTCTGCGGAAGCAATACGAGAGCAGGCTGTAGAACTACTGCTGCTGCGCTGTGTGTTTTCATCAGCTATTGCTGCTGCTGCCGCCGCTGCCGTCCACCACGCACGATTGATTTGAGTGCCTCCCACGTATCAAAGGACTAAACATGCACATTACTTCGCAATATGCACAGATCTGCAAAACATGTGTGTCTCGCTCGCTCCCTGATTCTCGCGACCTGCGCCGGCGCTGGAACATGCACATGGCTTGCTTGTCTTGCCCTGTCTTTTGAGGCATATCATATGGCCTGACTGCTGTCTAATTTGCGCGTCGTCGACCGCAGGCCGCATTTTGCTCCGACTGGGACTCTTCCCGGGGGATCAGCTCGGAGAAAGAGGACCTGGGGTGGAAAGAGCGGATGGGTTTTAAGTGCTTAAGCGAGAGGGGCAGGTGCGCATTGTCCTGTTCATTGACAGGCTCTCTTCTTCTATATCGTCTCTCTCTTCGCTCCTGAAAGTCCCGCGAAAGAAGACCATCCGACTGGTTTTTGTGGATTGTTCAATTTCAAGTCAGGCACGTAAGACATCGTGCGATAACACTAAAGCCCATTATGCTTCAGATAAGCAGGACATGCCTCTGTCTGATGTATGGGACTATGGCGCAGCCGCTCTGCCCTGCGCTCTTAAGCTTCCGCAGTGACTATCCTCAAAAAACACTAAACCGCATGATTCGAGAAACCAAAATCATGAAATACTTCAAATATAGGTAAAAACACGAAAACCATAAGCCGTAGCCATAGCCGTCGATTAAAGAAGCAAAAAGTCTGACGACGTGCATTAAGTCCACTTTTTTACGTTATCGATAACCATATTACGAGCTTATTTCCAGTTTGCTCTGCTTTATTCAGTGCCTCGCGCGTCCGTCTTCCGTCTGACTACGAACCGGATAATGCTAGGAAACCTCTAGAAGAGTGAGAGAGCGGCAGCGTGTTATCCGGCAGAGCTAATATTGATCCACATTATTCAGCTTCTCAACCCGTATGCATCAACAAGACCTTCATTGTTCTGCCTTGGTCAAGTGGAAATCAGCCAATCCATCGTCTCTGAAGTGCTCGCCAGTCGTACACACGTGCAATGTGAGCTCAGACGCAGACTGCTTCCAGAATTAATAAACCGGCCAGGCAGACTACTGTCCTAACCAGCGCGGGCGGAAGAGCAGGAAGGGGAGTTCTAAATATGCACGCTAGGCGTGAGCAGAAATACGTAGCTGGCACACCGTACTCGCGTCGGCGGCTGTATATCCAGCCCTGGCTACACATGCCTTACGTGCTTTCGTTTACGAGATCGAAGCTGATTCAAGATCAAAGTGGATTTAAGAAACTAAGAGACCGTGTCAGAGTCGCTGTTTTCTGTTTCTTTTGCTCTGCACAGAGGTAGATGAAAGAGTAGTGGATTCTCGACGAGGTCGGCCGCAGTTGGCGCGGGTAACAGCTGGGTAACAGACCTGACCGGAGCTGCCGGGCCCGCTCGCGACCGACGGACAAGGAAGGCTGGCTGGCTAGGGCCGAGCATAGGCCAACAACAAGAGTATACACGATTCTCTAGCCGAGCAGGAAACTGTTCACGCGTTTGCAAGAGAAGGACAGGCCGAATGCGGTGGTCTGGTCGTCGGTCTATGAGTGCAGTTATCATGTGCGGGTGCGGGCGGGTGCTGGTGACGCAAGAGCGACGCGCGGAGGAGCGGACGCAGTAGGAGAAGGACGGGATACCAGGTCAGGCATAGACCCGGCGCGAGCGCGAACGACGACGAGCAACAACGTCCGCCGCAGACGGGACCACCCAAAATTCCCCTGGTACCCGTTTCGGTTTGTCCAGCACTGAGCATCAACGCATCCATCGTCCTTTTGGTCGTCGACCTCTTTCGCATGTGGCTTTTCGGGTCTGCCCTGCGACCGTGTCCGATGTGGATGTAGCCCGTGGGCGGGCAAAGGCGAGGTGCTGCGGGCAGGCCCCAGATTAGGTGCGATTCTAATCCGTGACCGCTGTCTCATCAGACACGAGCAGCAGACGGAAGCCGAAACGACCGGGAAAGCCAGGCCGGCCCGAACAGCTGTGAGACAAAATCCAGTCAAGTCATCTGCCACGTCGATCACACTTTGCTTCCATCGTCACTGGTCATGGGCGAAGAAGGAGAAGGAGTGGCAGAAAGATAGTTTGCTTTTTGCTCTCGCTTCGTGCAAACCTTTCTGCTTCTTTGTCTTTCTGCAAGTCTCACGATCGTGGGCTTTCCCGGATAGTTTGAGGTAGTTTAAACCGAAAAGTCTGTCCGGAGGGCGGAGCAGCAGGAGAAAAGCAAATACGAAAGCAAGATCCAGCAGACGGGATATTAAGATAAGAAATATAAACAAAAGCCAAAAATCTTGTTCCTGCTTCCTGCTGGTGCTCACAAACAACGCTGCGACAAGCCAAAGCTCGCGTCTCGGTCATATTTCCAGCAAGTAGGAAGATAAGTCTGCTCGAGAAGGGGCGATATACTAATTTTAAGAAAAAAACAATATCGTTGATATGTAGAGATAGACAGAATGCGATATACAGAAATACGATGCGTCGTCGTCCTTGCCGCACTTTGAATCCAGAAAATTTGCCTTTTTCTCTTTATTCTGATTTACCTTTTAACCTCTACACCTTCTTTTTACTTTTACCTTCTTTTACCTTCTTTTACCTTTTACAAGGTGAAACTATCCGTTTTCTCTGAGATATGTGTTGCTTCGGTCTCCAGGGGGTGAAAACTAAAAGAGCTGAGAGACAGATGGCGGTTATCTATAATCATCGTAGCCCGTTCGAGATCTCGTTACTGACAACGAGGCAGAGCATCTGCGGCATTGACAACAAGACAGCACATATTTCGGACGTTTGCGATTACTGGCCAGGTCCTTCTCAGTGCTTCCACCCCGCCCATCGCAGAAATGAAGGCGTGTGACCGAGAGGGGCACTCACGCAAGGCCGATCTCGCTCACAGCGGGCGGGCCGGCATGTAATCATTTTAAATAAGTCATCAATAAATCAAGGTACCGCCTACATAAGTAAACAAACAAGTAAAAAATAAACAGCAAGGAAAGTATTTAACTTATACTCAAATAAATAATGTCATTCTCACACGCCGAAAGACGACTCTGTTTGACGTCGGTTTGCTTCAATTTGTGTTTCTGTGGCATTTTCAAGCTTCAACTTGCAAAGATAGACGAGCAAGATCCGCACAGATCCTCGGTGTTTCTCTTCTCTTCTTTTCTGAATAAATGCCTCATCACATTACCGCCCGCCTTCATTTGCTCAACTCTGTCTGCAGCCGTGTCCGAAATAGATCTGAGCCAGGCCCCAAGCAGACGCTGCTCCGATGGGCAGAGACATAGACGTTAGTCGTTACTGGGTTATGGTTCTGTAGCCGAGCAAGTCAATTTTTCAGATCGCCGCCATTAGCTGTTAGTCTCTTGACTGCGCCTGCCCGAACTCTGACTCTCGACACCATCCCTCTATTCTTCTTCTCTGCTGAAACATCGCAGTAGAGTGCTTCGAGACGATGCTGCTCTTGCGAGGTGGGAGGTACGAGAAAAATTCTCAGTATGGTCCGAAACATCTCAGACTGGCAATCACACTAATTTCCACCTTTCCTCCATCCGCCGCCACCGTTGCTCACAGAACAAGAAAACGATCTACGCTGCGCCCGCCCGCTCCGTTGCTGACCCGGCCCCGGGCCTATTGCATCATCGTCATCACCATCACCACCGCTCCTCTTCCTGTTCGAGACAGTCCGTAAGTCACCTGAAGCAGTCCGTACCTCACCGATCTTCTGCTCCTTCGTCGGACTCCGACCGGGCGGGATCCACATCCCTGTCTTGCAAATTTCTTAATTCCTCGGCCAGCCTCGCCCCTGTCGTCACTGCCCAATAAGCGCATAAAGTGGCAACAAAAACCAACCGCTATGGAATCTTAACAGTAAACTCCGCAACCTAATAATAAATGCTTGCCGAATCCAGTGAGCTAGAAGTCCACCTGAGCTAATTGTCTTCTGGCTTTCTCGTCAAACGCAGCAACTCTCTGGCTTCTTTCCGGATTAGCATTTTTTGATTTAGCACTCAGGGAGAATTTGCCTTTTTTCCGAATTCTTTCTACTTCTCTTCTTCTGTTCTTCATATATTCTCTCTTCCTTTCTTATCTTGACCTTCTCTTTTACATGCTCCTCTTCTGCAGCAGAATGTCTTTCGGCAGTGGGTCCGTCGGCACGACCAAGGACCCACAGTTGTTCTCGCTCACGAGTCTGTGCGTTTTTTTTTGCAGTTACACGGTCTGGGTATGCAATGTACACTCCTCGAGAGCCGACAAGATAGTTGTTTTTCAGTGATTCTTGCTGCCGCGGCAGACGTCAGAGCGGGGCTAAGTAACGCGCGTAGACAGAACCGGGACCGGGGTGGAAGGCTGTGTACTTCTGTTCTGGTGATGGGAAAGCAAGCACCTCCGGAAAACTAGACTGTCCTCGTCGGTGCTATCCTCCGGCTGCAACGGCCACGAGGAGAACGATCAGCAATACTTGCTCGATACTGTACCCCTTCTCGTCTCTCATATCACACAACGATCAAGACCGACCTGCTCGTGATAATAGCAAAAAAGACCACGTCGCGACAGTCATTTCCATCTCTCTTCTCGTCCCCAAGTCTCCCACCATAAACACAAACACAAGCGAAAGCCGAAACAAGCCACTGATCAGAGTTGGAAACCATATATCTACACTTTCTCCTCTTCCTTCTTTCTCTCATTCAATCTTTCCCGCGCAAAGTTTACATCGTCGCGCGCAGGTCGTGCCCTGCATGACTTTCGTACGCTGACATGCTATCAAAAGGACTCACTCTCTTCCCTCGGGATCATCCTTCCCAGACCGTACGTACAGGACATGCCTGCATACAAAGACCCATTGCGGGGCGAGTGTAAGACCACCTCGGCGTGATCCTGCACTCTGCTGTTCAACCGCGAGATATCTGTTTGTCCGCATTGAGAAATCGTCGGTCCGGCAAAAGCGGCACACCGTCGTCTGATTTCTTGATTCCCTTTTTTGCTTCATTTTCGTTTTTAGAGTCACTTTACTTCTGCTTTATATCTCATGCGTAAATTTGTGACCTGTAGAAATGTTCTATAAATAACAAGTTACTAGCCACTACAATCAGAATATCACACTTTTGATTCTTGGCCTCGGTTTCATGCTCTTCATCTCAGATTCTCAAAAATGCAACAAACATGTAATCTCTTACTAATATTAATAACCAAAACGCCGCTGTCTAGTCTGATAGCAAACTCCCAACTCTAAAAACCGACTGCCCCTGAAAAAAAAAATCACACCGCAATCGACGCGCTTCATTATATCGAAATTATCGTCGCCAGCGAACACGGAAGGTAGTAATGAGAGTCGTCTGAGTGATATCCGATGACTGTTTTATGCTCCCTGCCGCTATATAGACCTACACAGCTTTAAAGACCCGAGCGATGGAGGCGACCGCGCAGCAGCGGCGGCGGCTGTACCGGATCCTGCTGATCGACTCCCACGACTCGTTCACTTTCAACCTCGTCTCTCTCTTCAGCGACCTCTCGATCCGACCGCAGATCACCGTGATTACGAGCGACAAATTGTTGTTGGTATCGTCCGATCTTTTGCTTGCGCTCGTTCTCCGCTTCGATGCAGTGGTCATCGGGCCTGGGCCTGGAACCCCCGTGCGGACCGCGACGCTCGGCGACTCTGATATGGGCGGCATTCCTCGCGTATGGGAAACGATCAAATCCGCCTCGCGAACATGCGAGCTCATTATCCCGCCACCGGTCGTCATAGGTATCTGTCTCGGTTTCCAGTGGATGCTTCTCGACAACGGTCACCGCGTCGTGCGTCTTCCCAAGCCTCGGCACGGGCTCGTCTCGGTGCTCGACGTGTGCGAGCAGGGCAAGTCAGACATGTTTTCCGGGCTCGACGATAAGCCGATCGAGTGTGTGAGGTATCACTCGCTGCATGTGGTGTACGATCCTAAGGTCGCCGGTAACGACGATTACATCCCGCTGGCGTGGTCGAGCGACTGCCACGAGGAGGGCGAGAAAGTGTTGATGGCGGCGCGGCATCGCAGGCTTCCATACTGGGCAATGCAATACCATCCTGAATCTATCTGCTCAGAGTACGGGTCCGAGGTATTTGAGAATATATTCAGCCTCTCGGCCGAACACACCTCTTCCCGCAGAGCGTTCATCGATCACTTCCTCTCACCCACAGTGGAGCCACAGCAAGCGCCACCGCAGCCGCAGCTACATCTACGGACACGCATATTAGCGGTGCAAGACCAACTCGACCAATTCATCGACTCAAACGACTACAAATGCCGCTCCTTGGTCCGCAACTGCAGCCGCCCGCTTGCGTTGCAATTTAGTGCTCAGGAGGACGACGTACCCTTGACGCGGCATCTGCGGCAGGCACACTATGCCCTTCCCGCAGACCTCGACGTGTCAGAATTCGTGGTGACGTTTTGTGAATATCTTCACCGCGAGTTCGGCGAGTACGCGCTGCTGGACTCTGCGGCGGCGCCGGGGCAATGGACATACATCTGCTGCAAGAACGATACCACCAAGAACTTCACGTACTTCATCCCCGACGACTTCATGACCGTCGAACAGTTTGACAAAAAGAACCAGCGGCAAACCTACAGAGTCAAAGACATCGACGACGTATGGGAAATCCTGGCCGCGACCATGGACGTCACGATCGACTCTTTCACAGACACCCTTTCGAGCAAAACGATCCCAATCTCGCAGTACATGGCCGACGTTCGCGGAGACCGCAAAACCACAGGCCTTCACTCGCCGAGATATCCTACCTTCTTTGGTGGCATGGTCGGCTACGTATCCTACGAAGCCGGCGTCGTTGACGGTCTCGGCCTGAGCGTTGAGCGCGAGTCCGACGCTAGCGTGCCGGACATCGACCTCACGTATTACGAGCGCACGCTGGCTATCGATCTCGAGCGCAAAATTCTTTACACTCAAAGCATTGAGGTTGGTGACGGATATGATAGCCACGGAACTACACGTGACTGGGAACAAAAAGTTCAGGCGCTTTCTCTGGCGGCGATCGAAAATGTGAGGGCGACTCGTGCAGAGACCGAGACAAGCTCCGACAGCGGAGCTAGTACCGGCAGCATCACGGACCAGAGACGAAGGGTTCCCAAGGCCGTGCGCCTACCCGTCGCGGACGACTACCGAGCAAAGATCGACCAGGCACAAGGTTACCTCGCGAGCGGGGACTCGTACGAACTCTGTGTTACGGACCAGACGATAATCACCGAGAACCCCGGCGTCGCCGATGCGGCAGACAACATCACGCCTGCGCTCGCGGACGAACTGGAATCGGCCTGGTGGCTTTACAAGCACATGCGCGAGCAAAGCCCCTCGCCATACGCAATGTTCTACAGCTCGAGCGCGACGACCTTGCTCGGCATGTCGCCCGAGCGGTTCCTCTTTTGGGACGACAACCTGCAGTCCTGCGAGCTGCGTCCGATCAAAGGCACAGTCAAGAACGACGGCCACGAGACGCTCGCGAGCGCGACGCGCAAACTCAGCACGCCCAAGGAACGCGCAGAGAACCTGATGATCGTCGACCTCATCCGGCACGACCTCGCGCACTTTTGCAACTCGGTCAAGGTCTCGAAGCTGATGGGCGTCGAGACTTACAAAACAGTCTACCAGCTCGTGTCCGCCATCCAGGGCACCGACTTCCGCCCGGGCGTGAGCGGCATCGACGTCCTCCGCGGCTGCCTCCCGCCAGGCTCGATGACCGGCGCGCCCAAACGCCGCAGCGTCGAGCTGCTGCAGCAAATCGAGGGCCACCGCCGACGCGGCGTGTACTCCGGCGTGAGCGGGTACTGGAGCGTGCTTGGCTTCGGCGACTGGAGCGTCGTGATCAGGTCGGCGTTCAGCGTCGGCGGATGCAGGGCTGGACGGGAGCGGGAGTGGAGAATCGGAGCTGGAGGCGCGATCACGGCGCTCAGCGATCGCGATGGGGAGTGGGAGGAGATGTGCGTCAAGTTGCAGAGCGCGATGAGGGCGTTTCCAAATGCTGAGCAGTAACCGCTTGCTTAGGAAGGCTTTCTTTGTGCTGGCATTATATATATATTTTCACTACCGCACTGTACATACGCATTTTTTACCATCTAGCATATTCATAATTAATGAGCTACTGTATATATATTTGATTGCTAGTTCATCTAGAAGAATACATCAAAGAAAAGACATCCTTCAAAGCATCTGTTTACATACGACCTCCTCTAAGCGCCAGCACCAAATGCAGCGTAGCACCACCTTCCAGACCGTAGAAGTTTGCCGGTTTATCGTCGGCCCTGTGGTGATTTGATTGTTAGCATACTTGTTTCTTTGCCTCATATTTCAGTTTTTGCAATGGGGTTTGAGGTAGAAGCTTACATCTGCTTTCCTCCGTAAATCAATCGCTGCTGAGATGGCGGGATTCCCTCTTTTTCTTCAACACGCTCCTTGATTCTCGAAACCTAGACAAAAGCATGTCATTAGAGCTGTTCAAATAATAAAACAAAACAAGCTGGAAACGCCGAATTCAAAGAAGAAACACAGCGAGAGGGTAAATTTACCAAATCAGTGGGTTCGATATCCAATTCGATCTGAACATATCGATTGGTAAGTGACTATCCGTAGCTACAAAAGATAGCAACCGCATAACATGATGCGAAACTCATACCTCCTTTCCAGTAAGTGTCTAAACGATCACGATATTAGCATGTGCTCGCATACGGCTATCCTTCTCCCTCCCCAGTTTCGAGTCATAGACTGATGTGATCTCGCAAAAGGGAAGACACAAAGGAAGAAATAAATCAAAGATTGAATGCAACGAATCTTTGACGTACCTTGACTTTAATCAGCATGTTTAGCGATCTTTATGATGTGAATGTCTCGCGAAATGTAATTGATGTTTCGTTAAACGCGCGTGGTCTGGCGATGGGAGTGCAAAGTACTGCAAACTAGACAAGCCACAAGGCGTTGTTAGCATATCCCGCTGTCGTTCTGATAAGAGATCCTGTAGATGATGCGGTGTATTCTGAACAGAGCAAGATAGAAGGCCAGAGTCGGCGATAATATCTCCTATTTAAGCCTCTTCGTGAGGTGCTATAGCACGGTCTGATTCGGACCCAGACACAGCCCGTGCTCCCTCCAAGCATGTCATCCCTCTGTCCATACCCGTGATATCACGCAAATCCGGCCAATTAGCTACTTCGCAAGATAGGTATGGCCACGGTCTGATATAGCGAGCTTCAGAGCGCCGGTGCACATCGTCGCAACTGCCTCCTCCCTCGGTCTGAACCCAACACTGTCCCGCACCATCCAACCCCTCAAATCCGCAGAAAAAGAAAACAAGAAAGATCAAATATACATACTCCTCAAACAAATAAGTAACTCTAGTAACGAAACCGAAGAGAATATAGATACAGACTCGAAATCCGTGTACTCAATTATAACAATTCCGTATCGTGGGGTCCTGGGCTTCCATAGCTGCGTCACCCGGTCTTTCAATATAATTGCACTAACCCCGTTGATTGCTGTAAGCTCTACGCCGCAGTGCTATTTCCCAAACGGGGAATTACTAGGCTCTTTACCGGTCGTGAAGCGAATTTTTGTAATAGATTTTTTATTATTTCTCACAAAATCTCTGTACAGGTATCCGCATTAAATATTAAACCAACCCGGAACTCGATATCAAAACACAATTCAAAACAAAACAGTAGCACTAGTAAATATAGAAAATAATTATACAATATATATAACACAAGACATAGCACTCTCGGAAAAACATTCTGGTTGAGCTTGTTGTTCCAGAGAAGTGCCGAGTTGGAGAGAGTAGGTTGTGCGTCAGACCAGATGACTGCCAAACCGTAGAGGAGTAGGGGGGAGGAGGGATAGAGAGGGACAATAAAAATACACTTTCCAAATCAAATATCAAAACATCTCGCGAATCTTCTTCGTGATTAGACAAGCTTGTACCAAACAGTTAAGAAAGAAAGATCTCAGTTCATGGAACTAGTGACTTTCTTTCTTGCTGTCGTGGTTTGTCCGATTGTCGTTACCGAGCAGAGATTTATTCTAAAAGCTCTATGATTCCTAGATGAGTATTAAATGTTAGCGAACTGCGAAATTCCATATTCAAAAAAACATTGCAAAAGGAACTTACCAAATGACTGCTCGACTTCGTATGGTCCAAGACTCTTCCATAGATCATCGTAAACCGTGAAAATGACGATATTGCCAGCAGATTCCTCGAGAATGTTCTTGATGGCAATCCGCTGGTTCGCCGGCGACGGCACGTTGTTGTAGTTTGTCAGTCCCGAGCTCGGGTATCCGGTCTCGGTAATGAAGACTTCCTTGTCGTTGCAGGCCGCTTTCGTCACCGTGATCTGGCCCTTGTTGAAAGTACCAGCGGTCTCGGGCGTCGCGGACGAGTCAAAGTAAGGGTGCGAGTTGATCGCGACAAGGTCGAGGGAGTCGGACTGGCACAGAGTCGGGTTGTCAATGAACGAGCTCGGTGACTCGGCGGTCGTGATCGGGCCGGTATATCCCGCGTCGCGCAAGAGCGTGCGGACGGAAGTGATCTTCGTCAGCAGGTCGTCGGCGGTCACGTATCCGTTCTGGACGGCCTCGTTTCCAATGATAATCATCTCAACCATGTCCCAGTTGTCATCGGTCGAACCCCACTCAATCACCTCGTCGACACCATCATCAATAACATCGACTCCAGTTCCATCAAACCAAAAGCCCTGGAGCACGTTCAGTCCATATGTCGAGAGCTGGGTCTCGATCGTCGTCATCGAGTTGCAGTCGGTGCCGTACACGCGGATGCGGGTGATGCCCTTGGACTGGATCAGCTTAAAATCGGTCGCAACTTCGGAGCTGGTCTTGCAGCTACCGTCGTCGTTGTAGGGACTGTATGTGATGGCGTAGGGGATGATGGTCGAAACTGGAGTCGACGAGCTCGAGGATGTGCTGTCGGTTGAGCTTGATGTAGACGTAGACTCGGTCGATGTGGAAGTAGCAGTGGTCTCGGTGGTAGCAGCCGCTGATGTGGTTGACGACGAAGTCGAGGATGTCGAGGATGTCGATGAGGTCGAGGTCGCAAAAGTGGATGCCGAAGTCGAGGTCGAGGTCGAGGACGAAGACGAGGAAGTGGTAGTCAATGACGACGTCGACGATTCAGTGGCAAAAGGAGTCAAAGTCGAAGACGCGGAGGTAGTCGTAGACGAGAGATCCTCGGTCAAAGTAGTCCACCACCAGGTGATCGTAGTCGTGATATACGAAGTGTAAGTCGTCGTCGACTCGGTCGTCGACTCATCACTCGAGGTTGACGAGTCGGACGAAGAAGGAATCGTGGTCACGGTCGCTGCAGAGCTGGTGGTCGTGGGAGAAGAGGTGGTGGAAGAGGAAGAGGAAGTAGACGACGACGACGAAGACGAAGACGAGGAGGTCGTGGAGGCCGGAACCGAAGTCGCTGAGGACGAGGGAGAAGCCACGGCAGACGACGATGTAGTCAAGTTGCTTGAAGTGGTGGAGGAAGAGGTCGATGAGGAAGAAGTCGACGAGGACGAAGAGCTTGAGCTGGAGCTGGAGCTAGAATCGGAGCTTGTGCTAGAGCTAGAGCTGGTGGTAGAGCTAGAGCTAGAGCTAGAGCTAGAGCTAGAGCTAGAGCTAGGAGGCGTCTCAAAAGACGAAGTCGAGGACGTGGATGAGGTCGAGGTCAAATCATCGGTAGAGGATGAAGAGGACGTGGTCGAGCTCGCATAATCGGTAGACGACGAAGACGAAGACGAAGTGGTCGGAATCGCAGCATCAGGAGTGGTAGTAGTCGAGGACGAGCTCTCAGAAGTCGACTCAGTAGAAGAAGAGCTGGTCTCGGTAGAAGTGGTAGAAGGAGCAGTCGTAGTCAAAGACAGGGAAGAGCTCGTTTCGGTAGTAGCCGCAGAAGTGGTAGTCGAAGACGCCAAGGTTGAAGTGCTGCTAGGAGTCGAAGAAGACGAGGTCGAGGTAGTGCCTGCACCGGCAACCACGACAACGACGCTGGTGGTAGACGCGTCGACTACGTCGACAATCGTGGAAGTAGAGGCAGCTGTACGCAGATGAGGTTAGCAGGTGTGTTTGACGCGCGGGTCGGCTCATCTCGCCTATCCGCGCTAGTAACCAATATAATCAAAGTGTTAATATATATGCACTTACCCGCAGCGGCAGTAGTGGAGGCACCGACAACATCGTCAGTGGTGAGAATGAGGATCTCTTCGGTGACCACCTGAGTAGTGGTGACGGTTCCGACAACGACCTCGGTGGTGTAGGTAGTGAACGAAGTGAGCGTGGTGTAAGTCGCGGGAGCATCGACGGTGGTGTAAATCGTTATAGCAGGAAGAGCTGTGGTGAGAACATGAACAAGGTCAGCTGAATGCTCAACTCAAAAAGATTGCGCGCCAATTGACGACCAATATCAAAACACATACCAGCAGAGCTAACCAGAGTCGGAGAAACAAGGAAAGCAAGAACAAGGACCAGGGTGCCAAAGATAGGCTGGAATGAAAACGAGAGACGCATGATGTTGTTGCAAAAGAGTGTGGGAGTCTGGAATATTGGCTCGATAGTGCGCTTGACTTGCGGCAGCGACCAGGGTAGCGATGTCTGGAACGCAGGACAGATTGCAGATAGATGGACGTGTGGACACCAAGGGAGACGGAAATTGAAGGGTCGAAGGGGAAAAGGGGTATTAATACAAGTTGAGGCCTCAGGCAGATGAAGCCATATACGGCGAAGGGACACAAAGGCGAAAGAAACCGGAATCCGGATTTCGGATTCGTTCCAAGATTTCTCAACCTAAATCAACGGCGCAAGGGCGACCCCCGGTACCGGATACCGTGGATTGGTGCCTGGGTCGGTGTAAACCGACTGACCAGAGTCCAGTACCAAACAAAAGTGAGTACGCACAGAATGCCATTGTGTTTGCCACTATTATTGAAAAGATGGCGGGCTGGCGGGCTAAATGCGGGTGGAGAACCAAAGTCAGATCGAATCAGTGCCACGAAGGGGACGGACCACCGTAGAAAGTCGGTATGAGGCAGTGAAAACACAGTCGCCCGACGGATTGGGATCAAAACCTCGCCACCTCTTCATGTACCGGAAAACTGTAGGAAGCAAGGGCTGCGGCGTAGAACGCGGATGGCAAGGAGGCTGGCTGTCGAGGACGAAATGAGACAACGGTGCGGCTCAAAGCGTTGCATGAGCCACAGGGCCTGCACAGCACCGCCACAGCTCAATGGCTGCGTTTAGCAGTCTGCCCAGCCTCGCGCCCTTAACTGGCAGCCAGCCATCTCGCTAAACCGGTCGACTTGACAGTTTCCCCAGGATGTACGCCCAATATGGTCTACGCAGGGTTCTATTTTAATCGCGTCCGCGTAAGCAGGGTCCCTATGGTCAATGGGGAGAAAAGACCATGATGTCACTTGTACGGATCCAGAGAGACATATTCTGGTGGCAATTTTGTGAAACAGAAGTGGTCTTCTAGAAGCAGGTGTGATAAATGGAATATAATTACTTGAGACAGGATAGAAATACTTGATGGTTGGGAAGCCCATATTATATCAGAGAGCTTTTAAACCTGTCTGAGACAGCTCTGGGTGGCCCTCAGACATTGTGAAAGCCGGTCGCTGGACGCCAGACACTGGTCTCTGGACGCCGGCCGCCGTGCGGCATGTCTTGAAGATACCAAAGCTGAGAACTCCGAGATTTCGAGGGCGTTGCACCGGCACTTGGCCGAAAGCCAAGCTAGTGAACTAGATCCATTTCATTTATTCCGAGATCATAGCAGATCTATTCGGCGGCTCACTACTGCACTCTCGACTTAAATTATTAGTTATATCTTAGATCATCATATTTACACTGTAGCTCCCCGGCTCTCTCCACATCTTTACTTGTATATCCCAACTTATATACATTTGGCTCTTCTAATTCTGGTCACATCTAGTCGTACTTCACCGGTGCCGGCTTCTTACGGAAGATGTCTCCCTTCTCCTTCATGGATGCCGCCAGCACGGCCTGATCCGTGCGGATCGTGGGCAATGGCTTCAACAGCGAGGCTAGAATTAACAGTCATAGTCAGCAGTCATATTCTCCCGTGATTCACCAAGGTGAAAATAAATCGTGAAAGGCAGGATCGGTAGCATACATTCGAATACAGTGCCCGAGACTGTCATTTCGCCGGTAACGATATTTAGAGTGAATACCATGTAATCGAGAACCTTTTTCTGCTCGGTCTTAGGAGGCACATTGGCGTTTTTCTTATATCTCATCTCCAATTTCTACCACACGAAACCAGCATAAAGTCAGCATTTGGCGAGACATAGTTTGGTCTTCATAAAGAGACACAGATCCTACCTGAATAGTGTGGAACCGATACGTAAGCTGAACCATCTCCACAGGCTGTCCGTTCTGGAGATCAAGAGGCGCGACATCAATCAGCCTAGTTGGTTCAACAAAATCCACCAGGTCCCAAGTAAGCTTCCAGTTCGCGTCCATGTTCTTAACGCGTTCTTTTAATTGTGCGTGGACGTAAATCGAGCTCATGTTGTCGATCTTGCCGAGCTCTCGGCTAGATTCAAAAAATCGAGTTAGTTCATTGAAGTCAAGCAATAGAGAATTGTTAATGGATAACCTACTTGGCGAATGCCTTGTTAATCGCGATATAAGTCGACGTAGCATCTTGCTTCCATTCCTTGAGATGAGGTTTGTGCTTGTATTTAATTCTCAGCAGTCCCAAGCTAAAATAATAGGAATATGTCAGAATGCCATTTCAATCTAGGAAAATTGACACAGTGCCTCCAGGAGCCAAGCAGGTGCTTACCGGATTACCATTTTTCCAAACCAAAGTGCCCCTCTAAATTTATCTCTAAAAAAAAGCTTTGGGTGCTTCAATCCTGGTTTATTCTCTCCCGTTGGAGGAATATACTCATCTAGAAACCGGAAAAAACGGTGTGTTAGCCCCGAGATAAAGCACTGATGCTCGTTGGTAGTGTACGTACTATGCGCGACTCCGATCATAGACATGCTGGGGCGTGCTGCCACCTCCTTCGCTTCGTCGGCATAGCCTCTAGCGGAAACCCAACTCCGCAAAGAAGATCCAGTTTGTCCCCATGACAGACTGCTGATTCGCGGACCTGCGGCAAGCAAGGCGATCGATTGCTGGCCTATCCGTGACCGACCAGCGAGAAACGCTGCCGTCGACGAGGTCGTCATCGATGCATGCGCAAAACCCATTGTCGTATGCAAACCCCTCTATTAAGATGGTGCGTAAAAGTATCAAAAGACTGAAACCAAAGGTGGTCTATATTGACCGATAGAGACTGTCGTTCGAGGATGATGGCTCTCGGGGTGTTACCGTGAGCATTCAATTTTCGTGAGAACAGATTCCGGGCGACAATTTTCACTTTCCGTGCGGCGCGCTTCCTCGCTGCTACGAAGACGAAGAGACTGTCAACTACCATATTCTGTTCTATAGCTTTGACTCATACAGAACTCCAGGCAAAACAATGCACGATTTTACTATAATACACACTTATATACAACTAGAGCCTCTCATGAATGGCCCTTCTCAAACACCCTGACTCCCGACAAATTACCTTCGCCTACAAAATAATGATACTCGCCCTCGTCGATACTGGGCGCTTTTCCGTCTCCCGAAGGCTGGCCGCCTTTGGTTATCCGAATCACCCCCGTGACATCCTTTGCATATCCAGAGTCTAGCGACCGGATGCTGAAGACTGCCGAGGCGCGGTTCAAGAGCGAAAAGAAAAGCGCTTCTTGGCCCTGAGAAAGAGATGTAGCTCCGCGTAGGACAGCGTTCGAACCAGAGACAGAAATCACCGATATACCGGCAATCTATATTCACCCGTTAGCTTTGTTGTGTGCAGATGGCTAGTTTGAATGAACATTTCCTACCTCTTGTAAGTCACTCACAAAGTCGAGAATCTCCTGTACAGGCCAGATTCCAAGAACATGAAGCATCTCGATCCCTTCAACAATCACCATCGGTCTGTAAGAGGTCGTCTTCGAGAGCCCTGCTACAGCATTTGCGATCTGCTGAATCCATTTATCTTTGTTCTCCGCGCGTAAATATAGCTCTGGTCTTGACTCTGAGGCGGCAGCAGGTGGTAAATCGCAAACCAATTTTGAGAAGCCATCAATGTAGAGGAATGATTTTTTCTGGATCAAACTCGATACGTCGACGCCCTGTCAAGGATTCCTCAAAGTTAGACATATTCCACATTCACAATAAATAATCTGTGCAGGACAACTCACTGTTTTCTTAAAACTCCGAGCATAAAACTGAAACTCTTGAACAAACGACAGAAAAACCACCGGAGCTCTCCAATGCCTATCCCCGCCTGCGCCTGTCTCCCCTCCTCCTCCTAAACTATCTGCCCGCCGTCCTATACTCCTTCCCGTACTATTTCCAATACATGATCTCGCGAAATGCTGTAGTAACCAAGAGGCATTTGTTTCCAGCGATGCTGTGATGAGCAATAACTGCGAGTCGTCGCCCTGATCTGGGGAGGCTGCTGGTACTGGAAGGTATTTGCCGTCGAACACGCGGAGAAGATCAGATGAGATTGACATGCTCTTTAAGTATTCACCTCGTATTGAAAATAGAGCCTCTTTGATCTCATGCCAAATTAAAATCCCGGCTCAGAAGTGCAAGAGTAGTTAATATTTTGTCTTTGAAATTTTAAGCCTCACCCACTACGTTCCCGATTGTCCCAACCGAGCTATGTTTAAAAAGCACCATACATATTCGGTGTAAACGCTGGCCAGAATTTTTAGCTAGTGACTATAACAAACTAGATAATATTAACTAAAACAGTAGAAAAAATAAAACTCAACCATCATTACTAATTTACACAAGAGAGAGAGAGACGTAACTAATAAGACAACTGAAACGCTGGTAAAACAAGATATAAGCAGAAGGTACGCACGTTTCCGGCATAATCGAGGCCACTCTGCGCGCTTGGGAGATTATAACAAACATAAAATAAAAGCTGAAAAAAAGTGGAAGAGAACCAAAAGAAAGTGAATGACGGGAGAAAACAGCCAAACGATCAACCCACAAAGAAACTCAAGAAATACAAAGACATCATTCACACGACTGCATCATCCACCACAACCTATAACACCATTCTCATTGCATAACTATTTACGACGAGAAGCCGCCTCAGTCACCTTTGGATCAATAGGAATCTTAGAGTCGTCGCGTCCAACAAGCTGACTCGAAGCATCGTAAAATACATTAACATTAGTGGCATCCGGGCCGCCGGTGGTGTCAACCAAATCAGCACCGGAAAACAAAGCATTGCTCTGGTCAACTTCATTAGCCCACTCGCCGTTGCTCAGCAGATCCATGTCGAGCGGTGTGCCCTCTGGCATTTGCTCGACTTGCGCGGTGCGGGACTGACTGCGCGCGGCGGCAGAAGTCTTAGGTCGCGTTTTGAAGCCGGCAGCGGCGTACTTATCGGGAAAAGCATTGCGGAACCGATCTCTCAAATCGGTACTTCTCCGCTCAAATAGATGCAGCTCCTCATCCTTCTGAATCTTTGACCATGATGGGCCGTGCTATATCAACAACAGCATTCGTCAGCAAGAGCAAATCTTGAAACCACCCGGACCAAATGAACTGACCTTTAAGAATCCAGCTAGAAGACGTCGGTCTTCTTCGGGTGTAAAGCTTCGTCGCTCTTTACGGTTAACCTTGGGCAGTTGATTGGGCAATGGAGCGCGCTGGCGTCTTCCACCATGCGTTGTCGCATTGGGATACAGTCGCCGATATTCGTCCGGGAAATAAGTGCGGAATCTATAAAACATCAGAATACTTCTGTTGGACTAAGGCGCCGATACCAATTATAATATCTTCAGATGTACGAACCTGTCTTTGAGATCGACTGCCGATCGATTATTGAACGAAAACCTTTAAAACGCTACTGTCAGCCTCTAGAATCGCATAGTATCCAATCCACCAGATATTGCCGTACCTTGGGTCCTGGAGGATCTTCTTCCAGTTACCCACGCCGTGCTATAGGAAAGAGTTAGCATCCGAGCAGAAACGTGTGGAAAGACAGGATAGCGTCTTCGTACATCATTGCAACCTCTGAGAAGATCATTAGTCTCGGCCTCACTCCATGTCGTACGTGTTTTTCGCTTCTGAGGAGCGGGAATCAACAGCAGGGATTGCGGTTGCTCCTGGTGGATGATCATTTGCTGATTAGCCTGCGCGTGAGCCATGGGATTCTGCGGCTGACCCTGTTGCATTTGTTGCTGTGACTGCTGTTGTTGGTGCTGCATTTGCTGGTGCTGCAGTTGACTCTGCTGCTGGAGCGCAAGATGCTGCTCCGTCTTCATAGTCGGTGCCTTGCGCTTTCGACTGCTGGGTTGAACGGCTGAATCGTCCGGGAAGAGAACAAGTTAGTAATCTCATATCACCACTGGCTATTTGCCACCCTCGGCAGTCGAGATCCAGCATCACTGCCGCCAATCTCGTCGACACTCGCATGTCTTCCAAGGAAATGACGCGCGAAAAGAAAACACGACGCGAGAAATCATGAAAAGAAACACGTACCAGCCGCGGCGGCCGCGACGAGGTCCTGGGGAATCTGGTCCGCAGCGAACGCGCCCGCGAGATCTTGACTGGTCATTGCGTGCGCGGTCGGCATGCCCTGGCTGGCGTAGGCATTGGAGGAGCGGGCGGGAGGCATTTGCGGCGGGTTCGAACGGCAATGAAGCGTGAAGTCTGGACGCGATGAGATTTGTTTACTTTGTGGTTTAGGTGATGCTCGGAGGGCGAGGGTAGTGACTGGTGAGGAAGGGAAAGGGGAGGAAGTCGGGTACGGGTTGGTTGGAGTGAGGAGACCTTCTGGGAGGGTTGGTGAGCGGGGTTTGTGCATTTATGCTGGATGACGTAATAGATGACGTAACAGATTGACAGTCATCTTCGATTCTTCCCAGCGTCGGGCATCGTGCTCGCAGGCTTGCCTATCCACCTTATCATGGTCGGGGCCTCCTCTTCGAAGCGGGCGGCACAGAAAGTGGACGAGAGTGATTCTGAGGAGGACGTTTTTGTCCGTCTGCTTCTGAAGGAACAGAAGGCTGCGAACGCGAATCCTCCTCCCACGAAATCGAGAAACGCCGTAGTCGACGCGTTTATCGGCAAATCAAAGTATGTTGTCTGCACCTGAGCTTCGATGAAGCCGGTTTCGAGCTAACGGTAGTGATCTTAAAGGAATCAGAATGGTCTTAAACCAAACACAGCGTTTTTGAATCGCATAGTGCAAGACACGAACTCTCACAATCATGCCTTGCTTAAGAAAGAAGCTCTGGATGCGGTCGCCAAACTACGTGATTTCAACAAGGCAAATCCGATAGCAAACGATCTCTCCCGCAGTGAGCGAGCACCAATTACATTTGAGAAGGCGCGCGAATTTCCCCAGCGAGCAGCCGCCGAAAGATCTACTCCATCAGCTGCTCGAATATCTAGCGATGAATCAAGACCTGGATACATCTCAGATGAAAGCATACCTTCATCGAACGAGAGCCATGAGCGAAGTAGAATGGATGCGCATAGATCAAAACGAAGGAAGGCACTCAAGAGTGAACATGAGTCTGAACATAGTGAAGAGAGGAGCAGATCTGATCGCAGACGTCATCACTCTACAGCTCGACTCGAGCGACCCTCTGACGATGGGTATGACGCGCAAAGAAATTACGTTAAATTTATGACTCATGACTCTGACAACTCATACAATCAATAGGGACACGCAACAGGAAAATCATAAGTCAAAAGACTCGCGCAATTCTGGATCTGAGACCTCTCATCGAACTCGCCATCATCACCATCATCGTCACTCTCGACACCATAGCAGTGATCGTGCAGACAGAGACAGGGGAGCATCTGACAGACATAGCGACAAACACACACACAAAGAGAGTCACCGTCATCATCATCATTCTAGTGACCGGCATCGCGAGAAAGATGAAAGACATCGCCATAGCAGAACATATACAGCCGAAGAAACTTTGCGATCCGCAAAAGAAGGGAGCCGGTACGACGACAATGAACAGCATGCTTCTCGAAGTAAACGATAGTACCTTTTGAGAGGAGGAGAATTCTACAGACACATTGCCAGGCTTATATCACCCAACTGCCGGGAGCAGTACTTGGCCTGTGAATCCATTGGCTCCGTCAATACTGGGTAGATCTATAGAGGAAAGCCACCGCTATGGATCAACCACCAATTACATGTATCATATTTTTGTATTATATATTTTCAAGATTTTGACATTACAATATGCATATCAGCCCAGCTATATATGACGATATCCGCAGTCGTAGTTTAGCCGAAAGTAGGTGGGAGGCTTTGTTTACCCTAGCCTTAATTAAATGTAAACAAACGAATCAAAATAAACACATGCGCGTCGCGCGGGTCTCCCAGCAAACACATCATCACCCTCAAGGAAACAAAGAAACCAACAACTACATTCTGATTGAAAAAAAGCCATAGCACCAGAAATAGAGAATGTCAGTCGCAGTGAACGAACCAGTTGACATACCCGCCGACTTTATTGCCAACAACCGCACTATCCTCTCATCATTCAACGACGCAGACTTCAGTTTTTTAAAGCAGGAGCATGAGTTCAAAACATGGCCGAATCGAAGCCAGTACTCTGCATTGGGTAGTCCTGGTCATACAGTGACGCAGAATAACGCAACCACGGAGACAAACACTGGACTCTTGGATCGGTCTAACCCCGCGGCGATCGAGTTCGAACTGAAAGATTACAAGGAGCTATTTTCGAAACTGAAGGTCACCTACCTTGAACAAGAGACAAAGGAAGCATTTTTAAGAATTATCTTGGAGGATGATGAGGAGGATGGAGAAGAGGCAAATGGAAAAGAGCTGAAATTGTGGAAAATCGGACAGAAGGAGATTGATGAAGTCACAGAGCGAAATGCCGAGCTGAAAGCTGTCTTGGTAGATAAGAAGAAGAGCTTACAGACTACTTCTGACGAGATTTCGAAACTTGTTGAGGATATCTGTAAAAGTGAGAATACTGATTTTGTAGTAATACTGGATATTTTGTTTACTGACACTTTCATAGGATATGAGACGCTGAAGGCTGAGGTCACCGAATCAGAGCAGCTACTACTCGAGCTCGAGGATATGAAGAAAGAGCTCCAAGAGCTTGAGAAATCAGAAGAAGAACCAAAGGAATCACACGAGACTCTTTCTTTGAAGGAGACCAACGAGCTATACGTCGGGCTCAAACTTCAAGAGATGGAATTAGACGATGACATCAAGAATCTGAGAGACGTTTCGATTCCCCAGAAAACGCAGGAGCTCGAAAGGCTTACAAAAGAATTGACCGATCTCACGAAGCTGAAAAGTCAGCTTGACGAGGCGGCCGAGTTGGCGGTGAAAGTTCGCCAGTCTGAGCTGAAGGAGGGAAAACTCGTTGAGAAGGAGAATCAAGCGAGATGGTACACCGAGGTGTACGGCATTGTCTGCGCACTGTTCAATATCGATGATGTACAGATTGATAAAGCGGCAGAGCAGGTTATGGTTGCTGGAAAGGACTCAAAGCAGCGCGAGTTAGAGGTGAACCTGATGTTTACCAAAGGACGATTCTATAATGCGACGGTAAGCGAGTTCGCAAATGTGCCCCCTAACTCTGTCAGCTAACGAACAATCTCACTCATAGATTTCCACTTCTGCACCAGTTGATATCAAGAACGCAGTGGACAAGGCAGTTAAGACTAATAGTGTACAAGTGTTCATGGAAGAGCTGCGAGCTACTCTTGACGCGTGAATGAGATACAAATATTAGAGATGCAGGGCAGCAGATTTATACTCAGATATGCAGACTACTATAATGAACAAGATCATAATTGCGAAAAGCTATGTACAGCAAAAATCCTCTATCAAATCACAAATCCCAGGAGAACATAGCTTTACACGTGAGGTAATAAGAATATGCAGAAAACAACAAAACAAAAAGAACAAAAATTAATACACCTCTATCAGATACCCAGAAACATTCTATCTCAAAGCAAAAATATCTCATAGTTCGGCGGCCTTTCGAACATCCTCCATGGAGTTTTTGCGACCCCATCCAGTCGGTTGACGTCTAAAATACGAAGAAATAAGTATCTGGAGAATGAGTTCGACACAAGAACAGATACGTACTTCAAAAATGCGCCTACAGCACCGAGGTACCCTTCATGCCGCAGAAAATACGCTTTCTTCTCGCCGTTTGACCAAAAATTGATGGCATAGGATAAGGTGTTCATGGTTTGTGGATGGCCTCTGATGAATGAGCCGCCAAAGTAAATGTGTTGCAAATTGTATCTCTGGGCTTGGAGATATGCGATTTGACCAATGTTGTTACTAGCAAGTGTTAGCCTAAATTATTCTTCGTAATATGATGAAAAAAAATCATAATGATACCTAATTGCGTAGAGCAGGCTTCGACTGATATCCTCGGCCTTGAACCGAGCAGGTGTTGAAAACTCGGCACCTTCTTCTTCGCCATTCTCTTCAATCTCGTCCTGATCTCCTTCTATTCTGATGCTGCTTCCGGTAGAATCGCTGATCTCGACACCGTCTGTTGACTGCAGTCTCTTCTTGAACACCTTGCCGAAGCTGCTGGCGATGGTCGACGACTTGAGACCTATACGATCGTAGCCTGTGCCGTATATATCACCGACTAGCATGTCGACGTTTGAATTGTCTCCCTTGGATGCCATTAGAAGCATATCATCGAATGATTTGGCTCCAGTGAGCAGTGACAAAAGACCCCAAAGGGTACCACCTCCGAGCTAATGATTGATCAATGTTAGTCATATCTTATCTATGATTAATTGTGTCATTTACAGCAAAAAGACTTACAGATGAGCCCCCAATTCGCACAAACTGTCGTGGTCCAGAAACCATAATCATACTGACACCCGAACCAATGTTCACCAACTATATGCAGATTGTTAGACGCTATCATACCTTGCACGTGAGTGTGTAGGAACTTACCAGATAGGGATAGATATCCGGTTTGGCACTGACGAATGACATGGGATTTTGCTCGCTGTATGTAAACACCTCAAATGGGATTTCAGTTATAAAGAAGTCAAGACCTGGATATTGAGTTCGTTAGATATGCTCAGGTAGACGCGGAATAGAAAAGACTATGACTAGACCGAGAAAAGATGGATACATACCGACTATCAGACATTCCATCTCGTCTTCCTGCCATATCTCAACATCCAATTCCTTTCGCAGCCTGTCGTAAAACTTGTAGGCACCGCCGCCAGTAGCCATGATGTATATTTGCTTCTTTTCGCTAGCGGCGTCCGCGACCTGGTTGGCGTCGCCATTGATTGACGAGGTCTCCGACGACGAGCCAGAGATCGATTGCCGCTTGACGGAAATCAACTTTGACATAAATCCAATCAAGTCACTGATTTTCTCGGTCTCAAACATGGCAAAATTAATTCTGCCTCCTATACTGTCATCGTCACGTGTAAAATAGACAAGCTTGGCTAGCGAACCACCAATCTAGTAAAAAACATTAGTCAGGTTCGTGCTGCTCCCGCTCACCGGAGAATAGCATATTCAGCTATCGAAAAACACAGGTACTCACATCAACAGCGATATGTGAGACGTCAGCGGTGTGGTGAGGGAGAACGATATCTCTGTTATGAGTTTTGCGGCCCGCACCGCTAATGACAGCAGCTGAGCCCGGTAACGGGATAGCGTTCGGGGAAATCGAAGAGGCAGGCTCGTCGTCGACTATGAAAGCGCCTTCGACATTGATGCGGATAGAGCCCGGGTACGGGATTCGTCGCGGAGAGGACGGCATGGCCAGATGCAAGGCCGAGAGGGTTGTACAGCCCGTTGACGAGACTTGCTGGGCGCGACAGGGAGGAGAGTCTGAGCTAGTGAAACGGACCGACGACAACGCAGATAGGTCCTCTAGAGCAGTAGCATGTGCAGCCGGGAACCCAGACTGAACAAATGGTCAGAAGAATGGAGAGAGACGACAGACTGGTCGCGTACGAAAGACGGTTAATACGTCTTGTTGGGCGGTGGTGGGGTCTGCTAGGCCCGTCTGACCGAGCTTTCCTGGGGATATTAGTCCAAAATAGTATAAGGCTATTGACCCGTGCGCGTGGCTCCACAAGAACCGTTCCCTCGGCTCCCGCGTAGATTTCAGTTTTACATGCGGCGTGCTTCTCCCATCTGCCGAAACACCTTATGTGCCGTTATATAAGACCTTGGTCTGACTCGTATAACCTGTTCAGTACTTTTCGGCTGCCGATATTGCGCAGAGGGGTGTGGAAGTTTGTCTGACCAGACTGATAGACCGAGCAGACTTTGATAGGCTCTGACCGTCCAGCAATGTTTGGTCATACTACAACTAGATCAGCTGCGCGGTTTCGGAATTGTCATCATTATCGTGAGCCTGCTGCAGCTCGCCAGCTCCTCGGGCAGTTTCCATCGTGAGAGGTTTGAAGACTCAAGATTTATTAAATGGAATGCCCTGCCGGTACGGAGGGAGATAGTCGAATGCTTCGGTCGCGCTCATGTCTGCTCGTCTACAAGAGCACTCTGTATCGAGAAGCTAAACGTTTTACTCTACAGCATGGTTGGAACTGTTCATCCACCTCTACTCCAGCTCTTGTTAGATCCATTGATGCAATTGGGTTGAAATGAAGCGTGACTTGCAGATCCAGCAGATGACAATTTGAGACGACGATTAGTCCAACTACGGCGCCATACAAAGCCGACCGATACCTCCAGTCGTAGACATACAATATGCGACGGACGACGAGGCAGAGCCCTGCAAAGAAGTTCGACGAGACATTCAATATCTGACTATAAGTGAGCTTCTTCGAGGTATTGACAGCCACTAGGTTGACGCGGCCGGGGAAGGTTCTGCGGTTGACGATGCAGGTAGCTGCTCAGTGGCAGTTGCGAGGTAGCCAGGGTCTGTCTCGATGAAACTCAGACCAAAAAGAAGCTGAGCAGGTCCGTCTACGTAACTAATATCCTCATCCCCTCGATGATATAAAGCAGCACAGCAGCACATCTCTGGTGACGCGAAGTAGTCGTAGGCCGAGTGGGAGCAATAAAACCCTTTTCCAACCTCAACTGCACCGCGCAAAACGACGACGCGGCTGGCCCATTCTCCACGCTGCACACCGCACCCAGCACATCCGCCCGCTCTGTCTGTCTGAATTCGCCTCTCCTGCTGACCTCTCTGCCGGTTCAGCCAGAGCAGAAGTATCTTTGACCGACAAAGGCATATCCAACTCCCGGCCGTCCCTTGTTGCGGCGGCGCAATCCCCGTTATCCGAGCTTAGGCTTTCTCGGCGATTAGTTTGCACAGTCGAGTCTCCCGAGACCCCGACCGAGTGTGCCCTATCTGTCCTGCGCTCTCTTCGCCATCAATCGATCTAGCTTGATGCTGAGCCTTCTCCGGGTTCAGTATTAGTTAATTGACCCATCAGTAAAGTCTCTAGTCAGATACGATACGAACCCGATCACCGAACGCAGCTGCTCCCTATCCTCTCTGGCTTTGCCAATCAGATCCATATGTCACGAAGCCTTTTGGAAGATGTCAAGGCGAAGTTAGCGGATAACGTGGAGGGATATTCTTCGGTCAACTTCAAAGATGCGGGCAACAGGAGTCGGGATCATTACAAGTCCAGTATGAGTCCCCGGCGGTTTATGTTCCGTCAGACCCTGCTGCCTCTCGTTCGATGGGAAACCGCCTATCTTGCAAAGTTCCAGGTTCGTTGCTCCGATTCTCCCATTCAGCTTCGAGCATGTGAACCACCCAATTTGTCGTTTGCTAACTGGTACCGTGATATACAGAAAGCATGTAGAAGCAAGTTCTGGGACGATTACTTTGCATTCTCTGCTAATCTTGGAGCGCACACTTTTTTTGTCATCATGCTGCCGACACCTTTCTGGTTCGGATACGCTCAATTGGCGCGAACGTGAGCACAAAGTGCGATTTGCATGATGCAGCGGAAGATCCTGACTGATTTTTTATAGACTGGTGTATGTTCTTGCAGCGGGTGTTGTATTTAGTGGAATGCTAAAAGACTACTTCTGGTGCGTTACAATTGTGCTTATACAATCGCAGTAACTTTTGTGTACTGACAGTCTGCGCAGCCTTCCGCGACCTTTATCGCCTCCCCTTCATCGAATTACCATGTCCGGCTCCGCTGCTCTGGAATATGGATGTCCTAGTACGCATTCAGCAAATGCAGTAGCGGCGGCGCTGGCAATCATGTACTATGCCTATGACAACCAAGACGGAGTCTCCACATCTTCGCTCCTGATTCTCCGGGTGCTAATGTGGATATACATTGTGAGCATTCTTGTTGGCAGACTGTACTGCGGAATGCATGGGTTTTTGGACGTCATCGTTGGTTCCCTCGTTGGAGTGGTCGTATTTTGGGGTCGCTGGCTTCTCAAGGAGCGCATTGACGAGTTCATCATCACCCCCGGTCCTTTGGTACCGCTTGTCATCACTCCTATAATATTGATACTAATCAGGGTTCATCCCGAGCCAGTTGATCCGTGTCCATGCTTCGAGGACAGCGTCGCGTTTTCGGGCGTCGTCCTCGGCGTGGACTTGGCGCTCTGGCATTCCTGGGATAAACCATGGATGGGACAGGACCTGTATCCCGGATATTTACCCTACAGCTACGCACACTGTGGGATAATAAAATCGGTTCTACGCGTGGTCTTGGGAGTCACTTGCATCTTCCTCTGGCGAGCGGTGATGAAGAAGTCGCTCCACACAGTACTTCCCCCTCTTTTCCGCTTCATCGAGCGGATCGGTCTTTCGATGCCACGTGTATTCTTCCTGCGTGCATCGGAGTACAACAAAGTCCCCGGCTCGATCCCGGACACAACGCTCGTCAACGCGACCGAGATTCCGTCGTTGATCGGGAACATCAAGCGCGGCCGCTCAGACTCGGTCGGCCCGCAAAGCCCGGCTGATATGTACGAAACCATGGCGTACCGCGACGAGCGCCAACGCCGACGATCGCTTGAAGGTGCAGGCAAAGACGCACCGCTCCCACCTTCGAAAGAAGAGCTCGAGGAGTTGGACGAGTACCAGCTCTTCCTACAGATCCGGCCTCCCAGAGTACAGTACGATGTTGAGGTCATCACAAAGCTGGTTGTGTACTCTGGTATCGGCTGGATCGGAGTCGAGGGATGCGCGATCATGTATTATTATCTCAATCTATAATGAACGAAAAGGGCTTCTGTCCGTCCTTTGTCTTTGAAGTGAGCGAAGAGGTCAAGCTATAGATACGGAAAGAAAAGAGAAATTGAAAATTCTTGTAGATTTGGTTTTGTGCATCGGCATTCATATGAGCTATTACTATCTTTCCTTTCCTTTTTTTCTTCTTTTTTCACCTTTTATCAATCCACTTCTGCTTTTCCAAACTTGTCATATCTTTGTACCCTTTTGCATCAGAGCGAGAAACAGAACGCACATCCTCCATCTTGTCTTTCTCAGTTTTTCAACACCTCTTCTTCACTTTTTCTTATGCGCAACGAAACTGTAAAATACTATCCACTTTTCCTTCGTTCCCGGTTTAGCTGTTTTTTTTCTTCCAATTTTCCACTTACTTTTGTCGGCCGGTCTTCGTATTTTTATCTTTTTATTCTCGAATTACTTCAGTAACTTTAGCGCAACTGTTGATGTTACCGCTCAGCCGTATCTTTTCCTATTCCAGGATCATTCTCTTTGTGTGTTTGTTTTTTTCCAAAAAAGCATCATAATTACATTACACGCGAAATGATTCATCAGGCACCTCGCCGCGTAGGTGAATTAGGAAATATGCTATGTATTCAAAGGTTTACAAGATGGGTACATTTATAAATACACCTGCCATGCTCCAACCAATGTGACATTGATAACGACAAAAAGACAAAACAAAAACGCCGATTTATTTTCCATGGTGAATATTCGCTGGATATGATGACTGTGGTATATAGTTTGGTGCTGTGATGTTGATGGTCACATCACGTCTCGTCGGGCCTGTATGGAGATAAAACAGTTAGCAACGTATGCCAGAGCACTGAGCAACAATAAATGGAAAACATACAAACTCGAGCAGTTTACTCAAAAAGTCATGTTTGGTCGCCATATTGACGATTTCGCCCATAAGCTTGAGATCGCCCCTGCGCTCGGCGGTCTTGAGCATCCAAAAACAGCAGTCGGGATTTGCTTTGACCAGTCCGCGCGAGTCCATATTCTGCAGTGTCTCCCACGCGGCGAGGGCGAGATCCTCGTTGTGCATCATGTACGCGAAGCGGATCTCTACGCGGATCGTGTCGAGCGTGGGCTTGTATCCCCGACGGATGTACTCCTCTCTGAAAGAGTCGTAGATCTGCGGCGTGCGGAGTTTGATGCATGCGTTCATCAGCGCGTTGACCACGGCTTTGTTTTCGAAAATCTCGGCCATGACGTCGTTCTCGACAGAGTCCATTCGTGACTGCCGAAGGACGGCGCCAAAGGCCAGTTCGATGATCCAGGGGTTACCCGAGTCAACAGCGGCTTTCATCAGACTGATGACCACGTCGGGCGTGGCCATGAACCCGAGCTCGAGCATTGATTCGAACGCAATGAGCGCCGCCAGTGTTAGATTTTGAACAATCGCCAGCCGCCGGATGATCGTTGCAAAAGTCTCGCGATTAGGCGCATGAGAGGACTTCTGGAAGGTTTTGGCCAGCCGCCGCAGAAGCAGCGGGCCGCCCGTGTTCTTCACGACGTCGTTCACAGACTTGTTGAGTAGTGCCGCGTTGCTGTCGATCAGCTTCGGCATGGGCCACCTGTTGACGTTCTTCTCCATCTCTTCCACCATCGTTTTCATGAATTTGACACTGTTCTGTGATAACTCGCTGGCCTTGAGCTTCTGCAGCGGAACGTTTTCCCGAATAAGTTTTCGGTATAATAACCGGTCTGACCTTGACAGCATAGCCTCCACCGCAAGTTTGTTCCATCGCGATTCGAAAAGCGTCTGTTGCTCTCGAAACACATCAGTCAGGCTGCTTGGAAGTAACGACTCGGTCTTGAGCCTATATCCTGCTGTATATGATGGCCTCAGTATACTCGATCTCCGCTCGAATATCCTCTTCCACTGTTCCAAAAACTGCACCTGCTCGCAATGTATCTGTTCTCGACTTTTAAGAATCACCCTCCGCTGGTACGGCATCCACATGCTATCCTTTGCGACTTTCTTGACCGCGTCTCCGATTATACTCGTGTTGTACAAAACGTCAAACTTGTACGCCAATTTCTGCACCACTTTCGCCATCCTCGCTTCCACGCCTTTCCTTTTCACGGCCTGAGAAGTAGCATCGGTAGCAACGGTAATAGCAGAAGTAGCAGCAGCCGACGCGGAACTATCAGCGGACGCGACTTTAGACGTGAACTCCTGAACCTTTGCGACCGAACCCGGCGAACTCGCTATTTTCTGTGATATCTTTGCGCTCAAATCCGGCAGCGCCAACGCACCCACTGCCGCAGACGCAACAACCGCCATCGACGACGAGAACCTGCTTGTCCCAGCTCTGGACCACCACTGCCTTCCTCTCCCATCATCACCACCACCACCACCACTTCTCGGTCGCGGTCGTGGAGCCGCCGCTCCTCTGAACGGAGCGGCGACTATCCTTGTAAATAGATTGCCTATCAGCCAAAGCATATAGCCTGTCGCTCCGTTAACATGTGTCGATTCGGCGAATCTGTCGATGAAGGAGAAGGAAGAGGAGAAGTCGCAGGCGTAGTTGACGGTGTGCGCAGCGAGATGTCGAGCGCTTCCCTTTTCGCGCACTTCTCACACGCCCCGATGTTCTCTACTCCAAAGCACACAAACTCTCAAATCTTCACAAATCCAACAGCTTTTCTCAAAACTTCCTGTTTGTTCCAGCAAGCAATTGCCCGTCTCTTAGTCCTTTGAACGTCGTGATGAAAACTATCCTAAAATCTCATGATTGGCTTCGACAGCGCGAATGAACAAAACTCTACCGTCGGTAGGTGTTGTACCCCAACCCTCTCGTTCTCTCCCAATTAGGTTTTAAGGCTCGATGAATTCATCGTCAAGTCCTGATACACCTGCACTTTTTTGGTAGCGATACGGATTTGATTGCTGTTTATTGCCGGTTGTCGCTAAATCGTACCAGTTCTCTAATTACACCTTTCCAATTATTGCTGGGTCAAATTGGCATATCTTTGAACCAACTACGATCATTCACCTCACACCGATCAATACATCGAGAAGCAAAAGAAGAAATCAGACAAAATGGGTCTCGCACTAGCACTCTCCGCCGAACTCACAGGCGTCACCGACCTGCACCCGATCGACACCCAAGAAGAACCCTACGTGTACTCGTTCAAGGTGCAATGCACCTCCTGCCGCGAAACGCACCCAAACTTCGTCGAGCTGACGGCGTGGGAAACGCACGAGCTGAGCGGTAGTCGCGGCGAGGCAAACTTCGTGTGGAAGTGCAAGTCGTGCAGGAGAGAGAGCTCGGCGTCGTTCAAGTCTAAGCCAAAATCCTATAATATCGAGGACTCGGGGAAGTTGAAGAATATTGTGGATTTGGAAGTTAGAGGACTTGAACTTTTGGAGTTCAAAGTCGAGGGCGCGTGGAGTTGTCGGAGCTCGGAGAATGAAAAGACAAAGTTTGAAGAGATTGATTTGCAGGAGGGCGAGTGGTTTGATTACGATGAGAAGGCTGGCGCCGAGGTTATGATTACAGACATAAAATGGGAGATCCGACGATCATAGCATTAATTTTGTTTATATATGGAATGAAGAATTATCACCTACGACTCACGCCTAAGGTATGAATGGAGCGACTCAACGCGCGCTCGTTTGGACAGACCAACTCGATAGACAGGTCCCTTGAGCAATGCGGATATCGGCTTATCCCTCTCTCTCTCGGCCGATGCAGAGTCTCTCGTGCGTTTGCCTGTAGCTTTATGTTTGGACTCTGTCGCAGCCGTTGTACTTGCAGAATCCAAAATGTTTGTGTTATCCTTTGGATTTTGCACGATCGAGACACCAGTAGCGTTTTTGGTACTCTGAGCCTTGGAATTTGTAGTCGAAAGCGGACTGCTCACGTGTGGCGGCAGCGGCAAGGATTCGATCGAGAAGCTGTCGCTGCTTGACTTTTTTCTCTTCTTGTCTAATAGAATATTGATCGAGTGAGGCTTTGCTGCACCTGAGCCTGATCCGCTCGGTGTATGTGTCTGTGACTTTTTTGAGCTTCCTGTACTCTCAGTTGAGCTGGCGGGAACATTCTCTTTCTCTCGCGGCGATATTGAAGACAACATATCCAACTCATCCTCACTATCGTCTGCGTGCTTCTTTCTGGCCACGCGACGAGGCGACGCTTGCGCAAACTGCGAAAACTCTTCCTGCGTCGGTATAATCAGCACCGTATCAGCAGCCGAGGACGGAATCGCGAATGGCGGGAAAACCACAAAATCTTCTGCGGTGTTTGCTCTCATGGGCGAGCTTGTATAGTGGGCGCGAGGAGGAGGAGGAGGAGGGTGAGGAGGCGTTACATCGACTTCAGGGGATGATTCTGGTTCGTTATTGGGGAGTCTTGCAGAACTACTGTTCAGATCCCGAATCTGTGACTGTCGGGGAGCTGGAATCTCCTGGATCTCCGTATCATCCATCTCTGACGCTGAATCAGAAAAGAGAAATTCAAGTGAATTGCTGTATGCACGGCTCGCATCAGCTGTCTCAGATTTGCTCTTTGTAGTCAATACCGCGCGTGTTCGAGTGGCCATGTTTTTCATTGAACTCAGTACCGCTAACGGTACTTTGAAAACAGAGCTTTCAGCGCTAGTCTCACCAGCTACCTCTTGGGATTCTTGAGTGAGTGCAACTGCGGTGGACTTCTCGTCGCTGCCGCTGTCTGATGGAAATTGATCGGGATATAAGAGTATATTTAATGCCTTTTGTAGGTCGGATTTGGCTTCGCTGATCTCTTGACGTAGACGTTCTGGGGATTGAGGTTAGATGATGTTCTTCAATGTCTTCAACAGAAGGTATACTAACCACTGCTAGTAGGCGTGCTATTTCCCGACTTATTCGGCGTCTCAAAAGACAGCCTCTGTACCGATGCACTACTTCGCTCACAGCCAGAACTGCTATGCGAATTGATGATCGAGAACAATACACAATCACCAACAAACGGCTGCGTATCCGACGGCGTCGACGATGTCAGGTGCCCGCTTTGCTGCCGAGCAGGATATATAATCTCCGGACTTTCTTCTTGCTCTGAAGGATCAAGGTCACAGGAATATTGCATTTGCATTTCAGGTCGTTCGTTAGCGGTACATCACTGCTTGCTCGTATGCGTGACAAGGAGGAGTGTATTTGTACGAATTCGACGAGATGTTTTCAACAGATTGAAAAAGTATGGCCGTTACTCACAGCACTATCAGCAACTGCAGCAATAACAGCTTTACGCCCCAGTAGCTGCACTCAGCAGCATCCCGAATCAAAGAACAGAGAAAGCACGTAGAATCGTTTGTATGGTTTTTTCGCTTGCAGCAGGGCGCGCGATTTGTTTACCTATTAACTGGACTGCACGCGAAATCATGTGACTGATGTTCGGGTAGGGGTATCGCGGATCAGGTAGTTATGTGGTATCTGCTTTACTGCTTTGATATATACAGCTGAGAAAGAAGAAAGTGATAAAATCGGTAGAGGAGGTGATTAAATGGTTGCTAGAACGAGAAATTAATAGAAGGGAACGCTAAACTGTGGTAGATCAGATTGGAAGGCGAGGCCAGATATCTTCATGTTTATGCGTCTGGGTTATCAATTTTCGAGTGCTTCTACATTACAGGCATATGTTTACTCGCGAGGAACTTGTATGATTTGCTATACGAGTCGTAAAACTGGGTCGTGACCACTGGAGATGAGCTCCTTCCCCACAGATTGCAGATGGATGCCAGATGACGACAGTCGGAGTCTGGAACTCGATACGAAACACACGGCTAATCTTTGATTTATCTTTCCGAGAAGCAAAGACATAAACAAAAACATCATACCTGTTTGCATAGCTATCAGAAGTATGTAAAATTACGCGTTGGAAGTGACGCACTCGTTTGTTAAGGAGATGAGGATATGAGGATGATGACGTCGTCTGATTTACGTAACTGCGATGGCCGCGCGTACCAGGCGCGATTTTATTGGATTTGGTAGTCGTCTGAGCTCTTGGCTGCTCGCAACGACCAAAGATGAGGGATGTACTCGTTACAAGAGACAGAGGCGGGCAGTGGATGATGTAGATGAGAAGAGGATATTGCGGCAGCTGGAGGAAAAGAGTAGAGGCTGGTGTTGGGTAGATGCAGTGGTTCAGGCGCGGAGTAGGGCAGGCTCGAGGACAGATCAGTGAGCAGGTCAGGTACGCTGCCTTCATCTCAGCAAATTAGCGTATTTAATGACAGTCTCAGTGTGATATGTGAAAATTGATGTGTATTCTACATGTATTCTTGATTGTAGACTGTTTGCTGAATGGTTACTTGCTGGTCTATATGTGATCTTTTGTAATAAATACCTTCGTAGATTACCAAGACTAAGAGCTGAGAAGAATTATAAGTGTACACTATCTCCGCGAGATGCACGTCATAGTTGGAGAATATGATCCATATACTTTCTACTTTCAAACAGGAGGATCATCAGCTCAAGCCTTGGAGATCGCCTAGCCCGCGCGGCATCCCCCTCGCGGTCCGAAAACACGGCAGCACTGCCCCCGCCCTGGCCTCTGAACAGGCCCCTGGCCTCCGCAACAAAGCCCAGGGGTCGCAGGAGCCGGTTGCTGTGCGCGGAGACAAAGGACAGGCCAAAGGCTTAGTTTGCTCAGACGAAGCGCAGAAGCGCAGGCTGACCAACGATAAGCATCGCGTTATCGATTGCCACGCGCCTTACTGGCTGCCCTGCCCGAGACTGACTTCGGAGAAGCCGGCGCTAGTCCTTGTTGAGATTAGCTCCGCGTAATTACATTATCCTGGGGTGGCTGCTACAGAGGGCAAGGGCTGCGTGGCAGAGATATGCAGAGCTCCGTTTGAGTTTGTTCCCAACACCAGGCGTCGATGTTATCAGCCGGCGAACATTTATTTCGCAATCGCTTTCAATCTTCTGTCTACTCCGCCTTTGGCTCTTCTTCCCCGGTCCTTCTCCTGGTCTGCCGTGTGGTCCCTCGCTGCTCTGCTCTTATTTTATCTGTTGCATCTCCGTCGTCTGTCGCGTCTCATTCAGTCTACGCATCCACCGCCCTTCTCCCTCCCGCGCGCTCCTCCTACGCCTTCACGCGCGTTAGCCATCCTCGCCCTCAAGCAACCCAGCGCGATCGTCACCCAGAATCTCTAGTTGCCTGGCCTCTTTCCACCAGAGATATATGACTAGCTCGTGTCAAGCCTATCTCGAGATCACTAGCTGCTCCTTGTCTCCACCAAACTGATCCCCGCGCTCATTGTTGTTGTTATTCATTGTTTGGTCCATCGCCCATCTCAAAAGTTTGCTTTTCACCACAAAAAGTTCAGCACTTCTTTTTCTTTTTCAACAACATTCCTACCGATCGACCTGATTCACCATAAATCTCTCTTACACAAACATCGACAATGAGATTTCAATCCACGAGTACAGGGATTCTCATCGTTCTATCAGCCGCTCTCCTTGCTAGCCTCGCCGACGCGGGCTCCTCATATCTCAGCGGCTTCGTTCTCTTCGGCAGCCACAACCGGGAAAAACAGGCCGCTGTCGGCAGACTTATCATGCCCTCACCTGCTTCAGAAGACGATTTTTTCCAGTTTGATCGAAACGAGCTGCAGAGCTCGCGGAGGATATCTTTCGACAGCCAGGATTACGCATACCTGCTGCCTTCGCTGCAAGACAATAGCACGGCCTGCAGTATAGCAAACAATGGCTGCGCGCCCAAGAACGTTCTGCCAAGTCGGACCAGTCTTTACGACAGCGATCGGCCAAAGCTCGATCGGACGGACAAAGACGGCAAGCTGGTGATGTACCACGTACCCGTCGAGACCGCTGTCGACAGCTACCACATGGAGGACGGCAACGAATCTCAACTTCAGATCGAGCGCAAGCTGGTGCCTACGGGATCGAGTACGAACGCACACGCTGTGATTGGCGGTCGTGCAAGTCGCGACATGCGGATGCGAAAAGGTCCTCATCCGACCGTAGTCACTGCTCAAGTTTCCAGCTCGGATCTGCAAACTGACGCAAACATGCTCACAACACAAGAAACAGCAACCGCCAAGGGCCACGATGCTCAGCAGCGATTACCGCGGATAACACATTCACCGCGAGCAGATATCGACGCCGGCACCGTGTACTATGAATACGACGACTCGACGGTTATAATAGACCGCGACTCGATCATCCTCGTGCGGTTATACAGCTACCTTGATTTACTGGCCAGCACGGTGGACGCGGTCCGAACCGAGTTCGAACACAGCGCCGTCAGCGGGCTCGCGTCGAAAGCGCACGTCCGGATATTCGACGACTTGCAGGCAACAAAGAGTACTCTGCAGAGCTGGAAAAAGAGCGTACAAAGCCGCGATTACGACTTTGCGCTTGAGGACGTCGTGTCGTCGATTTCCAGCACTGTTTCGAGGTACCCGATATGTACGATGCTTCTAGCCCTGTTTTTTGTGATGTGCTTCCTATAAACAGGTAGCACTATTGTTGCTTCCGGCGTCTTTCATTTTGTATCTCTCTCGTTGTGCATTATTGTATACTGCTTTTGGCCGTTTTCCTGTTTTTTTTTGATTATCCTGCATTCTGATGATCGCGCCTGTTGAGCTCTATCGCGGGCTTGTATATTTTTTTGGATTGCATGTTTGATTTTACGGATGAAGATATAGAGATGTTGTATTTTTAAAGCCTTGTTGCTGTTACTTTTACCTGTTTTAATCGTGGATGGAGTGTTGCTTTCTTTCTTATGCACTGGTCTGCCCAACATAAAAGGCGACAGTATGTTTTATTCCTTGTTTTGCGCATGCTGGTATATCCTGCGCACTTGTACGAATCGTGGTCGATCTTTTTTTATTCTCTTTGCCTTATTTGCGAGGCACGCATATCCAGCCTTAAGGATGCCTTTTTAATGCTTTGGTTTTTGTTTTAATGATGATAAGGACAAAAAGTCGGAGACTGGGATGATGACGATGATGGTAATTATTTTGTTTTGTGTTTGGAGATTTTCTTCTGCTTAGTTATGATATCTGGAATAGAAGAACATGTCGAAGTGATATTCCAACTCTACTATGCTTTGAAAAAGTCTTTACAGCTCATAGAACCTCACCTCACAGCTTCGATCCCATTCTAAACCTCAAACACTCGGAGCAAGAAGCGAGGAGATAAGCCGATAACCAAAAACTAATCCAGCAGAGGTCGACCGCCTTATCGCAAACGCCGCCGCTCTCGCTCCTAAAAATAAAGTTTATCGAATCAGAGTTTGCGTTATCGCCCAACAACTCGGAAACTTTATCGGTGAGGAGGGCCAGAGTGTCGCCGGCGGGGGTTTCTTGCGTGTTCAGATTCGGTAAGAGGGATTAGATAATGAGGGGACGGGCGGAGGGAAGGGTAATATGGTTTTTTTTGCTGGTTTGGTGAAGGTGGAGGAGGGTTTGGGGTGATGGTGTAGGAGCAGGCTGTGTGCACTTGGTTTCTGTCTTTGGGAGGAGGAGGAGAGCTGGAGCTGCCGAGGTAGTAGTAGTGCCAACAGCGAGCAGTATTCTGCAATGCAAGAGTGCAATGCATTGCATCACTTTGCTTTAGTCTTCATGCGCATTATAGTAATTATTATAGGTAGTGGACAGCAGACGAAGAGCTCTTTGTTTGATTGTGAAGGCTGAGTGAGTGCGCTGGACTAGTGACGATGAGTCGTGATTACTGACTTGACTCTATCAGCGGTGCTATGGCAATCATTAGAGATATTGAAGAAGAACATAACTTCCACTCACGTTATCAGTGCAATGTTCACTCTATTTCAGTGAATATATGCAATATGCCCTACGATTGCTGTACAAACTACCAGACACGCTAAACAATTGACTGGTTACTTATCACTTAACTAGATAAGCGAACATGACCACCCACAATCAACCAACAACCCATCCAAACCACAACCAGCACTTCCCCCGCCAACTCCGAACTACAATTTTCCTAAACTGTAAAGCCTCCTCGTAATTGACCTATATAGTGTCGTAGAAGTCATCTCGTTGGTGGGCAGATGCTTACGGTCCGGCCGTGGTGCCCACCAATCGGTCATTCCTCTGTGCACGGGTCATTTTCGTTTTCTCTCTCTCTCTCTCTCTCTCCTTCTCTCTTATTACACACCCTCCTCTTCCCACACCAACCAACACTACCTCATCCGCATCCCACAATCCACAATGGCTGACGTATGTTCTCACAACCCCCTCGTCCTTCTATATCTTCCACAAACGAGTCAATCTGAACCCAATTGCTCGCAAATCACCCCGCTCTATCCCACGCAAGATTAGAAAGCGGGGTTTCCTTACCCAGACAAAAGCTCGATGTGCTAACCTCTTTCCAGCTTTCCTACGTTTCCTCGCTTCCGCCTGCCAACCAGGCTTTGTTCCAGGCTAAGATCGCGAAGAAGATGACGTATGTTGTTTTGCTGTTCTAGATGAGGGTGGTGATGAGTGAGGCGGTGGTGGTCGGACGGAAGGAACGAGTAGCGATCGGTTCGTATCGCCGGCCATCATCGCTTCCTTCGTATCGCCTGCCTCTCTCCTCTGCTCCCCAACCTGATCATGATCTAATCTGTTTACTGCTCCAGCTTCGCCGAGATCGCCGACAAGCTCGGCCGCTCCGAGACCTGGGTCGCCGCCGCTTTCTACGGCAACATGCCCTTTGCGGAAGAAGACATCGCCGGCCTCGCCAAGGTCCTCGACCTCGACCCGCTCGCCATCGAGTCCATCTCCCCCGCCGTCAACTTCCAGCCCGACCGCGCGTCCAAGATGGAGATGCCGCCGCGCGACCCGACCATCTACAGACTGTACGAGATCGTGCTCGTCTACGGATACGCGTTCAAGAGCGTGATTGCGGAGAAGTTTGGCGATGGTATTATGTCTGCTATTTGCTTCACTTCCAAGATCGATAAGGAGGTCGACGAGGAGGGAACTTGGGTTAAGATCACGCTCAGAGGAAAGTTCTTGCCTTACATCAAGTACTAAGCAGACGAACGCGACTTGACTTTGGAGGCTGTAAGCCTGTTTTTTGGCCCTTAATATGAGATATGACTACATATATACTACTATTGATTGTACGTAGACACTCTAACTAAGCCGTTCCTAAGTTGACATCGAGCAAACCGCGTTCTTTCACATCATCTAACTTGATTCGAGCCATATACTATATTAATCATTACATACCCAGACAAACACATAAATGTACAACCTTACAAAACCCAGCCCGTTATTTACCCGTATCATACTTTGCAACCTGCGCAGTCCGATCGACGTACCACCCATGGTAATCATCATGAGGCACAGGTCCGAACCCTGACGAATACAACCCATACCGCACCCATTCAAACTCCAGCACCCCCGCCATCGCGGTATTGTTCAGCGCCCAGATCTGCAGCGCGACAACGTTCTTGCCGAGCGTGTTGAGGATCCCCGGCGGAATCGGGAATTCGTCCTGAGGACCGAGGTCGCTGATGTATTTCCCAAATTGCCAGCCATTGACAAATAATTCGGCGCGGATGCCGACGCCTTTGATGCGGATACCGAGAGAGATGTCCATCATCTGCGGCACTCGCACGCTCACTTCCGCGCGATAGAAACGCACACTTGCCTCTTTTCTAGGATTTCTAGACAGCTCGCCGGCCAAGTCCGTGATAATTGGCGACATGCCTTGCCAATTCGACACCGGGTTCCCTGGCAAATGACCGCCGACTCGCAGCCCATACAGACCTCCTTCGTTATACGGTGCCCGAAGCAGATCGTCGTATTGATCTGCTCCCACGTTTCCTTGCAACTTCCAACTTGAGAAGTCCGTCTTGGCAACGGTAGCGTTGCTCGGAAGCAGTTCGATGAGCCGGATTCCGCGCGGATGGAATATCGCGTGGGCTTCGCCGCCGTCGTCTTTCGCGTCGTTGTAGTGGTCATATCCCATTTGATCCGCAACAATCAGCAACACATTCTCACCCTCTGTGACTGCGCCTTCGGGAAACTGCATCTCTCGCTTCATGCGGTCGGTGTTCCTCTCGCCCGGAAACGACCCGACAAATTTCCCATTCAGCCAGACCGCAAACGCAAAGGCCTTGCCTCCCCATATCTCAAGGTTGATCCCACTAACCTCGGATCCTGTGAACCGACCACGGTATAGCACGACTCCAGAGTAGAACCCATAGTCACCCGGATACAGCACCGGCGTCATCCGTGCGGGAAAGTACTTGTTGTTCGACACCTGCTTGTCTGCTTTCACCCAAGCAGAGTCGTCAAACCCGCTGTTCAGCTCGGGCAGCGAGTCTATGGCCGCCCACTGGGCCGTATCAAACGGCTGGATCGCAACCTGTGCAAGATTGGCGCTTGGCCGCGTGACCTCAAACAGAAAAGAGCCGTACTCGGTCCGTCTGAAGTGCATGATTTTCTCGCCGTTCCATGAGAAATGCTCATAATTGTCCTCTACAAAGACCTCCACGAATCCTCCATCGCTCGACTCTAAGTCAACGTCGCCATTGATTTCGAGACCCTTGTTGTCAGTTCCAGTCTCGGAAATGTTTCGCACTAAATGTGGACCGAGAACGATCAGTTGATTGGCAATCGATAACGACGGATCCACATAGTTTCCCAAAGACGGCGCCCACGCACGATAAATGTCTGGCCGGTTGATCATGAGAATCATGTACTCGTCGCTAATCAGAACTGCGCGCTGCTCGCCGTCAAGAGCAAACAGGACTCTAAGCTCGTTCAATTCGGTCACTTTCGAACCAAAGTCTTTAAACTTGACAAGCTTCGCGTCTCGAATTTTGTAAAAGTTGAATTTGATGTGTCCGGCGTTTTTGATCGAAATCTCATTCAAATCCTCCAGGGCGCCGTATAGGACCATGAGCGGCTTGCCATTGAAGTATGTCCACGTGAAGACTTCCAAAGTTGAGTATACAAGCGTGAGTTTCGGTCCGGCAGCATAGTCGGTGATGAATATTTTTGATTCTCGAGCAAGCAACGAAAGAACGCCAGAGCTGGGAATTTGCATGACTCCGTGATCGACTGTGTTGACAATAAGTCTATACTGGCTTCCCTCGTTACCGCTGGTGTCGTTATGACGAATGACGTAGAACCCAGCGTCTGACGCGGGGTCCCGGAGCTCAGTCACAAATACGTCAGGATTATCGCTGTACGGCACCATTCGGCTGTCTTCAACAAATTCCGCGAGCGCGAGACTAGGTGAGCAGCGGACAAAGGTCCAGAGAAGCTTTTGCTCGTTGGCTTTCTCACGATACAGCCGTGTCTCGGTGATTGCAGCACCAAAGTCATACGACGAGTAAACATCAGGTGAGCCAATGCCTCCCCAGTTTGTACCTCCGGCGGCCATATATTGCGAGATCATGGTGAACTTCTGCGCGATCGCTTCCCGAAAGAAGATGTTCACGTACTGTGTACTTGTCCTCCTAGCGCAGTCATCATACCCATCGCCGGCCCACGAGTCATATCCGCCGGCTTGAAGCTCAGTTATGAATTTGGGAGAGCTGGCACTGGCTGTTCTCAGGTATTTGCGATAATCAGATACTTGCGGGAAATTCTTTGCCATTTCTCCACAATGCGACCCGAGCGGGTAGGAATCGATGCCATAGAGATCTGTGGTCCCGGGAAAGTCTGACGGAGTGAACGATTTCGACTGGTTCATGTCATTGTGGAACTATTCAGCGAGTGGTTAGAAGTCAAGTGAAGAGAGAGTACAGGATCGAGACAACATACGACAGGAACTATAATCCCCTGGTCTCTGATAAAGTACGACAACGTCTCAATGTATTTATGAGCATCAGGGTAGAGGTCACAATTACGCATCTCGTGCTCAAGCTGGACGGCAATAACCGTTCCACCTTTGTCGATCTGGTAGCGAGCGACGATAGGCATAAGCGCCACCAGATAGTCTTTCCAAGCTTTTGTGTACTCCGAGTCTAGATTTCTCAGCTCTATGTTCTTGCTGTTGAGGAGCCATGCTGGGATACCGCCCGCCGAGGCTTGAGCGTCAATGTAAGGACTATATAGATTTTGTTAGCGCAGAAAACACTGAAAACAGACAGAAGTAGTGCCTACCCAGGGCGAACAATAACGTAAAGTCCTGCGCGCTGCGCCGCCTCAAACAGAGCCTGCACATCTCGACCGACGCCAACAAACAGAAGCTTGTCTTTTCGTACGTGATGGTAGCCCCAGTTGAAGCTCAAAGAGACCGTGTTGAGACCCATCGCGCGCATCTTTTGGAAGACGTCGAGGTACATGCTCTGCGAGGGCATTCGCCAGTAATGAAATTCTCCACTGATGATGAAGGTTGGCTTTTTGTTGATCCACAGGACGTTATTATCCCTATAGAAGCATAGCGTACGCGTTAGATAGGTGCAAGACAAGATGAAAGTAGTCAGAGTGGTTTACCATTGCAGATTTTTCGACTCTGGATGATGCTTTAGCCGGTTGTCTGTTTTAGACGTTGGACGACGTCTGAAGGGGGCGATCGAGAGATCTGTGCCGTACGCTCTCGCGTTGGTGATGGTGTCGGAGTACGGCATGAGGTTGCGCGTGATGAAACTGAACTGCACGATCATGAGCATCGTGACAGCAATGAGGAAGATGGTACCTTTGAGCGACGCTGGGCGCCATAGTCTGTGCCTGCGTTTGCTACTGCTGGAGGACTCGGGTTGGGGAGAGCCTTGCTCGAGGTACTTTGCGTGGGCTGAGTCTGGATCCTGTTGCTCGCGGCGCACACACAGACACAGGATCCGATGGACAGCGCGACGGACTCTGTGGATCATGACTGGTAGGGAGGGTGGAATCAGGATCGGGAGAGTGGCATGAGAGAGCAAGAAGAGAGTAGAGAGGGCGGGAGGTAGAGATATCCAGAAGTAGGGGCGGTGACAAAGAGGGAAGAAGGCTGACTGGTGTTTTCAAATCCTTGTAGGAAAGAAGGAAGGAATTACTGGGCCACGCCCGGCATTTAGCGAGGAACCCAGCACATGGCGAGAGCCAAGGCAATGACGACCGAACGAACGACCCAAAAGCTGGTCTCTTCACGTGGAAAGTTCACGTCCCCGCCGCGCAGACAGCTGGGATTGGGAACAAAGCAAAATCTTAAAACCCCGCAACCGTCAACCAGCAAAGCCTAAAATTAAGTCTGAGATGAAAGTAAAATGCGCCATGCAGATGCAGGCTGGGTGAGGATGCTACGCCGGAGAGCTGCTCGACAGCGGCCAGAGGCCTTCTTGCAGGTGTGTCTGTGGTGTTTAGAGACAAACATGCCTTGAGTTGTGTTTCTTGGACACAGAATCAACACGAGATTTAGAGCGGGTCGGTGTCACTGTCTCATCGCTGTAGTCCAGAAATTAAATTAAAAATAGATCGCCGCGCTCACTCAAAATCACAGCCGCGCACCATCGCAGGCCGACAGACTGGATCGCTCGACTGTCCAGCCTTTTGCCATCGCACGGCTGTTAGCGACCTTGTCGAGAGTATTTCGTGCTGTAGAGCTGGTCAAGTGCAAATATTGTTAGGAAGCAGTTGCGAATGTCAGACAGAAGGGGTTGTCGTCGATGAAGAACCGAGCTGTCGGTCCTGCTGAACAATCACATGGATCTCCATCTCTCTTTGTCCTAGCCAGATTCCTCAGTCGCCGGAAGCAGCCCTCTTACTCCAACACCACAACATACGCACTACAGCCATTACTCTTGAGTATACAATTTCTAATCACAACAGGCATCCACTCACGACCAAAATATCTTCTATAAAAAAAAAGCAGAGCAAAAAATTGAAAAAAAAATAGTGCTCTAGGTGGGGATTGAACCCACGACCGTCGCGTTCCTCATAGAGGAAGTGACCGTGACACCAATATAGATGTCAATATACAACTATAAGCACTGCTGTGCAGTTAGCCTCTATTCTGGTGACAGAAGAACTTTTTTAATAGAAGGGGTTTACTAACCGATGCGCTAACCTCTGCGCCACTAGAGCCTTCTACAATTTTTTAAACTCCGTTTGACGTATATAACCTGCGTTTGCCTCACGCATAGAGAATTTTTTAAGAGCGTTAAATGTCCTCAGGTAGACTCTTGTAATCATAAAAGACGAGAGAAATATATTCTAGTTTTTAGAGATGCTGTGCATTTTACGTCGAAGGTGATTAGAGGTCTGGGGGGGTTCCGGTACGCGTTGCAAAGATGTCCAGAAGAGGCAGTCAACGGCATTAAGAGCCCTCAGCCCATGAGACCTTTAAATCTGATTGTTCCAACGATTCGTCAACTGCATGAGCATTTTTTACACTTTCCAGAAGACAACAATTTATTAAAGTACTAGCTGGTATTATATTCAAAAGAGAAAGGTATGTATTGATTATCAAGTCCAAACCATAAAACAAATGCCTATTTCCATTCGCCCAGCTCCACAAATCGCGCGCAAAAACCAGATTCAAATTGCATGCATTAAATATCAGCGAGTCTCAACTTCCTTCCAACCTCGCGCCGTCGTGCACGCGGGTGATTCGTCATAATCTCAGGAACGACCGCCGGCGGCGTCTCGCTCGACGGCGTCCCCGGCGTCGGCAACCCTGAATTCCCCAGCTCGTGCTCACGCAGCAGGAGTTCCATCTCACCGACGTCAAAGTATCCGTATCCGCCCAGCATATCGCCAACGTCTTCCTCCTCGGACGCGGACTCGCTCGCGCGCCGACTGCCGTCGACGACTTCGCGCCCGCTTCGTTTCGCGCCGGATGAGCCTCCTGAGATACTGCCCCGACGCGACGGCACCGGTGTGCGCGCGCGAGTTCCAGTACTGCGGCGTTGTTGAGACGCACGTAGGAGACTGCGGACTTCAATCAGATAATTATTCAGCGTGTCAAGGAATCGGCGCGTCTGGCGATGCTTGGAGGACGCGCACACCGAGATTGCATCGTTCTTGATGATATACCCGATTCCGAATCCATCCTGACTCGTAGGCCCGAATCCAAACAGCCGAAGAGAGGGGTTTCCGCAGTTGCTGGTGCTAATGATTGTCGTGTTTAACTTTTCCCACCCGGGATCAGCAAACAATGACGGCATCTCGCTCAGCAGCTTCGCACTCGACGACGCCGTGGTGGTCGCAGAATTGCTTTCGTCGGCGGCTGTAGCCATGTCATCTTCTGCGTACCGCTGATGCATACAGTAGAGCGCGTACAGATGGCGGTCCTGGCCTAATCCCTGCGAGCACATCTTTGTGGTCTGTACATGCTTATCACAGGCTCGGCGCAGAAACTCGATCTTTGTCTTTGCCGGTGCGTCCTCGCAAAACTTGCGGACAAAGGCCAGTGACTCTTCAGACACCGTCCGGATTGCTTCCGTTCGACCGTGTAAAAAGTACTTTGTCATTGCGGGCTCGTACGTGCATTCGGCTTTTCCATAGAGTGCATAGTACGCAGCCTGAAACGCCATCTGCATGAAGGCATCAGGCGAGAAGCCGGCGGACTTGATGTAATTGGTGCCGTAGTTTGCAAACTCCAGAACCTCAAACTCATTCTGATGGATCAAGTCCGCCAGCCTAGTTTCCGCAAACCGGAGCGCGAGCGAAAGCTCTGGGATCATCGTCCATTCGAGCTTTCGCGGCGTCGTCGTCACGTCGCCGAACGAGGCCGGATCGCGCTGGGCAGGGTCGGGCGACTCGCTTGCCCAGAGACTGGGAGCTTTTCCGTCGATTGTTCGGGCAAATCGGAGGATAGTGTCTGTGTAAATGTCACTGACGAAGCGCAGGATAGTGTGTCCGTCAACTCCAGTGTCTGTTTTAGAAAATTCGCGTCAGCTTGAATCAGTAGAAAATGAAGAAGTGCAGTCTTGACTTACGCTCGAAGTTGACTCCTGCGCTTCCATTCTTCGTCACTATGATTTGCAACTTATCGTACCACCGATTTGTACAAGTGCCAACCTGCACACCCTTCTCGATGACATTCGTACCGCAGAGCATATTCATCGCGAGATCAGACGGCGTCTGCGGTTCAGAGTAGTCCAAGCAGACGATGAACAAGGCCGAGTCGATAATCTGCAAGCATTCGTGGTTGTTGCTCATCGCCTGCGCCGACGACACGCTCTCGTTTTCACCATCGGTATGCTCGTCTTCAGACGCGGTCGAGTCTCGCGTGAGCAGTTCGCGCAAGGACGCCCAGATGCGCCGGTTTTCAGCAGTCAGCACACCGACGGCGCCCTTGGCAGCCTCGGTCACGGGCGTGTTTTGCGCGTCGTTGATGATTGTCGCAAAGTTCTGCGCCAGGTCTTTCTCGGTCATGATGAGGTCGGAGTTATCGTCGAGAACATCGAACCAGTAGAACTGCGAGCGCGCCATGACGACGATGTGCTTGGCGGTGAAGTCCGACTGCATGATGCATCCGTTCGCGGTCGAAATGCGCGCGGTGCCAAAGATGCGCGAGTACTGGTACATGCAGAGCGGTTTCCCGCGGACCATGTCTGGTGGCAATTCCTCGCGACGCACGGCGCGGACAAAGGCAAGTGTCGAGATGGCGAGCGACGCGGCGCGATTGACTTGGTTGCCGCGAGACGGAGTCGGGTCGTCCTCGAGCAGGAAGAAAGGGTTCAGGTTGAGGACGACGGGGTTATCGTAATTGAGGTATGAATCGTACCAAAACTGCTCGATGTAGGACGAGCGACCGCTCGAGTACTGGATCAGCTTCTCCTGCAGCTCTGGGCCGTCTTTCTCGATAAACTCGTGCGCGGCAGCACAGGTATCCTCGTGCTCGCGCGGGGTCTGCAACGGCTTGACGGCATCGAGATAGCGTTGGATCGTGTCTCGGAGAGGAGGGATAGGAAGCTTCGACAGCTTTTCCTGGCGCGCAAAAGTGATTCCGGCGGGGGCCACGATTGGGGCAGGCATGAAAACGAGGCTGCTGTTGACAGGGTTGAAGACGGATAAGGAGAGAGGAGGGAGGAGACAGCGAAGGGGGATGGAGAGGCAGCACGACAGCCTCGATGCGACAAGAGGTTATATATACAAGCACACCATGGAGCACACAGAATCAGGCACGGCAGGTGGCCAGTCGTGGGACGGATGGAACGACGGCGGCGACATGGGCGGTGAGTTTGGGGAGACGAAGGTTGACCGAGCAAAGGCCGAGGCAAGCTTTAATTCATCCCACAGTGTTTGCACCCCACCTCCACCGGAATGATCTACAAAAGGCGGCTCATCGGCGATAAGTTGCCGGTCGAGATCGCTATCAGATAAAGCTACAGCTAATTCACAGAAAGATAATGCAGGTCTGCGCTACAGAAACACGGCGTACAAGAGACGTGAAGAAGGGCGCGCGTCGAGAAAAACGTGGGGTTGAGCTGAGCTACGTCAGAAGACAATCCCCGGATCAGCGGAGTCGGGCCTCCGTCCTTCCCTCCGTCGAACAAGCGAACGCTTAATCGCTGGCCCGCTGCCGCCGCCTGTATTTCAAATAACAAACGGCAAAGAGCAGAATGAGTTTAGGGTCGATCTCGGCCATCCGTCGGAGCCGGCGCTGTGGAGGTGCTATTAGATATAGCAGCAGTGTTGAAATTCGGTCTTGCGCTATTGCTGCTCTTGATGCTCTGACTGCTATTGTCTGCTACCTGCTGCTATTTTCTGCTAGCAAGTCAAAACTACTCCGGATCATGATCCCGACCCTAACGCACATCCAACTCTCTCGTAGTTCTAGTTCTCTTAGACAACGCCATCTCTCACCGCCGGCCTGCTTTCCCTTCCATCCCGTCTCCGGGCTGCAGAAACACGTCAAAGCCTATTCGCCGATCGGGTTAGGGCTCACTCCGGTGCGGCGCCGCACAACAATAAGAAACTCAAAAGCGATGTGCCATGCTCCACGTGACTGTAGGGTTCAACCCTACACACAGCAAAAGGCAGTCACGGTCACAGACAGGACGGCCGGGAGCGCGAGGGCCCTCGGCGAGCAGAACACAACCACTACGCCCGACTTTGGATATACGGTTCCTTCAAGCAGCCTTCAGCAGCCCGTCTTAGATCCACATCAGCAACAATGGTCCGTTACGCCGCTACCCCCGCCAACCCCAGCAAGAGTGCAAGCGCCCGAGGCTCGTACCTCCGTGTGTCTTTCAAGAACACCCGCGAGGCTGCGCAGGCCGTCTCTGGATGGGAGCTTCAGAAGGCTTTGACCTACCTCGCCAACGTCAAGGAGCACAAGCAGGCCATTCCCTTCAGACGATTCGCCGGCAGCATCGGCCGGACTGCCCAGGGCAAGGAGTTTGGTGTCACCAAGGCCAGATGGCCCGTTAAGAGTGTCGGTTTCATCGTCGACCTGTTGAAGAACGCCGAGGCCTCCGCCAACGTATGTTTCCGTGGTTTTCCTGTTTTTCTTGCGACTTTTTTCTTGGGATGGAATCGGCAGTGTGTTTAGCATCATAGAGAGATGCGTTGTCGTCTGTTTTCTGTGTTTGTGATGATGCGCAGGGATCGATTCGCAGCGCATACGCTCCACCCATGAAATGGTCGCATTTTTATCAGCTGGCTCAGTATACTGATTCATTGGAATATAGGTCAAGGGACTCGACACCTCCAAGCTCATCATCAAGCACATCCAGGTCAACCAGGGTATGTCGACGTTCTAATCACTCACTTCTCTCGATAGACGGAGAGACTATGAAAGCAAGAGAAACAAACACTAACTCGTCTCTAGCCCCCAAGCAGCGTCGTCGCACTTACCGTGCCCACGGTCGTATCAACCCCTACATGGCGAACCCCACCCATCTCGAGGTTATCCTCGTCGAGAAGGATGAGGAGATCACCAAGGCTGTCTCAAAACAATAAGTTTTTAAAAAGTCGTGTTTGATTAGGGCGTAATTAAAATATAAAACTGGACGTTTCTTTTTGTACATGAGTTCTTTTTTAATGCATACGTGTGAACCAACTATCTTTCTACTCTCTTTGCCTAGTTTCTTTGGCTTTTACTGGCAGTGTCTGGATCTATCATATGCAGAGCTGTTGATAGTCGTGGTGATATTTCACTTCATCTCTGACTTCAACTCAAGCCCTTTCTTCCCACACATATACTCCAGTTTGCTGACAGTACAAGTCACTTGACAACAAGCTATGAACAAGCTATGGTAGACAAACCAAGTAAATAGATCAGTAATCCACAAAGTGCAGATGCTCCGACTCCCAATCCAGGGCTTCAACTCCGGTATCCCAGTCCTCGTGCATGTATATATACCCGCGCCCGTTTCCGTCAGCATATTAAACCCGTGTCCTAGCAATATCTTCTTCATTCCCTCGTCCAGCGATTCAAAGCTGGTTCAGCTCGTTGTCCGCTGAATTCTGGCTAGATCGGACCAGGTTCGCGCGTTAAAGAGCCGGGAGGATCGTAATAAGATGAGCAGTGCCCACGACGACGATCAAGAATCGCAACAAGTCAGCACTACTACCGCCATCCACGACCACGCCAAAGACAGGATCAGCAACGACGCACAAAGTCTAGAGATTGACGACGAGCAAGACGACGAGATCTTGAAGATGCTGACGCCGTCTGTACTTGCGTCCCTGAGAGCGACGCCGCTGCTGGCGAGTTCATGGCACTTTGTCGCCGCCGCGACGTTCAGCGTGTGTAATCGTCCTGAAGCCACGCCGATAATATACCGCTACGCAATCGAGCACGACGCACACCTGGCATCCGACCCGCCACCAGCCGACGACGACGACAAACTAAGCGCACCCCCCTCGCCGAGCGGATCGACTCACAGTTTCGGCTCAGAAGATGCCTCGCAGCTCGTGGACGTGACCGGCTGCGACCCGGCCGTCGTGCACACGATCTCGCAAAAGATGCGCGAGGCACTCCTCAAAGGTGCCGCGCTGGGGGGTCTGCCCAAGACAATCAACTCGCTGATCCAGCTCCGCAACGCGACGCCGCCCGCGTTCCGCGAAGAGCATGTCCTCCGGACCGAGGCGCAGCTGTCGCAGTCCGCCGAGCTCGCGCGCGGCAAATCGTTCTGGGATCAGGTCTACGGCAAGGTCTCGCGGCGGGTGCTGTCGCAGATGAATACCGCGTACCCGGACCTGGCGCAGTACGCGCTCGACCATGTGTATTCGCCGCTGCTGTCCTACACCGGCGTGCTGTCGCCGAAGGAGACCTCGTACGTCGTGATTGCGTGCTTGATTCCGCAGGACGTGAATCCGCAGCTCAAGGGACACTTGAAGGGCGGGCTGAACAACGGGGCGACGAAAGAGGAGCTGATGAGTGTTCGTGATTTGTCGATGCGGATATGCGAGCTCTGCGAGGTGGGCTGGAAGGAAGAGCCTGCTAAGCTGTGATCTCAATCAAGTCTTTTACGATGGCGTTTTTGTTTTTAGTTGGATGTTACAAAGGGTTTATTGGTTCTCCATTGATTAAGTAGTTAAAAGGCATTGCATTTGTATTCACCAGAGATTCTGAATAGCACTGATTTTTAAAACCATATGCAGGTCGCATGTAATAGCTTCCGTGCACACTGCACAACAGCCACGTAATGCCCAGCCTGTATAAAAATAATAACTATACACGTATCATCGCCATGTCATGTCCAGAAACCCCGTCACTTCCCAGCAGTCACTTTCCCCCCCCTCCCTCTACCAGCATCCCGTGCAATCGCACCAGCAAACTCACCAGCCTTCACATCGATCAACGACCGCACGCGCGCTCGCGCCTGCTGCAGTCGGTCGCGCAGCACCCTGAGGGCCTGGTTCGAGCTGCTGGTTTCGCTGCCGTCGACGAGCGGCGGGTGCGACTTTCGCAGGTTGAAGAAGGTCGCGAGTTTTGATTTGCGGGAGGAGGGGAGGTCTTCGACAGAGGACATTTTGTTTTCTGGTTGGAGTTGCTGCGGTGGTGATGGTGGAGGAGGAGAAACAGAGCGAGAGGAGGAGATAGAGCCGTGGCGGTGGCCAAACATATCAGGTTCGAGATTTCTAAAGTCAGTTACAGGACGAGGTATGCGCACAGAATGAAACAGAACGGTATCATCTTCCTGATCGGCGGAGGTTTGTCTGGCTGCCTGGAGGGTATCACAAGTACTTGGTTCGGTGACGACGATACCCGGAACCGCCCGTGAGCGAGAAGAGGAAGAGTGCTCGGAGGAGGCGGTCGAGCCGGTGGAGAGCGTTTTCCAGAGATCGTCAAAGAATTCTGATCTTTTGCCCTCGAGGAATCCACCGGTGGGAGCTACCTGCCGTGCCTGATCATATGCATCACAGACCCCATCCTCCGCATCACAGATCCCATCAACATCGCCGTGAAGCTCTTCTACATCAGCCGGCTTTACAACAGCCGAGCACGGTGGATCGTAGTCAACCTCAGGATCAAAGCCCTCTCCTTGGCTCCACTCTGCAAACCACTGGTTGATCTCGTCAAGGATCGTGCCGTTGATGCGCGGAAGCGAGCGGTCACTGTTGCTTTGGTTGGTGTTGATCATGGGAGAACCGCATCCACAGACAGGGTATTTCGGCTGTGAAGCTGCAGTCGCAGGATCTGAACCGAGATCTTGACTTGCTTCAAGATGGAATTCATTCTGACAGTCACCCCGCTGCTCCTCGTCTATCTTATTCACAAGATTCATCTTTAGCGGGATATAGTCCGTCTTTGCAGACAGCTTTGACCCGCACGAATGGACACTGATGTGCACGTCGCTCGCTGAGTTGGACGTGCGAGAGTCAGTAGCCGTCGTCATGTCTGCGCCCGCTATCTTGTCTGCCGACCAGCGATCGTTGGCTGGCAAAGAGGTAGCGGTACCAAAGTACTCGTAGACAGACATACGAGTCTTGTAAGTCAACTGTGGTGCTGAGATAGACATCGCGGACAGAGCAGGAGTGCGCAAGAAGGTAGTCGGTGGAGTAAACAGAGATTTCGATATTGGCGAGCGCGTTAGAGTTTCGACGCAGAGCATCTCCCAACCGCCTTCTGCGGCGTACTTCACCTCGACGCCTGTCTCTTCCCACCACTACGCCTGCTTTCTACATCCGCCAGCCATTGAACCAACAACATGACTCGGGAAGGCAAGTACCCCGCCAAAGCCCACGCGGCAAAAGTGCTCGCCCACTTCACCACGCTCTCGCCCGCGTCCTTCGCTCCATCGACGCCCGCGCCGCTCTTCCTGCTAGCCTCACCGCGCAGCAAACTCTGGCCGTTCTGCGACCAATCGCAGCCGTTTCGGCAGAATCGGTTCTTTTACTACTTGTCGGGGTGTAATCTGCCGGATTGCTATCTGGTGTTTGACACCGCGACGGGTAAGCTCGTTCTGTATCTGCCCGAGGTGGATAAGGACGATGTGATTTGGAGCGGCATGCCTCTCTCGATCGACGAGGCGAAAGCCGAATTCGACGTCGACGACGTGCGGTACTTCCCCTTCCTCGCGACCGACCTTTCCGCGCTGTCTCCACGAACAGTATTCACGATCGAAGACCTCGCAAAGACGGCAGACGACCACACCGCGCTTCTCTCCTCGCTCGGAAGCAAGACCGCAATCACCGCCGGCGCGCCGGAGTTCCTCGAAGCACTCGAGGAAGCACGGCTGATCAAGGACGACTACGAGCTCGCGCTGATGCGCAAGGCGTCCGAGATTTCTGACAACGCGCATTACAAGGTCATGTCGACGTTGACGCTCGCGTCGAACGAGACGCATATCCACGCAGAGTTTATATACCACTCGATTCGTGCCGGGTCCAAGAACCAGTCATATGACCCGATCTGCTGCTCGGGCCGGTCGTGCTCGACGCTGCACTACATCAAGAACGACGAGCCGCTGGGCGGGCGGCAGTTAGTGCTCCTCGACGCGGGCGCGGAATGGAAGAATTATGCGTCAGATGTCACGCGGACGTTTCCTATCGACGGCAATTGGACGACGGAGGCGCTCGCGGTATACGAGCTGGTAGCAAAGATGCAGGCCGCGTGCTGCGAGCGTGTGGCGCCAGGGGTGGAGTGGGATAGTCTCCATTTACTCGCGCACGAGCTTCTCATCGCCGGTTTTCTCGAGCTGGGGATCTTCAAGCCCGGCGCGGACGCAGACAAGATCCTCGCCTCGCGCGTGTCGTCTGCGTTTTTCCCGCACGGGCTCGGGCACACGCTCGGAATGGACACGCATGACACGGCAGGCCGGGCGAACTACGCGGATCCGGACCCGATGTTTCGGTACCTGCGCATACGGCGCAAGCTCGAGGCGGGAATGGTGGTAACCGTCGAGCCGGGGATTTATTTCTCGCCGTTCCAGATCGCGGAGTGGAAGGAGAAGGCGTGCTGGGCGGAGTTTGTGGATGAAGATGTGCTGGATAAGTATTGGGATGTCGGCGGGGTGCGGATAGAGGACGATGTGCTGGTGACTGAGGATGGGTATGAGAACTTTACAAAGATTACAAAGGACCCGGAGGAGATTTCGAAGATTATCAAGAGTGGCGGTGGTCTTTAAGCGAATATATTCAAAGAGTGTTTTATTAATCGACGAGTTGTCATTTATCAATTCTATATATCACAAGAGATCAGACTGGAGCAAAAATCACGATAGTAAAAGTCTTAGCTCCATATATCCTGTTCACCAAAGTAGCACAGGCCACGCCCGCGCGCAGGCCGGAACATTGTCATTGTAGATTGAAGTGTGAAGAAATCAGAGAATCATAGCCAAAAGAAGAAGTATAGTTCGAGTGAGTGTGGAGGGACCGGAGAGAGAATGGGGAATAGAATAGAGATAAAGAAAGCGCCAGAATAAAGAGACCGAAACGCCGGCACGACTGAGAACAAAAACCGAAAGATCCCTGCAGCCAAAATAAGGCGACAAAATATTGATAAAAGGAAGAAACTAAGAGTGGTTTAGCAACGAAATAAACAGAGACAGAGAGTGAGTTGGTAGATAGCGAGGGGGGTTGTAGAGGTGCGTGTTTGCTTATTCGACCACCTTGCCCTTGCCGGCTTTGGCGCTGGCCTCGGTGCCAGCCGGGGTCGGAGTGCTCCTGCCACTGTCCATACCCAGCAGTTTGCCAAACGCGCCGAGCTCCTTTATGTTGTCGAGATGGGTCATCATGAACGGCACGCAAGGGAAGTAATCGCCGTACTTGTCAAACATGATTCACGAGATATTCTGCGGCAGCGCGCGCTTGACGGCGACGACGTACTCGGAAAACATCAGATGGGTCAGTTTCCGGCCAAAGACCTGCCGGATGCTGTACATTCCCCTGACGTTTATAGTCGAGTCGGGGAGGTCGACGGAGAATCTCAAATACACCTCGGTGTTGAATCCTACCGGCCCGTTGAGGCAGAAAAACAGGGCAAACGCGTAGAGAATGGCGGCTTGGCTCCGGTCGAGCTTCATCTTGAACTTCCTGGAGTGCCGGATCTGGTTGATGAGCGTGAGAGACTTGAATGATTCGTGAAGCGCCTCGGGGTTATACGCCATCGGGATATCATCAGAGGCCGAGCTGGAGCCAGAGTCCGAGTCGGGCTGGGAGGCCAAATCTGAGTCTGAGTCGGAGTCCAAGGCGGACTCGAACTGCTCGGACGTGATTATGTCGTCCTCAGACTCGGAATCAGGCTGGGAATCAGAGGAGAGGTCGGCAGTAGGATCGCGCCGCGCATCGATGTCTGAGTAATCGGACTCGTGGAGCTCGACGAACGACATGGCGGCTAACGACGCGGCCGCAGCGTCCAGGTCTGATTGAGTAGTTCTGGAATTGTCTAAACGCATGGTGTAGAGAGGAAGAAGATGACGGTGAAGAGAAGGCGGGGTGGAGAACAGGCGCCGTTTTACTTGGGAGTTTTGAGGCTCGCGGAGATGGGCTCGTGTCAGTGTGATAAGATCGAGCGGGCGCTGATCTCCAAACTCTGTTGGCTTTTGCATTCGTTTGGGAGATCACGAAACCCTCACCGATGTCAGCATATTATTTTTCACTTCGAACTCAAGACACTCTCTCTTCTCTACCGTGCTCACGATGTCCAGGCCACGCGCCAAGCAGGCCTTTGCTGAGTTCAAGGATGGATGGGTGCGCAATAGGGTGACCCGTCTGCTGGTCCCCCCACAGACAAATCGCAAGGTGGATCGCCGAGTCCGCCGTCGACGCGATGCGCGGCCGTGGGAAGGCACGCACAACGAGTACGGCATCTCCGACACCGAGCTGCTCGACATCATCCTCGCCGGGAGGTACAGCATGCAGATCGAGCCTGCCTCACGCGCAATTGACACCACTATCCAGCTCCCCGACATGCTCACGTTCCCCTTCCAGCGCCGGCTCTACCTGCGCCAGCTCGCGCGCGGCGGCGCGATCCAAGTCGGTCGCGACCGCGTCACGCGCTGGTTCTACACGCCGTACCACAAAAACGCCACGTACTCCGACCTCCTCCGCGGCGTCGACGCCGCGGCCGGAATCTCGCGCTTCATGTGGAAAATACCCAAGCTGCGGCCGTGGGTCTCCGACCAGCACCCGCTCACGATGCGGTACATCCCGCCGGGCATGGCCACGGCCGCGTTTGCAAAGTCGCGGCCGGCGGTGGTGATACTGATGAGCTCGAGGCCGAGCGCGGGGCAGAAGGCGACGTACCGCGCGGTGGTGCGCAAGCATATGCGTCGGTACTTGTTTGAAGCGCTGTGCGAGGTGCAGGGCATCACGCGCGAGGTTGCGCACTGGAGCGATATCAAGTCGTTTGAGCCGATGTCGACGATCAACGACGGCCTGTCGTTTTTGCTCGAAGACCATCGCGATCCGCGGCTGATACGGCAGGAGAAGAAAGAGTACGAGGACAACACGGGCGCGCCGGACGAGACCGAGCAGTTGATGGTCAAGCGGAGTCCGGACTATATCCGCGACCTGGACGGCGTCTTTGTCTTTTTTGAGAAACGTGGATCGGGGAAAAACCAGGCCGTGCCACCGATTGGAGAGGAGGCTGTGAAGGCGATGGCGTACGCGGCCGTGCAGGCCGTGGTTGCGGAGTATGGCTACGTGTCGAAGGAAATGCATGACAAGTATGCACTTTATAGGAGGACGAAAGCTGTGAGTGAAGAGAGCGCGAATGAAGAGAAGGAGGAGGAGAGCATTGAGGACGATTTGAAGACATTGCATGGGCGGGACAGTGCAGAAAATATAGAGATCATTGGGGAAGACAGCAAAGAGATCATTGGGGAGGAGAACAGAGAGATCATTGCGGAAGAAATCCGAGAAAGCACAGCATCCAACACAGACAACGCTACAACACAGAAAATGACGCAAAAGGAGCGGGAAGCAGCAAACGCAGCAAGCGCAGCCGAAGCCGCCCAACGCTACAGCGAACCCCTCTCGCCAGCAGTCCAGCTCGCGCACTACCGCACGAGCCGGCGATACTGGCGCTGGGTGGTTACCGAGAACAAAACGATGTTGGCAAAGGTGTTTCCAGGCCTGCAGCAAGAGCCGCGGTTGTTTGACGACGAGGTGTTGTTTGGCAAGATGATGGAGCAGGGGAGTGTGGGTGCGGCGCGGTACGAGGAGGAGTTTCGTAGGCTACAGAGAAGTTGTGGTGAGGATGCGAGGGGGCGGGAGGGCCAGGATCTGTTTTTCCCGAGGATATCGGAGGAGGTGCCTAAGGAGTTGCTGAAGAGCATATATCCTGCTAAGAGTGAGAAGGACAAGCAGAGGTCCGGGCAGAGGTCCGGGCGGAGGTCCTCTAAAGAAGTGCCCGACAAAGAGTCCAAGGAAGAGAATTAGGAACAACACCAGGAACAAACTACACAGAACCCCGGCAATAGCATCAGGAATCAGATCATGAATACATCGCTGATTAAGCCCTTACACATATTCTCGAACGACGTCCAAGTTTCCCGACCAAATTAAGCGAGACGAGCAAATTACGTGCGGCTCTGCATAAAAGTGTCTAAACCAGCGCAGAAGCGGCATAAACAGCAATAAATATTGACGGTTGAACGATGAGAGGTCAATCTGATTATTATTATATGCTCGTTCGACTTTTCTTCTTTTTCCAGCTGGGTTGTTTCTCTCGACAGTCTGCCTCATTTGCTGGGTCTATAAAAGCGGAAGGGAAAGGAAAGTAAGGAACGGGAGCTGAGATAGTATTCAAACGACGACAGATTGCGCAGCTCTTGTCTTTCTGCGTTGTCTTTCTGCGCGCGGTACAAAGAAGCAGAGGAAGCAGTCTTGGCTCGGGACAAGACGATATTTTGTGCATAGAAGAGATCGCAAGCGGCGAGGTTTTCGATTGATTGAGCTCACCCACGCGCGATTTCTATTCTTGCTGCTGCATACGAAGATTCTACCTGCCAAGTTTGGGCATTGCGACAAGACGAAGCGAATGAGAAGGAGGAATATGAATCAGTGCTTGCGCGCGAGAGATATCTAAGGATTTCAAGTTTGATAATTTAACACAACTACAACACAGCGATGCTGCTGGTCGACGGAGAGAAGTACGCGTGGTAAGTGCCGCTGTGTATTCTTCTGATGTTCATTGTGGGAAGAAAGACTAACGATGGGTAGTATTCGCTGTATCCGCGGACACCGGTCGTCTACATGCAAGCACCGCCAGCGACCGCTGGTGCAGGTTCGCAGACGCGGGAGACCGGTTGCGGAGTGTAATCACCGGCTGGCGGTGTTGCCTGACGGAACGTGCGAGTGTGGAGTGGCGGCTATTATTCTTCCTAAAGGTATGAATTATGAATCTACTTATGATCAGAGACAGAGGGAGAGAACGAGTTGTGCTGATATGTGTTTAGTGCGGTCAGGGAGTACTTTTGCGCCGGTGATTGAGGAAGGAGAGGGTGGGAAACGGAAGATTCAGGATACATCCGAAGACGCGCATCAGCGAGTAGTGCTGATTCGGCAAGGCAGCGGGTCATGCTGCGGCGGCGCACAAACAACCTCGAGCGCAACAGAACAATCAACAACAGGACGGCGGGAGTACGAGAACGAGAGGAGTGCGCTTGTGGGCACGACGGCTACGAAGCAGCGGGTGATTTACGATCCGTCGAGTGTGGAAATTCAAGAGATTGAGGCCCAGACTACGCCGAAAGGTGGCGTGAAGCTGAAGCGGTCTGGGTCTAGTTCGTCGTCGCTGTCGTCGGATCGGTCGACGGCGGCGACGACGACGGTCAAGTCTGAGGATGGAAATGAGGTGTCGTCGTGCTGCGGAGAGAAGGCGGAGGCGTCGTGCTGCGGCGGGCAGCAGGCAGATGGACAGAGACGGCCGATAAAGCTGCGGTCGGTGGTTCTGAAGCCGGATGTTGATAGCGCAGCGATTGTGCGGACGCTGGATATGGCGCAGCAGAGTCTGCCGGCGGTGCAGTCTGTTGAGTACTATCCGCCACAGGTCGGGCTCGGAAGCCAGGCAGCAGCAGCTGGTACACAGTATGGGCGGGAAACGATGAAGGCGGGAGGAGAGTACGAGAACGAGGATCTGTATTCGAACGCGAGTCCGACGGTGGCATATGACGAGGCGCTGTATTCGCTGGAAGCGTATCTGCAGGCCTCATCGCAGGAGCAGGCGCAACCGTACGCGAGTCATAATCTGCTGATGCAGGAAGCAGCAGGGGTTGTTTCTCAGGCGCAGCAAGCGGCGGCGGCGGTGAGTAGTAGTGGTGGTGGTAGCGGTCTGCAGACGCTGAGCCAGCAGGAGATTGAGAGTTTGACGCGGTATAGTTCGCGGACGGGGGTCGTGAGTTATCCTACGGGCCGGATAGGGGGGTTTACGGGGGGAGAAGGGGTGCAGATGGGGACGTATGGTGATGTGTATGTGCCAGAGGGAGTGCAGTTGTCGACGTCGCAGAAGGAGTTGGCGGACCATATGACATTACTGCAACAGCAGCCGCAGCAGCAGGTGGACGAGGACGGGCTGGATAACTTGTTTTCAGTGTATCTGACGTCGGCGTGTGCGGTGCCGGGAGGGACGTGTATGTGCAGCGACGAGTGCAATTGCCCGGGATGCATGAAGCACGGGAACGTGTTTGTGGGCGAGAACGAGGGGCGGGAGGAGGGGTTTGGGCTGGAGTGGGGCCGGTGATGTACATAGATGCGTCGTTTACAATTACGAGTGAATGAATAAGTGAACAGGGAATAAAAGGTTGTGGAGATTGGTAATTAGAGAAGAGAAGCACAGACGGATGCCGGAGGTGAGGAGAGATTGATGGCTGAAAGAGGCTTTGATATTGAAATTGAAGAGCAGCTGAGATGGGAAATTAGATTGAGATCTAAATGAGAGTCGAGAGCTGCAGTGAGCTGCAGTGAGCTGCAGTGAGCAGTGAGTGAGCAGGACTGGACCGGGCTGAGGATGATTAGAAGGAGATGAGTTGGAGATGAGTAAGGAGACGAGAGCTGCAAGAGCCGCCAAGTGGACTGAAGCTGATTGTTTGGTTTCCTTTTTTCTCTATTTTTTCTAATTTCTTCTTCTCTTTTAATTGAGAGCAGCATCGGAGAACAACGAGCGATTAAACCAGAAGAAGAACAACAACACCGGTGGCAACTACAACAGCTGCTCTGAGCGTGAAAACTTGCTCCGAACAAAAGAAAAGACCGCAAGAGGCGAGAGCGACAGAGTTAAAGAGAAAGACGGTTGCCAGGCAAAAGGCCGACGGTGGCAACGGACTAGCCCGAAATAGGAAATAGTAAACACCGCGCAAATTTACTGAGAGTTTGCTGTTCTGTTCCTGGGCAGCAGCTGAGGGAGAGTGGGTGAGTTGCCACTCGCCACTGAGGTTCTGTATAGCAGCAGCAGTAGTAGTATTATATACACAGACAAAGGACCCCGGATGCTGGATCTGGACTCAGACTTGACTGGTAGAGACAGCCAGAATAAGACAGAAGCGGAAGATGGCTGGATGGTCCGATCCGGCGGAAGGGTCAGCACGTGGGTTTCGTAGTTGAGACAGGAGCAGGGTCAGGGCAAGACTTCCAGATTGGGCCTAGTCAGTTCAAGAGCAATTTTAATTAAGTTTTCCCGCTGAATAGGAGCTGATATAATAAGACCGGCGGCGTCAGCGCATTCCTCGACTTCCTCTTTCTCTTCTTCTTCTTCTCATCGCGATCAACATCAACAAACCCCTTCGTTCTTCCTTCCTTCTTCCTTCCTTCTTCCTTCTTCAACATCTTCTGGTGTGTCGTGTCTTCACTCTTTCGACCGGCCCCGTTCACTCCTTCACAAAAGTTCTACTGTCAACTGCAACAACTACTACTCCAACTATACACCACCACTAGCTACCTAGCTCACTACTACTCCTACTCACCATGAAGTTCGCCTCCGCCGCCCTCCTTCTCACCGCCCTCACCACCGTCGTCGCTCTCCCCGAGCAGCACGCGCACCACCGTCACCACGCCCGCCAGGCCAAGGCCGAGCGTCGTGCCGAGCTCGAGAAGCGCGCCGTCGACTACGTCTACTCCTACGTGACCGTCGTCGTCGACGCAAACGGAAACGTCATCTCTGACACCGCCGCCGCTTCCGAGCCTACCTCCACCGCTGCCGCGACCTCCTCCACCGCTGCCTACGTCGCCCCGACCTCTTCCACCGCCGAGGCCGCCGCTACCACCTCGGCCGCCATCGCCGTCCAGGCCGCCTCTTCCGCCGCCGAGTTCGTCGTCTCTTCCTCCACCACCTCCTCCTCGTCGTCTTCCTCGACCTCGTCTTCTTCCTCCTCCTCCTCCTCCTCCTCCGCGACCACCTTCTCCACCTTGACCTCGTCCGCTGCGTCCAAGACCTCCTCCGCGGCCTCCTCCACCTCCACCTCCACCTACTCCATCTCCACCGACCTTCTCGACGACTACGTCGACCCTACCCAGGCCTTCGTCGACGGAACCATTGCCTGCAGCACCTTCCCCTCTGGCCAGGGTGTCATTGCTGTCGACTGGATGAATCTTGGTGGCTGGACCGGTATCCAGGTCTCTGAGGCTGAGAACTCTGGCACTGCCAGCTCGTGCGGTGACGGCAACCTCTGCTCGTACGCGTGCCAGCCCGGTATGTCCAAGACTCAGTGGCCCTCTTCGCAGCCCGGCGACGGCGAGTCCCGCGGTGGCTTGAAGTGCACTGACGGATACCTCTACCGCACCAACACCGACACCGACTACCTCTGCGAGTGGGGTGTTAGCTCTGCCCAGGTTGTTTCCGAGCTTGACGACGTTGTCGCTGTCTGCCGTACCGACTACCCCGGTACCGAGAACATGGACGTTCCCACTGTCGTCACGGCTGGTGCCACCGTTCCTCTTACTGTTGTCAACGAGGCCACCTACTACCAGTGGGAGAGCCAGATGACCTCTGCTCAGTACTACGTCAACAACGCCGGTGTCTCTGCTGAGGATGGCTGCATCTGGGGAGACTCTTCGTCTGGCGTCGGAAACTACGCTCCTCTTAACTTTGGCGCTGGCTACGTCGACGGCGTTGCTTACCTTTCGCTCATCCCCAACCCCAACTCGGACGCGACTGCCAACTTCAACGTCAAGATCGTTGCTTCCGAGGGCTCTACCGTCATCGGCGAGTGCACTTACATCGACGGTGTCTTCTCTGGTGGATCGAACGGCTGCACTGTTTCCGTTACCAGCGGTACCGCCAACTTTGTCCTTTACTAGAGGATTTAGCTGTTGATATTACTTGTGTACTATTATTTTTTTCTTTTATTCGACCCAACCTGTAGTATTCTTTGTTCTGACGTTTATTACCCCGTTCTCTTGTCTTGTGATCTCCCTTTGCGTTGATCTGTTTGTATGTAATGACCTTTAATGACCCAATTGACCTTACTATGAAGAAGCTGTAGCTGTAGACAAGCAGAGAGAGCGCGGTTGTTGTTCTTGGCGCCCGCGTTTCCCCGCGCCACATGCGGCGCACCGCCACAGCGCAAAGCCACGTGGGCGGCGTGAGTCGTCTCGAAGAGCTTTCGTGGATTTGTCTGGACAAACAATCCTCTCCTTAACACTCACCCTCCTCTCCTCCTCCTCCTCCTCCGCTGCTCTCTTCTTCTCGTGCTGTAGTCTAGATATCCTCTTCTTCTTCTTCTCCTCCTCTTCTACCGGAACATGGACGAGCGTGCCGCGGCAAATCTATCCCCAGTCCGGCCCCGTCCTCTTCCCTCCTCCTCCTCCTCCTCCCCCTCGACCACCACCTCGACCTCCCCCGCCGCCCACCGCAAGTCCCTCCACATCCCCGGCTCCAGCGCGAGGACAGCATCCTTCTCCTCCATGCTCTCCTCCTCCTCCCTCTCCACCTCCCAGCCCCACCACCTCCTCTCCTCCTCCTCGACCTCCTCGGCCTCCTTCATCGGCGGATCGGGCCCCATGCAGGCCTTCTCGCTCCCAGCATCCGCCTCTGCCGACGACATCCCGTTCATCTCGCCCGTAGAGGAACCAGTCGACATCTCGAACGAGGGAATTTCAGACCTCCAGATCGACGACGTCGGCCACAGAAAAAGCGGCTCGAGCAGCACCGTCGGCGATGCATTTGCAAATCAGCAGCAGCAGCAGCTCGACGACAGCGCAGACGACTTGTCCCGCACTCTGTACGCGCAGGCAGCTGCTGACGCGGCGGCGGCGAGTCGCGCGCGGAGTAGGAAGGCGTCGAAGTTGCTGGGGCTGTTTAAGGAAAAGAAAGGCGCTGATCAGGTGGTTGAACAGCAGCAGCAGCAGCAGCAGCAGCAGGTTGATGATAGTACGGGTGCCTCGCAAGCGCATCTTGAGAGCGTGGCTTCAGAACTCAAGGCTGTTGTGAAATCAAATTACCCAGTGCCTGGATCTACTTCTACCACTACCGCCTCTTCATCGTCCGAACCCTCAACAACAGCTACAAGCAAAACAGCCCCATCGGCCTCCTCGTCTGCGTCCGCGCCTCAGAGTACCGCTGACGACGTCACCTCGGCTACGTATATCGTTCACCAGCAGCCGAGGCATGATAACAGTGATAGCGAAGCCGCGTCTGAAGACGAGCAGCCTCAGCACCAGCAGCCGATGGCTATCGAGCTCGTTCCTTACAATCACCAGGTATCTCCACTCTTCCAATCAACCCAGAGAATAGCTCACTGACATAGATATTATAGGTCGGAGGTCACACCGCGCTCTTCCGCTTCTCTCACAAAGCAGTCTGCAAAGCGATGGCGCGCCGTGAGAATCTATGGTACGAAGCCGTCGAGGAAAACCACTCTGATCTACTAAAATTCATGCCCAAGTACATCGGCGTGCTCAACGTGCGCCATGTCGTCGACTCTTCCTCTTCAGAGTCGGAGTCCGACGAGCAGCGCGAATTGAGCCAGGACGAGCTCAAGCAGCTCGGCGAGCAACAACCGCACGACGGCCCGTCGTCTCTGAATAAAGACAGTATACTTAATGCTGACACGCCAACAAACGTACGTTCAAGCCCCGTCGTGATCTCGTCCGCGTCAAGACGGAGATACATGCCTGAAGTTCTACTCGACGACAACCGACACATCATCCCCGAATCAATCTACAAAAGATACTCTTCCTCCGCGCCTGAAGACTCTGCAGACTTCATGCCACTCTCCGCCGCCGGCGACGACGACAACGGCGGCACCGACGCCGACAACGAAAGCACCATAAGCCCGATGGCGGCCCACTCCCGCTCAAAGACAGCAAGCTCGCCAATGTCGAGCTGGGGCTCGCCGCCGTCCACGACGGGATCCACGCAAATCAACCGCAAGCTGCAAGAGCAGGTGCTCAAAGAAGTGCTCGGGTTCTCGTCTGTCGCGCAGCAGCGGCAACGAAACTCGCCGGCCTCGTCATACCACAAGAGCAGGCGGCACCGCTCGTCGACCAGTCTTTCGTCGTCGCCGATGCTGGGGCCGTCGGGGCCCGCGGTCAGCGACGGCGAGATCAGCGCCGAGGCGTCGCCTAGAACGGGGCCCGCGAAGGAGTCTGACGTGTTGTTTCCGATCGACGATATCCTCGAGATGCCAGAGCCGGGCGCGATAGCTACGCCTTCGTCTAAAAAGACAAGGTCGTCGTCGACATCCGCCGCGCCGTCTGCGTTTTTGAGCGCGCACGATCTCGACGCAACGGCGGTGTCAACACCACCACCCCGACAGCTCCGCGAGCCGATGAAGAAAAAGAAGAAGCAGAAGAAGAAGAAGACGCGGATCGAGCGATTCTTGCTGCTCGAAGACCTTACAGCGGACATGCAGCGGCCGTGCGTGCTCGACTTGAAGATGGGCACGCGGCAGTACGGCATCGACGCGACACCCGCCAAGCAGGCCTCGCAGACTGCAAAATGCGCGTCAACTACGTCGCGCAAGCTCGGCGTGCGCGTGTGCGGCATGCAGGTCTGGGACGCGTGCGCGGGGGATTATATATACCGGGACAAGTACGACGGGCGGAAGTTGAAGGCCGGCGCGCAGGTGCGGAGCTGTCTGCGGGAGTTTTTGACAGGCGGGTGGTCTCCCGATTCGAGCGCGGCGAGCACGGCGGACGCGGCGGTGTTGCGGCATATTCCGCGGATCCTGCGCAAGCTGAACGAGATCGAGCAGATCATCCGGCGTCTGGTCGGCTACAGATTATACGGCAGCAGCATGCTGCTGATGTACGATGCCGAGAACACGACGCGCAAGATCAACCTGCGGATAATCGACTTTGCGCAGTGCGTAGCGGCGGGGGACTCTGCGCTCGCGAGCGCGAGCTGTCCGCCGCGGTTCCCGGACCTGCCTGATATGGGCTACCTGCGGGGCGTGCGCACGCTCAAGCGGTATTTCTTCCGGATCGGGCGCGAGGCTGCTAGTAGTGTTGGCGCGGACTTTAGAGCGCTTATGGATGAAGGGCGGGGGCCTGCGGGCGAGGTGTATGATTATACGGCGCTGGTTAGGGATATTGGTGCCGGCGAGGACGACGACGACGACGACGAGCAAGACGAGGACGAAGACGGTCTTGTGTCTGTCTAGGCTGGGTGTTTACGTTTTTGCTTATTTTACTGTACTATTAACAAAAGCTAGTATGGTGTTCATAATACCTTGACTTGGTGTTTTGGCTTTCCTTTTGACTTTTACCTTTTTAATAATAGTCTCAGACGTCTGAGCTTTTGGTATATTGTATAATACTCTTTGATTGCCTTACTTTCTTTGTGCTGAGGCGTGCGCTGATGATGACTGGTATTGTTTTATTGGGCTGTATACATTTCACACATGCATTAATTTCTTGTTTTGTCGTCTCGCGCAGACAGAGGGTGAAGTAGAGGATGATGACGTGAGCTATCTTCCCATACCTCGTATATATATAACACATACAATAAACATACATAACAGCTAAAACAAAGCATAATAAACAACAAGCACGACCGCCCCGCCGACGACGGCCTCGCTCGCAGACGGCATCGTCAGGCTGAAGCCGTACTTGCAGTAATACACCGCCCAGCCCAAAAACGCGATCCACGCCGCGTCCCGCTTGCGCGGCGAGCGCATGAGCGCGGGGCCTTCGTCGGGGGTGTATGCTGTTGTTGTTGTTCGTGAGGAGGAGGAGGAGGAGGAGGAGGGAGGGGAGTAGGAAAGAGGATCGTTTGCGATGGCGTCGAGGAAGCATTTCTCGATCGTCGCCGCCATCTTCCCCCTCGAAAACTTCTCGAGCACCATCCCCCTCCCCCGCTCACCCATCTCGCTCAACTCCCTCATCTCCGCCTCAAACAGGATATAATTCAGCACCGGCGCCCAAGTCGTAACCTGCGCGTCGCGCAACCACCCGGTCACGCCGTCGGCGATGGTCTCGAGCGGGCCGCCGGAGGTCGCGGCGAGGACGGGTTTGCGCTCGAGCATGGCTTCGAGAGGGACGATGCCAAAGTGCTCGTTTTCGGGGGTGTACAGGAGTGCGCGGGAGGCGCGCAGGAGGGCGGTGCGGGTTGTGGAGGAGACGGAGGGGAGGAAGATGACGACGCCGGCGCGGGCGGAGGAGGAGGAGGAGGAAGAGAAGGACGCAGATTGCGCGAGCGCGTCCGCGAGTTCAGTGACGTGAGTATCGAGCTCGAAAATCGTGCGGTGCGCGATGGCAAGGTTATCGCACAACCGTTCGAGCTCGGCAAGGTATCCCACGTTCTCTGCCACGGAGAAATCATATCCTCCCGCAATCACCAGCGCGGAGTTTGAAAAGTCTCGATTGGAGCGTAAGGCGGCGTATGCGCGGATGGCGAGGTCGACTGATTTCTTGCGCTCGAAGCGGTTGATTGAGAGGGCGATTTTGCGGCCTGAGGCGGTGAGTACGTTGAAGACTGCTTCGTTGAGCGTCGAGGAGGAAGAGGAGTCAGAGACGCAGGGGTAGACGACGTCGGGGATGCGGTCGATGGAGGGAAATTCGCGCCGGAAAACGCCCTGGGTGAAGCGGGAGTTGACGACGATGATGTCTGCGGCGGCGGTGGAGATCGACTCTGCGGCGTCGAAGGGGATCCGGTAGAGTTTTTTGAGCGCAGAGGTGCGGTGGGCGAGGAGCTTATCGGGGAAGTGGCAGTAGAATAGGATTTTTGTGGATTTCTTTGTGCGTTTGGGTGATGAGGAGGAGGATGAGGAGGAGGATGATGATCTGGATGAGGAAGCGGCGATGGCAGGCCGATCGAGTCCGTACTTGAGCAGCGGCACGCAAAAGCTCAACTGATCCACAAACACCGCATCAAACTCCGCATTCTTCCACCGCAGCAGATAAAAGCACAACACGAGCTGCCTCACGATCGCGCACAGGATCGCGAACCGGCCAAGAACCGTGCGCGGCACGAACCGGTCCCCGCGCACTTGCACGTCCAGCTGGCCGCTCGAGATCTCTTCGAAGCAGTGCGTCCGGTCGCAGCGGGAGGTGTAGATCGTGACGGCGTGGCCGAGGTCTTGCAGGCCGATTGCGGCGTCGACTACCAGTCTCTCGGCGCCACCTGGGGGGGGTAATACGTGTCAGTTGGAGAAGCGGAGAGGGAGAGGAGAGGGGAGAAGAGCATACCGATGCCGAGATCAGGGTGGATGAAGGCGATGCGCATGGGAACTGCAGAGAATCTGATCAATTGCGCGAGAATCAGGCTGATGAAGCAGAAATCTCTTCCTTTCTGTTGTTTTGTTTACAATTTAGACGATGGAGTAAAGTAAAGAAACCTCGCAGCCCCTGAAAAAAACTAACAATTAATTATTAAGAAATTATGTAATGACGCTTATCTGCTTATCTCATCCAGCTTATCTTTATCTCGAACTGCAACAATCTACTTGTTCTCCGCCATCCGCGCCCGCCAGGACAGACAGTCGTCGGCCATGGATTCAAGCAGCGTCTTTCCGGGCACATATCCAAGAACCTCCTTTGCGAGCGAGATGTCGTAGTAGCGTGTCGCGCAGGCGTCGCCGATCTCGGCGGCGGAGACGGCGGGGGTGGTGAAGAGGGCGATGAAGCGGAGGATGCCGGCGACGAGCCAGGAGGGGAGTTTAGTGTAGCTTGTGCTGGTTGATGGTGGTGAGGAGGAGGAGGAGGAGGAGGAAGAGTCGACGGTGCGCCAGATCATTTCCTGTAATTCGCGGAACGGGCGCGGATCGCCGTCGGTGACAAAGAACGCGAGCCTGTTCGCGGTCGCAGAGGCAGAGAGTAAATTGTCGACAGCAAGGACGTGCGCGAGGCCGACGTTGTCTGCAGAGGTAAAGTCGTAGAGGTTCTTGCCTGAGCCGATCGAGATGTTGCGCGGGGAGGTTGCGATTAGCGGGAAGAGGTTTTGGTCGTGCGTGCCGATGACGGCGTGGGTGCGGATCGCGCAGGTGTTGAAGTGCCAGGAGGAAGAGAGGACGAGTTTTTCTGCGTCGGCCTGGTGCTGTTGTTAGTAGATGTAGTGAAAGAAATGAAGACTAGAGAGGAAGACCTTGGTGCGGGCGTAGTCGCCATCCCACTTTGCGGCATCGACAAGGTCCGCCGTATCCTTCTCCGTCGCATTGACAAAGTCCATCCAACTATCCGGCTTCACCGCATCACACGAGCTCGTATACACCACCGCCTTAACATTCCCGCACTTCTCCGCCGCCTCGAGCACGTTCCTCGTCCCCCCGACATTAACCTCCCTAAGCCGCTGCTTCGACATCCGCGCCTTGCCCGCCGCGGACGGGATCACGGCGGCGGAGTGCACGATGACGTCCGGCGCGAGCGAGGCGATGAGCGCCGAGACGGCGGCGGCGTCGGTGATGTCTGCGGTGTGGTATTGCGCGACGTCGACGACGAAGGTGGAGGCGGAGGGAGAGGGGGTCGCGATGTCGAGGATGTGGAGGGTGGGTTTGGAGGCGGCGTAGTGGGCGAACAGGGCTTTGGTGACTGCGTAGCCGACGCAGCCTGTGCCGCCTGTGAGCAGGATTGTCAGAGGCATTGAGAAGATGAATGTATTTGAGAGAAGAGTTGAGAGAAGAGTAGATAAGAATCGCAGATATAGAAGAAAGAACAGAGAAGAGGACTCTTAGAAGAGGACTTCGCGTACGCCCGTCTCAATTCGTCGTATACGCAAGCCACCACCACCTCGAAATGCAATTATCACAACAATTACACCTACAACAACTTCCTACATTTACAGACATAACCAGCTTCACAAACTCCTCCTCATCCGATCAAAAACCACGCCAGCCCAACGCCAGTTGCAACCGTCCCAATCGCCACCGCGGCAGTCATCGCCACGTCCTTCACGCACTCGCCTACTCCGCCTTCTACTCTTGCTCTACTGCGCGCGTTATCTGCCGTCCGGAGTCGTTTCGCGGGTCTATCATTCTCGTCGTCGGGGTCGGGATATGGCTGTGGCCGTTTACCGTCCGGCTCGGACTCGGAGAGATCGTCAGAGTAGCTCGCGCCGTCGCTGTATGAGTACGAGTATTCACTGTCCTCCTCAAACCCTTCGTCCTCGTCCTCGGCCTCGTTTTTGTCGTTTGGTTTTGTCGGGGTTGGATTTGTCGCGGGTGTGCTGTCGACTGCTGCCTTGTGCTTTGTAGTGTTGTGGGGAGTGCAAGTAAAATTCGACGCCGGATCAATTCTCTTGGTCGACGCTGCAGGGGTCTCAGGCACGGCTGCTGTCTCTGCTGCTGAAGAAAGCAGCGCGGACCGTTGTCGCTTGTTGCGGGTGCGTGGCGCACGCGGTCGGATCTGATGCGGTGGTTGTGGGAACGTGTGAGCGATGAAGAGCGGTTCGGTCAGTGTATGTCGATGAGCGCGAGAGGAAGGGAGAGGAGAGGGAGCGGTTGCCGTGCTAGTAGATGATGTTGGATGAGAGAAAGGAGCGATGCTGGTAGTGTGTTGCGGTTGCCGGTACGCCGACGGCTGATACTCGAGGTCGTAAGAGAACGAGGGTGCCTGTTCTTCGTCGAGCGCGGCAAAGATGTCGTCTGAGGAGTTGATGGTGCCGGATGCGTCAAAGTCGGGGCCGGTGAAGGAGTGGTCGAGTGTTGAGGGCGAGAAGGGGTCGAAAAGGTCTGGGGTTGGAAATGAGAAGTTGTTCCGGCTGGTGGTGGTGGTGGTGGTGGTTGGTTTTGTGCTTGTGTGGTTGAGAAGGCGTTGCTCGATGCTGAGTTGCTGCGGAGGCAGGTCGTCGGTGTTGCTGTCACTGTTGCTGTTGCTGCTGCTGTTTCTGCTGCTGCTGCTGTTTCTGCTGCTGCTGCTGTTTCTGCTGCTGCTGCTGTCGACAGGTGCAAAGACCGGGGTCTTGTCCTTGTCCTTTTTAGTTGGCCGCATGGAGTTTTCGTCAAAGTTGATGAAGATTATTTCTTTTTCAACCGCCGTTGCTGCTGCAGATGAAGATGAAGAAGAAGAAGATAGTGACGCCTGAACAGGTGCAGATGATAATGACAATTCAGCCCGAGTATCTGCGTAGACGGCCGTGAGCGGACTGACGGCAGACGACGAGTCCGGCCGCCGGCGCATTTTCTCGAGCATCTCCTGCTGCTGCTGCATGCGGTCCTGCTGCTGCTCGAGAATCGAATGCTGCAGCGTGACCACCCGCTGAAAGTAGTTCTCCTTCTGCTCCGGCGTCAGACTGCGCCCGAACGGGGTGGTCTCGAACAGCTCCGGCAGCAGCTGCGCGGTCGGCAGCTCCTGCGGGATCTGGGCCGACGGCGGCGCCGGCTGCGGGATCTCGTGCAGCGAGTGCAGCTGCGAGGTGCGCCTTGCGAGCCAGGAGGAGTAGTTGTGCAGACTCGAGATGTACTGCCGAGTGTCGTCCATGGCGTAGCTGCTCTTGTTGTCGATGCTCTTCTGCTGTAGCTGCTCTTCCTGCTGCTGCTCTCGATATCAGAGCCGGAGCCCGTCGCAGCAGCAGAGTTCAAGTCACGTGTGTTTAATCCATTCACGGACTAGCGCAAACTCTGATTGCTGCTCATCACCTCGAGCTCGGCCCACGATGAGCGCCGCTGCTTCTCGTCCTCCACACCTTCCTGTTATCTTATCGCGACTTCTTCTCTCCTCTATTATTCTCCGTATAACACTCTAAAACACTCTGAACAACCTATGGCCCTCGCCCTGGACCTCCTCGCCGCTCCCGGCATCGCCCGCAGGTCCGGCGCCGACTCCTCCATCGACTCCAGTCCGCGCTCGGCCCCCTCCCCGCCTCCGCTCAAAGACCTCCTCCGTTTCGAGCCCGCTGCTGATCTTCGCGATGATCCCGCCGCTCTGCTGCCGGCGGACGCTCCTCTGATCGCCTCTGACCCGCCCGTATACGCGCTCTCCGCCGCAATCCTCGCCGTCGCCCTCGATCGCCGCGCCCACGAGCCCTTGCCGTCGCCCGGCCACGTCTTTCCCTGGCTCCACGGCCTCAACCCTTCAAACGCCTACCAGCTCGCCTTCCTCGACCCGTCCGGCGTCCACGCGCATCCGTACACTCCCTCCCGCTTCCGCAACATCACCCTCGTCAAGCTCGGCTCTCTCGGCGCAGCCCGTCTCGTCGGCACCGTCTCCCACCACGAGTTCCTCCCCGACCCCCCCACCCAAGGCTTTCTCTCCCTCGACCCTCCCCACGGCGTCGGCCTCCGCAACTTCCACATCCAAGTCGCAAAGACCGCTACTCTCTCTGATATTGTCGTCTACTCCAAGCGCGGCCTGCCCACCGACGGCCTTGTCGCCCTCGCCAAACGCATCTCCGCAGCGCAGATCCACCACCGCTCACTCGTCCCCACCGCCCCCGTCTGCCGCACCTTCATCGTCTCGGACCCGTTCGAGGTCTTTGAGCGCTTGTATCCGCACCTCGTCGCCGTCTCGTCCTCCGGTAGAACCTACGAGCACGCGCGCGACTTCCTCACCCTCGAGCGTCTCGAGATGAACTCGATGTCGGCCGCCTCTGAGGTCACCCCTAATTTCTACCTTGGCAACGCCCACGACACCCAGCTCGAGATCGACGACGGCGACCTGTTTGACAACCTCGACGACCTCGACGATGATGACGACGAGCGGATGAGCGATGCCTCGGTCTCCAGATGGGATATCTACGTCGAGTGCATGGCCGCCGCCACCATCCCCTCGCCCCTACTCCTCCAGAGCATCGATAAGGAGTACTTTGAACCCGCCCCCTCCGGATTCTGCATTTCCATCAACAGCAACAGATCCAAGCCTGCTGATTCTGCCGATGCCGCATTCACTTCCTCCTCCGCTCCTGCTTCCTCCTCCGTCCTCTCCTCCGTCTCGTCGTCCGGCTCCGCCTCTGCCTCCTCCTCGTCCTCCTCGACCGCCGCCGGCGCAAGCACGACCCTCACCTCCACCGCCACCGCCGTCGCCCACATAGAATTCCCCTCGTCAGGCTCGCTCGCGCTCGGCAACCTCACCGACCGCGACATCGAGGCCATCGTCGACTTTTGCGAATGGCTCTATCGCCACGCGGCGGTCGAGAACCACCGCGTGCTGCTCTACTGCGTCGACGGATACACAGAGACCTCGCTCCTCGGCCTCGCATATCTCATGTACTCGACCGGCTGTACCGCGCCCCAGACATACATCGACCTGCACAAGAAATACAACCGCGCGTTCTTCACCTTCCCCGCCGACCTCGTCCTGCTCAACCACCTGCAGACGCGCCTGCTCCTGCGCTCGCCCGTCGCCAACCCGATCCAGAACGGCGTCATGCCGGATCTGCCAGAGTGGTTCGTCACCATGGACGGCTCGCTTCCGTCAAAGATCTTTCCGCACATGTATCTCGGCAATCTCGGGCACGCAAACAACTACGGTCTGCTGCGCGAGCTCGGTATTAAGCGTGTGCTGAGCGTGGGAGAGTCGATTGATTGGTGCACGATAGAAGGCGACGAGGAGTGCAACGACGCCGACTCGGCAATGTCGGACGAACCGTCGTCATCCACGAAGCCCACCCTGCGACGCAAGTCTGCCCCCGGCGCCATGGAGGACGACGCACACTCCTCGCAGACGTCTCTCGGCGACAACACTTCGCCCTCAAGCACCGACATCACCCACTCGCTCGACGACTCGGCCATCGTCTCCGGCGAGCAAGTTCCAGTCCCGGGCTTCACGAAACTCATGTACGTCGACCAGATCCAAGACGACGGCATCGACTCGCTCTCCAAGTCGATCGAGTCCTGTCTCGCGTTCCTCGACGACGGCTTCCGCGCCGGCGAACCCACGCTCGTGCACTGCCGCGTCGGCGTCTCGCGCTCGGCCACGATCTGCATCGCCGAAGCCATGCGCCGGCGACGAATGTCCCTCCCGCGCGCGTACCTCTTTGTCCGCGCGCGGAGACTGAACGTCATCATCCAGCCGAATCTGAGGTTCATGTACGAGCTCATGAAGTGGGAGGAAGAAGAGGAGGCGGCTAGACTTGGCGGCACCGGCAGGCATAGACGAGAGATGGAGTGGCCTGTCTTGTGCCGCGAGATCGCGGCGATGAATAAAGCATATATAGGATGAATTGTTTTTGTTTGTTTTGTGTTTGTGTTTGTGTTTGTTACTTGAGATTGGTACACGGAGTTTATGGATCCTTCGTTTTTAATTTTGTTTGTTTGTGTTTGTCGTTGAGGTTTGGATATTCATATATCTTATACACATGCCGCGGAGTCCGTTCACGTTCACGTTCTATGTTTTTCTCTATTATTACTTCTATTATTGCTCTTGCTTGCTCTTGCTCTTGCTTCATTAATTTCAGATTTGGCTTTGGTTTATATTCTCTCTCCTGCATCGTTTTCTCATCTCTGCCCTCGTTTGATCCCTCTGATATATCATAATTCGCGTTGTTTTGTATCCTGCTTTGTCTCGCGTTGCTTTCTACTATGATCTTTCTTTAATTGGATTGCTGTACATCATACCTTGTAATGTCTGATGGTGGGTAAGACGGGACGGGATGCCTTTTGTTTCGACACGGTTGATCTGTATCTTGATCGATGATCTAATAAACTCAGTACATGTATACTTTTCTCCTCTTCCTTTCCTTTTTCTTTCATCTTTCTGGAAAGTTTGCGGATTTGCATTTCTTCCTGATCTCATTCGTTTTCTGTAATAATAGTTCCATCCTACAATACTAACCGACTGACTCAAGCTCACCACATACTTTTACTTTCTAACTTACAACAAAGTAAAAAATCTACATGAATAGCATATATCAGCGCTTCTATTTGAATTTCTTTTTTTTTGTTCTAAAGCCTGCGTAATAACTACATAAAAGAGAGAGAAAAAAACGTGAATAAAGATGGGATAACTATGTAGGATCATAAGACAAGCACGAGTCAAGACACATACAAACACACAAAACACACACACAAACAAGCAAACGATAGTCTTTGGCATTCAAAACAACAACAAAACAAAAAAAAACAGAAAAGACGACAACTCCCCCTTCAAATCAATGAGACGATGAAATACTGCAACTTTATCAAAATTAAGAAAACAAGGACGGCGCGAAATGGAAACGGAAAACAGGGACGGATGTGGGAATGGATGGTGGTGATGGGTTATTTACAGGGCGTTTTTCCGCGTTAGATAGTCGACTGGAGAATGTTAGTCAAGAGTATACTGACAAGAGTAGATAGAAAAGAGGGACACGTACATCTCGAATAAGTATAACCAATAAACGGCATACTCTCCTTCGACAGCTCAGTCTCCTCACTATTATTCGTCGCCGCCGCCACCGCCTCGTTCGCAGCACTGATCTCGGGCGCGTCCGGGATATTCTCGAGATCCTCGGTCGGGAAATAACTCGTGTCGGTGATCGAGCTCAGTTTCGGGATAAACGGCGCGTTGAACTCGCGGATCGAGTCCCAGTCCACGCCGTCAAAGAACGGGTGGGCTTTGATCTCGTCCGCGCCGCCGCGGCCGAGCCGGTTCTCGGCGCTCGTGAGTAGTCGGCGGATAAGATCTTCGGCTTCGTGCGACAGGTGGATTTCTTCGGGGAAATAGAGCGTCTCTGGCCACGCGAGAATCTTGCGGTAGGTATCCGTCGGGGTCTCGGAGCAGAACGGCGGCCAGCCTATTAGACACTCAAACATGATTGCTCCCAGTGACCACCAGTCGCACTCTTGTCCGTAGCCCTGGTGGATGAAGATCTCGGGCGCGATGTAGTCCGGCGTGCCGACGGTGGAGTACGCCATCAACCGACGCGACTTGCGCCAGGTTTGGATCTGCGACCGGTTCGAAATCGTCAGGTGGATCGCGTCGACCATGACCGAGTTCCGCGGCGGACCTGTCGATGGGTTCTTTTCGAGCAAGTTCTTGTAGTAGTTGCTATCGTGCGTCTTGTGGAACCCGGTCGAGAGACCAAAGTCGGAGAGCTTGATGTGGCCGTCTTTGTCGATCAGGATGTTGTCGGGCTTGATGTCGCGGTGGATGAAGCCGAGCTTGTGGATGGCTTCGATGGCGAGTACGCATTCGGCCATGTAGAACCGCGTGATGTCTTCTGAGAACGTGTCGTACTTGATCAGCATCGTCATTAGATCGCCACCGGGCAAAAACTCCATAATCAGGTACAAGTAATGCGCGTCCTGGAACGAGTAGTAAAGCGAGACCACCCACGGCGAATCACTACCGGCCAACACATCGCGCTCGGCTTTGACATGCGCGAGCTGGTCTTTCTTAAACATCTCAGACTTGAGCAACGTCTTCATCGCGTAGATCTTGCCCGTGTCCTTCTTCTGCACGAGCCGCACTTCACCGAACGCGCCCTTGCCAATCACCTTGACGGTGTGGAAGTCGTCGAGCGCGAGACGCGTCCGGCGCAGGCGCAGGAAAGTAGACTCTTTCTTGCCTAGGTTCTGCAGTTGTCTGTGTTTGCGTTCTTCGGAGCCTCGTTCGTTGGCGAGACGGCTTTCGAGCTCGACGCGTCTAGAATCACGGGGTTAGTGTCAAGGTTGGGTGGAATGAAGGTGGAATCGAAAAGGCAGAAAAATAGCGCAAGATCATTCAATTGAATAATGCTACATAAGATGATCAAAGAGCAAAGAGAAGCGACATACCGCTGATTCCGCTCGACAGCGTGACTGACATTGAGCTGGTAAAAGTTCTCGAGTTTCATCTTTGCCGCGGCCGCGCGTTCGAGCGTGATCTTTGGCAGCGACTCGGCGTTGCGCTCAAACATGACGTAGTCCGAGTTCCCGTTGAGATTGCTGTTGCTCCCGTTTGAGATCCCGACCGAGATCGGGGCCATGGTCGTCGTCGTCGTGTTGGCGGAGGTCGAGCGCGGAGGCGGGAACTGCGTGAGCGAAGTCGGCTGCTGTTGTTGCTGTTGCTGCTGCTGCTGCTGTGGCTGCTGCTGTTGCTGAAATCTCGTCTGTGGCTGCTGCTGCTGCTGCTGTTGAGCTCTTGGCTGCTGCTGGAACTGCTGCTGGTAGTGGAGCTGCTGGTTCTGATGCATCTGTTGCTGCTGGAGATACATCTGGTACTGCTGCTGCTGGAGCTGCTGTTGCTGGAGCTGCTGTTGCTGGAGCTGCTGCTGGTACGCCGCCTGCTGCTGCTGCTGCTTTGAGTTTGAGAAGAAGTTCATGCTCCCGAATGCATGCGAAGGAGGAGAACTGATGAGGGAAAGGAGGAGGAATGCGAGGAAAGAGAAGGCAGAAGCGAGGAAGGCGCGACGGGCAAGGGGCTCTGGCCAAAGAAGGTTTCTCGCCAAACTCTGTTTTTATGGACGCCCACAGGGTCCAGTTGAGTCGCGTCTTTGTTTACCTTCTCTGCTTGTTACTATTACTCTACTATTACTCTGCTATTTACTACGATCTTCTCTAGATCTTCTGCTAATTGCAATGTGATGATATTTGCAATGTAATGTAGTGTTAGATATAAACTCATCTACCTCTATCGCCTGCTCCCCTCCCGCTCACTCTGCTCACTGCTGTGCACCCGATTCCGCCCATATCCCCCATATCCTCCTCCTCCTCCCCGTGTCCGGTGCGGTTTCTCGCCCGCTGCCGCCGCCGCCGCTGACGCCTGCATCTTCTCCGCTCCTTCCTTCAGACTCTCCGCGTGCACCTTGTACTCAAACGTCACGTTATTAGTCCCGAGCACGTTGCGCATCATGTCCCGGATCTTGAGGTTCACGCTTCCGTTGCTGCCCTGCCGGTTCCAGAGCGAGATGATGTCGGCCTCTCGTCGGATACTGATCACTGCACCGACGATCTCCTCGTCGAGTTGGTCGCCAAAGCCGCCGCCGACTATCGCCAGCAGCAGTGATTCCCAGGCTGCCGTGCCCATGCCTTTGCGTAACTTGAGAAGCCATTTGCCGCCGTGCACGTTCATCGGGTCTTCCCATATTGGTCGGACGCCGGTTTTGAAGATATGGTATTCTGAAGTGTAGGGTAGGGATGAGGGTCGGATAAGGTATGAGTATAGTCGCCAGAAATCTTCTACCTATAGTCACAACATAAGTTAGATAACAACCTTCTTCTCAATGCCTATGTAAACCAACTCAAGAAGAAATTCGTACTGTTGAGAATGAGGAGATCTCCTTTGTAGCTTTTTCATAGTCTGAGATCTTGACGCCCGGCGCTCGGTGCAAGAACCATAGCGTCCAGCTGTACTTTAGTGGATGCTGCTCCTCCCCTAGCTCCTGTGGTTGATTAGACAGCAGCGCTTCTTCGAGTTGTAGGTTGATAGAATTCAGCAGTTCCTCAGAGTCATCCTGGTCAAATATAGTCAGTTGAACCTGTGGATCATCTCGGTTTTTAATGTATGGTAGATGTACCTTCTCGTCTTCTGCTAGAGCACCGCTGCCGATAGTGCGGGTAGCCGCCGGTGAGGCCCGCGCAGGGGTTCCAATAGGACTGTTGTCGAGTGATAATAGAGATGTCGGGGTTGTTATCGTCGGCGAGAGGCCGAACTGCATCGAGGCTGGGAGAGAGGGCTGCGAGGAGAGGATTGAGTTGGCACCTGGCTGTCGTTAGCTTCTAGGTTTTCCTGGTCTGCTTAATTGTAATTAACAGAGATAGTGTACCACTAGTATTAGTAGATCGTTAGCATCCTGCACTTTTCTGTAATTATCAAAAGTATGGAGAAGTAGTTTGATCACGAGCAATCGATGATAAACCACCAACCAGCACAGCACTTACTTTGTCCGGCGACCCCAGATACTAGAGCTAGGTTCCATGGTAACAAACGAATGTGAATCTGCAAGTGTAATAGAAGATAATGCGAGAGAGAAACCCAAGATATCCGAACAAAGGCCTTCAACTGGTAAAATTTGGGGAAAAAAATTTCCAAATTGACGAGTGCGGCTTTGAGAAAATAAAAATAAAAATTAAAAAAAAATATAAAAACGAGGCCGCGCTCTTCTCTTCCTCTTCTTCTTCTTCTCTCTATGACCATGTCTCCAGACTATTTCATAACAACAATGCCGGTTATCTGATATTCTACATAGTATCCGGCAGCATCCTACTCTGGAGAGAAGTCTTTCTAAACTTCTTCGTCAAAGATTGACCTAATGCGACCTTAAAACCATCGCTCAACAGGCGCCGCTTCGTGCTGGCTGACCCATGACTGTGTGATGACCTTAGGAATTCGATACATATCTTACAACCCAGTGCCTTGTAGAACTTCTCGGTCAAAGGTACTTGTCTTCTTCTCTCTTTCTTCCTTTGTCTATCGCTCGTCGCAGACTCGGTAGCGGCCGCTGGACTGAACCGCGATGAACAGCTTCAAGCTCTGGTAATCTGAACACCTTTCTTCGCCTTGGTCTGCCCTGCTGTCTGCTCTCTGTCGAATATCGATCATTCTCGGCTGGCTTTTCCGAAAGAGACCGAGTTTTTACCATCTTTCTGTCGTATTAACAGACTCTTCGGATCGCGGATCGTGATTTATCACTTCCGCCCACCGAGCATGTTCGAGCAAACGACGAGAGACAGCGGGCTCGGCGTTGATCCATTCAGAAGAAAGATTGAAGAAAATCATAAAGGCAAACTATTTCTCTGAGTCTCAATCAACTTCTTTGCTGCCGTAGTTTTCCGATCCGAGCTGGACGTTGGTTTTCGTCGGACGTACTCGTTTGCTAACAAGAACCTCTTTACGTACCGCGTTTAGGAAGATCAAAGCTCTTGTTTACAACTGCTCTATCCCTCTAATACACTATCCATTTTCTCATCACAATCATAAACAGATAACGTAGACGACAGATAAGTCGTGTTTGTTCATAAAATTGCGAATTCGCCAAAGTTCTTTTTAAGTTTTTCTGTTGTCAAAAATCTCAAATTTCTCTTTTATCCGCAAACGTAAATCCTTTCCGCGTAAGAACTCGGTTTTCTGATATTCCTCTTCTTCTTCTTTGGATCTTCTTTAACCTGCCCGGGGACGACGACGGATCATTCATACTGCGTCCTGCATTACACACCGAAAGAAACATCCAGATTGACACTAATCGAGTATGACTACAATTGTCGAGAAAATCGCCTCGCTCGGGGCCGATGAGCCATTCTTCTCCTTCGAGTTCTTCCCGCCAAAGACCGATTCTGTAGGTCTTTTCCTCTATCTACCTTGATAACCTATTCTAGAACGCTAACACATCTCTCTTCTTCTCTCAACAGGGTCTGCAGAATCTCATCGCCCGTATTCGGCGTATGGCTCAGCTCAACCCGCTCTTCGTCAACATCACCTGGGGAGCCGGCGGCAGCACTTCCACCAAATCCCTCGATCTCGCGACCCTCTGCCACTCGGAGCTTAACCTGACCACATGCCTGCACCTGACATGCACAAACATGGCGAAATCAGTCATCGACGAGGCCCTCGCCAACGCCAAAAAGGCCGGCATCCGCAACATCCTCGCGCTCCGAGGCGACCCGCCCCGCGGCGACGAGTACTGGACTCCCTCGGCTGACTCGCAGGAATTTCTGCACGCCGTCGACCTGGTTAAATATATCCGCAAGTCATACGGCGACTACTTCTGCATCGGCGTCGCGGCTTATCCCGAAGGCTATGCCGACGGCTCCAACCCAGAGGCCCAGGACCCGCTCATCGATCTGCCCTACCTTGCCGAGAAAACCGCTGCCGGGGCCGATTTCATCATGACCCAATTGTTCTTCGACACCGACCAACTCCTCAAATTCGAAAAAATGGTCCGATCACACGAGTCTGGCGTGTTCAAGTCGATCCCAATCATTCCCGGCTTGCTCCCAATCAACACCTACCAGACCTTCATCCGCACCGCCAAACTGAGCCACGCGCACATCCCAGAGACAATCTTCGAGCGACTGAATGCGATCCCGAACGCCGACGACGAGCAAGTCAAGCAGGTCGGCGTCGAAGTCCTCGTCGACATGATCAAGCGGATATACACCGAGACCGAGCATCGCGTGCGCGGCTTCCATTTCTACACTCTCAACCTCGAGCGCACAACGGCGATGATTCTCGAAAAGAGCGACGTCGTGCATGCGGCTACTCAATCTACGGCCGCAAAGACCGTCGTTCCCCCGGCCGTCGCGGCTGTGCCTTCACAATCTATAGAGTCGGTCATCTCAGAAGTCAAGGACTTGAAGATCGCCGACAGCGCAGCGGTGACCTCTGAGGCGTCTTGGGATGACTTTCCTAACGGTCGATGGGGTGATCCTCGTTCGCCTGGTAAGTTCTTTTTCTTAATTTCCTGCAGACGCAATACACTGACACTTTATACTAGCATATGGTGAAATCGACGGATATGGTCTCACTCTCCACGTCCCGGCCAATAAGGCTCTCGAACTATGGGGCCAGCCCAAGTCGACCGACGATATCTCCGAGCTTTTTGTCAAATACCTAAAGGGAACTCTTCCCGTTCTCCCCTGGTCAGAAGAAGAAGGCCTAAGCGCCGAGACAAAGCTGATTGAGAGCGAACTCATCCGGCTCAACAAACTCGGCTACTGGACCGTTGCCTCGCAGCCCTCCATCAACGGTATCCGTTCCGACGACCCCGTTTTCGGATGGGGTCCTCCTCACGGCTACGTCTTCCAAAAAGCTCTGATCGAGTTCTTCGTCCCCGAGCAAAACTGGCTCACTCTCAAGCGCCGTCTGCAGACCACCGGCGGCGACTCGGTCTCATACTACGCCTGCAACGCCAAAGGCGATTTCCTCTCCAACATGTCTGCCTCGGACGTGAACGCCGTCACGTGGGGTGTCTTCCCCAACCGGGAAGTCGTCCAGCCTACAATCATCGAAGAGCAGTCGTTCCGCGCATGGAGCGAAGAGGCGTTTGGAATCTGGAAGGAGTGGCAGCGGCTGTACCCCAAGAGCTCGCCAGCTTGGGATTTGCTGGACCAGATCCATGGGTCTTATTTCTTGGTGTCGATCGTGCATCATGATTATGTTAACGATAAGTCTTTGTGGGATTTCTTGTTGCAATAGATGACTTCAACGGCATGCTATTGACTGTCTTCTCTATCACAGCTTCTTTTTTATTTCTCCACCTGTACAATAACGGAAAACAGAAAAAAAGGTGACATTTTTTGTTATTATAGATAGGACGAATGTGAATGATTACTATACTATTTATTAAAAAGCCAGTGTAGTTTCGTACTCTGGACTACTACTTTTTTTATATATCTACAGGAGTTCAGTATCTCGTGAATCCACACAAAGTCTAAGAATAACGCCAGGAAAACTAAGAAAAGAATAAAACACAAATATCCAATAGCTGACAGATGCAAAGGGGAGGTAATCAATGATGAAGAGCAATTAAAATCCCCCGAAATGGAAACTTCCTCCGCCACCACCTTGAGCTCTTCCTTGCTTGTAAAACCGCTGCTGGCCACCTCTAGCTCCACCTCCACCAAAACCAGCGCCGCCGCCGCCGCTGAATCCTCTACCGAACGGATGCTGCTGGAAGGGCGAGCCACGTCCGCCATTAGGAACGCTGTGATCATTTGGATCGTCGCCGTTATCAAACCGTTCGCGCAGCTCAGGGTTGGAAAGGACTTCATAAGCTTCGTTAATCTCCGCCATTTTCTTCTCAACTTGGTCCGGCTTGAGATCGCCTCTGTACTTGTCTGGGTGGAACTCTTTCGTCTTGTTTCTATACGCCTTGCGGATTTCCTTCTCGTCTGCAGTGTGTGAAACGCCGAGGACTTTGTAGTAATCTTTTGAGTTTGCGCGCTTGAGCAATGCCTCTGCTTTCTGCAGCATCTCGTTCACGCGCTGGTTATTGCCACCGGTGATTTGTCGCGCCTTGCTCAAGATCTCGATAGCGGGTTGGAATTCGTCGTTGCTCAAGTGCTTCTTTGCCGTGTAAATCATCGCGATGATGTTTTCAGAGTCGTGCGCTAATGTCGTCTGGCAGTAGTCTGTCTTCCAATGCGAGAGCTCTAGCGACGTCTCGCACAATCCCTCAACGATATCGAGGTACAGCTTTCCAGCCACGGTCTCCGGGATCCCTTCCTCTTTTCTAGCCTCATCGACAAGCTCCTTCACAGTCTTTAGCAAAGCTGGCTTCTCGCTCGTTCCAAGCGCAGCCGCCTTCTCAAACGTTCCCCACATGCGCTTTTCTCTGAACTGAAACGCCTTGGTGAGCTCCTTGTCGAGTTTCTTATACGACCTGAACATGGCTTTACACGACTTTGAGTCCGGATCGTAATGCAAGCACTTTGCCAGCTGCTGGATCGCCCGCTCGCGCTCGTTGAGATACAGAAACTGCAGCCGCGCGATACGGTAATGAGGCTCGCTCGAAAGCGGGCTCATGTTTGCCAGATGACTTAGATCGGCCGACGCTTCGAGCGCGAGTCCCTTCTTAATCCTGCAGTCTGCTCGGATCGACCGAAGTGCCATTGACGACGACGCAAACTCAATTGCGGTAGACGCCTGCTCGATGCACTCGTCGACCTTACCGCTATCATGAGCTTTCTTCGCCGCCGCGTACGCTTTCTTTGCCTGCGTCGCATGCTCGATGTTGTCTTTTTGCGGCGGATGAGAGACCTGTTTGAGATCAGCCAGCGCGTCGTCAAAATCCCCGAGCTTTAATCTCAACCGTCCGCGCTGGACGAGGGCCGAGTCGAAATCGGGCTTCATCCCGAGAACGAGATCAAAGTCCTGGAGCGCATTCTGCAGCTTTCCAATCGAGAGGTACGTCGCGCCCCGTTTGAACACACTCAGATAGTTTTGCGGATCCGCCTTCACGGCCGCATCGTAGAACTGCAGCGCCTCTGAAAACGCTCCGCGCGTCAGAAGCGCGTCCGCACGAGCGAGGTAGGCTGTCGGCGTAAGGTCAGGCGGGACAGTCTCGAGGGCGAGTAAAGGCCACGCCGTGATCAGCAGGAAGCTAAGCACGAAGTTGAACAGCATGCTGCGGTCAATTCCCGAGGCTTCTTTCTCACTCTTTTAGCTCGTGGGTCTATGAATGCCTGTTCCTGTTCTCTTGCGGCCGGGACGAGGATTGAAGAGGTCGTCGTTGGGGGTTTATCAGATTTGCGACAAGCTGAGCTGGCCTCATCGCCAAACATTGAAACCTTAACTTCCCGACCGTTGTCGTGAACCTGACCGCCTTTGGCATCCGCCGCCACCATTACTGGAATGGTTGGAGATTAGAGTATTTGTGACGAGGATTTATTAGGCATAAGCTCATTTAAGCAGGAAACTAGAACGTATTCTTAGTTATTTCGCCAGATCTGCGCGTATGTACTATCAGCACCACTATAGTGTATGTAAAAAGACTGTCAGCAGTTCTATTATTTTGGATCCCTACGCGCAGCTTGCGTGCAACAACAAACGCGTCGCCGTTCCAAGTAATTCAAATATCTTCTCCTCAGCTCTGTCCAGCTTCGACCTTCTCACTCGTCTTTCCTTCAACGCCCATAACGTGCTCCGGAGAACCTGTGAATACTTTTGAAGTGTTGCTGCTGTTTTCTAGCTGCAGTCCTATCACTCGGTGGTTCGGGCAGAGCGGCCTATCCACCCAGTGTAGCAAAGCGGCCTAGCTCTCTTCTCTCTGTGTTTAATAATCCTGTTCTCGTCACTCTTCCTCCTCACCAGCCAACCTTTGATCTGAGCCGAGTATGCTTCTATCTCCCGCTGTTGCGGCCTCTGTTTCCTCATCGGCTCCGCAGCTGTCGGCAGCAGCTCGACGCCGCCACCGTCGACACGCGCTCTCGAAGCGCGGCGCGCTATCCCCCGACAGATTCATTCCTTCCTCGTCGTCTTTCTCCCTCTTCCACGTTGACAGTCCGCCAAACCCTGTATCTCCCTCTTCCAGACGCCAGCCCCCGCCCAGACCTACCTCACATTCCGCTAGCGCGTCCCCAGCTGCGCGCGCAGGCGCCACGGACACGAACCAGATCATCGCCAACGCGCTCGGTATCGGTGCACACGAGCGAAGCTACACCGCCACCGGCCTGCCGAGTCCGCAGACGACCGGTCCCGCGCGCGTGCTACAGTTCCAGCAGCGCCATTATTTTGCGCACGACCGAGACGAAGAAGAGCAGCGGAATGCTGCGATCGCGCGGTTTGCTCATGAAGGGCATGATAGAGTTGTTGGATTGGGCGAGCTCTCGCTTGTTATGGAGGCTGCGTCGGCGAGGCCTGCGCGTGAGAGCAGAGGAAATGGGAACGGTGCGCGGACGGCGTATCCAAAGAAAAAGACCTTGAAGCGCGTGTTGAGTTATGCGCCATTTCGGTAAGTACACGCTGCTGTGAGATTTCAGTGGTATGATTTGAACTGACCGAGATATTTGCAGCGTACTGGATGCGCCAGGCCTACGGGACGATTTTTATACTAATCTCTTGTCATGGTCTTCGACGACGGACGACCTTGTCGTCGGGCTGAATCATGAGGTATATATCTGGACCGAGGCATCTGGCGCGGTTTTGCTTCCTGAGTGGGGTACTTCTCCCGTAGCCTGCGTCAGCTTTGCGCCTGACGGGACCACCCTTGCGATCGGACGTATGGATGGAGTGATCTCGTGCTGGGGTAAGACCAGGACGAGTGTTCGAGAGGAATATTTCCATACCATCGGCTTCTGCTGTATCACATGGCGTCCGATGCCCGAAGGATCTAAAGTGATGGAGTTCTACGCCGGAGACGAGGCGGGTGCGATCTTACGCTTTAAAGTGTACAAAGACGAAATTGATCGCGTGTCTGCGCCTACACAGATTGCGATGGAGATGACGGGCATGACGAAGGGTCACAGTCAGCAGATTTGCGGTTTGTTTTAATCTGGTTCCCCCTGTTGTTCGTATAGACGAGGCGCTAACTGGATCTGCCCTGCTCTGCGTTTGTGTTTTATAGGCATTGAATTTAATTCTGATGGTACTCAGATGGCAGTCGGAGCTAACGACAATACGTGCACGATATGGGACGTTGGTGAAAACGGTCCGGCTGAATACCCGCGGTATAGATGGGATCACCGAGCGGCCGTCAAAGCACTCGCGTACTGCCCATGGTCTTCATCTTTGTTGGCGACAGGTACACCGGATACACACAACTCTTGACAATAGCCCTTTACATTTGTCAAAACTCTTTTTGAAATCGTTATTGCTGTTTACTGACTTTTCTTGCGCTTTTGCGCGCGTCGTATCAATTTAGGAGGCGGAAGCAACGATCGCACCATCAGATTCTGGCACACAAATTCAGGCTCCCTGATCAACTCATTCAACACAAACGCCCAGGTGACCTCCCTAGTCTGGTCCCGCACCAGCCGCGAGATCGCAGCAACCTTTGGCTACGCGAATCCCGAGCACCCCATCCGAATGGCAATCTACTCGTATCCCGACTGCCGCCCGATCATCCAGATCCCGTGGCAAGAAGACATACGTTGTCTGTACGCTGTTCTTTCGCCCGGAGGCGGGAAAGTGTGCACGGCTGCGAGCGACGAGACCGTTCGGTTTTATGATTTCTGGGATGAGAAATGTGAGACCCGGGTCTCGACGTGGGACGACGGGATCTTTGGAAGCGATATTCTGGAGCTTTGCGAGGGGATTGAAAAGAAACCCTCTGAAGTGATTCGATAGAGAGCCGTTGCTTCATTTTTTGCGTTTATACAAAATTGGTCCACTGCCTGTGCTCTCGACCGTCAGAGAGCACAAAGGAGTTTGTTTTATTAACCGTACAAGCCTTTTTCCTTGTCTATTTTTTCTCTTTCCATGTTTTGCTGCAGCTACCGAACTCGCCCGGTTTTGCTTCTTCTTCTGACCTCCTTGTTGTTTGATTCTTCTCTGTTAGCTGTCTTGCTGTGCTTGGTGGTCAGAATGGCTAATTCTCTTTTGATTACGATTATTAATATACCACTATTATAAAATTATACTGAGACCGTCGGGTAGTCATAGAAGTCTGCTGCGTAGAGCACTTGGATGAATGCAGAGAGATTTAATTCGAAATGATGCCATTGCCGCGTATAATACAATATACCAACTCTATATACACAAACCACCATATACCTCCGTCTATGTACACCCTACTTCTTCCAAAACTGGTACCAGCTCTTCCCACCCTGCTGCTGCTGCTGCGGCACCCCCTCACTCTGACCCAACCCCGTGCTCTGTCCCGCCTCGCCGGTAATCCGCAGCGCGGTCGCCAACGCGCGCTCCTCGTTCTCCAATCTAATCCGCTCAGCTTCCAAAAGATGAGACCGACGCGGCCGCTCGAGCGCCCAGTCTGAGTTGTTGAGGTCTGAGGTGTTGACGGTCACAGGATCGATGACGCGGTCGGTCTGGCCGCGGTGACGGACGTGAAGGAGATCTTCTTCTTGTTCTTTCGAAAGGCGGAAGCCGAGGGCTTTTCGTACTCGGAGTTGGAGGCGATAGGGCTGGTAGTAGTCGTTAGTGGCTGTCAAATTGACGAAAGAGCAGTAAGAAAATGGGCTGTCTTACTCCGGTGAAGACATTACTGTATCCATCGTTCCAGCGATAGAAGAACGTGCCAAAGAAAATGATACCTAAAAATCACCAAGACGTCAGAACCTCAACCAAACCGTCACATCAAAAAACCACCAACAAGATAACTAACCACCACACAGAAGCAAACTAGCATAATGCGTCCCGCTCAGAAACCCACTTCCTTTCCTCGACTTCCTCAGTACTTTCAACCGCCCATAATACAGATCGCTAGGCGGCGCACTTCCCGGAAACGCATTCATCCGCATCCGGTTAATAAACATTCTGTAATTCGGATTCTCGCCCGCCTGCACCCGCCAATTCTTCGCGATCGGCTCGTTGTATTCTGAGGGATAGCCCTCCGCCGGCCGCTGGTCGGTCGGATCGTAGGGATCGTATGGCGCGACCGGCGGCCGCCAGCCGCGCGGGTTCGGACGCCGTTCTCGTGTTTCGTCAGCCATGCTCTTTGTTCTCTTCGGTCTGGCCGCTGTTCTGGTGGCTTGAGCGGGCAATTGGCAGACAAGATGACGACGATGTCGGCGATGCGTGTAGCTATCGGGACTTTTACAAAATTGCTTCGACTTAAGCCTCACGCTCTGATTACTAACATCTTACATGTCTTTTATACCAAGAATGGCAATTCTACAGAGTGTACATATCAGAGCGATTAGCTATTATCTATTATGATTGGGTCGGATAGTTAGATATGACATCTATTAGTGTAAAAAAAGACGCCACAAGTAAACATGAATGTACAAAGGTCGTCCACATGCAAATGCAGAACTAAAAACATAGTCTCCCACGCAATACAGAGCCTTTTGCAAAGCATCTTGTAAAAAATATACAAATCAAGATTTTCACACAATCCCACAATTGAAGTGCATCCACAGCGACACCAGCAAGCGCTACTGCTTCAACATTTTCCACAAAAGCGCACTCCCAACAAGAAAGAAATTACGTCGGAAGCGATATTTGAGAACAGCCTACAGCAGACCACACTCAAACGCACAAGTCCCGTGGTAAATCTTCCCGTTCGAATGCTTGATCGCGTTCATCCACACCCAATCCTCCGCTTTTTCATTCCACACGCTCTTGAATTTTTCCATACAGATCGGACACGGCGTGTTCACCACCGAAGCTTCTTTGGGCGTCAGTATATACTTTTGCGACACCTCCTGCATCTTCTTCGCCCGCTCCGCACCACCGCCTGTTTTCGATGACTCGCCGTCTCCATCTTGCATGCCGTTCGGGCCATTTTTATCGTAATCGTTGACGTCGTCAAGATTGACGTCGGCGTCCGCGTCTGCCGACTGAATCCATGCTTCCTCGCCCAGATACCAGCTTCGACTTTGCCCTCGACTATCGTCGCGCAGGCGTTTGTTCACGCGGAAATGCCAGTCCAGATGGGCGTCTCGAATCTTGCGATCGCGTTCTGTGTCTGCGAAGCGGCGGCCACATGTGCCGCAGAGAAGTGGAAGGGAGTCGTACAATAAAAATACAAAGTCCGGACGGGGCCTATAGTTCGATTAGCTACTTGTTCTGAGATTTAATGAAAAATAGATCACCTACTTTTGAATGAACTTATTAGAAAGCTCGACATCTGGCCCCATAATCTTCTCCAACATTCTGTTCTGCCTCGCCGGTGCTGCAGGCGCATTGATCAGTCCAGCACTCATAAGAGACGCGAAAAGGGCAGCCGCGTCATTAGCAGAAGCCTGCTGAGGCTGCTGCTGAATCGGCAAGCCAAAACCAGGAATTCCAGCCAAGGCCGCAGTCAACGCGTTCGCATTGGACGCATACTGCTGTTGTGGTTGAGGTTGCTGGGGTACCGAAGCCAACAACTGCGCGAGCAGGTCAGGCTGGAGTGCACCCAAATTCAACTGGTTGACTGGCTGTTGCTGGGGTAGAAGAGGCACTGAAGCTGGTGTGGGTGCTGTCCACATAGGAGTCTGCCGCTTGGCGGGAGGAGGGGCGGCGTCTGCGGCCATAGCAGCTTTCCGCTTGTTTTTGTTTCGTCGAAGATCCTCCGCTAGCACGTTAAGCTCGTCCTTGATTGTCTGCAACTGGTTCTGTGGCAGATCGGACGACGACACGATCTGAAATAGTTGCGTGAGAGCAGATAGCTGGGTTCCTGCATCCACATCGCCGGGGTTGTCTTGTATTTTCTCCCGCGTGAGCTCGATTAGTGTGCTCAGTTCTGCGGTCAAGCTCGCTTTTGTGACTGGTGCAGCGGCAGCAGGCTTATTCTCGACATAACCTTGATAACCATTCCCTGACTCGGGCGCCTGAGCATATGCAGAGTATCCACTACCTGCCGAAGCCGGGGCAGCCGTCACCGACGGATACCCTCTGGCTGCGTCTGGGACCGCGTACGCCGGGCGAGCGTGTTGCGTCGGAGGCGTAGACCGAAAAGGCGGCACGTAATTCTGCTGGATCTCCAACACCGCTGACCGGGCCTTATTCAGGTAATTTTCAATCCTGCGCAAGGGCTCGTTCGGGAAAAGAGGCTGTCCAGTACTCGGTACCGGCTGTTTCCATGTTTGGAAGAGTTCATGCATTTTCTTGCGGATCGCATCATTGACGAGCGTGTAAGCATCCGTGAAGGTACGGTAGAGATTCCGGCCAAACAGGGTGGTGTATGGACTACCGATATTCTTGCAGATGGAGTCTAGCAGATAGAGCACCGGTAGTTTATGGCCTGGAGCGCACTTTAGTTCGCAAAAAAAGAATAAGTTAGTAAATGAAAGAAGAGCAACTTCATATGTCAAATATATCTGCTTTTTCTCTGTTCTTTTCTTTTTCTTCTTGTCTTTCTTTTCTTTCTTTTCTTTCCTTTCTTTCTTTTCTTTCCTTTCTTTCTTTTCTTTCTCTTTTGGCTTCATTGTCTACTTCTCTTTTCTTTTCCATCTTGACTTCTCAATACCCTTTCCATTCCTTCACTCGTCCAATCCTTCATACAGTCAAAAGTTCCCTTCTAATCTTCACCATTCCATAGATTTGGCAACACATACGTATGAAAAGTCTACAAATAACTATTGTCGTCTTCTCAGACATTACATTACACTGAAGGTAAAGGCGAGAGAAGAACAAGAAGAGAGAGGGAGGGGGGAGAGGCTACTTAATTCACAAAGGAAAAAGTCTTTTTTCATGAAAATAAGAAAAAAAGACGCGAATAATATGGTGCAGTTTAGAACTTTACCACTGAGACTCTTCAGAGAGGAAACGACAAGAGAACTCAGACCATCTCAAAAGAAAACAAAGAACAACAGAGCTCAAAAGCACAATAAGGGAGAAAACTTACTTTGCCAATATGATCTTCGATCGTCCGAGATATAACCTCAGCCGCTTGCATGTTCTCCTGAGCGATGATCGTAAGGTTGGAGATGATTGGTTTCGAGTTGAAAGTGAGTTCTTCCAGCGAAGTCGCGTATTCCTGTCGGATATCCTCCAGTTCTTCTTGCATTGATGCTGAAACCATGATTAATCAATAGAAGTAAGCCGAAGCAGAGAAAGCAAATATTATGAGCACAAGCAACGCCGATACAATATACACAAAATAAAAGATTAAATTTAGTTCCGAAAGTATTTAACAAGATCGCTCCGAATAGCCGATGACTGACGAACAAGCAAGACGCAGCGCTGAGACCAGAGCAAGATCAACTAGGTTGACTGATCAAATTTCGCAATTGACTCAGGTCACAAAGCTCGAGAGTTCAAACAGCCCAATGATATGACAAAAGAGTCCGATGGCAGAAGCACAGAAACGGAGGAAGCAAACCGTCGATATCGAATGAGCACTCTATATTAGAACAATGACTCGAAAGGATTACACCTGCTTCCGGTCAATCACCCAAAAACGATAAATATGATACAGATAGCTCTCGAGCAGTTCTGTGCCAACAGATCAAGCTAGAAGCCACAAAGAGGAGAGAAAAACAGATTGGGTTTATGCAGTGCAAGATCAGGAAGAGCGCCGACGAGAGGACGGGCCGCTGAGAAGTAAAGCAAGATCAGAACCAGATTATAATCCTCAAGATACTTGACGGAATCAGACGGGCATTTCTGGGATGGTTCGGGTTGGAAGAGAAGGTGACGAAGACTCCGAGAGAAGGCTGGGCTCAGAGGTGGCAACAAATAGAATGGCGCGAGCGTTTGGGCGAAGAAAGGGCGCACGTGATGTTGCTGACTGCAAGCAGAGGTGCTTGTACTTTGGTGACGTCACCGCATTTACACGAATCGGCCCTTGGCCCTGACTGATAGACGCGACGAGGAACTGATTGTCAACCGTTTTGCCTAAAGCAGATGTTCAGCTTGCGTAAGAGAACGGAGATAAAAAGATGATGTACGCAAGCTTCTGCAGACTGCTGGATTTTTCTATATATCTACAGCCTCTCGTCGAGACTCAATTGGAAAGCTGCTGGACTCATTGACTGCCTAATAAGTACTGTGTTTAGGTACTTGCGCAATCTACCTGCTTACGACTACTTACGATCGTGATCAGCAATTTCCCCGCAACAGGTCTCCAACTGAGAAATAAATCGGCCTGAGTATGTCTTTAGCTACAGATCAGAGCAGCCAGCGGCGAGTCTCAATTGAGAGCCAAGATGCAGAATCCTCGAGCTCGACCGTGCAAACCTCGTCCATACCTGACAGCAACAGCGCGAAGAGCTCAGCGACAACAGCCAGCCTGACTGCGGAGGACGATGTGCCTCCATCTGCTGTCCGGTATGGTCCTGGCGCTGTGAAGTACGAAGGACGACTTCATGCGCTTGTCTCTGAAGAGGCCAAGTTACTGCAGTTTGAGAGCTGTCCGCGCGAGCGACCCCATGTTCATGGTGTACCAAGTGAGACCTTGTGGATGCTTCTGCGGCGATTTAGCAAGGTACCACTATCAGTATTCTAATGATAGGCATACAGGAGAATCTTACTGATCTGTCTTTGTACTATAGCAAATCCAGCACGTGAAGGTGACCAACGAACGCCCACCTGGCGGTCTTGATCTCAACATTGCCTCTTATGAGGAGTACACGGCTCCAGATAAGCTGCGAATGACGGTCGAGCGATTATACATGACTGTTATAATCGGAATGCTGGGAGCCGTGAAGCATATTGCCAGAATCAGATCATGGAATGAGACTGTGCGCACGTCGCTGTTTTGTTTGGTACAGGCTCATCTATCGTTTTCGACTCCCCTGGAACTATAAGACTGCTAACAGGTATATAGGCGTACACCATAGCATGGATTTATGATTGTGTTTTCTCTCTATTTCTATGGGTCTCGATAATCCTCATTGTCGTCCCCAAATCGCGAAGGATCCTATTCCCGCCTGCGCCCATTTCGCTTGTAAACGCGCGAACCGGCACCGCGCAAAAACCTCCATCGGGCGGAGTAGGCAGCACCGACAGTGCCTCTGGCGGTTCCGAAAACATGAAGGGCGAGGCGGTTGAGATCGAGGCTCATGACTTTGTCTCCAGCATGGCTGCTGTCGCGGTACGCAGCGCGTTGGGGAGACAGAACAATACAAACTCGGAGGACAACGAGGGCGCTTCGAAGAGTTTGAATCCGGCAGAGAAGACGATGGATCCGGTTGCGCTGGCGGCAAAGTCGATGAACGAGGAGCCTACTTATGTGCATGGAAATCAGTCGCCTACCGCAAAGACAGAAATAAACAAGCCAATGGAGGACGCGGTGTGGGCGGCGCTGAGACCGATTATGCACATCGTTTCAAATATTTCGGATGGTTGGGAGAGAGTGGGAAAGTAAGCACACCCATATCAAATTCCTGTCATCACCACCTTCACTGACTTTTCTATTATCCAGTGCGCTGTCACCTGTTCGACCGTTTGACACATGGCCTCGAAACAGGTTTGGTTTATTTCTCGCAGGTTTTGGATGCAGCTGCCTGTTCATAACTCCCTACATGGTCACAAAGGTCAGCTCTTTTGTTTTTGGGTTTGCCATGTTTGGAGATCCTATCATCCAACGCATGCTGGCGTACATGAACGAGACGTTTACTCACTGGCTGGAGGCTATTGAGCCACGAAAGTACGTATTACACAATCACTACGAGAATATAGTGGATAAACCTAATATTCGCGATTTAGCACGGTATTCTACGGAGTTCCTACAAATGCGCAACTGTCACTCGTCCTTCTGCGCGAAGCGGAAAAACGTCGCCGCGTACTTCCTGCATACCTAGAAATGGACGAACGCGCAGAAAAGTCCGCAGGCGAGAAAGACGCCACGATTGCCGAAGAAGGCAAGAACCTAGCCGGCTCAGATGAAGAAGTCGTCAACGCAGTCAATAACGAAAACGCACCCGAAAGCGTAGCCGCGGAAACGCTCAAGCCTGCGCAGGGAAGCAAGCGGCGGAAATTCTTGTCCGTGGCGAGGAAAGCGGCCAAGTTCTCGGTCTCGACTATGATTGCGGTAGATCAAGTCCGCGCAAAAGTCGGCCGGAGCGAGACTTCGCGCGCGCGACTCGGCGCGCTGTCTGGAGAATCCGATGCGTCGCTGCGGACGCCGGTGAAGAGCAGCGCGCGGTTCAACGGCAAGCGCGGGTACTTCTTTGTTTTTGCGCCCGAGGGAAGGACGCATGAGCGGGATGTTTGCTGCGGGTTTGTGTCGGAGATGCTATGGCGGAACTCGAGAGAGACGGACGTCGAGTTTGCGTTCTCGATCTCTGATATCGTTGAGCTGAGGAAAGTGGGCGGACTGGGGTGGAAGACTGAGATGATTGCAGGGTGGGCACTACAGAGGAGCGTTAAAGATGGATTGTCTATTACGTTGGATTACGACGGGGTTAAGCGGGAGTATGTGATAAATGCTGTCGAGGACCGGGATGTGATTTTCAATCGGCTGCTCTCAATGGGGCCGCAGACTTGGGAGGCGTGGTAAACAGAGTGAATATACAATATATTATCCAACAACATACTGACCGTATTCCTTTAACAACATTAAATAGCAACCGGGAGCCCTTCAATACTTTCAACAAACTACCGTTAACGGCAGTTATTACGAAACGGCCGGCACGTCAGGTGCGTGTTTACTTTCGTCCAGATCAAGAAACCCCAATATACCAAGACACGCGCCCGCCCACTTCAACGCTCCCGCCTTGTTCTCCTCTCTTACTCCTTCTCTCATCTCCACTTCCTTCAATATTCCTTCCCACCATTTACCTGTCTCATCTATTTCCCAGCAATAGAGAGACTACGATACCCCGCCCGCCTCAGCAATTCTCGGGCCTGTTTTTTTGTTTCTTGTTTGATTTGTGCGAAGCTAATGCTTCTTAACCGCCCTAAGCAGTCCCGCCCAGACTCATTCGGCCTGGACGGGACTACTTGGGGATCTAACGTAGAATAGGTCTCCCCCGGACCCGCAGGACGACCGGCCACCTCTCGTCTTTGCGAGTGGCCGACCGATGTAGTTTGGGATCTCTCTAAACCACGGCACAAATCGTGAGTACAGTCCCTCAGTCGCTCAGAGCTCTCAACTAACAGCAAACAAACAGGCGCAAGGGTCCTCTACCGCGCACCCTGCTGCAACACGTTCTTCAAGAACGTCGAGCAACCTACGACCGCGGATGTCGCTAGGTGAAGAAGTCAGTCACCTCTAGGGGCCACCACCCAGCTCCTGAGCCGGGTGGGAAAGTGCACCCAGCTCTCGAGCTACGTGGGAAGGACACGTTCTGGTGGCACCGCAGCTGCCCTAGTAGCCTGACACCCTTCCACAACGCGCAGATACCGAGTGAGCATCTACATGCTCAGGGAGTCATTCCCGTGCCGGCTCGGGACTCTGCGCGACCGCCCGTTCTGCGCCAGGATCATGGAGTTGGGCGCAGGAGTTGGTCAGGGCGGTCGATCTGATTAGATTCTTCTTTAGCCAGGTTGCTCATTCGGATTTAAAACGTCTACGTTGTCGCGTCTCTGGCACGCTGTCGCGCATGAATTCAGATTCAGGCGGCGGTCGAGGAGAGTCCGCGCGACCAACCGTCTAGTCGGGGGGTTACAGCCCTTCAACAGGACGAGCGGATCATGCGACAACATTGACAAAACCATCAATACGGAGGTAGGTCATGAACTGCCTTTGGGATGAAGTCGGGTCTTAGTGGGTATGGCGACACCGAGAGAGTCGCAGAGTCCCACATAACTCTTGAGCAGCAATGTTCAAGAGTATGCGTAACGCATTCTTCCCGATCCTGGCACCCAGCGGCCCCGTGCGCGCTTGTTCTGTTTTCTGTCTATCTGTCTATGCTGTTTCTGTCATAGGTGGAGAAGGCGGGGTTGCTGTATTTTCAGCGATCACAGAAGAGCGCGCGCGGGGCAGTTCCGTATTGTAAAACCAAGAAAGAAAAAAAAAACACCATACTCTCGGAGACTTGTAACGCAGTACATAGGTAGATTGAACATACAGACAGACGGACAGGCAGGAGGAACTGGAGAGTGATCAAGACCGAGCAAGGCTCGAGCTCAGATCTCTATCTCCCTCGCGTTTAGATGCGGCGGAACTTCCCGCGATAGCAAGGAACAGCAAGCGGACACTGTATTTACTCACAATTCCCACGTCGCGTGCTTAGAGAATAGTAGACAGAAACTGGTACCTTAGTGGTATCTCTAGACTGACTCTGGAAGTTAAAGAAAAGCAGTGTCGAGAACAAGACAAGGTGTATATCCCAAGACGGCCCAGCGACGCGACGCAACGCGTTCTAGCCCGACACCCGCATTTCATCTTCCACACCCATATTGACGCAACCAGCCATCTCCGAAAGCAAAAAAAACAGCAACCACGATGCTAAATAATTACTCGCGCAGGAGTCCGGGTCTGCGGAAATGGAGCGTATCGCGTGGACTTGCGAAGCGGCTTGGCGCTGGAAATTGCTCGGGATGGGAGGAGAGGACAAGGACGGGAGATGGATGTGCATTGCTGTTTTGCGCAAGATATTGGATACAGTTGAGAAGGTGAAAGAGGTGAGCTGTAATTACTCTTCATAACACTCCACTGGATCCGCTGCGCGACAGATATCGGAGAAGGTCTTAAATGAGTAGTGCGCTGATATTGAATCCGAGCAAATTACACCCTCTTTGACTCATCTTCAACAACCCTCAAACCCGTATAAATTCAGCACCCTCCATCGCGAGCGCACAGCACCGCATTCCTCATACTCCACACAGCAGCAATGACATCCCCACTCTCAATTGGCCTGCTCCTTTTCCCCAAGCTCACACAACTCGACCTAACAGGCCCGTACGAAGTCTTCGCCCGCGCCCCCGGCGCGACCGTGCATCTGATTGCAAAGAGCCTCGATCCCGTCGCCGCCGACCGCGGGCTACAAATCGTGCCGACGACAACATACGCGTCATGCCCGGCCCTGGACGTGATCTGCGTCCCCGGCGGACCGGGCCAGATCGGCCTGATGGACGACGACGAGACGCTCGATTTCCTCCGCAAAGTGGCCGCCGACGCGAAACTCATCACTTCAGTCTGCACGGGCTCGCTCGTCCTCGGCGCCGCGGGTTTGCTGCGCGGATACAAGGCCACATCGCACTGGTCCTCGCTCGACCAACTTTCTCTCCTCGGCGCGACGCCCGTGCAGGAGCGCGTCGTGCGCGACCGCAACCGGATCACGGGCGCGGGCGTCACCTCCGGCATCGACTTTGCGCTCAACGTCGTCGCGGACCTGTACGGCCGCGAGGTCGCAGAGGACGTGCAGTTCCAGCTAGAGTATGATCCGCATCCACCGTTCGACGCGGGCTCGGTCAAGCAGGTCTCGCCTGAGTTTTACGAGAATGCAAAAGCGCATATCAGTGGGTTCATTGCGAGACGGTTAGGCGCGACCGAGCGGGCAGCCGCGAAGCTCTCAAATTAGCTATCGATGCACAAAGACAGTGGGGAAGTAGCATTTTGGTTAGAATGTTAGAATAAAAAAGGCACTTAACGAAAACAAGCAGACTAAACAAAAAATAATTCCCTCTTATACATGTATTCCTCCTCCTCCTGTTCTGCTTCGTCTTCATCTCGCATCTTTTCGTCCCCGCTCGCACTTCCAATATCTTCGTTAAAAAGACTTTTTTAAGTAATCACAAGAAGTTTTAAAAAGGAAAAAGAAAAAGAAAGGACATGGATCGTAGTAACAAACAAAAAGTCAAACAAAAAAAGTAGATTTGGATAAGGACACACACGCACAAACATACAAATACAATTTATTCTCCGTGTGTAAACACTACTTAGCATCGACAAGCAGATGCTCACTTATCTGCCTTCTTGCTCTCGTCTTTCTTCTCACTTTCAGCTTCTTTCGTCGCAGCAGCTTCAGGTTCAGCCGACCCCTTCTTCGCGGTCGCGCTCTCGATCTTCTTCTCGGAGACTTCTGGTGTTTTCTCCTTCGTCGTTTCCTTCGCGGCAGCAGCAGCAGGAGGAGTACTCTCCTTCGCAGCGACCGCAACGGAAGCCGGAGCATCTTTCATCTCCTCGTCTTTAACTTCGCCAGCCTCGACTTCAGCAGGCTTGTCCTCCATCTCCACGTCGCCATCCTTCTCGGCCGGGGCAGTTCCCTTGGAGGCAGTGGCCGGAGCCGGAGCGCTCGCGGGAGTCTCCTCTTCGTCTTCTTCGTCGTAGTCTTCGTCCTCGTCAACCTTGCGCTGGGGAACCTCGTCAATCACCTTCTCGACAGCCGGGGTCGAGGCAGGCGCGGGCGCAGCAGGCTTAGGCGAGCTCACAGCCGGCGTAGTCGCGGGACTAGCAGCAGCCGACACAGTAGTAGCCGAAGCCGAGGGTGCAGGGCTTGCTGCTTTCTCCTTCGGCGACTCCTTGATAGCTTCCGCCGCGGGCTTCTTCTTGGCCGCAGCATTTTCGGCATCCGACGGACCAGTCACGCTCGACAGCCAGCTAGACTTTGCAGGCGCGGCAGGAGCGGGTGTAGACTCGGACGCTGGCGCAGGGGTGACCGAGGCCGACGAAGACGCTGAAGCGATAGGCGGCGCCGCGAGCGCGGCTGAGGCAAGTGATGACAGATTCGCAGAGATCGAAGGCAGGGCAGCAGGCTCCGACGTCGCTGGCGCGTCAACCTTGGGAAGATCGATCTTGGCCGCGTCCTCGGTCGGCTTTGTCTGCATAGACGGCAGCGAGGGGGTATCACCCGACGCTGACTCTGACGCAGCCGGAGCGGACACGGGAGGAAGTTGACCATTTTCCGAGTCGTAGATGGACGACAGAGCAGGGATCTTGACGTCCCCGGCAGGAGTGGCCGCGGGCGAGCGCTTGGACTCTTCTGTGGCTTGCTTTTTGCTCTCGGAGCCCTGGTCGTCTTCCCATTCGCGATGACGTTTGGTGGACGCGTTGAGGAGCGAGGCCACGTTGCTTGACGAAGAAGCCGCGGAAGGCTGCTCGGCTGCGGCAGCGGCGGCCTCGGGGGGTCTGTAGGACAAAGGAGGAGGCTGGTACTGCGGCATTGCTGCGGAGGCCTGCTCGGGAGCAGACGAAACAGCAGGTGGAGGGAGATGCTGCGGCTGCTGCTGCTGGAGCGGTGCAGGTGGCTGCTGTTGTTGCTGCTGCTGCTGGCCCGGGTGGGAGTATTGGTTGAGGGCGGGAGACTGCTGAGGCTGAGGCTGCTGCTGGCCGAGCATACCAGGCTGCTGGCCGAGAGGAGCACCAGGAGCCATGCCAGAACGAGCAGGGCCTGCAAGTCCAGGAGGGCCTGCAGGAGGTTGCGTCTGGCCGTTCATGTTTGTGTTCCAGCGAGGAGTAGGAGGGCCGGACGGAGCAGTCTGGTACGCCTGAGGGTCGTGTGGGCGAGGGGCTGGAGGCTGGCCAGGCTGCTGAGCACCGTTCTGGGCCTGCGCCTGCGGGTTGCGCAGCTGTTCGAGACGCGCTTGAATATGTGTGTTCTTCGGATCGAGCTCGGCAGCGCGCTGGTAGGCGTCGAGAGCGTCCGAGAGCTGGTTGTTGCAGGACTCGTAGAGGGTACCGAGATCGTACCATACTTCGGAGATGTACGGATTGAGGCGGATGGCACGCGAGTAGGCGTCCAAGGCGTCGCGGTACTGGTTGATTTGGTAATACAAAACACCAATGGAGCACCAGAAAGTCGGGTTTCTGCCTTCGCGGTAGACGGCCTGCTGGTAAGCCTCGTAGGCTTTGTTGTATTTCTGCTGGGTCATGTAGCAACGACCAAGCAAATACCAGGACTGAGCGTCTTGACCGTCTGCCTCGAGAGACTTGGTGAGGTAGGTGATGGCCAGATCCTGGTTGGCGAACGAGGAGTTTTGTTGGTGGTAGAGCCAGCCGAGCTGCTGGAGAACCTTTGCGTGATGAGGATCTTCGAGCAGGACTCTTTCGTACGCCTCCTTTGCTGCTTTGTACTACAGTAGAGATTGTTAGTGGGAGGAGAAAAAAGAGAGTGTCAGAAATGTGGATCTACGTACATCCTTGCGCTGCTCGTAGACATGACCGATCTGGAACCAGATGTCGATTTCGGTAAGGGGTCGAGGAGGGTTGTGGAGGATGTACTTGAAGCACTGGAGCGAGAGATCATGCTTCTGCTGCTGCTTGTATATGATACCGAGGCGGAAGTAGATTTCGTTTGCCTTGTCGAAGGAGGGATCCATGGCCATGACCTGGGTGAAAGCCTCTTCGGCATACTCGAGCGATCCGTAGCGGTCGTAGAGGATGCCGATTCCGTACCAAAGCTTGGGTTCTTTGGGGTCACGCAGATGGTAGAGGGCTTGCTGGTAGGCGGAGTAGGCCTTTTGCAAGTCGTCCATCATGAGGTAGCAGTGGCCGAGGGCGCCCCAGGTCTCGCCGGAGTCCTGCGAGAAGGAGAGGATAGACTGGTAGTACTCGATGGCACGGCCAAACTGCTCTTTCTGACGGAGGATGTTTGCGATCGCGGACATGGCGGGTATTGAGTAGGGGTTATGGCGGAGGACGGCTTCGTAAGCGTGGATGGCACGATCGTGGTCGCCCATCATATCGGCGATGTTGCCTATAGATGGAAAGAAGGGTGGAGGTTAGGATAAGGAGCGAAAACGAAGGAGGGACGGAAAAGGGAAAAAAGGTGACGGGAAGTGTGAAGGGATTGAAACGTACCGATTGAGAGCCATGCCTGCTCGTTGATGGCCTGGAGCTTGACGTAGGCGGCGACGGGAGGAGCAGCGCCATTCTGGGTCTGCTGCTGCTGGACGACGGTAGGAGGGCCAGAGGCGGGCTGCTGAAGGATTTGAGGAGGCGGCATGGCAGGAGGGTTGATGGGGGTCTGCAGGGCCACGGGGAGGGAGGAAAGAAGAGGAAGAAGAAAAGAAGAGAAGAAAAAGAAAAGAAGAAGAAGAGGCAGAGAAGAGAGGAAAAGAGGCAGGTGGGGAGCGGGAAGAGGAACAGAAGGCGGCGGGGAAGGAGAAGAAGGCAGGCGAGAAACAGCCGAGTGGTTGGAAAGGACGAGACGCAGCACAAAACCCTTGCCCGAGATTTAAGCGATCACGCGCTAGCCGCATTCGGCAGTGCTGCCCTGGATCGGGGGAGGGAGATGAGGAGAGAGAGAGGGAGGGGGAGGCAAAGAGTAAAGGAGAAGTGAGTTGAGTAAGTGGCTGTGATAGAAGTAAGAGCAACAGCACAACTACTCACTAAAAACAGACCATCACCAACCTCAGCAAAAGCGGCCGGGAAAAGGAGGGCGATGGGCTGGGTGGGTCCGGATGGTGCGGCTCAGCGGACGAGCGTACGTCACGTCAGTCGGCGCCGGGCGATCCTGGCGCTGGTCGGGCGGGTTTTGACTTGTTTTATTGTTTGTTTCGGTCGGAAGAGATAACAATTGCAGTTAATTCAACGCTTATCTTTTCCTTCTTCTTCTTCTTTATTGATTGCATTTAACGACCTGTTCTGGTCTCGGCGTTCTTCCGCACCGCAGACTTGGCCTGCAATTCCGATTAGATCTTTATTGCTGCGCCTCAGAGCCGGTCTCAGCTTTTAGTCATCCTGAGCTGAGCTGAGCTGAGCTGAGTCGGGTGGGAGTCGGAGTCAGAGTCAGTCTGAGAGCCATAACAGTTCTAGCATCTGCTGTCTATTCTGCATCTATTCCTTCTATCTGCTATAATATCACATCTTCCAAGCTACAATATTCCCTATCTACTTATTGTCAACTCAATAATCACCGCAAATCACCACTAATGACCGCACCGCCCTGGCCGACCACGTGCATCCGGTTCCAGGGTTCGGGCATCTTTACCTTCCTCGCCACAGGTCCGCTTTACATCATCTTCTGCCATCTTTCGTCCATCTGCCCAGGATCAGCTCCCGTATTATATCTGGCCTCCGCCTCCTCCTCTTCTCCCTCTTCCTCTTCCTCTCCTCCTCTCCTACCTACTTCTCTCCTCTGAATGGCCGGCCACAATCACCCCTCCTACGCTACCCTCGCCTTCCTCACCTTCCAAGCCGTCATCCAAGTCGTCTGTGTCTGCGTCCTCGGTGTCTGGGCTGCCCACGCCCGCCTCCTCAACCCCTCCCTGCAAAAGCACATCTCCCAGCTCAACGTCCAGATCTTCACCCCATGTCTGATCTTCGTCAAGGTATCTACTTCTCTGCTTATCAACTCTTCCTCCTGATCTACCGCTAACCCCGGATCCCCCCAGCTCGCCTCCGCAATCACCGGTGACAAACTTCTCGATCTCGCCATCATCCCCGTCCTCTTCCTCCTCACCACCGGCGTCTCCTTCCTCTCCGGCTACATCCTAGGCCGAATAAACGGCTTCACTCGCCGCGAATGCAACTTCGTCATCGCAATGGCCGTCTTTGGCAACTCAAACTCCCTCCCCGTATCGCTCACTATCGCGCTCGCGCAAACCCTGCCCGCTCTGCGCTGGCTCCCCGACGATACTTCCGCGAACGTCGCCTCAAGAGGTATCCTCTACCTCCTCATCTTCCAGCAGCTAGGCCAGATGCTGCGCTGGTCCTGGGGATACAACACCCTTCTCGCCAAAGATCCCGATGCGATCTCGGAGCCGGTCTCGTCACGATCGTCGACGATCATGCACGGTGACGACGATGCCAATGACCAAACCGGCGGAATATCCCTCGACTCGACCTCTGACGAGTACGTACGCGAAGCTGCCATGTACATCTCGCACAACGCTACGCCGGACGACTCGACAGAGTCGATCGCGCTCAGCAGTAAGCCTCTCTTCCCGCACGACTACGCTCTCGGATCGAGCGGAGCCGATTACTCAGAGTCCGGCCAGGGTCAGACTATGTTTTACCGATCAGAAGCCTACGATTCCACTGGATCCCGCGGCGGACTGCATCTGCCTACGTTCAACCGCTCGTTCAGTAACTCGGAAGCTGTGGATCGGCTGCACCGGCTCGCACAGGTGCCGGCGGTGAAGATGACGCTCAAGATCCTAACCAAGCTCAACTCGTACATGAACCCTCCTCTCTGGGCCATGCTTTCTGGTCTCATGGTCGCCACCATCCGTCCACTGCAGGTTCTCATTTTCGAGAGCCCAGACGGATTCATCGCAAACACATTCACTGCCGCAGTCACGCAAACCTCCGAAGTCGCCGTTCCCTTGATCCTCGTCGTTCTTGGCGGTAACCTCTACCCCGACGACAGTCTCGCGGCCCCATCCCCCAGCTTCAAGCGCATCGTCACCGCCTCGCTGATTGCAAGAATGCTCCTCCCCGCTGTTGTGCTGTTGCCCGTTCTAGCGCTGGTCGCCAAGTTCGTGCACGTCTCGATCGTCGACGACCCGATCTTCATCGTCGTCCTGTTTTTGCTCACGACCGCCCCGCCCGCCATCCAGCTCAGTCAGATCTGCCAGCTGAACGAGATCTTTGAGCGCGAGATGAGCGCGATTCTGTTTTGGGGGTACGTCGTCTTGACGCTGCCGATTACGATGGTCATGGTCGTTATGAGTCTCGAGGTATTGGAATGGGGTGGCCGGTTACCTGTCGCGCCGTCTGCCTAGTCTTTTGCATTTCTTGTTTCTGTTTTCTGTGGTTTCGTACAAGTTATGAGGTTTTCCAGTTTTGTTCAATGTATACACTTTTGTTTGTTTCATCTTTGTCCGGGTTTGCAAGTTTGGGTTCTTAGTACATACATATACACGCATTGTTACTCTGTCGTCTTTGAGCTATACAATATATACACACCATCTCAACACTGCCATCAACCTGCGCCCAGCAACCAGGTACACATCTGAAATAAAAAAGTATGACGCAATAATTACATAATCACAAACCTTGATTACTCAAGCGGCCTCATCGCGCGCGTGCTCCTCATCGATAAACACACCGCACAGTAGTCAGAGTTCACCGCCGCGCGTCTGCGAGAACAAGGAAAACGAGCAGCCAACGAGGACAGGAGAGTAGTGCATTGCGTAGCACTTTAGGGAGCTAGAAAGAGAAGAGATAAAACTGCAGAATATATTTGCGGACTAAGAGAGAGAGAGAGAGAGAGAGAGACAGAACTTGGGACAGTGCAATTTTTTTATTTGAGGTTGCTTGCTGTTCTGCTGGCTTTTGATTGAGGATCTTTTCGAGTGAGAGATAAAAAGGATCTGGGAATATCAAAGTGCTTTGTGCTTGTTTTATTTGGTATCAGATTGCCTGATATCGTGGTGGTTTGATCGGTTGTCTGGAAACGCCGCGGGAAGAAACAGCACAAACGAGTTTGAGGCGACAAAGCGACAAGCCCACGCATATACAGAATTCAGAGAGATTTGCGGAATTCTCTGGATACGAATTCGGAAAACCTCGCCATGAGTGATCTCGACAGGTACGTCGCCACATCTTCCTTTCTTTCGAACTTCCTTTCTTTTCAAACCTCTGATTTGCTCCTGATCAACTCTAACTGATTGTTTGGCAGAGCAATTGAATTGCTGAAAGACTGCAAGATAGTACCGGAGGAGCAGGTGCGGGACATTTGTTTGCGAGCGCAGGAGCTGCTGATTGAGGAGCGGAATATTGAGGTTGTTGATACGCCTGTTACGGTATGTTTTTGCGTTGCTATTATTATCCCTCGATGAGGGAGTGCGTTGATCATTGCCTGAGAGACTAATGCTAATGGGTGTGTAGATTTGTGGGGATATTCATGGACAGTTTCATGATCTGATAACGTTGTTTGAACATGGTGGACAGTGTCCCGACACAAATTATCTGTTTCTAGGTAAGTCGATACAGCCAGAGATTTATCATCATCATCTTCTTCTGATGGAGCTGCAGTCTATACTGATGAGCTAACATACGCAGGCGACTTTGTCGACCGAGGGTTCTACTCTCTCGAATCATTTCTGCTTCTGCTATGCCTAAAAGTACGGTACCCCGACCGAATAACGCTGATCCGCGGCAACCACGAATCCCGCCAGATCACGACCGTGTACGGATTCTACGACGAGTGTATTCGCAAGTACGGCTCCGCGAACGTGTGGCGGTCGTGCTGCGACGTGTTTGATTACCTCGCGCTCGGCGCGCTCGTCGGCGGCTCCGGAGGCGTGTTTTGCGTGCACGGCGGGCTGAGTCCGGCGGTCGACAAGCTCGATCAGATAAGGCTGATTGATCGGAAACAAGAGGTGCCGCATGAGGGCGCGATGTGCGACTTGCTCTGGTCGGATCCAGATGATATCGAGGGCTGGGGCGTGTCGCCGCGAGGGGCGGGCTACTTATTCGGCGGCGACAAGGTGAAGGAGTTCAACCACGAGAACGACATTTCGCTGATTGCGCGCGCGCACCAGCTGGTGATGGAAGGCTACAAGGAGATGTTTGACGGGGAGATTGTGACGGTGTGGAGCGCGCCGAATTACTGCTACCGGTGCGGGAACGTTGCCGCGATTCTGACGATTGACGACGGGCTGGGGCGGACGTATGAGATCTTTGAGGCGGCGCCGCAGGAGTCGAAGGGGATGCCTGCGAAGAAACCCGCTGCGGATTACTTTTTGTGAATGAATGCTCTGTTTTTGGCTGGCGTTTCTTTGGTTGTATTATTGTTGATATAGTAATGGCTGCTGTGTTTGTTGTTGATATAGTAATGAAATGCTTCTGTATTGTTGTCATAATGCCGGTGTCTGCAGTTAAGAGCCAAACCTTGTTTCTTCCGAGCCAACCTTAAACCGAATTTCAGTTCTCATTTCTTGGGCGCCCACTATTTTTGATCCGGGCCTCGTCTTTGTCTTCCTCTCTCCTCACCGCTGCACCTCTGATCCTCAATCGTTGCTTGCTTCTTCTTTCTTTACAAAAGCAACACTATCTCGAAATGACCTCTGCATCGCGCGGAAACTCGACGGCGGCTATGCTCTCGTCGCCGCCGCACATCATCTTTAAGTTCCCGGTGGGAATCGACATGCCGGATGGTCCGCCAGGTAGGTGTTTGCGGTGCTTTTGAGCGTGAAATGGGGGGATATGGAAGGGCAAGACTGACGATGAGTTTGTAATTCTAGCCGGATCTCTGTTTGCCGACTCGTTCTACTGGTCAATGGACCTGCGCGTGCCGGTGACGATAGCAACTGTCTACGCAACCTGCGTGCACATTGCAAACAAGTCTCGCGGGCCCGGCACTCCTCCCGCGCGATTCGCGCGCACGCAACTGTTCAAGTGGTTGGTTATTGCGCATAACTTGTTCCTCTGCCTGTACTCAGCCTGGACCTGTCTTGGCATGTCGTCGTCGATCGTCGGCACGCTTATCGACAGCTTTCGCGCGCAGCAGCGGTCGTCGTCGGGAGTCTGGCGCGGGCTGTGCTCGGTCAACGAGGGCATCTGGGCGCGCGGGCTGAGCTACTACGGGTTTTTGTTTTACCTGTCCAAGTTCTACGAGGTGCTCGACACGGTGATTATTCTCGCCAAGGGCAAGCGGTCGTCCGTGCTGCAGACCTACCACCACGCGGGCGCGATGCTGTCGATGTGGGCCGGCATCCGCTTCGCGTCGCCGCCGATCTGGATCTTTGTCGTCTTCAACTCGCTGATCCACACGCTCATGTACCTTTACTACACGCTCACGGGGCTCAACATCCGCGCGCCCAAGGCGGTCAAGCGCGCGCTCACGACCGCGCAGATCTGCCAGTTTGTGTTTGGCGGCAGTCTTGCGTTCGCGCACCTGTTTGTGTACTACTTTGATCCGAGCATCAGCGGCTACACGAGCTGTCTGACCAACTCGGGCCAGACGTTTGCGCTGTTCTTCATCCTGCTGTATCTTGCGCCGTTGACGTATTTGTTTGTCGGGTTTTGGATCGAGAGTTATGTGCTCGGGAAGCCGAAGGGGAAGGCGGTGGAGAAGGAGAAGGCGGTGAAGAGCGTTGAATGATCGTTGTTGTTGTTGTTGTTGTTGTTGTTGTTGTTGTTGTTGTTGTTGCTAGAAGCAGAGCAGTTTTGAATAGCGATAGAAATGATATAAGTGACTACTTACTACTTACTACTTGCTGCTTGCTACTTGCTACTTACTACTTACTACTTACTACTTGACTTGCTACTTGACTACTCGACTGAGGAGCCGCACGCTGATCCGCGTACTCACCAATACGCTTGAATTAAAAGCGTTTCTCAGAGGCAATGAGGCACACAGAGAAGCAGACAATGGAAATAATGTACATAAGTAGATAAAGTAGATACAGCACATAAAGCAGATAGAACACACAAAGCACAGCATCACAGCAGCAGCAACAGACGCGTGAACCCGAGCCGAGGTCTACGCAGCGCAAAGGGCCGCTCGCCCCCAACAAAACCGTATCTGGGCTTAGATTAAACCCTGAAGACAGAGCCGCAAGCCGCACGGAAGGTGTATGTTTTATAGCAGAGAGGAGAGGAGAGATTAAAGTGAATGTTGTTGTTGTATTATGACGGCAGATTAAAGTCATTAGAAGAGGGAATAAAGAAGAAGAATATAAGAAGAATAGAATTGGAATATGAGAAGAGAAGAGGAAGAGAAGCAGTGAATGTTTTGGGGAGTCACAAAATCCAATTCCGCATTTCTACAAAACGCAATAAAACAGCGAATCCAAAGAACTCACATGACTCAAAAACTCGGTCTGCTGCTGGCTTGGCTTGGCCTCAACAAAGTATAATTATCACAAAAACTGACTAGTTGATCACTATTGCTGCTGCTGCTTTCTTGTTTAGAGGCTGACTGTGCTTTGTTATAAATATGAATAAGAGAGTCTATGTACATTGAACTGCAATCAAAGCAATATGTATGTAATCAAAAAGAACAAGAACAAGAACAAGAGAAAGGAGAAGACTAGGACTTGAGAGATTAAGATGGATATAGAAGATCTGATATCCAGTTTGTATATCTTACACCTCTGAGTGACCTCAGAGTTATCTGCACCCCGTTTACTTCGGGAGCACCTTGTCGAAAGCAGGGATCAGCCTGTAATTATTCATTGTTAGTCTTCTGAGATCTGAGATCCTGCAATCAGTAAATGAATGACTTACGTCTGCGCGAGAGCAAAGCTAAACACCAGCTTGGGTCCAGTAGTCAGCAACTTGGGAATCAATCCCTTGAAGAACGAAGTGAGTCCTGTCAAAAACCACCGTCAGTACTCTCTCTCTCTCTTCCTCTCTCCAACCATAATCATCAAAGCACAACTCACCCTCGTTCTTCGCCATGTTCTTCAAAATCGTGAATCCAGACTCCGGGTTCTCAAAGTTCCGGTTCTGGATTCTGGTCTTGATAACATCGAGCGGCGCAGACACAATCAACGAAGCCGAAGCACCAAAGATCGACGCGACAAAGTTCTGGCCCCAGGTCGCGCTGCCGTAGTCTTTCAAGCCGAAAATGTACTCCTTTGCAAACGCGTTTCCTCCAAACAGCTACACAACCAAGTTAGCTCCGATCTCTTATCAACAGAACAGAAATGGGTTGGGACATACAGCAAACGATCCAGGAGCGTTACGGGCCGCAGTCCATCCCCAGCCACGGTAAAGTCCGAATCCCTCGTCAGCGATAATCTTCAAGAATCCACGGCCCTTGAACGCCTCGGGATTTGTCTGACGCTTGATCTTGAGCACGTCCAGAGGAAGGAGAACGATCTCTCCGATTCCGATCAAGCTTTTAAACTGTTAGTCTGCGACTGAGAGATATTGCTGTGGATGAAGCTCACCTTCCTGATGTGGCAGACAAAAGAGCCTTGCCGTTCTTCTTGCCAAACGACTCCTCAAAAGTCGAACCGTATCTAGTATACAGAATATCATTCGCGTACGGCTGTCCACCATACTTGTACACACGTTGCAGGATCTAGACACAGTCAGTCTCCAGCGCTTCGATTGCCTTGTTTGCGCCACACAATAACCAACGCACCTTGTATCCGGCAGCATATCCAAGACCAGGGAAGAGCGAAAAGGTCTTGCGCATGATAGTCTCGTTGGCGTAGTTGCGGAAGACGACCTGGTTGAGCTGCGACAAGCTCGTGACCTAGACAGAGATGTCAGATAAGTCCTTGCTGGCTTCAAGTTTAGAGACGGACGTACTCGCGTGCTGTTCGACATCAGACGCTTAGCAGTCGTGTCGACCTATACATTCACCGATTAGCATGCCGTGTCTGTAACTGACAAAATCAGCAGTCCACATACGGGATGGAACACCGCAAGCTCAGCGATACCAGCAGAAGCTACACGACAATCAAATTAGCCCGCCATTCAACGATAACCGACAGAACCAAAAGGAACGCAAGAAGAAAAAAAATTCACTAGAAAACTCACCCGATCCAAGCACACGAGCGGTGCCAGAGTTAGACTTGTCCTTTTGCGAAGGCGGAGACATTGTTTCTATACGAATACTGCTGAGAGCAAGGAAAGAGCAATAGAGAGCGGGACTGATATCAGAGTCGGGACGGTGATGGAAGGCAGAGCAGAGCAAGCGAGAACGATGAGCAAAAACAAAATTTCGCTCCGGGTTGGGTTTAAGGTTTCGGTGTCTTTGTCTCGGCCTTCTTTGGTCAAAGATCAGATGGTGAGATGGTGGTTGTTGTATTAGTTAACTCGTTAATATAGTAATTGTGAACCAAATATGAAATCTACAGTTGATGAGAAGAAAGGTGAAGTAAGGTGAAGTAAGAATAAGAGAGCGAGACGTAGATGCAGACATCTTCCAGCAGACATCTACGCAGCACCATTCGACGTACTTCTTCAATACATTAGCAACAGCAACACAATCAATCGTTCTTAAACAATTGATCCAACAGTATTCACTATCATCAGACATATTCACTATCTTGACCGGCTCAATCATTGTGTAGATCAACTAGGCTATACAAAGAGCATCACGTGACAGTTTCAATTCAATTTAGCCAGATTCGAGTCATTTCCTAAGAGAATTAAATTGAATTAAATTGAATAAAAGAAATAGAAGCAGCGAATGGCGGGCGCGGGAATCAGCACGAAGATGGCGGTGCACAGGTCACCGCCACAATGCGCCACCCTCAAACTTTAATCTTTGCTCTTCTTCCTTTCCTCTCTTCCTCATCTTCTTCCTCTCTTCTTCCTCATCTACCTCTTCCTCATATATCTCTTCTTCCTCCTCCTCCTCCTCCTCCTGAAGATCTCTCTCTATCTCATCATGATATCCGCAGCCAGAAAAAACCTCATCTTCCTCACCACCGCGGCCGTACGTCTTCTCTCCCTCCACTTCCTCTGATGTCATGCTGACTCCCCCAGACCGCCTGCCTCATCCTCACCCTCCTCGGTGTCATGCAGCTCACAAAGGTGGCCCACTTCCACCTCCCGCTCTCTGCCTTCTACCCCGTCATGGCCATGATCCTCCCGACCACCACCCTCTTCCTCCTCGTTCTCCCCGTCGCAAGCAAACGCGTCTTCGCCGAGCAGCGCATGATCTACCCAGCCACCCTCATCCTCCTCATCGTCCTCAGCACCCTCTTCATCGCCCTCCTCACCCCCTACCTCACCTCCCTCAGCACCTGCGTCCACGAAACCGCCTGGAAAGCCCTTTTTGAAGCACACGACCCTCGCATCGAGAAAATCGAAACTTCGCTAAAGTGCTGCGGCTTCGCCTCCCTCTACGACCGCGCCTTCCCCTTCCCCTCCACCGACGACCTCGCAAACGCCTGCGTGCTCAAGTACCACTACACCGAGACCTGCGGCCGGCAGTGGGAGCACGAGTCCTCTGTTGCGGCAGAGTGGTGCGTCACCGTCTTCGCCTTTGTCCTCGTCGGCGCGATCGCATGCTTGGCGCACACCGTGCTCGTCTACAAAAAGCGCGCACTCGAGAACGCGGCGTCGGCGTCCAAGACGCACGCGCCGTCGAGTTCGCACCACCCGGTCGGAGTTGGTAGCTACTCTAGCTTTGGCGAGTTTGGCGCGGGAAACGCTTCGGCGTCGTTGTCGGAGCAGACTGGGTTGTTGGAAGAGCAGACGGGTGCTGGCAGGAGTAAGGCGAATGATCCTTTGACCAACTGATTTATCAGTTAATGCCAGTCTGATGCACCTCTCTTGATGACTCTGGCTGGATTTTGATAACTCATACGATATCACATTTATGTTTGGAGTAAAGGTTTCTATCATGTTTCTATTTTGTCAAGCCCACGTGAGCGGGCTCTGGGTCTACTTTATAACGGTATATAACGAATTCATACATTTGTAAACTCATCTGGCATAGTGTTGTGATTGATCTACAACTCTGAACGTAGTTTGCTGTAAACTATCTATCCTGAATTTACATTCCCAAAAACTCCATTTGTAATAACAATAACGCTAAACAGACAACTATATCGTACATAATTCTTGCCATTGCAATACTTTTCTTATTCTTCACGTCTCTCCTCTTTCTAAGGACACGTTTCCTGACATAGCCCCCCTACGCATCTTCCATCTCTGAATCCTTTTCTTTAGGCGGACCACACGGCTGTATCATTTTCTAAAGTCATCGCGTAGTTAGCACTCCGTTCCCTCGCAATCATGTCATATAACGACCCGCGCCCCAGATCCACATCTAAAACTCACATCGATAAACATCGTCCGAACCTTCCGCTGCGGTTCATTCAGCGCGACCGAGAAATGCTGCAGCAGCGACGGATTGCCGATATACGACGCGAGCGAGTCGCGCTGGATGTTGTTCATCCATTCACTATAATACACACATAATCAGTCTCTGTCATATATCGTAGTCATCAGCCGCGTCTCCATCAATGAGTTCCTTATGCAGACTGACAGGGATTCGCAGAAATAGTGGACGGGGGGGATACGCACTGTTTGGTCGTATCTGGATGACCCACGCCGATGAAACGGGTCTGAAGCTGCTCAAGCTGTTGCTGCGCACGAAGTTTGTCGGCCTTAACAATACACCGCATTAGCATCCAACCATCAATAACAAAAAACCCACGCATTCCATACCATCACGTCTCTCTATCACAGTATATCTTCTCTATCAAAGCTCTCAGATCAGGTAGAACATTGCCATTTTTTCCCGCTGCCATAGGGTCAGGGTAAGAACATCACGTGCCGATTGCGAGTTGGGTTGATGATCTCGCGTTGATGTCAATTTAAATCTGATAGATTAAGCGCGATCTTTGATAACCTACACGAGCAGCACAGAAGAAGGAAGTATTCAAAAAGAGAAGGCAAACGACTGGTTAAGTGCGAATTGTGAAGGGGACAAGAGAAGAGAGAAGCGGAGAGAGATGCTTTCGCGGACGGAAGATTCGCCTTTGTATACGGTCTATCTACGATTCCCGTTTCCGAGAGAAGGATTCGTCGAGCCCAGTCCGGTACGTTGAAAAACAGCAAAGACAAATGAAATGCAAAAATTTTGTGATTGCTTGCTTGCACTGCTGATTTGCTTGACTGTACACGCGCTAATCAACGACATCGGACGCAGGTGGACTGGAATGCCGAGAAAGAACAAGAACTGTGGACGATTCTCTCGCGGTCCAACAAACGCGCGGAAATCAAATGTATGATCTCCTCCTTGTGCTTTAACGGAGTTTGATGTGGTTGAATGGAGACTAACAAAAATATCTTCACCAGGGCCTCAACTGTACGTTATACCCAGCAGCACGTGCGCGAAACATACCTAGCTAACTGACGATGACCACAGAGCTGAATACTTTAAAGCCTCGATCCCGTTTCTCCTGCAACAAGCTGCGTGGCTGTATGAGCGCGAGCTGCAGCAGGTGAGGGAGGAGATGCAGCGCGTTACTGCGCACAGTGGTATGCTTTCCCAGCTGTACCCCTCTAGGCTCTTATGCTAATTTGGTCGATATAGCGTTGTTTCTTGATCAATCTACACAGTCACTACATTCTCGCGAAGGAGGAGCTACGCTGACGTCAGACGACGTGAGGCGAGTACAAGGGTCAGCAGTAAACAGAACATACACAGATCGGTACAGCGACGAAACACGGTCTATTGATTCGCGACATTCAGGCGAGGATCGCAAGGAGGAGTATCAGCAGCAGCAAAACAAGATGAAGCAACAACACCAGCAACAACTACACCAACAGCAGCAGCAGCAGCAACCACTCCAAGACCCGCTCTACGACCGACGACAGCATTCCCGAACTGCGTATATCCAATCTAGCTTCAATCGCCAACCCACCCCCACGCAGCGGCAACGCGCCTCCCCGCAACTCTCCTCGGCGTACAACCCCCCGCCCCCGCCGCCCGGCGCGTCCTACAACCCCGAGACGGGGCAGCCGATCTACCGCGACGCCTCGTCGTCGTCCAAGACCGCGCAGAATAGCACGGGGAGCTCGTTTAGCGACTTGTCGGACGCGAGCATGAGTCGCTCGGCGCTCGAAGAGGCGCTGTTGAGTGATATTAATAGGAACGGGGGAGGTTCAGGGGCGGGCGCGGCAGGTGGCGGGGGGGTGAGTAAGATGTCGATGATCTCGGGGGTGTTGAGAAGTCGATACTTTGATCCTCGGTAGGAGAAGAGATAATTATATAGCATTCACGATTGTACAGACATAACCCATAAACTAAACATCAATCATAATCCCGCTGTCTAACTGCGCATCTCCACTCTCTATCTCGTCCGCAGTTTTCTCCTCTTCATTCACAGCCGTCTTCACCGGCGAACGGGGTGCCGGTGTTGGCGGCGACGTAGCATCGTCTGTGAAGAGTTGGTCAAGAACAGAGTCTTCGGCGTCCGTCAACTCGGAGGCCAGTGTCTCGTTCGCGGCTTTCGTTTCGCCCGAAGCACTCGTGGTGGATGTCTCGGTCAAAAAAGCTGTAGCTTCGACTTCGATGTCGTTCAAAGCCTCGAGTTCTTCTTCCGTAGGTCCTTCCGGATGATTACCTGCCTCAGCTGTAGCCTCGACTTCGATGTCGTCCAGGGCCTCGAGTTCTTCTTCCGTAGGTCCTTCCAGATGATTGCCTGCTTCAGGTGCACCTGAAGGACCTGCAGTTTCCTCAGCATCATGAGCTTCCATCATCGCCTCAAGCTCCTCCGCCGTCGGTCCATCATCCACCACCTCCGCCTGCTTCCGCGGTTTCGAAACAAACAGCCCATCCTCATCCCCATCAAACTCCTCGTCGTCAATGAAATCCTCCATCTCCTCCTGCGCCGCCTCGAACTTCATCCGTCTCTTCTCCGCCAGCGCTTCAGCCACCGCCGCGTCAGACGCACCCTCCTCCTCCGCCGGCTCAGCACCCGCGGCAGCAGCATGCTGCTCAAGAATCTCCGCGTATATGTCGTCCATGAGATCGTCCGGTGACTTCTTCACCGCGGCGTCGAAGTGATCACTCCGTCTCTTTTTGCTCTGCCGTGGCGCGTCGTCGTACCCGTTTTTCAGGAAATGCAAAGAGCCCGCCATCTTTGAAAACAGAATCTCAATGTGATATGCCGGTCGCTCTTTGAACGCCTTGACCAGCCTGCGCACAAAGTGCTTCATAAACTGCTCCACGTCCGCGCGCGAGCTTTTCGTGTACGGGATGCCGCGGACGGGATCCAAGCACCGATAAAGAAGAAAGACAAAGTCCATACGAAACAAGAGCGCTTCCTCCTGATCTTTGAAAAACACGCGGTGGAAAAACGAAATCACGCGCTTGATCTGCTGGTCCGAGAGTTCGGCGTAGTTTGCAAATACCTTGCGATACATGTCGACGCAGTTCTGCGTCAGGAAGCGCGACTCGAACCGCGCAAATTCAAACTCGCGCTCGGCGTCCGCGGCCGAGGTTGCGATGTGCGTCAGCGCATCGTCGTCGTTCACGTCCGAGATCTGGTCTTCGTCTGCAGAGTCGGCGCCGTCTGAGCCCGCCTTGCGTTTCTTTGTGTTTGAGGAGGAGGGATTTGCCTTTGACTTTCGGTGTTGGCGTTTCTTGTGCTTGACGAATAACTTGCCCTGCTTTGAGAATGTCTCGAGGATCTTGAGCGTGACGTATATGAGATCGCAGCATCCTTGCAGGAGTACCATATGCGCCTTTATCACCGCACCAGGCAGCTTTGCAATCAACTCCAGCGTCGTCTCCTCGTAAAACAGCCTCGAGATCATATTCTCTGCAATCTCTCGATCGGTCTCGACCGTGCTCCTCGCCATTTCCGACGCAACAAGCAGGATATTTCTAAACGCGTCCATGCCGTACGCGAGTTTTGTCATCAGCTTGCTCTCTGTTGCTTCGCGCATGAGCTTGGTGATTGTGATTAGCGACTGGTGGTCAAGAACGCCCGCGACAAGACCGAAGCCGAGTTCTTCGTTTGGCGTCCGTCGTTGGCGTTCGAGTTCGGCGTTGAGGAACCAGGAGACTAAGAATGCGAACTGGACATGGTGGTGCTCTTCTACGCGCTCGGATTCGCGCTCAATCTCTTTGCGGACGCTTATAAATAGAGCTGTGTCGTAACGTTAGTTCTGCAACCTTATGATAACTAAAAACAAGAGGAATATTCTTACGGTTAAACGACGTATCCAGAAAACTCCCGACAAACGAAGCAAGCACCTTCGTCGCCTCCTTTGAAATCTGCGCCGGTTTCTCCAGCGGACTTTCATCCACCTCCTTCTTCCGCCCGCCTCCCTCATGCCGCCGCCACGTCTTAATCGAGTCCAGCTTGTCGATCGCGTTCTTAGTCCCGTCGATCGCCTTCGGTCCCGAGATCGTCACGCGGTTGGTCCCGTTAATCACGAGCGACGTCATCGTTCCAAACCTGTTGTGTCGCGACGCGCGCACGCGCGCACGGTGTCCTCCTTCCGGCGCAAGCCAGGATTTCTCGACAGTCTCGACGGGCTTGGGCTCGTCGGCCTTGAACAGACTTGCCGGATCGATTCCTTTCAGGAGATGGAACAAAAGCTCGAGCAGCGCGAGATTGAGCGTTTTCATCTCGTCCTCAATACCAGAAGCCAGCACAGCGACGAGATCAAATATATTCTGCTGCCCAAACGCAACGATAGTCGCGCTGCGTCCGTCGTCGACGCCTTCGGGATCTGTAGGCGACATATCGATCAGCGCGATATTCCTCAGGAAATACAGCACGAGGCGGATAATCGCCTCATCTCGAGAGTTGCGTTTGCGACGGTCTTTAGCGATCGAGGGTAGTGCGATGCAGACGATTGAGGAAAGCGCGGTGCCGGTCGGGTAGGTGAGAACGGTTCGCTTGTAGCTGCGCTGCGCGCGCTCGACGTGGGGTTTTTGCATGTTGGTTTCGGCGGTGTAGCGCGCGCCTTCGAGTTGGACGGGCCATGTCAAGGGAACAAGTAATTCGACTGCAAGTAAAACTATTAGCATATGCTTGAGAAGAAGAGCAACGAAAGCAAGGAAGACGCACTGCAAGCCAGGCAGATCCTATAGGGAGCACCAACGGCTCGACCAGCGGCCTCCCAATCAGTAATAATTCTCAAAAGATCCTTCTCAACAAGTCCAGATTCAGCAATCGCCTTTGCAACAGCCAAACTGTTGCGCTTCTCGTCGTAGGCCTTGATCCAGAGCTTGAGATCCTTTAGACATCCTAACGCGTCGTCGCCAAGTTCGTATGGCGCGTCGGGGAGATAGTGGGCTGGACCGCCGAGTGCAGAGACTAGTTGCCCGACACTCGCGCGCACAAACCCAGCAGATGCTTCTAGTTGGTCCATGTCTTGTCTTTTTTGAGCATCCGGGTGGTGCTGCTATAATACAACTAAGGAGAGAATACAGATGGGAGGGTGGACGTGGACGCCTGACTGTCGTGTTCTCCGGGTAACATCCAAACCTAACTTAGTTTACGCGAACACACAGAGTAGGCATTTCGAATCAGGCTTGTTTAGATCACCTGGATTTCGTCAACAAAACAGACCAGCACCCCGTCATGGAGCAAGACGACTTGCGAGAGCATCTAGCGGGTGCCAAAAAACTAGTTGACTTTGTCACGCCGCAGAAGCTGGCGGTGATTGCGCTGCTGCAGGTGTACTGCGAGTTCTCTGTGAGGAGCGAGCATCGATGTCGTGTGCTGCGAACGATTATGAATTATATCTGCCCGACGTCGCTTAGTCTTATGTTTAAGGATCTTGGTGAGATTCAGAAGGATTTTAAAGGGTGTCAGGATCATGCTGGGCGGGATTTCTTTGCCGTGTATATGGCTCATGTATGCTTGCTCTTCACGTAACTCTTAATTGCAGACTTGAACGACTAATCCCTATTCTTCTAGCTCGCGGAAATTGAAGAAATCGAGGACATGCACTTTTACTTTGAAGGGCTTAATGTCGATTTCTTCAAACCAGACGATGGTTCTCCTCCTCTGGTCTCGCCAAACTCATTAATAGGCTCCTTCCTCCGCCGCTGTTATCTGGAGTATCAGGAGATGACGTTTGAGGATCGTCAGGTTTTGTGGGAAGGGTTCCTGCGGTTGCAGAAGCGGCAGGTGAAGTCATTGGCGAAGAATATCGAGGCGTTCAGTCGAAGGTTGGAAGGTACGAACGTGGGCGGGACTGTTGCGACTGAAGACTCTGGTTCTCTGCTTGCTGTCGATGATATGATGCGCATATTTGAATGCTTGATGCAGTACATGCATGGTCTGTATCCCTGATTTATGTTAGTTGTGTTTTGCTTTTACTATGCTGACTTTGGTGCTAAAGAGCACGGAACACATCTGTCATTCTCCATGCTCGAGACTCTCGAATACGCAATCTACTCGACCGGCAAGCGCCCATCAGCAATCTACTACGTCAAATTCCTCCACGCCTGGCGCATAGGCGACTACCGACAAGCAAACGAATACATTCGAAGTTACTTTGACTTTGCGAATATCAAAGACCAGAAAGCGCGTCATCAGTACGCGTTGCTCAATCTGGCCATGATGCAGGCTGAGTTTGGATGCCATGATGAGGCGGTCGGAGCGATCCAGGAAGCTATACGCACCGCGCGAGAGTTTCGGGACACGCCGTGTCTTAATTTCTGTCTGTCGTGGGTGACGATGATGCAGGCTGAGTTGCCGTTGCTGTATTCCAGTATCGCTACCGATGACGAGAACACGTCGAATTATTTGAAAGCAAAGACGCAAGAGTGCGGCATGGTTGATTTACATTCTTCGGTTTATCTGGCGGATATGCGGACGCTGATGGCGGAAGGGGCGTCTCCTGTCGAGGTAATTGAGGCGGTTGAGAAGAGCATGCTCATCCTGTCGACAGTCTGTATGCCTCCCGCGATAGAGACTCTCTACAGTACCAAAGCTGCTCTGTGGGCCAGGCTCGGTATCGAGCCGCTGTCGATGTTTTATGAAGAAGCCGGCGCCAAGATCTTTGACTCTAGCAAAATATTCAGCGAGTCGGTGATAAAAGCTAGACTTCGAAAAGCCTACGGCGATACATTAAGAGGTGACCACCGGGATGCTCTAGATACATATGCAGCTCTGAGAGATGTCGCGTGTATGAGTCGCTGGACAAAGGCTCGCTGGCTTATGTTTACCCAGCTCACGAATTTGCGGATCGCAGTTCGACAACAGTGGATTTCTGAAGCGAATCATTTCTTCCAGCTGTTGCAGAAAACAGAGTTGAGTGACAGCGATGTCACGCTTGAGCTTTCGATGGTGTTTACCGAGTACTATATGTTGACTGAAAACACCGAGCTTGCTGTTTCTGAGATCACAAGGAATTTGGAGTCTGCGATTTTCAAAAGCGCCGATCTGCACACGCAGCTCAGGTATCAAATTGCCTATGCGGAACTGATGTGCAAGATAGGACACCACTACCGAGGTTATTCGTTGATGATGCGAGTGGTAGCTGTCGCAGAGCGCAACTGTATCTTACCCTGCATGGTCAGCGCGATCCTGGTTCTCTGCATGATCTTCATATCGTCCCGGCAGTTTGACTCTGTCCTTGCAATCATGGACACGGTCTTTCCATTCGCAATCATGGGCAAAGACTATGACTCGCTGGCTCGCGCGTTCCACCTCACTTTTGTCGCCATGGTCGGCGCAAACGACCTCTGCGCGGAAAAACTCGCGCGAAGTAGCGGTAAACAAAGGGAGGATATGCTGCAGAAACTAGCCCATAGCGTCAAATACGCCCACTGCGCGTTTCTGCTCTACAACGGACATGGTCGTGTTGAGCTTGCAAACGAAGTATCGGCATCTCTGGCTTTGCTTTCGGATCTGCTCGGTGAAAACTACAAAAGCGAACGCGACAAGTATGTGAGCGAGTTCTTTAGCTCGCTGCCTGAATTGAAGCCCGTCACGGCAAATCTCGAGACGTCGGTTTTTTACGATGAACGCCATAAGAGAATTTGAGAGTTGTTTTTCTTTGTCTTTTCCTAGTTTTTTGCATATGCATGGCGTTTTTCTATATCAGTTATGGGATTGTATTTTAGATAGCAGTTTGTACTGTGTTACCACGAAAAATTGAGGTCTACATTCGGAGAGAACACTTTAGTACCTGATGGTCTCAAGCTTCTTTATACTACAGTATTCGCTACTAGATTACAGCAAACAAAGAAAATTTACATTAAAAGAGCTAGACAAGTATCTATACCCATACCTCCGCAATCGCCACCAATCACCACCACGAAGAAAAAGGAAAGCGAGCATGTATTTACAAGAAATTAGAACAAAACAGAAAAAAAGAAAGAAACCAAAGACTCCATATACTTTGACGACGAGAAACTGCTAGTTTAGGCTTTTTAGGTGGCCCGAACGTTTTAGATATTGGCGCTAGCTGGCTGACGTTGATAATTGGAGATGTCGGGACAGAAAAGTGAAGATTGTGAGCCTTCTGATAAAGAGGCGAAGAGAGGCTTTTGTCTGCGACCAGTATCCCACCCGGCTCGAAAAGAAGACAGATGTGTTGCATTTAGAGAGGTCGGGATGTGAGACTTTTGTCACTGTAAATTATTGATGAACTTTTGATGTTTAACGACTCTTACGAGAAGAGCTTGACGATGAACTCCCAGGTTCCAAACATGATAATCGAGTTCGGGACAGTCCGCATGAGATGGGGAGTGAGGCCACCGTACAGAGCAACGAAGCCTTCCTGCTTCCAGATTGTGGTGAAGCAGTTAATCAGTCCAGAGTATTTCGGCTTTCCGTTATCCAAAGGCCGCTGTCGTAGTCGTGTGCGAACGACCTCGTGGGGATACGTCAGCAGCGAGGCAGAGAGCTTTGCTAAACCGGCAGCACCGGACTTCGCAAGCCATTCAAAGAAAGCATCTCCGGTGGTCGACTGAATTCCTAGACTGTCGCGCAGCTTCTCACGCTGACGAATCAAGCCCTTCATTTGCTCGTAAAGGACCCATTGCAGCGAAGATTCGACGACGCCAAGGTAACTGGCAGTCAGACCTCGGTAAAGACCCTTGATACCCTCCTTTTGCACAACTTGCTTAACGCAGTCGGCGCTATTATTGTACTGTCGTTTTTGGACTCCCTTGTCACTGTTTTGCTTGTCGAGCTGAAGTCGTGTCTTGACGAGCCAGATTGGGTTGGTCGCGGTCGAAGTGGTGACTCCCGCAATAGCCGCCGACATTAGGTTAACCCAGGTGGCCTCTTCTCCGTTGTTGAACTTTGACGAGATGATTGATTTTCCGGTGCTGTAGGTGAAGAAGTTGATAGATCTGCAGATTTACCGTTAGAGTGACTGCTTCATAGTAGCCATAGATTATAGATCCTCATACCTAGCAGGAATGACACCGACCAAGTTAGGGCCGAGTCCCTTGAACAACGCACGTCCTCCTTCAACCTTGTAAACGTCACTGTAACCAACAAAGTCAGCATATTGCCCAGGCAGTAAACAGAGATTTTCGGAACGTACACCAGGATCTGAAATGTTTCGTAGAAATGCAACCCTATAGATCTCACATGGCCAATCTTCCGGCCGTCCCGCAGAGCAGACTGCAAATGACCCTTCTGCAACTGTGAGCTATAAAAGTCACTCTGCAGTCGGGTCTTTACAACATCCAGAGGGCATGTCAATATGGCACCCATCATTCCGCCGAATCTGCAAAAACGTCAAAAAACCGATGTTAGCACTGGTTCCGGCACAAGTCGGGTTTGTCGACTAATAACAAGATCTGGCGGAAACACGCACCCTCCGGCAAAGAAGTGAATCCATGGTCGCGACAAAGGCTGTACTTTATCGGCTGTGTTTGCGGTCGCAACGCTACCGCTGTCGGGTGACGGAGGCAGCTGCGCACCAGACTGCAAGGTCGCGGATGACGGCGAGACGGTAGAAGTCATGTCCTGCCTTGTCGATATATGTTGAGTGTATCTAGCTTTTCTTCCCGTACTCCGCGTAAACCTCTGCTATTTCGCTCAATACTTTTCGCTAGACGGACTATCAAAAGCAACCTTCTGTAAAAGGTTGACAATAATAGAAAGAAAAAATATCTGTCAAAAACTGAGCACCGGGTAGAGCGAAACACTGGCAGATCAGGCAGGAATCCGCTGCTGGACACTGGCTGATGCTGGACTGAACAAAAAATTTGAGGATTCGCGTTTCTTCCCACTAGAAAATCGGGTAGCCGAGCAGCGCCGCACTGTTTCTTCCGTCCTTCCTCTTCGGGAATGTGGTCACGTGAATTTCTGTTTGCAGATTCAACTGCCAACCATCCGATTTGACGATCACGGCGCCTGCTTTGCCACCCAGAGTGCCGTTGATCGGCTTTGAAAAGATCACTATTATTGGCTTTGGTGCAGGATGAGGCACCTGTACCGGCCGTTTGAGACATTTTGCTCGACATTGAGCAAACGTACTTAGCTTTGCTCTTTGGTGGTCAGCAATGCTTCAGATCTACGTCCGCCTGATCGTCAGTCATCAAGGGTTTAGTTGCATGCTGTCCCATCTACCTTTTTGCGGCCATATTTATTTGCCACTTTTATAGCTGTTGGATGATATCAGACTGGAAAAGACTCCTGGGTGCCCAGAAATCGTAAATAGAAACTACACTATGTAAAGTCGTAATATCAACATTTTATCTAGATATCGAAAATCACTGCTTAATTGATCTATGATATATCCCAATGTTTCCCAACTCTCTCATCTACATCGGGTCAACTGCTGCCTAGCTCTAGGATTTGGCTGTATTTGTAGATGCTCTCATTGCATATTCCCTTTCCCATACGCTTATGATCTGAGATTTAGCTGAATATTCAGACTCAGCGCAGTCATCGAGCAGAGTAAAAAGGTTGAAACCCAAAATCAACACTCCCAACTGCGATGATGATTACCTCTGCTAACCACACGATCCGCAGCTTATTCTTCCCCACAGATTTTTTATGTAACGCAATTACCATTAAATCAGCTATTTCATATACGACAGATTATGCTCAAAGTATTAATATCTATTTTCTGTGCTAGCAAGCTCAAGCAGTCTCACGCTTCATTCTGCTAACTATAATACAAGGTGTAGTCGAAGACCACGACAACATGCGGAATCCGCCCTCACTCAATTGCGACAGTCTCGAAGTTTTCACCACCTAGCGGAATTAAATTTTTAAAGTAAGGACAGGCGATTGCTAAGCGCAATGGAGCAAGATACTACAACGCAAGTGAACGAAGCAAGCTTACCTGCTCCAACATCAGACACAAAGATCAGAATCGTATCTTTCAATATCTGTGGTATTCGGAACGTACTTCAGTATCACCCATGGAGCGAAAAGAAGGAGTTTCTGCACATGTTTGAAACAATGGAGGCAGATATAATCTGTTTCCAAGAGACAAAAATACAGGGGAAGGACTTGACGAAGGACATGGTAGTCGTGCCGGGCTTTGATTCGTACTTCAATCTACCCAAAAGCAAAAAAGGATACTCAGGAGTCGCAGTATACACTAGGACTTCAAAATGCAGAGCTATCAAAGCAGAGGAAGGCTTGACTGGAGTACTGGAAATGCCTCGCAAAAAGTTCCAAGAGGTGACCAGTTATCGCGACAGCCCTGACGCCATTGGGGGCTATGATCGATCCTTGAGTATGTCTGAAGCTCTGCTGCTTGATTCCGAAGGTCGCTCGCTGGTACTGGACTTTGGTGCTTTTGTTCTCATTAATGTCTACTGCCCAGCCGTATCGAGCGACGAAAGAGCTAATTTCCGAGAACGATTTCAAGAAGTTCTTTTCAATCGCGTTCAAACTCTAGTCGAGGTTCACGAACGAGAGGTGGTCGTTCTCGGTGACTTCAACATCATTCGCGCTAAAATAGATACCGCGGATCCTTCCGAGATCATGAGAGCGAACAACTTGGAGTCGTTTCAGTCGACATTTTCAAGAGCATTGTTAAATTCAGTTCTACGCCCCTCCACGACTGGATTCCTCGCTGATCTATGCAGGAAATTCCATCCAGGTCGTAAGGGGATGTATACCTGCTGGAATCAAAAACTGAATGCCAGGCCTGGGAACTATGGTAAGTGTTTTCACTCAGACATTCAGTGTTCAGCTTACTTACACAGCTTGCAGGATCCCGTATCGACTACATTTGCACATCAAAGCTATTGGAGGAAAAATGCTCACATGCAGATATCTGGGCAGATCTGATGGGCTCCGATCACTGTCCGATATATGCCGATTTCCTGTTCAACAGCACCGATGCACTTGTAGTCAACTGCGAACCCCCTCTAATATGTGCCAATCGAATTTTCCAGCCAGCACGAACACTCAAGAGTATGTTTGAGACTCAGAAAAAATCAGTCTCATTGACCAGTGAGCAAAAGAGTGCGACAAGCGGCGAAGTACGGTCTATTCAGGTCATATCTGGGGATGCAGAACGGGAAACGCAGAATAAGCGACCGAGACTGCAGTCACCTACGAAAAGCGGCACCGCATCTCGGAAATCTTCTGCTGGAAGTGGACAACTGAAATTGACGAGCTTTGTATCAAAGGCTCGTAAAGATGGTATCTAGCACTGTTGATGACGATATGGAACGACATTCACCTAACCTGCCAACCTAGATCCAGAAGAGCCAGACGATTTCCAGATACCGAGTTATCTACTTGCCGAATACAGCTCCAAACCGACCCCGGACTCATCCGACAAGTGGAAAAAACTATTTAGCAAACCCGAGGCACCGGTCTGCAGTGGCCACGGCGAGCCCTGTACACAGCGAATCACAAAAAAGTCGGGAATCAACGAAGGACGCGCGTTTTGGATATGCTCGAGGTAAGACTGGACTCTGATTTTAGGCTGAGATTTTCTAATGAGAATTACGTGCTAAGATTTTTTTGTTTTTTTTATTAGACCTGTTGGACCAGGATATGCAACGTCGACGAGACCGAAAGATGAAGTGAACAAAGACTATAGATGCTCATATTTCAAATGGGCAACCTCCAAGGAATAGACGAAGCTTTCGGAATGTGATTGATTCGCAGTAAAATGACATGTTTCTCGGTGATAAACGCTAAGAAAACAATATCAGCGAAATGCCAAGTCTGGATATGCAAGCAGACTATACTTATGACGAAGTACTGCAGCGATCTTCAGTGTTAGCTTCCTTGGTCTACTCAAACCCAAGATATGTGAGAGGTAGACAGTCACGACAATTCTTGCTTATAACATTGAGGAGAGTCCACACAGTCTGCAATCGCAACAGATTGCATCAGTTCAGTATGAGAGAGCTTTACCAAGCTGCTGACGTCTATGCGTACCTTACTTTAGGGCCTGTGTAACCGGGTAATCACAAGAAAAAAAAGGAGAAAATGGGGGTCGTGCATAATGGATCTGCTAAAGGTCGATAGTGTGTGATATTCAAAAACTGTGGTAATATACTATTAGACCTTGTCAACCTGTGGGTCCGAGGCATGAAACCACTGGTTGGCTCAAATCAGAGATTATCCCGCAATACCGATGTGCTTCTTTGCAATGAGTTAAATGAGGCTCAAAATAGTATTATATAGTCAAGCCAACATAAACAATGAGCAGAGTCCGCCTACGATTGAGATCTTGATCTCCTGTGTTTTGCACTCGAGGACGTTCACCACGTTCCACCACACTGTGTGCAGATGATGGGCGAACGCTTCTGCCGCTCAAATAATGGTGTTAACAAAACGTGAGTAGTTTATTGGTTTTTCGCAGAAGTCCAAGTATAAAGCTAACATTTGACACAAGAAGATTACATGCTATGGAGAAGCTGGTGGTATCACTACGCAGAGACTTGGAGCACTGCAGAGGGCCATCAATCGCAAAGATTACGTGTGTAATCGAGCGCATAACGCTGGTATATAATATTTACAGCCAAGTCTTTTCTCGTTCGTATTCTGACAAATTATTGCTAGGATTTGCAATACCATTTGCAGCACAGCGGCACAGAGCTGTCCATGTCCGCAGTATATCGTCGCATTACCGGTAATCTTCGAGCTATATATGCTATCATTGCTAATATATTCGCATTTGCGAGGGATGCGCGCCGGCTTCTTTCCGCGTATGATCTGGCGTCGAGTAGAGCTGAAACGAAGCGCCGTCGTCGTCGTCTTGCTCAGCCTCATCTATCCCAAAGACGCAGAATAAGGCTCCTGCTGAAATGACGATCCATTCGACGGCCTTCGATGCTCCACACTAAGAAGGAAGGTTCAGAGAGAGTTAACCAGCTGCAAAATAGTTACTATAGAATTTATCTAACCTAGATTATGAAGTTCCGCCATGCTTAAACGCCACTAGAAAGCCATGTGGACCCACATAGTTCGGGTGGGCAGGCAGTCTGCAGTTGATCACACCTGGTGGAACGCTATACGGATTGTGGACCCAGTGTACCACGTAAAATAGAAACCTTCGCCTACTAGACAAAGAGCTTGTTTTTGGGCACTGACCGAAACAAACCCGGTCGTAACTATGCAAAGATCTAGCCTACCGCCTCATTTCAAATAGTTTATTCTCCCGTTAGTACATGATATGAGGCTCGGCAATCTAGTTCAGCGAGGCCATATAAGTACTGACAGCTCAGACACTGGGCACAATAGCCAATTATAATCTGCGCCATCGCTTGAAAATATTGATCCGGTACAACCATCTGTGTGATCTATTAGTTTTCCGTCATCTTCCGCAAGCCAAGTGTAAAGCGGGCAATCTGCTGAAAATGCGCCTCGACGCCTTCAGCTCCTTTCACTGGCTTTCTCGCTCTTGTATAGCACCAATCAGATATTAAGCACTTTTGTAGAGTTATTGCTGCGCCGCATATGGGCCCTGATGCTACAAACCTGATAAATCTCCACTATGGCGGTACGCGAGCCCTAGCTCTCGCTACAGCGTATACGAATGTAACCGATATCTGCCTGCCTCAAATGACGAATTGAGTTTAATCCCGTTTTCATTCTGCGTACCCCACATATCGAGCTAGTTTGGTTAATCTGTTAGTATGATTCCCATAGTCTATATAATGTCCGAGTTTCCTCTAGAAGGCGCTTGCTGCATACGACAGTGGTGTTACGGACGCTCAAAAGATAATGTTATGACTCCCAGGAATAAGGTAACCCCGAAGAAAAGGCGTTCTTTGCCAAAGAACCACAAGACATTAAAGTCGCGTGTTCTCAGCAGATTCGGTAAAGATCCCGCTTTAAAGCCATTTTGCAGCGTAATGAGATTTGAGTATGATCACGCAAAATCAAAATATCAGACTTCTACGGACAGAGATACCGTTCATCTTTCAGTTATTGGATTTGACAGTACGAGCGGGATTGAAGTTTGCGCATCAGTTCCAACTCTGAAGGCAAAGGGTCACGGTTTACGAATAGGAAGAAATGCTGCATCCAAAAGTTGTGCACCAGTGGCAAAAAACATCAACGGATTTATTGGTTTTAGGACTTTTTACAGCAGGATGTTTCTTAACCTCCATCAACAACGGCTATCTTCGGTTCTAGCCAAAGTGTGGGCGACTTACGAAAACAAGGACTTCTGGAACAAGTATGCAGCGTTGTATGGATCTGAGCCGCGAAAAGAGTCATTTACAGAGTGGCTATTAGGGCGTGCTCTTCCTCCAACAGTGCCACCAAATAGTGATTTTTTCAACCTATTACTGTCCTGCACCTCACCTCCTTCAAAGAGAGAGACGAAGAGTTTGGATGTCGATCTCGGCTTCCAGCAGACAATAGACATCATGGACGAAGCATGCGATGACAACTTCTCGATTCCCTCAGAGTTGGAACTGATGTATATGCAAATGATTGGATCAGGCAATTTCTTTGTGAGCAGCGTTGAAGAACCTCTGCCAGTATTTGATGGCAATTTCTATGAAGATTTTGAAGGACTGGAAGGCGTCCGGCAGTGTGCTCCTACGTATAGGCCTCCGGCAGCAAACAGTAAGTAATTTTTATTGAGGCTTATCTTGTTCAATCAGGTAGAATGCTAACACATTGCAGCAGCAAGCATTGACAACAACTCTTTGGAGGGAGCAGTTGGCTCATATCCATTTCATATATATTAGTTGTGCAGAACGTTTGGATCAGGTTGAGAGGAGTGATGTATCATAGTGGGATCACGAAAATGGCATATGAGAATTACCTTTTAACCAACTTATCTTGTTAAACATCTTAACAGAAACTAGAGTGCAGAATATTTGTGGTACACCTTCGCTAAGATACAGACCCTACTCATCCTGACGATAACTAACCTTTCTAATCTCACCAAGAGTCTTCCGCGCAGAAGACAACTCATTCTCCAACTTCAAAATCTCAACCTGCTGCTCCATTTCCCGTCTCTTAAACTCATGCGCCGACAGCTTACTATAATCCACCTTGTCAAACTCATCCTCTCCTCTTCCTCTTTGCTGCAAGATAGCCTGGACCTGGGACACCAGGGTTCGGCAGGCCGAGTTGACGGCTTTGCTCGCGACTTCAAGTCTATCTTGAGCCTTCGACATGAACGACGCTTTGACGCGCGAGGCAGCAACAAGCTGAGCGGTGGAGGCAGCGACGTCGTTCGAGGCAACAATGAGTTGCTCCAAAGAGTTGTTGCCGCTGACAACACCGTCCGCTGTCTCGATCAAGACATTGGTAGAAGTTGCAACAGCCTTGGCGGCGGAAATCAAACCCTCGGTCCATCGGTTGTGCTTTCTGTAGAAAGCAGCCTTGGAGCTGGTTCCACGACCTTGGGCCACGATTTCCTGCTGTGACTCAGTGGCAGCCTTGATGAGCGCCGCAACGGCGTTCGTCACAGCAATAGCGGCACCAAGAATAGCATCGTGGATCTTCAAATCAAACGAAGAAAGACCAGGGTTCTTGGGCTTTGCCATCAGCTGCGTCAGACGAGCAGCAGCCTTTGCAATCTGCTCAGCAGCGTTGCTCATCTCCTTCTCAACCAACTCACCCAGATCGCCACCATTAAGACCGTTGGAAGCAACCGATCTAGAAGGTGCGAAAGATTCGGCAATCTTGCTGAGGCGCTGGAGAAGCGTCTGAACATCAAGATTGTTCGAAATCACGCGATCAGTCTTCTGGTCGATATTGAGCGGCGCCAGCTTGTCGGAAAAGAGACTGGTAAAGCATTTTTCAGACGCAATTGCGCTTTCCCGCGCGACGTTAATAATCATATCTGCCCGTTTCTCATCAGCAGCAAGACGCGTGAGGCCCTTTGCGTTGATCAGAATATCAGCGATGGCACTCGAGAAGATAGTAGACGTCTTGATGATTTCTGAGTGGTCACCGTTAGGTCCATCAGCCAAAAAGTTGTTGAATGCAGTCGCAAACTCAGTGGCAGAAGCAGAACCCTTTTCAACCATAGACAACAGATAGCTGGGAGACGAGTTCTGGTTACCGGCATTCATAGGAGAGTCCAATTCGTAAACCGCATCAGCGACTCGCTGCGCAGCTGCCTGAAGAACAGCGTCGATAATAGAATTGAGCTTGCCAATGTGCTCGATGAGAATGCCATCGATCTGACCGTCCATCGCTCTGTCCGTATCCTGCTGGCTGAGTTGGAGCTCACTAAGCTGTCTCAAGGCTTCATCCATACCAGCCTTGTACACCTCCAGCTCTTGCTCTTTCTCGCGAAGCAGTTTGTCAGACTCGGAGTCGAATCCCTGTACTCTATCAGAGAGATCATCCAATGCCCGCTGCTTTGAGTGCAACTGCGACTCAAGGTCATCAAGCTCACGGTTATGGCGCGCCAACAGAGAAGACAGCTCAGTGCCTTTAGCACGCTCGGATGCCTCGAGCTTGCTCTTGAGGTCATCAATCTCGCGGTTGAGCTTTCCAACCTCGTCGGTTTGACCGCCGCGGACACGGTCCAGCTCAAGCTTGGCCTTGTCGCGCTCACGAATAAGATCGGCAAGATCCAGGTTCTTTGCCTTCAGCTCCTTCTCTAGTTTCTCCTTACGATCAATAGCTTCCTGAGCAGACGCTGCCTTGGCTTGCATCGCCTTGTACTTGGCCATAAGGTCAAGGTGCTCCTTTCTCAGCTGAGAATAGAGCTTCGCAAGAGAATCGTACTTGGACTTCCAGGCCGCAAGCTGCTCCTGTAGAGATTTGATCTGGTCATCCTTCGAAGAAAGCTGCTGGGAGGTCGTTTGGTTCAGTTGCTGGATCTCATTCTCGAGCGCTCTGACGCGGTTATCGTATCTTTCCAGCATGAGCTGATCTTGATCATACTGTCCTCTAAGAGCCAAAATATCGCGCTCCAGCTCCGCAGCTCTGCCTTGAGCTTGGTTTTGGAGCTGCTGTCGCATGAGCTCCTCCTGAGCAAGACGTTGCTGCTCGGCAGCTAGACGTTGCTGCTCCTCAAACTCACGTTGCTGCTGGAGAGCAAGCTGCTGCTGTTGGTGGAGTTCGCGCTCACGCTGAGCAGCCAGTCGTCGTTGCTCTTCCTCGTATTCACGTTGTTGAGCGGCTAGCTGCTGGGCATAAAGCTCGTTCGGATCAGGCTCGGGTGTGCTAGGGAATTCTTCGATAGCCGGACGGCGAGGGAGAGAGGGCGCACCTCCTTCGATATCGTCATCGTCTTTGAAGAGATCAGGAGGGTCCTAGAAGATTATTAGCCACACTGCAAATCAGATAACAAATGATTCGAAAAAAACACTTACTCTAGGGAGCTTCGGGATCGAAATCAAACTGGTGAGGTATCTCAAGTTCGAGCAGTTGTAGTAGAATTTATGCAGTCTATGATGCTGAGCTTCATATCTGATTCTCAAAGGCTCCAACGCGTCATCCGAATTGGTCGTGGCGTGCATAGCGCGAAGCATGGACGTGACAAACTTGTAGATTCCATAAGACTCGTGAACCAACGCCACCAAGGAGGAAATTCGGCACTCGTTAGACGATCCGGGTCTAAAGTGGCTGAATATAAGTCTTTGGAAGGTGTTGATCTGGTCCTGGAGATTCATCAAATCAGAAATCGTTTCATATCCTTCATTCGGGTCGTTGATGGTCTTGAGAGAGATGTACTCCTCGTACTCAAAAGTTCCTAAATCGTCCGAGAATTAGCAAACAGTGTCATCGATATACAACAAGAGCTGCCACATACCATTGAACTCGGGGTGGTTTCGATGAAATCGAAGCTTATCGAGCAAGAAATCAACGTATTCTCGAATCAAAGGTCCGTATCCTTTGAGACCCTCGCCCTGGGTGCTGCGAGCGCAGCTCTCAATCCAGCTGACTTGGTTCTGAGCCTCTTTCAAAGTGTTCGGATGACCTTCTTGAAGAACTCTGTGGACAGTGATCAATGCCTTAAAGGTCTGAACTTCGTCGGCCAGCACGGGCTGAATCTTCATGGAGGCCCAGAAGGCAGCAGATGATCGGTGATCCCAGGTGTACACGATACAGCCTAAACAAAAAAGTTCGATTAGATATCAATTAAAACAGACCACACAAACGATCCAACGTACTTCGAACGTGCTTGCGCTTGGGAGCGGTCTCCTCCAAGGAAGTTGCCTTCCGGATGGAGACGGAGAGGTCGGCATCGGTTTTGCTCATTTTTGCGTCGCGGGGAAGGTGTGACGCTGCCGGAAAGACAAGTTATCACGATTCCAACGACGTAAAGTAGGACTTCGACAGCTATAGAAGTGCGATCTCAGGCGGAACAGATAGATTGTCCAGAGGGAAGCGCAGACGTAGCAAAAAAATCCTGATAGGCTGTGGATTCGAGCAGGCTGGATTAGAATCGTCGAGCGCCTGCCGACGTCAGTTGAACCCGGCCTGAAGCGGAATGGCGCAGCTGAACCGAATGCGGCGCGCACATGTGACCTTGGAAGGGTTTGAATGGTCTTTTGTTCTCTGTGACAATAACTAGTGAGAAGCTATATCTACAGTTGTAAAATGTCAGACAACTGTTTTTTTGTTATTGTAATTGTTGTTTTTTGCTTATTAATCTGCTGCTCTCTTCGGTGTTCCTAGCGCTACAGAGCTGCGGTCAGCGATCGGTTGCTCACCATATCGCCACAAACCCCACAGTTCTGTATAAATCGAACCAGCAGCATAAACCAGTTCACGATCAAGACAAAGGCAGCATCTACCCAAGATCTTTGCAGACCATCTCTGATACGTCTGCTATTTCGTCTACATTATATCTCATGATTACAGGTTTATGCAATTACTCTAGCTAAATACAAAAGTAGAAATAAACAGGATCCTCAAAGCACTCTCGCAGAAAAAATGATATAGTACAAACTTTTCTTTTCAGACATATATACAGAGTCCGTCTCAGACGAAGCTCCTCCAGGTCCTCTATTTGGTCTTTGCCTTCTTCTTCGGTCTCGCTTTCTCGTCCAGTGTCGAGGGCTTTGGTCCTATTGACTTCTTGTATCCCCACACTTTTTCCAAATGCGGGAGGTCCAGAACTTCGTCGTACACTCTCTTTTTGACGACTTTTGATATCGAGTTCTGAGCGAGGTTCTCGAAAGGCTTCATGAGCTCGTTGAATGGAACCTTCGATTTTTCTTCATCTTCTTCTTCTTCCGCACTTTCACCATCGCTTTCTTCAGAGTCTTTCTTCTTGCCGGCGTTGTCGGTAAGCTCTGCCATCTTCTTCTCAAACTCCTCAACGAAGATATCTATCATGTGGTACCGTATGCCATCCGCAATAGCTGTGTTCTTAGGACTGTGTATTTCTATCCGTTAGCGTTGCCCCAAGTCAATTTTAGAGAGCAATCGAAAACTCACTTCAAAGGATATTCCATCAGCGACTTGTTGAAGCTGGTAATCATCTCTTGGTCCCAATTCGAATTGGCCAGACGTTCAAACATCCCGCTGACAAACCGTCTGATCAGCAGATAGTATTTGTCGATTCTAACAAACAAAAATTAGCTGACCCTCTCTAATACTTCGGTCTTTATCATATCATGAGAGTCTGTAATACCTCAGCACATCAATATTATTCCAGTCCCGGCATATTGTCGCCCAGAACGCATCCACGAATCCCGCAACATTGTGATCACCAACTCCCAACTGCATACGGCCAAGTCTGGTAGCCATAGCCTGCTGCACCTTTGGACGATCCGTCATCCACATTGCTAAACGTAAGGAAATTCCAGTTAGATCACCGATCACGCAGACCTCTTGACGCGTGAGATGAATAGAAAAACGTACTATAATACAGGCCCTTCCACATCTTCAGAAAATCTAATGCGGGAATCTCCTCTTCCGTGTCTAAATACTGCTCCAGTTTCTCTACTCCGGACTCTCTTGCCGGTCGATCTGCAATAGCATAAAAACATTAGAACTGGAAAAAACCATCAAGATGTTATTCAAGATAACACGCACCATTCGCCGCCAACTTCTTGAGAAGAGCCGCTAGTTGCTGACTCCGGTCTTGCTCAGCTTCAGACATCTTTTCCGTAATAATGGTATTATACAGATCAGTTTCCCTGCTGTTATTGAACTGCCAGAGTATCAAATACTTTTTCGAGAAGTCAGACACAAAAATGCTGAAATCATTTTTTTTTGGGTTTGTACTCGTATACCCTTACCCTTACCTCCCAAATCTATTCACTGCCAAAGCTCCTTGGGAGTTCTTTGCATTCGGCCTGGTATTTTCAGTCGGCCTGGCTGTCTTTCCTATAAAGGCAATACATTGGTGGTAGTTGAAGATGACTTTGCAATAAAAAGATTTGTGATTTTGGTAGGTTTTGCTACGTCAGAATCATAAGGAGAGGTAGGAGTGGGCAGTGCAATCATAGTAAACGTGTCTCGCCGCAAGAAATAATATTCATCGATAAATCATCCAATATAATATCCCCTACCTCAAGTGCACTTGAAGTCATCATTGCGGTTGACTACCACCCAGTACACTAGAGCTACCGAGAGGTGTCCCATTTAAAGTCACCAGCGGCACCATCGAAGGCCGGCCGTGGGCGCATTGGAATGGAAACTCGCATTGAGTGAGATTGGCGATTAGAGCGCGGCACTTTTCTAGCTCTAACTTGTCGCCAAACATTATTGCCCCTACAGGTGATCTGAGAGTCAGTAAATCATCACTATAGCGTCTTCTTGCTTATTTTTCACTATAAAGAAGACGGATACATACCTCGACAGGCTCGCGAGTTCAGTAGCTCCAGAATCATCTTTGGAAGACAACCTGCAACCGACTCCGCAGAAACCGCCTCCTCACCTTTGCCCAGCAAAAGCGCTGGCACACGTCCCGACTGTAAATCCTGGCTATGCCTCAAGATAATACGATTCGCCAGCTTCGGGTCAGATAAGCAACGGTTACCGATCGTTTTCGGCAGACGACTGATTTCTAACCTTGCGTCTTCCTGTAACTCAAAGGTACCGTGTGGACCAGTCTTTAGACCGTCGATGCGATATGTAATACCCCATGCTTCAAACTGGTCTCGGTACCGTTCAAGACTTTGAACTTCTGACAGGTTGATCGGAAACCTCATCGGATGCTCGAGTCGAAAGGAAAATTCGTCGTCGGCAGCAGCAGCGCCGTTGCTGGCTCTCAAGCGGACTGCCTGCGAATACTCTGAGATCAACTTCTCAACTCTGACTCTCTCATCAGCTGCGTGCTGGTCAACCAGCACAAGTCGCGGTACTTCAGACTCCAATATGTCGTTTGTTTTGATCAATATAAACTGATCATTCACCTGTGAGATGACTGATGCATGCTGCAATTCAGATTTACTGATTCGGATAGATGCCGAGTCAACATCAGATAGATTTCGCTGGGAAAGACTGTGAATGCTTTCCTCTGATTTTCCGAATACCTCTGGTCTCCAATTCTATGCTTCAAGTCAGTAGGGATACCCTGATTTTCTTCAATAGATGATCCATTTACCTCCGCGCGGTTTCGATAGTTCATTTGATCGTCAGCAGACAGCGACCTTCGACGCGTCATACTACTCCCCCCACCATCTTCATCCTCGCGGCGAGACAACGTCGGCGATGAACATCGTATACAGGTAGTTGGCATATCAGATTTACCACTGCGCACTTTTGACAGCGCTAATTCGCGTAGACTGAAAGAGCGTTGGTGGAGATTTTCGGTCACTGAGTGTTGGCGATTAGCAAGTCGTGGTTTCTTGCGCGGAGATGGTATAGCCCTGATATCTTGTCGTTCCAGAACTGGCTTGAGGGAGTTGACTAATGCGTTTCTGATATCTTGGTAATTCTGAAATCATGTCAGCACATCCATTACAGCCGCAAGTGCAAATCACTTTGTTAAAGTCATACTTCGAGGGTTCCTATCGCTTTTGATGGATCCTGACAGACGTCGTATCCGGATAACGGCGCCGAAATCCAAAGAATATAGAATGGATTCTTTGATATATCGAAATCATCATCGTCAGGGTTCTCTAGACATCTCTTCATCAAATCGTTGATCTCCTTCTGTAAACTGTCTGATACCAGTTTCCGATTATTGATATCTGATAAAACTGTCAGTCAACTGCCCAGCAACATCTCTCAAATAAAGAGCTTCGTACAGATATATTGGTGATTCTTTGATCGCGTGAGCTTTGGGGATATAACCCCTTTGATAGCTATATCCCCTTCAACTTTGTCAAAAGCCTCATATGTATCGACAACATCGTCTCCGTAGGCTCTTTTTATAACGGTGATACCATCGTCATAGATCTCTCCGCCGGAATAGCTGAATACCAGCTTTCCGTCCACGCGAAACCATATATCCACGTTCCTAAGCCACATTGACGCTAAAATAGTCTCGACCATCGCTTTCTTGCAATGGGAAATCGTGCTCTCGAGCGCCCGTCGCTTGTCATGCACGCCAGCGGACGTGAGCATTTTTCTTCGCACCGGTAAGTTTCCGAATAAGTTTTGGACAATCACATGAGTTCCATGACTCAGAAATGGAGTAGATGCTGAACCATTGTATATCGTCTCCGAGTTATGTATTCGCTTTGTGGTGGTTATTCGGTAGTCCTCGTGGCGCGACGTTATAGTAAGCAGCGATACGGCAGCTATACTCGCCAGAGCTAGGTAGAGTCAGAAACCAAGTTTACAAAAGTAAAAAGTTGTAGTTTTCACATACCTTCTCCCCTGAAACCAAAGGTCTGGACATTTTCTAGATCAGATAAAGCGCTCAATTTCGAAGTAGCTAGAAACGTAAACCACCATCAGTCTCAACCACCTTTGATCCAAGCAAAATCGCTATACATACAATGAGGAGACCCCAAACTCTCCATATCGCGCGGCACAATCCCAGATCCATTGTCCTTCACAGAGATATAATAGTCCTCCGAATGCAGCGAGATTTCGATTTTGGTCGACCGGGCATCCAGCGAGTTCTGAAGCAGCTCGGATATACACTGTGCTGCTGATGTTATTACGACTTGTGAGCGAAGGCGCGAGACGGTGGTTTCCGGCAGGGTTTGAATTGACTTCATTAAGAAGCGGTTATGTAGTAAAAAATGAATCGCAGTTCATTGGCTTTGAAGTGACTTTACCCTTTAGTAATGAGCCTAGGATGAATGGATATCGAGATCTAAAGAAGTGCAGTTGGGATCTACAGGTTAAGCACCAGACCATCGGGCTAGGGCATCCCTAATTACACTCACTTCCACCCTAAATCAATTGCCAGCAGTCCTGTCTCTATTCTCAATCAAAATTTTTTTATTTCACTAAACGATAGATAGTATTCGATGATTCCCAATTCACAAACAAAAAAATTTATAATTTGAAGATAAATGCACAATCCATATGTCGCAGAGGCTAATTGCAAAGAGCAAATACCAACTATACTGACCAAGAAGAACCTGCCGGAGCGCACGCCAACAAGTGCATTTGTCTGCCAGAGACTAGATCTCACTCCAGAGCAGCCGCGGCCGCGCGCTCTTCCTTCTTCACGCTCGCAGCAGCCAATCGCTTCATCTCATTCACAAAACTCTCTCCCCAATATGCTGAGGTATAATTGCTCACATATCTAAACAGTTTCTGCTGATTGTTGATCCGAGTCTCCTCAGGCATCGTCATCGAGTCGTAGATCGCGTCAGCTAGTTCCTCAGTGTTCCATGGGTTGACGATGATACTGCCGTTTAGCGACTGGGCAGCACCGGCAAATTCGGAGAGAATCATCACACCGTGCTTCTTCTGCTGGCACGCAATGTACTCGTATGAAACGAGATTCATACCGTCACGAGTGCTGCTAACAAGACAAGCATCACTCACGGCGTACAGCGCAACGAGCTCGTCAAAGTTCACCGACTTGTGCATAAAGTGAATCGGCACAAACTCGACGGTTCCGAATTTGCCGTTGATGCGTCCGACAAGCTCGTTAACGACCGCGCGCAAGTTCTGGTACTCTTCGACGTCCTGACGTGAAGGTACAGCAACCTGCACCAAAACCACCTTTCCAATCCATTCAGGATGCTCAGTCAAGAAAACTTCCAAAGCGTGCAGTTTCTGCGGGACACCCTTGATATAATCTAATCGATCGACACCGACAATGATCTTCACGCCGTCAAACTTCGATTCCAGCTGCGCTATCCGCTTCTGCACCTTCTCAGTCTTGAGAGCCTCTGTGAACTTCTCGGGATCGATACCGATAGGGAAGGTGCCGACGGTAACCATCTGTCCGTTGAAATCGACGCCGTTCGGGAACGTCGGCAGGCCGAGGATTCGGGAGCAGGACGAAAGGAAATGACGAGCGTAGTCATAAGTATGGAATCCAACTAAATCACAGCATAAAACACCTTCTAAAACCTCTCTACGCACCGGCAAGATTCTGTAGATCTCGCTGGATGGGAAGGGAGTATGCAGGAAAAAGCCGAGCTGGACGCCCTTTACCCGGTTCTGGATCTCCTCACGAAGCATGGCGGGAAGAAGCATCAGGTGATAATCATGCACCCAAACGAGATCGTAGTCCGTAACAACATCCGCGATGGCCTGGGCGAATAGCCGGTTGGCGTCGCGGTAGGCGTCCCAAGCCGCCTCGTCGAAGTTCATCTCACCGGGATGGTAGTGGAATAGAGGCCAGAGAATACTATTGCTGAAGCCGTTGTAATGCAGATCAGCCAGCTCGTCTGACAAAAACACAGGCACACAGCTAAACTCGTCACGGAGGCGTTTGACCATAGCTGGTTTGTCCTCATCTGGAACTTCGAGACCTGCATGAATGGCGAACCCCCTAGTCAGTACATATTCGCTCATCACGTCCAGATTCCAGCTCATCAGACGGGTGGGCTACATACCAGGCCATCCAAACCAGGTGAACCTAGTAGACTTCTTCAATCCAGAAAGTGCCGACACCAGTCCACCCGAGGACATGGCGAAATCATATTCGCCATTGCTATTCCGCTTGATGGTGATTGGCAGTCGATTAGAGATCACCAATAGATTATCGGCCGGCATGGTATCAGCAATCACGCAAGAGACAAAGAAATAGTATGAGTGTATGCGCGTAAAAAGCTAAAGAGCAACAGCTTCAGTAATAGCGAGCTGGAACTGTGAATCAATGAGTAGAAAGAGATCGGAGTTGGTGGGAATACAATGGAAATCAGGATCAGCCTTCGAGAAGTTGGATGCCCAACGAAGAAGGTTTTTGACAACTGCCAACAAATAAGGTTTAAAGACAAAACCTTATTCCAGAGTCCCTTTTGGGCAGAACTCTATTTCAGAGACGCCGGTCGCGTATCGCGTACAGCGAGTGCAAACAGATTTTATAAACAAACACAAACTACCGGACTTTCTGACTCTGTGGTTGAGCCTGACCAGTCTTTGTGTTTTAATCGGGTTTCTGCATGGCGCCGTCGGATCAGGACGTCGAGCGTGCGTTAGCAGCTAGGCTGCGCAGTGCGGATTTCGATATAGACACGCTGAAATCTATTCGAAAAGATGTTATCAAGCATCTTGATCTTCCAGACGATTTTTTCAAAGATCAGAGATGGAAGCAGAGGTCGGCTGAGATAGTAGACAAATTTGTGGTATGCTATTTCTTGATTTTTTGAGCGACGTGGATGCTTGAATTTTTTTTCGATATCGAAGCTGATGAGATCTAACGCATCGTGAAGGAAGGAATTGAGATAGTGCCACTGACTCCACAAAAGCAACTGTCTCCGAAGAAGAATGATAGCAAAGAGGTCACTCTAAGAAAGGTCTCTCCAGAAAAGGTCTCTCCAAAAAAGGTCTCTCCAAAAAAGGTCTCTCCAAAAAAAGAGGCATCGCCAAAATCAACACCAAACGGGAAGAAGCCAAAAGCAGAGGCGCGTCGAAAAAACGAGGAGGAGGAAGAGGAGTATTCAGACGTTATCGATGACGAGCCTGCACCTGCGCGGAAACGAAAGACAGCAGACGATTTGACACCAGCATCACCGAGCAAAAAGCCAAAGAAAGAAAAGGGATCTACGGCTAAGGCGAGTACCGAATCTAAAATGAAATCAAGCACGAAAACGAAAGCGACGAAAACAAAACGAGGGTCTGCGGCAGCAGTAGTATCAGACGATCCTCTAGAACAGAAAATCGCGACGCTGAAATCCTGGATCGTTAAATGCGGAGTCCGGAAACAATGGTCACGCGAACTACAACCGTACTCGACAAAGAAAGAGCAGATCGCACACCTGCAAAAGATACTCGCAGATCTAGGTATGACACCCCGGTACAGTCTCGAGAAGGCAAAACGAATAAAGGAAGAGCGCGAGTTTCAAGCAGAGGTTGCGCAGCTGCGGGCTGATGCTGGCGGCGCGTCGGGTAGTGAGGAGGATGACGATAGAGCAAAATCAGGACCTGCTACGCGGGGACGGAAAGTGGTAAGTTGGCGAATTATAAGTGAGTTTTCCGACTACATCTAACAGTTTCGTATTTCAGGTTGCTGGAAACTTCAGTGTGGACTTTCTGGGAGATCAGAGCGAGAGCGACTAGACTCAAGCTTCAGCTCAGATCACAGCTGTACTTTTACTAATGATTTTTATTTGCATATACATGCGTATTCGCCTCCAATGTACAACATTATCTCACTCAAGAACCTCTGAATACTAAGCTCTGAAAGTCTTAGATCTCCTCAATGACATTCTTGGCCTCCGAGACTACATCAAAAAATCAGTTAGCAACGATCAACAGCACTCTTCAGACTCACGGAATACGTACCATTGATGCCAGTGCTGTCAGGCTCAACCCAGAGCTTCTTGACAACACCATCCTCGACCAAAATCGCAGATCGCTTGTGTCGGTATCCACCAAAGAAAGCCGACGCATCGAAATCGATCTCGAGCTTCTTGCCAAAGTCCAAGGCGGGGTCGGCAAGGTACTTGATCTTTCCGTCAGCGTCGCCGAGGACTTTTCCCCAGGAGGTCTGCACGAACGCATCGTTTCCGGAAATCACGTAGATGCTGTCAATGCCCTTCTCGGCGAACTTGGGAGCGAGCGAAACATAGCCCGGAATATGACGGGCCGAGCAGCCAGGGGAGTAGGCACCGGGAACGAAGACGAGCAGAGATTTTCCCTGAGATTCGATCGATTAGCATTAAACTGTGTAGAATAAGGACAAAACTAGACGCACAGTCTTGGTCAATTCGTCAGTGGCGATCTTGTCGCCCGGAGTCTCGCCAAAAACAGTGGCGCTGGGGATGGAGTCTCCGACCGCGATAGCAGCAGCTCTCGAGGCATGGAAAGCGCGACGACCGGCGGACGCAGCGAGAGGCTTCACAGCCGAGGAAAGGGTGTTGAATCTCATGCTCATCATTTTGTATCTTGCAGATTGAGGCGCTGATTGGAACAATTGAATGGTGGTTGATCCCGGACGAGTTGTTGACGGAAGATCCTGGAGACGTCAATTGATGTCCAATCCTTCCGGCTCATAAATGACCACCACAGAGAGATAGTAATGAGCCGCGCTAGTTTTTAAGTCTGATGGCAAATTACAGCATATTGGTTCACACTTTTGGTTGAATAGGGTAAAAGTCAACCATCAGTTCAAACCAGTGGTTCCACTACCCGCTCCGTTCACGATTCGCTCGACCAGTGAATTCTCTTAGAAACAAAAAATTTACAATCGATTGTCGCATACTCCACATCCGAAATCCCACAACACCCCGCTCAGTATCGCTATATAGCGGAGTACGAGCAAGAAAAAGTTATTGGTTATAGGAAGGAGATATACAGAAAAATAGAATCTCGAAAATGCGGCAAAATTTCATCGGAATGGTTATTTCGCAGGGGAAGATGAGGAAGACGGTGAAGGTCCGGGTGCAGATACCAGTTATGCGGAAGAAGTTGGGAATCGTGAGTGCGCCCTTTTAGCAATTAGAATTTATTCAGCTGTATTTGCTTGATTCTGACTGACTTTTCTGGCTATTTACAGTTGGTGAACAAGCGGAGAGATTTCCTGGTGCACGACGAAGGCGAGTTAACTCGGGAAGGCGACATCGTCCGCATTGAGTCCACGCGCCCACTTTCTGCGACCAAGTTCTTTGCCATTGCAGAGATCAAGAACCCCAAAGGCCGAGTGTTTGAGAAATACCGCGAGATTGCGTCGCTGGAGGATTACATCAAGTTTCTGCACAGCCAAACGAAGTATAAGTCTCTGACGGCCGTTCCCGTCGACGAGACCTTTCTACCGACTGACCCGGGTCTGTTGGCGGGATTGCCAGAAAGGTTCACGCCGGATATCCTACAGATTATTCACCGACATGGCGCGCCGAAGGTCGATTACGAGGGCGAGATTTTCGCAAACGCAAGTCTGGCGAGCGACCCTGGCTTCCGCTCCAGCGTGCGTGCGTTCAGCATGCTCAAGCGCATCAATGACCCCCAGATTGCCGACAGGACAACGCTTGATGAGATTAAGAAATCGATCGAAACGGAGTATGACTTGAAGAAGCCGCTCGAGCAGTACCTCAAGGGACCTGCGGCGATTGCGGCAGCGCTGGCTAAGGACTATAAAGCACGGGCGGAACAGATACTTCGCCCTAAAGAGCCGAACAGTGAGGAGGATTCCAATGAGCAGGATAAGCTACTGGCTGCGCAGCAGGCTGAGGATCTTGGTAGTCAGGAGGATTTAGAGAAGGCTTTGCTGGCTGAGCAACAGGCTGAAGAGCAGGTCACAGAGCAGACTACCGAGCAGGCTTCAGAACAGGCTACCGAGCAGGCTTCAGAACAGGCTGCAGAGCAGGCTACCGAGCAGGCTACCGAGCAAGCTTCAGAACAGGCTTCAGAGGAACCTGAGCAGCCGACTCAGGAGCCGCCGAATGAAACAAAGTGATCGAGTTAAAAAGAAAAGATATGGGCTGTTGATGGCTAGGGTCGACCGGCCGGATGTTTTTATGTACTCCTCGGGTGCTTGTAAATATGATACAAAATATATAATCAACCATTCTATAGATTAGACTATGATCAGAGCCAAACATGTTGAAGTCAACTGGATTATCGATAGACAGAAGATTGCGCAGCTGCTACATATAATATCTATACAAGACGAAAGAGCATTCAACTATATCAAATCGAAAATTGAAGAAAACAAGGCTCAACACTCATATCGCGTCGTTGCGCATCTTTCTTCCCTAAAGAGCAAGGAAAATCTAAGAAGAACTAAAAGTATCACTGGTACGCAAACATGTGTATTATATACATATCAAAAGCCTTCCTTCTCTTCTCCGCCTTCTCACAATCTCTTCTTCTTCTTCAGGCTGAAACTGAAGAAGATATGTTTGATAAGAGACATCACATAGTGTCACGTGCAAACACAGAATTGAGATGGACAGGCTAAAGAAAACCGTACAACCCATAAACAAAATGTATAAAATCAAAAGAGAACTATAAAACGGCAAGGAAAATAAGCAAAATATAAGAATTTGTTGAAAAGAAATGACTGTCCCAAAAATGAAGAGTGTGCGACTATTAAAAACACGAGGAAAGAGGAAGAACGGACTTTAGATCAAAGAGTAGGCAAGGTAAATAAAAAAAATACATCTTCATATCCAGAAATCGTAAAATCAACAAAGAAGAATACAAGAAAAAGAATAACAGATTAAGCAGAACTTTTGTATAAGTAAAACTTTGCCATCTCGTAACTAGTCCAGCAAATAGCGGTACTGGGCATATTTGCAACTATACGAGGCTTCAGACCCCGCATGAAACCCCGGGCACCCTCGCGTTTGTATATGATCCGGGCAGCGTCGACGAGCGAGCGGGAATGTCTAATCTCTGCATCGGTGGAAGTGCCCTTGGTTTGCAGGAAGGTCTTGATGACATCGAGAGGGGTTGTGGCCGCGGCAGCGACGGCGCCAGCGAGACCTCCGGCCACGCAGTGAGTGAGCGGATCGTACTTTCTTTGAGGATTCATGAGCTTGGATAGAGCTTCATACGAGGTGAAGTTGATGGCCGTGAGAGGGATGTTCATCATCAACGTGGTGGGGTAGGAAATGTAGAAAGCCGAGAATCCCTCGGTTCGGTAAATACTGCTGGCACAGGCGCCGATGTTGGCAAACCTGCTTCCGGCAAGCTGCATGCGCTGCTTGATGACATCGAAAGGGTTCATGAGAGCATCTGAGGCGGTGGTTGCGCATGCGCCGGCGAACGATGTAGCGATGGGATGGTAGCCGACACCCTCGTTTCCTCCAAAAACCTGCTTGGTGTATTCGTAGACGGAGAAGTAGACAGCATGAGCAGGACCGGCGCCGAGAGCGACGGAGGTGATTCCTCGCCATAGTGCCCGGGCACCTTCGTTTGCAGATATCCGGGTGATGGCATTCGAGATGCCTGTGTATGATGTTCCGCCAATTGCGACGACTTGCATTCGGGTCTAGAGAATCGGTTAGAGCTGATCATGGGTTGTTTCACAGTGGGATAGCTGATCCTTACCTTGATAGCGTCAACCGGGTACATCACGGTGTGTTCCTACAGGGATGAAATGTTAGTGAATCATCTAGGAGACCAAGCCCTCGTCCGGTCAAACAATGAACAAGAAGACATAAAAATTTTTAAACTACTGCAACATCACAGGATGTCTCCACAGAAAAGGAATTGAAGGTGACCATCGAGCTTCAGTAATCGTGCGGCGGCATTCCGGGGTTGCAATCGCCAATCGCAGAAACCGAAGAAGAAAAAAAATACAGAGATGGAAAGGACGAGAGCAAATCAAAGAAAGAGGAGGAAGACAAGATAAGACATACCATGATACCGGCGAACGCACCAGCTATGAGATTAGAAGCCAGGGTGGTGTTTTTCGGCAGAGCCTCGTAGTCGAATTCATCGTCGTCTTCTTCTTCTACTGGCACAATTGGATTAGGGAGGGCATGATCATGCGCAGGTGGCCGAGCGGAGTCATGGTCTGGAGGAAGCATTTGAATCTGCGGGTTGGAAGAGGACGGAGATTGCTGGGTCTGCAGAGGCGAAGAGACTGCGACTGCTGCTGCGGCGGCGGCAACGGCTGGGGCGGCTGATTGAGGGAGAGGCGGAGACGGCATGTGAGGATAGGAAGAGTAGTGAAGGACGAGCGTCGGCCAAGGAGATAGGCGGAGAAGGCTCGACGGCGCGCACGGGAGGAGGGAAGAGCTGAGCTGGTACTTTGGCGGGAGGGTCCGGAAGCAAAGCCAGCAAGGAACACAGTCGGAGGCCGATCACGAGAAACCGGAGAGTGAAGAAGCCGACTGGGGGTGGGTGGAGTGGGATGAAGGGTTGGTGAAGTAAGCGGGAAGTGGAGGAAAAGATCGTTGACTTTTTTCAGGCCTAGAGTGTGCTCGGCGTAGTTAGTTTGCCCACCAGGTTTGATGGTCGCCGACAGAGTGACCCAGGATAAATTATCGACTTTAGAATGGCCGCATTTTGCTAAACAGGTGATGAAATTCCAGCAAGGCTCGGCCTGCCGATACAGGCATCAAAACGATAGAATCTACTCTGTTCGTCAACCGGCCAATATATGACCGAATTATATAGTAAACACAATAGCAGGATCTACGACAAGTCCGGATGCGGTTTTGCTCGGCTTCTGAGCGGACAGCCGAGGTGAGCCAGGCCGGCAGTGATCGGAGATTAGTTTTGCCTCGCCGTACAATGGCTGACTAATGTGAGAACAGACAAAGTAAGAGTTTCGGACGATAGCGAAGTTGCTACGGGAGGGAGGAGGAGGAGGAGAGAGACATGATTGTAAACAAGGACGAGATTTTAAAGAGAGAACAGGCGAATGAGAGCGATACAAGAAATAGACCAGCCAATGGACATGACGAGGAAGCAGGGGCCTGGCAAAGGGAGCCAGCCAGAGCGACAAAGACGGGCCAGTCATCCTTCTCTAAACTGATCTGATAATAATTCACTCTGCAGCAACCACCCGATGGACGTGCGGTGGCTCTCAGACTCAGGCTGCTTTTTCTGGTGGTAAACTCACAGCAGCTGGCTGGTAAAAGACAGATAAGAAAGCCTCTTCGAAGCCACAGGTCGGTTACAGGCGAGCTCGCGTTCAGCAACCGGCAGCAGCCAAGGAAGCAGTTCTCTTGGTGAGTCCGCTCGAATTCGTATAAACAGCTAATGGCACTGCTCTGCTCGGTGGCCACCGGCCAGTCAGTCGGGGTGGCAACTTATGCAGACCCGCCTCCTTCGAAACGAGGTGCTTCTCGCGTCACTGATATCTGGCGCCTGGATCCGCGTTCTATCAGTGGCCCAGTCCAGCCCTGCACGCATCCAAGCTCAAGCCCGTCGTCGTACTCTGCCACTACTCTTCCTCCCAATAACTGACCTCGCTTGTTTGCTATTATCTTTGAGCTAACTCGTTAAAATCCCCTCGTCCCAGTCCGAATGCAGATTTCTACCTGACTTTGTTCTCCCCTTAATCTGCTACTGCCGCGGTCCAGAACAGCGATATCAAGTACCCAAGCTACCCTCAAGCTCATCAGACCTCCTGTTTACTTCCAAGCGACCACAACTAAATTAGCCAAGAACCCGTAGCCAGGCATAAGCCCGTCTGGCAATCGCTAGAGAACCCCTTGTCTACAAAATACATAGTCAACCTATGCACGAGCCTGGCCGTGCTCCAAATATACAAACCGACGATGAGCGAGCGGTGCCCAAAGCTTCTCGAATCCTATTCTGCCTTCGATGGACCGGGCTGGATTTCGCCAGCGCGCATCTCGGCCTTCTTCCCCGTTTATTATTCTCGTATTTACTCTCGTGTTCATTCGCTGGTCTGATCCGACCGCGCGCTAATTCGACTGCCATGGCGTACACTTGGACCACAGACCTCTTCTCGACTCGGAAAAGCTACTTTGGGCATTTTCGTAGGAATGACGAAGACCACCCCTTCCACAGTCGAGAGCGTGCGGTAAGCACTTTCGTCTATTGACTATTGGTCCATTGAGGAATTCAAGCACTCTACACTAAAAGTGTTCCGATCAAAGGAACGCAGGAATGTCGGTATGTTTACATTTGTCTCAGCGCCCTTCTGTTCAAAATTAAGCAATCGTATTAATTTTTCACCCACTAACTAGCCTACAAGCTATACCTGACGAGCGCCAACACTTATAAATCTGAGAGAAGCCATATCAAACGCCACATCCACTGCCTTCACTCAAGCTTCATCCTTAAGCCTGTTGAAAGTCACTTGATCTTTCGCGTTCTTGAGAGCATCCTTTGCATTGTTCGAGTGCTTGCGCACGAGGTTGATCAGCTCCTCCTTAGTAGAGGTCTTTGCGGGCGCCTTCAAGCCATGGCTCACGAGCCAGCTTTCAAGTTTAGATCTGGACCACGAATCATAAGCCGAGTCAGAGGCGCCCTGGACAGCCTCTTTACCCTTCGAGGAGTAGCTGCGAACAAGGTTGACCAGCTCTTCCTTTGTCGTCGTCTTTGCGGGAGCCTTGTAGCCATTGCTCACGAGCCAGCTCTCGAGATCAGATCTGGACCACTTGTCGTAAGCCGAATCAGCGACGTTTTGAGCGGTCTGCTTGGCGTCCGAGGAATATTCGCGCACAAGCTCCAGAAGCTCTTCGCGAGTGGGTGTCTCAGGGACCTTGTAACCGTGACTCTCAATCCATCCTTTCAGATCAGCCTCAGACCAAGTCTCGTAGACCGAATCGGCAACGTCCGAGGACGCCTTCTTGGACTTTGAGACAACGTAGTTGTAGTTCTCGGCAATCTTCTGCATAAGGTAGTCTTTGGTAGACGCAGCAGAAGACTTGAATCCACTCCAACTGTCATATGCGTAGTCCTTTGTCTCTGCATATTTCTCCTCAGCCTCATCGCTGGTGCTCTTCCAAGTATTTTGCACCTGCTCGAGCAACCAGTCGCGGTTCTGCTTTGCAGATTCCTTGACAGCAACGCCTTTCTCAGACAAATAGTCCGCCAAGCGATCGTCGCTCCAGGTAGAGAAGGGGCTGGCGGAGGCAGTGACGGAGTTCCAGTTCTTGCGCACGACCCCAAGCAGATCGTCGCGGGACTTTTTGTTCTCAAACTTGATGTTGTTGTCTTCGAGCCATTTGCTGAGACGCTTGGTGTCCCAGGAATTGAACTCTAGAGAGTTGAGGTTAGTTATGACTGACCATATGATGAAAGAACAGCAAACTCACCGGAAGAATGGGAGTGAGAGCCGAGGGGAGACCATGCCGACACAGAAAGGACGACACAAGCCAGCAACAGGAGAGCAAAGAACTTCATTGCGAATCAAGAGTAGCAAGAACAGAGGGTAAAGGCAGAAAAAAGATAGTAGGCAGATCAGTGACGAACAAGAACAGACCGGTGTATTTATGTAGAGACCAAGCCGAGAGAGTGGGTGACGATTTAGGAACAGTTCACCGTCGATCGAATGCCCCGGTAACCATGAGTGAGCAGAATGACATCATTTCACTTTCTTTGCTGCTCATCCTCGGGAACTTCTCAGAACCACTCCCTGCTGATCAATGGTTGGCACTCGATCAATCTAATATGATGTTATATGAGAAATTGGATGCTTGCTCGAGGATGGTGTTCTTGGTCGTAGGCTGATAGAATGCAGATCTCCGCACCTGCAATTCCTCAGCGCCAGAGCATCGCTGACACCCACGAATCGCAGTAGTCCTCCATTATCTTTGCAATACACTCAAAGTAAATTTCCTCCGCTGCATGAGCCAATTAATAGCAGTCCGGCTGAACGCTGGACAGATCACCTCTGCTGCTGTGTGGCCGTAGCGATCGATGACGACGATTTCGGTTTGGCGATCTTCATTATGCTGACATAACAAATGACTCACCCGAGGATCATACTTAATTTACCTCGGAGTTATGCCCAATTATCGGAGTAGCCGCGTCGGATATTGCCTATTAGCAGAGTGGCGCGTGGCTCTGTGCCGCAGTAAACCCTTCGTCAATGTCCGAGGGTTGGATTTATATTTCGTGGCGGTCGGCTGCTCTGCCTTTTGTTTTCCATTCATCTGCTTCTTCTATCGACCAGTTCTCATCTGTATCGGTCGTTGCTTGGAAGTCCAGTTTATCACCACTACTTTCGTCTACACAGAGGTCTTAACCATGGCTCGCCGGTCTATCGCGACAGCCTTAAAGTACCTCGACAAACCAGCCGGAGTCGCTGACTCCAAAAAGAAGAAGTTGACTGGTCTCGCCCTCTACGCCAAATACTACACCGTATGCTATCCCTGTCTTGTTTTTCAAGAGCATCTGACGTCAAGTTACTAACTGAATTATAGAGATTCTTTCCATACGTGTGGCCATATAATGACCGACGTCTGCAAGTCAACGCCGCGCTATGTTTACTGATAATGCTCATCTCTCGGGCCGTCAACATCCTCATGCCGTACCAGCTCGGCCGCGTGACAGACATCCTCTCCACATACGAGCAAGCCAACGGGGGAAATATAGCCGAGAAATCAGCGTCAGCTATCCCATGGACCCAGATCACTCTATATCTCGCCCTGCGCTACGTGCAGGGCCACGGCTCCATCCTGGGTTTCTACGAGAAGCAGCTATGGACCAAGATTTCCCAAGCATCCATGCGCTCGCTTGCTTTACTAGGATTTGGCCACGCTCTTGAGCTCGGTGTCGACTACCACCTCACCCACGGCCCCAGCGACATCATCACCACTCTCGAGCGACACCAGGCCATCTTGGGATTCGTCGAGAAAATCACGTTCCAAATGATCCCGCTCGCCATCGACATCGTTCTGGCGGTCGGATACTTTCTTGTCGCATTTGATCGATACTACGCCACAATCGTGATCTGCATCGCTACAACCTACGTATGGGCCAGCACTCGACTTTCAAAGTCTCGCGGAGAGCAAAAGCGAAAGTTCTACGGAGCGTATGCGCAAGAATACACCATCAAGCACGACGCAATCTCAGCTTTCGAGACCGTGAAGTACTTCAACGCGAACCAGTACGAGCAAGACAGATATCGCGAGGCAATCGACAATGTCCAGAAGATTAGTATCAAGTATCAGGCCAGTAATCACCTGCTTGGGCTTATGCAAAACACGATCTTCACCCTCGTCTTGCTGTTTTCTTGCTTCTTTTCGGCTTACAAGGTCATCACCGGCGAGATCAAAGTTGGATCGTTCGTGATGCTGTTGACATACATGAAGCAACTCCAGCATCCTCTTGATCAGCTGACGAATTTCCTGAAGTCGACGCAGGACAACCTCGTCAGTGCTGAGAAGCTCATTCAGATGCTCGAGACTGTGCCTACCGTTGTTGATTCTCCTAATGCAAAGAAACTAGAAGTCAAGAAGGGCGAGATTGTGTTTGACAACGTTTCATTTAAGTACCCCGGTGCTTCTACGCCAGTTGCCACAAACCCCACCGATACCAGCAGCGACGACGATTGCAAGAAGCAGCAGTCCCCACAGCTCGTCAAGGCTATCACCGACTTTAGTCTTACTTGCCCTGCTGGTTCTACGATTGCGTTTGTAGGCGAGTCTGGCGGCGGCAAGAGTACGCTCTTCCGCCTGCTCTTCCGATTCTACGACGTCGCTTCGGGAAAGATCACGATCGACGGACAGGATATCCGTGATGTTCAGCTTTCGTCGTTAGCTTCCGCAATCGGTGTCGTCCCCCAGGAGTGCTCGCTTTTCAACGATACAATTATGTACAACCTGCGATACGCAAAGCAGGACGCGACTGACGAGGAAATCTACGCCGCGGCGCGGGCTGCTTCCATTCACGACAAAATCATGCGGTTCCCGGAAGGTTACGACACCGTCGTTGGCGAGCGAGGATTACGACTCAGCGGAGGCGAAAAGCAGCGAATTGCAATCGCCCGCGCGATCTTGAAAGATCCACCGATTCTACTACTCGATGAAGCGACCGCGATGCTGGACATCGAGTCCGAGCGACACATCCAGCGCGCGATCCGCGAGCTCAGCAAGAACCGGACTACGCTCGTGATTGCGCACAGGCTTAGCACAATCATCTCCGCGGACGTCATTGTGGTCGTGCATGATGGCCAGATCGTCGAGTATGGATCGCACAGGCAGCTAGTAGCCGCTCGCGGCGCGTATTTCAACATGTGGAAGAAGCAGGTCGCGCCGATGTTTGCGGACCAAGCAAAGGGGGAAAACGAAGACGAGATAATCGAGAGCATGATTGATCACCGACCGGTGCTCAACTCGAGAAAGGGGGCGGGTGTTGTGAATCCTGCGGTGCCGGAGGAGAAGAAAGCGAGCGAGAAGAGGAAAAATTCGGTGTTTATTAATGATTTGGATATCTGAGTGTCAATAGCAAGAACGGTGGAGGACAGAATGCATGGATTGGGATTGAACGGGACGGGTTGGACGCATTGTTATTGGTTGGATTTATATATTTACTTGTTTAAAAATTAGGCACAGACGTGTCTACATGAAGGCTGAAGGTTTCTAACGACTGCATCATTGGTTTGAAGTGTTACATGCGCATATTTTTAATCATGACTATTCCATTATTCCAAAACTAGAAACAGCATTTAAGCTTGTGTGCTACTCTCCTGGATCGTAATCAAACGAGCCATCGTCATCATCCGAGCTGTCTGAGTTTCCGCTTCGACTTGAACTACACTCTAGTACGATCTCGCGCAGGCTTTCATCTGTAGACCAGTTCAGGCCGCTGCCCATAATTAGTCCCTATACCGAGCGTTAGTTGAAAAAGGTAAGGACAAGGACTTTCGTAATAGTGGCAAGACTTACCAATAACACTGGCTTGAGAGTTTCGATCTTTTGTTCTGTGACCGATACAGCTTCTCGATATCTACATCAGAGATCAGCGGTAAGTATGATACACAAACAGGCTGCATCACCGAGCATGGGTACTCACGACTTTATAAGTCTCTGCGTGTCATCTGAAAGAATATCAGCCCGTCGATGCTTGTGCTCCTGGATCAGTGAAATCAACTGCGACGTAGTCTGTCTATTTTCCTTATGCAGTTCTACATAATCTAATCGTGTTAACACTGTTCATATCTCCTCGACCAGTCAATCGTGGACACTCACGTTTGATGTCTTTTCGAACACTGTGTATCTGCGCTTTGAGCTTCGATAGCTCGCTTGCTAGCTTTGATACAACCGCCATCGCGTTATCAGCGGCAGTGCTATCGGATTTTGTTGTGAATTGATCGGCCGCTCGTTTCTCCTGCTGCTCGATAAAGGCTAGATTCCTGATGATCCAATAAAGTCCTGTTAGCAATCATAATCTGCGTCGTGCAGAAGAAGATAGAGTAATAGAATATACCCATATCGTCGTTGAAAACGCAGATCTGCCTCTGCTTCCGCGACCGCGGCGCGCTCTCGAAGGGTATCGATAGACAGCCCAGCAAACTCCCTCCTCACACCTCTATCCTCCACCGCAACCTCAAACTTCCCCCTCTCGCGCCTAAGTGAGTGAAGTTCCATGTAGAGAGATCGAACCTTGCGCATTTTGACGGCAGTAGGCGAGTCAGCTTGCAGTTCGCCGAGCAGGGATATAGGGGATACAGGCACGGTTTTGAGGGTCGCGATGCCTGTTTGTTTGGAAAGACAGAGGGTGAGGATGTCTGAAGACAGAGTGTCAAGTGAAGGCAGCTCTGATTGAGAATCCATGCTCGCGATATTATCGAAAGAAGCGCAGTCGGCCGTCCGACGCGTGAATATACGATGTTTACTCTTTCTCAAGACGTTAAGGTGACGCGACGAGCCTCGACAAAGTGTGGCGCAGAGCTCACGCGCCACAGCAATCACAACAAACAAACTCCGGCCGGTTTACACGCGCGACGACGACCGTCGAGGCACGCGAAACCAACCAGGACGCCGTCTCGAAACAGCAGTCGACACTGACTTGTATTATGTCACAGTAGCAATCGCACTTTGCTAACCATGACGAGTATCTCTGGATCGTATACCTCCGGGCAACAGCCTTCGACCGGTGACAGTAACACTTTCGAGATATCACTGCTTCAGTCTGATTTCATATTGGGCGACGATGGTGACAAGTCTGCGCGGAAGCCTCTCTTTGCGAGCTCAACAGTTGAAAATGAGGACCAACCCCAGGAGGACGAGACAAATCCTGCTAGAGATGGAAATTCGTTCTCGTCGTCGTCTTCGGAAGACTCTACAAACGGCGTTGACGATGAAGTTAGCCACGCTCTCCCTGTGCCCCGTCGCAATCAGCACGACACTGGTGATCCCGAAAAGACCAGCACAAACACGTCCTTAATGTCAAACCTTCCAGCCTTTGGCTCACCTCTCTCCCCCTCAGACTCGGGCCTGCCAATCGCGGTCTCGACACCGGCCTACTTATTCACATCACGCTTCTCCGGCCCATCACCGCCCAAGATCAGCGCCCTGAGCTCCGCGTCGTTCGCGTACTCAATCAACTCCCGAAGCCCGGCTGCAGCGGGTGGCAGGAACGGCGGGGATCTGAGTATAGGAAACGGCTCCGACGGATTTGCGAATTTGGGAAGCGAGATTCTGGCGAGTGCGCGAGCGCCGTTTTCGAAATCGCCTATTGCTTCGCCTTCCGTGTCACCGGCTGCGTCACCGTCGCAGTCTCCCAGGCAGCTATCGACTGACTGGGCGCAGGGAGCGGTGTCTGATGAAGATGATGAGGAGCAGGATGATTTCAGTGATGGAGATGAAGATGATGAGGACGATACCAGGGCGACTTTTGAGAGCGCCAAACGTGATGAAGAGGTAAGCATCTGTATATCTATCTACTCGGTACAGTGATTCTCTAACATCTTTGATATCTACGCAGCGACTTGCGAAATTGACAGCACCATCGTCACCGTCTCGATCAACCACTCTGCCACCTACCAAACCCCAAAACTCAAGCCGATTCTCTTTACTACCGTCATTCATTCTTCCAACAAGAGAGAGCTCCAAGTCGTCAAACTCAAGCGAGAGATCAATCGAGACCTCTGTACGGTCTCGAGCCAAGGCTAGCCCGCTAACCTCGCCCTCGCAATCACCGACACCGACGCCCTCTGTGCGCGCTGAAGAGCTACTTTCGACCAACTTGCGCGACAGCTTTAGTCTCTTGACGTCTCCAACGAATCGCAGTAAGGCAAACATGAGTAAAGCCGACGAGAAACGACTTCAGACCCCATTCGAGCCTGTTTCACGAAACCTGGCAAAACCGCCTTCTCAAAAACCCGAGTCCCAGCCTTTCTCAAAAAAGTCGCCTCAAAGTCTGCCAAAATCTTCGCCGTCCTCGACTTCAGACCACACGACTACTTCTCCGGCAAAGCCAAGTCCGCGGCGCTCGCCCGTATCCCAGATTACCTCGCGGTCTGCGGAAAACTCGACGCCGTCTTCGTCGCCGCGCAAGATGCTTCGTGACTTGTCTAGAGTTATTACGTCGCCGACCGCGTCTGATACGTCAAGCACGCGTGACTCTGAGAGCACGCGGGAGAGGATTCTGAGGAAAGTCGAGCTTTTGAATAAGGATATCAAGTGGACGAAAGCCGACTTTGACGAGATGACTCGGTTTTTTAAAGAGATGGGCGAGGATATCCCAGGAGCAGAGGTCGGAGTGGAGAGCAGTCCTGCAAAGCCGCAAAATGATCAAGAGCAGGTCGTGGATAAAGTAGCGAGCAAGCAGTTGAGCGTGGACGAGGTCTGGGGAGTCGACTTGCCAACCCACCGAGCAGTCCAGTTCTTTATGAGAATGCTGTGGTACGCAGTCATCATTCTTCTGCTGCTGTTCACGCAGCAGTTCTGCTGGTTCCTCATATTTTGGTACAAAAGACATACGGGCGATCCAGTAATGAACGACATCGGTCCCGAGATCGCGCTGGGCATGAGACGTACAGTACACAGGTGGATGTGAGCGGTACTCTCTCGAGCTGTATTTTTAGTTGTTCAGGAAATGGTGTTTTTGGTGCTGCTTGAGGTTCTTTGTTTTCTTAGCTTTATAATGTGTATCTATATGTATATTTTTACCCAACTCTATCACTTGTAGCCGTCTCTTCCAGCTCTGTGCTCACGTACAATGCACTCACGACATGCGAACCATAACATCAATAAATAAGAACGAAGACCAACAGACACAACAAAACAACAACAATGTACGTTAAGCCAGCTCTCCCGCACCACAGCTCATCTGCGCTGGAGGAAAAGAAAAGGTAATGCAAGCAATGAACGAATAAAGAGAAATCGCAATAACGGCACCAAACAGCTTCCCGCGTCGAAAAAAATAAACCTAGCCACATCTGGCCTGCATACACGCGTGCGCACACCCACTGATGACGCGATACTAAACAATGATCTGTTCACCAAAACAAACATGAGGAAAATAAAAATAATAAAGAAAAGTCATATCCATCCCGTAACAAAATAGAGGAAAAAAGAGATTAAACATAAGGTAGCCCAACTAGTAACTCATACTATACACAACCAACACTCAAAAGCGAAAAAGAAAGACTCCGTAAAATAAGTGGAAAACAACGATATGGATGATAATGCTCATAATGCGTCAAGTTTGCCGTAGCAGTCGCGCCGTATACATAGACGAGTACCTGCTAACTGCGGCATGCCGGCTGCTTTTATGGCTAATCATGGCCGAAAGACTCAGCAAAACAAAACAAACAAAAGAAACCGTTCGATAACAGGTATTTGAACCGAATGACTGAAGACAACGAAACGATAATTTGAAGCAAAACACGGAAAACGCCAGCTTACATGCCCATACCAACAAAGCAGAGCATGGCGATGACGAGTCCAAGACAAGACGAAGATCGGTGGTTGCCGTCCTCCAGTACTTGCCGGACGTTCAATCGCGTGGCGATACCCAACGACTTGTTTTGCTTCTGTGACTGCATCGGCGAGTGTTTTGCCTCGCCGGATGCCGTTGAGTCTTGTGAGAGTTGTGAGGACTCGAGCTGATCCAGCTGATCCGGCTGTTCCAGTTCTTCGTCGTGCTTCCGTGTTTCCGGCTCTTCTGGGCTATGTGCTTGTCCATCTTCCAGGATCGGTTGTACTTTTTCTTGCACAGTGACCGGGATTTTTGGTATGATGTCGAGCTCGCCGGTCGATTTTTCGGTAGTCTTGTCGTCGGCCGGTTCGACCTCCTTAGACAGGGGCAATGCGTTCGATTCCGAGTCAGCAGAGGGATCGTGGGTTGCGAGAGAAGGTGTTATCCGAATAGCAGTGGGCTTTGAGGCTAGTTCGGTAGAGGACTGTGGGGGTCTGACGGTAAAAGTCGAGATTGGCGGGTCGTTCGAGGTGTTGAGTTTGTATATGCTTTGAGCAAATGCGCGTAGGAGTAGGGTGGTTTTTGAGGAGGGGCCGAGAAGGGATGAGAGGAGGTGAGTCGATTGCGGTTGCTCGGGGAGGGCGACTAGGGCCGGCTTGTAGATTTGTAGAGATTTTGGTGGTATTTCGGTGCCGCGTGAGGATGATGAGGTCGAGGAGGAGGGCGATGACGATGAGAGAGGCAGGGCGCATAAACCTAGCTGGTAGCAGGCGGAGGAGGCTGTGCAGTCGAGTTCGCAGAGGTCGGCGGGGTATTGGCCTTCGTTGAGGACTGCAAAGAGGTCAGGCAGATCCGGGCGGGCTTTGTCGGGGTTGTCGGTTCTGCAGCTCATGAAGCCGTCGCCAGACGAACAGGTCGAGGTGGAGGAAGAGTCGGCAGCGGAGGAGAGGGCCCATTCCTCGTCGTTGAGCATCAGCGGTGACTCGAGCTGGGACGGCGCAAGGATGGCGGCGACGAAGTGAGCGAGGCCGGGCTTGTCGTCGACCGGGGCGGCGAAGGAGGGCGCGGAGAGGCCGAGACGCAGAAGGCAGAGCAGGAGCACGCCGACGCAGGCTGCGGGAAGCAGACGGTTGCGAAAAAAGTGCATGGCTCTAAGCACGTCTGTTCAGGCGAGAGGCATGCCAGGGCGGGGTGCAATCTGGAAGCGCAGAGGGAGGTGGAGCTGAACAGGCAGGCGGAGAGGGCCGTGAAGGGTTCGAGAAGGACGCGAGGACGCAGCAGCGAGAAGTTTGTGGTGAAGCTGCCCGACGATGGAGCGGATGCGGCGCAGGATAAACACAAACCTTGTTTGCCATCTGCCTGCGCCAGAGATAGCCGGACGCAGCACGGCTCGTCACGTGAAAATGTCAGTGAGGGGGTTGTAGAGTGAGTACAACACCCTCATCAACAACATCCAGAGCGAAGATCAAAATCAACCACGCTCACTGCTCGAGTCCCCAGGCGACGACAGCAGCTACTTCACCACAATGCTTCGTTCTCCCGTTCTGCTCCTTCTCTCGCTGGTCTCGTTCGTGTGCACGGCGGTTGCTTTATTCAACGACGACGCCTTCGTCATTGACTGGCACAAGCCCGCCATCGGCTCGCTCACTCCCTCGAGACTGCTTCTCTCGCCAACATCCCTCACCGCACTCTCCGACTCTGCCATTCTCGCAGCCATTGACCCTCTCTCGGGCGACTTCCTCTGGCGCCACTCACTCACCCACTCTGCAATTGCCCAGGATGCTGTTCTCACCAGATTAGATGACTCCTCTGTCCTCGTCGCCGCCGCCTCGCCGACCGATCCAGCTATTACCCACATCGCTGTCTTCGTCGAGCTCAACGGCGGTCTACTTTGGGAATCAAATCTCGCCATTGGTGCTCCAATCAGCGTCACCGTCGGCTCCCGCGATGCTTTTGTTCTGGCTAGCGACGGTGTTTTGGTTAGACTCCGACACCTCTCTGGCAGACTCTCTTGGCAATATCAGCTTCCGACCGGCTACAGCCCTGTCGCCGCGTCTTATGTCGAATCTCTCTCAGCGATTGCCATCGTCGTACGATCCCAGCAGTCTGGACTTGGCTACATCACTGTCGATATCAATTCAGGAGAGTCAACCTCGGACTTTATCCGTCTCGACACTCTCCCCGCTGCAGTCGGCGTCACCGTTGTTTCCAGCGATCTGCTCGCATGGACTCTTCCCGCTGCGCCTGATTCGATCAAGCTTGGTTCTCTCTTTGACGGCAGCAGCAAGGGTGTTATCTCTGCCTCCAAGTCGTACTCCTCCTATGAGCTCTCCGCTCACGGAAACACACTCACCGCAACCTTCGTCAGCTCTGATGGAAAATCAGGCTGGGTTCAAGTCTACAAGCTTAATCCCTCGCTCGAGCTAATCAAGACTTCCGAGGTCTCTGCCACTGCCTCAATCTACGCCTCAAGTGGATCTGATGAGCTGTTTGAGTTCCAAGATGCGACATTCGGAGGATTCAGTCTTTCTGACCCGCTCGTGCGGTTGTTTGGTCCTACCGATGTCGAGGATCTACCCTCGCTCTCCTCCATTGAATTTGTCAAGTGCAGCAGCTCAGCTTGTCTGGTCGGCGACATCTACAGCGAATACACCTATGTCAACTCGACCGGAAAAGTCTGGGCCCGCGACGAATCCACCGTCGGAGCGACTGCTTCGCTTTTCGTCGATCTTGAAGAAGAAGGCGAGGAGTCCGCTATCGGCGACGTCTTGTTTGAAGAGCATGCCTCCCCGGTGGAGGCTTATGTCCATAGACTCTCAAGACATATCCGTGCCTTGAACGACTTGCCCGCGTATCTAGTCTCGTTTGTCAAGAGATTTATCTCTGGAAACTACGACGCTGCGCCTGAGACTTACTCTGGATCGGTGACAATCGGTGATACCTTTGGTTTCCGCAAGCTGATCATCTTGGCGACTCCCCGAGGAGGTCTGCGTGCCCTCGACACCGCAAACGGTGGTGCGAGAGTGTGGAAGGTCGATAACGTTCTCAGCGGGGAGCCTATCGTTGGACTTGCGCTTGAGGATCGTGGTGCGGCTGGTAAGAGCATCAAGGTCATCGGCTCCTTTGGAAAAGTTGCGACCGTCAGCGTCACGGGCACGGTCGTCGAAATCTCAAAGTTGGATAGACTTGGGTTGGGCGACAAGATAGAGAAGATTGTCAGCTTGCCTCCTGCGGGCGAAGACGAGCAGGAGACGTTGGCTGTCTGGACTGCGCACGGAGAATTTCTTGTCGTGGGCACTGAGCCGTCGAAACCGCTTTTCTTGTCTAAGGTTGTTGATAATACTGTCAAGGGATACATCTACGAAAAGGTTTGTAACTTCTCATTGTGCAAGAATAAGGGACCGCATACTAACTTGTTCCTACTAGGGCTCCGTGACTGAGACTTACACATTCTCGCTACCGACCGCAAACTACAAGATCAGTAGTGTGTCGGCCAGAGATCCCAAAGACGTGTCGGTCTCGATCGGCCGTGTTCTCGGTGACCGTTCGGTTCTGTACAAGTACCTCAACCCGCACCTGCTCGCCGTCACCGCCGTCGATCCATCGACGTCCTCGGCGGCGGTTTTCCTGCTCGACAGTGCGAGCGGACGGCTTTTGTACTCTGGGTTCCACGACGGCGAAGTCGTCGACACTGATGCTGGCGTAAAGGTTGTGATGGGAGAGAACTGGGTTGTGTACAGTTACTGGTCCGAGAAGGTTGCGCGGGGCGAGAAGCTTGTTGTCTTGGATCTGTACGAGTCGGATATCAAGGACGAGCGCTGGTCAAAGTCGCTGGGAAACTTCAGCAGCTTTGTCAACACGCCCGCGCCGTACGTGCAGTCACAAGCCTATTTGTTTCCAAACCACATCACGACACTTGCCGTCACGCGCTCGAGATTCGGAATTACGAACAGGGATATTATCGCCGCTCTCGACACCAACATGATTGTCGAGCTGCCGAAGCGTCTACTGGACGCCCGGAGACCTGTCAACCGGGACCCGTCTAACGAGGAGAAAGAAGAAGGTCTGATGCGATACGAGCCCTTGATTATCGACGACCGCCGCTCGGTGATTTCGCACGTCCGGCAGGTGATTGGCACGCAGGTTGTCGAGTGCGCGCCCGCACTGCTAGAGTCGACGGTGCTTGTGTTTAGCCACGGCGTCGACCTATTCTTCACGCGGGTGACGCCGAGTCAACCTTTTGACGTGCTGTCAAAGTCGTTTAACAAGGGCCAGCTTGTGACTACGATCCTCGCGTTGGGCGTGGGTGTGCGTCTGGTCGGACCGATGGTGAGACGGAAGCAGATTAAGGCGAGATGGGGGTCGTCATAAGCAGATATATATATAAAAAGCATGTGAACGCGAAGAAACGTTTTTTTGTACATTATGATTAACAGCTGTATAGAATGAACAGTATATAATTAACGATCTCTCATTTTATAAGTCGTACAAGTGAATAAACTATCTATTTTGCTTTTGTATCTACTGTGTCTTCTTCACGGACGGCGACTCGCTATTCGCGCTAAACATCCAGAGCGCGACAAAGAGCAGCCAGGCGGCGACGACGACGAAGATGGAAGTGGCGTAAGGCCACGCGTTTGGGATCTCGAAACTTCTCGCAAACTCATTGTGTCCGAAATGTCTGAGTGTGACGACGCGCTTGTCTTCGACAAAGGAGAGGCCTGGGCGTTTGTAGTTTAGCACGAAGGAGAACATGCCGTGTTGGTCTGGGGCGATGAAGGAGGTGGTGTAGGTCTGCGCGGACGGGGAGGATGACGAAGGGATCAGCGTGAGACGGTAGTAAGGGTCGAGCATCGTGAACTCGAGCTGGACGTCGGAGGCGTAGAACGGCGCCCACTTGCCGTCGGTGAAGCGGGACAGCTCGACCTCGTACTCGATCTCGTTCTTGACCCTGTAGATCGACGGGTTGAGCTCGGAGCTGTTGACGAGGCGGTGCGTGACGGACTCGAGTCTAAGGACTGATTTCTCGGCAAACGTCCACGCGGAGAGCTGGGCGGCGAAGGCGCGGTTGAAGCTGTCAGGTTTGGTGAATGCGTCGTTGGTGAAGAGGAGGTTGCTGGCGACGAAGGTCACGCGGGTGTTTTTCCGCGTCTGCAGACTGGCGACGAGGAACGCCTGCGAGCCGGTCGCGAAGGGAGTCTCGGATTTGGTGGCTTCCTCGGCCGGATCGTAGATGTATGCTGTCTCTGGCGCGGCGAGGACGGGGACGAGGAGCTGGTTGTTGCCGAGCGAAAACGCCGAGCCGCCGGGGTAATAGAGTAATTTTGAAGCGTCGTCCGCAGTCGGCGAGACGATTTCGGGCGCGAGCAAAGAGTTGGGGCTAAGCACGAGTGCGTCATGCAGGAGCGGGCTAGCTTCTTTGTCGTAGGAGAAGTGGTCGACGAGCTTTGTGTCGCGGAAGGGCAGGAAGACGTCGAGCTGGTTTGCGAATTCGCGGACGGAAGCGAGCGCGTGCTCGTTTGCGTTGAGGACGACGACGATGTTGCCGCCTGCGGCGGAGAAGTCGAGGAGGGGTTTCGCGAGCAGGTTCGGGCCGAGGGCTTTCTGCGTAGGGGGAAGGGTGAGAATGAGGTGGTCGTAGATGCGTTCGCCGTATTCGAAGAGGCCGAGGGATGGGTCGTTGGCGGCTTTGATTGTGAGATCGAGGCCGCGGGCTATGCAATTGGTGTCAGAAAGTGTTTTAAAAGGAGAGAAAGATGATGAGAAGAACATACAGTCGAGATCCGAGAAAAAGAGGGAATAGTCCTCGTCCTTGAGCGACGGATCAAGAACGACGAGCAGTCGTGATCCCGTGGCCGAGATTGCGAGCGCGTTTCCGACGAACGCAATCACCAGCAGCAGCTGGACTAGCACCGATCGAATTGACATTTCGTTCTGTATTTTTGCAAAGCCCAGAAGGAGGTTAGATTGCTGCTGTTGGAGAGGTCCGGGACTGGATCTATGTGGTTTAATTTGTGCGTGCGTGTCCTGAATCTGCCACGAGACCCTTGGCGGTGTTGCAGGACTTACGCGTCGTCTGTTCGGTATAAGTTGACGCGTCTAGCACTAGCAAGCACTTTTGTAATTGTTCAGAATTTTGCAAGAGTTTACCATGGCACCTACGATCGATAGAAGAACGCTCGAGTCTGAGGTTGTGGATGCGGAGGGTGTATGATTTATGAGGTCTTATTCTGTATGCTGGATATGAATAAGATAGCTGATGAGCGTGATTGATGATGATAGATGGACGCGACGATTCTTGACGTCGACGAATTGCAGGCTTTGGGGATCAATGCAGCGGATATTCAAAAGCTTCGAGCTGCCGGGATTCATGCTATTTCTGTGTGCTACTTTTCTGTTTGGAGATACTGAGCGTGGACTGACAAATTATAGACTGTACTGTCAACCACTCGCCGCAACCTCCTAAAAGTAAAAGGGCTTTCTGAAGTAAAGGTCGAGAAGATCAAGGAAGCAGCGGGGAAGTTGATCAACGTCGGCTTCATTTCAGCCTCCGACCAAGCGCAGAATCGGACGCGGGTGGTGTCGATTTCTACGGGGAGCAAGGCGCTTGACGCGGTGCTGGGTGGCGGGATCAAGACTATGAGTATTACTGAGGTGTTTGGGGAGTATCGGTGTGGCAAGACGCAGTTGGCGCATACCTTTTGCGTGACTGCGCAGTTGCCGAAGGTGAGTGTGTTTGATGATGTAGATGTGATGATGATACTAACTTAGGTAGGACATGGGAGGAGCGGAAGGTAAGGTAGCGTATATTGACACGGAAGGAACGTTCCGGCCGGAACGACTTCGAGATATTGCAGAGCGGTTCGGAGTGGATGCCGATCAGGTGTGCGACAATATATCGTATGCGCGGGCGTTGAACAGTGAGCACCAGATGGAGTTGATAGAGAGGCTTGGCGCGACGTTCGCCGATGGGAGTTATAGGCTGCTTGTGGGTTTTTGTGCTGATTAATGCGCTGTGCTGTGCTGTGATATTTATGTGATGCTGATGTGAGGATGAATGAGGACAGATTGTGGATTCGATTATGGCGCAGTTCAGGGTAGATTACTCTGGGCGAGGGGAGTTGAATGAGCGGCAGCAAAAGTTGAATCAGATGCTGGGACGGCTGAATAGGCTTGCGGAGGAGTATAACGTTGCTGTTTTTATGACGAACCAGGTGCAGTCTGATCCGGGAGCGTCAGCGTTGTTTGCGGCTGCAGACGGACGGAAGCCGTGAGTGAGTTGTTGAATTAGAGAGAGAGAAGAGATTACTAACGACTGAATGTGAAGGGTGGGAGGACATGTGCTGGTGAGTTGGATGAGTAGCAGTAGCCGACGAGGAGTGTATTATATTGACTATAGGATGAATGAAAAACAGGCACATGCGTCGGCAACGAGACTTTTGCTTCGGTAAAAGGAAAAGTGGAATATGGTTTGAGGGTAATTTGCTAACGGTAAAATGTGCACTGTTTAGGAAAGGACGTGGAGAAGAGCGCGTGGCGAAGGTTTGTGGATGCTATATATATTGGATTGAGGGTGGAGGGGGGTAGTGGAAAGGGGTTTAGGAGGAAAAATAGGCTAAAATGGAGAGGAGATGTTTCGGAAGAGGAGTGCTAACGGGAAGGGATAGTTGCAAGACAGTCCAGATATGCCGGAGAGGGAGGCGACGTATTGTATTACGGAAGGTGAGGATATGATATGATGAGAGGGTGAGAAGATGAGATGATGCTGATTAACTGATTAGGTGGAATCTCCGATGTGGCTTGAGGGTTTGAGCTGAGTATGTGATGAGTAGGCCAGATATCGAGTAGAGGCTAGATATTCTGCGAAGTTGCTGTTGCTTTGAAGTGGTTGCTGTGAGATAGTGTGAGGAGAGTTGAGGTGCTTGAGTGAAGTTGCTATTAGCTATAGTATAATAAGTAAATAAGTAATAAGTAATAAGTAATAAGTATGATTGATATGCAGAGAATGATGCAAGGTAAAGATAGAATACAACCAGCAGGTAAACAAAAGGAGAAGAAAGAAGTAGTAATAATAAGACAGTAACCAAGAAAACTCCATAAACGGACAACGATACTCCGAATGACACCAGCAGCCAATTACAAGATCATGCGACACCGAGGATGAGTAAAAAAAGAAGATTGAGTAAGAGGAGGTCAATCAGAAGATCTTCCGGCGAGCATTTTGGAGGTGCTCATGAGGGAACCGATGTAGTCTTGGAGAAACCTGTTTTCGCCTTCGAGCCGCTCGTAGTCGCCCTTGACGGCGTTGATGCGCTCGAGGATGGCGGCGAGACCGTCTTGCATGAGCTTTGCTTCTTTTCGTAGTTGGGATGCTTTTGCGGGGTCTTCGATTGCGGTTGTTGCTGTGGTGGTGGATGTAATGGTGGATGTGGAGGTGGTTGTAGATGTTGTTGTGGAGGTGGTGGAGGTAGTGGCAGAGGCAGAGTCTGTGGTGGAGTGGATGCGGGAGTGAGCAGGCTCAAGGACGTAGTCTGCAGAGGAGTCGCGGGAAGCAGGAGTGTAGTGTTCGATTGCGCGAGGGGTTGTGACTGCGGGAGAGAGGGGAGGTCTGTCTCGGGAAGTGGACCTGCTGCGGGAAGGGGAGGAGGAGGAGGAGGAGGAGGGAGGGGAGGCAGGGGGAGCGGTGGAGGAGCCCCAGATGTTTGTAGGTTCGCTTTCGAAGGCGACGGACATGGTGAGTAGGTAGAGTAGGTAGAGTAGGTAGAGTAGAGTGAGTAGAGTGAGTAGAGTAGGAAGATGAAGAAGTAGAATAGGAAGAGAGGAAGTAGAGGAAGGAGAACAGTCGGACGACGAACGGTAAATAAGCCTTTCGGAAGCGACGCCGCCTCGAAAGCAAAAGAGGCGATGACGTCACAAAAATAAAAAAAACCGAAAAGAGGCAAAAACCCTAATCAACCGCCGGCTTGCGGTCCGTCGGCCGCCGACGACAATGACGCAGTTGTATTGTGTTTAGTACTGTGTTGTATTGTATAATGTGTTGTGTTTTATTGTATTATGGTATTGAGTTATTGTGTTATAGTAGTAAGATACTATTGTATATTCCACTATGAATGTGTACTGTATTCTATGTGAGTAGAATCAGAATACTCCGACAACCGCAAAATACTCTTCTTCTCATTCCTGAATTCAACCGGCGCTTGTATCGGGTTGCTCTACTCTGCTACTTCTACTTCTACTACTACTACGATACTATACTATACTATACTATACTATATTACCACTATCACTACTACTTCTACTCTACTATAATCCTTCGAGATATCTTCAACAACTACTATTGCTGCTCTATAAGGCTGAAGCCATCTGAGTGCAGAGTAGGGTTCTCGCACTGTCTCAGCCAGTCTCAGTCTGTGATGTGTTCACTCTTCCCCGAATCTTGGTTCTCCTTCAAGTAACCTGTCTCTTCTTCTTCTTCTTCCTGTCCTTCTTTTATCATATTAATACAACCTGAATATCGTCATTACTAATATCTCATCTCTCATCTATCCCTCATTGTCATTTTCAACTTCATCTATATTAGTCATATCTTATATAATACTCTTAGTCATCCCTGACACACCACTCTACACCACGCGCTCGCGCCCTGAAAAGAAAACATTGCTCTTCCTGATCTCTGCCATCCACAATCCACCCCATCCAATCCTCTTCTCTCCAATGGGTATCTCTCCTCCCTCTTCTCTCTTGAAAACACTCACTAACCCCCATCTAGCCTTCAACCCCGGCGCCCCCGCAGATCAAAACAAAGATCAGTCGAGTACGTCCAACCACTTGTTTACTCTTATCCTCCTCCTCTAACTCTTCATCTCTTCATACAGAGCCCGTCTTCAACTTCGGCGCGAATAATGCTGCCTTCGGGTCAAAGCCTGGCACCTCTGCCTTCTCTTTCTCCGGCGCTCCTTCCTTCTCCTTTGGCGCAACCGCTTCATCTACTCCCTCACAAGCCACTCCCACATCGGCTCCTGCTGCCACCTCCTCCTCTACTCTGAACGCTCCCGCATCTGGAGGTTTGTTCAGCGGCGCTACCAGCACAACCCCCGCCTTTGGCTCCAGCAACACTACCTTCGGCTCCGGTACCACCCCTGCCCCCAAATTTGGCTCGACTGCTCCATCTGCTCCATCCTCTACTGGCGGTCTCTTTGGATCCGGCGCAAACCCCGCTGGCTTCACATTCGGCAACACCAGCGCAAGCCAACCCTCCACCGCGTCCGCAGCTACAACTTCCTCTGCACCCCCTCCGTCTCTTTTTGCGTCTGTGAACGCCGATCCCGCAAAGACTTCTTCCACACCTACCGCGTCTACCACTGCACCTTCCTTTTCGTTCGGTAACCTTTCAGCAGCTACCCCCAGCAAGCCCTTGTTTTCTGCTGGAACCACTACAAGCACTGCCGCTACTACCTCTGCTCCTGCGAGTAGTACCCCTGCTCCTGCCGCTGGTGGGCTTTTTGGATCTACCACTCCTGCCGTGACTTCGGCACCGTTGTTTAGTTTGAACGCCGCGACTGCCTCTACCACAACAACTACTACTACATCTACTTCTACTGCTCCTTCAGCAACCACAGCTCCGTCATTTGGCGGCTTTGGCGGTGCCGCAAAGACAACCTCTACACCTCTATTCGGAGCCAAACCCGATGCTTCAAAGCCCGCTGAAACACCCACCTTTGGCGCGAAGCCAGATGCGTCCAAACCCACGACATCAGCGCCGCTATTTGGTGCTGCCGCCGCAACTACTTCCGCCAGCACCGCTCCTTCGTTTGGTGCGCCTGCTGCTACTACCTCGGATAAGCCTGCTGCTACTAGCGCCCCGCTATTTGGAGCTGCTGCTGCTGCTGCTCCTTCAGCTCCAGCTTCGACTCCGGCTACGTCGACTGCTCCCGCAGCCACGACAACTACTGCCCCCACCTTGTCCAACGCCCCGCCCGCGCCCGCCGCTCCCGCGCCCGCGAGCCTGAAAAACAAGAGCATGGAAGACATCATCTCGAAATGGACGACCGCGTTGACCAAGTACTCTCGCGAATTTGCGCAGCAGGCCGAGGAGATTTCGAAATGGGATCGGACGCTGGTCGAGAACGGCGAGAAGATCTCGCAGCTATTCACAGAGACCGTGCAGGCTGAGCAGACGCAGACAAAGGTCGAGCAGTTGCTGCTGTATACTGCTCGTCAGCAGGATGATATCGAGGCTACGCTGGATGTATATGAAAAGGATGTTGATAATTTGCTTGCGAGTATTGGCGCTACGGATGGTATGCAGCCGCCTGATATCGAGAGAGAGAGAACGTATAGGTTGGCTGAGAGATTGAACGAAGAGTTGGATCAGCTTGGAAAGAACCTGAGCAGTATGATTGAGGAGGTCAACAAGAGCTCCACTACTCTGAATCGGACTAAGGACGACGATCCAGTAAGTTTTCTATTCTCTTTTTGTTTTTTTCTTTTAAAAGAATTGTTTGGCTAACAGTAAGCAGCTCTCGCACATTGTCCGCATTCTGAATGCGCATCTATCAAGTCTGCAGTGGATCGATACAAACACTGCGCTTTTGCATGAAAAAATCGAGGAGGTCAAAGCGATCGAGAGCCAGCTTAGATCAAGAGGATATTAGTTATGAAGGATGTTGCAATGTATTAATGTACAATAAAAGAAATTTCCATATATTTGTCTGCTTCACGCCATGCTTCCTGCAAACGGCTTAAACTTCCGCTTCGCCTTCAACTCCACGATCTTCTCCTGATCCTTTTTGAAATTCATCAGCAAATCATTCATCCTCTCCTTCTTCCGCTCACGCACTTGAAACCTGTAGAAATCCTTCAACTCCTTCTTCTTCATCTTCTCCTTCGCCGCCTCTCTAACCGCATCACTCGACACCGCCACGCCCCCGCGCCCCGCGCCCGCTCCGCGCGTGACCGTCACAAACCCATCTGCGTCCGGCTCGGATCTCGCACGCTTAGCCGCGCGCTCGCGCTCTTCTTCTTCAGCGTTGAACCGCTCCATGAACGAGTCCACCGTCGACTGCAGCACCTGCGCGGGCACGAATCTGCGCGCGTGGATGGCGGTGTAGCGCGAATATCCCGAGGCGCCTGAGGATGCGGCGGGAGAGGATGCGTTCGGCAGGGTCCAGAATGGGGGGGATGCTTGTTTGTATTTGAGGATCGCGAGGATGCGAGCGAGAGAGGGTGCGGAGGCGAAGGTGACGTGGGCGGAGGAGTTGGAGGGGAGGATTCTGCGGATTGATGAGGAGGCTTTGTCTGATTTCTGCAGGCCCGTGAGGGACGAGAGGGCAGGGATCAGGTTGAATTGCGAGCCGGTGGGGGATGGGAGGAAGGTAACTGAAGTCGGCAAGACTTTTTCTTTCCGCTTGCGAGTTCTTCCTTGCTCTTCCTCTTCGTCGCTCTCGTCTTCGTCCTTGTGCTCGCCGAGGAGTTGAGATATCAGAACATGGATATGCATGGTCGTCGCGTCGATCGGCAAGTTTGCCAAAAACAACGTATTCGACGGCGCATTCGACCCCGGCGTCTTATGTTCTCGCGCGTACATATAATGCAGAACATTCTGCGAGCTGAAATCGTCCTCATCTTCGTCCTCCTCCTCCTCCTCCTCCTCCTCGTCTGATCCTCGATCCAGGTTGGTCATCGTCGTGCCAGGAAACGCGACCGGCAACACGTAAAACCCGGAAATAACCTGCGCCTCAACCTTCTTGCTCTTCTTGTGACTTTTCTCCCCTGCCTTCTTTGCCATCTTTCTCTTCTTTCCTTATATCTTCTACTTCTGATAGACAGTAACAAGAAGAAACGCAAGAAAAAATAATCCGCTGTGCGGCTCACGCTTTGGTCCCAACTCCGGGCCCTAACCCTCTCAGTTAAAAAAAATTTTTGTATCGCTGCGTTGCTGCTATAAAAGCCCTCTTCCTGCCTTCCCTCTTTCTACCTTACGAGTGTTGTTTCGCAGCCAGATTTTGTTTCTTTTGATCGAATATGTATGTAGTTCCTGAAATCAGAGATGGGTGTATGAGTATGGGCTAATCAGTTTCTCTCTGCAGGTCTCGAATAATCGTCAGAAACCTCCCGCTGAACCTCACCGACGAGAAATTCAAGTCGCACTTTGCCGACCACGGCGGCGTGATCACGGACTGCAAGGTGATGCGCACGCGGGGCGGGCAGAGTCGGCGGTTTGGATTCATCGGGTTCCGCGCGGCAGAGGATGCGGTTGAGGCTGTGAGGTATTTTGATAAGACGTTTATTGGGATGACGAGGATCGCTGTTGAGTTGGCGAAGAACGTGAGTTTTGATTTTCTTGATGAGTGTGCAATTGTTATGGTGCTGGAATTGAGGGCTGATTTTGTGTTGTCGGGTGTAGATTGGAGATTCATCGGTGCCAAAACCACACCGTGAAGCATTCCCCTCATTCCCCTCAGCTAACCCGCTCTCCCCCCCACCATCTGACGAGGACAGCCAGAGCAAGCCCAGCAAGCGCCGGAAAGTCGACACGGGCGCTACAGAGGAGGCTTCCTCTGCTGCTGCGGATCCAAAGCTGTCGGAGTTCTTGGATGCTATGAAGCCGCGCGCGAACGAGCGGACGTGGGCGAATGATGATTTTGGGGTTATGCCGCCTGAGCCGCCTTCTTCTTCGACGATGGCTGTTGCCGTTGAGAGCGCTGCTGCTACTAAGCCTGTGGACTCTGTGCCTAAGAAGGAGGAGAAGGAGGAGGAAAATGTTGAGGAAGATCAGCTGCTGGCCGACGAAGGCGACAATCTCGCTCGGACAGAGATGACTGACGACGAGTGGCTTCGTGCTCGCCGTACGCGTATCCCCGTCTCTTCCTCCGCCGACGAGTCAACATCAACCACCGCTGTCGTCGACGGCACCGCTGAAGAAGCCGCCTCCACGCACTCATCCGAATCAAAAGAGGAAGAGGTGGCTGCACCGGAACTCACAGAGCAGGAGAAACACCTCGAGTTGATCCGCTCTACCCGGCGGTTATTCCTGCGAAACCTGTCGTACTCGTGCTCTGAAGATGATCTCCGATCGCTGTTTGCGCAGTATGGCGAGTTGGAAGAGGTATGTGTTTTTCATCATCTGTTTTCTTTACTGACTTGCTCGTTTCAGCGTGAAGTATATCGAAGCTTGCTTTTTTACGTGATGAATCTATTTTAGATAGGGACAACAGAATGCTTCGGCAGATGTTGACTTTTTTTTCCAGATAGTAGAATCTCTGACACAAAAAGCAAACTTGATCGATATACTTCTACGCCGAACGACAAAAAGTTGCAAACAAGACTTTATGCTAACTTGAGATTCAAGGTCCATATCCCGGTCGACCACGAATCCCACAACTCAAAGGGAATCGCGTACATCCTATTCGAGAGCTCAGATGGTGCATGCCAAGCCTACACCGAGCTCGACAAGCAATCCTTCCAAGGCCGTCTGCTACACATTCTCCCCGGCCAGCCCAAGCGCGAGACCAAGCTCGACGAGTTCGAGCTCGCGAAGCTGCCGTTGAAAAAACAGCTGGCGATGAAGCGCAAGGCTGAGGCGGGAAAGTCGCAGTTTTCGTGGAATAGTCTGTACATGAACTCTGATGCTGTCGTGGGGTTTTTGGCGAGCAAGATGGGTGTTTCAAAGGCGGAGTTGCTTGATCCTGAGTCTGCTGACGCCGGCGTGCGCCAGGCGCTTGCGGAGGCCCACGCGATCGATGACGCAAAGACGTACTTTGAAAAAGCAGGCGTCGACGTCTCTGCTTTCGAAGACACCAAAACCCCGCGGTCAGACACCGTGATTCTCGTCAAGAACTTCCCGTTCGAGACCACGACCGAGGAGATCCGCGACATGTTTGCCGAGCACGGCGAGGTGCGCCGCGTGCTTGTTCCGCCGTCAAACACGATTGCTATTGTTGAGATGGCGGACGCGCCTAGCGGGCGTGCGGCGTTTGCGAAGGCCGCGTATCGGAGGATGAAGAACTCGATTTTGTATCTTGAGAAGGCGCCGGGGAAGTTGCTTAAGCAGAGCAGCGGGATGCCTATTGCTCCTTCTGCTGCTGCGGCGGCGAATGTGAAGGAAGCAAAGGTGTCTGTTGAGGATATCGTCAAGATCGCGGACTCGTCCGACGCGAGCGAAAGTCAGCCCGTGCCGGCAGGCATGTCTGTCTCGCTCTTTGTCAAGAACCTAAACTTCAAGACCACGACCTCCGACCTCGCCGCCGCATTCAAGCCGATCGACGGGTTCGTCCGCGCGGAGGTCAAGACGAAGAAAGACCCGAAGCGGCCCGGAAACGTGCAGAGCATGGGTTTCGGCTTCGTCGAGTTTTCGACCTTCGACGCGGCCGAGCACGCGCGGCAGGTCATGGACGGCTTCGTACTCGACCAGCACAAACTCCAAATCAAGATCTCGACCCGCAACGGCGTCGAAACCACCGGCATCTCGACCGCGCGCACAGCCAAGGCGAAATCCGCGCCGCAGACGAAAATCATCATCAAAAACATCCCGTTCGAGGCAACGAAGAAGGACGTGCGCCAGCTCTTTGGCGCGTTCGGACAGCTTCGCACCGTGCGGTTGCCGCGCAAGTTCGACAATACCGCGCGCGGATTCGCGTTTGCGGAGTTTGTCTCTGCGAAGGAGGCCGAGGCGGCGATGGAGGCGCTTGCGGGGGTGCATTTGCTTGGTAGGCGGCTGGTGCTGCAGTACGCGGCGCAGGACGCGGCGTCGGCGGAGGAGGAGATTGAGCGGATGCAGAAGAAGGTGCGGAAGCAGGTTGCGGGCGAGACGATGGCTTCGTACCGGCTTGCGGCGGGGGGGAAGAGGAAGTTGGGTGGGGATGAGGACGATGAGAATGATGGTCTTATGACTTAAAAAGTTAGTTGTCGGAGTTTTGAGATGGGGTTGGATATTTTTGACTACATGGATACGGCGTTTGGTTACATTACTTCTGTTGTCATTTCGAAGGATCTGGGTGAATGCATATTTCTACATTCTTGACATTATAAACAATATCCCGTCAAAAGAACCGTAGTGTATTATATTCCTTGTAAACAAACAAACGATAGACTAAACAAAAGACAGTGTACGTGATGCTCCCCCTTGAAACTAAACTAGACAATAATACAAGAGGAAATAAATGAGAAAAGAGGGATGATAAAAAGATCTATTGAACACTCTCAATAATGACGGCCGCCGTACGCGCTATACCCCAACCTCGCCTCCAGCATCTGATCATAATACCGCACCGCGGTCGACAACTTCTCATACATATCCAGCAGCTGATCATATTTCCCTATCGACTCCGCGACCGACCGCGAGAACTTGGGCCGCAGCCCGATCACGTTGTCGTACAGCTCCTGCATCTTGGGATCCCGCATCAGCGCGCCGCGCGGCTCGTTCTGCATGTGGTCGACGAGGATCGAGAAGAGGTTGATGTTCTCGATCTCGGTCAGCGAGAGCTGGTTCGCGGAGGGGGGAGGCGGTGGTGGCGCGGCGGCGGCGGTGACGGGCTTGATGGACGAGGTGCTGTTGCCGTAGGTCGGGTATGCAGCAGCAGCGGCGGCGGCGGCAGGTTCGGGAGCTTTCTGCTGTTGCTGAGACTGCATATCTCGTAAGCTTGCTTCGATCGCGGCTTTCATATCTGGATCTTCATAGTCCGACGTCGGGATAACCGCCTCTTTCGTCGGCACCGGCACGACTTTCAACGGATCCACAAACCCAGACGATCCCGTCGGCTTTGCGTCCTCGAGCGACAACCGCAGCGCCCGCTGCAAATCATCTTCCTCCCTGCTCGCGACCTTGCTATCAAGCGACTTCCTGCTGCTGTGGTGATGGTGTCCGTGCTTCGAGCCCGACTTTGGCGGCGCGGGGCTCTTGAGCGCGTAGCATGAATCGCACACGCGCACGGGCTGCGTGATGCCGAGGTGGGGGAGCGGGATCGACTTTGACGAGCACTGCTGGTCGTAGACGTTGCCGCAGTTGCGGCAGTGGTGTTTTCGGTTTGTGAAGGAGAACGGGGTGCGGCAGCGCATGCAGACTTCGGAGTCGGTCCAGTCGGGGGGCTTGGAAGCTGTGTTAGCTGTGCTTGTAGAAGGAGAGGTAAGATGATGATACGTACAGCTGATGAGTCGATGAAGGTAGATGACACTGTTGATGTAGGTTCCGGGAAATCAAATCCTATAAAATAATCAGCCTTGCTCTCGACTAAACAACTTCAAACAACTCCACTAAACACAATCATACCTTGACTCTTCAACTCCTTGTACACCGTACTAACATATCCAAGCTGGATCTGGCCCTCAAACACGGTCGCCCATGTCTGGATCAGCTCGAGCATCAGAGCTTTCACGTCGGGGTTTATACCGGCCGGGTTCTTGAGGATAGAGACTAGGTTGTCGATGAACTCCCGCGAGGCGACTTCGACTAGGAAATGGTATCCTCCGTTTTTTATGCAGGCGTCCGTGAGCTGTAGTTCGTAACCCATCGTCAGTTCAAATCCACCCCTTCTCCCAAACAAACAAAATCAAGAAAAGAGACCCACCTTCAGCGTCAAAATCTGCACATTCGGATTCTTGTGATTCAGTCGCTTCTTCAACGACCGCATCGCATCCTTCGCCGGCACGCTCTTACTCCGGATCGCATCGCAAATCTCGAGGTTCAGCGCAAGATCAATCTCGCCGCTCGGCAGCGCTTCCGACGTCGCCCGCTCAATCTGCTCGTCCAGCACGCCGCCGGATGAAAACCACGATGCCATTTGTATAATGAGTAGTAGTAGGTCCTTGTATCAGAAGGGTCTGCCTTGTATCTGTTCTCTGCAAGTGCTGAGTTATCTGGCAATATCAAGCTACTATTCCGTCTCAAACCACTCGTCTCGTCTCAGTATCAGCGCAGTCTTATACAAACAGCTCTCTTCAAAAGCAGTCAGCAAATTTCCTTCCTTCCCACTCCGGCTGCTCAGCTATCGATCTGTGCCGCCCCGCCGCGCGCGCCCGGCCACATCAGCACGCGGCACGTGACATTGTCGGGCTTCTGCACCCAGATTTAGCAGGACCGGGCGTAAGCGAACACGCCCGCTGACGTCATCAGTTCACGGTGTTTTTCTTTGTTGTTTGTTTTTATTGTTGGGTGGAGCGCGGCTGGCCGAGGAGGAGGACGGTCAACGCCGAGGAGGAGGGGAGGGCGGTGTGGGCCGGTGGGTGAGTGGAGATGAGATGGATCTGTTGGTAGTTGTAGATACTGGATGATCTGGAGCAGAGCAGAGACTGAGCTGGTTTGAATGGAAGTCTGTATCGATTGATCTGGAGTTCACTACATCGTCAGAGAAGATTACATTAGGGATGTTTAGAAGCTCAATCAAAGAGATAAATGCAGTGCGTGCAAGTTCAGGAGGACCACTGTGTCATAATGCAGAAAGCAGACATATCATTATTACATATAAACTAATACCCTTTCATCTCCCCCTCATCCATGCATTGCAAACTAATACAAACTAGAAAAAGAAAAATATCATGAAAACATGACTCAATACTGAAAGAAATTAAACAAAAGTAGATAGTTACAAAGAAAGCAAAAACACCAATCGAGATCTTTCTATGCATACGCTTTTCTTGTCCAAGACCACGTCAACAAGACTCAACCACACCTCAAATCAATACATATGCTAAAAAAAATGGTATCAAAGCGTGCTCACAGCATAGACGTGTCGCGCTGGTAAAACAGCACGTACGCATCCCGCGAGACAACTTTATCCTCCTTAATCATCGCCACGCGACTGTCGTCAAACACAAGCCATCCCTTGTTATTCTTGTGCATGTAGGCAGTGTAATGCCCCCCTCGCAGCGTGCCGTAGTGGTTCACCACTCCGTACAAGTTATACTTGAACGGCGGGACCTGGTCGCTCTTCGGCACCTTGTCGATCCACATGCTATCCTCCGACCTGAACGCGGGCCAGTACGACGTCAGATCAAGGTCGTGCACAGGGTAGTCGACAAACGTGTCGAGCTTGTTTGTCCACCGCCCGTTCGTCTTGAACCGCTTCAGATGCACAATCAGAATCATCGGCAGCCGCGCAATCCTCAGCGTCTTGGTCGCCTTCCGCTGCGTCTTGCACTGCGGACAATACCACGCGTCGTCCTTATCCAGAACTTCCTCCATCACAAACATATCAAAGCACTGCTTCAGACTCACATGCTTCCCCGGCGCAAGCGGCAGCGAAAGCACAGAGAACGGGTTATACGTCGTCGACGTGAACTTGCAAGTCATGCACATCAGCTTGCTCTGGTACTGGCCCTGGAACATACTCACAATCGCCGAATTGTCCGACTTGCGGTACCGCTCCCACTCCAAAAACGAAGCATACCGAACCGGGAACTTCTCCCGCATCCGCTCTTCTTGCTCCGTAAGCGGCGGCAGCCGCGTCTTACCCCCGTTCAAGTTCAAATCCTCGTGCAGGCTGTCCAACAAGAACGTCAAAAACTCCTGCGCGTCTTGCTGATCCGACCCAGCAAACTCCGGCCGCAGCCGTCCAGTCACGTCCTTCATCGTCGTCGGCACCAGGAAAGTACACTGGTCGCTATACAGCGCAGCCACGAGATCCCCAAACGCTTTCGCCAAAACTCCCTGCGTGCCCAGCTTATTCTGCATATTAATCTGCTTCCGATACGTCCCGTTCAGAAATATCCGCGCCAGCAGACTCGTGCCTGCCAGACACTGAATCACAGAGTTCATATAGCACGTATTCCCCAGGTTCTTCAACCCCGTCATCCCCGCGCTCACTTCGCCCAGACCAGAGAAATTGTTGCCAAACGAGGGCTGTCGCTCTGTGCGCATCATCGTCGGGCTCGACGGCAACTGCGAAGCATAGTCGATCGGCTGCGGCTTTCGCACCAGCGCCGTCGGCTGCTGCTGCAAATCACCGCTTCCATTGCTCGTATTGATCGACGGCAAAACAGAGCCCGCGGTCGGGATACTGTGGGCCGAAATCCGACCACTGTATGCAGGACGATCTAGAACTGGCGTCGGCCGCTTCGGGAGCAAGTCCACCGGCGCGCTCGCAGCCGTGCGGCGGAAGAAATCGTTCATATCGCGCGCATAAACGTCGGGTTGGGAATGACTGCTGTCGTAAGAATTGTGGCTGTGGTGGGGGAGAAGGTGGTGATGGGAGTGGTGAGAGGAAGAGGTCGGCAGCTCGGTGAGATGCCGTGTGTCAGAGGCTGATGGGTATTTCAGAGTCGAAGTACTGTAATGTGAAGCGGCAGCGGCGGTGGTAGTGTTCTTTGAGCTTTGCCCGTTGACAGTAGAGTTGCTGCTGTTAGTTGACGAAGCGTAGACAGACGATGGCGACTGCGCCGCCGCTCCTTTCTGCAACCACGCCGCTTCATAAGACAAATCCGGTTTCTTTTCCGAAAAGTCCAAACTCGACTTTGACAGCCTGGCTCCGTTGAACTGTTTCGAGCGGCGGAGCGACGCACTGCTGCCATCACTGCTACTCCCGTTTGATAACCGCGCGGTCTGGCTTCGACTCCCATTCACCGCTTTCGACGCCACAAGCGAATTCCGCCCACAGTACGCGACCCACGCGTCCACACCGCCGACGAGCAGGACCGGCTGTCGTTTGAGCATCTTTCGCGGCTCCTTTTCGTAGATCGTATCAAACAGGTTTCGTAACGCGGTCGTCTGAGGATCGTTGCCGACAAAGTTGCCAGAGCGGCTGCTTTGGTCGTAGTAGACTATTAGCTCGAATTCGTGTCGGCGGGAGAAGAGGTCTTGCTCGTCTTCGGGGGATACAATCAGTGCATCTTCCAGATCCACACTTGTTTGACTATGTTATTGAATGTCAGTATAACGCTCAATTAGAACAGAAAGGCAAACTATCAGACTTACTCTGGCCGAAGCACGATAGGATCGATATTGACAACATTCCGCGAATAAATATGCCCTTCGTCGAAATCTTCCCGTGACCGCACGTCAAGCAACAGAATCTGCTGCGGGACTTTAAGTATATAATCCGCCAGCGTCTCGGGAGAAATCGACACTGCGCGAGGGAAATCGAATTTCTTGGCAGGCGCTGTCGCTGTCGAGCTTGATGATGCCGAGGAGGTTGATGACGATGTGCCACGGGCCGACGACGATGGCAATCCGGCGGAGGAGGGGTGATGTGAGTATGTGGAATCAGATGGCGGGGAGACTTTGCGGATTGATGGCTGCGATGATCGGTTGGCGGAAGGGAGAGTTGATGGTGCGGAGGGCAGCGATGATAGAAGCAGAGAGGTAGAATCATGGCTGTCTCGCGAGACTGGCTTTTCGTGGGAAGAATATGAATACGTCGCTGACAGAGAGTGATTTGAAGAAGTGTCTGAATGCTGATATTGACTGGTGTCTGGTATCGCTCGCGGTCCCTTTGGCGGCGATGGCCGTACTGCCGATAGCGAGCTACTCGACTCGGTGCCGTTACTCTCACTCCCGTGCTGCTTGCGATCATACCTGCTCACACGATCCGCCAGCCCCGAGTCCGCATGTGCTGCAGAATACGTCGACGCCGACGCCGACGCCGCCGACGAAGAAGAGACAGCAGCAGTACCAGGCTGCTTTGACCGCGCAGACTTGAACTGCAGCCTGGCGAAGCGCGCCTCAAGAGCGTCAGCAGGAGACGACGGTGGCGGCGGCGGCGCAAAGGGCCGCTCGGTCATTGTTCTAGCAGTTGAGCAGCTGTTTTGTGTGCTGCGAAGCTGTGGGTTCGTCGAGAAGAGCAGAGGTGGAGGGGTGTGGGGAGGAGTTGGAGGTGGAAGGTGGGATAAGAAGAGGCGTGGGGCCTATCGCGAGGCTGCGTCTGAGGCTTAGCCTTTGCTCTACGCCTCGCTTTCTTCTTCCCATTAAGTTTTTGTGTGGTTAGTTCTTGCACAGCAGTTCAGCAAGAAAGTAGAGAAATATGGCTGCCGAACAGCGGAAATTGCTCGAGGTTTGTATTCGATCTGTCTAATATCATCTGTCGCATACTAACATCTCCTCATCGCAGCAACTGATGGGCGCAGACGCCCTCGTCGGCCGCCCGTCGAAACGACAAGAAACTCCCATCACCGACTCCCGCGTCTGCAAATCCTACCTCGTCGGCACCTGCCCACACGACCTCTTCACAAACACAAAAACAGACCTGGGCCCTTGTCCGCGAATCCACTCGGAAGCACACAAGGCTGAGTTCCAGCGGGAAAAAGAACGGCTGGAAAACGGCGGAGGAAACGATGGCAGGCTGACGATGCGCGATCTGGCGAATTTCGAGATGGATTATTATCGGGATTTGGAGAAATACGTGACGGATTGTAATCGGAGGATTGACGTCGCTCAGCGAAGACTGGAGCGGACGCCGGACGAAATCGCACAGACAACCACTATCGTGAGTTTTTCGAATCCACATCTACAATTTCTCATATTCAATCTATCTAACACACTATAACCTCCAGCTAAAAGCAATCGACGAAATCAACGAATCAATAGACGCCTCCATCTTCGAACTCCAAGTCCTAGGCGACCTCGCGCTGATCCCGCGGGCTCTACAAGAATACAACGCCATCAAATCCAAGCGTCTCGAGCGCGAGTCCAAAGAGCGCGAACTGCGAAATCTAAACGACAACATCGGACCTTCGGGTCACCAAAAGCTGCAGGTCTGCGACGTCTGCGGCGCGTATCTGTCAAAGCTCGATAACGACCGGCGGCTCGCGGATCACTTTGGCGGGAAAATGCATCTGGGATATGCCACCATGCGCGCGCTGCATAAAGAGCTTCAGGAAAAGATCTCGGCGAGGGGGCCGATACCAACTGGGCCTTCGGGCGGTGGACCTAGAGGAGGTAGAGATTATTCTGATGGATATCGAGGGGGTTCGGACAGGAGAGGGCCTAGAGAAGATCGATGGGGAAAAGGCGGTGGCCGTCGCGGGCGCTACTGACGAGCGAAGTATGAATATGTACAATATGTCTTATATAGGAGTAAAAGCTTTCCATTAAACATTGCTCATTAATGTCTGTTTATTAATGCTATAAAAAGCCTTTTCGCAATCTTGCATTCACAAACACCGTTCCCAACCCTCCATCCAGCAAACGCGAGACAAACTTCTCCGTTGCACTCATACTATTAAACATATCTACAACACAGCGCCGAATCTAAAGAGAAATCAAGAAAGAACGCGCATTAGCACAGTTCCCAAAACAACGACTCCGACCGAACCCGCGAGGTAGAGCACGCAGTTGGTCAGGGTCGAAGACGAAGATGATGAAGAAGAGGAGGAGTGAGATCTAGGCTTTACATACCCAAACGTCATCTTGATTGATTTAACATAATATTCCTCGAAGTTGTGCTTTGTGACGTCCTGTAAGAATCGGTTAGTGTCTGTGCTAGTATAATAAAGGTGAAATATGGTAGATACCTCCTGTCCGACCGGCACGCCCTTCCAGGTAACGACAGCCTTCGTCTCGCCCTGTCCCTGATCAAAAACAATCTTCAAGTTTGCGAAATGCTCAGGCTTCCAGTCCTTCAACCGCCACGACATCTCAATCGACTTATTCTCGACCAGCTCCAAGAACTTGCCCGACACGTTCCCGCCAAACAGCGCGTACTCGCCGCCCTTCTCCGGCGCGAACTTGACCGGCGGCGACCGCGTCCAGGCCGATACTCGGCCCGGGTCGAGGAAAGTTGTGTAGAGCTCTGCGGCGGAGGTGTTGAAGACCGGGTCGAGGCGGAGGGTGGTGGTGTTGTATGCGGCCGAGGAGGATTTTTGGGCAGAGGAGGAGGAGGAGGAAGATGTCGATGGCCGGGTGATTGGCTTTGCGGTCTGGTTCGAGGCGGTGAAGACCGACTTGTTTTCGGTGACGGGGTGCTGGATGTCCTTGCCGTGGACTTCAATGAGATCAGGACCAAAGGCCGCCAGCTTGGTCCGCAGCAGAGGAACGAGGTGATCACGAACGAAGGCTCTCATCGGCATCTTCTCTCGCGTCTCGCCTGTTATGCTGATATCAAACACATACTCGTCTTCCTCGGTATCGTACGCCACCTCAGGGACGGAGATTGTTCCCTTGACCTCCTCGTCGCCGACCTTGCCCTCGAAATCGACGACGATCTTGACGTCGAATAAAGAGATGACCTTGCCCTTTCGCTGATTGACGTCGACGTCGCCGGTGAGTGAGTTTAGGCTGGTGATTGTGGCAGTGGAGGTCGAATCAGAGGCGGTGGTGCCGACCAGCTTTTCCTTGAAATACGTCTTGGACCATTCTACGCAGTTCTTATCAACCCAGTGCCTGGACGAGAACAGAATTAAAATCGATTCATGAGATAGGATTGAGGCTAAGAACAAAGATACAAGGAAAAAAAAAAGTACAAGAGATCAATGACAAAACAGACAGAAGGTTGATACATACCAGTTGTTTGGATTATGCAGAACCATCTTGAATACAAAGAAATGAAATGAAATCAGAGGGCAGAATCTGTAAAGAAGAAGTTAGCACGAGCTCGGAAGGATCCACATCCGTCCTCCGACGGCACTGCAAACGCAACTGCAACTGCAACTGCAAATCAGAGCCAACAATGCGCTTTATTCTTGAAAGATCAGAAATTTGGGTATATAATAGTCCACACAAGAAAGAGTACAAATCTCTTCAGACTGGTGTCAGCAAATCGCGAAATTTTCTCGTCATGTCAAGATCAAGAAGAAGCGCGTTGTGGTCTCTTTGCACTGCAGTTGCATGCAATTGTCATAAGAGTAGATGCAATAGCATCACTAAAGCACACAACAACACATACCAACAGATCAGCTATTATTCAAGCACAATTAGGATCCAGTCTCGGCTTTCGGGGAGAAAACTTCAGAGTGCGGACGCGCAGCTTTAACCACGCCCGAGCCCTGAACCCTCAGCCCTGAACCCTAAGCCAGTCCCAATTCGAGAAACTTCCGGGCGACTCGACAATCGAGCTAGTCCGCGTTCGGACAATTGTAAACATCTGGAATATGTGTATTTAGGCCCAATAATCAATCCTGTACAAATGCGTCCAAAAACTAGTAGTTCAGTAATATTACAGTGCTTCTTCTCCTCCTCTCCGCCTCCTCATGCTGCATTCATCAAAACTCGTCATTCATCAATCAATCATCAAAAGATAGAAATAGCAACCTGCCATGAACGGAAACAAACGTGTTAAAAGTGGTATGAAAAACAAATCAAAAGTAACAGACCCCCGCAAATAAAGAAAACGAAAAAGAAAACGAAAACTCAAAGAAACTTCAACAATATCGTACAATACTCTCCGTCAGATATGCAAGACAAAACATAAAACTATCTCTGCTCCGGCTCCGTCTCGCCGATGAAGCAGAAGCAGCACTCGGCAACGACGAACGATCTAAACGACTCCCAAAAACCGATATCCTCCCCGCCAAACTCGCCCGAATTTGTCGCGTCTCGGAAGATCCGGCGGGTGTAGGACGGCTCGGGCGCGCGACTTGGCTGGCGCGACAGCAGGCCGTTTTGCGAGTCGATACTGCGCGCGTTGCTCGAGCTCCGCGACGAGTGGTAGAACGGGTGTCGGCTGATTGCGCCGTAGCCCATGTTTTGCGAGATCGGAGGGCGGAATCGGGGCGGCCGAGGAACGGACGGGTTGCGGCCATGCATGAGCTTATGTAGAGCGGCGCGCGATTGCGCCGACATGCGCGAGTAGAGTAGCTCCTCGGCTTCGGCCGTGGAAGGAAATGGTGGGACGCGAGGACTGGCGTAGTCGATTAATGTGGCGAGGTCTGTGTCGGGATAGTTGCAAACGCCGTCGGCCGAGCAGGTGATGTTGACGAACGAGACCGGCGGCGAGGACGCGATGTCGTCAAGGTGCGCGGCCGAGTACGCATCTCCGGGGTGTTCGACAGCGTTACTTTCCGCAGCAGCTGCACCGGCGATGTCTACTGGCTGCGATGTGCTAGCCGAGGCCACTTCCTCGCCGGCATCGACGACGGCATCGCCCACGGCCGCGTTAGCTTCCTCATACAGCGCGCTCTGCGCGTCGATGTTGTCGATATGGGAGACAATGGACGCGCCGTCGCCGCCGAGCGCGCCACGCGTGGCAAGGAAACCAGGCGACGCAAATCCAGGCGAGCCGACAAAAGTCTGGCCAGGGTTTGTCTGCGGCGGGGGCATTTGGAAGACGGAAGAGGTGCGGGAGTGGATACGCGAGGCGGCGGTCCAGCCGAGGTCGTAGGTGTATTCGGAGTAGTCTATTGAGCGGAAAGCGCCGTTGCTGGACTGCGAGCCAAAGACGATCGAGTTGCGGTTGCTGCGAGGGATGCCGCCGTGGCCGTGGCCGATGGCGCCGCCGACGGCAGCTGTGCTGTTGATGGTGGTGGTGGTGGTGGTGTTGTTGTTATTGCTGTTTGCGCTGCTTTGGAGGGTTGGGTCGTGGTGGTTAGCGGCGACGACGATGCTGCTGGCAAAGCCACCGTAAAGAGAAAGCGGACGATGCGAGCGCGTGCTGGCGGCGTCGTTTGTTGTGTCTTCAGCCGGGGTTTGGGCGACGTAGGATCCGTTTGTGACGGCAGGGTAGAGCTTGCTGGCCTCGTCTTTGTCGGGCAGGTGATCGATGTAGGATAAGGCGTCGGCGGGGTCGATGTCGACGAATACCTCAGCCTCGTAGATGGAGGCCTCGTCTGAGGAGAAGGAGGAGTCTGAGGAGTCTGAGTCTGAGATGGAGGATCGCCGCATGCGTCTGCGGGCGAGCTGTTGTTCTGCGGCATGGGCTGCCTGGGCGAGGGAGACGGGCTGCCGGCCACGAGCCGCGGAGGTCGAGGCCATGGTCAGCGGGGGAGAAGATGGTGAGGAGAGGAGAGGTGAGGAGAGGTGAAGAGTATAGAAGAGAGGACAAGAGGATATGGGATAAGAGGAGGATAAGCAGTCGGGAAGAGGAGGAGGAGGAGGAGGAGAGCGGCCGAGGCGCAACTGCGATTGTCTCCACATAAAACTGCGCGACTATCAGATCCACGTCCGTCCACCAAACGCTGCTTCTGTCTTTTGTTCTTCTTCTTTGTTTCTGTTTCTTTTGTTCAATTATAACCTGTTATTACTCTTCTCTGCTCTTATCTTCCTCTTCTATCCTCCCCTCCTCCGCGGTCGAGACCCTTCCCGAACATCCGCCGGCTGCCCGTACCTGTCCTGCACTCCCGGGTCCGCTGCCTCTTTATCTGATTCTCCGCCATCCCCACAGCTTCCCGTCTATTTCCTGCTATCTACGCATTGTCTGTCTTCCAGTAGTCCTCTTTAATACTGCTATCTACCACTTTCTCTTCTTCACCCTCCCCTCCCCGCCCGCTGCTCACTCCGCCCGGTCGGCCACCGGTCAGCTGCCTCTGGAATGCGACCCGCGTGGCGCCACTTCCCGGGTCAGCCTTCCAACCCGCCTTATCTGATTGCCCTTGCCCTGTCATACCCGGAGCCGCACCAGTATCAGATCTTCTCATACTAATTTGCTCACTCTTCCTGCTTATTGCAATATCTTACTCTACTTGACTGTCGATCTGTATTATTCACTATCCAGGCCACCATCATCGGCTGTAGACACCGACAATGAGCAAGAGAAACTAAATCCGCAAGCAACAAGCACTCCACCATACTCAATCTAATGCCATCTCACTCCTCAACTCTCTCTACACCCCCTCGGGCAACTTCACCCCTCCAATCTGCACCCCCGACCCCCACTGATGCAAAACACTGATCCACGCCGTAGCAAGCGCAACCTCGGGATTGATCTTTGCCGTATCAATCGCAACCCGCCACACCATCCCTCTCGCAATCTTGCACGCGTGCGCAATCGTCTCATGCTCGACCTTCGCCCGTCTCTCCCCCGCGTGCTCACTATCCACCGCCGCCGTCTCTCTCGCTGATCCGCCGGACTGCGCCCACGCCCTATGCACCGTATCAAGCACCTCGTTCGCGCGCGCTGCTCCCCCGTGCACATTGCTCTCCCTACTCCGTCCCAGCCTCGCAAGCGCGTCCCGCGACGGCGTGTACGCAGGCGGAGACCGCGCGATCCCTCCCCACGCCGTGCCCATCGCCGTCCGTCCCGAGTGTATCTCCGCCGGCGATCCAACCTCGGGATCCGTCAAAAAGAACTCCGAATCCCGAATCACCGCCCGATGCAAGAACCCGGCTTTTGTCCAGTGATACGGCGACGTGCCCGCGAGATAAAACGTGCGCAGCGTGCCTTCCTCCGGCGTCCACTGCTGCGACACCTTGCGGTACGTAAGCCCGCCGTTCGCGTTATTAAACAGCACGTATTTCCCCGGCCGGGCCCGCGCGGCAATGATCCCCGAGCCCGCGCCCACGCCGTCCTTCTTGCCCGCGTAGATCGTAGCTAGATCCCGCGTGCCCTGCTCCGCATCCGCGTACACGAGCGTCCACGTCTGCGATCGCGCGGCGGGCCGCAGAAACGCATATACCTTCTCGCCTTGGTTGTTGTATACGTGAATTATCCTCCGATCCGTCTTCGGCTCCGGTTTGAGGAAATATACCGCAACTCCAGGGCTCTGCAAGAGCGCATTCACCTGCGTCACGATCTCTCTCCGCGAAGGCCGGTTCGGCACCGTGATCAACGCTTGATTCACCGACGACATTTCCGTCACAGACACAGTCGTCGCTGACGTACGGCGGGATTCATTCATACTCGTGTCCGCCGCAGAAGAGCTCGTAGCTGTCGTCGTACCCCCATGACGATCACCATCAGCCTGGATTCGAACCCGCGGACCCGTCATCGCGCTCGCGGCCGCGACGTCAATCACGTCCAACTCTCCGCCCGGTCCGCGTGCTCGACTCGACCTCAACGGCGCAAACGCCGCCTCCGTAGCTTTTCTCACCTTCACCGTCAGTATATAATGCATCCGCTCATAAGACCTGTACCCCACAATCAGCGTGTTTGCGATCCCCAGCCCGACCTGCGACGCAACCCATGCCGGCAGACGCGGAAGCGGCATCGACAGCCCTTCTTTCAGTGTCTGGACTAGAAACCGGAGCCGGCCTGGCTCGACGACGATGTACCGTGGATAAGGGAGATACTCTTCTCTTGCTGATTCTTCGAGCGCGGGTACGACGTGGTTGTAGTACACGAGCTGGAGCTGGGTGGAGAGGTATGGAATCACAGAGGTGAAGTAGAGCCGGAACAGAAACAGATAGATGAAGAGGATATCAAAAACCTGGCTATCGACAACAGAAACAAAAACAGTCAAGCAAGCAGTCACAGCGGATTGCAATAGCAGAAGCGGACCGACGCGAACGGCCGCAGAGTCAGGCGAGAACGAGGGATCCGTAGCTGCAAAATATACAGGATCCAGCCTATGAATAAAGCTGCTAAATATACAGTCAAGAATACAGATATTGTGCAGGAGTGAACTATTGCGTTGGGTGGCAGTCTGAGAGAGAGACGAGCCGCGCAGGAGTCGACTCCGTTCAGCCTGGCTCACGTTCTTCCCATCACAATGTTCTCTCGCAGCACATGCACCTTTCAGTTGATCTCTTTGTTATTACACAATTATATTACTTTTAGATCTATCTCTTTTCAAATATCCTCCTCTCTACATCTCCAAACACCCCTCAGAAATCCATCAACTACCTCTGCCCAAGCAATCCCCCCAAACGGGAATACCCAAAACTAAACGCGTAAGTCACGTGTGTAAAACCCTGCAACTACCTCACAACGCAATCAACAGCGCTCTTCATCTCCCTCACGGCGATAGGACTGCTTTCGCCGCCAGCCGTCATTGTAGCGCGTCGACTTTTGCTTTTGCAATATGGGGAAGAGAGGACAAAAGCGACAGCGCAGCGCGGCGACTTCTGAGCAGCAGCAGCAGCAGCAGCGACATCAACGCGCGACAGACCACGACGCGCGCCCGGCGACGCGACAAAACGTACAAATCACCCTCTCCAGCCACGCCGACCAAAAACACCGACGGCTTTCAAAACGCGCGCAGCGACGGCAACATGATCGCACTACATTGAAAATCGACGTAAGTGCACGGTTGAAGGCGAGCGAACTGACGGGCGCGGGGCTCGTGAGGAAATTAAATCTCGAGATCGGGAAGGAGGAGGGGGAGCAGAGTGAGGATGGAGGGAGCGATGATAATTTGTATCAGAGCGATGAGGAGGAGGTTGAGGACTGGTATGAGTTTTATCAGATGAATCATAATCCGTCGAGCAGTCCGAGATCGTGGTCGGGACGTGAGCAGCTGGGTTCTTCGCGAACTGCTGAGAGTGGCAGGCAGTACAGACCAGAGTTACCTCGATTAGGTCCAACGGTCTATGAGCCTGATTCTTCAGAACTCGAAGAGCTTGCGAAACTTCAGAAAAAGAGTCAGCCCGTTTCTTCACATCCTGCCCAGAACATAAGACGGAACAGACTTCCAGAGCGACGGCCGCTTGGTCCTACAGTTTACGAATGCGACTCTTCTGAGCTCGAGGAACTTGCAAAACTCCAGAAGAAGAGCCAGCCAATTCCTGCGCGACCTGCTGAGAACACCAAACGACCCAGACCTCCAGAGCGACGGCCGCTTGGTCCTACAGTTTACGAATGCGACTCTTCTGAGCTCGAAGAGCTTGCAAGACTTCAGAAGAAGAGACAGTCGGTTCCTCCGCGACCTACCGAGACCACCAGACGACACAGACCTGCAGAATTGCCGCGGCTTGGTCCTACAGTTTACGAATGCGACTCTTCTGAGCTCGAGGAACTTGCAAAACTCCAGAAGAAGAGTCAAACAATTCCTCCGCGACCTGCTGAGAACACCAGACGACACAGACTTCCAGAGCGACGGCCGCTTGGTCCTACAGTTTACGAATGTGACTCTTCAGAACTTGAAGAACTTGCAAAACTCCAGAAAAAACGTCAATTCGTTCCTTCACAACCTGCTCAGAACACTAGACGGCACAGACTTCCAGAGCGACGGCCGCTTGGTCCTACAGTTTACGAATGCGACTCGTCAGAGCTCGAAGAACTTGCAAAACTTCAAAAGGAGAATAAGAGAACCGCTGAGAGCACCAAACGACACAAGCCTCCAAAATTACCGCGACTACGCCCAACTACTTACGAAGTCAACTCTTCAGAACTTGCCGAACTTCAGAAGGAGAGTCAGAGAGCTGCCGAGAACACTAGACGGCACAAACCTGCTGAATTACCGCGGCTTGGTCCTACAGTATATGAATGCGACTCTTCTGAGCTCGAAGAGCTTGCAAGACTTCAGAAGAAGAGACAGCCGGTTCCTCCGCGACCTACCGAGACCACCAGACGACACAGACCTGCAGAATTGCCGCGGCTTGGTCCTACAGTATATGAATGCAGCTCTTCAGGACTCGCAGAGCTCGCAGAACTTGAGAAGGAGCAACAACGTCTAGACGCAGAGACACTCAAAATCATCCACGTCTCTACAAAAGCAAAGACCGTCGCGCGACAACTGCTGTCGAGTCCAAACCGGACCCCGCAATCAGGAAGCGAGGAACCGATAGAATGGCCATCATCCTCTCCTGCCCACAAGACTGCTACCGTTTCTTCCAGAACCGCAGTTTCTCTCCCATATTCGCCATACCCCACCAAGCAACCCCCGTCAAAAAAGAAGCCCTCGCGAGTTCTCTTCACGACGCCCTCCGGCGTCAACTTCTACCACCGCAAATACTACGGACAGTCTAAAGTCTACAACGAGTGGGTGCCGTTGACGATCGCGGACGTGCTAAAGTTGCAGGAGCACAAGATGGTCAACACGGATGATTTCTTTTGGAAGAATCATCCGATTAGAAACGTGTTTATCGTCGGGCTTTGCGTTGGCGTGCGACAGCCTAAAGATGATCGCGTTCTCTATATCGATAGTAAGGCCCCCGAATGATTCCATCTTCTCTCTTTTTTCCGAGCACACACTCATGTTTTCTCTGATTTAGTCGACGACGCATCTGGCCACGAACTCGTCTGCAAAGTAAAAAAGCGACAACCAATCGACGACCACGCCACCCGCCTTCTCGACATGGACACCCCTTTCCTCATCCAAGCCGCGGGCACAATCGGCATCTACACCCGCGGCAGCGAGCGCATCCGCCAGCTCGAATGCGACTCGTCCGACCGAGTCACGGTTATCGACGACGCGCATCATGAGATTAGGTTTCTGAGAAAACTGTTGGAGATGAGGAAGGTGCTTGATGTGCCGTGGGAGTTGAGCGAGGAAAAATGCAAGGAAATGGACAAGCAGGTGTTTATAAATTAGAGAGGGTGGTTTGAATGACTAGGTTTCGTTTGCATTGGAAGGCGTCGTGATTTAGTTTAATATTGTAATATAGAGCCTTCTTTACTTCATAGTTTTACTAGTCTTTACTCCTGGTGCAGGTCCAGAGAATTTTAGGACTGGTGATGAGCTGGAAAGTCTCATCCTGGTCTATTCTAGTTTATAACTATATACATCGTTTATATGCTCCCAAACCACGCAAAAACAAAACAAAAACATACAAATAGGGGAAGACAATTCGAAGGAAACTAGTATCAAAACTAATGACTGGAAACCTATATCGCAGCGCGCAACAGATCAAACAATCTGAAATCACTGAGATACAAGTTCACAAGAAGACAGAAACACGAAAGAAAAGAAGGCCAACCAGAAAAGAAAAGAGTGAACGAACAGGAATAGAGAAAACAAACTGAAAATCTCAAAATAACAGAAAAAAATGTGTGAGTACACGCCCCCAACGACTATTAGTATATGCTATTATACAGTACAACAAAATGAATGTATCAAAAAAACAAGGGAGAAGAAAAGTGGTTGTTATTTTTTCAGAAACTGGAATAGCTTTCTGTTGCAAGCTATTCATCTATTGCATCTTCTGGCTGACGACACGTCTAGGAGACCGTGGTCCGTCGTCAGCGACAGATTGCAGAGGTGCCGGCCGATACTCAATGTCCTTGAGGTTGCTGGGGACGCGTCGGTCCGGTTTCGAGTACAGGAATGTAGCCGCCAAGACGAGGGTAGCGCCAAACACAAAGTTGGAAGTGACGACAAAGTCAAAGAAGTAGACGCTCGCGATGAAGCTGAGGAGGATCGAGATACTCGTCGCAAAGTTCTTTGCGATGTTGTCGGCAAAGTTGACGCAAAGTGCGACGACGATACCACCGATTGCCTGGAATCCGATGGCGGTCCACACGACAGCATTGTAGCCAAAGAAAAATCCACGCTCTGAGATCGCAGCGCCATCTTTCCACAAAACACCGATGAAAAACGCGGGGAAGATGGAGAAAAACGAAAGCTGCACGTTGCGGATCCAAAGCGAGGCGTTGGAGCCCTTGAGAACTTTTTCAAAGTACACACCAGCGAGACCGGAGAGGACGCAGGAGATGGTGACGGCAATCAGCCCAAGGGTACGGTTCATTTCATTTTCGCCTTCGAGAGCATGCACCTTTGCCGTTTTCTCGGCCTCCTCGGCAACGACTTCACCTAGGGCCATGTTAAACGCCGTGGTGACGAGCGAGAGGACGTCCTCCGGAAGCTGGACCAAGCCGATGCCTAGGGTGAGCATGAGCAGCGACATCCATTTTGTGGGTGTGAGAGACCGGTGGAGCATGGTGACGGAGAAAATGGCGGTGGTGATGATCTTGAGCTGGTAGGTGACTTGGAAGGTAGCGGCATCGAGGTTTGAGACGGCGACGTACTGCAAGCTGTTTTGGATCTGCGGGGAGAGGTAAGAATAAGCACAGAAAATGACGAAGATCATAAGAACGGAATATAAAAGGTTGAAAGAACATACTGTGTAGAGGCAGGCAGGGATGGCGAGTTTCCAGCAGTCACTACTAAATACCTCAGTAAAGACCAGAGTGCCTCGACTGAAAAAAGCGACGACAGTGCAGATGGAGAGCTTGATGAGCTCGTTGAGTAAAACAGCCGTGCTGGAGAAGTAGCGGCTATTGCTGTCGTATCCTGGCATGACGCGGGAGTAGTGCATTATCTAGAGATGGGGGGTCAGCCGGTGATCTTCAACTGTGTCGTCAAGCAGAGTTTAGGCGGGGTGCAGCATACGACGATGAGAGCAGAGTTTTGGAAGGTGAGCTGGAGAGGGAAAGTGTTAGTCGAATCAGAGGAGTGATATCCGCATAGCATCAGAAAATAAAACGCACCATGACGAGAGAGATGTATTTGAGGGGGACGCCGTAGAGACGTGGGACGTCGGTGCCGGGGGCAGAGAGGGCCATGGTGGGGAGGAGGTAAGGAGTCTAGGAGGACACGCGCGGGACAGCAAGCACAGAAACCGGTATCGACAAGCAGCTCAGTAATTCTTCTTGAAAGCACAAAGCACGACGACGAAGACAGTCGCGGATACTGAGCAGAGGAGGAGCAGGAAAGCAGAAGGGATGGAGGAGGGAGAAGTAGCGCGGCCGGACGAGTGTTGCGGTTTGTGGGAGCAACTCGCGCGGCTCTCGAAGCAACAGCGCACTAAGCCCGATTCGAGCTAAACCCTAACTTTAAATGCAGCTGCTATTTCCAGCCTTCACTGCTCCTGCAACCAAACCACTCCGCCAGCCAGCGCTCGGCTCCTGCATCACAGCCCCTGTGTGAAGAAAGCTGTGGCTGCTGTTCGCCGCTCTTGTTCGGACATGCTGCTGCTATTTTTGCTGCTCTGCTACGTGCGTGCGGTCGATTGGGCCCCGGCATACGCGCGATCGAACGAAGGGGCTGCGTCCGCGAGCGTTGGCTGCTCCCGGCTCGTTGGGTTTGAGCAGCAGCCGAGCGGTCGTCTCGCCGGTGGTCCTTCGTCTATTTCGCTGGTCATTTGGTAGCCTGAACTTTTTAGTAAATCCCAGCCAAAACCAGCCGTGTTTGTCTTGTCTTCACCGTCACGCAGCCTGCGGTCGGCGCAGCGACAGCGACAGCGACGGTGCGGCTACGACTACAGTTGGATCTCATCAAGCCACGCCCTAACTCAGTCCAATGCCCATCTCGCACTCTGCCCGAATCCGTAGTTACTGCCAGCTGCAGTTCCCTTTCTGACATCACCGCAGCGGCAGCTTTCATGCACATGCAAAAAATAACATCACGTTAACTCATTCTATCTGCTTCTGTCAACGCTCAAAAGTCAATAGTCGAAGAACCTCTGATCTCAATCCAGAAAGTCACACTCAAACAGATACCGTATGCAGTCTTTCCGCAAACAACCAAGCAACGTGAAAACAAAAAATGCAGCAAAGCTAAACAGCAATGGGACGATGGAAACACTCCATAGACAAAATACAATCGAAAAGAGAAACGATAACCAACGCCTTTTAGAAACCTGATACAATATACACAGCGATATCCAAACACAACCAATTTTTCAATGGACCCTTATTCAGTCTTCCAAAGTCACCAACAGAGGCCCGACAGACTTTATCTTGTATAAACTGTCGACATACTCTTTCGATGCCTTTCCAAGCTGCTCAAGAAGTGTAGTCTCGTCACTAGTCAAGTCTGATAGAGGAATCACTTCGTCAACTTGTTGATCGTCTGACTCCAGTACTTCGATAGAGCTTAATAGATATCTATGTTCACGCTGTTAGCTAGCTTTTCTTTGTGAAAAGAGATGACATCAGGCTGCATAGCACTCACTTGTAGTCCACAGTCGGCTGTCCATTGACTCTCCGATCAGGGGTGCCAACCGCAAATATATCAATCAGGTTTCTAAGTAACATCCAGTCAGTACTACCCATTACAACATTCGAATCTGTATTCCAAACAAAAAAACCTACTCTTCTGTCATCGCAACTATCCGCGCCATGGCTTCTTCCCGATGACTATCCATATCCTGCGCCGACGCCGAGTCATTCGGCATCGTCATCGTCCTGAAACAAGCTGTTAGCCACCTGACACTACCCAAATCCCAATTGTAGTCTCAACAACTTACGTTGGCCCATATTCTGCCAAAAGTCCAGTTCTCTCGGTCGGCTGCACGCGAGTTTAAAGATTCATTAGCAATTCCGTCCCGCTCGCTTCACGACAACGAAACCTCCCGCTCGTAGACTTACAAAGAGATCGTCCTCCTCCCGCTTCGTACATGACATGCACACACCCATGATTTCGTTTTCGCGGCACGCAGTAGCAAGTGGAAACCAGTGAAATACCAAATAAGCTGTGCCAGTAGTCGGGAATAGGTGGACGCTTTGACGACTTCACACAGGCCTCCTCATGTCTCTCCCATCTTCGCAATCGCCTAGTATGTCACTCTTTCAGTCACGTGATCGATCCCCACGTGAAATCTACCAAGATTGATATCGAGATCTCCTTCTGAAGCCTAAAGAATAAAAGTGTCCTATACACAAGACATGATATCTTACTGTTTGGGACTCAAATATGAGTGTGTCGCTGGGAGTAATCTGCATATTGTTTGCCGTGCTGTTCTTACCGACGATAGTGTCGAACTTTCTGTGGAGGATCGCAATCATAGCTCACTTTCAGCGACATTCATTATAATATGTCCAAGATTCTGTCGCAAAACCGTTGAAGCCATAACAGAATCCTTGCTGGGTATTAGGTAATGGTGCTATTAGCATGAAGACGTTGACTCGAGCACCCACTGAGACTGGTGATGGTACAATCTAGAGAGGCCGTGAGAAGTACTGTGTGCATTGCCGGATTCTGTAGTTGCGAAGTATCTGTAGTTGCTGTTTCTGTATGAGATTAGTCTCTGAGAGGTACTCTGCTGATAGACAAGATTTTGCACTGTACATCGTCAAGATGAATACCGACGGTAGTGTATAAAAACACCATATACCCACCAAGCTCTGATATGAAAATTAGTGGAAGAATAGCTCTTATTGTCTTGGACTCAAGTCTAATATAGGAATCAACCTTTTATTTCGAGTGAAAAAACTGAGAAACGGTGGTTTATGAGAACATTGGTATATGTACTGTTACGCAAAGGTGCGACGTCGTATCACGCACACCACCACAAAAAGGAACTGCCGACTCAGCGTACGATCTCGCACTTGACCGACTGTGACCATTCTCTTCTCGAATACAGATGATACTTGCTGATACATACATGAACTGAGTATATATGCTGCTACCATTTGCCGAATCTGTCACGACCGGATCGACTTGCTCGCTTTAGCACTGTTCGTTGAACCACGACCGCGACAGCACCCAGCGACGCGAGGACGAACACCTGTACACCTTTGACTCTCAGATTAATAATGACGAATAGTCTGCAGGTATAGTCTGCTTTTGCCTTTGGAGACTCGAACTTGGGATATGCTGTGGGAACTGTCGAAGTCGGATCAGTGGACGGATGGACGCCCGTATTGAAATATCCTCTACAGCACCCCGACACCGCGACGAGTATACGACAAAATAGATGGATTTAGAAGCTCTGAACCTACACTACACGAAATGAGTTGAAACTGCTATCTTACTACAAACTACACCTCACAGCACGTCAAAATGATCGACCGCTCCCGAAACAATAGCGGGTTAAGTTCATTTTTTCGTCAGTTTTGTTCGCGCCGCGATCACGAGGTATCCCGATTTGGCAATTCTGCATCAACAACAAGCATTTTCAGGCCGATTCAAAAAGACTCGCGCGATTGATCCCAGCGGCTCAGGCTGGAATATAAAAAGGGCCCTCCCCCCCTCTCCCTCGATCATTTTTCTCTTTCCTTCATCACCCTCCAAGAGCTCAAAGAGCCTCAAAGTTTGAAAACCACTTAACTTCACATTTAATGAAAAGATAGCGCACTGGAACATGATATTAAGGTCAGTAATTATGATCTCTTCTTTAGCTTAATGCATACTGACACATGTCCAGCCAGACACGCACATTCCTTACCCTCTGATAATGCCTGAGCGAAAGCATCTCTCTATTTTCACACCTACTCCGGATCCATGAATATTCCGTTTTGTCGTGCTAGAGGCAGTCTTCATCATGGTAAGTACTTACTCGATTTCTGGTCTTTCTGTTGCTGGAGGCTGACACATACTGCCAGTCGTGAACGCCGCCCGCCTTGAAGTCTTCTACTTCTTATAGAGACTATCCGCTCTAAAATGACATCATTCCGACTTTTCCCAAGAAGCAAGACTATCTGAAGACTAGTCTTCTTATCTTTCAACTATTCTTTACTTTTTTCTGTGTTATTTCTGTGATTCTGTCAACAATTTTCAGCAACATGGCGACCAGCTCAGCCTGCTGGGGTAGGAGATATTTGGGTCAGCAACTCCGCAATCGACTTTGACACGGCGACCAGCTCAGCCTGCTGGGGAAGGGGAGAATAATATGGGTCAGCAACTAGCAATCGATTTCGACACGGCGACCAGCTCAGCCTGCTGGAGTAGGAAGATTGACAGTACTCGACATGGCGACCAGCTCATCTTGCTGGGGATGGATGAAAGACGCGGGGGGTCAAGGGGCATATTGTGGGTAAGAGGTGGATAGATGAGAGAGGTGGGGTCTCATTGTATATACGACGATGACCATTATTCCGTCTATATATAATAAGAGGAGGGAACGGTGGGGGAGGCAGGGTGGGAGTTCCGTCGTACGTCCAACGATGACTATTATTCCGTTGGATTCATTGCGACGATGGGAGGTTTGGGGCTTCAAGAGCAGTATTATTGATAATGTATTATTTAAAATCATACTCACAAAATCTAAACATAAACCTGTTATGGTTGAGGGCTAGATATCAGTGAGCAAGATAATTACGTAATGAAATGTGCTCGGCGTACGTAATTTTCAGCCAAGATTAGTTTTCATCCCATCGCCATTTACGGGCGAAGTAGAGAGAGCAAAAAAACAAAAGTAGACCTGTCCTCAGAGCTCATAACTATCAGAACCCGCATCTCTCTCTGCCAGCCCGCTCAAGGTCGTCATCTCTTCTTTCTAGCCGCTCAGACCACTTGGCAAGTTTTGGCTCTGTTCTGTCCGTCCGTTTCGTAGTTTCACAATAACTGCACGCGGCGGATCGGAACCAAGCTGCGAACCACGACAGAACTCGAGCGAAACAAACGATGTCTATTTCTCCAGTCATTCTGCCATTCACGCACTGGCCGGTTGCCTACAACGATGCATTCGATCCCGTGCCGGAGGATATCCCGACCGACGCGTCCAAATCGCGAAACGAGCATCTCGCGGCCCTAGCTCATCTCCCCTCCGACACCGTTCTCACCTGCGCGACCGTCTTCTCGCGCGGTGTCGTTCTCGGGCTTGCCAATGGTGCTATAGAGGTACTTCAATGGGATAACTTTCCTACGCACAGTGGATCCGAGGATCTAAAAGATCGGGATTTGAAGGTTGTTTCGCTGTCTCCTTTGTCGACTACGGCGGGCCATAGACAGTCTCCGGTGGTTGCCATGCGAAGGATTACAGCAAAGGATACCGAAGGTCGCTCGGAACTACTGATAAGTGCTGCAGATAACGGGTAAGCTTGGGCTATTATGTCTTTATCTGGAGGCCTGCAAGGATGACGAAAATATACTGACGATACTTCAATGACAGTGAGATCCTTAAACACTCTTTGCCCTCAGGTCGAGTCCTAGCTTCAACAACTGTTCCATTTCGACCCAACGGAATAATACCGATTGATATGTACCTCCTCGTCTACGGCAGATCTACAGAAATGCGACTACTTCATCAGGGTACCCTCGAATCGCATGTAATCATGGACGGTGTTCTCGAAAACTGGCCGATTCCACTACCGCTATTCGCCGAGCGAATGGTAACTCTGAACGCATCCGGAGACGGCATATACTGGAAGATCTGGCCTGACGAAGCACGCGTCGAGCAAATCACAAAAAGCGGAGCGCCGATTGGCCTGTTCAATCATGCCAAAAATCACTACATGTTAAATTCGGCTCAGATAAAGCAGAAAAAGTCAATGTCGCTTCCGAAAAATATGTCGCATATCTTGGGTCGGGATACGATTGCTGTTTCTCTAGGGAACTCTGAATACGGAGATATTATAGATGTTCTCACTGTCGGTGATACTCTATGGCTTATCGTTCAGACTGATGGTTGGTGTCTATATATGTGGGAAGAAGACAGATTCGATCTCGTCAAGCAAGAATCGTTCCCTGGAATCAGTGGAGCATCGACCAGCGATGCGGTAGATGACCATCATCGTAACTGGTTTGGGATCTGGAATCACGAAGGCGCGATCGTATTCGCTGTCGTCAGTCGCATTTCGGGAAAGACGGTTTGTACCGTGAACAACATGCCCGCGAGCAAAAAGCCGAACCACGTCAATAGTTTATTCATGGTGTTTTCGTATACAACGATGCATTTGAGAAACAGATCGATGCTACTGACTCCTTGGGTAACGGAGCCTTTGGACGTTGTCGTTGAGTTTTTCTTCTCAGAAGGAGAAATTCGCTACAGACTGGGCGACTTGAGAACGTTCACATGGGAAGATGATTTCTACCCCGTACATCGACAGAATCATTTCTTTACTCGTCAAAAGCCTTTCAAGTCGTTTGCGCCCCCTACGCCGATGATCGAGAAGACAAAGATGAACTTTGATGTCGTCTCCTCGTCTCCGGGAAGCCCCGCAAAGTCTCTTCTTACTGCTGAAATATCAAACAGTCCGCTTGAGAATAATAAGGCCTCTGGTCCTTGTACCAGCGGTGTGGTTTTTTCCGGGATGCTTGTTTTTGGCTGTGGCGCGTTTGTCAACTTTTACAGTCTTCCGCGGTATCTGCTTGCGTTCGAGTCACCTGAGCGGACGATCCAACTACCAGAGAGCGGGAAAGTTACGCATCTGTCGTCCATGAAGACTCCGGATAATGTCGAATATCTTCTAATTGGAACTAATGGAGGTGTGCTGTATCTGCTTGATGCAAAGTAAGTCTACTATTGTTTTTGTAACTTGTAGAGATGCTTAGTTACTAACTGTATCGCAACATCTAGGACTTGGAAGCTCTCTCCTCGTATAGCGCTTTCGGGATCACCGGTGCTGTATTCAATGTCTCTTCCCGCAAAATCAAATCTCTTGATCCGTGGTCTGGCCGTCATAGCATCCAGAGATGGCACCGTCTGTTTAGTCAACCTGAAGAAGGGTCGGAGAGTGTTCACAATCCCCGGTCATTTCGCACAGATTCGTTTACTTGCGACGCCGAAGGACTCAAATATCTTGATTGTCCTGTACGAGGACTATTTCGGCAGAGTTTGTAACCTCCGCAACGGCAAGATTGAGAATCAGACTGAGATTGTGATTGAGAATGAAGACGAATGGGAGGTTTCGCACGTCAAGCTGCGGCCTACTATTCCGGAAAACACAATGCTCTATACCGATGCGCGATATACAATCAACGGATCATCGACCGTTTTTGTCAATGTCTACATCGTGCTGGATGAGATTAGAAAATCAATCTCGTCGTCTGCGGATTCGCTGGCTTCAGATTCTCCGTGTCTTATAGTCGCAAAGTCCATTCTTTCAACACTTTATCCGTTTCACATTTTTGAAAAGGTGGAGGTTGACGGGCACCTGTCATCGGCGCAGACCGAACCAGATTCGATGACGAAGCTGGTGGAGCTACTTTTCTTACGCAAGTTCTCTTCCATAAAGAGTGTTGAAGGGGAGGATCCTATGGCTGCGTTGTATTCGGTGCCGGCAAAGCTTGGCTCTAGAGGAATCTCGAATACCCTGACTGTATTCCACGCGCATCAAAACTTGCTGCAAACCAGCGGCGAAATAACGTCGATGGTTTATCTTGTTTCCGTTGTTCTTGCGAGAGCTCTTCTTGAGGCCCAATTACTGTCTGATTCGGTCACGGCTGAAGATGCAGAGAAAGTGAAAATCCAGATTGAGATTTACATTGTTCGCTTTGTGGAAGTCATATTTTCTGTATCAGAGGAAATCGAGGGGCTGCAATACAAACGTCCATGGCTCCGAGGTTTTGCGCGATTCTGGAACTCTGACCATGCTGACTTCAGACTCGCTGCGCGAACGTGTCTACAAGCACGTATCAAGCAGCTGATAGCAAGGCCCAAAGAACTCTCGCTCACGATTTCTCGTTGGAGGGTTTTGCTACCGGGTGTGATTACTCCGAAGCGGCGCAGCAGTACTTTCAACGCTCTTCGAAGGATGAGCACCGGCGGTGGGAGCCCTGTCGAGGATAGACGGATGAGTCTCGAGCGTGTGACGACTGCCGACGCACCGGATCTTGCTGGTATCGATGAAGTGATTGACGATTCGCCAGAGTCGATGAGCGTGCTGAGCGGGTTCAAGGGATTAGACGACGACTGTATCGATGCGGTCAGCGAGTCGTCTGTGCTCGCAGTCATTATTCTAGGAAATCTGGCGTCTGAGTTTTCGGCGCGTGTGACGCACGTTGCGCACCGAGAGATTGTGACTGCTATTGAGTTCTTTTTGTTCAAGAGCGACGCGGCGTCGAGTAATCCTCGAGAAGATAGTCTGAAGACCAAAGAGCTGCAGAATATCTCGATAGAGCTCGTGGGTAAAGGGTGGACTATCTGGGGCGATGACCAGTTCTTTTCTAGTGACTCTGTGATTGGTCGTTTGATCGATTTCATGGGTGCAGATACTACGCCTATAACGCAATCAAAGAAAGCTGCTGCTACTTCGAATGGTGACTCTGCAGAAACAGATGAATCAGAGCCGACGCTTACGGACGCGGACGCTCTGCGACATGACCTGCTCATCGAGACGATCTGTAAGATCGCGCATCACTCTATCAATCGCGTGATTGAGATCTGCGCCGAGACGATCGCGAAGAGTCCTAATCCGCAGTCGCGCATCGGCGCCGTGCGCATGATCTTCTACATTGCCAAACGACATCCGGATCTGCTTGTCAACAGACTATTCCCCGTCGTTGACGCGACTATCGCATCTCTTGATCCAGCTTCTACAGGAGTGCGTAACAAGGTCGTCAATAGTATCACCGCGCTGTTCAACCTGTTTGTCAACACGTACCCCGTCATCTCTTCGCATCGTGCTCAGCAGCGTCTAGCCCTCTCTCTTCTTCCAGACATTGTCGTCGTCTACGATCTGCGCACAGGTGTCCAGATGGCAAGCTTAGAAGGCGCAAAGAACCAGCTTCTCGAGATCCAGTTCTCCCCCGAAGGCCGCCACGTCGTCGGCATCGACCGCGTCACGCACGAGGTGTATGTCTGGAAACTGGGCCACTCGTTCTTGAGTATGATCCAGAGTATCGGCGGCGGTGGACCGGCGAGTATCGGATCGGGGCATTATTCGGCTTATTATAACGGCGCGGTTGCTGATGCGGCTGGAATGGATCTCGTGTTTCCGAGGTTTGTCGGCAAGTTGAAGCACTCACATTTTGAACTGTCGGACATGAAGGTATGTTTTGCTCTTTTCATTCCAGATCAAAGATGGACTAATTACTGACGTTGCAAATATATAGAAGGAAAACTCGCATGTCTCAATCACCTTCAAACAAGAGAAGGTAATCGAAGTCGTGGTCAACGGCAAACCCCAGGTTTTCGACTTCATCCACACTTGAGAATATCCCAATTTTTTCTTTACAAGCTTATAGATTTCTTGTTTTTCTTTTTGTATCTGTTTCCGCAGTTGTGCGTTCCTTTGGTTTTTTCAATGGTTTGAAAGGCGGTTCTGGGTGGGGGGAAGGGGATGGTGGGTTATATTTCCATTCACACAAAGAACAGTACATATCTCCACTCGTTATCCCGAATGAGTGAACTGTGAAAAAATGAAGTGACTGTCTTGAAGCGTGTATGTTTTTGTCGCACATAGCATTTTGTTTTCGGCTGCATCTTGGTTTTCCGTATTGTATGGTTATTTGAATGAATTGATTGTTTTATAGTCTATAGCGTAGTTCGGGGTGGTTTAAACTGTAGACGAGCATGATATCATGCAAGATATTTCGGCACAGCTCCTGTTATCACCGGGAATGGATACTGAAAGCTTTACTCGAATTCAGGAAGAAACCCTGCGATTTAGTATGTTGCAGGTGAACGATTACATGCTATATACAAAAGCAATCCTGTCACTTCTAAAGTGGAGATTGACTGTACACACCAAACGCCTTTAACAAAACTCCCGCTCAATACCTCGACGACTAACAGACTCCCCGCATCATCTGCACATCTCAAGCGCCCGAAACATCTTCAATTCCCGCCTGCACCGCGCCTCATCGATCTCACTCACCACAACCCCGTCGCGGTTAATTTCGTAGACCTGATTCCATATCCAGACTACTAATCACCTTGATTTTTCGTCGCCTGCACGCTGCACATCCTCTGCTGCTGCCAGCCACTCCTACCATTGCGTAGAGAGTGCTTGGGACAATGGTTATTCATTTGTTCTGTCAAGAAGAAGACAATGCACGCTCAGTTATGTTTGGTTTCCCAGCGTCTTTGGGTTAGGAGTGCTCGTATAGGCTAGCTTAGCGAGAAGCCTGTGAAAGCGAACTCGACGCGTTCACTTCTTGATTGCTGTTAAGTGATAAGTCAGGTTTTATTTACGTCTGAAAAATATGAAGTTACGGTTGAAGACTTACGAAGTCTTGTATATTGAAGAGCTGGAGACTTATCTATCAATAAAGCTCTTGGCGAGTGTCTCTACTGGTGCGGCTTGATTAGGGTATTCTCAAATGTATTTAATTCAATAACAATAAAATCCAGAGACTAACAACTAATTAACGCGATCTTAACATAAACCATCCACAAAATCCACAAACAAAATTACCATTACCCAGTTCCCCTTAACCGCTCATCCCCATCTCTCAATTAATCTTCAATCGTAAATCCTCCCTTCTCTGCATACATGACGCTGCGATGACGATCCGCATATCACTTGTCCTTTGCTTTCCCGGCCTGCAGATATGAGCAATTAGCATCTCGACTGTGCAACAAAATCAATTAGAAGTCACTTACACTCTTGTGCCGACGTTTGGATTGATCCTTATTAAAGCAGTCCTCCTCCGAATGAGTTTCCGGCCTGCTGAAGTTGTGAACACGGCAGAAATGGCAACCTTTCTTGGAACCTGTAGAAGAGGTCTTGCGACGTTTCGGAGGTGGTGATTCATCATCGCTTTCTTCGCCGGCGGAGTCCTCGTCAAGCGCGTCAAGCATCTCGTCTTCGTCGTCGGTATTCTGCCTGATCACGGAGTTGAGAGGGAAGCCTTTGATATAAATCTTCTCTCCAGTCTCTTCATCGATGTTGAATGGTATGTTGAATTCATGTACTCTCCCTGTTCCTCTGTACTCATCGCCCGTCAATCTGAAGCAAATCTCCTCCACAGCCTTCATGTCGAGCGCTCGAACCGCCGGTCTCAACGCGTCGCGCAAAAGCTGGTTAGTGCAGTGATCTCGGGCAAACACAACGATGAAGAAAGAAAGATTCTCATGCGCCCGAAGTGCCAAATTCTCCAGGCGCGTCAGCCAAGCGCGAGGCGTCTCGCCTTTAGCCTGGAAAGCTCTCATGAGCTTGCAATAAGGCTGGTCCAAGTCATCGTCCGGTAACTCTTGGGCCAAAAAACGGTAGATACTCAAAAGCGAAGTCCTCGGGTGTAAGGTCCATGCGAAAGCGTCGTCGAACTTCATGCGCGCAGGGCCTCTCAGACAGGATCTCAAGACTGTCTTGATCTCAGAGTTCCTGTACCTCGCGAAGTGGAATCTCACACGGAAGAAGAACTCTCTGAAAAAATCATACAAGAGCATGCGATCTGAGGCGCGATCCCCATAATATCTAAGATTCACCGGCGCCTCAAGGCTAAACTGGTCTCGCACTTGGTTTTCAGAAGTGCTGAGCACTTCATCATCGTCGCGAGGTTTTAGCCCAGTGTTGAACAACTTGAGGATCCCAACAGGAAGCCGTTCAAGAGGCAACAGTGGAGGTGGCGTTACGGAGTCAATCACCGCTGCCGGGCTTCTTGGGCTTCTCGAGCTTCTTGAGCTTCTGGCTTCTGCAGGCCTTTCGGTCGCTGCGCGTTTTAAGGGTGTTTTGTTTCTCGAAAGGTCAGTCGCGTGAGCGCCAGCCTCGCTACTAGTTGACTTTACAGCCGTCTCAGCTTGCGCCGGCGCGGTTTGAAGGTCAGCGAGCATCTGAGATACAGGCCCTAAGGTCGTCGATGCGGGCTTGCTGGCTTGCGCCAGATAGCTACTGCCGACTTGTTTTCTTCTTACAGCGGTTTGGATAACAGCTGAGGATTCTGTGCCACTTCCGCGTGACGAGGTGTCCATGGTCAATGATTGTTAAAATAATGGGCCGGGGAGAAGGGTGGGAAGGGAGTGTTGATGTGATATCCCGGAGAGCGGGCGCCTCTCTTATAGACTGGGGTTGTTTACCCGGACGATTCCTATTTCCACTAAAGCGTGGTCTGATGAGCTGCTGTCTGTCTCCTTCACTGTGCATCGCCGCTATTTATTAAAGTTCCACACCCGAAGTTAGCCCCACCTCGTCGCCATGTTCGCTCTACCTTCGGCGCTCGAGATCCTCTGATACGGTTTGGTCGGATTACACTATTTAATAGTAAACAATAATAGTTCAGAAGCGAGTACGAGACTGGGTGTGAATATGGGAAGGCGAGCAAGAAGATCTAGAACGCCGGAGTAGCCAGTTCATAGAAAGCCAGCGAATCTTTAGTCTACGCTTCCGGCGTAACCTTTTCCGAACAAATCTTATCGCTCGCAGTATCTCCCAACGACGACCTGAACCACTCAGCGATGCGACTTTGTTACAATGATGCCAATAGAACAGACGATTGATGATGGAGACATGAGTAAGAGCAGTGCAGGAACATAGTCACGAAATAGGGCTGTGGGGGGATGTTGATACCAAGCGACAGAAATAGAACTGATCGGCCGGTCTTGCTGGTAAAGCTGCTCAATAGTACCTTCCTAGCTGCCCCATCCTGCCTCAATCTCGCGGATCTGAATATTTTCGTAGCAATGAGGCTAATCTTGTCGCAGAGAGAATAAGATGGTTTTTGGAAAGAGGCTTTTGAGAATGTACAAGGCTGTTTACGAGAGGAACGCGACTAGATCAAAAGAAGTTTCTGGGAGTTATAGCCGAGCGTCCCTTGGCGATTTCAGGAGTTATCTTGAGAGATCTTGTGAATGTGGAGTCTTACCAATGAAATCCATAGTCAGTCTCGTGAAAGATGGTGAAGTACAACCGTAGCTGTTATGGCGAGGAGATAGTGGTGCACCGGGCGTATTTTTGTGAGAGTATTGTACAATCAATGTAGAGATTCACTATATACACAACCATATACACAACCAACGCCTTATCCTTACCCTTACTCCTCACACCACTCAAACTTGCTCACTTGGGGCCTAACAGGCTCCCCGCATCCCCTGCATACATCCAGCGCCCTATACATTTCCAGTTCGCGTCTGCACCGATCCTCGTCAATCCCACTCATCACGAACCCGTCGTGGTCGACATCATAAACCTTAGACAGCCGGTCCCAGATCCATCCGCGCACGAGCGGATCTTCGATCGGGGTGTGTTCGCCCAGGAAGAAAATCATAGACATAAACACAGGTCGGTGGACTTCCACTACTGTAAACTCTATGGAGCGCAAGAGGGTCCTGTTGTGGCGTTCCAGGTTTTGCTTCCGGTGCGCAATGTAGCTGTTCAAGCTGTGCTTCAGAAACGGATTTTTGTCAATATTTGTGAGTTCCTCGTAAGAGCAGTACGCAGCCGGCACGGTGTAACAGTGGAGGTAGGCAATAATCATCTGCATGAACGTAATGCTACCCATGAACTTGAACGAGGTACAAATCTCATAGTCAATCTGTGGCTTTCCAAAGTGCGACGACTTCCATTCTTCGTAGCTTGCAGCAGCCGGGCAGATTTTGGGCTGGCGTTGCGGAAATCGTGTGTCCTCATCGAATATGAGCGTTCGCGGGTCTTGCGCCCGAAGAGCCTCGAGATAATCCTCCAGGCACTTTGCTAGACATATCTCAAGATTCATATCAAGCACACAGAGCTTCCTATGTAACTCTTTCACAGCCCACCAGCCATCCGCGTTGAGAAACTCCGGTTTCAACGACGGTTGCTTAGTGAACTCTTTTCCGAACCCAACCAGGATATTGTCAAACAGCCTGTTTGCTTCAATCTGGAGCTCGCCAATCTCAAACATGTACTTGATCATCCCATGGTACATCGTCTCCGTGTACGTCTGCGCTCGGCAAGCTTGCCACTGGGGAAGGTTGAGCGTGATCTGCCCTGCGTTGCGCGAGAACGCTGCGTTGATGGCCTGCATGTACAGCGTTCCTTCTAGCAGCACGTGGTTGTTCCCGCTGTAATACTTCTCCGGACCTTGCAGCTCCATCAATATCACGGCACCTTGAAGCATCTTTGACAAAGCGTTTGAATTAGTCGTGTTGCTCATCTCGTACAGTGGTAGGAGAAGCGCAGCGCTCGTACAGTCGTCGCACACCGTCATCCCGCCAAACAGCGAAGGCGGATTCACAACGCCAGACGAGTATCCTGAGTCTGGCATCAAGCGACTGACTTTTGCAACTGTCTTTTTCTCTGGAATATCGTATGCCTCCAGCGCTTCCACCAATTTATCGCCCGCGCCCTGCATGATGTAGCCGATTCCTGTCTTTTGCAGTCGTATAGCTTCGACGTACCAGTTGTAGCTCATCATCCTGATATCATCACTGCCAACGATACCGGCACAGTGGCCCAGAACGAGCGCCCGTCCGGCGAACGTAGTTGCTGAATTTATTGGCGACAGGACAATAGCAGGCAACTGTAACAGCCAGAGAGTGGTAGCGCTTTCGCTGCTGGCTCTGCCCACCATCCGGCACGTTGACAGAAATAGAGAAACGCAGTGGCTGAAAAGATCGAATTCTGGAAAAAGCTCGAGATCGTGGAGGCGTCGGTTCGTCAGGATCGTTTTGTATCTGTCGACTAGATGTGGCCATTGTCGACGATCTTTTCTCGAAAAGTCGAGCGTTCTGGACGTCTTTGATAATTGCTCTGAGTTCTGTGAGGTTGCGGTTTTGGTAGTCAGAGTGCGGTCTGGTCGACTGCTGCTCTTCTCGACTCGCTGAATCTTAAATCGCAGGCCGGTTACAGGACCGCTGCATTTCAGACCTACTCTCGAGCATCGATTGCAGTGAGGATGCGTCTCGTCGCACTAATCAAAGAAGTAGAGAGTAAGCTGACTGTTCCTGGTAAGCATCGACAAAAGCCGCTGTGGTACTTACTTTGACCCTCCGTCGCCTGCATTCCGGACATCCTCTACTTCCTCCAGCAACTCCAACCATTGCAAATCGGGCGCTCGAGTCAGCGTATATGGTTTACCAAGAAGACGATCAAAGAGGTTCTTTGTTTGGCGGTGGAGGTCCCATTGTCTTGGGGTTAGGACTGACTTTTACGGATTAGTGAAGCGAGCTGCGCCTGATATGGAACTCAAAAGAAAGTCTGCTTCTCGACTGTGCTGTTTAATACTCTTTGTTTTGGATAGTATCCGGATTGTGAGTTTGATCCTGATGGACTGTTACTCTGGACAAAGAATCAACATCTTTTTAGAAACAATGATTGTCTTCGCTGCGAGAAACCATCTTTGTGCGGCTCCAGATCTGAATGTTATCCAGCCTTTAACTAAGTCGGATTAGCTTGCCAAGCTCTCCCATCAGAACGAGACGATTTGAGCTACAAGCAGGCGATATTGAAGAACTGAATGATATCGGATGAGATGAGAGTCAGGATGGTGCGATGGTGAGTACACGTGACATCATTTAGTAACAGTAGAGAGGATAGGATCTTATTAGAGAATTATAACCAAACGATCTACATTAAACCGACTAGACAGAGCAATCATCGCTCTCACTTGTACTCCTTCGCAAGCTCGACGAGCTCTGTGTTTCCGTAAATACCAACACCCTTCTCGCCCTTGTTAATCAGCACAAACGCCGCCTTTGCGATATCCTCAGCCGGGATCGAAGACGACTTGGTGAACCCGCCCAGCACCGGGATCTTCCTGAGTCCCTTGTACAGACCCTGAGCAAGCGCCTCGGCAGGTCGTTTGTCCTCCGGCCGGTCGCCGAGAATAAGACCCGGTCTTAGGATGATTGTGCGCTCAAAGTCGAGTGCCTTGACGTCACGCTCAAGCTCGCCCTTCATCTTTGAGTACGCAAAGTATGCGTCTTCAGAAGCACCTGTCGACGACACCAAGACATAGGTCGTCGCGCCGGCGGTCTTTGCGGCTTTCGCGAGGTCGAGATTGAGCGTGTAGTCGATCGCGTACTGCTTCTCGAACGATCCGGCGGTGGCTTTTGTAGTTCCGAGGCCGGAGAAGAGGATTTTTGTGTCGGAGGGGATGGCAGAGACAAGGTCGGGAGCGACTGTGTTTGTGATTTTGTTGCTTGAGGCGGAAAAGTCTAGCTTGACTGCTTTGCGAGAGATGGCGACGACGTTGGTGATGTCCGACGGGAGTGTAGCAGTCCTAGCTAGAGAAGTGAAGAAGCCGCCGACTAATCCAGTAGCACCAACAATTGCAAGAGTCGTCATTGTAGATATAATAGCTAGAGTATCGAGATAACTAAAGTTGACTGATGTGGATGTCAATCGTAGACGTCGGTATAGAAGTGGAGATTGGATGAAGGTGGATTATAAGTAAAGAAGAGATATGACGTGCAATTGTCCTCCGTCGGGAGTTTAGGTCTCCGATAACTCAATTTTGCTGACGGCCCAGAATTATTTTCCAGCACACAAACAGTGCTCAAGTTTGATGACAGTGACAAGGACAGTAATTTAAACAAAATCGGAGAAATAACTGTTTTGTCTCTAATAAATATGAATAATCAGAATATTATCTCATGGATGGCCGATAAGACAAGGTCGTACAGAGGTAACGTTTTTAGAGTCAGTTACACAGATGTAACATTGATAAACTCTTTTAGGAAATGCATATATTGTAACATAATAAACTGAAATATGACGTAAAAAAACTATGATACAGAATGGTGCTTTTATGATGAAGAACAATCAAGCCTTCACGGTATCGAGATCGGTACCACGATTAACCTGCACCCGCTTATCCTCGCCCGCACTCACGATACCGACCTCGTGACTCCAATCGACGCCAAAGACCTTTGTCTTGACATCAGCTGTCCGCGTATCGCGGTCGATAACGTACAGACTTCTGTTTGCACGCACGTCCCACACACGCACTGTGCCATCGTGGGAAGCGGTCGAGAACATATAGTCTGACTCTGGACTGGGCGCGATCGAGACCACGAAGTTGGTGTGGCCGTGGAGGGTGCGTGTGGTTGTCTCGTCTGCGGCCGCGCGAGGGTCGTGCAGGGTTACGTGGCGGGCGGAGGAACCGCAGCAAAGGAGGGAGAGGCGGGGAAGATGAGCGATCGAGAGAAGCGAGAACGAGGTGGTTCGCGTGTCGACCAGAGCGGAGGTGACGAGATCCCAGGTTTTGATTGTATGGTCGAGCGAGACCGAGTATCCGACGGTGGAATCCTTTGCGTCAAAGATAACGCCGGTGACGGGCTCGGTGTGAGACTCCATGAGCGAGATCGGACCGCGCGAAGGAAGCGCCGATTTCCGCCGACGCTTGCCGGTGGGCTCGCGGGTTGAGACAGTCACTGTGGCAGGAGGCGCCTGCTTGTAGTTTGTGTTCCACAGACCGACGATGCAGTCGGCACCAGCGGAGAGTACTCTTGAGGTGGAGGAGTCAGCAGCGACGCTGTTGACGGCAGCCTTGTGACCGGTGAAAATGCGTGCGGATCCGACCGCAGCAATAGTCTCATCAGTGTCGTCTTCGTCGTTTGTGGTCGCCGATTCATCGGGAACTTTCCAGATCCGGATAGATCTGTCCATACTACCAGAAACGATCTTCTTGCCGTTCTCAAAAAACTTGACACTCTTAACAGGCGCGGTATGTCCGGCAAACTCAGAAGTGACCTGTCCAGCCAGCGACCAAGTCCGCACGATTCCATCGTAGCATCCAGAGACGATAGGCGCTTTCGCGACCGGCATCGACTTTAGAATGTCGACAGATGAAACCCAGTCGGGATGAGAGTAAGAGGCAAGGAAGGTAGGCGGTAGAATAGAGCGAGTGTACTCGAGTTCGATTGTGCTCTCGGACGAGAGACCTTTGCTGGTGATGTAGTCGAATAGCGAGACGCGGAGGAGCTCGCCGTTGATCAAAAAGTCGAACGGAATCGGTTTTTCTATAAAGGTTAGCACACGCACAAAGACAGAAAAAGCAATATGAGACATACCGGTATCAAGCAGATGGTTAACAACTTCAGAGAGACCATACCGCTTCAGCGACAGCGGCACAAACAGAGGCACATCAGGAACAGATACGGACTCGTCGCGCGTCTTGAGCGTAATCTTGATCTGCCCGGTACCGGGATCACTGCTGCCTGCATTGCCGGGCTGCTTCGACAGCTCGGCCAAATCACTGGCTACAGCTGCAGACATCTTTTATTTTGTCTGTATATTTTCAATAGTCAGATGTGGGGGTTGTAGAGAAGCACTGCAGTAAGAGCCGACGAAGCAGAGAATCGAAAAATATTTTTGAATTCGGCGGTTGGGAGTTTTTTTCTTCATTCAAGTCACGTGACAGTGAATTAGATAAGCCTTGTCATTTTTTCAGATGAGTCGGAGGTGTCTGTGGTTTCGTTCATTTGTAACAGTGTTTACTTTAAAAAGGGAGAAGAGCATGTAGAATTGACTGAGCAGCAGATATTCGCTGCTGGAAGATTAATGATGCTGCAGCAGGACAGATATGCTCTCTGCTGAAACCCCCCTGCACTCCACACGGCAGGCAGCTGCGACGGCGACGGGGTCAATAACCTGCTCTCCGCGAGCTTCGCGCTGTTCAGGGCGCAATTAGACGACCGCGAGACCTGCTGCCCGAGAGCCAATATCGAGTCTTCATCTTCATGTGTCTGTCAGCAGCAGCAGCATCCGAGGATGATGCCATCGGCGAGCTGGAACCTAACCCGAAGTCAAACCGGGAGTCCGCCGTCGCTTACAAAGCTCAGAGAATTCTGCTTCTGGAAGCGCAATGAGTCGAGTGAATACAGCAGAAAGTCGAGATATCTGCGAGAAGACAAGTAAAAGCCTTCAAATACATCTTCAAGACTCGAAACCTGCTCTTTGGGGAGTCCGACTGCACCCGAACACGAGCTCGCCGAGAGCAGCAGTAACTGCAAATCCGGACTCAAATCTGCGCGGTGCTCAAATCTTCGCCACATTTCCGCAGCGAGTCGTCTCCTCCACCTTTCTACTGCTCTCTTCTCTCCCACTGCCATCACTCTCCCTCCGCCCTCGCACTCCACACCGCTGCTCTTCTCTTCTCTCGAGCCTGTATCTAGCTTATAGTTGCTCTTTTTCGAAGCTCAAGAAGAAGAAAATCGAACAACAATGGCGGCCGCAAACGATTTCCCGTTCCTGGACGACAACAAGCGCTTTCTCGCGTCTCTCGAGTCCGCGGACTTCCTCGGCGATTTCTCAGCCTACTCAAACGGCGCCTTCCCAGCCATGACCTTCGACGACAATCTTGATCCGTCAACTCTTTCGTCTTTGCCGGACTTGCCGGGCTCGACCAACATTCTCTCCACCAACTCGCTCAACGGCGATAGCGCAGCTTCCACCGCTTCTTCCTCCTCCTCGCCCGCCACCTTTCCTTCCAACACCAGCACTAAGAACGGTGCACTTTCGACCGGCAGTAGTGTTTCTGCTCAGCCTTTGAAGATATCCGAGAATGATAAGCGTAAAGTTGGAATGGAGTTCATCTCAGACGATGATCTCTCCGAGAACGAGAGCAAGCGACGAGGTAAGCTCTCCTATTTGGTTTTGTCTTTTTTAAGCACAGATGCTAACCCAATCCACCCAGACCGAGGAACCGCAGATCCTGAGGAAAGGAGAGGACCGGGCAGAAAATTAGTGACCACGGAACCATCAAACAAGCGCAAGGCGCAGAACCGCGCTGCACAGCGTGCGTTCCGAGAGCGCAAGGAGAAGCATCTACACGACCTCGAAGCCCGCGTGGCCGAGCTCGAGAACGACGCTCACTCGATGTCGACTGAGAACCAATTTCTCAAGAAGCAAGTTGATCGTCTACAGGTCGAGCTGCGAGAGTACCGTAAGCGGCAGGCGTCTGTATCAGCAAAGTCGTCACCCGCTGCGTCGACCTCTTCGAGTGCAAACTATGCGGCCCCTTTCACGTTCGAGTTCCCTCTGTTTGGAGCCGACCCGCGTCTAGCTAAGCTTGACAAGGGAACCCCGCGGTCGTCTGTCGCTTCACCCGAAAGTGCGCCCGCGAGCGGAGCCGGAAACGTGATGTCGTCAGCAAACTACTCGCCAGCTACAAACCTGAGCACAAACCTGTCGCCCGCGTGGTCGGCCAACTCGCCGAACCAGTCGCCGTCGTGGAATGTTGCGGGAGTGCCACACCCGGCGAAACACGAGACCGACTTTTGCGCGCAGTTGTCGATGGCGTGCGGAAACCGCGAGAACCCGATCCCGCGGGCGCACTCACAAGGAATCCTGAGTCCACCCTCGTTTGACACTGACTTGTTTTCCGAGTACCGGGACCCGATATTTGGAAACACAGAGGAGGAGTTTCAACTTCCCGAGTTGGTGGACGAGGAGCTGTTTGAGGAGAAAGACAACCGGAGTAGCAGTAGCAGTAGCAGCACCCGCAGCGTGAAGGGCAACGGCGTCGAGAAGGAGATCCGGATCAAGATCGAGAACGACGACGAGGTAGTCCCGGCTGAAAACAAGCCGCTGATGGGCTGCACTGCGCTGTGGGATCGTATCTCGATGCACCCCAAGTTTGAAGATCTCGATATCGACGGACTGTGCTCTGAGCTGCGGTCGAAGGCCAAGTGTTCAGAGTCTGGTGTTGTCGTTACCGAAGATGATTTGAACGACGTGCTCAAGAAGATTGAGGCGTAGTCTCTTTATTATCACAACATATACAATACCAAAAAAAGAGTGTTCTGTGCTCGGTTTATGATTGCTTTAGTTTACCCTGGTGTTTTTGGTTTGAGTTTGTTTTCTTGATTTTATCTGTTCTGGGTTACAATCGTTATTTCTCTCGCTATATCTTGTATGCTATATTATGTCCTATTGTACTAATTGAAGCCTAGTATTCTCAGACTGAAGTAGAAAGTGTTCAGCGCTCCTCAGCATAGGCATCCTGGAACAAATCCTGACTTCCAAACAACATCTTCATATGCTCATCAAGATACTCATACTGCGGCCGGCTGTAAACCTGCGACCCACTGCACTCGATCGTCTCCGCCGAGATGTTTGAGTCAATGATCTTGTCGAAGGCCGACATGATGGTCGACATGGGCGTCCAGTGCTCCTTGGGAAAGGCGTCGACGACTTCGCGCGGGACAAGCGGGGTGAGGACTAAACCAGGGCAGACGGCGTTCACTGTGATGTTTTCTTTGCGCACGATGGCGCCTGCTGAGCGGACTAGTCCGACGATCTGTAGAGAGAATGTTAATTGGAGCTTGGAATGGGTTTTCGCACAAGAGAGACATACGGCATGTTTGGAGGAACAGTACTCTGGATTCGAAGGATGCGCATAAAACCCAGCGCTCGAAGCAGTCATGATGATCTTGCCGCTCGGTCCACTGGGGTTTCGCCGCATATACCACAACGCCTGGCGGAATCCATACAGCGGGCCAAACAAGTTCACCCCAAAGACCTTGAGATTCAAGGGCTCAGGCCCGTTCGGGTTATCTTCGTAGAGCGCGTCGGTGTCGGAGATGCCTGCGTTGAGCGCGACGAGATCGAGGCGTTTGTGTTTAGCGTGCGCGTACTTGAAGAGTTCGGCCTGGTTCTGCCAGTCGCTGACGTCGGATTTGAAGAACGAGAAGGTCTTTGGATCGAGGGAAGAGGTCAGGTCCGAGGCGGGGGGCTTGAGGTCTGCGATCACGACGTGGGCGAATTGGCGGCCGAGCAGGTTCTTGACGAGGTTGAAGCCCATGCCCGAAGCGCCTCCGGTGACGATAGCTACAGACATTTTGGTGGTGAGGTAAATGCTGGTGGGGAGGGGGTGAAGGTGGGGGAGAGGGGGATTGCGGGGGAGCGGTGAGTTTTATGGGGAACTCGCAGACTCGGAAACGGCAGGTTCCGAGGACCGTTGCATTGTGCGTCACAGCTTCGGCTCGACCTTTTATTACCACAAACAGCAACAGCAACAACAGCAACTACATTCTTCCTTTTACATCGCGACTACTTCCTTGCAATTACTTCTTCTCGTACGCCTTCTCAAACAACTCTTTGCTCCCCTCAAACAAAAACTTCATATGCGCGTCCAAGTACTCCAGCTGCGGCCGGGCAATGACCTGCGCGCCGCTGCACTCGATCGCCGCGCCCGTGATGCCGGAGTCGATGACGAGGTCGAAGCCGGCCATGATTGTCGACACCGGCGTCCAATGATCGGGCGGGAACGCGGCCACGATCTCTGGCGGGACGAGCGGGGTTTTCACGATGCCGGGGCAGATGCAGTTCACGGTGATGGTCTCGTCGATTAGAGATGGTCCGAGCGAGCGTACGAGGCCGACGACCTGCGGAGATGAATCATCAGTGATCAGTAGGCAGAAAGAGGAGGGAGAGGTAAGAGCAGCGGGGATCGACTTACACCGTGTTTGGCTGCACAGTATTCCGGATTAGCAGGATAGGCGTAGAACCCCGAGCTCGAAGAAGTCATGATGATCTTCCCACTCGGTCCACCGGGGTTCCGTCGCATATACCACAGCGCCAACCTGAACCCATACACAGGAGCGTAGAGATCGACCTCAAAGGTCTTCATATTGAGCGGCGCAGGCGCATCAGGCGTGTCCTCGTAGAGCTTGTCAGTGTCCGAGATGCCCGCGTTGAGCGCGACGAGGTCGAGCCGGCCAAAGTTCGCGGACGTGAACTTGAACAGCGCCGCGAGGTTGTCCCACGAGCTCACGTCGGTTTTGTAGAAGATGGCGCTGGGGCCGAGCTCGGCGAGCACTTCTGCCGAGGGCGGGTTGAGGTCCGCGATCACGACGTGGGCGTATTTGCGCGCGAGGAGGTTCTTTACGAGGGCGAGGCCCATGCCGGAGGCGCCTCCGGTGACAATTGCGACAGACATGAGGATGAGAGATGGTAATTGAGAGAGATGGTGAGAAAGAGGAGAAGAGGAGAAGAGAAGAGGAAGAGAAGGAAGAAAGCGGGGGGCTGCGGGGTCTAAAGAACCTGTAATGGGCGGACTATTTATGCAGGCCTGACAACCTGTTGCTATCTACTGTTTACTTCGGGCAGTTAGCTGCTCGGGTGAGATCACGATATCATTACAGCTAAATCCTACGACAACCACTACTTTCCCTGACTCTTCTTGGAGGCGTTGAGAAACAGATCATAGCTCTTGCCAAACAGAAACTCCATATGCTCGTCCAGATACTCGTTATCCTTCCTGTCCACGACCTGATCGCCGCTGCACTCCGCCATCTCGCCGTATCGATCCGTGTCCAGGAATAAGTCAAACCCGCGCATGATCGTCGGCACAGGCGTCCAGTGCTCGTTTGGAAAGGCTGCAGTCACATTGGCGTCGACAATTGGCGTGCGCACGAGACCAGGGCACACGGCGTTGACGAGGATGTTGTCCTTTTTGGCGATGGGGGCAACCGAGCGAGCAAAACCGACGACCTGATAAGCTATTAGTATCACCATCACCAGTAAATATAAAAAATAGCAGAGCTTACTCCATGCTTTGCTGCGCAGTAAATCGGACTGGCAGGGAACGAGTAAAACCCAGCGCTAGAAGCAGTGAATATAATCTTCCCGCCGGCCTCGCCAGGATTGCGCCTCATATACCACAGCGCGAGCCGGAACCCCATAATCTGCGCATCGAGATCGACAGTGACTGTCTTGAGATTAAGCGGCACGGGCCCGTCGTTGTCTTCCGCAAAGATGCTGTCTGTCTCCGCGATGCCCGCGTTCAGCGCGACGACGTCGATGTGTCCGAATTTCTCAAACGTGGACTTGAACAGCGCGGACTGGTTGTCCCACGACGTCACGTCGGTCTTGAAGAACGATACGGTTGAGTCGAGCAGAGATGCGACGCTGTCTTCGGTCGGGGGCGCGAGGTCCGCGATCACGACGTGCGCGTATTTGCGGGCGAGGAGGTTCTTGACGAGCGCAAGGCCCATGCCGGAGGAGCCGCCGGTGACGATTGCTACAGACATTTTTGATGTTGATACGAAAACAAGAAGGAGAGAGGAGTATTGAGAAGGCAGAGCAGGATCATGAGGGGTATTTATGGAGGTCTCAATGAGGGGTAGTTGCAATGGTCTCGCGAGAACGGTTATCGCTCGAGATGCACAGCTAATTAAGTCAATCGCGGGGTCACCTGCCCAGTGCTCAGAATAGACCCTTCGAGTATCTCGGATGAATTCAGGATGCTGTATTCGTTGTTAACTAAAACAAAAGCGCATCAAGTGCAAAAGAAGATGTAAAATATCGAGATATATATATACATAGAAAACACAATTATACAACTATTCACACCTCACTTCGCTCAAAGACTGGCTCTCCCCTCCTTCGCCTCGTTGAACACCGACACCGAGCTAAAGCGCTCCTCGACCTTGTGCCAGTCAATCGACTTCCACCAGTTCTCAAAGTACTCCTCCTTGCCCTCGAACCCGTAGTCTGTCAGGTACGCGTGCTCCCACACGTTGATGCACAGCAGCGGCAGCGGCCAGTCCGGCCGTCTCTTGGCCCTCTGTCGCAGCATCGCCTCGTTCTCGCGCACAGAGTTCCTCGTCGCCTCCGACACGGGTCCGTTCATATCGACATTCATTCCGTGGGCGTCGTCGTACGGCGTGCCGGAGTTGTACGTCGCCGTCACGAAAAGCTGCTTGTTCGGGCCCTCCACGAGCCAGACGAAGCCGTTGCCGCACATCGAGCGCGCGATGCCAGACATGTGGTCTTTCAGCTCCTCGACGCCCGTGAAGTGCAAGTCGATGGCACGGCTGAGGGCGGGCAGCGGGCCGGTGGAGTCTTTACTGCTAGGTCCTTTCTATACACAGAGCGATGTTAACATGGTCTTCTTGCTGCTCTCCCCTTCAATTCACAAGACATAAAACATACCAGAGTGTGGAAGAAGAAATGGTTGTTGTGCGCAAGCGACGACCAGTTGAACAACACCGTCTCTTCCGGGTATCGCGCAGTAGCCAGCAGAGTATCAAAAGGCGAGATTCCATCATATTTAGTACCTACACCAATCAAATTAGCCCTTACTCCACTCAAACCCAAGTATAAAGCAATAAATAAGCAGCAGCAACGTACCGGCAGTAGCCTTCGTCAATTCATTGCAAAGATATTCCTGGTACTTGGTCCACGCAAGATCGAAGCCCTTGGCGCTGTACAGCGGCTCAATACCGTTTTGCCTGAACTTTCCCTCGTCCAAAAGGACCGGCTTCGTGTGAATTGCGGCGGCGGCCTGCCGCAGGCTGGAAATATTCGAGGCCAGCGGTCGGCATGAGACCTGCGGTCGGGTGCCGGTCGAGGCGACGCCGGACCGCAGCGTAGAGAAGAACGAACTCCGGGCTGCAGACATTACTTATCCTTTTCCTTGCTTTTGTTCTCGTTGACTGATTGTTCAGTTATGAAATATTCAACTGTCCGCTGATCTAGAAACGAATTGTTAGCCAATCGATATTCATTTCCGACACCTTTAGAAGCTGCAAACACCACAATGCAGACCCCTCTCTCGCCAGCACCATCGCCCACAGACATCATCATCAATCCCAACAAACACAAAACCGGCGTACCTATTATTCCTTTTCCGCAAGACAATGCACCCGATTCGCAGCGTTTACAGACCCGGGAGAAAAATATCGCGACCCTCCGTCAACTCTATTTTTTTTTCTTTCGTCGCTCAACCGACTTTCTCTCACTGCGCTGGGCTGGCGGAAGGTTACCCGGCGCAGGGGGAATTGGAGCAGGGTAACTGACTGCTAATCCCGAACTGGGAGGAGTAGAAGCATGTGGATTGGGATATGTTATAACTGGTATTCAGTTATAGTCAATCTCTCATACTCTAGCTGTGCTATGACATTGAACATTACTCTTCAGATATAGTCTGAAATCTAGCTATACACCGCATCACACACCCACCCTATCTCACCTCGCAATGAGCACCCCAGAGCCTCCCAAGATCAGGCCAGTGCAAGACCCGACCTTGAAACCGCGCCGGCCAAAAGGCCAGGAGAAATCTTCGGATGAGGATCCGGATGTTATCTTGAAGCGGTTCGAGGCCGATGGGGTTAACCAGATGTATCCCGACGATCCGAAGGATAAACGCCATTTCGAAGCGATGAAAGCGTATGTCTATGCCTCCATCATTATCAAGACAGATCGAGTTGGCTGACCTGAAATTATTCCTGATATGCAGCAAACAGACGTCAAAGTTCTACGACCCGTGCAAGTTGAGTGCTCAAATGTCGCTGAGCTGTCTCGACCGTAATCGATACAACACCAAGCGCGCAAAGGAAAACTGCAAGGAGTATTTCGAAGCCTACAAGGAATGCAAAACTGAATGGGTCAGTCGCATACTCCTTCTTTTCAATCTCTTTCTTTCCAATATCTGGAACTTATACTAACGGTCCGTTGCTTAATAGCTTGCGTCAAGGAGAAACTACCGAAGACAAGAGAGTTGAATGTCTCTTCAACGTCTATTGTAAATATTCTCAACACTTCATATCTCCCCAAATCAACGTCCATCTTGTCTATATACAATCAAATGAACCAACCAAAAACATATAAAACCAGATACCACCAATGGTATTCAGCGTAAACAAAAAGAACAAAAAATACACCAAAATACTAATCATACCAACACTCTATCAACTATTCGGCACCAGTTTTATATCTGCTCCCTCCTCATCCGAGTACTCCCCCTCCTCATCTACCGCCTCGATCCCGTCCCCGCCATCATCTTTCTTCTCCGTGCCATCCCTGTACAATGCCGGCTCGCTCGCGTCCTCGGGCACGCCTTTCCGTCCGCGGACGCCGCTATTCCCGGATCTGAACCCCATCATCCGCCGTCTGGGCTGCGTGGGCTCGTTAAAGAACGTGTCGGCCGAGAAGTTTCGCCCGCTGCCGGATTTGTAGAATACAGCCTCGTTGCTGAAGCGCCCTTTGACTGCCCGCTGCTGCTGTGTCGAGGCATACATCGGTCGCGGGGTGCCGAACGATGCGGTCGCGGTCGAGCGAGAACTCACGCTGCTGTTGTCGTCCTCGTTGCTTGACCTCCGATGTCTTGAAAACTTGGGCCGGCGCCGCTGGTGGTCGAAGCCGTCCGACACTGTGGGCGTGGAGGGGTTATACCGCAAGCTAGACCTCGGCGAGCGTGAGGTGTTCATCGACGAGATCGAATTACTCGACGTACTTGATTTCCGCGAAAACGTCGATCGGCGCGGGTTCGACGACCGCAGCGACGAAAACGACGACGAGGTCGACGTGCGACTTATGCCGCGGCGCACGCGGCCAGAGTTTGGCGACGAATGCCGGTCGAGCGAGACAGACCGTCGCGAGTCGGACGAGTGCATGCCTGTCATTCGCAGAGAGGATAGACTGCTTCTGTTCCGGGTCGAAGAGCGGTCGCGGCGGATATGTTCTCCGCCGTCAGTTAGCGATCGGGATAAGGACGCAGGCTTTGACAGGCCTTGTACGCCGTTGCCGACTGCAGGTGCCGTTCCTGCCGCGGTTGCTGTCGACGAGGTTGCTGCTGACGCCGCTGCTGCTTGATCCGCTGATGTCGGCCTACTAGCTGTGTGTGCAGGCGAGGACCTGTTCTCATGCTTACTTGCATCACCCGCAGGCTTCTGCTGCTGCTGCCGCCCGCCCGTACCGACAGGCGAGTTCCTTCCCAGCAAACCGCCCCGGTGATGGTCAGATGCAGGGCTCTGCGATTTATGAAGCGACAGAAAGCTCGATATAGACGGCCGTCTACTCGACGAGCTCGTTCTCTCGCCCGACCGCAAGTGGCCTGAAGGTCCGCCGCTGCCGCCGGAAGCCGATCCCCACTGTTTAGGGTGCGCGAGGACATCAACAATCTCTCGAAACAGATTGCTGCGATGCCTCCGTCTCGGAGACGTCGCGCCCTCGGAATGGCCACCATCAGAAGGTGCGGGCGCATTAGCGGCCTCTTCGGCCTGACTTCTTATCGTCTCCTCCAGCGTTTGCGTCGATTCATCCACCGGATCCTCGACATGCACCGGCTTCTGGAGCGGGATCGCCGTCTCGGTACTCGCCCGTCGGCTGAGCGATCCCTCCGTCGACCGTTTATATCTCTCCGACCTCCGTTTCTTCTTTGACCGTTTCGACTTTCTTTGCTCGTGCTCGACAATCAACGCCCACCAGCCAGCCAGGTTATCGCATTTCTGCTGCAGAACGCTCTCGCGCATCGCGTCGATGTCGATGTACGCATGACGCAGGCGGTCGAGGATGTCGCGTTCGAGCTTGGTGGAGAAGGGGGGTGGTTGCAGGATTAGCAGTTGAGAGATTTGCTCGCCGCTGTATTGCGATAGGAACGGGTGCTGCAGGATTTCGGTCGCCGATGGACGTGTACTCGATCGCTTTGACAGGATCGATTGGAGCAGGTTGAGAGCGTCTGAGAAATAGTTAGCACTAGGTGATTAATTTTATGAAGCATGTACTGGAAATAGTCTGTACCTTCAGGCAAAAAGTCAGGATAATCGGGGTCATCGTTTGATATCCTTAGTCTCGTCTGCACCTCATCTTCCTCATCAAACGGCAACTCGCCACACAAAAGCGCGTAGAGAATAATTCCGAGTGCCCAGACATCGACCGCCTGTCCATGATACTTCTCGCCCAACACCATCTCCGGCGCGGCATAACAAATCGTCCCGCAAAACGTCTGCAAGAGCCGTTTCGGCTCGCACTCGCGCGTGAAGCCGAAATCGCACAGCTTGACGCGGTCGTGTTTGTCCATCAGGATGTTTTCGAGCTTGAGGTCCCGGTGCACGATGTTTTTCGTGTGGATGTACGCGACTGCGCCGCAGAGCTGGGCGAATATCCGCTGCACTTGGTCGGTTGAAAGACGGCCGTGGCGGAGGACGTAGGTGTAGAGTTCATCGCCGGGGCAGTACTCGAGCACAAGCCAGACGAGGGTCTCGGTGATCACGACCTCGTAGAGACGAGCGATATGAGGATGCAGAAGTTGGCGGTAGTGGTGGATTTCACGGGCAAGATTGAGATCTGACTTTTCAGCAGATTTGAGCACGACCTGGTATCGACGTGGTCAGCAGCGAATCGTCGATCTTGTGAATAAAGTGGGGAATCATACCTTTGTTCCAGTCAGTTTGTGTGTGGCCAGATATACCTTTCCAAAACTTCCTGTAGAGATATAACGGTTAACTCCAGTTCTTATCGCCAGACGAGCGATCTCGACGCGTACCTTTCCCAATCATTCGGGATATCCTGTAATTTCCCACATTCTTCAAATCCTGATCGGTATTAAACTCCTCCAAAATTTGATTATACGATTCGACTAACTTCAGGTATAAAGAAAAACACGGTCAGCAACCATATCCACAATCATCAAAGCTGATAAGCCGCGGAAAAAGAAAAGGAAAAAAGCGACAGGAGAGTACCTTAGCCCGAGCATTTTGTACATCAGCTCTGTTACCGCCCGGAGCCATTCTCCAAATATTCAGATCGTCAATAGATCATCAGCCGGAGAAAGACCTCCTGAACGATATCTATGTGTGCAAGTGCACTGGGGGATCAGGCGGGACGGGCCACACGATGGTATTTATAACAAAATGCCAAAATCCAGGACGTCGGCTGGCAGTAAGTATATTACGGGTAATTCTCGATTTGATCGGATTTCCCACGAGGTATACCAAAACCCAAGCCCAGAAGTCTTTCCAACAGGTATATATCAGTCCTATGCAGTGCAGTAGTGGCCGTTGCTGCAGCCAGAGAGTATCGGGATCAGAAGTCACGATATCAGGTCCGAGGCCGTCTGGAAGCTCATCGTCATCTCTTCCATCATCGCCAATTTTGATCGCGCTGCGGCCGCCGACCCTGAGACATAATAAAATAGAAAACCTTACCCGGATCAATTTAAATCTGGCCCAGGCTGCGGGCGACTTATGCCGTAATTGCACTACTGCTTTGGGATATGTCACGTGGTTTATTGACGAGGACAATGACGCGTGAGGCATCGAGTAGACTGAGTGCAGACAGCCGTGGAGAGAGTGTATTCTATCGTACAGACACCGAGGCTCTGTCTGCTGTAGACTGTCTCTTGTTCTGATATCGCGACCAGGCTTTTCTCACTGAAATAATGGTAGTGAACGAGTGCCTCACGAACGCATAACCTCTGGCTTCTTTGATCTCCGCCAGAATATCCTCAACACGTCGCTGTTGAGATCCACCTCACCATACAAAACAAAGAAACAGAACGAGAGCTGGATGTCACTCTCAGCCTCTCCACTGTTCAAAGCAAAGTCTGATCTAAGACGCCGAGTATGGGACGGTGTTGTGCCGATTCAGATCATTCTTGCCGCAGACGAGGCTAGAATGAGCGTTGATCCCTATTATGTACTGGTTTTTATCTTGTTAGCATTTTGATCGAGTGGGTTACTGACTATGAGTGGAGCATAGATCAACGCTTCGAGGATATCGTATTTTCCGCTGCTGTTTCCTCAGATCACTGCTTATTTCAAGCCATATCTGCGGGATCCTGACTCTGCTGATTCGCTTGAATGGTGGCTTGAATTCGAAGACGTGCCTCTTCGTTGGTATGCTCTCCTACCAGCCTCATACTTCCTGATCCAGGTTCTGATGCCTCTAACACTCGCTAGGAACTGGCCTATCGGACTGCTCTACGATCTCCTCACAGGCCTCGACCCATCCCAATCCGACAACCCAGATCACGACTGGCATCTCCCATGGACGCTTGTACTCCACCACAATCGGTACCCTACCGAGACCCTGCTACGACTTCGGAATACTGGTGATTTAGTCGAAAACTGGGTCAACAGAGTGAAAGAGGCGGATTTCATCAGACGCGGAAACGCGACAACAGTTATGAATCTGTCAAAGGCGGACTCGACTAATCTGTGGAGCGGTGTCGAGACTCGTGAGTTCTTTCTTTACGCCGTCTGGTGAATTGGGGTTGTCTGCTAACGCTTCTAATAATCTAGATAATTATGACCTTTTCTGGAGTGTCGCAAAGAAACTCTTACCCAGCGAAACCAGCTCCCTTCGACATATCCCCATCAAAATCTATCTCCCCTCCTCAAACAAAGTTCTCCAGACTCTTGTTCCTCCACACTTATCTCCCAGTACGTTCTATCCCTCAATCTGCAAACTCTTGCAACCCTCCCGCTAACACCCCAACAGAAGAACCACACACAGTAGGCACCGCGCTGCACAAATTCCTCCCAGACCTATTCCCATCCCGCCGAACGTGTCTGCTCGCACGCCCGATCCTGCACGGCGCGTTTCTCGGCATGACTGTTCCGCTGGCGGAACTGCTGTCTGAGTGCATGTACACGGATGGATATTTGCATATTTGTATTGTTATGATTGCATAGAGGTAGTTTTTAATAGGATAGAGTATCTATTATACAAATCTTAACTCTTCGATCTCTATAAACTTATCGTACAGCCACCTAACTATCCACATACTCGATCCCCTTATATATATCCCTGAGTATATTACTCTCTCCAGCTTGTCTCTTCCGAGCTCGTCCTCCCGGCTTGGGCATATCGTACCGCTTTGCCTCCCAAAGAATGATATCTCCATCACTCGTCCCCGAAAACAGCTCGACAAACTCAGACCCTCTGCACACGAGCCCCTTTGTGCGTTTCAAAGTATTATGCGAGATCGAGAGTCGCCGCACAAGCCGTCCGGTCGTCACGTCAAAGATTAAAACGTCGCCGTTGTCGTTCGGGTAGAAAAGCAGCGGCGGCGCGCAGTCGTGCACGGGCGAGAGCACCATGTTGATGCCCTGTAGATACCGGTTGCGAATCAGCGGGCCAAAGTTGACGAGCGTGTTTGTGTCGCGCTCGGAAGAGACGTCGCCGTCGATCGACCATACGCGGATTTGCTCGTCAGTGCCGGTCGAGATCAGTTTCTGGCCGTCGGCGAGGAACGCGAGGCCGTTGACTACGCCGCGGTGGGACTTGACCTGGCTCAGCACCGAAGATGACGAAGATGAAAACGCTTCACGGTGGATACTGCTACCCCCGTTCGCGCCGCCGTGCGTGTTTTCGAGATTGAGCACGGTCAAGCACGCGTTCGAGCGTCTGATATCCCAAAGCCTGACTGTGCCGTCCGACCCGCCCGAGGCGAGCATGAACGGGTCCACAGGCGACCACTTCACAGCGTTGACTGTCGTGCCTTCGTGGCCTGTCAGCATCTGTGCAGCGGCCGACGAGCGCAGGTCGAGTAACCGGACGGGGTTGCAGTCCGCCGCGACGGCGACGAGACAGTGTTCTGCAATCGGCGAGACATCGTGCGCGTTGACGCGCGCGCCGAGCGAGAAATTATACACGTCCTCAAGCGTAGCGGAGTCCCATACCTTCACGGTCTCATCAAAGGACGAGGTAATAAACATGCCGTCGTCGAACGGCCACCAACTCGCGCACGAGACGCCATAGCGGTGTGCGGTTTTGGGAGGAACCCTTCCCACGAGCTCATACCGATGTCTCTGACCTTCTCTCGAGTACAAGTCCCAAATCAAAATCCGGCTATCGGACCCACCCGAGATCAGCAGTCGGTTGCGGATAGGGTCGACCGCGAGCGCGTTGACGGTGCCGGAGTGGCGCGTGGGGAAGTAGCGCAGCTCGGAGCGGACGAGGGTCGAGTATTGGTTCCTGAGCTGGGCGGAGCGGAGCTCGCGCGGGTGGGTGAGGCCGGTTTCGCGCGTGAAAAGAAAAGTTGAAAGCATGCATTCACATCTAGCTAGACTGCCGAGATTGCGTTTGCATACTCGAGCTTGTGGACGACTATTTGTTGTTGGTTGTCGATACAAGAGTCGAAGACAGAGAGCAAGTGTTCGCTATCGATAGACGGGCGTTGGGAGTAGGAAGTCGCAGAGTGGGGAGTTTTAGTCTTTATTTGTAAGCTGGCAACACTATTTCCACCCAAATAATATTTTTTTTTAGAAAATCTCGACATCCAACTGACCGAGACCTCCATACTTTAGTAGCAAAAATGACAGATCAAACAACGATACAAGAGCAAATATCCTCACTAGAGTCATCACTAGAGGCGTCTACGATCAACGACAGCTCAAGAACCTCTGAGGAGCCGGCTGAGAGACAGACAGAGGGACAGGAGCGGTCTAAGTGGGATATTCCACGGACAGAACGCGATGATCCGTTTCAGTTTGGACAGCGATTTCTTGAGAATGATGAGGCTGTTTGGGATCACAATGCTTGGTATGATTTTGGAAATATGGTCTTCTTGTTTTGCTTTGTTCATGTGGGATCTAATGGCGTCGTATAGGGATCATGTTGACTGGGACGAAGAGCACGCTCAACTAGCCCAGGAGAAAATCTCAGCGCAGCGCGAAAACCCCGTCAACAGTTTCGACAAGCATCTATACATGACCAACCCCTCGCGGTACTGGGACCTTTTTTACCGGAACAACAAGGCCAATTTCTTCAAGGACCGAAAGTGGCTGCAACTCGAGTTCCCGTCGATCTACGAGCACGCTACACAACCTGATTCCGGCAAAAAAATCATCCTCGAAGTCGGCTGCGGTGCGGGCAATACGATGTTCCCGATCCTGCACGCGAACAAAAACCCCGAGCTCAAGATCGTCGGCGTGGATTTTTCGCACCGCGCGGTCGAGCTCGTGCGCGAGTCTGCGGAGTTTGACGAGAATACTTGCGCGGCGGATATCTGGGACCTGGCGGACGAGACCGGGCGGTTGCCGGCGGGACTTGAAGAGGGATCGGTGGATTTCATTATCTTGATTTTTGTGTTTAGTGCGCTTGCGCCGACGCAGTGGGAGACGGCGGTGAAGAATATCGATAGACTGCTCAAGCCTGGTGGCGAGGTCTTGTTTCGGGATTACGGGCGGTACGATATGGCGCAGCTGCGTTTTAAGAAGGGGCGGTTGCTAGAGGATAGTTTCTACGTCCGGGGTGATGGTACGAGAGTCTACTTCTTCACCGAAGAGGAGTTGCATGAGATTTTTGGCAAAACACTCGAGGTCGAGAGGGTCGGGACCGATCGCAGATTGCTGGTGAACAGGAAGCGCAAGCTGAAGATGTATAGAGTCTGGCTGCAGGCAAAGTTTTTAAAAAAGGCAGATAATTAGTCTAAGAGTACTAGATGTTGTAAGATAATGAATAGAATATATATATAATATGAACCTGACTGTTAATGTACAAGGATATGCTCAAACCAAATGACACCAGTAAGCGAAAGATAAGCCCGAAAATGAGAACCACACGATGAATAAGTATACAGGAAACGCAAAACGATAAACGCAAAACGATAGGAATCACAAAAGTCAAACGAAATCAGCAGAAAATAGTGTCCAAGGATGATGCTATTCTATCAAGTTTCCAGCCCGAAGTCCACGTCCCCATTCTCTGCTGCTCGAGCGTCTTGTCCGCGCTAAGCTTGGCGTGCTTCTTCTGCTTCCACTTGCGGTTGCGGTCAGTAGAAGGATCCACAACGACGACCTGGCCAAGAGATACACCGAGGCCAAGGCCGCAGTAGTTCTTCGAGTACCGGAACTGCATGCAGGCCGGGTTTTCGTCGCAGGCCGCGCTGCAGGCGTCGAAGGAGGCGTAGTGCTTTGCGTCTTTTTGGTTTTCAGCGGTCTCGGCGCGGTGGCTGGCGACCGATGGGGCGGGATCGTAGATCGAGCGCTTGGAGCGGCTGGTGTAGACAATGTCGTTGGAAAAGTTGTTCCAGTCCTCTTTGACGGCTTCGAGATGAGGCCGAACAAAACGCTCGTAGATGTCCCGGTACCGTACGTGTCTGTTGCTGGCAGCAAACTCGCGCTCGACAGCATCGATCTCTTCAATGTCGCGGGGAGAAAGATGGTGGAAGCTCATGATGTCCGAGCAGAAGTTGTCGGTGTGGAATTGCACGGCCCAATGGGGCTCGCCCTGGAACTTGTGGTGCGAATAAGGGTACTCGTTGTCGCCGAGCGCGGGGTGAACGTTGTTGTCGAGCAGAACGCGCGAGATAAGATGGTCTCCACAGCAGTCCTCAAGAGCCTCAAGATCGTACATGTGCTCAATGTTGGGATTGCTGCCAAAGACCTTGTCCATGGCGGCGAGGGAGAGAACGACGCCAGAGCCGCCGTGGGCAAACTGGTCGTTGGCAGAGCCGACGATGGAGCCCATGTAGAGAGGCGTGCTGGGGTCGAGCGTAGAGAGCCACTGCGCCAGCTGACGCCAAAGAATGTAGCTGTCGGCGTCCAGAAAGACGAACCATTTGGTCTGGGGAAGGCGGTTGCGGTACGCGTCGGCGAGCATGGGGAGGTTCTTGAACTTGTCGATAGACCAATTGGGGCCGGCGACGGGTTGGTGCGGCTCCACGTGCGGATCAGGGACGGCGAGAGGCTGCTGCTGCGAAGTTGACGTGAAGCCATAGTAGTTACCGGTAGACGAGGAGGAGTCGGGCTGGGAAGCGATGCTCGCGTGTCTGTCGACGAGGCTGGAGACGTAGCGGTAGGGCTCGAAGTCCTCGGTCGACTTGAGGAAGTCAGAGCAGTTTGCTAGCGCGTCGACGACGTTGTGGCCGGCGATGCTGGCGGGGGAGTCCGAGTAGATCTGGAAGTGGTGCAGGTCACGGAAGGACGTGACAAAGTGGATTGGCACGCGCTGCCACATGACCGAGGAGCCGGTCTTCATGAGCACGGAGATGGAGTCGAGTGGGTCGGCGGCTGCGGTCGACGGTCGCAGGAAGGATGGGAGGGAGTAAACATTGAGGATCTCGCGCGCTGCTGGGGAGATAAAGGAGAAGAGGAAGAGCCAGCAAAAGATAAGGAAGATGAAGGCGAGGAGGGAGACGAGCTGGCGAGGCAAGGCGAGGCCGAGGGCAGGGTGCTTAGAGAACGCCATGGTGCGTGGTGGTGAAGGAGGCGGAGGAGAGGCGGAAGGAGAAGAGGCGGAGGAGGGCAGAAGGAGAAAATATAAGGCAGATACGGAGGAGAATAAGGAGAATACGAAAGCCGTTTGTGGACCGGGGAGCAGAGCCACGAACGGAGGCTAAAACTGCGAGCGGAGGGAAGAGTAGACGAGAGGCGCTTGCTGAAAGCGGTTAGCGCGTGGGTACGCCAGTAGTCAAAAACAAACTTATTGAAACCTTAACGTACCCGAGTTTTTTACGCTGCGGGAGTACCCTTGTTCACAGGGCTGATTGTAGCGTCGACGGTGCGAAGGGGGCCGGGATCTGGTCGCTAGAAAGCATTCAAACGGCTGAAGTTATTGCTGGGCGGTGCAAAGCTGGGATAGAGACGGCGATGGGGAGGAGTCGGTGTGAGCCGGAGGTTTGCGTACGCTTCCACCGAAGCATCGCATGTCGTAGCGTACACCCTCTCCGACCACTCCCACCGTGAGGTCTTTCCGGCTTTGGCCTTCGAATCCCAGCTCCGGCTAGAAGTAAGAGTGATTGCAAAACACAAGGCTGGCTCTCTTTCCGGAAGACGTCTGCTTCTTTGATGCTTCTGGGAAGAAGGCTGCATGGGTCCTATTTTGGTTTCGATACGATACTTCCACGTGCGCCACATTTTCTGCGGCTCATTCCACAGCGCTGGTGCAGTGATGGCTTAGCCGAGCAGAAAACAGGGACAGACAACCATATCACGGCCCTGGATGTGATGTCTCAGCGTCAGTCGGTATTCTGTTTTGTAGGCACTAGTTTGTACGGTGTCTGTGTGGTTCTGTGTGGGGTTGGTGAAGATGAACAGCAGCCATAGAGTCGGAGCGCGGTTGGGTGCATGACTCCTGCAGCCCTGCAGTCGTCACCTCGACTTTCCTGCACCACCACCACTGGCCAAGCACGGCCGGATGCTGGCTATTCGAACCCTGCCGGATAGAGATTCTCTGCGCATGTTTCTGATCTGGGCCTTGCCTTGCGCTCCTGGTATCATATAGTACACAAACCAAGATGTCAACTCAAACAACACAAACGACCTGTTTCCTGGAAACGACGTGAGGCTCCTGCGCAGAAGCCAGCCTTTGCTCGTGTCCGCATCAGGCGTCCCCGGCTCCGTCACTTCCTTCAACTTCCTCAGACCTCCTCCGGAAAGGAACGCGCGTTCTCGTCTGTTTGTTCTCTTTCTCTGAGTATTCGGTTCAAAGCCCGTACGCGGTCGGGGCCGCGCATCCGGCCGTGGTCGCTGCTCTGGCTAATTAATCCGAAACCGTTTCGTCCCCCTGCTCTACTCACTCACTCTTTCCCTCTCGCTTCCGCTGATCAACATCCACAAGAAATACCGCCTGATTGCACTATATCTTGCTGCATCTCTTGCGCCGTGTCTGCTGCTCTGTTTTTCGTATTCCCTCAGCCTCTGCAGTACCCCTTTGTTCTCAAACATGCTCGCGTTTTTACCACTAAGCACTTAGTCATACAGTGTCACGTGGTGCTGTAAACCTCCCAACGTCACCTGCAGTTGCGGCACCAACCGCGCCGCCGCCGATCCGCAGCAATGGCGGCTCCTGCTCGCGGCCCAAACAGTATTTACACGTTCACCACACACTCAAAACACCTCTTCCCCATCAAATCCGCCGCTTTAGAGCTTCTCGAAAGCCTCCCGGACGACGGCCCCTGCTCGTCTCCTCGGCCTGGTCCCTCGCATATCTCTTTATCTTTTTGTTTTGTTCCGTTCCCTGCCAGTCCCCCTACTCCGTAGACCATGGCGCAGGCCTACACCCTCGACCCCTCGCAGCAGACTGTCTACGTCGCCGTCCAGCAACCGCAGACTGTCTACTACGTCGAGGCCACCCCACCTCCCCAGCAGGTCATCTACCAGGTTCAATCGCCTCCGATAGCCACTCCGCAACCTCAGCAGCACAAGCGCATCGTCGTTCCCCCTGGCACTTATCTTCCTGGTACCCCGCTCGTCGTCGGATCACACAATGTTGTTATCGAACGATATCTCTCTGAAGGTAGATCCCATCTTCTCTCTCGATTCTCCACTCGTTCCTATCCCTCAATTACATCCTAACACTTCCTACTCCTACAGGTGGGTTCGCTCATGTCTATGTCGTGCGACTAGAGCACAGCATCCATGGCACCGATCTCGCCGTCTTGAAGCGCGTCGCCGTCCCTGACAAGGAAAGTCTAAACGTCCTGCGCATCGAAGTCGACACAATGGTACTCCAATCTCTCCATCCTGATCCTCAATCTCAATCTCTCTATTTGGATCTGTTTCTGATCTGTTCATTGTCTCTATAGAAACGTCTGAGAGGGCACCCCAATGCGGTGACGTACATCGACTCTCACGCCTCTCATCTCAAGGCTGGTGGATATGAAGTCTTTGTTCTCATGGAGTTTTGTTCCGGTAAGTCCCATTCTATGTTTTTCTGTAACTCCCTCTAATCTCAATCCATAGGCGGCGGCCTTATCGACTTTATGAACACTCGTCTGCAAAATCGCTTCACGGAATCAGAAATTCTCAAAATCTTCAGCGATATCGTCGAAGGAGTCTCCGGCATGCATTACCTAGAACCCCCTCTCATCCATCGCGATCTCAAAGTTGAAAACGTCTTAATCTCTGAATCGGGCAACTTCAAAATCTGCGACTTTGGTTCGTCATGCGAAGCCATTCCTGCGGGCAAAACCGGCCAGGAGTGTCGCGCGATCGAAGACGACATCCAGCGCCACACGACGATGCAGTACCGGTCACCCGAGATGGTCGATGTCTATCGCGGTCTTCCGATCGATGAGAAATCAGATATCTGGGCTCTCGGAGTATTGCTCTACAAACTTTGTTATTACACCACCCCGTTTGAGGAGCAGGGACAGCTCGCCATCCTCAATGCGACATTCACCTTCCCACCTCACCCTCAATATACAGATAGGCTGAAGAGGCTCATCAGCGTTATGCTGAGAGAAAATCCAAGAGATCGGCCGAATATCTATCAGGTCCTGAAAGAAGTCTGTCGCATGAGAGGTGTTGAGGTGCCCATTAGAGATGTACGTCTGATGCTTTATCTTTGTTTTCCCTTTTTTGATCGTTCTTTAACACTTTTGCAGATATATTCGGAACGTCATGCTAGCAGTAATCGTCCCCGACCCGCACCATCCTCAACCACTCCGAAAAAACAACACCAGTCGACACCCAGCATTGTTCAATACGAAAGCAGGACTTCAAAATCCTCGTCCCGGCAAAATATCCCCGAAATCAAGCCAATGCGTCGCGGTAGAGTACCGCCCCCGCAAGCCGCTACACCTGCTGCTGCGGCCGCACCCTCTCCGTCGATGCGCATCTCGCCCTTGCCAGCTCGCAAACTCAGTCATCACGAGGAGCTCGAATCCCCCTCTGAATTGCTCGATTATCCATCATATCTACCTCCTCCGTCTCCGCCGGCAGCTGAAATCGATCAGTCGGAGGTTGACGAGGCAGAAGCTGCTCTTGCTTCGCGGTTCCCTTCATTGAAAGACTCGCGGCCGCCCACGATCCGCAAGTTGTCGAAGAAAGCCTTTGACAAATTTGAGTCTGCGGCCGATGTTCCTCCACCAAAGCCAGCCCGTCCCAGCCTAGACAGCAACCGTACCTCTTCGTCTTCGTCAAACGTGATCAAATCTCCGCAGCCCAAGCGTCCGGTGCTAGTAGCCACCGGCACTTCAGAGACGGCGCAGAACAAGCGTGAGTTCTCCGACGGAAGCAGCCGCATGGCTCCGGTGATGCAGCGATCGAACTCTCGTCAAGACGACTACAGTTCCTCAGGTGATTTTGCGCCTCCGATGCGAGCGCCGTCGCGGGGCGCAATGACGCCGTCAGATTCGCGTCGCCCGTCACTTGATGCGTCGCGGAATCAAAGCAGTAGCGGCAGCTACAAGTTTCCCCACCGACCGCCGTCGTCTGCGTCTGGTCGAAAGAGCAGGCCGGTGAGCATGTTTTTAGACTCGAGCGTTGATTTCCTGCGCAACCTAGGTCGAAGCGAGAGTCCAGCCAACTCTGTCACCGGTGGCGACGCAACCGGCGCGCTGAGTGCCGTTTATACTGGACAGTCGCAGAAATCCGAGCACATCGAGTCGAATTTGGAATTTCTGAAGTCTTTGGACACCGGTGGCTCGAATATGGGCGGCAGCGAACGTCGGCAGTATACCGGCGGAAGCACCAAGGCCAGTGTGCCTGGCGAGATGCGCAGCGTGAGCGCTGGATCTACCACGGCCAAGCACAGTAAACGTGCGAGCATGCCGGTGATCAACCTGTCGAGCAAGTTAACCGGGAAGTTTGGCGAGGCGTTCAAGAAATTCGAGCAGTCTCCCGTGACGACCGGGACTTCAGTTGCAAGCGTGGCCGAGCAGCCGCCTCCATCGCCTCGGACTCCTAGATTGATGTCGTTTGAGCGCAGACGTACGCCGAGCCCGGAGAAGAAAAAGAAGGAGGACGAAGGTGTTGCTACGAATACTACTGGCGGCGGTGGGTTTAGAATGCATATGCGACGAGCTTCGTCGGCAAAGATCTTCAGACGCAGCTCATCGAACGGACGCAACGCGCAACCGCAAAAGACTGGCGAGCAGCAGCAGCAGCAGCAGTCGTCGACGTCGTCATCGATGAGTGCGCCGGCAATGGAAGCTAGCACGTCATCTTCGACGTCGTGGAATGGTGCAAGAGAGGCCCTGACGATTTCGGATGCGATGGAGAAACGGGCAGCGGCACGAAACCAGCGTGACAGCGATGCCGAACTGATGCCGCCCCCAGCAGCTATCGCAAAGCCTAAGCCGCCCGCGCCCAAACCTGCAGCGTCTGTTGCTTCGACTCCCGAGAAAAGTCGCGGGAGCGCGCCTGCGGTGCCGTTGAAGAGTAGCGGGGCGGCGTCGATGGAGTTTCCGATCAAGACGAGCGCGGCAGTCACAGGGACTGGCAGCCGCCGTCCTCGCGCGGAGAGTATTCAGAATCGGGTGCAGTCGCTTCTGGAGCAGAGCCAGTCGGCGCCGGTGTCAAAGTCCGCGTCCGGGTACGGCAAGTACACCGACCACGGGGACGACGAAAAGGCGCCGGAGACGGCGGGGATCAAGCGCGCAGACACGATCGGCGAGGTTGAGAGCGCGCTTGTGCCAGAGACGTATGTCGTGATCGAGCCCATGGGCGACGTTGAAGCCGAGCTTCTTGGCTCGTCGTCGAAGTTTGCAAACATCAAGGGTAGCGACGAAGCTGAGTTTGACGAGGCGAATTTCCTGGCGCAGGCGCGGCAGAAGGCGCATAGCCGAGCCAAGCAGCACCTGCATGAGGCCAAGAATCGCTTCGAACAGCGACACCATCATATCCGGACGCACTCCAAGAACCCTAGTCTGACGCTCGTCGACGTGCGCGCGGCATCGCCGTTCGAGAGTAGCTCGCGGTCGAGGCAGAGCACGAACAGTAGCGCGGACGGAAGCGCATGGGATCGGCCTGCGCCGCCGCCAAAGCCTGCAAAGCTGCAAGTGACTGGCGCGACGACGACGACGACCTCGAGCGTGACTAGTTCACCGGCCAGAAGTTCTGTGGCGGGCGACCTGTCGCCTAGGAAGGTGCATCAGCGGAAATTTGTGCATGACAACGCGGACGTCAAGGATTGGGAGGTTTCGTTTGAGAGGAAGTTCCCGAGTCTGCCGGGCGTGGATGTGGATGATGACGAGGAGATTGAGGTTGAAGGGTTGCTGGAAGATGATTTGTCGAGGATGGATATCAGAGAACGGGCGCGGCGGTTTGAGTAGCCTGGCATTATAGTTTTCTTCTCTTTCTTTTGAGTGTGTTTATGTTTCTTGGGACACGATTGGATTTCGATGGATGAAAGATATGGTTGCCTTTTATTTTTAATGTCATAGACCGCGCAGCGCAGCTTCCACTTCCCATTTCCGATCTTGATTCTTCACTTTTTTGTATCTTGTGCATATGCGTTCTCTTGTTCTTCTCATTTCATAGTTCCAGGTTTACAACGACGATTCATCTCAACTTGCCTTATTATTCCCTTTGTTATTTTCTCTCCAAGCATTACTTTCTTCCCTGTTTGATAAATAAAAAGCTTCATTTTGCCTTGCTAAAAACCCTCAGCTGGATTTATTATCGCGATGAGCCTGTGTGCTTCCGGCCCACGAACAAGCACGCTGAAGCATAAACGTCAACGAGCCAAATAACCTATTCAAACTAAATTAATCACCTTCCACAATGTTTCACCTGTCAATATGTGCCGGTAATTCAGAGGTGATTTACAGTTTTTAAAAGATATTAACTAACTACCTTTTTATTATTTTTCTTTTTTTTGTGCAAATATTTGTAGATTAATTGGGGTTTAAAGTGCGAGATTTATTGCAGGGAGGGGAAAGAAGAAAAAGTAAAGAGACGCGAAGGGTTTCTTTTTAAATAATGATTTGGAAACTGACTGGGAGGTTTTGTGTGCCCTACTACACTTCTCTGTTTACTACCCTCTTCCTAGGAACATCCAGTCCGCTTTCTTATTCTGTTCTGTTTTCTGTGTTTACTTTTTTTTATTCTGTTTGAGAAGGACGTCAATGAGGAGATTCGGCCAGATGCAGAATACCCTGGCTTCTGATCCAGCGCGCCAGCGTCTCGACTTTTCTGCTGACAGAAGAGTGGACATAAAGCGTCGAAGAAGCAGTTTTAGCAGCAGCAGCAGCAGTAGCTACAGCAGCGAGAGCTTTGATGCAAGACGTAACGGCGCCGAGGAAGCGCGTGTGGGCACGCGATATTTTGATGCACGTCCCGTACTCGCAAGTAACGCCGCTGGCGCAGCAACAGCAGCAGCGGCAAATATGAGGCGCCGAGAGTATCGTCTGTTGGGCTCTGGAGGACCAAAGTCCTTGTCGACGGAGGAGGAAGACCCCGGCGCGGGGAAGAACGGGGTGTCGCCTGATACGCTAGCTGCTATCTCTGAGGTTTGCTGTGTTCTTTGCTGTCAAGAAGAGAGGTCTGATGAGCTAATCTGAGAATATCCAAACAGTTTTTACGAGCGCAGAACGCGAATGCGACGGCCGGGTCTGATAAGGAAAACATCGATCCAGAGAATAATTCCCGACAAGAAGACTGCGTGCCTCTGCTCGGCACCGCGGAGTACTGCTCTCCGCCTATCGCATCCACCTCGTCGTCGCCGGATTACTCGACCGCCGGCCGCGCCGCCGCCGCATCTGCTGATATCGACTTTGGCTTTGGCGCCTCGGTCTCGGAAATCGCGTGCGAGCCCGAGCGGCGCGGGATCCGCACGCGGCTGCCGATGTCGCAGCCTGCCACGCAGCGGAGACCGAATATGTCGACTACTCGGAGCCGGATCATTCAGGCGAGCGTGCGGCCGGAGGGGACTGCATCGAGTTTGATTTTCAGTCCGGTTGCTGACGATGGAGAGGAGGAGGAGGATAGAGAGGCTGCTGCGACGCCGGTGGTGGTTGCAGGACGAAGCACACCTAGCGTGCAGGAAGACGACCTTTTGCAGGCGCTGGATATGAATGCGCGAGTGGCTATTCCTTCGAATCTTATAGGCAGCAGATACTCCGCTCCGGACAACAGCCACGAGCAGGCCTACGAGTACGGTTTCGCGGCAAGACAGCAACATACAAAGGCGACGCGCATCCGCGGCGTCGCAGCGTCAGAATGCAAAGGCTCTGCGACGCTCGCATGTGAATTCGAAGGCGGTATCTCCACGTCGCAAGCTGAGCTCCCTTTCCGCGCGTCTCGTGCCAGAGGGATGAATCATGTCGGCGCCGAGTTGAAGCTTGGTCCGTCTGCGCTTGGGGAGGCTGCGTATATGGGAGAGGAGGTTGTGTCTGGGCAGATTCAGCTGCATGAACGGACGTGGCATGCAAAGATACGAGCAGGACGTGATGATTTTGAGGAGGTGGGGAGGGGGTTTCACGTCGTTTCTGTCGACGTGTTTTTGGTCTGCCATCAGAGTAAGTATTTTTGTGTTGTTCTGAGTATGGTTATAGAGCTGACGAGTGGATAAATTAGGAATCGGACGAGCGGCAACAAAGACCCTTGAAGCCTGTAAGTTCCCGCTTTTCTCGCACTCTGGCGAGGGTAGAGGGCTTCCTGCGTGGCTGATCAATTTCTCGCTTGTACTTCCCCCAAAAATGGGACCAGGATATCTGTGTTCGGAAGGTTACTTTGGCGGCAGCGACAGGGTGGAGATCACATACTCGCTGATTGCTCAAGTATCCACCAAACTGCATCATCATCATCACACGACCAGTGACGACGACGACAGGGTTTACAAAGTGCAGATCGGGCAGCCAATCAAGTTTTTCAACGCGGGCGGGGTAAACAGCGGCAAGAACTTTGGCGTGAAGATAAAGTCGACGATGTATGGCCATGCAAGATTACGTGCGGGGGGCTGGATTTCGACAATTCTGGCGGGCGCGTCGGTCGCGTCGTTGCCGTCGTTGTCGGCGGTATCGTCGAAGCCCTCGTCGCCATCGTCAGCGCGGTCTCGGGTTCGCGCACGACCGCCGCCGCCGCCGCGCGAGAGCGAGCTCGTGCGGATCAGGGTCGAGGATGCGCGGCGAGGAGGGCGGGAGGGTGGAGTTGTTGTTGCGGGGAGTAAGTTTGCGGTTGAGGTGTATGCGCAGAATGGGGTTGAGAGCGGGGTTGAGTTGTCGCGGGTGCGGATGCGGGTGGTGCAGGTTGTTGAGTATCTGAATTCTGTGAGAGCTGTGCTGTTGCTGTTGTGAGTGAAGGTGAACTGTGCTAACTTTATGTGTTATTGGAAGACTATGCAGGCTAGAGGGTATGAGAGGGTAGTTTCGGAAGTGACATACAAAGCGCCGATTCTGAAGCGCGAGTCTAGTGAGCTCGGGATCGAAGTCGAGGCATTGCAGCCAGGGCAGAGCGGGAGCTACGAGGGTTATGTTGCGATTCCGAAATACCTTGCGACGGCGACGGACAGTGCGGTGGTGAGGGTGAGGTATGAGGTCGAGGTGAGCGTGGGGGGCAGTCGGGGATCTAATCTGTTGCTGTTTGCGAGACGGAAGTGGGTGTCTGTGCGGGTTCCTGTGACTGCTGCTGTGCGTGAGAGCGAGGGTGAGATGAAGAGAGAGAACGGGAAGGCGGCGATGGTGGTGAAGAGATCGCGCGCGGAAGGGTTTAGGAGTATGAGAGGAGACGGGAGCGTGGATGTGATGAAGACGAAGCCGAGCGAGACGTTTGAAGAGGCGTATGAAAAGCTCGCGAGGTTTGCGGCGGAGGAGAGGAGGAGGAGTGCTGGGTATTATACGGCGCAGGCGGAGGAGTATTTTGAAGGACGGGGAGCGGAGGAGGACAAGTGCTTTGTCTGATTGATTGATTGAGTGCCTACTGTGCTGTTACTATTATTATGAATATTATTACTGGTGTTACTATTATTGTCGATGCTGATACCGTTGAGACGAGAGTGAAGTTGATGAAATACAAGTGCATTTGATAGTGGATAAAGCAGGGGTTTCTGAACCAGCCGGCGCGAACAGGAGGACTATAAATAGTAAGACGATAAAGGGCTGGAGGAGGAGGAGGAAGAGAGGGCTATTTATAAACTCGCGTAATTGAGAGATAAGGTTTAATACATTGTGCTAGCGTAAGGTACTGATTAAGACACAATGGAGAGGAGGAAGAAGGACAGAGGGCCGCGGCAGAAGGAAGAGGAGGAAGAGACGGAGGAAGAAGGTAGGAGGATTGGAAGAGAATAAGAAGAAGATGGTGATTGAAGCAGACAGAAGACGACGTCGAGATATCGACAAGTGCCGGTGTTGCACGTCAAACAGCCAAAAGACAGCCCGTCCACGGCATCAGACACCGCCGACCACCGCAAACAGCTAACGGTCTGCTCATCCCGCTGTCTCGGTACCCGCAACCCCACCACCCACCCGACCCGTCCCTCAACCCGCCGTCCACCACACACCGAGAAGCAGACCACGAAGCAGACCGCGAAGGCAGCGAAGAGCAGAGTTTGAGGAGTGTCGCAGAGATGACGTCAGAGGCTTGGGCTGGTTGCGGTTTGCTTGTTGCGGCTGGCTGGCCGAGGAACGGGTTCTGTACCGCGCAGACACGTGCGGCGATCATCGCAGGAGCAGTGCAGCAGTGCAGCGGCGCGGCAGGCGAGCGGCGTGGAGGGTATTGCTTTGATGCAGAGTGAGAGTGGATGAGTAGAGGTGTACTGGAGCAGAATACGCAAGAACGAGTGAGACAACCGCAACACTGCTGCTTCTACGGCCGAGAACAGACAGATGCCCGTCACGGCAGCTACAGTCGCCGCCGTCTTCGCACGTTGTTCCGGGCTACTTTCTTTCCCTCGCAAACCACCGCAAACTCTCGCTTTTGGCGTCGTTTTCGCCGCCGCCGGAATGGAGTTGACTTGACTGGGAATCAGCCTGACGGGAGGCAACAAGGAGAGAGAATACCCGGTTCGGCGCGTGCAACCGGTTCAGGCGGCGGCGTCGGTGCTGCGGCTGGTTCGAGCGCTGTTGTCGTCGTCGTCGTTCTTGTGAGACGAGTTCGGGTCATCGCTGCTGCTGCCTCGCTGCGTGTGGGCTCCTGCCAGCTGCTGAGAGAGCCTTGTTCTGTGGTTGAGGGTGCTGATGTAGGAGATCAAGCAGAGTAGTCGATGTAGAAAGTAATCAGCGTAGATCGCAGACAGCGATTGCGTAGACCGCGAGCAGCCAGAGCCTTGCTGCCTGCTGCCTCTTTGTCTCGGGGCCATCTGCTGTCTCGGGTCTTGTTCTCTCTTTTCTCTCCTTGTTGCTTCTTCTCTTTTTCTTCTCGCCTCCTCCACTACTTCTCCCTCCTCCTCCTCCTCTTCTTCCTCCTCTCCCTCCTCCTCTTCCTCCTCGCATCCACCAATGGCTTCTCCAATGCAGCCAGTAATCGTCTCCTCCTCCCCTCCGCAGCCCTCCTCCTCCCCTTCCTCCTCCTCCCCATCCGCCTCCTCCTCCCGCGCGCCCTCCCCTGCCCTCGACCAATCCAACAACGCAACCTCGCTCGACTCCTCCACCGAGCACTGCTCCGATCCAATAATAGTCTCCGCCTCCTGTCTTCTCACCCCCGACGCCGCCTCTGAAGACGACGAGGCCGCACCGGCTGCAGCACCGGCTGCATCCACCACCCCTCCCGCCCAGTCCACCGCGACCACCGCCCGCGAATCCGACCCAATCCTCACAATCTCCGTCACAAACGTCCGCCTCTCCCCATCTCTTTCTTCCCTCCTTATTATATTCAACCCTTGCTAACTCGCACTACATATATAGCTCCCCTACGTCGTTCGCTGGCAAGAACTAAAGGATCTCGTCAAGGGAATCATCCCTGCCACCGACATCGTCCGCTCTGAAGTCTTCATCATCGACGACGACAACAAGCGCTCCCAGGGCTCGGGCTCAATCATCATCCGCGGCCGCGAATCCGCCAATAAATGCGTTGGTGCGTCTTATCCCTTTTTTTATATTCATTTTTATCAACAAATTGCTCGTTTGTCTAACCAACTCTCACATAGAAACCCTCAACGGCTTCGAGTGGCACGGCCGACCACTGGCGGCTACCATCGTGCCCGCGATGGCATACTACCCAATGCCATCTGCCGCCGTCGCGCCCTACGCGGCCTACACCGGCCGGCAGCGCGTCTCCTCGCCTGCGTCCTTCCCGCTGAACGCGACCGTTGCCGCGCAGTACGGTCTCATGCCGTACCAGATCCCTGCGCAACCCTACGCGGAGTACTACGAGCCCTCGATGCAGTTCGGGCCTCCCCCTCCTGCGCTCGCGCCCATGTCGCTGTCGTCGCAGCAGCTCTTCCAGCAGCAGCAGCATCAGCACCAACACCAGGGCTTGCCGTACTTCCCACCCCAGCTCCCGATGGCGATGCACCACCAGCCTACGCAGCGCCGGCCGCACAATCAGGGTAACGAGAACAGCAGCAGCAGCAGCAGCACGAGCAGCTACCAGCAGCAACCGCAGCAGATCGACAAGCGGAAAGTGTTTATCGGCAACATCCCGTTCACGACGCAGTGGCGCGACCTGCGCGAGTTTGTGCAGACGGCGGGCAAGATCGTGCGCATCGAGATCATCATGAACGACGAAAACAAGTCGCGCGGGTTCGCTATCGCTGTCTTTGAGACCGACGAGGACGCGCAGAACGCAATCGACCAGTTTGACGGGCAAAAGTTCCAGGGACGGGCGCTCACCGTGCGCTTGGACAAGTACCCAGACTCGCGGCCGCCGCCGAACCATAGCCGCAACAACCACAGCAACCACAGTAACAACGGTATGTTCCTGAGCAACAACATGAGCTTTTCGGCACCATCGTCGGCCTTGACGTCTTCTTCGTCCGGAGACTCGTCGCCCAAGTCGCGCGACTACACAAGCGCGCCGTACCCGAACGGCGGCGCGCGGAAGCACTCAAAGTACGGCGGCGAGAGCGTGAACAGCAGCCGGTCAAACAGCTACAGCTCTCCCGGGATGCAATACTACCCAGCGCCGTTCACGCCCGACCTCGGCGGCGCGGGCATGTGGCCTGGCGGAGCACCGCCGCCGCAGCAGCAGTTCCCGCCCAACTCTGCCTCGGCGGCGGCGGCGGCGGCAGCAGCTGCTGCTGCGTACTGGTCGCAATATCAGCAGGGAATGCCGTCGGCTGGCTACGCGATGATGCAGAACCAGTTCCAGGGTATGTCGCTGATGCCGTCACCCGCCGCGGCGGCGGCAGCCATCTCTGCTGCTCAGGCGCAGGGAGGCAGATATCAGCACCAGCAGCCGCATATGCAGTCTTATATCGCTGGCCCGGGATCGTATGGCATGCCGGGCGTGTACCAGCCGCCGCAGTAGATGTTCTGCTATGAGCCATGCCAAGTTAGCACCAACATGCACGGGAAAGTACGGAAAAGTTGGCTGTGTTTTTTTACTATTATATTTATGTTTGGGTATAGATATTCACTCGGAGTTTGCTTATCCTTTGTTATGTTTTACTCGTAGTTCTTCTTGTTCTTTTCTGTTTTCATCAAAATCATATGAATTGTAATCAGCGAGCTGCTTTCATTCGTTTCTTCATCTGTTCCATCTTAGCTATTTGTTTGTTTTTGTTTTTGTTTTTGTTTTTGTTTTTGTTTTTGTTTTTGTTGTTTTCAAAAGCGGCAACCGAGCAGGAACAACGTCAATGTCTTCTGGAGTTTTGTTTTCCTAGTTGTATATTCCCCTAGCTGTCCTTAATATACTCATATAATCCATACTCACCTTTCCTCCTCATAATCATCATAATCACGATCTCTGCAGCGCGGTTCAGCGAACAGGACGCAAATGAACCCTAAAACTGCAAGAACGCGCACAGACAGCAGGTTATGACGTCAATCGGTGTTTCATCTGCTGCTTCCCCTCGCCGAGCTCGAGCTCTGAGCTTAGTTTGGTTGCTGGGTTGGTTTAGTCGCTGCTGCTGCTGCTGCTGCTGCTTCATTTCGTTTCGGTGCAGGCTGGTTGAGGTTGGAGAGGAGGGTGAGGTGGTTGGAAAATGGTGCGGTCGCGCTGGGATACCGCTCTGGTCATGGTTTCTGTGCAAAACACGCGTTCACTCCGAAAGACGACGCAAGATGGAATTTAATAAGAATCCGCTTGAACCAAGCACGATTGAAGTATTCAAACCAGAACAGTCAGAGCAGAATAACCACAGCAGCAGCAACAAAATAGTACTTACTCGGTCAACGAGAAGGACAGAGATAAAATATCAAGTCGACGCCGGAACTTTTTCCGAACCGGGCGTAGCTTCAGCGATACTCGCTCGGTCCACATGTGATTTCTTCACATTCTGGCACCGGCACATGTTCATCCTCGAACTGATACTGTTTCTATTTCCCAATCCTCTTTCTCCTCTGTCTTCCTTGTTATCATCGTCAATATCAGACACTCAACATGCCTCCTCGTCCGGCTGCGTGCCGGATCGCCGACGACGGTACAATCCCCTCACTTCACCAACAGCAGAGTTCTTATCGGTTTTATCCCCGCGGGGAAGAGAACAGCAGATTAAAAGATTACTCAACCTGAGCTAGTAGAGTAGAGTCACCGCGATCAGGTTTATAATCATCTCCAGCGCCCTCTCCTCCTATCAAAACAACTGACAATTGACTTCTTCACGCTCAATTGCACGGATCGCTTTCTTTGATTGATACTCGCGATGACGGATTTTAGTATTTCCAACCTTTTTGGCGTCGAGGGGATGGTTTGCGTCATTACCGGCGGCGGAACAGGTCCGTCTTCTCCTGCTCTTTTCTTTTATCTTCTTATCGTCGGAGGTCATGACTTCAATGCTAACTACTCTCCCTCCCAGGCATCGGCCTGATGATGGCCACCGCGCTCGAGCACAACGGCGCAAAAGTCTACATCCTCGGCCGCCGCCTGGCCGTGCTCGAAAACTCCGCAAAGCTCTACGCCAAACACGGCAACCTGCACCCGCTCCAATGCGACGTCACATCCAAGCAGGACCTCATCCGCGCGACCGAGCACATCAAGGCCGCGGACGGCAAGGTCGACTTGCTGGTCGTGAACTCGGGCATCATGTCCCAGAAACTCAACGATTTCTCGCCAGAGATCAAGGCCGATCCCGCAAAGCTCTCTGAGTTCTGGATGCAGAAATCAGAGCAGTCCTGGGCCGACACGTTCTCCGTCAACGTCACCTCCGTGTTCTTCACCACGGTTGCGTTCCTCGGCCTGCTCGACGCGAGCAATCAAGCCCGCAAAGCCGCAAACGCGCTCGACAAGCCTACCGCCCAGGTCGTCGTCACCTCCTCGATCGGCGGGTTCATGCGCGTCACGCCCTTTGCCTTCACCTACAACGCCTCCAAGGCGGCCACCACCCATCTCGCAAAGATGATGGCCACTTTCTTCATCGAGTACGATATCCGCGTAAACATCATCACCCCGGGCATGTATCCTTCGCAAATGACCGGATCGCTCGATACTGAGAGTAATAAGGTCGCGCTCGAGCCTTTCCCGCCGACTGTTATCCCGCTGCGCAGGGCGGGTGCTGAGGAGGAAATGGGCGGCGCTATCTTGTATCTTGCGAGTAAGGCCGGTGGCTACAATGCTGGCTCTGTTCTTGTTACCGATGGCGGTAGACTTTGCATCTTCCCTAATACCTATTAGTCTCCAGTACCTATTAGTGTCTGAAGCGCCTATTAGTCTTTGGCACGCCGAAATCTACGAATCGTTCAGCGCAAATTGTTCAGAGAAAGGAAGAGTAACATGAAAAGTCGAGAAATAATAGAATTCTACATTACGAAAACACGAGCACTCTTTAGACTAAACTCATACAGAAAAACTCCAAACACAAAAGAAAAACATATTAATGGTCTCAAACACAACAGCAACAGACAACCAACAACAAAAATCACATGCCATACGTCGCAGTCTGATGCGACGGCATCTGCGGCGGCCCCATGAACCCTCCCGCCGAGGCCGACATATCCTGCGGACTCCGCCGCATCGCCTGGTGATACTCCTGGAACCAGGGATGCTTGAGCGCGTTCCTGGCCGAGATGCGGTTCTCCGGCCGCAGCTGCAGCAGCGAGCACAGCAGGTCGAGTCCCAAATGGTCGATCTGCGGGAGGACCGCGTGCATGTCCTGCGGCGCGTAGACGGGGAAGTTCGCGCGGTAGTTTGGAAGCTGCGAGATTCCTGGCCAGGTGTGCTCGGAGGGCGTGCCCATGAGGCGGAAGATCTTCTGCAGCTGGTCCTCGTTCGTCGTGCCGGGGAAGAGCGGGCGGCCGGTGTACATCTCCGCCATGATGCAGCCCGCCGACCACATATCGATCGAGGTCGAGTACGTCCGCGAGCCGAGCAGCACGTCCGGCGCACGGTACCAGAGCGTGACGACCTCGTTCGAGAACGTATTGACCGGGATCCCGAACGCGCGCGCAAGTCCGAAATCCCCGAGCTTGAGCTGGCCCTTGTTGCTGATCAGCAGATTCTGCGGCTTCAGATCCCGATGCAGCACCCTGTTGTCGTGGCAGAACGCGATCCCCGTCAGAAGCTGGTACATAAACGACTTGATTGTCGTGTACTCGAGCGCACCGTGATCGCCACGGCTGTCCATATACTTTTTCAGATCGCGGTCCATGTGCTCAAACACCAGGTTCAGTTTATTCTCGGTATGAATGACGTCGTGCAGCGCGACAATGTTTTCGTGCTTGAGTTCCTTCATCAGCGAGATCTCGCGGATCGCGGTCGACGGCGTGCCTTCTTCGCTGTCGAGATTGATTTCTTTCATCGCTACTAGCTCGCCTGTCGCGCGGTTCCGGCCTTTGTACACCGTCGCATAGGTTCCTTCGCCTAGCTTCTCAAGCCTGGATTAAATGTCAGTCATAAACATCAGATATAACGCCGGTGATGATGACGTTGAGTGCTATTTCATAGATACGTACTGTTGATACTGCGATGTGCTGCCGGACATTTTGCCTAGATAACCTCTGTCAGTATCTATCTGTTCCACCAACCACAATGCACCTCCATCACTTACTATTTTGCCCTTTTACTTCCAAGTCAAAACACTAGAACCAAGCAAGTCCCAAAATATAAACCAGACTGCTGTCTTAATTGCTTCCAAGTACGTCCCAGACACGAGCACTCTTCTGTTCCAAACACTCGGCAAGGTAAAACGCACAGACGGAACTCAGCACACAATAACCAAACAATTAGCAGCTCAGTTAGCTTAATTGGCTGATTTCTACTCGACGTAATGTGCGTGAGTCTATGGCTTGCGGAAGGTGGAGAAGAGGAGGCTGCATGCGCAGGTGGGAGATCTGAGCTGGCCCTTAAAGTTTTTAAGTTCAGCTATCTACGCAAAACCCTACAACAACCAGAAAAACCCTTTTGAAAAGAGAACTATTAAGGTATATACAATAGTCTTAAATACAAACGCCACATATAAATCATACTCTCATCAAAATCCATGTCCCGGGTGCGCAACACCGCCAGAGTTCACCACCATCGCAGGCGACTCTCGAAACCACGGGTGCCTGAGCGCGTCGGCCGCCGAAATCCGGTTCTCGGGCCGCAGCTGCAGAAGTAGGCATAACAGGTCCAGTGCCGGCCGCTCGATCTGCGGGAGGATCAGGTGCAGGTCTTGCGGTGGGTAGACGGGGAAGTTGGGCTTGTAGTTTGGAAGCTGCGAGATGCCTGGCCAGGTCTGCTCGGAGGGGGTGCCGAGCAGTCTGAAGATCTTTTGCAGCTCGTCTTCGTTTGTCGTGCCCGGGAACAGCGGGCGGCCGGTGTACATTTCTGCCATGATGCAGCCCGCCGACCACATATCGATCGAGGTCGAGTACGTCCGCGATCCAAGCAGCACGTCCGGCGCACGGTACCAGAGCGTAACGACCTCGTTCGAGAACGTATTGACCGGGATCCCGAACGCGCGCGCGAGTCCGAAATCCGCAAGCTTGAGCTGGCCTTTGTTGTTGATTAGTAAGTTCTGCGGCTTGAGATCGCGATGGAGTACGCGGTTCTCATGACAGAACGCAATGCCCCGCAGGAGCTGGTACATAAACGACTTGACCGTGTTCCGATCCAGCGCGCCGTGGTCGCCGCGACTGTCCATGTATTTCTTCAGATCGCGGTCCATGTATTCAAACACGAGGTTGAGCTTGTTTTCGGTGTGAATAACGTCGTAGAGCGAGACGATGTTTTCGTGCTTGAGTTCCTTCATGAGCGAGATCTCGCGGATCGCGGTCGACGGCGTGCCTTCTTCGCTGTCGAGACTGATTTCTTTGAGCGCGACTAGTTCGCCTGTGGCGCGGTTGCGGCCTTTGTAGACGGTCGCATATGTGCCTTCGCCAAGTTTCTCAAGCCTGCGGGGGAGAGATCAGAATGATGAAGATGAGATGTGGGGTGGGAGGTACATACTGTTGATACTGTGATGCGCTGCCAGACATTGTGAACTTTCTGGGACTGTTTGACGGAAGCGGCGGTTAGAATTGAGAGCACGTCGGAGAGGAAAGTGTACATACCTAGTTGTGTCTAAGATGTTGCAATATAGAGTGCTAATAAGTCTGAGAGAATCTAGCAGGCAATAGATCTGTGTATGAGATCAAAGAGAGTATTTGAAAAGATATAGCGAACGACGGAGATCAAAGATCTTCTTCTTTCTCCACACGAGCGGTACAGCAAAGCAGTCACAACCACACAAACACTGCAACTCTCGTATATCTCCTAATCGCTGATAAGCACTCGTAACTCAGCAACAGCGCTCAAAGACAGAGACAGAAAGTGAAGAGATCAGGCAGGGCGGTGGATTGCGATGAGCAGAGAGAAAAAGACGCGAGGGATTGAAACTTTAAATTGGGTTTTCCAGAAGGAATTAGAGTTTTGGAGAAGAGTCGATGAGCATGGCTTGAGTTGGTGTTTATATCAGATGTGTTCTGTGTTCTGTGTTGTATGATAATTTACTGCCGAGATAATGTTTCTAATTTAGAAAAGATGGTCTTGTAAAGAGTAGGAGATGGATCTGTGTGCTTGTTGATTTACTGTGGTGTTGGTCGAGGAGGATAGTACTGCAGTCAATTCACTAGCTAGCAACGGTGACTCAAGAAGACTAACGACAACAGATGACAGTGACAAAGAAGCGCAGTGAATGAAGAGAGTCATCTGTGCAGCAAATGCAAAAGGTCGTGAATACACCGACAACTGAACATCTTGAAGATCGTGAATATCGCGAATATCTTTTGAGAGGGCGAAGCTGAGATCAGGACAGAGCTGAATATGCCAGTCTTCTGCATGCTGCAGCTGCCATCGCCGGGTTGACTGATGTGCGTGTGTATACTGCTGCTCTAGTTTCTGCTGCTGCTCTCATGCTACTGCTTCTGCTCTACTTGATGCTGATGCTCGGAGTAGCTCCCCGGAGTAGCTTCCCGAAGTAGCAGTCCGGAGCATCTGTACTGGGCTCAGCACCTGACTTGACCGACAAGCAGTTTCTCCAGTCCTACTAAAGAGAACAAAGAAGATAAGAAGCTATTGTCATTAAACACACCCTCTGCCACATCACAGGATTGCAGACCGGAAGAGCAGAGCAGAAGCAGAAGGTAAACAATAAACTGCGGCTCAGACCAGAGCCGGAACAGGAGCAGCTGCCAGAGAGCCGCACGGGGAGTCAAGGGACCCCGCGGGGCTGTTGGCTGTGTTGAGGAGAGGAGGAGGTTCTTGATTCAATGAGAAAGCAGAGATGTTATTGTATATGTTCATGTCCATACGCTTATTGTTGTTCTTAATTGTTATTCTTATCTTCTGCTCTGCTCTTATTGTATTCCATCCATCTCCACATCACAACGTGGCGCTCCTGAGGCTGTGCATGTGACCGTGGCGGTGCGGGCAGGTGACCCCGAAACGCCGCTCGTGCGATTGGCTCCTGTCCAGCTCACCTCCACAGTCGCCTGCTCTCACCACTTCCTCCCTCTCGGCCCGGTCCTCTTCTTCCTCTTCTCTCCTCCTCCTCATCTTCCTCCATCGCATGTCCTTCCTCTGCAATGCCGCCCAGATTTAAGGACCCGTTCCTCTCCCTCGCCCCCGACCGCATCGCCTCCCTCGACGCGTCCGACGAAGAAAATCTCTTCTCCTTCTGGACCGTCTTCTCCAAGTGCGCAGAGAACCTCGAGAACGGCCGCCGCCTCGAAAACCTCTCCTGGCGCCTCTGGAACCGCGACCACCACTCCTCCGACCCCGTCCCCGACCTCTCGTCCTCCGTCGACTCCGTCGCTTCTGTCTCCGCGCAGGATCACTCCGTCCCCGCCTCCGCAAAACAACACCACAACCACTCCTCCTCCCTGCATCATCCGCGCTCCGACACCGCCGAGCGCTTCCACCGCGTCATAGAGTCCATCAGCTGCGATGACCTCGACTGGCGCAAACTGCGTGCCCTGCACAACCAAAAAACATCCACATCCACCTCCGCCTCCTCCACCACTGCCACAACATCCATCCCCCAGCCATCACTCACCCCCGTCGCTCCCGCCACCCAACCCGACTCTTCGCCCGTGAAGTACACAAATGACGGCCACGAGCTCTCCATGCGCTACTCCGACGCTGAATCCACCGACGACGACGACAACCACTCCAGAGACTCCGACGACCACTCGGACGACGACGGCCGTGTGCCCCGGCTCCACCGCGTGGCGCCATCCACAACCAGCATCGTCCGCGGCTTCTCGCCATCCGCCATCTCCGTCCACTCCGTCCGCAGCGAGCTCTACATGAGCGCGCCCCGGTCACAGCCTTCTGCTGCTGCTCTCGCTAGTGCTGGCGCGGCTCCTGCCAGTGGGTTCGCCGCCCGGGTAGCGGCCCGGTCTTCCGGCGTGCACACATCTTCCACAGCCGAGCCCGCCGACAAGAAGAAAATGTTTTTCATCGAGTCCTCTCCGAGCGAGTCTGACGGCGGCTTTGGCGAGAGCGTTTCTCCGTCTACTAACGTAGGAGCGGTCGCACCCCACAACTATAATCTCAACATCAACAACACCAACAGCAACTTATCCTCATCCCTGCGCAACTCCTTCACAGCAAAACGTCCGGCTTTGGCTCCCATGACTCCAGTGACCGGACCAGCAAAATCTGTTTCATTAGGCGGTAACGGCAGCAGCAGCAGCAGCAGCAGTAATGCTCATGCCGCTCTTGCGAAAAAGAAAGCATCGTTCAAAGAAGAGATCATTACGATTCCTTCGTCTGGTGAGATAGAAGAAGACGAGGATGACGAGGATGACGAGGACGATATGGATGATGATGATGACGACGATATTTCGGAATCAGCTATCGACGACGCAGACTCAGACTGGGACTCGGTCGAGGATGAGGGTCCGTCTAGCTTCGATGAGAGCACTTTCTTTGTGCGCGAGCGGTCACTTCCTACTGTTCCTTCTCGACGATCACTTTTGTCGTCGCTGCTCGGTGGAGATGAAGATAGACACCAGCATCTTTTGTCTACACGATCCTCGCCAGCTTTGGCAATGAGCAACACAAGGCAGCAGCAACAGCAACAACAACAACAGCAACGTCGGGTGAGTGCGCTGGCGACGGGTATCGCTGCGGCAAATACTAGTGCGATCGAGGAAGAGTCGGCAGCTACGTCGGCTAGTTCTACAGAGTCGGCGGGATCACCTAGCAGAGACAGTCGGAATAACGCGGCAGTGCCGGTTCCGACTGCAGCTGCCAGGAAAGCGTCGAACGGGGTGCCATCGAGTCATGCGACAGTGCCAGCGATGCCTACATTATCGCCTCGGAGCACGCGAAGAAATATGCTTGCGACGGAGCTTTCGGAGAGTTTGCGACGCAACTTGCTTTGGGAGCGGCAGCAAAAGACAGTTGCTACGGCAGCCGTGCTAAAGAGACGTCACACATCTCACGACGTCTCTCACCTGACTACTTTTCCGGAGCCAACGGGAAGCGCACGAGCCGGTGCAAGCGGGCGGAGAGATGCTGGACCATCGATGACTAGTCAGACCGTTACCGAGGGACAGCACGCGAGTTTCGAGGAGGAAAGGGAGTTTGATCATACGGAGTTTGGGTATCATGCTCGCGGATGGTAGCCTCACCTCAGAAAAAAGTCAGAAAAGTTTAAAAAAAGGGAGACTGTACTAGGATAGGAGGGAGCCAGCTTTTTTTATGTTTTGCATTTCTGCGTCTGCATATGGTTGTTTGTTATGTTCTTCTTCTTATTTCTTTCTTGCTGCGGGCCACAACTACCCTGTACATCTCTTTTTTCATTCTCGAGCTGCTCTTTAGTTTTCTTTATTATATTGCATTTGGGCAGTTTTCAGTTTACTTTCTATTCTAGTTTATTTTCATTTTGATTTGTTGCAGGACTTTCTACTTGTTCAGCATACAAGTAAGTCCAGAAAAGCTAGGATGTTTTTTCTTTTCATCTGAAATATCAGATATTGTTTACTCTAATCATCTAATGAACTAATCGACTGCGTTGGGCGCTTCTTCTTCTCTTCTATTTACTATTTCCATTTCCAAATATAAACGCCGGATATCACAACAAGACCCCTGATTATGTCATCAAGAGAAAATAAATTAACAATTTAGGTTTTGGGTGGGTGTGAAGAAGGGGCGGGCTTCCCACCATCGCGGGTCAAGAAGAGGCCAGAGCGGATCAGGATCGTGAACTCGAGAAGAACTGCAGAGAGAGACTATTTCTATTAAAAAAACAACAGCGCAAATGGACACGACTGATCAGAGCCATCAGGTGCTTGGAGCCGAACACGCGCCCGCGTCGTCGCGCAAAGGAGGCCGGTTTTCGTGGGTGCGCAAGCTCGTGCTGTCCACACGCTCGTCCTATCACCACAGCAGCGGCAACCAAACTCACAACAGCGGGAGCAGCAATGGAAGCAGTCCTGCGTCGTCGCAGTCGTCGCTGGCGGGCGCTGCTTCCCACGTGCGTCGAGCGAGAGCATACGACCACTACCATCGCCAGCACCAGTCGTCCTCCGCACTCAGTCCGACGCCGACGACGTCGTCCTCGCTCGCGCCGCTGTACCATTACCGCTCGCATAGCGGGAACGAGAGTCCGCGGACGAGTATCAGCACGAGCGCGTCGACGGCGACAGCGTCGGCCAGATATCTGCGATCGACAAACACGCGGCGAAACAGTTTCGAGAGCACGAATAGCAACTATGTGTTTACAAACGTATTCGAGAGCGCGGTGCAGTGGCCGGTGATGACGACGAGTAACAGCAGCAGCATCGCGACCGGCACAAGCGCATACCAGCGCCCCGCGCTCACACCGACAACTACGACGAGCAGCACCGCGCGCTCACCTTCGATCCTGTCATCGTCCTCGTCGACAAACAACACCGTGCCTTCATCACTCATGACAGTTCCGCCACTGATCCCGGCCGTGCACCATGCAGCCGGCGGCGGCGGCGGCTTTGGCCTGCAGAGCCAGCACGGGTACGACAACGCGTCAGTGGTCACGCTCGCGAGCTCGTCCAAGCGGCGGCGGAAGAGCGTGGACACGAACGCGAGCACGCGTGCGCTGGCGCCGGAGAGTTTGTTTGGCGGGAGCCGCGAGTCGCTGCCGCTTACGGTAGCTACAGGGCGCACGGGGAGTCGGCGGAGCGCGACGACGGGACGGAGTCTGAGTCGGTCGCGGTGGGCGGTGCGGTCGCCGGCGGAGAGCGACGGTGAGAGCGGGGGGGAGGAGGATGAGGACGGAAGCGAGAGCGAGCGGGCGGAGTCTGATATGGAGGACGAGGGGAGAGATGAGGGTATGGAGACGCGATCGGGGGATGGGGCGGTGAGTGGGAGTGGGGGGGATGAGGAGGGCGTTCAGTGATTGTTTATCAAGTGAATAATGAATGAATAGTATATGACAACAGCAATGACAATAACAATAACATAATAACAAGAACATAATGACAAGAAGTAAATCCCAAACCAGCAGAAGATAAACAAAGGGCAAGGGTTTGGCCCTCCCCTTGGCTCCAGCACAACATTCCTCGCGCGGCAAAGAAGCCTTCGGTGCTTCCCCATCGACTCTCCTCCAAACACAACCGCTTCCCACCGGCTTCACCACCTCCTCCAGCGCCCTCTCTTCCCTCCGCCCGCAATTCTGGACCTCGACCCGCGGCTTACGTGGACCCCGCCGACTAAAGCCAGTGCAAGAGCGAGAGCCCGAGCCCGTCCGCTGCTGCTGCCCCTCGCGCTACTGCTTTTGTGTGCGCTTCTGGCTGAGGCCGTCAGAGAGTGCCCGCTCAGGAAGAGCGCGTCCGTGATCGAACGTCGTCACCGCAAACGCGTCTTTCTCCGCTTCATCGCCGCTTCGGTCGCTATCTTGACCGCAATGGCGACAAACATGGCAAACACAAATCCCAATCACAACAACAACACGTCCACCACTTCCTCCTCGCGCTCTGCCCTGCGCCGCCTGCGCAAGCAGTCCTCTGCCTCCACCACCTCCTCCTCCTACAACTTCTCAGAGATCGAGCTCCGCACCATAGTCGATCGCATCCTCTACCCGACCTCGGTAGAGGACCCCGTCACGCGCACTCCGCTCTTCATCCTCAACTCCACCGCGCTCCCTTCCCCGCGCGATGTCTCCTACAACCTCCTCCTGCCCCATCTCCTCGAAGTCGTCGCCCGCGTAGACTACTCTATTGTTTTCTTTGCCGGCGGCGCGCGTCATCGTCCCTCGTGGGCATGGATGATCCACACTTACTCCGCGCTCGATCGCGATCTGCGCAAGCGCCTTAAGAGGCTTTATATCGTCCACGAGAACTGGTGGGTGCGGACAATCATGGAAATGGTCGCCGGCGCCGTCTCGGGAAAGTTCCGCAAGAAAGCCGTTCATGGTACTTATCTACTTTTTCCTTGTATGAGTATAAAGATCTGCATCGCTCACACCTCATCTAGTTCCGAACCTCTCAGCTCTTGGAGAGCATCTCGACATCCGCTATCTCTCGATCCCTCTTGCCGTATACATGCACGATCGCAAGCTCGAGCCCAGCATCTCGTTCGATTCACCTCACTCTGCTCTCTTTGCCCACGATCTGCCTTCAGGCGACGTCGTACCCCTTTTCTGGAAAGAATGCATCGCCCACCTTTCCGTTGAGGGTCTCTACACCGAAGGCATTTTCCGCGTTCCGCCGCGGACTGAGGAACTCGATATCCTGCGCGAAGCATTCGACAGATGCCAGCAGGTGAATTTGCATGAATACTCTCCTCACGCGGTCGCATCAGTGCTCAAGCTCTTCCTTCGCCAGCTTCCCACTCCGCCTCTTCCGCTCGAAATCAGGGAGCAGCTGCCTGACTTCCAGCCATCAAGAGAGAACACGATCCAAGCGGCGGCGATGCTACCGCTACAGACTGTTGCGCTGTTTTCTCTTTTCATTCCGTTGCTCAGAGATATTGCGCTTCACGAGCGCAGCACGCGCATGTCGGTCCTGAACCTCGCGCGCACAATCACGCCGTCGCTGATCCGCGTTTCGATCCCGGGTATGGATGATCCGTATAGCGATAGCAGTGATTCCGGATCGGTCAGTTCTGAAACTACTCTTGGACGGCCAACAAGACAGACAATTACTGATTTGGAGGACATGGCGCACGCGATCGACTACTTCATGAAGGTGTTCGAATGCCTGATCTATTACTGGGCCGAGCTGCCAGTTGTGCAGCAGGTGGCAGACGATATCCTGAACAAGGACGAAGACTATGACGATCGCAGGAGTCTCCGAACTCTGAGCCGCAAGTCGAGCTCGTCTACGCTCAGGTCGATGAGCGCGCTTCCACCGCCGTTGCCATTGCGAAAACACTCTGGAAGCGGGGCTAGTGGCACGCAGTCGCAGCAGCACCAGCACCAACAGTCGCAGCACCAGCTCCACTCGTCAAAGCCTACCCCCGGTGAGCTACTCATTTTGCAGATGCAGCAGGAGCATCAGGAGCGAATGAGGCTAGCGGAAGCGGCAGCAGCATCTGCGACTGATGACGAGCACGGAGAGAAATCTACAGAGTCAGAATACTCGCCTTCCTTGCCGTCGAGCGCGTCGAGTCTGTTTTCCGAGACATCGGAGATTAAGATTGATGACGATGCAGATAAAGATGAGATGTCTGATTCCGAGAGCGAGGAAGATGTGGAACCGTTGCCGCTGCCGCGACAGCAAGCGGTGAAGTTTTCGTACTCTGTCAAGACGTCTCGCAAGGCTGAGAAACAAATTATCACGCCGTCGCTGCGTACCGCCAAGAGTATCTCGTCGCTCAATAACGGTGGGTCTAAGGGGTCAGTTGTAGGCAAACCTGCGCCGACGTTCGAGTCGTCTACCGAGGCGGACAAACCGTACATCCCGATCCCCAACACCTCGCCGTTCCTACCGCTGTCGGCCTCGCAGCTGAATACTCCGACAAGCGCAAACGGACCGAGCGGCCGCAGCGCGTCGCTCCCTGTTTCGGCAAGCTCTCGACGGCCTGCGATTTCAGTTGTCGGTGGCTTCCGATGTATTTCCGCCGATAGCAGTCGGAAGCACGCGGAAGTGCTGCGGAGCGTGTCGCCGTATGTGACGACGCCGAGTACGCCGACGACGCTGCTGCATAAAGCGTCGTTCCCGTCGCTGAAAGAGCCAGCGCCCAACACGATGCTGCCGCCGCCACTTCCGGCGAAGATCAAGATTCCGCGGAAGAGTACGGGTGAGTCTGGAGGACTTGTTGCGCGGAAGAAAGGGAGGATTGTGGGGGAGTTGACAAAGATATTCGAGGAGCGGAGTCAGACTGCCGAGTTGCTTATTGCGATGGATAAGGAGCAGCGAGCTGCTGCTGCGGCAGGTACTTCAGTCAATGGAGAAGAGGAGGTTGCGGCTTGAATGTGGTTTATTTTGTCTATATCTTTTATTATTTCTTGTGAGGCTGATTATGATGTATATCGATGAAGGGTTTGTGAATGACCGGAAACGCGAGATGAGATTACGAGCGAAGGAGAGAGAGAGAGAGGGAGAGGGAGGGAGAGAGTTGGTTGTGAATGTTGAAACAAAGTCATTGGGATGGATGGTTATTAACTGGTGTTTTACTCTTTACTGCTTTTCATAATTTTTTATTTTCATTCATTCATATCATACACTTATTTCATTTTTGATTTGTTTTTGTATTACCCAATAGCATCATATTCAACAGAGCTGGTATGGTTTCCTATGACGTTTTATACAACGTTGTGTATATAAAGAGAGACATCTTGACGTTGTAGCTAGAGATTAGAGTAGGAAGTAAAGATAGTGAGAGAAAAATGTATTTAGAAAAAGAGAAAAGTAGGACATATATATAACTGCCTTTGTTAAAACCCCCCAAAGACAAGTCCCGAAAAAAAAATACTGCTAAAAAGATATATACGTGTACGAGAAGCGAAGAAAAGGGAAAAATATATGTGTACGGGAAAGAAAAGAAGAAGAAAAGGGAAATATAGCCAGATCCAGATCAAAGAGACGGCAGATCACTAAAACGGAGCAGGCGAGCGCGCGCGAGGCGAGAAGATGCCATAAGTGCTTCCAAGCAGCGTGCGCGTAGACGCGGTGTCGCTAGCAGATGACAAGCTATCGTCGTCGCTGTCGCTGTCAGTGTCGACGTCCGCGTCATTTGCCACGTCGTCGTCAAAGGTGAAGAAGAGGCTCTCGTCGTCGGGCGTGAGAGGGGCCGCTGCTGCTGCTGCCTGCTCCACCTGCTGCTGCAGAGGGGATGGAGCGGTCGCGAACGAATGGAGCGCGAAGGGCGGGGTGTTGAGCGGATTGAAGCGGCCGTGCATGTCAAGGTGCATTGCGACGATAGGGCGTTTTCTCTGCTCGAGCAGGAACTGGCCTGTTTCGAGGTGCGCGAACGGATCGGGGGGCGTGTACGTTTGGAATTGCATCGTGAAAGGCCTTTCGTCGGTCGCGATCAGGCGGATCGTCGGCGCGGAGGAGCGGCGCGGAGAGGGTGTCTCGGCGGCCGGGGGGTTCTGCTCAGCGGTGGTGCTAGCGCGGCGGAGATGCTCGCGCGGGAAGCGGTCGGAGTCGGACGCGGCGGGTGTCGCGGGCGATGGGGGGGTATCGGTCTCGGTCTCGGTATCGGGAGCAGCAGCAGTGTCCGCGTCAGGCATGGTAAGGTCCTGCAGTTCCTGAGATTCGGAGCTGGTGCTGTCGTCCGGGGTGGAGACGGAGGCAGAAGATCGCTCGCGGGCCTGCTTCGCGGCGAGGAAGATAGATGCGGGTGAGGGCATGGTGGGTATCTGATGAGTGCAGGTGGGGAGACAGAGGAGGTAAAGACATGGCGATGATTTATAGACAGAGGGAGACAATGAGAGAGACAGACAAAGACTAGACAGACAAAGAGAGAGAGACAAAGACAGAGAGACAAAGACAGAGCGAAGTAGACCGACGAACAACGACAGAAGAGCAGAATTCAATATTTACACCCTTCCCCAACGAGTACAAAGTCTTACAAAGTGACGCAATCCCACGTGACAGTCACCACCACACAAACCGCCCAAGGGCCTCGTTCCCTCACAGAGATAAAAGCAAGGTTTTGTGACGAGGCGGCTTCTCGCTCGTTGCTGCTGCATTTAAAAGCGGGAAAAAAGAAAAAAAAAAAAAAAAAAAAAAAAAAAAACTGGAAATGGCGACACCGGCCGGAACTGCGCTTCGTCGACTCGCCCTCACCGCATTCACCACCGCCTCCCGCAGCAGCACAATCGCATCCACTCGCGCAATTAGCACTTCTGCAGCAGCAATGTCTTCTTCCTACACCCCCCGCGCTATCGGCGCCGCCAACACGCTCGAGCACAGAATCTTCATCGAGAAGGACGGCGTCCCGATCTCGCCGTTCCATGATATCCCCTTGTACGCCAACGAGCAGCAGACGGTGCTTAACATGATTGTTGAGATTCCGCGCTGGACTAATGCTAAGCTTGAGGTGTGTACTGCTTTATTGTCTTTAATTGTGTTCTCTTTCTGTCGTTGTTGTTGCTGTTGTTGTTGTTGTGGTGCTCTGCGCGGCTGCTGACCTTCGACCCTCTTCTCTGTAGATCTCCAAGGAAGAGACCCTCAACCCCATCAAGCAGGACGTCAAGAAGGGCAAGCTCCGCTACGTCCGCAACTGCTTCCCCCACCACGGATACATCCACAACTACGGCGCCTTCCCGCAGACCTGGGAGGACCCCAACGTCAAGCACCCCGACACCCTCGAGGTCGGCGACAACGACCCGCTCGACGTCTGCGAAATCGGATGGCAGGTCTCCTACCCCGGCGAGGTCAAGCAGGTCAAGGTCCTCGGCGTCATGGCCCTCCTCGACGAGGGCGAGACCGACTGGAAGATCATCGCCATCGACGTCCGCGACCCGCTCGCACCCAAGCTCAACGACATCGAGGACGTCGAGAAGTACCTCCCCGGCCTGCTCCGCGCCACCAACGAGTGGTTCCGCATCTACAAGATGCCCGACGGAAAGCCCGAGAACCACTTCGCCTTCTCCGGCGAGTGCCGCAACAAGAAGTACGCTCTCGAGGTCATCCGCGAGACCGCCGAGGCCTGGAAGCGCCTGGTCGAGGGCAAGGTCGACGGTAAGGGCATCTCGCTCACAAACACCACCCTCGCCGACACCGCCGGCTACACCGACGCCGCCACGCTCTCCATCCCCGCGGGCGAGAACTTGCCTCCTGCGCCCATCGATTCCTCCATCGACAAGTGGTTCTTCTTGGCTGGTGCTCAGTAAGCGCTCAAATGCTCTAGTAGTGCTGTAAATTCCCCTTTTTGATATCGCTTTTTTTGAATCAGAAAATTTTGCTTTTGGATTGCAGACCGTAATCTCGTATATATTACTATAATAGAAACAATGTCACATTGTCTTGCAAAACAATTTCATACAATGAATGCTCAAAAAAGCCATTTTGACCTAAAGACGCCAAGTGCACAAAACAATCTAACAATAATCCAAACAACCAAAACAGAGGCTAATTAGCCAACCCAGCAAGCACGGCATCCAACTGCGTTTTGCTATACTTTATATACTTCTCGGTATGCTTGCTAAACTCCCCCGACTTGTACTTTTCGTAGAACCGGTTATACAACGGCGAGATGAACGCGACCTCTTTGGCGAGGTACGCGCGCAGCTCGGCGTCAGTGAACGCGTACTCTTTGAACTTGGCGACGAGTTCCTCGAAATCGGTGTTGAAGTTGCGGAATTTCTCCTTTACCGCCTCGCGGTCGCGCGACGACATCGCGCCGTTGCGGCTGCCGCCGCCGCCGCCGGTGCCGCTCCCGGACGCGGACGAGGACGTGCGGACGACGGTGACGTCCATGAGGTGCGACGCGCATACTTTCCAGCCTTCGAGGAACATATTAAGCCCGCGCTTGCGGATCTTGTCGAGTCTGTCGAAGCCGCCGCCGGCGGAGAGGAGGCCGATGAGGTCGGCGGATTGGCGCATGCCCTTTTCGAGAAAGAGCAGGTTTGAGATTATTTGCAGACCGACGCGGGTGACTTTTTTGTACTGCGTGCGCGCTTTGATTTCGATGTTGATCAGCAGGTCGTCAATCAGTTCCGAGAAGAACATTACTAAAACCTCAGTCCCCATGAACGACTTCTTGCTACTGCTTCCCGTCGGCGCAGTGCTAAACGTGCTCCTATACCCAAGCTTGACCGGCCACGACGAAGGCGAACCTAGCGGGATCATGATATTCGCCAGCGCCATATCATATTCCGCCACCCTAATAATCCACGCCGTAACCTGCTTCGTGATATCAAGCACCTTAAAATCCGGCGGCAGCTGCTGCAGCCCCGCGACCTGACTCTCGGTATGCCGCAGCATCTCCAGCAGCGCGTCCTGCGCCGTCTTGCGCAGGTCCTTGCTCGCCGTCGACTCGAGATTGAACGGCGCGGAGTCGACCGCCAGCAGGAGATCGCCTGACGCGCGGTGGATCGAGTCGACGACGTCGAACGCGAGCAGGCAGTCTGTGATTAGCGACTTGCGCACGGTCGTGTTGATCGCTTGGGTGGTTGATTGTAGCAGTTTCTCAATCTCGCGAAGGGTCGCTGAGCGAGTGGACTGTATGTCGTTGCTGTTCTTGAACACACTCCGGATGTTTTTATCTTCGCTCTACATAGTCACAAAGTCAGCACAACAAACTCACTCAAGCAACAGAAACAGAAACACTCACCACAATAGCATTAACCATCGCCTTCATAAACTCGTGAAACGGACTAGACCCCTTCTTGTAAAACCCATTCACGCGCTTAATGTCCGTCCGCACAGCAGCAGCCGACAGCATCGTCAAATGACTATTAATATACTTCCCTCTGACCTCCGAGTAAATCGGGATCGCGACCGCCTGCTCCGTCTGTCCAAAAAACTCCACCATCTCCGCCAACTTCCGCAGCGTCTCGTCCGCAATCGTCGGGTTAAACGGCGGCGGCGCGCCATCGCCCTGCGTCTGTGCAGCAGCGGGCGAGACAGCGCTCAGAGTCTTGGTGAAGCGCTCCCGGATACTTGCGACCGCTGCGATCTTGAGCTGGTTCATCTTGAGGATCACCTGCTGGCTTGATTTCAGCTTGGATCCGCTGAGTGCCTCGATTGCGGAGTCGAGCCGGCTGATTAGTTGTAGACATTCGGGGACCTCGACGCTGCCGCGGCGGATCCGGGGTTCTTCCTCTTCAAACACGGACTGGTATGATCTCAGAACTTCGAGTTCGTGGACCGTAGCGTCGACGTCTGCGGCATGTCAGTAAGTCATACACCTCAACCACACAACAACAACAACGACAACAACGACAAAACGTACGTTTCGAAATATTAGAATACGTCTGCGTTGACCCCGAAATCGGCTTGATCGCGTTCTCAATCGCGGTCGACGCACCCCCGAGACGCGTGAGACTGCCCGCGATCTGCTGCGACAGCTGATCCGCCTTCGCCAGCGCGGCCTCGATCGAATCAAAACTCGCAGTCGAGCCAAGCAGCATGTCTGTCGACTGCGCTTTTGCTAGTTGCGGCCTCGACATGGTTTCTTCTTTGCTTATTTGTGCTTGTTCTTATCGAATTTTGTGTAGGTACTGCGGACAGGCGGTCGAGCTCCCCTGGGTTGGCCGACGCGATTTACGAATCACAGTATGATCACAACGACTCACAACTCAGTCACCGGAGCCAACTTATTCCGGCGCTGCGTCCGGCGCGGTAGCCAGGCGCTAAACGGCTTAAGCTCATCGAAATCCGGAATCGAACTTCTAGAATCCCGCCTGCTCCTCTTCTCTTCTCTCCACATCTGCGCAGGACAGTGTTGCCAGAGCCAAAAGCACACCACGCTGCAGACACTCGTATCGCATAGCATCGAGAGAAGAAGCTGCGAGATAACGCAATTGATCTCGCTTGATCGTGATCTTGATTATCAGCTACGATGATTCGGGTACCGAAAACAACCCTGCGCGATTACCGCAGGACCCTGCGCTACCGTACACTTGCAGCAAACAGATATCCCGCCTACCTTAACCTCTCTACTTCTGCCGTGAGATCTGCCGAGGCGGACAAGAAAGGTATCTCTGATCTCACAGATCTGCACACTCTTTTTATCTACATCTACTAACTTCTCGTGCAGAAAAAGGACAGAAACGCAAGCTCAAGTTCTCGATCTACAAAGCAGCCGCCGCGGTCGTCGCCTCTGCATCTGCGATCGCGTCATCCTCACCCAAGATCAAAAACGATGAACCAGACCGCTCTTCGATCCTACCCAAGGCCGCGCCTACCGCTACCCCCATCACTGTAACCCTCAACGACAGCAGCAAGGGCGATGTGAAAGCTGAAGGTGAAGACGATGGCGCTACTCCGATCTCGGAGAAACTCACGCACTTCATCGACGAGTCGTACAGCGGCATCCAGGCCAAGATGGCGGATATGAGCGCCCCCGCGGCATGGGACGACATCGTCGACTGGACAACGTCGGCAATCGGTCTCCCCGGCTGGATCAACAAGATCCAATCCGCGTTCGACACCGACAAACCGGACTCTCTCGGCCACGAAATCATTGAAGACAGCCAAGACGAGCATCTCAACCCCGAAGTCGGCTGGGGCCCCGCGCATGTCCGGCTCGGGAACCAGCTCAACGAAGACGAGCGCAAGTTTTTGCACCAGCGCAAGACCTTCACCCGCCGCGCGCTGGCAAAGTACCTCGGCATCCCTGAGTCGTCGATCAACGACGCCGATATCCCTACGATCGCCGTCACGGGCTCGGGAGGCGGCTACCGCGCCATGATCGGGACAGCGGGGTACCTGCGCTCGCTGCAGAAATCGGGCCTGCTCGACTGCGTGACGTACCTGGGCGGCGTGAGCGGCTCGACGTGGTTGATGGCGCTCATGTACACGCTCGCGGACTTTAGCACGGTGTCGCTGCTCGAGCATATAAAGTCGCGCGTGGGCGTGCACATCGCGTTCTTACCCTCCGTGCTCGATCTGTGCACGAAGGCGCCGACGGATAAGTACCTGCTGCACGGGCTGATTGAGAAAGTGCACTACAACTACTCCGACGTCCGGCTCTCGGACGTGTACGGCATTCTGCTCGCGTCGCGACTGATGGTGCCCAAAGACGAAATGATCGTCGACCGCAACCACCTCAAGATCTCGAACCAGCGCACGCTCGTCGACACCGGCGCCGTGCCGCTGCCAATCTACACCGCGGTCCGCCACGAGATCGGCCTGACGGAAGGCGAGCAGTCCGCCGTCGACGACTCGTCCGAAGCCTCAGGCCAGACCAAGAAGCTCGAGGTCGAGAACGATAGCAAGCGCGAGTCGTGGTTCCAGTGGTTCGAAATCACGCCGTACGAGGTCGGATCGGAGGAGATCGGCGCGTGGATCCCGACGTGGAGCATGAGCCGGCGCTGGCAAAACGGAAGCAGCGTCGGCGCGCCGACGCCCGAGCCGAACCTGTCTTTGCTGATGGGCACGTTCGGCTCGGCGTTTTGCGCGACGCTGAGCCATTTCTACAAGGAAGTGCGGCCGGCGCTGGGCGACTTTGGCGTCACAAAGACGCTCGACAAGCTCGTGAACGAGAACGACGAGGACTTGAAGGGCGTGCATCCGATCCAGCCCGCGGGCATCCCGAACTTCTTGCTGGGATTGAAACCCTACCTGCCGAGTACCTGTCCCGAGTCGCTCTTTATCTCGAAAGAGATCGAGTTGATGGACGCCGGGATGGACAATAACCTCGCAATCTACCCTCTGCTGCGGCCCGAGCGTGAAGTCGACATGATCCTCGCGTTCGACTGCTCGGCTAATCTGTCGCAGGTGAAGTGGCTCGAGTTAACGGCCGGGTACACGAAAAAGCGGGGGATCCTGGGGTGGCCTGCGGACGCGGGCTGGCCGCTGGGGAAGAACCTTGACGAGGACCTGAAAGAGCTCGAGAAGCAGGACGAGATCAAGACGACGAAGGACGCGATCGACAAGTTCGCGTCTGGGCGCGACGCAGAGAAAGAAGCAGAGGCGAAGCCGAAGAAGCGTGGACTGTTTGATCGCAAGGGTAAGAAGAGTAAGGACGCAGAAAAGAGCAAGACAAAGAAAGAAGCAGAGACACTTGGCCCCGTCACGATCTGGACTGGCGTGACTTCAGAGAAGGAGCAGGAAAATACTCCTGAAGACCACCCGGAGACGATTGACGAGGAATACAAGCTGCGCTCGCCGGACGCGGGAATCACGCTGGTGTACTGCCCTCTGCTGCCCAACAAGAAAGTCGCGGGCGTGGACCCGGACGAGTCGCCGTACATGAGCACCTGGAACTTCATCTACAGCCCAACAGAGGTAGATAAGGTTGTCGATCTTGCGCAGACGAATTTTGCGGAGGGAGAGGAGCGCGTGAAGAGGGCTGTTCGGCTGATTTACGAGCGTAAGAAGCAGTTGCGGTTGAAGCGCGAGTCGGAAGTTAGGGATCTGTGGAAGGGGAAGATTTTGCATGGTGACAAGTGATTTTTTGATTTCTGTACTCTGTAGACATTTGAGAGACTATCGGTTTACAAACCACTTGCTCCCCGTAATCATCTGCCGGGTTGCGAGAGCGAGATTTGCATGGTGAAAAGTGATTATTTTGAATGTACTCTATAGACATTTCTGCAGGTTAGAGACTATCGCTTTACAAACCACTGATCCCCCGTAATCATCTACTGGGCCGCAAGAGCGAGATTTGCATGGTGACAAGTGATTCTTTTGATTTATGTACTCTATTTGTATTTGACAAGACTATCTATCGCTTTACAAGCCACTTGCCCCCCGTAATCATCTGCCTAGCCGCAAGAGCAACGACCGCGCCAGCGCACAACATTAGCGCAGCAAACAACCCGCACTGCCAATACTCCCCTCCACTCAACGAGATAATCGCGCCTCCGACCGGCATACAAAACAAAGCCGCGAAAGCCAGACACGCGCTGACGATCCCCAGCCTCGCGCCAGCCTCGTCCGGGGGCGAGATCTCTGCGACAAGCGGCTGCCAGACTGTGACGCCGATGCCGGAGGTTACGCCGAACAGGGCGGCGTGGGCGATGATTGCGGCGTGGGATGTGGCGGGGATCCAGAGCGCGGCGGTGAGGATCGCGGTGGCGAGGAGGGAGACGATGAAGACGTTTGTGCGGCCGAGCGAGTCGGCGAGGAAGGCGAAGCCGATGCGGCTTACGAGGCTGCCGGCGTTGAAGACGGAGGTGAGGTACATTGCGAGGGTGGAGGAGAAGCCGTTTGCTTTGGCGTTGGTGGACATGTAGTTCACGGGGATGTAGTAGCCCCAGTAGAGTAGGAAGATGCTGAGACAGAGAGTCGCGAATGTCTTGTTTTTGAACGGACGGACGTAGGTGTGCGTGAAGCGGATGGGCTGGCGGCCAGGTGGAGCGTAGCGCGAGGAAACGGTGCAGCACGCGACGACGGAGAAAAAGAGCATGAGGAAGCCGAGCGAGCGCACGCCCCAGCCGAAGCCGGCCTTGAGCTCGATCGTGCGGAAGAGGATGGGGACGACGATGCCGCCGAGGCAGGCGCCGGAGTTTGTGACGCCGAGGGCGAGCGCGCGGCGGCGGATGAACCAGGTCGAGACGGAGGCGATGCAGGGGTTGAAGACCATTGCGGCGCCGATGGAGGTGCAGAGGCCTTGCGAGAGGACGAATTGGTAGTATTGAGTGCAGATCGAGGTTGTCATGATGCCGACGACCATGAGGAAGGTGCCGGGGATCATGATTGGTTTTGCGCCAAAGATGTCGTATGCGCGGCCGACGATGACGCCGAAGAAGACGATGCAGAAGGTCTGGAGGGAGGAGATCCAGGAGATTTGTGAGGCGGAATAGGTCTTGAGCTGGTGGGATTGGTAGTATTCCTCAAACATGCCGATGACGAGGACGTAGCCAAAGGAGGCAAAGATGCCCCAGAAGGCGCCGAAGATGCACATGTAGGCTAGATTATGAGTTAAATGCACATTAAGCTATAGTTATGAGGGATAATACCTCGGAAGCCCTTGTCGGGGGGATAAAGGGCGGTGGGTAGTAGATGACTGCTATCAGCGTCTAGTATGCCATGGGGACTTTTGTCATTGTCAGGATCAGGATGGAAGTCGTCGTGGTCATCCGTCTTTTCCTGCCTGCAATTATCGATAGCGACATCTGAATTTTTAATTCCCAGCATAGTCAAAGACTGACATTATAGTCCCCACACAAGAAGCAAGCAAAGAGCAGCAAACAGACATGGCGAAGAAGAAGATGTCATACAACCGACGGAGGACTAAGTCCGGCTGGGAAGGCTGCCCCCGCGGGGAGGGCGCGGAGAAAAGGCCGGAGCGAGCCGCAGCTAACCTGGAGGAGTAAAAGTAAAGGTAAAGCGGTATAAGCTCAGGAGATATGCCAGAATCTCCCTGGTCCAGAGTAGAAGAGGAAGGAAGTGTTGTGTGTAGGCGGGATATAATTGAATACAGTCAGATATAGAGTAGAGTAGTAGAATAGTAGAGCAGCAGAGCAGAAGTGTAGTTGGAACAGAGACATCACAGGTGACGGAGGAGGTAGGGTTAGAATCTATCACGGAGGGAAGGTGAATGGTATGGACGAGGATTCTGAGTTAAGTATGTGATGAGGAAGTATGAAGTAGTAAGGCAGACAGTCATGCAGGAGGCAGCGCTATTTCTAGACAGAGCAGGAGGGAGGGTCGGAAGGGAAGGGAAGGGATGGGAAGCAGGGTTGAGAGGAGGCAACCACAGACAGAGCTAACAGAGCCAAAGCCAAAGACCGCGAAGGTCAACTGACCTCGTAACCAGACAAGCTTTCTCAGTTGTGAGTCTCAGCTGCTGTTCCTGGCGATAAATTTGCTTTGCGGATGCGTTGGGCTGCATTTACCCCGGGTTGTGGGAACCCTAAGCAGCCGTATGCAGGTTTCCCCACATATGATATGTTCTCATATATGTTCTCATAGCAGTAGCATTATAAATAGTAGTAATACTAGGCATAGACCAATAGTGAGGATGTGATATCTACATCGCTTTCATATTACAACAGCTGGAATAACCGACGACGCGCTAAGGATTTGACGAGCCTGACGAGATTAACGAGGTTGAATGGGTCCTTAATTGCTGCCCCACAGCATTGCGTAAGGTGCTGCACAACAACACACTGCGCTATGCCGGAACAGGAGCTGGGCCCTTGGAGATCGGCGTTGATAAGCTGCTGCTGCTGCTGCTGCGAAATGGTCCCTGCGTAGGAAGATTTGTGAACACACCAATAACAGAGGGAGAGGGAGAGGGAGAGGGAGGGAGCGGACCCAGGTCAGCGGTATCTGGTCAGTTGTATGTGTTGAGTTACTTATAATTACAGTCAACACTAACCGCTCTCGGCGCGTACGTGCCTGACCGAGTTTCAGTAGCTTTCAGTGGCTTCTTCCCCGGATTTATCTCTGGTTGCCGAGTAGACTTTTGTTTAGCTCGCTTGTCGTTGCACCTCTGCAGCCCCTTCGCTGCCGCAGCGGTCAGATGACTGTTTAGTGCTGTGTTTCACTCGAGTAATCATATTCATGTAATATCTAATGTCTATCTGACATGAAGAGAGAAAAGAAAAGAAAATATACAGCTACTGCTTCATCCCCGAGGTATCCATCTTCCTCCTCTTGGTAGTCCGTCGCCGTCTATTCTCCAAACTAATCACAGCCCCGATCGTTGAGCAGCAGTTTCTCTGTAGTGGTCTCTGGCTTCACCAATACTCTGTTGGACGTAGTCAGCCTCGTACTTCCACTCTTTAGTTATCTTCGGGGTATCATTTTCACAGTCTCTATCAGCAGTCTCAGTCTCAGCCTCAGCCTCAGCAGCCTCCTCCAGAATATCCTTCGCAGCCCGCTCCCGCATTATCAGCGACACCTCCTCAGTCAACCCAGCATCTGACCTCAAACAGACCTCGACCTCCTGCGCATGCACCTCGACCTCTCCCTCGCTCTTCAACACTCTCTTTATCTCCGCCGCGTCCTCCGGCACCGTAGACGTCGACGAACTCAAAAACACCGACGCTTTCGTGACTGCAAACCCAAACTGCCGGCCTATGCTCGACCTGCGAGATGTTCGCCGTAGCGCAGGATCGCAGTCATCCACCTCCAAGTCCTGTTTACGTACAACCAGGGTATTCGAGGTATCAAACAGAGGCTGCAGACCATGCCGAAACAGCGCCGCGTTGCTGCACTCTTCTGCCTTGACTGATTTACTCGCACAGATCGTATTAGCCAGCAAAGACTGGCTCTGCGCCTGCTGCGCAGCCTGCTCGGCGCGCCGAACAAAGGGCTGCACGGAGGCCTTGATGCGGTATCGCACGACAGACTGGCGAAAACTAAAGAGATTACAGCAGCTTCCGCAGCGCGCGCTGCTGTCCGACATCTTGACGCACTTGCAGACATCAACAAGGCCCGCGGCCGCGAGGTAGCATTTGTCGCCGGGTATGAGCTCAGGGTGGGATTCAAGCGAGACGGATTCGGGCGCGCAGGTAGGACACAGCTTGACGTACTGCGAGATGAGATTCTTGGGCACGCGCGTGTACCACTCGCGCAGCTGCGCCAAAGTCTTGTCGCGGCCGCCGTGGCTGGCAGCCAGATGGCAGATGGCGAGGATTCCGTAGAGCTCTTCCTGGACGGCGACGGGTTTCGATTTGTGCATGAGGTGCAGGAGCGCGTCGTGGTCGCGGAAGACGGCGAAGTTCGCGCGCGCCCAGAAGCGGAACTGAGGGGAGCCGACCTGGGAGTGCGGATCGGTGAGGGCGGCGAGCATGTCGTCGTACATCTGGCGCGGGATCAGGGATTTCTGCTTCTTGACGTCGGAGAGGGTCGCGATGTAGGCGGAGACGACGGAGGAGCACTGGGCGACGGTGGGCAGGCCGTTGAAGCCGATGAAGGCGCCGGAGGTGGCGTCGTAGAGCGCGTCGAGGGAGAAGACGGACATGGGGGAGTGAGGCGGGGAGGACAGCAGATGAGGGCAGAGTAGGCAAGAGTAAACAGAGGGATTGGGAAACGGACGGGTCTGGTTGTCAGCACCGCGAAGCCCTTAAGTTGGAGCCTGGAGCCCAGCTCGTGACAGCCACGCAGGGCGCGGCGAGGGTGTCCGAAAGCGGCAGTGCAAGCGCGCGGGAGATGAAGATGATGATGATGAAGAGTCTCGTGGCCAGAAGAGTTCGCGTGTGAAGATCTTTGCCGACGGGGTGGTTTGTTTGGTTTGTTTGGTTTGTTTACGGCAGAGGTGGGAGACGCCAGCCGGAGATAGGCGCAGAGGTGACGTCAGTAGCGAGAGTGAGAGAGTGGCTTAGGTAAGTTAGGTCCGGGCGCGGATCGTAGATGAGATGTAGAATGGTTGTAAGATATGATTGATTATAAGATAATAGTATAAGATGACAGTGTAAGAAATAGCAACAAGAATATCCACCGGAGAACAGCAGGAACAGCAACAGTCTCTTATTTTCTCTTCTCTCAGTTAACTACTCAAGCGATTTATCATCACTTCTTTCTCTTAACAAGGCCCCATTGGCTGCTGGCTCAGCGCGGCCGTGCACCGCAGCGCGTTAACCTCAGCACGCAGCCGCAGCTCTGAGCACGTGGTTAGGGCTCGGGCGTGGGCGGACCCGGCGCCAAGGCAAAATCCGGGGAAGGCCAGCTGGAGTCACAGGAGCCGGCTGTGATCAGCGCCGTGAGCAGCAAGAGTCTGCTTCTGTTCCCGGCTGTTCCACTATACGCGGTTCTAGATAGTTGTAATAGAAGTGGTGTCTATCCTAGTAGTAGTAGTAGTAGTAGTAGTAGTAGCATAACAGCAGCAACACAGATAGTATACAGTCCAGAAGAGAAAAGTCATCCTCCAATTCCAGCAGGCCTATTCTAAGCACGCGCTCCGGTCACAAGGCAGAATCCGGGGAAGCACGCGCTAGTCCTGTTCGGGATATTCACACTAGCCCCAATCCAGCCTAGTGTGCTGATGCTTGGCTTGCCCCGGACTCTTACTTTGCCGCGCTGGCCGCCGCCGCCTTCTTCAGTCTCTCGTCTGCCGCTTCCTCCTTCTTTGCCTCTTCACCTCTTCTCTTCACCTCTCCTTCTTCTCCTTCTTCCTCTTTATTCTGCAATCACAATGTCTTCTCCTGCTACTGCTGCTCCAGCTACCGCGGCTGCTCCTCCTCAGCCCCAGAAATCCGACAAGCCACGTCCGCATATCTGCACAACCTGTCTGCGCGCCTTTGCTCGCCTCGAGCATCTCAAGCGCCACGAACGCAGCCATACCAAAGAGAAACCCTTTGAATGTCCTGTTTGTGAACGATGCTTTGCTAGACGGTATGTCTTCTTCTTCTTCTTCTTCTTCTTCTTCTTCTTCTTCTTCTTCTTTCTCTTCTCCTTCTCTTCTTCTCTTCCTCCCATATTAATAATCCCTCAGCGACCTCCTCCTGCGTCATCAGCAAAAACTCCACACCGGCCTCGCTACCACTCGCACCCGCCAGCCCCGAAAAAACTCAGTCACCATCGGCACCCTCCAGCGTCAGAAGGAGAAAGCGCCGCCTCCTCGCCCCCGCGCAAACTCCTTCGCCGCTCAGCCGTCAAAGGCAATGGGCTCGCCCATCGACGTCTCGGCCTCGACAAACTCCTGGCTCGAGTGCACCTTCGGCCGCTCCGGAGCTTCGGACTCTCACCGTCTCGAACCCGCGCCCATGAACGCGGCCGTCGACTCAAAGGCCTCGCTCTTTGGCTCGCTCTTCATCAACCCCGACCTCCTTCCCTTCTCTCTCCCCGACAACGAGAGCATGGGCCTTGTTGTCGACGAGGAGTCTATCGAGTTTGACGAGGACTTTTGGCTGGGCTCCTTGCAAATCTCCTCGCCCGGCACCGCCGTCTCGGCCTCGACCTGCTCCTCTACCACAAACTACTCCGCCACCGATGACAACAACTCGCCGGCCTCTTACGACACCCCGGCTTCTGTTTCGTCGATGGACTCTACCTCTGTTAAGGAAGACGCTGGCGTCAACCTCAACTTTTCGTTCCCCTCCCCCAAGCAGCCGCAGCAGCCTGCCTCTTTGCACGCGAGCGGCGACATCATGTCTCGCTCGCACATGCAGAGCAAGGCGGATCTCGACTCTAGCCTAGACCACGACTCTGTCCCGCCCGAGACAATCCTGCAGCTCTACACGGACCAGTTCAGCGGTAACTCGAGCTGCAACACAAACTCGACGTCGAGCCTGCTGGACCAGTTTCTGCGATCGACGGAGGAGACGGTTGCGGCCGCGAACGCTATTGCGGCCGCGAACGCATCGGTCTCTGCTGGAGCGCATCCGTCGCCTACGCCGTCTGCTACTTCTACGGCGTCGTGGCAGAGTGCGTCGACGTCAGCCACAGCACCTTCAGTTACTTCGCCGGTGTCGAATGACTATGCGAGCTCGCGGCGTCAGAGCCACAAGCCGTCGACTCATTCGAGCTTGGCGAAGACGCTTACGCCGGAGATGCTGTACGGCAACACGCAGACGCACTCGCTGCTGCTGAACACGCTGTCAGCGCGATCAGTGTTTCCTCAGTCGCCTAACAAGGTTGCTGAGGCTGCTAAGGCGGCTTCGCAGCAATCATCGCAGAAGGAGCACGCAGATTACTTAGGAAGTCTTGTTCGGGACGACGAGTTTTCGGATCTGCTTTCCGCCAACCTGCTTGATGACGGTAGCGGCAACAAGGGCGAAAAGTCAATGAGACTGTCTGCCAACACGCTTGACGCTGCGACGATGGACATTGACTTTGAAGTGCCGTTTTTCACTACAATGTCGCAGCTGCAGCTGTGAGTGTTTTTTTGTGTGTTTGTGCTTAAAAGATCGGTCGTTTTTATATTTTGATTTTCTTTTGCTCTTTTGCTCTTTTGCTTTTTTGCTTATGAGGAGTCTCCGGCGTTTCTATTGTTATAATACATTTGTTGAGTTGTTGAGTGAGAGTTAGTGAGTGAGAGTTCTGAGTGGGGACAACAGGAGAGCAAGCCTTCCTGTGTGGGCGAGTGGCACTAAAAAAAACGCTGATCCACAGAAACTGACGGACACGGCACGAGAAGGGAAAAGGACAGGAAAAGTCGTGGATTGGAAAGAAAAAAGGAAGATATAATTGGTATCATTGTTTCTTTTATATTTGAATTGGTTAAAAAAGACAACCAGGCCGGTCGTTCTGGGGGGAGTAAAAAATGATGATTACCTTTTTTTGTTTAATGTGGTTTGTTTTTTCTTGCTATTTCGCTGTACTCGGAAGTATTACTCGCTAGTTTGATATTGATTTTGTTGTTGCTATTATTTACTATACATGAATGTGAATTGTATTATATCCTATATCCTACAGACACCGAAGCAGTAAGAGTAAGAAGAGAAGAGAAGTCGGTGTTTCGGGGACAAGCAGAACTCTCGACTGGGGGTTTGGGTGCCGGAAGAGCCGACGTGGCCAGAAGTGGTTCTGGGCTGCTGAAGTAGAGAGCAAGGAATAAGTAGCAATTGAGTGCATTTATTGCATTTATTGCAGTAATTGCAGACTACTCATTCATAACTGCTGATAACTGCCCGGCTGAGATTTCCCGTTAAGATAAACAATGTTATACACCAGCAATATGGTAGATATGAACTCATATGAACCTCATAACGAACCAGCTTAAGACAGCGTCTTCTCTCTTCTTAACAACCTGCTCTTATTGGCTGCGACCACGTCCGAGCTCTGCTCGAGTTGTGATCCACTTTTTTTCAGGTCTGTTCCAGGTCAGCGGCGCCGTTGGGTTTTAGTTTCGGGCGCTGATCGTTTGTGGTGAGGGCAGATTGTGAGGGAAGGTGAAGGGGAAGATGAGGATAGAAGATGTATGAAGAAAGCTTTGCTATCTGCATCTGTGTTCTTCTTATACTACTTGTTCTTGTTCTTGTTCTTGTTCTTCTTTTTCTTTTTCTTTTTCTTGCTCTCTTACGTATTCTTGTCTTATAACATTCCCTCTCCTCTCATTCCGACCCATTCCGCACGTCCCTTCCTTTATCCATCCCTTCTGGTCATAGTTGAAAGCTTGTGCAGTTCAATTCCGCGTTCATTTCACGACAAATCTTTAACGAGTAGTCATCATTAATAGCTTATGTCATACATCTTACGTAATTTATTAGACGTTTACAATTAGGTAATGTCTGACTCACCTGCTGCACGGTTATACTTTCGATAAATATATGCGACACGTCGCGACAAGAAGCAGAAGAAGGAGCAGCATTCAAGTCACCCGCCTCGTCTTCTGTCACCTCTTTGCGCTCTTCACGTCTCTCTCCTTCTTATTGACCTGCTATTGTTACTCGCTGGCGTACATCTCCTAATTGATTGCTATCGGTCGACTGACTTCTGTCTCCGACATCCAACCGCCCTTGTTACTACCTCACCTTCACCTTCCCAGAACTTCTTCTTACTCTCGTCGCGCTTCTACGCTGTTTGCTAGCGTCGGTTCTGGTCGTCTTCTGGACAGCAGTTGATTGTAGCAGACAAACGAGCAGTTTATCAGACACGTACTGTCTTGAAAAGTCAGATCTTTGGAATCAGACTGAACCAGAATCAACTTATCAGGGATCAACTACTGCTCAAGCAGATAATCAATTATCATGAATATCTTTCGTTTTCTTGGTGAGTATCATCATACACTTGTCTTTTCTTGCACAGCAGTGTTTGACCTGCTTGCGAGAAGACTGCACGCTCACAACTGAGCCTTGCTAACATAACACCCAGGTGATCTCTCTCACCTCCTTTCCATCTTCATCCTCCTCCAAAAGATGAACAAGTCACGATCATGCGCAGGTCTCTCGTTCAAAAGTCAATCTCTCTACGCAGTCGTCTACTGCACTCGCTACCTTGGTATGTCAACCCCTCACTCCCTCTCTTCATTCCACCCCTGCTAACCCTGCAGACCTCCTCTGGGGCCATCACATCTCGTTCTACAACACAGTCATGAAACTCTTCTTCATCGGCTCGTCAATCTCAATACTCTACCTCATGAAAGTCAAATTCAAGCCCACGCACGACCCCAACATCGACACCTTCAAGATCGAGTACCTCCTCGTCGGCTCCTTCCTCATGTCGCTCATCTTCACATACAAATACACCATCCCCGAAATCCTCTGGTCGTTCTCCATCTGGCTCGAGTCCGTCGCCATCTTACCCCAGCTGTTTATGCTCCAGCGCACGGGAGAGGCCGAGAGTTTGACCACGCACTACCTCTTTGCGCTCGGCGTCTACCGCGCGTTGTATATCCCGAACTGGATCTACAGATTCGTGGCCGAGGGGGTTATCGATCCCATCGCCGTCGTCGCGGGTATCATCCAGACAATCCTCTACTCGGACTTTTTCTACGTCTACTACCACAAGTAAGTCCGATCTCTGTTTCCTCCAGTATGCTTCTTGTGTCTGACTAACTTCGTCTAGGGTCATGAGAGGCAAGAAATTCGAATTGCCGCAATAAATTCATCACATGTGATTTTGGACAAAGTATATACAAAAGGAGTTTGATAAAAGATGCAGGTGTAATTCGTCAATACTAGTGTGTTGTTCAGAGGTAAAGATTATACGATAGCAAATACATACATACCGTGATCTCTAAATCCCCCTGCCTGCTCACAAGATACTCACTCTCTCTTCTCGCGCACTTCGCGCTTCAGACGCTCAGTGTACTGAATCAATCGATCTTCCTTCTCCGTCGCGGGATCAGCCACCGGCGGCGGCGCGCCCACTTTCTCTTCCCACACGTAGTTGTACACGTACCGCTTCGACTGCTTCCCTTGCTGCACCACGCCGCCGACCGCCACGAACGCGAAGAACATGTATCTGCCAGCAAACACGACGATGAGCTCAGCACAGTAGCAAGACAAAACAAACTGCTTACGATTTGACAGTCATTGGGAGAAGACGGTAGCGGCTGGAGAACTTTTGACAGGTAAACGAGACGACGCTGCCGAACAACGCACCGCGCGCTGCGCCTCTGAGGAAACCGTCGCCGGCCTGTGGGGGGTTGTGTCAGATTGGGCTGGTACTCGGGCTGTAAGAGGAGAGGTGGGGATGTTACCGTCTCTCGAAGGCGCGCGCGATGGGTGTCGTCCATCGTGGGATCTGCTAATAATTCGCCGTCCAGTAGATGCCTGTAAATACCAGTAAGACGAGTAGGATTCCAGATCAGAAGGGCATTGCTGCTGAAATCAGATATCGTGGATAAGAATCAGGAGGCGCTGCTACGTAAACCGGAATAAGGTTTGCAGCTGTACGTCGATGGCACATGTCCTCCTCAGTCGGCTTCCTCTGCTCCCCTTTGCTGCATCCTCTGCTCTCCGCCTCTTCTACTTCCTCACTTTCTCCGGTTTCTGGCGGGATTTTGTAGTCAATTGGTATTCTATTGACTGACTTTCTTATCTCTTCTTTGTTTGAGGATTTAATTGGCGTCGCAGCCCCGAGGATCACCTCCTCTACCATCAACCACCATCCGGCTGATTCCATCCATCCCCATCATCCACATCATCCACGATGAACTCCGACGCATCATTCACCCCCTCCCTCCCCGGCGAACTCAAAGTCGACAGACTCGAGTCCCTCTCCCCGGACAAGCAGCACGTCTACCTCTTCACCTGGCTCTCGGATCTCAACCGCTTCCTCTCCGCGCAGGACTCGGACGGCGCGACCGCGCACCAGATGTTTGTCAAGAACGAGCTCGGCAAGCTCACGCCTTTTTCGTCGTCGATTCTCACGAGGCCGATCAGGATGCTGGTTGGACGGTGTTATGTCGAGATTTATACAAAGGGCGATCGGAAGACTTTGTATGATGTCTTGAATGATCTGCTTAACGCGCTCAACGCCGGAAAAGCGGATAAAAATATTGACTCAAAGTTGTATGTTTGCTCTTTATTCTTGTACTTCTCTTTTTTAATAAGAGGTGGACTGACTCTCGTTATAGTTTCCTGGTTCATGTTATTGGTGACGTATTTGGCTGCGCCGGAGACAGCGTGCGTATACGTCCTTCGATTCAAGATCTGCTTCTCTTCGAAACTCGACTGACGTTAGTATAGGTTATGTCAATGGCCGCCCATGGAGTCCTTTCGCTCATGCGTTTAATCAAAGCGTCATCAAATGTACGTAGCCAATCCAATTTCTACTTTTTGTATACCTACTTCGCTCACCTTCATCTACTGGCAGAACGCAGGATACAGAACCGCAATCTTCAGATCACTCTCGCAAATCTTCAGTCTCTGCGGATCGTTCATTGAGGAAAATCTAGGACGCGATATGTGGAAGCAGGCACGCTATGGCACGCAGGATAAGTCCTCTCTCGTGCGTGCTGCTGCGCTTGATGTGAGTTCATTCCTACTTGATTTCATAAGAATAATAGGAATAGTGGTGCTAACAACAACAACAGTGTCTTCGAGAAATGTTCAAAACCGTGCCGTACTTCAACAACGCCTCGGATCTAGACCACCTCCGCTCGATCGTCGTCAAAGCGCTCGACACCCCACAATCCACAGTCCGCAAGTCGGCCTCGCAGTGCTGGGCCTCGGCCATCATCGTCGCCACAACCGTCACCACATCCGTGGTCGAGGTGCCGGTTAAGAAATCCAAGAAACCGCCGCCACCGCCGAACCCGGACGCCGAAGAAGGATCGAACGTTACGGTCGCGCCGCCGCAGCAGCCGCCGCAGACGGTCAAAAAAGTTGTGCAGAACGTGACGATTTCGTTTGAGGATGGGCTCAAGATCCTTTCAAACGCCTACACCAAATCCGGCAGTCTCAGTCCGCGTGTGAAAGCAGGGATTATCGAGACTTACACCGAACTCTTCATGCTCAGCGGCTCGGCCGACGTCGAGAAACATTACCTCTCAATCACCAAGAACTTGCTCGACGACATTCTCTCCCATCCAAACGTGATTGGCAACCGCAACCGCAAGCTGCTGGCGAGAAGACAGGTCGTGTTTCTCCTGAACGAGGTCATTGGCCAGCAACTTCTCGGCGAACCGGGCCGTCTGCACTCGGCGACAATTCTCGTCAACGAGTTTTTGAAAAACTATCCCCGCGTCATCAAGGACCGCTACGAGCCGTCCAAGTACGCGCTCACCGGAGCCGTGCTCGCGCTCAAGTACTTGATCGAGACCTTGGGCTCAGCCATCATCGCCGACCAGAAGCCGATCCGAGACGCGCTCCTGCTCGTGCTGCAGCATCCAAACTACACCGTCCAGATGTCCGCCTGCTCCTGCATCCGCGCCTTTCTTCTTCACGTCCCCGCCCTCCTCGTCCCGACCGCGGCCTCGCTCATGAACAGTCTCAACCGCGACCTCGCGGTCCTCAAGAGCAGGCGCGTGTCCTGGGAAGTCGCGGGCCGGTGCAACGGCTACGCCAGCGGTCTCGCGACCGTGATTTCGGTCGCCAGTCTGCGCCCGCAGTTTGCCTCGCTCGATCTTGCCTCGCGCATCTTCACGCTCGCCACGGGCCTTTTGAAAGCCAGCGGCGACGTCGACGTGCTGGTGTCGACGGCGCATATCCAGGTCGCGTGGATGCTGATGTCGGGGTTGATGTCGCTTGGACCTACGTTTGTCAAGTTGCATCTGAGTCAGCTGCTGTTGCTTTGGAAGAGCGCGCTGCCAAAGCCGCTGTCTAAGGATGCGGTGACGGACAAGAACGTGCTCGAGTACAGTTTCCTTACCTATGTTCGGGAATGCGCGCTCTCGTCGATTCTCGCGTTCTTGCGCTTCAACAAGCGGTTGATTACAAGCGATGTGGCGAAGCGGATCATCTCGCTCATGCAAAACACTACCGCCTATCTGAACCTCCTGCTGTCAAAGAAGATAATCGACGACCAGTCAATGCGGCTGCACGCCTCCCTCACGCTCGTCGACTACGAGATGATGGTCCGCAGACGCGTGCTACAGTGCTACACCACGCTCATCGAAATGCGCCACGGCGACAGCTTACAAGCCGAAATCATCACCACCGCCGTCTCCTTATTCGCCGAGCCGGACGCGTACATCTCGCCCTTGAGCACGACCATCGCCGCCAACGCCGGCGCGTTCGAGTCGGTGTGGGAGGTAGCCGACAACTATGCCTACGGGGTCACGAGCATGATTCAAAACTTCAATCTCGCGAAATTCGGATTCGAGAGTCCGAACGACGACCGCGAAATGATCTCCAGGTCGTGGCTCACCACCGAGTCCTTTGGCTCCTCCGTCGAGCGAATGCTAAACGAGCCGACGATCGGCGCCGTCGAACATGACTTTGTCGCCATCTTCGGTCAGTCCGAGTCTGAATCCGGGCTGGTGCCGTGGCAGGTCCTTCCCAAGTCTTCGCACACGGCGGTCGTCGATCTCGCGATCGAGCTCTTCGTGCTCCTGCTGCCGATGCAGACCGAGAAGATCCAGCAAAGTATACTCGAGCAAGTCGCGTCTTTTATGGGCGCTTCCACGCTACAAAAAGACCCCGGCCGTCGCGCGGCCATCACCGCCAACGTCGCCATGGCGTTATCAGGCACGCTCAAGCTAGTCGCGTCTGCAAAACACTCGAGCCGTCTCAGATTGACCGACGAAGCGGTCCTGAACATCATGCAGGAGCTGCTAAAGTCGATCGCGGTCAAAGAAGACGCGTTCGTGCGCATGATTGCCGCCGACGCCATCGGCAGGCTGTGCGCGATCGCCGGCCCGAACTTTACGGGATATCAGGTCAAGCAGTCGGTCGAGGAGATCGTGCACAACCGCGACCCGCACGCGCGCGCGGGTCTCGCGCTGTCGTTTGGCAGTATCAATAGCCATGTCGGTGGTATGGCGGCGGGAACTCACCTCAAAACGATCGCGGGGATTCTGATGTCGCTCTGCAACGATCCCCATCCGGTGGTTCATTTCTGGGCCCTGAAAGCGCTCGCGAGCACGATGGAGTCAGCCGGTCTTAGCTTTTCGGGCTTTTCGTCAAGCGTGATTGGTATGCTTTGCACGCTGTACTTGTCTGACACGCATAACGGCGAGTGCACGTCTGTGATTTCGTCAAACCTCGAAGCCGACTTCTCGACCGTGCGCGTGATTGCTCACTGCATCGATGCGTTTATCGGCGTTCTCGGCCCGGATTTACAGGACATGTCCAAGAATCGCGAGCTAGTCTCTTTGCTCGTGCAAGAGATCTCTCTCGAGAGCGATCCGTTCGCGGTCGTCGAGTCGCTAAAGTGCTACCAGCACGCCATCCTCTTTGCCCCGCAGTACTTTGACCGCCGCTCGTTCTGCCTCAGTCTGACAAAGTACATCAACTCGCCGATCAAAGACCTCCGCGACGCCGCGATCGACGGATACTACCAACTTGCGCGCAACGACGTCAACAGCGTGTTTGCCAGCACCGGCCGCGCGCTCGAAGGCCACATCTGGCTCGCGTTCGACATGACGCCCTGGCACGAAGGCGTCAAGAGTATAATCCTCACCTGGCTTTCGCAGACCGGTGTCTCGGAGGCGCGGCACTGGGTCGCGAGATGCCAGGCCGTGCTCGTGAAGCTCGTCGCGAGAAGAAAGAAGCAGCCCTTGCTGCGTGCGAGCACGATCGCGCAGATCCAGGCGGCAGAGCCTGATCTCAAGGATGAGGAGGTAGCCGGGTTCGCTGCGGCGGCTGACGACGGCGGCGAGAAGCAGACGACCACAAAAGCCAACGGCGGCGAGCCTTTGAAATGGCAGACGCGCGTGTTTGCGCTCAAGTGCCTTAAAGAGATGTTGGCGATGAACAAACCCACGCTGCAGAACCTGGTGCCTAAAGTAGGCGACATCATCCGCGCCGCGTTCGCAGCCTCGACCTCTAACGTTCTCGAGATGCGTCTCGTCGGCGTAAGTTTGCTCGACGACGTTCTTCTCGCGTTTGGCAAGATGCCGGATCCGGAGTTTGACGACGTGCCGCTTCTGGACCAGTTCCAGGCGCAGATCGCGTCGGCGCTGACGCCGGCGTTTGCGAGCGATTCGTCGCCTGAGTTGGCGGCTGAGGCGATTAATGTCTGTGCGGATTTCATTGCCAGCGGGATTGTCACTGATGTTGCGCATATGGGGAGGGTGTTGAAGTTGCTTATTTCGGCACTTGATAGCTGTACTGGTGTGTATTCCTATTATCTTTCTTTCTGGAGTAAGTAGCTGTTCTAACATTTATTCTCTCTAGCACAAGGTGATGAGATTACGGTAGGAGAGTTGAAGAGTCTGAGTTCAAACTCTACAGTCATGCTGCGACTCGCTATTCTATCCGCCTGGGCAGAACTTCAAATCGCGTCGGCCAACCACGCCTACCTGATCGAAGTCACAAAGCCACACATCACCAAACTCGCGCCGCTCTGGCTCGGCGCGCTGAAAGAGTTTGCGCAGCTCCGATTCGAGCCCGAGTCCGACAACGAGACGACGTCGCTGTCTAACTCTGTCGGCACGAAAGATAGCGTGCTGCTGTTTTACGAGCAGTCGTGGCTCAAGATCGTAGAGGCGATCGCGACCGTGATTGATCAGGAGCCGCAGATGATGATTGCCGCTCTCGAAGGCCACAGCGGGAACGGGACGAGTGCGCCGGCGAAGCAGGAGAGCGACGGGTCCTCGTTTTTCTTTGTCTTGTTTGGAATCTGCTTCGAAGCGCTCGTCAAGGCTCCGAACGGCGACGTGCTAGCCTCGAAGCAGGATATGCCGCGAATCCTACGTGCGTTGCAGAAAGTCATGCGTCCGGACGTTTGCGGATCGTCGATTTACCAGCCGCGGGTGTTTGTCGAGATTGTCGATCTTTTTGACCGGATTGCGCTCACAGAAGGGTATGACTGTCAAGAGCCGCTGATCGGGGTGCTGCGCAGTATGTGCATCCATCATCCGGCTACGAAGCGGGAGTATGAGGTCGATATCGATGGAAATGATACGATGAGCGATGGAACTGATCAGATGTTTGATCTGCTCCGGGCGGTTATCTCTATCCTTGCGCAGATCCATCCCGCGATCTCTGAATCTGGTGACTGTATGTCTTCTTTATGTTTTTCCTTGTTGTTACAAGTCGCTAACAGTTTTGAATAGTTGCGAGACCGTTGACGGATGACGCGGTGAATGTTACGCGTGTAGCGATGGACGCCGCAAAGGACATGGTTGAGGCTTTCTCGTTTGACGTTCGGATCGATTTATATGCCACATATCTGCATATGGTCGGATGCTTGATTGAAGCGCCCGAATGCCAGGAAACGGCAGTGCCGGCGATCCTGCCTAGTCTGAAGCAGATGCTTCGCAACGTGGTCAAGTCGACGCATGAGGCCGACCACGATGCCTACGGGCAGATTGTGCAGGAGACGCGGAGTTTCATTGCGCTGTTTACGACGGTGCTCGATCGCTACAGCGATTCGCATGATAGCACCAGTCTGCTGATCCGCAAGAACTGCCTGCTGGCGTTGGTAGTCGTAATCACCTCGACCGAGTCGATCTTGGCTGCGAACGACCCGCTGATTGAGGAATGCTGCACGGTAGTGATCGACTCGTTCAACGACTCCGAGCTCGCGCCGATCGCGGCGCAGTGTGCGCGCTCGCTGCTGCTGTCGTCTAGCCGGAGCTCGTTCGCGCAGATCCTCGGCCGCAAACTGCTACCGCAGCTCGTCGCGCTCGCGGCCGGAACCGACGGCGCCGGCGCGGGAGGCGATAGCGAGATGGCGGGCGTGATTGGCGACGTGCTGGTCGCGTTCATCAAGAGTCTGCACGACGAGCGCGTGGCGCCCGCAATGGCGGTGTGTATCCCTGTCATTCTGTACAGCGTGCAGGACGAGCGGCAGAGCGGGGCGCAGCGGAAGCAGCTTGTGGAGTTGGCGAATACGGACGGGCTGTCGTTTAAGTCTGTTGTGTCGTCGCTGACTGCTGCGCAGCGGATGAAGATGGAGAGGTTGCTGCGCGCGCCGGCGGAGGAGGATGAGGAGAGTGGAGAGGCTGATGCGCATAGTGCGCCGACGATTCAGTTGAAGATGAACTTTGGCTTTTAGGAGAAAAGTGAGGTCGGTTATAGAGGAGGAGTACTTGTAATTAGAATGAAGTGTTTATGAATAGAGTGAAATTGGAGGGTTTCCCGACACATGGCGATAATATACAGATTATATGACACTTAAATAACCAATACCAAATACAGAATAGAACTACACTACTGCTCATCCTCCGTCTTTGTCTTTTTCCGCTCCTCTTTATCATCAGCGACCTCGAACGAGACTTTCTTTGCCCCACCGCTAGCTGATCCCGAGGACGACGACGACGCGGCAGCTTCCTCCGCCGGCCGTTTGCGCTTGACCAAGCCAGAGATATCCTGTGCGCCGGCAAAGGCTTCGGCAAGGCGCGCCTTGATGGTGTCTGCGTTTCCGCCTAGGATGTCTGCTATTGGGGTAGCGGCTGCTGCTGTGGTTGCCGGGTCTGGTGCGAATGTTAGGTCTTGCAGCTATAGAGCCGGTGGTTAGCATGTCTTTGCGGAGAGTGCAAGTTTTGCAGAAGGAAGTACGCACTCTAGTCTCGAGATCGGTCAAAATACCAGACTCCTCCGCGCCGCCAGCGTCCGCGGCCCGTTTCTTGACGCTATCGATTGCCTTCTGCACGAGCTCGGCCGCTTTCTGCCGCGGGTTCTCGATATCGGTGTTATACTCTGTCGCGAGCGAGAGCTTGAAGTAGGCTTCGGAGACAAAAGTTGATTCGAATGGATACAGCGCGAGTTTGAGATCCAGCGAGGATTGCAGGTCGCGGGATGCTTGGATGAAGTTTTCTGAGGCAGTTGTGTTAGCGATAGGTTATCTATTGAGAAATGGGGAGGAGGGACGAGGTACCTGATTCAAGGGAGATTTCACCGAGGATATCAAAGATATCTGCAATCTTCTTTTTGATATCCGCCACCGCTTCGTCGCCGTCCGCGAGCTGTTTAACCTGCTTCTCGTAAATCGTTCGCGCGAGATCAAGTACATCCCACGCCGTCTCGAAATCATTCTCGGCCTCCTCTTCTTCCTCCTCGTCCTCGTCCTCGCTATCCTCATCCTCCGCATCCCCGGTGAACTGAAACAGCCCGTTCATCTTTGCGGATGGCTCGAGTTCAGGACTAGCCGCCTTCACCGACTTCTTCGAAAGAAGATCATTCTCCGGCTCCGCAGCAGCAGGCTTGGTACCCCCCAGCACGTCCGACGACGAGATCGCGACCTGGAACAGCGCGCGTCCGTAGAGAAAAAGAAGATTTGGATCGTCCTTGCCGTTCTCTTTGACGTATTCCTCGCACGCTTTCGCAAAGTTCTCTGTCGCCTCGTCGTATTTCTTCAGCCCGTAGGCCCGCGAGCCGGTCGCGACTAACCGCTCGATGTCGGGCTTTCCGCCGTCGACGAGTTTTTCCTTGCCTTTCGAGACAGTCTGTGGAGTATCAGCCATGCTGTCTGTTCCTATCAATCGTGTGGATAACAAAAAACCCAGAGATGATCTGGGTAATAGAGTAGTATATAGAGCAGGTAAACAAATACAAATCCTCTGTACAGGCGCACGCGAGGACCTAAATGCTTTAAAGCTGCGCGCGGTTTCGCGTTTATGCCACAATCGGCCGAGTGCGGAGTGCGGCGCGTCGGGCGCGCGTTGGGTTTCCTTTCGAGGGGCTCGTTGACTCTGCGCTCAGACAAAGACGCGTCGGGGTTGTGAAGGTCTTGTTGCTCGCTCTGGTATACACACACACACACACACACACACACACACATATACACATATATATGCATTAACATATTCCAGAGTCTCGTTACATCGCAGCTACTCAGCACCTCGAGCTCCATCATGCCCGTCCAGTCCCTGCACTCCTTCGCGTCGCTGAACTCGTTCAAGAAACCAGCAGCAAAACGCACCTCCTCCTCCACATCCTCGCACTCCTCAATCCGCTCGCCCTCACCAAGCCTAATCCCCGCCCTTCCGATCGAACTCCAACCGTCGCAGTTCAGACCGGTCGCGTTCCGCATCCTGTCGAAGAAGCACAGTCTAAACATCCAGACCTCGGGCCTCGAATATCTCGCAGACTATGTCGGCCGCAAGTACGGCCGCGACTGGCGAACGAAATGCGAGCCGCTGCTGAACGATATCGGACGCCGGTGGAAAGAGCAGGATAAAGGCCAGTTCATCACTGCCGAGATCTTACCGCATGTGCTGCAGGAGATCGAGCTGCGCAATGCCTCCTTTGTCGGCGGAGGTGGTGGATCGGGGCCGAACTCGGGACTCAACTCGCCGATCGGAGAGATGGAGATGGACCCGTTGATGAACTTCAGTCCACAGGAGTTCTTCCATGTCTGGGACGCGTTCGAACAACCACGGTGGTACTATAATCGGATTCGAAAACATTTTGAAAAGTACCCTTTCTCCTGCTCTACATGTTCACCACAACACGCAAGAATATACTAACACACTCTCACCCAGGGGCTCTCCGCCGTCTATGTTCCCATCCACAAAGCACCTAGTAAACACCCTGAACGCGCGTTACTACCAGCTCTACCACAAACTTCTTCGCAACGAAGAATTCCAGGCTCCGTCGTTCCACTCGTCTAAAGCACTAGATTGGCGCGCGGTCACCATCATCAAGAATCTTCTGGGCCGGCATGGACAGGCGTTCTGTGTTCTTGGCTTGCTGATTAAGGGCAGTAACGGGAATTGGTGGGCAGAGGATCCTAGTGGGCGCTTGGAGTTGGAGCTTAACAACGCGGTATGTGTCTCTCTCGCAGCAAAAGCTGTATTGTTCTAACTCGATGTGATCTAGGAGTTTGGCGATGGCTACTTCGTGCCAGGATGCATACTCCTCTTCGACGGAGTGTACACCCGCACCGAGAAACTCCGAGTAAAATCAATCCGCCACCCGCCAGCCGAGACGCGCGAGGTATCGCGCGAAGCCTACGGCTACCTCGACTTCATGGGCGTCGGCAACGTCGGCTCGACTCCCGACGGCAGATTCGACAAAGCGATCGAGGAGAAGATGGTTGCGGAGGAAAAACGCAAGGGCAAACGAGGCAAGATTGTCGTGCTTGGCGGGGAGATGCATTTGGATGACGCAAAGACGTTCGAGGCGCTCGCGAGGGTGTTTGCGATTCTCGAGGAAGCGCCGCCGATGGCTGTTGTTTTGTGTGGATCGTTTCTTTCGATTCCGTTTTATAACAACGGCGTGTCGTCCACCTATAAAGGTAACAGCTGCTTCTCCCATTCATTTGCAATCTAGAGCTAACATCAAATTCCAGACAACTTTGACCAACTCGCCCAACTACTATCCAAATACCCAACCCTCGCCAAAACCTCCACCTTCATCTTCGTCCCCGGCAATAACGACCCATGGGGTAGCACCGCCTCCGCCGGCGGCGCGATGCTCTGGCCGCAGCGCGGCGTGCCCGAGATCTTCAGCAGCCAAGTCCGCCGCGTGCTGCGCAAATCTGTCTGGACGTCGAATCCGTGCCGGATCTGCTACTATTCGCAGGAGATTGTGATTTGTCGCGATGATCTCGCGAGTCGGTTGCGGAGAAATAATGTTGGCGCGCAGAGGGGGAAGCCGGCGGCGGATGCTGCTGTTGCGTCTGTTGTTGATTTAGAGGAGATGGAGGGGAGCCAGGCGGCGAACATGGACGTCGACGTCGTTGAGGATACCCAGCAAGACACATTTGAAATGTCTCAGCCAGAAGAGGACCCGTTTATGACCCAGGCCACGCAGGACAACAACAACAACAACAACAACAACAACAACAACGACGACATCAACAACAACAATCTGAAATCCGAATCAGACGAGCAGATCGAGGCAGAGAAGATGATCCGCACGGTGCTCAACCAGGGACATATCTCGCCGTGGCCTAATTATCTCAGACCTACCATCACCGAATACGACCATGCGCTATCGCTCAATCCTCTTCCCACTTCGGTATGCTAACTATCTTCCCATCACTCTCTTTATATATCATTCTAACTTATCTTCCAGCTCATCGTCTGCGACTCCTCATCCCAAATCTACACATACACATATCAAGACTGCCACGCAATGAACCCATCCACCTTCATCTCGAAAACCAGACCGCACGAAGTCTCTTGGATCGAATACAGCACCGCAAACCGCAAGAGCCAAGTGAACACGACTACATACTAATCTTTCTTCTGTGGATTTTGTTTGAGACAACTTGATGATTGGCGCATGGGTCTTCCTTCCTTTGAATTTACGTTGTGTTTCCGATTCTGTGTATGATAGCTTTTTCAACATTCTCTGGCATATTATAGATAAATTAGTTTTATTTATTTACACAAAGTCCAAAAGTCCCCGCAAACGCCAACACCCATCCCAAACTATCTTAACCCCGCTCACTTTGCACCAAACCCCCTCCTAGAAAACTGCAACGACTGCCTCTTCAAATTCATAGTCTTAATCAACGGCACCAAAACCTCGTCCGCCCTCTCCTTCGACCACCCGATCGCGCTCATAAGGTATTCTCGAATCCGATCCAGATCAGGCGTGCCCCACACAAACTGGGTATCGTCGCGGTCGACGGTCGGCTTAAGATATGCCTCGTTGACAGCTTTTTCGGGAAACACCGGGTTCAGAAACAATTTCTTGCTCTTCTTTTTAAATTTCTTGCGGAACGGGGTCGATACGTCCGCGCTCGTGTCGCCGCGTTGGATGCTATCGTACCAGGCCTTGAAATCCTCAAGCGAGTGATCGGATTCGAAATCGCGCAGGAGCTGAACGGCGGTCACCGGGCCCACGCCGGGGATTCCAGGCGTGTAGTCGCTCCCGAGCAGGTGCGCGAGCTCGATCAGGCGCCGCTGGTCCAGGTCCAACTCTTTTTGCACGTCGCTACTCAGGTAGCACTCGACGAATTTTGACTGGTTGAACATGTTTTTGTACACTTTTGACGCGCCGAACAGAAAGATATCAGAGTCATCGGTGATAACCCCATCCACCAACCCGAGTCTCAACAGCTCCGCACATTGCGCCTCAGCCTCCATAGGCGCGGTGATATACGGAATCCCAAACCGTGCAAGTAATTCCTGACACTCCTGCACCATCACGTTCGTGACCGTATCTGCGTCCCGTCGATCGTGGCGCTGCTGGTTCCGGAGCTCCTGGATCTCGCGCTCGTATTCGACTCGTCGGGAGTGAGGATTGATTTCGGACGCAAACCGCGCGTGCTCTTGTACTTCGTGAACAATGTTTTTGACCAGTTCTGCGTCTTCTTCTTCGTCAAAGTCGATGTTGGCTTCCTCATCTTCCTCTCCGCCGTTGTCTTCCTCGGAATTCGCCGGACTAGACGGTACCTCCCAGTCTGGTGACGCAGCACGCGCAGTCGCCGGGACATCTGAAGTTCCCGCGGTCGTTGGCAGGTTTAAAGCTTCGGTTGCTTCAGCAGCGACAGAAGTCGCGACTGGAACATCCTCCCAATCGGGGGAAGACTCGCGTTCGTCTTCCTCTTCAGCTGCTGCAGATGTCTCAGCAGCTTTGGCATCGGACTCAGGTGTTGGCTCTTCTTTCTTGGTCTGCAGCTCCTTCTCATCGTCGGACAAAACTACGAATTTTTCAACCTCGGTATTCTTAGCGATATCTGCATCTTTGACATCACTCTTGAGGTCCTCATCATCGCTCAGTACGTGCACAGTAGGCTGAAGATCCTCCTCAATCTTAATAACATGCGCATCCATCTCCAGAGCCTTCTCAGGCGTTCGCATTTCCTCCGTCATAACCCGCTTCGGCTCCGGTACCACTTCAGGCTCTGCAACTTCGCCATTAGCGCGCTCTTCACCATCCGTCACGGCATCCCTATTTCTCTTCCGATTGAAAATCGAGTTTTTCATGCTAAACCGCGAAGAGCTGAATCTGACCTTCGGCACAGTCCGTTCCTGCTCAACTTCCTTGGCGTCTTGCGCAGGTTCGTCTGCAGCAGGCTCAGGCTCGGGTTCGGACGCCGGGAGTTTAGGTAGATTTTTGATGATATCATCTAACTCCATATCTCCAGTGTCGAACAAAAACGGGCCAGCGGTTACTGCTTCACTCTCTTTCTCTTGCTCTTGTTCATCATCAGACGAAGAGGCACTGTGCATCTCAACCTCGATCTGAGGCGTGCTCTCCTTCTTTTCCGATTCAAGAGACATCGCAATAGCAGCCTGTAGCTCGCTATCAGCATCGCCTGCGTCCAAATCCAAAACAAAGTCCTCGTCTTCCTCATTGTCCGACAAAAACAGTGGATTGCCGGTTTCATCAGATCGGACCTCTTCAGATTCTTGCGCATTTCCGTAGATTCCCGGTAAAATGAAATTACCGCGCGTCAACTGATCAGGTCGCGGTAAAGAAGTCTTATAAGCAGGCTGCAACGGGACGTCTTCCCAATCGTCGTCATCATCCTCATCATCGGCACTGCCGTCCTCCGCTTCATCAATTCGGATAGGCTGCGACGCAGAAGCATCTTCTAAAGCAAGAGTCCACCCGTTCTCGTTCTTTTTCAAGACATACTCCTTATCCCGCTCGCCTGCGACCCGCATCGACAAGTCCTCGGCCATACCATTGAGATTAAACAGTTTCTGCGTGAGCATATTCCGCTCCTTCACCCGCGCAATCTGGAATTTCGAAAACTCCAACCGGTCAGGGAAAATCTGATCGAGCTGCTCTTTCGAGTACCCCATACGCAGTCGCGATCTCAGTCTCGCGGTGTTTAGAAGCTGGTACTGGACCGTCATCGGCAGGGCCGCAAACTCAGCGGACTGGAAGTCAATATTTGTGGTATCGTAGAGCCCGACGTCGTCAGCGTCTTTATATTCCTCCGCGTACTTTGCCAGCTCGTCCTCGGTCATCATCCGCGGATCGTCTTTCGAGAAGGCCATTTCCTGCTCGGGCAAGTGATACGGATCCTGCCGTCTGAATTTCTTTGGACTAGCTTTCGCGGCCGCGTCGCGTCGTTTCTTCCGCTCGGCGTCGGTCATGTTGAGTTCGTCAAAGTACACCACTTTCTGGCCGTCGACCTCGGTTTCTTTCCTCGTGCTACTTCCGCCGCTGACTTCTTCCTCGGCCAATCTCTGCATTTGGAGAGATAGAAGTTTGTTTGCGGTTCGCGAGGCATCTTCCTCTCGTCCTTGGCGTCTTTGCTTACGTCCAGCCTAAGTAAAAGTCAGCACTTGCGCAGATCATCTCTTTCAAATATATCGATCGTCACTCACGATAGTCTGCTTCTTAATCATCGGCGCATCGCCATCAAACACAAAGACCGGCAAGATGCCGTAGAATATCAATTTACATATCCTCCTGAAGAAGCCAACGATATGTGCGTTCGGCAGAGCGTTGCCTTCTTTATCGCGCACGGCTTTGAGGAAGTGGTAGATCCAGATCGAGGCGTCGACGGCTAATCGCTTGCCGTGGAGGGACTCGAGTTTGACGGGACGGGCGACAGGTCCGAGGATTGTCCAGAGGCCGTGAACACCCATTGCGCCTTGTCTGCAGAGAGACTATTGCAGTAGTAGATTGCTTTCAGTGCTTATGAGTAGATTGGATAATGAAGATGAAGACGATGATGGTGATGTGCGATTGAAGACATAAAATTGAGAGTTGGGAGAAAGGCAGTCAAGCCACAGCCGACGCGACGATCCGGCGGTGCACTGTGGCGGTGTCCTTTGCTACGCGTGTCGTCATCGTCGCCTTCCTCTCCGCTGCAAAAACATAAACAACCAGTCGCAATGTGGCCATTCAAGGTATTCATCCTCTTCTTTCCCTCTATCTCGACCTGCAACATGCTAATCACTCTTCCCAGCGCCGGTCCCCCTCGCCTTCGTCTTACGAAAAAATCCTGGACACGCTCGCGTCCAAGATCCGCAAGTCCGAGTCAAAGATCCACTCCCTCCGCCTCTCGCAGCGCAGACTCGTCGGCCTTCTCACCTTGTATTCGCTGCTGCTCTACTTGGCTTTTCTTGTCTATGTTGCGCTGTCGAACCGGTATCGTGAGCCATGGATGGTGTTCCATGCGCTTGCTGCGCCGGTCTTGTGAGTTTACTCCTAGCTCTTTGATGTCATCATCGATCTCTTACTGATTTTGTTATCCCTTTCTAGAATATGGCTAACACGCCGTCTAATCACTGCCGTCTACACGCGCCTGCTCAAACGTGAAGACTCAAACTTGCAGGTCCTCCGCGCCTCGCAAAAGGCAAAGATCGAGGAACTAAAGAGCAGCATGAAGTATTACACCACAAAGTCCCTAATCGATCGCTTCGAGGCAGACAGCAAGACCGACTCGGACTCGAAAAAGGACGCAAAGACTAGGGGTAGATCTAAACAGAAGGATCTACCCGCCGCTCCTGTTGATCCCGTTCCCGCAGGCGAGGAATTCTTCGACGAATCCCAACTCCTGCAACAGCAAGAACTCCAACAACAACTGAATCAAATGCAATACACCTCCAACCTGCGCCAACTCCCCGCTACCACCTACGAACCCCGGGATCCAAAATGGTACGACCGGATCCTGGACGTGATTGTCGGCGAAGACGAAATGAGCCCGCGGAATCGATATGCTTTGCTCTGTAGCAGATGCGGAACGCATAACGGACTCGCGCCGCCGGGACAGGAGCCTAGTGAGGTTAGATATAGGTGTCCGGTGTGTGGCCAGTGGAATCCGGAAAAAGAGAATGCTGGTGATGATGACAAGGAGGCTTTGGAGGATGAAGATGCAGAGGAAAAGATCGAAGAGTCCGAGACGGTGGCAGAAATTAAAGAGGCTGATAGCGTCCCGTCTACGAAGAAGACTACAAAGAGACGAGCCGGCAAATCAAAGTCATCCGAAGATCAGGACGAGCCAAAGGCTACAACTACAGGTCTCGAATGACCTAAATATATAGAATAAAAGCTCAATTTGAAAATATATCTTGCATTTCTTTTAAGCTATCTTGATTTATGCAGTAGGCTCGACCGACGCATAGTGAAGGTAAGCACTCAAAGTCTTGATTCCGTTGATGTAGTTCACCAAGTCGAGCTTCTCATTGATCGAGTGCGCGCCATCTATCGGAAAAGTGTTAGTAACAAGCTTTTCTTTCGTTTCTTTTCAAAAGAGATCTCTACTAACCATCGCCACGGCCCATAGGCAAGAGAAGAACGTTACGCTTCAACTCCTCCTCAAAAGTCAAGGTAACAGGAATCGAACCACCCTCACGGGTAAGGTCAGGCTCAACGTTCCAAACCGCCTTCGTAGCCTTCTTCGCGGCCTCAAAGTTCCAGTGCTTAGGACTCGACAGCCACCACATTCCATCGTGCAGTAGCGTGATCTCCATCTTGTTCTTCGATCCGAGCTCCGCCCAGCAATCGTTGATGTACTTAAACACAAGCTCGTCGAGCGCACGAGGAGTAATGTCGGGTACAGTTCGGAGCGAGAATTTACCGACAACCTTGGCGGGAATCACGGTCTTGGCTCCAGGGGCGGAGAATGCACCCTCGATACCGTGAAGCGAAAGGGTAGGGTAGCGCCATCTGGCCATCAAAGACTCCTTCTTGGTCTCGTAGAGGTTGGTCTTCGATCCAGTTGCATCGTAAAGATCCTGCATCGAGTACTTGATCTTGTCGTAGATCTCGTCCTCCTCAGCTGGAGATCACATTGTATGTTAGTATTACAAAATTTAGACTAGAATTGAAAGTACACGCACCAGTCAATGGAGCAACCAAATCCATAACGCCAGGGATCAGGATCTTTCCCTGGGGTGAAACCAGCTTCGACAGCATATGAGTGAGATCAATCAATGGCTCGGAAACCATGCCGCCAAAGACACCAGAGTGCAAATCCGCAGCAGGACCGGAGATAGTGAGGGCGTAGTAGCTGCAGCCTCGAATACCGTACGTCAAGGCAGGATGCGTGGTGCCGAGCCAGTAGTTGTCGCAAATGCAGGTGGCATCGACGCCCTTGAAGAACTTATCTTTTTCAGCACGAATTAGGTCATCAAGACCGTCAGAGCCGTACTCCTCCATTCCCTCGAAGCACATCACCAGGTTGACCGGGAACTCAACACCAGCCTTCTGGTGCGCCTCGATAGCGTTGATCCAGCCAATGACCGGTCCCTTGTCGTCGGTGGAGCCACGGCCGTACAGCTTGCCGTCTTTCTCAATAAGCTTGAAGGGATCGGTGTTCCAGCCGTCCTCGACGAGTGCGGGCTGGACATCGTAGTGGCCGTAGACAAGGATGTTGCGCTTGTTGGGATCGGTGCCGTAGCGGGCGAGGACAATGGGGGGAAGGTCGATGTCGGCGCCTTCCTGCTTGCCCAACTCGCGGAGCTCGACGGTAGCACCGAGAGCCTTGAGTTCTTTTTCGAGAAACTTGGACATCTGGATTGAAAATGTGTGAGTGAGTTACTAGAGAGAGGAGATGAAAAAAGAGTGTGACGCACCTCGACGACCTTGGGTCGCAGAGTGAAGTCAGCGGAGACCGAGGGAATCGACACGGCTTTCGAGAGACCTGAAGAAGAGATAAGAAGTATTGTTAGGACGATACTCGAGATCAGACGGTCTTGAAAAAAGGCGATAGACTTACGGGCAACAAAGTCCGAAGACAGCTCTTCGATCCTGCACAGAGTATTAGTTAATGGCACGCCGGAGATAAGAACGGAAAAGAAGAGAGATGAGCGTACTTGTCGAAGAGCGGAGGAAGAGAAGCTTCAACAGCGGCCATTGAGCGGAAAGTGATTGGAGAGGAGAGAATGAGAGGAAGGCAGACGGGGGATGGGCGGTGAAGAAGAGGACGGCGGTGGTGAAGTGGAAGCGAGCGAGCGGAGAGTTTATTGTTTGCCGTCGAGGCGATGGAGCGCCGCAAACCGCTGACCGCCGACTTCATGATTATTTCGAGGTTTTTTGGTGTTTTTCTGGAGCCCTGTTCTGCGTGCTGCGTTCGAGAGAGACTCTGGCTTTGTTGTTTGCGAATTGAGTGCTCGCTGCAGCAGAAAGAGGGCTGCTGCTGTGGAATTGGTCTCGGGGTGGTGTTGGGAGCCCTGCCAGGTTTGGTTTCTCGGTCGGAGTTCAAGAGGCCCGCGCTGATGCTGACTAACAAGCCTGACTTGAGCTTCGAGCTCACTCAAGCTCATTGTGCTGATATCTGCTTTATTCAAATGAAAAGCAGGTTTGCATGTTGCAGTGGAAAAACTGTTTAACTACCTTGGTGTGCGTTCACTTTGACCTGTAGCGTGAGACCGCTCACGAGCCTGGTATATTCAGATTAGGGATGCGGCGGCTTCACGGCCTGTCTGACTACTGTTTTATGTGTGCAGTCGTCGTGTCAAGTATGGGAGACTGTAGCTGATGTAGCTCGATTCAAGATAAGCATAGTATAGACTTCGGTTCATTCAGATAGACTGTGAAGGTGAAAGACTGGAAGGTAGTCATAAAATCGACATCGATCATATCGGTCAATTGAACATCAAAGCGCCAAATATATAATAAATCCAAAATGATACAAAAGAATGATAAAGATGTATAGATCAAGCAAAAAGATGAGTGAAGTTGGCGCCTCCCTCCTCCGTCGGCGGAACCTGAAGCCAGTTAAGATTGTCGTACTTGTATTCTCCCTCAATCATGTGGAACGTGTACGCATATCTCGACTTTTGCGACCGATTAGGCTCCGACTTGTGCAGCAAAGATCCGTGAATCAGAACAAGCGTTCCCGCAGGACACGCCGGCATCACAAACTCCTCGTCCTCAGGCTCGCGAGGTGCCTCGACGCCGTCGAGCTTGATGAACGTGGTGCCGGCTTTGGTGCCGTCAGCGCGAATCATGCGTTTCGAGATCTTGGCCCACTTGTGTGATCCGGGGACGAACGAAAGCGCACCGTTCTCGGCCGTGCAGTCCTCGAGAGCGTACCAGTATCCGACGGCGCTGGGGGGATCGGTGTAGAGGAAGACCGAGTCCTGATGCGACGGCACTTTGCCGCCGATTTCGGGCTGCTTGCAGATAATCATACTCTGCAAGACCAGGGCGTCCTTGAATCCAAGACTGTGCGCAATTGCGCGGTTGCGGTCGTTGACTGTATCGGCACGGAACTCATCGTTGAGATTGTGGAGCGCATGACCGATCTTGTTGATGGCTTTCTCTTTAGGCCGCGTGAGCTCGCCCTTGTCGTCAAACGCGTCCTGCTCAAAGAAAAACCGGACTTTGTCAGACGAGGTAAGGAAGTAGTCGTCGCCGACGTGTGCGGTCTCGTCGGTAGAGAACTTGGTGAGCGGGTGGTCGGCGAGAGAGAAGTCGCTGAGCAGCTTGCTGGTTTCGTTGTAGAGCGCTTTCACTCTCTCGGGAGACAGCTCGCCGGGAAGAAGAAGAAAGCCGTCTCTGTTGAACTGCTCGACTTGCTCAGGAGTAAGGCCGGAGGCAACCATTGTGGAGGTGGTGGTGTCGGTGGTGAGGGTGGTTGGGTGAGATAAGGAACGATTTGGGTTTGGGAGTTTGAAATCGATTATCGATGATTCACCGTTGAGTCAACTCGTCAGTCTCCTCGACCCCGGTGTCGTCTGTTGTTTCTACTGCGTGACAGAATATATGAGTATCGTCTGTTTGTATGAGCTGATTTGATGGTGAAGATACAGAAGCTTCAGCTGGGATGTGTTTGATTCCAGATATCGAATACGGCCGTAAAAAAGTCTTCTAATGGCCTTCACATGTCGACAACAGCTATATCTAGCATCACTCTACTCTTTAAATTTCGTCTACAGTTATCACAAAGACCGAGATTGGGCTTTTGTAGACGTAAAAAGGTCATTCTTTGTCAGACAGCTAGTCCTAGTATAATCCAGTGTAATTCTCTAAGCAGAAATCATATCAGCGACGACGTTCTCATACAACAGTCTAGTACTATACCAGTCATATCAGACCACCCATCCCTCAAAGCAAAAAAACAGAAAACACCTTCTGCACAAACAACAACAACAACAACAACAACAACAACAACAACAACAACAACAACAACAACTCGGAGAACTGCGAGCCAATAGAATTCAGAGCAGCAGCGCATTCAGAGCCAAAGTGCACAGAGTCCGAGGCCGTGGTCTAAGCGTGCGCCACGCATCGCCAAAGCTTCGAGTGCGGGTCCCCAGATTTTTTTGTCTTTTCTCTTTCTCTTCTCTTTCTCTTCCTCTACACTTCCTCTTCTCTCTCTTCACCACCTCACCTCCTCTTCTTTTCCATGATCCGTCTCCGTGCTGTCTCAGCGCTCTGCCGGCGCCCTCTTCCTCTCTCCGCCAAACCTCTCCCCTCCTCCCTCGGTCGTCGCGCCTCGAGCATCTTCGCGCCAACTGACTCATTCGCAACCCGCCATGTCGGTCCCCTCGACTCCTCAGACACCGAGCACATGCTCACCACTCTCGGCTATCAGTCTATTGACTCCTTCGTTGCCGACGTGATCCCCGACAAGATCCTCACCCGTCGTCCGCTGGCTGTGCAGCCGCTCAACGGGCTCTCCGAATCAGAACTCACCGCCAGGCTCCGAGAAATCGCGGCAAAGAATACCGTTCTACGGTCGTATATCGGGTATGCTTTTGCTCCTCTATAATTTCTCGCTTCTCTATTATCTTTTCAAACAATCATCTGCTAATAACATTTTCTTCCAGAGAAGGATACTATGGCACAATCGTACCCCCTGTGATCCAACGCAACATCCTCGAGTGTCCCGAATGGTACACCTCCTACACCCCCTACCAGCCCGAGATCTCCCAGGGTCGTCTAGAGTCCCTACTCAACTACCAAACCCTCGTAACTGATCTGACTGGGATGTCAATTGCCAACGCCTCCCTACTCGACGAAGGAACTTCGGCTGCTGAAGCCATGCTCCTGAGCTTCAACGCCGTCCGGGGGAAGAAGAAAACCTACTACGTCGACCCTAGCGTGCACCCCCAGACTCTTGCCTGCATCAAATCTCGAGCACTCGTCTTTGGAATTGATGTCGTACAGGAATTGCCCTCTGACGACAAAGATCTGTTTGGTGCAGTTGCGCAGTACCCTGCCACTGACGGATCAGTCACCGACTTTTCTGAGCTCGGAGCTCGCGTCCATGCGGCCGGCGGTCTATTCTCTGTCGCCTCTGATCTGTTAGCGTTAACCGTATTGAAGCCACCCAGTGAATTCGGAGCAGACATTGTCTTTGGCTCGTCCCAGCGCTTCGGTGTACCCATGGGCTACGGTGGTCCGCACGCTGCGTTCTTCGCTGCCGCTGATTCGCAAAAACGAAAGATCCCCGGTCGTCTGGTCGGAGTCAGCAAGGATCGTCTGGGTGACAGCGCCTACAGACTTGCGCTCCAGACTCGCGAGCAGCATATCCGCCGGGAAAAAGCTACCAGCAATATCTGCACTGCTCAGGCTTTGCTGGCGAATATGGCGGCTATGTACGCGGTCTACCACGGACCTGCGGGTTTGAAGAGGATTGCGAACCGCGTGTACTCTTTGACTACTGTGCTCGCGGTTGCTCTCAAGCAGCTCGGTTACAATGTTTTGAACGATACATGGTTTGATACGCTCACCGTCGAGGTCGCTGACGCAGACAAGGTCCTTAGCCATGCTGTCGCAAAGTACGGGATCAATATTCGCAAGAGTGGTCCCTCGGTTGTGAGCCTGTCAATCGACGAGACTGTCACCAAAACCGATCTTTTGGATCTCGTGTCGGTCTTTGCCACTCTCTCTGATCAATCACATGCTTCGATCACCGAGGACTCTCTCGACGATATCGCTGGCGAGTTGGGCATCTCTGTAGTCAAGCCTGCTGCTCTTCCTTCACAGTTTAAGCGTTCTGGCAAGATCCTAAACTACGAGGTATTTAACAGCTACCACACAGAGACGGAAATGCTCCGCTATATCCACCATCTGCAGTCTAAGGATCTCTCGCTAGCCAACAGCATGATCCCGCTAGGAAGCTGCACGATGAAGCTCAACGCTACAACTCAGATGGCTCCCATCTCTTGGCCTGAGTTCTCCAGCCTGCATCCATTCGTCCCCCGCGATCAAGCAAAGGGCTACACCGAGCTTATTTCCGAGCTCGAAGCGGATCTCGCAGACATCACGGGCTTTGACGCGACCTCTTTGCAACCAAACTCGGGGGCCCAGGGTGAGTACACCGGCTTGAGAGTCATCCGGTCCTATCTCGACGCAACAGGCCAGTCGCAGCGTAATGTGTGCTTGATTCCTGTGTCGGCGCATGGAACCAATCCGGCGTCTGCGACCATGGCTGGAATGAAAGTCGTGGCAATCAAATGCACGCCGCAAGGTGAGCTCGATATCCCCGATCTCGAAGCCAAGGCCGAAAAGCACAAAAATAACCTCGCGGCGCTCATGATCACGTACCCGTCCACGTTCGGCGTGTTTGAGCCCCGAGTCAAGGACGCCATCGACATCGTGCACGCCCGAGGCGGCCAGGTCTACATGGACGGCGCGAATATGAACGCCCAGATCGGACTCTGCAGTCCCGGTGACATCGGGGCCGACGTGTGTCACTTGAATCTCCACAAGACCTTCTGCATTCCCCACGGCGGCGGCGGTCCTGGAGTCGGTCCTATTTGCGTCAAGTCGCATCTCGCGCCGTTTTTACCAGGACACCCCGTTGTTGCTATGGCTGGCGATCAGAGCTCTGCGATCCAGCCTGTCGCGTCTGCGCCTTGGGGATCTGCCAGCATCCTGACGATCTCCTGGGCGTACATCAAGATGATGGGCGGCAAGGGCATCACAAAATCTACGGAGTACGCGCTGCTTAACGCCAACTACATGGCCGAGAGACTACGCGCTCATTACCCGATTCTGTACCAGAACGCCCAGGGACGTTGTGCGCATGAGTTTATTGTCGACATCCGAGTTTTTAAAGAAACCGCCGGGATCGAAGCCATCGACGTCGCCAAGCGTTTACAAGACTACGGCTTCCACGCGCCCACCATGTCATGGCCCGTCGCCGGAACACTAATGATCGAACCCACCGAGTCTGAGAGTCTCGCGGAGCTCGACCGGTTCTGCGATGCGATGATTTCGATTCGCGAGGAGATCAGAGAGATCGAGGAAGGAAGTCAGCCGACGAGTGGGAATGTTTTGAAAAACTCACCGCATACGATCAAGGATCTGACTTCTGAGAACTGGGAGCGGCCGTACTCGCGAGAAAAGGCTGCGTTCCCGTTGCCTTATTTGCGGCAGAGGAAGTTTTGGCCTTCGGTGACTCGTCTCGACGACAGTAAGTTCCCTCTTCTTTTTCTATTTCTAGTATATTCACGACAACTTTACTAATCTTAACACTATCAATAGCCTACGGCGACTTGAACCTCTTTTGCACTTGCGAGCCGCCCGCTCTAGAAAGCGACGCTTAATCCCCAAAAAAAACTTGTCGCTGTCGTCAGCCCATCGAGACCTGACTATTTCAACAATAGCATATTCGTCAACACTGCTTGCTGTCAGCCTGCATTCAGACGTCAGTCATCTTTTCTTCATCTGTTTCTGTTTGTTATGCTTTTCAAGCATTATAAAATTCTGCTATAAGTTATTATAGATAGCTACATCTTCTTGTATGCCTGTTTTCTTAGATTTATTTTGTTCGCGATTTGTTTGATGTTTGCTTTGTTTATCCGGAGATCGGCGTCTAAAGTTCAACCTTTCATGTGCACTCTTATAGGTACTTATTTATTGTAATGCAGTGTACACACTGTAAATATATATTTCAATCAACACTGTATATATCTATGTCCAAATAGCTCTTGCGGTTTCTGAAGCGCATCGCGTATAGAAGACCCTACATGAATCCAAACTCCCAACTCCCAATACGTCACCTTAAAAAAAAAATCGAGATCATCGAGTGCCTTCAGCAGGAACGTTCAGGCGTTGCGTTACGGACTATCCTTCACACCACCAGAGCAGACACATAAGCAAAGAACACCACCAGAGCAAGAATAAGTTACGAACGAAGCTGGCGAACCTTGGAGACTGCCAGATTTGCCAACAGGCAAAGGCGCAGTATAAATGTCCTACCTGTTTGATCAAATAGTTTGTTTTATCCCCATGTTGATATTTTGGAGGGTGAGATGGCGTTGACTTACGTTTGTATGTGGATTGTAGCTGCTCGTTAAAGTGTTTTAAGGATGAGAGGCATGTACACGATGCCGTGAAACGAGACGATACGAAGCCGACCACGCCAGCGACTCCCGACAAACCTGCCCCCTCTTCCCCGGCAACCACAGTCGCCCCCTCCCCCTCCTCCTCCACCCTCGACCCACGAACCCAAACCTTCTCAACCCTTCTCTCCGACCCCACGCTACAACACATGCTTGCCTCGAAATCGCTACAACACCATCTCGTGATCATCAACCAATTCCTGACCGATCCGCAGTTCGCGGGCGAACACACGGCCGAGGGAAGACGCGCGGTGGCGCTGAAGAAGTTGCGCGAGTTGAGGGCGGGAGGGGTGGAGAGTAATTCGGAGGTGGAGGAGTTTGTGGTGTATGTTTTGGAGATGATGGAGAAGGGTGGTGTTTGATATGCCTCGGGTTGGCTTAGTTCTCGATGTGAAGATTATAAGTCGGAGTTAAATGCATGCATGCATCTGACTTGGCTGTTGGTTAAAACCTGACAGCTCAAATTCTTACCACAGATCGACAAGCATTATCTGGGATCGAAGTCCATGGCAGAAGAGGCCAGTCATCAAACGCCCTCCCGAGGATCTCAAGAAAGAGATCTTTCGTCGCTGTTCTCCACTCAACCACAACAGCGCTCGCTATCTCATCAACTAGTTCTTTACGGATACCTATGTTCGACCGAGACAAGAACCGAGCAAAACCCATGATGCTGCGGCGAAATAGATGAAGAGCAAATCAATATTAGAATGTTCCAAGCAAATGTAAACTATGAACACACAATCTGCACAAAGAGATTAAATAGATCGATAGATGGATGAATAAAAATGAAATAAGAAATTCCTTGACAACCCTATTAACACAAAAAAAATGATTACAAGTGAGATAAAAGTAAACAAAAAAAGGTAGAAGAAATAAGATGAGGAAGAAAAAGTATGTGGTCTTTGGACATTGAGGTAGATGTCTAAGCCTTTCGAGTCGTACTACACTATTCAACAACGAAGAAGGGACAACCAAAAAAGCACTACTTGAAATGCCAAGTCCAAAAAAAGCAAGCAAGCAAGCAACATACAGAGGTAAAAGAAGGAAGTGAAAGAATACAAACCAGCGCTCGATTCTAATGACACAAAACAAAAATTGAGAAAACACCCACTTCATAACTTCATCCTCATACTCTCTCTCTCTCTAGAATAAACCCCTGGCAAACTGTAGCTTGATTTGACACTATTGTATCCCCTAAAAACCAAGAAAGGGATGCAAGTATCTGACAATAGTATATTTTTCTCAAAGATCAGAAAATTGATGGTGGTAAGCAGAATTAACTCCGCCGGGCCTCACTAGCCCATCCCTCGATACCAACACCAGTGCTTCCGACCTCTCGATCAATATGGACATTCTCGAGACCCATTGCGTCTTCGAGCCACTTATGGTTCGCCATGCCGCCGGCGTCCGCTCGCTTTTCGGGGTTCAGCTCCAACATCGGGAGCATGAAATCCGCAATTTCTTTCGCATCATTCGTGTCGTGATGGTATTTATCATGTAAAACGTCTGGTAAGGCCCACGCGCGCAGCTTGTGGATGTTCCGCAGCTGGCCCTTGCTGTTGAAGAACTCTAGTGACCATTTCCCACCCATCGCAAGATGACGGGGGAACCTTCCTAGAAGCTCAATGATCTGTGCGATGTGGTCATCGTCCTTGGAATACTTGCTTCCATTCTGAGGATCAAAGAGGTAGTCTCCGGTGATCAACTCAAAGATCATGCACGCCATCGACCATATATCTGCGCTCGCGCCCCAGCGAGAGCCAAGAATTACCTCTGGTGAACGGTATTGGCGTGTCTGGATATCGTTGGTGAAATGATGTGAGACCCAGCAAGCATTGCCTAGATCGGCAATCTTGACTGAAATCAGATCGCCAATTTTGGGGGTCGAGACGCTATTAGTCAAGTTATCGCCCGACAAGGACGACGATGGGCCCTTGCCAGACTCTTTCTTCGATATTGAGATTGTCGATATCTTATCTTCGATCTCCATCGACTTTTCTCGCTCTTTCCGGTCAGCTTCGGTGTCCCCGCCAGTCACCGAAGAGGCGCTAGATGCCGCCACACTGCTTCCTCCGTTTGTGGACGAGTTGTTGGTTGTGCGGGGAACGATCGGCGACATGACCAGACTATCAAAGTATGAGCTTCCGGTAAAGGATACAGCGAGTGGCGACGGCAGCGGCTGAGATCCTGTGATTAGTGTCTGCCTTCGCGACCGGCGGCCGATTCTGTCGATCTTGGAACCGTCAGCCTTCTTGTGCCGGCGGCGGCGTGCCAGCTCTTCTTCGCGCTCTTTGCGCTTGTTTGCTTCTTCTTGCTCGACGAACCGAACAATCTCCTCAACATCGCCGATTTCTATGAGGACATTCTCGGGCTTCAAATCTGTGTGGATGATACCGCATTCCCGATGCATATAGTCGAGGCCAAGAAGGACCTGCTTTGTGATTTGTTTGACGAGAGGAAGGGGTACGCCTTGATGGTGGAAGCGGCGAATGAGGCCCAGGAGGTTCTCACCAAGGACCTCGAAGACCATGCAAACGTGGGTGCCATTGGGACCGACGTGCTCGAACGAGTCTAGCAAAGAAACAACATGAGCACGGCCAGGATGATTGGGATTGGCCGAGACAATTTTCTCCAATAGCTTGATTTCGTCGAGTGCTGTTTCTGTGTAATGAGCGGCGGAACGGACTACTTTGAGAGCAACGTGGCAGTTTGTGAAGGAGTCGCGAGCAAGCCAGACGGTCGAAAAGTGGCCCCAGCCTAGCTTTCGGACGATAGTGTAGCGACCGTTTTTGAAAGTCTCGCCAATTGCAACGGGGTGGTAGCCGCCCTTGCAGTAGTCCTCGACAGCCTCCTCGTCGTTGGCCGAGGACTCGGAAGAGGACTCGGAAGTGATTGAGGAGGTTGAGAGGTCGCGCTGGGCGGCCGAGCTGCCGGGGATAGGGCGAGCGGCGGTGGTGGTGTTCGGGGTGGCAGTGGACGTGGGAGAGGTTGAGGGAGACTCGGAAAGTGGGGAGGTCGAGCCGGCAGGCATCTGAAGAGCGGCGAGGGGATTGGGTCGCGAGGAGGAAGTGGCGAGAGGCGGGGAGTAATCGTTAGTGGAAGCCGCGAGGTCGGACGCAAGCAGAGACCTGTGGGGACGAGAACGGCGTTAGCTGCATAGTTATCGACGGAGGAAGAGGGGTGGATGGAGAGAGAGTTTGGGCGGCGGAAAAAGAGCGGGTGGAGACGTACCTCAGTCGGTCGGGGGCGGGCGAGGGATCGCAGTATTCGCCGGGGGCCGCGTTTGCGCAATTGGGGAGCGTCTGGATGGCAGCGGAGGCGGAGTGGGCGGAGACAGAGACGGAGGCGAGCGAGAAGTAGGACGGACGGGCGTGCGACTTGCGCGGTGGGGTCGGCGGTGTCGCAGCAGAGGGGGCCGTCGCCATTGAGCAGAGGCGGAGAGAAGGGGGAGAGAGCGCGGGCGGGAGAGAAGAGGAGGAAGGACTTGAGAGAAGGCGGAGTTGGGGAAGAAGGCTGCGGGGAGGGAGCAGGAGCAGGACTGAGGGCGTGGAAGTGGAAGTGGAAGGCGATGATATAATAGCTCGCTGTCACGAAATTGGACGAGAGCCCGGCCACGCTAAACGTAGACACCGCATTCTGCGCCGCAGCCTCTGCTGTTAGTAAAGGCTCGAGCAGCGCTGGACATTGGCTGAGTGGTTATCAGAGGAGGAAGGATAGAGAGAGTAATTGTAGAATAATAGTTAGAAATACAAATAGTCTGTTATTATTCTATAAACAATAACAAATATCCACCACCATCAACAGCAGCAGCAGCTCTTGTCTGTTCTGCTATCGCTATCTTCCTGACGTCATCCCAGCCCTACTCTCTTCTTCTATTCCACTTCTCTCGCATGTTCGCCTCTGACTAAGCATCCACTCTCTGCTTCTCCTGCACCTGTCTCTGATCGACGGTTCCGGCCATTCCGGATTACCATCTATCTACTTTCCACTCCCCACTGTCCTTCTTCTTTCTATAGAAGCTACTTGGTAGCTCAATTATTATAGTCCGCAACACTTCAAGCACCATCTATCAAAGAAAAAAAATAGAAAAAATAATAAAACAAAAAAAAGGGCGATGTTGACAGGATTCGAACCTGCAGCCTTCGGAAAATTTGATTTCGATTATGAACCGAAATCCGATGCGCTCACCATTGCGCCACAACACCAATTTTATCAAAAATTTAAAAATCAGCCAATATGAAGGACGATCTGCAAATAAGAAGCAGTGCTCTAGCTCTTTTTCGTAGGGTGAGGTGAATGTGGACAATTTTACGTCTCTCAAAGCTGTAAGACGGTGGAGAGTCGACGGAAACCCTACAACAACGACGAAGCGAAAGACGCAAATCGAAATCAGCTCCAGTCGACATATAAGCCAAGACACCCGCTATTAAATACTTAATGATGCCCTCACCGTAGGATCAGATATGCGTGTTCGAGACGTTCATATATTCTGTTCTTCGTACAGGAACTGAGCAAACCGTAGTATCGAGGCGCAAATCACAGTAACTCCTCTACGTATAATTAATTCGAAAGAGCAAGCAGCATGATCCCATCTATCAGACAATGTTCGTATTGATATTAACATATATCTGTTACAATAAAATCACAACATAGAAAGCGTAGACTGTAGTCACTATCTCTGTTGAGAAATCACAATTATAAGGGTGCGCCGGACTTTGCGGGTTTGGTGGCCGATCAATTCAACGAAGCTTTTTCCTCGCTTTTCCAGAGTCCCATCGATTCGCGAATCAGTCAACCGTCAGCGCAGGCAGCAAAAATAGTCAGAAACTTCAAAGTCTGTCTTCATCAGACTCGAGTTGTACTGATCCGGGGAAATACAAAAGTCCTGGTAAGTCATCCGTGGCTTTTTGGATGGGCATCGGCCTGGCCTTTGTTCCTGACCCCCTGGTATTGAGTGCGTTCAGTGAGGGTTGAGTATGATTAATGAGCGCACTCATCGTTATCTGAGCGCACTCTGGGGTATTGCGCAGTATTCTTTTAACCTCCTTTCTTTCTCTTTTTAGGAATAGTGACGATATCTACTAGGCTCTGAAGGCCTGTGGAATCGCCCATTAACGACGTCACCTTCTAGAGTGGAGGAGCCTGAAAATTTACTGCGTTACTTCCGGCCACTTGACGATGCACCCAGAATCGCTCTCCCCAGACTCACTAAAGGGGTCTCCCACCGCGGATCCTCCCCGTGTAACGACCTCCGCCCCCCTTGTATCTCCCGTAACTGGTGGCGGTAGCTCTATCTCTTCTGGTGGAAGTGCAACCACACCTGGATCACCCTCGCAGCTTTCCACTACATCCTCAGTCTCGGTCTCGGCTTCAACGATCTCGGTTTCGACAAACAACAAGCGACCACTGGCAGAGTCCGGCGAGGATCTGGAGAGCCAAAGCGGATCTCCTCGCGTGCGTGTTCTTGATGACGCTCCTTCGAGTTCGGATGATCTATTGGACGACGGTCAACAGTCTTCGTACGCCCGACCCGTCCCTATCAGGCTAGGCATGACGGAAGGCGATCAGCGAGAGCAAAATTTCGACGATTCAGCAGATTGGTACGACGAATCGCCAAAGACGGCGCCAGAGGAAAGCCCGGACAAGGTGCCGAAACCAGAGACTGTCCGTGAACAGATCGCGGCCGTCCTGGAGGCCTGTAACGTCACCGTCAAAGAGGGCGAGTCGTGGTACATCGTGTCCGATCAGTGGTGGAATTCTTTTGTAAATGCCACAGATGATGCCACTATTGAATCAGTGGATAACTCTGATCTTTTTGACGCAAAAGGCGTGCTCATTCGTGACACCGAATTCCAGATCATACCAGCAACTGCTTGGGCGATGCTTACAGAATGGTATGTTTTTTTCTCTATTCTAACATGCCAACATGCACCGTGATTACTAACTTTTCAACAGGTATGGACATGGCGATTCCACGTATGAGATCGAGCGCACAGCAGTGAACACGACAGATGAAGGGAGTAACGTCGAAGTCGAGCTATTTCCGCCTGTTTACTCTCTCTACCATCTGCCAGGCCGTTCAGGAGCTTTTTCGTCAGACTCGTCCGTAGCCACTGCTACAATGTCAAGAACGAATAAACTCTCGGAACTATATGATGCTGCCAGAGAGTCTCTGGACATTCGATCAGATATCGTCTTCCGTATCTGGAAGCTAAACACAAAGCCTCTGAAAAAGTTCAAGATGGATGTTGAGAAATTCCAGGCTATTTCGGACAAGGAGCTTATCGAGAGCGACGACATGAACACTCGGCTTGGTGATCTGGGCTTAGGTATGGATCTAGCTCTGGTTGTTGACGAGCAGCTAGCCAACAAAGAGTGGGTTAGCGATCGCAAACCTACTACTACCGTCGCAATGCGAAACAACACGCATGGTCCTAGAGTCCCGCCTCGGAGGAATGTGAACAACCAACACGATGATTCGCGGCCGAAAGGCATGACAGGCCTGGCTAACCTCGGCAATACATGTTACATGAATTCTGCCCTGCAGTGTTTGACCCATGTCGAAGAACTCACAAAGTATTTTCTTCTCGACGCCTATAAAGATGAGCTCAATCCAACCAACCCCCTCGGAATGGACGGCAAGGTTGCGACGGCATACTCAGACCTCGTTCATAAAATCTTTCAGAGCAAGCCAACTCTGAACTCATTTACTCCTCGAGAAATGAAGGGTGTCATTGGCAGATATGGACCCATGTTTTCGGGATACGGGCAACATGATTCCCAGGAATTTGTCGCGTTCTTGTTAGATGGATTACATGAGGATCTGAACCGGATTCTCAAAAAGCCGTACACCGAAAAGCCAGAGTTGCCTGACGACAAGGTTGAAAGCAAAGAAGCTGTGGTTGAACTCGCACACAAGTGCTGGGAGTTGCACCGAATGAGAAACGACTCGGTTATCCAGGATCTATTCGCAGGCATGTACAAATCGACACTCGTTTGTCCCGAGTGCAAGAAAGTCAGCATCACTTTTGATCCGTATATGGATCTGACGTTGCCGCTGCCGATCGACAACTCGTTCTCCCGAAACATCGTTTACGTGCCTGCTAAAGGTCTACCTATGACTGTTGGTGTCGAAATGAACAGTGGCTCGAGCGTGAAGGAGTTCAAGCAGTATATAGCCTCCCGCGTTGGCACCGATCCCAATCGTCTGATCCTCGCAACTATCTACAGTCACAAAATGTACGGCATTCCTGATGATCATGAAATCGCGGCTGCGAAGCTCGAGAGCGATGATAGCGTCGTTTATGAGCTTGATCAAGTTCCCCAAGAGCCCGACTACTCCGATGTCATGATCTTCCCTGTCGTCAACAGAATCGAAAAGGATCCCAACGTGCGCTATGCGTCTTCGGAACTGTTTGGGTATCCATTCTTAATCACCCTGACTCCTGCCGAGGCAAGCTCGTATGATGTCATTTACTCCAAGATTATTGACAAATACAAATGCATGTCAACGAACAAGACATTGCAGAGCTGGGGCGTCACCGAGGATGGGAACGACGCAGCCATGCCTCATGCTGTCGGCAGCCCGCAGTGCCCTAGTGTGTTCAAGGTCGCAGTGACCGCCGGATCTACCTACCGCAGATACTACGCAAAGAACACTATCCCTACTGTGTTTTCAGTTGAGGCGACGATTGACATCAAAGAGCGCTATGATCGGGCACACTACAAGCCGGAGCCGTACAAGTCCATGATCATCGATGACGTTGAAGATGCCACGCCCGCCGCGGTGGACGATGCTGAAGCTCAGAGCTCAACGAACGATAGTGGCTTGGACGGCTTGGACGTCGTCCCGCTGGGTCAAAGTATTGAGTCTCTGGATCCGAACCAATCGAGCATGGGATTGGAAGCTCCGACTGCCGAGTTCGAAGGTGAGACAGAGGCCGATGAAAACTGGCTGTCTGTTCGTGCTTCGTCTTCCGACATCGAGATGCAGGATGCAAGTGATAAGGAAGATAGCGATACAGAAGCAGGAGCCCGAGTCGCGGAACTTGACGAAGATGATGAAGTTATGCCAACTGTGGAAGACCTCTTCGAGAACAGCGAAGAGCAGCAAGCGACGTCGACCCAATGGAATGAATCCGAAGGCGAGAAAGGCGGATTTACGTATGTAACGATGGGCGAGACCATTGTGTGCGACTGGACTCGGGATGCGTACGAGACGTGCTTTGGAGCAACAGATGACAGCGACTCGATGCGCGGCCGTGCAACTTGGGAGACAATGCCACTTTTCGAGAGCGACGATGTGAAGCAGATCCGTGAAACGCGGAATCAGAAGCGAACGCAGGACATCACTCTCGATGACTGCCTCGATCTCTTTTCTAAGCCCGAGGTGCTGGGAGAAGACGATTTATGGTACTGTCCTCGCTGTAAGAAACATCAGCAGGCCATCAAGACGTTTGAGATCTGGAAAGTGCCTGAGATTTTCACTGTTCATTTGAAGCGCTTTAGCTCTACTTCCCGGAGAGATAAGATTGATGTCAAGATTGACTTCCCTGTCGAAGGCCTCGATTTATCAGACCGAGTGGGAGACCCGGAGCAGAGTCAGAACCCCGAGCATCTGATCTACGACTTGATCGCTGTCGATAATCACTTTGGTGGACTTGGAGGCGGACATTATACCGCTAATGTTAAGAACTTTGTTGATAACAAGTGGTATTATTTCGATGGTATGTTTCTTAAACTCATCTTGCATATTTTCAAGGACTGATTTTAACTTTGTTATTTACAGACTCTTCCGTGCGCGAGGTTTCTCCGGAATCAGGAGTCACAGAGGCTGCATATCTTCTATTCTACCGCCGGCGGTCATCCAATACTCTAGGTGGTGAAAAGCTGCACCAGATCCTTTCCAGCGACGAGGATCCCCTGGCACCAAAGCCATCCAAGTCCGCTTCGACGAGAAGCAAGCCCCCGTCGTCATCAGCGGGCGAGGAGGCTTCGAGCTCGCTACCATCCCCTCCTCCATACACTGAATTTGTTGGACCCTTGGCACCGCCTGCGCCTGCTTCAGGCGTCGATGACACGAAAGATATCTCGTCAAGATTCCCAGGCGAGGGCCGCATGCTTGGCAATGATATCAGTTACGGCGCCTCGACACTTAGCACTACCGCGTGGCCAGCATCCGCGCGCCCGACACCTAATCTCAACCGCAACAAACCGGCCTCTGACGACTCAGCCGATGTAGACGACGTCGCCTCAACTGAAGTCCCACTCGACGACTGGATCAACACCATGGATAAAGACCAAGCTCTTGACGTCGACCCCAGTCTCACGGAAGACGACGACGACGACGATGACGATGATGACGAAGACGACGTCGCCACCGATGTTTCAGGAAGTGACCAAATCATGATTCCAAGCGAGGATATGTCGATCGTCGGGGACGACGTGGTCGAGATCAAGCCTGCTGGGTTCCGGTTCGCCGGCGATGATGACGAGGAGGAGGATGAAAGCGTGACTGATATCAGAGTGTAGGCGGGGAGTTGAGGACGAGTAATAAATGACTGTAATGAGTCGCAATATGCATATTCTTTTGTTGTGTTCTTTTTGTAGTTTGTTTGTACGCGCTATGAAGTACAGCTGGTTTTTTTTTAGTTTTGTTGTTGTTGGATGGGGGCTCCTGAACTTGCATATATCTTTTATACATACACTCTTTTACGATCTTAAGCTTCGCTGCCTCTTCTTTCAAGCAGCAATCAAATAAATGCAACCAAAGCAGAAACAAACTCAAGATCAAACAAAAAAATGATAGATAGAACATAGGAGATTCAAAAAAAAATTGGTGATAACTGTGAGATTCGAACTCACGCCCCTTTCGAGATTCGAAACCACGCTTTAATCGTGATAAGAAATCAAATTCTTGAGTCGAACGCCTTAGACCAACTCGGCCAAGTTACCCTCCATATTGTAAAAATTTTGTGTGGTCCTTTATATACTTGTATGTGAAAAAACTCAGAATTCTTTCGTGGATTTTACGTTATTTCTTTGCTTATTTCTTGTTTGTTGAAGTTTAGCTTTCGATCTGCGGTTTGTGGGAGCATTCTTAAAAGTGATTTCGGGTGGTATTCTAATTCCCGCCTCGTGGACGGTTGCTCAAAGGTATAATGATATACTTCATCGTATGTGCGCGAAGAGCAGGAAAATCTGGAATAAACTGCAGTGAATCGACTTACGGTTGTGAGTAGAGTGGAGTATAAAGAAGATGACATATTTGATCAGGTATACTATTAAATACAGTAAGATATCTTAATACTCCTCATTAAACCCGCCTTGATTGCCTCCTGAAGCAGAAGCCTGCGCCAAATAAAACTCCGAGACCTGTTCTGAAGTCGTAGCATCATCGACCGCCTTATCGTCCCTAATTCTGATGAACCGAGGAAACCTCAACGAGACACCCTTTCCGCGACCCAGCACCGAGATGGCAGCTTTATACACCGGCGAGAGCGACAGGTCCGCGGCGAGAACTTCCCAGACCATTGTGGGCTCGAACCAGACGTCGGGAGCGGTCGCGTTGGATTGCGCGTAGGAATAGTAGGATCGCGGCTGGTCGATGACGGTTTTGGAAAGAGTTTGGTAGAGGCTTTCGAGGACTTCTTCGGAGAACCCGGTACCGATCCTGCAAATCGTTTCATATTCTGATCAGTTTAGGATGTTAGTATACTTCTTTCTGATGAGAAGGATAGTGCTGGAAAGATGGTGCAATACATACCCTGAGTGTCTGGATTGTAACACGCCAGCAAATACGCGCCGTACCAGTTCGTTCTCTTTCCTTTTCCATAAAACGCCCCGATGACTACCAAATCAAGCGAGTCGCCAACGCCAGTCAGGTAATCCTTCTTGAGCTTAAGCCAGTTGCGACTGCGTTTACTCGGCTCATACCCACTCTCGTCGCCTTCCAGCATCTTCACCATCAAGCCCTCGCAACTGTCCTTCACGCTCTGGTCGAGGAACTCTTGGATTTGGTCGACACTCGAGCCGTCCTCGTATCTCGCGTACGCAAACTCGCCTTCCACTTCGCGAAAGTGTGAGTGCAACAGCTCGCGCCGTTCGTGCAGAGGTGTCTGTAGAAGAGACTTTCCGTTTAAATAAAGTAGGTCGAACGCGAAGACGCACACGCGCACTTTGATACTGCCTTCTTGTACATCTTTCCTCTTACGCGTGGAAAGAACCTGAAATGGGAGGATTCGCTTTTCCTCGCGATCCCACGCAACCGCTTCACAATCCAGCACAAAGCTCGACGGCCGATGCTCGCCCTGCCCCAGAAACTTCGGAATGGCAGAGACAATGTCGGGATACTTTGCGCTCATGTCCTCCGAATTGCGCGAATAGACGCGTGAGGTGTTGCTTTCGGAAATAAAATGGATCTGCGCACGCTCGCCGTCGTATTTGTACTCGCATGTAAACTTCTGATCGCTGAAGCGATCGAGAACCTCGGTTATACTCTTTGTGGGTTTGGCCAGCATCGGCTTCAGCGGCACACAAGGCGTGAGTTGACAACTTGAGCGGAGATTCATGATGCCGTCTTTGATTATTGCCGGAATGATAAGATCATAGGTAGGAATCTCGCTGTAGACCGCGCGCAGAATTTCTTCCGCTTTGACAGCTTTAGCTGGATCTGGTTTCTTATCGCCCGCTTTGCGAGACTCAAACGTAACTGCAGCCTGCGCAAGTGCCGAGAGCACTGTTTTCTCTGCAAGACTGATCCGGAGCTTGCCTTCTAAACTGCGAACAAGATACTTTGCTTCGTTGCCTTGACAGGCTGCCAGCATCATGTTGATAATCCCCACTTTCTTTGCCTGGCTTTGTACACCCGACACGTTTGCAATCGCCTTCAGGTTCTTGAACACGCCTTCCGCGGTAAGAGGTTTAGGCTTGAACATTGTCGGCTGATTGTTTCGCGAGTCGCGCGCGACGGTGCCAAGGTCGCCAGTGGTGCGATAATCAGCCTTGATCTGGGCAAGCGACCGACCTGTGCACTCGCTAATGGCTTTCGACAAGATTGCTTCTCCGAGACCGATTTCGACGCCTTCGAAATCAGGACCGAGCTTGTTGATGAACAGGTAGACGATCGTGAGAAGCGAATCCGGCGAGAGCTCGAGAACTTCGAGAAGAAATGCCGAGCAATAGGAGATGATTTCGAGACGTTTGGTGGTGCCTTCGATCTTTTCAAAGGTCGCGCAAAGGGCTGAGTAAGGCACAGGAGAGCCTGCCGGCCAAGATGACTCGGTCTTACGGATAGTGCTTATTAATGGACTGCAGACAACAAGTTAGTTAGGTCAATAGACGAACGTGACAATAGGGAAATAGTAGCTACTTACAGTTCTTCAGCTGCCTCGTCCTCGCTGAGTGCAGAATATGAGTCTTCCGCTTTCAACGCCATCTCATCGTCAGACGAATCTAATGTGCTTGATTTCGCAACCACCTCAGCATCCTCTTCTTTCTTAACCTTTTTTTGGCTCTTCTTTGCTTTTGCTTTCTTCTCAGGCAATTTCGCAGGCGACGGACTCCGACTGGCACTCTTACTTCGACGTCGCTTTTTGCCGGTTTCCTCAAGCTTGACTTCGGGTTCGACCTTGTCCTCTGATTTCATTTCGAGAGTATCTTCTGCTGCGGGAGATGTAGGCGGAGAGGGACTAAACATGCGATTCAGATCGTCGTCATTTTTGCTGTCTGGAGTTGCGCCGTCTTCGATCTTGCCAGACGTGGGCTCGGCACCATCGGTAGATGCTGGAACATCCGTACTTTCAGAAGCAGCAACTGTCTCAATCTCATCCTCTTTGGGCGTGTCTTGCTTCTTCGGTTGTGACTGCTTAGCCGAAGTAGAGAAAAGGGTTGCCTGTCTCTTTGTGGGGATCTTTGAGCCGTCAGCTCGCGTAAAGAATCGACTACCACAAAAACATTCATCGTTAGTCTTTTCCAGATCAAAGTTCATTGTTATAGCAGCTAAAAGCAAGCTATATCATATAAGCAATTTTAATTACCCTAGCGACTGCTGCCTAGATGTCTGAGGAGCCATTTGTATGGATCGGATGGTGTGACTATAACTGCTCGATGCAGAGTAGTAGATTCCAAGGCTGCTCGAAAAGCGACCGGAAACGGAAGTAGTTGTCGAGAAAGCCGATACTTTTAGCCAACCTTGTCGGTCACAGACGTCGGCCAAGCGAGAGCGTATAAAGAGCGGCGAAACAAAGAAGGAGGATTGACAGACGCGGGGCCGATAAAGGCTCATGAACTGTCTATCAACTGGCGCAGCAAGTAGTTATTTGTTGCGAACGATCTCTTTGATATCAAACCAGCAAAGTCTATCGAGTTGAATCTCTGGGGTTGTTATAGCTATGGAGAGTAGGAGGTCTTTTGTGGTAAGCACCAGATGGTGGATGAGAGCGACGGTTGGATTAAATCAAGGCGCGTCAGTGACGCGTAGCGAAAGCGCGCGGCTTCACTATTCGGAGAGTAAATCCATTTGTTGTGAGCATACCCTAATCCTGAATGGCCTTACTAATGTTCTACTTTAGTGACATTTGATGCTTGAAAATCATAAGTTGATCATTATAGTACGATTTTTATAGTTATAATACAATGTCCATCGTTCAATTTCATCGTTATCATATCGTCCCCCTATAGTCATCTCATCATAATCATATCGTCCCCTTATAGTTATAGACCGGCAAAGTCCATGGTTGAAGTAGAGTAGCATAGCAGTAGCTCAGGTAGCAGTATCTCAGATACAGGTAGTAAGCACAGGCAGTATTGATGTCGAGTGGTGTCTTCAGCGCGAAGTTGTCTGGTATTTCGAGAGTTAGCCAAGCTCAAGGCAACTGACAGGTAGATAGGTACGAACTGAAAGTTGTTGTGGTGATGCGTGCAGTCTGTGCAGTCTGTTGATCGAGGGATGTAGTCGTCGAATAGTGAACGTCGTTGTCAAATAGCGTCTCTGCTTATCATTAGCAAACCACTAAACAAATACAAACCAGACGGGACGAACTGATCGCTGATGTAATTTGCCCGCTATAGGTAAATTGCCGGTCTATTAAGAATCATTAGCGCTACCACACCCACTCACCAAATCTTCTGAATCGACAAGCAGGCACCGGTCCTTTCGCATGCAGCTCCGCACGGCTAGCTTGCCCGCTCGCCCTCAGGCTGTCCTCGCATGCTTCGGCGGACGCCAATAAATGAGAATGCTGCCAAAAAGGCATATGCTACTCTCTGACGTCGCCGCGGGATGCACCATTCTATGAGATTGTCACCATTCTAGGTATATGCTATTTTCATCTAGGAAAATGCTACCAGGTGCGGTATGTGCTATTCTCTCTCTGTGAGTATGCTACCTTGTCTCTCTGGCGGGCCCGCGGAATACGAAGCATGCGAGAATGGAGGTTATGCCCATGTTTCCGGACCGGTCGGTAATGCGATTTTCAGGCGGTGAGTGTCGTGGTTAGCGCTAAAGTCTTGAATGTTCCAGCCGGTGCCACCGTTTTTGTTGTAATTTGCAGGGAAGTGCAGAAATTCAAAAAATGGGGTCACGGTGGCTACCGGCCTGGATAGAAAAATGTGGGAAGAGACTCATCGCTCATGTGGTGAAATATGGGGAGCATCTTTGGAAGATATAGAGAGAATCTGCTCATGATAAAGAAATGTCTTTTTCTGAGGAGAGGAGAGGAGAGGAGTTTCTTGGTCTTGTTGAAGAGAGAAGAGTGTGTGAGGAGGAGAGGAAAAGAGGGAAGGAGGAGAGGGCGGGAGGGGGGCCTTATATAGACGTCCGGGAGGGGCCTTCACATGCAAGTGGGCACCCCGTTTGACCCCGAAAATTCCCGAGGCTCCGGCTAGCGCGGATACCTGTCTTTCATGTGAAAGAAAATAATGCAGCACATGGGTAGGACGGATAGTCGGACGTCGGGAAAACCGAGAGATCAATGTCCAGAACAGGAAGTAGTGTTACACAAGCTGAGTAAGTGAACGGATATCTGTACAATACGTCATGGAAGAGATCGATGCAGCTTCCTAGACGTGCAAAACGCCAGCTTCAGGCCAGAATATCTTCTTCAAACATGCACAGACATGTCAGTTTCTATCGACAGAGATAAAGCACGCTCCACGAGCTTCAGATTGATACAGATTAGCGCATGTCTCGGTAGTGAAATTAGAGCGTTTAACGAACGCCAAAGCGCCACGACTACCCTCAATTTGGTTCCTGCCTCATATAAGCGTTGAACAGCCACGTTCGCGTAGATTTTGACTCAGGAACAGACGTCAGATTTCCTTAGGTTTGAACTGTCTTTTTCATCTCTTTTCTTGCCAAAAGGCCTGTATTTTCACGCAATTCTCATCGATCTCGACAGCTCGTATGCGCTCAACATCCCAGAAGCCTGCAGCCAGCGCAGATATCCGACGTAGACTGATTTTTACTTTCTGATGTGAGACACAGCTTTCCGTTTTCGTCAATTTGCCACCCTTTGATCACACTCGCACAAGCTACGTCATATGAACAAACGCATGTGAAAGACAGAGTACAAGTTTAGAGCGAGCAGGCAGAGTCCCGTGACAGCAGATCTGTTTGGGGTCAGCCTGGATCGCTCCTTTCCTGCTAGACACCACTCTGTCAGGTAGAAATGGCTGGATAATCGGAGACCTTGTTCAATCAAATTCCACCAATAGAGATTATTATGATGTTGCATTCAGATACAGGATAACAGAGAGTAAGTGCATTCTCAAATAGCCCACTAACCAGCTCATGTGCAGCTGTGAGGGGAGTACACAAACTGACGTTGCAAGACTTCGCCACGCCCGCTTCAGCATCACAGATATCGTCAGTCTCTAAGTTTCCACAACCCGAACTCTGGCGGCGCAGAGTTTTTTGCATAGATCATTTCGATAGTGGAGTTGTTTTATTACAGGCAGAAAATGCATTGAATGTACATCCTCTCTGGACTGAGCAGTCAGACAGACCTTTGAAATCCCTGTGAAGCGCCGAGGTTTTCGAGTGGCACGGAGGACTTTCTTTTCATTGCAGAGCAGACCGGTAGGGTTAATGTGGGAGACACGAGACGGCTGGAGTATAAACAGGTGCTGGGTACTCCCGTCACGAGGCGGTTCGATCTGGGTCTGGGCCTGAGCCGTCGTCGTCCCGGAGGCGACCACGAGAGATTCTTGTGAAGCGAACTATGAATCATGACAGAGAAACTTCATCAGAAAAAGAAACAGATCGAGACAAAATACATCAACCCTCTTTTAAAATATTGCATAGAGCTTCGATTGCTGGTCCATCGCATTTCCATTGTTGAGTGCATTCGTGATATTGGGCGCTTGTATACCCTTTTAGGATGTTGAGGATGTAGATTGATCATTAGCGTAACAAAGTCCTCAGTTTAAAATAGCCTTTCACGAAATATCCTGCGGTGAACGACGTTGACGATGAAGACCTCGTGAGCGGTAAGGTATCGCCAATCCAATAAGTAGGAAGCCTTGTCACCGGTTGATGAACCTCAAAGGCTAGTGAGTTCAAATTCCGGTCTTCAATAAGGACAGTTGTCTCTATAACACGCAATTTCACAGATAAAACACATCTAGAGGACCAAACAGCAGGGAGGACAGAAACTATTGTCCCAATTATCGATCATGATCCACGATACTGTAGAAGCTAGCTTTCTCGCTGCCGTATGACCGAGTCCAGAATGATCCGCAGAACGATCAGAAGTAATGCATGTCATAATTCGCAATCTCTCCAGGACCGTTGCGCTTAAAAGAGGGCAGCGTGCTGTATTGCTCCAAATAACGTAGAAAGTAATGAGCGTCGTTGCAAGCGTGGTTGCAAGCGTAGAGATATGTGGAGTAGTCGTGACAACCCGCAACCCTAAGTAAATGACCTGTCCATACACTATACCCTAACTAAAGACAGCCCCCGTCCATTGAGTCAGACCATCACTCTACTAATACTTATAGACTACAGTCACTATAAATTATAATAGGATATGTGTGTGCTTTATCATTTCATAGTACAAAACATATTGGTGGAATACAAAACAGATCAATATTAATCAATTCTTCCTCTCTATAGCCATATCGTCCCCCTATAACCTCACTGTAATCATATCGTCCCCCTATAACCTCTCACTATAATCATATCGTCCCCTTATAATTATAGACCGGCAAAGTCCATGGTTGAAGCAGAATAGTTCAGGTACAGCTAGCAAGCACAGGCAGTTATCTGATGTGGAGTGATGTCTTCAGCGTGAAGTTGACTGGTACAGAGTGCATTAGCGAAGTTTCTAGGTAGAATCAGAGACTATGATTCACGAACTGTTGATTGTATAGTGAAGCGTTCTGAGCTGTGCCGTCTGTGCTGCTGTGTTGTCTGTCGTTGTTGTGCAGTGTGCTAATGGAAGTGTAGTCTTCGGAGTCTTCGAAAAGTGAACATTTGCTGAGTGATGTCTCTGACTATCGTTAGCATAACCACTAAACGCATACAAACCATGAGGTACGAACTGATCGCTGCTGTAATTGCTCGCTCTAGGTAAATTGCCGGTCTATCAATGAGTAATTAGCAGCCTTCACCACCGGCACTCACCAGTCTTCTGAATCTGCACGCAGACACCAGTCCGCTTGACATGTGCTCTCGCAAGAGCAGGCTTCGCTCCCCTATCTTCTCTGAAAACGCAAGGCATCTCGAAAGACGCTAGCACGCCAAACACAGCAACATCTCATGGGGAGAACCAAGAATTATTTGCTGGTTTGGCATAATCGTGCCATGACCGGTGCATCGCCGTCATATGAGAATGCTACCCAGAGGGTATAAGCTACTCTCTGACGTCTCCGGGGAGCACCGCGTCACATGCGCCTCAGAGAGGAAGATTGAAGCCCATGTTTCGGATCCGGCCGGAAATGAGATTTGTCCAGCTGATGAGTGTCGTGGTTAGCGCTAAATACTCAGAATATCCTTCCGGAGCCACCGATTTCAGTCGTCGCGTGAAGAAATGAAGAATAACGCAGTTCCAGGCGTTGCAAATTGAGATGCAGAGGAAAATGATGGGAAATGGAACGCGGTGGCTACAGGAACGGAAAGGAAAATGTGGAAAGGAACTCATCGCTAGTATGATGAAAATGGGAAGCATCTCGGGAGGGAATATAGAAATATTCAGGATGTGATGATATTCTGTTCATGATGAAGAGATGTTTCGCCTAGAAGAGAGAAGCTTCTTATAGTTGTGAAGAAGAGAGAAGAGTGTGTGAAGAGGAGGGAAGGAGAGGAGGAGGAGAGGGCGGGAGGGGGGCTTTTTATAGACGTCCGGGCCAGGGCTCCATCAACCCTTCTGATGCGGGCAGGCAGACCGCCAGGCAAGTGGGCGATCCATTTGCCCCCGAAACTTCTCTTCCCTTCGTCATTCGGGCGAGTCACAGCAAAAAAGACTAACTCATTTCCCAATCTGGAGGCAGCGGCACAGAAGTCACACGCAGGTAGGACGTCATCGGAAAGAACATCCCGAACTATTTCCATATCAGGTAGTAATGTTACACAAGCTGAATAAGCTGACGGCTATCTGTACAATACGTCATGGGACGAGGTCGATGCAGCATCTCAGACGTGCAAGATGCCATCCTCAAGCCATACTGTCTTCTTCTCAGGTATCCAGACAATACGGCGTCTTTTGAGAGAAATAAAGCACGTTCCAAGAGCTTTAGATTGATGTAAATTAGCGCATGTCTTGGTAGCGCAACTAATGAGCTACGCGAACACAAAAGCGCCACGAGCACCACCGATTTGGCCCCTGTCTAGGAACAAGCGTTGAACAGCCACGTTCGCGTAGATCGTTGACTCAGGTACAGACGTCAGATTCTCCTGAGTTTTAACTGTCTGTTTCATCTCTTTTCTTGCCAGAAGTCCTGTTTTTCATGCTGTTTCCCATCGATCTCAACAGCCCGTATGCGCTCAACAGTCCAGAAGCCGGCAGTCTGCGCAGATATCCGACACAGACTGCTTACCCCTCACTTTGCTCTCTGATGTGAGACACAGCCTTCCGTTTTCGTCCATTTGCCACCCTTCGATCACACTCGCACAAGCTACGTCATATAAACGAGCGCATGTGAAAGGCAAAGCGCAGGCCCAGAGCGAGCAGGCAAAGTCCCGTGACAGCAGATCTGTTTCGGGTCGGTCTGGATTGCACTTTGCCAGCTATACAACAGGTGTGTTTGGCAACATCGTCCTCTTATTAGCTTTAAAAAGACCATAAACCCGGTCGGTCGTGCTTCTGATGGAAGAAAGAGAGTATGAGGTTTCTTTTCTGCCGACAAAAGTAAGAGATTCCAGAGATTAGATGTGCGTCGCTCGTGGGTGCTCTCGCTGACGACGTTGGTGTTGATTGCTCTGGTGTTCCAAACAGCTTTCTCATAAGATTTCAGTTGGCGTTCAGCAATTTATTATCCTCGATATAAGTATGAAGATGGAAGATGTTGCAGCTATGTCATTCAAATTGACAGCAGTTCTCTCGAGCCTAGTCAGACAGTACAGTCGCTTCTGCAAGTGGCATTCAAGCTGGAGGCGAATTCACACAAGCTCCGTATTCGGAATACCAAGTCACTCTACATCCCCTCAAATAGGTTGTCGGCAACTCAAATGCTATTAACGGTGTTGCTATCAGAGAAGGAATGCAGAAGGGCAGCGAGAAACAGGAGCACAGTGAGGCAGGCAAATGGTAGAGTACTATCAGCAGTTTACTGCGCTGAAGAGGTCCTACTATACACAGCATCAGTTGCATTTATTGTATAGCAGTAATCAGTCAGACGTGCGAGTGAATGGTATCTCTCATTCACTCTGTTATCACGACAATAGAAACGATCAGTAAGACTACATCACAGAACTCAAGCTAAAATCGCAAGAACAGAAGGCGTTATATGACGAAATAGAGCAATAACAGCTACCTCTCATCAACCAAATTATAAATCTCAAGTCCTGTAGCAGGATGGACTCGATATAACGTTATTGGGCTTGAGAGGATCGACGAACGGGATAAGTCGAGAAGGCTGGCAATTATGCACTGAACTCTATACTTCAGCTCGCCTTACTTCTAGTGGATGATATCTTCGGTGCTGAACATCTGCTTTTAGCTTGGCTATTCCGTTATAGTATAAAGGCAAGGGAATAATTCAAGAATATATTTACAGATATTTATTTTAACTTGGACCTACAATGCGGCACAAATATGGTCTGCAAACTGTGGAGATTATTGAGTAGACACGATTTACTCCAGATAAAATTCACCAGCATAAACCAAACACCCGTGCCCTAACCAGTCTGTGTTTTTCGAATTCCGCACTATACAGCTGCGAATCATCACATCTTCCAGCCCTTTCTCCTCTCAAAATAGGTGTTTGAAAATATAGTCAAAATTAATTTAAATACTATTAGATACACAAACGTGATAATACGAATGAAAATAATAAAAGAAAGATTCTAGAATGACAAAAGAGACATAAAATCCCATAATCCGATTTTTTAAGAGAAAAGAAGAAAAAAAGAAAAGAAAAGAGGATGAAAAACGCTTAAACGCACGAGGATATGAATAGAAAAATGTACAAAAAAGGTAGAATGATAGAAAGCTAGAAGATAAAGTCTAGCAAATGCAAGATTCGTAGTCGTTAATTACGCCCAGACCCGCATAATGAAGAATGGATAATAAAAATGAAGCCCAAAAAAAGAAAGAATAGAAATGTCAAGACGGATTAAGAGAGAGAGAAAGAAAGAAAGAAAGTGCTTTTGTAATCCATGTACCAGTCCCAAGAATAATTAGACATCAAAAATAAAAGAAAATAAAATGAATGAAAGATTAGAAAATAAGTATCAGTAATACATAATGAAAACAAGAGAGAAACGTTTTGTAATATATAGTATAACAATCAAGGTATGAAAACCATCAATCACAGCGCGAGATAATCAACATTCTCCCACGCTTTACTCGACAAGACCTCTTCCCAAGATTGATTAGTGGCCCATACCTCGTTCAAGACGGTCTTCGTCATGCTCCAGCTGCCACGGTACGTCTGGTTGTAAAGTGTATCCATGCGCTTGACGGCCGCTGCCCGACCTTCTGAGGTCTTTAGCTCGCAGCCAACGACAAACATGGGCCAGACCATTTGAATATCGGGTTCTGAACCTGGTTCGAGGATCGCGTGCAGTTTCTCGAATTCTTCAACACTTTTCGCAATACGGCGTCCGGAGGGATCCATACCCGTCGAGCGGAGGAGGAAGATAGTCGACGCTTGCGCCCAGCACTGCGAGCCGATTATATGCTGGACATAGTTGTATGACGCGTGACCGTCCCATTTCCGCAGACTAGAGTAGTTTCGAATCCGCGACTCAATCTCAGACGCGCGCTGCTGGATCTCGGCAAGCGAAAGTGACTCGGGCTCGTACTTCATCCGATGGCGGAGATGGCAGGTGTCTGAAATCGCGAGGATGATCTCGTCCGGACAGCCCATGATTCCTTCGACACCTGAATCTTCGGGCGAGAGGGGAAAGAAGTAGGGTCCGGAGAGATGCGGAGCTCGGTAGTCTTTTGAACAGGCGGATGAAAGGATATCGTACCATGCAAATATGCGGAACAGAAACATGCCGTTTGGTGCTGAAAGGACGTCGGCTGCAAGTTCACGATCTTCGATAATCGATGAGAACGCAGACAGATGCGACCGCACGGTAGCAGACTTTCCAGTATCCATAATCTATTGCCGGTTAGTCTCGGATTTTGATAAACAGATACAGACAAACTCACTTCGAATGTAATCAAGAAATAAATAACAGTCAAGACCGCAACACCAAGTCCGCGGCCCATATTTGTTTGATTGCGGATATTCTGGATATTAGGAAAACCCAAAGCCGACTGCGAAGGTTCCATGGATGTCGAACCACGAGCACCAGATGCACTGTTTCCGTTACTTCCATCGCTGCCGCTGTTGTTGTTGCTTGCACCTGCAATCGCCGCCGCGGCTGATGCAGCCGCAGATACCTCGTTTGGAGTCGTCGCGCTTGATGAGGAGGAGACTGCGCTTAGAACTTCGCCCAAGAATCTAATTGTGCGCGAATGGTATTCCAAACCGTTGGCGTAGTAGACCTCCGAGCCTTGTCGCGTAGCAAGGTGAACGTGGGCAAGGCAGAGGAAGCAGGAGAGAGCGAGTTCGTGCGTGCAGTAGGTGATTGCGAGACCAGCCAAAGGAGAGTTTTGAAGATTATCGAGCAGGGGTGCGACGTCTGTGAAGTAGTACTGCAGCATCTCTTGTTCTTCAGGCTTGATACTCCAAAACATCCCAAGCTCGCGAGACATCCTCGGCGACGTTGCTGCGGGAGGGGGACGCGCTGTGACGGATGGAGGGTGCAGCTTACTCGCGCTGACCTGCTGTGGAACGGCCTGGGCATTGGATGCGGCGGAGTACGACTGCGAGTTGGAGCGGAACGCAGGCGGACGCTGAGACGACAACTGAGGAGCGGTGGGCAGGAGGAGGTCGTACTGGAAATTGGAGAAGGCATACTCTGACGGCTGTGGTTCGGATTTGACGGTCACCTCAGCCGTTGGTTCGGATTGAGGGGTTGATGACGAAGACGAACCAGGCGAGGTCGAGAATGAGAGGGCGGAAGGAGCGATTCCGGCGCCGGGAACAAGCAAGTCAGGAGCCGGATGCTGCTGGGGCGGAGGAGCAGGGGCAGCGGCTGTTGTCGTAGAGGCGGAAGCGGTCGCAGGGGCGGATGAGGATGAAGATGTGGATGCAGATTCTTCGGATTTGATTTTTTTGGGAGAGTTGTCGGTGTCGGGAGCCGCTTTCTTTTTGCGAGAGCGCTTCGCACTGTCCATTCCAATCTGCACGACGAACTTGAGCTCTTTGCGAGGCGCTTGCTGCTGCTGTTGTTGTTGTGGTTGTTGTTGTTGCTGCTGCGCTTGAAGTTGTTGCTGCTGCTGTTGTTGTTGTTGTTGTTGTTGTTGTTGTTGTTGTTGCTGTTGTTGCTGTAGAGGGTAGTCACCAAAAGACGGCGTGAGAAAGGCGATATCTATAGGAGCACCGGTTGGAAGAGGAGTGGAGGGCGGGACGACGGGAGTTCTTGCGGCGAGGGACTCGCGCAGACGGGGTCTCCTGCGAAAGCCGACGACGGGACGACCTTTGAGATCAAAGTGGACGCCGGAAGCGATATGGCGGGAGTCGTCGACGTCGAAGGAGAGACGGAGGTCGTAGCCCTCGCACTCGCGGTTGTTTTTGATGCAGTTCATGCAGAAGGGTTTTGCTTCGTCGCACTTGCGGCGACGGGCTTTGCAGGTCCAGCATCCTGAGCGGACGCGGACGATTTTTTGCTGCGTCGGGGGCGGAGGGGCGGCGGGGGTAACAGCGGCAGCAGCAGCGGTAGAGGAGGAGGAGGAGGATGTAGAGGTGGTGGTGTTTGTGGATGAGGACAGCTGCTGTGGCGGGGCGACGAGGCCAGGAGCGGCAGGGAAGGCGCTCTGCTGGGCAGCCAGAGACGGCTGGGGGTCTGCCATTGGCACAGGAGTAGGATCCACCCCGCAGCCAAGAAGGAGGAAAGAAGTAGAGAGAGAGGGAGGGAAGAGAGGAGAGGAAGAGGGGAGATGCGAGGAAAGGAAGGCGTCGAAGTGATGTCGCGAGGAGGAAGAAATCAAGTCTGCGGACCGAGCGGTGCACCAGCTCAGAGCCGCGGTGTTTGTGCGTTTATGCGGCTGCTGAGGCCCAGACGAGGCTATTGTGAGGAGAACTGTGGACGAGGGATATGGGATGAAGTGGAGATGTTTGGATATATCTGGCGGTTATGTTACAATAACAACAACAACTGCTACTTCTACTCTCATCCTCTACACCACTCCTCCTCTCCTACACCCCTCCCCCTCCACCACCGCTCCTCTTCCCTCTGCCTCCAATCACCCGCAATCCCTGCACGGGCCGCCGCCGCCGCGGGTCGCATGTGGCTTTTGCGTGGCTCGTGCCGACTGCGCCGAGCCACTAACTCCGGCTGGCTTATCTCCTGATTATCTTATTACCCCCTACTATTGTTAGTAAGCACTCTGCTCAGCACAGCTAAATTTTAACCTACGCCATCTCCGTCTACATAGTACTCTAACCCACCTCATCTCATCTCCTACGCCACTCTGAGATGGGAAAACCCGGAAAAGACCGCAACAAGGGCAAGTCTGCTCGAGGCGGCAGTGCAGCAGGCGGCGGCAGGTCTCGAGGGGGCAAGTCCTGGACTTCGGGTTCAAGAGAAGCAAAGCACCGGGGTATCATTAACCTGGATCGCCCTGCCTCTGCTATCGACAACGATCCGGCGGAGAAGACTGAAGCTGTTGTTAATAAACTGCCAGTTAAGACTGCTATGTGGGTATGCTATCATATATCACTCTTCATTCTGCACTATCTATTTCTACCTGCTCACGCTCTACCCCAGGACTTTGACCAATGCGACCCCAAGCGCTGCTCAGGCAAGAAACTCGCCCGTCTAGGTCTGATCAGAAACCTCAGAGTTGGCCAGAAATTCCAAGGCCTAGTCATATCGTGCGTCTGCTTTTCTACTTCATCCCTGTCTTTTCTGCTCCTCGGCTAACAGTACTATCAGACCCAGCGGGAAATTCCCAGTCGCGCCCGACGACCGAGAAATACTCGAAGAGCACGGCGCTGCCGTCGTTGAGTGCTCATGGGCATGCGTTAATGAAATTCCTTGGAACAGAATCGGAGGAAAACACGAAAGACTACGTAAGCTTCTTTATTTCTCGCAGATCCGTCTATTCTCTCTCTCTCTCTAACCTACATCAGTACCATACCTTATCGCAACAAACCCCGTCAACTACGGCAAACCCTGGAAACTCAACTGCGTCGAAGCCCTCGCTGCCACATTTGCAATCTGCGGCCACCGCGAGTGGGCGACCGAGATCATGAGCCATTTCAGCTGGGGCAGTGCGTTTCTAAAAGTGAATGCTGATTTGCTGGATGTTTACTGTAAATGCACTGATGCGGATTCGGTTATTAAAGCTCAGGAGGAGTGGTTGGATAAGATCGATGCCGAGTTTCAGTTGCGAGAGGAGAAAAAGGCGAGAGGTGAGGTTGATGATGTTTGGTTGACTGGTAATATGAATCGCCTTGCTATAGAGAGCGAGGAGGACACTGATGATGATGAGGAGGAGGAGGATGAGGATGAGGAAGAAGAAGAGGACGACGACGACGACAATGAAGAGCAGTCTGACTCCTAATGTATATATCAAACAATAATAATTACTCCACCTATACCTTATACCACCCTCATCATCTTAGACTAATGCTGTCAAAATATTATTACTCCATCCATAGCCTATATACACTACTCCCACTCTCTTCATCATCTATGTTGTCAAAATATTATTACTCCATCTAAAGCCTATATACACTACTCTAACTTCTTCAGCTGCTCAATCTCCTTCTGCACCGCCTCGCCCTCCTCCTCAATCACCTCAATCACCTCCTGCGCATGCCACATCCCCGCATACACTCCTCCCTGACTCGAAATCAATTCACCATGCGTACCCTCCTCCACCATCTTGCCTCCCTTCAGCACAATGATCTTATCAGAGTCCATAATCGTCCTCAACCGGTGCGCAATAAACACGCTCGTCGTCCCCTCTTCCTTAACAATTCCATTGATGTTCTGCATCAACGACTGCTCCGTCTGCGTATCAAGCGCAGAGGTCGCCTCGTCGAAAAACATAATCTCCGGGTTCTTCAGAATCAGCCGCGAAACCGCCAACCGCTGCTTCTCGCCCCCCGAGATCATCATTCCTCGCTCGCCGACCTTGGTCTGCCACCCGTCCGGAAGATCGGAAATCAGCTTGTCGATCTTTGCGCGCTCGGCCGCCCGTCGCACTTCTTCGTCCGTCGCGTCCATCCGGCCGTACCGGATGTTATGCAAGATCGTATCGTTGAACAGCGGCGTGTCCTGCGGCACCACTCCGATCTTGCGGCGAAGACTGTCGAGGCTCACGTCCCGGATATCCTGCCCGTCGACCAAGATCCGACCGGACTGCACGTCGTAAAACCGGAAAAGCAGGCGCAGGATCGTGGACTTGCCGCTGCCGCTTGGACCCACGATCGCCGCTTTTTGTCCGCCGGGGATCGTGAACGTCGCGTTTGAAAGAATGGGGCGGTCGGGGTGGTACCCGAACGTCACGTTCTCGAACTTGATATCGCCGTTTGTCAGCTTAAGCTCCGGCGCGCCGGGCTTGTCGATAATCGCCACGTTCACCTTCTGCAGATTGAACAGCGTCTCCATGTCAAGCAGCGACTGGCGTAGTTCACGATAGACCGTGCCGAGGAAGTTGAGCGGGACCGAGAGCTGAAACACGAGCTGGTTGACCATCACCAGATCGCCGACCGTCAGCGATCCATCCATGACTCCCTGCGCTGCCATGTACATCATCGCCGTCAGCGCGGACGAGAAGATGAGGTTCTGGCCTGAGTTGAGGAGCGCGAGCGAGGTCGCAATCTTGATCGACGAGGCCTCGTAGTCTGCCAGCGCATTGTCGTAGAGTTTGGCTTGGTATCCCTCGTTGTTGAAGTACTTGACCGCCTCGTAGTTGATGAGCGAGTCTACTGCAACAGTCGCGGCGCGGTTGTCGGCCTTGTTGGCGTCCTTGCGGAACTTGGTCCGCCACGCGGTCGTCTTGATTGTGAACATTGTGTACGCAAGCATGGTGAAGAATGTGACGGCCGCGAACTGCGAGCCGTAGCTGTACGTGAGCACGCCGCAGACCATTCCGATCTCGAGCGTGATGGGCAAGACATGGAAGATCATCGACGTGAGCACAAACGAGATACCTTTGGTACCGCGGTCGATTGCGCGCGATAACCCACCTGTCTGTCGCGAGAGGTGGAAGTTGAGATCGAGCCGGAGTAAGTGCTGAAACACGTCGAGCGCGACCGAGCGAATCGCTTTTTGCGCGACGGAGGCAAAGATCGCGTTGCGCAGCTCGCCAAAGAGTGTTGAGCCCGCGCGCGCAAGGCCGTAGCCGACAATGACGGCGCCGGCAACGGTCCAGAGCGTGCCGGCGTGGGAGGTAAAGTCGATGTTCATTGCGTCGATGATCTCTTTGAAGAAGAAAGGGACTTGCACGTTGAGCACTTTAGCGCCGATGAGCAGGATCAGAGCAATCACGACGCGCACTTTGACGCCATTTTGTCCCTGGAAGTGTGTCAGTATGTGATCAGCAAATTCTCAACTGTAATGGTAGGATAATGTATGGAATAAGGCCTACCTTTGGCCACAGATACTGCATCATCTCCTTCATGATGGCCCAATCCGCCGCGCGCTGCGTCTTTGGCTCGACGACTTTTTCCTCGAGCAAAGCATTTGCAGGCGGCTTGCTGAAGTTTTGCAGTTTTTTCTCCTCTGGTTTGGCCTCTGGCTTGACTTCCTCAGCAGAAATGGGTTTCTTTGCTGACTGGTTCGGAGATGACTGCTTGGAGGAGTTGGGGAGTATCGGAGAAGAGTGCAGGAGACGTATCTGACGCGCGCGGTGGGCGGTCTGCACGACTGACGATAGACGCCATCTCAGACCTGGAGCAGGAGAAGGAGAGGATGAGGAGGAGAAGGAGGAAGAAGCAGATGAGGAGAACGAAGTCGACTGGGATTGAAACGGGTGGGCAGCTACGGCAGCCGAAGCAGCTGGGAGAAGGAGCAAGGACGGGCGCTGCAGCGCGAGCAGACCCAGTCTTGCGCGCAAGACCGACATTGGATTACGCTGGATCAGAGGGTGATCGGCAGACAGCGACGCTGCGAGTGAGCGGGAGCAGGAGGAGCAGGAAGGATGATGGACGAGAGGAGGAGGAGGAGGATTCTGGGGAAGCTGGTTCGAGGCCGGGATTGAATTTATTTTAGCGTTTTGTCCACGAGCCGTTCTCGGGATTGCGCAATAGCAGCGCAACTGCGTCGCTGAGCACGCGGATCTACGGCTGCTCTGTGAGAAAACAGCAACAAACAGGAGGGAAGCAAAGAGACAGCCTGGTCTGACTATGAGAAGATCTCTGCAGCGGGAAGAAGCAAATATCTGGCTGCCGGGCGGTTGGCTGCGTGGGCCTGGTCTGAGTCACGTGAACTGCTCAAAAGTGCTCGTATTTTGCTCATACGGCGCATGAGCTGCGGGTGGATGAGATGTTTGGTGGTTGTTGATACAGATACGAAGCAATTGAGATGCTGAGAATAAAACACTCTGTATTTGCACATCAAATAGCGGTGTTTGTCTACGTAGAAACAGATATCGAGCAGATATCAAACAAAAGACCAGAGCCACATCGGCTGAGGCGGCGCGGGCTCATCCTCATCGCCTCTTCCTCCCAGTTAAACATAGAATCTCTTCACACTTCCTCTTCCAGCCCACATTCCGTCCGCGTCCTCGCTGGCACCGTTTAAATTCACACGAGAACTCGACCAGAAGACAGCTGTCGGCGGTTCGGTCTTGGGTTGTGCATCTTCGGGGGGACGGGTGGCGCAAATTTGCGCAGTCTCTCCGCATTTGCTCGTTTTCTGCTCGTCTTTGATTTCCTGACTCGAGAGCGTATATAATACCTGCTCGGGCGCTACTTGACTTTTGTCTTTGTTTGTCGTTTGTCTTTTTTATCTCGACATGACACCAACTCCTCTACATCTCGTGGCTCGCGCTGCTGCTTATATGACACAAGACATGGACATGCCCGACATGCCCGACATGCCTGGTATGGACCATGGCGGTATGGACCACGGCGGTATGGATCACGGCGGTATGGGCCACGGCGGTATGGACATGGGCTCCGGTTCCTGCAAAATGAACATGATTTTCAACTCTGGCCTCAAAGACATCTGCATCGTCTTTGAATGGTGGCACATCCGCAGCGGCTTCTCCGCCTTTGTCTCGTTACTTGCCGTTGTCGCCCTCGGTGTGGGATACGAATACCTTCGCACGCTTGCCACCTCGCGCTTGTTGAATCCGAAACCTACGAGTGTCGAAATCCCACTCCTCTCAGACATGGACAGAGACAGCGACGACGAGTCCGTCACAGAATCCAGCGGCAGCCCCACCGCGCAAGCAGACAGCGACAGCCTCAACGGCGCAAACGGCGAAGAAATGAGCACGTCCTCGACTCTGGTTGATCTAGAGGCGACGACGACGGCAGCAAGTCGCAAAGCTGCTGTCTCGCGCTCAAAGTACGGCGCCGTCAGCTCGTATCTCGACCGGACTTCGCGGTCGTTTATTCAGCGGCACGCGCGGTTTTTTAAGGCGCTGATGTATGCCGTGCAGGTTGTTTATTCGTTTTTTATCATGCTTATTGCCATGACCTATAACGTATGTTTTTGCCGTCTTTTATTTGCTTGGTTTGCTCGTCATTGAAGCTAACGAGTTATCTACAGTGCTGGATCATCATCGCAGTCGGCGTAGGTGCATTCATCGGCCACCTCACATTCGGCAGCAAATCAGGCTCGACAGCAAAAGGAATGTCCTGCCATTAACTTGAACAGCATCACTCGCCAACTCTTCACTTACTCTCACGCATCTGTTCTTATTCTCGCACATCTCTGCACGATCGCTCTATATTTGACTCTGGGCGGGTGTATACATGATATATTATTTAGGGGTTTACGGTTGGGTTTTTAGTGTTTGCATTTGTAATCTTTTAATACGAGTAGAAGTAGAAGTAATTTATCTGTAATTTGCTCAGTTGTGGGGAGTTTATATGTGGACGAGTTATGACGGCTCTGAGCAGGTCTGATAACCTGGGAAAACTAGATAAGCAGCCAACCCTCACTACTCAACCTCGTCCTTACATCTCATCTTTCCACACGCATCTTGTTCTATAGCTTTCAACATCTTTGCTTATCTTCAGAATTCAGTCACAATGGACCACAGCCACCACCACCATCACCACGCCTCCCCCGACGACGCAGCCTGCAAGATGGCCATGATCTTCAACTGGGACCCCATCGACACCTGCATCGTCTTTGAATGGTGGCACATCCGCGGCCTGTACTCGCTCACGGCAAGTCTGCTTGCCGTCGTCGCGCTCGGCGTGAGCTACGAGTATCTGCGTACGTGGCCTGAGGCTGCTGTGCTGTCTGCGCCGGCGGTCCTGCGGGGCGAGAAGAAGGTTGATGATGGGGAGGGCAGCGGGTATGGACCGCTTATGATGTTTGTCAATAGGAATAGGAAGGAGGTTAAGGCTGTGCTGTACGGCGTGCAGGTCGTGTATTCCTACTTTATCATGCTCGTCGCCATGACATATAACGTACGTCCCCTTCTGCTTTGTATCTGTCTATTGTTGCTAACGGCGGATTGTGCAGGGATGGATTCTCTTGGCGGTCGGCGTGGGTGCATATCTGGGTCACCGGATATTCAACAAGGAAGAAGACGAGAGCGGTCCGAAAACGCAAAAGAAGAGAGGGATGTCGTGTCATTGATCTATAAATTATTGCATTGTTGATGGATGGTGGCATGTAAAAGTGAGCAGATAGGATGAATTTGTATCTACATCGACTTATAAAACGAGACAATTCATTAAGATACCTACACATACTACACACATGCAAACAAACAATGCAATCTCCAAACAAGACCAATCAGTCTTCCAGCATATGTAGCCCGCACATCTCAAGTCTCCACCATCATCTATTTTTACTCATCTATACGCACGTACTTATTTGATAAACTCCTTGAAGTTGTCTACACTTCGAAACTCCACCTTGCCCGAGGCGTCGACCGAAGCCACTTTTAAATGCCCGCCGTTCGACGCGTTGCCGGGTTTCTTTGCGTCCTCTAGAACCACATCGCCTTCCTCTGTCGTCACGCCGCCCACCTCTGTCGCCGCGGTCGCGCTCGCAACAGCAGCAGCAGGGGCAGGTGCGAACGAACTTGGCTGTACTCGCGCGTACTCATACACCTCCCGCGCCTCAGCTCCCGGAATCACATCCGCCAGTCTCGGAGCACGCGACTGCACGAGAACGGTGCAGGGGCCCTTGAATTTGAAGAAGAGTTCCTCGCCCCAGATGAAGGTGCGGATCGCGGATTTGGTCTTGTACCATGCGCGCGAGAGGAACGCACCTGATTTGCTCTCTGAGAATGATGATAGCGGGGAAGGGGATGAAGATGCTGATGACGATGACGGGAGGAATTTCGAGAACCAGGAGGTGAGTTTTGGAACCTGTAGGCGCATACGGGTGTGTCGCAGACGATACGGCGTCGGTTTGGCCGCGGGCAGATTCGAAGTATACGCGACCACGTTTGCGGGATGAACTGCAAACTCCTCGGTCTCGTCCTGGAGCGTGACCTGATAAATCTGACCTTTGCCCACGATCGCGACCTCGCCGCGTCCAGAGAGCACGGTGTTTCCCCAGCGGGAGAGCGAGAGGCTCGGCACGAGCTTTGGCTTGACGGTCAGGGTTGAGCCGGACCAGGCGAGGAGCGCGTTGCGCTGCGCAATTGTCCAGTCGAGACGGCCGTCGAGGGAGAGGACTGCGAATGTCGTTTGCGCGGAGCCGGATTTGGAGGTAATCAGCGCTGTCAGGGGGGTTGTGCTTGTGATCTGGAGGGGTCAGTTGTGCTCGGTATGCTCCTTTATATTCACTCGAAGAAAATGACATATGCAAGAGTAAATCACAGAGTATGGTACCTTCTGATATAGAAATGGAATGCCGGCGAGAGCGCGAGCAGTTGGTCGCAAGATCGATAGAGTCGAGGTAACCTATCCAATGCGAGCGCAAGTCAGCAATCGGCCTAAACCAAAGGATGTAAGGCAGCACGCACATTTTCCAGACTGCCGTTCACGCCAACAAGCGTTCCTCGGCGGGTGTAGAGAGTCGACGAGGCCGGTAGGGCGACGTTTAGTAGACTCGCGGGGGTGCCCAGAACCTCGAACTTTGGCGCTACAACAGACGAACAGTTAGCAGGCTTGCTCTCCAACCAGCAGCTAGCACCCAGCGCAATCACACTCAGGCTAAAGAAGTAGACTGACCCTTCGGAAACGGTCCGTCGCCGCTGATTTGAGGAACGTCTTTGATCAGGTCCGAGACGTCCATCGAGAGCGGGATCGAGGCGGTAGGCGACTGCGCGATGTGCACGCTGCGCCGGGAGAACAGCAGCGCGCGCGATTGCTGCGTCGAGCAGGAGATCACCGGGCGACGCATTTTGTGTTTTTGTGTTTATATTCCGTGGAGGAGGAAAAGCAGAGATCTTTCGGGGCTTTTGGAGGAGAGGATTGCAGAGGAACGAGAACGCGGGAAGTGGTCGATTTAGGAAGGGGCTCGTAGCCAGGTCCAGGTCCGTTCTGCTTTCTGTTTCTGGGCTTGTTCTTGTCTTGTTCTTGTTTATATACTCTTTGTTTCTTTATAATGAATGTTCAATGCATTAATATTTATTCTCTTTTTTTCTTATATTATAAAAACAAAACATGCACTGCTTTGCCCAGTTGGCAGAATGCTGCGGCGCCTTGTAGTGAGAACCCAACCATACGAAAATACAACTTAATAAGAAAGATAACAAACGACAAAAGATTCTAGTACAGTAGAAGAGCGAAAAGCTTAGGATTTAGACACAGCACTCAGAGTCATGAGCGAGTGATCGAAAGCACGGGAAAGAGACAAAATGAAGACCATCACCATCATGCATTGGAGCTCATACTGCTTTGAAGACTTAACGGGTAATGTGGATGAACTCTCTCTCTCTCTTACGTTCCTGGATAGAGTCGGGCGCGACGTCCTGGAACAGGTTTCCACGCCATGGTCGGACGTACCCGCCGAGGTATTCTCGCAGCTTGGCGGGGGCCATGCCGATGTCTGCAAAGGTGGCCGCGCTCTTGTCGACGGTCTGGTCGATGGTCATGCGCTCAACCTCGTCGGCGCATCCGATGGGCCACCAGATGAGCTTGTTGAGTTTATCGGTGAGCCACGCGTAAGGAGCCTTGGGGACGCTGATCTGCGAGTAGCGGATGAGACCCTCGTACTCGCAGAGGCGGCGGATGTCGTCGAGCGAGTACTCGTCCGGGCCGTAGAGCTCGAAGGTCTTGCCGGCGGTCGAGTCGTCGAAGGCGATCTTTTTCAGAGCAGCGGCGACGTCCATGACGTGCACGGGGCGGATGACCTGGGCACCGTTGTTGACGACGATGTTGGGCCAGGCGATAATCTTCCGGACGACCTTGTCCTCCTGGCCGACCATTGGCGACGGGCGGACGATGGTGGTGAGCGGGAAGATCTCGCGGGCGACTTGCTCGGCCTCGAATTTTGTGCGCAAGAAGGCGGAGGGGGAATCCGGGGAGGCGTCGTGGGAGGAGACCTGGACGAAGCGCTCGACGTTGAACTTTGCGCAGGTCTCTGCGATGCGGCGGGTGGTTTCGACGTTGACGTCGTTGAAGTTGAAGAGCTTGGTCTCGTAGTTGCGGCCGATGAGGTTGAAGACAATGTCGGAATTTTTGACGGCCTCCTCGACGGAGTCCATGTTGCGGATGTCGAACTCGATGAAGTTGACGACGCCGAGGTCGCCGGTGACTTTGAGGAAGCGCTTTCGCATTTCCTCGCGGTAGGGGACCATGACGACGGTTCCCTGGCGGGCGAGTTTGGAGACGAGGTACCGGCCGAGGAAGCCATTGGCGCCAAAGACGGTAGCTACCCGACCAGTTCGCGAGGATCTAAATCGTGTGAGAATGGCTATCGAGGAGGGATTTTAAGCTGGCTGCTAGAAGAAGAGGATGAGAACTGACCTTCCGCCGGTACCGGAGCTGATGACGGGCTTTCCAGAGAGGGTGATTGCCAGATCCGCGACACCCCGCGAAGCCGCGAAGAGGGCAGCTGGAAGGAGTCAGTGATGAGCAGAGAAGACAAGACGCGTTAAGAAGAGAGGATAGACACACCGTTCCGGTGCAGGGACTGCAACTGCACACGCGACTGAGCCAGGAACAGCATTGTTTTGCGTAGAATGTCGAGAAAAGAGCTGCGGACTCGAAAAGTTGGATGCGAATCCGGAGGTTTTTGGTGTCTTCGAAGTTGGTGAACCTCCGTTTACCGCCGCGCTGATTGGCAGAATCCTGTGCGCGCGCGGTTTGTTGTTTACGCCGTAATCATGTGACGCTGTGTGCTTATGTAATGTGTAAGAGATTATGTCATCACATTGAGGGCTGGGGTTCCCGGCGCTGCTCTCTCGCGTTCTCCAGCAGCTCGACGGTTGCCTGCTCAGAGCTGACATTGTTGCTGTTTGTTTGTTCTTTGCTTCTTCTCAAACAATCACCGCTCGAGTCAGCAGAGACCGCCGGACTAGATTCACATATTCACACGACAGATCATGGCGACAATGGACATAGACCACGACGTGCCTACGATCCTCTCCACGCTGCGCTCGGAGTCGGCGCCTGAGCTCGCCGGTGATTTCTACGCAATGGAGGATTTGTGGGAGCGGAGGTATGTCTGTGATGATTGATGATCTTGTGTTGATCAGAAGAGATCACTTCTTCGCTTCGATCCGTACTAACAACTCACAGACTCTGGCACCAGCTCACCGACGTCCTCGTGCGTTTCTTCGAGCATCCCGACAGCGCTCCGCTGCGAACGCGAGTCTACAACCAGTTCGTCTCGACCTTCGAGTCCAAGATCAACCAGCTCAAGCTCGTCAGTCTTGGTCTGGCCACAGCGGCGACGTTTGACAACAAGACCGAGGCGCTTGAGTTTATGACTGCGCTCGCAGAGAAGGTCAACTCGCCATCGACTCAAGACGCATACGTATACGCCACTATCGAGAGCGCACGCGTGAAGCTGCAGCTCAACGATCTCGATGGTGCGCGCGAGACAATGGATGCCGCGTCGGCGATCCTCGATAAGTTTGACTCGGTCGAGTCCGTCATCAACGCCGCGTTCTACTCCGTCAACGCGGACTACTACAAAGCCAAGGCTGATTTCGCGCAGTACTACCGCAGCTCTCTGCGGTTCCTCGCCTGCATCTCCATCACCGATCTGTCGCTGATGGCGCAGCGCGAGCGTGCATATGATCTCGCTATCGCGGCCTTGCTCGGCGACAGCATCTACAACTTTGGTGAGCTTCTGCTGCACCCCATCCTCGACAGTCTCGCGGCGACTGAGTTCAAGTGGCTGCGCGATCTCTTGTTTGCACTCAACGTCGGAAATCTTGCTGTTTTTGACGAGCTGCGTCCCAAGCTGGCGTCGACGCCGATTCTCGCGGGCACAGACGAGTTCCTGCGCGACAAGTTCTGCACTATGGCGCTCATCGAGGCTGTCTTCCAGCGCCCGGCATCCGACCGCACGCTCTCGTTCTCGATGATTGCAAACGAAACGCGACTCAGCCACGAGAACGTCGAGTTTCTGGTGATGCGCGCGCTCAGTCTCGGTCTGATGCGCGGCACGATCGACCAGGTGGGCGAGCGTGTAAACATCACCTGGCTGCAGCCGCGGATCATGACCAAAGACCAGATCGAAAGCATGCGGCAGCGACTGATTGAGTGGGACCGCTCGGTGAGCGAGCTGGGTGGATGGGTTGAGACTGCTGGTAAGGAGGTGTGGGCGCAGTAGATGAATAAATGTTCTATATAGCTATTGTATTGTAGTAGAGAAGTATTAGTCATAGCTTACAAACCATCAACCAACTCAGGGGCGCTGGTCTTCTGCCTCACATCCGCAGCTTTGTCCAGTAAACAAACGCCAAAAAGGCCCCAATTCGCCCGCCCGCGCCGAGGAATTGCAGATTCGGAACGATAAGAAACCAGAACGGAACCGCAGCATGCTCCCGGACGAGCAGCGAAGATGAAATCACGTATGTTGTTGCTCCGCACGCTCAGGATCAGGTTGCGCAGGTTACTAAACAGGCTCATCCATCCAGCCTCCGCCATGCTCGAAGACGCAGTCCGCAGCGGTGCGTTCGACGCCGAGACGCAGTCGTGGCCGGCGCTGCGTAGTCATATTATCAGTCTGATAGAAGACGCGTTCGCGACGCAGTTCACCGCTGCTGCACTCAGACCCCGACCGACATCTACATCTACATCAGCTCGCCAAGACACGGCAGAGACGACAGAAGCAGCGGCAGAGACAGAGACAGAGAGAGAAACAGAAAGAGAAATAGATACGGAGACAGGAACAGCAACAGCAACAGCAACAGCAACAGCGACGGCAACAGCACCCATCGCCAACGGCCCCACAGACCAGCAGACCACAGAGCTCAAACACGTCATAGACACCCTCATCAGCGGCTTCCCGACCGCGCCGCCGTTCACGCTGCAACGCCTGGCCGAGCTGGCGAAATACCCTACCCGGCATCACAACACGCGCGACAAGTACCTGCGCGCGCTTTCGCGGGTTGTGTCGGTCGAGAGCTGTATGGGCGAGTTCCGGGACTTTTCAAATAGCGACGGCACCGGGTTCTCGACGCTGGGACTGAACGGGAATGAGCCCGAGGTCAAGCTGAGTCCGATCGAATGGTTGATTGATACGGGAACGCCGCCGCCGCCGGATGCTGATGAGGTGGCTACTAACGGGGATGCAGAGGCGAGCACGCACACAGACGAGGATGAGCAGATGGATGTCGATTCGACGACGGCGCTGCCAGAAAGTAACGGCGAGTCAGCTGCAGAGCAAACGCAGTAAGAAATTGCATCTTGCTACAGTACAACTACTATTTCCAATATGTACAATATCTGTATTAATATCTGCTGCAATCTACAATATACATAATAGGATCCGTAATCTAATACACATCAAGAGCATCCTGCGGTCTCTCCCACTCCTTCGGGAACATTGGCACTTTCTTCTTTGGCTTGACGTGTCTGGTGTCGCGCGGAATGTCCTCAAACGCCTCGGTCTCGATGTCGTAGGCCTCGACCAGCAGCTTCTTCAGCGAATCAGCCAGGAACTTTTTGTTCTGCACCGCGTTCGGGAAACGCTCGGAGCTCATGTGAACGATGCCGGAGGTCGGATTGTATCGCGGTCCGCAGAGCAAAGACATCTTGTGCACCCGCTTAGCGCGCTCTTTGCCTTCGCCAAAGTACAGCTTCGCGACCGCCTTCATCTCGAATTCAACCGTCACCTTCGCCTCGCCCGCATGCTCCTGTCCCATGTAGGTTGTGTACCGGAACTTGAAGACCTCTTTATTGGTAGGAGCAACAAACGGAATCGCTTCCTTGCTCAGCAACGGCATCTCCCAGGCCGCCACGCGGTTGTACTCTCGCTTCTCGCGGTGCTGCTCCACCCGGCGATGCACCTCTGACGGCAATTCGTCTCCGTCCTGCGGTCTCTCCACGGGCCAGAACTCTTCATTTTCTTGTGCGGTCTCGAGCTCCATCTGCTGGCGAAGGTCGTCCGCCATAACGTCCGTCGGCGTCTCCAGTTCTTCGTCGCGCGGCATTTTGATCGTGAACGAGTTACGATTAGGGCCTACCGCCTCCTCTGGACTCGGGTCGTAGTAGATAAAGTCCTCGTCGTCTCCTCCGGGATCTTGCCCGGTCTTCTCTGCCCTCTTCCGCATAGCGTCGTCATACACTGCGATTTCCGCCGCAACGTCCGAGTACTCTGCGTCGCGCATGGAAGGAAAGCTGCCCCGGTATCTAGCCTTGATCTCGTGGTAGTTCTCCGGTAATTCGAGACCGCCCGAGTCGTCTTCATCATCGCCCTCCTCCTCCTCGTCGCGTGCTGGTCGTGTGGATGAAAAGTAGCGGCCGGGAGTCGTCGCAGTGATCGGAAGAAGCGCCCGGCTGCGCTGCTGCTGCAGGGCTCTCGCGGGCAGCGCCAATTGCCGACGTATTAACAAGCGCAGCATTGTCTGTGTTCTCTCGAAGCACCTGAGTGAAATATACAAAAGCGCTGGATGAGAACGCAGTTGAAGACGACGACGAGAATGAATTCGACGAAGAAAAAACCAAAACGAGGACAGAAAATGCATTGAAACCGGAATCTTGAACCTGAACCTGAACCAGCTCCAAACCCTCGCTGAACTGTAAGCGGGAACCTCCCCCCAGGCTCATCCCTCCTCTCATCCTTTAATCGGCATCGTCAGACTCGGTTGTCCGTCAGAATTATTTGCCAGAAACAACAGCAACGGCAGCGAAACGACAGGGCAGACGAGTGCGGAAACGGAATACACAATTAGAAGACCGCGAGGAGATTCAGCCTGTTTTTCAGATATTCGTACATGCGACCGGCAATCATTGCAGTCTCTGATCTGAACCTCCGACCAGCTACCTCCTAATACTTCCTACGCGACAGAAAGAAAAATACACTGGAACGATGCTTCCGGCCGGGAAGGGCAAAGGAAAGGGTAAACCGACCGCTGCCGGGTCTGAGATCGATGTTCCGCCGGCGGTCTACGATAACCTGATTGCCACGTACATTGCGAGCGCGAGCAATCTAGCCTCTGGATCTGCAGCTGGCGGTGGTGGCGGCGGTGCAGCGGCAGATGCTGCGGTGGGAAGTCGCTCGACGTCGCCTGAGCTGTCTGCGTTGGGTGGGTCGGGGAACGGGGCGGCGATTCCACCGCTGGCGTCGTTGACGGCGTTGCATGCGGACCTTAAGATTTTGGTCGGTAAGGCGCAGGCGAGGATAACGAGGTCCCAGACGGCGCTGCGCAAGCTGGAAGCTAGACGGACAAAGCTGGCGTCGAAGATACAGGTTGTTGAGAGTGCTAGTAAAGCAGCAGAGAGAACTGGCAGCGAGGAACCACTGCCGAAGCGAAAGAGCATGCATGAGGGTAATTATTCACCTCTTTCTTTTAAAATTCAATTACGTGATATACGTGATATCTTCGAGTGCAGTTGACTAACTATTCAACTTCTAGCCTCTGTCAAAATTGAAGACTCCGAGCCAGAAAGACAACGAAGACGACTGAGCTCAACAGAACCGCCGTCGACGGCAGCCGCGACCGCGACAAACTCTCCCACAAGATCACCTTCGAAAGCTCTCACGTCCGGCAAGCGTCCTCCAGAGACATCACCTCCTCCCCCGAATTCTATCGCACAATCTTCAGTTGCTGCGTCTGTCTCCGCAACGGCGGCGGAGTCGCTGGCAGCGACGGCTACGAGTTCTTCGGTTTCAGTTGATGGGCTTGGGGCGAAGGTTGATGAAGACGGTGGGTCGAGAGCTGCAAAGTCAACAGAGTCGAATGTTCAGTCGACGGTAGACACGAGAGAAAAGAACCCGGGGTCGGAGTATGTGTCTGTGCAGACGATTCCTACTGCTGCACTGGCGTTCATGAACGACACCTACGACGACCAAATCCCGTCGTCCGGCACCGAAGATTTGAAGAAGAAATACGGCGTGGCGTCGTATCCTACAAAAGATCTCTCGAGCTTGCTTCCCGGTGACATCCCCGATGAGGATTTCTCAAAGGCCAAACCGGCGAATCAAGTCCAGGCTACAACTTTCCAGGCTTACATCGAGCCCTACTTCAAGCCCTACACAGAAGAGGATCTCTCGTTCCTGTCTGAGAAGCAGGATAACCTGACGCCATATCTCATCCCCCACCTCGGTCCGTACTACCAAGATGTGTGGGCGGAAGAAGACGGTGGGACGGGAAACTACTCCCCCGCGCCGCGAGATTCATCAGGCGGAGCGGCGGGCAAGTTCCACGATCCCGCAGCACGGCTGATGTCCTGCGGCAGCTCTGAGCAGCTATCGGAGGATTTCCTAGAGACTGAGGATATTTCCTGCGGACCGCTGGCGAGCCGGATACTCTCGGCACTGCTCAAGGACGAGTCTGACGATCTGCCGATTCCAAACACGACAACGATAAACGGCAACGCAAATACCGTGCTCGGAGTCCCGCCTACGTCTGCTTCTACGGCTGCCAACGGCGACGATGAAAATAGCAGTGCGGTGCCGGCGTCGGCTGCGGCGGTTGCGGCGGCAATGGCGGAGGGCGCGCAGGTTCTGTCGTCGTCGTCTGCGTTTGCCGAACAGCAAGGCTGGCGCGTGTCCTCCGTCAAAGCGGACTATCAAACCCTTGAAGAGCGACTTAAGCGCGAATTCAGATACGTCGGCATCCTCGGCGACAACGACGACCAGCAGCAGCAGCAGGCTTTACTTACCGGCCCCACGGGTGCGGGAAAAGGCGCTGGCGGCGGCGCAGGCGGGAGTCAGTTGGTGCCCGAGTGGGCTACGCGGGAAGACGACGAGATATGCGCGGAGCTACGGAAGCTGCAGCGGCAGCTGCGGGGCGTTTCGGTCGTGAACGCGAAGCGGAAACGGGTGCTGGAGAAGATTGTGCTGGAGCAGATGGCGTATCAGGAGTACACGCAGATTCTGGAGGACCTCGATAAGCAGGTTGATCAGGCGTACATCAAGCGCACGCGCACGATCCGAAACAAAAAGAAGAAATCGTCGTCTTCGTCGTCGAACCCAGCAAACTCCTCATCCTCAGCCGCGAACGCGTCCACGCCCGCCACAAACGGCGCAGCGCCGAACGGAGTTAATACGGCGGGCGTGCCGGTCAGACCTGGTAGCGAGCTCGGCGAGGGGATTCGTGCGTTGTTGGAGAAACGCCGGCGGTGGATCGAAAAGATCGGGCCGGTGTTTCCGCCGCCGGAGATTATGAAGCGGGTGCCGAGTAAGTCTGTGTTTGCTGATCTTGATCGCGAGGAACGGGAGGCTGCTGAAGCTGAAGCTGCTGCTGCGGCTGCTGCCGCCGCCGCCGCTGCCGCTGCTGAAAAAGCAGCAGCAGAGAAAGCGGGCGACAACGCCGGCGATGCGAACGACACCACGGAGGGGAAGACCAACACGGACGCACCAGATGCAGAGGGCACGGTTGACGGAGTGAAGAATGAGGTGACGGGTGATTCGGTAGATGTGAAGATGGAGGATGCGCCGGCTGAGCAGGCTGTTTCGGCGTGAGGTGGAGGCATTGTATATTATTATCGAGAAATGAAGTTGAGAGGTGAGAGAATATAGTATTTCTACAGTCATCTTGTTATCTGTTGTAGTTTAGAGTAGATTGTATACGTATACATTCACATGAAAAAGATGAGTATATACACCGTATGTGAGAAAAATAGTCTTTATTTCATTTCGTTTCACTTTACAAAATGCAGTCTGCACTCGCTACAACAACTTCTAGCCGCACTATCACTACCGGCACCTACGCCTCCTCCGCCCGGTTCTCGTTCTTCTTCAAAATCACGAGTCCCTCGAGCGTACTAGCGAGCGCGATATACTCATCATTCTCCAGCTCCGCGCGCTCGCCGTGTCCGAGCAACACCGGCGTGCTGTGCGTGACCCAGCCGGTGATGGTCTTCGGCCGACCGGCCTGGCCGACGGTGTCGACTGCCTGTCCGACCCGGACGTTGACCTGGATCGGCTGCAGGTCGGTGTCGAGCGTGATGAGATGGCGCGCGTGCATAGCAGGGGTGAGGAAGTAGAGGAGGTAGTGAGCAGAGTCGAGGATGAAGGAGTTCGCGTCGACGAGCGATACGAGGACGGTCAGGAGGCCTGCGAGAGAGACGTTGCTCAGGATCTGGCGCTCGGTGTGGAACGGCGTGAGCGTCATTGTGCCCTTGGCGAGGTGCAGCAGACCCTGCGCGATGCGGACCATGAACAGGCTGTTGGCTTCCTTGGAGTAGTAGCTCGCGAGCTGCCGCAGGAGCTGCGCCAGTCGCGCGTTGTTGGTTCCGGCGCCGACGAGGCCCATCGCGAAGATCGCGTTGACGGCAACGTCGAGATCGCCGTCGTGGGAATATCGCGAGAGCGTGTCGAATACCTTCATCTCGGGGTTCGACGCGGAAACGAGACCCATCGCAAGTGGAACTGCGCGTCGGATGGAGCCTTCGCCGTAGTGCATCAGATGGCCAAATTGTCTCAGGACCATCTCAGACCCAATATCTTCGCCCATGGCAATGATTGCGAGACCGAGAACAGCGTAGCCCTGGTACAAGTCATCGCCCTTCTCCTCGCTCGACCCTCCTTCCTCCTTATCGTCGGTAGGTGGCTTCTCGCTGCAGATATGGAGCAATTGCTGGATCTTGAGCACGTTGCCCGTGCCAGCAAAAGAGCAGATGTCGACCAGCACCTGCGTGTTGCGACCTATCGGATGCTCGATGGCCTTGAGCGTCTCGATGATGACATCAGCGGCATCCTGCTTGCCCATGTAGAGGAGACCGAGACCGAGCGACATAAAGCGCGCCCACTTGTCTGACAGCTGCGGCTCGTCGCGCTCCATGAGCGTCTGCAGGATAGTCTCGGTGATGTCGCCATTGCACGAGCCGACGAATGTCAGGCCGAGCGAAAGGGTCGCGAGCGCCGAGAGCTGCATGCTCAGTGATGTGTCTGCGATAAGCGGCAACAGCAAGCCGGCAATGTCCTGACGCTGAGACCCAGCGTATGCAAGACCGAGACCGATTATTGCCGACAGCCGGAGAGGGACGCTTCGGCTCTCGACGTGCTCTGAGAGAAGCGCTAGCGCTGGGTCAGATTCGTTGTGAACCGAGGTGTTTACAATACCAATGCCAAGAAGCGATCCGGCCTTGATGTATTCCTCAGACGAGTACATGTACTTGTCAAGCTGTTGAAGACCCTGCTCGACATCCCAGAGTAAGATCGTGGCGACACCGGCGGTGGCAGAGAGCATGCCAGAGTCCTTGTTTTTGTACACCCACGAGCTCGCTTCTTCGTCGACGACCATCAGCTTATCCTTGCCGAAACCGGCATTGACGAACGCGTTGACAAAACTCGCGGCGAGGTTCTGTTTCGCTGAATCGACAAGACCCGAGTCTGGCCCGCCTCGTGTGTGCTCGAGATGGCTTTTGTAGATATCCTCGGGAACCTTGGGCTCGAGAACGTTGAGCTCCTTGGCTAAGAACAAAAAGTACTCAGACAGGCGGGTGTTGGAGAGGCATTCCTGGACCTCTTCGTTGGGAAGCTCGAGCCAGATCTGCTGGCGCGCGAGAATGAACGCGAGCTGCTTGTGGACAAGGACGTCGTCGGTGGCATCGAAGACTGCGCGGATCGAGTCGTGGTCATCAAGTCTGATTGCGACGGAAATGGCTTGAGTGAGCTCCTTTTGCGAGAGATAGATGTTGAAGGCCGTGCGCAAAAAGGCTTGGTCGTCCGGTGGCGGGAGAAGATTGACGCAGGAGACAATGTATAAGCAGACGCGAGCGTAGGTATCCTTATCAACAAACGGAGGCAGCTTCTCGATAGCCTCAAGCTCGAGCAAAAGATCGACGGCGTCAGCCTCAGCGTTATGCTTGAGGAAGAACGGAACTAATTGGAGAGCGAGATCCATGAGGTCATCAAAGGATTCCTCCTTCTCTAACCGAACGGCATGCTCATCGCCGATTTCGAGAGCCAAGTGGCGAACATACTCATGGCCCCAGTTGCCGATCTCGTCAGAAGATGATGGCGCGAGAAGACGGTAACGAAGCGAATCACGTCTGCCGCTGTCGGCGTATGTCATACCGAGGACCGACAGCACATCAGCGAGCGCAGACTACAATGATAAGGTCAACATCCAGATCGGATGACAAAACAAGTGGAAAGAAATTCAATTGGACATACCTGAAGATCTCCTTGAGGCCACTTCTCGTAGAGATCGGAGAGCTCTTGGTAATGGGGTCTGAGGAACTTGAGAGGCTTTGGAACGGCGGTCATTGAGGAGGTTGAGGTCCGGATGAAGTCCTTGAGGGCATCAAGAGCAGGCTTGTAAAGAGCAGTGTCGGGTTCCTATACAAAGACAGGGATTAGTATGATTGAAGCTGATATGATGGAATGGCGGGAAGATGATGCGATGCGCGTGGCCAATTCAAAGGCGACGAGATCATCAAGTAAAGCGCGCAAGAAAGAAGAATGCGGTGAATCAGATAGTGAAAAAGCATTGTAGCTAACCTTCAGTCTCTCGACAAGCATCTCCAACTCGGATTTAAGCTGCTGATCCTCCTCCGAGAGCTCCTCTTCTTCGGCCTTGTTGTCATCTTTCTTCGCGGGGGCCTTGGCCTTTTCTTTCTCCTTCAGAGCAGAGGAAGCTGATCCGTGATCGGCAGAGGTGCCGGCTTCGGGAGTGTCTTTCTCAGAGTCCTTTTGAGACATGACCGATGTAAGGGAGGGGATGGAGGACAGGGAGTCGATGGATGGGAGGTGATGATTTGGATAGTAGGAGGGGAAGACGGGAGAAGTGTGGTGGAGAGCTGAGAGCGAAGGTTGTGTAGTCAGTGATTATGTAATATATCTTATGTAATTAGATTTTATAGATTTTATGATTGTCTGGAAACAATACAAAGAGAAAATTATAAACTGGAACAGAGGAATAACATAAACAAAGACGATTGCGAAAGTTGCAAAAAAAGAGGAACTTTTGCTAGTAATCGGTATCGGGTTCGGTCACCTGCATGAAGCATTTAGGACGGTGACCGGCCGCGAATTGCACTACAGCTCAAGATGAGTCGTCCTTTGTAAGCCCACAGGTACCAGGTACCTGTGCCCGCCCCCTAAACAGCGCCTGCTCCCATGCCCGGTCACTAAATTAGTGATCGGACGGTCTTGCTGATGACGCTGCGGGCGCTTCCGCACCGGGCCCTGCGATACACGGGCAGACCTACAGCGACATTGAAGTCGGTTGTAGGTAGCGGAGGCGGATTTCAGGCAACATCGCGTCCACCCTGCACGAGGCAGGTTTGGGAGTCCCCAACTAAGCAGGTTTGTCAGGAAGTGCGGACAGACTCGATGAAGACACACACCTGCCATTGAAGCCGGGGAGCCTCCACCGATGAGAGTCCGTCGCTTGATGGCGGCCACCTAGGAACAACGACGCACTGTTACTTCACCGAATTTCCCACCCGCATATAGGTCACTTTTACGTCTGGACAATGCAGACAACGTTAAACGTATAGATTGCAATAGAACTATGAGAAAGCGGGTATTCGCAGCCAGCGAAAGTTCCACTGTACTAAAAAGCGTACAGTTCTAAATTCTATAAAATTCAGCGGTCCTTTATGTTGTGATGTGTCGAAGGTAGGTGGTTCGAGTCTTGTTTGCTCAATTTTCTCTTTTTTTTATCTAAACAGTATCAACAGCACTGTAAATCTATCTCTAATCATCTGTGCATAGAAGAAATTGTAAAATATAAAAGATTCAGGGGATGAAAGAGCATGGTCGTGGTGGTGACATTTGACCCCACATATTCTCGAAATCATAGCTACTGTGCAGCATCTTCATTGACGACTACAACTACATATTATAGCCGAATTAGTGGATTATTAGTCTATGGCATATTCCAAGATATCATTCGTAGTGTATCTGCATAAGCTACGTTGCGGCGATCAAGATGCTACGAGCCTCGACCACATATTCTATAGCGTTGATATCTTCAACGAGTAGATGCATTAACTAGTTACCACAAACAATGTAACTGCAAACAAGACAACAAATAAAAAACGGTTTATAAATTCAGCCCACGACTCCCATCACATGTTAAATTGGCAGTTTCTGTAGTCTTCCGAAGTTGATATACAAAAATGTCAAGTATCTGTTTTCCATTTCTCACATTCATCTGTCGGTCATTAACACACTTACGCAGTCCAGACCTTGGCAATAGTACCGGCCAAGCCGACGTCCTCGGTCTCGAGCTTGTAGAAGCCGTAGCCGGTGACGACGGTGCCGGCAAGCAGCAGGTACATGCAGACGTGGTGCACCTTTCCGAACTCGCGGAGGGGGATGTAGTCGATGATGCAGGACTGGAAGCCGTAGTACGAGTGGACGAGGAGGGACGAGACGAGGATGGAGTCAATGGCAGGGGAGAAGGCGGTGGTGGAGACGAAGGGAGCGACGGTGAGAGGAATCAGGCCGATGGCGATGATACGCTCGAAGGTCCAGTGGTAGGAGCCGTGGAATTTGTCGGGAGGGGGGACCTTGGCAGCGTCATTGACCGTGCCGACAATTCCGCCTGGAATAAGAAGAAGAGCAGAGCGTTAATAGACAATTCTGTATTGAAAGTGACGAGACAAGATACTTACCAGGAGGCTGGGGGATCAAAGGCGGGATGCCGAGATGTCTGACGGCGGGCGCGGAGAAAGCCGGGCGGGCGGCAGACAGACAAGGGCGGGAGATGGCAGCGCGCAGAGGCGAGGCAAAGGCACGGAGAGCAGACATTGTTACAGGACTGAGGAGAATAGAGACAGAGGATGAAGAGAACAAGAAAGACGAGAAGAGTCGGAAGCCGGTCGGAGGCTGCGGGGAGGAAGCAGTTACCCGGCCCGCAACTGCACAACTGCACCAAACTGTGGCTTCATTACTGCGCGAGCAATCAGAGCAGCGCTGATTGGATGGCAGCCGGGACGAGCGCACCGAAGCAAACGACTCCTTCCGCGCAGCTTCCTCGAGGTTTTCTCTCTCTCTGCTTCACCTCCTCGCCCTCTTCCTCTCTTCCCCACTTCTCGCAATGCCGGTCTCTGCTACTCTCCTGCGGTCCGCCGTCGTCCGCTCGTCGGCACTCAGACGCGTCGCCCCCGCCGCCCTGCCAAAGACCCTCGCTCGCTTCCTGGCCACTCCCGCCGCCTCGCCCGCGCCCGTGTACACCACCCTCAAGAACGGCCTGACGGTATGTCCCACTCGCAATTCATCCAATCCCTCTTTCTTTCTCGCCCTCGGCCCGTTTGCTGACAACCCGCCCCCCTTCGCAGATCGCTACTCTCGAGATCCCCTACACCCAGACTGCCACCGTCGGCGTCTGGATCGACTCCGGCTCCCGCTCCGAGACCGAGGCCAACAACGGCACCGCCCACTTCCTCGAGCACCTCGCTTTCAAGGGAACCGAGAAGCGTTCCCAGCGTGACATCGAGCTCGAGATCGAGAACCTCGGCGCCCACCTCAACGCCTACACTTCGGTATGTCCTCTGTCGTACTTTTTTCTTCTTCATATATGAACGGTCATCCCACTTCGAACTCGAACTCATTCTAATTTCCCCTTTCTCCCCAGCGCGAGAACACCGTCTACTACGCCAAGGCCTTCAAGTCCGATGTCCCCAAGACCGTCGAAATCATCTCTGACATTCTCCAAAACTCAAAACTCGAGAAGAGCGCCATCGAGCGTGAGCGCGATGTCATCATCCGCGAGTCCGAAGAAGTCGAGAAGCAATACGAGGAGGTTGTATTTGACCATCTCCACGCTGTCGCCTTCCAGGGCCAGAACCTTGGCCGCACCATCCTCGGCCCCAAGGAGAACATCCTTTCCATCACCCGTGAAGACCTCACCAGCTACATTAGCCAGAACTACAAGGCCGACCGCATGGTCCTTGTCGGCGCCGGTGCTGTCGACCACGAGGAGCTCGTCAAGATTGCTGAGACTCACTTCGGTGGCCTGACCGCCTCGGCCGAGCCGCTTACCATCGGCAGCCCCAGAGGCGAGAAGCCTCAGTTTGTCGGATCCGAGGTCCGCATCCGTGATGATGCTATGCCTGCCGCGCACATCGCCATCGCTGTCGAGGGTGTCTCCTGGAAGGACCCCGACTACTACACCGCCCTTGTTGCGCAGAACATCGTCGGCAGCTGGGATCGTGCGCTCGGCAACGCTTCCGTTATGGGATCGAAGCTCTCGTACGTCTGCTCGGAGGAGAACCTCGCCAACTCCTACATGGGCTTCTCAACCTCGTACTCCGACACCGGTCTCTGGGGTATCTACCTCATCACCGAGAACGTCATGGGTATCGACGATCTCGTCTACTGCGCCATCAAGGAGTGGCGCCGTATCGCTACCTCCGTCACCGAGGCTGAGGTCGAGCGCGCAAAGGCCAAGCTAAAGGCCAACCTTCTTCTTTCCCTCGACAACACCACCGCTATTGCTGAGGACGTTGGCCGCCAGCTTGTCACCACCGGCCGTGTTATCTCCGCCGCCGAGATCGAGCGGATCGTTGATGCCATCACTGTCAAGGACGTCCAGAACTTTGGCCAGAAGTACTTGTGGGACAAGGATATCGCTATCGCTGCCTACGGACCGATAGAAGGACTGCTCGAGTACACCCGTGTCCGAAACTTGATGGCTTCGTTGCGCTGGTAAAGAACGAAGTATGAATCCATAATAAACAATAATTACAAAAAATGGTAAAAATGTTTGGTGGGGTTTCGCTTGTTGACTTTTTCTTTTTATCTCTGTTTGATGTCTTTCTCATTGTCAGTTATATGTCGTTGTCTTATCTAGACGACGAACAGTTTCTTCAAGCATTGGTCATCAGCAATAAGATATGGCAACGAGAATCAGAATCAAACAGGAATAAGGAGAGAGGAGGATATCAGGTGGAAACTATTATATAGAAAATAACATCTCACATGGGCAGAGCGCGACCGAAAGTGAGAAAGCATGTGAATGAGAAGGAGAATGAAAGACGTCCTATGTAATGACAGCAGCTCTTTTATCTTTTATTAGTTTTATATTTACTTTTCTATCTTTCTTTATTTACTTTCATTTTCTTTCATTTTTTTGTTTAGAGCTGCTTGAATTCTTAGTTAAATTTCAGTCTATTGTTGTATGTAAATTTTATCTTTTCAACTATAAACCTCGAGATGGATTTATAGCCGCTTGCTGAGGCTCAGATAAGTTCAGCCTCTTTGTTCTCGTCTCCACAGTACCCACCCCACCTACAAAGAGCCTACGATGGACTGGCTTGACTCAATTTCCCTGTTTCTGCAGATCACTGCGGTTGCTGATCCAGATTATGAAGGACGACTCTAAAGCATCTTATGGTCCATCGCCAGATCTGACCTTCGGCGTCGCCGTGGTGCCATACGACGGCTCATCATCAGATAACTCGACTTTATCCACCGATATCTCTTTCGGCTTGGACTACGACTCTGCTTTCGACTTTTACGAACCCTCCAGTGCGCTTGGGAAAAAGAAGACCGGGTTTCTTTATCAGCCTGTTGCTGGTCGTTGCAGCTTAGGATATGCCAGCGAGACTAATGTTACCCGTATCGCGGATCTTCCTGAGAATTCAAATCTCATTGCCCTGGCGCCGTTGGGATCGGTACAGTGCGGAGCTTCCTTCATAAACCAGGCAGTGGAGGATGGCGCCGAGGCGTTGATTTTTTACGACTACGCCGGCGGCTGGAGCAGTCTTACATTCAACTATCAGGACGACTCGGCCGAGTTATCGTTGATCTCAGACACAAACATGCGCTCGTACTCGTCGTTATCAGTTTACTACGTCACCGGTAAAATCGGTTCCGAGCTCGTCGAGCAGCTAGAATCATACTCTGGGAACTTGACTGATGTGCCTAATGGCGATAAGCTGAAAAGTGACTATGATTCTCGCGATTACGTCCGCGTCTTTGTCGAGATCCAGTCGCATGGCTCGCACCATCTGGCCGCTCTCTTTATCTATATAATAGTCGCAGTGGTAGCTGTTTTGGTATTGTTAGCCGCGGCGTCGGTCATCGTGCACCGTGTCCAGGCTCAAAGACGGAAGAATCTTCTCAGAAGGCTGAAAAACGGCGAGATTGATCTCGCGGCGGTGGGTATTATACGATTGACCGTGCCGAGGGGTATACTTGATACCTTCCCGACCCGGCTCTATGTGCCTACTAGCGGTGACAGTGAGTCGGATCTGCAGCCTGAAGAGACGAATGTGACGACAAAGTCCGCGGAAATGATAGTGACAGCCGCGGAGGTCGCAGGATTCCACCAGCAATCATGTCCGATCTGTCTTGAGGACTTCAGAGTTAACGAGTCGCTTGTCAAACAATTGCCGTGCGAGCACATCTATCACGTCTCATGCATTGATGATTTCCTGGAACATCACTCTTCCGTCTGTCCGCTCTGCAAGCAGTCTGTGCTGCCAAAGGGGTACATCCCGCCGACGCTACAGATCACGAACGCAACCGTCAAACGCGAACGTCTATTGCGACAGGACCGCGAGCGCGGCTTGATTTCAGATGACACTGTCGAGTTTTTGAGTAACGATAGACGGCACGAGTTGCAAGCAAAGGTGTTTCGTGAAAGGTGGGGCGGTGGCGGACGACAAGCGCTTCCGCGGAAATGGACTCGAGTTGCGCCAGATGACAATGATGACGATACGCTCGAGTTGAACGAGCTTAGGCTGCAGTCTACCAGCGCTGGCGAGTCAATTTCGGGAACTACCGCGTATACCGACGACGAGGATACCAGCGAGTCAGAGTATTCGCAGAAAGAACCGGAGCGGGCGAGGCGGCAACTTACGATACTGCAGAGGACGCATTTGCCGGCTAGGGAGGAGCCTGGGGCTATTGTGGCTCCTGATGGATCTGTGATTGTAGTAAGATCTAGCGTGAAGGAAGAGGCGGGGCAGAAGAGTACTATAAAGCAGATTTTGCATTTATTGTTCCCTTACATTTTTTGATTTGCTAGACTACTCTAATAATTTGTAATTCAAAGATCATTGCTGGTTATTGCAAATGTAGAAATAAATATTCCCATCGTAGTTATGGTAAAGCGCGGCTGCTGGGACTTGGTAAGTTCAGTCTTGGCTGTCACCGAAAGTTTCAATATCCACACTGCTCAACTATGAAATTCGCTCGATGAGCATGTTTCTCATCGTTCCTCACCCTCTGAGATCCACCGACTCCGCATCTCTAAATGACGAGGAGTGATTCCGAATCGGCATACGGCCCGTCGCCAAAGATGACCTTCGGCGTCGCAGTGGTGCCGAACGTGAACTCGTCTTCGGCCGCCGAGCTGCAGATCGATATCTTACCCACCGACATCTCTTTCGGCTTGGACTGGGGCTCTGCGTTCTCGTTCCACGAGACGTCGAATGCGTCCGGGAGGAGGAAGACTGGGTTTCTTTATGTGCCGACTTTTGATGACAGTGACTGCGATCCGGATAATATCGGCGAACAGGCGAATGTAACCCGCGTCGCGAATCTCCCGGCGGGGTATAATCTCATCGCGCTGGCGCCGATGCACGAGGTTTCCTGCTCGGATAAGTGGATGGACAAGGCATCACAGGACGGCGCGGATACCTTGATTTTTTACGACACCAGCGACTTCAATTCCACGAGTTTGTCGTTTGATTACCAGACCGGTATCGGGGAGGGAACTTCGCTTATCGACGACATCGGCTCGTTCTCGTTATCAGTCTATTACGTCCCCGGTCGCGTCGGCAGCGAGCTTCTCGAGCAGCTTGAAGCGTATTCTGGGAACTTGACTGGCGTCCCTCACGGGGCTGAGCTTGCGACGTATTACGACTACCGCGACTATGTTCGCGTGGTTGTCGAGATCCAGTCGGTTACAAGACACCATGGCACCGGGCTGTGGGTGTACGTCGTGGTTGCGGTCGCGATTCTCTTGCTGGTGCTGGCTACGACTTCGCTTGCTGTTCATCTTTTCCAGGCGCGGAATCGGAGAAATTTAAGAAGGAGAATGGAGAATGGCGAGATCGACCTCGAGTCGTTGGGGATTAAACGGTTGACGGTGCCAAGGGCTATACTAGACAGTCTCCCGATCCGACTCTATGTTCCTGCCACCGGCGACAGCGACGCAGATCAACAGCAAGAGGAAGCGGCAGTGACGGCAAAGTTGCAGGAAGACGTGATGACGCTGACGACGACGACGGTTGCTGGATTTAACCAGCACTCATGTCCGATCTGTCTCGAGGACTTTGAACCCAACGAGGCGCTTGTCAGGCAATTGCCTTGCAGGCATGTCTACCACGTTGCCTGCATTGATGATTTCCTGGAACACCATTCGTCGCTGTGTCCGCTGTGTAAACAGTCTGCGCTGCCAAAGGGATATATTCCCCCGACGCTGCGGATAACCAACGCCACCGTCAGACGAGAACGACGGATGCGAAGGGCGCGCGAGCGTGGGATGATGATGGATGAGGATGATGAGTATTATAACGGAGACAGACGGCACGGAGGAGGAAGAAGATTGCTGGCCCGCCCTAGGTGGCTTAGCAGCGGACAAGCGCACCACCGGAGATGGAGACGAGTTGCGCCCGAGAATAACGGCGACGACGATAACCTCGAACTACGAGAACTTGCGCGGCAATCTACCGCTGCTGCAATTGAGCCAAATAGAATCATGAGCCCGTACACGGACGCTGAAGAAGACGACGACGGCGACGAGACGCAGCACCGTCGAGGACGGCGACCGACGATCGTGCAGCGAACGCGGCGGCCGGCGAGGAATGAGCCTGGGGCGGTTGTGGCGGCTGACGGGTCTGTGTTTGTGGTTGAGCCTGGGGAGGAGGATGAGGGTTTGCAGAGCGGTCGGATGAAACGGATCTTGCGATTGGTGTTTCCTTATATGTATTGATAATTGCCCTTTGACGGCTGGCGTTTTGTGTAGCTGTTGAGCTGTGGTGTTTGGTTGTTTATAGGTTTGGGAAGTTTGTTATGTTGTCTATTGGGATATGTAATCTACAATGTGAAATAAGGGCCAAAGCAGTAAAACTACACCTCACATTCAAACCCTTTCCGTTCCCACGGCGCCTCCATCCCACCATCCCACCGTTCCAGCATCAGCATCAACCGCTGGATCCGCAGCACCCACAGATTCCCCGGCCGATTATTCCGCAGCGCGAGTGTCTCAAGCAGCGGTGCGACCGCGGTCTGCGGCACAATGAATTGCTCTGTGGGACCCCATTGCACCGCGAGCATGCCGTCTTGGAGCGGGCGGTGGCGAGAGAGAAAGGGGATGCATGGGGTGAGTTCGAAGATGCAGTCGTTAGTCGAGAGGTTTTCTCCTAGCGCAGCAGCAGCAGCAGCAGATTTTTGCTCGCGGTAGATTGCGGCGGTCCACCACACGAGCTCGTACCATCGCTCATCGAACTGCGTGTCAAACCCCGCGATAGCGCCTTCGACGCGACCCACCCCGACAGGGTTGTCAACCTCCTCATCGTTCCTCATCACCCAATCTATCTTGACCTTCCTCACGCCCCGCGCGCTCGTCCCCGCCGCTGTCGCAGCCGCGGCATCGACGTACTCGCGCAGCAGGCGCGGGGATACGTGCTGCCAGTTTATAGCGCGGAGGTCTAGCTTTTGCCAGAAGCGCGGGATGGCGCGGACGGCGGTGCGCCAGGTGCGGTTTAGGGATTCGAGCTGGACGGCGGTGCGGAAGGTTAGTGGGACGTAGTCGAGGATTTGGATCAGGAGTTCGAGAGGGAGGACTGTCGATGGGTCGACTTTGGGGCCGGAGAGGGAGGGGTGGGGAGAGGGTGGTGTTGGTGTTGAGGGTGAGACTGAGGAGAAGGAAGTGGAGGAGGAGAGAGAGGATGAGAATGAGGATAGGGACGAGGAAGGGGTGGACGATTCGTTGACTGGGACTGGTTGCGGCGGCGGCGTAGATATCGAAAGCATTGAAATCTCGCCGGCAAGCTCAGACACCGACATACACTCATCCTCAGCATTTACTCCGCCCCCACCACTCAACAACTCCTCATCTCTGGCGGCAATGCGCGCGTCCAGTGACCGCATGCAGCCGTTCAGGACGAGTTTTCCAGACACGAGGCCGGAGAAGCTGCGGCCGTGCTGGCGGACGAGCTCGTCGATTTCGTAGACGCCGGTGGCGTAGATGTCGCGGGCTTCGTCGAGTTTGGAGAGTCTTTCGTAGGCGAGGCCTGCGATCCAGTAGCCCTGTATGAATATGAGTTAGATTCTGTGGGGTCTGTAAAAGAGATGGAGAAAACATACTCTGTAGTTGCTTTTGTTGATTGAGATCATGGTTAATGCGTCAGCTAGAGCGAATTCAGATAGCTTTTTACCCAAGCAAGCAAGTGCTCGATGATATAGCTCCTGAAATCCCAGACCGTGATTAAACTCCATCTACACACACACACATGTCAGCACTGTCGCACTCTATCGCCCCTCACAAACAAACTCAACTCACCTTTGTAAACCGCACGATGGCAGTCAGATACTGATTACACTGCGACGCATACATCGCCGACGCGCGATGATCCTCATACTCGCTCGCTTTCGCCGCGCTCCTCACGCTGTCTTTTCCCGACTGCCCGTTCAAATGCCCCGCGATTCCTTCAATCGCGTTGCCGACCCCGGACGCAAGCCCCAAGTTCTCGTCAATCTGCCTGTTTGAACCCGCTGCTGCTGATGCTACCCCGCCGTCCACTGTCGACGTACCAGACTCGTCGGTACGAGACCGCGGCTGCTGCGCGAGAGAACGCGGGTTGATGCCGGTGTAGTTGTGGTCGGCGTACTGCGCGAGTATACCCGCGCTCGTAGCTGGGTTCTTTGTCGGGAGGTTTGAGATCGAGACTAGGCCTTCGCGGGGACTCACAAACACGAGGTTTTGGTGCTCGGTGCTGGTACTGCTGCTGATGGAGAGAGCAGACATCGTGGTGTTCAGTGTGAGATATGTTGCGATTTTGAGAGATTTGGATCAGGATTGGTTAGATCAATGGGTTGCCCAGTCGTCGTTATCCTTGATCGCTTTGTGAATCATAAACAACGCAGTGCCATACACTCATCCCACAGCCATCAATACCCCACAAAAAACAGAATCAGAAACCACAAAAACACAAAGCCGAATCAAATCTTGCTGTAACGCGTCTTCGCTGGTCGGTCTCGGAATACCCCGTCGAACTCCGCAATTCAGGCTGGTGAAGGAGGGGGAGTGGTTCCAGAATAGTGGACGCGGGACGATAACAGGGCCGTTATCGCCAGTGTGGGAGGATAAGGTTTCGAGGTCAGGGGGAGGCCTGTATATCGATCATGGAGAGCAACGAGTAAACTTGTGTAACAGTAAACCTGTGTAACAGTAAACTTGTGTAACAGTAAACATGGTGGAATATTAAGTTGATCAGGTGGCGGAATTGGAATCATAACAGAGCCCTCCCATTTCTAAACTTGTGTAAGTCTTGTGTAACACTAAACTTGTGTAACACTAAACTACTTGTGTAACACTAAATTTGTGTAACAGTAAACTTGTAAGCTTGTGTAACAGTAAATTTGTGTAACAGTAAACCTGTAAACTTGTGTAACAGTAAATTTGTGTAACAGTAAACCTGTAAACTTGTGTAACAGTAAACTTGTGTAACAGTAAACATGGTGAGCACACGCGCTAGTCTTGTGTAACAGTAAACATGTGTAAGTCTTGTGTAACAGTAAACTTGTGTAACAGTGAACTTGTGTAACAGTAAACATGGTGAGCACACGCGCGAGTCTTGTGTAACACTAAACTCTTGTAAGTCTTGTGTAAACTTTACAGCAATTTGACCTATTCGACAATTGATATATAATGGAGTATTCATCTACTACGCACTTCTAGCAAAATCTTGTTCGCAGAAGTCAAAAAGCTCCGCTTGTCAAAGCTACGAGGCAACGCCTGATTCACAGCTGTCGGCATATCTCTCTACACTACACAAACAAAGAGTCGTAACATTGTATTGTACTATCAAACAAATCCGAAAACCAATAAACTGATCACGATGTTATCGTCAGGGTAAGAATGTTGCTGTTACCGGGTGGGTGGTGCTGTAGTAAGAATAATAAACTGTAACTGTAATTGTATGTAGCTGTGCTGTGTAATATGCCCGATCAGTCGTCGGCGTGGTTATGCAGTTGCATGCCGACCAGGTAGACTTCATCGCGTAGCCGCGTGTTCCACGAGCTGCAGACTCGTCGGACGGCGCGGTAGCAGAAGATTATAAGGAGTAGAAGGAGGATGGCGGGGTATATAAGTCTGTAGCTGGCGACCAGCACGTCTTGCGATACGTCTGTTCCTAAATAGGTAAGAATACAGGTTAGCAGTTATCTTTATCAGTAGAAGTGCAGGAGATACGTACGGAGTGCGAACTGTGCTGCGAATACAATAAGCACCGGAGCCAACAAAAACACCCCGAAAAACAACACGGCCGGCTTGATAATCTTATTCGACGCAACCCGCGCATTCGGCCTCGCGTATCCGTTTGCAAACGTGGACGCCAGCGCGGTCTCGAGCCGCGAGTTGGGCCGGATCGTGGAGGATATTTTGTAGATCCCGCGGCAGTAGAGGAGTCCTAGCGCCCAGCTCTGGATTACGTGGATGATGGGCTGCTCGGCGGAGTAGTAAAGATGGAGCGGGATGACGATGTAGAGCTCGATCGTGAGCCCGAGCAGGGAGGGGATCACAAAGCCTAGAGCAGCGTAGACGTAAACGAATTTGCCGGCGCTGATATAGATCCCAATGATCTTCCTGATAAACTCCTGAGGATGACTAAAGCTATGCACAAGCTTCAGATACTTCTGTCTGATGTGCTCCCGGTTCGTGACGAGAAACTCGCCAACCATGTACGCCGCGCAAAAGATGTACGCGCCGAACGTGAAGCTGATCACGTCGTTCATGGGGCGCTCAGGATCAGTGACGGCCTCGAAGATCTCTCGTCCGAGAAGTAACGGGCCGAGTGTGACGAAAAGGCCGCATGCGGTCGCATACATCCAAATACCCGCCAACAAACACGCGATCCGCACTCGGAAATGCGGCGGCGTGTACACGACAGTCGTATCCTTGAGATCTTCAGGCGTGTCCTCCTTTCCGTCAAGTCGCCGATTGTCCTTATTGACGACGACAAACTCATGCCTCTCCTTTCGCAAATGAACGCTGTCGGAACTAGGCGCGCGCACAAACTCTCCGTCCCGCAGGAAGAGAACTTGCGACGCCGTCTCGTTGATTTCGTCCGCGCTTCGAATCGGCTCGATGCCCTGCGGATCGCGGAAGAAGGACAGCATCCAGTCGATCGGAGACCGGAATATCAGCTTGCCCTGCTCGAGCGGCACCTCGCGCCCGAGGATGAACGAAGTCAAGCGCAGGACTGAAGCGGCCTTGCGGAAAAAAAATTCCCACGAATTCTCGACTACACCCGACGGCTTGAAGAACTTGAGCAGGTACGCCATAAACACCTGGTACATAAGCAGTTCGATCGGAGCTTCGCCCATGGTGCCGTTCCACGCCCAGTGGATTGGGAGAATGCCGCCGCCGACGACGCAGCGCAAGCCGTAGACGACGCCGCCGAGACAGATGCAGATTAAGCTGCAGTAGATGAACGCGGAGATGATGATCTTGCGAAGTTGCATCAGCACAGGTCGGTCGAGCACGTCGCGGATCGGATGGAAGTTTGGATCGTTGGGGTCGCGGATGAAGAATAAAAGCCCTGGACGGACGATTTCTCGGCACATTGAGACAAAGAGCGCAAAGTGAAACATGTAGCAAGTGCCTGCGAACCAATGCAAAAAGACGCTGACAAACGGATGATTGAGAGTAAACTCCCACCTCGAAGCAATCGAAGCTCCGTCAAACAGCGGCAGCAACGCAACGTCGAGGAGAATACCGCAAAAGAGAGGGAAGACAACGAGCTCGATCGCGATGATGACAATCACCTTCAAAATCGCACCCGCCTGTCCTAGAACTTCAACAATCACCCGCTCGAGCGCCATGCTCATCCGACGATTGCCTTTCTTCTTTGACCATCGTGAGAGATATAGCGCGCCTAGGACAATCAGAAACAGGTACCCAGCAAACACGGCCACCACGCGATCAATAGCAGTGGTATGATCCGGCACAACGCCGCCGTGGATGTACTTGAGCCACGCCGGGTTCATGAGGACCAGTTTGATGTCATTCATACCCGAGCCGCCCAAGAGTGCTGTAGCGTCGTTCTGCCGCTCGACGATACGCGCCCAGCTCTCGCTAATCACGCGCATATCGGCCTCGTCCTTAAGCCAGAAAGCGAGCCAGGGAAAGTATTTGGTGGTCGTTATGTTTGTCAGCTGCTCGGATATCTCGATGTACAGTCTGACGCCAAAGACTCCGTACATGAGCACGACGATGAAGATGTCGACGCCCTGGTTTGCTATGAACGCCATCACGCGGATCGGAAGCACACCAAAGAAAGTCACGGGGTGCGACATAACCATGAGCACGAATTTGCCAATCAGATACGGAACCCAGAGCGCGAGCGCGAGCGTACCAGTCATCATGACGGTCGCGAAACTGCCGTTCTGGAAGAGCGTCGAGAGTGGGCCGCGCACGCCGATGAACTCGAGCACGCCGTCGAAATCGTCGCCGTCGTCGTCGCCTTCGCCGTCTCGGTCTTCAACGGCTTCTTCATCCTCCAGCCGCCGCGCAGCAGGTTCCATCATCGCATCAAAGTTGTCGACAACGTCGATCGCACCGGCCAGTCGCTCTGCGTCCGCTTGGTTATCACCGCCTATGATATACTCCTGAAGCCATGCCCCAACAGTCTCCCATAATCCAGGCTCCTCAACATTCGCTTCTGGCTCCTGCTCAGGTTCCTCCTCCGGCTCAGGTTCTATCGGTTGTGCTATATCATTCATAAGTTCGTCTAGGTTGAGTTGGCCTAACCGCATCTGTGCATCCGCAGCATTAACTTCAACAGCCGGCTGCTGCTCTTCTTGTCCATCCTCAACATCTATCGGTGCTCTGTTTGCATCGTTGAGGTTGTGTCTTTGACGTAACTCGCCCTCGTTATTCTGCTGCCGTCGGAGAATCTCCAATTGGTGCTCGCGGTGGTGTTGAGCAAGTAAATCAACCAGGTTTGGACGGTCAGGTCCAGCATCTGCAAAGTGCTCTACTACCAACTGTCTTGCTCGTGCTGCAAACTCAAGTCTATCTCTCTCTTCTTCAACAAGATCGATGACCCCCGCTTCATGACCAGCACCTCCCGCGTCTTGATCGCCAGGCGCGTCTTGTCGAAGCGCAACCGCGGCATCGTTGGCGGGTTCTCGATCACGTCTGGGAGCGTCCAGGAGGCCTGGTTGGATGTTCTCCATTACCTGCTCGCCTAGCGGTCGTTCGTCCACGACGGGCACGGCTCTGACGGGGTCGGGGAGGTTTACGTTCCAGGCGGCGTTTTGGAGGACCCATTCGCGGATCAGGAAGACGAGCGCGACGACGAAGATGACGAGACCTGTGATTACTTGGCCTTCGAAAGTGTCGTCCAGTAATTTCCTGAAGTTAAAGTCAGTGATGAGCTTTTTGTGGGGTAATAAGAAGAATGATAGTACGTACTCGATGAGGGGATCGGATACCAGATCGCCAAAGATCATGTGCTTGATTGTGTACCCCAGCGACGGCGCCGCGGGTTCGGGAACGACGACGGTGGCATTTGCCGCGGCCGGATCAACAGGCAATCCACCACCGAGAAAGATAGTTTCTGCGAGAGTGTTGTTATTAGTCTCAAACATCTCGTCAGACAACCAGAAATACACGCGGACGGCGTAGCGAGTGCTAAGTGGAAGCCAGATGATCCAGACGAAGGCGACAAGGATGAGTCTTTGGTAGAGGAATATCCAGGAGCGGATGCGGTCGAGCAGTTTTTCTGCGAGGAGGAAGAATGGGATTCTTGTCGGCATGTCTGGAGCGTATAGCTTTGTGAATTTGAATGGGGTTTTGCAGAGTTCGCAGGTTGGTTTGCGCTGGGAGTGCTGGAGCCATTCTTGAAGACTGCAGTTTGCACTTAATGTTAGTACGAAGACGGGGGAAGAGTAGTGTCAATATCGATGATCTCTCACCATTCTTGATGCACGTATTTAATACTCCCGCTGCATTTGCAAGGATGATAGAGCGGCTCTTCGGCGGTGCCTTCGCCGCGACAGATCCGGCAGGTATCGGTCTCCATTTCGTCAGAGTCATCAATTATGTCGCCGTTGAATGACATTGTGAATTAGATCTGCCGGCACCCGACGACACGGGGAAATTCAACAGAAGGACGAAATGACGGGACTGCTTCAGACAGAAGAGGGTTTAGAGCATAAGAAGGACAGAAACAGAAAGACCCAGACCACCAGAGAATGCACTGAATAGCTGGGATCCGGCGAGCGGTATCTGTGAACTGGAAGCAGTGGAGGAGATCAAAAGAAATCTAGATCGCGATGGTTTGGAATCGGCCGGTCGGTCTTCAGAGAGTGAATGTTCGGCTCCAGCCGTAAGCGCGTCGCGGTGTTTGCGCGCTTATGCAATATTCGGCTAATCCCCGTAATCGCCCGTCCCGCGTTTTTCTGACGCTATCGCCGCCGCCGGGACCTCCTCCATTGTCTACTCGCTGTTTATACCTGAGCAGCAACTGTTTAGCAGCAGAGATAGTGCAAATGGCATCAGCAAAGTCGGTCAAGACCGAGACGGAGCCGTTGATCAAGTCCGCGAGCGGAAACCCGCCTTCGTACTCGGCGATAGTCAGGTCGCAGCAGCGCCCGACTGTGACATCAGAAAAGGGCCCACTGCCCGAGCACGGCTTTGCGACTTTCCTGCGCATCGACGGCGAGGACCATGGCGACCTTGTGCCGCTGCACGAGGTAACGGCGTGGGACATGCATTTCATGTCTCCGCTCTTCCACTCGATGCTGACCGTCAACGACCCATGCGACGGCCGCGACTTTGGCGGCAACGAACGCAACTACCTCGCGTGGCTGCGTCTGGCGGCGGGGTTCACGTCGACTTCGTACGCGTTCATCTTGAACTACTACATCCCGCCCGGCAGCTCGATCTTTGGACCGGACAAGACGCCGATCGAGCCGACGCTGCAGAACCGCGGGGCGCTGGGGTGGGGGCTTGTGTTTTTGGTGTGCTCGATCGGCACGATCTTGTACGCGTTCCAGTGCTATTTGGTGCATAATTTGCACTTTGGACGGCGGAGACTGCTCGTGCAATTCAGCTGGGATATTTTGATGTTTTTCGGATTGACTTGTCTCGCGACTGTTGCGGCGTCGTTTTATATGATGGCGGGTGGGTTGATTGAACGGCAGCGGATACAGTTTTGGTAGTCTGGTCCCTTGTCCTCTATCCTCTGATAGATGTCCTCTGAGAGAGGATGCTTTTTTCTAATTTTTAATATTCTGTGCAGTATTCTGGAGTTTTATTATTTAATCATGTTTGTTGGCAAAAGTACTGTTGAATGTCCGATTTGATACATGGCTGAGGTGGATGCATTGTCGCGTCTTGTAATGTAAGCATGAGTTTGCTTTTCTTTTCTTTTATTTCTCTTGTTTGTTTCCTTTCGTTGCAACACTTTCAAGAATTGAGTACGAGGTTTAATGATGGGGTGGGTGGAGAGGTATGGAGGTTGGAGGGGAGTTGGAATGGATGGTATATGCTATACGACCGTGCATGATGTTTTTTAATCAACTGTTTTCATCACTCTATTATTTGTGGAAGCTGTATACAGCAACAGTGCAGCATGTGATTGCCATCGAGGATATCTGGATGGTGGTGAGCATGTGCGGGGATGAGAGAAGCTGAAGAAGCCAAGGCTGAATGCAATGAGCGGGGGTTTTTTTTTACAATGAGAATATAGTAGTATTCCATATAATGCAGTATATATCGAAAACAGCAGGAGATACACTGCTCGATCCGAGTAAACAAACCCGAGTGCGGCCAAGTGTCTTTCTTGCAAGTCCGCATTCGGACAGGAAGGACAAGAAAGCAAGATATATTGATAGAGCAGGTTGATTAGTTACGCCTGTCCTGCTTATTGAGCCCGTAGCTCATTATAATGCTTACTGAGCTCACTCACTGAAGACAGAAGTCATTGCTAGCGAAGGGTTTTCTAAACCTCCGGTTCAGCAGTTTGAACCGCGATGCAACCCTACTCTACTAGCCCCTCAAACTCTATAGCTCACACGTCCCGAAACGGAGAAGAGAGTGGAATATGCGCAGAGACCGAGGCAGCGAGTGGGATTTGGAGATCTCCGACGGCATCTTGATCTGTGGTGCTGCGGCCGTGGTTTTGTGTTTTCTATGTTTTGCGGCAGAGCGAGAGGGTTGGTTGGTACAGTGAGCGTGTAGGTTCTGCGTTCTCTGTTGGTTTGCAAAAGGCGTATGGACCTGTCCTGTCCTCCGGCCGCAAGCCAGCTCGGTGCACGACTCTCTCTCTCTGCACTTTCTCGAGCTCTATGGTCTACGTCTACGTCTACAGTCCAGCTGTAGATGCAACCAGTAACGCAAGCCAGAGCCGAAAAGTCAGAGACCGCACATGGCTCTCGGCCCCGGGACTCCGCGGGGCAGCCTGCCACGTTGTTTGTCTATTCTTGGTCCGTAGTAGTAGTGAGGGTGAGTAAGTGGACGAAGTGAGACTGTACCAGCGGTCTTAGTTCTTCAGACAGATGAAAGACAGGGTGGACACAGCAGCGGCTACAGTTAACGGTTTTTGTTCTTCGAGGTGGTTGACAAGACACATCGCCTCAAACCTGACTCACACGGCCAGTCACCACTGGCTCACAGTGTGAACTTCACTCATCCAGACCAGACTCACTCAGAGTCAACTCAGACTCAGACAGTCTTGGGTCTTGTGGCAATCCTCATTCTGCTGCTGCACTGCTACTGCTGCTACCACTACTACTTCTACTACTACTACTCCTACCACTACTCCCCTCGCTTCGAGGCCTCGCTTCGAGGACAGCGTCCGGATTATCGCCGACCGAAGGGCGGGTAAGGTGGGCCTCCGAAGACACAAAGCAACAGGGGCCCGGACCGTTCGCTCCGCGGAGGCGAGTGCCCGCAGCGTCTGAGCTCCGCAACTCTCTTGAGTCCTGACTGACTGCGAGCGGAGGAAGGTGGTGGCGGCGGCGACCGCCGGACCTGCTGAATGAGACTTTTTACCGCTTTGGGTAATGGTGAGCGGTGAGGGGCTGGTGGTGAACTTAAATCCGCAGACGCGAGAAAATGGCGTGAGATTCTCTTTCAGATCTGCCCGGATCTGAGTTTTTTATTTTTTTCTTGCAGAGTGTTGCTCGTTTAGGGTTAGTGGGCCTTGTACAGACCAAGAAGACAGACAGGCCGGGGGACCCTCGGGCTCTGGCTCTGGCGGCTTATTCTTTCCACCCTGAGTACCGCACAGGACAGCACTCAGCCGCCGGAGAGATTGTATTCTAGACTTGGAGAGAGTGGGAGGGGAGTGGTGCAGTGTGTGGTGGGTCAATTGACGGTGTAGATGTATTGTAGCTGATTGCTGCTGCTGTTGTTGCTGCTGCTGCTGTTGCTGCTGTTGCTGCTGTTGCTGCTGTTGCTGCTGTTGCTAGTAGATGTTGTGGCCTGAATAATAACACAAATTACTCCGTTCAGCATTATCCCACGACATCTCAATATCTATGATATCTGATCAATCGGTAAAGAAGGAGTATATAGCAATTGAGCATGATTACGAGTATGCAGTACTAATAGTGTATAATAATCTATTATTGTATAAATGCCCAAACACCATAAAAGCAATCCGAACCAGATATCTATAAAATGTATCCCAAACCAAAGACTCCGTTTTGCCCATAATAAAAAAAGAAACCGTTTAAACCCATTGTATCCTACACCAGTCCAGCCATCCATCCGTACCAGCGTTCGTAATCGTGTCAAGTGTGTTGAAGTGCACTGCAGCTAAATGTACCACAGATCATCCGAGCTCTCGGCGTTCACCTTCTCGAGGATCCGGCTCGCGAGCTGCTCGGCCTCATCAGGCTCTTCGCACTGCGAGCACTCGCGCGGCACGGCGTGGGCATCGAACGACATCTCTGGGCTGCAGATTTCAAAGAACGACTGGTCCTGCACGAGACGGGGTGTTGACGGCGACGAGGGCGCCGAGGAGGCCGAGCAGGAGCAGAGCGAGAGCGGGAGGGATGCGGTCGAGGAGGCGGGATTGTGCGAGGACAAGAGAGAGGCGGCGCGGGAGAAGTCAGAGGTGTCGAATGTGTGTTGGGTGGATGCGTAGCCGGCGGAGGAGGAGGAGTTGCTGGCGTTGCTGGCGGAGTCGGAGCGGTTGCGGGCGGGGATGCGGGGGAAGAGGTCAAATTGAGAAGAGGAGGAGGTGGAGGAGGAAGAGGAGGAGAAGGAGGGCGATTTGGGCATGGTGAATCTGCGCTTGAGCTTGCGGGAGAGGGACCTGCCGAGCTGGGTCGGTGGATCAGATAGCATTGTGGAGGGAGAGTGGAGGTGGGGGGAGAGAGGAGGTGGATGTGAGCATGCAATGTAGAGCAGGCAGTGGTATGGGAGAGCAAGCAGCAGGGCGGTGGTGAAGGGAGAGAAGAGGATGGGGATGGTGAAGAGCAAGAAGATGAGGAAGAAGAAGAAGTCGGGGGATATAAGTACAGCGACGGAGGAGAGTAAACACAATAAGCCTCAGGCTCTGCCAAAATAATCGAGAAGTCATCTGCTGCCCGGAGTCCGGGTACGAGCAACTCTAATCCGCGCGAGGTACCCTCCCGCGCTTTGCTTAAACTGGTTAAACCGCAGGTTTGGAAGTCCTTCCCTTTTTGGACTCTCGGTCCTCGGCTCGTTGCTTTGTTTTGGAGTCCTGGTTCTGGTTTGTGAACCGGGCGGGTAGGGCTTTAGTCACTGCTGCCTGCTCACTGACTGCTCTGCTCTGTTCTGCTCAGTTACTGCCCAGTTACTGATGCCCCAATCACTGCTGTTGCTGTTGCTGCTGTTGTTACTACTACTGTTGCTGTTACTACTGCTGCTACTATTCACACTATTCACACTGCACTGCTCTCAGAGTCAGCGGCATGCAGTCTCGGTTCACAGGTCCAGATATTACACCTTCACGCCAAGCTGTCTTTGTCTTTGTCCACTGCAACTAATTACTCTGTCCTCCCCGCGACAGCCCGCGCTGCCTCGTGAAAGCGTGGGAGTAACCCGAGCCGACTAGCCTAACTCTTTTCTTCTAACTACCTTTTCTCTTGTTCTTAACTGCTTCGTTTATTCAATCCTACTTTCTCTCTGTCTCTGTCTCTCTTTTTGAGCAGTGTCGGTGCGGTGCATGCTCTCGGTTGCGGGGCCTTGCTCACTACGGCTGCTGCTGCTGCTGCTCTTCTGCATTGCATTGCGAGTCATCTTCTTTTTCTACTCTTTTGTCTTATTTCCTCGTTTACTCCTACCCTGCTGTACGTACAGCGCGTCATATTCCATTTCTAGCTCCTCGTCTCTGCTCTGGATTGTAATTGCATGAAATGTCTATACAAATCGAGTTGCTTGATAAACAGACTGAGTTTACTCTTTTCAGACTACATTACCTGATCGGGAGAAGTAGCGATAATCTCGCAATGTTAGCTCTGTTTTTGTATGTCTTGGTCTGGTGCGCTCAAGATAGCTGCCTTGTTGATTTTTAGACTCTGCTTGGATAAATCAGTTCTAATTAGAGACGAGAGCTGCCCCCTCATCGTATCCATCCCCACCATGTATCCACTCCATATCCTAAACATAGAAGACTCATAAACCCATCCTAACAGTATGAAATTAACACAATTGTCCTGCTATTATAATCCAGCGACGATAAGAAAGGCTTAGGCAAAGCGGACGTGCGCGAACCAGGATAAATAACCTGATCGCCCCGATTCGCTCACCCGCGCTCTAGGGTGCTGCAAAGCTTGGTGCCCAATCAGGACAGTTATTATCTTTTCTGACTGTCTCTGATTCTTGAATTTGTCATTTTTGGATGTTAAAGTGGACGTGGAGGGTGGTGGTGGTGTAGATGTCTTGCGTCGTAGCGCATGGCATAATCTCTTCTCCTCCTCTCATACACCGACCTCAACATCATCGTCATCATCCAAATCAGGCGACTGCGAGTGCGTTAGTGCGCAAATCGCCTAATTGCCGCAGCTGGCGGTTTCTTTTTCTGGCATTCCTGGTGTTCTTGAAATGGAATCGCTGCTGTATGATTGTGAACTATGAAGTGTGAAGTATGAAGTATGAATTGATGGCGTAGGTCGGTGTAGTCTCTTGAATAATAGCTCAGAGTAGACTTCATTACGAATAGAATCATCTGTGCTGTTTAATGAACACAGTCAGAAGAAGACTGTCGACACCGAAAGATCAATTTCGTTCGCACTCCAACTTCAATCCAATTTGAACTCTGCCTCTGTCTCTGTCTGCTCAGTCTGTTTCAAAGGTCGAACGAACCCGAGAAATGACCGATATATATGCTACACTGTACGCTGTAGCTGCCATGCGCTGCAGGCGTGCATGTTCCTGCAGGGCCGGACCTCGCTCGCTCGCTACCTCACTGAAACTCCTGCAGCGTCTGATGCGCTTGCTGCTTGTTGCTGATTGGTGTAGAGAGAGAAGATAACAGAGAGAGAGAGAGAATGTTTCTAGATGAGGATAGAGATGTTGTTGTTGAGACTATTTTGGATGGGTATGTATTCTTTGCAAAACTCGAGCTGAATTGTTCAAATAGACAGAAATAAGCAGTACACAACACGACGCTTCTAGCCTCTCAGTGCGATTCGAGCAAGTGTCTAGAAGACCCTAGCTTCTTCTTTTTCCTCCTCGAGAAGAACAAGTGTGAACAGCATGTCCCCACTGCCCTCGTCGGAGCAGCGGAGCAGCGGTTCCAGTGTCCTGCATCCACCTCGTCTGCACTCATGCACCCCCAGTCGAGAGCAACAGCCCTCGCCTGCCTCTCGCTCCTCGCTCGCTCGCTCGCTCACGCAAACGCCTTGCGTGAACTTTATCCGCAACAAACTCTGCCGGGTTGCAACCGGTTTGACGAGGGCTGAAAGACGATGAGGGAAAGGGCGGGGCGAGGGTTTGGCCGATGGGGAAGGTGCAAACTCTTGGAGAGAGACATCTGTCAGTCATTCGTTTTCATTCATTCGTGTGTGAGACAGAACGGCTGCTGTATTTGCCTCTCGAGAGTCTTGAAGATACCAAGAGCACTCATCACGTCTATCGCCACTCATCATCACCAGCAGAGGTACTGTCTGCAGCAGCACCAGCAGTGCTCAGGCTGCACTTCTCCCTACCCTGCCCGGCTCACAATCAGATCCAGGCTCCCACGCGCGGCTCAAGCAAGGTTTGTCAAATTAAGCTTTGCCGAAACCACAAACGCAAAACTGAAAAACTGAAAACTGAAAAAAAAAAAAACCAAAAGCCAAAAACTGAAAAATGCGCCGCGATGAAAAAGAAAATGGCCGAGGGGGAGAGAGGAAGAAGCTGTGGGAAACGAGGGTGTGTAATCGCGGGGATGGGGCAGAGTACAGACAAGACAAACTCGCGCGAGTCTTGTGGCATGCAGCGAGTGCACTGCAGCGCTCTGCTCTGCTCTGCTCTGAGCTGTTCCTCCTCCTCGTAGACGCTCAGCCGGGGTGTGGACCCTGAGCTGGTTGGTGAAGAAGGCCTGAACGCAGACCCTGACGCCTTCATAATACGTTTGGCGTACGCGAATGTTGAAACTCCCTCCTGATGCTAATTCCACATCCTTGCACCTTTCTGCTATATGTCTGGGGTCGGCTGCGTTTAGTGGCTCCTTGTTTTTGTTAGTCTTATGTTTAGCGGTCTTTCTTTGCTGTCGTGAAACGCGCGCGGGGGAGGTGTAATTTGATGCGCGATACTCGATACTCTGATTCAGCGCGCTTCGCGAGTATCTCTCTCGTCTTGCCCCGCATACATTTTCTTGGTCGGTGGTTCAGGGCTGGATAGAGTCTGAGACTGTAATTTGATACGAATGCGCGCGTTGATGAGATCGGGGTGCTTTTGTTGTGGCATTGTCGTTGTGGTCGTTACGCGAACGTAGGAAGAGGATATGCGTCTAAAGTAATCGCTGCGCTGCTCTTTGCTGCAGTTGGTAGCTGGAGATGCAGTAACTGAAAGAGCAACAATCCAGCGTATTCGATGTATATGTGAAACGCAGCCCTGCTATGATTTTCACAGATCTGTTACAAAGACCACAAGACAAGCACGAGATATTCGCCAGATTGCAATCACCCCCTCGTCATCGTCTCGGATATGCAATTTCCTTTTTACTCCTCTTTCCTCACTCTCGCTCTGTTGTTTTGTCTTTGCTTTTTTGTTTTTCTTTTGCTTTCTTTCGTGTTCATTTTTGTTGATTGGACGAACAGATTGTGAATGGAATGGGATATATCTTCGTCACACGCGCGCGCCCCAGAGCACCGGCAGCCATGACGATCACTGTCTTCTACAAATCATATAGCGTCTTTTCTACTTCTTCCACATTCCATCTCTACTCTTCTCTGTGGATGTGTGCAGTGTAGATCTGCTTTGGTTATGTTTTCATACTCCCAGCGGCAGGGACTGCACACTCTCTCCTTCAAGCAGATCAAATGTGCTGAACCAAACGCTCACTCACTCAACGCACATTATGACATATGCTGATCCAAGATGCAAACACAGTACACAAACCAAGCGCGAAAGTGAACCAAAGTACTTCGGTACCTACTTCTCCACAACCGAGAATGACGACAGTGTGGATCGCCCGCTCGGGCGGATGCCGCCGGTAAACGAGGTAAGCAGTAGGGCAGCAAACGAGGAGAGGGCAGAGAGAGGTATATTGTCAATAAATTCCTGGAAAAAGTAAGTGCAAAATAGTCCGACAGACGAGCGGAAAAAAAAACGGGCAGAGGTTGACGCAAGACCGAGGGAAGTTGAGTGAGTTGAGTTGAGTTAACTTTAGGCGGACTTCTCCGCTGCATCTTTTTTTCTTCTCCTCTTTTCTTCAGTTTTTTTTCAACTTTTCTCTCGATTTCATCCTCGGACGCAATGCAGGAATAAGATCATCTTGAGACGAAGAATTCTGCACTGTAGAAACTCGGCACATGAATTGCCGGCCTATTCTTCCGTCATTCTCGCCACGCGTGAAAATTTCTAAAAGAACTCACTCACTCACTCACAAAGAGTGGTGTAATATATTAGTAATCCAACGGTAAGTCGGACATCTTTTAAACGACAATTCGGAGTTTAGGAATAGTTTTACAAAAGTCAGAAAAGAGTATTGATCGTCACATGCACTCTCACAATTTATTTACATATTGCTGATGGAGGAAGCTACTGAATCGAACGAAAAGTTTTCATAGTAGTCAACTAAGCTGATTTGTCTCTCGATGACAGGAAGAGCTGAGCTGTCATTCGAAATGGGAACGAATCAGGTGAACTGTAAGCAACTAACTATTTATTATTATTATTTATTTATTTATTTTGCATTGTTTGATCGCCCGGGCTCTCTTTCTTTGCGCTTCCTCGGCTTTTGACGTGGCCGCTGAGACTTGAACGCTCTCGTGGCATCTTTCTTGCTCCACTTGATGGATGGGATATGGAATCAAGGGATGAGATTGTCAATGTCTCACGCACGCAGGGACTGAACAGCAAAGCAAAGCAGTCTCTGTCTCCAGTTCGCTTCCCAACTCGGTCTTCTCGCCGGAGGTCACAGAAGAACTTCAGCAGAGCGATTTTTAAAGTTCTCCTCACAACGCACAGTGAGTGAGCAAGCCCTGACTTGAGGTCAGTGCAAGTTGTGAGGTGTGAGCTGGAGAGCTCAAAGCTCAAGCGCTGCATCGAGCGACCTGTCAACCGGCTCGGTGGGGCCAAAAGTGGGAATCGGCCAACCACAGGGCAGTCAACAGTCAGTAGTCTCACTAAAGTCGTAGGTAACTAGTCCCTAACTGATAACCAGCCCTGACCGGATTTCTAGCACCTGCTTCTTTCCACCCTCACTCAACCTCTCTGGCAAAGTCATTAAACCCCACTAACCCATTTCATCCCCGCTAACCTGCGCCTTTAGCTTCTAGACTTTCTCGCACCTCACTAGCAAGCACCGTTGGCGCCAGGAACCAATCGGCTCAGGCGTAAAACTGGAACGTACAGAAGCCTAGCCAGACCCTTGACTCTGCTCTCTGCTCAATCCGGAAAACGCCACGAAACGCTCTTTTACAGCTTGTTAGGCAGGGACAGGCGCTTTTCTTGCCTGATGGCGCTCTGGCTGTGAAGTGAGGGCTAGAAACGGAAGTGGGAGTTGTTATCGCGGGTTATCAGAGTTATCAGATAGTTGTGCTGGAGGTGTGCATTTTCTGTAGCTTTGATGGTCACACTGCAGCTGGACAAGTAGACTCTCTGTGTAAGGAATTATTACTCAATTGATCAATTGACCTTGCTGAGAGTCAATGAGCGACTGCTTGATGTCCTTAACTCGGTCTGCCACACCAACAGACTGATGCCATCTCGTGTCATATCTCACAACCTCCTCACCCAGTCCACATCCACACCCACAATTCCACCAACCAGTCAACAATCTCGCGTACAGCCCTTATCTTACAAGAAAAATCACTCAGAAAGGAGAAGGAGGCGCCTCGTCTCCCGCTTGTTTTGTTCGCTTAATTAGCGTAGTTGCAGCAGATGCAGGTAGGTAGGTCTCGAGGGTCTACGTGTGTACGAGAGAGACCTAGACCACGCACGATACACCGAGCCTACGATATCAAGACCGGTGAAAACCTGCATTCCACATCTTGCAGGAATCTTTCACGATTCAAATGAAGAAGGCAGAAAAAAGTCAATTGCAGATTCTTCACTGCGTGCTTCTATACATCATAAGTGAGCCAGCGGAGGTTGTCTGTCAGATCCGGCACTAGTCTGCCTTTTTTTCCATCCGCTGTAGTGCGCTGCGAGAAAAACCGCAGCCTGCAGCAGCAGCAGCTCCACCACAGGCTGCAGCTCGGGGTAGTAGCCATCTAGCCAGACAGCTGGACCCTCAGACGCTCAGGCGCTATCATGTCACGTTATGTTGGGTTTCCTTGCCAGTCTGTGTGTCTGTGTGTGCGTCCGTGCCAAGGGGTTCTCGGTCGGTGTAGACCTGGCTGGCTCGCTGGCTCGTCCTCGTCGACCGGTCAGATCATTTTCCGGACGGACAATTGGTTGAGTATTATCCCCGCTGTCAAAAAAAACTAAAGCCCGGGACAGGGCAGTCTGTGTACTCTTTAAGGAATAATCGCAAAACTGTAGAGAACAGAACTCTGTCTCCTCCCGCGCAGGGTTCATAACCTCACGAGTTTAGACAGCGAAAGCGCCATAGTCTGGCTTTTACAACTTACACACGCTCACTCACATACACCCACCTGCAGACCCTCTTTGTATCTATCGATACGCACAGGCACCCAAACCAGCAACCCTCCCTCCCTCCCTCCCTCGCCGTTGTCGCTCTCTCATGCGCTCTCGCTGGACTAATTGACTTTTTTAGGTAGCCGCGTAAGCCCAGAGTCTCACCTGAACTGTCCAGTCCGCAAGCTGCCTCCGCTGGCAAGGGACTCACTCCACCGCTGTGTCTGTGCTTTGCTGTCCGCTTTGATTGTCAATGTCTTGATAGCCAGACTGCGCTGGTTCGTTGACAGACCGCGGTGGCGAGGGTACTACGAGGAAAGGGATGCGTCGAGGAAAGCAAGGGGTTATCGTTGATATATCCCCATTCCTATTTCGATTATCAACTCATATCTTCCAGCGAGAACGCCACAAGCGGTAAATCCCACACTGATAGCTCTCTCTCTGTGCAGAGAGGCTCATAACCATTCAGATTGTCCATCAGACACACTCTCTCTGGACATTATTCAAACGCGTTTGGGCGCGACGTAGTCGATCGCTCCTTCAATACCCTCCCATCCAGGAAACTCTTTTTCATTGCGCACTTGATAAGGCGTCCCCATACTCTAATCCCAGTGCCCATGAAACTTAACGATCATTCCCCACCGCACCCAGTTGGTCCCTTTCAGCGACCAATTCTCCCACCCCCCCATCGCCCAGGTTCTTGAGCGCCCAGGTGAAGTTCCTCGGCGCAAAATAGACGTAGTACTCGCGCTTGCCCACCTTCTTGACGAACCAGTTCACATGACCTTTATAAGTATGTCGAGTGCTGATAATGACGACGTTGAGGTTAAGGCTCTCGACGACGTCGACGAACGAGCGCGTGAAGGCCTCGCGTTCGGGCGCGCTGCGATCTTCGTCGACCTTTTGCTCGAGCTCGTCGATGCCTTTGTGGATCAGCGGACTGAGTTGATCGATCAGTGAACCGATTACTTCTGCGGCGATTGCGGTTGACGATTGCATTGTGACTGCTCTGATGGTGTTAGAGCGGCTTGCGCCGTGTTGCGTGGGTGCAAGGACAGCCGGGGGTTGGTCGAGTAGAATATACCCTCGATTGATCAGTATATCTTTATCTATTATTCACAGTTTTGATCGCACAGCCTCGTCAATCTCTTATCGATATGGTCTATTCTCCCGCATCGCGTACGATGCGCCGTACACCGAACAGCATAGCCGAATCTTCCAACGCCACGGCGCAGTCTTCGCCTCCGCAATGCTTAGAATACTTTTCCAACTAGATATGTAGACAATATTCGTCATCTATTATCGCGATCTCAAGCTGTAAAGTGACGAAGCTTTGGACGCATACGTGGGTGAATATGTATATATTGCCGAATCAGGCTATTCCTATCGTCTAACTATGCAATAATTATGAAACCGATACCGAAGCAATTCGAGAAATGCAAAGGAAGCTTCTTGTGCACAAGTTGAGCTACAAGAGACACAAAGAGAAAAAAAGTTGTGAGAGAGATTAATACTCTGCAGAACGCATGACGGCGCGTCTGAAGGTCCTGCGGTACTCTTTCTTTTGCGCGTCAGAGCCAAAGTACAGTTCTGCGGCGTCGAGGTTCATCCACGTGCGCGGATCTGGCGAGAGCTTGTCGTTCTCTAGACTTGCGATCAGGGCTTCGATGTGGGACTGTGGGTCTTCGGGTTTTGAGGGGCGGTAGTATGGTATTCCGCTTGCTGAGGGTTTGTTAGTTGGAAGAGAGAGGGGGGGGAGAGAGGGGGGGTGGGACGTACGGGTGATATTTAGGTGGTATATGGGAGTCTCGTAGACAGCTCTAGGTTGCTCCTCAGGAAACCTGACCGAGAACGCAAGTTTGATGCGGAACAGCGCGCCGTCAAGGCTCGTCGTCGGCCGCCCGAAATAGATAATCCTCCAGACAAACGGGTTATCATCCACGAGCTCGAGCGTCACCGTGCCGTCGTATGTTCGCACGAGGTACCCCGCGATCTGGGAATACATGCCGCTGAGCATCGACGCGGCCGCGTCGTGGTTGCGGACGGCCTCGGCGCCCTCGGTTGCCCAGTGCTCTGTTTCCTTGTCGAGCGCGGCGGTGATGGCGTGCATGCGTCGCTCGAGGTCGGCGTAGTCGAACGAGCCCTTCATTTCGTTGTCTGGGCCCTCGAACGGCATTGTTTCGAAAAAGGTGTTGTCTTTGATGGATTGCTTTTCGCGCGCGATCGTGCGCATGTAGGACGGGTAGTAGTAGCGGAAGAGGCGTTTGCAGAGGTCTTTGAACGGCACGTCTGCGGGCACGTCCTCTGGTTGCTCGTTCTCTGGTGTCTTTTTAACCTTCCCGGTCACGGATGAAATATGCAGCGATTCTTCCAGTCGCTTGATTACAGAAATCCTGAGTGTCTCGTGTTGAATCTAGGTAGCCGTCAGCCCGCGCTCTTCAATTAAGAGCTTCAATTAAGAGCACAGCACAGAACTTACCTTTTGAATATACTGCTGCGCCTTGTCACGGTGAAGCGACTCCCGCTCACTCCCGGGGCCGAAACCGGGCTCGTTCTCGAACGGGTTGGAGCACATCAGGCTCTGGATCGACATCAGCACGGACTCGATCCCCTGCGCTGACGACCACTGCTCGCCTGCCTCGCCTCTCCACGTCCTACAAAGACAGTTAGTATCTCGTTCAAGGAGGTTGTGAAGTAGAGGGAAGGACGTACCCTAGGATTGAGAGACACACTTTGCCATTCGCGTATATCTGTGCAAAGTCAGCACCGATCCGTAATCTCACGTAGCTCATCATCTAGCGCAGAACTCACGTTTGGATTAAACCGCGTCCATCCATCGTTGGTAGTCAGCGCGCTCACGCACGGCGGCTTTGAGGGATACCCTAGAATCAAGTAGGCATTAGTTTCGTCAATAGTCCGTGGTGTGGAGGCGGGGGGGGACGGACCTTCAGGAAAGGACATTTTGAATTCGAAAAGGCCGTATTCGTAGGGAGTGTCGAGAGGGCCTAGTATAAGTGCCTGCGCACGCATCAGGTTTTTTTCGTCAAAGTATACATATATTCCTAGGGTCGTAGAGTATTAGCATCGTGCTTCACTTGAATAAAATAGAACCGTGCGCGGTGTTTGGTCCGCAAGACGGCGGGAGGACGTACCTTGATCTGGACTTTTCTGAATATTTGCCAATTCCTTTGCAATCCGCAATGTCGTGGTCGCGGACGACATTGTCGTCAGGAAAAATCACGTCTGCTCTCTTTGTTCTCGGTACTGACGGAGGTCGGCGAGCAAACCGGGCTGGGAGCAGATATGCGACACGGTTTTTAACCGCGGTTCACCTCACAATTTTCTACCCTCTGAAATAAAAAAAATGAGATCGCAGGGGATATAATTGAGTAGAGGTTAGTAGAGGTAACTGCGTGGAGAGAAGAGCTCCGGGGCGGGGAGAAAGGTGGAGCGTGAAGGGTGGTTTGTAAATTGGTGGTGGGACACGGAGAGAGGCACGGTTGGGATGTTTGGATTTAAATTGATTAGTTACGCGTTGAGTTGACGATGGGCGAGGGATCTGGTATTTCTGCGCTGACTTGTACAATGAGAGTGATTTTCTGGTGATATAACTTTTATAGAACTAGAAGAAGTACTTGTTGTGGTATTATACTGGTTATTACAGATATAGGGGGCGTAAATATTACCAAGCGCATCAAGGAAGCAGCATTAGCAATGTCATGAGGTTGCGAGGCAGAACTGCCCGGCCTCCTCCAAACCCTCATCCGTGTCAGAGACCTGTCATCCTGCCTCACCTCACGATGCTTGTCCGTCTACTACATCTATCCCTGCAAGAGCCCAGCCATCTTGCCTCACCTCAGAACGCCTAACCAGCAGTCCATCCACGGGAGATTACCTCTGCCTCACTTCACAAGGTCACGCCTACACCCTCCCGCATGAAGAGTACTTCGCAGGACGCTAAGGCATGAGCAGGGAGGTTTCCCCTCATCAAAGATCCCTTCATCCTCCGCACGGTTTCTTCTTGTCAACAAACCACACTCATTTACTAACATTCTTACTCCTCGAGAGCCAGCCTCCTCGTCCTGCTAACGTGGAGACTAATCTCTTCCGGCGAGAGGATAGAATGAGGCATCTTGTAGAGTAATATTTAAGGAAGCCTGGCTTACCCAGTCTTCCTGATAATGAACCATCATCTACTATCTTCCTAATCACTTGCGCTTCCACTACAACTCCCACTTACCTTCCACTTATCCATCGCTTATCCCCTCATTATGTCATCCAACGACAACCCTTCGGCGCGCGACGACGCGACTTCGCCACAAGCATGAACAACAGCACCAGCACTTATTCATTCCCAGCTGCACCTTTTCCTACAATCTACTAAACCGTGCTACAAAAATGTAGGCAAAAGTCCATCTATTCGATAGACACATTCTAAACATAGACCTGCGAGAAACAGACTGCGTGGGAGAAGCTGGAAACAAATAACTAACAACGAAATATATTATACACATGGACATCAGTCTGTCGACCGGCTGGTGGCTAGTGATTATAGTAGGAGATCAAAAATAGCAGGAATTCAAAGAACAGAAGAATGAGAATCAAGGCCGAATAGAATGTAACTCGAGGATATCCAGCCACATTGTCCGAAGCAAGACCAGACGCGTCTTGCAGTCACCATACAGCTATCTCCTTCTCTCCTCTCTTTCCTATTTCTCGCACCACTTTTTCTTTCCCGTATAACCCATCCCTGCAAACAACGGTAACGACAGTCCGCCACTCCCCCCAATCGCCATCGACACCGCATACTCTACTCTAGCACGCTCACGCATCATCTCGTTTTCTGGATCTTCGAAGCACGCTGCACCGTCGCCTTTCCACGCGCAAGACCAACACCCTTTCCTTTCAACCCGCTTGATCTAAACATCGGCGCGTTTCTACATAGAGGTGTTAGTACTGCAGCACATTCACGAAATGGCAGGAGGAGGAGGAGGAGGAGGAGACGTACCTTAGCATATCCGGGACGATGAAAAATCGAACGTGCGAGCCGCGGATGTAGACTTGCTCGAGATGAGAGACGCGGCCGTCGCGCGCGGTGACTTGTATATCTCGTAGCTGGCAGTTCATGTTGTCCTCGACTAAGTCGCGAAAGTTAGCATGCCATCAGCAGGGGCGGTGGGTTGAATCGAATTGAAAACACAGAACATACCCTCGATCAATTTTCCTCTGTAGGCCTGTCCGGTAGTAAGTTCTAGAGTGACAGTATGTCCCTAGACAATTCACCATGTTAGCATCTATCCACATCTTTTCAAGCATCACCGGTATGATCGATCCACACAATCACTACATACCTGCGACTCATTCAAAAGCTTGATCGGAATCCCGATAGAACCCATCGTGACAAGCTAGCTGTGTTTTTCCTTTGCTGATGGGTGGAATACCGCAGTCTGATGCAGTATTTTGTCAAAGAAAGCAAGCACGCCGGCAGTTCTTTAGTTCTGTAGTTCTTTCGATGGGGTCTTTAGAATACTTTCGCTCCGTTTTCAGGTTCAGGATTATTCAGGGGTATACGAGCGTTGCTTGTGTTGTGGCTCTAACTGTGCAAAAACGTGTGCATAAGTTATGTTAACAGCGCGAAGAGAGTGATGGAAGAGACGGACGACGTTTGATAGAAAAACAACGAGTTCGAGGACAGGTTCTTCTTGAATTCAGTGTATGCTACACAGCACAGGGCAGCGCAACAGTATCTTGTCATCTACGTTACTGTGAGCAGAGTGAGTTAAAGCAGAGATGGCAGACAAAATGAAAGCAGCAGCAGCTGCTTTAAAAGCACAAGGCACGACCGCATTTTCGCAGCAAAACTACGCCAGCGCGTTAGAGCTCTACACGCAGGCCGCGGACCTGGATCCAACGGACCCGGTGTATTTCTCCAACATGGCGCTGTGCGAGATCAAGCTTGAGAAATGGGAGGACGCGGAGAAGCATGCGGATTTTGGGCTGCTGGCGGCGTGCGGGAGTACGTATGCGGACAAGGCGGTCGCGAGTCGGCATAAGCTTGGGGCGAAGTTGTTGTGGAGACGGGGTGTTGCGAGGAGGAAGTTGGGGTCGTTGAGCGAGGCTAGGACAGGTATTTGTTATTTCAGTTTGTTCTTCTGATTGTGTACTGCAGCTAACAGGAGGGTGTGGGTTAGATCTGGAATCAGCGCTGAAACTCGAGCCGAACAACAAGTCAGTCAGTGAGGAATTGAACGCTCTGGCATGGGACGAAAAGCGCGGCAAGCGAAAGACCAATTCTACAGCATCAGTTAAGACGACGACGCCGGCTACACAGCCAAAGAACGGTTCAAGATCTAGCTATCCCGGACAATCATCTCGGATAGAAGAGATCACGGAGGAGGCTGTTGTGGAGAAGAAAGATGGACTGAGAGAGATTGCGGTGAAAAAAGTTGATACATTGCCGAAGGAGTTTGCAGAGATACTGTTGAAGAGTAAGGAACTGAAGACTACGGCGCCGACGCCTGCCATAGCCAGCAGCGCGAAGGCCACGAACGCGAACGTTACGAACGCGAACGTGTCGACTGTCAAGGAGAAGGAGGCAGAGGTCTCGAAAAATACGCCTTCGACTACAGAGAGAACTCTTCCGTTCGAGTGTACGATCCAGCAAGTTGTTATTTCAAAGGCGTACCCAGCAACGCTCAGTCTCTACGAACTGACACATCTCCTACGGCGACCCGCGTCAGAGCGGGCGCAAGTGCTCGCGTACTTGTTTTACCGGATCCCGCCCGCTAGTCTGAAAGCTATTTTCGGGCGGGGCGGAATCGAAGGCCACTTCATCGAGGCATTTCTGAGCGCGATCGAATATGCTAGTATCTCGGCCCTAGGCGCGCGCGCAGAGCAGGAGGAGAAGAAATCGGTGGTGCTGAAGAGTGTTGAGATCCTGCGCGGGATGATTGCCTGCGGGAGGTTTTCGATCGCAAAAGTGTTTATAAACGGCAGGTTGACAAAGTCCGCGTTCGAGGTGCTGAAGGGGTTGGCGCGCGAGGGTGGGCTGGAAAAAGAAGCCGAGCAGACGGTGGGAGTGTGGGAGAAGACGTGAATGGAAGTAGCTGGAAGAAATTTTTTTGGGTCGTGATCTTCGGATCAGCGGCGCTGTACTGTAAATAGGAGCAAGAAGCAGAAAATAACGCGCATCAGGGACGGAGTTTGTGATTTATGCGATTTAGAGCGAGTAAAAGTGATTTCTTGGGAGCAGGAGAGGAATGAAGGCTTGATGGTTGATAGCTATAGAATTATAATAACCTGTGGTTAAGGAACGACAGAGGTAATAAGAATAGAAACTCCACATAAGAATAAGAATAGGAATAATAAGAAAAAAATAGGAAATAATATACAAACCAAAAGATATTAAAAATTGATAGAACTTTTCATACGCCGCGACCGACCCGAACAACCAATAAAACAAGCAAGAAGAAAAAAGAGAGCGAGGAGAATGAGAAAGGAACGACCGATAAACCAGACCAGAAAGAGCGACGAAGGAGAGGAAGATTAATAGAGAGGCAGACAGGCAGTAGTGGCCCGGTGACGATAGTAATTGACGACACGGGACTTGCGACAAGACACGTGAAGGATTGACGCGTCGAGGAAGTAGCCAAAGATGTTATTGGATTAATTATAATGTGGAGTCTGCTGGAACGAACCAAGAACCAAGGAGCGATAAAGTGAAGGAGCAAGGGGCCCGATATTGGGCACGCGATCATCGGCGCCTGTCCGAGGAAGCCGTTGAGGGATCAGCGGACTGCTCGAGGGAGGGAAATGACGTGTATTCGTCTGGAATAGCACGGGAGGTTAGCATACTTGTTTGTGAGGATTGAAGAGAAGAAGAAGACAGAGAAAGGAAAGATGAGAGCTCACCATCGAGATTGTTTGGAATGAGGTTGAGACACCTGCCGTTTCTCCGGCAGGCAGCCACGAGGTAGACGTTCTCGATTTTCTCCGGAGACGGTGGCTGGGAAGAGAGGGAAGAGGCCGAGACGCAAGAGGAGGAGGACGAGCGACGGACGATCTGGTCTCTCATAGGGAGGTTGTGGTTGCGGTGGGAGGGATCATCGCAGGAGCTGCGATCTTGGTTGGGCGGAGATCTGCGGGAGGAGGAGGAGGAGGAGGAGGGAGGGCGAGATGCGGATCGGAAGAAGAGGGCGGTTGAGGGCAGAGGGAGGAACATTGCAGGGCAGCCCGCGCATGAACCGGGAGGGTAGAGAGAGTAGAGTAGAGTATTAGAGAGAGTAGAGTCAAGCAAAGAGAGAGGAGCAGAAGAAAAGCAGCGTCGACGAAGCCTTGAATGCGAGCGGCAAAGATCGCTTCGGCGCAGCTGAAGAAGACCCAATTTGGCTTTTTCCGGCATCGCGATGAGCGGGAGCAGCGCCGCGCAGCAGTGTGATCCACAGATCACATAAAATGTGACTGAAGATGTGACTGAAATGGAAGGCACGGAGCCGGAAAGAAAGAAAAAGGCACGAAAAGGAGGAGGAAAGGGATAGCAGAGTTTGCAGTTTATTGCTTTACATTGCCTGCTATTTGCAACTACGATATATTTAGAAACAAACCAGGAACAGTCGCGTTTAGAATTCCTTCGAGTTTTTTCCCTCACTTTTGGCTGCGTTGCCGACTGAGCCACCGCCGGCTGTCTGTGCTGAGGGACGACGGCGACGGCGACTGTGAGTCTGCAGGAGACGTGGAGGGAGACGTAGGCGTGGACGTAGACGAAGACCCGTTCTGAGCTGCTGGAAAGAGCAGAGAATGCAGCTCACAGCCGCTGAGTGTTGATAGTGAATAGTCAACACTCAGAGAGTAGAAGTAGCAGTGAATATCAGTAACTGCTTCTAATCACATAGTTAGCATAGTCAGCATAGTCAACTACGCTCTCTGGAATTCACACAAACCCCTCTGCTGACTTTCCTGAGCCGCAGCGTGCGTGGCCCGGCCACCTGACCACTTTCGCTTGCTGCTTTGGGAACCCTAATCCGCCTCGCGCACTTCTCCATCACCGTCGTGTTTTCCTCAACGCCTCTGACTCGCGCACATTCCCGCTCTGATTCGTGCCTTTCTCCCTTCTCTGCTCCGTCTGAGTGTCTCTGCTCACCGTCAATTTGCTCGGCAGCTCTTCGGCTCCTGTTTTCTGTGTCTTTTGCGTCTTGTTAGGGCGACAGACGCGCTCCTACTCCCTCCTCCCCCTGACTACTCCCTATCCATCTCTATAACACTCACCTCTGCGCATCTAATTCTTGCAATGCTGTGCGGGCTCTTGTAGCGCGCCCGTGCAAGCCTTCCTCCTTCCTCCTCTGCGCTCTATACCTGGCACCGTCCTCCTCTCCATGGACTCGCCCTCCCCTCGCGCCCCCATGCTGGATCCAACCGCGCCTGCTCTCTCCACCGACGAGCGTCGTGCCCGCTCAATCTCGCCCGCTCCTCGCAGCCTCCACTCGGCCTCCATCATCCCGCGCGCCCCCCACGAACGACTCACTCACTCAAACTCCAGTCTTTCATTCAGTCCCTCGGCCAGTCCCCGTCGCGGCCGCTCGATCTCAAACTCCCTCCTCCCCGATCGGGCGGCTGCCGGCTCCTCCCATTGGGCTCGCGCAAAGAATCTCAACGTCATCCTCGAACTGGATCTCAACTGCAACGTCATCTGGGGGAGCAAATCATGGCCACATATTGTAGGGTGTGTACATTTTTTAATCTCTTATTTTCTCTGCAATTGTCTTTTCTATTTCATGTCAATCGGGGCTAATATCTTACACTATGCAGCATCGACATCCAAAGCCTACAAGGCAAGCCAATATCCGAAGTCCTCGTCGGCGATCGTGACGTCTTTCAGAAAGCAACCGACGCCATGCTCGAGACAAACTCATCCTACCGCGTTCGCTTCACAATCGCCCTTGGCGATCACGCGCACGCGCTCCGCACTGACTCGACCTTCAGTCGCGATTCGTCTCCTGCTTCCGCCATGCGCCATAATTCCTCGATGTCTTCACACTTCATCACTCATGACTCGACTCCTAGCAGTACCGCCGTCACCTCTCGCACCGGCTCGGCCTACACATCTAAAGACAGCTCCAGGCGAAATTCGCTCTCGGCCGATCTCCCTCCGGAGATGTCGACTTCCGAGGCCGCCACTCCCCGACTGGCAGCTCTCGCCCATGATACCCCTCTCGTTCAGACTGGCCACTCCGTCAGCACTCCTACACCGGCTGCTCGCCACAGCTCGTCGGGTTCTTCAGTCATGCGCCATCTCGGCTCGCCCACCCCATCCACAGGCTCGACCGCAACCTCCGCTCTGGGTGAATTCATTGGCACCAGTCCGCCCAAGCCTCGGTTAAGTACAGGCACTGACTCTGTCGGACTAGACCCTTCTTTGCTCGACAGTTCCTCCTTTCCTACATCAAATCAAAAGACTATCGAAATGGAGGGCCAGGGTATCATCATTTTCGATCGCCATTCCCTTGAACCCGTTTACGTGAGTTATTACCCCTTGACTAACCATCTTACTACCAACCATGCTGACTCTAGACAGTCTATGTGGGTTCTGAAACCCTACGTCGAGCCCGTCCGTCCGGTAGTCGATCTTCCACAAATTCTCGTCGATTCACTAGGCTTTGGTGCCGATGTACTAGCTGGATACCTCTCCAAACTCACGCAGTCGGGAATCACGGATCCTCGTGATTGCCCAATGCAGGAACCTATAATGTGCCGCATTTGCGAGCGGCAAATTCAACCGTGGTGGTTTGAACGGCATTCCGAGTTGTGCCTAGTTGAGCACAAGGCCGAAAACGATGTCCAGGCGTGCCAAGACGCACTTCGGGATCACCGCCAGCAGCTACTTCGTCTTTTGGAGCAAATTGATGCTCGCGTGGAGCACGATGGAATTGTCGAATATAGAGGCAAGGCGATCGCGCCACCCCCAATCCAAAAGGCTTTGTCCGCGTCCACCGGCAGTACGGAGACACTCGGATCCTCCATTTCCCAGCATTGGAAGCAGATCGGGAAAGCTCTTCACCATAGATCGCCTGTGAGACTGATCGAGTCACTATTAGACATCTGTGACCTCGCTCTCGACATCAGTACACCTGCCCTGCGCGACAACAATCCCACTGCCGACAATGACGGCTACCAAATACGAGTGCACTCGCCCGAATCTGAAGTCCGGCTGCGAAAAGTACTGGGATGGCAACCGCCGGCTAATGTCGAAGGCGAAGGGTTCCAGCTTTTGGTCAGCGACACGCAGCTTTTCATGCAGGCTAAGATGGACGCTATCCTGAGACTGGGAAATACAATCACTTATGGCGAGAAGATCCAGCGCGAGCTGAGTATTCTGGTGCAAGAATGCGTTGAAGAGACAATCTCACACATCATAGAGCAAGATAACATCATTGACGAAGTCGACGAGGACGAGAGCGGAGATGAATTGACCGACGCGCAATCTGACATGGACGACTTGGTCTTTTTCTCCAACGAGTTTAGAGACGAGCGAGAGCCGTCACCAGGTTTGGTCGATTACAACTCCAGCGGCCTCTCTGTTGCGTCAGGGTCATCACCTGTCGAAACCATGACACCGAAATCATTCTTACCGACCCTGGGCCGACCCAAGACGCGGAAAGTGCTGATCAAGGATGAAGAAGGTGGTGATAGCGACAGCAGCCGATCATCATTGCTCTATCTACGAGAAAAGGCAGACTCGCCCGCCAGCGACCATGAAATGCGTCTCAAGACGCGCAAAAGCAGTGCGAGCCTTATCTTTGGCTCACCGCACACTCAGAAATCACCCTCAATCAGTTTCACCAAATCCCCACTGGTGACGCAAAAGTCTTCCAAGTTTTCTGTCACCTCAGAGGGCGGCAACGGTCGGAATAACACGGCTACGGCGGATATCAGCAATGTCAGTTTCACACCTTTGACGTCTCCGTTGCTCTTCCCGATCGATTCTTATCCTGAACATGGACGGCACCATCGACGAAAATCTTCTGCGGCATCTGATTTCTCCAAACCGCCACTGTCTCCGCTTCTTACGTCGGTCACGCCAGCAGTGAGACCGGCACAGCCGAGCATTCGCGACTTTGAAGTGATCAAGCCGATCTCTCGAGGCGCGTTTGGAAGCGTCTATTTGACCAAGAAGAAAAACACGGGCGAGTATTTCGCAATGAAGGTCTTGAAGAAGGCAGACATGATTGCTAAGAATCAAATCACAAACGTGAAAGCCGAGCGCGCGATTATGATGGCGCAGGCCGAGTCGCCGTTTGTGGCGAAGCTATTCTTCACATTCCAGAGTAAGGAGAATTTGTATTTGGTGATGGAGTATTTGAACGGCGGCGACTGTGCTGCGCTGTTAAAGGCGTTTGGCGGCGGGCTGCCGGAAGAGTGGGTGCAAAAGTATATTGCTGAAGTTGTGCTGGGAATCGAAAACCTGCACGAGAGAGGCATTGTTCATCGGTATGCTTGATATTCTTACTATCTTCTTGAGCCTAGCTAACACACTTTACAGAGACTTGAAGCCAGATAACCTGCTGATCGACCAGTCCGGCCATCTAAAGTTGACGGACTTTGGTCTATCAAGGATGGGTTTGGTGGGCCGTCAGACACGGCAAGGCACATCGAGCCAGAACGACTCTCCGGACCTGTTCAACGCGAGCAGGTCACAGTCACTTTCGTCGCAACCGAGTTCCTACGACACGCCGCTGTACGAACTCAACCCGATCCTGGGGGTCTCTCCTGGGTCGACTCCGTACATGACAGGCGCTGGCGCGGATACTGGTTCCGGGCTTCCGAATATACCGGGCTATTTCTCGCTGAATAAGAGTGCTCTGAACGACGTATATCCCAAGCCGACGACTTTAGCACCATCGAATGCCGCGAGCGTGTCTACGCTATCCCCCCTCTCAAGTAATCAGTCTTCTTCAGGAAACCGGAGCGAGTCCATTCAGTCGATGCTCAACTCGTTCACACTGAATGAGACTATCCCGCACGCCCGTGCACAGGCAAAGTCGATGAGCAAAACGGACGATGAGCAAGTGTTTAGCACAGGAAGTTCAGTCTCGAGCGAGAGCGGCGGGCTGGGCATTCACCGATCGTCGAGCTCAGGAAAGTTGTCGTCGGTGACTGCAGCTGCGTCGGCGGCGATGCTGATGCCTCCTCCGCCGATTCCGATCCAGCATACACACACACATCCTACTCCGCCACAGAACATGGCGCTCTTTGATCCTGTGAATAATGCGGCGCGCAAGTTTGTTGGTACGCCGGATTATCTCGCGCCGGAGACGATCACCGGCACGGATCAGGACGAGATGAGTGACTGGTGGTCGCTGGGCGTGATTGTGTTTGAGTTTCTGTACGGGTACCCGCCGTTCCACGCCGACACCCCTGCGGAGGTATTTGAGAATATTCTTGCGCGAAGGATAGCGTGGCCGGAAGGGGACCCGGAGAGTCTTCCTCCGGTGTCAGAGGCGGCGCGGGACTTGATCAACCGGCTGATCTGCACCGATCCCGAGCAGCGTCTGGGTGCAAAGTCGTCACAGGAAGTGAAGGAGCATCCGTTTTTCAAGGGGATTAATTGGGAAACGATACTTTCTGAAGAGGCGCCGTTCATTCCGCGGCCGGTGGATGAGGAGGATACGGCGTACTTTGACGACCGGGGAGCTTTTCTACAGACGTTTCCTGAAGAGGAGACGGAGGAGAAAGAGAAAGAGACAGAGAAGCATGTGCACGAGCACGCGCATATTCATACTCAGCACCAGTACTATGAGAAAGGTAGTGGTTTGCGAAGACTGATTCACGGCGGCGGCGGGTCTTCATCAGCACATGAAGACGCGTCGGGAGGATCATCGGGCAGCCACCTACAAAGCAGCCCAGACTCAAGCCATGAAGTAGAGCATAGCGCGTTCTCGCCAGCCGAGACGAGCTCGAATACGAGCAACAACAGCAGTCAGTCGCCGACGACGGGGCCACCTCCGTTGACGACGTCGCGGTCGACGAAAGTGCTGCCGCTGCATATTCCGCACCACTTCCGGGGACGGAAAACGCGTCGGCTGAGCGAGCCTGTGGCGGTGGATGACTTTGGGTCGTTTTCGTTCAAGAACTTGAATGTGCTTGAGAAAGCAAACAAGGACGTGATCCAGCGGTTGAAGTCGGAGCACCTTGAACAGATGAAGACGCCGATGCCGCCAGCGCAGCCGTCGGGGTTGATTGAGCCGTCGCCGATCAAAGCCGGACGGAATCTGTCGGTGGGAAGTCTGGGCCAGCCAGTGCCGTTCGGACACGCGAGCATAAGCTCAGGATCGACAAGCGGCGGCGCGGGGATCGTGAAGCGGCCGGGCTCGCCATCGAGCAGCTCGTCGAGCAACTCGAGTCTGTACCGGAACGTGTCGCCGAGCCGGAACCTGTCGCACGCGTCGATTCCGTCGTCGCCGCTGACGACGTCGCAGCCGATTACGGCGCCGGATGTCGAGACCGAGACCGACGACGATAATTTGGACGAGGGGGCTCGGCGGCAGGCGAAGGAGAAGCGGGGCGGGAGAGAGCAGGCTGCGCCGCCGTATATTGCGCTGCCGAGGGCGTGGTCGGGCGGGGATAGTGGGAGTAGTACGCCTCCGTCGCCGTTGTCGTCTCGTCATGTGTCTGCAGGGTCGATGAAGTAGCCTTTCTCTTTACTCTTTCGTCTACATACATTTCACATTTTTTTTTTCACTTTTCCAAAATCGGAAATTTCAGGCGTTATTTCGTTACCAGTTGGTTTTTTTAATGTTTAGTCACACCACTCTTCTTCTTTTTTTATATACTAATGTTTTCTATCCTTTGCTTTTGCACACATTATCCGGCGGTGTTGGTTTGTTTTGTATTTGATATTGCTGCGCTTTGTTTTTACTTGACGTTCTCTGAGCGGACAGTAGGGATGGAGCGGGCGAGGGTGTTGGTAGCGTTGTTCGTTTTGGGCGGGTTATAGAATTGATTTGTGTTTTTATCATCTTTCTCACCTATTTATTATCCATAAATGATGATGCTGGTGCGTAGTTGGGGAGTGGAGACAGAAGAGAAGACAGAAGACAAGAGACAGCCGCACTCGGCGTGGCTCCGTCTGCTTCTCTCCGACTGCACTTCCTCATCTCTCTACTACTACTAAGCAGCTATCTCGACACATCACCCATCTCGATATCTGTACTTCCAACAATAATGACAACAAAACAATCATCCCCCGCAACATTCTCCACTCCGTCTCCGCAAACAAGTCTCCTCTCGCCCGCATCCCACCTAGCCCACCAAGCTTTCTCCCCCATCGCCGCCTCCACCGCCGCCAACGCCGCGAACTCCATCCCTCCTGTCTCTGCCGGTTCTGCCTCTACAAACGCTGCTTCCGGCGGAAGTAATTCTGGCAGCGGCGGCGCGTTCTCTCTGCGCAAGAACCCACCCGACGCAGCACTACTTCTCACCCCCGCCGCCATCGCAGCCGCGACGGAGGCAGCTAACGCGGAGCGCGGGTATTTCGACAACCTGGTCGCGGTGAAGAACGGGGTGGTGTCGGAGGTGAGTTTGCGGGCGTTTGATTTGTTGGAGGAAGGGAATACGGCGATGACGGAGAATGATACGCCGTTGAGTTTGGCGATGTTTGGGGCGGTTAAGGGGAAGAGGCATCCGAGGATTTTCTGAGATTAAGAGTGATGAGGAGAGGTGGAAGAGAAAGAGATGAAGAGAGAGGGGGGTTGTTTGATGAGGGGTTTGGGATGGTGTGGGTTGGATATGGAAAGGCGTTTGCATGGCTTTGCTTTTGATATTGTTTTTGGTATTGCTTTTGGGATTGTATTTGATATTGTTTTTGATGCACCGGTGGTGCGTTTCGGAGTTGTGCTATGATCTATGCTAGCTTGTTATACCTGTAAATAACTAAAACTATGTATGTATATATTATAATGTTGAGATAGAATTGTCAATCACCTCTGCGACATTAACAAGCGTCACTGATGATACTACTCCATAACGATCCACTACGCGTCTTCTTTCTTCAGTGTCGACCAAATGTTATATTATATAAAATACACGAAAACAAGCAGATAAAACGATGCACGCGCCAAATCAAAGGAAGAAGAGATAAGAATGTGTAAAATATGAAGTATATTCTCGAAGAATCAGAGAAATCTGTGCTGGAATAGATGGATGCTTTCGCCGTCGTCGTTGAAGATGATTTGTTTGTTTAAGCGGATCCCTAAAGGAGACGATTAGTTAGCAGACTGTTCAATCTCGCGGTTTTTGTCACAGTTGAGAAGAAGATGCATACCTCCAAGAACTTATCAACAAAGTTCTTGCGCACGTAGCGCTCGGGGAACTCCTCTTGGCTAAAGTACTTCATAAGCTGCGCCTTCTGCTTCCAGAAGTTGACGGTTTCCTATCGCAAAGTCAGTAAGTACTCTCCATATGTTCATACATCAGGCAGAAGATGACTAGTTAGGAACGCACCTGGAACTCCATGTTTCCCTTTGCGATCAGGACGGAGATGACGGGCATGCTGGTGACGTATCGCTGGCGCTCGAATTCCTGTCGCAGCTTTGATCTGCCCATGGCGAGCGAGACCTCGGCCTGGTACAGACGGATGACTGAGGGGACCTAGGATTTGATTGTCAGTTTGTTTAGTTCGATGGGAGTGGGGTGTTGTAATAGTTCTGGTCGGGGGAAAGGCAGTTTGACGCAGTCATCGTCGAAGTATCAACGCCAACCTCCCCACAACGATATAGAAAATTCTTTCATACATTTCTCAAAAACCGGCGGTAGAGGTGAATAGTCGCCAGTCTGGACTCTGCGATATCAGTGTAGACCTTGGTCGTAACCGCGAGATGAGTGGGACGAATAGCCATTTTGTCTCTAGTTCTTCTTCTGTTCTTGTTCTTTCTATCATTCACAGGTCAGCTTCTCCTCTCATACAAACACATCAGAAACACAAGCAAACCACTCACGACTTTGTTGCTGGATCGCTATCCGGATGGAATACTCAAAGCTGCTGGTGTCCGTCAACAGAATTTAAACGTCGCTAATTCGTCCAGACAAAATCCCCGTCGGAATCGCTGCTTGTCAGCGGTAAGGTGTTTGTGCATTGAAACCCCTTTGCTGATGTATTGGGAAATTGAGGGGGTTGGGAGCCGCACCTCCCCCGGGGCATCCAAGGAAGAAAGATGACGATGGTTCGACGGTGTGTATAGTTACTGTTTTGTTCATCTGCTGGTAGAGATTATAGACCGCAATGTTTTGCTTGAGAAGTACAGCTATAGGCGGTCAAAAGGCAGTCGTCAGCACCGCGCTCGGTGGTCTCCGCGGTCTCCCGCTGGCATCCATCCGACAGATCTCGAGCAGCGCGCAGGAGCAGCCGCTAGATCTTCAGTTTCTCAAGTTTGGCCCGCCAAAGGACGCGGCGAGCACGAGTAAGACTGTTGCGCCGATGGTGGTGTTGCATGGACTGCTTGGGTCGAAGAATAATAACCGGAGTGTTTGCAAGTGCGTGTGTCTTAAGAGGATGGGTTTGAAGAGCTTGGGCTAACGATTTTTCTGAAAGGCGGTTTGCAAAGGACATGAACACGACCGTCTACGCTCTGGTAAGCTCAATCTGCTTCACGCCATCATCTCAGAACTAACAATTCCCTCAGGACCTCCGGAATCACGGCGACAGCCCGCACGCTGCGAAACACGACTACAAAAGCCTAGCGCTGGACGTCGAGCACTTCATCGACACGCACATCCAGCAGCCGACGATCGTGCTCGGCCACTCGATGGGCGCGAAGACCGCGATGGCGGTCGCGCTGCGCAGACCTGAGCTTGTGGATAGTATGATCTCGGTCGATAACTCGCCTGTTAGTGCGCGACTGAGTCCTGAGATCCCGACGTATGTGCATGCGCTCAAGTCTATCGAGCGCATGTCTCTGCGGTCTCCGAAGGACGCGTTCGACGTGCTCGGCAAGTACGAGAAGGTACGCTCCTCTCTCTTTCTCTCTCTCTCTCTCTCTTTCCACTCATCTCCTGACTAACAAATAATCGTTCACAGAGCCCCGACATCCGCCACTTCCTCCTCACAAACTCACTCGTCAAACCAGACGGCACAATCGGCTTCCGCGTCCCTCTCGACACGCTCATCAAGCATCTCGACCATATTGCAGAGTTTCCTTTTGACTATAACCAGACCCGGTTCGAGGGGCCGGCTTTGTTTGTGCGGGGTACTCAGTCAAAGTAGTGCGTGTTCTCTTATTGTTGTATTCGTATGAGAGTGAGCCTGCTAACTCTTTATTAGTATCCCTGATGAAGCTATTCCAACCATCGGTCAATTCTTTCCCAGATTTGTATTGAAAGATGTTGATGCTGGCCATTGGCGTAAGTCCTTACACCTTTATCTTCTAATGCACTGTACTAACTCCTCATCTAGTGATTTCCGAAAAGACTGCTGAGTTTGTCGAGATTGTAGAGGACTTTCTTCTAGCAGAGTAAATCAACATACAACATATAGACAATACTCCTACTTAGACTGTGAATACATTTACATTTACATTACTCATATCATTAATCCAATTTTTTATTAGACTTTTAGAGGTCTCCATGTACACCAATAACATATACAATGTATCTTAACACAATAAGAATGCAACATACACAAAAACTAATTTTTTCTCAAGCCAGACTGTTCATTTAAACCTCCTCAAGGATGGTCTCCTTGAACTCACGCTCAACCTTCTTGCCGGCATCGGTAGAGCCAGAGCCCTCACCGTGAAGAGCAAGAAGAGCGCCGAGGTCGAACTTGGGCTGCTTAAGAAGCTTAACCTTGCGGATGTACACGTTCTGGAGCGGGTAGATTCCCTGGGTAGCCTTCTCGATCTCCCGGCCAATGACCTCAGGAATGAGCTTGGCAGTGAGCTGAGCAAGAGTACCGCTCGAAGCCTGGCGAGTCATGATCTCAACCATCTTCTTTCGGATCTGGCGGATCTGTGACGACTGCGCGTAGGTGGTCTTCTTAATCTGGTTGGACGCCCGCTTGGTGAAAGCAATGGCGAAGAGGCGGACAAGGTAGTCGTCAGTGGTCTTGACGGTGACGTTGGCCTCGATGAGCGACTGCCACTTGCGGACAAGGGATCTCAGCTTGTCCGAGGTGAAGTCAAGACCGTGGAAGTTGGTGAGAGCGTTCTTGCCCTGGACCTCGTCGATGCGGAGCTTGACCTTGCGGAAAGCATGGTCCTCGGTGCCACCCTGCAGGTCAGCGAGCGAGACCTCGAAGATACGGCCCTTGAGGGACTCGGTGGCGTTCTTGAGACCGGTGGTGCGGTTGACAAGAGTCTTTCCGACGTCACGGTTCTCGAAGACGGTAGGAGCCTGAGGTGAAAATGTTGTTAGATTGCTGTTTTTTCGTTTTCGCGTGATGCAATGCGATGCATGATGATAAAGTAGATGATTACCTTCAGGTTGTACCAGTCCTTGCGCGAGAAGGGGTCGACGACTTTCTTCTTGATTCCCTTCTTTCCCTTGCTCAATCTTTTGTTCTTTCCGACAGCTGAAGAGTGATACGTTAGTAATTGCACAAAACAAAACAATAGAACAACAACAACAGACACTCTCTAACAGAAGAGACGCTGATCGATGCTGCGTATGATAAAACATACCCATGGTGTTCTACTTCAACGACGGTTGGATGTGCTGCTGAGTGAAAGATGGACGACGGATCTCAAGTTCAGGATGCGCTCTGCCCGCGATGACTGAGGCGCCGTCGTGTCGCGACCCGGACCTGGTGCCGGTGCCGCGTGACTGCTGTTAGAAGTTACCCGGTGTGTAGGGTTAAGCCCTAATAGATTAATTAAGTCACATGACTGATCAGCCGCACGGGTACGAGGACCCGTCGCTGACATCCGGCGGCGGGCTTCAACAAGACAGGAAAGCTTCGCAGAGCAGAAGCGCGGACCTGCGCTGGATCCTCTGCCTTTCAGAACAAGTAATCACCGGTTTGTGCTGATTGCTGCTTGTATTTGGTCGGACAACTCTCATTTGACTCGGTTTACTCTTCTGCGCTGCTTCAATGCTCTGAGCTTAGTCTAAGCACTTTGATATCTGCACATCCACCTGAGATATCCCGAGTCCAGCCAGCACCCCAGCAACCCCGCGCCCGTCGTCCAGCTCACTGCTTCACCAATGTTGACCTTTCTGTTCATCCAAAGTGATATCTTGTTCATTTAAATGTACTCCTCGCGCGGCGGTCTTCTTAAGCCCGTCCCGGGCCAGCAGACACAGCAGACACAGCAGCGCGCCCCTCATCCCCAGACATCCACGACCGGCAGCAGCACCAGCAGCACCAACTCCAACAACAACATGCCCAACGCCCCGCAAAAGTACGCGCGACAACAGTCCTCGCAGCAGTCGTCGGCGCAGTACTCGGTTTCCAGCTCGCAGCACCAGCACCACCACTTCCCGCCGCATATCGCGCAATCCCACACCCGTCCCCAGCAGCAGCTGCAACAGCAGCAGCGGCGGCACCTCGCGTCCCCGTTCCCTGGTCCTCACCATGGTCCGACGACGCCCGGAACACCGACAGCGATTTCGTCCGCGAGCCCGTCGTCGCGCATGCTCCAGACGAGCTCTAATCTCGGCCGCGACGACAACGCTCTCAAAGTCTACTACATGTCTCCGCCCGCAGATCTCCTCCCGCTCCTCAAAGACGGACCAGACGCCGGCTACCCTGATTTCTTCCCTTGGAACGGTCACCATGCCGAGGACCAGATGACCGAGAGCTACATCCAGCACGGCTTCGAGGACAAACCGTACCTCTCAAACGAAACCGGCTCGGCCCGTCAAACCCTCTACGCCGCCGTGCGCCAGCGCTCGACGCTAAAGTCACTATCCTCATTCATGATGTCCGCCATCGAGAAGCGCCAGGAACTCAACAAAATCACCTCGCCTACGACATTCAAGCCGCCTCCGCGCGTGACCCTCACCGACCACAAACGCGACGCCTGGCTGCGCGATCTGGCTACGCCCACTGTCCCGCTCCGGCGGCTGTCGCGAACGATCCCGCATGGTATCCGAAATCGCGTGCTGGTCGAGCAGTGCTGTCATAAATCAGTTCCGATCCATAGAGCGGTTTGGTTTGCGCGCTGCGTGGGCGCGAATGAATTGCGTGGGCTGAAAAGGAAGGGGAATAATGCGTCTATCGCCGACGCGGAGGCGCAATGGGTGCGCGAGTGGACAGTACAGTTGGCAGGGTTTATTGAAAAGACATTGGCGGAATGTGGCCAGCCTTCGTCCGCCGACCAACAAACTACAAAACAACAACCACAACAACAGTCACAACAACAACAACAACAACAACCAGCTACACCAGCCGCGGCTCAGAATCGGAACTGGCGCTCGAAAGTGGAATATGTGTAAGTACTCTTCTCAAACGCTGATGGAAGCACCTACTAACCCCCACCACTAGTCTGCATTTCGCCTCACATTTATACTCGGAAGATCTGATAGACCGCAGCTACTTTCTCGACTGGATGATTGCCCTTCTCGAGAAGAGCACGATGCAGCGCACGCTGTTATCACTCCTCGTGATCCGCATATTCTGGCAAAAACTCCTCGGATTCCCCGCCAAATGCAAGAAACTCGCGCAAGTGCTGCTGGCGCGGTTCAAGCTGATCAGCATCGAGGCCGAGACCAACAAGACACCGCACGCGGGCCTGTACCAGGTCTTGCAGTTTAAGGTGGCTAGCTTCATTTGGGACCTGTCGAGTTGCTCAGACGAGGCGTTTGTGATGCCTGAGAATTGGCATTCGCAGCGACCGGTGCTGCAGAAGGCGATCCATCTCGCGGACGTGGAGCCGGTGGTGGCGGACAAGGCGTTTGAGAGCATTGCGCTTGCGAATATGTCTGCGTTTCGACAGCAGACGATGGCGGAGTACTCTGGCGTGGCGTCGCGGAATTCGGAGGAGGAGCAGCGGGAACGGTTGCTGGGGGTGCTTAATGAGGCGGGTATACCGTATGACGTTGATCAGATTGCTGAAGATCTGATTCTTGCTGCGTCGATGCCGCCCTCGTGTTATGACGATAATGATCCGCGGCAGTTGGTCGATGTGTTGTGTAGATGGGCTATCTGCAATACTTCATCCGAGACCCAACCGCAGACCGAACGAGTCGAGCTCGCGTCGTCGGTGCTGAAGAAATGGGCATCGACCGGGAAACCAGTCTTTGAAGCGCTATTTTCGTTCTTTGACTTGTTGATCGAGTTAAAAGACGTGAGCAACGAGATGGCAATCATGCTCCTGCAGCAGCTGGTGAAGAAAGCGGTGCTGGTGCCGGATATGTATATGAGGAAAGTGATTGCGCGGGGAATCTTCTTGCTGCCAAAGATGAAGGAGAAAGCGCGGTGTCATGCGTTTGTGCTGCGGTATCTCCCGTTTGAGGAGTGTGCGCTCGCGGTGCAGAATCAGCGGGATGTGTTGCTTAGGAATTGTCCGCCGCCGGATTCTATCGGTGGTGTGTCTACTCAGCAGGAGGAGGAGACAAGAGAAACGCAGGCGGGGAAGCAGAGTCACTCTCCATTACAGAATACCACGGACTCCTCCGCCCGAGACGAAGCTTAGCACTCTCTTCACATACACAACTACAGTTTGGAAACTCTCGAAGCCGCTCTCTTTCTTATTTTTTTGTATAACTTTCAGTTAAGTTTTAGTTTTATATACATGGTATTGGGCTTGTTCATATTCATGATTTTGGGCGTACCTTGTTCGTTCTCTGTTTTTTTATTATTGTTTGTTTGATCCATTGCTTTGTCTTCTACTCTTTTTGATCATTGGCGCTAATTTATGTATGTATGTATTATACCCGCGTGGTCTCACTTTTTTGTTGGGTTTTGGACGATGTTTGGATTTTCTTGTTTTTAATAGAGTGTTTATCTTCTTTCCATAGTTTCTGCACCTGCCGGGGGGAGTATAAGTTAAGTGCCTTGAAGATAAAATGAACATTTGATATATAAAAACCATAACCGATCCTGAAATTTTCGTCCGTTTTTTTTTTGGTGTTGCTATACTTGTCGTTGTAAAGAGACGTTTGGGTGTGATATAAACAAAACATAAGATAAAAGAGAGAGAGATAAACGCCGAGAGCTCCGTCCGATAGATAACAAGCCGATACAAAATAAACACAATACATGGATGATAGAGAACCTACGAAGAAAGCTGATCGATCCTCAACAAAACAAGCGCGATAGCATCGTCGACATCACTGAGTTTGAAAACAGGCCCGTTGCCGCTGCAGTGTACTTTGTTCATGAGCAGTTTCATGATTGCTTCGATTTCGATCTGCTCGCTTCGCGGGTGGGTCTTGAGGCGGTCCCAGATGTCGGAGGGCGCGAGGAAGGCTTTTTCGGATTCGGTGGGTTGGATCATTTCCGAGTGCCGTTTTTCGGATTCGTCGCTCATGAAGCGCTGGATTAAGTTAGCTTGTGCGCAGGGAGTGGGAAGAGGGGGAGGTGACGTACAGGGAAAGTGACTTCGGTGGGAAGAGCCGAGGCAGACATCAATCGATCATGATTACTATCAGCTCCCGTCCGTCCAGAGGCAGCGGCGGCAGCGGCAGCGGTAGCAGCAGCGGTAGCGGCGGCCGCGCGCTCGCGATCGGCGTTGGCGGTTTCTTTCAAGATTTTGTTTTCGGCTTGGAACCAGTCGAGTTCTTTCTGCAGACGGGTGTTTGAGCTCTGGAGTTCTCTGATTTTCTGGTCGGCTTCGGCGAGTTTTGCTTGGAGCTCTTTGACGTGTCGTTCTCTTCGTTCTCGGAAAGCGCGCTGGATGAGGGGTTAGAGTGTGTTTGGGGAGGGGAGGGGGTGTATGCATACCTGAGCTGCCCGGTTCTGTGCCTTGCGTTTCTGTAGAGTGAAGATTAGTATGATTGAATAATTGAATATGAAGAGAAGTACCTACCGACTGCGGGTCCTCATCGTCCATATGATTTGACTCCTCGTCAGCACTGCCCGAGTTCCTTTGGTTATATCCATTCAGCACCGGCTGATCAGGCGACGAACTAGATCGCGAGTCAAGGCTCATAAACTGTTGCTGCTGCTGCTGCTGGTGCTGGAGGAGGTGGTTTTCGCCAGCGGAAGAAGGTAAGCTTGTCGGGTACGAGCCCGTGTCGTTAAGTAGTTGCTCGGCAGCAGCATCGCAATCGTCGTCGTCGAATTGCATGGGCGCGAGGTTCGCGTCTGTGAACTCGACTTTTGTCGACGTCTGGGAAGGTGCACCGGCGGAGTTTAATTGCTGCTGCTGCTGCTGCTGCTGGGTTTGCCGCGCCGAACCGGGGCCAGAGACCCAGGTGCCGGGAAATTCGTGGATTCGCAGGGAGTCGATGGAGTTTTGGTCTAGGATTGCGTCGATTTCCATGTCTGGCAGGTCCTTTGCTGAGCCGGCGGCGGCGGCGGAGGAGGAGGAGGAGGAGGGGGGTCTATCGTGACGCCGGAGGTTGAGGGAGACGGCGTCGGAGAGGTGGGTGTAGGAGTTTGACATTCCCAGCATTGTTGATTGTTGAAGAGGGAGAGGATGTGGAGATGGTGGATGTTCTGAGAGGCGATGATATCAAATGAGGGCGAGGACAGGGCTGAGAGACGAAGAAGCTGCGGCAGGGTTTGGGAGGGTAAGTGTGGAGAATATATTAGTAAGGGATTATGTAATATTCATGAGAGTGTATTTTTGAATATCTTGGAGGACTTGCTGTGTGAGTGTTTAGAATATTTGTTTGGAGTGGTAATTGCAGGGATGTGGTGGGTAATAAGTGGTGGATTTGGAGATGTCTTCTGTTTTGTACTGAGTGCAATGAATAGTACTTACTTTGTTTATGAAGCAGAGATGAACAGAATAGATGGACTAAAGGAGAGCAGAGCAGAGACTATACATAAGCCTTTCTTATAGCTAATCGAGGGAGAACAGAAGGGAGTTCTGGACTGGAGAGGATGATTAGGCATGCGTCGACGGGGGATGAGTAAACAGAGTAAACAGAGTAAAGCAGACAGACAGACAGACAGGCAACACCAGGCAAAAAGAAGCGAGGGTGTTAATAAGCCCTGAGGATCGGCAGTCCTGAATCAAAAGAGTCTGACATAAACACGGTCTAGGTGGTGGTGAGTAGTAAGGATGAGAACAGAAGGGAGATAAGGACGACGCACGGATGCACAGATGCGCGGGTCTCGCCTGATTGATGGTTCGAGTGCTAGATATTGAGAGGAGGGAGGAATATGTCCGGAGGTTTCAGGACATAAAGCAGCAGCAGCAGAGAATGAGGAAGGTTCAAGACATAGAGCAGCAGCAGAGAATGAAGGAGAAGGTGGCTGGTGAACCCGGGCTGAACCGGGAAGTGGGATAAGAGAAGGCAATACAGGCGACGATGGCGACGATAAGCGGATGAGAAGGAGAGGACATTTGAGGAAGTAGATAGTTGTGATAGATGATAGACTATAATGAATATGGATACAGTACTGATTATCGATATGATATGAAAAGTAGAGAAGACGGAATAGGATGGCAGCAGTCAAAGCAAGAGTGGGCTGATTCCGCGATGTTATGTCAGTGCTCTTGCGCCTGCACGCTGCTGTTCTGCTTGAGAGGGGAGGTAATTGTGATAGTAGAGCAATTGTATTGTTTTAGTAGGAAGAAGATGATAAGAAGCAGAGATGGCTATATGCAAGATAGAAGAGGGCGGTGGGTGTTGATGTTGATTTCCCCGCAAACTGGTGCGATAAGAGAAGACTAGGATGTTATCGACTCTCTTAACTGCTTGGTTGTAGATATCACCGAATAACAGTAATTGCTACAGTACCATTACATACTACTACAATTCTATTACTACTATCACTATCACTATCATCATCATATTACTACTACTATCATCACTACTACACCACTGATCCTCAACCTTCCATTCTCGGTTACCCCCGGCAGTTCAGTCGTTGGGCTGCAGTCTCGAGTAGTCGCAGGTGTCTACGCCACCGCGTCATTCAGCGGGAGCAGGAATGGATTATTAACTGCGCTGATCTAGGCCTGGTTCACGAAGCAGAGTTAGGATATTCTGCCGACGCCATTGGTTGTGGTTGTGGTTGTGTTGTTGGAGCTGTTTGTTTATCGCGAGCAATTTAGAGCATTTAGTAGACGAAGAGAGCAATATCATAACAACACAGAACTGCAGACAGTCTACAGAACAGCATCAACACCCCACCACCACCTCAATCTCACGATAACACAATGAGAACAAGAACAACACCACAACACTGAATACATTCTAACTAAGCATTTGTTCCAGAACACACGAAGAGGGCGAAAACCTCGCGCTTGAGCCTCGAGCCAGTTCAGGTCTGTGCATATCGGGCTAGGTTCAGTTCAGCTGTAATTAAACCAGCTCGAGGTTCACAGCGCCGAGCTGCCGCATTGGGTGATAGCAAGATGATGATGCTGTTGATGTTGATGTTGTTGCTGTAGTTGATGTAGTTATTGCTGTTGCTGTTATATTGCTGCTGTTGTGGAGGATAAGAGAGTAGCTGAGTGCAGACTTGAGTAGTAGCGTAGATAGGCACTACCACAGCAGCAGTGCTAGTAGGAGTAGTCATAGTCATCCGCAGAAACACAAAGAAAGGCCTTCGCGAGCCCGCAGGCGATTCTGATTCTGATTGTCTTCACTGTGCTCAGACTGAATTGCAGTTATTGCAGTTCTGTTGCCTGACCACCGAGCAATGGTGAAGGAAGGCACCTGCGCGCATCCGTGCTGTTATCGCGATAAGCCCGCGATATCGATTCAGCAGTCTCAATCTCTTCTCCTCTCGTCCCTCTCAGCAGGCAACAAACAACCTCAACAAACAGTAAATAGACTAAACACCACCTGACCTTCTCCTCAGTCCAAACTAGCAAAGAGGAGACAGATGAGGGGGCGGATCAGCAGGAGGATGACTCGTCGGGTTGCGAACCGGCGGCGGCGGGTTGCATTTCCAGCACTGGCCAGCTCCTCGTCAACACAACTCCGCCGTCGGTCGGGATCGAAAGGGAATCGCGATATCTTCTGCTGCTCTTCTTCTGCTCTTCTTCATCGTTGTATTCTTATATACTTCTCTGTTCCGGGCTGGTGTCGTGTAGTCGTCGTTGCTTCCCCGTCTTCTCCTCATCTCATCCCATCCCACTCTTCTCTCCTCACCACCCCACCCCACCGGCTACCCGCTCCTGATCTCCATCCTCCTTACATGCCATCCCTCATCCCATCCGCCTCCTCTTAATCTCTATCTTCCTCTTCATACACTACCATGTCTACCTGGAACACCCTCTCCACCTGGGCCGACTCCTCCTCCTCCTCTTCCTCCTCGACCTGGTCCGACATTGCCAATTCTACCGAAGGCCATGCTGCCTCTCTCTGCCGCATGAACGTATGTTCGCTTCTATTTCTTCTTATTTTGACAACTGCCTTTATTTGAATTTGCTGCATTGGTTCTATATCAATCACCTCTTGTTCTGTCCTTGTTTTGCTATTGCTTTGTTATTGCTCGCTCTCATTACCCTCTCGATCCCGATCTCAGCTCACACCCCCCAGATGCTCTTCACATGGCAAACAGACAGCATATGCATCGTCTTCCAATGGTGGCGCATGTACAACCGCGCGACCGTCGCCCTTTCCTTCCTCGGCATCGTCGGCCTCGGCGTCGGCTACGAACTCGTCCGCGAACTCACCCGCCGCTACGAATCCTACATCAACTCCGTCTCCCGCGGCGACGACCAGCTCCTCCCTCTCATCATCAAGCGGTACATGCCCGACCGCTCCATGCGTGATCGTCTAATCCTATCCTTCCTCTATGCATTCCAAGTTCTCTACTCCTTCTTCCTCATGTATGTCTCTTCTTTCTTTCTCTTCTCAGCTCAGCACTAACTCCTCCCAGGCTCGTCTTCATGTCCTACAACGGCTGGATGATGTTCGCCGTCGTCGTCGGCGCCTTCATCGGCTTCTTCTTCTTTGGCAGCAAGCACCGCGTGCCAACCGGCGAGTCCGCAGTCTACTACGAAGAAGAGATTGCCGTCGACATAAAAGGCCACGGCGCAATCTCCCACAACAGCGAGCTCAAGCACCACATGACCCGTCCGGTTGGTGTCTCGGCCGTGCGTGGAGGTACCTGCCATTAAACCTCTATTTTATATTTGTTTGACATGACTCCTCCGTCCTACTTTATGATTGTCTCTGTGTTTGTTTGTTCGTGTTCTGATGCATAGCTATGCCGTCCTATCTGCGTGCAGTAGGCCCATAGTAGGTTGGTTTCTCTTTCTTTTTATCTTTGTCTGTGGTTTTTGTTGTCTAGTTGTTTTCTCATGATGAAGAGTAGCACACTAATGCTGTGTTTCATGATCTGATGTCGGTTGTTCATGGTGTCTGGTCGAATACCAGCCAGGGGTTCTTTTCTCAATCATACTTAGAGGTTGGTATACAGTGTTTCTTTTCTCATATGTGGTGGCATATTCTCTTCTTCTCCCTTCTTTATTTCTTTGTGCATCGCTTCTCATCTCGCTTTATCTCGCTCCGTTTTGTTCCTCGGTATGGCTGTAATCGTCGTGTTTCTTTTCTTATTATTCGCTCGGTGGTGGTTGCTGGAGTCTCTCTTCTATTCTTCTTATTTCTCTACTGTTGATTCTTACGCTATGTAGTTATAGTCTTATGTCTTCTTGCCATGTGTTTTTTTGGTTGTTTTAGTGTTTGCTTAATGACGTATTATCTGAATTCACTAAAATGCTTCACTATTGATCAACCTCTGTAATCTCTCTATAACTCACAGCTCACTACTACAACGCTACAACGCAACATTCTCGAAATCCCGATCATCGTCCCCCATCGCCGTCCGCGCATCGTCATCCTCATCACTAATCTCCTCCTCCGACGAATCCCCCGCCGTCGTCGCCGCGTCCTCGAAATTATCCACCGTCGACGACGAATTGTTGAAATTGCTGTTACTCGCGTACTGCCCGGCTTGCTCTGCAACCATTATCTCCCGCGACGCGCGCGGCGTGATGTCGGCCGCGATCTCTTCGGCTACCGCGCCGGAGACGGGCAGACTGCCGATGTCGCCTGTGCCGTCGCCGGATTGCACGGATTCGTCGAGTTCGGCGTCGGCGGCCTCTTCTGCCTCGCGATCGGCTTCTTCTTCTGCTGTTGCCGCTGCCGCTTCGTCTTTTTCTTCTGCTTCTTCTTCTCTGTCAGAGGCCTCGCCGTTTTCTGACCGTGATGAACCGAGACGGATTGTCTCTGTGGATTTCGAGGCTTCTTCTGCTACTGATCCTTCAGTCGTCGTGGTCTCCTCCTCCTCCTCGTCCTCCTCCTCGTCCTTTACAGCCGCAGCAGGCTCAGTAACCGGCTCAGGGATCGGCTCAGGAGCAACGGGCTTCAGCTCCTCGACACTAGCAGGTGCGGGAGCAGGTGCAGGTGCAGGTGGTGGCTTCGCGGGAGCAGCCAGCGGCTTCTGGGCAGGCGAGCGCGAAGGAGTACTTGCCGCACCGGTAGATCTGGCACCGGCACCCTGCCGAGCTGCCGGTCGTGTTTTAGGATCAGCATTCAGATAGTATCTAGAAGTAAATAAAAAATCGTTAGCGTGGTCGAACAATCACAATGTAAGAAATAGTAGATAACACACCCCCTGACTCCAACGATTCGGCCCTCGCTCTCACAAGCACGAAGCCATTCTGGCCCCACGATCGGGATATTTGTCTCCATTGCGCGCTCCCACTGCGGCCCGACGCCCTCGACGCAGATAAAATGCGTAGTGTCGATACGGACGCGGTCCTGGAGCGGCTTTGCGCCAATCCTGGCGACCGTCTCCTCGAGCATCGCGCGGTCCTCGTCGCTGACGACGCCCACGCAGCAGGTGATCCCGCTGAGATCGGTCATCTTGTGGGTTTTCACGGTGACTTTGTCGGATAGGTATGTGCCTGCTGAGGTGACGAGCTCGAGGTGGAACGTGTACGCGGTGTCGATCGAGAGGCCGGAGAGCTTTGTGGACGTGTTTGTCATTGGCGAGGGGATCTTCCCCAGCCGCGTATTATTGCGGAACAACGAGAGCGAGCGCAGGTCCGCGGTCGCGAGATCGAGCGAGTCCCATTCGAGCACGATTGAGGTCTGCGTCGCATTGCGCACTCTGAGCTGCGGCCGGATAGGCGACCGTTTGCCGTAGAGCTCAAAGATGTTTTGCTGGAGCGCATCGAACTCGGTTTTCTCTTTCTGCTCGGCGTCGAAGTTCTCGGTGCAGTTGATCTTCACGATCGAGCCGGCTTGGACGGAGGACGGGAGCAGGATCGAGGGGAACTCGATCAGGTGGTGGTCGGATGTGAGGAGCACTGCGATGCTGGCGTCGAGTTTTCCGACTGTGAGGGATACTTCGACCATGCTGATGCTGTGGAGATGCAGAGGAAGTAGATGTTGATGTTTTAATCTGATTCCAACTGATTGTAAGTGAGTGAGAACAGAGAACAAAGAGTTGGGATTGTTCAGGGCTGGAAGGGGGCGCGGAAGTTGATTTCAGGAACTGCAGCCGCACGTTGCTGGTTGGTTTAGTTTTAATTCGGCAGTTTATTCGAATTATTCCTAACTTTTATCGTCTTTTATCGTGCGAAATGTAGAGATAAATTCATTAAATACCGTATCGTTATATGCAAAATAAATCCAGAATAATTACAAACAAAAAGACTGTGACAAAAGGTAAAGAAATGAAAGAAATGCAGTTAACGACCAACTCACCAACTCCATGAATACAAAAACTCAATAGCCTTAGCATCCCCCCGACAAGTCACCATATCCAGCAGCTCAGGATCGGTAGCCTTGATCCAGTTCTCTCTGAGCGCAAACTTCACGAGATGATACTGGTCCGCGCTCAGGAGCATGTCGACCGCTTCGGGGTACAGATCTTGGGTGAAGTAGTTCACCAGTAGTATAAACAGTTTCTGACGGATCGTGCAGCGGAATCTGCCTGTCTTGGCGCACTTTTTGTATGCTTCCATAAATGTCTCCAAGCTGTCGTAATCCAGCATTGCCGATCTGTAGACGTCCGCGAGCCTTTCCTCGCTGGTGATCGACCCGTCATCTAGCTCGTCAAAGTCACCATCGACGGCCTTATCGTCCGGATGAGCGTATAGATCTTCAGCTAATAACGACGCAGCCTCTTCTGCTGTAGAGTAACTAGCAAGTCTGGCCGTCAGATACTCAACCAGCTCCAGCTTCTCGCGCGTATACGGCGGCATAAACAACCGCTTGCTCATCACCACGTTTTTGATCTCGTTCTCGTTCACGTACCCTTCCGCGCACGCCTTGCACATCAGTTCCCTCGTGACAAATTTGTAGTCGCATATCGAGTGAACGTCTGGAAATAGAGTATTAGACGACTCGGCAAACAGCTGGGCTAGCACTCTGAGTTTCAAGTACTGCGTGCACGCGAGGACTTCGTGGAAGCGACGGCAGACGAGGGGTAGTTCGGGACTGCACGAGTAGATAAATATCATCTGCAAAATCTCGGACGGCATGCCCTGCAGCGTTGCGGAGGGCTCGTGGGCGAGCTTTTGCCGCTTTGCGTAGGACCCTGTTTGCGATGCCGGTATTGTCATGGTGGCCATGCATGTCGTGTACAACGATCTCTATACCACGTCTCTAGTTAGCCCATCACGTAGCAAGAAGATACATAAAAATCGAGCAAAGAGCAAGAACAACACACCTGCTTGCGCTTGAGACCCTGCAAGCTGATCCCAGGACTTAGGAATCCCATGCTGCACCGACCAAAATAGGAGCCAGGAGGTTATGAGTAACTATATTCTCTTGCAACGCACTTCTTCGTCGCTCTCGCTGTTCCAACCACACACCAGCACCAGACAGTCAAACAGCGCTGATATATAAAGAAAAAAAGCGACGGGGGCCAGGGCAGACAGAGACCGAGTCGAGAAATCTGCTGGGAGGACCGGGTTAGGGCGGGTTGGCTGCCCCTGCACAGATGCAAAACGGCGTGTGCATCGACTGAATATCTTCAATTTTGTCATAGAGATTGTTTTTGCTATATGAATCATTATAGAGGTGAATAGTCAGCTACTACTGCGTTATTCGGCAGTTGCTTGTACAGTGGAGTGCGCTTCATATACCACCTCTCCCCGACCACCAGCAACTTTTTCTCTGACTCCTCACAAAACACACCTCTCTCTTGAGATGCCATCCGCGCGATGCTGAGAAGTACACTGGGGCCTCGGCGGCAGGCGTTCTGCATTACAGCAGTTCTTGAACGCAGGCGTGCGTTGCTACTCGCATCTCGACCGTCTTTGACGCATCTATCGACCCCGTCACCATCCTCATGCGGTCGTCGGGCAATCGGCTCGATCGCGAAATCTATCCTCAACATGGTTATGTCGGACTGGGAAACGGACGAAGCGAAGGCTGCGCGAGCACGCGAGAAGAAGAGCAAGAAGGAGAGCAAGGACAAGAGCAAGAAGGAGAGCAAGGATGAGAGCAACGTGGAGAGCAAGATTGAGGACAAGTTTGAGAGAAACGATATCCTTGATCCTGAGCCCGACTTGCTGGAAGAAGAAGCGGAAGCGGTGCCGAAAATTGCGTATCCCAAGGATCCTTATGAAGACGACTTTTACAAATTCTACGGCACGTTGCGCAAGAATCTCTACGAATCAAAAGCCAGCGCCGCTGAACCGAGTCTCTCCCCAAAACCAACAGATCCATCAGAAGGTCGAGGATTTCAACCAGAAGTTGAATTAGATATTGATAGAGAAATTCGAGAAAGGGATGCCCGAGAACGAGAAAGAGCCCGAGAACGAAAAAGGGAAACCCGAGAACGAAAAGAAGCCCGAGCAAGAGAGCAATCAAGAGAACGATTACATCACCAGACGGTCCTCTCGACATCCGACCGTCTTCTGGCTTTCGAAAACGGCGGCGCTCTCGATCCATCATATGTCAGGAGGCCAGACGACGCAAAGCGATTCAACGCTCTCCTCGAGCTATGTGACGAGGCGGAACTGAGACTTCCAGAATTAGTTGCCAATTTCAACTCTGTCCTCGACCCAACAGTCAAACCGAGCGGGTCGAAATTGCATCCAAACAACAGATATAGTTCGCGCCAGAAGAGACTGATGACACCCGCCGAGCCGACCGAAGAGCAGATGACGAAAAGAGGCAAGGTACCGCGCGCTTTCGATCTGCCTCTGGAGATTCGGAATACGATCGATAGTTTGGATATTGCCCAAAAAAGCGCAAACAGGAGACACGATCTTGTCGCGCAGGCTATACGGTTGCTGATAAAGATGACGCCGGTGCACTTTGCGCAAGATCTCCCACGAACAGAGCTGGTGATCCGCGCTAATAAACGTCGGCAGCCGCCCGTGATAAGGAGGGTGGAGACCAATCTGGGACCAATTCCAGACCCTCCTGAGGAATTTACAGAGTGGTCGTTGATCAGATACGTGCACGAGCTGGTGAATTACAACTACATTGCAGTTGATCCCACGCCGAACCGATTCGGCACAGTCGCAATCCGTCTGATTGAGCTCTTCAGGCCCGGGAATGCTGAGATAAAGCCCCTGCTGTCAACGCGGGCGTACAACCTTGCGATCTTGTACTTTGCCGAACACAAGGCCCCGAGACAGGCAGTGGCGTTTCTCGCCGACATGCTTAATGCAGACATCGATCCAGACACAAAGACGTTGAACTATCTTCTCAGAGCATGCGTGCAGGCGCGCAACCTCTATTACGCGACCAGGATTTTGTTGCTCATGGACAGTCTTTCTGTTCGCGCAGACAAGGACACATGGACGCTGATGCTCATGATTGTCAACGGCACACGGCTTCAGGTGGAAGTCATTCGACAGATGCTTTTACAGGGATTTGTCCTCGATGGTGTGATGCTGCAGGGCTTCTTTAACGAGATTCAGAAATACGTCCCCTTGTCGCGCATCCTAGAGGCCATATCTCCCGAGATGATGAGGACATTCAACCTCGCGACATTGAATTCGCTGCTTGACCGTATCGTGCACGCTGACCTTGCGACCGCTTGGGCATTTCTTCTGACGGCGACCTCGGTGCGAAACGATCTGGAGCTGACGACGGCGACGCTCAATATCTTTCTCAGACACTTGTCTGCCAACCGGCGACTGGAGCGGATGCTGGGAATCCTGGCTACGTTCAAGAAAAAGTACAAGGTGGAGCCCAACGCGCGGTCGTTCCATTACCTTTTCTCATGCGCTCTGAAATGCGGGTTCCACGTCAACTGCAACACCGTGCTCGAAATGCTATATGGGAAATTATGCGACTCCGGACTTAAGCTGCGTCCAGAGACGGTTGAGCGCCTTACGCAGGCGCAACTGTGGTTTCACAATATTGGGAACAACATTGATCAGCTGAAGGTTTCAGAAGCACCGACAGTCCCTGCCGCTCGTCTCGCTGCGCCGTGCAATCTGCTGTTTGACCCGTCAGAGATCTATTCAGAGTTCCCATTCAGAATAGACCTCACGCCGACGTTTGAGCCAGACACGCCCCGGTATCGCCTGTGGACCGCGTGCGAGAAATATCTGGCGTGGCCGATGACTCCGGACGCGTACATGCCGCAGTTTGTCAGCACGTGCGAGAAACAGGCCGAACCAGAACTCGATAATTGGAAGGAGCGGTATGTTCTGACGAGGGCGCTGGGGCTGGGCACGATGTCCAAGCGCGAGCTGCGGTACTGTCGGCCCGTGCAGGGACTTGGAGTGTCGCGGTTGCTGCCGCTTGCGGACGAGAGGACGACGCGCAGTCACTGGCGCGGGTGGTCGCTTGATCAGAAGGTGCTGCGTGGGATACTTGCGATGTCCGACGAGGAATTCAGAGAGCGGTTTAGAGAGTATATACGGGTGCAATGGGACAAACGGCAGGCTGAGTATTGGTACGCAAACCAGGCCGAAAGGCATACCAGCAGTGCTATGTTTATCAGATTGCGGATGGCATACCAGACGGTCGGACTGGGCCTTACTACGGCTGCGGACGTGGACGAGGCTGAGCCTAGAGTGGTTGATCGCTAGTAGTAGTGAATACGTTTCCTTGTTGTATATTATGGACAGAGAGTGTATATATGGAGATGATTGGGAATTTAAACGGCGGTTAGTGTATATATTGCCATATCGGGAAGTATAATGAACAAGACAGCATTAGTAAAAAGTCTTCAAGCTCTACTGTAGTCCAGTGCGAGTAGGCGTGTTATTATAAACTCATTCATCATATGAAATGTAGATGGTATTTCTAAATCGAGCAGAGTGGGCCGGTGGGCAGGTCAGGGCACGTGTCGAGGGGGCAGATCATCCACTGTCGATCTCTCGAACAGGCACGCGAACAGCGAGCAACTTGTTCGATTCAAGTCAATTCGCTTTTCTACTGCAGAGACAGAAACCAGAATCTAAGCAACAGACAAAGAGATGGCTGACGACAAGCCAGACGAGCAGACACCTACGCCTGAAAACGCTACAATCTTGCAGGCGTTCGAGTGGTACATCCCAGGTGTGTCTTGATCTCGACGGCAGCACTTATGCTCTCTGCTCATAGCTGACTCTTTGATATTAGATGACCACACGCACTGGTAATTCAGTAGAAGCGAGAAGCTGTTTTGTTGTATCTACTGACCTTGTCTTTGGCTGCAGGAAACGGCTGGCGCGCGATGTTCAAAAGTACAGCGATATGGGCATCACCGCGCTGTGGATCCCGCCCCCTTGCAAAGCCTCTTCTCCCTCCGGCAACGGCTATGACATGTACGAATACCTACCTTTCTCAATTGTTGGTACTAGGCATTAACGCTGTTCAGTTATGATCTCTGGGATCTCGGCGAGTTTGATCAGAAAGGCTCTGTGCCGACCAAATGGGGTTCCAAAGATGATCTCCTCGAGCTCTCGACCGCGGCCGATGATTGCAACGTGCTTCTCTACGCAGATGCTGTGCTGAATCATAAAGCAGCCGCCGACAAGACTGAGAAGTGTCTTGTTGTGGAGGTCGATCCGGATGGTATGACTATGACTTTCTGACTAGCATTGACGATTGATCTCTTATTGACTGTCGGTAGATCGCACAAAGACAATCTCTGAGCCGTACGAGATCGAAGGCTGGCTTGGCTTCGACTTCCCAGGCCGAGGCGACAAGTACTCCGCCATGAAGTGGCACTGGGAGCATTTCTCCGGCACGGACTATAACGCTGCGAACGAAAAGACGGCAATCTACAAGATCCAGGGCGAGTTCAAGTCATGGGCGCAGAGCGTCGACACCGAGAAAGGCAACTTTGATTATCTGATGTTTGCCGATATCGACCACGCCCATCCGGAGGTGAAGAAAGATATCAACGAATGGGGTGTGTGGCTTGCGAAACTGCTGTCGCTGCGCGGCATGCGGTTTGACGCGGTGAAGCATTTCTCGGAGGATTATCTGCGTGAGTTTTTGGACTACCTGAAGGCGAACGTCAACGAGGACTTTTTCTTTGTCGGCGAGTTTTGGAAGGACTCGCTCGCGGACATGACTGCGTATCTTGACCGCATGCAGGGCTCCAAGTTCAGCCTGTTTGACGCGCCGCTGGTGTATAATTTCTCTGAGGCATCGCGCACCGAGTCGTATGATCTCCGCAAGATCTTTGACGGCTCGCTGGTGCAGGTGCGGCCGGTGGCTGCGGTGACGCTGGTGATGAATCACGACACGCAGCCGCATCAGGCACTCGAGGCGCCGATTGAGGGGTTCTTCAAGCCGCTTGCGTATGCTTTGATTATGCTTAGAGAGGAGGGGTATCCTTGTGTGTTTTGGGGCGATCTCGAGGGCATCTCCGGGGAGTTTAAGGAGGAGCCGTCGTGTGGAGGGCAGTTGCCGGACATCATTCTCGCGCGCAAGCTGTATGCGTATGGAAAGCAGGATGATTATTTTGACTTTTCTACCTGTTTGGGCTGGGTGCGACACGGCACATGGGACAAGCCGGCCGGGATGGCGGTCGTGATTTCGAACGCGGGGCCGGGCGAGAAGAGGATGTTTGTGGGCGAAGAGCACAAGGACGAGGTGTGGACGGATGTGCTTGGGTGGCAGGAGGGAGAGGTCAAGATCGGCGGGGACGGGTTTGCTACGTTTACCTGTCCTGGGGTGTCGATGGCGATCTGGGTGAAGGATGATGCGCCGGGGAGAGATCAGTTTGGAGGGTTCAAGGCGGGAGTTGGGTATGGCAAGGATGAGTGATGTTCGATAGATAACGACAAGAAACAGTCCAAATGAGTAGATATTAGATTGATAAGACAAACAAGAAACAGCCAAACTCCATGCAAAATGAATAACAAAGGGAAGAACAAGGGTGTATAAAAGCTCTCTGAATCAATTCTCGCGCCACTGGTGAAAGCAGTTTGTACACTATACGAAGGACAATTAGATATAAAACATCAAGAAGAACCGTCAGAGAAAGACTTACCCGATAGAAAGTAGTCATAGGCTCATCTGCACTTCTAATCTGAAGCTGGAAGTAGTAAGCTCTGTCATTTCCACAGTCCTTGGGACATTGAGCTAGAAGAGCCGTTAGCATATCAGCAGAAGAAGAGGAAGTAGGAAGGACTACGCACCAGCAGTCTGATCCGCGTTATCCCAGGCTCCAGCACCGCCGAGGATATCGTCGAGCTGTTTTCGCTTCATAGCTCGGCGCTCGTAGATTTCCATTTTTTCGTGGATGGGGAATTCATAGGGACAGGATTTGCATTCGAATCTGTAGTTTCCCGCCGAGGATCGGGAGATCTGGAGGTGTTAGTACTTGTAGAAAAGCAGCAAGAGTCAGACCAGTGAATAGATACCGTTAACAGATTCGAGCAGTCTGGACAGAATGTGAGCATGTTTATCTCTGATATATCTGAATCTGAATAGTTTACAATAAACAGAGTTGAGGAGAATATTCAGAAAATTCACAGATTTAAAGTTTAAAGTTGGGAGATCATCTTGCTCCTTCTCCTCTCGGTCTCCATCCCTTCTTCACTTCACCACACCCACAATGGCCCCGTCATCGAAAGCAGAGGTCTACTGCATCTGCAGACGCCCAGATATGGGTCTTTGGATGGTCGGCTGCGACTTTTGCGACGACTGGTTCCACGGCAAGTGCGTGGGCGTTGCGGAGGAAGACGGCGAGCTGATCGAGTCGTATTGCTGTCCGAATTGCGCGAAGAAGAGTCTCGGGCAGACGAGCTGGAAACGAAAGTGTCTGCTGCCGTCGTGTAGGAAACCGGCGTTGTTTGATAAGACGAATAAGTCCAGCGCCCAACGGTCAAAGTATTGCTCGCCTGAACACGGCGTGGAGTGGTTCAAGCTCAACATTGACGTGCACACGCGCGGCAGCAGCAGCAGCAAGTCATCACCATCAACAACTGACGACGGCTATCGCAACCAACCGATCTCACCCGCAGAGCTTGCGGCGGTTGTAAAAAGCGCGGGATCGCTTTCGCGGTTCAAGCTGCTCGGAGAGTTCATCCAGCTTCCGGACCCGCCGTCGTCGGTGTCGGCCTCGGCACCCGCGTCCTCGGCGTCCTCGCCCGCGCCTACACCCAAGCCTTTGTCGTCATTATTTCTCTCCTCATCAACAACATCAGCGCCACTCGATGAAGAACGCGGACTCTACTTGGCCGAGGAGCGCAGGGTACTAAGCAACCTCGCCGCCGAGCGCCGCGAGATCAACCAGGCGCTGCAGTACATCGAGAACAAGGCAGCCTACATCGACTTTATAAAACTGCGCGCGTCCGCACAAAAGACAATCTGCGGGTTCGACCGCAAACTTGTCTGGGACGACGCAGAGTGGCAGGCCTGGTGCGATTCGCAGGAAGGCCAGCGCGCGCTGCGCGAAATCAGCCAGTTCAAGATCAGACAGGAGGAGACGCGCGCGCGGATGATGGCCGAGCTCGAGGAGCAGGAGAAGAGGGAGGCGGCAGAAGCAGCGGCGGCAGCGGCAGAAGCAGCAGCAGCGAGATCAGCGGCTGGAAATAGCAGGAAGCCGAAGCGCGCGGCACCGCAGCGGAAACGGAAGCAGCAGGTGCAGGTGCCGATAGATTTACAAGAGATAGTAGGGATTTTGGGTGAAGGTGCGAGCGAGGATGAGGTCTGTATGCTTGAGAAACGACGGTGCTCGAGACATGCGAATTGGCAGTACATCAGAGCTGAAGAGGTCGAGCTCGACGAACGCGTTGCTCGGAATGCACTCGCAAAGATCGAGGCAGGCGAACAGGCCATCGCGCGACGGGCAACTGCTCGCAGGTATAAAGACAGCACGAAGGATGGCGGAAGATGTATTACTGTGAGTTAGTATACGGTGTTAGTATACTGTGTTAGTATACTGTAAGTCAGTACTACTACAAGTTGGTGTTTGGATCATTGTACAATACGGCGTTATCTCTTTCTACTACGCAATCTACTCTTTCTTAAATAGTAAAGTTGTTGTTCATATCGATAGATACATAAATTACAAAAATAAAGCGCTTAAAAAGACAAGGAAAACCATTATAGTATGTATAATATGCCCATTTTAAACACTCCTTTTCCGTCTCTTCGCTTGTTCCCGGCCGCACTGCTCAAAAACACACACACTTTTTTTTTCAAGTACATATCTAGTAACCCAACGCCACCAGCTTCTCGCTGACCTCACCAGCAACCTCCTTCTTGACGGCAGAGACCTTAGCAGCCTCAGCCTTCTTCTTGGCGTAGAAAGCAGCCGACTTGACCTTTCGTCGCTCCTCAAGACGGGAGACAACGTCCTGGTACTTCCAGCCGACCTCGTGGCTCAACCGGCCGACGGTGGTGTATTTGCGGCCAGGCTTCAGTCTCAGGACACGGAGGGCCTGGGGGACAACGACGCGCTTCTTCTTGTCGTATGGTGGGGGGACACCCTCGAAAACTTTTAGGCGCTCGAGAGCGGCCTTGCCACGGGCGGTCTTGTGGGCGATCATTCCGCGGATGGTCTTGTACAAGATGCGCGAAGGGGCACGGAAGTGGAAGGGACCACGGGTCTTGTTGTAGCGGGTTCCCTTGCGGAGGTAGGCGTGGTATTTGACTGGAGAAGAGTTAGAGTGGGAGTGGAGATGAGAGAGAAAAAAGGAAGAAGACATACGCTTAGCACGGAAGAACTCGCCAGAGATGTTGAGATCCTCAGTTCTGACAACGACAATCTTCTGGCCGTTGAGAAGCTGCTTGGCGATGATGGAAGCGAGACGTCCAAGGAGATGTCCCTTGCCTGCGAGGAGTTAGTAACTGTGTCGAGGATTATTGCATAGAAACAAAGGACATGGACATAGACAGAAAACAGACAAGACAAAGATATGAAGGTCTGAATGCTTCTCCTCTCTTATTATTCTCTTGCTCTCGTCTTCTTGTCCTGTCTATCTTGTTTCCATGTTCTCATCTCTCTCTCTCTATGATCTTCACATACCATCAATGACAATAACCGATTCGAAGGTGCTCATCGTGTATACTCTGCTTAAATGAGAATCAACAAGTAAAAGAACAACTGGCGAAAGAAGTCCTGCTGTTGCTGCTGTGGTGGATGTTGCTGGTGAGTGTCCGACCGGTTTGCTGAGTTGCAGGTTGTGGTTTGGGCCGAGTGCTTTCGAGACGTCGCTGCGACGCGGTCCGCTCGCGGCTGCCGGCTGCGGGCAGAGACAGCTGCGTGACTGCTTTTCGCGTGTAGGGTTGAGCCCTAACCTAACCTGATGCGCGCCACTCCTCGTGCGGCGCTCCCCTCGCTCGCTTCCCCTGCGCTCACCCAGAGCCTCACCACCACCAGCAGCTCCACATGGACCGCGGCCTCTTCCCGCCCGCGCGTCTCTGCGTTCTCGCTGCGGGCCCGGCCGAGCTCGCGGCTGCATCCGTCTTTGCAATGCACCGCGTCGCCGCCGAGCTCGTTCTCTCGCCGACCGCAGAGGCCGTCTGGATCGACGCCCGCGGCAGCTTCTCCGGCCTCGTCCTCCGCGACGTCGTCACCGCCCATCTCCGCGACTCCGCCGACGAGTCCATCACCGGCGACTCTGTATGCGACCGGGTCTCTGTCGTGCGCGTGTTTGATCCCACAGGTCTGCGCGAGACGGTCGCTGAGCTGGAGAAAGATACCACCGCCCCGCTCGTGCTCGTGCTCGACTCCTTCTCCGCCCTCTTCTCTCCCCACACCGCCCTCCGCCACCGCGAAATGGCCGACGCGCTCGCCCAGCTCGGAGACGTCGTGCGTGCCCGTCAAATCATTGCTTTTCTGCTATCGTCCGCGGTCTCGGCTCTGCCGTCTGATCCCGTGCAGTCGCAGTTCGGCGCCGTCGCGCTCAAGCCCGCGCTCGGTCTCTCGTTCTTATACACCATCGACCTCTGCGCGCTCGTCTATCGCGAAGCAGACTCGGACTCGCTCATTTTTGAGGTTGTCGCTGATCGGTGGCAGGCGTCTGAAGGTCTACTCCTTCCGTTTCGTTTAGTGCGTCTTGTTCTCTCTTTTCTTCTTTTTACTCTATCTAACCCACGTAGAACGATTCCCAGCTCGAGTTTGTATCTTAACATTCTCTATTCCAGCATTACTCACACACAACAAAAACATCAAAAATAACAAATTTCCCGTGTCAAAATACCAAATACAACACACTACCACGCAGCACGAATCGGCTTGTGCGTCCGCGCCTTCGAGTTTGTTCCCGTAACCACCCTGAAGATCAATGGAAAGTCCTTGTCCGCTATAGACGACTGTGCCACATCCGATTCTACAGTCTCATTAGCCAAAGTACCTCAACATCGGAAAAAACAAAGCAAACTCACTCTCTTTCATGATCAGCTCTCGGCTCCATGGACCAACAAACTCGGCCTTGACATCCTCCGGTAACCCGACCGACTCCAAAGCCTGTGCCACAGTAGTCCGGTCAACGCTGCTTCCGGATCCATTGCTAATTCCATTCGATTCCTCGTTGCTCTTGTTTTTTTCGTTCGCGACATCTGAACCCTCGTCCGAGTCGCCGTCCGAATCGCCTCCGAGCTGCATCGCCGGCGACTTCTTCTCCTTCTCTGCAAAGATATCGCCCTTTGTCGACAACTTCCTTGCTGGATTCGTGATTGCAGTCTTCCATGACTGAGACGACTTGCGCCGCGCAATATCTCCTTCAACCTCTCTCTTGAGCGTCTCGCTATCCAGCTTCGACGCCACCGCCGACAGATACGTCAGTACAATACTATCAAGATACATCAGATTCTCCGACTTTAGCTTCAACTGATCGCCGACCGCGCCCGAGAACCCAAGCTTTTGACTATGCACCGTCTCCTGCAAGTGCAAAACCATCGGTAGCCCGTACACTATCCCAAAACACTCTGGTGCGTCCGCAACACCCAGCAGGATTGAGTTTATAATACAGTAATCCTCCTCCGTATTCGATTCTCGCAGCGCGTAGTCGTAGAGCGCCAAATGCAGCTTTGCCAAAAACCCGCTCTTTGACGAGACGTGCTTCCCCAGCGCAAACGTACCACTCATATCATTCGCAACCTCGGTCTGCAGATACTCCAGCAAAGCAGCCGCATACGCATGCTGCACCGCCGAGCTCGCATCCGTCAGCGCCCACTCTGTATGATCCCAAGCCTGCAACGGGACCACGTTCCGCTTCACGCCCGTCTCCACACTATTTGCAATCTGGATGACCTCCTTCACAATCTGCAGGCCGATGATTATCGCATCCTTATCTGCTGACCCGTAGTTTCGCGCCCTGGCCAGGTATTTCTCCAGATTCGTAAACGAATTCACCGTCGACGGTGGGCCGGCGAGCGGCTCAACCGTGCTATCGACAATCCCGATACTCTTCTTGCCGCCATTATGACTGCTCTTGCCGCGCTCGTCGTCGCTCTCTTCCTTCTCGAGATTGCTGTAGTCGCTACTTGATTTGTTGCCGCCGTTCCCATGCTTCCCGTGATCATTCCCAGAATGCGGCGGCCGCATGTTCACAAGCACTTCCGTCACCATATCCGCAATCTGATTAGAGTAGTAGATATGCGACGCCAAATCCCCCGCCGCAACCGCAAGCCGCTCAACAAGCTCCCGCCGCTCCCGATCAGGCGACTTCAAAATCCCGTTCGGCTCGAGCTCAATCAGACTTAAAATCTGCGAAAAGATAATGTGCAACACGTCCAGCACCGATAGCCCGGCAAGGTTTACGCTCGACGACAGCAGCGACGAAATCAGCTTGGTGATTACTAGCTTTTGCTTCATCTCGTCGTTCGGCAGCACCGTCAGGATCTCGAGCAGACTTCGCAGAATCACAAACCGGCTTTGGACTGGTGTCCATTGCGCCATCAAGTCCACCATGCTTGTCGCCCACGACTCGTTCTTCGAGTGCGCGAGAATATACCGTACAACCGCTAGCGAAGAGTACCGCACCTGTGGCGGTCCAGAGTCTGACGATTCAAACAGCTTACGCAGGGATTGTAGCGCAAGCAAACTTGCTTCGTCATCGTCAACATCTCCATTACCAGCCGTCTCAACGTCGACCGATCGTCGCTGCGATGCGCTCGCATTATTCAAACTATGCTCCGAGTCGCCTTTCCCGGTAGAAGCAGCAGTAAGAGCCTGCAAGCGCGCATTGATCGCAAACAGATTGTCGTTCGTGTCCGAATAGAGCTGGTCGAGGATCGAGGGTGCGATGATTTTGATCTGCTCCTGAAGCTGGCCGTTGGATGAGTACAGTGCTTCGGACGAGGAGATCGATTTCGCAGCTCGTAGACTGATCAGCGTCCAGCTGTCGTCGTGTGCGGCCGACGAGCGATGGCCGATAGACATGTAGAGCTTGAGGAGGTTTATGAATTTTTGCAAAAAGACTTGGTCGTCTGCGAGCAGGCCGCCATCGTGGTGTTTGCAGAATGATCGGAACTAGACGACAGAATTATCAAAGGTCAATAGCGGAAAAAAAGATATTATCAGAATGAGCAATGCATACGGTGGCTTCGGAATACTGGCACATTGCCAGATCGTTCGTGTTGAGAACAGTAGTAAGGATCGAGATAATGAAATCGGCAAACAGATTCAAGTCCGTCGGACAGCGATCAATCAGCGCGCGCGAGATATCCAAAATCACCTGCACGTTGCCCGTCCGCGCGTGCCAGACGTCCGACTTTGCCTTGCGCTCGAGGAACCGGCCGACCTTGAGCAGCTTTGACCGACGCGTCGAGACGTAGTAGAGCAGGTACGAGAGCTCGCTCGAGTTCGGGTGCTTCTCGCTCGCCCGGCCGCCGGGGAAGCATTGCAGAATCAGACGCTGGTGCTTTGGCCTGAACTTGTTTCGCATGGCTGAGTAGGGATATATGGCCGCAGACAAAAGACCAAAGGTCACGTCTCCGCAGGAGTAGCTGGAGTGGGATGCCACTGTGAGGAGAGGAGGAAGGGAGGGGCTGTGTCTCCGGAGGCAGTGAATCAAAGCAAGCAAACAGCAAGCAGAAATTCAGGCACAATTGCTGCAATGATACAGCCAGAACACGGTTTGGTGAAGCAGAGGAGGTGAGCAGAGGGACGAGGGATAAAGAGGACGAGGAGTAGCAGGAAGGAGGAGGAGAGGTAAACGACCGGGCTTGCTGCTCGCCGAGCTTAAAGTTTAAACCCTCCAGCCACTTTCTTACATCCACTGATTATCGATTATTATTACTATCAACTAGAATTCACACTGTTTGTACAAAATGCCCTTTGAAAAGAAATAGCATACACGAAATAAGAGAGAATTAACTGGCAAAGATCAAGTAGCAGTTGGTCAGGATCGTGCTGACGACAATCGCATGGGACTCCGCGTCACGCGGGTCACCGCTCATCAGAATCGTACCCCATTCCTTTGCCAGATTTCTAATCGTCATCTTGTTCACCCTGAAGTTGTCCTGCACCCGCGACAGATGCAGAATCAGGTACCGCAACGTCGTGTAGTTCGAGTCAGGAAGGTCGTTCACCAGGTAATGCATACTGTCCCGTCGCAGGTTATCGTCCGTGATCTTGGACGCCTCGACAAATTTGTCGTAGGCGACGTCGGTGAATAGCGAATCCGGCAGAGCCTTGAAGTACAGCTTCAACGTTGTACCGACCGCATACACGTCGTTGTGGATCATGCTCAAATCACCCAACTCGACATACAGCGGATTCGTGCTCTCGAACAAGCTCTGGATGTGCTCAATCTCCTGCGACGAGCCCTGCAGGTTATATATACCTTCCTTGTCAAGACCGTACTTGTCCACGGCCTCAATCAGCTTGAGCACCATCGCCGGTGCGATCACGTTCTCAACGTTCAGCTGCACCCGCTCCTCTTCCATCAGCACCTCGAGCGGGACGCCAAACACCCGACCGTACTGCGGAGTTGGCACGCTAGGCGTAGACTCCATGTACGGCGACGAGACCTCTGGTGGCACGGCCTTGCTGGGTTCACCGTTGTTGCTCACGTTGTTGGTGCTGCCGATTACCGGGCTGCTAGCGCTCTTGTTTCCGTTCGGAACCGGCGGGATCGGAATCGGTACATATGGCGAGACTGCAGCGACCGGCGCTGCTTTTGGCTGCTGCGGAGGATTGTCGGCAAGCAGCATGGACGATGTCTTGTATGGGCCTGGAGCTGACGAACCGTTCGACGCGGAAGAGCTCGGTACCGAGGCAGTCGAGGGAATGAATTTCTGCTGTGCGGGTGCGGGCGACGACGACGGCGCAGCGGCGGCGGCTGATGCTGCTGCTGATGCTGATGTTATTTGTTTTGGTGCAGTCGCACCAGAGACATTACGACTAGATGGCTGCGATACAGTGCCTGCGACGGTCGCCCCGGCGACGGTGGTCGTCTTTGGCCGGGAGGTGGAGGATGAGCTGCCTCCGACGGCCTTGTGTTGTTTGAACTCGACCTCCTTACGTCGCAGAACCTTTCCACTGCCTTCATGTAAGACATATTTGAGGAAATCAGTATCGTTATCAACCTCGCTCGACATGTCAGAAATACTCCTGGCGCCAAATTCGTCAGCCTTCATCGGGCTGACCGCCAGACCCTTGCTGAGAAAGAGAGCCTCGCAGAGGTTTGTGTAGCGCTGGAACTGGAGCGTGAGGCCAGAGTCAAAGGTCTCGAGAGTGCTGCGTAGCTGACGGACTGTATCTGGCCGCTGCACATTTAGCAAATCGCGGAGCATAGACTGGGCAGTCTGCACCTTTTGTTTGTATTCGGATTCGGCGGCCATGACTTTTCTGTGAAGCTCTTCCTCGTACTAGATTGACAAGACCAGTCAGAGACTTGCTCGATAGCAGATCAGTATTTATCTGCAGTACTCACCTGTGGTCCATTTTTGTTGCTCTTGAACTTCATTGAGCGCTTCGTAGGATCGCCGGTACGCACGCGATCAAATTCCTCGGCCAGTGTGTTGTACTTTGTCTGCGATTTGATGGCGGTCTGCTCGGCATCAATCACGTTCTTTTCGTCCCTCAACCCTTTCTCCTTGAGCATTTTTCTCGATCGTTCGGTCTCCTTGCACAGATCTGCGAGATGGTCGTGCATCTGACCGACGAATGCCGCGAACTTGCTGCTGTGTTCTGCCAGTTGCTCGTGGATCCGCAGGGTTTCTTCCAGGCGCGCGGAGAACGAGTCTTGACGACCATCGGGTTTGCGAATAGCTTCCTGTGTTGTGCGGACAAGTCGCTTGAGAGCTGTGGTGGGGGATGCGGTTAGTAGAGTTATTGATAGATGAGTATGAGATGAGCTTCCTACCCGTCGCGCTGTCATCTTCTGCAGCGGCGCGCTTTTTCAGAAAGGTCGAGAATTCCTAGATAAATAAAAACGAAAGAATCAGGCTCTGTTATCGCGAGCGAGTTTGCTCAGATACTGTAAATACCTTGCCGGACCCGATACTGAGCTTCAGCCGTTTCAGAAGTAACTCGACACCGACCTGCACGCGAACAAGAGTTAGAAAGCCAGCACAACACGATCTCCATCCCAAAGCCCAACTAAAATCCAAAAATAACACACATCAGATTGCAGCAGGGTTTGGACCCGCTCTTTCTCGTAGGCGGCCTGAGGATCAGAAGTGATTGTTGCGGATGTCGAGGAGGCGGCACCAGAGGGCGCGCTCGCCACGTCCGCGGGCGTGCTCGGACCGGAATCGTTCATTGGTACAGAACAAGGACAACGTGTGCCGGATTCTAGCAATGACAGAGAAGGCCGGAGTAGCAGGCAAAGGGCAGATAAAGGCTTTGTTGATAGAAAAAGACGCGAAGACCGTGACCGGGGGGAGGTTGGTTGTGGTGGTGACGTACGTGAGTTCTTTTTTTGGAGCTCGACGCGGGAGAAAAGCCCTTGCCCCGGATCGCCCTCATCGTCCGGTTGTTCGCGGTCTTTGATATCGCGGTGCCTTTTGATCCTGATCAGCGACAATCTGATGCAGCAGACGCAGGACAGCGATGGTCCGGTGAGCAGGCAGCTTGAGGACGCGCTCGTGGAGCTCATTGAGCTGCACCAGGACCTCACGACCTCGTTCGTCCCCGAAGTCCGGTTCCCGCCCTCGCCTCTGGAGTTCCTGCGCCAGGTTCACACCAACTTTCCAATGATTTACAGAGGTGCGGGCTCGTTCTTGTTTGTGGTGAGCTGGTGTAGATGCTGACTGCTGAAGCAGGTGCTGCGTTTGAGTGGCCGGCTTTCGACCCCACCTCCGGCCGTCGGTGGTCGAAGCAGTACTTTTTGGAAAAGCTGGGGAGCGCGACTGTCTCTGTTGCCGAGACCCCGTTCGGGTAGCGCACCTCTTTGCTTTCACAACGCGACAGGAAACCGACTGACTTGGTCAACGCAGAAACGCAGATTCTCCGGTCGGCGAGCAGTTTGTGCAGCCGTTCACGTCGACGATGCCGTTCACAGAGTTCGCAGACAAGCTGGCGGACAAGGACGCTGCCACCGTGTGCTACATGCAGTCCCAGAACAACAACCTGCCTCGCGAGTTCCCACAGCTGGCTGACGATGTTGATAGTGAGCTGTCGTGGGCGTCGGAGGCTTTCGGTGAGTTGTTGATATCTGTGCGATTGTGTAGATCGTGTGCTTACATTGCGCATCTGTTGCAGGCGCGCAGCCAGAGGCGGTGAATCTGTGGATAGGAAGCAGCAAGAGCGCTACAAGTTTGCACAAAGGTGAGGCTGTTTTTTTGAATACAGAATAGAGATCCAGGGAGGGAGAGCGGTCGTGTCTGACTGCTGGTTTACTAGATCCGTACGAAAACTTGCACGTCCAGGTTCTCGGCGAGAAGATCTTCAAGCTAATCGCCCCAGCAGAATACATCTGTGTGAAGGGTAAGTTACAGATTATACCTCCATATGTTTTCACTTGTCGTTTCTCGCTATAGTTACCTGCAACGGCAGAGCAACGCACAGAATAGTGAAAGATACTGAAGAAGGAATGGCTAACCAGTACGGATCGCCAACAGAGACCGCACTGCGGCAAGCAGAATACGTAAAGGCCGGGGACGACAACGACTTCTCCGTAACCGAGGACGGGACCACTGTGCCCTGGCCGACGATGGACCCGGACGCCATCGACGGCAGAGACGAGTGGCAGCGGCGGTGTCGGGTGCTGGAGGTCGTTCTCCGCCCGGGCGACGTGCTGTATCTGCCCGCGCTGTGGTTTCACAAGGTGTCGCAGGTCTCGGACGAGGACGGGCTGTGCTGCAGCGTGAACTACTGGTATGACATGGAGTTTACGGGCCCGCTGTGGGCGATGTCGAGTTTTGTGAGGCAATGCTCGCGAATAGCACGGGCGCAGGGCGGTGCAGGATAAAAAAGGCGACGACGAGAATAAGCTTCCTCGAGCGAATATCGACAGGTCGCTTTGATTTCCTAGATTTTCGTGGATTTGTAGATATAAGAAATAGATTGGGAGCTGTTCGTCGGTAGACCTGACCTCGATGCGGAACCGAGCCCGGAACGAGACCCGCGGAGCTGACATCCGCCCAGCAACAGACCCAGACGCAGGGGGACTTCTCTCCTCCTTCCCATCTCTCTCTCTCTCGCTGCCACCCTGCTCACTCCCCGTCGTGATATTCCCAAATGCAGAGCATCAAGTGTGTCGTCACCGGCGACGGGTATGTGTTTGTGCTGTGCTGCTGCTGCTGCCGCTCTGCCGCTGTCTGCGGCCCCCAGACCCTCCTACTGACCTGCGTTTGTCTACAGTGCCGTCGGCAAGACCTGTCTTCTTATATCCTACACCACCAATGCCTTTCCCGGCGAGTACATTCCTACAGTGTATGTATCTGCTTTTACTTTACTTGCTGTGTGCTCTTGAAGACTGTGTCTGGGCGAGATCGAGCGCAAACAGGTGCTGTTCGCGGGCCAGCGAAACAGGTGATCTACTGCCTGCCACCGCCCCGCAAGCCCCTCTCGACCGCACACGCAAAAAAATTCACAACGCTGACCATTCTTTTTCTTGTGTTTTTGCAGCTTTGACAATTACTCGGCAAACGTCATGGTGGACTCGAAACCGATCAACCTCGGACTGTGGGATACCGCCGGCCAGGAGGACTACGACCGGCTGCGACCGCTCTCGTACCCACAAACCGGTGTCTTTTTGATTTGTTTTTCGCTCGTCAGCCCGCCTTCGTTTGAGAACGTGCGGACAAAGGTGTGTAGTCACTTTCTTATCTTTCAAGGTGGTCGAAAGCGGGCCTGTTCTAACTGTTCGCCGCAGTGGTTTCCTGAAATATCGCACCATGCGCCAAACACTCCCATCATCCTCGTCGGCACAAAGCTTGATTTGAGAGAAGACAAAGAGGTCGTCGACAAGCTACGAGAGAAGAGAATGTCACCGATAACGTACCCGCAGGGACTGCAAATGGCCAAGGATATACACGCTGTAAAGTATGCAGTTCTTTCCACCTTTCTTTATAATGATAGTGATCACTCGAGAGCTGACCGAGACAATTGCGCTGCATAGATATCTAGAATGCTCTGCATTGACACAAAAGGGACTCAAGAATGTCTTTGACGAGGCTATCAGGTGAGTCTTCTACTTTCTATAATCTGATTGCTCCATATGCAGCCTTATCTAATCTTATTCAATCCAGAGCTGTCCTGACACCAAAGGCGGCGCCGAAGAAGCAGAAAAAGTGCACAATTTTGTAAGAAGCATATAATCTCGCCTCACTGTTGCTTTCTTCCTTCTGTGTTGGTCATCATCCAAAAAGAATAGAAAAGGACCCTCGTCTACATCAGCTCCTGCTCTCATGTTTCTTAACATCGATTGACAGCCGATAGATAAGACGCCAGCACGTTTCGCTTGTATGTCGTTCAGTATTTGTACAGTTTTATGCCATGCTTTTAGTTTTGCTTGTCAATGTATGCTCTTAGTGTGTTTTTGTGATTGAGATCGAGTACTGATGATTCCTTTAATTTCCTCCAACTAGTTTTTTTTTTCTGTTTGGTAATCCTTATTTTCACTTTTATATTTCCTTCCCCTTTTCATCTATTTGATATATCGGCGCGATCTGTTTATGTTTTTTTGGCATCTGCTTTTTGCTTTCTTTACTGTATCTCAATGTTTATATTTGTTATACTATATGTACCTTATTTTGAGATTTTTTCCTTTTCCTTTTATTTTATATATTTTGTCCTGATTTCCCGTTTTGATCCTTAAATATAATACATGCACCCTGAAAATACCGACCAAGATCTAAACAATAATAAAAACCAAAAAAATGCAAATCGTATGACTGACTATATTCAGATTTAGTTGCTCACCTGCGCCATTCTCGACGGATGAACAAACACGCCGTCTTGCTTCGGCCCAGCAGCAGCAGCTCCCGCAGTCTTTGTCTGATTCTTAGACTCGACAATCCCCCTCCTCTCCTCCTCCAACTTTTCATTCTTAACCCGCAACTTCTGCAACCGGCTCTCGCTCTTCCCGCCGCCGCCGGCCGTGAGCTCGACGTTGATCTTGCGGCCTTCAAACTCGGTGTGGTGCAGGCGCAGACAGACCTTCATCCTGCGACTCGCGTCCGTGCCCACAAACTCTGCAAACGCAAACCCTTTCACTTTCTTGGTCGTCTTGTCGGTCGGCAGACGGATCAGGTCCGGGTTACTTGCTTCGAGGTGTTTAGCGAGCGATGCCTCGGTGGCCGAGTACGGCAGGTTTCCTAGGAACAAGATGAATCGCGCGCCGTTGCCGCTGGCTTCTTTCTCCTTCTTTGCCTGCTGTTTCTGCTCTTTCTCCTGCTGCTGCTGCAGCGCAATCTCCTTATTTCGCGCTTTCCGCTGCTTCTTGGATAGCTTTGGTCCTTCGTCCTCTGCAACTTGCTCTTCTACCGCGTCCTCTGCCTTGCGCTTCTTTGACTGCTGCACAAGTTTTTTCTCAGCGCGGGATTTCTCTTTCGCTTCGTCGCGCGCTTTCTTTACCGCAGCATATTCCTCCGCCGACATCTCTTTCTCCCGCTTCGAGAATTTCTTTGCTGATGCCGTTGCTGCTGCTGATTTGGCACCGTCTTCTCCTTCAACCTGCTCTCCATCTTCATCTCCTCCTTCCTCAACCTTCTCCTCATCTCCCTCTCCTTCACCTTCTCCCTCCTCGTCCTTAGACACTACCTTTCGCGCGCCTTTAACCGCAGATTTAAACTGCAACGCCCGCTTCTCTCTCTTTGACAGTTTCTTGCCAGCTGCTGCAGCAGTCGCAGCAGCACCGGCCACAACTGGTGTCTCTTCCGACATCTTATTATTCGCTTTTGGGGTGGTTGTCGAGGACTGATCGAAAACTACAGGTAATACACAAAGGCAAACGGGAAAAAAAAATACTCAAAAACCTGTGGCGGAATGTTACCCGGCTGGAAGTGCATCGGGTTAGGTTACATTTGATGTAAAAGAAGAACAATGGCCTGGATCAGAAACTGCTATTTTACAGCTCAACTATTTGAATTAGTTATGATGAAGTTGTCTTATTAGCAAAAAGAATAGGTAACTAAATAGTAAATAAATACAGAATAAACCTCTAGAGTAAACACGCGACTCTTGACAAAATATTACAAATATCTATACACTTATACGCAATTAAAAACGAGGACAGAAACAAGTAAACAAAAAAAACAGTAAAAACAAAGACATAATCAGAACTCCGTGCAATAATACTAAAAGAATGAACCTGTTCTCTGTATCGTTCACATAACCCAAAAGCTTTGTAAAATGTGGTGGAGAAATCAGAAGCAATCTCACATTCAGTGCTCGGTAACTGAGAAATCGAAGTCTAGACACGACGCCAATTCAACGCTTATAGAAAACGGAGAAAATAATAAAAATAATAAAAAAAATAAAACAAAATACACGACGCTTGCTTTTCCCAGACCCAGATACCTATAAAACCCAAAACAATTATTATCTCTTACTTTCTTAAGATCTCTTTCTCTTTATCTTCTGCTCATGATAGTGTCACTCTGACGTGGGGTCTATGTGCTGACAGCGCACATCCAAATTCTCGTCTTGTAGATTCGGAATAAGTCGCGCACGAGGTCGCGGAAATCGATGCGATGAGACGCAGTGTAGAAGAATGTAAGTTTCCGACGGTCCCTGTAGATGATCGTTAGCATATGATAAAAAATTTCGTCACAAAAAAAATCACATACCATTGGTACTCGGCATCGCGGATTTGCATGGGCATCCCACGCTCCTCAACCTTTGCCATGCAAACCTTTCGCGCCTTTTCCTCGTCAGCCTTTTTCACAAACAACTGCTGGATCTCGATCGGCTGCGCAAACCGGATGATCTGCTTCGGTTGAAGGATGGCAGTCATCCCAGACTCTGCAAGGGGCTTGGCATTTCCAGAATCATCAAATGAGTTTTGCTGGAGAGCAGCCTGCTGCTCGTTATGCTGCAGAGTCTTGAGCTCGCGAGCAGTCTCGATCGAGACGTCCTCGTGCGTGACCTTCCCAAGATCTTTGCCTCTGTCAGCATCAACAATGACCAGATCGCCGGCCTTGATTCCGAGCCCGGATCCCTCGGGAACGTAAAACACATCTAGACGGCCTCCCTTGAACTGGACACAATAAAGCCGCTGGGTCGAAGGAAAGGCGACGCCATTTGCAGAATTGTACGCCGTTCGCGGCTGCTGGGAGGCAGTTGCGTGTATTTGAGAGAATGCATTGAAAAGCTCTGAGCGGCTGTTGTTCATCGACACATCTTCGGCAGAGCTAAAGTAGGGATCGACCTCTGAAGCAAGCTGGCGGTAGAAGGCATTACCGGCCGAGGGATTGGGCATGACGACGACGTTCGCGTTGATGTGGTAAGGGTCATGGTTGTGGCTGTTGTGGTTTGTGGCCCCACCGTTGCTGTTATTGACAGCGTTGTTGTTGGCGTTATTGCTGTTGCCGTTGTTGGTGTTGGTATGGTTGCCGTTGCTGATGTTGTTCGAGCCGTTCAATCTGCCGAGCGAGAGGGTACCGACTTCGGTGGCGAGCGAGTTGATGGCCGCAGGAGGCAGGACTGAGGATTGCTGTAGACGGTAGTGGCCAAACTGGGGATGCGCAAAGGCATCAGAGCCAAAGGGAATGTCAGAGGGCGAAGAGAAAGAATAGCGTCGGAGAGCCGGGTCCTGAGGCGGGGGCAGGATGTTTGACCCAAGCCGGAACTGGCTGGGGGCGATCGCGTTTGGGACGGAGAAGCGCTTTGGGGCGGCGAAGGCGATCTCGGTAGGACGAGGGCCGAATCGGGCGTAGTCGAGGTAATCGTCTTCTTCGTCAAAGACGGCGGCGTCCTCGGAGATGACTGCGGGAAAGCGATGGGTGGTGATGGGGGAGGGGGCGTCGCCGGTTGAGAAGGAGAGGGATCGGAAGGAGCGCGGAGAGTCGTTCCAGATCGAGCGGCCGAAAGCGGAGTTGGATACGGCGGGAGGCACGGCTGAGGAGGCCACAGCACCGGGGACGGCAGAGGCGGCGGAGGCCTGCGGGAGAGAAGAGAAGATGCCCCAGCGGTCGCGATCGACGGAGGAGGCGGCGGGGTGGGAGGAGGAGGGCGTGAGGGGGGCGGCGGTGGAGTCGTGCAGATCGGAGAGGCCGCGCGGGCGGGAGGCGAACTCGGCGGCGTAGGAAGGGCGGCGGGAGGACATGCTGGCGATGCCGCGGTCGAGAAGGTCGTCGTCGTCGGAGGAGGAGAGGGAGACGGCGTCGGGCGGGGGAGGGAGAGGGCCGTCGAGGGCGAAGGAGGAGGATAGGGAGGAGCGGGAGGGATGAATCAGGCCGGCTGAGGGATGGGCGGGAGCGGCCATGGAGAGATCAGCGGGAGGTGATCTGAGGACGGGAAGTAGCAGAGGAATATGAATATGAAGAAGAAGCAGCAGAAGAAGAAGAAGCGGTGAAGAGAGAAGAAGGCGAGGAAGAAGAGGAAGAGGAAGAGAGAAAGAAGAAGAGGAGCGGAAGGAGAACAAGGCCGAACGAACACCTGCGATGACGTCGGGGCGGGGTCGTGTGACGCAGCCACGTGATGTGTTTGTTGTGGCATAAGTAAAGAAGTGTTTGACGGTTGGAACAGTGCGATCCCGTGTCTTTTTCCAGATGCGTCGGTCTCTCGTTGTTGAAGTAGTTGAACAGCAAGCAGAGCACATAATGCGGTTGATTCTAATTGTATTTTGCATCTTTATTTCTACTTCTTTCAGCTCCTTCAGCTCTTTCTCCTTGTTCTCTCAGCCGTCGCTGGTCAAAGCAGGCGACGTGCGGCGTGACAAAATGCGTGCTCATCGCGCTATTGTTCATCACGTCAGCCTCCCCGCATTAATTACGTAATTAAACTTTCATTAACTCCCATCGCCTTCAGATTCGTTTATGCGTGATGATCTCTGGTTTCTATTCCACTGCGGTTTGTTGAGGATATCAGTTATTCTATTCTTTTGGATATTCTATCTACTTATTGTATTCTACATTATCATCTCCTCTCCATCTTCATCTTGATCTCCTTCTCATCTACCTCATGGCAACCATCGACAGCTACGCCCTCCCAACTCCCTCCGCCTCGTCTCCCGCTTCACCATCGACTCCCTCTCCCCCCATCTCGCCCTCTCTCATCGTCTCCTCTCCCCACCGCCGTCACTCTTCTCAGATACCCATCCAGCAGCTTCCTCCTCAGATCCTCCTCCCGCTAGTCGACAGACCCGCCGAACTCTCCTCCCTCATCGACCACAACCAGCCCTTCTTCTCCCTCCTCGAGCGCACCCTGGGCACCGCCTTCTACCGCACCCAGCTCCTCCCTCTGCTCAAGTCTCCCCGTGAAACCGTTGACGATCTCTCATTCCTCACCGCTGTCCGCAAAATGCTTTGCAAAGGTGACGAGTGCTCGAACCGCATCTGGACCGAGTTCTGCTGTGTAATCGGCTTCGATCCCTCCTCCACCGTCTTTCCCGACTTCTCTCGATCCTCCTCCAGAGTCTCTCTCTCCGACCAGACTTCCTACTCTTTCTCATCTTTTTACGACCCCAGCAAATCCCCGAGATCTGTTTCACTCAACTCTGCCTGCATCATCGAAGACGACGAGAACTAGCAGTGCCCACCCACCCACTCATTCCATCCACCATCCCAACACTACACGGTCTTTGTATTTACAATCTACGGCGTTCCGGAGCAACTAACGTGTCTCTGTCTTCTCACACGGCTTACGACTTACGAACAACTCCTTCTCTCCTTCTTTCTTTTCTTTAATATCGCATGTTTTCTGGTCTATACACATACACCCTCCTTTCTCTTGTACATATCGAATAAACCTTCCTCGACCGTCGTCGACGTGTCGAGGTGGCGGGACGATCCGCGCGCAGATCCCCGAGTCCACGTCACCTTTCTGCTGTTTTGATTAACAGATTCCCTATTTTTAGAGTACAATGCCATTTCTCTTTTTAATCATTGCCATCTACTTAAAACAAATCCAGTAAATACAATCAATGTAGAATACCACTTCTGTCGACGCCTGTCAACCCATCCCACCTTGAATCACAACCTGTGATCAACCTGTGATCACGTGATTGAAGGTCCCACCCTCTGCGCACCTCAGTTCGCGATAACCTCAGAGACCGAACAGCCAGCACCACAACCACAATCAACAACACGCCATGTCTTCTTCATCTTCGTCGGCGTCCAAGAAGCGCGCCAATCTCTGTGTGCCGTATGTTTTATACTTGTGTTTCGAGACCTAGAGAAAGTCTTTATGGCTAATATTCTGCCGCAGCTATGTCGCTCTCGAGGCTCCTGCACCTAGCGATGAAATCTCGGGCCTGCTCGCATCCACGCTGCCAATGGTCGCCATGTTCCTGAGGTTTGTCTCTCTTCTACTCTTACTCTAAGCTTACTAGTTTGCATGATACTAACTCAATCCCCTCAGAAACAAGTACGTCTATCATCAACCTACGTCTTCAACTCAAACCACCACTAACACCTCCCAGACTCATCGCCTGGTCCGCAGTCCTAGTCTCCGTCCAGTCCTGGCTTAACGAGACCGAAGCCTCAAGATCCGAAGCCAGTCAACCCGGATGGATAAAATTAGTGTACATCCCCCATCTCTCTTCTTCATCCTCCCCTTCTCTACTTTGCTCTTCTTCTAACTTCTCTCTCACAGCATGTCGCTCGCCGGCCTCGTCGTCTGCTACATGGACCTGCTCTTCCCCGCCAAAGCCGTCAACGGCGCGCTCTCGTCCATCACCGGCCGCGATGCCTCGGCTGTTACCACCAGACTATCCATGGCTGCCAGAGCTACCGCTGAATAATTTACCACATGTACTTCTATCTCCTTCTAATGTATATCTATCAACTATAAACTTTGTTACTTTGCATATCCATTAAGAAAACTATTGAAAAACAGTTTATAGAAAAACATTATGTAGAAAGAAGCCCTGAAACAAGTATACAACTGTCTGAACATCAACTGATTATACAACTGTCTTAACATCAACTGATTATACAACTGTGAACAATCAGCTGATTGAAATTACGACTCTCATCATAAAGTAGCATCTGCCCAGCACTCCTGCACAAACCGATCCATCTTCACCTTCCGGCTCGAAATACCCACAATCCAAGGATGCTTGAGCATCTGCCGCGGACTCGCCCGCTTCTTTGTGTCCTTCTCCAGACAGCACGCCAAAAAGTGGTGGAACGCCTCCGACCACTTGATCCCGTTATGCGGCTCGTCCATCAGCTTCGGCGGTGGGTTGTGCACTATATACACCAAGATCTCGATCGCACTTAGCGTGGGCTCGCCTTCGGGTGGGAATGGGAACCGGTGGTGCGCTACCTCCATCAGCGTCAGACCTAGTGACCATATATCCGACGTCACCGAGTACGGATGGCCCTGTATTCTCTCCGGCTGTTCTCATTAGCACATGCACACTCTCTTAAACAGAATATATAAGAGCAAAAACTCACTGCCATGTAATATGATGTTCCTGTAAACGTAGTCGCCAGCGAATTGACAACCTCTCCCGACACTCCAAAATCACAAAGCTTCACCTGCCCATTCCCATCCAATAATATATTCTGCGGTTTAATGTCTTCACATCTGTTAGTTCTATCCCTCTTTCTTCACTAAAAAAAATAGTAGCACCTACCTCGGTGTATTATCTTGCGTTCATGCAGATACGACAGACCACTCAACACCCCCTCCGCGATCTTCCCCAGCACTCGCTCGCCAATGCGCCCGCCTCGCGCCTTGACGTGCTTGTACACCGCGTCCAACGACCGTCCAGCGCAATACTCCATCGCGATCGAGATACTCGCGTTCTGCTCGTCCACAAACCGCCCGTAATACTTGACGATATGCGGCGAGTCGCACGTCTTGTTGAACAGCAGCTCGCGCAGGATCTGCTTCCGTATATCCGGGTTCGGATTCGCGGGGATCGTCTTGAGCGCAAACACAGTCTTGCCGTACCGCAGCCGACACTTGGTCACGCTGCCGCTCGTGCCTTCGCCTAGTTTTGCAATCTCGACAATCTCGCCGCTATTCGCCACCCGCTCCCACCCTTCCTCGTCCAGATCGGCAACATCAGAGTATCCCATCGGTTCCGAGTCAACCATCATCGACGACGGCGACGGCGTCGTCTGCGTTTGCGCATAGAATTGTGGTTGCGTCGCTGTTGCTGTCGCGGTCGTGGTGGTCTGCAGCTGCGGCTGTGGCGTCGGGTACATCGCCTCGTGCTGGGGTTGCTGTATTCCTGTATTGAGCTGTAACCGATTCCGCGAAGCGCTGTTCCCGCTATTAAGATAAAACGACGGCGGCTCCTCCTGCATCGCATCACCGCTCCCGCCGGTGGTGGCAAGGAACGCCGGCGATGTCGACAGCGCCAGTTCTGGAACAGGCTGCTGCGGCAGCAGGAACCCGCGTTCATCCACAACCGCAGCAGATCCAACTGATCCCGTTCCGGCGAGTGTAGGTACAAGACTAGGCGACGTCGGAATGGCGAGCGACAACGTCTTCATGCGGGGCGACGGGCTCATGCTGTTGCCCGGGTTGCGTAGCAGTGGCGGCGCGCTCATCGCCGCCTTTGAATCGTGGTACATTTTCCTGTTGTATTAATTGATTGATCGAGCAGTCTTTTGTTTGCTCTTTATCGTGAATGTCTAGCAAGAGAGGCACTTGCTAGATTGCTGAGGTTCTGCGGGGAGGGAGAGGCCTTAGCGGGGGCAAGAAGCGAGCATCACAAGACAGCTGGATGTCTGGGGATAAGTTGGAGCTGTGGTTCGCGCTGAACGAAGCAGGTGGATACTGCTCTATCTCGCTGGTCTTTATGCTGATGCTGGCAGTTATTCGCACGTTCTGCTATCTGAAAAGAGCAAGAAATGGGCGTGTGTTAGCGACGATAATAAAGATATCAAAAGTAGACAAACGGCCTTCTCTAGCGATATCGAAGAGCAAGCAGACGATGACGTACACTCAAAGCCAAGGATGGACACCCGGCCTTCTCGACGCTGAACAGAAACAGAAACAAGAGACCAAAAACCGGCTCGCAGAGGCCGTCAAAACTAGAGGTCTTTATCTTGTTTACTTTTCCTTTCTCTTCAAGCTCTGGAAATCAGGTCGGCGCAGTCGTTTGCGAATCCTGGTTTAAATGCCTCGAAGCCTGCTACCCCCTTCGCCCCAGGCTCAGCCACGAATTGGATTATGTAATTTATTAATCACCGTGCACTCGATTGATAAACGCGTAAACTACAACACAACTACTCCCCCTCCCCATGCAGATTCAACATAGCCAAAATCCGTACCGAACATTCGTAAAATAAAAAAGAAGAAAAAAACAAAAACAAAAACAAAACAAAACTCAACGAAGACCAAAACCCTCGCTCTCTACAATCGCCCGTCGTAGCTTCTCTTCCAGTTTCTCCCGGCTAGAGTACCTATAAAGACACAGCTGATTGAAACACGTATGCGAAATAGGGAACCGATCTGAATCCTCTCCCAGCTTTGAAATCTTGAAAATCAGATTCGCGATTCCTGTCGCCGGAATCCGATCAGAGCCCGTCACGAACGTGAGCAACTTGCGCTGCTCCGGCAAATTCATGGTTGCAAAAAAATCCCAAAACCAGCCGACTACCGGCTCGTTGGCCTCGACTTCGCTGTTCGACATCTTTTGATTGCTGTTCGGACTCCAGCCATCGTATATCGCAATCGCTCGCAAGGCATCGACGTCCATGCCTTCGTCAGAGCCGCGAACAAGAAGTTCAATCTCTTCCGGCCGGAACAAGGTCAACGCGTTCCCACCGATAACATGGTAGAATCCACGCTTGAACGGCTGAAACTGCCGGTCGATTGACGTATCAAATATGAACTGGATATACCTATTCACAAAATCCTGTCGGTTCGCGTTCGTCACCGGCTTCCTCTCGCCTCCGGAAACCAGCGGCACCTGCACAATCTGTCCGTACACCTCATGGTCGGCAACGAAATCGCGACAAAACACCTCTTCCACATTACCCTCAAACTCCAGCAACTGCTGCAAGCCCTTGGCCAAAGTAGGCTTCAAAATCATCAGATCTGCCATCGTACATTGGCAGCCCAGCAGCTTCTTGAATAGCGCTGGCGGCAGCTGGATGTCGAGAATCGTAGAGTTGTACATCGCAAGCCCGAGCACGACTCCAACCAAAAAATACTGATCTGCAGTCTCAAACGTAGAGTGATTGAACCAGCAATAGTTTGACTCCTCGTCGTAAATGAACATTCCGTTCATAGGATCAAACATCTCGCGCACAAGAAGCAAAAACCACTCCTTTCTCAATCCGCCGGCATCAACTCCGTCTTCACCAACAAACTCAATCTTGAGACCTTTCTTCAGCTCCATCTCGTTGTTCGAGATCTGCCGCAATGAATCGTCGATTATACACTCTCGACGCACCTTCAGAACCAAATGAGGCTGCACAACCCGCTTATAGTTCAGCGTAGAAAAAAATGCCTCGCGCGCCTTGATCTCCATCTGGCGACGGGCGTCGTACTCCAAAATCGTAATCTTTGATCCCATCGACAGATAAAACGGATACTGGCAAAAGGTGAAAATCGGAGGAATCACTGCGCCTGCCTGCCCTCCCACTGGCGAGTCACCTGCAGTCCTCACTGATCCCTGACGCTTTACAGGGTTCCCCGCCAACGCCATCGCTATCGGTGAGTTCACAGGGGAGCTTGAGGTGCCTAAACCTGTAGGAGGGGCCAGCTTCCCTGGAGGAGCTGAGAGTGGTAAAATTCCCTGCTTCTCCCATTTGTCGAAATCGTGAGTGATATCTATGTAATCCACCATCGTATTATAGAAGCTGGATGTAGGAATTTTTGACACTTGTATGTTTGCCGCAACTATTATAGTTCATTTGTTTGTTAGCAGGCCAGATCGGAGTTCATAACGCAATGGCACAAGGACTTACAGAATAAGGACAGTATTCGTGCTGCAGCCCTGATCTTCCAGTCAGATCCATATCTCTCAATCTTCGCCCCTCCGTTTTTCGAAGAACAGTATTTCGACAACCGATGAGAAGTAAACGAGTTGATAAGCTCCACTTTAGCCCGGAAACTAGTCACAGTTAACCGCGCAAACCAGTTGACGAGATAGTGATGACAGGTCGCGTTGAGACTGCCAAACAGACCACAGATTCGCTTCAGAATCGCTGAATGATGCGCAGAGGCGCTGATCGGGCTTCGATGCGAGTATAGCACGGGATTCTCAAGTATGATTAGCAAAAACCGCAAGTCACTAGCAGACGTGAGGATGCGACCTGGACGTTTGAGAAGATTCTCCGAGTATTTCAGAACCAGTCTCATTGGCTCCGGGGAAGGCGAAGCAAGAACTATCCTGTAAAAGAGCGCGATCTGAGAATAGTCGAGTCCTGTTTCCGAGTATGAGAACTGCTTTCCGCTCGAGAAACTCTTGTTGAGCGCTTGCGCAGATTGAAAGGCAGAAGCTAGCCGTTCTTGGAATTGTCGAAAGTTTTCTTCATCCTCAAGATCGGTGTCGCGGAGAGTTTGCAAGAAGTCAGAGTCGATAACGAAATGTGGTTTGAGTGGAAGCGGGCTAACGTCGTTTGTTGTCTGGCAGACTGTGCATCGGAAACAAGGGACGGAAACTGGATAACGAAGCGAAGAGAGACAGCACATGCAGTGTCCCGTAGTCTAGAATCAAATAATGTTAGTAAGATGCTTGTGTATATGATATATGCAGCTGGTCGAGGTGGTGGGATGTACCAAAGCAACGGGCTCGCGACCGCCTTGTCGCACGTCGTTGATAGCTCTCTTTTCTGATTTTATTATAGACTCGGGTCTCTGAAACCCGCCATGACCGTCGTAGGACTCTCCAGCAGCTCCGTTGATGTTGTTGGCGGCGTTATTGCTGCCGCTGCCGCTGGTGGAGCCGCCACTGGCGATGTTGCTATCCTTCTTTGAGCTTGAATGCAACTGACGCGTAATCGCCTGGGTGATTGAAGCCGGGAACGAGTGGCCACGCCCATGCGACCCCGACGAATGCGCCGTCGGCTTCTTTGCAGAGCTGTTAGCCGGCATTTGTGCGGTCTGCTTCAGATCCGGCAGTTGGCGCGGTTGAGTCTGGCCCTTGTTGCGGTGCTGGCAGACAACAACACGAAGCAGGCGCGGTCGGGTGAACGGAGCCCAAAGTCAAAGAAGGCGCTGAGCGGAGGGAGATTTGACGAACGATAGCTCTGTCTGAGCAGACCGAGAGCACCTTCAGCTTGTATCGCGGCACCAGAACGCGAGATATCGGGCAGAATCAGATGAGGAAGGAAGAACAGCGAAGTGTATAAATAAATATCGCAATTGCGCTGCGTGGTAAGCGAGGCTCGCTCCAGCCAGCTGAGCTCAATGCGGTCGGTCTGGCGCGCACGTGACTTGCGCCGGCCTCGAGCTCTTCTTCGTCGTCTGATCTGGAATTTGGATACTTCAACAATCGTTGCTGTTTGTTTAAGAGTCGAGAGGAATCAAGCAGTCTGTGCTTTTCACTGCAATTTGCAGAACTAACGCATACATCACTATGAGTCTCGGACTCCCAAACAAAAACACGGTGCTCATCATACCAACCGTGTCCTCAGCAAACGTACCACAGCTCTCAGTCGATCTGCTCGTGCATACGTTAAAGGTCCCGTTCCACTCTCTTCTTGACCATGGCGGACTACTCTACCCCTTTGCGGGTCCAGCAGAACGTCCAGAGGGATCGCCTCTGCTTGGAATCTCTTCTTCTCTAGAGGTGTACCACAACAGTTCAATAACCTGCATCGTGCAAAGATCGCCAACCCTTCCAGGATCTCGGTCGCTCTTCGTCTCCGAAGTGCTCATGAAATTCATAAGCCAAAACCAGTTTGCAAGAATCGTCATTCTATCTTCGGCTGATGCCTCGAGGCGGGAGGATCCGGATATCAGCAAAGTCTTCCGCATCTCTCTGAGCGATCCGCTTCTCACCGGCTCCATCAAGACCACCGTCAGCGACCTGTCCGGCAAGATCGCCAAGCTTTCTGTCGACAGTCAATCTGAACCACCCACGAGAAACGACTATCAGCTACCCAAACGCATTCCCGGATCTGGAATTGCTATCCCGTTTCTCAAAGAGGCAATGCGCAACAAGCTTCTAGTCGATGCGATAATAATATACGCGTATGATGGTGACAACATACCTGACGCATCCAGGCTGGCAGAGCTTGCTTTGGATGTTTTGGAAATGCCTCGTCCGATTGACTGGGTGCATCCTCAGTCATGGGCGGGCGTCTACGGGAAGGAGGTTCAAGTTGGACTGGAACATGGTATATATGGTTGAATTTATCTATTCATGCGATTTATCTTAAAATTGTACAAACACACCATCTTGCTCATCATCACTCCCACATTCCGCATCTATGCTCTCCGTCTCATTTTCCCGTCTATCCTTGAGTGCTTCAAAAACCGGTCTTCTCAGGGCTACATTGACTCCAGGAACAGTGTGGATGTTCAGAGTAGCACCCTCGCTAGGTACTTTCCCTGATATTCTAAACTCGATATATCCAAGGCCTTGAATCAAAACATCGGCGCCACCTCCATCGATCTTTGCAGTGGCAGCCAACGTAAAATGATCGACCGCCTCTGACAGGATGTGGATCTTCTTGCTCGCATCCTTCCTCTTGGTCATTTCTGCCGCTTTTTCATAGTCCCTATTCACGTAAGAGTTGACGTGTGCACGCTGACCTATCATATTCCACGCAATCACGTTCACGTCCGGAGACTCCACAAACACCAACCCCCCGATGTTCAAGCATTGTCCCTTCTTGACCGTGACATGTTCCCGTTTACCTCGTTGAAGAAATCTTCCCTTCACTAAGTGGGCCACGGACTCCTGGTCTATCACCCTCCATTTTTTAAACCCGCTGTCTTCCAATCCAGGAAGATCAACCAATCGCTTATGTTGATATCCGTACTTGACCGTGTATTCCAGCATATTTCGAGTCATTCCTGGCCAATGACTGTCGCCAGGACCGCCAAAGGGAATATTTGCCTGCGGTCTTTTTTCTTTGCAATGATTGATAATAGATCTGATCACTCGACTCTTTCCAACGTTACTGTATCCAACAAAAAACACTTCATTTCCCAATTGGCGAGTAAGATTGTCGATGCCCCGGCCATTCCTGGCGGATACCAAAAAGATGTCGTTACCATCGATCGTTTCTTCAAGATCAGAGCTTTCAGTGGCCATTTCTTCAATCAGCTTGATTTCGGGGCCATCAGACGAGTCGAGCCCTTTCATTCCAAAATTCCACAAAGACTTGCTTTGCTTCAATTTATCCGCATCGACGGGCTCTGACGCGATTTGACGTTGCACTTTAATAGTCGCTTCTAGTATTTTTGAAAAATACGGGCGCAGCCGTTGCTTCGCTAACTTCATGCTGTCGACAAATAAGTCCACCCGATTGAAAACGTATAGGATCTTCTGTGGTGTCTTGCCGTATGCACGTAGCAGGCTTTCAAGCGGTAGGATTGAGAGAGGAGCATCGTAGGCATCAATCACATGCACAACGGTATAATTAGATCGTCCCGTAGGCAGATGGCCAAAAACTTGCCTGTAATCCACAGCCGGAAGAAGATCTGCTCGGTTATGGTGGTGAAGCACATGACATCTGTGGCAGATCCGTTCTGGCGCCGCCGCTGTATCAGCACTCAGTTCTGGGCGACGGCCGATGCCGAGTAGTTCCATCTCTTCAGGAGTGAGCTCCGCTGCAAACTTCTCAAATGCACGATCAGACGCCTTCTTGACAGCAACAGCTGCAGGCTTGTCATGAAACTCTTCCTGAGCATACTTGCCGCCACAGGAAGGACAACGCTGCTTGACTACCATCGCGCTGCCGGTCAGGGACCGAGAGGTATGGACAAGTGGAGGTCTCCATAAGGTCTGCGGGAGCGTCCGCTTCCTGGCCAGGAGCAGAAGACCTGATGCCGCAGTTTGTAGTTGGCTCCGCATGCTACTTCGCATCGTCTGGATGTTCAACAGATATTTTCTTTCAAAATCCATAACGCGACGAGAACTCCCAACTCCCAGCGTTGTTGAAGGTCACGTGGGTCTCAAGATTACGTCAGTGGCGAGCAGCGGCGATAAAAGCAAAAGCATTTGTAATGTTCGCTTCCTCCTTCGTCTCCTCCACCTTCCTTCCCTCCGCCGCCAGCTCTTATTCTCTTTCTCGCACTGTTCTATTCACCTCGCTATCTACAATGTATACCAGGACCTTTCTTGCCACCGGTCGTCGCGCTTCGTGCTCTGCGGCCGTCTTCAAGTCATTCTCCAGACAGATGTCAGCAACCGCCCGGCTTTCTTCCGGATCGACGAGCACCTTCGTGGTTCGACCATATCTTCGCGACAACCTCCCGCGACCCTTCTCATACAGCCAGAGACGTACTATGTTCATACAGACTGCTACAACTCCTAACGAGCACGCCCTCAAATTCCTCCCTTCCACCCCCATTCTACCGGAGAACTCCCGGACAGTCGAATTCGTCAACGGTCGCGAGGCGCACTCATCTCCCCTTGCAAAGAAGCTCTTCACAGTCGACGGCGTGCGCTCCGTTATGTTTGGCTTTGACTTCATCACGATAGAAAAAGATGTCGACGCGTCGTGGGCTCTGCTCAAGCCTGAGGTCTTCTCTATCTTGACCGAGTTCTTGAGCTCTGGCGCCAAAATCATGCTGGAGGACACGACCGCGAACGAAGACACAATGCCTCAAGAGGGAGACTCAGAGACTGTCAGTATGATCAAGGAATTGATTGACACTCGCATTCGCCCTGCAATTCAGGAAGACGGCGGAGACGTTGAATATCGCGGATTCACCGAAGACGGTCTGGTTCAGCTCAAGCTGCGGGGTGCATGCCGCACATGTGACAGCTCGGCTGTTACCTTGAAGAATGGAATTGAAGCTATGCTGATGCACTACGTCGATGGTGTTAACGGTATCGAGCAGGTTTTGGACCCTGAGGAAGAGATTTCATTACGCGAGTTTGAGAAGTTCGAGGCTAAGTTGAAGAGTCAGAAAGGTGATCAGGTGTCGGCGTAATTTTCTATCAATGTTATATAATTCTCTTTTTAAAATGAATGACAATACATTAGCATTTATATTGGATAGAATATTGGAAGTCAGCATCACCCGTGCTGATACATAATCGAGTAATCTGTGAGCAATCTGTAGACCTCCGTACCCAGAAGCCAGGAGTGCTGAGATAGTAGACATCTTGACACATATGACCAAGCCGCGTCTGACTTTTCTGTGCGGTGTAGCTGGCGAGATTTCAACTCGCGAGAGATTGTCTAGCTATAGCAAATCTAAACTATAGCATATCAATATGCCTTATCCCGAGTTTGATATCACAGTCAGATATTTCTTCTGCTCATAATCAAAACAACGATTTCTTGCGTAGACAACTTAATCGTCCTCACTGTCGTCTTCACTCCCTTCATCGTCTTCAAAGAATGCCGTCATCTTAGGGATTCTTGACCGAGATGATCCCGATGTAGATATCCGCTCCAGCTCATTCGAGCTTCGCTCGTCGCTATCACTCCGTTCGGCGGTCCCGTCTCGGGTGTCTTTTCCTTCATCAACAGCCTGCTCTGCCCCTTCTTCTTCCTCCTCATATTCCTCCTCGTCCATTTCTGAGTCGTCATCACCTTCACTATCGCTATCGTCCCTGCTGAAATGAAACGATTCGCCTACTATCCGCTTCAGATCGTCGAGAAGCTCCTCGCTCTCATCTAGAAATTGTGTATCATCGTAACGGACCGTACTTGGCTCTGCATTCGCCAAAGCCAGCAATCGTTCTTTCTTCTGCTTAGCAGCTTCCTTGATACGAGCAGGAGCGGTTTCCAAATAGAGTGCGAGACTGTGAAATATTGTTAGCTTCCTCTCGACAAAACAAATTTGATGCAAACGGAGACAAAGATCCCACTTACTCTTTAGCTTGGCGCACGCTTTTCATTCGTCTACCGTCAAGATTTCTGAATCTGTCTTTACTAGCCTCATCGTCCTTAATTCTTCTCCGCTTGGCGGCCATCTTTCCACCCTGAGCACGAAGCTGAGATCCAAATCCTCCTTTTCCTCCATTCAGCCTTGCATTGATTCGCAGTGATACATAAGGCAGCAGACTGCTAGAAAGACTTGCAATCTGGGATAGTGTCCGCGCATCGTCTGACTTCAAAGGCCGACCGGACGCATACGATATGTAAGAGTTACTCGCCACGGACTGCGGCAGATGCGCAGTGATTTGCTCGAGCAGCGACTTGACGGAAGTGCTCCCCAAAACCGGGACAAACTGCAAATCTGGCAGACCAGGAATGGACGAAACGTAAACCTCGACAGCATTCATCTTTAACGTGGAGTAGGATATCTGAGCTCACGATCAGACAACCGTGGCGAGCGAGGCTGGGAGAATAGCGGTGCTGTGAGGCTGGCAAACAATCCTCCTGCACGTGACTGATAACAACCAAATTGGTTTAGGGGTTTTCTTCCAAGCCCTAACGTAACCCTAAAAAGAGCAGTCACGTCTACGCCCGCTCATCTCGCGAAGCATCAACCGATTGTAGGTCTACCGTTACGCTCTGTCCAGGAAAGCTTCGTGTACATCGACTGTCCACAGATCTTTCGACAACCCATCAACACTTATCGACAAAATGCTGATTCCTAAGTCAGAGCGCCAGAAGATTCACACTTACCTCTTCAAGGGTACGTCGTCGCTGTTTGTTTTCCATAGCCCGCAGGAGCGAAGCCGGAGCGGGCCTGGGGAGCGGAGATTGATGGATTGGCGGAGAACACAAGCTAACATTTCGAATTCGATACAGAGGGAGTTGTTGTTGCCAAGAAGGACTACAACCAGCCCAAGCACGATGAGATTGACACCAAGAACCTCTACGTAAGTGATGAACCCGTCGAATTACAGGCTTGAACGCGCGAGTGCCTTCCCAGCAGAGCTAACGTGTACGATTTGTTGGATATAGGTGATCAAGGCTCTCCAGTCGCTTGACTCCCGCGGATTCGTCAAGACCCGATTCTCGTGGCAGTACTACTACTACTCTCTCACCGAGGAGGGTATCGAATACCTGAGAGAATGGCTGCACCTTCCCGCCGAGATTGTTCCTGCCACACACAAGAAGCTGGTTCGCGCTGCTCCCCCTACCACCGGCCGAAGACGTTAAATATCAAAAGCAATAAAGAGGTTGGGTCTGACGCATGCTACTCGGTGAAAAGATGGAAGTTGTTACATAAAAAGTTGTGGCATTACGGACTTTTGTTGGATAATCGATTTGTGTACAAAAAATATATATTATGGAATCATTCAAATTGCGTCGGTATTTAGAAAGCGATGGTCATCTATCGTCGCCTGAATTCTACGCCTTTGTTTTACGAAGAGAGCGTTTACAATTCTTGCTTAATCTCATACTTGACATTCGTAGTTAATAGTTGTATTTCTTAGCGATATAAATTGCCTACGTGCGTAACTCCGCGAATACTTCATCACTAAAGTACTCTAGTAATAACGTGTTGGTCCTTCTCTTCACTCATCAAGGGAAGATTCCCGTCGTCACATTGCAAATGCTCCCGGCTTACTGCTTGATAATTGGCGCAGACTCTTTCCGATCGATTTCAGCAGCAGTAATGTGAGAAGCGTTCCCGCCAAGACCAGGAGGTTGTCCGAAGCTATGTAAATCCGGCACTGGCCCATTAACAGGCGGCATCGGAAGTCTTGAATTCACTCCCGGGGGCATGGGAGGAGGAGGCCCACCGAAAAATGGGAAATTGGGAGGTGGTACTACTCCGGGAGGAAATGGGGGTAGAGCGCCATTAGGAAGAGGTGGTAGTCCTCCCATGAAAGGTGGATAACCGCCCTGGGGTAGCATATTTCCTCTCAGTCCCGGCATAGGACCATTGACATCCATGTCTTTCGCCAATTCGCTGAAAAACCTGTCTCCAGACATCGGAGGCATACCCTCTTGCGCCGACCTGCCACCCCGCTGCTGCAAAGGAGGCATCTGTGGAGGCGGAAACGATCCCGCTCGCAGATCTGGCCGTCCGCTCGGGCTAGGCCAAGCACCTTGTCCAACCGGCACATTAGGTGGCCGTCCCTGATACATCTGCTGAAGCATCATCGGATCAGCTTGCTCCGGACCGAATCCCGGGAAGGGCATGTTGAGTCCTGGCGGAAGAGGCATGGAGCCACTAGGTAGACGATTTGGAGGTCCCATTGGGTTACCCTGAACCATAGGCACTGGTTGGGGAACATTACCGGGTAGAATATCAGGCGAGCCAGCAGGTGCCTGAGCTTTCATCTGGGGTCTGGATTTACCAGTCCCACTCATCAGGCCCATCAAAAACTGCTCATTTCCTCGAGACTTGTCTTTCACTCCACCACCACTCAAACCTTTCGAGTCTGGGTTTTCGTTCGCGTACACAGGCGCATTCCCAGAAGGCTGTCCCTGAGGAATCATAGGCGATACAGAATTTCTACCCTCGATATCAGCAGCAGAAGTCGCCGCTAGCGGACTTTGAGGAGGTCGAGAATTCTTTGTACCCAAGATTGCCATGATTCGTTTGAATCCTTCCTTGTCCTGGCTAGAATCAGCCAATAGTGGTGACGTTGGAGTTGCATTCTGGCTCGAGCTCGTAGAAGTTTGGGTAGTCGGCTCAGAAGCTGATTCTTCGGAGCTCTTGGGTTTAACAGGAGGAGATTGTCTATCCTTCGTAGGCTCGGTATGGAAGAAGGAAGAAAATCTGGACGCTCGCGCACCTTCCCCTGGTGATTTTAGGCCCAGAACATCGATACTAGAGGATAGCTCCTTAACTTCATCCAGTGAAACAGACGGACCGAAGGAGCTGAAGAATCTGTCGGCAGAGTCCCCTGAGCTGTTAGCCAGCTTGGTGCTCACAAAAGAGTCCATCTCAGTGAAAACAGCTCCGGATTCTTTCGATTTCCGCTCCATATCGGCCGCCTTCATCCTAGCCTTCCAAGCTTGAAATTCTTCGATAGAATGCTCATTTCCTGCGCCGGAATTAGAGGCACTCGTAAGAGAAGAGGATTTCATACCAGAGTGCTGCGGAACAGCAAGACTGGCCAAGTTGCTACTGGCGACAGCATTAGCAAACTCGCTGTTTGAAAAGCTCAGACTATCGCTATGCTCTAACGGGGCATCTAGCCATTCTGGGACCCTTTCCCCTTGCCGGGAACTGTACTTATCGGCCCGATAATCACGAGAGAAATCTGATTTATCTCTCTCCTTATCGGTGTCGCGATCCCTCCACGACCCCTCGTCCCGCTTGGAACCAGTCGGCAGATCTCGTGCTCGTCGCTCAGATCTTGAGTTCCAATCATCAGTCTTGAATTTCCTAGATCGATCCATAATATCTCCGGATCTCGAATAACGCGATCCAGACTCTTTCCCTTCCCCATCGAGCTCATCAGAACGGCGCTGAGCGGCCAAAGAGCGTCCTCCAGAAAATCGACCTACTCCGGTCTCGCGATCGCGAGTCAGACGGTCCGATCTATGTCCAGAACGCACTTCAGTAAAATCACGCTCATCATCCTCTTTCTTGTGTGCCGATGCCGCGAATGAGATCTTGGGGGGTCCAAGAACTATGTCGGCTTGTCCTGCTACTCTGTTAGATCAAACATAACAATCCCAAGCACTGTAAGGAAAAAGGCCTACTCTTCACATAGATCTTTCCATCACTGTCTCGTAATTTCCTAAGTAAATATTGGATTAATTATTCTTGTCTTGTAGATCGTCAAGCTTGATACTAACATTTCAGTTTCGAAACTGGCGTGCACCATGTCTGTCTCGCTCCGACTCTCCCGTCGACCCGTCAAGCCTGACCTCGGTCCTGGCAGCACAATGGGTCTTCGTGAATTCAGTCAATATAAAGCAACACAAAATCACTGAACTCTAGAAGAGCAACTCTTACTTGATCCATTCAGTTTGCGGTAGCAAGCTGTCAGGAGGAGCACAAAGGGGCGACTTCGATAGAGCTTTTAGCTCTGCGACCGAATAAACACAACGATCCATAGATTCAATCAATGCTGGTACATGGCACTAGGTAAATTGACTAAAAGAGAGCTCCAGGCTTCTATATAACAATTGAAGTCAGTAGTTGAGCAATCAAAACCTGACGGCGATGCGCCCCAGATCAATCAGAGGCTGTGTATAGAACGGAAAAACCGATCAGGAAGTGCTAGCACTCTGTATCAAAGTAACCAACGTAGACAGGTAATCTTACAAGCAAGCAAAATATTGTAAAAGTAGATTATGGGATGTAGGCTGTAAGTTCGATGTTGAAGTCGGTGTCAGTAGTTGAGCTGGTGATGTTGATGGGGAAAGCGTTGAGTTGAGTCGGGTGCTGAAAATGCTACGCCAGCCCACGTAACGGCCAAATCACGCTTCTGCCCGCCGCATACAAAACACGCACGCACTTTGTTCATATTTCTCCATCAGCTCGTAGCCCATACCATTCTGCCATCGACTGGTAACTACGATGTGACTGTTATGGAACTGTATGAATTTATCTGAACGCTGGTTTTGCTTTTCTCTGCTTTTCTTCGATTTTTATAGACTGATTGCTTCGTCCTGGAGTCGATGGCACCTGACCACTGCTGGTGGGTGGTATATTTGATCGCCATTGGTCCTTAATGCAGACAGGTGTCTGTATAGTGTAATTTTCTTGAATTGGCTCTATGCTCGAATATTTACACTGCACGCGGAATTGAGCGCACTTCTACGTTGACCAGTTGGTTAGTGATAGAAATACAGGAGATATTACATTCGTATGGCCAAATCCTCTAAACTAGCTATGATGAAGAGCAAGACCGGGCATTATCAAGAAAACTAGAAGATAGAGCCTTCGTAGATTCCCATGTAGTCGACACGCTCGTAATTGTCTGCGCAATTTCGAATACAAAAGCTTCTTCATATACCGTAAGATCCTAAAATCGAGTCAGCTTATCATCTGAAAAAGCAACACATCGTGACGGTTTGTTACGCACCTTGCATCGCCTCAATGAAGTCGTCAGGACATTAAGAAACCAATTGGTGACCTTTGCGTAATCATCAACATCAGCTGAGGGTAGCAATGTCTTTTGTAGTGGAATATCGGATAAATCGATGAATGGGCTCTTAGTCACATATTGTAATGCGTAGTCGAACAGATAATGCCCGGCGTTCGAAAGTACTGGGACCAGATGCGCCAAAGCTGTCAAAATTATTGTGAATCTTGGTTTGGGAGAAAGCGCATTATCAGCCACCGCGAAATGGAGGCTATACAGCATTGTTCGTAAAACGTCTCTTTCTTTGTAGTTTGTTTCCTAGATAGATAGGTCAGTAACCAGCGGCATATAGCTATCAACTCAAGCATACGTACATCAATCAATGATATGACCAGGATCAAAATCTTACGAGCCATAGCCGCGATTGGTCCTTCGATTCCCAGACATATAATGACGTAGCTGAGGCAATGATTGCTGACCAAAGAATTGACATCTACCAGTTTGCGTGATATCATATCTGCTACAGCAGGCAGAACGAATAGAGGATCATACATCAAATGTGAACTGTCGACCTTTTCGGTTTCCTTTGCCGAAGCGAATTCCATGTATTCATTGCTGCTCCGAAGCTTCTCAGAATTATAGCTGTCCTTTTCGGTACCCGAAAGAAGTCGTAAACTGCTCCTGAATATTTTAGGCGAAAAAGAGAGCTCGCAATGCCCAGGTGCCACAACATAAAAAACAGCGTCCTCGTGAGAGAAAGAGAATGTGTCAATCTTCAAATCGGTACTGATATTTGAGGAAGCGTCGAGAGAATGTAAGACTTCAAGAAGCAGTCTATCTGAGGCTTTGCAGGTGCCGGAGTAATACTGAATCAGCTTGGTAGCCGTCAAAGATGCCTTCGATTGCTCTTTCGGATTCAGAAAGTATAGGTGATGCAATGTGCACACGATCCCATTCAGGAGCTGTGATTCTCTCCCTAGTCCAACTTCACTCGCGTGTTGGGCTAAAATCATCTGGAAAAATTTTCGATACTCGAGATACTGATGAGATGACCCAATCATTAGATTGAGAACAAAGAGGACTATAGTCTCATCATCGAACCATCTCTGGATGGCAGCTTCGATAGGAGCGTTGACCGCTTTCCCTAGTCCCAAGATACTTGAAAATCTTTCAACTGTGATCCCAATGCGCCTGATGATCGTCTTCTGGCTCTCTTCCAGTTGAGCAGTTTCAGACAAATACCTCGTAATCGTTTGCAGAGCTGACTTGATAAACTGTGCAGCGCTTGATCTGAGATTCTCGGGTGCTTGGCGAGAACTTAGCACCGAGTGCGCAAGAGCCAATCTATTAATCGAGACCGTCTGCGGTATACTAGAGTCGATAGCATTATATAAGCTGGTTATAGCATCCTCAGACGTCAAGAGAACCAGTGAACGCAAGTATAGCTGCAGATTCAGTTCAACGCGTTTTTGTGTAGCAGTCTTGGAAACTTGAAGAAGAAGATCTGAAATATCAACGGAGAGACTTGACGAAGACTTGATGACAAAAAGCTTTGAATCATCGTCACAATCAACCAGGAATGCAGTGATCGTATCGGCAAACGGAATCATGTCTTCAAGATCTAGCGCAGATATGGCTTCCAGATGCTGCTGTAATATACAGGATCTCATAGTAGCCGAATTTTCGAAGAGTCGACAGACAAGTGAGTAAGAGCCTTTTCTGTCTTGACTGAAAATTTCCTCAACCACAGGAAAATCGATATCAGTCACATCGAAGAATGGTGAGTTAGCAAACTTCAATGCCACGTTCACCACACTGCTATCTCCTGACTTGAGCGCTGCCCTAATCAGGAGTTGAACAACCTTCCCGTGCTCGTCTGATAGCATTTCTAGAGAATCCTCGGACTCGACGAGAGCACAAATAACTTGAGGATCGATTGCTTTCGAATCCTGTGTGGCCTCAACAATCAATTTGCTAACAACCTCTTCAGGCAAAAGTTTAAGACTTTCTGCGAGAGTCGTAGCCATCTGCATGAAATTTACGATTAGTATGATCTCAACAAAATACAACATGACTGGATAATGAAACAAACCTTCAAGTCTTGCCGCCATAAATCAAAGCTGTTGAGAATATATTCGTATATAAATCCGAGTTTGTCCGTGGAATCAGAAGTAATTGGACCGACCAATCGACGGACTACTCTGAAAAACCAGGAACAAAATTCCACAATTTGTCTTTCAGAATTGGTGGGACTCCACAACAGAGGACTCCATAAGTTTTTCTGCTTCATGACCGCCATCATCCAGTTTAAAGAGAGTGAGCTAGCTTCCAGCTTCTTCATGATGGCAGTAAGATAATCCAAGTCGTCGGAGCACATCTCATTACCGAATGAAGCACGAATAGAATAGATATCCAAGACGTTGATAGGACGTTTCATTTCGTCCACCGCTGTCTGAAAAGCGTTTAGGCTTTCTGCACTCATTAGAGCACGTGTGAAATCGACGTTATCCCCATAGCTATTTAGTGCTGAGTCGATCTTAAACTTAGCAAACAGCGCTGCCCAAACATCTTTATCCATTCTGCGACCTCTAGCAGGATCGCGCGCCAATTTCTGAAGTTTGCGCAGAATGGACTTGTACTTGCTATCCAGATTTTTGGATTCAGAGATGAAGTAATACACAGGACACCACCCATCACCGGAAATAGCACACTGTGTAAATATTCGCAATAAACAGTACAGAAGCCCGTCCGAGACCTGATTTTTTCTTTCGGCTGATGACGACATATAGACCCATTGTTCCGTAAGAGCAACCAGGAAAGGGCTCCATTGCTTTGTGTTTTCGACTTCGTACTCAGTTAAGTCGGCGCTGCCAATTCGGTCGATATATTTGAATGGTGAACGAAGGCAGCGGGCAGCAGCCTCATCCATGACATTCCACAGCAGGTCCAAATCCTGCTCGCTGCATGCTCTTGAGATAGATCTGAGACATTGAACAAAAGGAACAATAACGGGCACGTCAAAATTTTTGCCAAATAAGTAGGTGTGTGCAGAGATGTGGTGCAAAGAATCTGTAACATCCTCCGAAACACGGGAGTCGTCGATATATGTAGCGAGTTTGAGCATGTACGTAAAATAGGATAATTTCAAGCCATCTAGATCCAAAGGTCAGCGGGAAGCACATAATAACCACTGGAATAGATACTGAAGGCGCTTACCAGACTTGTTCCAAAATTTCTGCTGCACAGGAAGTATACTTTGTACACGTAAAACGTTGCGGAGCTCGAGACCTTTGTCCGATCCAAAGGACAGCCCATTTTCCGGCCGCTGTTCTTCATCCTCTAAAAATCGGACCAGAAGTTGGGAAAGATCTATTTTGGCGCTCTTCACAATATCATTGAATATTGTGACATACAGCCTCAATAGTTTTGACAGCGCAAATCCCGAGCTCGGCGGGAGATTTTTGAGAGCAACAGAAGAGTAACTTGAGATCTCGGGGAGTCTGTGGAAAGCCTCTTCCAGCAGCGATTTTTGCGCTACTTCCCATCCTCGACTCGCCAATAGTGTAGACACAGATTGAAGTTTCTGCAAGGATTGGGCAAGCAAATTAATGGTGAAATACTGAGAAATTGGATTTGCTTGCAGCAAAAGATCAAAAAGTGATCTATTCAGAGGTGAAGGAATAATATTCTCTATAACCACACTAACGGGTGGCGGAACTGAGATATTTAGTGTTCGATCCTTCAGCATCGATGGAAGAGGCAATGCAATGACAGCGGCGAAAAAGCTGAACTTCCGCAGAAAATCAAGTCTTTTCGTCGGATCTACTCGCAGAGTCGCCGACGTGGTATATAGAGCCACCGTTTCAGGACACGCTCTGAAGATGGCGTTCAACAGCAACGATTCGTCGGGATCAGCAATATTCAGAACTTTGCTCAAAGCAACCAAAACCCGATTAAATGACTGAAAAGCTTTACGGGACTTGTGCGAATCAAGAGTTCCGGGAGGATACCAGCCTTTATCCTGGAATATGACACCACATTTTGGATCTGTGCATATTTGAACAAATAACCCGAAATCCGCCTCAAACTTTGTCCATTGCCTGCTATTTCGGATCTTTAGAACACGAAATATCGACAATAGCTTGGTCAATAGCCATTCTGTAAACAAAACAGTTTTAGTTCTTTTTGGGATATCTTCACTGAATGCAATACCACTCAAAGTCTTTGCTGTTTCGACAAGTTGCTCAGAGCTATCAATAGAAGCGTTGTTCATCCACGATAGAAGAATCTGTCTATGTCCCAGAAGCTCACATTTATGGCTAGGAGAGCAGTAATGGAGCAAAACTAACAGAAAACTGATCAAATGATAGCGCACGGATCCGTCACTGGTATAATGCTGACTCGTTGCTCGTTGTTCGTCTTCTTCATTTCGAATCTTCAATGAAGCGAGTAGTTTTGAGTAGATCAGTGAAGAGAAATCAAAGGCTGTGTAGACCTCATCAGCATAAGCTCCGCGGTGAAATTTAGCAAATTGGATCAACAGCTCGAGAATGTCGTTGACTGGCGTCGTCTGTTCGGTGTAAAGAGATCGATAGATAATCTTGCTATGATTTTCTAATAGCAATCGGATGATCTTGACGCCAGACTGGCGACAAACAGCCACCTCTGACATGATTCGGATCAAGCAGCTCAAATGAAAAGTCATGTCTTTGAAAGTCGGGGTGTAAACAGACGTCTAGAAGCAAGGTGTTAGGATTGATCCTGCCAATACTGATTCAAGTCAACAAGTATTACTTACCGAGCCCTCTGTTGCCCAAGCTGTTACAAGCCTCTCGCCAAGAGACTTGTCCAAAACGTCAACTAATTCATCATATGAGATCCTCTTTTGCACGGCTGGAGTTAGCTTTGCCGGATGCCCGATAATGGCTTGCAATTCCAAGAACACTGGATCTGTGTCTGCAGTTCGTCTGACACTCCGGTTGGTATTTGATCTTCCATGCGATCTCTTTTTGGAGGACATTTTCCTACTACCGATCTTTTGCAGCCAGCTAGAACGAGGAAGTAACCGAATAAAGATTTCTTGACAGCTGGACTGGTTGATCTCGAGGTGCACGAGAAAAAAAAAAATGGAGCTGGGACTTCTCGTGCGGCTCACCCATTGAACGCGAAAGGTGAAAAGTACTACGCGGCAAGGTCGAGACGACGATAACCGGACCTGCTTACATGCGGACGAAAAGACAATAAATCGATAGCACAGGGCAGTGGAAATGTCGCAGGATCGATTGCTAGACGATGAAACTGCGGACAGTGTTGCAGCAACAGCGTTTGCTGCGTACTCTCGGTGTCCATCAAAGACGAAGCCTACCACAAGACCTGATGGTACACCAGAATGGACTAATCTGGCAGCTATCGTCTTATTAAGAGGTGAGCGAGATTTCTGCTGTCAATTTTGAGATTAATGACATGGGGCGATAGTTGACATTTGTTTACGAAACTTGAAGCGACCCATCAGGAGCAGGTTTGCGTAGCTCTAGCGACTGGAGTGAAGACTACACCGGACAAAACTATCCGGTCTGCGAAGGGCCGAATTCTGCATGACTGCCATGCGGAGATACTCGCACTACGGGCATTCAACAGGTTCTTGATTAATGAGTGCTTGAAGATCCAGGAAAATCCCAGTTACCTCTCGCGGTATATAATAGTCAAAAATCAGCAAGTTACGGCACCCAGGTCGACATCCACTGGGAATAATATTAAGGCTCGATACTCGCTTGATCCGGAATGGAGGATATGTATGGTCATCACGGAGGTACCATGCGGGGATGCAAGTATGGAGAATTTGGGAGCTGGAATAGAAGAGAACTGGAGCTCAGGCGAGCTGGATGAGACATTTCCATTGAGAGGGCGAGCGTATTTCGCCAAACTTGGAGTTGTGCGCACAAAGCCAGGTGCGATCAATCATGAAACCGATTTTGCTTTTCATATCAGGAAATATTTCGGCTAATTACTAACGCGCTCTGAGAGGTTTTTAGGACGATCTGACGCTCCGCTGTCGTTGAGTAAGTCTTGTAGCGATAAACTGATGCTGAGGCAGCTGACTTCGGCGATACAGTCACCAGCGAACCTGGTGATCGATCCCAAGAACGCATACATATCCACGCTACTTGTACCTAAAGACAGGCTCAACTGTGCCTCGTTCGAACGGGCGTTCGGGCGAGCGGTAGGACTTCTTACAAGTACGAACGGCAATAGATACAGAGATGTTCGCTTCAGATGGGCGACGTTTCGAACGCCATATGAGCACTCGCGCGATGCAGCCGGAGAGCAGGGCAAGCCGAGTAACGTGTCACTGATCTACGTACTGAACGGATCGACACAAGCCGAGGCGGTGATCAAAGGAATCCGCATGGGTGCAAAGACAGGGACTGCAGCGTCGGCAAGCACGGTGTCGCGGGCGTGCTTGGCCGAGGACGTGGTAAAGCTTCTCCAAGCAGGGCCAGCAGATAGCCGGCGAACATACTCTGAGCTGAAGAAAGCCGATTCGGAACGCGTTAGGTTGAAGGAGACGGTGCGCCAGAGCCTCGAAGGATGGCAATCGACTGCGGAAGACGAGTTCGCGCTGGACGAACGAGTTCCCAGTGAGCGTGCGGCTCAGGACGGTTGCCGAGCGGGCTCCGAAGCGACCGCCAGTAGCCGCCCATCGCCAGCGAAGAAGCCACGGAAAGAGCGCAGTTGAGAGAAGGAAAGAAGCCAACCGAGATTGGTTTCTCTAATAAAAGACGCCATCCAGCGGCCCCGCAAGAGACAAAACAAAACACTACGCCTGCCTGCCTGCTTCACGACCCTGAATTTGGCCCTTCTATCATGTCGTAGGCCTCCCCCGCGCGCTTCCTCCGCTCACAACCCTACAATGTCAAAGCACCGAACCCTACATCGCCGGTCCCGCTGCGATTCCGCTGGTCCGTTCACCTGACTCGGCCGCTCATTGCTTACAATGCGTGTGTCTGCAGAGCGATATCGGCTAATTCTTGGCCTCTATCTAATCTCACTGGCCCGGTTTACTCGTGACTATTTTTCCGTGACTCTTTTTCCGTTCAGGATTTAATCCGGCTGGCTGCACGGTCTCGCCTCCTCTTTTTTTTCCCTTCCCTTCCCTCTCTCTACTCCTTTTGCTATCCACGCTCCCTGCCGCCCTTGCTCGCCAACAAGCCGGAAAAAAATGTCTAGCGAAAGCACGAATATGGACACCGAGAAAAACGCCTCTCTCGACTCTTCTGTCGGAAGAGAAGAGGCTGCGAGTCCCGAAAAGACTGGACCCCGCACCGTCGACGAGCTCAACGCCATGGCGGCCGAGATGGGTATCGACCAAAAGAAGCTGATGTGGAAGATTGACGTTCGCTTGGTTCCAATGCTCTGCATCCTCTATCTTTGGGCCTTCTTGGACAGAGTCAATATCTCCAACGCAAAGCTCTTCTCCATGACCACCGACTTGGACTTGACTGGAAACCGCTTCAATACTGCGCTCACTGTCTTCTTTGTTCCGTATGTCCTCGCCGAAGTCCCCGCCAATCTGCTCATGAAAAAGTTGAAGCCGCATGTCTGGCTCTCCATTTGCATGTTTTTCTTCGGCCTCACCACTTGCCTCATGGGTCTTTGCCAAAACTTTGGAAGCTTGATCGTGTGCCGCCTTTTTCTTGGATTCTTCGAGGCAGGCATGTTCCCGGGATGCTTCTACTTGCTCGCGATGTGGTACGTTCGCGCAGAAGCTCAGAAGCGCTACTCTTTCTTCTTCTCCTCGACTACCTTGGCCGGTGCTTTTGGCGGTCTTTTGGCATCCGCCATCGGTCTCATGGACGGTAAGCGAGGATACCACGGATGGCGCTGGATTTTCATTCTTGAGGGTATTGCTACCTGCTTGATCGCCGTCATTCTTTACTTTTATATCGTCGACTTCCCCGAAGACGCGAAGTTCTTGACTCCCACTGAGCAGGAGTTTATCAAAGCTAAGCTCGCCGTCGACGTCGGAGACTCTCAGCTTGGTCGCAAGACCACCATTCAAGACATCGGCAGGGTCTTCAAGGACTACAAAATCTATTTGGTTGGATTCATGTATTTCGGTTTGATTGTGCCTTCATATGGCTATGCCTATTTCGCCCCTACAATCATCAAAGAGTTTGGTTACGGAAATATCCAGACCCAGCTTCACTCTGTTCCCCCTTGGGTGGCTGCATGCGGTCTATGCATGATTTCTGCAGTTATGTCAGATTATCTCAAGCATCGCTACTTATTCACCGTTGGGTTGACCTTGATTGCCATCGTTGGATTCTCTATGCTGTTAGGCGTTCAGGACAACGTTCATGCAAAGTACGCAGCTCTTTTCTTGTGCGCTTCTGGTCTCTATTCCGCCATGCCTATTGTTGTGTGCTGGTGTACAACAAATTTTGCCGGCCATGTGCGACGTGGCGTTGGCGCTGGCTTCCAAGTCGGTTTCGGAAATATCGGTGGCATTATTGCCACCTTCTCCTTCTTGGCTGCTGATGCTCCGAAATACGTGAAGGGTTACTCTATTGGTATTGGCTTTGCAGGTCTTTCCATCATTTCCTGCACCCTATACTACTTAGCTATCAGACGGGAGAACTCCCGAAGAGACCGTGGCCTTGATTACGATGATTTCGAAAAACTCGGTAGAGATGCTAAAATTTTGGCCGGTGACAATAGTCCAGATTTCCGTTACGCGTATTAATTTCTGGATTCAAATCATTTAATTTTGCTTTTTTTTGTTTTATGTGTGTGGATGACTTCCTCAAAAGGCTCTGGCTGGGCCCAAAAGTTTGTAGGCTTGTGTATTTGTAGCTATAGTTCTTTCTATCGAAATATTTTTCTTGTTTAATTTTTAGCGGATAATTTGACGTCTAATATAACTACTTATCATTTTGGCAACAAGAGTCCGTCATAGACTAGTTGTGACACACGGACTACATATAGATCTTGCTTCATCTTCTTTCTTGAGATACAAATACCTATCTATGCTCGCCTCTTTCTTTTCTTCGGACCAACGAGACCGGCAGCTTCTTTTTCAATATCCATCAAAGCCTCCCTTCGCGCATTCGACACTGGTTGCAGCCAGTTTTTGATTACATCACTTTCGCGCACGCCTTCATACTTGTCCATCTGCTTACCGACTCTTGTTTCTATAGCTTGAATTCTGGAGACGTCATGCTCAGAGACAAATGATATACTTTCACCAGTTCTTCCAGCACGAGCCGTACGACCAACACGATGGATATAGTCATCACTGTCTGCCGGTATATCGAAATTGATTACCATCTGGACTTGGGGGATATCAAGACCTCGACCAGCAACATCCGTAGCAACCAAAACTCTCGCAGCTTCGGCTCTGAATCTGTTTAGGGAGTCGATTCGTTCTCGCTGAGATATACCTGAGTGTAAAGACGTTACTCTGATTTCCATGGCTCGGAGAACTCTTCTTAATACATCGGCCGTCGTTGTTCTGTTAACAAACACAATAGCTGACTTCTTCTCATTTTCTGGCATCGACAGGAGAGAAACTAGGTAGGACTCTCGAACATGACTGGGTAGTAATATATAACTCTGAGTCAGTGTGTCTGGGATCGAGATCTTGCTATTGGTCTCGACTTCGTGTAAGAAAACATTATGTTTCGAGCTATCTTTTAGCTGCAGAACTGAGGGGGTAATTGTAGCTGTGAATAGGAGAGTTTGCCTATCTCTTCCTTTAGCTGTAACACCCATGCATGTCTCCAAGTCCGGCGCAAAACCTGGCGTCAGTAATCTATCAGCCTCGTCGAGTACCAAGAATTTGATTCGCCGTAATCCTGCAACAGCCTCTTCGCCGCTGCTTTGTATATGATCTGCCAAACGACCAGGAGTTGCAATCACAATGTGCGGACGCTTTTGCAACGCAATGCCCTGGGCAACCATATCCATGCCGCCAACAACGACCGCCTGCTTCAAGTTCATCGATGCCCCAAGGGCAGAAAACTGTTCTGAAATTTGTAATGCAAGCTCTCTGGTTTCAACAGTCAGTTAGCAAGCAGTCATACCAACTACAGCTCCTAGAAAATGAACGCACCTTGTCGGGGTGAGAATCAGAGCAAAAACGCCATATGGGTCTTCCGAGAATTTTTGTAATATCGGAGCTGCAAAGGCAACAGTTTTTCCAGAGCCTGTCCGAGCACCACCAATACAATCGTGACCTAGCCAGATAAAAAGTAGATCATAGTTAGTCAACCAGACTAATATCAATAAGGGCTCAGTTTCTCCTACCTTTCAATATCTCTGGTATACAAGATATCTGGATTTGAGATGGCCGACGGATAGCCATCGCACCCAAAGCTTCCACCAAGGGCTTTGAGAGCCCCAACGACTCAAAAGTTGGCCCCTTATACGCTGACATTATATAAGAGTCTAAATATCAAATTTTAGAACTCGGATAACAGTTCATGAATCAAACGGATCGTCAAAAGAGATGGATTGCTTGATCTGACTTCTATTTACGCGCTGGGAGTTTGGGAAAAAATAAAAAAAAACTTTGTGACGATGCACGTGATCGCCTTGCTGACAGTTCAGACCGGTTGACCTGCCTCCACATCGTTCCACGACATTGATCCCTATCATAAGATCGTTTGTGCATTTGCTGATTCGGAACCCGCATCTGACAATCCATTTTATAATAATTGACAGAGACTTCGACAGCACTTGATCTTTGTAATCTTGACATATAAGTGATTGTGATATAGCGCCTAAACATGGTATGAAGGTCTTTCAATGTTGTTAAATCCGCCTTCGCATACAACTAACTATCACCCAGTCGATGAGATTCATTCCTTCTGCACCTTATGCTTCCGAGGCTCCCAAGCCAGACATTGCTCGTGGAGAAATCCCTGCTCTGCGGGATCATATGGTGGCTGGAACTCCACCTGTGCCAATGGCTGATAGTCTTAATACTCCCACTGAAGGACCTCACCCTTTGCAATCACATCTCAAGAACTGGGATCAAACGCAGTACGATATGAAGTTGGAACATCTTCGAAGACTATTTGGTGCTCATGAGCCTGTTCGAAGAGTGATGGAACTAGAGGCATGCAAAGAGAGTCTTCCATTCTATCCCGAGGTTCTGAAACGAGCCGACACAATGTCTATGAGTGGCGCTCCTGGTGCCCGCTTGGACATTGCTCAAGAGATTCTGCTTAGCCGGGATCAGGTTGTCGACTGGGAGGATATTTATGAAGGTATGCTCACCTATTTCAGATATTTATTCGTTTTTGGTTTTCTCTACTGACATTGAGTTCCAGGGAATGATACGGTACCTCTGGATTTTCATTCCGATTTGGAACGAAGAATGAGACTATAACTGTATCTATGTGACTACAGAATTTACATAATATAAATGACAAGGCTCATACACTGAAATACGCCCTTCCATGACCAAATAGAAAAGGCGAAAGACGAAACAATACCCAAAAACAAGCAAACCGGTCGAAGTCAAGATGTAAGAGGGAGCAACCGGCTCCAACCTGAAAATCAATCCCAGAACTCCTCCGTTAACGTGTAGTTCTTGCTTGAGCAAGACAATGATAGCAATATTGTTGCTAGACAGCGAGATGATAAGATACCCGCGCATCGAGACGGGGCCCAAACAGAAAGCTCAAGCGATACACATAAACACATACACCATACTAAATGACATTGGCGTTCGACTAGAGAGAGAAATAGAAACGAAATGCATCATTTTATAAGATTGTACATCCGCATCCGCCAGAATGAGAATTTGTTCTAGTCTCGGCATCATAGGTTGGAGTAGAATTCGACGTACTGAGGGCAGTATGATGACTAGAGTTGTCGCGGTTGTTACTAGCGGTGTTCAACCGACGAGGCAGAATGGCATCAGCAGCAGCATGAACACTAGAGCGTGATTTCGTAGGAACGGGAACGACACCTCCTGCTATCGATACAGGTCGAACTGACATATGAAGGACGTTGTACATGTTCGATCTGGACAGCTGCGAATCTATAACTGACTGTTAGAAAAGCAGCCCAGTTTCAGGTTAACAAGACAGATCCTGTAGCCACATACCAACCAGAGAGTCCTTGTCATCCAAAAGACGACCGAAATGAATCAGACGAATGTATTCAACGTCAGTAGGACGATCACCCCAGTCTAAAACAAACTTGTTAGCACCACACACATATTGGAAACGATACAGAAGAACGACTGGCCTTCTTTCCAATCCGCAAAAATACACTCCTTGAGACTTTTCACAGATAGCTCCTCTGGATCTTGCAGCATCAGAGAATGAGAGGCCATATAATCATGATCGATGGTGAGCGTGTAGCGCAAGCCTGATACCATCAGCAATGATATATGCAGCGGAGTGACGCTATTTTTGTCAGGCTCCATGACCGACGAGTCCAAAAGGGCGACCATCTGCCGATTAATACTCTCTGACAGTGGATCCACACTGGATCGTCTTCGTCATCAACAAATGACGATAACTGGACAAATACAATAGGAGATGGAGAGGAGAAAAAGCAAGATGTGCGCGCATTGGCTTCGGGCTAAGATACCAGGCTTGAACTTCCCAGACCTCTGCGCCACCAGCGCCTCATGATTACATAATGCGACAGCACCGCTCTTGTCTGCCAGATTGCCATTGACTATCGATTTCTTTATTTTCTAATTTAATTGGAAACGGCGGAATAGAGCATTCACTGATATACGCAGCGTGCTATTATTGCTTTATCAAATTTAAATGTATTTGATTCAAGTCTGGATCATTGACTGCTAAACTATATGTATCGCCATCGACTGGAAAGATAAGCCAATGGTCACTCACTGATGCCAAAGAAGCTATCTTGCCATATTTTCACAGCCAGCAAAACTACTCAAAAACGATAGCAGCCTTGATCGCACTCTTGTTCCGCATAGACTCAAGGCACTCCTCCCACTGCTCTAGTTTGAATGTCTTATTGACAATACCGCCGACCTTCACCTTTGGATTGGCTCCATCTAGGTAAGCAATGGCGGCTGGGAACATGTAAGTCTCAGAGAAAGATCCAAGAATAGTGATCTCGTCACCAACTACAACAATATGTTAGTGATCAACCATCAATATAGAAAAAATCAAAATCAAGCACGTCTTACAGATCTTGCTAGGAGGCCATGTAACGCGAGCCGAATTGTTGTAAACTCCATAAACGACAAGCTTTCCTCCCCGACGAACATAGTTGATAGCATCTTCCAGAATTTTGGCACTTCCGGTAGCTTCAACGACGATATCGAAACCATACTTGTTGTCATCCTTCAGCTTCTGGAACTGCGCTTCAGGGTTCTTACGATCCAGCTCGATGTATTCATCAGCACAATCGAGAGACTTGGCAAGCGCCATCTTAGATCCGGCGTTGGCAGCAAGTACGACATGACAACCTCCGTTATTGCGCAGCAATTGAGCAAGAACAAGACCCGTGGGGCCAGCGCCAAACATGAGCACACTCGAACCGATCTCCGGTCTGATCTTGTCAAGTCCATGAGCGGCACAAGATGCAGGCTCTAAGAGGGTAGCATCTACAGGCGAAAGATGTGTGATCTTGAACACTTTTCCTGCTGGGTAGGCACAGTATTCAGCAAAAGCGCCATCCACTGTTTAGTGACGTAGGAAGTCAGTAATTGCAATTAAAGTGAATGATCTATTTATCAACAGCAACAACTTACTGGTGACTCCGTGAGCGTTGAAGTGTTCGCAGAGAAGGGGCTTTCCGCGACGGCAGTAGAAGCACTCTCCGCATAGCTCAGAGTTATCGGCAACGACCCGATCACCAATTGCAAACTCTTTCACATCTTTGCCAATCGCAGCAACAGATCCGACGACTTCGTGGCCGGGGATGAGGGGGAACTGGGCAATAAATTCACCCTCATGGATGTGTAGATCGGTACCACATACACCACAAGCAGCGACTTTGATCAACACATCATTGTCACGCAGCTTAGGCAAAGGAACCTCAACAACAGCGTGAACAAGAGGCTTCTCATATCTGCGAGTGATAAGACAACGTTATCAGCATCTACACATAGCAGCCTATCACACGTGGGGAGGACGATACCTGAGAGCCTTCATAGTCTTAGGAAGATCAGACATTGTAAAGTTGAATAATGAGGATGGGAATTGATTGGTTTGGGAAGATAGCGGTTGGAAGATCGAAGAACTGAACAGAGGAAATGACACCTGTGCGGAGCCAGTAGAGGAAGAGGCAGGCTCGAGCAGTTTTGTACTCGCTGCTCGGACGTGCGCGTGATGACGTAGCTTGCCGCAGATCGACCCCGTAATGTGAGTTGTGTCACATTGTGAGTAGTGCCACGTTTTAGATTTGGCCCATTAAGAACGCTTAGCGGCTGGCAAAACGCTCTATTAGCGACCGATCTAGAAGGTCTGTTCTCATCTTCGGCGCCTTTCGAAATCACAAAGAGCTGCAGTGGGTATATCTTCTATAAAGTCTATGGGTGATGTGTACTGTGGAGAGGGCGGAGAAAGGGAGACATTCCCCGCACAGTATCTGTTCTCTTGGGCGCAATCTCCTAGTGTTGTTGACACAGACACTCACTAATTTTGATCCCTCATGAACTCCGGCAGCCCATAGAGTCTCGGTCGAAAGGTCTCGGTTGAGTGGAGTTCGAATGCTTTGGGTGCACGTACTCGGAATCCGGCTGAGCTTTGGTTGAACTCAGGCCGGAAATGGTTGAAAACTCCATCGCCTGTGTCCACTCCACAAGGTCTTCTCTGTGCTCTACAGCCGATGTTTAGTGGGATTAGCGCTGCGGCTTCTTCTTCATCGATCCTTTGCATGACTTTGAGAACGGTTTTCGTCGATTCGATAATGCATCCTCTGTATTGACTTCTCTTGCTGTTCCTCAATATTAGATGCTCAGCCTTCTTTGCTCTTATAGAATATGACCCTGAAGCTCAGTTTTCTTAAATTGAACTTGTGATCCAATTGTTTATATATAGTCTGCGTTCAGTAGCAGAAACTTTCAAAATAATATACAGTATTCATGTTTTATACTACAAGCTTCTACAAAGCGTGCGAAATCATTTGTGGAATATTAGTCTATCTAATTCAACTTGCTCTGCCCTCCCCTGCCTGGTGAAAAGCAAGGGCACAAGCCTCTATATCAGGAAGGCGTGAAGAACAAAGCGAATAGATCTATAGATCGTCAAGTGATTACTAAAATCAGATGTAAGAACAATATCTTCAAATCCAACTGATAGGAAATATATCAGCACAATGCTGTTCCCCTCTAATCAAGCAACTCTTTTGATACCTCCCGATCTGTTGAGCACTCGCTCACTGATCTTCTTACTATACTCTACAAAATTCTTCCGGAGTGTCTGTTATAGCCTAGTTATTGCACGCGGAGTAAAAATAATTAGATATATCCCATAATCTTCTTGCTGGAGTTCACAATGATCATCGTATCTGGTGGAATTCATTCAAGGGCGGCCAAAGACAACAAGCATCAAGGCTCATAAGACTAGCTCATGAGACTTGGAATTTATTCGTTCATGAGCCTAATGGGACTACTTAGAGATCAAATGATGATGATCATTTTCAATTTGGAGTCTATATGCAACAACTGGGCTTTGATAATGATGATGATAATAATATCAATATACGCCTGCAGTGATGGAGGATGGGCTATCCAGTAGGAGTCCAGATGATGATGATGATGATGATGATGAATGTAGGAGTCCTTTTTGATCAAAATCATCAAGATCAAAATTGCGAGTGCTGTTAAAACAAAATAGATCCTGATGATGATGAATGTCGGAGTCTGTTCTTGATTTGAAATCATCAAGGTGAAAATTGCGAATCTAACTAAAACAAGATAGGTCTCAAGGTAGTGTCTCAATAACAAATAAAAAAATAGACTTGTCATCGTCGTGTCTTCATAACTGTCTCAATAACAGATAATTCAATATACGATACATCTCCAAGTCAGAAACACACTGACATTTCGCAAAATTCACTCATACATATTCCAAAGGAAAGATGAGAATCCAAACTTTTAAAAACATAACCATCCAAGCAGTTGGCTTCCTTATGAGGTCTCAGCACTACCTATCCCACTTGAGATTGCCAATTCATACTCTCAAATCTATCGATGATGATGATAGATCTCTGTTTTAAGTCCGTGGCAACAACTCGGTTATGATAGACTTGATTATACTAAAAAATTTACGGCAACACCTTCTCTTTGTGGGAATGATTAAATAGAAGCTCATACCGATTAGCCTGCCCTTACTTCAGGCAGGCATACTTGGAGGTGGATTTAAGAGTGTGCATCGCCAATATGTAGGTGGAGGAGTAGCAGTGAGGTCTCTTAAAAAAGTTAATCACTTGAATGGTTATTGTTGGATTTTTTTGGATTTTTGTCTGTTATTTGAAATATGTTCTAGTGGATTTTGCGAAATTTCTTTGTTTTATATTTGACTCGTTCAATGTTAAGGAATATCCACCCTGGCGCGTTCCGGACATCTCTAGCAGGCTTGAGACATTACCAGAAAAGGAGATTTTATAAATCATCGGCGAGGGAAGGAATATCTGCACTCGTTCATTTCGCAACGCTGAGAACAACGCTGTTGGCTGGGCTTTCACTATCGAGTATGGAGGGCACTTCAAGCTTGATGGGTTTGGCTTTTTGGGCCCTCAGTCTGATCTTTATTCTGCGGCGATAACCACCTTAGCGAAGGCCACAACTTGGACATCAAAACAAAGACTGTAAAACGAGACCATCCACTTCTTCACTGATTGATGTTCCTGCTGTCTTGAAGCGCGTGGAGAAGCCTCGGTGCGCCTCAAATTCAATGCCAAGCTACTGTGATATACCAAGCCATCGATCGAATGTCTGAAACCAACACCAAAGTCTCTATTTATTGGCATTGCTCTGCTAGCAAAGTAGAGGGCGGGCAGTATTCACGCCCTGGCTTTAGCAACTCAAGCAGCCTCGTCGCCCGACTGCGTCAATCATAAATGCTCCTTGCGCTTTCTTTATAAGCTAGTCGATGACCTCGCTCTTGAGGAATTTGCTGACAAGTTTCAGGCCAAGCCTCCATCAGATTATTATGAATATCAGGGCAAACCTCGATTCTCTATTGACAAGCCTCTTGTGAACATCCCTCGCAGCGTTGCCAGCTATACTGTGAGCTTCCGGACTGTACGTGGCTTCTCCAACAGCTACTTTTCGAGATGTGGCAGAGAGCCTCGTCCATCTCTGGAGTGTTGGTGTGGAACCCCACTGCAGTCAGTCCAACATGTGCTTCTTTTCGTCGCAATCACAAAGATGAACGAACTAGAGCCTTTGAAGGTATCCCTATTGCCGAACGCACACCCAACCGCATTACAGGGACAAACAAAGGTCTGTCCGCACCTGCCAAGTATCTTCAGAAGACCCACATCGGCACTGGTCACTGGTATCATCAGCAGACCTCTCTCACTCAGAGCCAGAGGGATGACTTAATGGATCAATTTTTTGTTGGATTTGAGAGCGGGCCTTGCAGATTTCAATATGGACAAGTAGTAACGAGGCCTCTTAAGGAAGGTTATAGCTTGGATAGCTATTACTGAATTTGTTTGGATTTTTATTTTTTATTTGAAATATGTTACAATGAATTTTGCGAAATTTCTTTGTGTTATTTTTGACTTGGAGATTTATTTGCTATTGATTTGTTTGTTATTGTGACACAGTCTAAGGATCTATTTTGTTTTATATAGTGGTCTGTCATAACCTAGTTGTTACAACAGAATTGAAACAGAAATTTATCATCATCATCATCATCAATCATCGAAGCATCATCGACATTGTTGGGTGTGGAACGAAGCAAATGGTTGCAAATCTATTAATCAGAGGAATTGCGAAAGAGCAATATTTGAGAAGCTGAGATCAATGATGGGAATGAACTGAATAATGGAATAAGTGGGAGTGTTAAAATAGTGCTCCATTATACAGCGAGGATCTAGGGTTTCCTAGAAAACAACTGAAACCCTAAGGAAACAGAAGTCACCAAAGATGGCTGGCAGATGGCTTGGCTGAAGGCTGGCAGATGGTTGGAAGTGAAAGAATGCAGCTAGCTTAGATGATGCTGATGATGATGATGATCATATAATTTTTTATTATAGTCTATGGGAGCAACTAGGTTATGACAGACTGTCTCCAACTTTTTCCATCAATTTTTTACCTAGTGGGAGAAAAGCAATTACTTCCCAATGGGTTTTCAAGAAGAGATATGGCAAGGATGGCCAGCTCCAAAATTCAAGGCTCGGATTGTCGCCAGGGAATTCACTCAAGAATATGGAATTGATTTGGATGAGACCTTTGCACCGGTGATCAGATTTGAATCAATCAGGATCCTTTTAGCTCATGCTGCAATCAATGACTACCACATTCATCAGATGGATATTAAGACTGCTTTTCTCTATGGAAAACTGGAAGAGGAAATGTATTTGCTGTTGCAAATTGTCTTTGCCAGTGGAAGTTCCAGACGTATTGAAGTTGTCAGAGTTATTCATTGATGATGATATTCCTTCAGTGTGCTTTGATAGATAATATAGTATGTTGTTGATTGAATGATATGTACAAAACAAGGGAGGGGGGATGTCAATACATAGACAAAATAAGATCACACAGAGTTCTTCCACAAGCTTCTGATATATTCCAGATCCTTCATCTGATACTTGCCGGAACCTTTCAGCATCTTCCAGTTTCCTCCAATTCCTTGCAGCGTCTTCTAGCTGCTTCCAGTTCTTTCCAGTTACTTCCGGTTCCTTCCAGTTGCTTCCAGTTGCTTCCGGTCGCGTCTAACTGTTTCCAGTTGCTTCTGGTTACACCCAGTAGTTTCCTTAGGGTTTTACCTCTCTCCAAGAAAAAACCCTTGATCCTACTGCATTATGGAACACTATTTTCAAATTTTGCAGTGTCCTCCAGGATGTTTTTAGAACAGCAAGAAACTAAGGAGATTACAGCAGAGTATTAATGGTCTAAGGCAGGCACCACGATGCTGGAATGAGCTGCTGAATGATGATGATGATGATGAATCTTTTTATTATAGTCTATTTGCAACAACTAGGTTATGACAGACTGTCTCCAACTTCTTCCGCCAATTTCTTATCTCCATTTTTCTAATCCAACTTCAATTTTTCCATCTCCCTGATAGGATATCCAAGTATGCCTGCCTGAAGTGGACGACAAGCTATCCAGTAGGTGCTTCAGTTCAACCATTGCCAGAAAGGGAAGGCGTGTAGTAAAGTCCATAGTATTATCCATAAAATCCGGGGGATCTCATTTCTTTCACCGCTTTGTTGTAAACTTGGTGCTACTGCAGTTGGGGGTTCAATATAAATTTTGCAACCAAGACCATTTTTTGCTGAAAATTATCAAGGTGAAAATTGGGGGTGTTCAATATTAGGCCAAAATCCAGGAAAAGCTCACAAGCGGGGCTCGAACCGTGGATCTTAAGGGAGCAATGCAGCGGCCATACCGCTGGGAGCTGCTGAATGATTACTTGCTACAGATCGGTTTCTCTCAGTCAGGCAATGACTATAGAATTTACAGAAGCAACAAAACAAATCTCTTGCTGTATATGTTGATGATCTGATATTTACTGGCAAGAATTTGGACTCTATCAATAAGATCAAAGAAAACATGCGCAAAAGGTTTTAGATGACTGACATGGGTGAGACTCGCTATTTCTGGGAGATCGAAATTACCAGAGACAGAGCCAAAGGCACTCTCACAATCTGTCAAAAGATGATGATGATGATAATGATAAATCTCTGTTTTAAGTCCGTTGCAACAACTAGGTTATGACAGACTATCTCGCCCTCCTCAACTATATAATAAAACAAAATAGATCCTAAGATCGTGTCACAATAACAAATAATCAATAACAAATACATCTCCAAGTCAAAATAACACAAAGAAATTTGCAAAATTTACTAAAACATATTTCAAATAAGAGATAAAAATCCAAAAAAAATCAATAATAACTATCCAAGCTATCATCTTCCTTAAAAGGCCTCAGTGTTACCCATCCCACTCCAGGTCACCAAGTCCTACTCTCAAATCCACCAAACGATTGATCCACAACTCATCCCTTTGGCTCTGTGTGAGAGCGATTTTCTGATGATACCAGTGACCAGTGCCGATGTGGGTCTTCTGAAGATATTTGACAAGTGCAGAAAGACCTTTGTGTTGCAAATTGTCTTTGCCAGTGGAAGTTCCAGACATATTGAAGTTGTCAGAGTTATCCATTGATGATGATATTCCTTAAGTGTGCTTTGATAGATAATATGATATGTTGTTGATTGAATGATATGTACAAAACAAGGGAGGGAGCTGGTCAATATATAGACAAAATAAGTTCATACAAAATTTATACAAAGTTCTTCAAGTATCATCTGATCAGTCATCTGACCAGTCATCTGATCAGTCATCTGATCTTTCCAGATCATTCCAGCTCCTTCCAGATCCTTCCAGCTCCTTCTAGCTGCTTCCAGTTCTTTCCAGTTCCTTCTGGTTCCTTCCGGTAGATTCCAGTTGCTTCCGGTCCCTTCTAGCTGTTTCCAGTTGCTTCTGGTTCCACCTAGTAATTTCCTTAGGGTTTCTGTTCCCTCCAAGGAAACCCTTGATCCTGCTGCATAATGGAACACTATTTTCAACACTCCCACTTTTTCCATTATTCAGTTCATTCCCATCATTGATCTCAGCTTTCCAAATTGCTCTCTTGCAATTCCTTTGGTCAAAAGGTCTGCAACCATATCCTTGGTTCCACATCCAATAATGTTGATAATGCCATCAGTGATTGCTTGTCTGGTGAAGTGATAGCTGACATCAACATGCTTTGTTCTCTCATGGAACTGTGGATTCTTTGCCAATTTGATTGCTCCCTGATTGTCTTCTGCGATTTGAATCGGCCGGTGTGAATTCTGGCTCATGAATTCATAAAGTCTCTTCAGCCAAACAGCTTCCTGAGCTGCTAGCTTCAGTGCCATATATTCTGCCTCTGTGGTTGACAAGGCAACTGATTTCTGGCGCTTGGATTTCCAACTCACTGCTCCACCTCCAAGGACAAAGACATATCCTGAGGTTGATTTCCGCTCATCAATATCCATTGCATAATTTGCATCTGAGTAGCCGGTAAGTAAGTTGCCATGGTGTTTGCTGAAGGTGATTCCCATGGATGCCGTTCCTTTGATATATCGCAAAATTCGCTTGACTGCTGTCCAGTGCTGCTTTCCATAATTGGAGTTGAATCTGGAGACTTCTCCCACTGCATTTGCAATGTCTGGTCTCGTCCCAATAGCCAAATAATTCAGGCTTCCAACAGCACTCTGATAGGGAATTTTCTCCATTTCCTTTTCCTCAGTCTTGGTCTTTGGACTCATTTTCTGAGAGAGTGTAACACTCAAATCCACAGGCGTTGTGACAGGGTTGCTGTCTTGCATATTGAAGGTTTTCAAGACTTCCTCAGCATATTTCTTTTGACAAATTGTGAGAGTGCCTTTGGCTCTGTCTCTGGTAATTTCAATCCCCAAGAAATAGCTTGTCTCACCCATATCAGTCATCTGGAACCTTTTGCGCATGTTCTCTTTGAACTTATTGATAGAGTCCAAATCCTTGCCAGTAATTATCAGATCATCAACATATACAGCAAGCAATAGGTTTGATTTTTTTCTTCTGTAAATGCCATAGTCATCGCTTGACTGAGAGAAACCGATCTGTAGCAAGTAATCATGCAGCAGCTCATTCCAGCATCGTGGTGCCTGCTTCAAACCATAAAGACTCCGCTGTAATCTCCATACTTTCTTGCTGTTCTGAAAATATCCTGGAGGAGGCTGCAAATAAATTTCCTCTTCCAATTTTCCATAGAGAAAAGCAGTCTTTATGTCCATCTGATGAATATGGTAGTCATTGATAGCAGCATGAGCCAAAAGGATCCTGATTGATTCAAATCTGACCACTGGTGCAAAGGTCTCATCAAAATCAATTCCATATTCTTGAGTGAATCCTCTGGCAACAATCCGAGCCTTGTATTTTGTGAGCTGGCCATCCTTGCCATATTTCTTCTTGAAAACCCATTTGGAAGTAATTGCTTTTCTCCCACTAGGTAGCTCACTCCATCTCCACACTTGATTTTCTTGTAGAGAATTCAGCTCGTCCTCGCAAGCCTTGCTCCAGTGTAACCATTCTGGGCTTGCCTTTGCCTGCTGAATTGTCACTGGCTCTGCCGTATCTTTTGTCCTGACTGCCCATGCTTGAAGACTGAGTGGATCCTCAGACTCACTTCTGTCGCTCCTGTCGAGAATCATTCGATCGCTGTTGATCCTGTTGCCGTCGAGCCTTCGTTTCTTTGAATTTTCTCTGATGAATCGAGCATCATCGCCGTCTGACTCTTCTTTGTCGAGATCCATCTCATCGTCTTCCTCATTGTTGTCCTCATAATCGTAGTCATTGAAATCGAATATTTTGAGAGTGCCCTGGGAGTTTCTTTCATCCCTTGCAATTCGCTGTCTGATTCGTTCCTCAATGGCGTCCACATCACGGATTTGCCGTCTTCTCGGCCCTTGGTCCTCATTGCGAGTAACGACTCGCATCTCTCCTTGATTTTCCTCCAAGTCGTGATCAATTTCCATGTCTTCAGACTCCTGAGCCTCGACCTGAACATCCTCAGCTGGTTCATCATTTTCTCTTCTCCCACTTGATCTATTATCTTCTGATGATAGAGCACTGGATGGATGATGAACTCGAGGCCAAAAACCAATACTGGCCCCAAGTTGTTCAACTGTAACTTCTGAAGATCTTTCCAACCCGCTATCCAAGCGTGCAGGCTTGTACCAATCAAGCCCCAATGTTGTCTCATCGAAGACAACATCTCTGGCAAAAGTTACCCCTCGTGATGGGATATAAATCCTGTATGCCTTTTTGTTTGCAGCATAGCCAACCATCACTCCTCGGATTCCTTTTGGGGAAAACTTGCCACCAGCCTGAGTTTTCGATTTGTGAATCCATGCCGTACTTCCAAAGACCCGGAAGTAGGAAACATCAGGCTTCCTGCCAAACCAGAGCTCATAGGGTGTTGTGTTGGGCGCTATAGCTCTGCTAGTGATCCGATTTGCGACATGAACCGCGCATTTGATCGCTTCTGGCCAAAACTTTTCCGGCATTTTTGCCTCGATCAACATGCTCAATGCTTTCTCAATTAAAGTCCGATTCATTCGCTCAGCGACGCCGTTCTGTTGAGGAGTCTCTGCAACAGTAGTCTGGTGCTCAATTCCTTGTTCATCCAGGAATTTCTCCAGATCTTTCGAGGTGTATTCGCCGCCATTGTCTGACCTAAGGGTCACCATTGTCTGTCCTAGTTTGTTGCTAGACTGACGAATATACGTCCTGATAGCCTCTGCCGCGTCCGACTTATTTTCCAAGAAGTAGACATTCACATAATGTGAGTAGTCATCGATCATTGTCATGAAATACTTCTCACCAGTCAAGGAATTGTAGACTGGTCCACAAACATCGGTATGAACGAGTTCCAGTGGACGCGTCGTCTTGGTAGTGCTTTCCTTGTATGGTAGTCGATGAGATTTCGCAGCAGCGCAAGTATTGCACTTGCAACTTGAGATGTGAGTGTCAAGACCTTTGACAGTGCTGTGTCTTTGCATCTGCTCCAGGATCTGATCAGAGACATGTCCGAGTCTCTGATGCCATATAGAACTGACTGCATTGATTTTGTTGATATCAATTTCAGCAAACTGTCCATCAAACCGGCACAGCTCTTCGAACTTTGAGCGTGTTCCGATCTTGATCTTCTGTCCTTCCGAGGTGCTCACAAAACACTTCAGCCCTGCATCAATTGTCCAAACATCTGAATCCTTGCTCAGCATGCTGGTAGATACAAGACCCATCTTCGCTTCAGGCACATGCAGTACATTCTTGAGAGGCACAGTGTATTCCTTTCCTCTGTCCTGGACTTCGGCAAAGGCATTTCCTTGTCCCACTGCTCTCATATACTGCCCATTAGCAACCTCTAATATTGCTTCCAGAGGTTGATAATCCTGGAGAACGGCTCTGTTGGATGTAATGTGCCTGGTGGCTCCCATGTCGATGAACCACCCACTATCCTCAAGCCTTCCAGACTGATTTCCTGCCACCAACCCTGCCCTTTCCACCCGCTGTTCAGCACCGAGGTTGCTGTTAACCACAGCTGCATGGATCTTGAACTTGTTGTCCTTGTTCTGATCCTTTCCTTTAGGGCAGTCTCTCTTGAAGTGGCCTTCCTTTCCACACTTATAACACTTCAGTTTCTTCTTCCCTGAGTCTTTCACTGCAAGCAAGCTACCTCTGCCTTGGTTTCCTTGAGGCTTCCTGGTCAGGGAGGTCCTGACTCCACTGAAGACATCCTGGACTGTGAGCGTATCCTTCTGCTGCTCAAGGACTGAGATAGTGCCCTCAAGTGCATCTGGGAAAGATCTGAGGAGAATGGAGGCATAGACATCTTGAAGTTTGACATCTAGCTGGTCCATCTGCTCAAGAACCCCCATAAACTCACGCTCATAGGACTCAAAGGCTTCAAGTGTTGCTTCCTCCAACTTGAGGAACAACAACTTGGCCACCAAAGAGGCTTTGACTCCTGCTGCATCACTCATGTATACACCCTGAAGATTTTTCCAAGCCTTCCTAGCATTACCGCATTTCAAGTGCCGATAATCCTTGACTTGTACCGCGCCCATCATCAATATAAGAGCCTGTCTGTTGATTGACTCAAAGTGGGGATCCTCCTCTTGTGACTTTATGTCAAGGTCACTCAAAGGTGTGCCCACAACTCCCCACAGGCCCTTCTGCTCCATCACCATCCTCAAGGCAAAAGCCCATTCAGAGTAGTTGAGAGCATTAAGGATTGGTAACTTCAAAGAGTCATTGCCAGGGCTCATAACCTGTTGCAAATTGTCTTTGCCAGTGGAAGTTCCAGACATATTGAAGTTGTCAGAGTTATCCATTGATGATGATATTCCTTAAGTGTGCTTTGATAGATAATATGATATGTTGTTGATTGAATGATATGTACAAAACAAGGGAGGGAGCTGGTCAATATATAGACAAAATAAGTTCATACAAAATTTATACAAAGTTCTTCAAGTATCATCTGATCAGTCATCTGACCAGTCATCTGATCAGTCATCTGATCTTTCCAGATCATTCCAGCTCCTTCCAGATCCTTCCAGCTCCTTCTAGCTGCTTCCAGTTCTTTCCAGTTCCTTCTGGTTCCTTCCGGTAGATTCCAGTTGCTTCCGGTCCCTTCTAGCTGTTTCCAGTTGCTTCTGGTTCCACCTAGTAATTTCCTTAGGGTTTCTGTTCCCTCCAAGGAAACCCTTGATCCTGCTGCATAATGGAACACTATTTTCAACAAGTACCCGCCGAGGAGACAAAGGAAGTGAAAAAATCTTTTGTGTTGACTACGTGGTGAGTTGAAGCAGAGTCCAGATAGCAGTCAAGAATAGTTCCATTATCATCACTAGAAGTAACACTCAAAGCAATAGCGGGTTTAGCTTGTTCAGAAAGCTTAACAACCGCATCATAACCACCCAACTTTTGAACAAGGTCCCATGCACGCTGACGACAGGCAGAGATAACATGACCTTGGGCTGCAATGAGAGCAGCGATTGTTGGACTGGCGATTGTTGTTTGTCGGGCCACCGGAGGTGGCCGGACGACGGAAAGCCGCAGCCGCGATAGGCCGGAAGAGCCGGAATTGAGAGAGCGGTCAGTACCGGAGTGAGCAGAGCCCAAGGTCTCACGCGAGAAAGCGAGACAAGCTTGTGAGGCGGAGATGGTGCGACTGGTGTCGAATTCCGGATGGAGGCGAAGACGGGCGTAGACGGAGCGGGAGGTTCGCGAGATAAAGCAGAGAAGTCGCTTCTTCGATGGGACGAGAGAGAATCGACTGACGCAATTGTTGAATGAAGGATGTGAGATCCTTTTGAGTGCGATTGTGCAAGGAGCCCTTGGCAAACCAGAGAGAGGCAAAGAACGGAGGGATATCCTTGTGAGGGCAAACCATGCTCAGCGCGCATGAATTTGTTGAGAATATTGCGGTTCTAATGGTATATTCGAATTGTTGAAGTTGTGGCGGTTCTGGTGTATATTTGGAAGATTGTGGTGATTTATTCACAAAGTTATTGCACATTTTGTGGTGAGAAAGAGAAGGAGTTAAGGTTGTGTATTGTGCCACATCAGTGTGGGTGTGAGTGTGGGCAAGACAGTTGTTGAACTCTGGTGCCCTTGAGATGGATGTTAGGGCAGAGAAGGTTTTGGGAAAAATTTTGTACATAAAAAGGCCCTCCTACCTTCCTAGCTCGTTGTCAGAAAACCATACGACAAACCAAAGCTAATATTTCTGATCAACGACTAGGTGAGGCTTCTTTGTATTATTGTCAGAAAACCATACGACAAACCAAAGCTAATATTTCTGATCAACGACTAGTTAATAATATATTGTCTACTCTATCACTATGAGCGTCCCTGAAGAATACAAGACTCTGGATACTTCCTTTAAGGAATGTACTGCCAGTTTCAAACAGAATTTGTAGGCACCGTGGTGAGGTTCGTCCTTGATGCGATCATTGTAGAAAGATCCCTTGGCATCCTCAGAGACGGAGGAAGAAACAATGCGATCACAGAGTTTATCCATCTGAGCCACCAGCTGAGTGAACGAGGGCAGCAAAGCTAGGACGGCGTGGGCGTTGGGGTCCGTCACGCCGAAGTAGAAGACGATAGCGGTGCGTCCGTCCTTAAGGTAGGCGGCCAGGAGATCACCATAATCAAAATCTCTGGCCATCATGAGGATGTGTTGCGACCAGGCATAAAAATTGCTCGAATCACGTAGCAGCGACCCTTCAGCGCAGCGAACGGAAGAGGGGGACGTCATAACCTGTTTAAAACTGGCAGTACATTCCTTAAAGGAAGTATCCAGAGACTTGTATTCTTCAGGGACGCTCATAGTGATAGAGTAGACAATATATTATTAACTAGTCGTTGATCAGAAATATTAGCTTTGGTTTGTTGTATGGTTTTCTGACAATAATACAAAGAAGCCTTACCTAGTCGTTGATCAGAAATATTAGCTTTGGTTTGTTGTATGGTTTTCTGACAACGAGCTAGGAAGGTAGGAGGGGCCCTTTTTATGTACAAAATTTTCCCAAAGACCTTCTCTGCCCTAACATCCATCTCAAGGGCACCAGAGTTCAACAACTGTCTTGCGCCACACTCACACGCCACACTGATGTGGCACAATACACAACCTTAACTCCTTCTCTTTTCTCACCACAAAATGTGCAATAACTTTGTGAATAAAGTCACCACAATCTTCCCAAATATACCACCAGAACCGCCACAACTTCAACAATTCGAATATACCATTAGAACCGCAATATTCTCAACATAAGTTGCTCCCGTCTTAGCAACGTTAGCAGCAGCTTTGGAGGCATATGAAACTGGCTTGCGAGCAATGGATTGCGAGGCAACATTGCTGGCTCGCGCGCTTGACTGGGTCCCTGATTTAGCTCCTGCTTTGGGGGCGGAAATCCTTGCATTGGCGTCAGTATTGGGGCCCGCTGAAGAGGCCTGTCTCTCCTCATCCCGGCTATCCATGGCGTGCTTCTCATTAGAGTCGTTAAGGGCATTCAAAAGGTTAATCACTCCGGTGATGTCGAGTCCATATACTTTCACAAGCTGGGCAATGATCGAAATGACATTAGACAATTGGTTAGGTGGCAGCTGCAGTTGCATTCCATCAGGAATTGCTTCAAAGAGCGTCTCCAACTTCTCAAATCGAGCATCTTTTTCAGAGGTGCTCTTGGGGGGTGAAAATTTTTCAATCTTTCCCTTAAGCTGAGTATTCTCAGCCTGAAGTCTTTCAATGGTACGCTCCATATTGGCAAGGCGGTCCTCAATGGAAGGAGATTCAGTAAACAAAGGCTCTGCGTCTTGGCCAGCCTGCTCAGAGGCGCGGTCAGGTGTCGGTTGGGGTGTTGATGTCGGATCATCTGGAGAAGCGGAAAAATTTTCACCTTCTTCAGACATCGCATCTTCGTCAGATTCGATGGCAATTAGGTCGTTCGAGATGGTTTCGTAGTCCTTGGCGTTCGTAGATTCAGTAGATCCCGCTTCCGCGCATTCATGGATTCGATGGGGCGGCGTAGAAGCCAGTCCATCCGGTGTCAAATCCGATGATTGGCGGTGCGCGTTGTATTCGTTTTCAGCGAATAGAGCCTCTTCCGGGTCCCCATTTTCAAGGAGAGGGGGCAATCCAGTCTCCTGCATCGCTTGAGGACCAGGACGAGGCGGTGTAGGCGATTGTTCCGATGGTTTCTGGCGTTTGAGGCCAATAATTGGAGTCGGAGTTGAGGGCAAAAAACTCAACATTTCTCTGGTTGGAGCCACTACCAGATCAGTACACTCTGACTGGGGCTGCTCCGAGTAGGCTTCAGGCGGCCCGTCCCAGGACGAGCTTTCCTCTGCCATATTACTTGTTTGATTGTTGTTGCGAGTTGTTTTGATGATGATGATGATGATGGGAGAGTCATCTGAATCAGGAGGGAAAGAGGGAGACATAGGAATCTCAACCGGATGAAGACTGTTATCATCAAATTCTTCAACAATGCGATTGATATAGTCTTCAAGATCAATAGATATAGAACCAGCAGTCTGAGAAATCTTCATTCCCAGAAATTTGTCTGCAACACCCAAGTCTTTCATCTCAAATGCTGAAGTCAAAACCTCTTTAACAAAGCGCATACTGTGCCCATTTAACCAGGCTATATAAGAACAAAATAAATCCTAATATCATGTCACAGTAACCAGTCAATCAATGCAAAATGAATATCTAAGTCAAAAAAATAACACAAAGAAATTTCACAAAATTCCTAACGCCTAGCACCTTGTAGCCATATAGTTGGACTATTCCTCCTTCTCAACAAGATCCCACCCCAGGAGCAGTGATATGGCCCAGCGGTATGGCCGCTGCATTTCTCCCTTTAGATCCTCGGTTCGTGCCCCGCTTGTGAGCTTTTCTTGGATTTGGCCTAATATTGAACACCCTCTTTTATCACTCTCATAAAATTCAGCAAAAAATGGTCTTGGTTGCAAAATTCATATTGAACCCCCACTGCAGAAGCACCAATTTTACAACAAAGCAATGAAAGAAATGAGATCCCCCGGATTTTATGGATTATACTATGGACTTTACTACACACCTTCCCTTTGTGACAATGGTTCAACTGAAGCACCTACTGGATGGCTTGTCCTCCACTTCAGGCAGACATACTTGATATACTATCAGGGAGATGGAAATTGAAGTTGTATTAGAAATGGGAGTTTAGAAAAAACTGGCGGAAGAAGTTGGAGACAGTCTGTCATAACCTAATTGTTGCAAATAGACTATAATAGAAAGATTCATCATCATCATTCACATCCCACCCCAGCCAACCATGGCATCCACTATGAAGGAAAGTTGAGAGCTCTCATTTATTAAGCTATTTAGAAAGAAGAAAAAATGCGGAGCTGTATAAGTGCTGCCAAGGCATCTAATCAATAAAACCTGATTGTTGCAATGGACTTAAATAGAACAGACATTTATTATCATCATCATCACACAATCGATTGTGAGAGTACCTTACATGACAGGATGAACAATCAACACGACATGATTTGACAAAAGGAGGCAATGCTCAAGAGCAACTGTAGGTCGAAACACGTGAGGGGGTGGAGAGCAAAGGACTGCTGAGCCAACCGAACAAGGCTGTAACATCTATAGTAGGACAGGTAATACTACATGCACTTCTAAAAAGATGCAGAAATGTCCATTCTTTGATATCTTAGATAGTTTTGATTGATTTTTCTTGTTGTGGTTGGGTGATTACTCTTTTTGTAGAAATATGTGAATGAAAGCGCACCGCTACAAGGGGCTAGGCATCGTATTATATCTTCTAATAAAAGATAAAATTCAAAAAACTCAAAAGCATTTATCCGAGCTATCAAGCTCCTCAAGAGACCTCATGGCTAATTGTCCTTCTCGAAATTTGCAACGTCTGCTCTTAAATCCACCAAAAAATTGATCCATAAGTCATCCCTCTGGCTCTGTGTGAGAGAGGTTTGCTGATGATACCAGTGGCCAGTGCCGATGTGCGTCTTCTGAAGCTATTTGACAAGTGTAGAAAGACCTTTGTCTGTCCATGGAATGTGGTTGAGCGTACGTTCGGCCATAGGGATACCCTCAAAGGCGCTATTCCGTTCCTCTCTGTAATTGCAACAAGAAAGAAGCACATGCTGAACCGACTGCAGTGGTATTCCACACCAACACTCAGGAGAGTGATGAGGCTCTCTGCCATATCTTGCAAAGTAGCTGTTGAGGAAGCCATGTCCACTCCGGAAGCTCACAATACAGCGGCGACGCTGCGAGATATCCACAAGGGCATGTCCAAAGAGAGACGAGGATTGCCTTCATACTTATGTCTAGTCCGGATGCCGCAATACAGCTGGCAACGATGCGAGGGATATTTTCAAGGAGTTTGTCGATAGAGAGTCGAGGCTTGCCTTCGTATTTATAGTATTCTGATGGCGGCGTGGCTTCAAACCTGGCCTTACATTGCTTAAAAGCGAGGTCATCGACGAG